CACAAACACTTCGACAGATTCCATTATTCAAACACGGTTTTTGTCGTATACAATTATCTGTGGAAGAGATGAAAAGGAAGAAGAAAAAGAATAAAATTGGATATTGTGAACATCGCAATATAATTTAAACTTTCATACAAATTTCACAAGTTTGCCCAGTATGTGTTAGTGGGCATATGCAGAGAAATCCACTATCTAAATTATCACACAATCCACCATTTTTACACGGCTTAAATGAACATGGTAGAGGTGCTGTTTCGCATCTTGATCCAGAATAACCAGCCCTACAACGGCAAACTAATTCACCAGATACAATAAGACAGTCTCCTTCATTTTGACATGGATTTGGATCGCATAAATTTCTTCCTAAAGATTCAATTGATAATAATAAGAAAGTGATACTTGATATAAAGATATCCGTTTACTCTTACTTATATCGCATCTTTGTCCAGTATATTCACTTGTACATATACAGTTGACTTGATTGGGTGCAATAGCGTTACATGTTGCTCCGTTCAAACATACATTATTATCGCATGGATCGAATCCTTTAAATTCAAACAGTATAAATATTAAATATATATAGACATGATCTTAGTAGATAAAATACTTGTTTGACAGATATTTCCAATATATAATCCAACGCATTCGCATCTGAAATTATTTGATGATTCTATAGTACACTTGCCACCATTTCGACAAGGATTGGGATTGCATATATTTATAGCTGAAGTACGAAAAAAGAAATCAATTGTATAGACATGATAAAAAATATTCAACTTTAATTCACCTTGATTTGACCAACGATAAGTAATGTATGATCCAGTTTGAGCTGTATCATATCTGTGATTTTGAGAGCATTCTATAAAGTCAGTTCCAGGTTCTGTTCCAACTTTCAGAGATAAGAAATTATACGACGATTGTATTCGATATCTCTAAATGATGGAAACGATAGATTATGACTATTAATCTGTAATAAGATATTTTTATGTTAAAGCTTACGGCACAATAAAAAACTGGTTTATTTTGAGAACCGCCTAATGAACTATCCTGTGTAAATAGAAGAATTGTTTTACCATTTCCACTATCTCGACTATCAATACCGGCACATCTGAGACGACCATTTGCAGGATTTTCTGAATTTTTCACAATTTTTCTTTAGCTATTGAGAGAGAAACCGTTGATTTACTTACTGTAATTGCTCGTACCAGCTTCCGAACATAAAGAGACCACCAATGTATCTCCATCAACGGAGATGGATGATGAAGATGATCCAGTACAGAAGGTCGAACTTGACGAAGTAAGAAAATCTACTTGAAAACTCCCACCAATGAATGGACAATTAATTGTTATTGAATTCGTAAATGGATCTTTAAAATAGATATATTAATGATTGAACTCATCAAACAGAATAATATTATTAAACAACTTACAAGTGACAAACCATCTAGTTGGAACAACTTTATAATCCGTTAGTGGGGGACAGTCTAATGCTACTGATAGGGCTAAAAGCATATAGGTTCATTATGGGTAAATTAATGATGTAAATTATTTATCTACATTTTGTTGGAACCCAATGGTAATAGAGGACATTTCCTTCTACATTTTGAACTGTTAGACAAAATTCCTGAGATCCTCTACGGAGTATAAAATGTCGGTTACTACTGGAAGGATTATCAAAAGAACCAACACAAGAATAATCTATAAATGAGTGTGCACGTATATTCAAAAAATAATAAAAAAAAGAACCAATAGAACCTAATTGAGAAGGCGAAGTTCTTCTAAAAACTTCGTCAATAAACCTGTACAAATAGGCTTGCTGATCCTGCGAATTTGTTGAGGCATAACGGCTAAAAAATTGAAGAGAAGACCAAGATTTTGGATAACTACAAAGTCCTGTATGAGTTATAAATAAAGTTTTTCCAATAACAATGACTAAAAATATAGAAAGAGACAACCATACCGTTAACGCAGCTAATAATAAAAGCAAATACGACGATAGACTTTGCGAGAACCATCTAAAAATATCATTTTATTTTTTTTGTAAATAATAATGTAGATTCTGTTTATTCTTATCATTTTACTAACCTTATCGATTACTTTTTCATTAATCTAAATATTGGATATAGCCCATATAGTCATTGCAGGAAACTCTTTAAAAATGCTGTAGATTTATTAAAATCAATCTTTTCTTATTAACGTTAGAAAAAGAATATGAATTATGGAGAATAAAGTTTGAAAAAGAGTTTCAGTGCAATGGCCTTAGATATCGATATAATAAAAGAATTCCTTTTTCATTGAGAGGCGGGGGTGTTTAATACGAAGTTCAATATTGTCGGGTTAAATAAATATCAAATTCGTCAATGACTTCTCAAGACTCATAAAGATATGCAAACTTTTATGCTTATAATATTCAAGAATACAATGAAATATGGACTCATCTTTAAAATCTATAAATTTATATTTAGGATTCAAGCACAATGATTCCAAATTGAACAATAATGAATAGATACAATTAAGAGAGGGAGATATTCATTATTTCTTCCTTCAAATCTTTTCAGTGCTAAATATGAGTATCTATGCAAAAATCATAATAGAAAAAAAATAGATACTACGATATGTTTTGGTGGTATGTGTTCTTTTTCACTGTAAAGGACAATGAACAAGCAAATTAGAACAAAAAATTCAATTACGTTTTCAGACAGATAAAAGAAGTGCAAAGCTTATTTGCTTCCTAAATCTGTTGCTTTGTCACAAAATAATACTTTTCACTAGTTTTTTTGTTTAAAGTTTTGAGAGAGAATTCTTGGAGAAAAGATTCCAAAAAGGGAGATGAATTAATTTTCATTAGCTAACTCCGCTATACCGGATGAACTATTTTCATTATGATTTTCGGAATCATGCTGTAACAGCAAAATATTTCAAAATTTAATATACATAAAAGAACCATGTTAATTTAAGAAAAAATTACAAACTTGTAGGCTATCAATAAGAGTTTTTGCAGAATGACATCTAAAGTGTAGCCTGTTTTCTAGAATAAAACCTTTTTTGTGCCTGAAGAAGAATTGTATTTTACTAAAAATTTTTTTATAGAATTTAAAAACAGTACTTCGCCTCGTCTAAAAGTGGTAATGCAAGTGAGTATTGGGCCTTCCTTATAAAGACATAAGCGCTCTCAAGGTAGGAGAAAGGTACAAGATATGTGTCTTCTTTTATTAAAGATTCTCTGCGAAATACAAATAATTTATATTATGCAATATACAGTAATAAAAAATTTGCTTATTAATATACTTGGATTGAAGTAGTTTGAATGTTTTTAAAGCTTCATCACTTCTATTCAAAAGTCGCAAGCAAACTCCTTGTAAGAGTAAAAGTAGGCCAAAATCATCTTCAAAATTTTTGTAAGATCCTGAAAAAGGGTAAATCCTTAAATGGTAAGTTTTATCAATCTTCTATTCTAAGTAACCTTTCTGTCCGTTTAATTCAATCTCCGTCAATTTATTCATTTCTTCTTCAACATCTTCAAGTATATTATTTAGAATGTCAGGTCTCGTTGTCAAGACAGTAAATAAATTCCAAAGATACATCAATTCCTGTTGATAACAATGACATTTTCAAACGAATCGATACTTAGTCATAATATATTACATAGGCAGGCAAGATTAATCGATTTTCTTGAGAGAAAAATCTTTCGGTTTTCTTCACTATGAATTTTTCAATTGGAATGGATTTACCTGCCAATCTTTGCTTGTGACTGGGTACAACTCTATTGATGTAAAAATAATTAATGACCTAACCAAAAGTAGACATACGCATTATTCTCATTGCATTACTTCATCAAACTTGCAACATGGTTCATTAGATCTTCAGACTTTTCGGAAATCATCAAAAGGAAACTCGCCTTTTGATAAAAATATAAACATTTACTCCATCTACTCTCTTCCGATAGTTTCTCTGAATACTTCATAGATATAGTCCATTCTCTTTTAAATCTAAAGAATTACCAAAGAATTGACCAATTCTAATGTAAGGAATAACTTTTATATGCAAGCAAACAAACCCATGCAGCCACATCAATTCCCAATAGCATATATGTTTAAATTGAGTCCATTCATCTTGACAATCACGACATTCTTCAAACATTTTAATAGCTGAATCTATTCTTCCATTAACTTCTTCTAATCTTCCAGCAAAAAATAAAAAGTATACTCCCTTTTAAAAATTAAATTAAAAACAAAAAGTTAATCAATGAACCTCTTTCCAAAATAATAAACTTTTTAATACCTTAGGATATTTGGACCTATATTTTCCTAGCAGTTCTGCAGATAAGGTCAAATTTCCATCAGCAATACCTAATTGATAAATAATTTAGTTATAAATTACAAAGAGAATATTAAACTGTTTACCTGTAAAGTAGGCAACAATTGTGTGATACGTTAATAGGGTTATGGCACATAGAGGAGATCTTAGAGAATTATCTGGATTAATTCCTTTTTCCAACTCCGCTAAACCTTTACTCTAATTTTTTACGTGAAAGAAAGATTGTTGATTTTGAAAAGATTCAAGATAAAATTAAGATTATACCTTATTACCGGAGAAGCCAGCAAATTCTAATAGCTTTAATATTTTAGTAGGAACGAGAGATATTATCTAGAAACAAGGTAATTAATATTTCGTTGGCATCTCTCTCCATATCGAAAATTGAATATTTTCAAGATTCTTACCACATTGAAAACACCAATGCCGAACCTAACACCACTTTCAAAGTCTATTTTTGAGGATTCGCTATCATTTTTAAAATTTCTCTTCATCAGAATTTTATAACACTCTCTGGTACAGTTTAATTTAATTTAGAAACTGATAATTAATAGCCAAACAAACTACATACTTATAAGTGTTATATGAACATCTTATTTTCCATCCAGCTTTGACAAGAGCCATGAAACTTTCGTCTTGAAAGATAATTAACATGGCTTTAAAGCAAAGTAATTCCGCATAACATAGTTCGGCATGAATTTCCTCTAAAAAGTAAATAAATTTGAAATTAAAAAATTGGAATTGCTACTGCAAAGTTTATCAAAATATTCAAATTGGAAAAGTTGAAAAAGTTGAAAAAAATAGAGTCCATTTAAAGCTAATATCTCTTAGCCAATAAGCACATTTCAGCGGATCCCAATGTAAGCTCATTCAGCCAATAAAAAGTTGAAAACATTGTCCAATCGGTGTTTAGCACCAATTTCATGTATAGGCTCTCATATTTATAATTATTAGAACCAAAGTAAGTTTGAAATGATACTGAGAAATCTAAAAATTAGTTCACTGTTGCTTTAAATTATGTGACATCATATCCATAAATAGAAAAAGTATTACCTAATCTCTGGGAGTTTTGAGATAAAAGGGAAAGAGGAGGGACAAACAGATCATTCTCAAACTTACTTTGAAGAAGTTCAACATTTGAGTGAATATGGTAAGAACAAAGAACACCGCTCGTAAGACAATATCAGGTTGTACTAAAGGACGTCTTGCTGTGAAAGTAGCAAAGAAGACTGCTCCTTATTTGGGGGGAGTCAAGAAACCTCATAGATTCCGACCTGGCACTGTTGCTCTGAGGTATATATCAAACATGGCTAGGTTCGTTGGTTATAGGGGTGTAAATACCTTAACATTTATAAGTGAACAATTTTTCACGAACCTTCCTCCAACTCTTATCTTTTAGTGAAATCATGTAAAAGTTGTCTTCCTTGTGAGTACAAACCTAATAGATCAATTTTCAACAATTATAGGGAAATCAGAAAATACCAGAAGAGCACTGAAAATCTCATCCGAAAACTACCATTCCAAAGACTAGTGAAGGAAATTGCGCAATATTTCAAAACGGACCTAAGATTTCAGAGCGCTGCTATTGGAGCTCTGCAGGTGGGCGCGTTTCTTAAAAATAATAAACTATATGAAATAATATTACTGTCATCATCATTATCATTTTTACTATGTGAAAAATTAATAATATGACGTCAATTTTAGGAAGCTTGCGAGGCCTACTTGGTTGGACTATTCGAGGATACAAATCTTTGTGCAATTCATGCAAAGAGAGTAACCATAATGCCGAAAGACATGCAATTGGCACGCCGAATCAGAGGAGATAAATACATGTCAGTTTGAAATGTTTCCTTCGTTCTTAATGAACATATTAATTAATTTGAAATGTCCTATCTACAACGTATAATAATATAAATCAATAATCTTATGACTAGTTTAAACTGGTCACCATTACTCATAATGAAATTTTTCTTCATATTGCAAAATATATATCTATATAAATTTATATAGTGTATTGAATGGAGTACGGAGCCATATACTATGTTTATTCCTAATAGTTTCTTCAATCTTACAAAGCAAAAATTTTTGCTTACCTGTCGTTAAACTGTCATAATTGTGATGCTTGACGAGATCTTTCATATGTTGTAAAAGGGATGATTTTTTTCTCTTTTTTTCAATAACCAATAGTCCTGCTTTTATAGCCTGAGATGCTAATTCAATATCACTCTATGAATAAATAAACCATTTAGATAAGATGGAATTGATTTCAAATTATATTCATTTACAGCTTCACGAGTCATAGATGCTTGTAGATGTAAAATAACGGCATACCCAAGAGCATGATACATATCTTCTTTAGCCCTAATACATAAAAAGTACAATAAAAAAAGAAATAAGAATTTTCACTTAAACTAATAACTTGCCATTTTTGTAAACGGTTCTTTGCCTCCTCAAAATGATTGTTAAGAAAGAGATTAAAAGCAGACTTCATAGCTTCAAGAGACTCATCAAAATGCATAGGACAAGAGCTAAAATAAAAAAAAATCAAAAATAGACAAAATCAATATGATTAAGCGAAAATTTCTCTACTTATCAACTTCTTCTTTCGCGTCCACAAATTCCTTATATATAGCAACAAAATGTTAGAAGAGGCAATTATATTAGGTTAAGAATATAGTTACGTGTTCGTCATCCTGGCTATTATCTACATTATCCATATTTTCTCTTCTTAAAGATATTCTATTTTCATTTATAAAATACGAAAATGAAATATTGGAATTTTTAATTCATTTTTATTATAAGCATTTTCTAAAATCTAAATTTTTTCTAATCTGCAATAGTCGAAGTGTCTTTATTTTCATAACAAAAAACTCTATATTGAAATTTAATATAAGTAATAAGTTCTCTAAATAGAGCTTGAACGGTACGTAGAGAGTTATAATAGATATTCATTCGCTCATATTGCATGTAAATGATTCTATATATAAATTCTTATTATCTAAATTTACCACTATATACAGTTTCTTTGAATTTTTTTTTAAATTAAAATCATTTACAATCACATATTTTCAAGAGTAATATCAAAATTTATTTTATTTATAGTGCAATTTATGATTTGATGAATAGAACATAAAATTTCAGCAATGAAATTCTATTTTATGTTCTATAGAATTGATTATATTTTTTATTCAAAAATCACTCTAATATCGCTTGATCATGACTAAATCACATTATATATTAAAAAGGAATAATTTTAATAATTGTCTCTATATTTCTATATTAATGACATACCTGAACTACTTGAAAATACGATGTTGAAAGTTGGATTGCATTTGGAGATATATTTTAAATAGCTCAATTTTCTTTCTACTCCAAACGCTTACATATATTGTCTGTCATTCCCTAATTAGAAGATGTCCTCTTCAAATAATTCAACTGACCCTAGACGATCTAATAAAATTCACAGGTATCCTTTTATTAATAACTTTTATGAAAGTATCATGCCAAACTATACATTTTTGGCTTTTTGTATGTTGTATTTAGTATTTACACCCTATTTTCAACTCGCCCTTTTCTTTCGCAGATATCCAAAAGCACCAGCAAATAGTGTTGTCGATGATCCGACGCCGGATTATATGAATTTGTTGGGTATGGTGTTCAGTATGTGCGGTCTTATGTTAAAGGTTAGCATTTTATGAAATATAGTGGCCAAATGTTGAATACATCGCATTTTTAGATGAAATGGTGCGCATGGGCAGCGGTTTATTGTGCTTTCATAAGTTTTGCTAATTCACGATCGTCGGAGGATACTAAGCAAATGCTTAGTAGTTTCATGTAAGTGTATTGTTAATGATATATAATATATATATTTATAATAGATATATTATTAATCTCTTTTGCAGGTTATCAATATCCGCTGTTGTTATGTCATATTTACAAAATCCTCAGCCTATGTCACCTCCGTGGTAATTTAAACTATACAATTTTTTCAACGCATGATTAAGTAGTGAATTAAATAATTGAAAATAAAAAACTACTTTAGATTACAATTGAATATTACAAATTACAGTTAACCCCCACATTTAACGTTTCATTTAATCTTTATTCAGATTGTTAAAGTTTATCCTATAATCTTCTTTTCTTATGATTTCACAAATAAGTGAACAGTTCATTTTTTCTTCTAGTATATTATTAAATACAAAATTCAATTATTACGATATGCCATAATATGGTGACTTTGCCTTTCCCTGTTTAAGCCATTCTTCTATATAATTCTTTTTCGTATCTGATGATGACTTGCTGCTAATGTGTCCTATCGAACCTTTAAACGACTTCTTTAGAGCTATCGCGGGCAGAAATGTCCGATCGCTTCCCTTAACCACCAGTTTAGGAGTCTCTAAACATTGCTTTTTTCCAGTTAGTTTTGGCAAGGAATCATTTGATAATTTCGAGCGATTTGATTTAAGATTAATTCCTGTCAATTTCTTACTTTTGAACTGCCTGGAGCTATAGAATAACATATTTTAAGAATAGAAGTGTTAAGCTGTTAAAAGATTTTTTCATAAAACCTATAAAATAGTGCTGTCGTTTCGTCAAGTTTTCCAGATAAGTCCAATCTAAATGCACTCTGATCATCACTTCTTGTTTGAATACTAACCCTTCTAGGACTGTCTATAGGAACTAAAAACTGATTTAAACGATCATTTGTCAAAATAATATCATAATTAGATTCCTCCTCGTCTCTTCTCGGCGACTGTAATTGAGAAGTTGAGAATTCGTCCATTGGTTAGACTTTATACTTTATTAAACAGGATCCGTTAGTAGAGTATATATATATAATCCTAGCTAACTAGCGCCAAAATAGGTGAATTGTAACTGAGAACTTTCCCTCTATATAAAGCTGCTTAAAATATTGACTCACGTATACTTTTATTATTTACTTTAAGTATTTTATTGAACGAAAAATAAAGAGTATACTTAAGAAAGAAAAAAATAGTTTATATTGTCGGACGATTCCTAATTAAACGCTTTAGACTACTTTACATGAAATTAGGAACAATAAAACTCTACTTAAACCGTACATAATAATTCAAGTATTTGTTGCTATGTTCATTATTGTTTTGACACTCATTTAAGTCTTCAACTAGTTTACAATCCTTTTTTAGTATATTAAAATATTAAATAATACGTTTCTCAAGTGGTAATTAACAGAGCAATAACCTATATTTACGAATTAAAACCTGCAAGTTTCTTTTTAAGATTATAAGAGACTAGTTCTAACATATGTAAAAGAAAAATAGATTAATTTACGTATCTTGTATATGTACCTCTAAATTTTTTTTCAATAATAACAATGATTTCTATATATAGCAATTAAATTAATAGTCAATTTCATTTGATAACTTAAGATCTAATGGCTTCTTAATATTAAATAGCATATATAAAATTCAATGATTTATTAAACAGAGATTCAAACAAAGCAAAAGAGAAACTTTATTCTAGTTTATATGTAGGATTTTCTTTGAACTTTTGATAGTCTTCTCTGTTGAAAAATGAGATGTCACATTCACAATCTAAAATAAAAAGATCATTGTTTTATGTTTAACGTGAGAGGAAAAGGAGAGAGATAAGTTATTCTGTTCTTATATACCTATACCGCAGTTTTTAAGGAGTGCATCTTTCGAAAGTATTAATTCTTCATCGTTTTCAGTATTTATCAAAGGATTATTTGCCTGGAAGTGTTTTTAGTGTTAGCTATGTTCTACAAAGATAATTTTTAAAAGAAGGAGGATATTACCTTATATTTATGAGCTTTATGTTCCAATTTCATTGTGTCTATACAATAAAATTGAGAAGTAAATTAGAAAGATTTTCTTAGTTAAGACTCACTATAATTATAATTCCTTATTGGAGTTGGTATATTTGATTTGCTCTTTAGCGTCTCTATTGCCAAAGCTAAAAACTCATCTGTCTTCATACTAGTGTCAACATTTTGAAGGACTAGGTGTTTTATGTTTCGGTGTTCAAAGGATCTAATGAAACGAGCTGTTATTGTCACTTTGCTGTGACTTTCTGTATTTTCCATCACAAACTTAATGCAAATATTGAAAATTTTGTCAAAGATCGAAACGCATGCAAGACTCCAGTCACATGACCACCACCACGTGATTTCATACATGATATCAAATTTAGTGGATCTTCTCGTATAACTTCACGATAGGTTATAAAATAACTTAATATTTCATAGATATTATGAAATTATAAAACAAATTATAACAAAGCAAAAATTATTTTGTAATAAAATTGAACTTTTTAAAAATGACTGGCAGAGAGAAAGTGTTATCAGACGACGCCATTTTTAATTTTTTACGCTGGAGTATATCCGAATGTAAACAGCGTGTCTTAAGAGAAAATAACGATGCATTTATAATTTCAAGATATACTATAGCTCCGAAACCATTAGAATAAATTTTAAGAATGAATGTTGACTCTTCAAAACTGTGTGAATCCTCAAACTCATGTAACGATGACATATGTAGGGATTATCTTCGAAATGTGTGTAGAAGAGGTTCGAAATGCAAATTTCGACATTTGAATGGAATAGACAATGAAGCAGGGAAAATGGACGGAAGAGAAGTGCAATTTTGTCATGATTTTCAGAATATAGGAATCTGTCGAAGAAGCTCGTGTAGGTTTTTGCACTGTTCGAGAGAAGAGGAGGAAAAATTTAAGATTACAGGGAAATTGCCTGCACACATCAACTCTCCCCCCGGCTCTCCTCCAATTTGCAAAGATTATCTAAAGGGAGAGTGTCATAGAGCATCCAGATGTAAATTCCGTCATTTAACAGTCAATGAATATGAATCAGAAATAAATAAAAATCAGTCTTTGATTGCCTTGGACTTTTTAGAAGATGATTTGCAAGCAGCAAAGAGACGTCGACTCGAAGTAGATGCCGAGTGGCGAGCAAGCTTAGAAGAAGAAAATATGCTTTTGCGTCGTAGAGTATCAGAATTAAAAAAACAAGTGTCAGATTTAACGGCCGTGAATGATCTTCTGCTGGATCAAAATGCTCGCTATAGAACTGCTCAAGCTGGTTTGGCAAATACCATGAAAGCTCAACCACCAACCGTACAAACTTGCATACAGACTGTAGTATCTCCAACGAGGGCCCTAGCTCCACCTGTTGTTAGTGTAAGTCAAGTATTGACCCCAACAGTTACTCCAGCTCCTGCCATCCTAAGAGCTGCAGCTGCTCAGCCAACGCTTGTTCAAACAGCGCCTCCAGCAGCACCACCTCCTTTAAGTCACGCAACAGTTTTACCACCAAGGCCTCCTCTTGAAGCGCCACCTCCTGCTATAGCAGGACCACCTGGACCCTCTATAAGCACATCTTTGAGTACACCATTACTATCATATCCTATCATGTCGCATAGTGTTGTTCCTAATTCCAACTTGGGTTAATATATGATTAACAATGAATGATCTGTCAATTCGTTTCTTAATAATGTTGTTGATATTGTTGTTTCATTTGTTCATCGATATTAATTGAATTTTTCAAAAAAAAAAAGAAATATCAACCAAAAAACTTTGTACAAAATCTATTTTTTGTAAATACAATACCAGTTTTCCTTAAATTTCAGAAGTATCTTTTGCCAAAACACCCTTGGCTTCTGTTATTCAAGTTTCTCTCAGATAAAAGTCTAATTAGAAAAGTGAAATTGTACGAGGATTTTATCAAATTTTTCTGTCATAAACTTGAAAATGAGTCAAGAAGAAGAGTCGGTTAGTTGATAGATTACTAAAATATTTACTTATTGGTATATTATCGTTCTCAGTCCGGCTTTATTTTTCTGGGAAAAGATATATCGAAGATTCCCTGCTTTAAGCAAGCATTTACATCTGGAATATTAGGTGGAATAACCACAGGTTTTGGATATTTCTTTTACTCGAGTAGGTATTTTAATACTGTCGAAGAATAGAATTTATCTAACTTTATTAAAGGTAACGTGAAGAAATCCTGTAATATCGGAGTAGGCTCGTATGCTCTAGTGACACTTGGCTTCTATTCTTATTGTCGATATAAATTCACCAAAAAATTACAAGATGAAGCTCTTATGAAAAAAGCTCTTCAAGCTAAAATTTTGTCAGAAGGAACAAATTTAGAAGCAGAAATTAAGGAAAAGACTAAAGCATAAAATTTTAATATTGTGTAAATTCAATCGAAAAGTTCCTTTTCAAGGTTCTCTTGTTTTGGAAAGCTTGTTTGAGTTCCCTCTGCAGTAACACTAACTGAAGCAATTCTGCAGCATCTTTTAACAATTTCAGACAAGCTCAAATGAGGCATATTTGACAAATAAAAAGCCAAAGAGCCTATAAAAGAGTCTCCAGCGCCCTGTTTAAGTAATCATAATTATATACCTCGATTTCATCTTATATGCAGAAACTTACAGTAGTATCAACAACTTTAACTTTTTCAACAGTAACATTTTCAACAGTTCTATTATTTTGACTGCAAAAAGCTGCTCCTTGATCTCCCATAGTCAAGATGACATTTTTACAACCTTTATCAAGAAGAGCATTACAAGCTGCTTGTATGCTTTCCCTATCAATTGCTTTTATTCCAGTTAATATCTCCGTCTATTAAAAAATCGACTATTAATAGCCAACGAAAGTGAAATTACACATCAATTACCTCAGTTTCGTTTGGGCAAAAGTAGTCACTTAAAGTGTAGAATTCAGGTTGAAGATATTCAACAGCAGGAGCAGGATTGAATATCGTTGTTACTAAAGCGAATAGAATATATATATATATACATATATATATATAAGTAAGGGTAAGGTCCGTTTTGCAGAAGTATGTTTTATAAAAATGCGCTTTATAGAGTTTAGCAGACAATGCGTTTTATCACTAGAGATAAGTATTACTATGTATAAATTTATTTAAATTGTGAATATTTCTATACACTAACAATGTGAGCTAACACTTTCAGAATATCTTTGATATCACTTTCTCTCAAGATTCTTGCTTCCTCTTCTAGATATATCTGCATGGGCAGATTGATCGATCTATCCCTCAGTATTCCTCAACTTCTGTCTTTACTCTTTCTTGTTTAACCTTTATTCTTTTTGTGAAGACTCCCACTTTCTTTCCTCTTGTTATAGTATTATTTCTGTGGTGCAGAAGACAGCATATTTTGCAATATTTCTTTCTTGTAGGATTAGGATCATGTGAATGCGGTTCAGCATATTTCAAAATATGAGCTTTATATACACTTTTGATCGCAGCAAACCCAATAGACCAATGTGGTCTTTGTCTAATAAAATTTCATCATCTCTAATATTCATCTCTAGCGATAACTTCTGCAACAATATTACTATAAAATGCATGGTCTATAAAACCCATTTCTCTAAATTACACTTCTGTAAAAGGTTCCTTACTCACATATATACAGTATATTAGGATAGGTCTAAATGTATATGAAGAACATTATTATGTATAAAATGCTGAAAAGTTTCATGAACATTAATTCAAGGTTAGTACTAAAACTCTTAACTCAATTAAACTTTAATGATCAGTACATTCCCAATGACTTGTCGCAAGAAGAGAAACGTTAGCAAAAACAAATAAAGCAAATGGAGCCCAGTTAGTTCGCCTAAAGTATAGACCTATTGCAATTGGTAATATGTATATTTCATTTTTTTTGTTTTAGTTCAATATATTCAGTATTTTGAAAATGATAGGGTTTTCTTGAATATCTTTAGGCCTATCTTTATACATTAGCACTGTTATACGAAGTAGTTTTCAGTCTTACCTTTGGCTTGTTTAGCTATTTTCATAGCCTCCAAGGTGACATCTCTCTTTATTTCCAATTGAGTTATTAAAACTTTACTACCAATTATTATATCTTTAGCTGCATTTATATCATGAACTGATAATTTCAAATTAGCTCCAGCTACTATCACAATTGAATTTTGGCCTATAGAGAGGTCATATTATTATTAGAAAGCTTTAATTTTGAAAGGTTAATCAGACCTTTATCATCAACAAATATGGGTGCTGCTCCGGTCATGGCGTCTGATGTCGTTGTGACATAATCTATATAAAAAAAATAGTTACTAACTATTAGGTTTGCCATTTTATAAAATCAACCAGAAATTATTCCATTCTGCTTGAAATTATTCAAATAGTTTTGACCAAACGTGTCACAACCCACTTTAGCAACCATTGCTGTTTTGGAGCCTAGTCTACTGGCAGCAATGCATTGATTAGCTCCTTTTCCACCGAAGCCTATGTTGAACTTATGGCCATGAAGTGTCTCTCCAGGAACAGGTAATCTTGGAACATAGCTACAGCGGAGATTTTATAAATCGATCGATAGCTAATATTTAAACTCTATAATTACCTAACTAAATCTGTCATACAACTACCAACAACAGTTATATCCATCTGTAAATAATTTTTCTTAGTTCGGCCTATCACGCCACACTACTAACTAATCGGGTTACACATGCACTCTCTAAATATCATATAAAAAATTATTGAAGTAACCACCGTCTGGATTGCGCAATGTGATTTCGCTTGATTGCGCAAGTCAAAATTATATAAAAATAAAGGTGATTAATGTAAATCGCTTTAGTATAGCAGGTGATTGTCGAACAGTTCTACTGAGGAGTGAACAGAGTCGAAGCGGCGATATCCTGCGATCGTCATGGGGACAGATTACGCCAGTCCAATAACCCCAGTAACTCCAGGAACAATTTGGAGCTATCCATCTGTCATAGAAAGTAAAATAGAAAACAACATGCAGAAAGATGATCTATCAGAAGATAATCATACTAAATTGAAAGATAAGAAAGAAAAGCGTTTAAAAAAGAAATTAAAATGGCGCAAATGTACAGAAATTGTTAATTTTAGTTTACCTCCTCGTGACAATGGTACGCAGGACTGGACTGAAGAAATGATAAACGATTATGAAATATTTAATAATGGCCTAGGACTAGTAAGTGAATCTCTTCCTGAAAAATCACTATGTAAAAGTACAGAGAGTGGCTTCTCGCGTCTAACTCAGTTGGTAACTATTGAAAGTATCGTAGAAAATACATTAGTGATCAATGGCACAAGAAGAACAAAGAAACGAAAAATTCTTAAAGCATATCATCAAGTTAAGACAAAATATTGTCAAAATGTAACCAATGGTGGTTTACAAAAAGAACTGTTTATGAAAAGTCGTGTCTATAAGATATTCCAACGTAGAGGCCTAACTCGAGGATCTGGAGCAATAGTCAACAACTCGGACAAATTATCATCTAAAGAAAGAAAGAGAGTCGCCTTGTCAAAGTTTCAAGAAAGACTTGAAAGCTCTGAACCACTTATTTCCAATACGAGCTATAGTAAATCCTCAAAAAATGCTTCTTATGAAAGAAAGCATGCAATAACGTCTCAAAGAAATGCCGCTAATGATTTAGATATTGAATTAGTTAATTTATTAATGGAATTGCAAAACCGTGATATAAGACCAGAAGATTATGATGTATTGTTGCGTTTAGATGAAACAGTTGCACCTAAAACTGTTGATAATGCAACAGTCAAATCTTTCAACACAATAATAGTATCAGAAGAAATGTTAAAGAATCAACAATGTACAATTTGTATGGAAGTTTATGAAATAGGTCAAACCTGTAAGAAGTTACCATGCGAACATGTATTTCATGACAATTGCATATCTCAGTGGTTATTAAACTGTGGTAAAAATTGCCCATTAGACGGTTTAGAAGTATAATATATGAAATGTTATTGTTTGATTGATTATACATTATAATCAAAACAACAACTTAAATATAAAAATATATACATGTTTATTAAAAAGGGGTGGGGGGATGGGTTGGCTGAAATTCTAAACAGATAAAAGAAAAAAACATCTGTATTATTGAAATCTTTATCAGAAAAGATTGACAAATAAAAGAATATTTCTCCATTTGAAACTATGCTAAAATCCAGTCATTTATAAATTTAAATACGAATATGAAGTAGCAGTATAACATTAGGCAGTAGATTTCACTCTTATTCATTATAAGGAAGGCGTAAACCTTATTGAGCAAAAGAAAAATGTTACAATGATAATGATATTTGACTAAATAAAGATAGTCTTCTTATATTTGTCTTCTTTCGTTCTCTATATATATATCTTTTTTTTGATATTTCAATCATCAGTAGTAATTTTTTTATATTAAAATTTTCGTGTTTATTTATGTTTCAATACTGCTGACGAAAAAAAGACAATCCTCCACTTTTTATACTGACTTTTACTGATTATAGTGAAGTTATACTTTGTAAATGTGTATAGGCCTAAGGAAATTACAGATGGCGCTCTCAGTCAAGCGGAAGTATTCGACTGACTGCGTGTTATTTCCACTTGCTTATAAACAAGCGTTCATTTCGTGCTTTCGCTTACCGTATATCTCGATTCCAGGAGAGTCAATTTTTGGATTACTATTTTACTGTTAAATGGCCATGACTCGTAAACTATGGAGTTATTCTCGTTCTCTAATTCCGACGTTAATCGGCCTTTGTACTGGAATAGCTTTATCACTAATTTTTGCCCCTTTCCTGGAAGAGCCATGTTCCGATGAATTGAATCACAATTCATTTGAAAGTCACCTAATTAATAACAAATTTCGGTTAAACGCCGAGGAAGAGATAAAAAAGTCTTTACCAAATCCGGTCCCCATTGAGCCGAAGAAAAAACGTACTCGACCAAAATACGCTGCCACTGAGCTGGGGATAAAAGAAAAACTTTTAGCAGCTGTCATAACCTCAGAATCGACATGGGATGAAATGGCTCCTGTATTTAATACGACTTTTAAACAACATCCAACAAAGATGATATTTTTTCGACGAAAGAAGGTGGCTGACTGGCAGAAGAATGTTGTATCAATCGACGCTTCAAACGATGCCGAATACGTTTTAATGGTCTTAAAATTTATAGCAGAGAAATATGGTGACAAGTACGATTGGTTCTATTTGGTAAAAGACAATACATATGTTAGAGGAGAAAGGCTAATGTATTTAGCCACTCATATGAGCATTAGTTATCAAATCTACATGGGAGTCCAACAGGGAAGAGTGTGCGACTTCGATTATGGAGTGCTAATTGCTCAGGTAACAGCTGTTTAAATTGATTATTATATCTTTTTTTATATACATTTAGTTAGTTTTAAATAGTAATTCAAATAATCAGGAACAATAATAACTATGTAATAGAATAACATTTTACAAAAAAAATTCTTTATCGTTTACTTAAACTGTAAGAGAATATTATAAATGTCTTTTATATATATATATATATATATATATATTAAATAATCGATAAGATTTTAGCAAGATCTCTAAAACTTTTGTTTATCTAATCTCTCACTAAAATTTGATTACACTTGAACAAAGCACTTAGTGTTCATCTATTTTTTCATTTATTAATACTAGTTATTTTTATAGGCTTTATTGGTAAAGATTCAACCGAACTTTGACTGGTGCTTAAAAAATGCAATTTCGTCAACGGAAAGTGAAGCTTTAGGACAATGCGTTGTACATTCTATACCAAAAATATCTTGTACAAACTCGTATAATGAACTTATATACGCTTTATCTCCATCCAACGATACTGTTAGTATACCTCGAATGAAATCGGCGGATGAAATGCTACGAACTCATAAGCATTGGTTAAAAATTGATTTAGAACTCACCCAAAAGGAACTTAGAGCTGTTCAAGATGAAATGGTTCGAATAGCTCCATTGACACCTGAAGGAGAAGCTGGTTTAACTTGGCCAATAGGTATTCCAGCTCCTTCCAAAGCCAAAAATCGGTTTGATATTATTCGTTGGGATTACTTTACTGAAACGCATATCTATTTCGATACGGACTTTACAACCGTTCGCCCTTTAACTGGGGTTGATAAAGATGATGTCGATGAAGTCATTGATCATTCTATTAGGAAATTAAAGGAGACTTATTCAAGATTAAAATACAAAGGTTTAGAAAATGGCTATAGAAGATTTGATCCCGCTCGAGGTATGGAATATCTTTTGGATATTAAAGTTTTTAACGAGGAGGATAATGAAGAAGATTTAAAAAGAGTACAACTACTTCGACCGTTATCCGTAGTTGAGCTTGTCCCAATGGCCTATGTAACAGAAGAAGCCAAAGTTTATCTAATTCTTCCCGTGACCGCCTCCGATAGAGAAGCTGTTGTCCAATTTCTTGATTATTATTCCAGAGCGTGCCTTGATACGAACGATAATTCTAATTTAATAATAGTTTTCATCTATAAAGAAAGCTCAGATGAGAACCACTTTGCAATCTTGAAGAGTATGATGACCTATTATGAATCAAAGTACACCAAAGGAGCTAGAATGACTTGGACATCATTAGAAAAGGCAAAACTTCAACCAGGTCAAGATGGATTTGACCTTATGTTGATAGATTCTATGACATCTACGTTGCCGTCCAATGCCTTAATTATGTTATGCTCAGTTGGAATGGAATTATCCTCTGAACTACTTAATCGCGTTAGAATGAATACTATAGTCAATCAACAGGTTTTCTTTCCTATTGCATTTTATGAATATAAGCCGAATTTAATTTACGAATCCCGACCATATCCTACCCATATAGAAATTCTTAAGAACGTGGGTCACTTCGATGAGAGCGCTTTTGAGCACTCATCGTTTTATGCTGCTGATTATCAAGCAGCCCGTTCTGCATCACCAAAAAGTGTAAAATCAACTACAGATCTCTTTGAGCTATTTGTTAAATATGGGGGAGAAAAGTTACACGTCTTCCGAGCAGTGGAGCCCTCCCTAAGGCAACATTGGAAAGAATTGAAATGTGAGAATAGGCGGCAAACAAAGAGAGGTCAAAACGACACAGCAGCGACACCCTATGAACGTTGTATGAAAAGTAAATTAGAGGGACTAGCTAATCGACAACAGTTGGCCATGTTATTATTCGAACACGAAAAAAACACTCAATCAAAAGCTAACGCAAGGGAGAGAAAGTAATAATAGATGAAATTTTACTTTTCTGTGCTCAAAGAGGAATAATATTTCCAACGAACTTATTCAATTAAGAATGTTCTGTTTTTAACTTTTTTAAGGGTTTCACGTTCTTATAAATACTCGTCTTTCTTCAAATGTTTATGTACATATTTTTTTTTTTTTTGAAACTAGAATGCCAATCAAAAAAGACAAAAAAATGATATAAATACAAATTTTTATTTTTTAAATGATAAATATCTTAACAAAAAATAAGCACCTAAGAAGATATTAAACTTGCTGACGCAATATTGTTATTTGTTAAAGTAGAGTGGGTATTCATATGAGTCTTTAAGCTATTTGAATGTCGAAAATTCTTTTTGCATATTTGGCATGAGTATGGAAATGTATTATCATGTATCCGGCGATGTCGTCTCAAATTTCGGATATCCGCAAATTTTGCACCACACGCTTGACAAGTATGAGGCTTAACACCAGTATGGAGGAGGCGGTGTACTTTTAAACTTTGCGAATGATTAAAAGCATTGCCACAATAATCGCACAAATAGGACCTTTTATCTAAACAACTTTTCATATGAGATCTTAGACCGTTAGGCTGGGAGAAGGCGGCATGACAATTGGAGCACGTAAAACTTTTTTCTGAGGTGTGGATTACAGTATGTTTGTCTAATGTCGATGGTTTGTTTGCTCTGAAAGAGCATCCAGGGTGTTGGCATGCAAAGGGTTTTTTGACTGAATGTTCTCTATCCATGTGAATACGATATGCTCCTGCGTCTTTGCCAAAATTATCTGGGGGTTCGCATAGCTTACAAATCCAATTGTCATTTGAGTGTTCTGTTCTTAAATGCCTCGTTAACTCGGCTGATCTGGAAAATTTCGCTGTACAAACGTGGCAAGCATAAGTAACTGATGTCTCTTCGTGTAATTTCATATGTTTTCGCAAAATAATATCCTTTGAAAAGCTTCTTCCGCATTCTTGACAAGTATGTCTAATATTCTTTGACGATGTTGACTCGATTTTCGATTCTTCTTTTTGTTGAGTGAGCTCATCATTTTCAACGTCACTGATCATGGTTAACTTTCTTTTCTTTGGAGGAGGCAAGGCCGCTGAACACGATAAACCACCTTTCATTTTCATAGGACGAGTTTTCTTACGGCGCCCACCGCTATCTTCATCATAGTCCGAAAATTTTGGTGGAGTTTTATCAGTTTCTGACAAAGATGATAATGAGGACGAAGCATTCGGAAGAGAATTACTGAGATGTTGAAAAGTATCTTCCAATTTGGAACTATCAGGAGATTCTTCATCATCTACACAAGGAAGCGATAACGTTTCAGTCATTGGAGACTTTTCTTGATTTTGTTCGTTGGCGTGTATAATACTCATCAACAAATTCGTTGGCTAAAAATTGAAAAATATGATTAATAACAAGAAACGTCTTCCAATGTAAATAAATACTTCTTTATTGTATGTATCGGAAGACATGTCTCTTGGTAAATTTTCGTCTGGTAGAACGGGTGAGATCGGTTGAATGTGGACGGAAGAATGAGGAGGAGTGATTGGAACGCATGCTGCATCAGTTGTGATGTCAGTATCAGTGGATAAGGCGTTTTCATGATTACTAAAACGGGATTCATGAGGTGGATGATGAAAATGTTCTAAAATCTTTAAATAATCCTCTAAATAGGATGTGTCGACAGAATTAGGTTGACCAACAACGCTTGGTTGTTCTGCCAAACCAGATTCAGCAGGTGCCGTAGAGAGACTTTCTTGAATTTGGGCTTTGAGAATTGATAAGCATATCCTTTCAACATCCTGTACTTCTAAAAACTGAGCTGCACTTAATGTTTCAGAAACTGTGCTAGCATGAAATCTTAAAATGCCAGTATAAACAAACTCTAAAATATTTCTAAATCCAACTACTGACAATTTGTCCAGTACAAGGATTCCTTCATGATCGACATTGTTAAAAACCAGATATTGCATCTTTTTCCCCAAAGTCAAAAGTATACATCTATGAGCGGGAAAATCACACTGCTGGACACGAACTGTAATATCCGTGTAATATTTATATGATCTTTGCCAATTCAGAGTTTCTAATAATGTTTTGGAATAATCTGGAAACGAGTGGATACAATCAGTTGACTGGATCGATCCAGGCTCGATTTGAATAGAGGATGCTCCAGCTAAACGAGATGCGATAGTGATTTTAAACTTCCTAAAGTTGGAATTTAAAAGTGAGCTTACCTGAATAAGATCCCAAAAGCAAGTGATTATCCTCTGCTCCAGAAATATAACGTGAATTAGCAAGTCTATAGAATTCCGGTAACGAAACAACACCCCTGTCCAGTCGCTCTACGGCCATTCCTATAAATAATAATGAGTGTATTGAGACAACAGAGAAGATATTACGTAATTTTTTCGAGAGAAATATATAGTAATGTTTCTCTTTTTGAATCGTACGGTACACTTAATGTATGATATGATTCCGTCATTTTTAAACATATTTTCGAACAGTTATGATCGCAATAAAGGAAAATTTATTGATCTTTACCTTCGCTATCGGCCATTTTTAAATATACGATCACCTTTGACCTTAGCTCATTAGCATAATGCGGTTCAGTGTTCTGGACATTGCGTATTTTTCGGACTATGAATGCCTTTCGATAATCGGAATGGCTGACTCCGGAGAAAGCGTGAGAGATTTAAACGAAGCTACCAAAGTACTATCTCAAAAATTAGCTGGGAATGACAAAACTCATAGAGATAGAGCTATTGCGAAATTAAGACTTTTAATAGAAAAACGTCAAAAAAATGGTTTGGGTAAGCTTATTTCTAAGAATTTATATGAGCGATAATGGATATTTATTAATTTTCAAACCAACGATTTTAGAATTTTCCAAAACGGATATGTTGGCTTTCTGGGCAGGACTACACTATTCCATGTGGATGTGTGACAAACCTGTTGTACAGGTTTGATGATTTTTATTTGCGAGTTTTTCAAAATTTACACTGGTTTTTGTTTCAGGAAAAATTGGCTGATGTATTGGCTTCACTTTTAACTTGCTTTAAGGACAAAGACAGTCTGCTGTCATTTATAGAAATGTTTTTTGAAACAGAAAATAGAGAATGGTTTAATCTAGATCGCTGGAGAGTTGATAAATTTATGATGGTAATAGTATTTATTGAAATTAATACAATCTTAATGTCTTTTACTTATAGCTTTTTAGAAGAGTTTTCCGTGGTTCCTTGGAACTTTTAAGAGATAGAAATTGGGATAGAGATCTTGTTGAAGGGGTATAAGAATAAAAATTTCATATGATACTATTTCCACATAAATGTTTTTCAGTTTGCACAAACATACGAAAGGCAATTTTTAACTGCTGATAATTCTAATATATCTGATGAATTATTGCTTCATTTTATTGATATCTTCACTGATGAGCTCGAAGGCGTTCAAACAGAAGATTCTCTGGTTAGTTACTAAAAGAATTTTTTATTATTTATTTTCTTTATTTTTATTATTTATTTTAAAATAATTGTTGTAGATTCCTCGTGAACTTGTAAATATTTTCCTTCATCCCTTTTGTAAATATCTTCCAGTTGTTCGAAAGTAAGTTAATTAATTTTCACAGCATCACTCAACTTAATTTATTTACATAATTTTCAGCAAGTTATTGTTTAAAGAAGTTAAAGAGAAAATATTCGACAGAGTAACGAAACAAGTTTTAGAACTTTCTGAGATACTTGATCAACATAATGAGAGTAAACATGAAGAAGACTGTGAAGAATCTGATGACGAAATAGATAAAAATGGAGTAGATATGGAAGAAGACGAAGATGAAGACGATAATATAGGTGACGGTGATAATAATAATAATAATGAGAACGGAGAAGATCCTAAAGGAAAGAAAGACAATGTGCTTATGGTAGAACCGTTAGATTATGATCTACAATTTTTAGCATCTGCTTTAAAGGAGAATGTCTTTGCTAAGACCACTTATAGTGTAACATTTCACGCTGTTTTCAGGCTGTATAAAAGGTAACTAATTTTTGCTTTACTAAACAGAAATATTAAATTTAATATTGTAGATTTAAATCCATATCTGAAGGAGAGCTTCCTAATGATCTTGCTAGAGATCATAGTGAGACCAGCTTTAATTATGATATTAGATTGGAGGAAGAGATCGCTCTTCATCGTTTACAGGTATTAAAAAGCGAAATACAATTAATATATAGCCTCATAAAATAACTTTTTAGAAATTCGAAAAAAAAGTTCTGAAAAAGGATTCCAAAAAGAGGAAAAAGCAGAAAATTCAGAAACTTCAAAAAGTTCAGAAAGTTCCAAAGGTTCAGAAGGTTGCAAAAGTCGAAAAAGTTATGAAAGCTGAAAAACCTGAAAAGGTTTTTATAATTAATATTTGTAGTTTAATCATTAAATGAAGAGTGTAATCAATAGAGTGCCGTAAAGAAATCTAAAGCAAAGAAGAGAGTTGCATCTGAAACATTAGAAGTTCCCAACCCTACTAAAGTTGTGAAAAAAGCAAAAATTTCTTCAAAGAAAAAAAAATTAGAAAAAGAAAAACAAGAGGTAGTCTCGTATTGATGATAATCAAGAGGATATTATGAATAAAAAATAAAAGTAAAAATATTTCTTTTTTAAAGGAACCAACTACAACGACATCTCCTGTGAAAGCTAAAAAGTCAAATTTGAAAAAGACTTCAATGAACTTACTACAGAGCACTTTTTTGAATAATTGTGCTAAAAGAGCCAAGTTAACGCCAAAAAGAAAAAAGCCCGCCATAGAAGTAGGCACGAGTTTACCTTTATCATAACAAAATTTCTAAATATGTTTGTTTCGTTTTTGAAAGGAGGATTCACCATCGGCTAACGAAAATTCAAAACGAAAAGTACAATTTGCCTTAAAGGATAACAAAGCTCAAGGTATAGTATAAAAAGAAAACGTGATACTTTAATCATTTTAGGTTTAAAAATTTATACATATTTATAGACCATAAATCATACATGAAGTCTCTGAGAGCTAGAACAAAATCTACTGACGACTGTTTTAACCCATCTACTGTACCATCCCAAGGAATTTTAAAGAAAAAGAATGGAGACGTAAAAAGGAGACGTTCTGTCCCAGTGTAAATTCAATTAAACTTTAAAATTTTTTTGTTAAGTTTCACAAGGATGCGAGGATATTTTTTGTTTTCTTTATTAGTTGTAAATGCATTTTGGCCTCGCGAGTTATTGGATGGTTCGAGCCCAAAATTTGAGCGTAACCTGTAAATTTACAAGTTAGGTTAATTATTAAAATGTTAAAGACGCCTTTGAGAATTTAATTTTTACTTTTATACGCTTTTTCTACAATTGGTACTGCATTTTCGTACAACATCAATTTCATTGGAATAGGGGTCTCCTCGAACAATCTTATTCTAACCTTTCGAACAAATCTTTCGTGATCCGAATCCTATTCGTTATAAAGAGAAATACTTGTATAAAAGATTAAGGATCTAACAGTAACTACAAACATTGTAGAAGTATCTACGTAGTTTACTAGTAGTTCGACGTCCGATCTTCAATCGAAATATCTCCAACGGCTATTTTGTATAAGTTCTTCATTTTATTATGTATTTCATACTAACAACGGAAAAGAACACAAACTTTTTTATTAAGACTACGACCTCTCTAAAAATAAGAAGACAATGGAAGAGAAAAAAACCACTTAGTTAATTTATTTTAAAGAAAATATTACTTCGGGAAGGAATTTTTGCTTAATCCCATCCAACTCAGAATTTTTAACAGCTTTAAACGGTGTTTTGATATCTGAAGATTTACTACAGTATTTGCCATTTGTTGTTGAGAGAATTCTTGGCAAGGGTTTTCCATATTTGTCAGTATTGATAAGAACTTGTAGTAGGCCTATTAAATCCTGATTCGCTATTTGAATAATAACAATAAAATGGAAAGATTATTGCTTTTAACATGCTTACTTAATAGATTTGGCGTTTGGACGGAGTAAATTGGATGTTGACGAGAATTTCCCAACGTAACTAAAACCTGCTTAGCTATACGAAAAAAAATGAGTACACTTTAAAAAGAACTTACAGCAAGGTTAATTTCGAATTAGACGATGCATTACTTAGGGTATCGGCAGGAAGGTATTGTTCTAAGCAACCACAAAGTCTAATTATTTCGGGTTGAATAGGTTGAACAGAATAAGATAATTTATTTGATGATACTTTGTTGATAAATAAATGAGATTGTACGATATTCTGTTGATCTACCGATTTTTTGCATAGCTGCATAAAATTGCTATATTATTTACGTCACTGACATTAGCAGCTAAAAATACATCTATTTTTTTTACCTCAGCTGGCATTATTCCTTTTTCACCTCAAAAAGACAAAAAAAAAAAAATTAGTGCAAAAGCCGCCTAATAATACGATCTGACAAAAAAAGACAGATAAAGAGTAATATAGCTATACAATATAAAAAAAATTGTTAAATATGCCATCGACCTCAAAAAACTAAGCGAATTATCTTTGAAGAATAAATTAGGACAATTTATAATTAATTAATTAATTGAAAAAAATAGGATGAAAACAAAAAAAATAAAGAATACAAATATATAGAAAAACTTACTTAAGAATTAAAAGGAATTAACAATCGATTTACATTCGTTTAATATACTTTAGTACTATTTAAATATTTAAAAATAAATAGTTTATTGGTTGGTATGGGAAGAAAATAAAATACAAAAATAACAGAAACTAAAATCTAGTTTTAGGCCTATAGGGTTTATCTTTTGAAAAATTATAGATTCAATAAGAAATGGAAAATGTAATTATAAATAAATTATAGACTGACCTAAAAAAACCTATAAAGTAAAGGAAAAAAAAAAAAAGAATTATATTCTCTTTTCCTACTACTCTCGCGCTCCCCTTTCCCCATCATCTGTTTCCCTTTTTTGGATTATTAAATGAAATGGACTTTCATATAGAACAATAGAAAGGGAATTGTTAAAAAAAGAACAGCAACAATAATAATAATAGAAGATTCATTGTTTCAAAACTATTATCATAATTTCATGCACTATCTAGAAGTATGAAAAAGGTTAAATTTTCCATACTCTTCCATAAATTCACCCTATAATCTTATATATACATAAATATAACTATCTTACTTTGCTACTCTAGCTAAAGCAATTGTTAGTTTATTTAGTTTGTAATCCATTTTCTACGGTTCGTCGCATTCAAATTTACGTAAATAAAACAACCCAGAAGAATGTTATATATATATATATATATATATATCTTTTATTCTGTATGCACAACTATTGCTACTCTTCTTTTAGTATTTTAGTGTATTTGTGTTAGTACATTTCTTGTGATATTGGTGCTGCGTAGTTACGAATATACAGTAGATATATGTATCTGTATATACAATACATTCCCTGGTTTTTACATTACGTAATATAGATTTACCACATGCTAAACACATTTAAACTAAATGACTGAAACTAAAGCAGTACACAGTGTTGTTTTTTCTTTGCTATATACGATATGCAGTATATGTATAAATATATATATATATATATATATATATATGTATATATATAGTATATAAGTTGTGTTAGCATTATAGTTTTTCCATGCTCTTCAATTTATTCATTCTAACTTTTTCCGTTATTTCACCAGCTTTAAATGTCAGTCCAAAAATATCTTGATGAAATCTATTGGAATCCTTTTTTTTATAAAGAAAAAGAATTATTATTATTTGATTAATTAGGAAGTATTTAGGAAATATATTAGGGATAAAGGAGGAGAAAAATTGAAAAGCGTACTCCAATCTCGAGAAGAAAATTTGAAGCTTCATCATTACTCATACCGCCTACTTTTTTCAATATAATTTGTAAAGTAGTTGAAACGTTTGCAGCCATAGATACGTCACCGCACACGTAAAAATGGGCGTTATGTTTCGTAAGAAGTTCATAGAGTGATTTTCCATCCCTTTCAAGTAGATCTTGTACGTATGTCTGAAAGAGAGAATATGATAAGGAAATTAAAAGGAAACTGGTAAAAAAGAAAGAAAATAGATATAATAGAATCAAAAGTTTAAGTACCTTGGGTTGGTTAGGTTCCCTGCTAAAAGCTACCCTTAAACTATTAAGCACACCTAGGTCATGGCATCTTTCCAATTCTTCCCTGTAAATATAATCGTATTCTTTTCGTCTGCAGCCGAAATACAGGTGCATTTCGCCCATCTCCATTCGACCACTTTTCATATTATAAAGCCTTTCTCTCCAGAATGACCTAAATGGAGCTAAACCAGTTCCAGGGCCCACTACGATTATAGGTAATTTAGGGTTATCTGGTAAGCGAAAATTAGGTTCCGCTCTAACATAACAGGGTATGGAAGAACCTAATGGGAGAGTATTTAACCAATTGGAGCAGACACCTTTGCGAAGACCACCGTTAGGTAATTGGTAATCAACTACAGCAATAGTGCAATCAATTCTAGTCGGGGATGACAAGGGAGATGATGATATGCTGTAAAATCTAGGCTGAAGGAAAGGCAGTTGGGTAAGCAAAACTATTGGAGGAAGCTTAACAGAAGGACATTGTTTAAGAAGCAAAGGTAGAGTTTGACAAAACGTGTATTTCCATTCTTCATATTTTCTCTCATCCTCTGACAATTCTATTAAATAGTTCTGATCCTTCTCATCCTTGGACAATCCGGCTAACTGCTTAAGCATTAATTGAGAAGGCGGACTCGAAATATCCATGTACCTAATGGGGATCTTTTGTTAGTTTTTTTCAAGAAAGAGACAAAAGACATCGATTAGTAACAAGAAAAGGGAGTTCAAACCTCTGAAGTGCTATTCTTAGAGTGAAATTAATAGGGAAGCGCTCATCTGGTACCCATTTTTTAGATTCTTCCTCTTCAAATCTTTCCATTTGTATTACATCGTCGGCAGAAAAATCCCCGTCGCATTTAACAAATTCGAGGACCTGGGACACAGCTTCCGGACTATTTTCGGGATAGATGGCGATATGATCTCCAGGTTGATAAACTGCTTCTGCGGGATTTTCAGTTGAGTCCAATTCGATTAGTATAGTCTGTCTCCTAAAGAAAGAGTCGGAAGTTCTTATTTTTTTTTTTAAACATCCTACTAAACGAAACCTTACCCGGAATCCTTATGCTGTAATTGCGTTCTATTCATCAATTTACAACGCACTATCGTCTTTCTACTTATATAGCTAAGACCATCTTTTATCGAAATTGGTTCAGATATGTCTAATTTACGTAATCTGGATCTGGATTTTGACCAATTTTGAGTAAATGCATCAGATATGTTGGCTTCGTCGGCTGAATAGAACGTTCGGCAGGCGGTTCTAAATGCTCTTTTAGCCCAAATACCGAATTCTTTTTCTTGACCACCTAACTCATCTCCCAAAACCAGCTCGAGGACTTCTTCGGCTCCAAGTTCTCGGAAGAGGCGATGAATATATTTAGCATAGTTGCAGAACTTTGGGTAGGCGCTCGACCCTAGACCAAATACCGAAAAACTTATATTACTAAACGGTCTGACTCGTTCTTCGTTCTGATTTCGGGCTTCTTCGCTATCCATTCTAAGGAAGGAGGAACGCTTGGTAGATAGTGGTTCGGCGAAGAACTCTCTCTTTTTTTCGTATAGGAATTCTGCAAACTTCCGTCCGTTTTCCGGAGGATCTCCGTTACCGGATGTACTCGTTATAACGAATAGCAAAGTTTCGTGCTCCATATTACTTGTATCGTAATCATCCATGCAAATGAACTATTGAAACGAGAATTTTACCGTCAAAGACTAAGAACTAATCTAATTAACCTAAATCCTACCTTGACGTCAAATATAGTTTTAAATAAATCGCCTAAAAGACCAGCGAATCGTTCACTTCGCCCTGTTTCGCTAGCGAAAAGAATGGTGCATTTGATACGCTTCGATAAGGCGTTACCCATGAGCTTAGCGCTAAACTTAACTGCTTTCGCAATCTCCTTGAAAGTCTTCTTTTTCTTGTCATTATGACTTTGTTTGTTCCATTCAAAAGTTTTCCAAGCATCCAATTGATATTCGTAAGACGGTTTAAGGGAATAGTTGACAGTTTCTTGGTGAAAAATGGAAGTTAACGACGAAGAAAGAGGGGGAACAACCCATACCCAATCCGTAGGACACCCTCCTCTATATTTTTGCTCGTTTTCTAAATGTTTCATAAAGCTTTCGGAAGCCGTATGATGATCGACAATTGTTGCATTTACCTTCTGAAAGCTGTATAAAACAGCTTTGTTTACCTCAAGCATAGCTCTGTCTCTCCAAAGAGTTACTTGACTAGTCGTATCCAATTTCATATGGGAAGCTATTGTTTCGGTTAAATTATACCGGTTTGGATCACATAAATTCCTACATCCAATCTCTGTCGACATGTACCAACCATTAAATGGACAAGCAGGGAATTCTATTCCACCGCAATCGAAAAGCATATTAGAGACAGCGGGTAAAGCGTACCACTTTAAATCTAATTTTTCAAACCAATCATATTCCGGATGCTTAAAGTTAACCTCCAAGACCAATTCTGATGGTATGTTAAACCATTCTGGATCTTTACCATTAGCTGATACAACTAGGGGAAGAACATCAAAATGTCCACCGTTGCCTTTCCAGCCTAACTTCTGACACAGCTGTTATTTACGTGATAGTGATTAATTAGAGTTGGACAAGAATTATTTGCTATGATTTATTCATTATAATCATTAATAAAGTTCGTTGACGTCAACGTTTTCACAATGTGATTTCATGCACCTGATAGTTAATTACCTGTGTAAATTCTACACTGGAGGGGTCTCCAATTATTGAACCATCTTTCTGCTTATATCCAGCATATCTAATAAGAAGAGCATTCCAAACTCGAAAATCTCCCCTACCTTTTCTCCTCGGGGGAAAAATCGTAATTGCAGAACTAAAATTTGAATAGTCTTTACCTTATAAGCTAATTTAAACTACACTAATGATAATTTACCGAATTTGACCCTTATTTGTGGCATAATTAATATGATTGCACAGGGCTTCAAACATTTCAGACGCTGTTCTTATGTGCCTTGCATCGAATATCTGCAATTTTGACCATTGAATTCGTCCAATACACCTTGATGAATTCCTCCAGGCGGTTTTAGCTCCAAACACTAACTCTGGAGTTGTCAGTTCATAGACGCCCTCTTGTCTTTCAATTTCAAGTAGGACTTGAGCCTTTCGACGTTCGAAAGTTTCAGAGTGCCTTCTATATTTTTAATAGCAAAGAAAAACACTTCAGCATTTATGATAGCGACATCTTGAAAAAGTTAAAAGTGAACTAAGAGAAGATAAGAGTAACAATCTACCTCTTAATAGAAGAATAATATTCAGTAAGAAATAGTTCGGCTTCATACTTAATTTGTTCATTAGTCTTAAATTGATCGTTATTCGTTTTCTTTGCTCCTTGTAAAACCGATCCTAGACAATGTTTTTCAGTGCAAACAACAGCTCTGGCCTTAAGTAGGGAGAGGGAAAAACATAAAGAAGTTTATTTCAACTATTTGCTTTATTCCTATTTGTAAAATAAAGTAGAAAGAAAAGAGAAAGAGAAAAAAAAAGCTTGAAGAAAAAGAAAGGGAAAATGAAGTAAGAAAGAAGATAAAGAAAAAAAAGTCATTTATATAACCTCTGAGGCTGTCTTATGCAACACATCTACGGATTCCTTATCGTTCAATAAATTCCTTAATCTTATAAAATTCGCTTCCGACATTGTAGAGTATGGAGCAGGGACTTGGGTTTAAGAATGAGTGATAAACGAAACTGTTCGCAATAGCTTTTTATCAACTTTTATAATAATATGTTAAATAATGAAATTGAAAATCGTCCCTCAAACACCGCCCATTATTTATAACATAAAAAAACTAATAAAATAACGTTTTCTTCTTTCCTTTCTTTGCCAATCTTCTCCACATCTTACTTTAATTACATACTACTTCTTTCTATTTTTAATTCTTATTTACTATGGAATACCAGGCATTTCTCATCTCCTGCACCTTCTGCCCCCTTTTCTTATTTCCTATAGAAAGTGTTTATTGAATAATCTGAGAAACGAAAAACCGAAATAAATCAATCATTTTCTAGTCCTATATTGTATGAACAGTTGTTCAGATGTTGTTGATTCTCTTTTTCGATAGAAAATCTTTATTAACGAACATTGTTTTATTATTTTAAAAATCCTATTAAATTTATAAAATAAATGAATCTGATACTTTATCTTCTTTCTCTCTTTCGCAAGAAAAACTCTCCACTATTAATATCTTTCGTGTCAATGCTTTAGAATGAGCTGGACGAGTAAAAAGATCATTCTCCTTAATCTTTCCCCCTTCCCCCCCTTACCCTCTTCTTTTTTTCTGTTTATTTTTGTTTCTGTTGCTTTTAGGGTTGAAAAGCGAAATAATAAATGGCAGAATAATCGAATTCCGCTGGTCAATCTAATCAAGGGAGAGCAGATAAGAGAAGACGAGTTAGATATAAGGTATCGCATTTTTAGCGTTCCTTTTAAAACTCCTTTCAGTATGTTTACAAACTCTTTGCATCTATTCAGTGTATTTTTTTCCTTTTCATCGTTTTTTTTTGCAGTTGGGATAAAAATAGTACATAAAGTTAGTGCAACAATAATTACTTTATATGCAAATGATGTGCCACCAAAAATTTCGTTCTTTCTTTTATCTTTTCGAATGGAAAACTCCATTGTCCTGATTCTAGATTTTTAAATAGACATATACAGTATATATACATTGAGTATATGTTGTATGCTGATAATAAGGTAACTTTGTTACACATATGTCAGAATATATATATATATATATATATCCATGTATGTGCTGATTAATTATACATGTATACATTCTGCAGGACACGGCTTAAATTACAATGCAAACATGTGTAAACTTTGCAGTAAACAAAGGCAACACTAGAGACACATTGAGACACAGTTTGCAATTTATATTTCACAAAATTTACAAAAGGTCCTGCAATATAACACTTTTATATATATCGTATGTATAGGCCTAAAGAGTTTTTAATGGTTAAAAGGATATACTGTATGTATTTTTACTGTAGACTGATTCTGATGTGAGAGGGATTTTTTCCTATCGTATGACTTCACAATGAGGTAAAGCATTCTGCAGGTAAGCTATCACCTCTGTCGTTGCAGTAGCGCAATTCGTCAATTCCAATTCTTGCAGTTGTCTGATCTGAGCTATACCAGTTAGGCTCCTTGCGCTTATAAGACTACAACCTGAAACACGAAGAGAAAGAGATGGGATAATTAGGATTTTATTCCCTCTATTTTATGAAGAGGATAGAAGAGTGATTAAGGTTCTTTTTTCCTTATTATTCTCTCGTACTTATTACATGTATATTTTTAACGGCTTAGCGAATTATACAGTATACGTATTTACATATGTAGGGTGTAGGGTATATATAATATATTTAATTTATTATAAAAAGTACATATGATATTCATATTGATATATATTATATATATATATATATATATAAATTTATATATACTAATATACTATATACTTATAAATTTTTCATCTTCAATCAGCTAGGCGTTGCTGATCTAAAATTAGGCGACGCTTTTTCTAGCAGACCTATCGATTTTCACCGACGATCGATCGACTATCAATAAGACGACGCCAAAGTGCGCTTCTCCATGCTTTTAGAAGTGTAAAGAAACGTACGCGCATGACAAAGGCTAAACGAAGATTGTTGATATGCTAAGTTCGTCTTCGTTATTGATATATCAGTGAGGGAAGCGAACTAAAATGATAACTTCTAGCCACAAGGTAAAAAAAAAGAAAAAAAGAGGGAAATGTAATATCTTACCTGCAATTGAAAGGATTTTGAGCGATTTCATTGATAAAAAGTGTTGGACACCGGCATCACGTATTTGTATACACCATCTTAAATATAACCTACTCAGCATCCTTATTGAAGTCAAGTAACCTACTCCGATATCCGTAACATGGGTACACCTGTGTTGGTTAGATTATTAAGACATCTCTTAAAAAGATTACACCACAAGGGACGTTTAACAACAATAATAGACGCCTAACCTGTCTAAAGTCAATTCATCCAAGTTCAAATCGCAGGCTATTGCCTCGAGGGATGAATCAGTTATCCTCGAGCACCAACTAAGATCGAGGATTCTCAAGTTCTTAAGGGTTTCGGCCACTATTTCTATACCATCATCGGTTATTTTGCTACAGCCAGAGAGGCTAAGGACGGTTAAATTAGGTAAAGATTGAACAATATTTACAACCGCGTGGTTTGTCAGTTCCCAACAAGATGTTAGTCTTAAAACTGATAGGGTATTACTTTGTTTCGACGTAAAATAGGCTAACGCTGCGTCAGTAACATGATAGGCCTGCAAGTTGAATTCGTGTAAGGAAGGCAACAATTGAGATACTGCGCCCACGGCGTCGTCGGCAAAATTGATGCAATCGGCTACCGTCAAGGATATAACACTTGAAGTTAATGAACTCCAAAAGCCGGCCTCCGTCAATTCGTTGCAACCCACTAATTCTAATCGGTAGATGGATGGTAATTTGGCGAGTAGCATCTCTAAACCACTATCTGTAATGTTACATTGCTTGAGGGAGACGCTTCTCAATTGGGAGGGAACATTAATGATTAGATGTTCCATATCAGCGTCGGTAGCGTGCATTAGGCATATAGAATCTATCGCTCTTTGAGACAGACTTCTATATAACTTTTCCCTTTCGTCGAGAGGTGATTCTTTACACCTTATAACAACGAGAATACCGTTCCACCAGCCTCTCTCGTATAGAATATTCTTCCATGCTATACATACTTGTCCGAGTAAACACCTCTCTATCGGCGTAAAATATCGAAAAAACTTTGTCAGGAAGGTTCCGTCCTGCAGTAGGTCCTTAGCTGTTCTAGGATAGTTGGAGGCCAATGCCAGCATGGCCTTGTCATAGTATCGACTAGCGGAGGGGGGCCGTTGACGTTGCGGGGGGGCTGTTGGTTGCTGCTGGTCAAATCCACCCCTGACACGCGACGTCGCTGATTTAAAGACCCTCGATATAGAATTGGTAGCTGAGCGAACACTGAGCATACTCTCCCTGCTGCTGGTACCAGATTCTGATGACTGGCTACGGCTGAGTCGGAAGCCCTTAATACTGTTCGAAATTTCCAAGCAGGCCTTACTTAAGGACGACATCAGGAATCCGGTAAAAGGCGAACTATCCGATATTATAGAGGGCACAAATATACGGTGATTTAAAAAAACACACAGTAAAAGAGGAGCAGGATGAAGAGGAGGCTGTACGGATAACTGCGTCGGCGCGCGCTATATAGTCGCTCTATACGGCTATATTGATTGCTGTTTCTGCGCAGAGCTAGGCGCCTGTAAGCCCTTATTTTCTACTAACCATCAGCAGATGGCGTTGGCGTTCGAGGGGCGGTATTAGCTTGGGAGATGAAGGGGAGAGAAACTAAGAGGTGGTCATAAAACGTCATTAAGCTTCTTCCTCGTTAGGAGCTAGACCACACCCCTTCCCCATAGGGTTGCCTCCCTTCCATCGAATGTATTGTAGTTGGTTATATCCATCGACACCCGCTTCGATTTAGGCCAATGACCGGAACCCTTTCGTTTCCGGTCATGCGTATTAGACGCTTTCCCTTTATAGTTTATAATAACCTATCTTTACGTGATAGAAAAGAGGGGGAGGGGGGAGGGAGAAGAAACTGGGCTGACAAAAAGAAGAGTAAGAAATAGAAGGCACCTTGCCTATTTCCAAATTGAAAAAACTCGTACTTTTAAAACATAATCAGTAACTATGTCTAAATAACACTACGTATAGACGTCTTATTAATTCTTTATGCTCTAGTTTTTTTCAATGTATATAAAAAAAAACTTAAGGGAATATGTAACATATTTTAGAGAATGTATTTTTTATGACTATAAATACACTGTATATATATATAAATATTGCTTTTTTATACATATACAGCATATATATACAGTATATATATATATATATATATATACAGTATAATCAATCCTTCAACAAATTTTTTGTTTTTCAAGTTTACATTTAAACGTTTTCCTTCTTTTTGTTAAAATTAAATGAATCCCTTTTTTTTTTATTTTGTATTATGACCATTAGTGAACAAGCAGAAAATGAGGAAGATATTGAGTGTAGAGGAAGAAGATGATCGTAATGAGGAAAGAGTAGAATGAAGATAAAACGCGTGTCGTGTTGAGAAAAAAAAAAGAACGAAAACTGAAAGAGTCGTTTCTCTCTCTCTTTCTCCGTATCTAGTTTAACCGCCCTCTTTCGTCATTGTTGTTGAAAAACGCCGCAGAGAAAACGTCAGAAGGTTCGTAATTATCGAGTAAAAATCTAGGTCTACTTTGACGAAATGTCAAATTTCATTGCTATTCGACAGGGTCAATTCTGTTAATTTAGTACAATTCAATTTACTTTTTACCTTCTATTCTCCTTAAAAAGAAATCATTTTTCTCTTCACCTTAACAATCTCATTCATTTACATTACCGATTTGATTACTGATTAATCAAAATACTGTCTCCATCTATCGGATTATTGTTTTAGATAAAAAAAAGTGTCATATTGTAAAATAAATACAGAAAAACGTTATCTACACCTGCCTACGGCGTTATCTAGACCTGTCGAACAGTATTTTTTTCAGGTACAAGACTAGTTATATAGGTAAGAAGAAATTGACAGCGCACAAATATAGAGTAAACTAAGAGAAATTATTGAAAAATGGTTGAAACATCAGGAAGGTAAGTTGTATTGAATTCATTTTTTTTACCAACCTACCCTAAGGCATTTATCGGTCGATAAATTACTCCCTTTTTTATCCCCACAGTATTCGTCATCTTATTTGGGCTGTTCCACCAGTTATACTAGTTATTGCTGTCATGACCCTTTTTATGATTGTTATTAGGTTCTTAATGAATTTAATGACGCATTCGGAACCTGGTTACATATTAAAGCGGAAGGCTACGAGTGAAATCTCATCACAGAATTCTCTCGATCGGAATATATGTGCAGCAACATCAAGAAGAAATATTCCATATTATAACATTGATTTATACGAACGTCTAAGGGATATTTAATATTCGTCCGGATGACGTCAAAAAAAAAAACACTTAAGATGAAATTTTTTAATATTTTGTGTATTATATTTTTTATGAGCTAAGTTTTAATCTTTATAAGTTGTCTATCTCTTATTCCTCTTCTTCTTCATCATCATCATCTTTATCCTTCGTCTACTTCTGTATCTATAAATCGTATTATATTCATAATAAACTACTTACTTTATTTCAAGTATGCAGATGTATTTTGTATATATATATATATACTGTATATTAGTAAACATATTTAGGACATATCTTAATTCTCCTTGAAAATGCAACACAAGGAGGAATAATAGATTAAGAAAGCACTTGGAGAACTTTGACAATAATTTTTAAGGTTTGAACTGTGGACTATAAACTAAATAGAAGAATCTAAGTAACATGTGTGTTTCAAAGTTCGCATTCTACTGGGACAATTCAATTAGCATCGTTCACATATGCTTCTCATATAATCTTCAATGCACTTGTTACTGCAGAAGAGACGGACAAAGGCAATAAAAAAATCCCTGATCATCTTTCCCATGGATAGGCTTTTTTTTTCTTTCTCAATTCTTCTTTTTTTATTTTTTATAGTTGTTCTAAAGGTCAATTTCCTTATTTGTTTTCTTGGTATTTTTTCCATTTAGCTACTTGGTTTAAGTGATAAGAATGTTACTAATGCTTTTTTTTTCTACTTCTATCTGTCTGTGTCCTTATATCTATTTATCGATGTTCCTTACACATACACTAACATATACTGTATATATTTTCAGTATATGTACACTCTGCTTCTCCGTCCATCCATCCATCTTCTTTCCTATCTCTTGCTCACTTATTCCCTCTCTCTCTCTTACTCTTACTCTCTATTGCTCTTCTTCTAAACTTTTTTATTACCATGTTTTTTCTATCTTGTTCTAGATCTTCTCCCTTCCTCTTCAGTCAGTCACTCAGTCACTTAGTCTCTCTCTCCCTCTCTCTCTGTGTTTGCTACCTTTATGTAATACTACAATGATAAATTTTACTTCTTCAGGAGCTGAAATAGTCTGGAACTAGGGGAAAACATATGTGCATACTAATTATTCTCTCGCATTCGTTATCCAATCTTTGGCACATGCAGAGAGAATAAAGTAGATTGAAAACTTAATTCTATCTAACTATTAACGGTGTTTTTTAGGTCCAAAACACTTCAGACTTGTACTATATTATCATGCTTAAACATAATAATATGTACTAATCTACAAGAAGATGAGAAACTAGAGAAAGAATATAATATATTTAACTGCTTAATTACATGAATTAATAAGTATAGATTAAGCAACTTTAAGTATAATTTATATTGGCATTATTGCTTTTTGTGTATTGCCTTATGAGATGAGACAACAACAACTATAACAGTGCTAACATAGTAAACACTAAATCTTTTGTTTTTTGTTTCCATAGACACTCAGTCTTCCAAAGTGACAAGTTACATATTATCTCTATTTCTTTTTCTTTTAAATATATATATATATATATATATATACATGAATATACATATATATACTAATTTATATGTGTATATATGTATATATGTAAATTGTTCAACAATAAATTTAGCACGCAACAAAATATGCAGGCTGAACGAATAAATCTATAACATGCTACGTATTTTCTAATTAACTAGGCAATAGATGCTCCTTTTTTTTAATATTCATATCGTATTCATTCTCTCTTACTGACACTGTTATTAATCAAATGCTTTACAATGATTTTTCTACATTTTCTCATCACCTTATGCTGTTTAAAGCATTTGATGTAATACATTTCACTTATTTTATCATAGTTTGTCAAATTTTAATATTTTTTTTATAATTATTTATATTTATTAAACATATCAACGCACATTCTCTCCTTACGCGTCTTATCTTTCCTTAATTAATTTAATTATTTAATTATTCATACACGCTTCATACTTGTTAATTATCATTGTTCCTTTTTAAGTATTCTATCATTTTTAATCATTTGCAACGGTTACAGCTTAAAATTGGTAGAACGAGAGAAAATTTGCATATTAAGATGATAAGCAAATTTTTTACAATCACAGTGAATACATTTGTTCAAAACAACAGTAATATTATTCATAAATAACTGAATAATCTTCCTAATTATGCCTAACAAGTTAGTGGCATTCAAGGAATAATTATATACAGCCTATATATACTGTATATATATATCATTCATGCAGATAATCAGTTTATATATATATATATATATATATATATATAAGTTCATCGAAATAATACAGTATATATATATATATATAATATATGTATTACATCGATGCTGTACACTATTTAAATATTGTTGATATATATACATATATGATTATACTTGTAAATAAAATGAATTATTATGATTATATATGTATATACATATAAATTTATACTAGTTATCTGGATATATATAGGCAGTGATGATTTGGAACACGGTTTTACCAACTAAAACTGATTAAAGGTGAAATTTAATTATCCTAAAATCTATTAAATATATGCATATAGAGTTACTTATATATACATATATATATATATATATATATATATATATATATATATATATATTTCGCTATCAGCTATGTAACATATATTGTTTGCATATACGTTACAAATGGTTAAAATTTCCTTTATACTTACTAACAGTAATATTAATTATTGTGTTTACAATTATAATTAATTATTAGTATTATTGATATTATTTGCCATTATTATTAATGTTTTTTTTTTTATAACTTTTTAGTTTTAATCGGCAGCTTTAAACGGCGGTGGGGGTGTTGGGGGTTTGTCACTCACAGTTTCATTTTGATCATTATTGACAAGCATGCGAGCTGTAGGATTGAGTAGGTCATCCTTGGAAAATTTCAAAGCTGGATTGATCTCACCGTTTGGTCCTTTGACTCCAAGTAAGGACATTTCGCCTGTTGAACCTGCCTCCTTTAATGCTATATGTTCATCTGGTATATTAACAACGCATCGAAAGACATCGTAGTGCTTTGGCAAGATGCCTTTCTCAAACAAAAATTTTGTTGGATAGGAGACGCCGATTATAAACAGGAACGACAGCAGCATCGATAAAGTTTTAAAAGGGAATCTTTGCACATTATCGTCCTCGTTATAACCGGGGAATTTTATAGCTGGTTTTAAACCGATAATTTTTTCACCGCCCATTAAACGGAAGAATAGACCAAATATATATCCTGCCAATGAACCGTACGTGTTTGTACCTTCCAAATACACCACGGAGACTAGTTGCGGAAATAGAACAACATAGACCAAATCAGCGCATAAATACCATAATCCATAGATAGTTTGAATAGTAATTCCCATGACGGTTGCCAGGGCACCAACACCAAAAATGGAAACTCTCATTACCCATATTATTTCTCTTTCGGATGCTTTTTGCCTAAAAATCAACTTATAAACATTCCTTGCGAACATTGACGAAGCCGACAATATAGATGAATCAGCAGACGACATGACGGCTGCACTAATCGCTCCCAGACCGATGAAAGATACCCAACTAGGGCAAAGATATTGGAGGACTAGAGGTAAAATCAATTTTTGATCATTTTGCGGTATTTGCCTCTCTCCGGGCACTAGAGTACCTTCGTAAGTTGTCTTATTCCAATCTGTGGAATAGGCTACTGCTCCTATAAGAACAGCTGGAATAGCCATAATCAAGCATCCAAAAGCAGCAACGTAAGAGAGAATTTGAGCCCGTAAGGCGCTCTTTGAGGACAAAACTCTCTGGAAATATACCTGCCATGGTATACCTCCAAATATCAATAATAAGCCCTGATCAATCCACATGCCAACATCTTCAGTTTCAACCTTTCCAACCCAGGCGCTTGTTGTATTGGCTATTGGTTGAGTGAGTTCATTTGACATTGCGAATGGAACAGACAACCATAGACCTACAAAGATGCAGAATAGCTGAACTACATCGGTGTACGCCACCGAATATAATCCACCAAACAGCGTATACGCAACAGCAATACAGGCTGAGACGATAACTGATGTCTCATTGTTAATTTGAATTATTACTGACAATGTTGCTCCGAGAGCGGATAAGATGGCTGCAGACCAAAAGACCTCACCAAGTAAGGCTGGAATATACAAAAGACCACCCATTCTTTCACCATACTTTCTTTGAAATGGATCCAACATGGTTACGTATCCCTCAGTTCTCATCTTGCTAGCAAAGAACAGTCCGCCTGCATTGATATAATTATTTTTTTATGTAAATTGTTATTAAATGCTTAATAAATAAAATTCCTAACCGAAAACGAGACTTATAGCATAACCAAACGGGGCCTGACACCACACCAAGCCAGAATTGTAAATTATTTCGGAGGTTCCGTTGATATAACCTCCTCCAACCCAGGTGGCTAAAAGATGGCGTTAGCATTTAGAGAGACGTTATAGTTATAAAATAGATAAAAGATAAATGATAGAGTGAGTTTTTTTAAAAAAATGCTCTATGTAGTAAGTTATAACACGCCTGAAGGCAGCAAGTGGAAAATAAACCATCTAATAACTTCCACTTACCAGTCATTGTGAACACTCCAACAAGCATTCCAATATTTCTCCCTGCCAACATAACGTCCTCACTCTCTGTCGTACCATCGTCAGATGTTCCTGCTCCCTTAGATTTTCTAGCAGCCCATAATCCAACAAGAAGAATAAGAAGATAGAAGACAACTATAGCTATAATACCGGCCACGTTAACAGACATTTTCGTCTAAAATGTTGTACCTGTAAAAATAAAATCACAAATTGATATTTACAAAGGTTGTACACGTAGTTTTTATTTAAAATATATAAGCTATAAAAAAAATCAGATAAATCCAACTTTTAATACATTAATAAGTAGCTAATAGAACAAGGCGTCACAATTCACAATAATGATACCTAACAACAAATAGTTAAAAAGATAAAAGAAAAAAATTTCTCTCCTTTCCCAAAACAATGACAAAAAGAGAGAAAAAGCTATTTTTAACATTTGTAATAATAGACGAAACTATTTTTTTTTCTCTTTTTTTTTACAAAAATATACATTTCTAAGCGTCTTCTTTGTTTTTAGACGGCGTTTCTATAGTATTAATTCGCATTTTCATTGTTCTATAATATATAAAAAGGAACAATTTATACTAAAACGCTGCGATGGACGAAGTGTTCGTTTATCTATATATTAATATATACAGTATATACACCTTCATCTTTAATCTAGGACTTTTTTTTTTTTTTTTTTGGAGCATAGAGAGAAGAGAGAGAAGAGAAAATTGGAAATATTCAATTCAAGGTTTTGTAGTGCCAAACAAAAAAAAATGGCTAGTAATATAATTTATGATAAATAGATTTCTAAACCGAGAATTTTTAGTATTCATATAACAAAATATCCTCATACACTAGAGGTTTGTCCATAAAGTTGATCCAAATAGGATGTACAGCTATGCCTTCTACGTGCTTCAAACATAGTTTAATTAAGAATATCAGCTCACACAAGTTTAAAAATCTCTACCGATATACCACGCAATAATATAAAATTAACGTTTTCATAGATTTTAATATAACCCAATAGAAATTATCTCTTTTCTGGCTGACCATCTGCTTTTGCTTAATTCAAAGACCCATGGGACTAACCTTACGATAACACTGCTTAAAGAACAATTGGTTAATCTCTCTATTTTAAACACTTTTATAGATTCTATTATTTTATTATTTCTGTCCTCTTTCTATTCCTCACGAAGTAATTCATCTGCTAGTTGTGAAAGTCTTTAAAAAATATTCCCAATTTCAACAGCCTTGTACTTTTCCAGTCTTAAAATCTTGCGAAGAAAAGACTATCCTTATAGTTTCAAATTGGTAAATACCGCTAAGAAGTGTTTACTACAAAAGTATTGTATTTTTACTCTCTAAACACCCCGGAGACATCGTCTAATGACGAGAAACACTGTCCCATTAATCCCCCTTTCTCTTTGCGCACGCAAAAAGTCAAGAAGATTTTAGTAAACGTGGTTTTATAAATAAATGCCTGTAGAATAAACTTTTAGATTGAATTTTAATAAAATCTCTCTTTTGTAACTTTTTGACCGAAACTAATCAAAGTTTAATTGATGCTAAGCACGACATTTTTTATCCCAAAATAAAGTACAATTGAAAATTCGTGATAAAACTACAAAAAACCCGTTAATTATCATTTATAACAGCAGGTATAAAAAAAGTACTACATATATAAAGAAAAATCATAAATTGCCTTTTGTATTTGATCAATACAGCCTATATTTATCATCTTCTCGATATATATATATATATATTGTATATAAGTACCAATGTATGTTGTAGGGAATGATGAATTCCTAAAAGGATAAATATGAGAAAGAGAAGAAGAGTAGAGGAATAAAATAATAAAAAGTATATATTTCAAATGATAAACCGATAGATATATTATAAAAAACGATATCTAAGGTTTTTTATTTTGAAAATCAATATGAAATTATTTGATAACTCAAGTGCAAAATCTATTAAAGAGATAATAAAACTTTGAGATAAATTTGTCAAAAAACAAACATTGTTTACCTTCATAAGACTTAATGAAGATAAAATAGTATGGAAGATTAGGATAGGTGAACTAATATATATATATATATATATATGTATATATATGCAGATTGATGAAGAGAGAGAAAGAGAGAACTAATGAACTTTACACTTCTCCTCAATCGATTGGATTCATTAACCTATTCGCAATTCTATGAGAATCAACTAATATTCTTCACTGAGTAACAAAAGATAAAATGATAGTTCATAGAATGAAAAAAAAAGAAAACTAGGAAGACAAGGTGGAAAGGGAATGGTATTATTGATTATTCTTCTACTCGACGAAATACTTTCCTCAAGAAAATTTCATCCGAAAAAAGACTCAGAGCTTTTAGGACTACGGTAGATTATGTAGAAAGGGGATATAGGTATGGTACACGGTAGAACAGTCGGTGTACTAGGATTAAATATTGCGTGATTGAGGCGGCTATATTTTTACATAGGTGCGTGTCGTTTGAAAATTATAGGCGTATATTCTATTTTTTTCTTTTCGTAAATAGTCGAATGATTCCCTTATGCGTAGAAATAATTGGATCGTTAGCCTTGCTTCAAGAGCTCAATTAAATAGACATTGAGAAACTGGATTCAGTCGATTTATATACCTGAAACTAGATTGATTTTTCACTTTTCTGCTACGGGCATAGCTCTTATAATAGGATAATTGATTAGTATATATGTGACCATTTCCTTCTTATATTAAAGACAAATCGATTAAGAAAATGTATTTGCTCCGAAATGAGGAGAATCCAGGGGAAAATTAATACTCCCTTCCTTATAACTATCGCTACTTGTCTTGTACGTGCTCCAATTCACCCCTAATCCTCATTGTCTTTCCTCCCTCACATACCATTTACTTTTCTCTCTCTCTCGCCCTCTTTCTTGCCTCCCTTACCCACTAACTCAGCTCACTCACTCACTCACTCATGTCACTTTCTCCGTTTGCTGGTTAAAATGCTAGTGTGAATGTGTCTATCTGTCTGTCTACATGTCGCTTTCCATTTTTGCTCTTTCACTTCTCTCACCTTAACAAGATTTCTTGTTAGTAATAGTAAAAAACAAAAAAACAAAGAGAAAGGAACGAAACATACTTAAGCCTATTTTACTAATAGTATTAAAATTAGATGGGGATTTCTTCCATCTTAAATATAACATTTATTTAGTGAAGGCGTTTTCTATATTACCATCTATGAGTTCCTATAGATTACTAATAAATACAAAATACGATATGGAAAAAATTGATCTCCCTAGATTAGACAAATCGCATTACCCTAGACGTTTTTCAAGTACCAATAGAATGGCCTCTTCCGTACTTGATGTGTCCCAGTCGATTGCCTTCGATTTCGGATGGTTACAAATTCTTATTCTGAACTTGTATACAACTTCTTTTTTTTTTTAAAATAAAAGTAGAATAGTAATAAAAAAAAACCAACTCGCTAATGATACCATATCATCGAGAGTCTATTCGATTTATTAATGGAAAATGAGTCGACTACATCACTTCGTGGGAGAGGCGTTGAGAGAAATGATGGAACAGTGGGAAACGAAAAAAAAATATAATAATAATAATAAAACCAGGGAACAAAGATAATAAGCGTAAAAAGAGGAAGATACAAAAGCAAAAGAATTATTCACCCATTTGTGTTTTTCTTTTATTTCGTTATTTGTTAACAGAAATTACTACATAAAATACCATAGTGATAAAGTCAATTTTCAGCAATAATTTGCGAGAAATACGATATCCTGCCTTCTAAGGCGTTTCACTTATTTGACAGATTGAGTGTGTGAAATTTTAAACATAAGTTCTCTTGTTTTTGCTTTTATAAGACAGTATTTGTTTACTCAATACAATAGTTCATTAAGAGTTTTACTAATTAATCAGACTTATACATATTCATAATAACTAATCAACTAGAAGTATGATCTCGAAATATAAAAAAACTACCTCATTGAATAATTGATTTCGTTAAGGAGAAGAGGAAGAGTTTAATACAGTTCTACTTTGATGGTTACCCATTATTTTCTTATTATAGACTATGTATGAGCCTGAGTATTGACTTTTAATGAGAGAAATCTATAACTCTGATCTATTGAATACGTAACTGGCCAGCTATAATAGTTTTTTTTTCAGTGTATTGTCATTCATAACTGTATTATGCAAATTAATTAGTTGTTATTAGTGTTTTTTATAAGACATGGAAGAATTGCTAAAATAAGTGAAAATCGCCGTTTATTGGCCAATTATTTATTTATATCTCGTAATCTAATTAGCGAAAAGTTAATATGCTCTTCCATAAATAGTAAGCGACCGACGGGTGATTTGCAAAGCCCCTCTCTCTCAGGAGTCTTAGCCGTTTGACGTCATGAATACTTTGCATACTTTATTTGTCTCAATCTTCTTAATAAATTAGGACGGAAAGACTGTTCTTATATAATTTATTTGAGTTTTAATGTTTATAAATAAAGAACGGCAGCTGTCCTCCATCAAATTCTTTATCCATTTAAAGAACCGTAATTAATGAGTATTATTGGAAACTAATAGGCTCAAGCCCATTCGAAGGAATTGATCGTACGTTCAAATGTACTACGCGCCACTAAATATAAGTTTAATCTTATAAACATTCATCATTAAGTCGGTGATCAATGTGTACAGGGTTAAGTCGGTGCGAACCAGGCGTCACTCTATCGACGCCTCTTCAGACTTACGAAATGTCGATTATGGTTGCGACTCACAAATTTCATTTTTCTTTTGCCTATCCGTCCAAATAAAAATTGACAGGAAGTAGAAAATGATGGAGAGTAACACTTTTGACTTAATAAACTATTTACAACAATCGAATACGGTATTTATGACCTCTACAAAGAACGTCGCAATTGTCAAAGTTCGAGTAGGAACGTAGAAAACGCTTTCGAGTGTATGTGACGTCATATTTATTAAAAAAAATCAGTAATCAATCGTACGTACTTGAAATTCAACTAGCAATTGCATAGAACTTAGACGAATAGCCTCTAAATTTCTCCTCGTAATCAGGTTGTTAATTATTACCCGAGGTTACGAAATATCGACCAAAAGATGACTTTAGCTTCTGTAAAAGCTACGTGGAACAATCATTTTCAAAAATTTTAGACTGGAAGCAAGAAAAAAAATCGACGTTGCCAATAAAAAATTGCAAAAATCTATTTGCGACAGCCCAGAGGCTTCAGTACAGGAAAAATGTCGTTGATAGATGAGTATGTCCTATAACAAACATTCTCTTCTGCAAACAGACACTCAGTCTTGTTTGTAACGTCTTATATGCTGCTTAATTACTTTACCTATGTCTCTTTACATTGGATAAATAATAATTAAACAACTTTTAGTAACCTAAAGATATTTTAGGAATGTTTTCCTTAAAACAAATTAGAGTCCTGTTAAAATTTTATGATGTCCAGATTTGACGAAATTTGAGCAAGGTAGGCTTAATAATCTAGTCGCTTTCTTTTCCGATTCAACTTTTCATTTTCTCCTTGTTCTATACTCCTACTTTAAGAAGAAAAGAGAAGAAAACTCCCCCCTTTACTGTTTTAACTACTTCGAGACTTATTTTAATGAGTGTTTAATAAAAGGAATAGCGTTTAATGATCTACAAAATACGACACTGCATTATAGATGCTGTTGTCACGGTCTTAATCAAAGCCCATTTTTCCCCTCGATGCTTTATTCATCCTAGCTTTTTCTTTATCGTTGGGAAAACTCAACTCCACGCCAACAGCCTAATTATGCTAATAAAACGTCTACGTCGTTTTTCAGATTGGAAAAGAGGGGAAAAGATGCGAAAACACGCGCAAAATGACAATAATCTTGAAAAATTTCACAAAAAAATTATTGAACTATTGTAAAGAAACTTATCACTACTCACTAATTTAATTCAATTATAATTTCTTTATCCTCCATAAATGACGAAGGAGTTTCCTTTATAGTCCTGCAATCAGCAATGGATGTAAGGATGGATAAATTATAAAAGCGCCACCTACTCCTCAGTAAAATATTCTGGCTTTGAATTACATTTTGAGTTGCGCCAAAATAAAATTAAAGATGTTTTAATTATTCCTATTTATATAAGTTATATTAGGAGAGAATGGAGAAAAAGTCAAGGGACTTTCTCTTTTTCCGTTCAACAAGTTTGACAGGGCGTGAGACGACGGTCGCGAGTCAAAGAGGGTGAAAGGGAGGCGGATTAAGTAAAAGATGCCGGAGACAGTTAAAAAAAAACAAGTGGAACAGAAGGAGGAAAATTGAAAGTGACAGTGAATAAAGCGAGCATTGATGGGATAAAGAGCTGACTCCAGTTAAGCCGGTCGCCTTGGAAATCGATAACTTGATAAAATTACACGCATTGGCTAAGTTGATTATCTAAAACGACTAGTTGTTGGGCGTTCTTTCCTTAAAGACGCCGTTTGTATGATGTATCCTTTTGCTCCCAGTTATATATATCCTTCACACTAGTCCCCGCCCCCGCCCATTCCGAAAAAAAACTATTATAATAGAACATGTATATATTTTCTCTTCCTCTTCATTAGCTTTACAATGTCCTGATTTGAAATCAAACCAACTGTAAATATAAAGCTTAATGAAGATCGTCTTACATAAAATTTACACTTTACGTTTGTAGGCTTTCGTTCATCTCCTAAGATATTTACGTTATACTTAATTTGCTAATATCCAATCAAAACTGTTCGATTAAGCGTCAAGAATTTCTGACAAATCCTATTAAAACCAACTCGTTGGCAATTAAAACTCTCTTCATATCGGGACATAGTTTTAAATTCGCTATATCAAAACTAAGAGGACATTTCCTCACACTTTCTTTCATATCATCCAAAGTTATTAATAGTGTTTTACGAAGAAAAAGGGAACAGACAAGACGCTTAAAATAAGCCTATCTAAACGAACTGAAACTCCTTCGTAATTTTCCACATGCATCAAAGCAATTTCGACAGAGCGTAAAAAAGGAAACGACTAAAATCGATATGAGAAAAATCAATGGGAACATGTCAGACTGACTTCCTAGCGCAGACGCCGTCGCCACAAACGCTCGTTTCCGGTCGACACTGTTGATTATTGAAAATGCGGAGGAAAGTTGTCTCGGGCCAGCGACTCGAATAAAAAGAAGAATATCGATAGGCTTTATAGATTTTTCATTGACGTTCTAATGATCTTTGCGTGTTTGGTGTGAGAGAGACAGAAAGAAAAAGAGAGAAAGAGAGAGAGAGAGAGAGAGAGAAAGAAAAAGGGACAAAAAAGATAAATAAAAAAAGAGAGCGAGAGAAAAAGAAAATTTAGGAGAGGGTCTAAGGCTAGGGGATTGAGGAGAGGAGTAAAAGTAAGAAAGAGAATAGCGGAGCGTTACGAGGTTTAAAAAAAAAACAAGGAAAAAAGGGATAAGACTTTTTCTAGTCAGATTAATAGAAAGATAAAAAAATAAATAGAGGAAAAAAACTTGAAAAAGGAGAAATGAGGCTAAAGTATGTAATTCATTGAGTACTATACTCTTTATCCATTTAATCACTACTGTTCCTGCCTTTCTCCTAATTAATAACTTTTCTTACCAGATCCTTCTAACTTTTCAAAAGTTGTCAGCATTTTTTTAGTAAAGTTTACGCGAAACCGATTATTCAATATAAGGAAGGTGACAAAGGGAAAACTGCTTTCCCTCATTTGTAGACACAAGCTAAGAATGTGGCAACCAAGTTTACATTGAGTCGACTAAAAAAACCTCACGTGACATCTACAAAGACGGATGGACATGACGTCAGAGAACTAGTTTCATTTGTATGTGAGCTATTCCATATATAAACTGTATAAAGTATATAAATAGAGATATATTCCGACCATAAAACAACTATAAGCACGGACACTCAAATATGTACTTATTTACAGATTTGCAGTATATATATACAGTTTTCTTTTCATCTAACTAAACGAAAAAAGGGGATTTTCCAGTTAATTAAGATTCCTTGTTACAAAAGGCGTTACTTTTAGGAAATAAAAATAAACAAAAAAAATGACTTTGCTTGAAAAAATTATAAACTGAGTAGAGTCCAACACGTGACGTTTCTTACGCGCCACTTGTCTGTTCTTGTCAAATAAATTACGGCTGATAAACTGCCTTGTTTGTCATTCCTTTGTATAGACGATTCTCCACCGTATTAGAGAGCAATGTTTGCCTAAGGAATGCGTACTTGTCTCGTTTTGTGCAGAACTTCCGTCGTTGTATAATAGGATTAATAGCTCAAATGGAAGAAAGTACCAAAACAAAATACTACAACTCACTTATAATTATTACGCCGGAAGAGATAATTCGTATATAATGGGAATAGAATTTTACCAATGTACATATATATATATATATATACAGTAGACGTATTTATAGATATACACATGTACATGGTTTTTCATAGATTGATGTTTACAAAGCTTCAATGAAGGAAGCAAAAAATAATAAACCAAAAGACGCTACTGAAGGAACGTTGCTAGCGTACAATGAAAGAAGGACGTTTTACGGTTCAATAGGAGTGTGATGACGTCTAAAAGCAACACTAAATTAGCTAGCCAACAGACAATTCTCTTTTAGAGCTAGACTTCCTTCCTAGTTTTCTCTCAACCTCTGTCTCTTTCTTTTTTATCGTTCAGTCATCAAAAACATCGAATTCCATTTTCTCTTAATTTATGCAATTGCAATAAAACCATAACGCAAAACGGAAATCGAAAACGAAAGACATTTCTTTCTTCCTTTCCTTTTCCTTAGATCGCCCACACTCAAACGTATAAAAAAAGCGTGTATACGCACGCGTTTGCATACAAATACACACAGGTAGGCGAAGTCTTAATACGAGTACAAACAAAGAATAAGAATATTTTCGTGCATATGTGTATACGTATAAATTTATATATCATACATCTAACATATACACTATACGCAAACACGTAAAATGTAAGAACATGCGCATATATGTAAATAAGCTTATTGTAATCGCCCACACCCAAACATCTTACCCGCCTCTTTACATCCTACTCTACTCGTTCCTAACTTTTATTTCTCTTTCTCTCGTTTGCGCTCTCTCTCTCTCTGTCTCTCTTTCTCTCGTTTGCGCTCTCTCTCTCTCTGTCTCTCTTTCTCTTTTTCTCTCTATCTCCCTCTGTCTACCCCCACAAAATTCGATCGTACTATCATTCATTTTTCAATTTGCTTACCATGGAATATCTTTCATCTTTTACTAGTCTCAAAAGAATCTCTTTTCGCTAATATAAATACTTTAACAGTTTTTACTTTTAAATTTAATAAAATATAATTTTCTTTGAAAAGCGTTTTGTTTTTATTTCTTTATGATAAATCAGCTTTCATTGAACTAGAGGCGATGAAACCATAAATCACTATGGCAACTGAATGATTAACTGTTGGTTATAAATAAATATTCAACTATATAAGTAAAAGAACAAATAACAAGAAATATAGAGTGAATCGATAAAATTGCATCGATATTACATGCTTCGGTGCATAGGCGCTGCCGTGCATATATGATTACGCCTTTGATTTATGTAGGCCTATATTTGGAATAAAAAAAAAATCTCTTTCTCTACAAATCACCTCTAAATTAGGCAATTCTTTTTGTTTTCTGGTATTTTTCATAGTAAGCAATTATAGTTTAAAAATAAATTCTCCCTATAAAACTATTAATAGAATATATATATATATGGAAAAAATAATTGAATAATTAAAAAACTTGTATAAGTATTATATAGGAAATAACAAAACAAAACAAACAAACAAACAAAATTTCAAATACAATTAAATAGTATAGAAAAAAAAAAAAGCAAATTACCTGAATCTTTAGACAGCCAATTCAAAAATGGAATAAAAACCTGTTATCAGTTGTTTTTTGTTCGAGAAGAACAAAGGTGAAGACTAAAGACTATTTGCTTTAGAGACAATTTTTAATCATTGATCGAAGAATAAGGAAAATATACGTACTAGAATATAACACGTGTGTGTATAACAAGAACGATACCGATTAAAAAATATTAATAAAAATTCAACAATGCAGCTTAATTAGTTACAAAAAAAAAAGAGAAAAGAAATCCATATAAATTATATAATAGTTGTCTGTTTAATAATTGACAAGTTCTTCTTTAATATTGATTACTGATAATCCTAAATATTATGGATAAAAATTTAGGTCGTGTATGTTCTTTGGATATTCTTACTATTTATATACGTTTCATAATAATAACAATATGTATATATATATATATATATATATATATATATATATATGAATTCTACAGCTTTTTCTCTTGCCATCTAGTGTCTAATTCGAAACAGGATATAGCTTGTCAATATCATTTCTATTATTGATAAAAGATAAAACCCTAACATGGCTGAATAACGAATTAAATGTATTTATATAAAAAAACAATTAATACGATTAAAGTGGTTTTTATGCGCTTAAACTGTAATTACTTACAAGTCAGCCTAACTGACAGAATGAAAAATTGATTCATGTGTATATAAAATATATAAATGATAAGACTAATATCGAGTGGACTGACCTCTGTAATATTTAACGCTTCATTTATATATCTTCATAAATGGAAAGAAAGATATGTAAATTATTAAACAAGTGTAATTTGATTCAATATAAAAAAATATTGGAATATATATAGAATTTAGAAAAGAAGAGACTGAGAGAGAGAGAGAGATAGAGAGAGAGAGAGCCAGAAAAATTGTAAAAGATATATTAAAAGAATATTGTGAACAAATGTGTTGTTTTTATTTTAAATTAAAGAAAATATTCTAATATAAAAGTTAAATTTAGAAAATGTCCATAAAACTTTTAAAGGTATGCATATTTCTCTTTCCCTATATCCACCATCTCTCTCTCTCTCTCTCTCTCTCTCTCTATTTCCTATTCCCTTAATCGCATATTTTCGATATTCATATAAAAGAGAATATTGAACAAATTTCCTCAGGTTTTTTCCTCTACCCTTTTCTCGTTTCACCCTCTCCCGTTCTCCCTCTCCCTAACCTTTTTAACAACAAGGGAAAGTAATAGGGACAAACAAACACGAACAAAAATATTGTGCTCGCGTTAGGGTGCTAAATAACCTATAATGATTGCATTATTTATACATTTTGTTTATATATGCTGTACATGAAATTGGGCCTCTATTTCTATTTCTCTACTGTACTGATAATAGATTATCTCTTCAAAATTAAAATATCGAATGCAAATCTGTAAATCTTAGTTAATAAGATAATTAATAAAGTATTATTCGTGACATAGAAAATTGATTCAGAGGGATTAGATCAAATAGAAATCAGCTTATGGACATATTTACCAACCCAATTGGAGTTGACTTTAATTAATTAATCTGAACTAAAAATCATTTGTGGTTAACGGTACCATAGTTTATTTAATAATCCTTTTACAGGTTATTTGACTATTTCATGTTCCTATAGAGGGCGCATTACCTTTATGATATTCCTCATCGTTATGCTTATTTGTTTAAAAGTAAATGTAAATACTTTATAGGTTATTCTTATTATCATTATCATTATTATTATTATTATTACAAACTAATAAAAGATTAATATAAAGTGATAAATGAAATAAACTAGTAATTTTATACTTTTACCTAAAAAACTATTTATCTAATTATTTTCTTTTTACTCGCAAAGGATCTTCTTTTTTTTTAAATGTAAAATAGGCCTAATTATTAAATAATTCCCTCTTCCCCTTCCGCCTCCCCCCTTCTCTCTCTCTCTCTCTCTCTCTCTCTCTCAGTTCTTCTCTTTTTGCACATAATTGCAAAAGTTTTCTTTTCCAAGAGGTAATCTAGAACGATGCCTGAAAAACTAATCATTTAGCCAAAGGCCAAGTCAAAATACAAATTTATCAATGAGTTGAGAATAAAATCTAGTAAAGCTATTTCATGAACTTTTTCCCTTTTTTTTCTTAATAATTTCAAGAATTTTCCTTAAAGATAAAAAAAATTTCTACTATTTGATTATAAATAAAGAAAGATCATATTTTCTATCCTAATTTTTTCACTTTCTCTCTCTCTCTCTCTCGCTCTCTTTCTCTCTTCGCCATTCCTCTATGTTTTTCTTTCAGTTTTCATCTCCTTAAGAATCTACTAAGAGTTTAGACAAAATCTACAAATTCCCCCCAACACCCCTTCCCCCCCAAAAAAAAGAAACTAAATTGACTACTGCAAGTAGAGAGTCTTGTTAAAAGTAAAATAACTTTATATTGAGTGCCTCCATCATGATTAGATTGTGTAACCAAAATCTTTATAGGCTTAATTTTACTCTCTTTAATCTTTTAAAAAGAATATAATTATTAATAAATTTCATCTGTAAGAGTTAATAATTTAAAGATAATAAAAGAAGGAGACAATTTAGGTCAAGAGCAAGGTAAAAATTCTTATATTATATTATTTCATAGCTAAAATGGTATACAAAAAATATTATTTTTGGAGCCTTCTACAGTTGGAATAGGCCGCTATGGAATTCATTTTTAACAAAAGTAAAGAAATTTTTTTTCCATCTTTGTACAAATTATTTCTTTCGCCCACTTTATATCTCTTTTTCTAATATAAAGTATATTTTATATAAATATATAGATTTCAAACTTCAAAAATGTTACAAATTTTCATACTTTATCTTTTTTATATAGTCAATAAAATTAAAAATGGCGGGAAAACATATAAACAAACGTAAAGAAAAAAAAATAATTAAGTATACGTTAGACCCTAACAAATAAATTTCTCGATTGTTTACAACTGTTCTAGGCCTATTACAAATGTATTATAGATGTTATACTATGATGTAGTACTATAATGAGGAGTAAAAATATGAAAACTGGGTATAAAGTTGAAATGGAAGAGGTGACTATAAGCAATCTTTTTCTGAATAAAGTATGGAATAAATTTCATCAAGATAGGTTATGGTTAGAAGAGCTAGAAACAATAAAAAAGCTGTAGACTTTGAGAGAAAGGGAGGGAAAGAGAAGAAAAAGATTGAGAGATAGAGGAGGAGAGAGAGAGAGCTAGACAGATAGAAAGAAAGAAAGTATGATAGCGAAAAATCAGATGCAGACGAGCAGCCAAAATTTCGTTGCAGAAAATTGCGGCATAGGTGGGGCAAAAAGTTGCATACCGTACGTACCGGCCTGCAGTACACTGCTCTCTCTAAATACAAGCAGCAAACATAGGAGAAAGTTCCACAATTCAATCGAACTGAAGAAGTTAAAGAAAGCCGGTACTAATTAATTATAAGGAGATGTTGTCCTTAGCCCGTGATCTAGTTAAAGTACGTTCGAAGGGAGATGACAGTGAAATTAAGCCTTTAACTGTCTGCTTTTGGAGCGACTTAATGAGTAACCCAGCTGTTATGTATGGATTATTTTCACCCAAACCAAGAAGGCTCGATTACGATCCGAATAAAGTAAAAGTTATGGGAACAAAGAATGGAATGATTAAGTTTGTTTCTTTTGCTAAATTCTAAATCAGAATTCCTCTTCATTTTTACTTTCAACTGTAATCAAATAACAAAGTACGAGTTTTTCCTTATTCAAAAGTTTATCATTTGAATAAAGAAACAAAAAAGAAACTTCTTCCTGATTTTCTTTTTATCTATCCGTTAGTTTATCACTCCCTCCTCCCACAACTGACATAACAACTATCTACCTTACCTTTTATTTTCCCTTTAACATCTAAATAGCTCGTTGAAAGATAAATAAAATTCTTCAAGTACTTAAAGCATTAAAGGATAAGTTGAATAACAAGTGAAAAGCAATGTCAATGCAATACTTGACAAGTAATCTTTCTGTCTTTATTTCCCCCTCCCTTTCCCTATCCCTCTCTCTCTCTCTCCCTCTTTCTTTCTTTCTTTCTTTTTTCTCTCTCTTTTTTGTATATCTTTGGGCCTAATCTTTTATTTTTTTTACTTTTTATTGCACTATTGTGCCCAATGTATATTTATAGAGGAGGTTGTGTGTATAAATCTAAAAGAAAATTCCTTACATTTTTGCAAAGCGAACTGAAGCCAATATTTTCGTTAATTGTAAAGGTCAAAGCTGTTGATTTCCATTGACTTTTTCCCACTTTGTTGTTAATATTTGACAAAGTGATTTTTTTATTTTGCACTTTTACTTTTTTAATGAAATTTCTTATTTCTTTCTATATGTTTTCATTACTTTTCTTCTTTTTTAAATTAAAAAATCATTTATTAAATAAGGAAATTTGCGTAGAAACTTTTACTGATAAGAATCGTTCCTGATTGAAGAAAAATATGCCAATTTACTTGCCAGATGCCCCATCTGTCTAAGGTCGAATCGTAAACAACACAAATCTATGACTTTCATTCATAAACAACTTGAGAGATAGATGCCATTTTCGACGCTTATCAGATCAGATAGAGAGAAACTTTTTTTCGGCTTTATTTTTTGGGGAAAATAGTAAAAAGAGATAATAATTTCCAACAATTTTAATCTATACATCATTGCAATCGCATCTACACTCTTACTCCCTCTTCCCTAATCCCTACTAAATTCTCATCCCTCGCTCCACCTACCCCCCCGCTCCCTCCCTGTCTGTCCATAAAAAAATCTCTTTTTTATATATACACATGATATAAATTACCTTCTAAATTATAACCAGTAAAAAATATTTTTTTATAAAAAAAATATTTAAAAATCCTCAGCCAAATCAATATAAGAACGGTGGAAGATTTGGATTCCATTCAGGAAGAACTGCTCGGTATGCCTCTTCTTCTCAGGGTTCACGCTCAATTCGAACAACAAAATGTACCTGCTAACGATCAAAAATTCGAAGGTTAGTATAAATTATGCTAACACTTTGTATTTTAATTGAAAAGAAAATGTTTAAATTAGACTTGATTAGGTTTATTATTGATATATAAATATTTATAAATCTGCTCAATAATACTTTAAATAGTTAAAGTATATAAGAATCAAAAGAAAAGACATAAAAATAAATAAGCAGCAATTTGTTAGCTTCAAATTTTTTTAATATTTTACATACGTTGTTTTCTTCTTAAGTTGAAGAATATTTCAAATATTTTCATCTGCTTGTAATCCCCACAAGTATAGTGCTTTAGAAGGTCTAATCTAAATAGGTTTAAATATTTATATTCAATACGATATCAATGAAGATTGATAGTTGAAATTAAGTACTTCTTTTTAGGGGATTTAGCCTTACTAGTTGATACTTCCCATCCGATGATAAGACCCGAATTGGAAGAGGCTTTAGAGAGAGCTAGGAGAATTTTACAAGCTAGAGGAAAAGTTTGTATACAGGTATTTAATAATTTATAAGTAATATACAGCGCCATCTGATGAATAATTATATTAATATTCTTATAACCATTAAACAAATAAAAGTTGGACTTTGGACCTGCTATCGACCAATGGCTAAGAACGACTTATCCAAAAGGTTGCTGTACTCTTGGTAATTTGAAACCGCATAAAGCTAGGCTTTTCATTACTAATTACTCCAAGCCTACCGCTTGCTTCGATTGTACCACTCTATGGCATATTTTCTTCTTATGCTGGACATTTAGTGCTCCGTGCTACAAGGTATTATTTATCTTTAAACTCTTCTCTTCCTTTCAAAGGCCTATAACTATATCTTTTTAATAACGTATAAAAATTAGCCCTACAAAATAATAAGACCTAGAGGAATGCAATGATAACCTTAATTTTCTTTCGATAAACTGCTAAATTCCAGAATATCAGTATGCTACTCAATCAAACACAAAAAAAAAATCCAGAAAATACATCTAATTTTCGGTAAATTGAATTTTTGGAGCCACAAAATGCTCTTAAAGGACTATCGTAGGATATAATTGAGGAAAAGAAAACAAATTCTCACCAGTTCTCATTAAAACTGTATGAAGTAGTTACAGACTAGTAGCCAAAACAAAAAGAAACACTTTTTTTTCCAATATTCTCCTATAATCATGAAATAATATGTTGTTTTGATATCTTTTAGGCGTATAGAACGTGCAAATGTACAGACATCATCATAAGGCCAACCACCCCGATTGTTCGAAGAACAACCCTACCATCTGGAAAAGTTGTGGAAATAACACGGTGTAAGCCTCGTTTTGACATCTGACCGATATTCTTATTCTAATCTCTTCCGCTCTCTGATAAAAACACAATTTTTTTCAACATTTTTATATAAACATTCCTCTTTTCATTTTCTTATTTATAGATGGTCTGCATAATGAAGTTAGCTGAAGTACTATTTATTATTTATTTTTACACGGTTAGGTTATTTCCTTGTTGTTACATACTATAAGAAACCCGCGCACGGCGCCATCTTGATTCTGCATTACATGCATGTCTCGCACAAAAAACTTTTTTAATAGTCTTACTAAACTGATTGCTTTTGCTTAATTAACATTTTAAAAGAAAAAGTATCCTCTTCTTTTAATTATTATTTCTTTTCTTTTTATTTTTTCTATTAACAAAAAAAAAAGAGCCGACAGCCGTCAAAAAAAAATGTACAAATCAACCAGAACTCTTCTCCCGTCTTCTTCATATATTGTTCTAAAAAACAAAAAAAAAAACAAAAAGAAAAAAAATATTCCATTCCTAATTATGTATTTTTTAGTTTTTTAATTTGCATAAATTAACGCTTTTCTCGTCGCTTTTCAGGAAAACTGAATTTGGAGATTTGTAGACCTATACTCTGGTTATAAATAGGCGAAGAGCATGACAGAAACTTAGCAACAGATATAATAGCTCTGTTGCTTGAAGTGCGTTTTCTTAGAGATTGTTTTTAGTAGAAAAATATTGTCTATAACCAAAAAAAAAAAAAAGTTGAATTTTTTTTTTTCTAAAAACAAGGAAAAAAAAAGAAAAATTCACGCGCCAAATGCGATCGTCTCTCTATAAAATTTTGGTTCGTGTTGGTTACATTTTTCTTAGGCCTGTGTTAACAACAAGGTGTTGTGGAAAAGTGTCATAATCCTGTTGTTTTAATAATAAGAATAATAAAATCATATATACTGTATATAAATTTATATATATTTAATAATATACTGTATATATTCTGTATTTATATATACTGTATATATTTAGTATATTCAATGTATTTAAAAAGGAAAATAATCCTGACTATATTAAATTAAAATAAATATCATATCTATTATCTATTTAAAATAATGTTTGTATGCATAAATTATCTTTAATGTGTTCTTTTTTATCTTGTAAATATTCACTAATATTTTATATAGAAAGGATAAAATCTCATCATCTTCTTTGTTTACCGATTATTCTATTATCTTAATAATTGATATTTTTCATATTTATAAATATTTGATTTTTCTTTACCTTCAATTTTGTTTCTTTTAAGAAAATATATAGAGAAAGAATTGGTACCAGATTTGAATAATGTGCTATCCAGTGGCTGATTTATTTACTTGCGCGCTTAAGATTCTACCAGATGCGGTATTCTTTGTATATTATTTTATTGCTATCGAATATTCTTGCTTTATAAAATCTTGTATTTTTAAGTTTTGATTAACGTCAAGAAAAAGTTCTTCCCTATCTTCTTCTTCTTCATTTGAAAAATATGTAGACTATTACTTTATAAACTATCGCAAAAATAATTCAATTGCAGGCTAATGACCTATGCTATTTTCGTTTTAAGCTAGTGAAAATTTTCATGTAATTTCAATCTTAAAAGGAGTGATGCACTTTAATCTTTGACGTCATTTTCTTTCAATAATTACTGCCTATGTTGTAGAAATTACAATATTTTTTAAGCCATAAAACCCTGTATAGTTAATGAAAGATGAAAGGAATTCCTCAGGTTGATGAAAGCCATCTCCTTCGTTTCCGACGAATGACAAAAATAATAGGAGATCGTACCGCTCATTGCCTGAAAACTTGTGCGATAGCTGGTCCACTTTATATTGACTTTTTTCCTGTGATCTCTCTTATCTTTATACCAAGGCATATAATGTTAAAAGACTACTGATTGATGCTTTCTAAGATACTTTTTCTAAAGTAAACGACTCTTTCTCTTTCATTTAATGTGCAATTGTAGAAACTTTCAACTACGAAAAAAAGAATTCTGTTGGGAATTTTTTAGAGTTTGTTGATCGATTAACGTTATCTACTGCAATTTCTTTGACTTAATCCAGAGGAAAGTACAGCTTTGAATAGCTTTCGCTTGTAATTCCAAAACAATTAAATCTTTTAACATTAAAGTTTATTAAAAACTTCCTCCTCGCCTTTGACATTTGTTCTACAAGAGAGCCAATCGAAAATTGATTTCACGTTTCTATGTTACATGTGCGTTTTATTCTTTCTCTTTTAAATAAATAGGACGAGAGAGAAAAAGATAGAGAGCTTGTAATGGATTACTTTATTTTCCCACTTTTTAAACTAAAAATGCCTTTCTCAATTATTTCGATAATATTTAATCGGACTAATATCGCTTTTGCAATTTTACTTTCATACGTTAAATAGAAATGATTAATACCAACAGTTATCCAATGTTTGCCTCATCTTTGAGGTTTATAGAGATGCAAAGTAAAATAAAATTCACTCGTTAGTATCTCATTTAACCTTGTTCCATATGATAGTACCGTATCAATAAACTAGGATGATAAATTACGTTTTTAAAAGGGAGTTACGTGCAATTTTTACGAAAAACAAAAGCCATTCATTTTGAGACAATATTATAACATGTTGAAATTTGTATTAAAATTCAACTATTCTCAATTAGAATATCCAAAGTTAGAAGAAAAAAAACGAAAAATGTCTTATTTTGTGTAGTTTTGATACTTAATCATATGAAGTGCTATTGAACTCTTTACTTCATCAGCAGTCTTATTCTGGCCGTAATAGTCAACAAACTCTCCTTCCGGATTAACTAAGTACATGATTATTGTGTGGTCAACCTGTCAGAAAAACATGAAAATTAAATTAACTGCTTAATTAAAGAATAGATTTCATCATTCTCACGATATAATCGTTATCTTCATCCTTGGGACCAACACTGAAATAGACTCTGTAAGCTCTCGAAGCTTCAGCGATCTGCTCCTGAGTTCCAGTTAGACCGAGAATTTTAGGCGAAAATTCTAGTTGGATAAAAAAATAATTTTATATATTGGACAGAATAGCTTATAAGACTACTTTTACCTAATAGGTAGCTCTTAATAGCTTCCTTAGTATCTCTTTCAGGATCGACGGTAATAAACAAAGGCTTAACATTTGGATATCCTTTTTCTTTATCTAATGAATGTTTTTTTGTCAAAATGAGGGTTTACTTTATAATTAATACAGTTTAGATATAACCTATATCATCAACGACTTTGACCATTTTTTCAAGTTCATCGGGACAAACGTCAGGACAATGAGTAAAACCAAAATATAACAATATCCATTGACCGTAAAAATCAGTATTTTTTTTTGGTTCTCCATTATGATCAATTAGATTAAAAGGACCGCCAAGAGCAGCCTTTCCTAGAGATTTTGTCCTCTTTTTTTCAAGCACTATAAAAATAGGATTATTTTAATTAAACTAAAGAAAAAGCAAATGCACTAAAATAGGTCTACTAACTTAGTTGCTTTTCTCTCTTTACGTACAAGAATCCACCTAATAGAGTTCCTCCCAGTGCAGCTGTGAATGCGGCTGATTTCCAAGTGAAAGGCTGTTAAAATTAAACAGTTCTTTTATTTTTTATGGATACTTTGCAAATTAATGAATTTTGTACATTATATACTTGTATTGTTATGCCAAAAGAGCATTGAAATAAGTTTTTTTCTGCTCTTCACTCTATCTTCTCAGGAATAGCTACATGAATTTTAAAAGTGAAAGGCAACAAACCCCTTTTCCTTTTCCTGGAACTTTTCGTTTGGGCAAGTTAGCATACTCATTTGTATATCTTCGAATTGTATTTATTGTGTTGGATTGCTTTCTATGTAGTAGAGTCTTTAAGAAAAGATTTAAAGGTCATTGAACGATATTCAATGAAAATACCGGCAATAGTCACATAATTCTAATATTAAAAAGTTTCAATTTACTTACTAATGAATTGTTAAATTGTCTAAATATTGACAATACGCGATTTGGATTCATACTTAATGTCGCGATAAAGTTTCCTAATTGGTCTATTTCTTAAAAATTATTGCAGCACAATCGAAAGAAAAAAATAACTTCTCCCAAATGAAAACTGTTAAACATTCGGCGCGAAAATTAAAATTTTCTTGCAATATAGACTGACAGTTGCTTAAATCAGGTAAAATCTCATTTTCAAGTCGCAAAAGATTAATTACCTTCAATAAGATTTGAGCAAATACCAATTAAGTTTACTACGTAATATAAGCTAATTAATTGTAGTCAACGTAAAATCTAATGAAGCTCATATGTAACATACAATCGAATATTGGCAAAAATTTTCTGCTGTTGTAATGGAGAAGCAATAAAAAAACGAGTTTGTTAATTTTACAGAGGGCGCCGTAGAGGCAGGTAAGTGTCTTACTTTAATACCATTTATTATAATAAACCTGGGGGCATGATGTTAATGTTTCCATATAGGCTTATATATTTTATATATATAGATATATATATATCGTACGTGTTTCCAAGCAATATATTGACATAAACAATAAGCGATGCAAACGTCTACATACGCTTTCCCTTTTTTTTAAAAGTAGTTGCGGTGAAAATGAAGCATATTTTGCTTTTGGATTGTCACTTGGTTATGGTTACTTTAAAAAATTTAACGAACTAATCTATTGAAGGTAAAAGAGAGAACTAGGAATTCCAATTAACCAAACAGCCTCAGCAGCGCGTGATGGAAACCATCAAAGACAGACTCCAAATTATTCCTTGACGTCAGCTCATCGATTTTCGAATACATAAACTAGAGGTGAGCATAAAAACTCGGCAGATATTGAGCTCTAGCCGTCTAAAGCTGACTAAAGGTACAGCTTCCTTCCTCATTAGAAGTACATAAGGAAAATTGTCAAAGTTACAAAATGGATGAAATGATTGCGGCTGATTTAACTCTATACACTAACCCACTAAATTCGGCTTTAGCTGATATTGGCATTAAAAAACCGGACAAAAACGACGAAAAAGAAAATGAAAAAACTGATATTGTTGCTGCCGATCTGACTCAATACGATAGTCCTTTGGCAGATATAGAAAAAGGATTTAAGAGAAACGATAAACAAGAGGTAAAAAACTGAATTTCAACTGCAAAATTCAACACAACGAAATTTCTTTTGCTATATTCAATATTTTATATAGAGCTGATTATTTTCTCTTTATGTTGTCTACAAATTTTGAATCGTTTACTTGTTTTTCAATTTTTCTTATCAGTTCTATTTTATCAATGGCTTGAAAATCTTTTTTCCTTTTAAACGTTTTCTCAAAATAAAAACCTAATTAGGATTGAAAATGTCTTTCTTTTCTTTTCCTTGGAAATATTTACATTATTAACTATATTTTTAAACTTTAACAACGAAATCATAATATTTACTATTTCGTTATTAATCTATTTTTAGAAAGTTGACGAAACACCCAAAGAAACTATTAACGAAACGGAACAAGAGGAATTAAATCCTACAACAAAATCTACTCCAAATCTAAGACTGACACCGAATAAGGGTTCCAATCCGAAATTAAGGAGACAGAGTGAAGGAACAAAAGTTAAAAAGGTAAGAAAATGATATATAATTACGTGATTATTGACTAAATTAGGGTAGGTATAAATGGTACCTAAAACCTAACAAGCGAAAATTGATTATTAGTTAGAAAGATATTTTAAGTCTGCACTATAAACCTGTAAACTGCATTGAATAAATAGGATGATTAAATGTCTCCGTATCTATGGAATGAGGTTAATATTTTTATTTTGTTTATGAGTTATCTCTTTCAAAGACAAATAAAAGGAAAAGTTTATCCCACAACGAGGACATATTTTATATATTCTTTAGATGTATAGGATAGAAATGCAAAAAAGAGAACAGCACAAATACATCATAGAATTTTATCAAATAATTTTCTTAACATTCGAATGGATATAGAATAAAAAATATTGTCAATCAGAATCTATAGGTAAATTCTTTTGATATGGACCAATCAACGCTTTGAATTAGGAATTATATTTTATATTATACCTCTCTTTTTCAGAGATTACCTGGGAACAAGTGCACTTAATTACCCATCTGAATGTTATATATTAGCTGAAGACTACTTTAGAAAGTTATAGCTCAGAATCTAATTTCTCTAGACACAATCTCTTCTACAACCTAAAGGAAATGAGGATCCTCTCAAAGACTTTTAAATACGCCACTCTTACAATTAGACACTAGAATACATGTGGTATGGAATACATGACAACCATAATGTATTAATACTAAATTGTCTGCTTGTCATTTACAGTCATATTTTTATTAGAAATTACAGTAAAGCATATAGAATATACTTAAAATCGTCGAGTTCATATAAATGACTGTACAATATATACGTATGTATGCATATTGCAGCTTGCGATATCCTTTGCAAATCAAATTAAATATATGATATATATATATATATATATATATATATATATATAATAGATTTTCTTATCTTGATTTTGATTTATCTTCAATTGTTATTATAATTTATCTATAGGTGGCGTCTTTCTTACAAATAGAAAAGTTATAACTTGTAATTGACCTTTGTCATTTCAAAATAATTCGTAAAATATGATTAAAGAAAATATGATAAAAAGCAAGGATTTTCTATCTGAAACTCTAGGATCTTTCGACGGTATTATATTATATACACATAGTATTTATATATATATATATATATAAGCTATATAATTTATAGATTCGTTGGTTAACTAATCTATTTATATCTTATCCATCAGTTGAAAATCTATTGTTAATATCAAGTAAAATGATTGGTTATTCAGTCATTCTATCAACATCTTTATTTGGTAAGCCGAGTTACATTATAATGCATCTTCATCAAATTATACCTCTTATTATATTCTCTGTATACTAATCTTTCAGCTGCTCTACCTCAAATTATCAATATATTGAAAAAGAAAAGCGTTAATGGCATTCATTTTCATTTTATTTTCTTAGCTCTTTTAACTTCGTGCTGGACTGTTTCCTATTCGATTTTCAAACGGCATCCTTTTAGGTAAAAACGAGTATGGGTGATATTTCCGGGCATTCATTTACGTATAGTACATATAATATGTGCACACCACATGGGAAAGGTCGTTGACATTTCGATTGTTCTTTATAGTTTATTACTAAAAGAAGACTTTGCGAATTTTTTCTTGCTTTTTTAAAGATTAAGACAATTAATAAAGAGACAAGACATTCTGAACTCTGAACTATTTTACTTTATTCATTAAAAACATACGGAACGTTATTAATACGATTTTTTTCCTTTCTTTTTGCAGCGTTTGGGGTGAAAACGTATTTCTGAGCTTGCAACTAATACTTATAAATAGTTTATATCTGTATTATACGAAAAAGATTGGTTCTATCCTTATTTTAATAATAGGAATTTTATTAATGAATGTAATACTCATGTCATCAATAGTTCCTTTAGTTGTTCATCAATTTCTTCAAATTATAACAACTCCCATGCTTGTCTATTCCAGAGTAAGTTGTTATTTTGTTGTTTTGCTAGTTTGGGAAATAACTATTTCTTTTATTTTTTTTTAAACAATAATAAATATAGATAACTCAAGCGTATAGCAACTATAAAAATTCTAGTAGTGGCGCATTGTCTGGTGCAACTATCCTTCTTCTAACTTTTAGAACTGGAGGAAGGCTTTATACAAATATTATTGAAACAGGAGACATCTTAAAAATAACTGTCAGCGGTACTCTTACATGTTTAAATATGCTGTTAGCTTGTCAGGTCTTTTATTACAATAGAAAAAAGAAAATATTGTAAACATGATCTGTCGAAATCGATTAAAAAGAAAACACTAAAATAGTACCTTTAAACTAAGAGAGCTTTTAGTATGTGTTCTTGTCGTAAGGAACATATATCAAAATACTTTCAGAAGCATATTATAATGTATACTCGTAGTTTCTATATATATATATATATTTAATAAACTCTATTTTTCATGCTCGATCAAATAAAAAATAGCCCTTTTTTCTTTAACACTTTTAAAAAGCTGCTAATTTAAAGGTCAAGGTCCAAATAATTTAAAGTAATAAACTCTCAATATTCACTAATCTTTTTCTTGCAATATTTCTATAAGAACTAAGTCTGAATTTGCATAAATGTATAATTTGTAAATATTTTTTTATACGAAAATAGATTTACTTTGTTGAACTTCCGGTATTGTCGGTAAAGGTCGTCTGAAAAGTCGAATAGAAAATAGCGAAAAATGCCATCAAATATGATAACAAGAATACTTACTGGTCCTAGATATAGACAGCTAGCTCAAAATTGGTAAAAAAAATAATGTTTTTGAATTAATCTTATTTTTCAATTTCCATCTTATGTTTAATAGGGCAGGAACTAGTATGACTTTCGGAGCAGGACTTGCGATTCTTGTAGGATATGGAACAGAGTGGAAGGCCGTCATGCAATATGTACCAATCTACAGTCTGAAATATAAATCGGATTAAAAAAAACAAACATTTTCATTAACATAATTTAAAACTTTTAAAATTTATTGTAAAATCTTGAATAAAGGATCACACAATAAATTATTGTTCATACAAGACATGACATGCTGTTTATACTATTACAATATTCGTTTAGCCAAACTCAACATAGACTAAATAATGAAAACTTGAAGGAAAAGAAACAAATGCGATGTTAAATCAATAAAGTAAACCTTTCCAAAAGCGTTGTCAGAATCATACAAATTGACTTAATAAAATCCGTTCTGTCCATGATAATTATACCCTTTTAAGCTTTTTCTCATACCAGTTTATAATATCAATGTTCTTAAAGAGAAATTTTAAAGTATTAAAGTTATTTAAGAGAATATTAAAAATATTAAATATTAATAATTTTTACTGATAGAAAGAAAATTGTTAAGAGAAATTAATAATTTGTAAAAAAAAGAGTCTGCTGTGGAGACAGACTATCGTGTTCTAATACTATTCAACACAATTCACGCGATGAATATTCAGCTTCTATTGTATTATATTTATATAGACCAAGGAAAAAAAAGAGTCTGAAACGGTGGCGCCTACGTTTTGAAGAAGGTAGTAAAGATTTTATTGAAAAATTTCCATTGGTATATAGCAACTCGTACCCATAGTAATAAGTTTCGAATGCAAATTTACTAAATATGAAATATCACAATACAATACAATAATAATCAATGGAAAATGATTCTAAAATATATATACTTAGCTATTATAGTTTCCGGTTATAAAGGTAAGCTATTGTTTCGTCACTATGTATATATTTAACATCAATCACACAGTGAATAATTAGCTAAATTTTTTACAAACTATTTAAAAATAGAGACGTATGGACGTAGTTCAAAGAAACATATTTTAGTAACCGGTGCCGCTGGCTTCATTGGTTTTCATCTAGCAAGAACATTAACTTTGAATTATAACATTTCAGTAATTGGTATAGATAACTTTAATAGCTATTATAACGTTAGTCTTAAAGCGGTAAGTAGGAATTTACTATACTTTTATAAAATATATTAATAATATCTTCTATCACGACTCTCTTTTGAATTGAATAAACATTCCATAAGGCAAGGGCTTTCGAACTTAATAAATTAGGAGTCGAAATTTTCTACGATGATGTTTGTAATAAACAATTTTTAAGAAGTCTATTTAATAAATACGAATTTACACATGTTATTCACCTATCCGCACAAGCTGGAGTGAGATATTCATTGAAAGATCCCCATTCATATCTTAGACAAAATGTCGAATGTTTAAAAATTTTATTAGATCAATTGAAAGTACGAAAGGTAATTTGAATATTAAGATTTTAATCATATGAATTCTCTTTATCTATTTTTTTCATATGATTTTACAGAGTATCAAATATATTCATGCATCCTCATCTAGTGTTTATGGAAAATTTGGTAAAATACCATTTGATGAGTCAGATAATGTGGATAGACCGGGTAACATGTATGCTGCTTCAAAGCGTAGTGGTGAAATTTTAAATGAACATTATTGCCGTTTATATGGATTATCTATTATTAATTTACGATTTTTTACTGTGTACGGACCATGGGGCCGTCCTGATATGGCTGTGTATAAATTTGCTGAGTCGATGATGAACCATAAGCCTATACCTATGTTTAAAGCTGAAGGAAGGAAGTTTCTTGCAAGAGATTTTACCTATGTAGATGATATTGTATCAGGAATAATAGGAGCAATAGACTACAAGACGAAAGGCTGTAAAGAAATTTTCAACCTTGGCTTTGGCAAGTCTCAAAGATTGTCCAATCTTGTAACAGCTCTTGAGTCTTCTTTGGGAATCAAAGCTTTAATTGTTAGTAGAATTCTGATAAACGTAAATGGACCATAGATACATTATTTATTTTTTAACATATTAATTATTAGAATCGTTTACCCGTACCTCCAACTGAAATTCTACACACATGGGCTAATGTAACTCTTGCTAGAATTCATTTAAACTTCAATCCTAAAACAAATTTACAAAATGGTAAGATGGTGTAAACTATCTAAAAGTATCTTTAATCTTACTGATAAAATTTTACCAGGAGTCAGAAATTTTGTAAAGTGGTATACTAAATGGCTAAAAGAGCCAAAGTCAGAAGTTGTAAAATATTATTCATTGTAAATATTCGACGCTAAAACAATGTAGATGGTTTAGATTATTTGAATGTTCTATTTTTTGTAATATTTAGATTACTCAGAGAAAAATTAAGAAGGGACAAATATTTGAAATTAATAAATCCTACCCTTGAAACTTTACCGCCAAAGAGCTGTTTATTCAAGTCGTGCGAAGCAAAGGGTGGAAGAATATTTGTTGAGGTTGATGGTTTAGTGAAATTTATTAACAGGAAAACTTACAATAGGACATTATCCTTTTTCGTATTTAAGGTAAAGTCTTTGGTTTAAAGTTTTTAAACTTTGAATGATTTATTGATTAATATAGAATTCCTATGCGGAAGGGGAAATTGTTGGTTATATACCCAAGTTAAAGGATAATACGGAAGCTTTAGCGTCGGCTTGCGAGAAGGATAAACATTGCATAGGTCTTTAGCTTTATCATTAAAAAAATTAAACATTTCACAAAGCTTTTCATAATATCTTTAGCAATTAGTTCAAACGGCCTGATGAAAGGTTCTATACAACCTTCAACAGCATGGAAGTTTTCCCCCTCAAATCTTATAGTCTTTGGTAAAACTATTCAAAAGAAATATCCCATCTATATTTTTGACATTATAAAATACTTTCAGACGTTGACTATTGTTCGTCGTCGCCCTATAGCTGCCCAGAAAATTCCAGCTGTACTCGTTTTGGTATTGCAAACTATGGGTAAGAAATAACAGCTGAAGTAATAGCTTTTTATAAATATTTACGTATCTTTAATAGGTGCAAGTGTCATGAACATTTTATCATGAGTGGTAATATCTGCATTAAAAGTCTTGCAGAGGATCGTCCAATAAAATCATGAAGTCTTATAAAGTTAAAATATCATATATTGATAAGACCTTTATTGATATATGGTTTACATGTTTTTTTGCTGTTATGATGTTAAAAATCATTTTCACTATTATAGCGTCACTATTCATCTCGAAAATATTGAATTGTTTCTTTCTAAGGCGTATTTATTCGCCACAAACTTATGAAAAACTGAAAAACAAACAAAAAACTGTCTACTTCAGTCGAAAACATCATTTTTATCAGCGATGTATTGAACTATGTCGGCTGGTTTCATTAAACGTTCGGCATCCGAGTCAGGAACTTCGAAACCAAATTCATCTTCCATTGCCATAATAACTTCAACATGATCTAAACTATCCAAGCCGAGGTCATTCATAAAGTGACAATCCAACGACAACTATATTTACAAGAACAAAAAAAAACGAATTAATCAATGCAAAACTGAATTCATAAGATAGTATTATATATATACAGTATATATATAAATTTATATATGTATTAGTATATATTTTATTGAACTTGGCGAATAGTTTTCTTATTGACAATTTGGAACTTTAACATTTTAGTTATATAGATATTTTGATGTGCTCTATTAAGTTATTAAGCTTTCTATGTCAATGTATTTGAGTTATTGATAACTCTTTAAAGAGAATAATATTTAAATGGAATATTTCAGTTGAAAAACAGACAATTTAAATTTACCTTTTCGGCATCAATTTTATCATATAATTTCAAAACCAATAAGACTCTTTCCCTAATACTCTGCAATGTCAATGGGTCGTGTGCGTAATTTCTAACAGAAGGCAGAAATTGAACTTTCTAAAATTAACAAGATTTGTATAAGATTATGAAGGTCACACATGCCGATTCTTATTATTATATCTTACCGCCGAAGTTCCCAAGAGAGGTTTACCATTTTTATTCACTTGATAGGACAATAGTTTCTGACATCTAATCACGCCTACTGCAAGAGATGGTAGGGCGTTGTTACGGATAAATAATGGAGTAAATCTCGCCAATTTGTACATGGCCGCCATGTTGGAATCTACGTACAAAATAGTATTATGATATTCTTCGGAAACAGATAACGCTATATCTTTTTATTTTTAAATTATATATACTTTATTCACCTTAAAAATTATTTCTTTACGAACAAATCAAAATGGAGTCGCTACACAACCTTGTCCGAATTTCTCTTCCTAATTATCTTAAGAATTTGCCTATTCCAGATTCTTTTGCTGGTTTATTTAAACTCAATGGTAAATAAAAATTTTTAAAGTATTACTATTCAAATGGAAAGCAAAATGCTATAATTGTACAATTTTAAGTATCAAAAATACCGAAAAAACAATACTCTATTATTTAAATGATATTATTATCCTGTCATTTACCATAAGAAGTTGCAAAGTTTATAACAGAGAGTATTTGCTAGATTCTTGTATAGTATAAACAATATTATAATAAAATTTCATGTGTTTCTTCATTATTATAAAATAAAATCACGTGACTCAAAACAATTAAACCATGTGAATTGTTGAAATGAGAACCCTATCAAAATTTAAATAATAACTGTTTTTTCTATGATAATTTTTAGCATCTGAGATCATAAAGCTACTTCCATTTTTGGGAATTGTGTCTTTTTCCGTCTACATTACCTATAAGGTAACTTGTCCTGCTGCTAATAGACGTTCCACGAAAACTCTAAAATGTAACCCATCAATATGTAAGGAGAAAGAAAAGGTTGTAGATTTCGTTGAAATTGAAGAAATTTGTAAGAAAGTTTCATATTGCCGATGTTGGAGATCAAAGAAGGTAAAGAGAAAAACATTTAAACGACTCAATATAATTATATATGCGCCTCATTTTTTTTAGTTCCCCTTATGCGATGGATCTCACAATGCACATAATAAAGAAACTGGGGATAATGTTGGACCTTTAGTCTTAAAGGTTGCTGAATAATTCGAAACGCTCCAATGATCATCTAGTATGTCTAGTTATTTGTCTCTATCATCATCAGATACAAGATTAACAATAAATTGAACAGAAGTTAACATTAGAACAATATCTTAATCTTATTTTTAAAATATCAATAGTAGAGTATAAAAATAGCTTCCTAACCTTTTATTTTATTTAGGTTGTATATAGGACTATTAACATATTTATGAAAAAATAAAAAGTTAGTCATCTTTCTGATCACTTAAAAAATCAAATCTATTAATCGGCCTTGATTTTTTGCTTATGAAAACTTGTCCTTTTCCTTTAGTTAACGTTGGAGGTAATTTGACGCCGGGTGTTAGATATGTTAAATCTTTTAACCATAATTTAGACTTGTCAGGAAAGCTTTCTATGTCAGTATTGTTATTGTTATCCTTAAATTTCGTGTTATGCATACCCCAATAGGTTGAGAGGTTAATAGGTTTGTTATCTTGAGCTTCTGTTGAATTGAGTGAGTCATTATTTTCCAATGATGTACAACAGAAATTATTTTCAGCCTCAAAGTAACTTTGCTGCGGATCGCTTGTTTCCTCGCTTGTTTCAAACTTTTCATCAACTTTATCTCTTTGCTCTTTGATTTCTATTTGACTTTTTCTACCTTCTTGAATGAAATATTGAACATCTTTAATTCCTTTCATTGTATAGTTTAAGAGATCGTTTAATAGGAATGTTATAAACTCTGTTAATATTTGAATGGCGAACAGTGAAATCAGGATAAATGAACATATCAACTTTAATAAACTATTGATTGAAGAATTTATTTCGAGTCTTTTCTCACGATTAGATATCATTTTAATCTTTCATTTGAATTTAATGAATTTTCTTGATTGCGTCACCTTGTTTGTAAAATATTTTAAATAATACAAATTACGCGCCATTTCTGGACATTACAAAAACTGTGAATTCAATTGATTATTGTTGACATTAGTAACGAAATTGCAAAAGGGTTATGTCTATTTGGTTGGAAAAAGAATTGGAATTAAATCGAAAATATGACGAATTGTAAATAGATTGTAAATTAATCTAAAAACTATTAACAAGTATATTGTTCAACAGACTGCAAAGACGCGAAGCTCTCTTAAGAGGTACTGAGCGATATTTCGATTCTCAGATGAGAAAATCATTTTCATTTGTGTCAAGTTATGAAAAAGCGAGGGAAAGAAATAACCAAATATGTGCAGTAAGTATAAATAAAATATAGTCAATCTTACGAATTTGCATCTAAGTACTAATTACGCAATAGCGTATAGAAGAATTATCACAAGACACGTTTGAGATAAATTTAGAAGATACACCAAAATTTAAAACAGTGAGGGTAAGCAAACTAAATGATAAAATATTAATTATCTATACGATTAATACTAAAAATTACATAGAAAAATTATTTGGCAATGATGAGAAAGACTTATCAACTCTGGTGTGATGAAAGCTATGATAAGTCATACAGGAGGGGAAGTCATACACCGTCACCGCCTCCTGGGAGACGATCAGGTGGCAGCCCAAGAAGATTAACCCCACGGTCAAGAACGCCCAGCCCATCACAAAAAAGGTTATGATTGCTTATTTACGAAATGTACACATCAAATCGATTACCTGTGACGTTTGTCAGTTGAGAGTCTCATTTAAATAATATCATAATCTTTTGGGTATAACAAGCAGCTGTTGGAATCGAAATAAATAGGGCTTTAGAATATTCGAATAGAAAGATCAATATAAACTTTTAAAGGCTCTCTAATTAGCACATTTTATTATATTTTAATTAGTGTTTATTTAAAAGTAACAGGGTGTGTCTTTAATCTACAAACTTTGTAGATAATCGCTAATCCAGCTATTCAGTTTATAATTTATTTGTTTTTTTTTTTGTTACTTTAACGCTTTACGAGCAATTTATAGATATATAATTGCTTTTCTGCTTGTTTTTCTTTTTGTCACATCTTCTCCATCTGCTTCAGCCATTTGTCCCATTCATCAAAAAGAATATCATCTGAGGGATTTCATCTTTCAGATGAATTTGGAACTGGTACTTTGGATATGAAAAGTTCTTTGAGATCAACAGGATCATTTGAGAGGAGATCGCCACGTACGAAGAGGGTTATTCCACGAAATTAACTATTGTTACTGATTGTTACTTTATCTATGTGTTCTTTCAATGTATTTTACTTTATTAATTAGTTTCTTTCTTCTTTTTGAATAGAGATTGAAACTTTTCTGATTGTTAAATTTTTTTAATAAAAAAAACGAGATACGAATATGAAAATGATAAAAGTTTGTGTTTTGTTTCTGTTATTAGCTCTTATTTAGGTTGCCTACGTAAATAGCAAATAATCATATTCGATATTTACAAACACCGACTATAGCGCTCTTGCTGTTAGCTTAATGAATATGAATTAATGCTACAGCTAAGGTATGGTATCGATCTCGGAAAATAATACTCATGGCGTAATAATAGAGTATGAATCGCCATTTTGTTTTCTCAAAGCACGCACCGCCTCTCGATAATAATCGGTTGTTAATGGGTTGTACACCGCCAGGTGATGGAGATGTTTGCCTAGCGGATTGTTTGCTATGGTTAGTTACTAATTACTTAACGACCCAAGTTTATTACTTAACTTACTTATTGAAGTTCTATATATACAAGGTTTGTATACTTAAGAGTTTCTATCCTTTAGTCGAGGAGCCTATACGCGCGGAGATATTTAAGCGTATATGTTTGTCATATGTATACGTCTCTATAACTTGGTGTAATTCGATTAAAAATAAATATTACCCATATCTATATAAATAACGTATGTTTATAAATATATGTTTGTATATATCTTATACATATTTACATTTGCACTGTTCAATTTGATATCAAACTCTTGTATTCAACAGTAAAAAAGTATAGATAAGATTTTGATAACATTCTTGACCTGAAGTCTTTTCTCTATCTAAATACGATTTATAAACAGGTGCCCTATTAATTTTAACATTAAAATGAATGAGGAGGCAAGATCGGATGAGAGCGACGCATCTGATGATACTATGATTGTACAAGATGATGTTGATGAAAATTTAGACGTTAATAGTTCATTCTACTTATACTTAAAGCAGTCGTCTTCCTCAATAAGAAATGAAAAATGCCTTCCAATTGCAACTATTAAACCTCAAATAAAGAAGAGGGACGTCAACGAATTGCAAAAGAAAATCGAAAAATTAGTGAGCATCAAGGAAATTCATGAAGATAGTGGCGTTGAAACGAATTCAAACGAATCCTGGGAAGAAACGAATGAAAATGGACTCTATCACGCTAGACGATTAGAAAATTTTTCAAGAAATACCCCTATATCCTCTGCAGTATCTCTTCCAAGTTCTTCTCATGGAATTAAGAGAACTATGTCGGATTCTCGCCTAATTAAACCAAGCATTAAATTTAATAGGGAAGACTGCTACGTCAGTTCAGTCAAGACTTTCGAAGTAATTCAAAGGCAAATGTCTTATAACGAATTTCATAGAACAGAATTTGATAAAATAGTATCCAGCTGCCGTCAGAGGCGGATAAACTCTAAACGAATCGACAATAAGCCAAAATCGATTTTACGAAAGAGTCAATCAGACATGGAGAGATTGAATATAAGCACTCAAGAAACAAATGAAGCCATTAGAATAAAAGAGACTTGCGTAGATGCTGATATTGAAGCACACTGTACTCATGCACATTTCAATGTACCCAAAACTGTAAAAATAACTACTATTTGGGATCGTAAAACAGGCACGTTATCCTCTTTAGTTTAATGTCCATTGCCCTTTTTTATCCCTTTTAAATATTACTTTAGTCGTCTTAGTGCCATACTGGAAATTGTCAATTTTTAACGAATTTTTGCTCTATATTTTATATTATGTTTAACTCTTTCCACTTATGTCGTTCAATTGCACTGATATTCAAGGAAAAAAAAGGAATAAATGAACACATAGGGAAGATTGATTTCCTGTTGAATTACCCTCTCTGCACGATACGATAATCTTTTGGAAATTGCTTAATTAATTAGACAATTTTTCATTCATTTATATTTTATTTTAAAAGGATTTTATTTACGATTAGTTTTTTAACCTCTATAGGATTTATGATAAATAAGAGAGGGGATGAGGATAGGTGTTACAGATGATGTCCTCTAGGTGGAGCAAATAATAAATCTTACGAGATTTGCTGTCTAAAAGTTGGTTGACTGAAAGTTTACAGGGCAAAAGGAAGAGTCCGATAAAGGGAACATTTCACCAGTCTTCGGTGTGACTGATAATAGATATTGATTGGATTCTAGATTGTCGTCTACCAATTTATTTTCTTCTAATAGGCATCTGCTATTAATGTTCTTTACTTCCTCGTCGGCAGTAAAGACAGAATCATCGGACCTAACTGAGTAAATACTTGAAGATCTTGAAGTAGATCTTGAGGTTATGAAATTAGCAAGAGGCACTTGCAAATTATTTGCAGGGCATTTAGTAATATCCTTGGTAGTGGTTTTTATACTGTTTAACGTCATTCTCTTGTTCTTCTTCGACGTTTTTCTCTTTGTTGGTATAAAATCGTTGATTAGTTGTTGTTTTAGGTTGTTTAATTTAGCTAGTTCATTAGGTATTAATTCTTTTTTCGTTATCTTTTCTGTTTTTTTTCTTCTTGGTGGTCTAATTGGTTTAAGAGATTCTACTCCACCTATAGATACATCAGGAGAGCTAATCGAGTGACTCCTTTGCTGAAAACTTCCAAGGGCCTTTCTTGGTAAATTTTCTGAACATGCTCTTCGCCTTGAAAATGCTAACGCTTCTTCTTTATTGTTAGCTCCTTCTATCTCGTTGCCCTGAGAATTAGCCCTGCACCTTCCTTCGGGTAGCTCATTAAGATCGTAGGGTATATCAATACCTTCTAGTTCAGCGAGGAGATCGATTGTATTAGTGCTTTTTGTTCTTGAGACGGTGTAAGATGATGAAAGCGTCTCTTGTCTCGATACTGTCTCTTTCCCAAGTACATTATCAACTTTAGCTTGCATGGATTTAGCTGTGTAAAATGCAGATGAAATCTTCGCAAGCGTTTCATAGAAAGATTTATCTATGCTCTTATTCTTCAAATTGACCTGATAGCCATTCCTTGGAATGATTAGCTTTGGGAAATTAGTAAAGTTTTCAAGTATAATATCCTCGCTATCTGTAATACACTCATCCGGCTCCCAGAGTTTCGGAAGAGATCTATTACCCTTAAGTTTATAATTCTTTAATATATAATATAATCTTTGAGAAGGAATAGATGGATATTTCCTCTTTAACTCCATCCAATTATTCTAAATAAATAACAAAAAAAAAATCAAGGGTTACAGAATAAATAGCTTAATTATAAAACACTACCTTACCTCTAATAATATGATTTGAGGTGTTGATAGTAAGGAAACTAACTGGTGTAAACCTTTCAATTTTTCATCTGCTTTAGTTTTTAAGCAATTATCGATAATCCATTCGCCAAAAGGATCGAGAAGCGTTTTTATACGAATTCCAAATTGGAAATTAAAATATTTATCTAAAATTAAAACAACGCAAAATTTTTGATTAAATATGCAAATTTTCGTATTTAATTACCATTTTGTAAGATTTCATTTAGAACTGTACAATTGATGAAAAATAATATACAATCCAATAAATTTCGAATTATATCTGAATGAATAAGACTCTTTTCTAGGATATCAACGATACTTTGTAGTAAATCAATTAAGTGAATATTGTCTTCATCTTCTATATCTTCAAAACAACAATTGATCATTTGATTAATGCACTTATTAAGTAATCTTGTCAAATAATTAATGGTAGTTTGAAAAGCTTTATGAATAGAATTTTGAAGAGATGATTCTACTCTTTGTTCAACATCGACTAAACGAAAGTCTTCCTCCTTCAATGAAGTTGAAGGATCCATAAGATATTGAGTTATATTTTTTTTTAAAAAGTAATAAAGTTCACTACAATTAGCCAACCAGCTGGACAGTTTGCTAAAATTTTGGTTAAATTCATCTTGTGAATCGACATCGTGATATTTCGGATCGAGATCATCAACCACTGAACTCAGATTCTATAAATAAACATTAAAAATGTATATTTGATTAATTAGGATTCTGATTTTTTACCTGTATACTACTTTGAATGGTTTCCGTAAGATCTATCATGAATTGCCTCGTATGTGTTTGCGGTTGATGAACGGAACAATATTCTATAGTCATTGCAAAGAAATAAACCGGAGCTAAACGGTAATATGTTCCATCTCTATCTATTAAGTCTGCAGCATATTGAATAATTTCCTTCGATTTATCGAAATCAAAAGCAAACTTATGTCTTTTTCTATCTTGATCGTAACATTCTTTCTTCATCTTTAGCCATCTAGCTACTAGTTCTTCCGTAGTATAATCTACAGTGTCTTCTTCGAAATTTAAAGTTTTAACGTTAGCCTTGTTTATAGAATCATTTGGGTCCTTCAAGGTTCAAGAGATAAATAAACAGTTTTTTTTTTAAGTAGAATTTCTTTAAATATAAATTGTAATTTTAATTTCACACTAATGACTTATTTCTTTAACCTTGAAAAAGAATGTAAAACATTCGCCAAATTGTATAATATCACCCGAGAAAACATTTGTAGGCTCTCTAATACGATTACCATTAAGCTTAACTTTACAATCCGCTAATGGTTCTACGCCCAGAAATGTTCTATCATTATTCCTGTGGATTGTTAACCAACAATGACGTCCACCAATATCTTCCTCTTGCAGAGGAATATCGCAACCCTGAGGATCGCTTCCAACGGTTAAAACTGTTCCGACTAGAGGGTGTACCATTTTTTCAGTTTCGCTATCATTTCCAGATAATAACAATAAAAATGGTTCATTTTTCGGCATTTTTACAATCTGACAATCGATTGATTCCGAAAAAGCAGCAATTGATTGAATGAAATTTTTTGATTCTAGACAAAAATTATATTCGAGCTAATATACCTTATACAAGTTAAATTGCAACATTTTACAAACCTTTTCTCTTCTTACTCTGGTTATCCTTTTTCTTTAATTCAAACCTTCTCATGTAGCCTTTCGATGGTCTTATAAATTGCTCCATGGAAACTGGCTTTTCGTTAGAATGCAGAAGCTTTCCATATTCTTCTATCCATCTTTCTGTGTTATATTTACCTATGACATCCCTCAATTCATACCTTGATACCTCATACTCAGGTATTCCAAACTTATTTAGCGCAATTTTAACAACATCATCAACAGATGAACTTTCTTCTACTTCTATGTCTCTATATTCAACAGTCTGCGAGTCTGATGACATGTTGAATACTTTTAGAGAATAGGAACAACTGTCATGACTGTCTACTTTCTTCAATTTGTTCATATTGTAATCAAACGAATTTATCATTTCTATGGTAAAAAAGATCTGAGCTTTATCTCGCTAATTTGCCGTTAGCGTGTGCTCTTCAAATACCGAATTGGTATGACCTTTTTGTAAAAATCCGATTTATATTTTCTCGTATTCTTTGTAATCGTATTATTTACAGTTGATAGAATTATTTTTAGATTATTTGCAAGAGTAAATAAAGCATATGCTTATAAATTATCTGCTTTTTTTTCGATGAAATATATACAATATTCGGTATACTTTAGTTATTAATCTATTCAGTATATATTGTTTCAAGTAGATGTTATGTGTAATGTGGAATTGAAATACACTATGGTCCTATATGTAATTTGAAACTGCTGCCTCTACTTTCTTTAGTCTAGATAATGGTTCCATCTTTGATTGCTTATTTTTCTGTCTAAATAAGACGATAACTTGAATGTAAATTATTGTCAAAAATTTTTCTACCATATTAATAATGTTACAAATATGAGGTTAAACTTTTTCATTTCATGATAAGTTCATAAAATCATATCATCCAAAACTGTATTTATCCCCCAAGTACTACATTTAACTGTTAGAGTTAGGTCCCTTACGACGTCCGAAAGTGGAAACAACATTGACGAATCGTCTGTTGTATTGAAGACGTCTCTTTGCGCGACCAGTCTTCTTCTTCTTCTTCTCTTGCTTGTCGACTTTGGGGGTCTGTCCCTTTACTTTACCAGCACGAGCCAAAGAACCGTGAACTTTACCACCGAGAAGACGGACTTCCAAATCCAAAGTAGACAATTCAGTGCATGAGTTCAATTGGGCATTATCTGCCAAAGGTTCACCAGCGGCGTAAAGAGCAAGCTCAGAAACTTGAACTCCTTCGGCTTCAGCCAATTTTGTCTTTAATCACAAGTTAATAAAGAAGAAATTATTGGTTTTTAGTTACAATTTACTTGAAAGTAAATGTAAATTACCTTCAAATCGTTGACATTTTCATTTCCAGTCAACTGGAGAGTGTGTGTAGTACGGCCTCGAACAAACAGCTGCATTATGCCTGTTTAACAAGAGCGTTTAAAGCAAATTTCGTTTCTGACGGATCTTAGTCTTAAGTATAGATACTTTTTACGTTTGGTTGTGTAATATGTAATTGTTTAACTACGTAATTCTTTAAAAACTTACACGTGCAGTTGCAATAACCAATATGGCGGCTAAAAAGGAAGACACGTGATTTGCGCTTCCGCACACCGGTTAACTATAAAACCGGTTAATCGTAAGAAGAACGTACGACTTGAATTTAGTGTATATAGTTAATTTTAGCTTAATGGATCAAGACGAGGCTCAGTACCTTTTCAATAAGGGTGCTACCATTGTTACAACTAACTTACCTGTTGGTTCAGAATTCGGTATAGATTGTTCATGTACCTGGAAGACATTTGATGGAGATATCGCCGGTATAAAAATGATTCCTCCGGGAGTACACCTTTTGTTCTGGAATTGTAATGATGACAAAATGAAACGACAAGGGCCAAGAACCAGCATATTAATTCATACTTCTCCGGGCGAAGTACTGGTGTGGAAATGGTTAGATTTGGAAGAGAGAGTTGAACGCGTTAATTTAACTGGTGACGAAGATATAGAAAGTAATAAGCAGAGTATTGACCATCGTTTAGTACCTTATCCCTACGATACGTATAGACGATGGATTTCTTTAACATCTGTTATAAATGAAAAACTCTTAAAGCGTTTAATGCCTGATTGTGGATATATGACATCAGTTCCGAATCTTATGCCTGAACGTTCAAATACTGCTGAAAGACAGGGCCGTTCAAAAAATGAAGGTCTACCAAATATGCTACCTTTTCCAGGGACAATTATAAATTGGTCTATTATTCAAGAAAAGGCTCGTCCTCCAAAATTCTGCAATAAAGAAGATATAACTAAGCATTGCCTGGATAGATCATGGCAACTTAAAGAGTTATTTCAAGAATCATCAGAAGAGGAGATATTAGGGGAATTACAGGCCACTTATGTGTTCCTATTAGTAGGCCATATTTATGAAGTGTTAGAAAAATGGAAAATTTTAATAAACCTTCTTTGCTCTTGTCGAGAGGCCATCGGTCTATACCCAAAATTCTATAGTAAACTCCTCACAATACTTTACTGGCAACTGAAAGATTTACCTGAAGAAATCAGACAGGATGCAGTAAATGGAGTATTATCATCTACTATTGGGCCTCTGCTCTCAGAAATAGTTGAATATGATGATGAAGACCTATCAAATAAAGCTGAAAAACTGTTGAACTGTTTAAAAACTAAATATGGAGTGAATTGGGCTTCAGAGCCAGACGATTGGGCTCCAACAATAGTTTCATAATACAGTATAATATGTTTTTGTTCTATAGATTTGATATAAATATATTCAAATATCTAATATAACCCTGGACATGATATTTCAACAAAAAACAGATTAATTATAAAACAATTTCTCAGAATTTAGGATTACTAAACTATCAATCAGTAAATAGTATGGAGAAAAAACAAATCACCGATAACAAGTGCTTCATCAAACGTTTTAAAAAGTGACCTTTTCATATAGATAAATAAAAATCGATCTTTAAGTAAGTTATTTTTGCTTATTAGGTTCTAAAATATCGTCAGTTTGTCAAATAACTTGTCCATAATGTTTAAAGTTAATGATGATCCCAATAACCAATTTAATTTGGTATGAAACATTTTTCTAATTTTTTGTCCACGTTCTGATTTCTTTAATGATCCAAAGTTGAGTTGAGTCTTCCTTGTCACATGTTACCAGTTTAAGCTTAAGTGCCCTAAATCCCACACATTTTCCACCGGTATGGCTGATTAATCCTGTTTCCTTATCCCATTTCCAAGGACCAGTTGGGTGAACAGGACAATAATTCAATTGTAGCACATTACCAGCTTCACGTATGCATCGCTCTCCAACTCCTATTTGTCCTTCAGCATTTAATCTGAACATTTGATTGCCCCCCAAGTGATGGCATGGTGAAACGCCAATAGCGCCACCACCCAGTGGTTGGCCTTGTGTGTCCCAACATTGTGGATTTGGTGAGTCTCTCTGAGCAATTTCCCCCCAACCAACGTTTGGTGGCAGGGGAGGAAATCGATCAAACACTTCGTATGCGATATTTTTCATAAACCAGTCAAAAGATCTGCATTTGTGCTTCTTCTTAAATTCTATTTGTTCTGTGACATTACCTATTGGATAACCTCTAATAGTTGGTTCTCTACAAAAATAAAAACTTGTTATAAGTTAATAATTATTTCCTATAATGTTTCTTACCTTGTATAAAAATATTCTTTGTATTTGTCGTCTAACCAAACTTCTACGACTCTCATATAATTGATTAATATAATTGGAATTTGTGGATTTATATTGCCAAATCCATAGGGCATGGAATTTCGATATACGTGGCCAACTCTTGAGCAAGGAACCCATTCAATTGATCCACCACATTGCCAAATTTTGAAAGATAATTCAAAATTTTCACCTCCCCATATTAAAAGACCTGGATCGTAAGCTCCAAGTTCAAAGAAATACTTCCTATCAATTGCAAATAATCCTCCAGCATGTGTAGGTGACCTAGAAGTTTAGAAAATATTTCTTATAGACGATTCGACAACAGAATATTAAAAAGTGTAAAAGCTGTTTAATTGATTTTCAGTTTATGTGCACAATATTTAGAAAGCTATTAGGACATTACTTTAAATATATTTTCCGCTTATCATTTCAACAACTGAGAATCATAAACAGCTTGCACACTTTTAAGTTTATAAAATTTTAGTTTATAAGAGGATCCAATCACCACTCACTGATAAGGCTCACTATTGTATTTTCTGGACCTAAGAACTTTATCCGGAACAGAGGATTCCTTATACAAAAATCCCCATTCAAAAATACCTCTATAATGCTGCCCGTCCTGATAAACAGGAGAATACCGAAATGTATTCCAATCTATACCATCTATGGTAGGAACAGTCATAATGGTTCTGAAAAAGATAAATACCAAAACTAAATAAAGATCCCCTTCACCTCGCACGTAAATTTGCTTCATAGATAAAATAAGATTAAGAAAAGCAATAGGCCGCCAAGAAAAAACTCATTAGGAAAGAGAATAAATGGGTAGTAATTTATCTCACCAATACGGTTCGCTAGCGTATTGGTGTCGAGATAGTTCTTTGACTGGTACTCGACTTTCCTTATATAAGAAGCCCCATTCAAATATGCCTCTAAAGTGCGTATTTTCAGCATAACTTGAGTGATATTGAAAAGTATCCCAATGTATGGCATCGATAACAGGTACAGTCATTATATGTCTATTGTGGAATATTTTAATATTTCCAACTTAATAATTAAAATAATTAAATTTCAAGTTTTAATACATGGTTAATCTAGTATTTGAAATTTTTTTTCTACTGCGAAAGTAGTGTGGAAACAAACCTGTCGTAAGAAATTCTTGCAAGAAGAGGAGGCAGCCAGTTTCTATTGCACTCGCAATGAGCGTCAAGAAACACAATAACATCACCGGTAGAATATTTAGCTCCCAAAGTTCTTGTTCTTATGAGTCCTAATCTTTCTTTATTTCTGTGCAGTTTGACTAAACCTTTAAATTGTGTGTCTATATAATCTTGTAGTTTTTGTCCTAAATGAGCCTTGCTGCTGAAATCATCAACCATAACAACTTCGTGAAGAAGTTGAGGAGGTGAGTTATCAATAACAGAGTGTACTGTTCGTAAAAGTGAAGACCATCCTTCATTATGAAAAACTATTATAACTGAAGCAGTTGGTAAAGTTTCGGGATAATGCCAGTATTTGCATTCGTCTAATCTAGTATCAGGTATGTTTCGATTCATAGATATTTTATCACTTGCGACCATATTAAATCCAAATTCACTGATTGATCTGTTTAAAAAGTATATAAATAATACATTTCTATTTAATAATTATTAACAAGACAAGTTACTTAGTACTTTATGTATAAACAAACTAACTAAATAAATGTATTTAGTCGATAATCGAAAATCCGCTTCTTACAAAGTTTATGTGATTATCGTCTTTTTTTTAGCATTTGCATATATTGATTTATAAAAACTCCTTCTTTTATTTATCACCGCAGTTTTCTATACTGAACTTTAATAAATTACTTTTATCTACATGAATAATTTAACGGTTTTTGTCAGTTTGGATATGTATGCATCATAGTGAAACTCATTTACCTGTCTGCCTCTGATCTCTCAGACATAGATATGTAGACAGGCTTTCCCATTTCGCCAGCTCCTGTTTTTGGCTCAAATTTTGGCTCATAGTTTCCTATAATACCATCTTTGAACACAGACTTGGGCCCATAAACAACCGGTTCAAAACCAATTGGGGCAGAATCTTCATTGTCTGTAATACCTTCTTGTTTGTGAACGTTTTCTTGTCTCTTATCTGGTGGAGGTAATTGAGCACCTCCATCTTCTTCATTAAAGTTGTTTCCTTGGTCCTGATTGATTTTCAAATCAGGAATGTTGACTTTGGAATCCTATATTAGATTTAAAATCGATTTTTTTTTAGAATACCACGTGTTATTATCATCAATGTGAAATACTGTGAAACTTACAATATTATTTCTATGAACTTCTTTTTTAATATTATCCTTATCCAATCTATTTAGCCAGAGAGGTAGAACAATCAATAACAGACCAAAAATTGCTACCACCTTAAGTAACAGTCTCAGAGTTAACCTCATTATAACAAATATTCACATAGACACAAAAAAGAATAGACTTCGAGAGATTATTTCCTGTTTCAAGCTACTTTTAGTACTCAAAACAAAGCTAATTTTTTCAAAGATCTTTAAATATCACTCAGAAAAATCGGTGTCTTCAGAAAATTGCACCTTTGATTACATAAATTTTAATCCTATGATCTGCAGGGATTTTTAATTGTTAGTATACATTCAGAGATGTTGTACCAGATAATAGCACAAAGCAGAGGGTGACAATTTCCAAAAAAATTCCACGTTCGATAGTAACACGGATATGGTTTCTAGCAGCAGTTACATCCGCCTCCAAAATATTGGCGGGAATTTCAAAAATTCAATTTTTTAGGATAGAAGTCAGTGGAATATATGTATGATAATAGCTAAATTGTTCTAATGGATATATCAATGATAAAATCGTTTATGTGAACGAAGATGGAAGGTTAAATATTTAATTAAGTCTATACAGATAAGAAATGAGCTTTCTCTTCCAGGCAACTTTTTCTAATTATTCTAACTTTGCTAAAGATTATCACGCTCCTTTGCACGTTTTATAACGTATTAAATAAGCATAATCCTCTGCAGCCAATTTCACCAGCAACTGTAAAAGGTAATCAGGGCAACTAGTAAAAGTAAACTGACTGAGCTACTGCCATTTTCGTATGCTTAAAGTATAATCAAATATTTTAATAATTCATTGAAATTTATTTGCTATTCATGCGTTGTATGATTCCAGTTAAAGTTTAATAATAAAAAATACTAGTATTAATCGTTCTTTGAATATTTTCAATTCAATATTGAATGTAAAACATTCAGTCCGAAATGTACAAGAAGCGCCATCTATTTAGTTTGTAAATTTCTATAACCCGCTTCGCACGTGTTTTGAAAGTTTGTTGAAATTATGGATAATTCACAATTCGAGGTCGTTTTCTTTATTGGTCCTCCACATTGTGTAGGTTTTGTCTAAATCACTTAAAATTTTTATGTATTGTTGAGTACCCGTTGACTATTACAGGGAAAAACTCGGTATTTTCTAGATAACTTAAAGGATAAATCAGACTTTATAAGATTCGATCCCAATTATTACTTTCTAAAGAATCCAGACTCATCGTTCCGTCAAGGAATTCTAGAATGTGTAAACATTCTAAAGAAGAACAATAAAGTAGTTATTGATTCTGAGAATCTAACGTTAGCAGAACGAAGGTCTTTTACAGATTTGATAAAACGCAAAATTAGGTCAACAATTGTTTTCAAATGCATTATTTTTCAACCTCAAAACGGTCTTTTACAACTTCGATGGGCACACCAAGCCTACTTATCATGCGAAGGATGCAGGAAAACTCAATCATTAGATATAAAAGAAAGAATAAGGCATTTTTTAGAATTTATTCAATCTGATAGACACAAATCAGGTTTGATATCAGGTAATAAAATGTTTGAAGTTTAGCAATTTCCGACATTTTTATTCTACAAATAAATCTATTAAGAACACGTGTTTAGAATAACTATTTTGGAGTAATTTCCGTCATTTTTCCCCTTATAGATGTCAATAAACCATCAACTACAGAATTTTCAGAGCAGGAGGAAAAAGTTCTACCCTTAACAATATGTACAGTATATCAAGTAATTATTTAATTACAAATATCTATATATATACAGTATATACCTTTACTTTTTTAGTGGGTAATACCCGTATTATTTATCGATTACAATATCATTGACTTATTAATTGAGAATGGAGATGAAGATCTATTCCTTGATGCTATTAACTTCTGGCTGAGTAGGAATTCAAATGGAATTTTATGTTTAATTAAAGATTCAACTAACAATGATTCAATCCCATCAAAGATTCAACAAGTAATTTTAACATTTCAATACTATTTAGAATAAACATAATTTATCTTAGATGCCATCTGCTATTTATATCATTGAGGATAAAATGAACAAATCTTTGACGGATAAAGTTCAAGATTCAATTGCCTACATGTGCTGTTCATTGTATTTGAATATAGCTCACAATGCATCTTTATACATTTACAAAATTGTTGAACATTCAAAAGCGGCTCACAAACTTGGCATGAAAACTATTAGGGTTTGTTTTAAATCCTAATTGTTACTTTATAATTTTAGTAATATTGATATTTTATAAATGATAGATTGAGGATGTTTTAAAGAGCATCAATTCAGTTAGTACTTTGGCCTAGGAGTAATGATTTGATTATCTTAAAACTTTTCCATCCTTCCAGCTTGTAATCCAAAGTCGCTGTGCAAGATCCAATGGTCAAGAATTTTGGAAAAGTATACAATACGCTAAACCCCTCCATGAGCAAAGTAATCAGGAGTTAGAAGAAGAGCCATCGCTATTTTTAAAGACATCAATTGGAAAAGGAATAGTGACTGAATGCCATAAAAGCATTTTACTTACTGGTCAACCGGAATTTATTTCCGGCGAATTCTCAAAGAAATACAGTGATTCTTTGAAAAAATTGAGGAATACCTCATTTTCAAAAAGATCATTTGTAGAAGATAGTTCATCATTTTCTAGTGAGGATTTAAATACTTCAAGGTCTCTAAAACTATTATAATATGCTTCTAGCAATCAAAATAGAGTACAATTAAATGCAGTAATATACTTTCAGGAGCTGCAAAAGGAAACGAATGAAATTGGCAACTTTTGATGAAGTGGCAAATGATAGCTTAGTTGAGGAGACTGCCAGCTCTAAAACAAAAAGCACTAAAAGTCCACTAAGTGTTCCTGACAGTTTAATTATGGAAAGTTCAATATCATCAGTAAGCGTTCGCCAATCAAGTGGCTCTGTCCGAGATAGTTTTGTTAGTGAAACTTCTATATCAAAGGATAATAGCAGCAGCTTAAAAATATCAGATGACTCATTTGTAAAAGACAGTTCATTGAGTCAGCAGAATACTCCATCAAATGCATCAATACCAAGTACAATTTTACTTTCGAGTAATGTACCAGTATCTTCCAGTATATCATCATCATCATCAGACAATATTGATGCGTTCTTTGAGAAAATGTTCTCCTAGCTAATAAATAAGAAATATATTTAATTTCAAGACCAAAACATGACTCTTTTCAAATTACTTAAACACTGAATAGTACTTATATACTGTATATATATCAAATTTAGATGAAAAAAAGTGTATTTATAAGCCTACAATTATGCACATGTACTTTCTTTTGAATCATCAATAGCTATTTAAGTTTCAATAAAAGACTTATGACAAAATACCATTTCCTATTTGAAAGTTCAGTTCATTGCCCGTAGTTCAACCTTATATACCAGCTTGAACCTATGAATGGAGTTAGTTTTATTTAGAAATTGTTTTAAAAGAAATCCAGGGATCAACTACAATTGTTATTAATAAGACAAAGCTTCTTTGGGAAAAACGAAGTGTCAATTGTAAGAGATAGTGTTTACTATTCATAGGATAACAATTAATGAACTTAACTTTGATGATTTAAAAGTATAGATAGTATTTCATAAACCTACTTGTCTTAATTGTAATGTTACGCAACTACACTGTATACTTTACCTGCTAAAATCATATTGACACTTTTTGTTTATTCATTATTCTTAAACGGAAACGTCCATTTCCTCTGTACTGTATAAATTGTCCTAGTTATAATACTATACGATATATTATACTGTTTAACATTGCATTGCTGACTTTAGCAGTACTTGACTATAATGCTCTATCGATCAGACAACTTAACGACGTTCATGATCATTAATTTATCTTATAAATTCACGGTTGTTTCTTAATTAAATCTAGTTAAAAAACCGAAAAAAATTGATTGGCTCTTCCCCAAGAATGATACCTCATTCAAGTGGGAGCAAACATGCAAAATTGAATATTTTACTACTCTAACAACAATTAGAATGTTCAAAAGTTCAAAGTTAACACTAAATGCACACTTTAAAGCATATAGGTGTGCTCATATTGGGTAACTGTTCTTTTGATCGTACGCCATCTATACAGGTTTAATAGTAATTAACAGGATTCTTGACGGTGCTGCCCCTAAATCATGGAAAACAACGTGATAAAAGCACACCTAGTATTTCTGAAAGTATCCCTGTTCGAGACAGCTTTGTTAATGGTACTTCTTTGTCAAAAGAAAATGGTAACAGTCTAATTCGACGACTTGTTTGCAGCAGACAGTCAATTAAGCGAGCATACTCCATCAAACGCATCAATATCTAGCACAGTGATACTCTGAAAAACAATATTATTGAGTTAATTACCATCGCTATCAGTGTCAAAACGTGATAAGTTTAGACAATAAGTTTTCGAGTTAACATTTTCAAACCCACGCAACGGCGTAGGTATTTGTTTGTTTTTATTTTTGCTTTAAACTTTTTGTATATTTTATGTATATTTTATTTATTTTTTATATAAATGACACAGTCACTATCTGTCATGATTTTTCCGTGATGGCTTTAGTAAGATTAGTCAGACATTCACTTGAATAACTACAGTGATATAACTAAAAAAACGCCATCTATAAAGGGCCGTGGGGTAGCTAATTTCACACTAGATGGTGCTGATGCATGAAAACTTTATAAAATGGCCGTTACGGGAAAGGTGTAACAAAATTTAGTCATATGAGAAAAAGCGGATATATGTGGCAAATATGATCAACTCCCACTTCATCTTTATGTTACTCTCAACTTATTTTATCTCAAGTCAGACACAGGATATAGTAAAGCCCAGGAATATCGTTGTGACACCAGAAATTTCGAATTTTAGCTTCAATTGCTCTGTTAAACATAAAGCGATAAAAACAAACGAATCAAAAAAAATTTTCTGGTTAAATGAAATTGGGCCTGAGTACACAGAACACTACAGAAACGTTGGAGATGAAACTTTTTACACAAAAAAAGCAGATGAATACGAAGACGATACCTATTTTGAGTGTGTAGAATCTTTCAAGGAAGAAAGCTACAGAGCAGCCTTCGCTACCTTATGTAAGTTAACAATAACTTAGATAATAAATAAGATAATCATTTTTAACAAGAGGTCTTTTTTTAAACTAACAGCGGATTTTAAATGTGATGCTAAGGAAGCAGTAAAAGAAGGGGAATCAGTTGGCTTGAAACTGTCCATACATTTTACCCATTTCTCGCCAACTATTATATGTGATGTAGGCTTGAAACTTGATAGTGCAACAACAGATCCATTTTACGAAAATCTCAACTCGCCCAACGTAAAATTACGTGGTCTCGTTACTAATGAACTTACAAATATTGCGCATAGGTCAATGCAAGGCAGAGAATTAAGATGTAGATTTGATTATAAACCAGATGAGAATATTTTACCCATTGAATCAAATCACTTCAAACTTATACCTACTGCAGGTCGTAATTTATATATTGACGAAAAACAGCCAAAACTAACTTTTAGCAAATTCATCTGTAAAAAGAATTTAAATGTTGAGTGTAAGTTAATCTTTAATATAATCCATTAAGTATAATGTTAAAAAATTATATCTTAACGCCCACTTTTAATTTCAGATTTGGATGATTCTGTGAAAGTAGAGATTGACGAAGACAGAGCTATATGTAAATATGACTCCAATCCTAACATCGTCAATATAACCTTTATCATCAGATATACCAACGGAGTAAGATATTAAGATATTAATAAATTATTCACTTTCTTATAGTATAAAAATATTTTTTAAATTGAATGAAATTAGAGTCAAATTGTTAAAAAACTGCAATCGAGGGAGTTGAAGTTTGAAGCATACCTTGAAAGCCCTATCACTATCTCATGTACAGTATCAGTTATGTTTTATGATGGAACAACCAAAGAAAAGAGTAGCTCTTTTAGTGAAAAAATTCGACTTGGTAAGTTTACTAAATTATCATATTTAGGCCTATGCATATTCTTAAGCTACACAATAGTTAAGAATGAAATTTTTTGTATTGAAATGCAATCGTAGTATAAGATAATTGAAATTTCAGTTGAAAGGACCACGATAGGAGAATCTATGGAGTCCAGTACCATGTTGTCAACTGCTATCTTAGGTAGCATCGGCAGATTTAGTTGTAGCTTGTGTGGCTTCTATCTTAAAGACAGCTTGTAACACAGTTCATTATAAAACTTAACAAAGAGCTTTATACATTTTTTTGATGTGATTAACAAGTTAAACACTTTATTTCAGAAAACACTGACAAGTCTAGCAGTGGACTTAGCGCAAGCAGTCAAATTGGGATAGCTGTTGGAGTGACAATGGCTATTCTTGTTATTCTTGTTGTAATCACTGTGATAATATGCCGAAGAAAGGAAAAAGAAAAAAATAAAGAGATGGCAAAAGATATTGGGTTTGTGGTTAACAAACAGGAAGGTTGTTAAATTAAATGTTTGTACTTATTACTACAGATCGGAGAAAGTTGCTCGAGACCTGAAACCTCAAAAAGCAATTACCAATGATGTAAGTCATTTTTATATATTAAACCTACGCAAAATGTTTTAAATAAAAAAAAAGAGCTCCTAATCCGACTGCTTATTTTAATCGAATAGGAGTGCAAATTTTTTATAACAAAAAAAAGAGAGGAAAAAAAAAAGCATGCGCCTCTAGATGAAAGTTTTTAAAATTTTCCAAGATAAATTATTGATAAATGGTTATCTAACAGGTTTATGAGGAGGAAGAAGAATTTTTGTATCATTCTAACTATGATGAATGCAATCAGAAAAGTGTTCAGAATTTTATATAAATAAAATATTTTTTGTCTTTGCTACAGTCGGATAGAGTAGTCTGCGCCGATGAAGATGGCTCTGCTGTCATTGTGGACACAAAAGCCAATAGCCGGAAACCCTTATACCCTCTGGATAATGTAAACTTATCCTCTGGGAATGACGGTATAGCATCGTCCATTTACAGCGAAATAAGACCACAATTTTACGGTTTTGAAGAAGCTGCGAGTGGTGCTAGCGTTATCTATTCGAATGTTGATAAAACGACTCCACCGCCTCCATATAAAATACCTTATTCGTTAGCATAATAGCATAGTATTGTGAATATTTTGTAACCTTGTGTTTATCTTATCAATACTTGATTCCGATATATTATCCAGCATAGCTTGTTCCTCATGGTCGCTAATTTGCTTGTAAACACACTTGTTTTTCTATGTTTTATGCGGTAAAGCAGAAGATTTATTCCTCCATTAGGATTGTCGCAATGTATTATTTAATTTAGTAAAAAATCGGTTCTTGTATTATTCAACATTTTCGGATTCGTTAATCTTTTTCGAAATTCAATTTCATTTTATATTTCATTTTTATGTTAAAACTGTAGTATACTCTCATCATTCTTGTTTTTAGGGATCAAAAACACTATGCAAATCCAGCTCTATATAATTATCATCAACCATTGTTTAAGTCTTTTTATATGCTTTTATACAATTTCTGTCCAAAAGTTGAATTTTTTGTTATATTTTTCACCTAATTTAATAAAAACTTGAATTTTTAAACAGTTTTTAAGTTTATGCTGAACTAACTTTGTTGCAAACCTTGAGAGGATAAATATTACTACTGTTAAGAAATCTATTAGTGTGGAGAAGGGATTAAAAACACTTAAGATTTTAATCCGGTCGCTATAGTTTTTAATTTCATTTGTCATAATTATAAGTTTTCAAAAAGACAGTGTTTTAAACAGGGTGTTTGTTGAGTTGGATACAAGTGGAATAGAGTATATAGTATAATAGTAGCGTTTAAAAGACTTAAATAAAGGAAATGTAGCTGTTATCGAGTTTATAGTGTACTACTATTCTTATATTTTAGAGGACTATTGTAGACTGTTAAAAACATATTTTAGTCTAAAATTTACAAATTTACAAATTGTAAATTAAAATGCTTAAAATCCAGATTGCTGTTAAGTTTGCCTTCAAAAAACTAGAAGTTGATCCATCTCTAACTGCAATTAAAAGTAGACTCAATTTAATATCAGTTTATATTGTAAATATATAAGTTAATCTCTATCTAAATCGTATAATTACAACAACTTACCAACATAGGTTCTTTCACTATACTCGCTGGATTTTATAGAAAATGATCCATCGTAAAAGTCCACACGTACATCGCAAGAAATTTGTACGTATTTATTTTGATATTTTTCGATATCCAGTACATTTGTTGTTGTTGATAATTTTTCTGTATTCTGAAATTTAATAATAAGGATGTTAGTTAATTGGATAAATAAATTAAAATTATCAGTTGTAATTTTACATTTTCATCCTGTTTTATACTCCACGTAATATTTGATGATTTAGGATATGAATCATATTCACACAAAGCAATAATTCCGTCTATAGAAATTGTTATATTCTGAGCTCCATCTATGAATAAGAACATAGAAATTTAAGATATAATTGACTAAATTTTTTGTTTTAATTTTCAATAGCGTGATACTACTCACATTCAAGCTCAACTTTTCTCTCGCATTGGAAACTAGCCCCAAGTAACTTGGGTTGTTTTGTATCAATGGAATGTTTATTGGAATCAATTTTTTCCTGTATATTTCTTAAATGGTCTAATTCTTCGGTTAAAGAATCCTGACTTTCATCATAAAAAATTTCACATTTCAATGTTTGACCGTTCATTGATTTTACCACTGAAGCGGTGTGATTAAACGATGCTTTCCCTTGAAGTTTTTCCTCCTGATTATTAATATTATCATAGTCTAATTTAGTACTAGATGCTAATCCAAGATTACATTTGGAAGTAGGCGAAAAATGAGTAAACTTAATTGTCATGTCAACAGTCATAATTTCCCCCTCTCGTACTTTTTCAGGTATATTACAAGTAAACTTAGCTGAAATTAACCATCATATCATTTAGTATATTATAAATATATCATTGTTAATACGTACAGAGAACAGAAAATACAGCTCTTGCCCTTCTGGAAAATGGAAAAACAATACAGTCGTGATACGTATCATTTACATATTGTTCAGCCGGCTTCGTATAAATTACACTAGTACCATTCGCTTCATAAAAAGCTTGATACTCTTTTATAATTTTACTTTTAGACATAATGAAAACATCTTGTCTTGTTGCGACTCCTTTTTCGTCTTCGCCAACAACTTCACAGTCAAAATTAAAGTGACTAGTTTCGGGAGTAACAGCGATATTTCTTGGTACTTTTTTAAAGAATTCGTCTTCTTGAAAAGAGCAGCAAAGTAAACAAGAAATGATAAAATTTTTAAAAAGCATGGCTATAAGGTGACAATTAATATTTCCGCTATCTGACTCGATGAAACAACTCAACAGAACACATTTATATTCGTATAAAACAATTTTCTTAACTTTATAAAAAACATTATAATTTAATTATTACTTTGATTTATAATAAAATATTATTTATTATCAAGATTAATAATTTAATTAAAAATGATGAATTTTTTCACTTTATAAAAAAAATGTTCTAGAACATTTTTAAACTTTTTTTTGTTGTATTCAAAATGGATACCTGGGTAAAAAGAATCTTTTACTATTTTCTTGTCTATTTGTGTTAATACAATAATTGAATTGGAAATAAATTGATCTAATCAGAATAAGTAGGGTTTTATAATCGAAAATAGAGTAGCTTAAAATTACAACCATAATTAGTCGCTTAACAGAAGAATAAATACTTAATCATTTGAAATTCGATAATCGATAAGATTTGCGTGAAACAAGATAGCCTCCTTTATCCAATTCGGTTAGTTTGAAAGCCAAATTATAGGATTTGATTAGAAAAGGAGAATAGTACTTTTCTTGGTGTTTACATAGTGTGCCATCTATTGGAATTAGAGATACAAGTATTCTAAAAAGATTAAATGATACTTCTTTTCAATTCTACTTTAATAGTCTTTGTATGAAATTTACAGGAAATTCCTGTTTCTTCTTCTAGCCTCATCTTTCAGTTTGTTAATTGGAATTTGCGAGAGAACTAATCAAAGGATACGGAAGTATTCGTTTTTCAAAGGAATGAAAAGACTCTTCCCTTTGGTCAAGAACAAGTGGAAATATAATAAACAGAATCCTGCCTACGGAAGACTTTAATAAAAGAAAAATCAAGTAGAAAATATGACTGAGGAAAAAAAGTAATCAATAAAAGTCAAATAAAAACTTGGTGAGTGACTAGACTGACAAAAGGCACCTAACTGGATCAGTTTACGTTCTGTTTGTATATTATCAATTTTCCCGAGTCATTTCTATTAGGGGGATATGTAAATAAGGTATATCGTACATTCTGCAACAGGCAACCATATAATTCCTTAATAAATATGGTGATAAATTCTTCACGAACTGAAGTTGTATATATTTATTTACCGGTAGAATTTTTACATTATTCAATGGAACAAGATAGAATAACTTACTTCCAAAATCTCGATTAGATTTGTCAGATTGGCAACTGGACTACGATTATCATAATATAGAGAAAATTTTCTTGTTATGCCTGTTTCTTCTATCATTTCTTATCAGTTATCGGCAAACTTTTTATTCTCTTTGTATTTTAAATCAAGAAAGTAGACTTGTTAAATAAATTACAATGTATTGAAACTAGAAATAACAAAAGAGTCACTTTATTTTTCATTATACTTCATCCAAATACCATGAATGTTATATAGAGTTAATGGAAATTCCTTTTGGCTTCAAAGTGACCGGATCTTAACTTTAAAAACATTTTGTTGTTTTTCAGTTCATTTAATCATTTTGAAAATGTCTAAAAAAGGAAAAATTTACTCTAAGATAAATGGACAAGCTAGTGGATATTGAATAAAATGAAGTTGATTGAATTTTTTTCTATCCAAAGTATTATTTATTTATAGATTCATTTTAAGTAGATATGATCAGGCATTTTTCTAATTGGTTATTGATTATTATTGTTCTTTTTTTTTTTAAATAATTATATTATCGAATATTTATTAAGAAATATATACTTCAAATAGATCTATTATCTGAATATATAAATTTGATATATGCATATATATTGTATATATCTGTATATTGTTTATTTGTATATATTTCTGTACAGATTGAAATAAGAGAGTTAAAAAAAAAATCAAATTTCATTCTAAAAATGGCACCAATATCTTCTTTTCTTTCTTTTTATTTTTTTGTACAGTTAATATTAACAATTCCTAACATTTGTTTACAGTTTGAGAAGCAGTTATTCTTTAACGTCGAAGTTCATCATCGTATGAGGCATGAGAATTATATACCTTTCTAACAGTCATCTTTAATCGTACATCTTCGGAAGACCTTCCTCTTTGAATTTTTTCTAGATGTTTTAATTGCATGATAGCTAAAATGATAGCTATTATCTCCAATAACCCTACAATAAAGGCTATAAAGCCGATAACAGTTAAGTTATTTTTAAACACGTTCATGAGGTAATAAACGCAGCCTTTTGTTCTTATGGAGTATGAAGCATATTGTACCTGTTGTGACACAAAATGAGTGCATAAAAAAAATAGTCGGTAATTTATCGCAGATAAATTGTAAAGATATTAGATCACGTGGCAAACTGAGCTTTTTGCAAACTTTATACTTTTGTAATAAAAGGCCAATAAATAAGTATTATTGATATAAAAGAAAGAGAGAAGAATACATAAATGATCGCATAGAAATTAACTATTTATTAACTTTTTCATATAAAAAACTCCATTCCCATAAAAAGTAAAAGGATAAGGCCTATATGATAAATTGCATAGATTACCTTGACTTAAAAGACTAAAGATCAGTAATCTTTATCATCTCCTAATTTTTAATTGTCAAGTTTTACCTATATTTACACTTTATGTATAAATATATATATATATATATATATAGTATTGCTCCTATTGACCTATTTGCATTTTCAAGGGCGTTTGTTTTCTCAGCATGAAATTTAGGTAAGGTAGTCTAAACTACCTGTTCTATATCGCCATGTACCTAAAGAAGGTCATTTTATTGCAACTAGAAAGAGTAATATAGTATTCTAACTTTATAAATAATAACGTACACATTGTAAATATACATATTATATATGGCTTGATAAGAAAAATTGAAATTAAGATTGTAGTATATTTTTAGTTTGTCCTAAAAATAGTCAAACAAGTTCTATTATGATTTTTTTTCTTTTTTCCTTTTTCAACATTTTTAGAGAATAAAAGTATGTTTTTCTTTTGAGAAAAGATTAGTGTAGTACGCCTTGCATGACTCCCAGCAAAGAAATTCGAGTACATTGTCATGATTTAACCTACATTAAGACTTATATATTTGATATATTATGCATGCGTAGGGTGAGGTGCATCTGCCAATTGCTAAAAGGCAGATAATTGCTAAATTACAGTTTCATTTGAAAAAGCAGTTTGACATTTAAAAAAACTCAACGTTTAAAATGGTTAGGTTTTTATCATTCCTTTTTAAGATGGTAAATTCAAGTCAAATTTGTCATTATTGTTAATATCTTCAAAATGTTCCATTCTTATTGTTAACAATTGTCTCTGCATGAATAATTACTTTATAATGAAATTGAAAACGTTTGGCAACAATTTGTGTATATTGACACTAAATCAGCTCTATTTTAACAAGTAGAGTAATAGTCTTATAAATAATGTATGCGATACACGTTAATTGATTTCCATATTCAATTTCCAAATGAGTAAAAGATTAAACTATTGTTTGTAACAGAGAGCAATTTTAAAGCTATCACGTGATTTTTTTCGGTTCTTTATACTTACTCCATTAATCCTTGTTTGGTAGCCACAAGTAGGACTGTTATCAAGCTTGCAACATGAAGTTGGAACTCCACATCTTGACGGGAAGTTTGCGGAACTTTTATTAAAGAAAAGTAGATTAGTTCAAATATGATATAACTTGATTATACAGTATATCGCAGCGTTTTTATTAATAAGAATCGTTCTAATATCGAACGTCAAATGAAAAAAATATTTGTCTATGTCCTGCTAAACCATTAAGAAGTATTGAAATATTTTTTATCAGTGCAAACAAATAGATTTGTTAGGAATCCTTGGGAAAAAAAGGGCTAAATCATTGATTACCTCTAGCTGAAATGAACCTGTACTTAGTTTAGAAAAGATCTATTTATAGTTGTAAACGTTGTCAGTATTTTTTTAAAAGAAATAAATTGCCATCAAAATATCAAGAGTTGGCAAAAATTACCAAATTATAGAGAAAGGGAAAGGATAACGTAAAACCATTTCCCTAGGGTGTAGTGTGGCTAACGAGCGCATACAAACAATTCGTTCCAGTTCGTTCCACTGTTGCTAACAGTTCGTCCTATTTTTTTTTTAATATTACTCATATTCTAGTTTTTTATGAGAAAAAAAGGAGAGAAAATACATAATAAGAGGGAAATTTATTCGTTTTTCGTTTAACTTATTCAAAATAAAAAAGAAAAAATGCTATAGTAAAAAAGTACCTATAAGCGCATCCCTCTGGTAAAATCGATAGGATTGTGTCAAGGCTGAAGGTTTTATTGTTCCTTCACATAAAGCTAAATCTATCAATCTCCTCCTAATTGATCAATGTTTGTTTATTCAGCTCCAAGAGGTAATCTTATAGTTTTAACAAGATTAAAGAAATTCGTTGTCTTTATGAGAAAGAAAAGGGTGTTTTTTTTCCTCTTATTTATACCTAATAAGAAGAAAATTCTACACTTACCAATTATATAGCTTATTTAATTGCCAGTCGTCATAGGATTTGGCACCGCAACATTCGAATCTCTTTTGCACATAATCAATATCGTCAGTAAATTTCTTTTCCGCACCGTAGAGTTGTATCGCATTGTACAAATCTTCAACCAACTCTTCTTCCAATCTATTTGATAGCGAAATGGTAAATGAACCAGCCGTCAATTCTCCAACGAAAACGGCAGCCGTCATTAAACAAAAAGTTTTCAGCAGGCATATATTTTCTCTCAATGAGCCTACGCAACCAAACGCGCTCATTATAAACATTATGACCCCAATTAGAAGTAAAATAAGTGCTGGATCATTGGTGAACGAGTTAAATGTGTCATACCGTGATTTTTCCAATTGAGCCCAAGCTCCTGCCGACATTAAACATACTCCTCCCACCTGTTAAGATGCAAATTATTCTTTAGCCGTCTATGTAAGTAATATTAGAATATTTTGTTTGCTATTACTCTCTAGTCTACTTACAAAAAAAGCGGAATATTATTTCAAAGCATTAAGTGATTTAATTGAAAAAATGTTGACCCTTACTCATTATGAATAGACAAAGTGACTCCAATTTACAATAACCTCTGTACGTAATCAATCGTTAAAAATACTCTAAGGGTTCTGAAACACGTTCCCCGCTTTATCAAAACTACTTTTTTATTCAAGACTAATTAATGAAGCATTTCCAAAGGGTCTACACACATGCACGATAATTAATAGTCATCAATTATTCTATTTACTCTTAATATGAGAACTTTGAGGCTATTATATAATTATATATAATGAAATATAGGCTAATACACTAATATATCTAGGATAAGATTTTGTTTTTTTTTTTTCCTTTAAAATGTTAGAGAAAGCATTCTACACATTTCTCAAAGGTCTATAGAGTGAAAGAGAAAACGTGTTAAATGTCTAAAATAGATGGGTAATCAAGTGATGCTTTCAGTAAATAGGAAATACGAACCCACACGAAGAAATTGATAACAAAAACACAATATTTGGACCAGAAACTACAACGGAAGATAAGTCTTGAAAACGTTGGATTCCTGCGAGTTTCAAAGTCGGAAGACGGAATAAGGACGTGTTGGACGTTCATTGTCATTATTCCATTTAGATTCTCTTTCTTGTTTTTTTTTAACTATCGCTTTAGCTTCGACTTTCTTATTTCTTCCCTCTTTTCCTCTCTCTCTCTCTCCTTACCTCTCTCGCGCTCTCTCTCTCTCACACACACTCTGTTTGTCGTTCCACACTGCTTCTATCTCCTTCTTTCAATCCTTTCAACACCTTTAATTACATGTCTCTAGTGGTAAAAACATGATCATAAATACATCAATATTCAGCTTTTAACAAACCTATAATCGACATCATATTTTCTTTGTTTATTCTAGTTATATAAATCGAAAACAGATAAGCGTCGAACGACGCCTTCTTACGAACGCCGTCTTCAACGCACTGAACTATAAGCATCGATTACGTACGTCTCTGTTTCAAGAGCCATCTATCGGATGAGTTGTTTTTTTTTCAAACAATAAATCAGGCTGTATATTATTAATCTTTCCTGTCTAGAAAATATTTCAATGAATATTCTATTAATAAGATATCAGAAACTTATAATTTTTTATAAATCTTAAGACCCTTGAGGTTGGCCGATTGCTTTTTAATAATTGAAATTTCCTCTCTAACTATTTCAATTATTTTCTAGGCCTAAACTTTTGTGATTTGTAAAAGTTTGAACAAATACTTATGTTATATATTCTTCGTCTTGAAATACTTTTGATGTTGTCAAATAGAAGAAGGCTGTAGTGATTGAAGAATTGTAATTAAATACTAAGCCTACAAATAACCCAAAAAAAATAGGTTAGAATTGCAGAAATACGAAACGTTGAGTGTATATTTAAAAGACCAATTTTTTTAGACGTAGAGCTTCTTGTATCAAAAATGCATATAGTCTACTATGAATAACCTGGATTTTAACCAAGGAACGAACAGAAACGAACAGAATAAATCAAAAAATGTGAAATGTTCTCTTTTATCCAACCATTGTTCTCTTACGTCCTCTCATCCTAACTTCACTTAATTTGTTCAAAGCTTCCAAACCGCCTTGAAAGCTAAGTCTATACTCGTCTAGTAATTCCTCAAATAGCTTTTCCGAATTCAAGTGGGTGCTCAGCATTGCCCTCTCCAAAACATAGAGATCAACACCCTGATCCTCTGGTAATCTTCCTAAGCTACTCAAGCCAAAATCAATGGGTATTAGGTCGCATCCACTTTCTTTGGATTTTATTAGAATATTAGAAGTAGTCAGGTCTCCATGTATGATACCATTCGCATGCAAGCTGCCAATAAGTTTACCCATCTGTCTCCCAAGACTAGCCAACTCATTAATATTTCCACCATCTTTTAAAAAATTTTCAATATAGTCCCTTATGGTTATAGATTCAGCTATGTATTCCATATAGATTTTACTCGAGTTAAAATCTACCATATATATTACAGGAGTTTTTATTCCTATCAATAGAAATAAATATATCAAACTATGAAAAAATCATTCGGAAAAAGAACTCACCACAAGAAGAACATTTCAATATGGCGCGTACTTCAGATTTTAGTCTTTGATCAGTGAGATGACTATCAAGAACTGGATGACGATACTTTTTTGAGAAACGTTCTTTAATAATAATTTGCTTTCCATACAATGTTTTCTTATAGACTCTAGCTTCTGCTCCTTGAAATAAAAAACCCTCTTCTTGAACATGTGATTCACTCATTTTAGTGCCTATTGAAAATAGTAAACAAAATCAATGCATTTAATAACTTATATACAAAAAACCATCTAACACCTTCTTATAATTAATCAACTAAACTTGATGCATTCCGAGAAAATAAGCACCGAAAATTGTTTTTTTTATACAAATTGACAGTGTATCGAAAAAAAGGTATATTTATAACAGAATCACGTGTAGTTTCTAATTTAAACTATTTATCATATATTTAAGATAATTATTCAGCGGAAATCAAACAAATACCTTTAAATTAACAATAATACGTGGAAAAGTTAAAGGAATAAAGTTTTAGGGATATATTATTCAGTAATTTAGACATACCCAATAACAAAAAAAACTGGTTAATGGTAAAACACTCCTATTCTAGGAGAAGCTGTAAATAATGGGATTTCGATCGGATAAACGATCTTTAACTGACATTAAGCTAATCCCTCCTGATTATCGTGTACCCGATATCTCTATTTTAATTCATGGATATCTAGAAAAAGAAATAAAAGTAACTTGTTATGTTTTTTTTAAAAAGATAGCACACTTATCCCTGTAGAAAAGAAATACAAATAAAGTTATAAACTGTTATATTTTACAGATAGCTGGAGTTTTAAACAACATACCATGTACTTTAGACATGAATAGCAGGTGTGAAGTTTTAAAACATATTGATAAAGGCAAAGTCAGTATATACAGTATATATATAATTTAAACATATGAAGAAATTCTTTAAATATTTTGAAATTCTCTTTTTAGGCAAGAGGCGATGTAATATGGAATTTAAATGGGAAAAACGATTCAGTCATATCAGTTAGTGCCACAAACATTAAGCTTGTTCGAAGGGATGATACCTTAGATGTTTTCCTTCGTATACATATAAATGAGATTGCAGCTATATGCTATATTAAAGACGATGATTTACACCTAGTTGCCATAAAATTTAGTAAGTATTTTTATTTTTTATAATACAAAAATACAAATAAAGTAAATTAAATTAACACAGCTGATGATCAAGAAAATATTGGATATTGTAAATTATGCGTTTTGCTTGTACACGAAAAGGTAAACGAAAATTTAATTAACATTGTTTATTTACTTATTTTTTTTTTAAAAAAAAAACAGGAAAATGCTGAAGAATTGTGTTCACTTGTTAAACAATGTTTCGAAATTATGTACACTGACTCAAGCCGGTACTTTGAAGATAGAATGTATTCTGGTAATGCTACTCCGAGAACGTCTATATCCTATCCAGGTTTGATTATATCATTTTAAGGTTTTGTTCCTATTGGAAAAAATGATAGCCCTGTTTTTTTTTTTAATTAGATACTTCAATATCAAATATGACTGGAGATTTTAGAACTATTGGTTATCCCACATTGTTAGTTGTTTTAAATGGTTCATATAAAAATATAGCACTTTATGTTATGTGTTTTATTACTATATTTAGATATTCTACAAATTCTGGACGAGATTCGGATACAAGTTCATCAGATTCAGAAGATGGAGAGAGGAAAAATGAAATTTTAGACGATTATATGAATAAGGTATTTAAAGTTTTCTTTCGTTTTTTAACCTTTAGAGGCATAAAATTTTTTTATTATTTAAGCTTCAAGAAAGATTAAGCACAGAGGAATTGAAAAGATACGCTGTCTTGATGAAAGCCAGATATGAATCTGGAATGCCATTCCCTGACTTTTGTAATAGTATACGGGAATTGTATGGGCGTGATCGTATATTTCTATTAAGCGGTTTGTTCTGTTAAAAGATTTATTGTTTATTTGTTCTATTAAGCTACTCTTCCTGTTTTCTTAAAAGGTATGAGACCCTTTATACCGGCAGAGGATAAAGCGTTTTTCGAAAATTTTCTTCGTCAAATTGGAATAGAAGATGACAGAAGTTGGAACGAAGCCTTCGGAAAGCGGTTTGTATAATTGTTTTATCGCAAAAGATTGTATCTCAACCTACCTAAATATTTTGCACTAGACCTCAAGTACGAAATAGAACATTATCGGAGGATTTGAATATGGATTCAATCCGTTTATAATATGAACAATATTTTATTTTACACACAATGAATAATACTGCAAAAAAAAAAAAACTCATAATTGAAGATCGTATTTTTTCTCAATACTTATCAATACATTTTGCATATACCTTATGTGAAAATGTACCATTTTCGTAAACAAATCTATCTTTCATCTATCAAGTATATACGATCACACTTTTCCTGCAAGGTATTTTCTTTAGAGCAACAAAAACAAACTAGCTATGCGTTAAGATTAAAAGTTTTAGAGCAAATCTTTTATAAAGCCAGCTATCAGCTCCTTTTCAATTACATTTTTTTCTTCGTTTCAATAATTAACAATGGCAAATAGTAATAAACGATTGTCTAAAAATAGATTGTTTATTTTTTTTCAGGCTATAACTATGTATAAATAGTTAAATGGGTTACATGTTAAAATGATACTAGTTGTATACTATAAAAAAGAAAGAGAGAATGAATAGACCGCAAAAGAAATAAACACATCTGAGACCTAGGAATGATTAAATAGTGTTTATAGAGAGTTTTTTTTTGAGTTTTCGATATTTTTCAAAGATATGTACACGTGAATGAAGTGAAGAATTATTGTGAGGTGCATTCGTTCTCACTAGGAATAGTCGCGACAATTTTCTTCTTCGGAACACTGGGAGTTTCGATGATGTTCAACATCTGAAAATACAAAAATTAATAACTTTTAGTATATTTTTCGAACATTTAATATAAAGAATACAAAAAGCTATGTGAAATTTTTTTTTTGCTATTCATTAGGAATGATATTATGATTTTATCTTCAAGCAAATTTTAAATAAAAATAACTATTTAAATGTAAGAATTAGGAGGATTATAGGTAAGATGATCTGATTTGGTAAGGCTTTTTTGTTTGTTTGTTTTGTTTTTTTCATTCCCAATAAAAAAATATTAGCTCCAGTCATAAAAACTAAACATCAACGTACCAAAAGAAACTTGAACAATCTAAAAAAAAATGTTATAACGTTGTTTTAGTCTTTAAATAGAAAATTAATAAGAAACAAATTTTAAAATCTATCTCTAAAAGAAATGATTAATCAATCAATCAATCTTCCAATTAAACAGTTATCTGATATGTAAATTAAATAATATTATATACCTCTTCTTCATTAATTTTCAAACGCTTATTTAATTTTCCATTATCGTATTCCCTGACGTCACCGAGCGGTGTCCTGACTGCTTTTGATATAGGCGATAGTGTTTTGGTTGGAGACATGTGTATATTCGATTCCTCTACGGCAACTTTTCTTTTTGATAATATTCTTTCTGGCGTTGATTTAAGTAAAGTGTGCGCAACCTCATCAACAGCTCTATTGGCCAATCGAGGAGACCGCCGATTTGTACTTGATGACGATTGTACTTCAGCTAATCTATGAGAAGAAGAAGAAGAAGAAAAACCCAGCTTTCTTCGAAGTTCATCTCTCTCCTTTTGAGTTTTAACCAATTCTTTAAATGTCCTTCGATTATCGTCTATACTTCTTCGTTTATCGGCGGCGTATTTCTCTTCGAGATCTTTTTGCATTGTTCTAAAACTCTCAATTTTCTTTTGATATTCTTCTCTCGTTTCTTTTAAATCGTCCATTGCTCTTTCTAAATAAGATTGTAACTTTTTAACTTCGCTTCCATCTTTTTGTTCAATTGCAGTTGCTGTACTACTTTTAAGAGCCTTAATTTTTTCTTCGCGAGAATTCACTTTCATTTTTAAATTCTGTAACATTTCTAAATTCTTAGAGGAACTCTTTTCCTTTGTAAATGTTGGCGTAGTTTTACTTGATCCCAATCGTTCAGTTGGTTCTTTCATATTCTCGGTTCCTATAATTATACAATCTTTATCGGATAATGAATTATCGGAAGAAGAGTCGCTTCTTTCTTCAAGAGATTTAATTGTCAACTCCAATTGACTATTTTTCTCGGTAGCTTCTTTCAGACTTTCTTCCAATTGATAATTCAATTGTTCTAAATCTGTATTTTTCTGTACTAAACGACTTCTTTCGGTAGCAGCTTCATTCACTAATGTTCTTAAATTTTCAACTTCCTTACTATTCATCACCTGCTCGAATACATTCTTTTCTATATCCTTTTTCGAGCTAGCTTTCACTTTTGCCGCTAATTTCTTCTTCTCGGAAATGGCAGACTTTAAACTTTCCTCAATCTTTGACAATTCTGATTTGAGTTTATCATTTTCTTCCTCTAAATATTTACATTGTTTTTCCATTTCTGTTACTTCTTTACATTTTTCTTCCATACTCTCTGTGAGTCGTGTATAGTCATCAGATGAGAGGTTACCTTTACTACTGGACTGATCTTTAAGCTCGTAATATTTTGAATTTATTTCTTCAACAGATATTTGTAATTGGGAGTTGTTTTCCCTTAGTTCGTCTAATTGCCGCTCGAATTTCTTAATAGTACTCTCGTGTTCAGCAACAATAGTTTCATTTTCAAACTTTTCATCAGACAATTTAGCTTTCATTTCGTCGAGTTTTTCCTTATATGTGGCCAACTCCGTCTGAGAGTGTGATAATTGGCTGTTCAATTGTTCGACGTCTTTCTCAGACCTAATGAATTTAGACGAATAATAATCAATGTCAGTTTTTAATTGGTTAATTATTTCTGTCTTATTATTGCACAATTCTTGTAATTTTTCCTTTTCTTCATCGAACTTCTTATCGCTGTCGGCCTTAAGAACAAAGATTTCTTCCAAAGCATTTTCCAATTTTTGTTTAATATCCAAAATTTCACCCTCCAGAGTTTTTACTTTCATCTCTTCAGACGATTTTTCGTTTGCGATATACTCTAACTTCTTTTTCAAAGTCTCAATAATCTTTTCCTTTTCCCCTAAAGAAAATTCTAAATTTGACCTTACATCTTCTGCTTTTTTAATTTCCGTATTTAAGGTCAATAGTGATGTCTTCTCCTCAGCAGATGAACTTTCAAACTGTGAACATTTCTTCGTTATATCATCATATTTAGCTCGTAGATTGTTTAATTGTTCAGTCAAATTTTTATTTTCTGCCGACATCGAATTGTAGTCGGAAGATAACTTTTGAGTCTTTTCTTGTAATTGTTCCATGTCTTTCAAAGCTTTAGTTTTCTCGTCTAACGTTCTTTGAGAATTATTTAAAGATTGCTGTAAATTCTCGAGTTTAGTTTGAAGTTCCTCGTTCTCTTTAATGGTTTCCTCTGAATTACCTTGCATTAGGTCAAGATTGAAATTTGCCTTCGACAATTTTTCTCTCATTGTCATGTTCTTTTCTTCGAATATCTTTAATTTAGCCGTTAAATTTCCTACTCTAGCTTCATGAGCGGAGACAAGAGAATCTAGACGAAGTTTTTCCTGGTCACGTTCATCTAGAGAAGTTAACTGTTCAGCGAGTTTTTTATGACATTGATCTAACTGGGAAATAAGTTCGGCTTTTTCCATTTCGAATTTTTCCTCAACTTTTTCTTTCAAATTGCAATCAACAGTTTCATTGTGAACCAACTTTTCCAATTGCTGATTCGAATCGGATAATTTCTTCTCTAATTCCTTCGTATTTTCTTCCAACTGTAATAAATGTTCACTTTGATCTTTACTCTTTTGTCTTTCGTTATCTAATTCCTTTTGTTTTTCAGAAAAACTCTGCTCCAATGTCGTTAATTTATTACTCGATTCATTAAGTTTGTTCTCCGTTTCCTTTAATTTTATAGCGAAATTTTCCAATTCAACGTGTAATTTTTCTTTTTCGTTCTTTACTTCTTCCAATTCTTTTTCTTTTGAATTAATATTAACATCCTTTTCTTTAATTGCGCAGGAAATCAATTCGTTCAATTCAATATTCTGCTTCTTAGATTTTGTTAATTCTTCGTTAATGGATTGGTATTCAGAATTCAACTTTGTATAATTCGTATTTAATTCTTCATTTTCGTTATTGCTTCTTTGGAGGTCAGACTCTAACTTAATTTGAATTTCTTTCAGATTCAAAAGTTGATTTTTTATTTCTGATAGAGTTACAACAGAACTCTCTAATTCGTGATCCTTAGTTTGTAAATCGGCAATTAGCTTATCTTTTTCGTTGTTTAACATTTTTACTTCATTTTCAAAAGGATTACATTCAATTTTTGAAATTAAATCCTTATTACGTTCACTGACAATCTCGAAATCGGCTTTGACTTGTTTCAATTTCTCTTCAGTAGTTTGTAGTTGGTCAGTAATTGCGATTAATTCTTCATCTTTATTTAATAATTTCGATTCAATTTCCTGAAATTTATCTTTCTCAGAGTTCATCTTCTCTAAGTAGTTTTCAAGATTCCTTGTATTACCTTCCAAACGTGCATTTAACAATTTATTTTCCTTCTTTAATTCTTCTACGCAGGCGTTCAAGCGATCATTTTCGGACATCATATCTTTTATTTCGTCTTTATCAGATGTAGAATTCTTTTCAAACTTAGCCAATATATCTATCATCTGTTGATTTTTGTTTGCTAAATCTGCTTCTAATTTTCGGCTTGAATTGCACTTTTCCTCCATATCGATTTTCAATTTATCCATTTCTTCTTCGAGTTCATTTTTCGATTTGCTCATTAATTCGTAATCTGAAGTGAGTTTATTTACTCTTTCTACTAAATAATTCTTCTCATCTTCATTATCTTTGTATTTCTTCGACAACTCCTGAAGTTTTTCGTCGGTTTCGTTAAGCTGCTTTTCGATGTTTTGATAATCATTTTTCAAATTAATATTCTCTTTTTCCATACTCTCAAGCTTGGCTTTTGAACGTAAAATAATATCTAAAAATATTATTTATCAGCGATTAATAGATAATAAAATAAAGAGAAATAAAGATATGCTTTACTTTCAACGTTAGTCTCGTTAGTCTTATGCTCATTAGTTAATTCAGCATTCTTTTGCTCGGCGCTAAGACGAAGTTCTCTTTCCGAAGATAAATTCTTTCGATATTCCTCCAGCTGCGCTCTCAATTCGCTATGAAAAATATAATTAAAAGTTAAAATAATAGACTTAAAATATGTTTTACAAAAAGAAAAGTGTACTTTATTGATGCTGTTAGTTTCGTATTTTCATTTTCGGCAGCATTTAATCGAGATGTTATATTATCGTAGTGGCGTTCATTAGCGGAGGCAGTATCGCGTTGAGCAGTTAACTCTTTCCCTCTTTCATCGCTTAATTTACAGATATCATTATACTTTTTGGTTAATTGATCGTAGGATTCTTGTTGCCTTTTCAGACTTGTTCTCTGATTTTGAACAGCTGTCTTCTCGTTGTTCAACTCTTCTGTCAATTTATGTACAAGAGAATCATTTTTCTCGTTTTCTGTTAATAGACGAGTACGCTCTTTTTCATAATCTGTTCTCTGCTCTTCGATCACTTTGAGTTTCCCCTTTGCTTGTGACAATTGATTTTGAATACATTCAATTTCATCATCTTTCTTTTGAATTTGACTTCTGAGAGAGGCAAGTTCAGATCTCTGAGAGTAATAATCGTTTGAACACTTCTCTACCTCTAACTTTTTCTCATCTCTTTCCTTTTCTAACTTGGTAATTTTTCGTTCGAGACTCGTTACATGATTCTCATTTTTAAGACTCATATTTTTAGCTTCCTTCAGATTTACCTCAATCTTCTCATAGTCTTCACTTTTACTTCTATAATTTGATTCCAGTTCAGCAAGCTGTTTTTTTAAGTCAGATGTATTAGACGTAGCAGTATTCAGCTGCCTTTCTAAGGCTGAGATTGTGAAATCTTTTTTCTCATTCTCTCTTTTGATTTCCTCTATATTTCTCTCCAAATGATGCATTTCGCCTTCAATTTTCGTGTCCGCCATTTTCGATTTTTCCTAAAATTGATAACGAAATAAATTATAATTATATACATTTCTATGAGCATAGAATTTAGACACAAACCGTTAATGTATCATTTTCCATTTTCAGGCTTTCTATTTTATCTTTCAGTATCTGGTTGTATTCAGATAAATTCTTTACTTTTACTTCGTAGTCACTTGCACAATCCGTTATTCTTGTATATTTAGAGCGAAAACTATCTAATTCCAGTTCTAGCTCTCTCTGTTTTTCAGTAGCCTTGAATAAAATCAAAATATTAGGTAAAAACAACCAAGAATATAAAATATAAAAACAATTAAAGATTTAATAATTCTTAATCGAACAACTAAATCAGTAATGAGTACGGTATAGTTCAATCTACATTGATTACTATGAGCATTATTCAACTGAGGTACAAAAAAAAATTCATGTTGAAAGGACATACCGCCTTAGTATTATCAGCTATTTTTGCTCGAAGATCATCGATAGTTGATTGAGCAGTTCTACGAACTTCCATTATCTCTTTTCTCTCTAACTCTAGATCTTTTTCTTTTTCTTTCAACCTATTTTCTAAAGATAATTTAACCGAGTCAATATTTTGCTTCTGGCATGAAGATTCGTCGAGTAGCTTTTTCATTCTATCCCTTAAATCCTGATTTTGTTGTTCAGCTTTAGTGAAATCATTTCTAATCATCTCTTTCTCTCCTCGTAACTTTCCAAGTTGTCTTTGAAGTTCTTCCAAACCTTTTATCGCTTTTTCTAACTCGTCCTTCTTTCTCTTGAGTTGAGCATCATTTTTAGACATTTCTCCTTCTAGCTTCGCCTTGACTTGCTCCAAGTTGAAAAAAGATATCTGAATATTTTTATACAACTTTTCCATGTTTGCTCTTTCCCTTTCGGTGCTTTGTAATCGTTCCTTAAGAGTTTTAATTTCGTCATTTTGTTCTTGTTCCTTTTTATTTTTGGATGAAGAAAGTACCATGTTCTGGTTGTCAAGTTTCAGTAAAAGAGTAGATCTCTCTTTTTCGAGAGCTTCGGTTCTTTGTCGAAGTGTAACAACATCTTTTCCCGCTAAATCTTCTAGCTCTTGTAATTTCTTTTCTGTGTCTAAGCGTTTTTCCTTCTCGACGGCTAACTCGGCAGTCAAATTGTGAATTCTTAAAGAACTCTCTTCCAAATCGCTTCTGGACGGTGCTGAATTATGAACTCTTCGAATTTCTCCTTCAAAAGATTTAAGTTTTAATTCGAGATCATTAATTTTTTGACCCCTTTTTGAAATATCGCATTCCAGACAGTTAATTTTATTATCTCTGGCTTGAATTTCATGTTCAAGTTTTACCCTTTTCGATTCTGATTCTTTACACAAGTTTGCAAAATGATCTGAGTTACGGTTAAGATATGATAATTCATTTTTAGCATCTTCAGTTTTCTTTTTTTCTTTATCAATACATTGTTGTAGAGTCTCGCACTTCAATGTCCTTTGTTTTAAATCATTTTGGGTGCAAGATAGCAGCTTTTCTAATTTCTCAATTTCGACTACAGCTTTGTTAGGTAAATCACTTTTCCATTCTTCGTTTTTCCAACTCATTTTGAATATATTGATTCTTTATCGCCCTTATTGTGATTTGCTTTGGTTAGCCTTAGAGTTATATCTAGCAAACGTTATGAAAACAATTAAAACACAACTGTTAAGATGGGAATCATTATAAAGAATGTATATAAACTCAAAAAGTTCTAGAAACTTGGTGTAATTTAAGAAGCTAACAAAGAAATTTTTATCATTTAACTATAATAGTCTCTTGTGTATCACACAATAAACAAGAGACGCAATTGTAAGCTATTAGAAGATGTTAATGAAGATTAATTACAAGGAAGAGATTGTAAAAATTATTACTTAAATTAATCGATAATAAATCAATTTCTTACCTTCATCGGAACAATCTAAGATGCAAATATTTACGATAATAAATTCAAAAAACTACAAAACGGTCGCGTAACCAGTCCGCGTAAATTTAACAGTCCTAGTTGATTGCTGATTGGCTGAATTTGTATTTTTTTTACCGGATTACTTTTTTAGGCGTTATGTTGGACCGAAAAATAAAAATGGCCGCCAAAAACTAGAGGTAACCGACATTTTAAATATTTACTGATTACTGATGGTTTATATATCTAAAATTTTTGAAAAAATGGAAATGATTATTTTCATACTAAATTTTAAATATATAATGTTTTCTTTAAATTCTTTAAAATAACTTGAATAAGAATTAAAAAATTATATGTTTTGTGCCGTTTTTAAGTTCATTCATTTACTATTTTTCATTCATACGATGAAAATGGTAAACAATATATACATGTACTGTATATTATGTAATTAAAAGTTAAATATATCCTCCTATTAAAAAAAACTACTAATGCAATTACTTTCTTAATAAACTAAATGTGAATATTTTCATGTTAAGATAAATACCATTTAGATTGACAATAAAATGATAAAAAGCTAATTAGCGCCAATCTTTGTTTCTTAAATACAAAAGCATACATCTATTGTGAAATTGTATGTTTGAATGGCAAGAAGGTAAGTGTTGCTTAATTAGATAAATTTTGTTTTCTGTTTTATTTGGAAAGAACGCTTAAATCAAAGAGATGCATGAGGGAAAAAAAAACATAGATAATCGTAGCAATTTGAAAATAGCAACTTCATATAAGTTAAATATGAAAATAGAAAAATCTTATAATCTCGTTATTATGTTCTAATTCCATTTCTTTCTCATTATGAAATGTTCTTCAATATGAGTTTTCCAATTTACCGGAAAGCCCCGCTTGAAAGCATCGATCAAAGCTGGCGAGAATCCTGATATGACAATAGATTTAATTAAATAAAAATATAGGAATAGGTTTTAAGAAATTTTCTTTACCAGCTTTTAATGTCTCATTTTCATCTATCTGCCCTGTAAGTTTATAAAAAGCACCTCCAGCACTCTCTATTATATTAGTTTCTGATTTATCATCAAAACCAAATCGATATCCTATTTCACTTCTCTTACATCGTCTAATTATAGCTTCTGATCTTATGACCTTGTCTTCAGTATCACTTGAAAAATACAAGGGAATTAGTTAATAAATATTGCTATCTACTATCTAATTTATATACAGTATAAATCCTTCAACCGCCACACATTGCTCGTGTGGTAATTCTACTAAAGACCACGATGTTAACGTCATAAAATCGGTACGTAGAGATAAATTATCTTCTATTTTTCTCTCATCCCTAAAAGTAGATTTTGAATGATTTCTTTTATGTTTATAAGGCTTTTTTTCCAAAACCATTCCCTGTTCGAAAAAATTATCCTTAGTAGACACGTTTTCATCGAAAGCTGACCAATCCATCTTTTTCTTTGGTTTAATATAATCAATACCCTCAGTGAATTGAGGAGTATGAGATTGTAAATCTGAGAAGCTATTCCTCTTTCTCCCTTTTTCTCGAACTTTCACAGATTTTCGTGGTTCCCCTCTAAAACTTGGATTTCTTTCCTGAGTGTAATTTTTTTCCAGAGCACTATGTATTTTATGAAAGAGAATCATAAAAATGTTCATTTCTTCATGAGATAATATTCCCGCTGGAATTGGGTCATTGATATGATAATGAACGCAGTTCATATCATCGCAAAGAGTTGGTTTTGCCATTTGTCAGATAATTCTATAAATCAAAGAATAAGAAAGTTAATAATAATGAAATAATTCATCAAAAAATTTTTTGCATAAATGAATACTAATGTGATTTATAATTCAATATTTTCCCCTTCTTTGCAGACATTTTGTAAATGGTATAACCGATACAAAATACATAATTTTTTTTAAACTTTTTTTGCGCTTTTTCCTAGTCTATTGATCCATATTTTCCACTTTTTAACAAATTTATACTTATCCTTGATTTTATGGTTTTGAAACTGCATTTTGTGTCAAATGGTTACGAAAGAAAAGGAATGTTTTCAGACTTACGCAATTGCATAAACTTTAGATATTTTACTTTAAATTTGTATACTTAGGAACTTCTACATGTATAATAATATAATATGAAGCCACTATAATATAAGTTTTATATTCCGAACCTGGTTAGTCAATAATTAGAGATAAAAGTTTCGAATAAACGATTTGCTAAGTACAATTACTCTACTCATTTGCCAATTGGCTATTTGTTTCAACCTCTATTGTATATTGACTTCCGCTAAGGAGCGACATCTGGTGTTTAGAATATTTTAGGGGTGAAGGCTATAGAAGCATCTCTTTTGGAGATTCTTCCGAGTCATATACGTAAAATGTTGTAAAATTATATGTTTAACTATCGAAAAATGGCGTCGAAAAATGATCAGGAACAAGATGAAGCCGGCGACGAAGAGACAGATTCGCCGGCAAATTTACAAAGGGTTTCTTCCAGCCTGCTAAGAATGAATAGGCCTACAAATAGACAAAGCCGATTTTGTAATCGTTATGGTTCAACTTTAGGACCGAGCCGTAGAAAGAAGGTTACGAATAAGACAACGCCAACAGAAGAAAATAACGCAACGCCTACGGGCAGTGGGGATCAGGAAAATCAAGATCAAGAAAGTACAATTTCTGATCCAGAGAATACGTCAGTCCCACCAATAAGGTAACAAGTAAATAATCACCCAATATATGTATATATATCTAGATATTAGTATATAGATAGACAGACAAAAACCGTGAATATTTTATATTAACATATTAGGATTTATTATTTGAATATTAGAATATATACTGTATAATTTGAAAAATGACCTCTTTATTTCTTCATCGTTAAATTATGAGTAATAAAACTACTGTTAAGTTAATTAACTTAGGCTTTTCTTTCTTTAAAATCAACTGTTGCTCCCTCTGTACTAGCTAAAAAATAATAATATATAACATTTAAATTTATAGCACCATACAACCTCTATCGGCGGACCGTCTAGCTTCTATGAACTCCGTCTTACCTAATCAGAATATTCCTTACAATTGGCAGGGAGCAAAATGTTCAATTAAGGAAAGACTGGCATATATTTTTAATAATGAGCTTATGGCAGATATTTTCTTTGTTGTTGGTAAACCTGGAAATACGCAGAGAATTCCCGCTCATAAATTTGTATTATCTATTGGTTCTGCAGTATTTGATGCTATGTTTAATGGTGGAATGGCTGATAGTTCTGTTCAAATCGAACTGCCAGATATAGAGCCGTCAGCGTTTTTGTCATTACTTAAAGTAAGTGAATTATTTTATCAATTATTTTAATTCATTTTTATAAAAAAGCTAACATTTCTCTATAAAGAAATGACTTGTTTGTTTTGTTGGTTTTTATTTTTTTTACAGTTCCTTTATACAGATGAAGTTCAAATTGATCCAGAAAACGTTATGATTATATTATATACAGCCAAAAAATATGCAGTTCCTGCTTTAGAGCAGGCGTGTGTTGAATTCTTGAAGAGAAATCTATCGAGCGATAATGCTTTTATGCTATTAACTCAAGCTAGGCTTTTTGACGAGCCTCAATTGGCAGCTATGTGTTTTGAAACGATAGATAAGAATACGAATGAAGCTTTAAATGCTGATGGCTTCACCGAAATAGACGTTTCAACTTTAGGGGCAGTTTTACAAAGAGATACTTTGGGTTAGAAATTTGTTTACTTCAATTCATAAATTACCAGCCTTTTTTGTGAAGGTATCCGAGAAAGTCGGCTTTGGATAGCTGTTTCCAGATGGGCAGAATCAGAGTGTAGGAGAAAATCGTTACCCGTAAATGGAACGAATTGTAGAAACGTTTTAGGAGAGGCTTTGTCTTTAATTAGATTCCCGTTGATGACTGTTGAAGAGTTTGCTATTGGTCCAGCGCAATCGGGTATTTTAACTGATAGGGAAGTAGTTGAATTGTTTCTACACTTTACCGTTAATCCGAAACCTCAAGTTCGCTTCCTGGATATACCCAGATGTTGTCTAACGGGAAAAGAGCAAGTTATCAACAGATTCTCTCAAATTGAGAGTCGCTGGGGCTATTCAGGAACAAGCGATAGAATAAGGTAACATTAAAGTTTTTCGTAGTTTTATCCCTGTTTAAAATCAAATTTCTAACAGAAGGCAGTTTTCTGATTGTATCTATTTAAATAATTTGCAGATTTACAGTGAATCGTAGAATATTTGTTGTCGGTTTCGGTTTGTATGGAAGTATTCATGGCCCTATTGAGTATAACTCTATAATACAAATAATTCAAACGGAATCGGGAAAAGTAATGGGAACAAATGAGACTTCTTACCAGTGTGACGGCTCTCCTTCAACATTTAGAGTAATGTTTAAGGAGCCTGTTGAAATTCAGCCAAATACAAATTATACAGCCTCCGTGACGTTAAAGGTAATTCTTTCGTTTGATAGTCAATAGAAAAATTAAAGGCTCTATATATATATATATTTATATATATATGTCCCTCTAGGGTCCAGATTCGTTTTACGGAACAAAGGGCTTGAGAAAAGTACCATACGAATCTCCTACTAGTGGTAAAATTATATTCAACTTCAATTACGCTGCAGGAAATAACAATGGGACATCTGTCGAAGATGGACAATTACCAGAAATTATATTTTATACTTAAATTTTTTATCACAATGTTAATTTATTTAGTTGTTTTTGTAGCCCAAATTAATTGAATTGACTGTAGATGACTTTGAAATAATGAATAGGTATTATAATTGAAGGCTATATAGATGAATAGTTATGATAAAAGTGCCTTTGTTATTTTTAATATGAAAAAAAGACAAACAAATAGGTAAATGACCAAAATAGATAATTTATTAATTGTTCACTTTTTACTACCAAATTTTTTCTAATAAATGAAAAAAAATGTATTCAAGCTTGAATTCTCTTACAACTAGTTTAGAGTTGCGCATCTGCTTTTAGTTAAGGGCTAATAGTAATTCAACAGTGAGAGGTTGTTGAAAAATGTAACTCACAATCATGATAAATTTTGCATAGAGATTGTAAGGAGTTTAATTAGCTTCTTTTTCAACGTCTCTTCCTGAGAAGACAATTCAATTCTTTTACTCATGAAAATTTCTCTTCTAATAACAAATTGACTAAGGAAATTTCATCTAAAATAAAAAAAGAAAGTTACTTGAATGTTTTGCTATTTTTATAAAAAAGAAAGTCAACAATTACATGAACAAATTCTCACAAATTCCTCGTTATTCGACCATACATTTTCCAATTTCGTCATTGATTCAACAGAATTTACAATTAAATCTTCTAGAGTGAATTTTCTCGCCAAATAGCTTAAAAGAATATTACATTTATATTAATTATATTTTCAATACTCTTTAATTGAATAAGATTTATAGAAAACTTCTTTACAGGTTTAAAAATTCCTTATTAATTAGTCGAAGTGAACGAATCATAGAAGATGGAGAAGGCCATAAATTATCAGAAGTAGTTAGGAACTCGGTTTTAACGTTTTTATAACTATTACAAACATTTGTGAAAGATTTTTGACATTCTTGTTGAGATTTTAATAATTCTTCTCTGAAAATGCAAATAACAAAGGCGTAAAGGAAGAGGTTAGATTTAGAATAATAATACTTACATTGATTTCTCTAAAGGCTTTAATAAAATGTGAATAGAGTTGATAATTTTTATTTTTAAATTGGATCTTAAATCTGGAAAGTCTTTATTAATCGAGTCTAATAGAACGGATTTCTGAAAATAAAACTCTCTTCAACTCTTTCATTATATTAAGGTATAACTTGAAGAAAAAATTGTATACATCATTTAAAGCTTGCAGTTGTGTTGCTCTATCGATTAAAGCTGTAAACGTTTCCTTATGCTCACTACAATTTTTTGATACTTTTTTGTACTCTTTATCGAATAGTTTAAAAGTTTCCTGTATTAATTTCATTAGTTTTTTTTCAGTATTATCCATTTTTATCAAATATTGTCTTAATGAGGATAATAAACAATTAAGAAGTCTTTATAGCGATCCTCTAGTTGATAAAGTCCACTAGAAAATAATTGGAAAGGTAATACGTTTCAACTTGGGTTAAATATCTTAGTTTAAATCTCTAAAGATTCGGATAATCCCGAATAAAATAATCCCAGATATTTTTTAAGTTGGCTAAATTTCTACTTGCGTTTGTAAAGTTTAGCAAGTGTTTGTAGCAATAGTCTCTCACGTGGATGAGTGATAATACGAGTTATAGAGCTTTGGGTATGCCTAAATTATGTGCTATATTGATGGAAAGATATCGTTCAAAATTTATCAAAGAATTACCGACTAAGTAGCAAATAAAGTTTTAAAGTAATGAAAGAAACTTGTATTTTTTTAAAAATATATTTTTATCGATACTTTCCCCTTCAAATAACTAATTTGATCTATTAATGAAGTTATTAGGATTATCTTTTTTCCTTGTACTCTTACATGTTTTCATGAATGTTCTTCAAAGTTGATCTGAGTGTTTTATTCTGATCCAATCTCTTTTCTAATTCTTCTTTTCGGATAGAATCTTCAAGAATCGCTTTGTCTAAGTCATCAATTTGCTTTTCCAATGAATTCTTAGCCTGATTTTCTCTTTTAACAAATGTCGATCTTTGGCTTGCATGGTGTCTAATTCTGTTGATTATTTCCTCTCTAGTTTTTTTCCTAAAGTATTCTGAATTGCGAAAAAAATAGTCGTAATTTGGAACTTTACGCTTACAATTCGACTCTTTTTCTCTCTCTTTTCGACGTCGATTCGGAGAGTCGTCCGATTGAGAATCGGAATCCTCTTCTTCAATGGATGGAGAATCCTGCTGCGAAGCTTCCAATTCATCGATGTCACGTTCATTTATTTCTTCACTTTTCGGTTCTCCCTCCGCTGCCGGCTCAGCACCCTTCCCCAAAGCGTTATAAGGAATCATACTTGAATTCAATTGTCCTATTCAATGGCTCTTCTCTTTCACAGTTTCTTCGTTAGACGAAACTTGCTCAACAGCCCAATGTAGAAATGCCTATTTATACCGCTATACCTGAGTCTATTTATTGCAATATATTGAGTACCATATAAATTAACCAATCACATGGCTGGAATAAGAGACGAGTAGTTGACAGAAAAAAACAAAAATATATTGCAAAGATAATGTAAAACTGGACTATTTAATACCTAAATGAATATAAATGAATATATTTATGAATAAATTAATAAGAGTACCAGTATATAAATATATTAACAATCAAATAAACAAATATTATATAATTATTTATTTTCAAAAATTTAACTTTATTTAATATATAAATTCATTATTATAATATTTTATCAGTGTAAAAAGTGGCTTATTATATAAATATGAACTATTGTAACTGTTCAAAATCAATTAGTAGAATGCAAGATAAATCTTATGATCACAAAAAATTTAATTGCCGATTGAATATTGATAATAAAAGATATATTGAAATTCAAATGAGAATTAAAATGGACTGTCGAAAGAAATGTTTTAAAACTTTATCCTATATTGCTAACGATGATAATGAATATTCATTAAGGAAACAAAATAGTCAAGATATTACAACCATAACATCGGATTATGATTCGAAAAATGATGATTTATATAATAAACGACTGACGAATAGATTGTATACAAGGTTTTGTTGATGATTTTACCATTATATATATATATATATATATATATATATATATATTCTTACAGATCTGATAATGTTTTATGCCGAATTGATAAAAGTTACGATGTGGAAAATGTAACGAAAAGTTTAACAATTAGACAAGAAGATTATCGTAGTGAATATCAATTAGAAATGTTGCAAAGAGCCGAAAATGAATTGAAGAATGCTCTATTAGATATTTCCAACAGATTGATAAGATTAAAGAAGAAAAGACAAATATTAGAAAAACTTTCAAAAATATCAATTATAAATTACCAATCAAATTATCAAAATCATCGCAACAAGCGTTTAAATATGATTAACTCTCTATCATCTCTTTCGCATAAATATTCAAGTTTCACATTAGACAGTGAATATGATAATATAAATAATAATAATAATAATAGTATTAATAGATTAACATCTGATAATAAAATTAATTATGATGAAATCATTGAAAAGTTAAAAGATGCTAGAATTTTGTTAAATGAATCAAAATTACATACAAGATCTATTCTCTTAGATTATTTTCTTTGTGATAAACAAGCTAAAATGTCTTTGTTTTATAGAATATGTTTTAAAAAGTGGTATAAAGCAGCTTTGAGGAAGTTAAGTACGATTTTCATTTTTTTTTCTTTCTTTATACTTTTTTTAATGATATTTTCATATTTTAGACGAGAAAAATAACACTTTACCTATAGATATTAATGAAAAAAAGCATTATTTTCAAATTACTCTTTCTAAATGGAAAGAGAATTGTGTTAACTTTTGTCAAAAGACATTTGAATACAACAAGAATTATCTTCTTCCATTCGAATCATCTGTAGATTGTAGTTTTACTGATTATAGAGAGAGTTGTGTTGATTCTCATAAACTTCAATTAAATCTTCAATATTCAAAAAAATACTTTAACTATTGGAAATTATTTAATAAATTACAAAAGAGAAAAAATCAAATGATGAAAATGATCATTTATATGAAATATTTCAAAATCTTATCATTGAGAAAGGAAACATTCAATCGATGGAAAGAATTATTCCTTGGTAGAAAACTTTCATTATTCTATTACGAAACAGTAATTATTAAAAAGTAAGTAAAATAACACTTTTTTTATTTCGATCATCATGATTTTTTTTTAAAAAAAAAAACAAAAAGATATTTTTTAAACTGGAAAAATAATTCAACTTCGAACACTGAACTAAAAAGAAATGATTTAATGAAAAAATATTTTAAGAAATGGCAAATTAGGGAATTAAATTCAAAAATAAATAGGTCAATAAATTTTAGATTTAGAGCAAAATATTTTAAAAAATGGTTGAAGTTATATAAGATTAAAATGTTAAAAGAACCATTTAGAAAGTGGAAAGATTACTATAATATCATAAATATTTGTAGACAAGTACTTCAATGATAACTTATTGTGATAGTTATAAATATATCGTTGTTTTATAAAGTAATTGCTTGATAGCTTATAGCATCATTTATCATAATCGTTACTTTTTGGTAAGTAAAATTGGTTTAAAATTGACCAATTGACCTAATTGATACAAGTAAAAGAGAGAATTAAAAATAATAAGATGTCTTTTATTGATTTGTATATAATTTACTAGCCATTTCTAAACAAGTACTATAAGTTATTAGGCACGATGGTTCGTCAGTTTCTGGTAAATACTTTGACAAGTACGAATGAATATCATTCTCTCCCGTCTCTCCAAAGATTTGTATCAATTCTAAGTAAGAGATAACCTGAGCTAGCTTTTGAATTGGTACTCCTCCCTTAACATTATCTTTACTTTCGGCAAATTCTAGAGCCTCTTGATAAAGTCTCTTCCTTATTCTTTCGTCACAAGATCCTATCATTGTATTGCAAGCCTCACCGAATCTTATTTCGTCGACGACTTCAGTTTCGTCGACATATAGTTGTAATCTTGAGTGAGTTTCAACGAATCTGGGCTCTCTCCACTTTAATATAATATTTATAATGTAATCGGATATTAATGAAGCTGATGTTTTATTCTCACTCCAAGATGTATAACCCATGACAACTTGATCCAGTTCGTCATCTGTTAGAGTTGGATATAAAACTACCGCCAGATGACGAACATCTTCTACTTTGGACCAAATAAAATTGGACAACAGGTCGTTAATTAAAAGGACATAGCGAAAAGATGAAGCGTCTAGATTCCCTACCAATGTATGAAGAAACAATGACATGAATTTATCTGATGCTGAAAATTCAATCAATGCTGCCAACCAATCATAAGCTGATAAATATGCTACGTCAGCCTTCGAATATCTATCAAACATGTATCTGTACAAAGTATCAAGGACGCACCAATATCCTGTTGCGTTTTCCTCAGCATCTTGTCTTAAAATATAGGCGGAGAAACTCTTTAACATTGATTTGGTTCGCTGAAGATTAAGTGGTCTGGGAACTTGTCGTTCCAAAGATGTTCTAGATTTAAAATCATCCCAAACTCTTTGCATTGGATGTAGTAAAATTTGTGATGAATAGTGCTGCATACCAGCTGATTCGGCTACGGATACCATAGAAACAGATGGACTCTGTCTTGGCTGAATAGAACCCATACTTGGAGCTTTACTTCTAGAATATGTAGACATGTTTTCCAAATCAAAATCTGTCGCTGTAGTTCCCGGCCTATCTTTGGTCATTTGTAACTGTCTCCTACGATCCAACTTCAAAATAGGTCTAACTATTTTAATATGAGTTGTTTTTGGAGGTAATTCAACAACCAAAGGCGTTGGGGCACCAGTCGCTCTGTGGGGACATAGAACAACCTTTTGACCGCAATTTTTGCAGAAATCAACTCCTTTAAGCTCGTGAAAGTGTTTTCCCTCTAGATTAAAAATAATAATGAATGAACAATACAAACAAATATTAGAAGTTTGACAAACCATTGTCAGATGTATAAATAACGGCCGAATATTTCCCCAATACTCTTTCATTGGCTATAAAAGGATCGTCTTTCTTTACTTCTTCAGGATCTACAAGACCAACTGTAAGCTTTGACTTTGACCTATTCGATTGAGAAGATAGCTTGGGTCTCTCATTTTTCTGTTGAATTCTATTCAATTCTTCATTAAGAACTGAGGCGTGTTGTCGTAATAGAATTAATTCAGTGTTTATTTCATCAATAGCCATTCTAAACTTTTCCTTTTTAGACGATAAAATAACTTCACCAGTTTCCACATCGTAATCAGTATCCACTAGACGTTCGTTATGCTCTTCCAATGTCTTATCCATATCTTCAATTAATGCATTTTCAGCTTGGAGTATTTGTTGTTCAAGTTTGAAAGCCGAATCCAAATTTGATAGTAAAAGATTCTAAATTTAGAATTAGAATTTATCTTTTAAAAGGATATAGCTTTTATTTTGATGAAATACCTCTCTTGTTGATGCATTCGATTTACCAGTTTTCTCGCGAATTGATGATCCAACTTGAAATGCTTGCTCTAATTCGTCATAGCCCATTTTATAATTTTGAAGATTACCAACTTCATCTCTAGCTTCAGTTAAGCCAGCCTTTAAATTTTCAATATCACTACTTAAATCTTCTTTCACTCTCTTTGCCTCTTCTCTTTCACCCTCCAAAGTTTTCTCTAAACTTTCCACATCTATTCTTCTTTGAGTCAATTCTTCTTCAAATTGCACAATTTGATCTTCACTTTTCGCTAAACGATCGTGTAAATTGTCTATGTTGTTTGAGATGGAGATAATTTCATTTTCTTTATCTAGCAAAGCTTTTTTCAGTCTTTCAACATATTTTTCAAGCTTTTCCGCTCTCTCTTCTCTTTCCTGATGAATTTTTGATAGTAGCGTAAAAAAAGGCGTTCTTTCGATTTTATTATCTTTTGCAGTATATTGATCACTGTATACCGATGCTATTTTCAAGAAAATTTTAAGAGAAACTGTTACAAAAGAAAAGAATAGAACACTTACTAAAAAGAATATTTCGAACTCTTCTCATCAAACGGACATAGACGCCTAATTGAGGTAAAATTTCATCAAATGTTTGAAAGGCTAGAGCGCAATTATCCTCACTGGCCTTTTCAACATCTGCACCCATTTCCAACAAAAGCGTATCCAGCCGAGTGGCTATATTTTATTTATAATTAAAAGTACACTATCAATAAACAATCTATCTAAAGGAAAATCTATTAAGTATCTACCTGGAGAGTTTGCTTCGGCGATTCCATCAACTTTTAACATATTTTAAATTAGTGGCAAATCAAGCTTCTATCGTCTGCTTTATTGTTGCTAAGTAATAAAACAGTTTAACGCCATCTGTTGAACAATTAATAAATTACTATCGACCTACGAGACATCTGGGCGATTTTTCTTATAATGTGCGTTATTGAATATAATATTGTATATAATCGGTACGGTAAAGAAGTAAATTAAACTTTAATAATAGATTAATGATTTTTTTATATAATTTAATGAAAATCTGCTTAATAAGTTAAAAACGTTGGCTACGTGTATAATACTTATTTATTTAATAGTTTCAGTAGCCTTCAGGATATTGATGATTAAAAAATTTATGAAAAACAAGGGTGGAAATATATTTAATATAAGAAAGAAGAAGATAGAATAAGGAAGAAGAGAAATAATTGAAAGTTTAATTTTCCATTTCATTTAAATCTATTGCCGAATGGTCTATCCTATTTTCAATGATATGTGATGAGGGTGTTGTTATTCGACTACTTTTACCATATGCCATTGTAGTCCATGTTAAATTTTTCAAGGTAACCTTGTCAAGCGAATTGGCTGGAAAAGCAATAGGAATACTTTCATCCTCGTCATTAATATTGATTGTAGATAGTTTATGCTTAAATCCAATCTTCTTTAAACAAAGATTATCCATATTTTGTTTTAATTCAAATTTAAATCCAATTTTGGAATTTGGATGATGAATACTTAAATGGTGTTTTATTGATGTTAATGAAACGAATTTTACTGGACATTCCATGCAAATATAAGCATAATCTGCAACATGCTCCCTCAGATGATCAAGTAAACCTTTCCTCTTTTTTGAATTTTTACCACATATCTTACAACTGTAAAAAACTAATCTATTCTGCAATTTTCTCTTCTTACTCTCTCTTCTGTAACATAAAAAAGAAAAAAAATATAATCAATTATATACTGTAAGCTCATAGTTTCAATATTTTAATATACAGTATCCTATTTACATTTCAACCATGTTATTCTCCTCTTGTAAATTAATTCCGCCATTTTCATTATGATGAACTCTACGTAAAATAAAATCATTTGAATATTTTTGTAATATTATCATCAAAACTATATTTTACTTTCGTTGATTCTCATTTGTGTTTGTCATTGATAAACTCAGATTCTTTAAGCTTGGTAAACTGATTAAAAAACATAAGAGAAAGAGAATGATAAAACAATCGGGCATTCTTTATATAAAAATTAATTAAGCCTACCTGTTGAAATTTGAAATTAGATGAGAGAAATCGAAATGATATTTTGAAAAATCATACTTCTTTTCAATTTGGGAATTATGGTTATAAGATGGTTTTTTTAGTCTCAAATCCAGAGGTGGTGGAGAAAGAGAAAGAGGAGGAGCAGGAGGACTAGGAGTAGGAGAAGGAGAGGGATAATATACGTTTGTTGAAACTATAAGAAAAGATTGTAATAATTGTCGCCAATTTGGAAAAGCTTTTAAATCAGATTTCGAATTGATATAGGAGCAGACTCCGCAAGTAAAATCAGTTTGAAGTTGATTTGCGTGATAGAGAGCATGATTAAGATTGAGAGTACTATGATGGCAACTTCGGCATTTGTGACTGCAGTTTATTCGTCTTAGAATTTCACCACTTGCAGAAAGAGATCCATTTATGAAATAATTCTGGTTGTAGTGAGAATAGAAAATGTCCTCTCCTCTAATCCTATGCACTAATTCATAGTGTTCCAGCAGTTTTTTTTTACAAATTCCGTAGTTGGAGCATAGGATGCATTGATAATAAGTTGTAGCATCCTTGTATTGCACACCATCGCTAGTTGTAACATTATTTAAATTATTTTGGCAAATTCCTTCTACTCTAGTAACAGTCATATTTATGTTAGCAGGGTTTCTCTCTGGATAGGTAGATTGTAAATTCTGCAAACTCATACCATTTTTTGAGTTCTTATCAAGATCCATATCTTTATTATTCGTTTTAGAATTGGTTGTTTGTTTATATTTTCTAATTTGACTATCAGTAAGCCTCTTTAAAACAACCTTGGAATCTTGAATCTGCGAAAGAGTTATTTCAATCAATTTCAAACGTTTTGGTAGAAATTTTTGAAGTTCACTATGAACATTTTCAGTAGTATTAGAAGCGACTGTCTTTCTTCTACTCCTATTAATCATACTTGCTGAAAATCAAACAAAATCTTAATAAAGATATCCATACTAAATTATAACTATCAATTATTTTCTATTTCTTTAAACTGATCAATTGTTTCCTTAGCATTATTTAGAAATATTAATAAAATGATATATAAATTAAGAGACAGGTAACATATGCATATTTATTTATATAACCTGTATATTGGCATTTAATTAGCTCAGTTAATTACTCGAAAATTTCAATTTCACTTATTACCTTCATTCAATACAGCAAGATTATGTTCTAATCCCTAGATAACTAACTCATCCTCCACATATATCATTTATATTAAAAAGTCCATACATTCTTACTGAAAGCTGCAAAAGAGAGAAATGATCAATTTTCTTTGTCATAGATTTCAGCTGTTTATTAATAAATAAACGTTATGTATTTATAAATCGATAAATTACATCAATAGGAGAAAAAAATTAAATGGTAATGATAGTTTTGTGTAATAGTTTAAAATATTCAGTCAACTTTAGGGAGCATAAATATATATATTATAGATTATGTATAAACTTATTAATAATTAGACAATGTAAATTATGTATCGTACAATTGAATTATAATACTATTTAAATATTAAATAGACTTTCTTAGGTATTAAAATTTATCATTTGATGAGTAGGTTGAACAAGAGAAATGATAAGAAAGGAGAACAGAGAGGAACAGTTTATATGGTTGATGTATATCATTATTAAATGAATGTTAATTGATGCAAATTCTCATTTTCTCTCTCTCTTTCTCCCCCTTTTTTCTTTCATTGTACAAATATACTAATAGTAGATATATATATTAATTTATATATATGCTTAAAATAGCACACAAATACAATACTATCATTACTAGCTTATTCTGGTTTAAACTGGAAAATTTTAATGGAATTCTTATTGGTAAATAAAATGACTAAATGGATAAAGAGGGAACATTATTCAATTTTTCATTTATTTTCCTTTACCACCTTTCTTCTTTCTCTTCTTCCCCTAATATCCTTAATAAACAATTCATTCAAACACATAAAACTTCCAAGAAAAACCTCTCTTTAAACATTTATCAATTAATTATTTATGTAATATTTAAAATAAGAACAATTATAACATAATTTTAATAATTGAAAAGGTTAGATATCTATATTTTACCTATAGATGGAGGTAGTGGCAAAAATTATTCTAACGTATTCCATTTTGACTATCAATAAGACGTAGGCTATAAATAGAGTTGAACAGGAATGAGTCATATATCACGACCTAGTGTATCTGTTTTTATAGGTATATATACAAGCAATAGTAGGTAGCATTTAAATGAAATTTCGAATGCGTTAATAACCCGTTCTTTATCTTTAACAACAAAAATGGAACAATACACTTGCAGTTTTGAAAATGATCCTTTTACATTGGAAAAGGCGAAAAAGGAGGTATACGAAATACCGTCTGATAGGCTTGCCGCTGTCGACTGTCTGAGGCAATGGTTAAATAGTCAGGAGCATCTTGTATTCAAAGCCGATACTAGAATGCTTTTAGCGTTTTTGCGACATGCAAAGTTTAGCCAAAAGAAGGCAAGAGAAACTCTAGAAGGTTATGTTAAAAATTTTGATGAATACCCCTGCTGGTTTAGGGATTTAGACCCATGTTCTAAGAAGACTGATTGGATACTTTCGAAGGGTTATGGAATTCCACTACCAGGTTATGATGTGGATGGAAGAAAGGTTATCTTCTACAAGATAAGCTCCATACCCTATAATGAAATTGGAAAAGGTAAAACAATTGATGTGGATGATCTAATGAAAGTTTGGGTAATTTTGGGAGCCTATGCTAATTCGGAGGAAAGAACTCAAATTCATGGATTTAGCCTATTCTTCGATTACACTAATGTAACCATGAAACAACTTGGCATGATAGGTAGGGATAAGATAAAGGAATGGAATACTGCCACTGAAGATAGATTGACTGGTAGGCTAAAGGCTTTTCAAATGTATAACATTGGAGCCCTATTCGAAGTCATGTTCAACTTCATTAAACCTTTTATGAAGAAGAAATTTCTAAATAGAATTTACGTTTACGAAACTCTAGAAGAAGTCTACAAAAATATCGATAAAAAGAATTTACCATCGGAATATCTACCCGACGACTACGATGGTCCAACTCAGGGTACATTTAGCGAAATGGCTGCCAAATTTAAGAAAGAAATACAATCTGAAGAATGGAGAAAATATTACGATAGTAGATTCAATTCTTCGTTTCATGTTGATAATAAAAAGAAGAATAACGGCGATGCACCTACCGCATTATTTAGAAAGTTAAATGTTGATTAGAACTATTTACTTTTAAAGATGTTACTATAGAAAAATATAAGAATAAAACTCTTTTTCTTATTTGCTTGTTGCTTGTCTTGTCCGTCCCTATGATTTTCATATGTACATTATTATTCACTATTACGATTATTGTCATCTTAGGCCTATTGTTTTTTTTTTCATTATCAAACAAGCACTTCTTAATAATGTAAAATAATATTAAATACATGTAGCATAATAGCAAAGACTATCAGAGTACATAGGCCTGTTGATAAGGAAAAGGCTTAATTTAAATATTACCAAATTTATGATAGGTAAAACATATTTCGGTCTATTACATCCGGCACTTAGATGTAATAGGCCTAGTTCTTATTCTGATGAGGCTTTTCAAGTTTCTACTGGCGGTAATAGGTCTTTTCATTTATCGTGTGAACCTGGTCAGGTAAAAAAGCTAGTAAATATTTATTTATGTGATACGTGTGCTCTTTATTGATTATTTCCATTTGTTATGTGCAGTAGAATAACCGATAAATATGGAAGATTACAAATGCAGTTTTAAAGATTATAAATGCAGTTTTGAGAATGATAATATGACTGTTAAAAAGGCTAAGGAGGAGTTGCACGAAATATTCTCAGATAGAGAGGGAGCTGTTGAAGCGTTAAAGGAATGGGTTGATAAACAAGACCATTTGAAAACGTTTAAACATTTTCGTTTCTTATTGAAATTCCTAAGAGGAGCTAAATTTAGTCAACTAAGGGCAAGAGAAATTCTGGAGGGCTATTGCTCAAATTTCATGGAATATCCTCAATGGTTTACAAATATGGACCCTTGTTCAAAGGCTATTGATCATCTATTATCAATTGGATACGGCTTCCCCTTACCAGGCTATGATAAAATGGGTAGAAAAGTCCTCTTTTACAGTATAAGTAAGCTATTTGTTTATATACCTGTAAAACTCCAGCTACCCCTTTATTAGAAATCAATAGTTTTGATCTAGATATAGGTCACAACTAGGTAATAAATACTGTATCATGACAAAAACTAATTTACGCCATTTATCTTATCTACAATCATTCATAAAGTGGATAGGTAATTCTTAAAAATTTTAGCTAATCCCTTCCATTGATAAGAAGTAGAAAATAATTAAATTCATATTCATTCACCTGACTTTAAAACTCTAATGAAAATCATAAAGAATAAGTAAACGGTATTCTGAACAAATAACAATAAATTTGCATTAATTAATTAGGTAAACTACGTCTGGAAGATGTTGGGGAAGGTAAACTATTATCCGTAGATGATATGCTGAAATATTGGTTAATGAACCATGAATACGCTACAATGGATGAGAAAGTTCAAGTTAATGGATTTATTCTCTTTTTTGATTACACCAAAGTAACTTTAAAGCAAATGAGTCTAGTCGGAGGGGATAAAGCTAAAACATGGAATAAAATGGCTCAAGATAGATTACCGGGTAGATTGAAAGGTTTCCACCTGTACAATTCCGGTGCAGTAATAGAATTCTTCTTCGCCCTTGCCAAACCTATCCTTAAGAAAAAGTACTTGGAAAGATTCTTTATTCACGAAACGTTGGAATCTGTATACGGGGCCATTGATAAAAAATATCTTCCTAGCGAATTTCTACCCGATGACTATGACGGACCAACAGCTGGAACTTGCGCAGAGTTAGCAGGTAAATAATCAAAGATTCATCTATATTAATTGCAGTTAACCTTATTGATAAGACTTAAGATATGAATTAATATTCAATTACAGAGAACTATAAGAAGGAAATGCAGTCACCAAAATGGATAAAATACTTCCAAGAACTTTCCAACGGCAGTATAGGAGTTGATAAAAGTAAAAAGAAAGACACGAAAGATGAGCCAGTAACAATGTTCAGAAAGTTAAATGTTGATTAATAAAATTGCATCTTTTCAAGAAAATACTAATGAAAGACGCTATCACCTTATAATACAACTAGTTCATCTCCTATCTTGTATGCAAATACAACAGAATAAATAATAAATAATACAGTGTATATAATAGTTAATAGGCCTATTAAGGTTTTTTTTCTAAACTGCAAAAGTTTTTTTTAAGATTAACATTTTGGCCTAATAGAATAGAAAAATATGAATATATAGTAATATATATATATATATATGTCGCTGTTTATATACTTGCTCAAACAAGTTTACCGCTCTGGCAAGATATAATCGATAGGTAGTTCGTTCATTCTACTTGGATCGATTGTTCATAACGTTTGTTGTTTCTACCGGTATCTACTCTTTAGTTATAGTATAATAGGTAAGTAATTATAAGGATGCATAGCTGATTGTCATTATTTATATAAATAAATAATAATCTAAGGAATTTATTAAAATATATATATATATATATATATATAGTATATATACAGTATATTAAGCTAGTCACCTTCTTCGTATCTAGAAAGACTTTCTGTACAAAAACGGATTTTATTTTCTTTTTTCTCAAAAAAGATAATTTCGGATTGAATAGGCCTATTAAAATGATTATTGAATTGGATTAACTGGAAATATTTATAAGAGGAATTTAATATAATATTTAAACAAAACGAGAGACAACAATAGAATTAATGATGATGACAAATGATGATGATGAAAGTGATATTTTATTGTTAATGTACTGTATATTCTTCGTTCTTCTTGAAAAGATAGAAAGAGAACTAAGAGAAAGTGAATTAATTTATTCAATGATCTCTCTTTTATGTAAATATTTATATTATTAGTGAGAATACTTGACTTTACACGTCATTGGCTCTTTTCTTAGTAAAGAATACGTTTAGATAAAAAGTTAAAGCTGTTCTATATACAGTATTTATTTGTTTATTTATTTATATTAATTAATTTTTCTATTAATATAAAATAGACGGTAAGCTCCATGACAAGTTTAGTCGATTCCCATTTGGAACGTAGTAGTGGTAATGATCTTGAATGTTGGCTGAAAAATGCTTCGGAACCTATTCCAGTTCAAATTGAATCTGAGGAAATACCTTTAATCAATTTAGACGAATCTTTCGACCCTCTTAGACATCAGAGAGTTGAACTAGTCAAAAAGGATGTTACGCATACTAAACAGATACATATTAAACGGAAATCTCCTCTTCAAAGTTCACCAATCCTTGATGGGAGAACTAGAAAGTCGTCTTTAACTTCGCCAACCCTCGATAATGAAGCACCTTGGAGACAGAGTCCTAAATATCCCGGATCTCCATTTAGTGCTGGAACATTTACCAGTTTTAAACCCAGAAAACCGAGCTGGGACGATTTGGATTTAACCAATCATAGTCGCAGAATCGAGAACAATTCTCCTCAATTTAAAATTGATAAGAAAAATAATTACGTTCAGAATGTTGGAGATATTCTCAGACAAAGAGATTTCTCCACTCAAACATTTGGACAGTTACAGAAAGTAAATTATTCAAATGTTCAAACGCAAACTTCTGAATTTTCGTTAATTAAAGTAAATAAATTTTATATATATTCATAAAACAAATAAATAATACAAAGTATTTTGATTACAACAGGAATATAAACCTCCAATCTTACAAAATCATCATCAAGAGCGAAAAGATAAGAGGAAAGATATACCAATTGAAGGGATGGGAAATGGTGCGAGAAATTCAGATCAATCAAAAAAGCATTTAATGAAACTAATGCTGTCACAAATTCGAGATTTGAAATCTCAAATGCACGAAATAGAACCAAATGTACAAAAGGAATCTCGGAGGAAAAAACAGAGTAGAAGTAGCAGATCTATTTCGGAACCAGAAGAACATATGGATGTTTATACAAAGAGAAGGTTAGAACTTTTAAATAGGAGTGCTGGACCTCCTCCAATATGGAATCAACCTCCACCTCTTCCCCATGCTACAAGATATCGCGCCCCGAACTGGATAGCGGGCAATCCCAACCCAATGCATCATCCTGCTCCAGTGCAACTACCGCCTCCTCGTCCCTATCCTTCAATGCCTCCACAAAGACTACATCAACAAAACGGCCTAAGACCGAGTGCCTTCACACCCATCAATAATAGAATGCAGGAGCCGTCTCCAATGTTGTATATGTCTCAAGGATCTCCCCCGCTCTTGTTCATAGCTAGTCCACCAAGGAATCTAGATGACGATTGCTCGTCATGCAGTTCTTGCTCTTGTTCGGGAAGGTGAATGACTTAATTGTTTATTCAGTTGAAAAGAGACTTAATACCAAACTGTTAGAACAGTTTGTCAACAGATATAGTGCCACTTTGCTTTCTTTGAATTGTAAGTGATGTTTAGTTTAGCTAATACTCGATATACGATTCTAAGGGCTAATTAGTAAATATTAATTTTTAATATCCAAACAGACACACTAAAAGCTTATTTGCCTCAAAAAGAGCCTCTTTTTTTTTCAACACTTATAGCCCTAACTTGAAGATTAGCTAAACCAATATATCATTTAGACCTAACTCTTATTGTCAATAAAAAGTCTTTTGTACTATTTTTGAATCAGGCCTATATAAAGTATTATATACATTGCAATATTTGGAAAAAAAAGAAAAAAAATTGGATCAATAAGGCTTATTCTTTCCTATCCAAATAGCATATCTTAAAAAATTGACTTTTATCACTTTTTAAAGCTTATTAATAGATTCTTATTATATATATATATATATATACAGTATATATATATATATATAGTATATATATATACATATATTATATATACATATTTTTAATATCAAGATAGTCAAAGTTCTTCTATGTTCTTTCAATACTTTTCAAGTTTTCGTTTCTTTTTTTTTTTAAAAAATGATCTGGAATTTAGGATTAGGCATACTACTTTATAATAAAACTTTATATAGGTTCGGAGAGCTATTACTCCTAGGAATGGTCCTATAACCTCTTGAGCTTCTCCTAAGTCTCACTTGCGAATGCTGATAGGATTTATATGCGGATTTGGGTGATGACAAATTACCAAAAATGGAATATAAGAAGGTTGATGGAACCATAATAATCAAGGCGAGAACAACAAACCACATTGATGATGAGAATTGCGGTTGCCATTTCAGATCGGGTGTAAAGAGTGTCCAAAATATTGTTCCTAACGGCATAACTAAAGCCGTTGATACTGCCACATATATCGCTCCCTGCGCATGCTTTATCAATAGGATATTGCACATATTCGATATGCAATAGGATATCATAAATACAATTGCAGTTGGTAGTACAGATTTACAGTCGCTTGAATTTGTATACAAACAGGCTAAACCTTTTTTCACACTATTTGCAAAATCTTGAGTACCATTTGCCTAATTTTAAGGATGAAAAATTTAAGGGAAAAACTGTATATAAATTCATATTCTTTCACTACTCACATAACCAAATTTTGGTAAGAAGTCCGTCCAAAATAATAATATATATGTACCGTAGAGGAATACTTGAGCCCAGGCTATATAAACAACAGTGTTGGCCTATTTATAATAATAAGAAAACATACTTCTTAACGAAGGAAATCGTTTGTTTTTTAATTTGTAAAAATTTACTTTATGAACCATGGTGTTTTTTTCCATTAAAGTAAGACCAAAGGCAAGAGGAAGGTAGGATAAGGCATAGGTAAAAGGAAAGTACCATTCTTTAGCGGGTCTTGTAACGTCGTTTGTCACGTTTGTTGCAGCTGCTGTTTGTGGTATGGTGAATTGCGGTAATAGCGATATAAGTATACCGGCAAACAATGTTAACAAACATAAGGCCTGCTTGACATTAATCCCTTTTCCAAGCATTAAATACCTAATAAATACTGTGTAAGGAATAACAAGAGTTTGTAATATCGCCTGTTTAGTAAAAATATAGTGGCGAAATAAGTAACAATATCTTCAAACGTAGACAAACTGTGTTTTTTCTCCTTTGATCATATCTTCATGAATCATCATTGGAGAAAAAAATGACAAATCTTTCATCCTAATTGGATGAAAAATCCCTGATTAGATCATTTAAAATATACTACTTAATAATTATATTTAGATATTTAATTCGTTATTTCGCCACTAGCCTGTAAATATGGTGGAGTTCTGTTCGGATCACTAGTATAGGCCAACATTATTCCATTGAGAGCAATTGCAAAACCAACCATGAATACGTTACTCCACGGCGCCGATGATTTTAAGACTATACTTGGATCAATGAAAAGTTTAAAGAGTAAAACTTGAAAAAAAAATAGTGGAGGGAACCAAAAAGCGACTAATAGAATGGCTATAAATCCATCTTTGAAGGAAGCCACATACAAAGGAACAGAGATGCCGAATGTTACAGTTGATAAAACAGTTAATAATGTTAAGAATATGCTCAAAATTATCTTTTTTCTTCTTTTTCCCGGAAGGTCCTCCTCTTTAATTTCAGTTGTAAATGACTTGGCACGGTTTTCAGGGATTGCTTCCAGAGTTGCACTAAAACTAGCCGTAACACTTGTTCTTCTCTTCCTAGAACGCTTTAACAAAGGCTGCTTCTCACTTTCGGACTTATGCGCTGGAAAACGCTTGTATTTGAGAGTTGAGGTGGCCATGTGTACTTTAATACATATATTTATTTTAAGGAAGGTAACTCTCTGTATTAACTATATTAACGATTAGATAGAGAAATAAAGTATGATACGAATTTAATCTATCACGTGATTTCAGGCCTATGGAAGAGGTTGCTGACTGATAGGATAGTTTTCCTTCATTTCAAGTTTTGTATTGTTTTATTGTAACAAACCCGCCTTAAAATAAACCTTATCTTATGATGTTTTCTTCATAGGCTTATATATTAAAAGTCTCCTTTAAACAACCAGATGTTGTTTGTTCCTCTTCTCTTCTTAACCCTTTAATTCTTTACTCATCATTAACGCCGTATAAGATGAAATGTTTCTGTATTCTCTCTCCTCCACCAAGAGAATTTTAGATAAAAATGATTACATTATTGTAATAATGTCTACATTTGTTTGTTATTGTTTGGCATATATAAGTATCTTCAATATCTTTCCCTTAACAAACTTTCAGGAGAAGGAAGAAACTAATTTCATTTATCTTTTAATCAATTACTCAACAAGTAGAGAACAAGTTGAAAAATGATTGGCTCAAGTTACGTCATTAATACATTTAGAGCAAGATTTATTCGAAGTAATCGATCATGAAAAGTGTACTTGACAACTTGAATAAATCATTAACAATAAATAGAAATCGAAACTAATGAACAAGAGACTTTTAAAAAAGTCGATTATAATATTATTAAGTATATATACAGTATACACGAAAGGATAGCTGAATGAGCAGTTTTTATCTCTTGTCTTATTCCATACTTTTACAATGTGTCTGTTTGTCACGTCAGCTGAATCTATGTGCTTTTATATACATTTACTTTTTATGGTATTGATCAAATCTGGTGTTATACTGTCTATGACGTTGAGACCTTTTGCTGTAGGTCTAATGTTTCTGTAAATAGGCAGTTTATTTAAATGGATTAATATATTTATTGATTCTTTACATTTCGTCCAAGATTAAAAAGTTATTGTCGACCAGTAATTTAATATCTTCATTATCAAACATTTCTGTTAGTTTAATTGATGAAAATAGATCCCAAACTTGAGAGTTCAAACCAATTTCAGTTCTTAGGCCTAATACAAGTAACTCAATAAGACTGAAAAGGTAAAAAGGTTAGTGGGGCCACTGATAAAATAATGGGAGAAAAAATAAATAAAGTAACAATCAACAAACACATCGACGAGTTTCATTTTAACAATCTTTCTAGTACCATGACCGTATTTTTCCACCTCTCTCATCCAAGGTTCCGGCTCTAACGTTTGAATATGAGAATGTCTTACGCAATCTTTCATTAGTCTACTATGTGCACCTGTTTAATAGTTTTTTAAATGATCAGATAACGTTTCAGTCTCTCTACATATTGTACCTGGCCCTATACCAGCATACTGCAATCCCTGCCAGTAAGATTTATTATGAATACTTTCATATTCCTAGAAGGATTATTTACATTGAATAATTCATATGTAAATTATTAAGGATAATAAGAATTACTTTCAAACTAAAATTAGATACTTCATATCTAGATAATCCATAGCTTTTACAAGTTTCAACAGAAATTTCATACATATCAATTATTTCATCAGTCTTTGGAATATTCTAAATTAAAATGTCAACTGAATAGTATATATTATATAAGATAATATTTAAGTATATTTACTAATTTATCATTTTCCCATAATTTAAAGAGTGCCGTTCCTCTTTCTAACGTTAATTGATATAAAGAAATATGATTAACTCCCATTTCTAATATCTAAAGTGAAAATAAAAGAAAAAGATAAAAAAAACACTTAATTAATTGAATATGTTCATTTATAATTTCTTACCAATTTTAATTGATTTTCCCATTCTTTTATATTCTGATTGGGAAGGCCAAACATTAAATCAACAGATATTCTATTATTAAAAATTTTTTGCGCTAATTCAATGCATCTTTAAATAATTGAAAAAAAGAAAGGTGTGTCTGTATAAAACGATAATTGTACGCATATTCATAAAAACCTGAGAGCATCTTTTCTACTATGGTTTCGATTTAGAATAAATAGATCTTCAGCATTTAAACTCTGAAGAAGAAATTCGTTTATTTATTGTTTATATATCTATTATTATTTTACCTGAACGCCAATTGATAATCTATTTATTCCCGAGTTTTTAAATTCATTCAACTTGTTTGATTCAACATTTGTTGGATTTATTTCTAATGTAAATTCATGATCTTTAAGAATTTCAACATTTTGAACTATTTCTGTAATTATTCCCTTTATAGTCTTTGGTTCGGCTAAGCTAGGTGTACCTATAAATATCAATATGAAGGTAGAATAAACTATGGATTTATTTGAGGATAAAGAAAACAAACCTCCCCCAAAAAATACTGAACGAACTGCTTTTATTCGAACATTTTCAAGGATACTTTTTATCTCGTTCTTATAGCAATTTAGTAACCTATTCTCATTTTCGTTCTTCCTAAATTATATTGTTTAGAGGTCATTTATTACATTTATTCATTTAGAAGTACCTTATATATTTATTGAAATTGCAATAAGAGCATCTTCTTTCACAAAATGGCCACTAAAAATGTCATGGAATAAATATTTAGAAATATCGACTTTTAACTTATAAGAAGAGATAAAACTTACTTACATGAATATAAAAAGATGCTAGTTCTGTATATTTTCGATTAATTTGATTTAAATCAACTACATAGTCGTATTGAAATGATTTTCTTAAAATGTTAAATACCTTCATTGTCGCTCATAATATAAATTTATAGCTTAAAAATAGGATATAATAGAGTATTTTCACTGGTTTTATATATTAGGTTATACTATTGTGGAATAAATTATGAAATTATTTTTAACTAATAAGAAAAAATAACTTTAAATATGGTAAATATTACTTTAGGTATTTGATCAAGTGCTGTCATCTATATTAAACATTGTAAACTACTAGAGGTCAGTAACTTATAACCTATTAAATAATATCACTTAAATATGCAATATGCAGTCTAAACTAATGTATATCATAAAAAACAAAATATTTGTGTATTTAGTCTTCCAAAAGGAAAGAATTTTCATTAATTCTCATAACAAACTTTAACACTATTCAATAATTCTTTTTACAGATGAATTTAGGTCATTCATTGGAATGAAACAGAAAAATAAAAATGTGTATACACATAGAATAAAATATAAATACAAAAGTAATAATAGAAAAAGTATAATTGTACATTTCTAAGCTTTTCAATGAATAGTTGAGGCACTTTGTTTCAACGAAAAGAAAATTTAATTAAAAAAAAACCGATAAAATAAGTCTTAAGCAACATTAAGACTATCCTAATCACATAATATAGTTACTGCAGCCATTGTAAATATCCCACCAAATAGGCAGACCATTTGATTAAAAGATTTCCTAAACGTGAAATAGATAAATATGTTGTTAGTAAAGATATTTGGCTATGAATTTTAAGAATTTTTGGTAAACCAACCGGATGTTTGTTTCTTTGAGTAGATCAGGAAGAATTGATAAAAGAGCAATGTATAGAAATCCTCCGGAAGTAAATGGTAGAACCCAAGCCGTTTTATTGCCAGCCTTTTCCGCTGATTCTGAGCACAAAGCAACAATTGCTCCAATCATTCCGCCAGTGGCTGTTAACATCTAATAAAACGCATAAAAAACTTATAAATTTCACTATTAATTATAAAAAAAACCGAATCTTACTTGAGCTTTTGCAGCTCTCCACCTATCGAATCCAGATCTTAAAAGTATAGCAAAATCACCAACTTCGTGGGGAATTTCGTGGAGTAAAATAGCAAAAGTCGTTATAAAACCAACCTAAAGAAAAAAAAAAGATCAGTAGGTTAGTAAAAATAGAAAGAGAGATGGTACGAAGTTCTATAAAAATAAAAAAAACTAAAAAAACTAACAGTAAAAGAATAATAATTCAAGAATAGAAAAACTAACCTTGTTGCTAACGCAAAAACTTCCAGCAACAGCTAAACCATGCGTAAAATTATCTATAACGTTAGCTATTAGATTTAGCCATCCAGTTGTCTGTAGTAAAATAATACTTATAAAATATACTATCTAAAAATTAGATGCCCATATGCTAAACATCTGAATTTTGTATCTATATGAGTTTTATTTGGTGAGAAATTATGCCAACGGTAAATATCAACATTGGAAGATATTTAATATATAGGCTCAATGTAGAATATGTACCTTTATATGAGTATTATCTTCGGCGGCTGACGTTTTACAAACAGGTCTCTTCTGTACACGTTTTCCTTTGCTTGTAAAATTAAAAACGTTGGAGAAGCAGACAAATATTTTTGAAATATTCTCATTTCTAATTTCACTTTTATCATTCAAGTTTTTCCTGTCATTTATCTTTCTTTTCTTTAGATTAGCTTTAGTTTTCAGATCATCATCCGCAAAAGATGCTTTATCATTTTTGTCACAATTGACGTCTCTCTACAGATAAGATAATATTAACATTAGATAATATATGCACTTTATCTCTTTATATCATAGAAATTTAACATTTGAATAACGATTATCTAAGAGGATTATCAACGATAATCAACGATTAAGACTTAAGTTTGTACTCTAAAAAAAATAAAACAATCACTCAATACAATAGAAAATATAAAAATCAAAGAATTTCTTCTCTCAAAAGGTGAAATTAATCCTATTTCTCAATCAAAGTAATAATAATAAAAAAAATAAGAAACATATAACATAAAATTGCAAAGGAAGCAAATATGATAAAGAAGCCATAATTGGAATTTCTGCCACCGCATTGCCTTATTAAAAAATGTGCAAGTTTTTTTGTCTTTTCGATGAATAAATTAAAACTTTTATTAACCAAATAGAAAATAAATCTGATAAGTTATATATAATATCTAGTATAGTATATCTACATTTCTTCGTTTCATACCCTCTATTTGTGTCACCATGATTGGCTCTGAATGAGGTTTAAAACTCCCCTTTGTACGATATAAATCCAATTCAGTGGTGTTTACAGCAATTTTAATCTAAATATAGTATAATTAGCTCTATATGAATAGAATGTTTTTTACGTGTTCATTCTAGACAAAGAAACACATGTAAATTCTTCACAGTTAACTCTATTATAATTGACATACCTTTAACGAATTGTCTTCTTTTTCTTCGTCATCATCAGGAAAGATTTTTTCAATCAACCAAAAACCCAACAACCCACAAAGCACCCAAAATCCAACTTTTCTTATTGCTATTTTACCACTTTCATCTACAAAATAGAATATACAAATTAATGTTTTTGTACAATGTACCTATATTGATATAATAAACCAAAAAACTATTCTAACCATGAGGAATATGGGCCCAAGCTTCCGGTAACAGGTGGAAGAAAACATCTCCAAGTAAACTTCCAACAGCAAAACTAAGTAGGAGTTGTAATCTATCCGCTGACGCTGTAAAAAGAGGTTGAAGATGAAATAAATATTAATTTTATCCATAAGAAAACAATTCTGGTCTGAAAATAGTAGTTAGTCTACTCTTTATTTTACAATAATAAAGAGTTTTATTTAGAATGTAAGTTTATCACGTTCGGCTAAAAAAGATTGTACGTGTCTATGTGTGTGTTGTGCATGAGAGAGAGATAGAGAGAGAGAGAGAGAGAAAGAAGGAGGGAACTTAGTTTATCTTTAGATTTGGGAACTTTTACACCATTGAGAACACAATATATTAAGTAAGTTATATATTTCCTTATCTTCTCATTATTTTTATAAAAGAAAAAATGAATGGGAAATATCTTTCCATTATGAGAAAATATTCTTTATAGAGGATAAACACTAAACATTAAGTTTGGTTTTGCAGTGTTGCAGTTGGGCTAAATCAACGATAAGAACCGCAAAAATTATGCACCTGCTAAAATCATAAAAATACTCTCCACTCATCCACAGCCTACCGACAGTAATACAAACAACTAGAAAAGCTTTAACGCAAAAGATACAATGTCTGGAGAGAAGGTAAGTCAATTGAAATTGGATGTAACATTACGGAAACGTATGTACAACAGGCCGAACAAATCAATCGCTTAATACCATAGATTATTTTAAATCTTTGCTATACGTTATATTTTCGTTCTATTTCACTAACCAACTAAATAATTGTTCTTCTAACATTATGTCTAATTTGCTTTACTTTACAAACGTTACTACTAACCTCCTTTCTTAAGGTTCTTTCCTATCTCCAAAGGGATTACTAGGAGTGGGAAAATACCACTAAGACCAACTAAGGCGGCCGCAATCAGAGAATAGAACCAAGTATTTATGTCGTGTCCGAGAATCGTGATAGGTTCGCGTTGAAATCGCCTAGTATGGCGGCTATTGAATTTCTTAGCCCTGTGAATCTCGGCCGACACCCAGAAGATGAGAGTCATTAAGATCAGAAAAAAGTAAATCTTTCGACTAGATGTCATTATTTAGAGTTTTGATGTTCCGTTTATTGTCGTTCCGTAAAGTGTCTCATACTCTACGAAGTAGTTGATAGCTGTTACTAAAAATATACACAAACGGCAACTAAATCAAGATTCAAGGACTGTAATACAACAGCACATTCCCTGTTAGTGGCGCCGCCTATGTTTCGATTTGTTAAGTATTTAAAGGATTTTAAGATATCATGATAATTTTCTCTTATATTTTCGTCGATTCGCTTGGAAATAAAATGTTCAATTAAAAATTATAAAGATTATGCTAATTTTTTTGATTAGATCGTAAAATCATATAATTAATCATTGCACTCGTCAGATGGCCATAGTTTTCGAAAATCATTATAAAAACATTGAATAAAATTATTTCGTATTTTTACTTACAATGTTATCCTTATTTTAAGATAGAACATTTTCGGTTGGTTACTTAAAATAAGATTATGAAATTTTTACGAAAATAATTAATTAAGAATACCAAAAGAGGCAACTTCAAATTTCGTTCGAATTTTTATTCTATAAAGTTAATATCATGGCAAACGATGCTCTTTATTCTATAACAAGAGAAGCAACCCATCTGGGAGTGCATCAAGATGATGATAGGCGTAATAGTTTCAGGAATAGCGGTCCAGGATTTGGTTACCCACCTATAGCTGAATCCGTAAGTGACCTTCGCTGAGAAAGTAGTCATTCTCTATATATTTCAGCAAATTGAAGGCTATTTGTTTATTGAAGCATTTACCTTTGAAAATCATCCAGCCTAATTAATGAAACTTTGTATAATCATAACATATTCATAATGAAGAACAACCGTCTCTATTTTTCTAACAGAAAAATATCAACACTCTTCCAGACAAGATCATATTACAGATTTTCTCCTTTATTCATCACAAAGAATTAAGCAGGGCAGTTGCTAAAGTATGCAAAAAATGGAGAAATTTGTCCTACGATTCACATTTGTGGTCGAGGGTCTCTCTTCGTCCAGAATACGGAGGTCTACAAGTCTCTAATAGCGATGCTCTGATACACATAATTGGAACAAGGTTCGTAAATGAATTGAAGAGTAAACTGAAGAAAAAACTTATTATTTGGACAGATTTGGTTCTAGACTGCGTTATATTGAACTTCCGTGCGAATTAGTTACGACACCTATCCTTCATGAATTGGTTAACAAGTGCCAAAATTTAAAGTTAGAACTCACTTTCTAACTCTTTCTCTACTTTAATCGAATTAATCATTTTCTCTAAATCTTCCATAATTTTCCAGATATTTAACACTCGATTTTGCGAATGCTATGCAGTTACACGATTTCAACGACTTAAACGCTTTTCCCTGCAATCTAATAAATTTTACGGTTTGTCTGAGTGAAGTAATATTCATGGAGGGCTTTATGCGGAAAGTTTATCAAAGTTTAAGTTCTGTTCAAGTCCTACATCTGATAGGAAACTTTGAACAGGGTGATGAAGAACAAGAGGAGATTTATGAAGTATAATTTTATATTTATATAATTCTATATAAATTGTACTAAAGTAATTCCATCTCTATTTGTTTTAGGTTATTAACATAGGAAAAATCAAAGCTCACACGCCCAATTTAAAAGTTGTTAACTTCTATGGAATCAACTTTATTGACGATTCACATGTTGAACTTTTATCTACAAATTGTATTCATTTGGAAAGTTTAAGTTTATGTTTTTGCCTAAGAGTTAAAGGATCGACTCTTAAACAGCTAATTCAACGTTGTTCGAAACTACAAACCTTATTGTTACAACACTGTGCATTAGAGGATGAACACATGAGAAATGTTGAATGGGAGAAATCTGCTGTTTGCGAAATAGATTTATCATCGACAGAACTCTCAACAGAATGTCTACATGATGTACTATTAAGAATCAATAACTTTAAATACTTGGCTCTGGGATACTGCGAATTTTTTACTGATAAAGTATGAATTTAATAAGTCAAATATCTTATCAATGTTATATATCAATTGAATTTTTTCTTCTCCCACCTCTTCTTCTTTTGTAATACCTACAATTTAGATTCTTGAAGATTTGAGTAGAAGAGGAAAATTAACAAATTTAAAAGCTTTGGATGTTAGTCATACTATCGGATTAAGCGAAAATGTTATTAGTCAGGTATAATCCAACTATTACGGGATTATAGAGATGAAAATTTAAAACGTTCCTAGGTTCTTCGAAAACATGGACAATCACTACAAGGTCTTATGATAGCTGGAAAGCCGAAACTGACAGAACAATTCTTCCTTAATGTAATACCTTTTATGAAGAACATACGGTTTGTTTTAATTTCAATTGTTATAAATTACCTTTCATTTTTTTTTATTTTCCTTAAAAAAGGACTAAAACCTTTGTATTCTTTTCCTTTTTTATACTTATTTTTTACTTTTTTTTTTTTTTTGCAGTATCCTAGTTTGTGGAACAGCAAATGGATGGTTCTTAAGAATGTCGACCAGAGTTCACGTAGATCAAATAATGATCTGTCTCTCTCAGAACACGCCTAAATTGGAAAGATTAGAATTACAATGGGATCCAGATATGATCAGATTTAGTGATAATTCTAGCAAATTCGTTGATCAGCTAAGGTAATTGAAATAATAACAGATTATAGTCTCTTAAATTAAATTGAATTTTAATTAAAACAAATAAAAATAACAGATTAAAGTGTCCGTTGATAAAATCATTTACTTTATCGGATGGCGAATATTACGAAATGGTAAAATCAAACTTTGAGAGAGCTGATAGAAAAACAATCGTTAGGACAATTACAAACTATACAACCAGTTTATTCCCTATTTTAGAAAAGCATTCACTTTTGCAGTTTAATTAACAAAATCCCTTTGTTTTTATTGTTTATTTATATATTTATCTGTTAAAATGGAGAAAAATATGAAAGTATTTTGAAAGTTTTGTTTCTAGTTGAATAGATCTTGAAAAGGAAAATGAACATTTTGAAAAAATAACCCACCGATAGTATTTTGTAATATAAATAAAAATCTTATATAAGAGATATTCATTTGTATTTTATCTTATAAACATTATGTAAATGAATAATTCAATAAACAATTAGTTGATTAACTAATTAATAAACAAGGATTACTTACTAAAATTAATTATTTAATAAAAGTAATAATACATCTTTTTTTCGTTGTCCAATGGAAAATTACAATTCATATTACAAACTATTATAGCTTAGGCCAAACTTTAAACTATTGGAGTGTAAGATTTCATCATTTTTCTAGATTTCTTAATAAAAACGAGTTATCGATGCCGTATTTTTTGTTAATAAAGTTCAAAAAGTTCTCTGTCTAAAAAATAAACATTCCCTAAGGACGGACAATAAAAGGATAATATAACGTGCTTTAGAACTTATACGCCTTAATAAACATAACACGCAGATTTTATGTATACAAACACTACAATTTCACGCAACGGATCAGTATAAATACGATGTATTCACTCACATATTTCAAAAGTCTGTTTGCTCTCTAATCAAATCAACAATGGAAAGTTTAAATGGAAAGTGGTCTATGCAACAAATAGATGAGAGTTTCGTTGCCGTACTGCTTGAAGCAGGTACTTTTAAATGGAGAACATCTCTAATCTCGTAAGAACCTTTCAAGATAATATTTTTGTTTTATAGGTTATAGTGAAGAAGCTATCAATAGACTCAAAGAAACAACGAAAGGAGATAATATAACATTTGAATATAAGATTGAGGTGAATACAGTATTTTTTAAATCTTAGCTTTATAAATCATTTAAAACAAACAAAAAAAGGGAGATTCGGTTGAATACATTTTATCTCAAGATGGAAATGAAGTGCATAAAGTAGGCGGAAAATTGGGGGAAAGCGAGCAATGTAACTCGCTTGATGGTAGACAAATAACAGTAAGAGATCACTTTTATTTATCTTATTAGTAAAAAAATATATACATATAATAACAAACATTTAGCGTTCCATGGAACAAACTGATGGAACTTTGATTGTAAAAGAAGTTACTGAAGATGATAAAGTACTGACAAATGAAATAAAAGTTGTAGATGACAAACTTGTTGTCGTGAGTTTTTATTATATATATATATATATATATAATTGTATTTATAATATATTTGTAGGTATCGAAATCTAACGACAAAATATCTACTCGAGAATTCTCAAGAGCTTAACCATTTCAACAAAAAGTTGCGAATAATGGAGAAATATTCAAATTCTGCAAAATAAATGACTGACTAAATTTTACTATATTAATAAACAAACAATTAAAAAGAATTAATCTAATGTTTTGTCATCTTAGAAAATGAATACATTTAAGATTTTAGGTTTTAACAACAAATTTTCCATAAAGTTTCTTTAATAGATTATTGAAGTTTTTAAAGAGTTCATCTAAAAGTTCAACAACTTAAAAGATTAAGAGAAAATTCGTCTTAGGTTCAACTTTAAGTGCTTCTTGCTTGTAAATGAAATGCATTGTGAATATATTTTTTATACAATATACTAAAGAGTACTAAAGTTAGTTTCGTAACAAATTTAAGTCATGATATAAATTAAACTGGTTCCACTCTAAAATTTTAGAACCAGTTTATACCATCATAGACGTTGAATAGACCCATTTTGAACCCAGAAAAGGCCTCTTAGCATAGCTGTTAACTACTAAAAGTTAATAAAAGGTAAGCAAGTGACCATATAACCTACGAGTATTTATTTGGTAGTGGAAAGCGAATCAAATGATTATACGACAACTTCACTCAAATTTTCTACTGTTATATGTGAAAAACTAAAAATGTCCCTAACTTTTACTATTAAAATGAAAGCCTAGAGACATAAAGACCTAAAATATCTCTTTTCTATAAAATATATCTTTCAAAAGATATATTTATAAGTGTATATTATTAGTTTGAGATAAAAAAAAACAATCATCAACAACTCCGCATGGCCATTGTTACAACACATATCGTCCAGTAAAATTTTAAATTTCAAATATCTGATACAAATAGCCTGAATAGAACCAAATGCTAAAATTAATTTATCAAACTATATGAAGAGAAGCGGTTGTAAGCTTCACGTTCATCAAAGGCTAGTACTGGAAAAAAAGGTATTTTTTACCCGAATATCCGGTCTCGTTTTCAACTACTTCTTCAGTAATAGGTAATTTAGCCCAAGTAAATATCTTATATTATGCATAATATATGAATTTACATGTAAATTCTTGCTAATAATAAGTGGCATTGAGTAATAAAAATTAAATAGTTTGAATAAAACGCTTGCGTAATATACCAATATTGTAAAACATTCTCCCGCCAAAAGCGTGGTGGCTAATTCATTTCGTCAACTACAGAAAATGGACAAGACTGAGAATGGAACTATGGATGGAAGTTCTATACAGGACAAATCTTGCAGTCTTTCAAAAAGCAATATTTGCTTATCTCGTGTCGTCGTTCAAAAAGAAGTTAACCTACTCTCATGGGTTGACTTAGTACTATGTGCTTGTGAATATTTACGCAATAAAGGAAATGTAAGTTGCAAAAATCTAAATATCTCAGTTTCGTAACTTATTATATTGTACAGCAAACACCATCTTTTAATGATATTGCAACAACTATTGATGAGAACTCCGAATTTTTAAATCTATCGAAGAGTGATTCCCAAAAAGAACGACTTTTGTTAGCTTTGTCCGAGGCTGTTTGTCGACGTCTCATTCTGCAGGTAAACAATAGTTTTCAATAAATAGTGAATTTGCTTGTAAACATTTGAATAATTTTAATAGTGTAAAGGATTTGGAACAAAAGGTCACTTCAAACTTATTAAATTTAGAGAAACTGATAATATGAATCTTACACTTGAAGAAGATTTTGAAGAAAACTCCATTAATGTGTCTACAAAATCCTCAAATAATTTAACTAAGAGTTTAACGACAGACTCTGAAGTTATATCTAAAAACTGTAGATCAAAAGCAAGACGGCAGAGTGCTCAAAAGCGTGTCATTTCAGATAGTGATTCAGATTCAACTTTATCAAGCGTTCAACAGAAGAAGGGGCGAAAATTTTCACCACAAACGTCAAATAAGTCAGCATCCAATTCTCGAATTTCTACAAGGGCAAAACCAAAGCCAATGAAGCCAGAAGTACCAAGCGATGTATCATCTGATGAAATCATTGTTTCTAAGTCTCCCATTAAACAAATCAATGGAAATGCCGATGATAATAACACCACTAATCATGTATCCAGCGTTTCAGAAGAATCAGATGGTGCTAATGATACTGTTGACAGTAAGTAACAATAGCTATTCTTCATTGTGGTTAAAAATAATATTTTTCAGTTGTCAAATTCAATGAATACCAGGGTAGAATCATTCATTCACAACCCAAGTCAATGGAGGAAATTTTACCTCTAGCTTTAATTTTCCAAAGTGAACCAAAAATAGCCTTGTTACTAGATATTGTGAATTTCATGAAAAAACGATATGGAATTACAAGTCAATCAGAGTAAGTATTTTAAATAATTTTTTTTCAAGAAAAAATGTATTGTTTTTCTTAGCATTGAGAAAGCTCTTGCTCGCTTAGTCAAAGATGACAAAGCACGAAAGAAAGGAAACAAGTACGAACTGGCTGTTTCAGAATTTAGCCCCGAAGAAGGTCAGTTGAAAATTGAAACTTTGACGGTTGACAAATTATGATTATTCTATAGATCAAACACTTGAAGGAAAAATAATTAATGCTATCGTTGCCACTCATAAACCTTGCATTGCTGTTCAAGAAGAAATCAGAAGCTATATGAATGACTTCCATCCGGACATTTATGATGCTTCCGATTTTGCTGAGAGTTTGAAACGTGCTTGCAAGAATGATATAATAAAGTAAGCGAATATATTAATAAATGATGATTGAAAATATTATTTTCTAGGATGACTGAGGACTCTAAAATAAAGCTAGCATTTCTATTTGAACCAACTCCTGAAATGTTGCGTGGCGAGGATTCTCTGGAAGCGAAGACTTATTATGAATAGCAACTACTTTCTCATCAGGACGAAATACTATTGATTTAATTGATATTAGTTGTGTTTGTATTTTCCAGTATTAAAAGCTAAAACCCAACGACCTTTAATCAGGCGTCTTAATAAAGTTTTTCTTCCATTTACTGTTTGAAGTCTAGTTTCAATGCTGTACTTGCTCAATCTTTTCCGCATATTTATTTTGTAGTGTTTTCTAACCACTGTCCTACTTTGTGTAGTTTGACACGACTGTGGTTGTAGAAATCCAGAAAGTGTACCGGTAATGTGCGTTCTGAAAGTAAAATACTATATTATCGCTCAGATTCGAAATAGAGGTTAGTTAAAAGCTTTTAACCTGTGTGGTACATTTGTCGTGAAGATATAACTGCTAAAGCTGCGACATATCGAGACTGCTTTCGCAAACATAGACATAATTAGCTAGAGAAAATTTGATCTTGGAAATTTCATTAACAAATAAACTGGTTTAGCAAAAGACAGATAAGCCCCGCACTGAATAATACTCTAAAGTATTGTTTAAATAAGAGTATTTAAAAATTCTTAACTTATTCCTTTGTAAAAAACACAAAATAATTAAATTATTGCAATAGAGAAAGGCTAAGCAAACTTCGTTTTTTATATCAGACTGATCATAACTTTTAAAGTTAGTTTAAAACGTGTTGATAATCTTAAACGAAAGATCAGTTTTATTTTGAATTCATTTCAGTTGTCAAGTGTTTATTTTTCTTAGAGACAATAAATGTGGAAAAATTTATTGAAATTTTTGATCTTGTGTAATTTTCATTTCTTTACTCCTCTTCCTCTTCCTCTTGCTGACTTTGGCGGGTTTCTTCCAGTTGGATTAGGGCCAGGCATAATATCTCCAACCTGGATTTCGCTGGCTCTTTGATGTCTAACTCCCGTTGTTATTGATTGGGATGATGGATCCACTGGAGCAATGTTCCATAGTTCTCGCTTTCTTCTTTCTTTGTATCTTCTTTCAAAAAATTCCAGATCGGTTTCTCCTTCTCTCTTCATGGCCGACTCTTGTTCTTCGATCTCTCCTCCAAGATCATCAACCAGCATGTTGGCATTTCGTTTTGCTTGAAGGCTGTTTACATGAGCTCTCAAATATGCGTCATCTTGGCACGTAATATCCTGATCTAAGAATTCTTTATTTGGTGCTCCTCTTCCGCTTGGATCCATTCTTTGGTAACCTTCCAAATTAGATGAAAATCCAGTTAAACCTCCCATAGCGGCAAATGGAACATCCTGGCCAACTGGATGGCCTCTAGCTAATCGTTCAGATTTTGTCTCGACGGTCATACCATGATTATAATATGGTTCGCCACAACCGCATGAATATGAACTCTATTAAAATAGAATGTTACTAAGTCAATTTATAAATTAATATAAATAATGATTTGAACCTTAAATCCTGGACATTTTTGACAATTTGGCTTTTTACAGGGATATGGTTCTTTTTCAGAATGTTCTGCAGCAGGATGCTTACATGCCGAGCATCTAATTGTCTGTCCACCAGACATTGGCACATAGTGGTAAGCAGCACATTTGCAGTTTTTTACCCTACAGGGTAATAGGATTGGCCTTTCTGTTGGAATTTTATCAAAGTCTGTTTTGTGTTGTTTGAAGCGATGTTGACAAAAGCAAGGCGTTTCTGGTCCAACTTCCTTACAATCCATTCCCGTTGATGACGACCAACTAACAAATAAACGATTTTCCAATCTTTGTGGTAGCTTTTCTTTCATATATTTGCATAATTCTTCTTCTGACATTAATTTTTCGCGTCCTTCTTCATCGTACATATCACCGCCAACCAATCTAAAAAGTAAAGTTAACTTTCATATTCAATTACTCAATCCCTCCACGCCCTCTTCAAAGAAATTTTATTACATATTCTATTTAAAGAAACAAGATACTCCCGCGAAGATTTGATTGTAAAGAATACAATAATCGAGAATAAATACAAACCTTGTATACATCCAATACTGATCAATTGACTTCTGACCAGCATCATCAAATTGGACGTTAAAAGGAGCTCCTCTGCCTCTACCTCTACCTCTTCCCGCCATTTTGAAAGTATAAAACTAAAATTTTTATATGCGCTTAGCAACGATTGAACGAAAATGAAGGTGAACAAAATCGCAAACTGTATTAATCTGTTTGAGATAAGACGCCCAAAATCTTGACTAAAATCAATTTATTCCATATTACTGCATTCATAGAATAATGATTTTTCGGTATTATATAGAATTTCTAGTAAGTTAGCAACAAAAGAAGATAGGTTTATCAAAAGTGTACTAACTATAGCCTAGAAAAGTCTCTGCATTGTTCAATAAATTATACTTCAATGGGTTAATTGTCATGGAACGACCTGAGTTCGTAACATAAAAACAACTTTTATTAAGCAGATTTATTCTTTTATCAGGATTTCCGCAGGTATTGAAAGACAAATTTGCATATTTATATTTCACTCTTATAAAGTAATCCAAAGTCTAGTCCTGGAGAGCTCTGTTGTCACCTTTTGTCATCTTTCTAGTCGTTCATCAAAATTCATTAACGATCGTAAAATTCATAAAAAAAGTATTAATAAATTCTATTTATTTCTAGTTCAGTATAAACAAAAGTATTTCTTTTGCTAATAGTCTTTTCATTAATTAATTATTGAAATAATAGATTTTGAATTTTCAATAGAACGATAATAAGAAAAATTCCAAGAACTTATTCATATTAAAAACTTTCACACATAGATTTATTTGTATTATATAACACAAAGTTTATGATTTTAACTTATTGATTACGTGTGTTGTGCAAATAAATTATGAATATTCCTAAATATTATTTATTTGAGAGCGTAAAAATAAATACCAGTTTATACTAGTAAAATTTATCTACTTCCGTTCATAAGATTCACTCAATGCAACTTTTTTAATGTCATAATAAAAGGGCTAATATAAAAGAAACTGTGGACAGCAAATAATGTGTTATTTATATTTATTGAATTCTATTCAAGAAAATACAAAAAAAATGAGAGATAACTGGTTGAGTTAAATACCAGTGATTTGATTTTATTTATATTTACTTTTCGATTAACTCTCAGCACATGTTTATTAATCATGAGTTGGGACTGGGAAGCCTTGTGTGGAAACAGTTCGAAATTTACTGTTTGGAAAGGTGACGATTTTGGAAAATGTTTTGAACAAATGGCTTTTAATTTGCCAACAAGCTTCTTCATCTTGATTATAACTGCATTTCATCTTGGCAAAAACTATGGAACAGCAGTGAGAGGAATCATACCCTGCAGTCCAACTCTTCACATTCGCTTTTATATATCGATGGGACTATTTATATGTCCTCTAATTAACACTCTATTGCTTAAATTTTATTTGAAAATTAATAGTCCATTGATTTCAATGATTTCTTCAACAATCAGCTGTGTTACTTGGTGTCTTCATAGTTTGTTTGTATGGAAATTAAGAAGATATTATAGATTGAAGATCAGTGGACCATTTATAATAACGATAGGAATTATTTTAAAGTGTGCCTTTTACGTAATTAAACTTAGAAGCGTATTAAAGGAAACTGACAGTTTTACAATCGTTGAACGGTATATTTCTTATGTGCAAGCGTCCTTAATTGCAATATATATTTTGACTCTGATACCGTGTCAAAGACCCTCAATTAGCTCTGGAATACAAGTCCGTATACTTAATGACAGTGAAACAAGTTATTTCGATAATGACAATGATATTTGTACTATGGTGCTAGAAAGACCTCTTGCTCCCCTCGGGAGAGCGGAAGAAAATTGCTCAGTAATTAGCAGATTAACGTTTCACTGGGTTCAATCTTTAATGGCTCGAGGGGCTTCAAAGAAAATTGACAACTCGGAAAACTTATTTGACCTTCCGGAAAAGATGACTGCATCTTATGTGGAGGAGTACTTTAAGGAAAATAGTAGGGGAAGAAATAACGATAAAAGATCCCTTCTGTCCAACCTAAATCGTACTTTTGGCAAAGAGTTTTACCCATTAGGTTTATTAAAATTTTTTGCAGACGCGCTGGGCTTTTTGGGTCCTCTTCTTTTAAACTGGTTAGTGATTTTCATGGAAAAACCAAATGAACCCAGATGGCATGGCTATATCTACGCTGCGGGGTTGTTCATTACGGCCTTCCTTACCGCCTTATTAACAAGTCATTTTAATTATCTTGTTACCGTTGTGTCACTAAAAATGAGAGCTTCATTGATATCTTCAATTTATGCAAAATCTTTAAAAACTTCAACAGTTTCACTATCCAAATTCAACACTGGTCAAATAGTTAATTATATGAGTACAGATGTGGATAGAATAGTCAACTTTTGTATAAGTTTTCATCAATTTTGGAGTTTACCCTTCCAAATCGCTGTTTCGCTATGGCTTTTATATCTACAAGTTGGAGTTTCCTTTCTGGCAGGTTTAGCTTTCGCCATTTTATTGATACCTATCAACAGATATTTAGCCAATGCCATAGGAAGATTAAGTAACGATATGATGAATCATAAGGACGCAAGAGTAAAGGTTGTATTAAATTCTATAATATAGACTATTATATAATTATTTCTTATGTTTACAACTATTTAGTTGATGTCTGAAATTTTACACGGTATTCGAATAATTAAATTCTATGCTTGGGAGGATATTTTCTCAGATAAAATTAATAATTTACGATCAAAGGAATTAAAGAGCCTAAAGGGGAGGAAATACTTGGATGCTTTTTGCGTTTATTTTTGGGCAACAACACCAGTTTTAATTTCTATTCTAACATTTACAACTTATGCTATATCCGGTCATGAGCTGACAGCCGCTAGGGTATTTAGTCTTGTTAAATTATTCTATTCTTGCTTTTCATCTAAATATTTAAATACATTTTAAAAATAGGTTTTTACAAGCTTAGCTTTGTTTAATATGTTAATTAGTCCATTAAACGCATTTCCCTGGGTGTTGAATGGTTTAATGGAAGCTTGGGTATCCCTGAAAAGAGTTCAACAGTATGATGATTTAGAAGAGAAAAATTGGAACAATCACTACAATTCAAAGCACAATGGTATTATTATTAAATAAATACCAATCTTAATTAATGTAATTGTTTGTTATATTTGCATTAGATTCGACAGATATTATATCAGTTGATAATGCAACATTCATATGGAATAAGCCTACAGAAGAAGAAGAGACCCTATTAAAACTCAGAGATATTTCACTAAACATTAAAAAAGTATGTTATTCTTTATCCTTTTTTTTATAGAATTTTATTGAGCGCTTTCTGCATTCTAACAGGGAAGTTTTGTTGGTTTAACTGGACCAGTTGGCTGCGGTAAATCATCCTTATTCTCAGCTATATTAGGGGAAATGGAAATGATCAAAGGTCATTTGTCTTTTTCACCCGATATTAATGGGATATCATTGCAAACTCAGGAAGCTTGGATTCAGCACGGTACTGTACAACAAAACATCTTATTCGGGAATGAGTTGGACGATCGATTCTATCACAGAGTTCTCGATTCTTGCGCTCTTCTTCCCGATCTCGAAGTAAATTTAGGTGCTATATGAAAGAGTTGTCTTTTTAAATTGAATATATTATACAGATACTACCAGCTGGCGATGAAACAGAAATTGGAGAAAACGGCGTAACGTTAAGTGGAGGACAAAAGGCACGCATATCCCTTGCCAGAGCTATTTATCAAAATAAAGACGTAATTTTCATGGATGACCCATTTGCAGCAGTCGATTCTCATGTTGCTAAACATATATATTCAAGTTGTTTAATGGGATTATTATCTGGCAAAACAAGATTTTTGAGTACTCATCATACAAAATTTTTACGCAATGCTGATGTGGTTATAGTAATGAAAGATGGAAAGATCGATAAAATTGGTAATGTTATCTTTAATTTGTTTTATTAAAAAAAAAACCTCCCAATTATATTTCATGCATGTCGCTTTTAGGAAGACCTTGCGATGTGCTACAAGATCAAACAGCTATTCCCTCTTCGACAGTTTGCAAGAATACGCATAATGCAAACTACGGAAATATGCAAAACAACAAGGAGAATGGCATTCTAGTTAAAGAGGAAGTCAAAGAAAAGGGAACTGTTCGTCTTTCAGTTTATTTTCAATATTGGAAGGCAGTTGGTACTATATTAGCATCTTTCGTTATGCTATCACTATTCCTTATGCAAGGTATTCTACATGATAATTTCGATAAGATAGATTCTCATGAAAGCTTAATGTATATTCCTTTTCTGAAGCATCAAAGAATGTCAATGATTGGTGGCTTTCGTATTGGGTTACGCATACTAAAGGCAATGATACGGATAGTATCTCTCCTTTTCACGAAAATAGAATTAAGGAAGATAAAAGTACTCTATATCTCTTAGCGTCTGGATTGCCTCATGACGTCTATAGGTTGTTACAAAAAGTTTAATAATTATTAATTAAGTAATCTTTATCAATATAAACAAATATGTCCCAGAACTAGTAACTTTTATTACTTGAGAAATGACTTGGAGAAGCATGGAAACGAAACGCATGCAAATGTAAAATTCTATCTAACCATATATGGAATATTAGCTGGATTTAATACTCTATTTACGCTTGCCAGAGCGTTTCTATTCGCATATGGTGGTATTCAAGCCGCAAGAGTATTGCACAATCGTCTACTAAAGAGTATATTAGCGGTATAGTATTTTGATTAAATGTATAGCTTTTAAAAATAACTATTACACAGGCATCGATAAACTTTTTCGACACAACTCCCGTCGGTCGGATAATAAATCGTTTCTCCTCTGACATCTATTCGATAGACGATAGTTTACCATTTATTGCGAATATTCTCTTGGCGCAAATTTTCTCTTTAATCGGTACTCTTGTGATAACTTGCTACGGATTACCTTGGTTTGCCGTTGTTATTTTACCTATTGCTGTAATATACTATACAATTCAGGTTGTTTTTATTTACATTTTTCAATCGTGAGTATCAGAAACATTTGATTATCTTTTTTTAGAAATACTACCGACATACTTCGAGGGAAGTTAAGCGTATTACAAGTGTAACTTTATCTCCTATTTACGTTCACTTTTCCGAAACTTTACGTGGATTGAGTTTAATTAGAGCAATGCGTCATGTTTCAAGGTTTTACTTTGTTTTCATTATATGCTCAAATTTGTAAGCTATAATTTTTATACTTCTAAAGGTTTCAAGAGGAAAACAGAGAAAAACTTGACAAAAATCAACAAGGAAGATTATCTATGGCAGCCGTCTCTGTGTGGCTTGGATTTAGATTACAGTTATTAGGTGTTGCAATGTTAACTTCAGTAGCATTATGTGCTGTTCTACAGCACCAAGAGAAATCCTCTCAACCAGGATTAATTGGATTAGCTCTTTCCTATGCTTTAGCAGTCACAAACATACTAAGTGGAGCCGTTACTTCATTCACTCAAACGGAACAGGAACTAGTTGCTGTTGAGAGAGCCTGTCAGTATATAGATAATGCTGATGCAGAACAAGATCCAATTGAGACAGATGATGTTCACCAAGATTGGCCTTCGCAAGGATCTTTGAACTTTGATGGTGTCTATGCTAATTACAGAACCAACTTGCCGGATGCTATCAAGAATGTGTCATTTTCTATAAACAGTGGAGAGAAAATAGGTATAGTGGGAAGGACAGGAGCTGGAAAGTCGTCTCTCTTCTTAATTCTTTACAGACTTTTAGAAGTTCGTAGGGGTATCGTAACTATTGACGATGTGGATATAACTAGCATAAGTAGACGGAAACTACGAAAACAACTAAGTATTATACCTCAGGACCCATTTCTTTTTAGTACATCAGTTAGAGATAATCTGGACGCGGAAGAACGCTTGACTGATAGTTCGCTCTGGGAGGTTCTGGAGCGTTGTCAACTTAGTTCTGTTGTAAAAAGGCTTGGAGGTTTGTCTGCCGATGTTGGTGAAGGTGGAAAGAACCTTTCCGTTGGAGAGAAGCAATTGCTTTGTTTGGCGAGAGCTTTATTAACAGATTCCAAAATTATTTGTATAGACGAGGCCACTGCTAGTGTTGATAGTGAAACGGATCTAATTGTTCATTCAACTCTTAGGGAAGAATTTCATAATCGTACCATATTGACAATTGCTCACAGACTAGACACAATTATGAAGTCTGATCGAATTTTAGTTATGGATAAGGCAACCGTCAAAGAATTTGATAAACCTCAAACTTTATTGAATAAGCCTAATAGCCTATTTTCTGGGCTGTTGCAAGGTCGCTCAACATTTAAAAATTGAAATAACTGCAAAATTAGACTGCTTTACTGGATAAATCTATATACTAATATATATACTTGCAACCTTTCCAAAGAAAACATGTGTCAACAGAAACTGATTTTCCAATTGCTTTTGTATAAGCTAATAGATTTGCATCAGCAATATACAGTATATATAAATCTACTTGTAAATTGTATATTTACTATCAGAAATTCATTAAGAAAGTATATGTATATTTTTCATTCAAATAATATTTCAATAGGAATGATTAAAAATGGAAAATAGGATAGATATTTCAACAGATCTCTTGCTTTTCACAGGCTTTCAAATTAGTATACTTTTCGGAAAATAATAAGTTTTTTTGTTATTTAGAGTTGATTAATTTAAACGAAGAGGGTAGAACAGCATATTCTATGCTGCTTCGAGCAAACCTCTCAACGAATTAATGAATGAAAAACAACTTTTACTTAATTCGTTGAGATTAGCGAAATTCATAGGAAATTATTCAAGGCCGTTACAACAATAGACTGATAAGTGTATCTCCATTCATTTTCTTTTCTGATAGTCAGAAAACCAGATATCCGAACAATTTATAGCTGTATATAAGAAATATACTTATTTTTCTCAATGCATAATACTGATAAGATAACTTATTATGTAATCTTATTTTTGAGTAGTGAAAAAATCGATTTTATCAATCGATCACATTTTAAGATATCAAGTCAAGCATTTTTCACTTCGGCAGCAGCTTTTCGCGCTATATAATCAGAATCAAAGAAAATCACTGTCACCGTAATGTCATCCCGGTGAAGTCTAGCAACATCTTCTGGAAGAGCTAACATTTCTGACACGAGTTTGTGATCGTATCCTAATGCATGTCTTATCAAATGCGTTGATGCATTCTCATCCTCCGTCCGGTGTTTTATTCTTGCTCTTCTGTCTTTTAAAAGGGTAACTATTTTAAGAAGACTTCTGTCGTCTGCAGGCAATTCAAAATTTGTATTTGTTTCCTTTCCCATCAAGAAATTGCCAACAATTTGAACGACTTTATCTGCTGAAAGCATATCCCAAAGGCCATCAGAAGCTAGCACCAAAAAACGATCACGAACTGTAAGACGGTGATTTCCAACTTCGGGAGTACATATGAGATATGGAGGGGTATGATAATAGGGGGGAATCAAGCGGCTGGCGGCTGGTGAATTAATAAGATTAACTACTTCTTGAAGTCTATTTGATTGCCACTTATATCTCATATCACCAAATGATCTTAGTGGAACTAGCTGGCCGAGAAGCCTTCTGTCTCGAAGAACGAACTTTTCTTCAGATTTAGGATGCGCAGAAAGTATCCTATCGACTTCCGATTTATTGTCGTAATTATGTTCCTGATTTACAAATGTAAAACCTCCTGTTTTTTGCTTGCAATAAAAGATAACTAACCTTCGTAAGAATTTTGGCTGTCCAATTGCCATCGGCGGCTAGAGATCCTAAAACACCTCTAGTATCGCCCACATTAGCAACGTGAACGTCCAAATCTGAAATATGAGCTACACAACCACAACTTCCACTCATTGCTATAGCGAGAGATTCTCCATCTAATTTCCCATCCTTTGGTAAGCCATCATGTCCTATATTAGCATCTAAACGTATATAAGCCGATATTAGGGCCTTAGCAACAGGATCTTCGTCCTCATCGTCCCAATCTGAAGCAGAAAGTGTTTCACTTGCAAACTTTTGAAGATTGGCTCTGTGACTTGATGAGATCTGTGAAAAGACATTGAGAACAGAATTAGTTTGACCAATAACAAGCTATAAGTTAATATGTATTTACATATATAGAAACTTTTAAAGAGAACTAAAAAGATCTTTCAAGATGAATCTGATAGATCCAGACTGACTCGATTGCTTATCTCTCGCTTTAAATCATTTACCATTAGGAGATTATTTGAAATTTACTTACGTCGTCTATACAGTCTTGAACACATTTCATTTTATGCTCTTTTATCAGAGTGAAGGGTCTCTTTATAAAATCTTCCAATTTACTAGATGGTAATAATGCAAGTGCTATGTAATCGAGCAACCTTTGAGATACAGATTCAGCGCACGAAGGCCCCGCGTGACCATCTAAAACTCCAAATAAGACACCATCTGTGTTCAATAACCTTGCCTGCATCCGTCTATCTTCCATAGGGTTATTGGCATTTAGCTGATTGCTATCATATCCCTTTATAGGGGAGCTACCACGCTTGTTCGAAGTCAAGGACGATTCGTGTAGACGTAAAATTTTTGTGATTTCGGGAGGTCCCAAAGTAGGAACGTATCCACGGTCATGCAAAAACAATTGTCTTGGAAAGACATTTGTGTTAGCATCTCCAATTGATCTTGTCTGAGAGAAAATGAGAAGTTTGTGGAGCAACTTCTGACGAAACCCGATGTTCATTTGGAATGCATTATTCCTTGATACTCGATAAAATTACGATATTCTAATGAAAGTTGTGTTTTACTAACAAATCCGAACAGAAATTAAGGCCGAACAAGGCGAATTAATTTTATACGACTAGAAGATATTTTTTCACCCTGACCTTGACACTAACATTCTCGTACTATGTTTCTTAAATTATTTTAAGAATTTTTATCGTAAATATATATTTTATATTTCGAATGGCAAGAGATAGTCTTAATAAAAGTTATAAATTAGAAAAAAAATTTATACGAAAATAATTATTAAGATCCGCTTAGATCCTATATATTCCCGGGAAGTATAAATATTTAATATAAATTAATACAATACTTTGTAAATATAAAATGTAAAAGTCAACGGGAAAGTTTTTCTTAACCTATTTACATATCTTGTATATTTTTTTAAAAAACAAAATTTTAACCTAAAAACAGTATTTGTTTTTACTACAATCGAGAAATAGAATGTTCCATTAAATCTGAGGAATATCGTCTTGATGTTTTTTATTTTAATCACTTCAAAAGTGAATACATGTCAAATCAATTAATTTCAAGATTTTTTTAAAGTTTACGCATTACTTTGAACTGTTTTTTAAAAAATCTCGGAGTAAAGATTATTGGTAAAATATTGCAGACAAAATAAAAGAATATTCAATAATCCTAACGATTTCTTCTTCCATCCAAAAGAAAAATATATGTATAGAAGATATGTTCTATTTGTATTTTAAAAGATAGAATTAATCCGTAACTAAATTTTTGAATGCAACTCAAAAACGATTAGGAATGTTATAATAATCCTTATTCTGCGCAAAAAGTATATTTTACAGGGATACAATCCATAAATGGTTTTAATGTTTTTAATGAGACAAAGAAAACATTTTCACAAGTGATTTTTATATAACATACGCTTTATTGTCTTTTTATATTATTTTTATATCAGATTTTACATTTTATTGTTAAAATAGAAGCAATTTTCTCATTTATTGATAAAAAAGCATAAATGTAAATAGTATTTAAAAAGACTAATCAAACGAAACAAGAATATCTAGAGAGATATATTTTGTTTTGTTTTCTAGTCTGATAAATAAATGAATTATTTACAAGAAAATTCTGTTCGTATTCTTTTTTAATATGTATATTGCTTTTTTTTTACCTGAAAAATAGATGATGTATGTATATACTCCAATATAAGGAATACGCTATATTAGCTATCTGATACCTTTTCTTATATTTGAAAATGTGATACTTTAATTTAAAGGGATAGACTGAGCCTCTAGCAAAGCAGCTGAACTTTTCTCCAAAGGCCTCGCGACTATAGGATAAACAATAAGATAATAATCTATTTAAAAGGGCGTCTTCGGTATAAAATGGTTTGGGCAAGACTGTAATAAATCTAATTTTATCTTTTTATTATGTATGTTTCGCTTACCTTTTCATTGTCATATGATGTATATCAAATAATGAAGGCGAATTATCTTATACATTTATCCTGGTTTTAGACTGAAAAAATTAATTTAAAACAAAACGGCCTTAAATCTCTAGTTTAATAGCAGCAGAAGAATTAAATGTAAAGCAACTGAGTGCATTACTTCGAACTAGCAATATATTATATAAGAAAATAATTTATGGAGAATTCTATATAAGACAGTGTTTTTAATTCACTCTTCTAAGAGAGAAACAAGAAATAAACGGTGAAGGAGAAAGAACACATCACTTGCTACTGTTCTCCGTCTAAAGAAGTCTCACATTTGAAGACTATTTTCATTTTTCGACTCTCGCAACGTTTGTACCACAATTCATTACGACAGTTTTTTGACATTGATGGATTATTATAAGCAATTAGACATGTTTTATGTAACAATTCATTAACTATTTTTCTAATGCTATAAAGACAAATGAATTACGATAGAGTCATATTTATTTGGCGGTTGAGAGGATAGGTTAGAATATGTATCGTACATAGAGTTAATTTCCGTAAAATGATCAAAAAGATATAATTATATTAATATAATTACTTGTCCAATAAGTAAAAAATCGCATCTTCAAAGTTAAACATCAGAAATATCAACTAATAAGATTCGATCTATCGACCATATCTGGCTGAATGTTTCCCTTTCTGGTTATCTGATGACGCTAACATAAGATCGTCAATAAAAGCCAACAGAATTTTCTTCTGTTCTTAGAGCTTAGTACGGTGTCTAACCATGAATAATACCATAACACCCTCGTCTAACAGAGGTTTTCTAATGGCATCTTATACAACTATTGGCTTGCTAGGAGTTCTCGGTAATTCCTTGGTATTGTTCGTGTTTCGAAAGTCGAGAAATCTTAGAAAGTACAATTCTTCACTATTCATCATCAATCAGAGCTTATTGGATTTAGTTTCAGCTGTCGTTTTGATAGTAGCGAAATGGGTGGAAGAAGAGGTTGACGAGAGTAGGGCTCTTAAGAATGACGTAGCTAAATGGCTATTCTGCCATCTTTGGTTCGGTGAGATTGCCCTATGGGGTCTAATGACTTCTTCAACTTATAACTTAGTAGTACTATCTTTGGAGAGATATGCCTCCGTAAGACATCCAATAACGCATAAGAGATACGTTGGTAAAAGAGTTATTCTAACGGCGGCAATTACTGTATGGATACTTGGATGGGGATATGAGACTATATATCACGGGGCGGTTAATAAAGTATTCCCTTCAGGCCATTGCGGATCGTTTGCTAATTGGCCAAATGACCAAGTAAGGCAGGCTATTGGAATTTTCACATTGGTTTTACAGTTTTTTTTCCCTTTAATCGTCTTATCATTCTCTTATATATCGATATGGAATATCTTCAGAACTAAAGTATCGGCTAATGGCAATAGGAATGGGACAACCATTCAAACCAAGGCGGAGAAAAATGAAAGAGTGAGAAAAAACACAATTAAGACATTTATGATTGTTGCGGTAGCTTTCGTTTTATGTTGGAGTTGGAATGAAGTTTACTTTTTCATCTTTAATTTAGGTTATCCTCTAAGTCTGGATTCTTCTTTCTATCATTTCACAGTTTTAATGGTTTTTCTCAATTGTTGCATTAATCCAGTTGTGTATATGGTTCGCTACGAAGAATTTAAGCTTTCTCTAAAACGATTGTTTAAAAGTAGAATAGCTCCAGTAATAACAGAGGAGACTTCATGCGCTGATTAATCGCCAGATGGCGCAAGAATTTAACTCAATTTGTTGTGATAGAAAGTACAATAATCCTTTACTTTTTGAATACAAATAAAAAGCACTTTGTCGTCACGAAAATGTTCATTTTGTTCGATTTTTTTTTGTATATGTTATTATATTAAAAGAATAAAGAGGGAAGAAAAAATAATCGATTATAGACGTTTCTTTACAGTGAAGAAGAGGAAGGAATAGAGAGAAAGAGAACTAAGAAAGGATGAAGACTGGGGAAAAAAGAGATTAGATTAACATTTAAATCCCTCATCTACACTCGCGTCTAAGTAGACGTTTTATTTATATATTTATTCTTTACATACCTTAACATGAATTGCGTTTTGTTTACAATATTTGATTATTTAAATGAGAAAAATAGGTAAAGAAAGGAAAAAAGTTGTAGATTTTTCTTACTACTAAAAGCAAATCTAATTTTAAACTAGCGAACTGTTAAGGAGTAATTAGTTTCATTAGACAAGGCTCTAGACTGCAAATTTTTCAAGGCTCAGTGATATACTATATATACTAAAATATATACTGTATACATATACACGCTACAGAGTTAATAATATTCATGAAAAAAGGATGATTAATACTCTTCTTTGTTAGTTATTAATGTGGAAAATCTTGTTGAGAAAGAATGCATAGGATTCTTTAAATAGCCCTATCAAATTAATGCAATAGCTATTAATTAGACAAGTAATTTCTGTCGAGGGAAATAGTTATTAACTAGAATAAATTAAAAGAAAATATTACTAAAATATAGTTTCTTCCAGTTAAATTATATAGATAAATAGAAAGTATATAAATACAATATTAGGATAAATGGTAAAGGGAGATGATGAAGAAAGAAGGAAAGGACCAAAACGAAATAATGTACAGACGGTATAATAGTTTCCTTTACTTTGATCATTTATTTGAAGTTGCAAGTAAATTGTATGTACGTGTACATTGGGTGGGTTTTGAGGTAGAGATCTTTTTTCTACAATGCAAATAGCTAATGTTTGAGATAATGTTCTCCTTCCTTTTTAGTCTTTTCTCATTTCTTGGCCCCTTGTTTTTTTCACTCAATTTTGACTCTCTATATGATTTTTAATAATCTTTAGGCTACGGAATGATAATAGGCATGAGAAATTCTATTTACTTTCGAGCGTTCTCGGAATCAATGCAATTGGAAATTACTTACACTTTGCAAATAGATGGCGCGTCTGCTTTAAAGTCCCTTACTTTTTAAAATTTACTGCAATTGTAATTATATATAGATTAGTGCTTTTCTACATTGTTTCAATAAAAAAATCTATACTAAGAGCTACAGCTGACGGAATCGATCAGCAATTTATAACAGGACTCTACATGTGGAGAAAAATTTGCGGTTGCCCGCCATTTTGATTTCGTTGCAGTAGTGTTGAGCGCGTACTCGAAAAGAGAAAAACGCGGTGCAGTACATCACATTGATTTTTGCTAGCATCCCGTCCGTTCTGCGTTCTGGATAAATTCCTATATGCACTTCATATTATGAATAACCTCCGGCAAGTAAGTTCCTCCCTACAGTAAATATTTCTCCCCTTTCTACCCTTTTGCAGGGTAATAATTTTCGACTAGCACCCGTTTTTATTCTTATTGTTTCTTTCTCTATGAGCAAATTTTGACGGGTATTTCGAAGAGCTCTTTCAAAACCATCCCTTTCCTAGCCATCCTCTTTATCCTCTTTCTGACATTTCGCAATATAACGTATTGAAAATTGAACAGGTGTTCTCTATAAACAACGTCGTTAATCATCCGTATAATTTGACAGCGAATACTTTATTAATTTTATTGCAGTGGGAAACAATTTTTGTGCACCGTGGAAGAAGCCGTACAGGGACAATCGTCCTTGGGCGCCGAAGAAAGATTCTCATCTGCTAAGGTATCACTGATTCTAAATATTCATCCCCCAACTAATCTGAATAATCAAAGGAAATCATTAGTCACCTTTTTCCTTCTAAGTAATTAATTGAACGATTTAAATACCTCTATCTGTACTTGAAAAATTTTTCCCTCAATGCATCCGGATTTCTTTTTTACGCCCTTTAAATCCTTATTTTGATCGTCCCAGATTATGGGCGGAAATTTTTGTCGTTCGAACGGATGCGGAAGGAGATTTAGCGTGGGAAAGGGTTTCGGACGACGTTGTACCAGTCAACATTACATGCATTCAGGATTCACCCGAAACAGTCTTCCAAATAACGGCCTATAATAGGCACGTTGAGAAAATTTTCGACGTTCGGCTCTTTCAGCCGGGTAAGTTAAATTCTAAATACTTTCTACGTTTTCGTGTATTTTATTATGGGTAAGAAAAGGAAAGAAAGAAAGAAAGAGGGAGGGAGGGAGAGAGAGAGAGAGAGAGAGAGAGAGAGAGAGAGAAAGACGCATGCGCAAAGTTTAATAGTATAGAGTATCGATTAGAGAAAATATGCTTTTAATTTTCCACATTTCAACTAAAAGTATCTTAGAAAGGTTTATTTTGGTAAATAAAGAAAAAAAGGTGAAAAATATTGCAGGTATTTCGTATTTGCCAACTGCAAGGAATTATAGGATTATCTTAATAAAAAATGGACAAAAATTTTTCTGTATGAGTTATCACATCTCGTCAATTCGGCGATTGATATAGTACACCTAGCAGCTGCTGGAATTTTTATTTAGGTAGGGTTATATATTGAATATACAATATATATATATATATATATATATATATATATATATACAGAATATATATATATATATACTCTATATAGTATATAACAATGTAATGAATTTATTACATTTAAATTACCTTTTCATTTCACAAACAATGAAAAAAGTGAATATTAATAATATTAATTATTATATTAATTCGATATGACCTACTTTGTCGGTTTGTCAATCGTATTTAAATAAGAAAGATATCTGAAAAGATATTTAATATTTATGGAGATAGTATTTAACAAAGTAACCGCCTTTTCGTGTATACTCTCTACCTATAAGCTAAGTGTACCTACGCATGCGCATAAAAAAATACATTCTAGCAAATATCTGCCTCAGATTGTTTGCTCATGTTCACCATCATACTATTTTCTTCTGTTTTCTTACCTTATAAAAGAAAATTGCTAAAGGTTATAATACAAGTATTATAAACAATTTACTGGCTAAGTATAAATTTAACGCTGAGAGCTACTAACAGCACTGATACATCAATGATAAAAAGAATTTTTCAACTACCGTATTTTGCATAGGCCTATTTAAAGTACCTTGAGCCTCTCATCCTCTTAATCCGTTCTAGAGACACTCCGTATATATGCGGAAATTGCTGTATTAATTGTAATTAGAAGGATATAGATATATAATGTGTATGGAGTCCTATTACTCTTTCCCTAGACAAGATGGTGCGAAGATTTTTATCCTAGGATAAGGTCGAAATGATATGAAAACATAAAAAAAACATTAAGGCCTATAAGAACAAAAGGGAAAAAAGAAAATGTTGGATAGATAACATTTTAAGTAAAAATATCAATTTCATAATAAAAAATAAAAGGAAAAGAATTTTCCAATAATTTATAAGAAGAAAGGAGGGATGGCAGAAATATAGATAGACGGCGAGAGAGGAGGGGAGAGAAGGGTTGATGAGAGAGAGAGAGAGAGAGGGAGAGGGAGGGGGAAGAATAGCCAATAAACCTACAATATACTAATATAATTGTAAATTAACCCTTAAATTATTAATTATTTAGCAACTTGCTACCATTATTCGCAAAATAGGGGAAAAATATATTCTTTTAAAAGATGTCAATATGAAGTTTGTACTCAAGCATTTCCATAATTTATATCATCATCCTTCATCATTAGACTGTGATATTAAGGCATATACAAGATGTATACTGTATATATATATATAACAATTTCAATTATACGCATGCGTAGAATAACTTTTTTTTAATTGTATATACAACTTTTACTATATATACAACCTCTGGGTTAATTTTGTTCAAACTCATCTAATACAATATACAGTATATACATGTGTATATATATATAGGTCAAAAATTTGGGAACAATCGGTTACAAACCTCTACGTAAATCATTTAGAAATCCGATTCTCTTAGTGCAGAAGTCACAACTTAAAACGAAAAACTGGCGCGTAATCTTTTCTTCTCGTTCACCAGCTGAAATAACAAACGTACATAAAAAAAACTGCATAGTAGCTTTAATACTAGCAGAAGTAAAATTGAGTTAATCTTCACTTTTTTTCCAATTTAAGGACCAGTTGTTTTATTTTTACTTAGCTTTTTCGCTTATTAGATTTCTTTAAGCTTTTTAAAGAGACCCTCCAAACTATTGTGGTCTTCTAGTTGACATTTGGTCATCTAAACCGAATGTCACGAGGAAATTGGGTACAATTATTCACTTTTCTCCTTCATATTCCATTTCTTATTAGGGCTTTCTTTTTATGACTTTATGAATATATACTACAATTCATATTCCTTTTCTCTTTCTCTCTGTCTTTCCCTCCTCTTATATTTATATACAGTTACATCTAGAGTATTTATCTTCGTCTCTTTACCTTTATATCTCCATTTAAATTCTTTATTGATTTCAATTAACGTGTAATATTTAAAGGAAGTTAAGGTTTTTTATTTCATTTAAAAAAAAAAGAAAACCATTAAGCCTAGTGTATTTTTCAATATCAGAGCAACGCAAAAGTCGTCCACGGGGACCGTGCGTTGACTGCTAAATAATTGATTTTTTACATCTCTATCTCGGCAGCTAAAGATATCAAGTAGGCTCAGTTAATTTGTTTCTTGAAAAATTGTATATATATTAAATGTCATTCACTTCAAATTATATCAATTGAGTATATTTAACAATTACGAAAGAGAGGCCCTTTTTTATTTTCATACATAGACTATATATATATATATATATATAGGTTTTTTTTATATTATAGACAGTGCAAATATTCTGTGCATACCATATATATATATATATATATATATAGGTATGTTATTGTATATTCATAGAATATCTTTATGTATATACAAGGTGTATAGATATAGGTGGCTCATAAAAGAAACACTGCGATAAGAGGATATAGGATGTGTTAAAATGACTGAGTAGGATTGGATTATGCTAAAAATAGTAGTTTCCCTAGATAGCTAAAGGCACTTTTGTTAACAAAAAAAAAAAAAGAACTTGTATTTTTTGACGCCAATTTAGGCCTATTGCCTATAAATAAAAAATATCGATAAAAACTTTTATATAATTGACCGCCAATCTCTTGATAAGCATTCTTTCCTCTTTCCCTTTTCCCTGCCTCCCACTTTTCATTCTCTTTCCCTCTCCTCTTGTTTCGTTTCAGCATATTTTTTTTCTCTTTGATTTTGGACTGTTTGTTCGTTTTTGTTTAGGGTTGAAACGTTTAGAATAATAGTTTTATGAGTATTGAGAGGTTAAGGATGGGAAAGCAACCCTTAATTATTTCCGGTGTAGGGGAATGATAAAAAAAAGTGCTTATAAATGTTTTATCAATTGTGGGATGGTTTTACTTTGAGAAAAAGAAGAAAAAAAAAGAATCCTTTTCCTCTCATCTCCCCCCTCCCATATCTCCATCAGCCTCCGTTTTCTATATGCTTACAAAGCTCTTGTATATGTTTATCTTAAGAGATGATTCCTTCTTTAAATCAGTAGCAGTATTCACCAACAACTAAGATTAATACTTAAGAAAGAAAAATTCCTTTTTATCGTTGCCAAGAACTAATATACATGCAAGATTGAATCTCTCTGTTATACATTTCTCTTCTCTGTAGAGTAATTCACCAATGAAGAAAAAGTATATATTAACAGTATAATAATATAATATTTATACAAATATATACTATATGTATTTATAGTTCATATATGCACAATGTACAGTATTATATTTACATTAAACATATATACGTAAACGAATACATGACAATATTTACATTGTACATAGACCGTAAATTCTAACTGTTGGAAATCGCTTATTAATTACTGTAGCAGGTGAAGAAGATGAAAAATATCTTCTTATTATCTCACTAAGTACGCTTAGTCTTTTACATGTCGTATTATTTCCTTAAATGAGACAACTGTTAAAGCGTATTTGATGCAACTCTGCCTAATCGATAGAGATACATTGGTACTGTTAAGAGCCTACTACAGCTAGAAATGAATAATTTATCAGTCATTAGATTAAACAGCAAGTTCAGAGTTCATTGTTAAATTATCTATATCCGTGTAGAAGAGAGAAACCGTTTGGGGAGTCTAAGAGTACGGGAAAGACAAATTGTTTATAAAAAGCGAACGAAATCTCTATTTAGTCAGAATAGGAATAGAAAATGAAAGAAACCTAGAGTGTGATGTCATTATTTTAACATGGAGATCGCTATCTTTTCTCTTTTTGTGCAGATTTTGAAAGATGCTTTCATAGTGTTTTTTTTTCCTTTTTTTTATTGGCAAACTACTTTAGGCTGTGAATCTTACCCTCAAGGCATATTTTATAGTTAATCTTCAGGCGTCGCTGTCGTATCCGAAAGCTTGTTATAGCGGCCAAAAAAAAATCCTATATTACCGAAGGCAAACCATTCTGGTTTGTCATTCAAAAGAAAGAAAATTAACATTTCTATAAGCTCTCCTTGAAAATTAGACTGTATTTATTATTTACATATTTATATAAATTTCACCTATAATTGAATTGTACATCTATTGAATGATAAGTAAATTATTGAATTTTTCTCTCGTTTTCTCTCACCGTTTCTCTCAAGTGTTCTTGAGAGAAATTTTTGTCAATTCCTTTATGTGTCATACTAGTTTAATCAACTACAAGATTGCTACTACGATAAAAGAGATAGAATTACAAGGATGTATGTGTTAGGCGTTTAAAAGACTTTAAATTAGCTCGAAGCCAGGAATAGCTCTCCTGGGAATATATAGTATTTCTTTCTTTCTTTCACTTTGTTGCAGTAGGCGTTAGATGGCGTTAGTAACAAAAAACTTGAAAAATACAGACTTGTTCTGACAAGTTTTTAAATTTATAGGCACGAGAATAACGCAGGCCAGCGAATGTTTTGTACATTGGAGAGACGCTCGACACGAATACGAATGGGGTTTAAATTTTACGACTACCCTCGACGCTCGACGCTTTAAAGATTGTTGTCTGGTGAGTGACTTTTTTCATACTATTTTTTCTATTCAACTAGATTTATTAGATCGAAGAATTTATTGCGTTTCTTTTTCAACAATGCTATTCGTGCGTAACTTAACAACAATAAACGCCTAGTATGGATAAATAAAATCGTTGAACAAAAGATTATAAACAGGCTTAGGCAGGAAATTTTCTTTTTCTTTCTTTTCTTTTGATTCAAGCTTCACGTGTTTCGCTAAAATAGCTAAAAAATTTACAAAATTTGATAGTTTTTACATAGGAAAAGAGTGGAAAATATATATCATCTTTTAAAAGGTTTCTACAGCTTGGTCTATCTCGTTTCTCTGGTAACCAAATATTTATAGGCGTCTCTTAGGCAGAAATGATTGCGGTAATGATTATTTTTTTTTTCTTTATCTATTATTATAATATTTACAGTATTTTTACATACTTGCTTTATAATGTAAATAAAGGCGGTAGATTTAGTATTTTACCTACTCAACTATAGTAAATTTGTACTTTACGTAATATAATACAATGACACTTGAACGCTATTTATTTCTAATATAATGTCTTTTAAATCTTCAATTATTTCACCCTTAATATTAATAATTCTTATTATTGTTATTATTGTTTATACTATTAACCGCATTGAGTAAAATGTAAATGTTTTAGTATTCGGTGTCGGAAAATGAAAACATCTCTGTTTGCATTAGGAGCAGGAGGGAGAAAATGTGATTTACCTTTAAGCTTATTCCTCGATCCGATAGGGATATTCCTGTCAAATATATTGATTATTTATTTCCTTTATAAGGTTATAAATTCATCTTTAATTTCTATATTAGTTATAATAAACTGAAAGGCGATGGGACAAATATAAGATAATTTAGAAGGAAATTTATAGAGGAAATCCATTTATTTACGCCTTTTTTCTCAATCTCTCTTCTTCAATGAAATTTGATGTAAAATTACTAGGATTAGCATTAAGATGGAACAATATCCTTATAATCTTTCTTTGACCTATCCCTAATATTTTTCCTTTTTTTTTTCTCTCTCTCTCTCTCTCTTTTTCTCTGTCGCTTTTTTGCATTGGATTTAATTTGTATGATTTAAGCCTATTTATATCGGTTAGTGTAATATAATTTTTTTCTTACGGAAGGAGTACGCTAAATCCGGTTTTTAGTCGTTTATCAAGTAAATTTGTATGGGTTATTGCCAATGGCGAATTTAACTCAATAATTCCATTATTGAGCCGCCGAAATATTAGTCTTTATAGGATGGATTAAAAAGTAGGTCAATTCCTATTTAAGACCTACTATTACTATGTAGGCTCAATTCAAGATATGGAAGGAGAGTAAATGCCAGACAAAAAAAAAGAAACGCCTTTCGTATATTGTATTCATTTAACAATTTTCAATATTTAATTAACATAACCTAATTAAATGATTAATAAATGAAATATATACCAATATTACAGAGTTCGACTAATCGTCTTTCTCGAAAGGCTTCATCGTCTGGCTCATTACGACTTAGCCCACCAAAAGTAAGACTCTTTGAGTTTAAGTATTGTTAATTGTTGACATACGATATTAAACAGAGGGTTAGAGGATCCAATACGGTAAATAAATCCAATTCTGAACCGGCCTCTCCAGTTTCCAAACCTCGAAGGGCAATATCAACACCCGAAGAATTATCATCCAATCACGCTAACGGCTGTTACGATCAAATTGAGCATAGGGTCCAACACAAGCACGTTCCAATCAATCATCAAAACGCTACTTCCATTAAAAGATCGCCTCATCCGTCGGGTGCACAAACTCTACCAAAACAATTTTCGTCCGCTTCCGGAGCTGTAGACGCCTATCAGAATCGGGATACAATCGAAGCTGAAAGGATATACGGCTCTAGGGAAAGAGTTGCGGAAACCGAACCTGAAGAAGAGGAAGATCCATACTCTACTGCTGCCGAACGAAAATTTTCAGCATTGGACGTTGAAGCGGAACCGCCACCTGCACCAGCTCCTAACTCTGTTAGGAAGAGTAAAAGTGTTTCTTCATCTGAAATAGAATGGCCTCCACCTCCAGAACCTATTGAAGACCATCTTACGTCACCACCAGTAGATAGCTTCGACTCTGCAACGTTGAAAAGAATGCTTAGGACTTTGGACGAAAATAATGAAAATCAAAACGGCGATGGTAGACCTCCCAAAGCCCCCGAAAAGCACAAGTAAGCATAATCGTCTTTTTCGAAAGTTTATTATTATCTAAATCACTTTCTCCCTACAGGGAAAATTCCAGACGAAGCAGTCGACAGATGCAAAGGTCATCAGTTAGCTCAAAACATTTCGGTAGCGGTTCCGATACAACCGAATTATCCGAATCTGAAGATGGTAGTGCTACAAATACATCAGATAGTGGAAGTTTAAATACACTTCCGGCAGAACAAGCGGCCATGTGGAGCTCAAAGAGTGCCGCTGTCCGAAAAGCGGGTTGGCTACACGCCAAAAATTGGTTAATACATAAAAAGAGGAGAGTTGAACTAGCAAGAAAAAGAGTTTGGAAGAAGTATTGGGTTTGCCTTAAAGGAACAGCCTTACTATTCATGAACGATCCTGACGAAACTAACCCGAAATATGTTATAATTATTGAAAGTGGAATGTCTCAACCAGTACCAGAGCATCCGAAAAGGGAAAATATCATTGCTTTGACTACTGCATTTGGGGATGCTTATCTCTTTCAAGCCACGTCCCAAGTAGAACAAGAAAATTGGATATGTGCATTACACTCAGCCTGTGCTTCCTGTTTAGCAAGGCAGCATGGGAAAGAAAATACTCTAAAACTATTGAAATCCGAGATACAAAAATTAGAAAGTTCTATTGAAATTGATATAAAAATGAAAAAAATGGCAGATATGAAATTGGAGTCGGTAGCTGATACGAAAACGAGATCTGCTATAGAAAGACAAATTGCCCAGTGGGACGAAGATCTGGAGAAATTGTATATGGAACAATATAGGCTTAAATGTTATATTGCTTCACTTCACGGAAATGAACTCCCAAATCCTAAAAACTTGTTGTCTTCGGTATCGAAACCTACAAAGACAGCGCTTCTGCGATTAGGCATATGTACAGTCAGTACATTGCACGCTTTAGTGTGCGCTAGGGCACCTGCCACTGCTGCCACACTTAATTTGCAGAGGAAAGGGGGTTTACTATCGACTTTTAAATCTGATGTCACCTCTCGAATCCGACCAAGGTCACCTAGACAAATGGATGACGAGGAATACGTCGTCGATCTGTCTAGAAGGATGCAGGAAGAAACCCAAAGTCCAGATAGTGAGATCTCGGTGAAAAGCGAACTTAGAGTTGGAATTCCGGGTGATCAATATATACTAGCAACAGTGGGTGAACGAACAACCATAGGAGAGTTACTCGATGCTATCTGCTCAAGAAGACAACTAGATCCTACAGAACACTTTGTAAAAGTTATAACTATATCCGGTAGCGAAGTTACGCTCGATAGGCAAAACGTTCTCGATCTAGAATCTATAGAATCTATGCAAGTCTGCCAAAAGCTCATTTTTCAAATAGACCTCTTCCACACTGAGAAGGAGGGTGACTTCGGAATGAATGTTGAAGCAGAATTAGCCGACGAGACAGATGACGAGTTGCGCGTATTCATCTCTGAAATTTCCCGAACAGGTGTAGCTGGTCGTAAAGGGCTGTTGGTTGGTGACGAAATTCTCGTTTTAAATGGTAGGATCATTGCTAAACTCGACATGGTTTATGTCGAGAACATACTCAACGCAGAATGTAAAATTTCCTTGACTATCCGTTCTTGCCGAACTGACCTTCCTGCTTCAATTAACGCTCAACAACAACAATCGGCAGCATTTATCGAACAAATAGTCATACCTCCCCCACCCTATCAATCTATCATTTCTGAAAGGGAGCTTGGTGAGCTAATCTTACCAGCCCCCGAATCAAAAAAGGGCTCAGATGTGCAAAAAACGCCTGAAGGTGCGTCTGTTGATTCACTTCTTCAAGGAGCCGAACAAGTAACTCATTTCTGTCGACTGTTGCATTCCAAACACGGCGAAAGAGTCGAAATCGATGGTGGTGTTCCATCCGACGATTCGAACGGTAAACAATTAACGGAAGGGGACCGACTTCGTAAAGTTGTTAAAGAGTTAATTTCGACTGAGAGATTGTACGTCAGAGATTTGAATTGCCTGATTGAGAGATACTTGGAACCATTAAAGGACGAGACATTCTTAACAAGTGAAGATGTTGAACAGTTATTTGGTAATATTAGAGAGATTGTATCTTTTCAAAAGATTTTCTTAAATGCTTTAGAAGAGGGTGTCAGATTAGAGCAAAATTTTGATATTTTTCAAGATGGCGTCCAATTTAAGGTAAGAATATTTTTTATTCTATTCAATTATTTTTCACTTTTTTTTGTATTTTCCAAACTTCTTTAAAACATCCATTTTTATCGATTTTATCGTGTTTTTTTCAATTAAATTTACACACTTTTTCCTAACATTTTTCCTAATTTTTCCTTTTCCTTTCACCCGTTTCATTTCACCAAAACATTTCACGTAAATCACAGGAAGAGCAATTGAAGGTGAGTCAATTTCTCGGAGAAAAGTTTAATATTAGTATACCAATAAATGTTTTAATTATCTATTTTATCTTTAATCTCATTCTTTCATTCTATCTCTCTCTCTCTCTCTTTCTCTCTCTATCTCTATCTAAATTATTTCCCCTCCTCTCCACTCCACTATTCCACTCCATCCTGTTTTGTTTTCATTATCACAGAAAGCCTCTATTATTTTTTTGTTTTCGTTATTTCGTTTAAAAGAGAGATTTATGATGTTTCAATTGTTTATTCACCGTTAATTGTATAAACAAGAATTTTGGATGCATTATTGACTAATTTGTTTGTTTATCTATTTATTTTTTGTTTGAGATTCGCTTCTCCTTTTTTCAGTTGATTAAAAAAATATTCTTCTTTATTTATCTATACAGAAACTCTTGCTATCTTTAGCCGGAACATTTTTATATCATGCCAACCATTTCAAGCTCTACTCTAGTTTCTGCGCTAGCCATTCAAAAGCTCAAAAGATCCTGCAGCCTGATTCGAATCCCCGCCTAGCCGATTTCCTTCGTGCTCGTAATCCTAAACAGCAGCACTCCTCTACACTGGAATCATTCCTAATAAAGCCAATTCAAAGGATATTGAAATATCCTCTTTTGTTATCCGAATTACGTGCGCTAACAAGACCGAATTCGGAAGAATTTCAACATCTAGACGAAGCTTTAAGGTGCATGCAGGCAGTAGCTGAACATATAAACGAAATGCAGAAAATTCACGAAGAATATGGTTGCGTATTTGATTCCCTAGTTAAGGAATATAAGTTGGATTTGAATATTGCTGATTTGCATATGTACGGCAATGTTAATTGGCTAAACGCATTGGAGGACGTTAGAAAAGTGAAGAAAGGAACTGATCTTTTAAATATCGTTTTCGTCTTTAAGCAAGCTCTCGTTCTATTGTGCCAAGAGAGGACGCAGAGGAAGCGTTCACCAAAATCAAGACAACAACCTCCACCAGGTCCGGGGACCGAAGGTATGGAGATTGTTAAATTTCGTACAGCCATACCAGTCGAAGAACTGCAAGTGAGAGCAACAGGAGTGGGTGATACGGAAAGGCACGGTCTATGGACGGCCGTCCATTGCAGATCCGAACAGGAAGGACGACCAGAAAAACGATACGAATTCGCAAGCTCTTTAAATGCGAAAGCCGAATTTCTCAAAACTATTAGAAATACTATACGAGATAGCGTCAAAAGGATGTCAGTACCTTCAACTAGACGTCCAGACTCATTATCGTCAAAGAGAAAGACAGTAGCTAGATTTGATATGTCCAGATCGTTGGATATGGAAGAAAGATCTGCCGCAAGTGATAGTGATAGCTCAGCCCGATTAATGTACTCCAGTCACAGACCCGTAAAGAAAGCAACGCCAAAGACTACCGATACTCTCGGTTCACCAGTTTGGAAGCCAAGAACAACACCTACCTACACAGATTACGCAAGCGTACAAGAGCAAAGACAAAGAAGAGTTACTCTAAAAGCCAAAGCACCACAAGGTGTTTATGCAGAAGATACTGACTGTTAGGTTCTAATTGTGTTCCCTCCCGACCCTTATTCGGTAGTTTTTAATTGGTGCTAGTTCGGCCCTCGTCAAGACTTTTCTTTAAAAACGAACATTCTTTTTGTATGAGTACAGTCTATGATAAACTTTACAAACAAATTTAAAAGATAAAAAAGACAACCAAAAAACTTTAATACAGCCGAATTTTTCCTATCGTCATAGAATACTTGATTTATTATTTCTTCCCTTTAATCAAATCAATTCTCTTAATAGAACATTCGAAATAAAGATGTAACGCCATCTACAGTTACTTTAATATACTTATAAATATGCACTATATGTATAACCAGTTCAGTGGAATATTCTAGAACAATTGAACATATAAAGTGCAAGACGTATTCTAAAATCTATAAAAACATTACCTAATTTGCATAAAATTACTATTAATTATATGTATATCAAATTTCGAAAAAAAACGTTAGATAAGATGATATATATATCTGATAATACGAAATTGTTAACCAGTAACAGAAAGGTAGTAGTACTATTCGCTCAAACTTTATTTAATATCCGCTAAAATTTGCAATAATTGTAAAAGATTTACTAAGTTAACTTCTCTCTCTTGTTTTTTCCTTTTTCGATTCCGCCATCTTTAAAAATCTTTTAACTAAATAATTATTAATAAACAAAAAAATAGAAGAGAAACAATTCAAAACTACTAAAAAGATGGAAGTTCGAAGCGTCTCTTTGGCATTAATCATTTTTCTAAGTGCAGCAACAACTTTAAACAATTGTCTAAGTAAGTTTTATCTTTCTTTTTGTTTTTTAATAAAAACAAAATATTATTTTTTTTCTATCTTTTAAATAAATAAATAAATAATTCGATGAAATTAAGAATCTTGTAATTTGTATATTATGAGATATAACATTTATTCATCCTCTCTGTCTCTCTCTCTCTCTCTCTCTCTCTCCTCCTATTATACCACTCCGTATTAAGCAATTGGACGTAAAGATACCGGTGACCTAATACAACAGGTTTGTACGGTTGATGCTGTTTTAATTGGCAGTTACTGTAGACTTTTCTTATCGTTTATCTATTTAACATGATCATTTGACAAATTACGTAATGCTTAACAATTATTATCGCATTGTATGAGGAGGACAGATGTTAAAATATCAATTTTCAAATGATTAATGAGGTGTATATCGTGTAAAATGATAAAATATTATAATTTATCGCAATAAATACTGAAAATGAAAATGACTTTAATAATAAAATTAAAGTCAAGCAAAATATATAGAGAGAAAATTATCAATAAATTATCATACAATTTTTCGTTAATAACTCTTAACTTCAATTTTAATAAAAACAATGAACTACAGTCAAAGCCTGAACAACGTAAAGCTTCTCAAACAGTACAGAAACAATCATTAGTAAGTATTTTTCTTATAGAAATAAACCTTTCGCTATTATTTTTCTTCTATTCTTACTTTAGAAAACTTCATGCAATTCTACCAATGGATCTTGCGAAGATGGCGAATGTTGCGATGATGAATCAGGTGGTGGTTGCTGTCCAAAAGATTATGTCGTCTGTTGCGCTGACGGATCTAACTGCTGTCCTGGTAGAGCACCAATATGCTGTGGAGGAATCCTATCAAAAAGCTATTGCTGCGACGACGAAGCATTCTGTTGCCTAGGAGGGTGTTGTTTTAACGAAAATCCAGTAAGAGTCTTCAACATTTTTATTTCTAACAGTTTAATAGAAATCTCAAATGATTTATTTTTAAAAGGATAACATGAAGAAATCAAATATCCTATCAGTCAACAGAATCAATCCAAAAGAGTCTCTAAAAGAAAGGAATGTACCAGTGAAAATTGGGGAAAAGAAAGATTAAAAACAAAGATGATTGAAACTTCAAGTGATTCCAGAAAAATACAAAGTTAATTAAACAAACTGTTATTTTATTTGTGATTACAAACTTTGACATTATTTAATTTATATTTTTGCCTTATGCTACATTATAAAGTATATATATATATCTATATTAGTATATATATATATATATATATATATATATATATATATATATATATATATAATGTCATTAAAAAGTGGTACTTGAAATAAATTTACATATTATATATTAAAAATAGATTACAAATGCAGATGTATCAAACTTCCTATATCACATTACTTAATGATTCTTGGTAAATTCACTTTCTCTTCTATACGAACAACCTATTATGTAAAAGATAAGCAAAATATAACAGATTTTTTTCACTCAGCATCTTATCAAAAAAAGCCTTACGGTATCAAATAAATTATCCAAAACATCGTCAGTAATTTTTCTTGAGAAAGACATATCCGTAACGCCCTATTTTTAATTTAATATAGTCAAAATTAAAAAGAGAATAGGAATTTTCTACAAACGCTTAACAACGATCCACAGCAAGTTACTAGACGCTTATAAACTCTTTTATGTAGGTCAGCTTTAAAGTCCATTCCACGTTTCCTTAGAGTTTCTCTTACTAACTTTCTTATCAACTGTGACACAAAAATAAAACAAAATATTAAACTTTTTCATAGACATGCAATATTCTCTTTCAAGTAGTACTGATAATTGTTTCCTTAAGCTCTTTACCTTTGAACTATATAAGTCTTAAAGGTTTAGAATTTCAAGGTCAAAATGTAGAATACAAACGCTAAATATTTTAAAAATAAAATATAATTTCTCTTATATGCTATTATGTAGGCTCCAATCAACTTTTGGCTGTCAATTTAAAAAGATATGACGTCATGTTTTTGGTTTTTTAGCAGTGTGTAAGCATATTTAAAAGTGTCTTGGTAAGGTGTTCGCATAAATGCTTATCTCTATTTATCGTAGATGTTTGCGTTTGCCTACCGAAAAGATGGCAAAGATGTGAAAATGATATATGAAGGCGAGGTGTCATTAAACAAATCAAAATATTTCTTTGTAGGATTATAGCTTCATTAATACGAATATATGTTATTTAACGTTATCTCAATTGATAAAAACTGGTAAAACTGGAAAATGATAAAGTTTGAAAAAAATCATTTTCTGTAGGAAAAACATAATACTGTATAAAAATAGAAATAGCACTAACGGTTCCTTGAGAATTGGACAGATTTCTATCCAAATTTTGTTTCGCTCTGTCAGCCGTGTTTTTTTCCATATTTTCTATCAAAGAACATTTTTCGGGAGTTCTTTGAACAAACTTGCTATTATCTTGTAAGTTTTCGCTAAAAGAATGCGAAATTGTTCTTGTCATTCTTCTCACTGTGCTTGATTTTAATGGAGATCTTAATAAATCAACTTTAGACGGTTTCCTAATAGGAATGATAATAAATATTAGTCTAATTGAAATCTTTGTTTATATAACCAAGCAACCTTTCTATTCTCTCTTCGTTTGCGCTTCTTTTTTTATTTAACTGTAAACACCTTCTAACTTTCTTATTTCCTTCTTTTCCTTCATCAGATCTTCTACTTAAACCTAAATTCTGTAATTCCCTACTACTAAACGTGCTATCGCAAAAAGATACGGCTTTACATAACGAACGTTTGTTCAACTTGTTCAAATGACCATCTGACGGTGATCTTGTAAACTTTGCGAATTTTCTGATCAAGTTTTATAGAAAACAAAATTAAGTACACTATAATAAATCAATGATTTATCTATTATTTCTTACTGATGGCTCAAAGTAATTGTTAAAGCCGTTGTGTTTGATGTGCAGCAAGTTGATAAGCCATCCTTCAATCCCAATAAACTTCTTGCTTTAATATAAGTCTCTCTTTCATAATCTTCCGCTTCTTCACCCACATTATAGCTAAAGCGTAAAATTTTGATTAATCAAGTAATAAATATAAACGAAAAAATTGTTTTAGTACTGACATCTATATTATATATTTTAAAAAGAACATTAATAAAATAGTTAAAATTGGAAAATATCTGACAGGTTGAGATAGAAAATGTTTTTAATATTTAGATAATGAATTCACTAAAGATTTCCTCGAGTGATAAAAAATTATATAAGTTAATATATGTAAATTTTTGCAGCTATTCAACTTACTAGATACCATGCCAACTTGCGTTAAGAACCTTTGGATATGGCCAATCTTTGGAAGATTCGTTATTTAAACGTCGAATTCTGTATAACATAATATACAATATATTCTTGAAATAAAAAAATATATATCTTTTAACTACCTTCTATTAGGTTTTAGACTTCCTCCACCTAAAAGTATTCCTTTCCTCTCGTTATAAATCCGCAACATTTCAGCAGCTGTTAGCGTAATAACTAGAAACATAGAATAAAATTTTATTGGTAAATATTTCAAAGGATTCTAATTTTCTTTTCGTAAAAAAAAGAAAAAGACACCTACCCTTTGATCTTGGAGGTGAAAGTGCGGCTAAAAAGGGATTTTCGAAAGTATATTCGATAGAATTTTCCTTTTCATTTAAGCTAGAATCTCCTATACAATTAACGTTTCAGTTGTTAATTTACAATATAGAACAATAGAACAAAAATATTAAATGCTGTTACCGATTGTTTTGTCTTCATCTATCGATAACTCGTCATTGATAAAGGTTAAGTAGATATCGTTCCCTTTGTTATGTAAAAAGAATTTTAAATATCCATTTGCCTTCAGCTCATTTTCTTTTTCTGTGAATTGATGTTCAATAAATTCAATCCTAAATCAATTCATTATTAATATTATTTACCTTTAACTTTTCTATTTCGAAATCTTTTCAAATAATCTTCAAAAGTTTGAAGTTTCCCCGATGTTTGGTCATGACAAAAGTTAAGTTTAACAATGTATCCATGCTGTTAATTAAAAAGATAATAGAGATCATTTTTTTGTTGAAAAAATATTATCTCTTCAACCAACATTTTCTGATAACCTTTTAAATTCTTCGAAAAATAAATTTCTTAGCTTAGATTCCGTATCGCTTTAAAACATTTATTATATTAATATATTTTATAATATTATCTCAAGTTGATTATTTAATTAACATTATTTACCTATTATTTGGTTGTAGTATACGTAGGGAAGCCGAAGATAGCTTTTCAGGAATTTGCTCTACAAAATCTACTGATTTTATTGTGTGAAAAATCAGATCATCACTTATCTGAAACAAATGAAAGTTTTTGTATTAGAAACTTATTTCGTTAACTTTTATAAAGATAGTGATACCTCTTCTTGGAATGTTTTGTCGTCAACAATTAATAAATTATGTAGTTTGATCTATATTAAACTTCAATTCTATTAAGAATTCCTTTAATTTTTAGAATAATTATACTCACATTTTGTGTAAAAATGATATCGTTAGACCAAACCGTCTTTAAAACTTCGTTAAAAGATGAAATTCGATTAAAAGGTGTCCAACGACAGTTAAATTGCTTTGTTTCATTTGGAATAAAAAAAACAGCACCATAAACATCAATTAGACGATGAAACAATAATTTAAAACAATTTTCTTCTCTAAAAACGTTTAAGGAGAAAGAATTTTTTCATTATTTATATGTTTTTACATAGATAAGTATTTTGAAATATACTTACAAAACATTTAATATTTCTACATTGGATATGTAGACTAAAAGTAAACAAGCTGAAAAAAGTGCTGTTTATTGTCTTGTTCACAAAGAAATAATAATAATTCTTACTTCTATTGATTGGCACTTGGTCTAAAACAATATGAACTTTCAAACAATAATTTTCCCAAGAAAGTCTAAAGTAAGTATAATTGTTAGTTTCAAAGCTTATTGCAGTTAAAACATTTTACCTATCATGATTACAAGCATTTTTTTCTATATCTATGCTTCTGATATTGCTCCATAAGGCTGATAAGCCCTTATAACAGACTGATGCCAATTGAAAGTAAGTCGTCGAAATGAAAGGATTGCGCGAATCTGAAAATAATTCCTTATCGCTCAAATAAATTAAGAATATTTAGTTTATCCTACCTTTAGGAATCTCAGAATCTATGCCACAATTATCAGATAAATATAATATATAACGCTTCATGATCGGTTAGAGAAGAAGCTAGTATTCGGAAACATTTTACATTCTTTGCGTTGTAAAGACACATTAATCTGACGCGCGAAATAACCGACAACAGAACACTCTCAGTAACCAGTTTTCACAGAAAAATAGTAGTTCAGTCTCGAAAACGTTTACTTTCTAAGTCGATAGTATTTATACTGACGCAATAAAAGTATAGCGGAAGATTGATTAAAGACTAATAAATTTCTATTGTTTGAAACCCTTAAAGAAATTTAACCCATTCGTAATATTATAAAATAAAAACCATTTGTTCTTAATTCATAAAGTTCTATTAATTGTAATAAGCAAATGCGATGTAAGAATATAACGTTAACATACATAAAATCATAATTATATTATAATTATTTCGGTCAATTATTCTATAGGCGCTGCCCATTCTTTTAAGAGGCGTTTTACTTTCTTTACATTATCTCCAGTTGGCTGCAAGAAGCAGAAATTAGCATTTATTGGGAAAAAAATGTTATAAGGAATTATTTACCTCAGCAAACATTGGAAATTTTCTAACGCCTCCAGGAGGTACTTCATCTAGAACTGCGAACAAAAATCCTTTATATCCTTCTTGACTATTAGCAACGTGAGAGTGAATCCAGGGACACCATCTTCTATGTTCATTTGCTGGATGAAAGTGTAATTTGTTCTAAAATTGGAAATAAAGATTTTAGCAGTTTAAATAAAATTGTAACTTTTTTTAAAAAACTTACTGTCATTTGAGTTCTTTGTCTTTTAAAAGAAAAGTTCGATTCGCTACTCAAAGTTCTCTTTCTTTTGTTAAGTTCTGTTGAGCCATCAACCTGAGGGATATTCGGTTCGCTTGAGTTGGAATCGTCATCTTCATAGAAATCGGCATCCAATTCGTCCTGGCCACTTTCCAGTGCACTATTTCTCTCATTTTCCATATCACTTTCACTTGTAGTTGAAACAGCTATTACTTCGTAGTTTGTATCATTTTCAGTCATATCCTCGATATCATCTTCATTCGAAAGGGATTCATATTCTCCAACATATTCTTCATACTCATCACTTCCACTATCGTCATCACCCTTACTTTGTTCAAAACAAATTGTGGGATATTCTTCTGTTTCTTCAGTATCTAATACTGCTTGAAAATTAACATTTTTTTCTAATTTGCTGACAGGTGAGTCTTCGTTTTCAGATTCCTCTTGACAATTTTCGTCCTGACTCTCTTCAAGAATAGTATGAAGATCAAATTTAGTATTAGAATCATTTTTTTCTTCTTTTTCCCTTTGTTCTTCAGTAGAATTTGAGTTACTGTCATCTCTTACAGTTGAAACGCTCTCTTCTCTCATAGCCGAAACGCTCTCTTCTTCAGTAGCAACTTCGTGGAGTACTTCCAATGCTGAACTTGATCTGCTGGTATTATAAGAGGTTGATGAGTAGAAAATATTGGATTGGGGAGCACTTTGATTTCCAAAGACACCATTTTTTGTAGGTACATGTCGGGGTGAAAAAGGTCGACAGTTTGAGCTAAATAAGCCAGTTGACGAGTCTTCGGAATCATATGAATTCTTCCTAGCTAGCATTTTCTTCCAAGCTAAAAATATTGAACATTTTTATAAAATTTATTTAATATTATTTTTAATATTATTCAATATTCAAACACTCACCATTACTATCAACTTCTGTTTGAACTTCTTCATGTTCAAATTCAAGTGTAGTTGTTTGGACAGCGACATCTGACCGTTTAGTTTCAAAGCTAGCTATTTCTGAGCTTCCTATTACAGAGTCTTCATTTTCTCCAATTGGTCTAGGTTCATCTTGAAGTGTATAATATTGTCGAAGTGCAACTTGTCTATTGCACATATTACAATAAATTTCAATGTTCTTGGCAACTTTTCTGGAATGTAAATAAATATAAATAGATAAAAAACTCATATTATCTACTTACCTAATTACCCAACCACAAAGAGACAGAGAAACAGCACATTTAATAACATCCATGTCAGAATTATTTGGTAAATCTTTCTCAAAGATCTTCTTCATTGTTTTAAAGTTTTCTTCATTAAGACCCTATTATGTATGATTATATTAGTATGTCATAAGCATACTCAAACAAATACTTACTAATTTCATCAAAATTTCTTCGCTAACTCTCGGAAGATTATAACCAACTTCTAGTGTCGCGGTTACTCTTTCTAATAAATAATCTCGTGCTTCTTGAACACTTTCCCAATCCAATGTCAAATAAGATTCTAAAATTCTTTAAATGTATTCGTTTACTCTCATAAAACTTGATAGCTTACCAGAACAGGGACGGCTTCTTATACTACACAGGGAATTGTGATTTAAAAGTAACGATTTTTTCAGTCTTTCCACGCAATTGTCATCTAACGGGTGAAGTTGTTTTAAAATGCTATAATCTTAACCTGTTAAAAACTTACAAACTGCTTTGTTTGTTGGTAATGGTAGATCCGTACCGGCATAAGCACTACAAAACGAGCACTTAAGTAAATTATGACTGACCATTGTCCATCCAAATCGAGCTAGCTGCAATGGATTCAACCACATTGGCTTTCCATACCAAACTGAGGGCTAAAAAATTTTTGGGATGCATTATCTTTATTTAATAGTTAAATACTTACATCAAAAGTTAAAACTCGTTTTTTGAAATCAATAAAGTCCGTCTGAACAAACTCTTGAGAGATTGCGTTCGGTTTCTTAGATCTATTAACGATAATGGAAGAAGATTCTTAAATCGTAATGTATAATACTTAAATATAATGACAAAAATTTAAACCTTTCCTTATTAAATAAAGTTTATAACAAGAAAAAACAATGCTTACGTACACATTTTGTTCCTGTGTAAACGAGGAAAGTATTTCGGATATTTTCTTGCGTGCCTCCATTCTTTATGCCGACTCCGCAGTTAAGTTACGAAACACAACAGTTCAAATATACCAGTTTTTATTGGAATACAAAATCCGTGGGTTTGGCAATTCTTTTTATAGAATATATACTTTTTAATTAATTAAACTTTTGTTGACAGACTTAAAAATGTCTTTTTTTATTAGAAATAAATCATATTTCCAAAATGATTATGATAAACTAACTTTTTAAAAAGTTAGAAATTGAAGATTTCAAAATTTTACGTTATATTCACTTATTTGATTTTGTACTACCGATTTCATTTTTCTAGTATTCGCATAGAGACTGATTTTTAAATGTATTATATTCTATATTTCTATAATAATAAAGCTCTTGTTGAAAAATTATCGTAGTTCTCTACGACGTCACTGTCTGGTGAAAGTATTTAATAATATACTAATATTACTAATATATATATACGGTGTACTGTTACTATACATTTTCAAATTAAAATTTAAACACTGAACCATTAAATTTAGTCAAAAAACATAGGCAACAAAAATTTCACTTGTTTGTTAATATAGAAACTATATTAATTTTTTAGCTAAATTCAAAATAAGAACAAATTCATACCAAACTTTTTTATTAAATACTCTACACAAAGGAGACTTTGATAAACATGTGATTTTAAGCAAATGTAGATATATTTAAAAAAGTTTAAAGAAGAAATATTGTAGAAAGAGATAATATAGCAATCCACAATCCAAATCTTAAAGAAGAGGAAGAACTACCAATTGGGAAAATAGGTATTTCCTGACCCTGATCGTTAGATTCTTTAAGATTCGAAACGTATTCTGGAAAATTTTAAAAATGTAAAAAAAGATATATTAAATTTCTATAACATTGAAGTTGATATACATACCAATGCCACAGTCATTACAGGCAGCTAATCTTGCTTCATGAAAATTTAAAACAAAGCCTTTTCTGTCAGATGAGTACATATGACTTGATCTTTCTTCGACATCATAGTATACGTAGTGAGCAATTTCAGCAGGTTGAACATTTACTACTGGATCTTTTCTTTGAACGAACAACTCGAAGCATTCTTCTCTATCGGAGAATCCATCCCAATACATGTTGACTTTCTTTCCAACACTTTCTACTCGTTTCAAGCCTCTTGTTCCATATTCTTGTAACAATTCTGAGGTATCCACAAAATGACCGCTAAGAACATTCAGCTCGGTAACAACCATGCCACTTTCTTCTCCATTTTCAGCAGAGAACTTAACACAAGATTTTAATTGAACGCCTTTTGGTGAATGCATTTGTTTAAGAGTTGAGTGAAGTTTGGGTGGTTCGCCTTCCGTGTCTTTAATGTTATAGTTAACATTCATTTGGACAACAGCAGTACCATATCCAGTGGCCTCCACGGAAATTGTTTGTGTGTCTTTAGGTACAACGGTTTGTTGTAAAATTGTAGCATTGTGCATAGCTATCAGATTGAAGTTGTGAGAACTTTCTCCGTAAGAGAGTTTTATTTTCATATTCTTCTCGTTTCCAGCCAAAACTACACTGGAATATTTAGCCAAAGCTGACAAGCCAACAACAGTATCTTGAGTACTCTTGAAAGCTCCCTTTTCATTCGTCTGCGAAAGCATCCATCGTAAAACTGGAAGAGTAGAATCAATATCATCTTTGTATTGAGTTTTCAAAGAGTAGACAAGCAAGGCATACGCTGCTAACTCAACATCGGAAGCTTTAGCAGTGTTATATGAAGAGCACCAACTTCTGGGGCATTTTACCTCCTTTTTGACGGTCTTCCACCATTTCATGCCTTCTTCTTCATTGGCTAGTTTTTGTAAATTATTCCAAACGTCATCAGCTTTAGTTGATTTATAGGAATTATGATATAGATCAGCAAGTTGATAAGTATAGCTGAGAACAGCTAAAGCATATGGATCTTGGTAGTATTCCTGCGCATTATTGTCAAGATACTTTAGCGAGGTGTCTATTACCTCGATCAAATTTTTGGATTTATCAACTACTCTACTAGCTTCAATCAATGTAGCAAGAGTGTAGGCGGTTAGAGTGATACCTTTTGATGTACCACCTTGCATTCCAGCATGTATAACCCTACCATCTTTAGGTTCAGCAAATTTTCCGTCTTTATCTTGAAGCCCCATGATAAATTGTATAGAATTAGCAATAATCTTCTGATCTACGAATATGTATTTGGAGGCAGCAATGAAAGATTTCGTAACATAATCTGTCAGCCAAAGTGAGCCACTCTTGTCTCTGTTTCCAAAGGCTGAGAAAGATCCGTCGTCTCTCTGATAGGTTAATTCTCTTTGATAGCCTGCCGTCATATATTTAATGGCTTTTTTCTTGATTGATTCAGTTACCTGACCAGAAGCAGTCATGTAGTCCATAGCCACAATGTTTGGAACAAAGTTGATCATGTTCTGTTCTCCACATCCATAAGGCATTCTTATAAGAGATTCTAGCGAGTTCATTGATTTACCCATAATATCTCCAATAACGGTAACTGATATATATTGAGAATCGTTTACAAGAACAGATGGAGGCGGAAGGGCGACATGAAATTTAGCGCTGGTCGAACTGTCACCGTCTTTTGATAGACGAAGAAATGTAGACTTTGAATATTCTTCTGGGGAACCTTCAGCTTCAACTAATAAATTCCTCTCAATTGCATCAGCAACAAGATGGCCTCTTGCCATAACCAGCAAAGGTATATTTCCCAAAGCTTTAGGTTCGATCCAAAAGTTTACACTCTTTGAAGAATTTGGTTCAACAGTAACAGTCTTGGAGGCCCAAGCGTTTGATATTTCCTTCTCAAGCTTTTCACCAGTTCTCGCGACGAATGTATTAGGAGGGATTTTCAAATGAATTTTTACCGTCTTTTGCGTACTTTCATAGTTAAAGACTAATACTTTTAGTTTAAATTCTTCACCACGGATAACAGAATATGGAAGACTCAATTGAATAAAGAAGGATTTGAAAACTGTTACTTTTGCTCCCTCTTCTGCAACTCCTAAACCATCTGTTTCACTCATAGCGAATGCTGTTGCAACCCAAGAAGTAATGGTATCAGGAACTACAGCGTTGATAATCATCCTGCCATCGGGGCTGTAAAATAATTTCAGATAAATATTATATTATTTCTACAAATGAAGAGAGTTAATAGGTAACAAGGTAATAGATGAAGTGTAAGCTCTAAAAGCATTTCAAGCAACCATCAATCGATATTAGGCGTTACTTGTTAAGAAAATGTATAATTTAGATTCATATAATTATTGATTTTGCTACAAATTAAAAAAAAAATTAAAAATGGTACAAATTGATTGATTGATGAATTTGGTACCATGCTTCGTTCAAAAAATTACTAACATGCGTCTCCGTACAACAACGACAACAACAAATTATGAGCGCTAGGAAACATTCCACAATAGCTAAATATTTATCTCCTAAAAATTGAAATTTTTGCCATTTGCAAACAAATAAAATAAGTATATAAATTAAATCATTCCGTCAGGGTCTAGGGGAATTCCTAATAAAAATTTCAAATTCACCCAATAATGTATTGATTCCAAAGCCACGTTTCTGGAAAATTTTTTCTGACAGTAACTTTCTTTTTGGAGAGAGAATTACTCTCTTGTGGTTTTTGGTGAAGTACATTTTTATATTTCGCTCTCCCATCTTTCGAGAACAATAATCGTTTCCTATCTGTAACAAGTTTTAAAAAAAAGGATAGACTCTAATATCTACTTTAAAAATTTTTCGACCCTTGGAATGTTCACTAGACATAAAAAAGCAGAGAGACAGTTCTAGGGGTAAAAGTGATTTTTTGATTCTAAAACAAGTGCTACTTTTCAGGTGACATTTTCCTACCCTATATTTTTTTCGAACCAAAGCCAAGTCTCAGGAAATAGTCTCCTTACACTTGACGGTTCCTCGATGCTTTCGGATGTATCTGACTCTCCTTCTGCAGATTTTGACTTTGATCTCATGTTTTTTTTTATTCCCATTGTTTGAATTCCACCACCTCCTCTAGCCATATTGTTAGAGAAAGCAAACATTTCCGCTGTTTTAATATTTATACCTTAAGTTTCGCTAATAATCATAAATTACTCTTTTAATACTGTAAAAACAAATGTTTTCCAGTAAAAGCAAAATATAAACAACGTTAGACGGCTCGGCTCATGCAGCTCTTTTCCCTACTATTTTTAAGCTTTTTACAAATAATACATGAACAATTCGGTTAAACGATTTAAAGATATATATATATATATATATATATATATATCGTATTTTACCCAATAAGTTTGTTTATCCAAAACCAAATTTCAGGAAAATGAGTTCTATCAATTTTTTTACTGAGAAAAGTTTGCGACTGTTTTTTCATAATATTTTTTGAAAATTTCATTGCCTGCATTTTTCCACCTGTATATCGTTAGACCATTATTTTAACTAAAATTACTTCAAGAACAGTTTAACTCTTTCAAAATAATGTTTAGAAGTGGTAAATTAGCCAAGAAGCTAATATATAATAACTTATCTATCTTATCATATTAGTTTTAAAATGTCATCATTTTGATTTCTATCCTAAAAGCTTTACCGTAAAATATAGCTTTCCCAAAGCCAGGTTTCTGGAAATATACGTCTTTTGGGACTTTTATCATGTGCCTTGTTTGAATTTGGGGCTACAATATTAAAATGTCTACTTTCTTGCGCCATTATTATTTGAAGTTCTGAAAGATTATCATGAAAAAATCTGTTGAATTGTTTTTCTACTTCATTAAAATCAGTGTTTTGAATGGCTTGTTATTTACAAGTGACAATGAATTGTCTGGCAAAAATTATCAACCTTAGGGAATTGCAAATAAACTACTATCTACAGGAAACTAACTAGTGTCGAAGAATACTTTCTATACCCCATCATTAAATTTGAGTACATCCATGTTTCTGGGAAATTTTTTCTCACAGGATTATCAGAGGGAGTACTCGCGGGAAATTTTTCATGTCTATTAGTAGATCCGAAGTCAAATGCTATATCATCAATCGCTTCGGGATAGGGATCTACATGGAAATTTAAATAGCTTCTTTATTTTTGTGGGACTTTAGACAACCATGTATCAAAATTAGTAGAATGATGATCCATAAGTCAGAACACACAGGAATACATTCAATTGGATTCATCAAGCTAACATATCCCTTAAATATTTCAGATAAAGGTGAGATTTAGTCAAAAAAAATCGCACCTTAGAATAGGAAAGAATGAAGTTTCGGAAAATTTGCTTTTTCATAAAGAATTGGAGGTGTTAAAAAAAGACAGACTGCTGAAGTAACTAGAAATGGCAGTAGAAATGGAGAAGAAAGCAAAGTATATTTAAAAAAGACAGTTTACCCTACAGCCTTATTGAAGTACAACCAGGTCTCGGGGAAAAGTTTTCTCACAGAGACTGAGCCTGTATCAACATCAGTTTCAGGAGTTCTTTTCACCCCATCGTTATCAGTAGGAGGGCCAGGCTGTCCTTCTTGCCCACGTGGGCCAGATCCAGCCATTCCAGGAACGCCGGGCATTCCAGGAAAGTATTCTGGATAACCTAAATAACTTATGTTTAATCTTTCATTCATACTCTTTGGAAGCGCAAAATGTCGAAAGAGCAATTTTGGTAACATTGGAAATCGTTAAGCTTCAGTTGTCTTATAGTTTCACTTAAGATGGACTATAAAGGAATAAATTAGAAAAACTCACGATAAATAATTTTCTTGTAGATAAGAGCATCAGTCATCATACGAACTCCAGCATTAGTTAGCACTGCACTTGTATCTTGGGCTCCCCATCTCATTGGCCACGGCATGATTGATCTCTTCCTTCTAAACCTACGTTCATATGGAAAGTAATTATGACTGCTTGAGTCATACTTCTTAACCTCCGTCATAACATCTTTACTTTCCAAATCATTTCCACCACCTAACAATAGAACAGACGTATCGACAGCCAATAATCCCAAAAATGAATGAGGCGATGCTTGAATATTGAGGTCTATGTTCTCACCGGGAGAAACTTGATCTTTATTGAAGGATATTTTGACGTCATTAGAGAATAAGCCATTAACGTTGAATTCAATACTATCAGCAACCATTTCGTTCTCCACTGACTTATAAAAGCTTAATAATCTAGCCGAAGGAGCAATTTTTCGCGATATATCCTTCGAAATGAAAATCGAAAATTCTCTTTCTAATAGTCCATCCATAGATACTTCACCGTTGAAAATAAGACGACCGCGAGATATGAGCTGGGAACAAACACGATAAAAAATCTTATTAACAAAATCTCTATTATAAAATTATACTAACGATATATGTAAAACTAGGAATAGCAACTGTAGTAGTCATAAGTACTTTCAATTCTTCATCAGGCTGTGTAAAAGTATTGCGTTTGTGTTATTGAAAAGTTTGGTATATTCATTTAATACACTTACATTTATTCCTCCATCGTTCTGCACAGTCATTTGCAATCCAACTTTAGTTTTCTTAGTAACAAATTGGCTAAGACTTTTGTAGGTTCGTTTAGTTTTAAATGTGGCCTTTGAAAGCAAACATCATTATCAAAGAATATTTATCATAGTGACATGTTTTAATTTGACTTACCATAAGTTTTATCGTATCAAACCACATATCTCTGATTATATTACTTTTGGGTGGGGTAAAAGTAACAAATACAAGACCAGATTTAGGAATTGGGAAAGTTTTTACTCTTTTTTCTTCAGTTCCACTGTTTTTACATATTGAATTAAAAACAATCATTATTATCGTATTTCCTTCATATATTTATTTACCTTTGAGTAACGATACGACCATTGATGGTTTTATTATACTGCCACTAAGAATTTTTAAAAATTATTATATGATTCTAATTACGAATTCTATTCTTACGATGTATCCAATTTCAACAGATAAAACTTCATCATCTCCTTTCTCATTTTTCAACTGCTCTTCAGTAATTGGGGAACCATCGATTTGGGTAACTTTCCACTAAAATATAACAAAACTAAATGATCAGGCTTACTAAAAGTAATCAACAACTCACAAAGCCAGTGTAGAGCAAGCCGAGTTTATAGTTTTCAGGCGTTGAACTCAAAAACTCTGTTGTAAAAGATTCCAAACGTACGGTAGTTTTTCCAGTACCATTTAACGTAATACCACTAACAGTCTCTGTGGCTCTCGCATTGAATTGAATTTCTAGTTTCTCCCATCTCCATCTTTCTCTTGTTGACGTCATGGATAAAATATCCTCAGATGACAAGGTAAAATCAGCACGACCAGTTAGTTTGTTTAACTAAAACAGGAAACGAGTGATAAAAATCTAATCATTTTTTTTGTATTTCTTTCAAATTAAAACTCACTTGGCCAGATTTCTGGATTGTTTTGTATTTGGGACATCTGTATGAACAGTATTTGTACATCGTAATATCAACGACGACCGAACCTTCCACAGGTTTACCATGAGTATACCTAAGATTAACGATAAGATAGCAAAAATATTTTTCCAAAACAGATATACATACAAAACTTCAGTTGTAAAATGAATATCTTCCGTAATTGGTGCCAACTTATTTTTTTTATCATCATAAACAATGTAACTTGGCGATTTAATTTTCACTTCGAATTTGGGTAAAACGTATTCTTCAACTATAAAGGTTTTTTCGACTTTTTCAGTCTAAATAAAAAAGATTTATTCATAGTGATCCAAATCTTAGACTATTACACTTACACCATATTGAGCTGTGATTTTCCAAGTACCTTCAATAGGTTGATCGCTTAATTGTAGATTGTCACTTACAACGCCTTTGAATTCTTGTGTAGCGTTGAATTTTTGTACAATTTTATTATTCCTCGGATCCTTTGAGAATCAAATATGTATTAAATAAATGATTTTTATAGAGTGATGATTAAGTTACTTACAAAAATCTCGATATTCAGCAGTTTATCAAAAGGCTTCAAATCGGGATAAACAGAAATAACTCTGAAATTAACTTTTCAAGAACAAATGATTAGTAAGAAAGACAGGAAATAGTTTAAAGAGTATTACCCATCTGGCCTGGTTTATACATAGATTTATCGGTTTGGATAAATATCGACATACTCTTCTTGTCAAAATTAATTTTTGTTGAGTTTTTAAATCTTGAAAAGAAGAAGATTTAATAAATTTCTTATGGAAAAGGAATTAGTCTTACTTAGCAATCGAAGTACCATAACGAATTTCCCCATCAGCTTTTAAGTTGAGTGAATAGGCAAAGCTTTGGTCAATATCGAATGGAATGTCCAAAAAGACAATGTTAGGTTTTGTAATATCCATGTCAAACTTTTTGGACAAGATTACAGTTTCTTTTCTCTCCCTTCCCATATAGTTGGTTCCCTCAAGTGAGAATACAATTGCTGCCGAAGTCGGGAAATTCTCTCCATCATTTTCAATTTCGAAATAGATATCAAGTGGTTGACCAGGTCGAATTTTTTCTGGTGTAACGATGACATATTTCCTAGGAAACAAGTACAAAAAAAAGAAAATGCAATAGTGTTTTTTTTTTATATAATTGCGTATTAAATTTCATATTATTGTCATTTTTTGTGTTAATTGAAAAACTATTTACAATAGTCTGAAACAATACGTCCCTTTCACGGGAATATTTTAAGTTAATGAGAGTGAAAATAGATTAATATACGTACGGCGCTATACCAGCCACATTGAGATTGCAAAGAAAAAGCAGAACCCCAGTGAAGGATAGCAAAATTTTCATTAAGATTGCCATATTTTCTGCTTAATAAAAAAGTTGATAGAGAATGCTTAACCAAAACATATATGCAAAAAGAGCTCTTTTTGTTATTATAGGAATAGAGCATTCTATGTTCCATAACTTTCGTTAAACATACATACTATTGCTAACCTGGTTTTTTTCTGAAGAAAATTCCTTGATCGTTTTATTATCTTTGAAACGATCACTCTTCTTCTAACGGAGCAAAAATGTTCCTTATTATTTTCAGAAAAACGTTGTGTTTGAAATAGGTCTTGGTGTCACACTTGTCTGCAAAGATCTGAGAAAATCTTTCAAATCTTATTGTTAAATACCACTTGATATTTTTTTACATATTTCCAAAAATCCTAAAAACAGTAATAAAAAAATAGTCATTTCATTTATCATTACAATTATAATGTAATAAAATTAATTAATTAATTTTCAACTATATTTAAGAGATATAATATTTAAAAAAAGAGAGCGATAATAGAGTGTTTGAGCATAAAATTAATAGAATAAACCTGAACGAGGAGCCTTGCCGTACCAGTGTACGCCTTGTACAATGTAAAATATCCTTTGGGTGGTTTACTTCTACTGGACTTGTGCACTTTTAACCATTTTGTTAGACATTTGTATTATCGCGTTATTGACCAAAAAAGGTTTCAATTAAACAAGAGCTAAGTGTACTATATTACATATTTTACAATTATTATTAAAAAAATTGGTAATTGATCAACTTATATTCAGCCTAATATAGAATATATTACATAAAGAGTTTATTTCTTTCTGTCTTTATTTCTTACATAACTTATCACAATTTTTTTTACTATAGGCTTTAACTCGTTGTGTAACTTATTTCCACTCTCTCTCTTTCTTGCTTTGTAAGTTTATTAAATAGTTTCTTTTTATCCATTGTTAATAACATAACATTGCGTATAACAAAAAAAAGGCGAATTTTTTGTTTGATTGTTTGTCGACTAAAGTAAACCTTATTTGGAAGGCTTCTGCTTAATATTGTACTCGGTTAAGTGCATAATGTTTTTAGCAGCTTTGCGATTAATGATATAGTTTTACATGCTTTGTTTTGTGTACAGAATCGTAACAGGGCAAATGCTTGTGAAAATTCCCGTAGTTGACGAGCAAATGGATCAATTATAATGGGATATTACTGATAACGATCTGTATATCTTGACAAAGTTCGTATTATGAATATTTTTACATGAAGTATATATGACTTGTAACCGGAAATACAGATTAGGGAGGGGTTGGCATAGTTATAAAAATACCAAAATACACAAAATTTAAAAATAGCTATACATATTTTAAGCTAAGATATATTGGATATTTCTTTAAGATAACTGGTACTATAACTATTTAAATGAGAAAAAACAAGCAGAAACAAATAAAACAGGCATCTTAACACGACCATAAAAAAAACCCATTATTCCAAACCAAAAAGTAATAACCAACTAATTCAAAACACAATTTCTTTTATTGCCATCTAGAAAAGATCTAATTATGACAATTTCCATTTAAATTGTTTTTATCTTTGAAAGGAGCCTTCAAGGTTAAAATTATTAGTTAATTACGACTTTTCACTTTTAGGCTATTCGAAAATGTAAACATTTCAAAATTGTATACAACTTTCAATTTTGATAAGTGCTTTTTCTTGTGAATATTTCATCTAATTATTCATTAGTTTAGCAATTATTTACAAGATTGAATAGAATTGTTTATGGATCTCTATAAGATTTATTATTGTTTTATACTTTGAATCATAATCCGAAATTACGTTACAATCTTAATCTACGTTTGAAAAAATAAAGTCACTGTACTTTGTCGTTTCTTTTATTTAGTTCAAATAAAATTTTAATCCTATTTTCACCGAATGAGAAAGAAAGCTTACAAGAGTTGGGAAGGTGATGCCTCTTTCAATAATCTTAACTATTATAATTCAACATATTTGTATTTACTTTAATTGAGCACTGTGAAGTAGCCGAATATTGATTTCGAGGATTTGGCAATTATAATACGAGGAAGAATATATAATTGACTTTCAGCGAAATGGACTTTCAGAAAGGAATATATTTTGTAGGAATTAGAAAATTACACCATTCGAACTCGAAGAAATATTGAATTTGCAAAAGAACAAAGAACATTAAAAGATACTTATCATAACTATTACATTTTACGTAATACTATATATGAGCATTACAGATTGGTTTCATTTTATACAAAAACATCTGGCGAGTCTATATGTACTCTTAATAACTTTATGTAATTGGCCATCGTGTTTGATTAAAATGTTCATTATACTGTATACGAAATCGGAAATTATTACATTTCACCTTCCGAATTCCGTTTGAATAAGGTTACGCAGTTCTTGTTTTTTAGCCTCTAGTTACATCAATAATATCGGTGTATATTCTTTTTGGCGAAATCCAGAATTACCATTGACAGTTTTCATAAATACTTTGACTATCGAATATTATCAACATATTTGTGAACGAAATTGATGTTCTAATTGAACAGTAGTTTGAAATATTGGCAAGTGAATAAAACTCGATAATTCTAACTTCGGTTAGATAAATGAAAAACTTCTACAATTACAATAAGCAAAATCCAGTAAAGTTTACATTTTTTTTTTTAATTTGGCCCACTACATTTCAATTTCGCAGTTAAAAAAAATATAAATTTTTTCGTTATTATGATTCCAATTAAAGAAAACTAATATAGTAATTTAATTAAGTAACACTTTCAATGCATAGCTCAATACAATAGAGGATTTTGTTCCCAATGAAAACTGGTAGTTATATTTTTTTTGGAATAAAAGAATTTTTTGCTTTCGAAAAATTGTATTAAGCAATAACCAAGTCTTAGTAATACAACAAGAATATATACTCGTATTTTCAAAGTAAAATAACCATGAGTGGGTAAATATTCAATTACTAGCTATAATCATTTTGAAAAGTATCATTTGTGCACATGTCTATTTACTTTTAAAAACAGAAGAAGATGAAAGAACAACGTTCACAAGGTTAATTTTTTTTATTTATAGGATAACTTTCAAATATGTTTGGATGATTTGGTATGAGTCATTTCTGTAAACAATACATATGCATATACTCAGTTTGAGCACTTGACACAACTCAGTATATTGTTTTCAGTTCTTTTAAATTGTTTGTGTATATGATAAGAGTGTATAAAATTTTAGTCTTTCTTTAAAAAAAGAACCTTTTCTTCTTTAATGTATCATAGGATTATTACTCTATTTCGGTTTACAAGACAAACACTATTAAAAGGTTAGTAATAAGTATTTATAACAGTTTCAAATTGGGGAAATGTTCATTTTTTAGTCGATATCTAAAAAAAGATCAAGTTTACTTAAAACGAGGATTTTGTATAGCTTATTGTGTAATGGTTGACATGTGAAGGTTTGGTTATTATTTCATTAATTATTTAGCCGAAGATAAACTTTATTAGTTCATTCAAATATGTTATAAAGCATTTGCTATCACTTTCAACTCAAACAGGATATAAGTAATGACTAATCTGGTATTAGCTGCTAATTCTCGGGTACTTGGAGTACTTTGTAGAATCGTGCAAATCAAAATAGATTAAAAGTACTGTGCACATACGTGTAATTAAATATTTAAATAGCTGTATATGAATATACTTTGAAATTAACTTATATTAGACTAGCAAGGTTATATTAGAAACAACAAGAACATCAACAGTAGTGAAAGGAAATGGCATGTGTGAAAGGCTAACTTCGCACGTCTACCATTAGGGTGTTTATTGGTGTGCAAGTCTCTTGAATAGGCTCATTAGTGTACAAAGATAACTTATCCTGTTTATACAACTGTCCCTTGATGCTTTTGTTGGTAGTACGATATTTCATTTAGTCATTGCTTATTGGGCTGTTTATTACTATTGGTAAGCGTTGCACTCCTATCATACCTGGAGTGTGGATAGATAAACGAAATAAGCTTCAACACCAGCTTCCCTTTATCGATAGCATTTATTCCCTTTGCCATTTCCCACTGCAAACTAATAACAAACTATATTCAAGAATATCTATATCTAGGTTTAAGTATGTACATGTGTACAGGAGATATGATGTTGAAAAGTTCTTGTTCTACTTTCACAAGGGCTCTGAAGTTGAGTAATACGAATGATCTAAATGTAAAAGACATTGTTGGTGTCGAAATCAACTCGGAATAAAGTACAAAAAGTAGTAAAGTATATCACAGCCATTTCAGCACTTTCCAACTAAAGTATGTGACTAGTTCGAAACTGATGGTATGATATGTTGTTTGTTTGTTTTTTATCGTACTCTTGTTTACGTACTGTGTTGTTGTCCTCAGTTACACATGAATACTATTTTTGAACGTAGAACTTTAGTGTATCTGAAGTTTAGTGCAATGATAGGTGTCAGATGTTCTCGACGATAAAAACATTTTATAAAGTCCTTTAGATATCAATTAAGTCCATAATAATAACTTTCCAGAGTTCCTCTACACCATTGTTCACCGAAGAGTATAAATGAAATACCAGTATGTTCCAAATATAGTGTATTGAATAAGTCTTAGATACTATACCAACAAGACATATCACTAAGTTATGAACGCCACATCACCACACAAATGACTACTACGACCAGATTACTGATCCTGTTTATACATCTGTACCTTGATTAACTCTACCAAAGAAGGCATCAAGGTACAGTTGCTCTATGTTAAACCATATTTGTCCACTGCAAACTAATAACAAATTATGATCATCTACATCTAATTTTGGGTTTAGCTATGCGCTTGTGCACAATAATCTTCATCGGTCATTAAGGGGCTGGTTATAGCGGAACCTTGACAAACATTGGAAATACGAGCTATTTTGAGTCATCTTCACCTTTTGGTTGATTTAAAGAACTTGGGGTGTGCACTTTGGAATTATAATATAAAGACTTTAGATAGATCTTATTTTAAGGGAATTAGAATAGTGGAATATTAGAAAAAACCATTATTTGATGGAATTAATAACCCAAACCTAAGAAAGACCTTTATTTAGTGGAATTAGAAGGCTTTTAGTTCGCACAAAGTATAATTCTCGGAACAAAATGCTGAAAACTAAGGCTTGTACCACAAGCATATGATATGACTGTTTTTCATACCTTTGTTGTACGTTCATTGTAAGATCGTTACATTTCAACTTTGCGTTCCTTTGAACAATTGAACCAAAGCTTTGGTAAATGTATAAAAGGAAATGCATTTCCTCAGTTCGTCAGTTCAGTTTTAACTGTTAGCTAGTTGTTTAAACTTGCTTGTTTAGAACTAAAACTCATTATACTCAATACATACTCTTACACGAAATACTGGCGGTTCATTGATTAATTTTTGCCGGAATTGGGTTCGTTGAGACTACCTGTGGGACGAACTTGAAAGGTTCTATTTGGACCAGTACTTTGGTTTATTGGTAAATGATTGGTGAGGACGAATTCGATCGTAACGAACTCGAGGTTCCTACAATTACCGTACAACGCAGTACATGGGGCTTTTATTAGCTTGTTGATTGATAGCTTTGTTTACCTATCTTGCGCCCATATATCCATTAATCATTAAACCATCTAGCATAGGACAACAATAATTAGTGTTATAAAGACATGCTAGCTACTGTTCTAATACCTATAGACATAAAAAATACTGTTCTAATGTTGTGAGTGCACAGACAAGGCCAGAAATTTGCCAAAAATATTTGCTTTTTACACTAGGAAAACGTTGTAGGATAACGTCATTATATGAAAGAATACTAAATGGAGTAAATAAAACCTATGTAAATCATTAAATTGTGCAATTGTACATTTGCAACTAGTGTTTTGATTGTCCATAAGTTGCGCAGTTTGGTTTGCCATTTTCAAGGCTATTAAAATAATTTTTTTGGGAATAAATATATTCCTTTTAATAAAATTTGTACTTGAGTTTAACTGTTAAGTAAAAATATTGAGGAAACTGCCATAATTCGAAAAGTGTAACTGACGTAATGTCTTAGTTTGAATGAGTCATCATTGAGGATATCTTGCTTGAAATTAAATGAATGAGTCATCGGTGCAGCAGCCATATTGAAGTTTTATAATATCAGCAGTGCTGCCATCTATAAAAGGCATCACAGAGATGTTACACACAAAGCAAGGTATCCTCAAAAATCTGTAAGTATAGAGAATTCATTGCGCTTATTGACACTGATAATGACAATTTTTTGCTTTTATTTGATAGAGGATCTATAATATACTGTAAATATGACTATAAATAAATAGATATATAATGGAATGATTTTAGTATGGCATGATGTGTTGAAACCATATATCCTGCATACATCCTGTAGATTTTTATAATATACTAAATTTTTGTGGATAATTTTGATGATATAATTTTAGACGAAAAATAAAAAAAACCTGGTTCAAACTTGTTACATCTTACATCATTTGAGTGAACTTTTCATTGTTGGATTTCTTTTCTGATATCTTTAAATAGAATATAACTATTCTATACAAAAACAAAATGAAGCAATTGGCTGCCTTGGCTGATGTAAACTATTCAATCCTTCGAAAGGATATGTATATAACAATAATAATTTGTTACAATTGTACAAACAATTTGGGCTAAGTTCAACTTAAAAAAAGATTTTGTTATTGATTTTGCAAATTTGAACTTGCTGCCTTTAAAGTACATATGTTTTAAGATATTGTGATGGATGGTTAGACATAGACTATTCATTTTATGTGTTTAGATCTTAGACGTCTTACCTTGAAAGGTATTTATCAATTGAACTTTACCTGTTTCAGTCTTAATGAATCCTCTATCGCCACTAAAGAATGCCACAGTTACTAATTTTTTCATAAGAAAAAATCAAAAAAGTGTCAAAAGTTCTGTTGAAATTAAGAACTATAATTCATGGAATGAGAACAGTAGATCAAGTCAAACTCAAACTGTAGAATGTGACGAAGAGGCTGTTAAGTTTTTTGAAACTTTAAACTTATCTTCAACGAGTATGGGCATGGCTCGAGAAATTAATAATATAAATTATTTTGATTGGATACCAGAACCAAAAGGTTCTGAAAATCCTTTGATAAACACAGAACTCGATATAAATATGTCAATTGTTGAACAAATGAAATTGAAAAAGAATAAGGCTACTTTTATTTCTATTCCTTTTAAAGAACGTAAGTATATTATTAGTATATTTATTTAAATTAAAAATTGATTATTGTAGCCAACTGATTGTGACTCTTCAATAAATTTCCTTTATAGTTTTTTAAATTTTCAATTAACTTTTCACATTACTATTTTTCTGTAATTCATTCATTGTTTTGATTGCAGCATTGGATTACCAGACTGAGAAGAATAGCTGTTTACTGAAGATTAATTTGCCTACAGGCATGGCGAAATTTAATCAAACGTATTGTTGTAAAACTTGCAAACTACTATTTACATCGTTATTTTCTTGTCAATGTCACCTCGTTTTGGAACATAACGATAAAGCTATAAAACAGAAAATCTTTAAAGATTTAAGAAAAATGAAGAAGGAATGTTTTAAAGATAAAAAATATAGTATTCTGAAAGTTGGACTAGGTCAACTAGTACAATGTTCTTTGTGTGAGAGACAAACTTTATTAGAAAAAAATTCTCCAATGCAAAGAAGTCATGACAAATTTTATCATTCAGTTACGGCAAAATTAGTTGCGTTCAATTGTAAAAAGTGCAAGAGAAAATTCCGATCAAGTACTTTAGTTAAGAATCATACATGCTCAGGTAATTTTTATTTTTTATCTAGTAGAATTAATTTGGCCAATGGATAAAATTTTACAATATTTCTTCAGTGATCAAGTTAAGAAGGCACAAAAACGAACGAAATTTTTGCGCAAGCTGCGATTTGTCATTTCCTGATGCTCGAAGTCTTAGAGTACATACTAGAAACGTTCACGTAAAAAAGTTAACAGAACAAGCGGAACCTAAACAACCATTAACGATGTTTGTCGATAACAATAAAGATTTCAAAGATCACAAAAGTACTCCTTCAAAGGATATGATAGAAAATAAAAGGAGACTTTCAAATTTGGAGAATGATTGTCTCAACGAAATATTCAACGATGAAAATACTCATCTTCCAATGCCAATTAAAAAGCAGAAGAAATTCCAAACCAATTCAGGAGTTATAGAAACCATTATCTCATAATTTATTAGCATACCTAGCAATAATAAAACTTTGTTAAAGTCGGAACTAGGGAAGTTTAGAGAGATTTCTTGACAAGAAACCATGATTTTATAATTATCAAACTTGATATGATGCTTCCAAAGTGATTTTTATGTTCAATTTGAATGTTAAGTATTTGATGGAATCACATCCGTTTCATCTATAATATACAGTATTTATGTTAAAAATTTGTACATTTATATGTAATAACTATTTATTTTCTCTTTCCATTTTTTTTGGAGGTGAGAGATATCAAGCTTGTACATTGGTAAATGTAATATATGTATATATATATATATATATATTACATATGGATGATATAAAAACCGCTATGTTCGAGATATCACGTGCACTTCTTTTAAATGTTACACAATCCAAAATTTACAAACACATAAAATGAAATATTCTTAAATCAACTTTTCACAAAATATGAAAACAACGCAATCTACAGCATATAGTCCAGTTCATGTCTTGAAAAGCCCGGAATTCTTGGGTAGGCTGCAACTAATGCGTCTTGAGCTCCTATATAAACGCTATTGTAAACTTTCCAATATACATGCCTTACTTTTCTTGCTGGATGGAAGAGTCCAGAAAGAGTATAGTTGAGAACTCTTGCGGGACCAAGAGATAATCGAAAGCCATCCACGCAGCCCATAAATGCTTGAACAACGTGAGGTGAACTTTCCAGTATATTTGGCCAAACATAATTTATTAAATGTTGTAGTGCATCTTCACATCCCAATCCAGCCACTCCAAGAGCTAAATGTTGAACAGCAAACATAGCTGTTTGCCTGTGGACAAGATCTCTATCCATCAATGCATCCTCAAATAAAGGAGCCACAGCATAGATATAGTCTTTTCCCATTTCTCCAACGTATTCGAACATGAATGACAAAGCTTTCAAGACTCCGTTTTGAACGTTAAGTTCTCGTACTCTGTATTCATTCATTAATGCTGGTAAAACAGTGAAAGGTGAACATGTCTCCGCAACAATTGCAATGGCTACTGTTGTGCATACACGGTTTTGTCTCTCTTGAACTTTTAAATTATTCAAAAGAGTCCCTAAAACATCATGAGGACCAATGGCTTTTGCTATATAACCGAAAGTATTGACAGTTGCTCTTCTTATTGCTTTTTTGTGAGCTTTTAGTAATTCAAGCAATTCGAAGCATATTCTCATCCATTCCCTTGCAGAAACAAATTCTGCTCCTCTATCTGCAATTCTTCCAACTAAATCAATACAATTCTCTTGGACCTTTTCGTGGCGATTTTTCAAGATTGGTGTCAATCGAGGTAATAAATCCTTTATAGGAGGTGTCATACGTGACATACCAATTACATTTACAATAGCTTTAAGAGCTGCAATTATGGAACCAAGTACTTCAGGATATTCCTCACCTAAATATTCGTAAAGAACAACACCTAAATGACCCATTAATTTTTCTTCTTCACATGTTTTCATAACAACCGCGATTCGACCAATTAAATCTGCAGCTTGTTGTCTGACCTTGGCAGCTTTGTTGTTGAGACGCCATAAAATTGTACCACATATTTGAGGCAAGTATGGTTTAACTCGCCTTCCAAGCGCAACCACAACAGTTCCAAAACCATTTAACATAACTGCGTTATCAGCATCTCCAGCACTGGTTTGTTCTTGAAAAGCATATAAAATACCGTCAATTAACTGTTCTTCCAGTCTTGAATCTATATCTGAAGCTCCAAGGGTAGAAAGAGTTTTATCGATGGTTTCCATTACCATACGCCTATATTGTTCGCTTTCATCCTTCAGATCGTCAACAATTCGTGAAACCAGCTCTGATGCTCCCACTTTCATACCAATTTCAACAGTGGTGTCAACTAACTGTCGGTAATTTCTCCTGTCGAGAGCCATTCTTTGATTCCAAAAATGTTTGAAGAAGGGCGGTAGAATTTCTTCCTTAATATATTGTGCCTCAACACCATCAGTTGCACAACATTGCTTTACAACTTTTAAAACGATCTTTTTCATTTCTTCGTCAGGAGACTGAAATTCTCTAATCAAAATCAACATTACTTCTCTGGTGTAATAATTGGCATATTCGGCGTCCATCAATGGAATAAGGTAACCAATAGCTTTTAAAAAAGCAGCCAGACCTTTACCTCGATGCTGTCTTATTCCTTTCCACAAAGGTTTTAATACAGCGTCAAAACTCTCTATACCATATGGAGTAGCAGCTTCTGCAAGGGCAGCCAAAGCCAAAGCTGTGATTGTTCGCACTTTTTGCTGTTCATCAACTAAACCGTGTTCGATAATATCAACCAGTGATCGCAAGTGAGGTAAGACAGCGCATCCCATCAGAATGGCTATTTGTTGAATGATTTTTATGCCTGTATGTCTTGCTTGCCAACTTTTCTTACTTCTGCAAACAGCTTTGAGGAAAGGCAAGAGAGCAGGAATTCCCAAAGCAGAAGCTACTACTGCAAAAGCTCTGGCTGTAGTATTTCTTACGTACTCATCCATATTATCTATGTCAGGTCTCATTGTAGAGATCATTGTTGCCAATCCGGCAGCTTTAGCCAAATTTGATATAATTTCACGACCTTCCACACGTGCATAGTAATCTTCGTCGATTAATAGGGGTTCAATAACCACAAGAATTTTATGAACGTACGGCCTAACTAAATCATCCAATTTGTAGAGAACTCTGTCAATAACCTTAACCAGTAAATGACGCTCTTGATCTTCTAACGTTGGTGACATTAGCAAGGGAAGTATTTGATTAAACAGAGGTCCAGCTCCAAATTCTCTGGCTTTGTCAGTTAACTGTCGCAAAGCTGATTTTCTCATTGGTGGCGTGCCATTTTTAACTTTAAGTAGGAGTTTCATAATCTTTCTTTCTTTTGCTTCTTCTGGGGGAAGGTTGTCTTCATCAACATCTACCAATAGTTTATCAAAATATTGCATGTCATCAGGCTTCATCATAGGTAGATTTTGTCCCTTGGGTTGCAGATCAACCATCGTTGTTTTTTGATCCGGTGTTTGCATTTTGAATCCTGATGGAGTTCCTCCTAAGAAGGGTGTTGGAGTTGCTGTAAGTTTGCGACCGGGTGTTCTTATTGGTATATATCCTGCTGGAGGAGCCAAAATTTTGTATCCTGGTGGAAACTTGGCATCTAATTCCTCATCAGTTAATGGACCATTTCTCTCATCAATTTCTCTTTGCCAATTAAATGCTTGCATCTGTTCAGGTGTCATAGATACAAGGTGGCCTGGCGTTGGAGTAGCCATTCCCATCGCTTTAGATCCAGAAGGAGTTTGACCTGATGGTGTCAAACCCATAGGTGTGTAGACACCCGGCGCGCCAGTTGGTGTAAACGTGCCAGGAGTATGTTGACCAGCGCCGAGACCAGATGGTGTCATGGCTCCTGGGGTCATGCTTGGAGTCATTCCTGGCGTTACTGCTCCTGTTTGAGGTGTCATCGCTGGAGTTTCATCCCATCTCGATCTTCTTTTTGCTTGTTGAGCTGATGGAGTGTCTTGTATACTATCGGATCCTCGATCTGCTCTAGGAGTTTCTGCCCAACCGCTTTGGGCCGGAGTTTCTGCTCCTGCTCTAGGTGTCTCATCCCAACGATTTCTTCTAGCGCTTGGTGTAGTTGTGTGACCAGGTGTCTCTCCACCCGGAGTCATTGGTCCAGGTGTACTATCCCACATTTTTTGAGATGGTGTTTCTGCTCCAGATTTCAGTCTGGCTGGTGTTTCATCCCATCTAGCAACATGGGGAGTAGCTGCTTCATCCCAACTGGTTTTCTTGGCAGCAGGAGTACCATCAGCATCACTTGGCTGATCCCATCGTCCTATTCTCTTTTTTGGTTTAGATACAATATCTCCATTTGTTGCCTTTAAAGTTCCTTCCTTGGCCTTTTCAATCATTTGCTGCTTGAGATCATATTCACGAGCTTTCAACTGATTATCTCTTAGAATATCTGCGTAACTTCTACGTTCGGAGCGAACATCTGGTGTCTTATCCCCTGCAAAAGGATCATATCGAGAAGGAGAGAGTTGCTGATTAAGTCTCCTTTTTCTATAGTCATCTTCTTTGTCGATTACTTTAGGAATTCGTCGACCGGCTAGAGGATCATGATCTCTTTCCTCTCTTGATAAATCACTTAGCTGATTGAGTGGGGCTGTATATTGAACTTTTTTACCAAGTTGAGGTGCAAAATGTTCATCCTCGTCATCATCAATATCATCATTAGCAGCAATTGAATCTACGTAACCTCCATAATTTGCTTTTGAACTGCCACCGTAGATATCTTTATCGTAATATCCGCTTTCTCCCATTGCAATTCTGGCATTCCCTTCATCATCACGAGTTACATTCACAGCCCTTCTTTTTTCCTGTAACTCCCGAACCTGATTCTCAATATCTGAAATAGTTAATGTTTTTGTTGATATAGACATGTCAAGCGACTTGCTACTATTTTAACGATATAAGAACAGTACATTTCACTGTGGCGGATTTCGAAACAACACGTTCTTACACAATTGGACTTAATTTTGAAACGTTTTTACTACGATTTATCGATTCTGCCGTAGTACTTCGGCAACTATTTTAAGAGGTATAATTGTTCTTTTCATAAAATATTAGAGCATCATGCATTATTATTGAAATTTAATCCTTATGTTGACATGTAGCAGAAGAAGATATTTGGCTGTAATGCTTAGATATTATAGAAAATTAACGTACCTTCATGAGTCGTAGGGGCCGCCATCTTGAATTGGCGAAAATCGATGAAAAACGTTTGGGAAGGTGCACTACTTTTTATTTACCTTTCTTGTTTCGCTGGCGCTACCTATCGGTGTGTATACATTTTATCCGAAAAAAGCATAATTTGTTACTAGAAACTTTAATTAGCGAACTAAATCTAAGTCTTACCAATTAAATGATGAAATATCTTGTAGATAAAATTTCCACAAATCACTTTAAAACAAATTATCATATTAAAGTGTAGAGGGCATAAGTAAGATATTCAATATTATATTGTGAGTATCTCTGATTCGCCATCTGCCGCTTCTTAACCAAAAAAACGACATAAAAACGTTTGTCAATGTGAAGGTTGTTTTGTTATTTAAAGAGTAGTTGCTATTTCCATTGAACTTTCAATTTAGAACTTCACAGCTCATTCAATTTTTATCTTTGAATATTACACAAAAAATGTTAATAGTATTTTTATATGCAGTTGAGCAGATGTAAATTATTATTTTAAATTTTAAAATAAGTTTACTTAAGGGATAATGTAACTTTTATAATAAATATGCTCTTTCAAAATTTATAATTTTGCTATCAGAGAGGAGTAGTCATTATATCGTCTTATAAATTAGATTTTATGATTATAACTTTAATTTATATGAATATAGGAATTTTGCGTTTAAAAACACCAAAATTCAATTTAGTCATTTCGATGAATACTGGAAAAAAAAGCACCGATATAAAAGTTGTCAATTTAAAAATATGCTAGCGACATCTACAATACAAACTCGATTACTATATAATGTATTGATAAAACATAATATATAATAAAAAAAGCATGTTGTAAGCAATTTCATCCAGTTATTCTTAACCTAACAATTAGAGTATTACTTTGCCATTCTATTATCAAAAAATAACTCAATTAACTATTGATATAATGCCATTGATAAACTGATTAAGTATTTCTTATTCCTTAGTTTTAGCCATCTGTTGGCTTTTCAGAGAATTACAATACGTCTGTATTTCGTCAATGTGAAGGCTACATTTTGCTTATGTCAGTATAAAGTTTCTTGAATGAAATCAAATTTCTAAATCCCTTCTATCACAAATTAGTTGCACCAGTAAATCTAGTTGAAGATTCTAAACTCTACAAATTCCCACTATGAATACTATGAAATTTGGTGCTCTCTCTGCAAGACATTTTCTAGTTCAGAAAAGAAATCTCTTAAGAATGTTGACTCAGATTCCGAATAAGTATACATTTATAAATAATATCACAATTTCATAACAATCTATTTCAAATAATATAGGCCCAACATGGATAGAATCGAGCAAGTCGGACCCGATAGAGCATGCGCTGAATGGCTTTTAAGATGTGGAGCAAAAGTTAAATGGACAAACAACACTTCGTGGTTGGAAGACTATAACCAACTTCCTTCCATATCCATAAAGAATTTGTTGTTTGAGGTAGAAGCAATTGATTCATCAATAATGGATGTTGGATTTATTCATCTTAAGGGCTGTAATCATATTAGAAGTTTTCTTATGAATTCTTGTCCATACGTTGAAGACAATGCTTTGAGTAAGTTGGATAGCTTGAAATCTTCACTTCAAAATTTGGAATTGGTCAATTTGTTGGGTGTGACTGATGAAGGTATTAAAAGTCTCACAGAACTAACAGAATTGAAAAGTCTAGTTCTAGAGGGTCTACCTTCAGTCAGATATCAATCAACATTTGATTCATTACGAAAGGCTCTACCAAACTGCGATATCAAACACAAAAATGTTCAGCTTAAATAAAAAAAATGGATGTATTTACTAGTTTTAACAATAAAACTCTAGTCCCAATATTTAATAACGCCGTCCCATCCAGCGCTGACCACTTTGCTCGTCTCGTGCGGGTGCCACAAAACAGCAATACAGGCATCATCGTGAGCTTTCCATTGTTTATAAAGTTTACTCGTTTTCCAATCCCAAACAAAAACTTTGCCATCTGCATCACCACTTATTAAATATCTACAAAAAAAGCCAGTTTTATAGTCTACATATTGTAGAAAAGTGCTTTTATCGACTTACGTCATCTCAGGTGAGAAGTCGCAGCTACAAGCGTAACCGGCCACCATATGACCCTTAAATACTTTTTTTCTCATCAATTTCATTCGATTTAAAACATTAAATATACATATTTGATTGTTCATTGATTGACAAGCCAACCATTTACCTGAAAAAGAAATATTATAAAGGAGTTACTACTTAAATATTTATTGAAATAAAAATGTTTACCGTTTGGTGATAATGATGCACTAGGCATAGAATGCAAGGAAGGGTCGGCAATATACTTAAAATCAACTGGAATATTCCTGTTAGAGAATATATTATTTTTACCATAGGCACAACTAAAAAGCAGAATAGTTACCATTCCCAAACACGAACTGATTTATCATCAGACGTCGAAACAAATCGTCGATTTTGATCAATAAAAGTAATTGAGTTTACGGATCCCAAATGCCTATCATATTCTTGAACAACGTCGCCAGATCTCATATCCCACTGTATATAAAAATATTCATAATTGTTAATTGTACTTATTCTATTTAAACAAATAGATGTCTACTTACGCAAATTATTTTCTTATCGGATGTACCAACGACAAAAAAATGTTGTTTATCTGCGTCGGGGTGAATTTTAACACAAAAGGGAACTTTTCTGCTGAGAAATTTGGACGGACATTGTCCTGTTTCAGTATCCCATAACTTAATATATCTATCGTATCCTGCTGTAAGAAATTTCATTCCGTCATTTGTAAAACAAGCATCTTTAACAGCTTGTTTATGTCCGACGTATGTTCTAACGCAACGTCGTTCATTATAGACTTCCCATAGCTTGGCTTTACAGTCCATAGATGTTGATAAAAGTAAATGAGCTGATCTTGGAAACCATTTTATATTTGATACTCCCTTTGAATGACCAGTCCACGTGTGAATAAGACGTTTCGGTATGAAACACTTTAGAGGCGGCTCAGTTGATTTCAAATTTACACCAACATCTTGAGGTGGATGAAGGAAAGATCTTCCCTGATAATCATATGGATCCTTAATATGAAGAGTTGTTTTTTCTTCAACAGAAGCTGTTTCAACTTGACCTTTTCTAATTTTACTACTATTTTTTGACATATATTCTTCAATAGCTTTCTTGTCTTCGTCAGAAGGAACTGCAATCCTCTGTTCATCTGCAAATGGGGCCCAGGGGCCTTTAAAACCTTCTATGTCAGAAGGATCGTCATTTCTTTCACGTTTCCTTTTGTCACCTGGTCGAGCAGTATTGCCAGGATCAAAGATAAACTTCTGTTCTTTTTCCCCTTTTTCTGCATCTCCAATTAATTGATTAGATCCAATGGTAGGATCATTTGCATAACCTATAGTTTATCACAAGTTAGCTTATTACAAATTGATTATACTATTTAAGTTTGCATTTACCAAATTGATGAAAAGTTCTTCGCTGTGCTTCAAAATGAAAATCACTGACATGTTCTTTTTCTACAAAACCTGAGAAAGCATTCTTTGAGGCTTTTCGATGTTCAGATTTGAATGGATTTTCTGGACCAAGCTTTAATAAATTTGAAAAAGTTAAATTACAACACGAGAATTATAAATATAATTACATCAGGTGCATAAAGGTCTTCTGTCTTCGGATTATAAGTTAATTCTGTAACTGTTTTGTCTACAAGGAGTCTGTTCTCAATGTCATACTGTTAAGGACAATAATCAGTTAAAGAAATTTTGAAACAAGGTAAGAAATCAATGGGGTTTCATAATTCGTGAGCGGTTATATACCTTTGAGGCTACTTCAGGTGCTGATGATAATGTTGATAAAGCAGTACTATGACTCTTTTCTATTGGTTTCAAATGTAATTTGGCTTCTGAATCTTCAGTTTGATCTTCCTCTGAATCAGAAGAATCATATACGGCTAACGACGAAATTGCGTTGGTCGCCATTATCGCTTGTAGTCTGCTCCGCGTTTTCGTACAAAATTTTTTCTCGCGTGACTTAAAATTTTTAAATTATTCTGTTATGAGAAAATCATCTTTAATTTTTTTATTCTTTTTCTGCGACAATAATTTGCTCAAAGTCAAAATTTTAATTAATTTTGTAATTTATGAATTGCAATTTTTTCATTCTTCATAGCCCGTCTTTTTTTTATTATCTCATTTTAAAATAGCAGACTGTTAAATGATACTTTTTCATATATATATAAAATTACTCCTAGGTAAGTAATCTTACTTTTAATCTTTCTCAGGAAAAAAACCTTAATGAGTTTCGAAATCAAACTTCTAAAGCGATTGTATTTTTAGAATTTTAATCACTTTTGGTTGGCATCGATTCTAATCAATACAAACAAATTTTCTTAAATAAAAATAATCTTTTTCTTCTTCCGCTTTAATACTAATTTTCTGAAAAACATTTCTCAGAATGAAATTTTTAGTTTCAAGATATAAATCAGATTCTCGATCTTTTGGTTTACAGATATCCAGGTGGTTAAGCTCAGCCATAACTCTAAATTCTCCAATACCCGGGTAGGCATAACTTTCTGGAACAATTATTCGTTTTATTCCAAAAGGAAATTGCGAAGCAGAACCTTCAGCAAAACTGAAGACAGGTAATTGGCGATGTTGAATAATTTCTAAAAAGTTTTCATTTAGTTTTATCAGATTTTTGTTTCCCTCATGAAGTTCACGAACTTCTAGAGAGGGACTAAATATGGACGCGAGTCGATTGTTTGTTAAGGATGCTAAGGGGCATCCTAAGTGGGGAACACTATAAAATATAAATCCATGACTTTTTTCGATTAAATGCTCATCTTCCAACATGTGCTTTATTAATAGTCCTCCCATTGAATGACCCACCCAAATTATGGGTCTTTTTCCAACTCCAGCTTCTTTCAATTTTGCAGCCATAAATTTTGCTCTAAGGGGTAGAGGATCTTGATTCGGGGAAGTCCAATCTGATAATTTGGTTGCGTATTCTACACCTATTATTCTACAATTTTTAATGTCTTTTGCCAACCAATCCTTTGGCCAACATTTACAACTTGGAGACTGAAATGGTTATGAATTTTACCAATTTAGTATATATTTAATAAATAATATCAACCTTATTATCTGATGAATCCTTTTGACGCCAAGTTCGAAATGGTCCGCCCTTTAATCCATGAACAAAAATGATATCCACTTCTGGTTCACTACTTTTCAAAAATAAAGGAAAATATAGGTAAACTCCATCTGCATAAATACTCGTGGGATCATGCATATTCCACAGAGATTTACTTGCATAAAGAGATAGAGAAAGATCACTTGATCTCATCCATTTTGCAAAGAGACTTATAAAACCACTTTTAGAAATAAGATAATGAGTCTCTTTATGAGATGATAGCACAGCAAGAATCTTTGCAACTTTCGTTGTCAGGAGAAGATCATTAGGACTATCATCTAGAATTTGCCTCAAAATCAGTAAACCATTATTGTCTAAAAATTGCATATAGTCATCAGATTGACAAATTGTGCAATAAGTATCCAAATACATAGCATAAAACTGTTCAGAATCTTCCAATTCAACAATTTTTTCACAGGAAGACTCTGAAAAACTCCACCAAGACTGCTGTTCCTCACTAAGCCATTTTTCACTCAGAGCACAATTTTGTAAATATTTACAATAAGTATCCGATGGGATAATTTTCTTTAAGCTTTCCTTCATTAATAGCTCTAATGATTCCCCACAGGGCTTTAAATTTTCTTTAAATTTCAATAACTAAAATTCCAGAAGTAATGAATATTAGTCACAAAAAACTTGATTGTGTCTTAAAATTACCTCTAAATTAGTCTTTTCCTTTAATGAAATCAATACTTGAATACGATCAGACGCAACTAGTTCAATCAAATTTAAATCATTATCACTCCATTCAGTTTGAATAATGTTGTTAATTGCTAGGTCTCTAATATATGATTCATGATGCTCAGCCAAATTTAAGAGGGTTTGAATGTTCCTTGATAGTTTTGCTTGGAGAGAGAGAGACAAATTGTTGAAGAAATTCCAAAACTTAAGTTTATCTATTTGAGATAAAGTAGAAGAAAAAAATTAATTAAATATCGGAAGATAAAAAAATGTTTAATTTCTTATTTAAAGCAATACATTATACTTACTTTTTTGTAGAATGGCCGTCTCATTTTCGTCTAAGGATAAAGGATTGGCATTGTTTTTGGTATAATATCCGATGAAAAGCCCACCGAGACCTACGGCTGTTGCTCCAGCTAATCACAAATTAACGATGTATGAAAGGGTGTTCATAGTCATCGTACTACTTACCGAATCTAGCATTCTTTCCTAGAGATTTAACTGATACTCTTTTTCGAATAGAATAAAATAAAAGTGGGATTTTTTTTATTTTAACCCAAGAAATTGACATGTATTTGCTTAAAAAATATATCCAGCGAGCGATAAAAGAAATAGATTACACAATTTAGAACGCATGTAATGAATCTTTCGCATTATAACAATAAGGCGGGAATATCAAATAAATTCCAAAAAGAAATATTACGAATATTTTTACACTAATAATATAATTGAAGATAGTAGAATGTAAAAGATTTATCATATTCTATTTTCTTAATCAGAAAATTACATCTGTCCATATATTTTCTTTCTATGATCAGAAAGAAAATTGCATTCATTTCTGTCCTGCTTTTCGCAACGACGCAGAGAAATTGGAATTTAAAATTTGCGAAACGTAATAAAGGAAATCACCATGTTGATAATAATACTGTTAATAATAAACTTACAATATAAACTTGCAGCTGCAGGATCTCCGACCGAGTTAGTGAGAGTATTCCGTAATAAATCAATTGTAAAAGGACTTTTAGTATTTAATTTTCAGGAATACAAATTCAGATCCCATGTACGGTCAGACAACTGTTTGGAATATAAGAGTATTCAATGATTTCAACACAATTTGTAATCAAACTCTTAGATGGTCAGTAAGAACGATGAATATAGAGCTAAGTTCATTAATAGAATTTCAATTAACGTGGAGGTCTCACAAAAGGGAAATTAGATTTTACGACATTTTTTACTCCAGATGTGGCCCTAAGAGACCAGCTTCCAATTTAAGAGTTATTGAGGAAGCGAATATTAAATTAGAAGATTCTAATTCAGATCCTGCAGGCTTAAGAGTAGGAAATACTATTAAATCACCTGTTGTTTACGTTATAATAGACGACCACGAAGAGTTAAATTTGTTAAATAAATTTAGGAGAATACGATTTACTGGAACAGAATTAATAGACTTTCGTGTTGAAGATAACGCAGAAGCAGAATCGAAAATGGCTGAATTTTTAATTAAACAGTTAAACGTGGAATGGCGTCATATTCTATTTCAGAGATGTCGTCATGCTTTTCTCATAGACGTCTATGAGGCGTTGAAAAGGCGACTGGGAAATCGTTTAAAATTTGTTTTTCACTTTATATGTAGTCCAGGAATGAGTCTTATCTACGAACAGGATTTCGAAGAAATGAAAATTTTCGCTTCCTGTTGCAAGGCTAATAGAGAGAATTTTCAAACTTCCAGTTTGTGTGTTATACCAAGAATGTATGTTGCTAGTAAATATCAAACATTACCCGGTTTTAACTATAACAAAATTGAATGCTCTCTAAACCCTTTTGTTCCTGGGCCAGATTATATTTAGACAGTAGAGACTTCATTTAATACAGTTATATAGAAGAGATGATAGATACGATTTTCCCTTTTATAGATTTATTACAGTTCCAATTGACAGCAGCTCACTCCCTCTGAATTTTTCCCCCACAGCAATCCATCATCTAGGAAAATTTTGATTAAGTTCTTATCAGCTCATCATATCGAAACTTTATCAACTCCTTTTTTGTGGAGCATCTCTTGTGTTTGTATTCAATTTATATCTTTCTCCTTTTCTCGCGCTTTCTATAATTTTGCAAGTTTATTCTTTGCCAAGCCATTTACTAGTGAAAAAGCCATTACAGCAAAAATTGCCTTAATGGTATTTAATTCATAGTAATTACATAGTAAATAAGAAAAGGAGCTTTTATTCATATACATAAAATGTTTAATTGGTAACTTATTGTAAGCTGATCCTCTAACGCCTTCCCTTTCTATTATATCTCGTAAACTAGGCTGATGGGAAAGCGTTAAGAGGATGAAAAGGTCAAAGGTTATCGGCAGAAAGGTTAAATACGTGTGGAAACAAAAAGCTATATTAAATATAGGCTGTTTCTATTTACTCGTGTCAGTAAGTCGCAAAGCAATCTGTTAGGCCCAGCTCCTGTAGATATGAGTTATTAATGAAATATTTACAGAAAGTATAGACAGAGAAGTGGAAAGTGTGTTTGTAAACAGTGAGATTATTCCTTTATCCAAAGGTTTTTAACTAGGATAAAACTGACAAGACAAGGATAAATTTAATTTACATTTTCCACTCTGTAACTAAAAGCCTTAGGAGCAGCCGTTGAAAAACGTAAAAATCTATACGTAAAGTAATATATTTCATTCAGCGCTATCTCAATTAGTAGCCTTAAATAGGAATAATAATCTCATTGTATCTATCGTATTTCTATTTTATCTATTTGTCTAATATACGCACATTTTCAATTTGAATCCGGTTGATTTTGTACTTATCTTACAATATTATTCATGCATTGTACTCTCAACTGACTAAGCTAAAGGTGTTGATGTTATGATATTAAACATTTTTTGAAAGTTTTTTTCTTCAAATAGTAGAATTGCAACTATTTCTTCTTATTTTGGTATTATTTCTTTGACTTTTATTTATTGCTTAAAATTATATGATTTTTATAAACTTTATGGCTCTTATAGTTTTATGTCCTTAGCTTAATAGCGTAAAGTAGATGTTTTATAGACGTATAGTTAGACCTATAATATAGAATTAAACTTTCTGCATGTGTTAGAATTATTTAGTACTTATTATATGGTTTTATGAGGATATAATACGAATTCTTTCATTCGGCTACGAGACTATCGTGCCGACATCTCGTAAAGTCTCGTTGCACCTCGGCCGCCATGTTATTTTGATTCATGCCTAAACAACTGAAAGAAATGTGATTTTACTGAAACTGTTAGCTAAGTTCGTTCGATTATCAACCCAAGGTCAGTTGTATTTTTATACGCATGCATGTTTCTTGTTTCAGGAAACTCTTTCTAACTGGAAGAGCTTATTCCGTGGGTGTGTCATCGTCTACTAGTAACTTCCTTATATTTATATTCTAAATATTAACATCCCAAACATAAAAGTTAAATTCGATAGTAAGAAGGTGCATGTAATCGAATTGAATTGGCTTCCCGAATTTTTTACTTGCTTGTGATTTTCCGGCTGCAGGAATCAGTAATCACTTCCTAATTCAAAAATCAATTGATCGGGTTGTTCTTTTCTTTCCTAGATCTAAAGAATGCCGCTAATCAAACGCACGGTAGAACCAGTTCATTTAAGTAGAGGTGCCGCCGTTGCCGGAACACCAAATGAACTTGAATGCGTAACAAATCATACCCTGTCCAACGTAATCAGGCAACTGAGTTCCTTGAGCAACCATGCCCAAGATATTTTCTCCGAACTTACCGAAGAGGTTACAACGATCTTTGATAGGACAAGAGTCCTATCTGACAGGGTAGATCAGCTTAGTAAAAAGGTCAGGCAGTTGGATTCTTCAGGCGAGGAGGGTAATTAATCAAATGCAATAATTACTTCGTTTGCACTCTGTGTTATATTTACACAATGCAGTGTCGTTACAAGATATCAATACGAAAAAATCTTTTAGAAGTGCCGTGGTAAAGGATCAACAGATTATGAGCGTTAATACTCGACCAACCGCGTTAATTTCAACTTACGAACTGTGCGAGGCACCTCCACCATTGAATAAATTAAACAAGTTTAGGGAGGATGGAAAGGATTCATTGAAATTTTACACTGATACAACTTATTTCTTTGAGCTTTGGCAACAAAATATGTTGAAGAGTACAGAAGAAGCTCAAAAGGACGGTAAACGTAAAAGAAGACACCGTCCTAAAAAGTCGAACAAAGAAATTCGAATTATGGATGAAAATCGGGAAATTTATGCTCAGCAAAAGCATGGTAAGGAATTCGCCTCTCAAAAGCAAAAAGAGAGGATGCAAGGCTTCGGGCATTCCGCTGAAGTTGTCGATAGAAAAGTTGAAACTGGAAAAGTTCATAATGGATACACTCAAAACGAAATTAACGAAAGAAAGCCGTCTCCTGCTCAAACGCGCAGTACAAAAGCTCGACCTCATCAGCCTCCGCCAGCTCCGCCGCCAACCAAGGAGCCAACGGTTTCGATTCCAATTCCACCAACAGATGAAATCCCGGTGTCAAATGATTTTCCGCCTCTTCCACCACCACCTTTGCCGGAACCGCTGGAAGATGATTTTTTACCCGCTCCTCCTTCACCTATAAGCTCTCTTCCCTCTTCTCCAAGAAATTTTGGAGAACCTCCTCCACCTCCTATGGAAGGATATGGAGCAATACCTACTCCACCTCCACCTCCTGCAGGTTAGATAGTAAAATAGCGTATTTTTACTCTGATTTAAAAACTAAAATTATTTTTGATAGATTTCAAAGCGACCGTAGATGGGTCTGGTCCTTTGTCTCTTGCTGATGCAATACGAAATAAACAATTAAAGAAAGTTGAAGTGGAACCCCAGGCTCCAAAGGAAACAGACGCTCGGTCTGATCTTCTTGAAGCTATTAGGACTGGTATTACATTACGAAAAGTTGAGAAGACCGAGGAAGCCGCCCGAAAGAAAACAAATTTTAACGATGTTCAGGCAATTATGGACTTAGCCTTTAATGTAAGAAGGAAAGCTGTTGAAGGAGAGGATGATAGTAGCGAAGAAGATGATGAATGTGATGATGATGATTGGAACGATAGCGAAGCTTAGGTGCTAAATTGGCAAACACCGCTGTACGTTTAAACGCTAGATTTTGCATGATAATGTTTTTTTATGACGATCTAGTCATTATTATATTCATATATATACATTCAAATTATTTTTTTGTTCGAAAAAAATATTAGCAGATTTCGCTTTTTATTTCAATTTTTACATTCGGAAATTACCGTTTTGTAAATAACTTATGCAATCTAGAACGCTTAATAAAATTTATTACATATTTCGTATTATTTTATTTTTAAATAAACCATAATCCACTCAAGCAAAATAAAATGAAGATATAGTTATTTTCGAATAGATTTTATTTTCGATTCAATTTCAGCGGCATTATCTTGTAAAATTTTTGTATTATCCGCCATTGTTGTTTTTAACTGTTTAGAAAAGAATGTCTAAATTATCAAGTAAAATTTTTTTGAAAAAATTTTTACCTCCTTTAGGTCGTCGGTATGAGATTGTAATAAATTAGCTATTTGACCTTGGGAATTTTCCAATTGAGTTAAGGCAGTGTTGAATTCTAGAGCTAAGAAGGATTATTTGATTAAAGAATTTGACTGATTATTAGATTATAATTTAAGTATTATTTACCATGTTGATGTAATTCATTCAAAGAAGACAATCTATCAACTAAAAGGGGAAGACCGTCAACGACATTTTCATACTTTTCGAGAAGGGTCTTAACTTCGTCAACTTTGGCTAATTTCTCTGCTTCGATATTTTCAGGACCCTAGAAAAAATATAACAGTTAGATTGCTGATTGTTTTAGAAGTTTCAGAGCATAAGTTATGGAGCGCACTTGTTCTTTTAATTGATTCAACATGAATGAGACAGATTGAAGACGAGCATCAACAGCATCTATGGTATTTGGCTGTAGTAGGGAGATTTGAGAAGCTAGATACTGACAACTTTCAGTTAATGATTTCCCTGAAAGCTGAGAAGCCAGAATTTTCTGGAAACGATATTTTAACATTGAAATTTGAAATAAGAATATTGAAAAGACTTTACCGATGATTGTTGATTATATCCTATAACTTTTTCCAATTTATCCAATCGTTGCTCCAGTTCAACTACCTGTTAAATAAATGAAAGAAAATTTTAATATATATTTCCTCTTTCATTTAAGCCAATTGATAACTCGTACTTTAGACAAGTTTGAAAATTTATCTTGTTCGGGTCTTGCCACTAGCTGATAGGTCACAAAATTATCTTGAGAGCCTTCATCCTTTTCTTCTTTTTTCGATGAAACCGACTTGAACGCTTCAATTTCATTCATCAAACGACTGCAAGACATAGCCTAAGTAATTAATCTTTCTAATATAACTTAGGTATTTTACTTATGTAATGCTCCTGTAGGATCTTCGAGAGCAATATTCTCTCCATCTCCCAGTAAGTCATCCAATTTCAATTGGCCTAGTTGCTTTTGAAGTTTATCTGCACCATTTACAATTTTATCCATTTCTGGTAAGGCGTCACTTTCGGCCTCTTTCTATAAAATAAAATTAGTGGAGAATGTAGTGATTTTCATCTAACATAAAATTAAAAATTTGAACCTGAGCTTTTACCAAGTCCTCGCTCAAAACTTGAATTTCATGTTGCAATCGTTGAAGTTTTTGTTTAGGTGTTTCCTGTTTACCTTCCGCCTCCTATTTTCAAATTTATTTTATACTTATTACCAGTTGCAAAATGTGTACTTACAATTTCATAAACATTAAAAGAGGCATAACCAGTTCTTCTGAAATGACTAATGCGATCTGAGAAGTCTGTATAACAAAAAATCATTATGGAAAATTCTGACTTGAGGATTTTTGATCATCTACCAATCTCTGGTGCATCTAACCCTTTTCCTTTGAATTTGTCATAACCTTCTTTTACACTAGCATCAATATTTTCGATACTTTCGCTATCATCAGGCTGTCGAATGAAGATAATATTCTAATTAGGGAAAAATCGCTAAAATCAATAATGAAAACACCACCTGTGTCAGTTGACTCTGATCATCTTCGGGAAGATCGCTTGTTTCATACACACTTGGAGAATTAAAATCCTACAACAATGCATTAAATACTTATGTATAAAATAAATGAAGATTTAAAGTTGACAAGTTCCAAATAAGGAAAAAATCTTACAATTCCCGGCATATTATCAAACTTCTTATCCGCCATTTTTGTTTTTGTCACCATCCGATTCCATCAGCAATGTAGTAGAAAAACCAGATAGAAATTTTACAGTAATTTAAGAATAAATTGTAAAAATATAAATAGAATTCTGAATAATTACGAAAAGAACAATTAATCACGTGACTATTTAGTGTTCCGAGTTAGGCAACACATTTAAAATACATATATTTCTATATATATTTCTATATATATAGTGATCATTTTAAAATGAACTCTTTTAAACAAGGAGTCACTGTAATGCTGAGAAATAGTTTTAAAATATATCCACGTATGAAAACACCTGTTTTATTTAATGTAAAATGCAATTTTTTTGGATCATGGTAAGAATTAGATGACTTTTAGAACATAAATCTTTTTAAAATATAGCTAATAATTATTATTTCTTAGCAAATTGATGACAGATAGTAAGGAAAGTCATATTGATGCTCAACAATGGAGATACTTAGACGAAATGTGTATCGTAATTGATGAAAAAGACAAGAATATAGGAAAAGCTTCGAAAAGAGAGTGCCATAAATTTGATAATATAGAAAAAGGATTACTACATAGGGCATTTAGTGTTATTTTATTTAATTCCTCAGGAGAATTGCTTCTTCAACAAAGATCAGAAAAAAAGATTACTTATCCAGGTTTGAAATGCTTGTGACATAGGGATTCATTTAATACCACTAACTTTAAATCCTATAGGTTACTGGACAAATAGTTGCTGCAGTCACCCTTTAGCTACCAAGGAAGAAATGGAGGAAAATGATGAAATAGGGGTTAAAAGAGCAGCGAGGAGAAAATTAAATCACGAATTAGGAATTGCCGAGAGTCAAATTGATTTGAATAAATTTGAATACCTCACCAAAATTCATTATAAGGCTGACAACGGGCCAGAAAATTCGAAAGAATGGGGAGAACATGAAATAGATTATTGTCTTGTCTATAAAGGGGATGTAACGATTCGAATAAATAGGAATGAAGTGAAAAACATAGAATGGATTACGAGAAAACGTCTTGCAGAAATAATTGGTAGTGTTTATAAATTATTTCCTAAATTTCTATATAAAAATGCTTTTCCCTACAGAAGATTCCAATAAAAACAAAATGCTGGTCACTCCATGGTTTAAACTCATGGCAAAAATATTCATTAATGAATGGTGGGATAATTTAGAAGATCTCAGTAAATGTTATGATAAAGATACTATTCATAAGTTTGCATAACAAAACTGTGATATTGCTCAATACAAGTTCTAATATTGGTATGCGTGAGTTAGTAAAAGGGAATTTTATTATTATGCCTTTTCTCAATGCAAATATTGGCGATGCGTGTAGCATGTTTAGTTATAAGTTTGGAGTGAATTATTCATATCCTGTAAGGTTTATTATTATCGCCCTTTTAGATGGGTACTTTTAAATAATCTCTTAAAAATTATTTAGGTAAACTAATTCTAAAAATGTATTTAATAAGATGAAATATTAATAAACTAGACACAAATATGCTGCTGTTGCTAACTACTACTATTTATTAATATACAGCGCATTCTTTATTTTACATAATTTATACCTATTAAATACAAACAGCACCTTTTCTTCACGGGATATACTAATTATAAAAGCAGAATACTTAAAAAAAAAGAGAAACAATGAATGTAAGCACCAATACAAAAATGAAACTTGTTTCGCAATCCAGCCAATTGGGATACAGCACTAATTTTTAGCAAGACTAGTCTTTTTCGACTTGTCCTTCTTTGGTATTATCTCTTGAGGAGCACTCATATGATTTCTATACAATCTATTTGAAAGAAGGATATTTTTAAATAGCTAGTCAATTGTATCAAAATAAAACTTTTATCACCTGTTATAAGTTGCTCCTCTTAAGAAATCAAATATGTGAGTAAAATCTTTCGATATTTGTTCCATGATTGGTTTAATCCAGGGGTTTAGTTTACATCTAAATACCTGTTTTGGTCCAACTAAATCTAAGCCACCTGTTTTGTTTTTATTTTAAAAGTAACGAAAATTAATTGAAGGAGTTTATGTATTATTCTACCGATTTCGGGTGGTACAACAGTTAGTCGGTTGCACTGAATGTGTAATTCGTTTAGCCTTTGTAAGTCGCCAATTTCGGGCGGAAGTGATAATAGATCATTATCACGTAAAACAAGCTGAAGCGGATATTTAAATTTTATATTACCTTCATACTATTAAATAAAATACTTACTATTTCCAAATTGATTAATTTCCCTATATCAGAAGGGATTGTTTCAAAGTTATTATCACCCAAATACAAAATTCTTAGGGGTACTATTACAAGAAAAACATATATAGTTTAATATAAATATAGATTTATTATTCAATACTTAGGCCGAAAAAATTGTCGGGCAGTGAGCTTTCACTTAAATTATTGTATGTCAAATCCAACACTTCTAAGCTGTGGAAAAGGCCAAATGTTCCAGGTAATTTGTCCAACCGATTGCAACTAGATTTTATAAAGTATATAAATTATACTGCATATTTGTTAATTATGTAATATATGCTAAATAATTATTTATTACCTACCCAACATTAAGTTTTTTCAGTTTGTTTAAGCTGCTTAAAGATTCAGGAAGTGACTGTTTATATCAATGAATATAAATGTATAAAATATAAAAAATTCTTAAATGAACTCTTTTATCTTACAGAAAGTCGATTATCAAATAAATTTAAACTTTCTAAATTGACCAGTTGACATATTTCCTCCGGAAAAGCTAATTTTAGAAATTACACAATAAAGGTATATATATAATTTTATGCTTGATAAATACCAGTAATTTCATTGTGACATAAGTTTATCTTTGTTAGATGTATTAGCTGGACTAAAGACATAAATTATGGCATTTATAATCTAGTAGTATTATTAAGTGTAATTACTTACATAGCAGCGAATCTGAATTTAGCTTTTGAACCTTCTTGTTAGATAGATCGCAAGTTTTTCCCTTATCGTGTCTGAGATCCTCTAGATATCGTCGAATTTTAGACATATTTTGAGGAAGCTATAACAAATAGTTAGCGATAGTAAAAATCAGTGAACAGCGAAAACTGGTAGATTTTCAGAGAATATACAATCTGGAGCGATAGGGAGAATAGAAGACTGACGACAGCGCCACGAAACTAAAATTAGGCTGACGTTTTTTTTGCTGGAGGATCTAATATTAACATCGGTGATTATTGTAATTTGATTTTCTCTTTACAAGTTAGACACATTAAATTTACTGAATGATTTAGGGCATAAAATCTTTGATTACTTAATACCTGGTTGTCGTCTGCTAAAAAAATTTTTTTTTCTCCATTTTTGATCATTCAAATTCTCTGCTCAGACTCTAAAGAGTCAAAGCTGCATTAGTAATATCGAGAGCTTATTACTATGATTTAGAAATACGAAAGCAACAAAAAACAGATGTTAAGCGGCTAACAATAACATTTGAACTTCCGATATAAATTTATCGGTATCAGTTATTGATTTGGTTCTGTGTTCTTCTTATCAATAAAAGCTCAAAAAGCAACACTCAGTAATCGCAGGCTTCTATAATTCGAGAACTTTTATCGACTCTTAAACCTATTGCTTTAAATGAACAGGATTACTTGTGCATTTGTTTCTGGACTATAAATTGGTACTCCAGTGTTGGGTGCGGTTTGAAAAATTAAGAATTAATGATTGGAATGACAGTTCGTGCATGTTATCTTTTTGGTGTGATATTACTCATAGGGAGCTGCGTATGTATTATTTTTGATCAATTACTAAACGATTTTCACGATTTTTTTATAACCCTACAATTTTTCAGGTGTGTCAAGCGACAGGTACATATTTGTTATTTATGTAAAATTTTCTTATTTTAGCTCTCGGTTCATCATTCTAAAAGTTACACAAAATCATGCTTAATATAAGTAATCATTAGAAATTGAACATCAAATATTTTAGATAACAGCACCACTATTGTACCACCTATATCGGAAAGTACAGTTAATTCTGTAACAACTGAAAGTACGTCTAGCAGTCAACCTACTTCAACCTTAAATGAATCAAGCACATTTAGTAGTATATTTGCTTCAATATCAACTGAATCAACTAGTAAGTTTTGTAAGCTGGTTACCTGCTTATCTAATCTTTAAACATTTATTGCCTGATGGGTGTACGTTAAATTATTTTGGTATTTCCCTCATAAATTTTAGGTCAGCAGACTACATTATTAACTACCGAATATCCAAGTAAGAGTAAAAAATGCTTAGAGCTTTTAAAGACTTTTATCCATTCTTAACTGATACGATAACATCACTAATTATAATATGCATGATAACGCTTTTATATGTATAAATGCATGGTTGGTATACACAAGTACATCTACTGTATAAATTTATACAGTATATATATATATATATATATATTATATAATATTGCCTATTTTATATTTGTATTAAGTATTATTATATTTAACAAATTACTTGCACAATTAGCACATATGTTTGAATAATGCCTTATTTTCATATTTTCGCTTTTAGATATCATATTTAACTTATTTTTACCTTTAATTATAATGATTTAATAAGATTAATTTTTTTTTCAATAAAAATATGGTTTTTTTTTTCTTTGTAAAGGACACTTGCAAATTAATTTGACATCTATAACAGAAGATACTGCAGTGTTGGATGTATTAGTTGTAGATGATACAATTAATTCAAATTTACATATAAAGAATGAACTCAAAAACTTCGAAGAAATTTGCATATTTAATGCTACATTTTGCGAATGCAACGATACATTAGAATGCAGCGTCACAAGGACCCCGGTCGTGTTAGTCTTAAACTTGACAATAAGTAATCTATTACCGGGTACAGTTTACCAGTTTGCCGTTTTGCAAAATGGTCTCAATGCCTCAACACCTACAGCGTTAACTGGTAAATAATTTCACAAGTTTATTCATTTTCTACTTATGGATAATGTTACATTTATATTCTCTAAATGTTTTCTTAGATCCCATTGTGCCCGAGTACAATGTTACAGTTGACGAAACGACGCAAACAATAAATATTTCGTTCAGTGATGAAGTCAATCCAAAAGTTACTATGAAAATGGATTGTATACAGGAAACACTTGGAAAAACTTTCCAAGGAAAAATTCAAGGGACGGAAGGTTTTTGTGCAGATGTTCTGTTTGGTACATTATATAAAATCAGAGTGTCAGCAAATAGAACGCATGAAAGTGAAATTAAATCACAAACTGTTGAAACTCCTGGTGTGAAAACAAGTTTGTACTTTTCTATCTCCTATATTTGAGTTCCGTTTTCAGATAAATTATGATAAAAATCATCACTATTTTTTTTCTATTATAAAAGGACCATACAAAGTAGAAGAATTCAATGTAATTGAAGGAAGTGAATTTCTCAATTTTACTTGGAGGAATTCTGATAAAAATGTTGAAAATTTGAATTATTCACTCAAAATTGGCGAAAGCGAAAAAATAACTGAGAATAATTTTTTTCTTCTCGATAAAGCAGTACCCTGTAGAATATATACCGGAAACTTATCTAGTTTTGTCATCTTTGAAGATGGCAGACTGGAAAGCAATCAAGTTACTAAGTCTGGGCAACCACTTCTGCCAGATGACTTACCTGAAATAAAAATTTCAACAAATCCTTCTCAAACTTATGTAAATGGAGATTACGCTTGGAAAGATGAATGGAAGCAGTGCATTAAAAATACAAGTGCAACATATTCTTATAAAATATGCCTTAACGAATCCGAAATAGAAGCACCATTTGTCGTTGAAAATTCCTCATTTAATATTTCTGGACTTACGGAATTCAGAAATGTAACAATCAGAATTAAATTCGATTTAAAAGGCGATAAAAATGCTTCAGGAGTAAACATAACTAAAACTCAACAAGCTGGTAAGTATCGAATAAAATACCCTCTTTTATGAATAAAATATCCTATTTGTATAGCTTCTGGAAAGCCTGAAAATTTCACAGTAGATTCTCAGACTAGCACTTCATTCGTCTTAACTTGGAATCCCCCTAATCCATGCAATGTTAAAGGAAATATTATTAAATATCAAGTTTGTGATGAAGAAATATGGGATCTTTGGAAAAATCGCGAAGTACCAGGGTTTTGTTACTTCATAGAAGGATTGAGGTATGAGAAGAATGAGACACGACATTATCATCGATATAATATGTCTGTGAGAGCGATTCAAGACGATAGTATGCAGGGGTTAGAATCTAACATTAATTTAAATACTAAGGAAGGGGGTAAGTGTATTGTATTAACCTTAGTCGCAATTATAAATTGAAAGAAATTTATCCTTAGTTCCGTCTGGAGTTGGGAGTATACATGAGCTCAGCATAACAAATAACACTATCAGTATAAACTGGACAGAACCTGAAAAGCCTAACGGAAAGCTCTCTTATATTGTTAAGCATAGCGGTTTTGGATGTGGTGATAATGAATATAATAGTGTTAATATCACAGACACTAACTATATATTCACGGAATTGTCACCGTATCAAAAATATAATATTACTATTATACCCAAAACAACAAATCTTATAGGGAAAGAAACAACTAAAATAATTAGGACTTCAAAAGGAGGTAGAAAATTTAGCAGATTTTTTATGTTAATACAAAGTATTAAAAACGAAAATACGATAATTTTTTTAGCATCACTTCCTATCAGTAATTTGACACTCACTCAACAAGATCCTCCTGTTGCATCCGTTATTAAAACAGTCAATGTTTCGTGGATAAAGCCGAAGTGTCAGAGCGCACAATCAGATGATATAAGTTATATTATTACTACCAAACCAGAAAGTTAGTTTTCATTTCTCCAACCGTTTTATCGTATTCCAGAATAAGATGATTAAAAGCTATTTAAAACGTTTCTAACGATAAATTTACAATTTTAGCCGGAAAACCTATCCCCCCTGTCCAGCATTCTATCACTACTACCATCATTCCCGATTTAAAGCCATATACTAAATATATCGTTAAAGTTAAAGTTGCGGTGAAAGATGAATCAGATAGCTATCCTGAAGAGAAAGAAATCACAACCAAGGAAGCAGGTGAATTCAACATGATTCGAATATTTTTTTGATAGTTTTAACCAAATCCTATATTATCAAATTAGCACCAAAACGCTTGCAAGGAGTAGCAATACAATCTGTTGGGGAACAGAATTGCACTGATGTTAAACTCAGGGTAACGTGGAATAGGCTAAAAGATGAAGATATTCATGGAGAATTTAAAAGGATATTTATTTCCCTTTTAGATTCTAAGTTAAATGTAAAATGGTATTTTTTATAATGCACATCTTGACGTATTTTATTATTTATACAGATAATAGAGGATAAAGTGATTATCAATAAAGCAGAGACAAAGTATGATTTTACAAGGGAGCTGAAAGGACAGGAAAACTACACTGTTAAGGTTAGAGTTTAATATTCTGTGTTTTCCTATTTTATACATACTTATAAGTGTAATGTATGTTTTAGCATATCGTTGAAAATTCGCTTTTTAACAACTCCGGCAAACAATCCAAAGTCAGTCATTCATGCTGTAAGCTAAACTTTTAAGATCATTGAGTATATTTTGTTAAATTCATTTTTTTAATTCATTAAACAGTCCCACCCAGTGCTGAGAGTGGAGAAATATTTCTTCCTGGACAAACTATAACGACTGATACTGTTGAGCTATCTTTATTAAGAAATTTCTTTGAAAATTCAAAAAATGGGGTAATTGAGCACCGGGGTTTGTTGATATGTGATGCTGAGTACCCCACTAACAATAGTAATTATTCATTATCATACACAATGGATATTTATAACATTCTATTTTCTAAAACAGTTGCTCAATCCAATCTAAATAGAGAAACATTTAACCGAGCCGTTACAACTTATTATAGAGCTAATCAAGAATCAACTATACCTTTGTAAGTATAATTAATTGTTAAATTAAACTATTGATTACTTATTAATTAAATGACCTACGCAGATATCAAACAACTGGTGCGGATTTTGATAATATATTCAATCAACTTTCAAGTTTGTATCTACTTTCGCTCTTTTATCAGACAGGTAATTTAGAATTAATTAAACTTATAGGAAACCCCCAAGCTTCTTTCAAATATACTATTGGAAAAGAGAAATGTACCGACGATCCTGATGCACGGTGTAATGGTAAATTGAAATCGAATAGGAAATATAAGTAAGTTCATTATTCTTTACTTTGAGAGAATATCTTTTTTAGCAGAGGGATGAATAATTTTTTTTAAAGATATTACAAAAAAAATTATTCCCATCACCTCCAGGTGTTTTCTTTTCCTTTCTCCACCCTCTCTTTCTCTCCTATCTCCTCCATCTAGCATAGAATCTAGTGAAACTAGTAAAAAAATGTCGGTTCTAGATTCCTGCTACGATATCGTTATGTTCAATTTATTGTTTTTCTTTTATTTTTATTCCAATTGTTTGAAGTTTTTTTTAGCATGTTTTTTCCCCTTTTGTTTAGAATTTTGGCGTTTATAGCTACAAAGGCTGGATATTATGTAAGCCCTCATATTGCTATAGAAACTGGTAAGTTTTATAAGCTTTATTCTTAAGCAGAGTATACAATTTATAGCTATTTTTCATTTAAAGAAAATTATAAATTACCATTTAAATTATTAAAAATTTCCAACTTGTTTTTATCTTATTTTAACTTTAAGTTCAAAAGCCAGAAGGTAAATATAGTTTTAGCTGAAGTATAAGCTTATCTTTTTTATCCTTTATGGTTTTACACTATCTATTTTTATTTTTATATGTTAATATAACACTTTGTAAAAGGGATAATGATAATAGCGATAAAAATAACACCTTTGTTCTTAATTATAGTTTATTATTTTGTTGAAAATTTTCTCACTTTTATGTTGAAGAAATGCACTTTTTAGACTTCTTAGTTAATAAACAGCCTCTAATAATTGTTATATCACTAAACAAACAATTGCTATTAACTCTTTTTGATTTTATTGATATTTTTATCTAATTTCATAAGTATTTTCTCCGTTTACTCAATATAGCAGCAAAATCAAAAGCTGGAATAATAGCTGCAGGAGTTGTAGTGCCTCTAGTATTACTAGCTATTATAATAGTTGCGTTCATCTATTGGAAAAGAAGAGCTCCCTCACCGACAATACCTTCAACTTCAAGTGGAGGACCTCATATAAATCCATTGATGACAGATCCAATGACGTAATTATATTTATTTATTAAAATAACTGTTACTAACTAACAATATATGATTTCAAAGGACTTTTAGCTACTATAAGTACAGTATAACAACAGTTAGGATTGAATATCCTAAGATCTAAAGTCTTTTTCTTTATAGTTTACAAAAAACATACTCTATAAGGTATCATTCAAGTGATTAAATACAACATATCCAAACTATATATGTAGCTTATACAGGCATAAAAAGTATATAATATTGCTATTATGCTGCCTTTATTAAAGGCTTATTAGCGAATATGCCAAGTTGAATGGAAATCTTGTTATTAGTTTATAGTTATATACAGTATATTTATGCGCATTGAGTGTGAATGGGTGAAAATTTTCATCATATTTATCTTTTATTTAAAACTATTCTATAATATTCTTATCCATTAAAAAGAAAAGAAAAGAGTTAAGTTAATTGCTTGTGAAATATATATTTCTTTTTCTTCTTAATTAATATTCATAAAGCATGAAAAGATTATTCAGCATGAATCTCATTATAGACTTTATACATATTTTATTATTCTTTTGAATTTTTACAGAACTGGAAAGATTTCTTTGGATAAGTTCAGTGAGCATTGTAGAAATCATCATAAGGATTCAAATATGGGATTTTCGGAGGAGTATCAAGTAATATAAATAACAACAAATTCTTATTTATAATATCTTTATAAAATCCTCTATTGTCTTGTTTTAGTTTATCAGGGAAAGGAGTGAAAAAAGTGCCAATAAGCCTACAACTTCGTCAGAATTACCTGAAAATCGCACAAAAAATAGATATACAAACATTTCACCATGTAAACTTTTATATTGTTTTTGTTCTAGTTTCATTATTTATAATATTATTCATTTCTCTTTTTAGATGATCAAAGTAGAGTAAAATTAACTCCAGCTCAGGACGACGATAGCTCCGATTATATAAATGCTAACTACATTCCTGTAGATATTATTTTTTAATATATATCCTTAAGATATCGCTAACAAATTATTATCTTTGTAGGGTGTTATGGGACAAAGGGAATATATAGCAGCTCAGGGACCCCTACCCAGCACTAAGGATGATTTCTGGCGAATGATTTGGCAACAAGAAATTTATACAGTGGTTATGTTGACCGATTTAATAGAGAATAGAAGAATCAAATGCGAATCGTATTGGCCAACTCTTGAGGAGGAACTATTTTATGGAGATGTAAGAGTGAAAAATGATTCCGAGACAACATTTGATAATTATGTTCTAAGAATTTTAAGCGCCTCATTGGTTTGTAGAAAAAGTAGGAGACAATATTATTTATAATTTATCATTTTTTCTCAAATTAGGGTGAAACAACAAGGCGTATATATCATTTTAAATTCTCTAAATGGCCTGATTTTGGGTGCTTAGACGATCCTCAACAGCTAATCGATTTTATTAGGGAAGTAAGGTCGCATACTAGTGGTGTTCCTCAACATAAACCAAAACTTATACACTGCAGGTAAATATTTCGTTAATTACTTATAAACAAGTAAAGGTATTTAAATGATATTTTTCGTATGTAGCGCTGGCGTTGGCAGAACCGGAACATATATTGCAGTTGATCGTCTTCTACACGAGGTAGAAAATGGTCAACCAATAGATGTTTTCGGTACCGTATTAGAAATGAGAGATCATCGTTGCCATATGGTTCAGACAGAGGTTATAATTTGAATAAAAAATTGTTTTTTTTTAAGAATTATACTAAAGATATCGTAAATGATTTTTTTGCAAAACAGGACCAATATATCTTTGTTCACGATTGTCTAGATAAAGCGATTCAGGCAAGGTTGAAATCGCCTACGGCAACTCAACCGATCTACTGCAATATAGAAAATCCTGTACATCTTAACACAAACTCGGTGAGAACTATTTCATACGAAAACAGTGATAGAATAGCTAATACAGCTGTTTAGAAAGGGGAGCTAATTCGCCTTAACGATTTGGACGCACCCTAAAAAATATAACACTAGGAAAGGAAGTCAATGAAAAAACGTAAACACAAGCTAAATCACCCTGCAAAAAAAAAAACAAAGAAGTTTTTACGATTTATGATTTATTTTTTGTTTTTTTTTTTTTTAACGGCCTGATTGCGTTAATTATCTGTGATAAGAGAAACAAAAATATTCGTACCCATATTTATAGTATATATATATATATGAACATATATATATATATATATATATGTTTTATTTATGTAGACTAATGTTTATGAAAAAGTCAATTTTGGTAAAAATTTTTTTCCATTTGTTTTTATTAGATTTATCTATGATGTAATCAAAATTTTTAGTAATAGAGATCAATTTATACATACAGTATATACACTTTATATATATATACTGTATATATATATATTATATATATTATCTCAACGGAGAAGTAAAAAAAAAACAAGAAAACCAAGTTTTTATACAACAGATTCCATAATAAAAGGAAATAGATTGTATGTGTGAGACAGAAAGAGAGTGGATACTATATTTTTTATTTGACAAAGAAAGGAAGGCAAAAATGTTTTTTTTTTATTTTTTTTATTGATTTTTTTTTTCAGAGATGAATTTTATTAATAAAGCAAAAATTATAATTTTTATTGTCATAATTTATGTTTCATTGATTTTAACTTTTGTTTCTCTTAATGTTAAGAAAAAGAAAGAAAAATCAAGCTTCGAGTTTAACTGATGAAATTCTTGGTTGTAGAATTTTTTCTTTCTTCTCTTCGTACTTTTTTGGAGGATGTAATTTTTTTAGACTTTCAGCCATTGCCGGTAATCTTGAAAAGTAATTTCTAGCGATTGTATGCCTTTGATGAACTTTATGCATCATAGCTTTTCCGTAGGCTTCTTCTAGTCTTTCTAATTTTTCGTGAGCAGCAGCCTCTTCTTTAGTTAATAATACACAATTCCACGGTGACCAGTGCTCATCCCTTATCCATCTAACTAATACAAGATCGTACAAATCATCCCAGGCCGATAATGCCGATTGTCCATTCCAGATATTTTCTACCAAGTATCTTAAATCGGAATCCTGTAGTAGGAATGCAATTTGAGAACCATCTTTAAAGGCCTCTTCCGCCTTTCGAAGGGATGATAGCATGCTTCTGTAATAGGAATAATCGTGCCTTGTTCTAGAAACGTTATCGGTGGCTCTACACCTTCGACAAGAGCCCATCGACGCTTTAGAGGATAATGGAAATTCGGTGGACGGTAAGTATTGTTTGCAACTCGGACAGAAGAAAACGTTTCCTCGAAGTGTAGAAGCATCCTGGGGAACTTTGAGGTGTCTGGCAATTTCTGGATTGAAAGTTGGAGTTTTGATGTATTGAAGGAAAAGGGTGCTAATTCTCTTTCTTAGCCCTTCTAAATTTGATTCTTTGACACCTCTCATTAATAAATCAGCTTCTCTGTCGATAAGTTCGACAATTTCTCTAGTCAATTTACAATCGTGCTCTTTTACGGTATGTTTAAGTGTCAACAAAACGTCCAATCTTTCATCCTGGGTTAGATATCTCATTGTTACGCTGTTGTAAATATCCCTAAGCTCTTGAGCTCTCAGCGTATAAGGTGTATCCATCTCGGTTACTTGACCATCCGGTCCTTTCCATTTCTTAGGCGATGACGCTTTTTCTAATAAGTTTTGAATAATTTCCTCTCTTTTAGCAATATCAGAGCTTAGTTTATGACGTCCAACTGATGTAATTAACTCGGTTTGCTGTTCCATAAGCTGGCATAAAGCAGCTTTTCGTTCAGCTCCTTCTAACGTTGCATTGATTTTCTCAACTTCCTCTTGACGCCATTCTTTCAATTAGCAAACACAATTAATTATGTATAAAACTGATATTAAATAAATTAAACTCACTTTCGAGAGCGTGATATAATAAATCGAAATCTTGTTTTGATTTTGGATTCATTCTTCTCTCGTACTCTCTCTTTACCCTGTCCTCCTTCTCCTTTTTCTTTTTCAACTCTTCCTTTCTTTCCCATTCTAGCCGTTTTTCCTTATCATCTTTCACTCTTTCAACATATCGTTTGGCTAACCAACGTCTATAATACTTTTGAATTAGAATGACTTTGTTCAATCGTTTCTCATGGAATTCATCAGCGGTTGTATATTTGCCAGGAGAAACCAATTTATCTTTAGAACTCAACGAATAGCAACCAACTTTTGTCATTTGAGTAGAAGTTGTATTGTTTGTTTGTTGAACCTGATGTCGAAATTGATTTGTTTGCGTATCTCTACAAAACCTTTCGACCGGATGAGGAGGGCGGGGTTTTGGTATCGTTTGACTGGTTGCGTTATGATATTCAACACCAGTTGTCTTATGACGAAATCCACCAAGATAAGCCTTCTTTATTGAATTTCTTTCAATTTCAACCACAACATCTTTCGTTTCTCCATTTTCTATGGTAAAACAAACAATTGAATAATTAACAGCTATATTACAAACAACTATGAAATTACCTCTTTGAACGCGAACAGTTAGAATGTCTGGCATTTGATATTCCTCCTGTTTCTTTAAATCTTTTAGAGGAGCGTTCAGAGGATCTGCTGATGCTATTTCGATTTGTACTATCCCATTAGGCTCTACAAGCTCTCCTAATGTAATACCATCTTTCAATGAATCCGCACCATATGATAACAGTATCACAGAAGAGGGAATTCTCAACTCTTTAGCAAACTCAGTCTTGATATTGCTTATAGTCTGAGCTAATCGACAACGCTTTGTTGATACCTGTTATGATATTGGAATTGTTATAAAATTCTCCCAGATAACTAATTCATGATCAAAGACTCACCTGGCCACTGGGCATTAATAAAAACTTGACAGTTGCCGTAAGATTCCCTTCCGATGTAGACTCATCCCCAGGTGGGGCTACTGTTGCGACGACATCAACTCTTGGAGATATTTTTTCATTCTCTTTATCATTTGCTTCTTCAGGTTTAGCGTCTGCTTCTACATCTTCTGCTCGATCAGTCATTGGTTCTTTTTCACCTTCTGATGGTTTAGGTACGTCACCTTGCTGTTCGCTGTCATCAGTTGTCTTTCCTTCTGCAGGTTTATCTGCTTCAACTGTCTTTTCATCTTCCTTGGGTTCTTCAGCAGTTTCTTCTACTTTAGGTTCTTCTCCGGCGTTCTCAGCCTTTGATTCTTCTGTGGTTTCCTCAGTTTTAGGTTCGCCCGTTGCTTCTTCAGTTTTCGGCTGTTCCGTGCCTTCTTCAACTTTAGCTTCTTCTGTGGCCTCTGCTTTAGGCTTTGCCTCAGGTTCTTCAGTAGACTCTTCAACTTTAGGTTCTTCAGTAGACTCTTCAATTTTAGGTTCTTCAGAAGAGGCTTCAACTTTAGGCTCTTCGGTAGATTCTTCAGCTTTAGGTTCTTCATTAGACTCTTCAACTTTAGGTTCTTCAGAAGACGCTTCAACTTTAGGCTCTTCGGTAGATTCTTCAGCTTTAGGTTCTTCGGTAGACTCTTCAATTTTAGGTTCTTCAGAAGATGCTTCAACTTTAGGCTCTTCAGTAGATTCTTCAGCTTTAGGTTCTGCTTCCACGCCGTCAGCCTTGGACTCATCTTTAGATTCTTCCTCCTGTTTAGCTGCTTCAGTTTCTTCTTCTTTAGAACCTTCTGGCTCTGGCCTTTCAGAAATATCATCCTTATTTTCTACCACAACCTCTTCCTCCTTTTTATCTTCACCTTCTTTCAATGTAACCTCTTCAGGTTTCTTACTCTCAGCCGGGTCAGATTGAACTTGAGAATCAGATTTTTCTCTTACTTCACCGCTGTCATCGGTTTCCTTTGTTTCTTTATTCTCTTTTTCATCATCGGGATGGCTTTCATTTGGAGCATCTTCTTGATTCTCGTTTTTCTTATCCTCTTCGTTGGTCTCTTTGTCTGCCTCTCCTGGCGCGTCCTCAGCAGTATTATCATCTTTTGGACCGTCATCAGGTTTATCATCTTGTTCCTGAATTTTTACAGCTGCAGAGTCAGCTTCTTCTTCCTTTTTTTCACCGTTTTCTGCATGTTCTTCAGTTGCTTCTGGAGGATTAGTTTCTGTTGCTTTAGAAATAGTTCCTTCACGATCTAGTATCTCCTCTTTTTCTGAATCCGCCATAACAAACTATTCAGTACACGTGAAAGATATAATTTCCTTTGTACTTTTAGATTATCATGGAATATTTTTTCGCCAGTTCTGTCAATCTATCCGATAATTGTTTTAAAAGTCTTATGTTATTTCCAGGCGTCAAGGTTACGAGTAGAAGTAAAGCGATCGACGATTGGTTGAAAAGTAGCCAACCAATAGTTGATCGAATCACATGAACTTTTCTGTGGCATGGCGCGATTTGCTTAGCAACGTGATTTTTCGCTTAAATAAAATTATTTTTCAACAAATTCCGAATTGTTAATAGAATTATTTTATTGGAAAGTATTAAACAAAATGTTTTCTTCCATCAACAATTAGTTCGGTTGATATATAGAGAAAATTAAAGGACTATTCTTAATTACTTTGGTGTTATCACTCATTTTGCATTGTTGATAAGGATTAGACTTCTAACATTTAAAAATGTCACTGTCTAACCCGCTTAAACGAACTGATGCTAGTGGAAAACCGATCTTGCCACCAATAACCAAACCAAAAATAGATAAAGAGAAATATGATGGCCACAAACTACTTAGTTACAGATTGGCAAATGAACAGCAGAAAGTGTTGTCAAAGATTATGTCAGTATAAATGGATTAATTTAATTATAAAAAGCTAAATTTCATATAATAAAATATACATTTATAGGTACGAAGAAGCTAAAAAAGCTGCTAATAAGACTGCAGATGCCATTGAAGTAATGCCAGATAAGGAAAAAGAACCAGATTTTCCTTCAGAGGTATATATTCAATTTAAATTAATATCAAATGTATTTAACGTAAACTTTAAAACTGTTATTAATAAGTGAATTAAGATTAAAGTAATAATTTTAATAGTATGGTCCCAACAAATCAAAGAGAGTGAGTAAAAAATCTCTCACACAATGTTGTAAAAAGAAAGCAAAATACAAACAATCTGTGGTTTTCTCTTTTTATAAATGTTTATATGTTTCTATATATATATATGATTTTGTATGCGTGTGCGTGTGTGTGTGCGTGTGTGTGTATATATACATATATATATATATATATATATATATATATATGTGTGTGTATTCTTTCATAAACTTCCTCTAATTCACTCAAAAATGTTGTATTTGTAAAAACAAAAACGTTTGTAAATTTGTGAACAGATGATGAGTCAAGATCGAAGGATAAGGGTAAGATGAAGACTTTGAAATTGATTTTATTGGTTTCTTTCATTTTTTTTAATTTATTTAATTTTGCTCTTAGCTTTTAGTTCCTTTCTACTATTATTGGTGTGTCTTCCTTCCAGAATAATATATTATTAATCAATACTAATCATATTTTCCCTAGGTTGAATGATTATTAACCAAAAACAACAAGCTATATTTCTTTATAATCTATCTATTCATTCTTTTCCTTCCGTTCCTGATAATAAATATTAATTATTAATCATAAGCGTGTCCTGCCTATTAGTTTAACATGACCTTAATTTAACCTACAAACATTATTTATATATCCATTCCCCTGTTTGTCAATACAGTTAAACTATCAATTTTTGAAAAAATGCGTTGAAGCTGCACCAGTTGTACCTATGCAGAAGGAATGGTTTGATAATATCCTAAGTTTGATACCAAACAACCTAAAGGTAACAATCATCAATAGATATGGTTTTCTAATTGTTTTCCTTGCATTTTAAGCTTAAATCAATTGATTAATTTTGTTTTACAGACCTTTAAAATTCGAGTAATATATGAATATTTATAAGCTTCCTTAAATCGAATTAAATATGAATTTGTATATTTAAATTAAGCTTAATTGATTATTAAAATTAATTTGCCTTTATGATATTGCGTATGATTTATATTTAATTATTATTTTAATGTAATTGAAAGATGTTTTGTCAAATTAACATGGAAATTTAATTTCAGGGAGGAGCTCAACAATATATTCGACAAGTGTTCGATGAGGTTAAGGAAGATTATGAACGTAGTATGAGGCGATCTAATGGTATTTTTTACTTATTCACTTACGTTAACCTAGTATTTTTTTTATAAACCATGCTCACTTTCTACAGTGCAAATGAACCTTGTTAGACCACCTGTAAGAGGATTGGAAGAAGACGATAATCAGCCGATTGATGAGGAAGCTATCGGTCTTGATTTCTCTTCTAAATGGCACAAAGCATTCGTGGAGCATAAAAATCAGATCGCATCGAATTTGCATATACTTCATCCGTCAATGCAGAAAGTATTGCACAAATGTGAAAGCATTCTTGGTCCATTGTTGGTTGTTGATGGTTCTCAATTCAGAAGAGAAGGTCCAACTGACTTTGACGTATTGAGAAATTCCGTCTTACTGGAAGCGGAAAAAGTAGAAGAAAAATTAAATTCCACTTGGCATCCTGCTGTTGTTCATTTATTCGCTGATAAGAATAATTTCACTTCAGTGTCTTCTAATAAATTGGACAGTTTCTATAATTGCGTCACGTGTCTTATGTCCAATCAATTGAAAGGTTTATTAGAGAGATCAATAAGACAGTGGGTGAATCTATTTGATGAGACAAATAAAGAAAAATTACCTTTACTCCGAATGGAACTCATCTACGACGATAATCAAATGCAATTTTATCCAACCTATGATAGTCTAGAAGAGTTAATTCTCTTCGTACCTGAACAGATATCAAAAACTCTACAAAATATTAGTACTGTTCAAAGTTTCCTTTCCGGAAGTAATCCACAAATTGTAAACGCCACTGTCGCCGATCACATTTTGGATTGGGCTAAAAATAAGTTGAAAGAAGCTGTAAAACGAAATTTTGAAGAAGCTCAAGCCCATCTTGAATGGTTTGGTAAGTAAATTTTAATAGTTTTAATCATATGAATATTCATATTGTTAATTATATCCATCAAGTGAGTAAATATAATTGGTTGATAAACGGAGAAGCCGAATCGCAAATTACAAAATTCTTGGAAGAGGATCACGATTTTGAGGAATATTGCGAATATATCGATTCCTTTAGAGATGTTGCAAGACAGATATCTGTTTTACCAATGATTGAACACTACGATATGATCGAATTGGACTGCGAGGATTTGAAAAGAGGATTAGCCGAAGTGGCCAGAAATCATGCTAATCGTCTTCTCGAAAGAATGGCTACAGATCACAGAAATGAAAATTCAGAAATTTGTGCCGAATTCGATCATATCAAAGAGAGAGCACTCTCCGAAACGGAAAAAAGTGATGAATTGATGGATATGATATCTTTTATTGAGAATGCCAGAACGCTAGGCATGATCAAATTAAACGAAAGAATTAAAACTAGCTTTGAGCATCTACAATGGATGTTGGATGTTTACATATTTTCAGAAGAGGATATAGAATTGAACAAGACTACTATGCTCTGGCCAAAAAGAATTAATCCAATATTTGATCAAAATGATGAATTGGTTGAAAAGATGAAACAGGAAGGAGAGAAACAATTAGTAGAAAGAAGGGAGAAATTAATATTCGAGCTAAACAAATTGAAACAGAGAGTAGAGGAATTAGACGATTGTGGTGAATTGGATATGATGCAAACATACATGCAAGAGATAAGACAAACTCAAAAGAAGCTTACCGAAGCTCAAAATGAAATTGAATGGACAAATACAGAGGAGAAACTGTATAAATTTCCAGTTAATCAATATCCACAAGTCGATGAAATTACAAGCGGTATTGAACCTTTTAAAAGGCTGTTTGCCGTTGTAGTCTCCTGGCAAAAGGCTGAAAGAAAATGGATGGATGGAAATTTTGGCGCTTTAGACGATGAACAAATCGCAAATGAACTAGATGATTATTGGAAAGATTTATACAAAGTTCAAAAAGTATTCAATCAAAAAGTAAAGAAATTACAAGCAGAAAAGGAAGAAAGAGATAGAGAAAGGAAAAAGAAAAGGCGTCAACAGAGCGAAGAAGATCAAGAAGAAGTAGCTGAAGAAGCCGAAATTCAACCACCAGCCGCCTTGTTAGCTTGTAATAAAGTTCAAGAAAAAATGAGAGAATTTAAAGAACACATTCCAGTTATTTCCATCATGTGTAATAAAGGATTACGAGAGCGTCATTGGAAACAAATGGAAGAACTTGCGAAATTCGAAATTCAACCAGATGCTGGAACATCTCTAAGGAAAATGTTAAAATTAGACATTGCACCATTCATGGAGCAATTTGAACAGATTTCCGGCGCAGCCACCAAAGAACATTCATTGGAGAAGACAATGTACAAAATGCAAGACGAATGGAATGATATCGTCTTTGGCTTAACGGTTTATCGCGATACGGGTGTTAACATTTTAGCATCCGTAGATGAAATACAAACTCTACTTGACGATCAAATTGTTAAAACTCAAACCATGCGAGGATCTCCTTTCATTAAACCGTTTGATAGGGAAATTAAGGCTTGGGAGGAGAAGTTAATTAGGATTCAAGACACAATAGACGAATGGCTGAAGGTAGACCCTATATTTTTCATTTAAAAAATGACTATTCTTACGGATATTTTCATTATAGGTCCAAGCTCAATGGCTTTATTTGGAGCCAATTTTCTCATCAGAAGATATTATGCAACAAATGCCAGAAGAAGGGCGTCTATTCACAACCGTCGATAGAAATTGGAAAGAAGTTATGAAGCATACGGGAAAAGACGCTCATGTTCTTGTCGCCGCCGGTCAGGCAGGCCTGTTAGAAAAACTACAAGATTCGAACGGTCTACTAGATAAGATAAACAAGGGTTTAAATGCCTATTTGGAAAAGAAGAGATTATTTTTCCCCAGATTCTTTTTCTTATCCAACGATGAAATGTTGGAAATCCTCTCCGAAACAAAAGATCCTACAAGAGTTCAACCTCATTTAAAGAAATGTTTCGAAGGTATCGGAAAACTAGAATTCGACAAACATTTAGATATTCTAGCTATGTTTAGTAGCGAAGGAGAGAAGGTAAATAACGCAGTAGCTTCATTTTGTCAACTTTATTAAATCTATAAATAAACACAGGTAAAACTTAGTCAAGTTATTTCAACATCTGAAGCTAGAGGTGCAGTTGAAAAATGGCTCCTTCAAGTTCAAGATGTTATGCTAATGAGCGTTCGAGATGTAATTGCGGCCTCTAGAGATGTAAGTATAAAAAAAGATTTAAACTAATGTTAAAAGAACTCTATACTGAATGTTTGAGACAACTTAAGGATTTACGAAAACGTCGTCGTAAATTAAGAAAGGTTTGATAAAAACTACCTAAAATCCCAATCCATTTTTTATAATAGCAATAACAAAAAAAATTACCAAAACAAAAATAAAACAATGCATGGCTCTCCTGTAGCATTTAACACAGTATACAGTATTTCACGCCCAAAAAAGAAATTTGCATATATTTGCATACTTTTATAAATTATGTAAAAATATGCAAATTTTTATATCGTTATTCAAAATGAGCAAAAAAAATGAACAAGCTAAAAACTGTTAATATATAATTCCTATTACCATTTTTTTTGTTTATTATGTACATATGTGTATATCTTTGATTTATTTTAGTAAATTTCCTCTCCTATAAATAGGCCTATGCTATTGAAGCTAGAGAAGAATGGGTTAAGGAATGGCCTGGCCAAGTTGTACTATGCGTATCCCAAATTTATTGGACATTGGAGGTTCACGACGCAATTAAAGGAGGAGCAAAAGGACTAAAGGAATTTTATCAAAGATTACAAGAACAATTGGGAAAGATAGTTGAATTAGTTAGAGGCAAATTAACAAAACAACAAAGAATTACTCTAGGAGCTCTTGTTGTAATTGATGTTCACGCAAGAGATGTTGTATTAGATTTGGCCGAAAAGGGCGTCTCGTCGGAGAATGATTTCCAATGGTTAGCTCAATTAAGGTTTGTAAATTGCCCTTTTTCTATCATTATTTTACATAGTTGATATCATTGAGTATTAATCTATATTTGTCATTAGATACTATTGGGAGGAGGAAGTTTGTAAAGTCAGAATTATAAACGCTACCGTTAAATATGCTAACGAATATTTGGGTAATAGTGGCCGTCTTGTTATTACACCGTTAACTGATAGATGCTATCGTACTTTGATGGGAGCCTTCCATTTGAATTTGAATGGAGCCCCTGAAGGTCCAGCTGGAACTGGAAAGACAGAAACGACCAAAGATTTAGCCAAGGCATTAGCTGTTCAATGTGTCGTATTTAACTGTTCGGATGGTTTAGATTACATTGCTATGGGTAAATTTTTCAAAGGTTTAGCCTCGTCGGGAGCTTGGGCTTGCTTTGATGAATTTAATAGAATTGAATTAGAAGTATTGTCTGTTGTCGCTCAGCAGATTCTGTGTATTATCAGAGCTGTTCAATCGCACGTAGACACGTTCAGTTTTGAAGGAACTGAATTAAACTTGAATCCAAATTGTTACGTCTGCATTACAATGAATCCTGGCTACGCTGGCCGATCAGAATTACCCGATAATCTCAAAGTTCTCTTTAGAACTGTCGCTATGATGGTACCCGACTATGCTATGATTGGAGAAATCAGTTTGTACAGTTTCGGCTTTATGGATGCCAGAAGTTTAGCGGTAAAAATTGTAACAACCTATAGGCTGTGCTCTGAACAGTTATCATCCCAATTTCACTACGATTATGGTATGAGAGCCGTTAAGGCCGTACTTTCCGCTGCAGGAAACTTGAAATTAAAATATCCGGATGAGAATGAAAATATCCTTCTCTTAAGATCTATAATGGATGTTAACCTTCCAAAATTCTTGGCTCACGATATACCTTTGTTCGAGGGAATAATATCTGATCTTTTCCCCGGTACTGACCTACCAAAAGCCGATTATTCAACTTTCCTAACAGCCGTTCAGAAAATATGCGACAAAAGAAATCTACAAGCAGTAGACTTTTTCAATGAAAAAATTATTCAAATGTACGAAATGATGATTGTAAGACACGGTTTCATGTTGGTTGGCGAGCCATTTGGTTCAAAGACCTCAGTAATTCATACAATGGCAGAAGCCATGACACTATTACACGAAGAAGGCAACGAAGAATATGAAAAGGTGATGTACAGAACAATAAATCCAAAAGCTATTACAATGGGACAACTGTACGGACAATTTGACGCAGTTTCACACGAGGTACGTAATAAAGTATTATCATATAAATATTCATAATTTAATCTATTCAAATTATTTCAATTTAAATCAATCTAATTATTAATATTAAACTCTTTTAATTATAAAAAAAACCGTGTGACATCACAATTTCACTAAAAAAAATCATTAAAAAATAATAGAGTTGGAGAGAGGTAATAATCAAAGCAATATTTGTTAATACAGCATGGTTTTATACTGTATATGCATTACTGTTTACATACGGTTTATATGAATATACAATATAAGCATATTATATAAAAGAATAACAATTAAACCAACAATATCCACATGGAATGATGCATGATACAAACATATTCAATAATGCTTCAACTGTATAATATTTAATGCATACTTATTGTTTCTTTCGAATTATTTGTCTTCTTTAATTTTTATCTTTCTTATATATTACTAATCTTCCATTATTATTTATATAAAACTATACTTATACATGTTCTCTTCTCTTTTTCATCTATACTATTCACGGATATTAATAGTGGTCGGATGGTATTACCGCCAATACTTTTAGAGAGTTTGCATCAACTGATACTCCGGATAGGAAGTGGGTTATATTCGATGGTCCAATTGATGCTGTTTGGATTGAAAATATGAATACCGTATTAGATGATAACAAGAAATTGTGTTTAATGAGCGGAGAAGTTATTCAAATGTCGTCTGTTATGAGTTTAATATTTGAGACTATGGATTTATCACAAGCTTCGGTAGGGTATCTTAATTTCACTATCTTATATATATATATTTCTATATGTATATTGTTATAAATAGCCTGCAACCGTATCGAGATGTGGTATGATTTATCTTGAGCCGGCTACCTTAGGCTGGAGACCTATTTTAAAATCTTGGATACGCTCTCTACACCCATCGATAACGAAGGATAATGCAGAATTATTAGAAGAGATATTCGAATGGCTCGTTGATCCCTGTCTAAACTTTTTGCGAAAGAATTGTAAAGAATACGTCCCGGCGTCGGTTAGTAACTTAGTAAGATCATTAATGTACTGGATAGAAATGTTGATGCACAATGCGGCCCATGCTGAAGACGTAGCCGAAAATAGACATTTAAGAACGTGGCTATTATCATCTATACTATTCTCAGTTCCATGGAGTTTAGGAGCCTTAACCGACGTTGATGGTAGAGAAAAGTTTGATAAATTCTTCAGAGAACTCTTAATGAATAAGAATGAAAATTTCCCAATTCCAAAATCAATTGGTAAGATTGAAGTAATGTTTCCCGAGAATGGCCTGGTTTATGATTTTGCATACGAGGTACAATTCTTCATAATCTTATTATATAAACAATATAATGAATTATTTTATAGCAAAAGGCCAGAGGCTCTTGGAAACATTGGAATGATTTTATAAAATCGTCAAATGTATCGTTAACGAAGAAATTACAAGAAATATTAGTTCCAACTATGGATACTGTTAGATATTCTTATTTAATGGATTTGGCTATTAAACATGAAAGACCAATTCTATTTGTTGGCCCTACTGGTACTGGAAAATCAGTCTATGTTCAACAAAAATTGACAAACGATCTACCTAAAGAGAAATACGTTCCTACTTTTGTGAACTTTTCCGCTCAAACTAGCGCTAATCAAACTCAATTTATCATTATGATTCGTCTAGATAAGAGAAGGAAAGGCTTTTTTGGACCATCCGTTGGAAAGAAAGCTATCATCTTTATCGACGATATGAATATGCCTGCAAAGGAAATTTATGGTGCACAACCTCCAATAGAACTTTTACGTCAATACTTTGATCATAAAAACTGGTACGATTTGAAGGATACTTCCAAAATAGTACTGCAAGATATTCAATTCCTTGCCGCTATGGGACCTCCAGGAGGTGGAAGAAATGATGTAACTCCAAGATTCTTACGCCACTTCAACATAGTTTCAATTAATCCATTCAACGACGACACTATGATCAGAATCTTTTCAACACTAATGACAACATACCTAAGGGTTTGTAAAAGCTACTGAGTGTCTTATCAATATATGATCACTTTGCCCCTTTAATAGAGTCAAGATTTTGCTCCAGACTTCTTTTCTGCCGGAAATGCTATTGTACACGCTACAATGGAGGTATACAAGGCAGCTATGTCTAATTTATTGCCAACACCGGCAAAAAGTCACTACGTATTTAACCTTAGAGATTTCAGGTAAAACTTTGCTAATTAACATTTAAAACTCTTCAAGAAACAATGAATATACTGTAATTCCTTTATAGTCGAGTTATCCTCGGTTGTTGCTTAATGAAAAAGGAACAAGTTGAAAATAAGAGAGTTTTCACAAGATTATTTGTTCATGAAGTAATGAGAGTGTTTTACGACCGTCTTATCGACGATAAGGATAGAAGTTGGCTATTTGAGTAAGATCAATGCAAAAATGTACATTATATACAGTATTATAATTAAAAATTTCCCATCTTCTCCCCACTTAGGATGATGAAAAATTTAATCAGGGACCATTTTAAAGATTCTTTTGATGTCGTTTTTGAGCATCTCGCTAACGAGGGAAACGGTGGAAAATTAATGGAAGAAGATTTAAGATCACTTATGTTTGGTGATTATATTAATCCGGATTTAGAACCGGAAGAGAGAGTTTATGAGGAAATAGTATCTATTGATCAATTTTATAATGTTGCCGAACAATGCCTCGATGAATATAATAATACTCATAAAACAAGGATGAATCTTGTTATTTTCCGATACGTATTAGAACATTTGAGCAGAGTTAGCAGAGTTCTCAGGATGCCTGGTGGTAATGCTCTTCTGGTCGGTGTAGGAGGCAGTGGTAGACAAAGTTTAACGAGATTGGCCGCCTCGATGTCTCAAATGAACCTATTCCAACCGGAAATTTCGAAAAACTATGGTAAAAACGAATGGCGCGAAGACTTAAAGGTAATCATCCCACTTGTAAACGCATTATACATGTGATGTATTAACAAACTATTCATATCTTTTAGAATCTATTAAAAATAACTGGTGGACAAGGCAAACCTACAGTTTTCCTTATCACTGACTCTCAGATTAAGGAAGAGAGTTTCCTCGAAGACATAGACAGTTTACTAAATACTGGAGAAGTTCCAAATCTTTTTGCTCCGGACGAAAAAGCTGAATTAATGGAGGTAAGATTCACTTAAAATTGATTACATTTTCGCTAATAGTATTAATTATATGATTATTTATTACTTAATTTTCTCCAATCAGAGCGTTAGAGTTGCAGCTCAAGCTCAGTCGCCGGATAAAAATGCTGATTTTACGCCTCTAGCTCTAATGGGTTTCTTTGTGAATAGGTGTAAATCAAATTTACACATAATTATTGCATTCAGTCCTATTGGAGACGCTTTCCGCAATCGTTTACGACAATATCCGTCCCTAATTAACTGTTGTACAATAGACTGGTTCCAAGCATGGCCGCAAGATGCTTTGGAAAGAGTTGCAAATAAATATCTGGAACACGCTGAAGTTGAAGACAAGGAGAAGGAAGAGTGTGTTTATATTTGCCAGTACTTTCACACGTCAGCTAGACTTCTATCTGAAAAGTTCTTATCAACTTTGGGCCGTCATAACTATGTAACTCCTACATCCTATTTGGAATTAATAGGGTCTTTCAAGAATTTATTGTCTGCAAAACAAGAAGAGACAATGAAAGCAAAGAGAAGATACGAAACTGGCTTAGAGAAATTAGCCTTCGCAGCATCTCAAGTGTCAAGTATGCAAAAGGAACTTGAAGCTTTACAACCTCAGCTAGTGTTATCCAAGGAAGAGAACATTAAAATTACCAAAACAATTGAAGAAGAAAAGATTGAAGTAGACGCAACAACTACAAGAGTTAGAGCTGATGAAGCAGCCGCTAATGAGCAAGCTGCAAATGCCAAGGCTCTGAAAGACGAATGTGAAGCCGATTTAGCTGAGGCTATCCCCGCTCTAGAATCCGCTCTGGACGCTCTAAACACATTAAAACCTAGTGACATCTCTATTGTAAAAACTATGAAGAATCCACCATCAGGTGTAAAATTGGTTATGCACGCTATTTGCGTTATGAAAGATGTTAGTCCAGAAAAAATCCAGGATCCTGCCGGAACTGGTAAAAAAATATTGGACTTCTGGGGTCCTTCAAAGAAGTTATTAGGTGATATGAAATTTTTGGACAGTCTTAAAGAGTATGATAAAGATAATATCCCTGCTCACATTATGGGTAAAATTAGAAAAGAATTCATTGTTAATCCTGAATTCGATCCCAGTAAAGTGGCCAAAGCTTCCTCAGCGGCTGAAGGTCTTTGTAAATGGATAACAGCTATGGAACTTTACGACCGTGTTGCTAAAGTTGTTGCTCCTAAGAAAATCAAATTAGCAGAAGCCGAAAGTACCCTTGACGCCACAATGTCTAAATTAAATGAAAAGAGAGCAGAACTTAGAGCAGGCGAAGAGAAATTAGCTAATCTAGCTACTCAATTGAAACAAAAAGAACAAGAAAAAGATGATTTGGAAGCCCAAGTTGATTTATGCGGAAAGAAACTAGAACGTGCCAAGAAACTCATTGGAGGCTTAGGTGGTGAAAAAGAAAGATGGACCCAAGCTGCCGCCAACCTTCAAGTAGTATATGATAATCTATTGGGTGATGTGCTTGTCTCTGCCGGAGTTATAGCTTACCTTGGGCCTTTTACCTCAGCATTTAGGTAGATAAACAATTCAAAATAGCTTATCAATTAATATTAATAACTGATTATATAATTTAGGGAAGAGTGTACTCAAGAATGGACAAAGCTATGCAAAGAAAAGAAAATACCCTGTTCAGAGCATTTCTCGTTGACAAAAACTCTTGGAGAACCTATTAAAATTCAAGCTTGGAATATCTCCGGTCTTCCAAGGGATGCTTTCTCTATCGATAACGGCGTAATTGTTGCAAACTCTAGACGTTGGCCCTTAATGATTGATCCTCAGGGCCAAGCCAATAAGTGGACAAAGAATATGGAAAAGGAAAATAAATTATCCGTTATAAAGGTAAAAGAGAGATTTTGTTCCTTTTATGAGATGATATTTCAACAATATCTTTCAGCTTACTGATTCGGATTATATGAGAACGTTGGAAAATTGCGTCACTTTCGGAAATCCATTACTACTTGAAAATGTTGGAGAAGAACTCGATCCTAGCTTGGAACCGTTACTACTCAAACAAACTTTCAAACAAGGTACGTGAAAACAAGCTTGAAGCTTTTTCTTTTTAAAAAAAAAAGCTATTTAATAATCTAATACGTTTTTATTAAGGTGGAGTTGAAATGATTAGATTGGGCGAAAATGTTATAGAATATAGTAAAGATTTCCGATTTTATATAACAACGAAATTAAGGAACCCGCACTACTTGCCGGAAGTTGCCACTAAAGTATCGTTATTGAATTTTATGATTACGCCAGAGGGTCTTGAAGATCAGTTACTAGGGATTGTTGTTGCCAAAGAAAGGTTTGTAAAAACTTTACTACTATAGAGATATATGATTTAATTGTTATCTTTAAAAAAACAGACCTGAATTGGAGGAAGAGCGTCAAGCTCTTATTGTCACATCGGCAACAAACCGTCGTCAGTTAAAAGAAATTGAAGATAAAATTCTTCATACTCTCTCAGCTTCTGAGGGAAACATTTTAGAAGACGAAAGTGCAATTCAAATTTTAGATTCGTCTAAAATACTCTCCGATGAAATTGCAAAGAAACAAAAAATAGCAGAAGAAACTGAGAAAAAGATTGATGAATCCAGACAAGGATATAGACCTATAGCTAATCATTCCGCTATCCTTTTCTTTTCCATAGCCGATTTACCAAACATTGATCCTATGTACCAGTATTCTTTAACCTGGTTTATAAATCTCTTCTTGAATTCAATTCACGACAGGTAAGTGTATAACCTTAATATTTTAATTGTTCAGTATATAAAGATCAATTAAGTTGTAGGATAACTTTAACATTAATATATACATATATATAAAATACTCTACGATTATCTTTAATTAATGAACATTCTCTAAGACGATAAGATATTTTCCAGCAACAAATCTTGGATTTTAAAGCGCAGATTAGGATATTTGAAGGATCATTTTCAGTACAATTTGTACGAAAATGTCTGTCGATCATTGTTTGCAGCACATAAACTTACTTTATCCTTCATACTCTGCTCCAAATTAACTTTGTAAGTTGGACCGTTGTCCATGATCTTAATGAAGAAAACAATATATTCTAATTTCTTCCGATTCTATCGCTCTTGATGATTCATTAACTAACTATTAGTATAATTGTACTAATTACAGTATTATTATTGTTACAACGATGATTGACGTATATTTGTAGTTTCATTATCAATGTTTATTTATTATTTTATTTTGATTGCGGGTTGGCCTAGTTCGTTATTAGTAGTCAACTTTCAGCAAATGTATATTTCTTTTTTCAGCAACAAGTCGAAAATTATTGACAAACGATTAAGATATCTGAAAAATCATTTTACTTATAATTTCTACGCGAATGTTTGTCGTTCATTATTCGAAAAGACAAAATTAACCCTATCCTTTCAAATGTGTATTAAATTCCTACTGTAAGATTTCCGTTGATAAAGTATATATAGAGAAGTAGTTAAAGTTAAGCTTATAGGTCAAGGTTAAACAGGCTCCTAGAGACGGGAAAAACGGGACAAGATTTCAATATTTCACTATTTTTTCAGCAATCCATCTAAAAATGTTGCTAAACGACTTCGTCATCTATCAGAACATTTTACTTACAACCTTTATTCTAATGTTTGTCGATCCTTGTTCGAACGAGACAAACTATTGTTTTCACTGGTTCTTTGTTCTCAAGTTATACTGTGAGTTTGTGTGATAGTTTGAACACAACAAAAAGAAACGCAATTAGCACCTTTTTTTTGGCCAGTTTGCAGTTTGTTTTGTATTTTTAAATATCCCACAATCACCAAAATGCACCATATTTTTTTAATTAGTTTGCATATTCTCTCCCTATTGTTTGGCATGATATTTCTTTCTTAGTTAAAAAAAAAACACTTAATCATGGTTTACTATTTTTATTATAACAGTTTGACTGTTGTTTGTTTGTTTGCTTGCTTGCACATCGCTTTCTTAGCTTTTATTGACGATTTTTTTACTACAATGTATTGCTCTTTACGTAAATAATAACGATATTATTCTAATAATAAAGGGCAAGGAAAGAATTAGATATGGCAGAGTTTATGTTCTTCCTAACTGGAGGAATAGGATTGGAAAACAAAGATCCTAATCCCGATCCTTCTTGGTTAATAGATAAATCATGGGATGAAATTTGTAGAATGAGTGATCTACCATCATTCAAAGGATTCAAGTAAGGAACTACAACTTTTATATAATGTCTATTCTAAGTGCTTCTTTCTATTTATGTAGACAACAATTTGTGAAAGATGTAGCTCTTTGGAGGATGTACTACGATGACAAAGCTCCTCATAAAGCTGAATTGCCTCCACCTTGGCAAAAATTGACTCCATTCCAAAAGCTTATAGTCCTTCGCTGCGTTAGACCTGATAAAGTTATACCTGCTGTAGCTAATTTTGTTAAGGATAAATTGGGTCAAATGTTTATTGAACCTCCTCCGTTTGATTTAACAAAATCTTACGCCGACTCAAATTGTTGCGCTCCTCTCATCTTTGTTCTTTCACCTGGTGCTGATCCAACAATGGCTCTCTTAAAATTCGCCGAGGATAAAGGTTTTGGCGGCAACAAATTTAACAGTATTTCTTTAGGTCAGGGTCAAGGTCCCATTGCTGCAAAAATGATTCAAACAGCGAAACAAGAAGGAACTTGGGTTCTCCTGCAAAACTGTCATTTGGCAGTCTCATGGATGACAGCTATGGAGAAAATCTGTGAGGATTTTACACCAGAAAATACCCATCCAGATTTTAGGTTTGTTTCCAACTCTTGTTTCCTCTTACAGCTTGTATGTGTAAATTAATCATTTCCTTAACAGATTATGGCTCACAAGCTATCCAAGTGACAAGTTTCCTGTAACAGTCCTTCAGAACGGTGTCAAAATGACAAATGAACCTCCAACTGGACTTCGTCAGAATCTTTTACAGTCCTACTTGAATGATCCAATTTCAGACGAGGAATTCTTCCAAAATTGCAAAGGAAAGGAGGGAACATTTGAGAAATTACTATACGCATTATGCTTTTTCCATGCTCTGGTTCAAGAGCGTCGTAAATTCGGTCCTTTGGGTTGGAATATCCCATACGGTTTCAACGAGTCAGACTTACGAATATCTGTAAGACAACTGCAAATGTTCATAAACGAATATGATGATGTACCGTACGATGCTATCACATACTTAACTGGAGAATGCAACTACGGTGGAAGAGTAACAGATGATCGAGATAGAAGAACTCTTATGACTATTCTAGCTGATTTCTACAATGACAAAGTTGTAGAAGAAGCCAAGCACAAACTTTCCGCCTCTGGCTTATACTATGTTCCACCAAAAGGAACTTACGAAGAGTATTTGGAATTTATTCAGAATCTACCCCAAACTCAAACTCCTGAGGTTTTCGGCATGCACGATAACGTCGATATTTCAAAGGATTTATCCGAAACTAAACAACTATTCGATAATGTGCTATTAACGCTCGGAGGAGGTAGCACAGGAGGGGCGGGAAAATCTGACGAGGCTCTACATCAGATAGCTTCGGATATTTTGTCGAAATTACCGAAGGATTTTGATTTAGAGGAAGCTCAGCAGAAATTTCCAGTAACCTATGAAGAATCCATGAATACAGTATTAGTACAGGAAATGGAAAGATTTAATAAACTAATGGTTATAATTAGAACTAGTTTACAAAACCTTCAAAAAGCAATAAAAGGTTTGGTTGTTATGAACTCAGATCTCGAAGCACTTGCCCAATCGTTACTCATTGGTAAAATACCTGCTATTTGGGCTAAGAGATCTTATCCATCATTAAAACCTTTAGGTTCTTATGTAAACGATTACCTGGAACGTTTAAGCTTCTTACAAAAATGGTACGATAACGGTAAACCCCATGTATTTTGGGTTTCGGGATTCTACTTTACCCAAGCTTTCTTGACTGGTGTAATGCAAAACTATGCTAGAAAATACAAAATACCGATTGATCTCCTGGGATTCGATTTTGAGGTTCTACCTAAAGAACAAAGTGACGATAGTCCATCCGACGGAGCCTATATTCACGGTTTATTCTTAGATGGAGCACGATGGGATAAGAAAAAAGGCGTCTTAAATGAGCAAAATCCAAAAGTTTTATATGATGCCATACCAATCATTTGGCTCAAGCCGGCGAAGAGATCAGATATTGACGAAGGTTCGTCCAGATACACATGTCCAGTTTATAAAACTAGCGAAAGAAAAGGAACCTTATCGACAACTGGACATTCAACAAACTATGTTGTATCAATATTATTACCGACCGAAAAACCTGTACAACACTGGATAAAGCGAGGATGCGCCATGCTGTGTCAATTAGATGATTAACACGCTCTTTCTCAAAATCTTTTTACACTATTTTAAAGAATAAGAAAAAAGAAACTTTTGAATATTCATAAACTTATTATTATTAATGTATTCATTACATTTTATAAAGTAAAGTCATACTGTCAAAATATAGTAAACTATTGCAATAAAACTCTATCATTTATTAAAATTTATGACAAAAAATAAGTTTATTATACTAATATTTACATTATTAATTAATTAAATAAACTATTAAGAAATTGGTTCACAAGTTAATTATTCCTTTTTATTCCTTTATCAATTTTACTCATTTTTCTATTTCTTTGAGTTTGTTGAACCGCCTCTCTCCGCCAATTGACGAATTTTGTCTTCTTTGGTCAAATTCGCCGATTCCTTTTCCATTTCCCTTATTTCTCTGGTTTTAGCATTTTGACGAGAATATTGCGTACTATCATTAAGGATTTTTTCATCAACGCTCTGATCAACGTATGACCTAATTCCATCACTTTCTACATGAACTGGATTTGGTGGTACGAATTGTAGATTTCCATTGTTGAGTTCTTCATCAAAGGTAACAGTCTCTAAAGGAGGGCAGTCATCGTCCTAAAACAGAGTAAACTCATTAAAAATTCAACGTTTCTTATAATTTATATACAAGTTTTATACTTACATTGGTGATATCTTCAATAAGAATTCCTTGCGTTTTCTTAGTTGTGTCACGTTTATAAAAGAGCCTATCCCCTGAGATATCATTCGATTCTTTCATGAGGAAATTATCAGATGAATCACTTTCAGGTACTTCAGTCGAGAATATACTATTAGTCTGTTTCGATTTCTGTGTAGTAATAAATGGAATATCCACTTCTTTCTCTTCCTGGACTTTGTTCTCCTTCTTGAGGATATCAAAGACCTTCTTACTATCCACCGCTGCAGATTTGGCAACAGAATTGGTTTCTTTTTTCTCAACAGGTTCTTCAGTTTCCGTAACGTCTATTATTTGTAGTTTAGTAGACTCTTCTTGTTGTTCTTCTGCTTGAGTATCAGTTTCAGTATCGATATTCGAAGTTTCGTCTTTATCCCAATTTCTAGGTCTCAACGCTAAAGAAATGATAAAATATATATATATAAACAGTCCACCTAAAGATATATATATAATTCTTATCTACCATTTACACTCCTCATAATACGATCCCTCTCCTCTTGATTCCACCTTTCTCTCTCAGCTTTTTCAGCTTCTCTTCCACCAGCAGCCCAAGCTTCTGTGCAAGCTCTTTCCTTTGGAAAAACTGGCCTATCATCCAAGTGTTGAAGATCAGCCTATTTTGACATTATTAAAATTAAAAACAAATTAGTAATAATATAGAAAAACTTACGATTTTCAAAATTAACGTTTTACGACAATTGGATATATCTCTTAAAACTGGATTACCTCTAAGAATCAGTACTCTCTACGGAAGATAAAAGAGATATTATGTTAATATTTATTAATAAAATATAGTAATAGTTTACCAATGATTTCATACTTCCAAAGACGTTCACGATTTCAGGATCGTCAATTTTATTATGAGCCATATCAATACATGATAATTGTTCGCAATGCATAAGCTCTTCAATATCCTCAGCAGTTTGGATATTGTTATGAGTTATATTTAAAGTTTTTAAAGCTGGTAGATTTCCTAAATTATTCAAGAACAATCTTAATAAAGGAATAACAGAAAATATTGATAATAACTTACTTAAATTCTCTATTTTTTTAATGAAATTATTACTGAGATTTAAAGTATCCAAATGTATTAGATGATCTACATTTTCAATTTTAGAAATAAGATTCTGATGTAGGAATAAACATCTTAGTTCTGTTTGTTTATCAAGATTCTCTATTCTTTTTATGCCATTTGATTCTAACCATAAAGATCTTAGACCAGTGTATTCTTCCAGATTTTCAATTTTTCCAATACCTTTTATGTATATTAAATTATATTTACTATTTAAACAAATCGTATATTGGATGAATAATTACCCATGTAATGAAGATACAACGTATCATTCAAATATGGTGTTATATATAATTTCTTGTCTTTACAATGCTTCTTAAGTACTTCTTTTGTCAATCTGTACGATAAAAATGTTGTCAATAATTATAATAACTTGTCAATATACAAATATTTCTTATACTATACCGAGGAAGTCCAGAATTTTCTTTTTGTTCTCGTATTTTCTCTAAGGAATTCTTTTCGACATTCTCTTTCTCTGAATCGTGTTCAATCTTCTTTTCAGTTGAATCTTCAATATTTTTACTCTGAATTTCTTTCAGAACTTCCATTTTATTACCATCCGTATTCTCGGTTATATCTTCGATAATTAAACCTTCTTTAACATCCATATCTAGCTGAATATTAAATTGAAATATTGCCGAGATGCCTGTTTTCTAAGGTGAAGGCCTTGTTTACGATGTAGTCTTGACAACGTATCACGTGTCTTAGTTTAAAACTATTTTCATTACAAAGAAATATAATTCTCTATTATTCGAAATTTCGAGACTTTATCTGCCGTTTCTATATACAGCGGAATGTTAAACAATAAAAATAAAAAAATGAGAAAGTGAAGAAGGTAGGGGGCACCATATAGTAAATGTAGAAAAAAAAACTAATGCCGAAGATAAAGATAAAGAAAAACCAATTGACAATTGCAAAATTACCCGAAGTATGAAGCTAGTATATAACTGAATAGGTGATTTATTTGATGCAAAAACCAGTCGGATATAAATAAGATTTTCAAGCAAGTTACTTAGCTATTCCGACAATGTGTGCCGATAATAAGGCAGAGGGAAAGCAAGATAATTGCGAAAAGCTTGTAGACGAACAATCTATTATGAATTTAGCTTTCGTGGTAATATCTTTCTAAAAGAGATACGACTATTTTTTATAATAGGAACAAAATATTATTTGATTAGTCCCATTTTATGGAGTATTCTGTTGTAATATATTTGGAGTTCTAAAACACTATATTATCGCCCATTCAAAAATAGTTGATTCGAATTAATGGAGTTATTTACGTATAATTTAAAATTTCAATACTATATTTTTAATTTTTTTTATAAAACTCCTACAAATTTAAAAAAAATCTTTAGGTTGAAAAGGCGAAAATAGAATAATAACTCGCTTCCGGAAACCGAATATAAACAACGTCATCGTTAAGCAATTTCAGATTCATCAGCATGGTATACGTCTCGGGAGGTAAGAGAAATGTCAATCACAGCTTTATTTTGTATAAAAGAATGTTTAAAATATTCTGAAATAAAATTTTATGTTAGTTTTAATCATTATACATCTAATCATCTCTATTTAAGGTCAAATTCTCGATAGTAAACCAAGATGGGGATTATCTATTATAACGGATACATTCTGGGGAATCATTGATTTCGTATTCCTATTGTAAGTAAACATAACTTTCAACTTGTATAATGAAATGATTAAAATATTTCATTTTATTAACAGCTTCAGGAGTTTATTTATGGTTTGTTTTCAATAATCAACAGAAGGTCAACAAAAATGATTGATTTTTTTCATTTATTTCATAATTTAGCCCGGCGACTCAAAAACAAGAGCTTCATCCAGTTCAAATTCAAGGGGTGATCGATGGGGAGGGTAAGATATTCTATTTATTTAAATATCTTAAACAGCATTAATCTTCTTATTTATATGATTAGAATAGAAAAATTGTACATATATCATATATATTTGTAATTTTATATTTGCAGCGGAGGCGGCGGAGGCCCTAGAAGACGTATGGGAGGTTTTGGAGGAAGTTCAAACAGTCCGTCACCTCCTCCAATGGCTGGCGGTGGATGAGGAAGGTAAACGCCTTCCCGAAAAAAGGAAGGCAATTGCCTAATCATTTAATGAAAATAGAACAACAATTTATGTTGTTCCCTATGAAGCTACGTTATGAAAATCATAAGATATAACTTGGCCGATGTATTTTCGTTAACTGATTGTAAAGTTTCGTTTCAGATGCATATTGTTAATATACTTTGAAAGTATTGATTTATTACCTATACTTTTATGTACAAAATATAAACATTCAAATAATATTTTACAAATTGAAGAAAAATTGTTTTATATAAAATATTCTATATTGTCATAAAATTGAATATTAAAATCAAGTAAAGTTTAAAAATAAATTAATATAATCAATTGAAGCAGTAATATTACTCATTCAAGAAACTCCAGTCTGTCGTAGGCTTCAATGATTCATAATTTAATGATTTTCCTAATGACTCGAGTCTGTTGTTGCAGATAAATCGAAACGTTTTAAATTTACAGACGAAAAATTATTATTATAATTCTTACTCTATTTCGCTGCGTTTTAGACTTTCCTCAAAATGTTGTAAACTCCTTTCTTCATCATCTAAATCAGGATACATTAATGGTAATGGATTATCCTATAAAAAAAAGACAAAAAGTCGAATTAAGAGAAAAGAAAGTAAAATAAAAATTATAAAATGTTATACAGAAGATTCCATAAGTTGCCAGATGTTGAATTGTCTATTTTCTTGCTCTTGACGCATTAGTTCCATAACTTGTTGAATATGATTATATTCATTTTGTAATAACTTTTGATTTGATGAGAGTTCTTTTGAGATATCGTTTTTATCTTTGCTATAATTAGTAGAGAAAATTTTATAGAATAATAAGAATTGAAATATATATTAATATAAAGTAAACAATCACTAACGAGATGGCAAAATTTCTAAAAGCTTTTAATAAAGCATTGAAATTTTCTTTAGGTTTTTCGAAAATATCAACTAAATTCTTGGCATTAGTTGTAAAATCCATAACTTTCAATTCTTGGAATTTTTTCGATACTTCCTCCGCGTAAAAGCTATAAGATAAAAGGATAATAAAAATTTAACAATTACACTATAAAATGTACATTATATAACTAATATCTCTTACTATTTTGTCTTCTTTGGTATTGACGTATATCGGATAGCTAATTCGTTAATTTTCTCTTTCATTTTATTTAACTTTACATTCTTTTCCTTGCGAAATATTTCAAGTTTCTAAAAATAGACATAAAAATAATTATCTGTTACAACTGAATTAATAATATTATTACCTTGATACATTTGTCAATAATATCAAAATTATATTTAAACCCATCAGACCATTTTTCTTGAGCTTTAAGAAATTCTATAAAATAAATAATTAATTATGTATTAATTAATTAATTCAGAATATATTAGATTAAAACCTAAACGTCTTCTTTCATTGACTTTAACAAACTTTTCTAAATGCTTTAAATCAGCTTTATAACTATAAAAAAAACAAAGAATTACAAATAGACATATTGTAAAATGATTAACTAACCTAATTTCGTAAAGTGTTCTAAAGCCTTTGAACTCTAGAGCTATGTCATCCAATAGTTTGTAACCTTCAATTAATTTCAGTCTCTTCATTTCAAGGCTTTTTCTAAAAAGTAGTTATTAAACTAAGTATTAAAGTATATATTATATTTATATAACTTACATATAGACGACTATTCCGTCACACATCCTATTGCATTTTAACTGCAAACAATTGCAAAAATAGATACTTTGCTGCCACGCCAGTTTAATTTCCTTTATTAGAATTAGAGTTAAAATTGATAACGATTAAGTTGTTTAATAATAAATAACTTACTTCTGTAGGTCGATAGGCAGATGGTGATTTGATGATTTTTCCAAGATGTTCCGGTATTTCAGGAGTATTTGGTCTAAACTTTGTACGTATTTCATAAGATAGAAACCAATTGCAATATGTTTTATTATCTTTCTGAAATGAAAGATTATTTAGACAGTAAAAATCAACATTATTATTATATTGCAAATATATTTACAGTATAGAATGAAAAGTCTCTTTCTTTAGTTATTAGACAGCCGGTTACATCAATTATTTCGAATTTACTACCAACAATGGCCGAAATATCCTCTTGTATTTTATCAATAATATCATTCATTTTTGCGTTAGCTGGAAAGCCGTAGGAAAATTCTTTCATAGTACAAATATCAAGTAAATATATTCTAATATAATTGGATAATATGTCTAATTCCTCCATCCACTCGTAAGAATCATTAACGTACGCCTTGCCTCCTCGATTAGATTCTTCTGCCCGTAGGAGTAATCTTAACATATTTTCCAGGTGTTCAATTGCCCACCTTTTTAAACAATTGAATAAATTGACGTTTTAAACGATCTAAATAGAAAAATAACTTACGGGTAACAATAGTTGGGAAAATATCTAGATTTTATAGTCTCTTCGAAAACAGAACAACCGTTTAGATCTGAACGAGAGCAAATATGTTTGTCACTTTTTGCTCTTATGTCACTTTTTAAAAATGGAAGAGATCCTGTTATAACTTCAAAGATAACACATCCATAACTCCAGTAGTCAACTCTAGTCGAATATTTACATTTTCTTTTTGTTTCGGATATTTCAGGAGGGAGGTATTTAGGCGTTCCTACTCTTGAATGAACTCCTTCGTTCATTCCAACTTCTTTTGCAAATCCTAAATCAATAAGTTTGAACAAGTATGGTTCATTTTTTGTGGTATTCTTCCCTTTTAAGACAATATTATCTGGTTTAATATCCCGATGAGCTATCCCTTTACTATGTAAATATGTAATAGCAGATCCAATATCTCGAGTTAAGTGAATTACTTCTTCTTCTTTCATTTTTGATCCTAAAGTACATTTCTTTAAATAGGTTCTATAAGACATGACAACATTAATAACTTCAATAAAAGAGGCTTATGACAAAAATTTTACCTCAAATTCCCTTTCTCACAGTATTCCATACAAAGGGGTTGAACAGCTGAAGTCGCAAATCTTTCTTTTATTAAATCTGGAAGCTCTACTGCTTTCACAACATTGGAATGATCAAGCTCTAAGAGAGTTCTAATTTCATGTTCCCATCTTTCTTTCATTTTCGGATGAACAGTTGAATGTACACATACTTTTACGGCCAAAGCATTTTTAGTTTCACTCTCTTGAAAAAGAAAGACCGCACCGAAAGCTCCTCTTCCTAATTCCTCTATGAACTCCCATTCTCCTGGAGCCATATTGATCTCAAAAGAATTGCTTTATGCCAGTACTCTGAATGATTGTTTGACCATGGCATAAAAGTGAAAGAGATGAGCCAATCGTCTGCTGTTTTTGGGATCATATGTTATGTGAAAATATAATGTACACAAAGGTTATTAAATATAATAAATATATGTAAATTAAACATATTTAAGATAGTATTTAAGATAGTACTTTATAATAAATAGTAAATATGTTTGCCATTGTTATGCATTTTGTCACAAAATTAAAACTAAATGCTCCCTGATTAGTTTGTTTTTCATTTTAGTTTCTATTTCTTCTTCGTTAAGAGTACTTCTTTAGAAAATTTATCACAAAATCCAATACAAAGATTTATTATATGATTAAGCTCCTCGCCTCTGTTTACCTATATAATTAAAAGAATATTAAAGAGAAAAAGTATTCATTTAAAACTATTCGCCAAAATTTTAAATATTCCGACAGATAATTAATGTATTTAACAGAAATATAAAGTAATATTTTAATGAAAAATTGGATTAAATTAATAATCTGATAATAATTTATCACTTTTTCACTATTTGCTATCAATTAACATTTATATTATATAAGAAAACAAGCTTTAAAAAGATAGTTTATTTTTAATTAGTTTAACTTTTTAGTTAAACGCCGGAAATTATCTACTTTTCATTTAATCAGCTAATAAAGCTTTTAATAGAAAACAGACTGTATTTTAGGCGGAGTGTTTTTCCTATATTTGTTGGGTTCCTTCTCAAGAACTAACCTTATAAATTTCAGTACCAGTCGTCATAGCTACCAAGAATAACAAACATGGCGAAAATTGTGATTGCGGGTAAAATTTATAAAATATACTCTTATTATAGAGAATTTTGTAATTTTATAGTTAAGATTTAATATATAACAGTATAAGATTTAATGAAATGAAATTAATGCCATTATTAAAAGATTTTTTAAAGGTTTATCAGTCAACTTTATGAATTTCGTTTAAAATTTTATAAAATCAAAATAGTACTTGAAAAACGTTTATAAATCATAAACTAAATTTTTTTTCACAGGAAAAGCAAACTGTCCATACTATGCTAAATGCGAATTATTGGCTGATAAATTACAAGACTCATTACCTAGTTTTAAATTGCATAAAATAGTTATTGCACCAGATAAATGGAATAGTTGGATTGAATCAACATGTTCTCAAATGAAATTTGATTGGTCTCTCTCTAAAAAAGGACCAATTGTCTGGAGGGAATTAGTGGATAGAGGTGGAAAAGGTTTACTAATTGGAGGTACGAATGAATTTCAAGAGTATGCCAGAGGATATTATGATTTAAAGAGTCATATTTTAAGCGACTTATCTAGAAAGATTGCGGAAGAAAATTTAAATACAAAAACTCAAGACGATTTAGACGAAGCTTCCAGGCTAGCCGCCATTCAACCTCTGGAAATTTGCATCTCAAATGCGACTTCTGGTCTTGCTTACGGAATCATATGTGCTTTATGTTCGTCTAGGATATTTGGTAAGGAAGAAATCGCAATACGATTATTAGGTGGCGATGATCAAGAGGATCAATTAAATGGTATTGGAATGGAAATGCAAGATTTAGCAAGTACCAATTTAAGAAGATACAGTATTTTTCTCAACGATAGGGCAAAAGCTTTTAAGGACGCTAAAATCATTATACTAACTGACAACTTGGTAAAGGGAGACGAGGAAGAAGAGTTAGATTATAACAAACGTATCATGGACTACTATACAGAACTAGGTGGTTATTTGAACGAAAATTCTCACGCAGATGCTAAAGTTCTAGTCTCTGGGAATGTTCCAATAAACCTAGCTACAAGAACTTTAATCTTAAATTGTCCAAACTTGAACAAAGACAGAATTGTCGGAGTTGCAAGAGTAAAAGAGAATAGAGCTAAATTCTATCTTGCAGAGAAATTAGGAGTGAATACAGCCCATATAGCTGATGTAGTTACTTGGGGTAACTTAAACGGTACTTGGTATGTTTCGCAATAAGTAGTTAATTAGATTTCTTGTTTTAAGTCTATATTTTGAATTATTTATATTTAAGCTACATTGATACAACGAAAGCAAAGGTTTTCCGACACGATGGTGCCATCTGGGGACCAAACGATTTCTTCCGTTCTGTCCCCGAACTTGTCCATGATGATAAATGGCTTGAAACTGATTATCAAACGTTATGTTCTGATAGAAATCGATTAGTTAATGATAAATTAGGAAGGCAAGGAGATCTGTCAGTTTCAGCAGCTCTAGTCGATCTCCTATGCGACTGGTGGAGGGGTTCGGCTGATGGAAGGATCTATAGCGTTGCCGTTTGGAATAAAGATTCTGCATATAACCTACCAGATGATTTGGTAATAACCTTGCCTTTGATATTTGATCCTAAAGGATTATGGTCCATTGTTAAGGACTTTAATATGGACGAATTAAAGAGAACGAAAATCCTTGACATCTGCAAGGTAAAGCTATTTTTGTTGCTTTAGAATTGTAAATGTAACAAATTATTCAAAAATGTAGGAGCTTAGAGAAGAATTCGATCCAACACCAAAACCTCGAACACCCGAAATTCTTGAAGAAAAATCTGAAGAAATTGAAGAAGCGAAAGAAGACAAAGAAGAGAAAGATGAAGAAGTGGAAGTAACTAAAGAAGAAAAGAAAGAAGGTAAGAATAAGAAACTTAAATCAGACTTTTAAATCTATATCAAACATTTCTTTTCTAGATGAAACAGAAGAAAATCAGGCTATAGTAGAAGAGGAAGAGCCAAAACAAGAAGTTGAAGAAGAGTTAGAAAAGGAAAATAAACGACCAACAACATCAGAGAAGCCATCATTATCGAAAATTGAAGAGGAAACTAACGGAGAAGAACCATTGGACCCAACAAGATAAATGATATATCGAAAAAGTATTGTAAACATATATAAAACTATCTTTCACAATTTATAATTTTGATTGTTAAAATGGAAGGGAAGACGTTTGTAAATACATTAATGGATATTTATGATAATTACTTCTAATATTCTTTTCCCTCTTTCATATTGGTTTTTAGTTAAGCTTTTAAGTTCTCTAATTCAATACTCGAATATATTTGTAATTGGTCAACAGTTAAAGAAGTTTCGAGCTAAAAACAAAAGAAAATATGCGACATTCTTAAAATCAATAGTAAACGTATAGCATTTACGATTTTGATATTGATGTTTTCTGAGCAGACTTCTGATTTTCGTTAAAATTATCAGCGAAATGTGTCTCGATCATATCGGTTAAAAATGTCTCCATTCTTTTTAAAGTTAGAGAATTATGTAATGTTTCTAAAGGTCTAACAGATGGTACTGCAACGCTTTCACCGGATGCTAGACGAAGTGTACTGCCCATTTCGAATTTCGAAAGAGCTGGAGCTGAAGCTGAACCAGATATAACACTAGTACTAATTAATCCTTGTTTAACCATGTCGCATTCGGGTAGAGGATATAATGTATCTTCGCATTTGTCCATCTTCTCCGTACTTTGACTCTTCGTTGTAAGAATTTTAGATTTCCCTCCAGGAGCAGCGCTCGGTAAAGATAATTTTTTTAATCGTTTCGCCGAGAGTACGGCATCAGGTTCGGAGGATACTCGTCCCCTCATAGGAATCTATAATATTTAACAATCAAAAATGACAACAATTTAAACTATTTAAAAATAAAAGTAAAAGCATTGTAATCACTATTAAATACTGTGAAGCTAAATAAAATAAGAAATTAGATATGAAACGAAGTGAAATAAATAAAAAATAAGAAATTGAAGAGAAAAAGTTTCTGTTAAATCTAGACAGTCTTACTGGATCAAAAATTCTATAATATAATAGCTTTGAAGGTTTAAACTGACAAGTTTTAGCAACCTTTGGAACATTTAGACAGTTACTATCCACAGACGAAGAAACTTCATCTTTCTGATTCTGTAATAAAAATGAACAGGATAAACAATTATACTCTCTTTATTAACTATTTTATTTGTAATTTTTTTTCTCTCGTCCTTTAAGCCTATGATATACATACTCTTTCGGTAAATATTAATGGAATAGAACCCTTTGTTTCCCAAAAGTTGTCCAGAAAGTACGGTACTTTTAAAAAATCTCTGTTCTGTCTTATAGGACTACAGCATGACTAATTGGTAGAATAAGTATAGGATTTTTTGTGTGTTTTAGTTTATACTATTTAATTTAATTGAATAGATTTAAAAAATGTATGTAATTAATAATAAAAAAATGGCATACCTCCGATTCTTCTGAAGGTTTAAAACCAAAACCGGAAGGATACTGTTTATTTCTAATACTGTGATATGCTCCTGGACTAAAGTGCAATTCCACGTGAAATCTATAACAAGTATTTGATGATAATTAATCAAAATTTATTAAAGTTATTTACCTTTCTTCAGACTGAGGTTCCTTATTAATATCTTCGTACATCATTATGATGATTTGAGTCATATAATTCAATTCAGAAATGGCACTAATAAAATTCATAGATCTTTCCCATTGAGTATCATTATTTTCGCATAAACTACCCAATCGTAATATTGTTAAAAGAGAATGTATATGAGATTCGCTTGTAAAATATAATCTCGTTCGAACATGCCTATGAGGAGTCGATACTCCTTTAGAGTATCTCGAGTCCAACCTGGTCGCATCCTCATCAACATTTCTCTGTAAATCATTTAAAATCTTCTTCATTAAAGGAGTGCAGATACATTGTCCAATCTGCAGTTTGTCGGTACAGCTAATACCATACTCTTGAGGTATTACTATGTCGGCTAGAGCCTTAGCCATTGAATATAGCTTATCTCCATCGCCTCCTTTTGGAAAATACTTATAGTTGTGTTGCAAATCGTATTTAATACAATCGTAAATATCTGGAACTTTTGATATATCCCATTTTCCATCTTTCATACGAAAGTCCTTTACTAGTTTTGACCATCTTCGAACCATTAATTCCCAAGATTCTGATTTATATAATTTATCTATGGAGACATCGTGATGTCTTTCATCGCTATCGCTATCACTATCACTATCGCTATTTCTGTCCAGATTGGGAAGAGAATCCTCTTGATTTTTGGCCGCTAAAGTTTTAATATGTTCTAAAATTTTTACCATTGACTCGTATACATTCTTGCATGTTTCGTAAGGATTTCCAATAAAATGTAAAGCGCTGGCCAGAGAGATACTATCTTTGGCACCAAGCTGTTACAATAATAAGAAATTATTAATAAAAGCAACATCAATGTCTAGTGAAATTATATGAGACGTTTAACTAATAAATTATTATTCCATACTGAGAAATTAATCAATTAAAATACTCTTACTATTATTATTAACAAAATTATACTTCTAAATAAATGAATGATTTAATATGGTGAATTTTATAAAATAAAGAAAAAAAAGCAATAAAAACGCTTAATTAATGATATTTTGAAAGTTACGTTAATATAATCTTCCTCAGTGAATTGTTTGTCTTTATTCAAAACATTCTGCAGTTTATCTTTAACTCTGTAAATATAGAAAATGTAAAGAAGTAATTAAAAAAGAAACATTATATAAAAAAAAAAAACAAGGAAGAATAATCGAAGAAAAAGTAAAGCGACTTATCACAAACATCTGCCCCATGAATTACATTTAATAAGGAAGTACATTAAACTGCAAAAGAAATATTACTACATGAAGGATGAGCGAATATACAATTTGGTTTGTTTTTTTTTTTAACTTTTAGTTATTGTTATTTCAATTAATAGATAATTGTGTTTAATCAATCATCTGACACTATAATCTTTGGCAAATGTATTATCCTTACGATAATACAATTCATAATTTCATTCAAAAAAAAAAACACCTCAATCTTTCAAAGCACTTATTTCAACAATAAATGGATAATGCATCTGTGCGCGTGTACCTTCAATGCTTAATGACAAAAGAACAATTTAGTTTTACGTAGTGCAAGGACGAACGTTTTGCTTAGTATAAAAATAAACAAAATTGATAGTTGAAATTTATGGTTGAATTTAGGTAAAAGTTATTAATTCACCAAATATATAGCTATATTTGAGTCACTTATATAAAAAATTTAATAGACAAACAAATGGGGGAAGCGTGCCCTCCTAGGAAATTATAGCAATCCGACTTACAAACTTTTCACAAGTCGAACATGTGCACGCCATTCACTAGAATTGTATAGGCTTGAACTTTGAGCTGATAGATTTAATTATCTTACCTCTTTTGAAACTTTGCAGATTCATTGTCGTTGTCTAGTAAACCATTCATATTGGCACTTTTTACCATCTGTACTAATATGGGTGTCAATTCTCCTTCAAGAGCTAATAAACCCTAATGTCATATTAAAAGATATGTCCTTATCAATGATAAAGTGGAACATGCTATTTTTGCTTACTTTAGCGAATGCTGCTGCAGTCATCTGGACTCGACCTTCTTCTGATGCATAGATTTTCAAGTCATGACGATAAGTGGAGTGGAGCCTCAGGAGACCCAATCCTGGTACCGCTCCGTAATCTCCTTGTCCACCAGGATACATACATCTGAAAGCACTTCCCAATTCTTCAGCTTGCTGTTTGCCAGCCTCTGTTAATTCTCCACCCCACTTTAATATAAGAACAAGGCTAGGTTCACCAGTTGTATCTGAAAGATAAATCGGACGAATACATCATACTGTATATTTACCGATATTTGAATAGAGAAATATTCTTTCAATTACCATCTTCACTACTATTTCTGTGATAGCCATGCGGTTGATATTTTAACTGAACCTTTCTATTTATACCGGAAAAATGGCCGTACATTTCCAAAACTGATTTTAATTGTTCTAGTTTATTTTTTTTTTCTTCAATAGATTCGCAAACTTCACTTTCGTGATTGTTTAATTCGGTGAGGAGATATCTTTTTGTTATAGCAACCATAAGGAAAACAGATCATATTTAAAAATCAAACTAAATTATACCTCACCTTGTAATGTCTAAAACTTCTTGTAATTGTTGCGGCTTTTTTAATTTTAGTTGACCTGTCTTATGACCACCGTATCTTTCGAATAAATCAATAAATTTTTTATGTTTGACCTCCATTTTCATCTTTTGTTTTGGCGTTCTATCACCATGTCTGATGACGGCAATAACGCAACGAAGCTCCATCATTGAACCTAAATGGCAGATTATTATAAAAAAAGAACATTGAATGAAAATATGCTGCCATTACTTACCAGCTGTTGTAGGTACAATAGGAATATCTTCTGGTTGAAAATTTAAGAATGGTATTTGCAAAAGTGACGGGGCCAATTCTCTGAGAATCATGTTACCCAATATTTTGGCACAATCATCGTAATACTTGGACGAATTCTTTACAAAACTAAATCCATTGACGTCACAAACATATGATTTTCCATTCGCTCTTAACAAATCGAAACCACATATATTTTGCTTGAAAGCTTGAACAACCTGATTGGACAATTTTTTTTGTCAAAAATGTGTTTCAATAGTTTTAAAATGGTTATATAAACCTTTCTGGCGATAAGTTTCTCGTGAGCTGATAATAAAACTGGATACCTAACCTCTTTACCATCCTTATCGCGTTCAACTTTACCATCTAGAGCAGGTGATTTTCTAGCCTCGGCATGGGCGTAATCCGGCCCAACAGTATACACTTTTACATCCGTACCATCGGTGGGCATAAAGTCCTCATAAATATAAGAACCAGTTTGGCGAACCTTGGAAACAGGCGAATACACACTACTTCTACTTCCAATCTATGAAATAAAAGGGTATTTATTTTTTTTGCTTGGCTCTGTACTAGCCATATAACATACCTTCCTGAATAATCGCTGACTACCACCGCCAGCGGAACTTGGATAGTAAATATAAACATTGTGATCCTCCGCTGATACAGGCTTCTCGACAAAAGGTTTAGTAAAAAAATCTCCATTAATCCAAACGTGATCGTCTTCCTCGACAAGACCAGGCCCTCGATTATCTTTATCATCCCTATCTAAAATGGCATATCTCGGTTGACTGACATCTTTTCTAGCTAAGAGATTATAAACATCTCTTCTATCCTGAATATGATACTGCATGTACAAGTCATTTATGACGAAGGGCTTCCTCAATTCAACATAGCTAATGGCTTTATCTAAGGGAAAGCCTTTCGAATGAAAACTTATAAGACAATCAACAACTGGCCAATCTTCTACAGGATATTCAAGGATAATTTCTTCTTCAAAAACAGTCACTCCTAATTCATCAAATCGCCTTAGCCTTTCAACTATTTCACTCATAGCCGCAGAGTTAGCTTTTTTCGCCATGGCGCAGACACCAATAATAATTTGTTTCTTGCTACAGTTCCTTCCCAAGTCTTCATCTTTATCCTTATGGAGGTAAGGATTATTCATTTTTATAAATAGATATAAATTGTCTATATAGACAGTAAATAATAAAATTATTTAAATTTTTAACAAAGAGAAAATTAAAATATCAACTCAGTTAGAATTTCACTGCTAACTGCTCCATTCTGTTATTCAATAATTCTACTATTATTCAAATACTAATATATTTTGAAAAACAGTATTGCTTTAACCTTTTTAAATTGTTTATTTAGATTTTTATTTAATTTCAATTTTGACGCTTTCCTTAACGAAAATTTTTCTTAGTAATGTACTAATAACAATAAAAATAATACATAAATAATACTGTATTTGAATATTTGTACAAATGTTAAAATATAGTATTTGAATAATAATTTTTGCAGAAATTATCAAAAACCTAAGGAAAACCAAGAGCTAACCTTTGAATCATCACCAACGTAAAATGCAATGTCAAGCTCTTTAGACATTTCGGACAGTCTTCATAACCACCTTTAATAGCTTTGGAGATAAAATATTCCACGAAGTTACTTTACAGCTCCATTCTCTTAGAATTAATTTTCTGCCCTACATGATTAGGTTCTTGCGTGGTTTTATGGTTATAGGTCAAATTTACTAACAAAAACTGAATAATTTCCTCATTGTTTTCAAATAAGTTATACTAAAAATGATAGATGATTTTTTCCCAGTTTTTTCCCAGTTTCTGGGAAAAATATATACGAAAATGATTCGTGTCACATGGCTGAGAAGGAGAAACTGGAAAAGACAATAGAAGAACTTAGGTGCAAGGTGTGCCTGAGCGAGGCAGCAGATACTCTAGCGCTTCCATGCGCACATGTGGTATCGTGCAAATCCTGCCTACTCAGTCTCCCAAAGCCAGAGTGTCCTGTATGCAGAGAATTTATGCGAGGCTACGTTCTTGTAAAGAGCGATCTAGATACGCTGAACATGAAATACTCATGGTGGGTATAAAATTATTATAAAATTATGTTACGTTAAATTTTGTTATCCGTTCAACAGACAAAGAATAAAATCTGCGCAGGAAGAGCCTTTGAGTTGAAATATTTGGTTTTTCATGGATATTCAGTCACAATACATTCTACAGAAATCGTCCAACATAAAATAGTTTTCTTGTTTTTATTTTTTTTGATAATAAACTGTTGTAATAGGAAAGCCATTGATAATCTGCTTTTCGATGTCGCTTACAGTTTGTAGAACTTAAAATAAGTGTAGAAATAGTTTATTCTGAACCGTAGTTAGTGACACTTCTTGAGCATTCTTTTAGCTTCAAAACCATATCCTAATGAAATAAAACTGCCTTTTGAACAACTGAGACGGCTAAATGTATACAACATATAAATTGTATATCTATATAAATATATATACCTGTAAGGAGTTGGTATCACAACGGAAAGAAAAGTTATCCTTTTCTGAACAATCCTCTAGTTGAAGCTTTACAATACACTCTGCCTGCGGTGCGTTCAGACTTTGACTCTGGGAATTTAAAGTACTTTTACTTTCATAAGGTGACTCATAATCTTATATCATACTTGCGCATTTATGTTTAATTTCCATGAACTATCAATAATATGGGGATGCTGCCAAGTTATACATGACAATCTTGCTCTTATTTTTTGTTTGTAGTTTTTCAATTTATTAAGAAATGACACCGTCCGATCATCTGTCCATTTATAATCTTCGATTAAGTAACACCTGTTTAGCACATAGAATATGTAACTTTTCGTACGTCAACTAAGTTTCGTTACCTAATTAAGTCTTCACTTAGGTCGTTCTTACATACTTCCAATATGAATGATGTTAATCCTAAAAAACATTGCTCCAGGTCTGATCGTTCAATATCTTGAAATTCAGAATATTCTAGATGATGAAATGTTATGTAAGTAATATTATTTATTTTGATTTTTAATATGAAATATTTTACCAGAGTAACTTAAAATTCTAGAACAATCTAAAATTTGTTGGAAAGCAGTGTGAGTTATGGATTTAACAGCTATATCTTTCAAAGCTGACACTTTAGCCAAACCAATGGCAGCCTTTTCGGAAAGTTGTGCCATTATTCCTAGTATGTTTTCATGGTTATAAATAAAAGAGTTTTAACATAAAACCACATACGAAAACGCGACTGTTTTACTTCCGGTATTGACGGGCAGAATTATGCAATTTGGATATATTGCATAATATTTCCCTACGATTTTAACTTATTTTTTAAACTTTAGTAATTCACCATTTGATTTAAATGTGTTAACTGATTACACAAAAGCTTATAATGAAAACTTCTTCAGTTTTTTTCTACATTAGTTTGTCAAAAAATTGTTCTTACAAATAAATACAGTTAGTATCATTTAGCTTTACTATCATGTTTAATTGGCCTTCCTATAACATTTTATTTAAGATGTCAGATTAGTTTAACAAATTTTGAATTTGGTTAAATAAATTTTTTCTATAATGTAGAAAGTAATCCAAAGTTTAATTCTTATTCAGTTTATTGATATTTAAAGATATAAATCGAAGATATTATACAACAACTGAAATATAATATGTTAAACATTTTTAGGATAAAATATTTTTTAGAAACTAATTTCCTGAAACTAAGTATTCAAAATTAAACAAATCTTTGTTTATGTCTGTAATAATGGCGCAGGTCACGTGACAATCTACGAATATACAAAGACTTCCGGTCTCCCCTATTTCTTATTTTAAGGTAAGGAAAAGTATTATTCGCTCTTTATTTTATAATAATTTGTGACATGATAAATTCGCAGGCAAGAATTAAAGACACTCGGCAAGGTTAATTTAACATTTTTATTTGCCATTCGTCCGAGGGACAAAAAACACTAGTCCATAGCCTTAAAACGAGATAGACCTGTTCTGATGAATCCTTTGAAGAGACCTTCGCCATCATCAAAGGTTCAATTTGCTAGTAAAAGAACGCCAAGTGTTACATCTCTCTGTACCACATCTGATCAATCAAATGTTAGTATTCTTTCGAAAATTACAGAAAAATTAAAAGAAGACGATTTCCAGAATACGTGTAACCTGTCTTCTGATATAGAAAACAATGCTAGCAGCGCAAAACTTTCAAGATCTAATATAAATAATTCACAAAGTAAATATTCTTCTTTTTACTGTTCGATTTATATAGTTTTTACTTATTAAATCCCTCACACGTTCTACGTTATGTTCTTTTTTTTCTGGCGTGTGAGTAATGTTATTTTAAATTTTCATACTCAAAATTGAGTAGTAATAGAGGTAAAGTTATGTGCTTTGTTAATTGTTTTTTAATTTTTATGCAGATTCAACGACGAAACCAAGTGCTGCTAGGTCAGTCTGAGGAACAATAACAAAATCACCTGATTAATTTTTGATAAACTTTCAGGGAAACGACTAAAGGTGATTCGAAGGATATGTCCACCGAAACTTTAGTCAAGAAACCAGGAATGCTGGCTGTTTGTACAAATTGCGGTCATCCAAGCCAAAATCATATAGAATGTGATTTTTGCCGAAAAGTTCTGCCGGAAAATTGCAAGTATGTCGCTTTACCACCAGAAACCCCCAATACACAACGCATATATAGACCTTCAGTTAATCAACTCTTTTCCGACGAGATTGAAATACCTGCTATTAGAGTTCAATTGGGTTCTATAATGGGATATCCGTTACAAAACATAAGACTGAAAGCCAACAAAATTGAATTTTGCTACCGAAATCATCATCAAATGACCGATGCGTTTAGGCTATCTTTGGCACATAATAAATTGCTGGAATTAAAGTATTATCTAGATCAGAAAATTTCTGTATTCTTAATTTTAGTCAGTTGTGGAAATGAAGTTCGGTCTGGATGTTCTATAGAAAAAATAGAAAATCCCTCTGAGAGAATCGACTATTTCGATCCGAGATCTCCAGTGCAACGACATCGTTATATCTCTCTCTTAGGTGAAGGTTTAGATAAAGATGGAATTATACACGCTCAATCTCTTCTTTCAATTCTTAATTCGAAAACTACTTCACGTGCGATAAGCTTAATTAAACGTGAGAATTTGGATGATGCTTTAAAAAAATTTAGTGGTTGGGAAGTTGACATGGCAGTTGATGATGTCCGAAATGTCACTATTAAGCCGAGTGTAAGAACAGACACTAAGAAAGTCAAGAAATTAAAAGATCACCCTGAAAAGAAATTATGCTTATATCCTCCACCCCCTGCAGAAGGAGGAATATGTGTCTATGCAGATCACGCTGCGTGTTTAACTGAAGGAGAACTGTTAAACGATGTAATAATCGATTTTTATCTAAAATGGATGGAACTAAATATTATCTCAGACGAACTTCGACCAAGGATACACTTTTTTTCATCTTTTTTCTATAGTAGATTAGTTCAAAAACCTGTACGAGGATCACTGACTGCTCAACAAGAAAGTCTTCATGCCAAACCCGCCAAAAGAAGACATGCTCGTGTTGCAAAATGGACCAGAAATATCGATATCTTTTCAAAGAGATTCCTATTCGTTCCAATCAATGAATCACAGCATTGGTACCTCGCTGTAATATGCCATCCATCAGTAGACAATCTTCCAGATCACAAGCCTTGCATACTTGTGTTTGACTCACTTACGTGTAGTGACAGATATGCAGTTGTGAATGTGTTAAGGGATTATTTAAATGAAGAATGGGCGGCTAGGAAAGAAAAAGAGACTAATGTGAAAAGAAGTTTCACGAAAAATACTTTTCCTGGTCACACTTTGGAAGTACCCCAACAGGATAATTATGTTGATTGTGGTATTTACTTGTTACACTATGTTGAAATGTTTTTTCGAAGACCATTTTCATTAGTCAGTCCAATAGAAGATTTAACCAACTGGTTTTCTCAAGACGAAGTTAGGTCCAAGAGGCAACATATTCAAAAACTTATTCAGCGGTTGCATCAAGAACAAATAAAAGACTCTTATTTACGGTAGAAAGTTTCGTAAAAAATATAAAAGTTATCAGTTGTGGTTATATGGTTAACTCAGAAAATGGCCGAAAATCAGAGTTTATTGAAAAAAAATCGTTTATTAGCATTTTTTGTCGATTCATCTATTATTAAGGTTTTACAATAAAATATTCAAAAACCGATTTTCATTAACTGTACTGAATTTACCGTTATATTTTGTTTGTAGTCTACTCTGGGCTCTATAACTAATATTGATGAAATTGGTGATGGAAACATTAATTTTATTTTTAGAATTACCTCAAAAGAAGGCAAAAGTCTTATTGTTAAACATGCCGAGCCATATTTAAAGGTTTTGCAATGCTTTTCAATTCTATACATGAAGTATAAAAATTTTTGTTAGATCACTGGACCCGAAGTTTCTCTTTCAACTCATCGACTTTTTATTGAATACCAAACTTCAAAAATCTATAATGACAGTGTGAACGGAAGCTATCCATCTATTTTTGAATTTTCTGAAGAAAATCATTACTGTATGCAAATTATAGAATTGTAGAGAGTTTTTAGCGTAATCTACGTTTTTTATTTAGTCATCATGGAAGATTTGAAAAATCATGTTGAACTGCGTCAAGAATTAATGACAGGTGTTATCAAACGTCAAGTTGTCGAGAAAGTTGGTGAGATACTGTCCAAAGTTCACGATCAAACTCATATTAGTAATCTCTCTGAAGAAAAGTTTAAAGATTTAAAAGACAGATTCCAAAATCAACCTATGGTAGATCACACTTCAGTTTTTATTCTGACTGAGCCTTTCCAAGAAGATGCTAAAACAAATTCTATTCACCCTGCTTTACATAAAGTAGCAGAAAAGATGTGGAAGAGTAGAAAAATAAGAGAGGGTTCTGAGTTTATGAGAAAGTTGTTTAGGGAGAAGAAAGAATGTTTGGTTCATGGTGATTTGCATACAGATTCAGTTCTAGTTCACGAAGATGATGTTAAGGTTAAAATAATAAATTATATGTGTAAGTTAGAAAATATTTATGAATTATTTTTATGCAGATAATCGACGCTGAGTTTGCTTACATTGGACCAGCTTCCTTCGATATTGGAATGTTTATTGCTAACTACATATTCTCTTATTATAATCATATGTTAACCGAGGAAGAAAATGATAGACATAGACAGTTTGCCTACGAATCCTGGCAGGCTGCGGAACAATTTTGTAAGTTAGTAGAAAGTCCAGTATTCAGAAGACTTAATTATATTATTACATAGCAACAAACTATGAATTGAAAAGAGAATATCCTCAAAATGGTAAAAAGGAGTATTTTGAAAACTTTTGGTCAGAAGTCGCTGGTATGTGCTCTTGTGAATTGATTAGAAGGTAAGTAATTTTTAAAACATATTTCTCCCTGATTGGTACTTCTATGTTGTACAGAACTGTGGGGGCTGCTCACGCTAAAGATATAAAATCTAATCCATCAGCTGAAAGAGAGTGCTTAGAAGCCGGAATAAGGCTAATGGAAAAGTATCAAGATATAAAGGATCCAAAGAAACTATTTATGATTGGACTGATGCTTTGTTAAATTGACAAAATTATTTATTAGCAAAAAAACATATCATAAGATTTAACTGATTTGCCTCTCCACTCCAAAATTATTAGTTGCCTTCAGTTTTAACAGCTTGCCGTTTTTTGACGTTGTAATTATAAACCCTGGCCATATCTTTATATTGGTCAAGGAAAATTGTTTTAATGCTGTAAAGCCTAATTATCATGTTATACCAAATAAAAAGCTAATCTATTAAAAGAACCTGATTCTCATTTTTTTTGCAAAAGGATACTGACTTCAACCGTAGTAGTTTGATCTCTAATAAATCCTAACTCTTCATCACATACTTCTAAAGATTCCTTTGCACTTGTTAAATTATTAGACAACAGAGCTTTTGCCTCCTCTAAAGAGTACTCTAACATGACATTAGCCTGAAATGATAATATTAAGCCTATGGAAGTGTTATCGGTATAAAATGAAAGACCTACCCCTAGCCAAAGATTGACTTTTTCAGTTGGCTTAATTGTAGCTTTAGTCCATACTTGTTCAGACAGCTGAAAGTGAGTTTCGAATTTCTTATCGCTTCCCTGCAAGTTCACTTAAATTTAGCTATTGCGTTAATATAATTTAACTGTTAATATACCCTTCTTTCAATAAGATGCTCGACAAAAGCTAATGTTGATTTTAAGTCAGGTATTTGCACCTTTAGTCTGAAACAAAACACTTTCTCAGTCATCGATTCACTACACTTTTAGTTTCAATGTTATACCGATTCTTTTTTGTTTTTAAGTTCATTTCCATAAATGAATATTTTTGATGTTGTTCCTCCAATCGACTCAAAACAGTTTCGACTGATGAGTTGTCGGGTTGTGCCATGAAAGCATCAACATCTTCCTATTTTTAAATTGAATTATTTAGGAAATACCATTGAATTATCGCTCATTATTTTTATTCATCAATAAAAACTTGAGTGATTAAAATATATAAGCTCGAATAAAAGGTGGGAATGAAAATTAATATCACGATACAGGTATTTTAGAAATATTTACCACAAATGTTGCTTCAGGTATTCCGCTAGGTAAAATTGATTTGGTCTCGCTGTTCTTTTCTGCCATTTTGGAATCTACCGAAATGTATATACGGCCGACAATAGCAACAAATGTAACTCAAGTAAAAAAGATTAATAAAATTTATAAAGTATTAATATTTAGGAAATTAAACTATGCTTTAAAAAATTTGGCTAATATTTTGAGAGAATTATTCGCTTTTTCCTCTTGAGTGCGGGACATATTAATACTTCCGCTACCGGCAAACATGGGTTCCCGATATGATAGAGCAATAACGGTTTTTTCGCCTGATGGTCACCTTTTTCAAGTTGAATATGCCCAAGAAGCTGTTAAGAAAGGTTCTACAGCGGTCAGTGTTCCTTCCATATATTTTAATCTGTTTAAAATTAAATGCGGCTATTTAGAAAAAATCCCTAGTCATTGCTGTATACAAAACAGGTCGGTGTGAGGGGGGAAAACATAGTTGTTTTAGGCGTAGAGAAAAAAGCTGTTGCAAAATTACAAGAAGAAAGAACTGTACGTAAAATAGCTCTTTTGGATGAACATGTTGCCATGGCATTTGCTGGCTTAACCGCTGATGCTCGAATTTTGATTAATAGAGCTAGAGTTGAATGCCAAAGCCATCGTCTAACTGTAGAAGATCCTGTAACACTAGAATATATTACACGATACATTGCACAAATGAAACAAAAGTACACTCAAAGCAACGGGCGACGACCCTTCGGTTTATCAACACTTTTGATTGGTTTCGACTACGATGGAACTCCAAGATTATACCAAACAGACCCCTCTGGTACCTACCATGAGTGGAAGGCAAATGCTATTGGAAGATCCGCCAAATCTGTTCGAGAATATCTAGAGAAACATTATACAGAGGAAGTTGCTAAATCAGAAAATGAGACCATAAAATTGGCATTGAAAGCGTTAATGGAGGTTGTTCAGTCTGGTAGTAAGAATGTAGAACTTGCAATAATGAGACGTGGAGAACCTCTTAAGGTAACTGAATTTCTAATAGTTAATACTTTCAATTGTCATGATTTTTAATTTATCTTGCTAGATGCTGGATGTAGATGAATTAGACAAGTATATCACCGAAGTTGAAAAAGAAAAAGAAGAAGAAGCTGAGAAGAGAAAGAAAAAACTCTAGAAACTTTTTTATATATAAATTTCATGTGTAAACATGTTAAGATTCTTTTCTTATATACACATTAATGATAAACTGTATAAGATAAGCTCCCATTGAAATCTAAAACTTGTGAGTAATTAATAAGGCATCTTTTAACAAACTACCTCATTAACCTTACTGTAAGAATTTGGTTCTTAGCCTAAGATCCCAAACGAATGAATGAACGATGAGAATGGTCAATATTTTAAGCAATTTATAAATTCGAAAACATTGACCAAATTAACTTATTCAGCATATCCCAAAGTATTGTGAAAAAATATTTTATGTACAAAGAAATAAATCGATAAAAGATAGAATAACTTTTATAATTTAAGCAGCATTATCAGGATCAAAAAGTGTAGCAAAAGTTAAATATCCTGTATGGCCAGGAACAATATGAGCTCTACACCCACTCTTAAACTCAAAGCAATCTTTTCCTTCATTTTGAGTAATATTTCCAAGTGAAGGATTGTAGTCTTGCTCTTCGTTTGTTAAACCCAGATTAGCTATAGGCATACGAATGGTTTTGGCTTCATAAGGTTTTTGAAGGCATTCAAATGTCCTAATGTCTTGAAAGCTATTTTCTTTTAGTGACTCGCATACTTTTTGAACTTGCTCTATACAAGGTGAAAAAGAGCATACCCTTCCCATATGCTTTAAGCATTTCTTTGCATGAGGAATAGCAGTCCACGGACCTGGAAGATCTAAAAATACCGCATCTGCAATTCTTGGTAAATCAAATCCATTTTCACAAACATCTTGCTGTCGTGCGGTGACATATTTAGCTACTTGATGCTCGTCAAACTCCTTTTGAGCAAGCTGAACTCTTTCTGCATGAAAGTCAAAAGTATGCAAATGTCCATCTGGAGCAACAGTCCTTATAAGAGCATGTGAAAGAGAGCCGCTACCAGTACCGCTTTCCACCACAATCTATTTGGACATTAAAAATTAAAATCTTTCAAATGTGTTGCTTCAATGAACACTTACCGAGCCATTTCGCAGGTCTAACTGGTATATCACCATTGATATGTCTGTCGAGTAGAGAATTTGAGTTCTATGAGGTAGGGCTAGAGTCCATATCTCTGGAGTTGGCTGTAAAACGTGAATATATCCTTTTGAGCATGTAACTTTAGAGCCGAACTTCTCTCCGATTAAAGAATCGTGCTTTAGAGCACCATATTTTGTTTGATGAACTTTACCAGCCTCTACTTTTAAAGTAAGCAAATTATCATAACCTAAATAGAGGATAACAATGTCTCCTTCTTCAATTATATCCTTGTAAGCTATAAAAGACATAGTAACATGTGCGTATACCAAAACCGGAAGTGTTCACTAAGTTTTACTTTCGTAAATGTATTTATTTTAGAATAATGTTACTTAGCGTATAACTATTGGGAATTCCACTTGGCACGTAAATTGTAGACTTATAAAAAAATTCGAATTTGAGAAAAAACCAAAACATACAAAATGTCGTCAGCAGCTGGTAAAAATCTTTTAATTTTAATATTTTTCCTTTTGAGCAATTTGTAAATTCTTGTTTTTCGCAATTCTAATGTATCATATGGATTTTAATATTTCAGACTCAAATTCTGATGGACGTCGAAATAGAGGAATGCTTAAATCATATTATACACAAGGAGAGAACTCCGGTGACAAACAATTTGACTTAGATGATTCTTCTTTCAAGCCAGATCAGTACCTAGACTTTCTCCTAAAGAAAAGTAGTCTTAATGAGCTTATGCACCAAGAGGAAGAAATTGTGCAAAATATTAGAAGTCTTGACTCTGAGATGCAAACTTTAGTTTATGAAAATTACAACAAGTTTATCACAGCAACAGAAACAATTAGGAAAATGAAGTCTGATTTTGGGCAGATGGAGGAAGAAATGAAGGCCTTATCAGAGAACATGGACAATATATGTGATCTAAGTAGTTCTGTAAGTGATACTTTACAACAGAAACGATCAGGAATAAGGAAATTAGCTGGTGTTCATACTTTACTTCAAAAACTTCAATTTCTTTTTGAACTACCAGCAAGATTGAAAAAGTGTATTGAGATGGAAGCTTACAATCAAGCTGTTAGATATTACACAAGAGCAAGAGCTGTTCTCAATCAGTATCAACACATGCCAACTTTTGCAGGAATATCTCAAGATTGTGGTAGTATAATATATGAATTAGGTAATGCTTTAAAAGAGAAACTGAGAGATTCTGAGGCCTCAAGTAAACAATTGGCTGAATATGTCGATTTGTTGTTACAATTGGAAGAGCCAGCTGATTCACTTTGCGATGAATACTTGATAAGTGCCAGAAGCAGAGTAGATGAGAAAGTTCAAGAATTGGAAGATGTTTTAGAAGATAATAGCGTCGACATTCTTGAATTTGTAGATATTGGATGTAATGGTGTTTTGAGTAACGTTAGCCTGTTGGTTGTTGCTTATAATGACATGTTCTTGAACAGGGCAAAAGCTAAGTAAGTATATTCTAATTGCATTAGATTCGATTCCCTTGCTTACAGTAAAAGATAAATATAACAGTGTCAACAAATTTTGGGATCCCGACTTTTGTCATCAACTATTCCAGTCTTTGTGGTACATTTTCGTTTAGATCGAGGTTGTGGGTCACCAAAAATTGTTTTTTTTTTTTGCATAAATTACCATCTTTTCATATCCTTTATCATCCTCTAATTTCATGTAGATCGTTAGTAGATTTAAGAATGTTTAAGGGTTATTCGATACTTTAGCATTGAAATAAAAACGGGCTTCTATTCATAAAAATGAATTATAATTCAAAAGATGAAAGAATATGTACTTAAGACTATATAATTCTACGGAATTTGCTATTATGCTTCCCTTATTTTGAAAAAAAGACGGTGTACGTTAATGCCAATTTATAATAATATATACAGTAAATCCAGTACTTACATATTCTTCTGTCTACATTGAATAATCTAAATATTGTCCCTGTTTAAAATCTAACTCGTATAGTTGTTATTAATAATTGCACAATTATCGGATATGGTTTTGGGATTTGGGAATATATCTCTTAATAGCATTTTTTATACATTAAAATTGATATTCTATTAATAATTGATTTTTACAATTAGATATTATTATTTCAGTACTGAATTGGATTCAATAGCTTTACAAAAAGTTTCCGCTTTAGTTAAAGAAATTCTTCATAAATTCTTCGAACTTATTCAAAAGAGAGTTCAATTAGAGAAGCAGACTGGAGATAATGCAATTCTCGTTAGAGCTTTGGATAGATTTCATAGGAGATTACAAGTTGTATTTAATATTTCTTTTTTATTTCTCTGTTTTATAAACTATTCTTTGTTTCTAGGCTATGAATAAACTTTTACCGACTGCGGAACTAGCAACTTTAGCAACAGAAATCGTTTATAACGCAGCTAAAGATCGAATAGATCATTATTATCAAGCATTAACCGATCATTTGGGACATTGTATAACAGATATTCGTCAGGCACTCGCCGCACCGAAATTAATTTCGAGTAACCTAGACGAGAATAGTTCAACGCCTCTTCAGAACCTCGTACAAACTAGCGTTTCATCTTTGGTAGAACAGATCAAAGCCGTTTTAGCAAATTTGCAAGCTTTCATTGCAACTGATATAACATTTGCTATGAAGTCAACGTTTAGACGACCGTTTTGTTTTGATGGTGTTAGAGAAGGATTGGTTGTAAGATTTTTAAGAAGAATGCTGGAATATCTTAATGAATTATGTGAAAAACCTTCGGGACCCGGTAAATACCATTATTACATATCAAAGTTGAAAGATTAATAGTCAATCTTTTTTTTTTGACAGCAACTCTCCTATTGCTTCTCTCTAAATTAGCCACTATCTTAGAAGAAAGTACTATTGGATATTTACTGGTATTAGTGGATGAACAGTTTTTAATAGTTCAAGAAGGCGATGTGCAGTTTACAAATCCTCAAACGTTAAAAGACGAGGCAAAGGCTGCTGCTAAGAAGCTACTTAACAACTACGTTCGATTAGAAGGCCAAACTCTATCACATATGGTTAGGAAAAGTGTAGAAACTCGCGATTGGTTAAATACTATTGAACCAAGGAATGTTAGAGCTGTTATGAAACGGGTTGTTGAAGATACCAGTTCAATAGATAGTCAAGTTGGTTAGTAGGTCAACACTATAATATATTGAATAAGTATGATCTTTCTTTTTAAACTCTTTTTATAGGTCAATTATATGACGATATGGAGGAACAGAAAAAAGATAGAGGTAGTGACTCGACAAAACGCTCTGCTTCAGGCTTAATGAAAAGCTCTAAAACCTGGAGTTTTACTCCTAGTACTACAGCGGCTGTTTTAGATAACTCAGCATTTATGACAAACATTAGCAAACTATTTTCCGATAAAATAGATATATTTAGCGAAGTGGATGCCTCACGAGCTTCAATCATGACTGGAATAATAAAAATTGTATTAAAGACCTTGCTGGAATGCGTTCGATTACGAACTTTTAGTAAATATGGTCTACAGCAAGTTCAAGTTGATACGCATTACCTGCAAATGTATCTATGGAGGTAGTTATAACTAATATTTAACTTATATTTAATAAAAATGTCTTTTCGCCAATAACAGATTCGTTCAAGATGAAAATTTAGTTCATCGGCTATTGGATGAAATCGTATCCAGCAGCTTACACAGATGTATCGAGCCTAGTCTAATGGAAAACAGTGTCATAGAACTAATCTGCGAGCGTGGTTGAAGTTGTTATAAATTATTATTTTTATCAAGAATTGAAATCAATTATCAATTCCACTCTTTTCAATCTGTTTTTTCTTTTCAATTTAACTTTTTCCTCATTAAAAGACAGTCGTCCAATTCTCAAAATTTATATTCATATATACAGTCATGTTGTATATATGGTCAATTCTAATATATAATATAATAAAAATACGTTAAGAAGATACGTCGATTAGCTCCGTAATATTATATCGATTATAATGAAAATCGATAAGCCATTCAATGGTGGTTTTAATTTTTTTAATATAACTACTTTAGGTGACAAAAATTTGCTGATACGGGACACTGCCTAAAATAGAATAAATGGAAATTGGAGGGAAGTACACGACTATATAATTTGTTTAGATGTTTCCTGCTTGAGATTTATGGTATTATAGCGAACAGTGTTACATTGCATAGTGACAATGTAATCTTTTCACTTCGATTCTTCCTTAACAGAGCTACATACATTAAAAATCAAATAGTAGGTGTATATAGATTTTTTCAAATTTTAAGGGTCATACTATATTACTCTATCGCTTCATTAAACTAATAGCGCTGAATTTGAAACACTATTATATGGTTAAAGAATAAATTAAGTCTTTAGGTGATTATATTACAAAACAGACTCTAATTAGATTTTTTGAAATTGCCGCTATAGAAACATAAGCATGGATTTCTATTCCAAAAATAGAGTAGACTACATTATTACAGTTAAGGACAGGGTACCAGTTAAAAGGCGACCTCTATTGAATGAACTATAGATCGCCTTCTAACCACTGAATTCTGTTCTTCAATCATTCAATTATCGGGTCAATCACTGCCTTACTACGTACCAAAGCATTCAAGTACCAAATACAGTAAGCCAGGCATGCTAGCGGTAAGTTTTCAAGAGAATTATTTCGTTGAAATCTAAGAACTATCTTTGAGGATATCAAATACTGAACGAATAAAATGTCTACTCGAAAATAGGAGTTTGAACATGGCGTCTAGCCAAGCTCAAGCTTTTAAACACGTATTCGTACTCTAAGGTTGCAAGATATAAAGACCAATCTTACATAAAAACTACTTTGAATGATTGTAGGAATATTCTATTAGCACTTTACAACTTGCACACGTTGAAATTTCTAAGTCTCTATTCTCTATTTCGTTATCATTGTGGAGCTTTAAATAGTCGTATAACCATTATAGATTTATAAAGGTTGAATTTTAAATTTATTTATTTTAACAGGGAAACTCATCAACGTCATTTGCCCAATCATGGCCTATTATGGAGCCAACTGTTTTAAGTCTACTTCGGCAGCAAAATGTATCTCATGACCAGTGGCACGATCTTTTTTTGTAAGGAGTCAGTAAATATATATTTTCAGTACTATATAGTTATATTTTTCAAAGGCATGTTCATAAAGTTTGTTTGTGGGATCCTAATGGGGCTCAATCCTTAAAGTCTAAACTTGAGGAAGAGATCTCGAAGTTTATTAGTCAAGCTCAGCAAAGGGTTGTTCAACACTCAGAGGACTCTGCTCTATTGAAAGCCTATATAAGCGAATGGACTAAATTTTTTGAGCAATGTGTATATTTACCTCAGCCGTTTAATCAACTAGAAGTTAGCTTATCGGGCAAATCTGGATCCAGCACTGCTCATCATACATCTCGAAAAGCGCAAGAAGATAGTATTGTTAAAAAAGTATTAATTTCAAATCAGTTTGAGCAAATCTGTTGAACTAAAAAAATATTTTTCAGCTTATGTTGGATACATGGAATAAGACAATTTTTAATGATATTAAGGAACGTTTGCAGAATAGTGCCATGAAACTAGTGCATTCAGAAAGAAATGGAGAAGCTTTTGATAGTCAATTAGTAATTGGGGTTAGAGAATCTTACGGTTAGTGAGACATTTTGCGAGTAATTGTACTTAAAGAATAAAAATTTTTCAGTTAATTTGTGTAGTGAAGCGGAAGATAAGTTAAAAATATATAGAGAACACTTCGAAAGGGCTTACATAGAAGCAACAGAAGCGTTTTACTCAAACAAAGCACCAGCTTATTTGGACGAAAATGGTGTTCAGAACTACATGATTTATGCGGAAGAAAAATTGAAGGAGGAAGAACAACGCGGTAATCGCTATTTAGAAACCAGACAAGAAAGTATGTCCATGCAAACTTTACGAGATACCTGCGTTGATATCTTAGTGAAAAAATTTCGAGAGCAAATACTTGTGGAATGTCCTAATATGATTAAACAAAACGAAACTAAGAAGTTGGAATTGATGTTTAAATTAATGGACAGGGTAGGCACCGATGGTGTAAATCCCATGCTTGAAAGCCTTGAAAATCACATCTTCGATGCTGGCATTGCCGATATGATGGCAGCAGCTAAAACAATCACAACTGATTCAGAAAAATATGTTGAACGACTTCTTGATCTCTTTAATAGATTTTCATTACTAGTAAAAGAGGCCTTCAATGATGATGCACGATTTATGACATCTCGGGATAAAGCTTACAGACGCGTTGTGAATGATTTGTCTATATTCTGCCTTGAATTACCAGTCAAATCTTCGGGTGCAAATGTTAGATGCCAACCAGAATCTAAATGCCCTGAATTATTAGCCAATTATTGCGATATGCTATTAAGGAAAACTAATATTAGTAAAAGATTAACCAGCGACGACATTGATGCGAAATTAGCATCTGTTATTCTGGTATTAAAATATGTATCAAACAAAGATGTATTTATGAAATATCACAAAGCACACTTGACGCGGAGACTTATTTTAGGCACATCAGCGGATGATGATAAGGAGGAGAGAATGGTCGAACAATTGAGAGAAGTTGGTATGCCAGCGGACTATGTTAACAAACTGCAGAGGATGTTCCAAGATATAAAGGTTAGCGACGATCTTAATCATAGGTTTAAATTAGACGCCAGGAATAACAATGAACCAACGGCGGAATCTCTAAATATCAAAATCTTGAATGACGGAGCCTGGTCTCGAGCTAGTGACAAGGTTACCGTGAGCTTACCGGTTGAATTAGAAGATTATATACCTAAGGTGGAAGCTTTTTACAAAAGAATGCATACTGGAAGGAAATTGCAGTGGCAGCATCTATACTCTAATGGAACCGTAAGTTAAAATCGATATAATTTTAGAACCTTCATTAAATCATACCATTTCAGTTAACCCTTACGAACGAAGTTGGTAAAGTTGAATTAGAAGTAACAACATTTCAAATGGCTGTTTTACTTTCTTGGAATCAACGACCAAAAGATAGGATAAGTTATGAAGCACTTCGTTTATCAACACAATTACCAGACTCAGAATTACGCAGAACTGTTTGGTCTTTGATTGCTTTTCCTAAAATGAAAAAGCAGGTGTTATTATGCGAACCTGAGATTAAAAAACATCAAGAAATTGATGATTCAACACTATTTTGGGTCAACCAACAATTCTGTATAGTAACGTAAGTGGTTTTATCTTGATAATATAAATATTTAAAAATTTTTTTCTATATATAGCAAAGGTAATAAAGTACTGCATAAAGGTAAGGTCAACTTGATTGGACGGCTGCAGCTATCGACTGAAAAATCAAAGAACGAAGATAATGAAGGCATTGTTCGATTGAGAGAATTAAGAGTTCAAGAAGCAATCGTTAAAATTATGAAAATGCGAAAAACTGTAACCAATGCGGCTTTGCAAACCGAATTAGTAGATATCCTCCGAAACATGTTTCAGCCTTCGAGAAAGATGATTAAGGAAATGATTGAATGGCTGATAGAGCATAAATATATGATGCGTGACGAAAATGATATTAACTCCTTTGTTTATCTGGCTTAAACCAACCTTGGCAAAATGATAAAATATTGCGTTTTGTACTGTATCATTGTTGCGCTTCATTTTTACTATGCAGTTTGAGCGTTTCTAATAAATTTTTGTTCTGCTCAAAATTTTAATTGAATCGGAATAGTAAAGAAACAAAGCATTTAAAAGTAACCACGTAGCATTTTAATTTTTATTTAATCTCTACCGAAAGTGTGGGTTATCTCTGGCCTATCAATTCTATAAAGATACTTTGGAATAGAGAAATAACATCTGTAAACAACTTCGTCCGGCGTAACATCATAGTGATAATGTCCGGCAGTGTCCTCAGCTAGCCCATGAAAGTGCTCAACCCGAATATCCATATCCGGATCATCTGAAATCAACCATCCTACAGCAGTAAAAGGTGCTGGAATTTCATAAAAGTCAAGCCAATTATTAACGTCCTCATTTGACTCAATGGGCTCCTTGCAAAAATCTGGCATGCAGTGTATTTTAACTTTTCCTTTTTCTACATTAAATGTACCGCACATTCCCACAATTTTGTCTTTGTATTCTTCTTTGAGAGTCTTTCGAACAGAAGACATTATATTTTCTTCTGAAATTCTTTTGGAAACGACAAGTTCGATAACCTTTCCTGGCTTTCCATCACAGAATCCTAAATTACCAAGTAGACCGAATTCGGCGCATGGGGCCTTTTGAACTTTAACTTTTCCATTTATCGATGTACCAAGTTTAGTATTAAGCTTCTCACTGCCGTTAAATTTTACATCGCAAATCATTTCAGCATTCATTCCAAGTTTATGAAAAGGTCCGGCGCCAGCTCCAAACACGTAGGCATCTTGTAGTTCGACAAGTTTACACAGTTCCTTTATTTCGTACGTGTGCTCTTTCATAACTTTTGGCATCAGATAAGGAACTCCTCCAACATCAGCAATACGTACATTTCCGCACAATCCTTCTGAAATAAGATTGAACGGGGCGTTAGTCAAGTTGGGACAGTCGACAACAGATGCTGTAACATTTTGAAAATGAGCTTTCATAGATTTTTCTAAAACTGCGGCCAAATCCGAAAGCTCCGGACAATACAAAGAGAGTTTCTCTGTCTTTAGGTTCGATGTCATTGTTCAACTTTGAAAGATGAAAAGGAACAATAAATTGAATTCTCTTTTATAAGTTTATAAAACGCCCAGTACGATTATAGTTGTCTGCTAGTCAGTAAAAGCGCCACCTCTTGTCTCAAATTTCATCACCTCTTAGACTGTCATCTACTTCTTAAAATTTAGATAGATGTTAGCATTAAAAGAGAGCATCCTAAATAATTTATACTTTCCAAGGTTGATTCCCAAGTATCGAGTAGTTTATGAAAAAAAGAACTCTTAAACAACAAATAAGACGAAAGCTCTAAATTAAAAAATTATCCTGTGTATGGAAAAGAAGAAGAAGAAAAGGGAAAGTAAGAAAATTTATAGAATTTATATACTTTAAACGACATTATTGATAACAATAAGACGATAAGAAGAGAGGTAAAGATATAAAGGAACAATTAATAGTGAACAATTTTAGAAAATAATCTTATAAAGGTCATTTGTCTACTTTTTCATTAAATTTTCCATTGAATTTAAGGATCTTATGTAAGATACTGAAAATATTACAGATTCGAAAGTATGTTCCCCAATATCGTATTCTCTGATACAAGTATAAACCTCTTTCATATTTTCCATAGATGCAAACAATTGACCTATTGATACGTTTGGTGGGACGCTAAAGTATAGGCGAGCTTGTAATAAATCAACGTGATATCTCACTGAGTCGGGAACATGAATTTGGAGCCACCTAGATATTGATTGTCTATCAATTTTCATTTGCCTAGTACTGTCAAATGTCATTGATATACGAATTCTACTTCCGGGGCAAAAGCATTGGCGAAGATACGGAGCTGGTCCAACTGCTCTAAGTACTCCTACACAAAAAACTGCCATTCTATCGGCCAAATTCTCAAATTCTACTGGATTTTCAGTACTTAATACAATAGTATGGCCCCTTGCTTTCAACATTCCTAAGAGATTCATAAAGATTTTCTTTGACTGAAAGTCGATATTCGTTGAAGGATCTCTGATAACTAGTAGTTGTGGAAAGCCGATAATTGTTGAAGCGAGGACAAGCCTCTTTTTTGTTGATTCAGATACCGTATCAACTTTCATATTCATCATTGGTTTTAGAGCGCAGAGATTTGATATATTTCTTACATGTGATTTAGCAGCTTTCTTCGATATTCCACGAAGCCTGGCAACAAAATTTAAAGTTTCTGCAACAGTTAACTCTCCATCTGGAATTATATTATTGTCAAAATAGCTTTTCTGCATGTTCTTTCTAAAGTAAACAACACCTTTACTAGGTTTTATTGAACCAGCTATTATTCTTAAAAAAGTTGTTTTTCCACTATTTTTCAATCCTGTTAAGCACATTAGCTCCCCTCTTTTAATACTGAGATAAACATTTTCAAGTTTAATTTCTCTATTGATTTTACTTAACGATTGTATGTCGTATTTTGTTATATTTTGAGCAACAACATCATAGTCCGTTTGCTCGAATTTTGGACACAGTATTATACTTTTTCTCTCTTTAATTGCACTTGCATGCAATGATAGATCTTCGCTTTTAAGTCTACTTAACTTCATTCTTTTTTCTAATATTGTTTGTAAAACAGGTCGATGACTTTGTAAAAGAATTAGTAGCATCATCGCAATGAAAGTTTGTATCATAAAGATTATGCAAAATCTTCCAAGACCAGGTTTTGCAAATGATAATATATTGTCAGCATATCTTACGCAATGACTACCTCGACATTCCTGACAGCAAGCTAATGTCTGTCTAATTCGCAATGGTTCATTTTTACATTGTTCCCTACGTATTAGCCTTTCGTTGCATTGTAGTTTATGGTAATAATTTATATGAAAAATTTGGTTAGATTTAGCCAAAATTACTTGAGGAGCTAAAAGGGCTACTGAGTTCATGCACATAAATTTCGATCCACCAAGTTGTTCCCTTAGATAATCTCTCCCTATTATTATAATTGTTATCGATAATCCTACAAAAATTTGTTTATATAGAAAAAACATAATCTTATCATCTAGATATAAAACTACTACCAAAACAAACAACGACAAAAAGTCCCACTCTAGGCGATTTAAATATTTCAGCGATTAAGTAGGTCCAACTCAATAGGGTTACTGAAAAGAGGAAATAAATCACCAACATGGGCCATTCATAACCACTCTGACCCAGGGCAGTAAAGATGAAGCCAGTAGGGAATAGCAGACATGACATAAAAAAAATCTCAAAGAACCATATAGCCAACCAATATAATTTTGGTGATTCTATGTAATTTATGTGCTGCGACCTTATACCATTCCTCCTATGTCTAACTGGGAGGATAATAAAGAATCCTAACGGTGAAAATGAAAAGTTGTATTCGTATAGAAAACTACAATATGATGTAAATACAACCTAAAAATATTATTAGGGAATAAGTTAATATCCTAGCCCTTAAATGAGACCATAATAATTTAGATTGGCCAGTTGCTTTATTGAAAGTAGTAATAGCTTTTATCCTAGGAGGTAGTGGATAATTTCGAGCGATAATAGAAAATTGTTCTCCCGCGAAATTCTTCAGTAAAGTATTAGATATCGTGTTAACAGCCACAGCGGGAGAATGTAAAGCCGAAGAGGAATAGAAAGCTGCTAAAGTAACCTTCTCTCCGGGTAAGAATAAATAAGCAAGAAAATATCTTTGGTTAAAATATCCTTGATGCTTAATTCGCAACTGTTGAAGTTTCTGTTCGAATTCTCTGGCAGTTTTGTTCTTTAGGTGAGCGCTAACATTCTTCAATGGTATATTATAGTATTTAAGGTGATTTCCAATTATTTTACTTAATTTTCTTAAAGACGGACTTGCGAAATAAGGAACCTCGCTAAATAATATAATGAAATATTGCATTGGTTGAAAAATCAAATAATGTTAAATTTAAAAACTAACCGTACCAATCTTTAGAAGCATAGGTTCCAGCGCTCAATTCTATTGGAGGCCAATTAAGGAATTCGGTGGGATTATCGCCCTGAGTCCAAACAATTACCCCAAATACTGGACTAAGGGCTAAAAGTAATAGTATTGGCCATAATCTAATATATACTGACAACCTGTATTCGACAAGAGCTAACAATTTCTGTTTCATTTCAGTAGTTTTCGAATTAGTATAATATTTAATATTTTTTAGCTTAGATTTTCCATACATCATCATAGCGGTAAATGTTTCAATATGATAATCATCTTTATTATCACTTGTTATTCTTAATTCTCCCTGTTTGTTTTAATTCCGATGGAAAATATGATTGAAAGACTCTCTTGAGTAAGATTAAGAAAATTACCAACCTTATATATCTTATCGTAGACGTCGTCGTATGATATAAGACGTAGATTAAAATTTCTATCTTCTCTATAAACCTTAGAGAAAAGTTCGGCAAACTTATTGGAGGAATTGAAAGGTAAACGATACGAAATCGTATTTTTTTCTTTTTTTATTATTGATAATTTCCTAATTGATGAAGAAACCATAGTATTTAGATAATCTATATCTAATTCAGTTGTAAAGTTAAAAGACAGTTCGTAGCCTATTCCATAAGTTTTTGCAAATGATCTTTGTGATCCGACAAATTGAACAACCCCATTTGCAATTAGACATATAGTCCTACAATCTAATATTCTTACTTCGGACATATTTGTACTTGTGAGTATGATCGCCCTACCGACTTTTAATTCTTTTATCGTATCCCATAAACGTTGCCTTTTCCGAAAATCAATCATTTTTGATAGTAAATGATCAATAACAATTATCTCTGACTGACCTGTCAACGCTATACAAAAATTGAGAATAATTCTGTCATCAGATGTGTAACAAGAAGCTTTGGAATTTTCTAACATTTCGAATTGTTGCAGAACGTAGTCAATACCTAATTTCCCTTTCTTAGTTAATAGTCTAGGCATTTTATCGTAATTACTCCAGTTTGAAATTGCTTGAATTCCTTTCAGACTATGATAGAATTCAATATTTTCAGCAATAGTTAAATTAGAATAAATAAGATCGTAATCTTTAGATAAGCTAATTAAACTCTTTGATCTTTGATCTTTTGTATTTATACCACATACTGTTATGTCACCAGAAGTAGGCAAAGTATTAGAAGATATCATCTCCGCTAAAGCTGACTTTCCGCTCTTTGGTGGACCTAGGATTACGGTTATTTCATCAGTAGGAATTTTCATGGAGAATGGGGCAACTGTTTCTGTTCTTAAAACTCCCTTTTGTACAATCTTTTGAATATTATCTAACTGTACAGCTAAAGAATATTCCCTATAATAATCATCTGACTGACAATGTTCCCTTTCAAATCTACACATCCAATACTTAGAGGAGAATAAAAAGTTCCAAGACAAACCGAGACCATGTGGAGCAGGTGCTATATGAGCGGTGAAAAATAGTAAAAATAAATATATAAGCAAATTTGCTATCATATGGCTCATTTCTTGAAATATTTCGTCTGGAGGAGAACGATATATTGTTTTATAAGTCAGGGGAATGTCTAAATAATTTATTTTTACCGTCTTTATCATGAAGAGCTTTTCTTAAAGTCTTTCCAAAATTGATATGAGTAATTAACAATCTTGGAATAAGCATGTAGAAGTAATTTTCTTCAATGAAATATTCAACAAACGTTGTTATATAAAAGCAAACTTGAGTAGTAATAGGAGGTAAACCACCTGCAATAAAAATCAAACAAATCTTCAGTTAAGATACTGTAACAGTTATTATAGTAATTCTAACTGATAATATTCAAATTCACTAATAGAGGAATAAGTAGCATGACGGATGTTAAATATAAAATCCATGTTGTCAAAACCTGATTAGTTAATTGTCTACTAAAGATGCTGTATTTACTTCCTATCATGGATAGTAGAAAAATCAGAGATGGAAAGGATAAAAATACACTGGTCGAGGCAATTCGAACAATATAGATTTCTTTGTGTAACGCTCCGTGTAAGATTAAACCGCAATATTTTCCTTGTTTACTCCTCCTCATTTGAGTTAAAGTTTCACCGATTAAAAATAATCCAATAACAATGGTAACCGATAGAATGAGTGTAGAGTCTAAGAATTGTCCATAATTTCTATTATCAGGTTTTAAGAATTCTGGAAATCTCTGTTCAAGAGAATAAAAGTTCAATTAATTGTATTTATATGTAATTCTTTAATTAACAACTATTAATTGATAAGTAAATCGTGATAGATTTGCTCTTGGTGCTTGAAGTTCTATTATTGTAGAATCAATTAGCCATTGTAATTCAAGAAAGAATTGCTTAGGTTTATCGACTCTTGGAGGTTCGTAGATGTATGCTATAGGATTCATAATCTCAGTGTTAATAAGCGTTATAAAATTTAGATAAAATTTCGTATACGCTGAGGAAAAGTGAAGTATGGACCATCTCTATTTAGAATTTTTGTTCTGGTCATCCATTGATCAAATCCCTCCACACCCAAGGGATCGGAATGCATTCTTAGATCGTACTTAATCTTTTCTGGTAAAGTGCCTTTATAATTTTCTGCTTCAGGGAAAATTACTGCAGCCAGTATCGAATTCCTTTTCTGAGAGCAAGGTATGCTTTGTCTTCCGCTCTCATTAAAGTATCTCTCTAATTGAAATTCTCCGGTAAACGGTAGTAAATGTAGATACTCTCCACATGTTTCATTTCCAGCTAATCCAGACCTTGCCTTTCGTGAAGCACAATCTAACTGACCAAATCTATAGTAAATCGAAAAGTGATGTATTAGTTCTATATTTTTACTAACGAGGAGAAAAAAGAAGAATTTCTGAATAAATTGGAAGCATACCTCTCAGCAAGCTTTTTCATAATTTTCTCGGTGATTGGGGTCCAGGGAGCATATGCTAAATGATTATATATCATTCCTTGACTCAGAAAGAAATCGCATACTGTAAATAAGCTTCATTTAGAGAAAGCATGTGTTTTTTATACTTGGAAAAAGAGTAAATTCACCTGCAAAGTGTAATAATCCAGTTTCGAGCGAATAAGGCTTAAAAGTATTCATATAATTCTCATATTTCTTTTCAAATTGTACATGTTTTGATCTGTTAACTTTTATTCAGTACAGATAACAGTGTACAATTATTGAGAACTTACTTAACGTAATTATTCAAGCTTATAATAAACATTGGCAGTAGAATATATGATAGAAAATAATGAAATATTTTCCTATGAAGATTAGTCAAATTATCTCTTAAATGTAAAACTAATATTAAAAAAAATCTCCTCCATGAAAACTCATCTCGCTCCATGTTTTTTAAATATTAAAAATTGACGTCTCTTCTCATAAGCCTAGATAACTACATTGTCAATCAAGATAATTTTAGGAGTTTGGTAGGCTTTGTTTTTTTTACAAAAACAATGGATTATTCATAAATTCAGAAACAGTTTCGATGAAGTTTAAAAATACCATAACTGTATTAAAACGTTGTCAATCAATTGAAAATATATACATATATATATATATAAATATATATATATACAGTATATATTTATATTTATATTTATATATAGTTCTATATATATAAATATATAACAACTATTCTTTTTATTTTTTGTTAATGACTCAAAAAAGTTTTCATCGCATAAATTTATAACAATTATACAATTTTCCTTATAAATTACAACGATATCAGCCGTAACTGTCATGCGTTGTCGATTCTTGCTCAGGTGTTGTTTGATTTTCTAATTTTTTTTCTGAATTATCACCATCGTCGAAATTCAGTATCTTTCTCTGCCTTTGTCGCAAGTACTGTTGTTGTTTATAATAAATTTTCATACAGCCTTTTATCGCAACAAAAGCAATTCCACCCTGTTAACATATTTGTTAAAATGTTATAATTTGCATTATAAAGAAAATAGTTTTTAATTTATAAAAACATCTAATGATAAAAAATATGTTACCAGTAATGTTCTTTGGAAGTTCGAGTTGACATTAGAAAATAGAGCTTTACCAACAACAGTTGCGACAGTTGGGAAAGCCATTGCCCCGCATAAAACTCTAGTTGCCGATAAAGGATATTCAGTTATTGGTGGGGTATATTCTGTATATTGTCTTGTCTCAGTATCTATTTTGTTTTAATCACATTTATAATCAAAATGATTTATTTAATGAATTTATTTGTTATTATATATGGTGTTATTTATATCAGCTTTCTTTCGATCAAGGTAAAAAAAACCGCTTTTAAACTATACATCTATCGTTAATCACAAGTGAGTGATAACAGGTTTGTGCGGCAAATTGCTATCAGAATGAGTAATTACGTATTTCAAAAAAACAAAAATAATGAATAGGTTTACCTCCAGGCAAAAAAATATTCAACAAAGGAATTTTACTAGAATGTTTTCTCCACAATTTTAAAATATAATCCTCCCATTTTATCATTTTACTTAATACCAACATTAGCGGTATTGTTGGTAAGCCAATCAAGAGGAATAAGGGATCTGCACTTTCCATCACGTTAAGGCCTTCCTTATGACCTAAAACCTGTAATATTTTCTCATGGTTATATATTTCATTTTATAATTAACAGAATCTAATTAAAAACTTGTAGCATGAAATATATGTTTACTGACCTGCATAACTGTAACTGCTCCATATGTTACCGCTGTCCAATATACCGAACCAATAAATATTCCACCGGCTAAAATAGGTGATAATTTTTGTGCAATTTTATCGCTCAATTCCAAAACATAGACGAATTTTCCAACTTTTGGCAAAATAACTACATATTCAGTGTTACACTGAGGGCAAGAAACTTTTCGTGATGGCTGACCTTTCTGTTTTTCATCAAACCATCTAAAAAGTAATAGAAAAATTTAAATTATTCGATTTCTAATAAAAAATTAAATTTGTGACATCTACGTTCTACATAGAAGAAAAACATCATTTAGTTGTTACGCCGAAAACATGATACGATCGAATGATAAGCTTATATTGATATCACTCAAACGAACGATTGAATAGTCTTGTGATGAATATTGAACATTATAAAATACCTTTGCAAACAGTGTTCGTGAACCCATCTAGAACTTCCTTTACATTTGCATGGATGAACCCATGGTACATCTTTTGTATCATCTTCTTCGGTTCCATAACAAACCCAACAAAATTTACTAAACACAATTATTGTCATTACTATAGCATAAAGACGATATAAAAAATCAAAAACTTACTGCCTCTCTTCGTTACGAACTTTGGTTGTTACAGACGAATTATTCATGTCTAAAACAATACCTCGCACGTTGCTGACTGAAGGCACAAGAATATCTCCTTAAAAGTCTATTAAAATATATTTTCAAGTCAAGTATTTTAAATAGCAATCCACATGAATAATTTCAGTTGACAAAATAGTAACAACTATATTCTAATCAATTGCAGCGCAAAATAGAATATTGTTTGTATCTTCTAATGACCTTGAACCTTAACTTAGTACGGCATCTGGCCTCATCAATAAACATAAACCTCATTATGAATTTGGAAATATACTCCACATTATCACGTGATAGTATGGCTATAAGTTCCGCGTCAAATTTTTGCTTGAAAACACAACGATTTTTACGAAAACATAGAACCAGTTTACTTAACGACGCGTGGTTCGTGATGTCATATCCGTTTTGGAATAGCGTACCAGGTACCTTTTCAGACATTTAAATACCGTCGTTTTTTTCTACAATTCCCTAAGAATCGAATATTTTTATTATCACATAAAGGTGGAGTAGGTTTTAATGTATAAATTGATATCAAAATGTAAGGCATTTGTTTAATTTGATGTGAGTAAATGTTGGTAATAAGCGCTGCTACGGAAGTTGGTTCGTGCCGAACAAAAAGTGGCTCGGCGTACAATTTCTTCAGCAATTTAATGTGGTGCTTTTCCTGGTAAACAAATATACCTTTCATACAGACTTTTGGAACAAGTCTTTATTTGAACTAATATTCGAGTGTTTTCCGTTGATAGTCATATTTTGGTCTCCACCATTAAACCTGTTTGCTTAGTCTTTTGTTCTTTTTTGTTCTATAAGAAATCGATGAAAAATTTCCTAAAATTTTTTATTCGAAGCTTTAGCTAATCAATCGTTCGAAATTTATAAACAAATAGGACATATTCTTTTTTTATTTAATATACAAGAACGCATATTTGCTGAATAATCGGTGAAAAAATGTTATAGGACCTATGAGACCTCTTTATGATTGATAATCGTTAGCTTACTACTGTAGTAGTAAAGAATGTTATGCATAAATTACTATCGTCCTATAAATAGGTAGGCATAGTCTCAAAAAATTTAATTATTTGTTCAGCATCTATTGTAGTACATTTTCATCACTAACAAACCGGGAAATACCTCAACAGTTTCCATCATTTTACATTTATATCAGGGAATAAAAAACTGATTCCTATCCTCTTTCAGTTTGATTGCGAAGATGAATCAAGAATCCAAACAGGATCTTTGCGATTCTATAACGGAACAAGTGACAAAGTTATGTCGACAGAAACTAACAGAATCACCTGACTTTAAAATGGATGCAGTAGTCAAATTATCAGTTGGTGGGGAGGACTTTGTCATTCAAATAACTAAACATGTAAATAACGAAGAAGCTGAAGAAAAGAACGATGAGCCAGAAGAAATTGGAGCCGTTATGATTAAAAATGAAGTGTTAGATAATTCAATTTTTGAAAAAGAAAATGAAGAGGACGGTGAAAAGGTTAGACATTTCAGTACTTATTTTGTCTTAAGAAATGTTTGGTTAAGCGTAAAATATCACTGAAACATGCGGCGATTCTATTTTAATTAAACGATAAGCCCAAATATTTCTGTACATATTTAATAAATTAATATTGAGTTTCTATTGTATGGTAAAATAGAGCGAACCAATATTTATTTTATTGCTCATGTTTGTCAACATTTATAAACGAACGATGGCAGGACTTACAAAACATACAGCAAGAGATGCACAATTTAATTCAAAAATTTATTTTCACATATAATTGCAGACTCCGACGAAAAAAATTAGACCGGAAGTTAAAATGCACAAATGCGAGGAATGTGAAGAAACGTTTACATCACACGCCAAATTGAGGAAACATAGGATAGCTCAGCATAAACAACGAGCTTTCGAGTGTTCTGAATGTGGAAAAACATTCAAGTAAGTTCTTAGTCACTAACCAAAGACACAATGTCATTATATCTTTTTTGTGACTTATTAGTAAACGTTCAGTTTTGGATCGTCATCTTATAATACACGAACCCGTCAAGAATTTTTCGTGCGCTGTTTGCAGTAAACAATTTAGAGATCAAAGAAGTTTAGATGAGCATTCATCAGTTCATACAGGAGAGAAGCCTTTCCAGTGCCCTCATTGTAGTCGGTGAGTAATTAAACATGGAGTTTTTTAATGCGCATTTTACAATTAAATGCTTTTCTCAGATTCTTTCGCCTGAAGAAAAATATGCGACTTCATATGCGTATCCATACCGGTGAGAGACCTTATCTCTGCGCTCTTTGTGCCAAGAGCTTCAGAAGAAGCGAAGATTTTAGAGCCCATATGCATACTCACAATCGTGATCAACGATTTACTTGTGAAGTCTGCGGTAATGCATTTGGCTATAGAGCATCGCTTAGGCGACATATGAAAGCTCACAATACGGAAAAAGCATTCTCATGCGAATATTGTGGAAAGAGTTTCCACAGGAGGGATCGACTGAATGGACATCTTCGAGTGCACACTGGAGAAAAGCCATACCAATGCGATGAATGCGGTAAATGCTTCAAAGAACGAACACATTTACGAACTCATTGCAGGTTAGTAATATAATCAGTACATTAGTATTAAGAGATTTCCTAGATTATATATTTCTTTTAATATATTGTTTAATTGCAAATCTAATAATTATCATTTATCTGTGGGGTTTTTTTACGATTGCAATTAACCATTTATTAAAAACAGCCAAGGGATATTAAAAACAGGTTTCTAATTGCAACAGATGTAATTAATCTTTATTTTCTTTAAATGTCCAGAAAAAAATTTGCTCTAAATGAGATCTTAAATCCTTCCAAACAGATTATTGCACTCAGATGACGCACAGAAGAAGAACAAAAGAAATTACTCTGTTGCGCAACCCAATCCACAAATACTTGATCGTATTCAAGCTGTTCACGTTGTTGAACAAGATAAGAGTGGAGTTACCCGCTTAAAACCAATAGAAATAACCACATCAAATACAGGAGAAGAGGTGTACGGTCAACCAGTAACAGTAACATATACACAAATGAAAAAAGACAACTCTGTATCAGAGGTGGCTGTTAATGAAACACCTTTGCAAATAACAACGGATTATACATCAGCCAATTTGCATTATCAATGTGGTGGATGCGGTTATATGTATTCATCAAAGTCGGAATTCGAGCAGCACGTGCAACAATGCATGGGAATTTCCCAAGCAAGTTTGACTGTTAGTGACCAAGTACTTCTTTTACAGCAAATTGGCAACTAGATTAGAATAGGGGATGAATTAGGGCGATATGAGAAAAAAATCAGATGTTAAACGTCACGCGTTAAAGCCTTAGATAGAAATAAATATGGTGGTTATCTTAACTCTCTCATTGCAACGTTGTTGAAAAAATACTAGATTTAGGGAATTAACCATTTCCCGTCAAAAGTCAATATTATATTTGTTCTTCAAATTATTCTTTGAACTTTTCTACCATGAAAATCGCTTCTCTTTTGTCATTGTGATACTTTCTAGATTTGAAAATAAACTATCTTACCTCTCGCCCAAAATTTTCAATTAGAAGTGAACAGAAAACACAATATATTAAGTCATTCTTAACCCAAAAATAGACACTGTAAGTATTTTTCTATATACTTTCACTAGTTATTCGTTCAAGTCTTACATTGAAAACTGTTGAATAATGTAAAAGAAATTTTATTTTATCTTATACAAAATTTTATTATATTTTGCTTTTTTTCATTTTTTTTAAAGTGTTTCATGATGTAAAACTAGTGGAAAGAAGCTGTTCTTATCCTCTGCTTTTGCTATTAAATGCATACTTTGTTCGGTATAAATTGTATAACAGATATATATATTATATATATGTATAGTAAACTTATATAAATGAATATGAACAACCACGACAAACTAATTTTTCTGTCTTGTTTAGAATGTGTAAGATCTTATAAAAGACAACTAACTATATGACTATCTTAAGTTGTACTGTATAAATATTTTTTTTATGTATATATCAACTTTACATGAAAAGTAAAGAGACTCTTGTATTTTCTACCTTTCTGTATATTCTATTTCAAGCTTCTGTATCATATGTTGATGTGTTTTCGAAGAAAGTCTGCACCATCTATTTAATATATAACTAGTTAAAGACTACTTTATGTTTTCTTTTTAATCAAGTTTTAGAGACAAAAAGAGCAAACATACAGAATACACTGAAAGAATTACGTACGTAGGTCAGCATTAAAAAAAACTCTAATCAAAGTAAATATTTTCTACAGTTTTCAAAGGACTACTTTAAGAGATAAAATAAATAAGATTACAATAGAAGCAATAGGAGTAGAAGTCGTGTTCGCTGTCGATGATTTTGGTCTAACATTCTTATTGGGATCTTCTTTTAGAGGATCGTAATGAAATTTCATACAATTCTCCTCGTTAGTTTCGTAGAAAAACGCCTCACCCCACATTTTATTACAAAGACCTTTAGAATCTTTATAAACTTCTTCGAACGTTCGACATTGAGCAGAATTGTCCGGACATTGATAGCTTGAATTGCTATACTTGAAATCTGACAGCCAGTTCACAACACATGTCTTGTCATTTTTACAAGCTTTGAACCAATCGTCACAATATGATGAACATATAGGTACATTGGCTATTGTACTATTAGTCTTTTTAAATCTCCATAATTGAGGTTCACACTGTAGAATAAGAAAGTGAAAAATATTTACAAAGTAAGCCTATAAACTTTGGAGAGTATGACGGATAAACATAATAAGAAAAGTAGAAATTATTTTTACCTGGTAAAAGCATTCTTCGTCTCTTAAAAATTGTTGACAAGATTCGCTTAAAGTTCCACACCATTCCCAATGAAATCCTTTGTAAAGTTCTTTAGCATTATTTCTGTGAATCATATCGGCAAGTTCAACTGTACAGCAAGTCATACGTGCGAATGATTTGCAAGCCTTATACTCTTTTGTTTCAGGTGCCGGTTCGTCTCTATGGTATGGTCCGTCTAAGCATTTATCTGGATACTCATCGCAACCGACAAAGACGAAGGGAATTAAACAAATAAAAATACTAAATATCTTCATTCTCGCTCTTTCTCTCTCTTTCTATCTGTCTGTGTATTTTGTTCTTGTTCTTGCAATTGACCCTTCACAAATGACAGGTAACTTAAAAATAGGGTGGTTTTTTCTACCGTATTGTTAAATACTGTATACTATGCTTTAAGCCTACTACACTAGGTACAATTAAAGTAAAAAAGTTTACAAAGGGGGAATTCGTTAAATGACGTCTCGTTTAACCACCGGAACATAGTACGGTATATTGAGAAAATCCTCATAGATTATAGGCTTCTTATCAATATTTTCATAATCGACGACTAAATCGCGAATTTTTCTTTCCCAAATTTGCGGATCAAAAACGTAATAGCGTCCTTGTTCTCTTAATGGCGTTCTTTGATATGGTTCTGTTCCCGGTAATCTGATCAATTATAAACAAAAAATAGGCTAAGCTGCGAGTATTATTCATTTTACCTGGCAATCCAGAGTTGAGAATTGATCAGATATCTCCATCCCCTTCTATAGAGTTCGTATGCAGCAATTGTTTGAATAACGTCACCCGGCTGTAAATAGAACTGGAAAAAGAGAACATCAACACCATATCTTACAACATCGATTAGGGATAAATGCTCATTTATGAATTCGTTAATATGATATTCTTCAGGAACTTCTGCGTCTATTCGATGAAGACAATTGGTCGAGCTTGTAAAGGGCGATAGCATATTTCTTATGAAAATATATAAATATCAGTTAATTAATTCATTTAGTATGTACACAAAAATTATGTTAATTCTAAAGCGACGCTTTCGCCGAAGACGTCACGCGTCCGAGAATACGCTTTGCATACAATTGAATATTGAAGAAAGACCTACCTGTGAACCAGATCTGTCGAGTTCATATCTAAACCCATAGTGGTTAACTCGACGCCAGGAGCTAATATTGTTTTATCTTGATCCTGTTCGGATTGTCTGATGAACGAAAGAAGGCCGGCAATACCGTAATGGTCTTTTATCATATTCAATGGTACTTTGGTAAAAGTTTCACTAAATCTTGTCGTCTTCTTTTCTATTAAATTTTCGTTTCTTCTACAATTTTTATTCTTTTTTTTCGATGATCTTGAACGACTCAATTCGGGAAAATCTTCAGCCGAAATAACAAATTCGGACGAATTAACTTTTATAGGAAGTTCCTGGCAAGATCGATTCAACTTGGCCGCGTAACTAGGAGGTTCAACAACGGACGATAATAAATCGTTACAACTACTCCTTAATGATGGAAATTCATAATTTTGCATCTTCTTCGAAATTTAATGTTAATTAAAAAAAAATAAGACGATCTTTTATGAATTATTCTAACAGAAATATGAATAATCTAGGCCTATGTCAAATCTATAGATTTTCCTAAGAAAAGATAATGGATAAACAAATGAAAATTAATTTTAAAAGACCCAAACAATATGGATCTTCCTATTTTTTTTCTTTATAAAAAAATGTATGATTTTTTTTTCCATGCAAATTTGAATTAGAAAAAAATATTAAATGAGAAATTTAAAAAAAAAAGAGAGAGAGAGAGAGAAGAAGACTTGTTTTTTGGTTATCTTTTCAAATGTTTGAAATATATAGTAATTTTATTTTCATGATAGGAAAACAAAAAAACAATGATAAGTATTGATTCATCTATTTACAAAATAAACTTGATTTAGAATTTAAGTGAAAAGCCTGCGCCTTTTGCTTCGTTAGGTCCGACAAAAAATCCTTTTTCTAGTTTTTCATCTTCTCCAACCAGTTTAGCGTAAGCCTTTCCGCCGGATGGTGCTTTTGGAGAATTACCGTGGCTAGTTCGTTTTGCCGATCCTTTTTCACTTTTAGCAGGCCATGTAGGAAACATGCTTGCTTTAACTGGTAGAGGTGTTTCGCGAAAGTACGGATGGTTTAGAGCGTCACTTGCCGTTATTCTCTTTTGTGGGTTATATGTAAGCAAACGATTCATCAAATCGAATCCACATTCAGTTAAGACGGTTCCAAATTTTTTCTTTAGTTCATTGTATATATGTGTCTTAAATGTACATTTTTTCATAACGGGAAGTTGAGAAACACCTTCCCAAATTTTCTCATTCGGTGTTCCGAGATCCTTAAAAATTCTATTCAGTTGATCTATTTCTGATTTTCCGGGGAACAAAGCCTTTCTAGTTAATAATTCACCAAAAATGCAACCGACAGACCATAAATCAATTGATGTTGTATACAATTTATCTTGTAAAAGCAACTCAGGAGCTCTGTACCAAAGGGTAACAACGATAGGTGTATAGGCTTTTAACGGAGAACCAAATTCTCTGGCCAACCCAAAATCTCCTATTTTCAATACACCTTGATGACTTAAAAGAAGATTGGAAGTTTTAAGATCTCTGTGCATTATCCAATTATCGTGAAGATGATTGACGCCGCTTAAGAGCTGAATCATAAGCGTTTTTACTTCTCCCTGGATAAATGGCTCTTTCATGCTTTCCATCAAGCTTTTCAAGTCATGTTCAACGTAATCCATTACAATAAAAATTTTGTCCATATTACTTCCAACAACGATTTCTCGAACAGTAACAATATTGGGATGTTGGGCTTTCAAGAGAGTGTTAATTTCGCGCAAAGATGTAATTGGAAAACCTTCTTTTTCTCTTTCCATCTTTAATCGTTTTAGAGCTACAATTTCATCTGTTTTAAGATCTCTCGCCCTATAAACCACGCCGTAGGTTCCTTCTTCAATTCGATTTAGACAGTGAAACTCTTCGACATTTCGACATCCCTGTAAAGCTGGTAAGTAAGGGGGTAATTCTGCCTTGAGTTCAAGAGGTGACTGAGGAGGTGTATCCTCTACCTCCACTTCCTCCTCTTTGGCTTTTCTATAAAATCCATCATCTTCAATCGGACTTTCTTCCTCACCTCCTGAAGAAGTATCTCGGCGTTCAACTTTTTTGGGCTTTTCAGCCTCCTTACTGCTTTCAGGTGACGATGAAGAATCCGAAGATGGCGAGGAACTCGATGAAGAATCTTCAAATTTCGATTTAACGCGTCCTGATTTTGAAATACGTCGTACTCTTGACCTACTTTCATCGCTGAATTCGGACTCTTGTTCAAATTCTAAAAAATATTAAATTTTAGGTTGAAATTCATACAGAAAGCTTCTTACTTTGTTTACTTTTTTTCTCTGCATCTTTAAAAGCTTTTTCCAGCTCATTTTCCATCTCATCATCGTCTTCGAATTCTTCAACTTTTTCTTCGGTGTCTTTATGCTCCATGATTTCATCATCTTGCCTATATTTTCTAAGTTTAGGCGTCCTACTCCTTGGTCGTTTACCGTAAGAGCTATCTTCTGAATATCTGTCGTGATCACGTTTCTCTTTTTCTCTAGAACGATATCTGCTTTTTTTGTCTTTTTCTTTCCTTAATCGATCTCTTTCGGCTGTTTCCAATCGTTCCCTTAAGATAAAAGCAAAAGATGGAATTTTCCATAAATCTTTTTCGTATATAGGTACATACCTCTCCTTCAGTGATCTCTCCTTTCTTGATCCGTGTTCGCTGTGCCTTGAATCTGACGATCTGGATAAGGTGCTTTGCAAAGACGGCTTTTCCTTTCTTTCCCGATGTTCATATCTACTTTCACGATAATTTTTTTTGTGTTTATGCCTGTGCTTTCGATATTGGGGTGGCTGAATTGATAAACCTTCACTATGATTTGAACGATGGCTTGAGGAGCTAGAAGACTCCGGACTACTCATAACTTCACCTTGCTCTAAACTTCGCTCAGACATTTGTTAGAACCTGAAAAAAAACAATGTTGAAATTAAAACACTAAAATTATATTGAATTATATTACAGTGGAAAAAATATCGATTTTCAAAGAGTAAGCCCTGTAAAAAAAAGAATTAGATCATTTTGTTGCTATTACCTATTTTTTTCCATATTTAACTATGAATCATAATTTTAGATTTTATATAGCTTGAGTCTAGTTGACAATTAAATGACAATTAAAAATAAGCCAAAGACAAATAAAAACTGTTTACAAATTGCGGAATCAGCCGTTAGCGGCAAATATTACGATTTATATAGATAATATAAGGCTATTATCGCTCACAATCGGCCAAGTGCCCTAGTTCTAAATATTTTAATCAAATTTTAAGCAAATATCGAACTTCTGAACAAAGTATTAGTCAATAAGACACGAAAAGACAATACCCTACCTTTAAAAGTACAAGATCTAGATTCAAAGATCGAAAGAAATGCGTTGTTGTGGACACTAGACTCGAGTATCGAATTGTTTTCGCGCCGATCGTGTTTAATACGACAATTTCAAATTATACTAAATATATAACAACTCTTCTTCAAAATTAAATTAATACGAATATTTACGTAATATTTTCCAAAAATGAATCATAATTCGTTTATTAGGAATTAATAATAAATAATAAACAAGCGAATAAGTATTCAAGGTCTTTCCCGTTTACCGAACGATAGAGCGTTCGAAAATGTTCGCAAAGTTGCGCTTCCTTTATGGGCGAGCAGGAGGGATGCTCCAATGGCTGGATAACCTTGTTGAATTAATTGATTAGCTATAACCTCTGGCCGAAGGTGGTAGGGAGAATCTTTAGTAGATTCGAGGAGTTTATCGTAGATCACAGCGTAATAAGGCGTATTTAGAGTTGAGGAAACCAGATGTCGTTTAAGAACAATATCTAAAAGTTCATTTCGAAATTCTGGCTGAGGCTATGAAAACAAGTAGAACGTTACAAAGAATTAATTTTAGATATTAATAAAAAAAAAGAGATTCAATACCTCTACATGATTTTCTAATATTGTCATAGAATTTTCATAGAGTGAGGTGTGTTCGGTATTTAAGACAATTCTAATAGCGCATATATCTAGATTTAATAGTTTTAATGCGCTAAATAGCTTACTGACAACCTATTTATAAATAATAATAAAAAAAATTATACATATATAGTATATTGATATTAAAATATTAATATTACCTCTTCCCCTATTTTAACACCATCAAGAATACCAGTAATATACTTGGAACTATTTTTATCCATTGTTTCAATTAATTTCAAACAAATACTTAACCAAATTTCATTACAAAGATCTCCTTCGTTAAATTCAGACCAAGATTTAGTTAAATCTGTTATAGCTAAAAATTCATCAGCGCTGTTCGACATTTCTAATAGAGTTTTTATAAGTTCTAAACGTTCTTTAGAATTTCCGATAGTTATATTAGATGAATCTATATTCCAATGTTTCGAGATAATTGTTTTTGTTCTATACAATGCTAATAATGTAGAATCATCCGAATTTAAATCAAATATATTTCCCAGTATATTTAATACTTCAACCCTAATTTTATAATTAATATTCGAATTTGAATAGAATGTTTTAAGTATTGCCATTAAATCTTCTCTCGGTATTAATCGGCTACTGCAAAAAGATGAAAGAATTATATATTATTATTAATGTTTACAATACGTGAGTTTCATTATAAATAATTAACTTATATAGATATATACAATATATATACAATATATTTAATTTAATAACTCTTATTTACCACTCAGTTTCGTATAAATGAACTTCTTTAGCAACTCTCTCTAAATCACGTAATTTCGATTCGTCATTTCTATAAAAAGAAAAAGAATAAAAGAAGCAAATAGACAAAAATATTTTCGTATTGAATTAAAATATAGAAATGTTAAAACTAACTGAATTTCATCAATGATAGTTTTCAACGCTTCGCAGAAAACTACTTTAACAGTCCATCCCGATAGATTATTTAAAGACATAAATTCTTCTACAAACTTTACGGATTTACCTTCTAAAGCGGCTTTTATACAGATTTCTTTAAACTATTAAAAAATATAATATATATATATATATATATATATCTAGGATCAAGTATACTGTATATGCTCAATAAAGTATTACTTTATCTTTGTCTGATCGACACAAATCAACGAGATCTACATATCCTTTCATATCATCCCTTTGCCTGAGATCTTCGAATGATTTCGACGATGTTAAAGATTGTAGATGATTAATAGATGTTTCAAAATGTTTCGCAGCATTCTTCCACGCATTACCATTTGCACTAAATAATAAAAGAAAAATTATATAATAATGACAATTAAACTGTAAAACAAATCATCTTACCCATTAGATAACGATTGAGCCAGATCTAAAGCTCTCTTATTTAATTTAATTCGTATAGAAGTATTTAACTAAAGAAAACAATCGAGTAAACTATTAATAAAAGACAGAAGTACAATTTTCTAATTAACTTACATTTTTCAATGATTTCTCAGAAAATGTTACATCATCCATAAATTCAATTAAATGTTCCGGAATTAATTTAGCTATAAAATTCGTACAATTTTCATAATTTTTCAACCATTCATTCTATAAAAGCAATAAAAAAAACAAAGAATTAACAACGAAACGAATATATAAACAAGAAGAGTTTTATATTAAATGAATGAATAACTTACTTCTTTCTTACAATCACTTTTCCAGAATTTAATACTACACCATATACGATAAACGGCGGATGGTTGTAAGAAATTTCCTTTCTATAATATTCAAATTAATTAATTAATTAATTAATTAAAGATTTAATATATAAATACTTACACCATCCGTTAAATTATATGCAAGTTTGGCTAGTGAATTTATATTATCGGTTGTTAAAATTGGTTCAAGTACGTTAATTGAATTTTCTTTTCCATTTGTTAATTTTTTATAATCTAATTCGATAGATAACGATTTCAGCTTTTTCAATAATTTAATATGTGTCTGAAAATATAAAATGTATGTATAAACAAACAAACAAACAAACAAACAACTTACTGTTATTGATAAATTTGAAATTTCCTTATCTTTATCAATCTTTTCTAAAAGATGAAATATATATAATATTCTTTCATAGTCTCTTCCATCGATAATTGGTAGTACAAAATTTATTATACGATCGGCTAATCTTTCTTCTTGCTTTAAAAGATTTCTCAATAATCCTCTATTTTCCAATCTAGCTTCTATTTCATTGGTTTTTAGTCTAGAGAATTAAATGAATAATTTATCAATTTACGTTATATAATAGAAAATATAATTAAGAAATCCTTACTCTGATTCTTCGAAAAGAAATTCAACGTGCGTCATATATACGTCCCAAATATCAATTTTATATCGTTTAGCCAATTGTACAGCTAAATTATAGACGCCATCTTCAATTGTCCTAAATAAATTGTTTTCAATTTATAAACAATATTTATACAAATGCTATTCTAATCAACTTACATAATAAGGCCTAAAATAGTCTCTTTTTTATATTCTTCGTCATTCATAAACCTCTCAGCGTCAACTCCTTTACCGAGATTTTGTAATTTTTTTGCCTCAACAAATTGTTCTTTGGCCTCTTTAGCGGCCTCTAACTTTTTACCCAATTCACTTTCTGTAGTATTGATATACTTTTCAACATCATGAACACGTTTAAAAGAGAAATCAAGTGTGTTTTTTCCTTTCTGGGTTCCAATTAACTTTAAAGCGTACGCATATATCTTTAAATCTAACGTCACTTCGGTCTTAGGTAAACTTTCAAGATACTCTTCTATAGCAGATTCCTTTAATATGGAAATTAAAGCAAATGGATTAAAAATAGAGTTCTATTTATTAATTAGATGATCAAATACTATACTTACATCGGTAACATTGCTCAAGAAGAGTGAAGATAGTGCAAAATCATTCGATAACGTTTCTCTTGCAAGGTTTATAAGAGCTTTAGAAAATAACGAGGTATCAAGGTCAATTCGTATTCAATAAAAAAATGGTCTACCTTCATTTACATCTTTCTCGGTAATAAGCTGTTCAGTTACTTCTAAAGATTTTTCTAAACTAGCTAATCTGATTACGCAATAATTACGATGAAATGATGTTGTTGGTACAACTGCGTTTAAAGATTCGTAACAAGTTTGAGACTATCAATGAAAAATAGTAAAATATATGAAATAAAATTCAATACAATTGATAAAAAAAAAGAAGCGAAACTTACGAAATCGTTGAAAAAATTCGAATTATTCGCTTTACCTCCAAAAAATGCGTGTAAACCGTATTTTTCTAACATTTTATTATCGCCATTCTTTAAAGATTTATAATAATTTTCGTTGGAAAATAACGCCTGAGTAACGTTTTCGGTTAGGAAATTTTTCCAATCGACTTTCGATAAATTCTTTATAGATTCTGTAAAATTTTTTTCTTTTATCTCATTACTTAATATATCCTTCTCCAATATTAGCTTTGTTTTAATAATATCATCTAATTCGTTCTCCGGACAATAGAGAGATGAATATTTTAAAAAGAATAATCTGTTGATTAATTATTAATTATTAATTGTAAATTAAATATATACAGTCTAGACAGTATATAGCATATACATTAAAATTATATAAACCTGTTTTCATAGCTTGTCTTCTTATCATTAGCCAATAATTTACAATGTTGCCAAACTCCTGGAAAATCAATTTTAATTGCGTTTAAACATTGTCTAACAGCAGTTTCCGAATCATCATTATCTATAGCAGCTTGAATAATTTCCATTAATACAACGCCTTCTTCAATTTTCAAGAGTAGGCCTAATTTTAGAAGCTTTAAAATAATGAATATATAAATATACATTATTGAACGTCAATATAAAGATATAGTTGTAATAATTACTTTATCGGCAAATTTATAAGATGTTTTATGGACTTTTATAGCTTTTTTTATCAATCCTGCCTTGCTATCGCTCAATCTAACTGTTAATTAATACATATATAAATATATATATATAGTATAATCAACTAATATAAAAAGTTAATTACGTTGTAATGGTAAAACATTAGCTCCAAATTCATCTAATAAAATATAAGCTTCTAATAAATCCCATTCTCCTCTAACAGCTTTTGGTTTATCCTTTATCAATGATAGGCAACTCCTGAAATAATTTACATAAAATATCAGTAAATATCTATTTATACAGTAAACTATTTGCTGTTAAATACTACTTTGCAAGTTCCATATTCGAATCTGCAATACCGGCGGCTGCATCAAAATATTCTTTAGAAGCTTCAACAACTATTTCAACTCCAGTTTTATAATCGACTTTCCTTCCGAAATCTCTATCCGGAATTCTAGTTGATGATTCAACTAAGGAGCGTTCCATCATTCGACTAGCGATATCTATATACCTCTGATCGCTAGACAATAAGAGTTGTTTGACAAACAACTATTTAAAAAAAAGAATAGAATTAATTTAAAATTACAATAATTATTAATTTACAAACTTCAACTAATTCATTTTCCTTAAATAATGAGAATGTTTGAGAACGTATAGATTTTAGATGATTGTAGAGGATAATCAATTGAGGAGCCTCTAATTTAGGTATTCTAAATAAAAACAAAATAAAAAAGGGGGTAAAGAAAATCTAAACGATATATTTAGAAATAAAATTATAAACTGACCTATTTGTTATTGAATGTAGTAAATCTCTAAAGAATTTTTTAGATGCATCTTCATTTTTCATTGTATCCCTTATGAATGAGATAATGCAGGGATATTCAATTTTCTCTAATATTTCAGCAGCACTATAAACATAAAATGAATGAATTAAGGAAAATTAATTTATTATTTATCGTACCTTAAACAAATTTCCAATTCATCAACTCGATTATGGAGTTCATTAATGATTGCCGATGACCTTTGAAATTTAATACAAATTTTAATATTTAAAAAATCCATTGCAAACATATTTTAATAAAGAAAACAAAACCAACCCGGCTCTCTTCTCTGACAAACATTCTAATATTTCAAAGCAAACATTCAATTGATCATTTCTGTTTGATAGAAAAGAAGGGAAACGTTTTAGAATATATCTATACATATATATATATTACATATATACAAATGAACCTTTGACACGAATAAATACAATTCACTGCCGATTCGATTAATATTTCTTCATTAGTAATAACTCTCTGCTCCATTTCATATTTACTATGTTGAAAAATAATTGAGCATAATTTTAGATTTTCCTTTGCCAATTCAATAAGATATTCTTTTAATAGATGATCGCTATTTTCAGAACGTTCGAGGAATGGTAAAAGCCATCTAAATGTATTTTTAGCAAACATTTCCTCCGGAGACTGTTAATTATTATTCTTATTAAAAACAATATTATTTCTTTTAATTACTTACCGTTGACATCATTAATTTAATCTTTTCAAGTTCATTTAATTTATTTAATTCTTCTAAATTCATATTATCAGCAACTTGACATTCGTAAACCAATAATTCCAAAGTTAATAAACTTTCTTTCAATTGGTCTAGGTTTTTAACGTTATTTTCCATACCAAATATTAATAATTCAATTGCGTAATCGACTCTATTCGATAAACTTTCAATTTGTTTAGCTCTAAATAAATACCATTCGCTTATTTTATCTTCACTTAGATCATTACCCCTAAAGCGATCTAGATCGCTTTTCAAGTATAAAATGTCCAAGTTACACTCCTTATTCTCTTGAACGTATTTTTTACAAAAATCTTCTTCGCACCAATCGCTTAATCTCCAATTATTTTCATAATCTAGATCGTCAGCGTTCTCTTCAATTTCCATAGAACATTCAGGCAATATAGATCTATAGGAAGATGGCGATAGGGTTTCGGGAAAATTACTTAATATCGGCAATTTATGCTCTATCAACTGTTCGCCATAATAGCTAAACATTATATCAACTGCAGTCCAATTTCCAGCTCTTGTAAAATCTAGTGTAGCTTTAACAATATTTTCACGTCGAAACTTTTTATACACATCGGCTTCGTATCGTTCGGCAGAAAAGTACACTCCTCCAAGAATATCTTCGTAGGTTTTCAATCTATCTAAATATTGAAGGAGCAATAGTCTAACTTTACATATTTCCTTTCCGTCTTCAGATATATTTGAAAAGTTTATAGTTTTTGCTAGATTCATCTTCCTTTCTCTAATTGCATCGTTATCATCGTCATTTTCAGTATCATCGGCTGGATTATATGTAGTAAATTTTCCGTCATTGACATCTTGTAGCCTAACCAAAGTTTCAATATCAGTCCCACCTAAACCGAATTCGAGTAATTCTCTCGCAGCATCAATATCATCTGGCACCCTATTAATGCATTCATTCAATACCCAACTTCTATTCTTAACTTTACTTAGATAATCTTTGATGGCGTGAATATTAGCCTGACTCTTTTTCCATTGTGTCTGATATACTAGATCAGTATCTAAATGATAATTTTGCGCGAGGATAATAGCTTCTCCGTATTCTTCGAGATCAATCTTTCTTGAATATAATTCTTCAGGTGTTGTGGACGACAGACTAACCAACCTATATATTTTACCGGTAATTTTTGGTTTTTTTCTAGCCGATCTATACTGTTCCTTTTCCGTTAGAGAATATAGTGCTTTGGTCAACATTCTACTACTTTTACGTAGGATAGAATAATCTTCATCGTCCGAGTCGTCGTAATCGCTTACATCTTCTAATCGACGTTTTTGAAGTTTTCTCTCACATTCTAATATTACAACACTTCCATTTTTAGCAAGAGATAATCGGGGTGATGGTTCAAACCACTGAGGAGAATCACCCATTATATTCGACATAATTTTTTCATCAATAATGGTAAGATTACCAGTGCCTCTTGACAAAATAATTGAATTATCGTTCCACCAGTTAATATCATTAAGAAAGTAAGCTTGTAGAAATTCTTTCATTGTTTTACGAAATTTTGGGTTATCCGATTTCTCTTGATTCATTTGGTTAAATAGCGGTTGCTCCTTTTCAGGTTGATAGACTCTTAATCTTAAGGAGGGTACATCCCAAACAGACATTGATCCGCAATTATGAATCGCGGCTAACTTTTGACCATTCTCAGTTAATGCAAATTTAAATATACCAATATCAGTTGTCTTGTAAGAAAATGTATAAGATTTCAGTCTTCTCCAAGCTTCTTTATGCTTCATCTACAAATTTTTAATAAAGATTATTATACAACATTATTATAATATGGAAGATAACAAACCGATTTTACGTCGTCGTCGTAGTTAGTCACAAGTTTATAATATGGCTGATCTGATAGCATTCTCCAAGCAGAAAGGCCAATATCAGTAGAAGTTGGACAAATTGGAGCCGTACCGAAGATCGTCCCACCCATTAACAGCAAGTCATATTTAGGGACGTAAACAACACCTGAAACTCCGTGTTGGTAATAAGGACAAAAGCTAAATTCATGAGAGAATTCAGCTGTTCCATCATTTCTAGATTGAGTAAATATTTTCTTAATAATTTGATGTAAATAAAAGAATATAAGTGAAACCTTACAGAATATTATAGCATTTTAATATGCCTCGATATGTGATTACCATGAGCCGTTTTAATATATTCCTTTTCTTTAATTTCTTAGCATCCACAAAAATTAGAGCACATACAGCTTTACTATAATCATTACCCATTGGACAGTATGACTAATCAAAGAGAGGAAAGAAACAATGTAGTTTTATACAATTCAATACATTTTTTTTTCTTTAAACATTACCCCTGGAATTTTACATATTTCGGTTCCGCTTAACTCGTATATAATAACATTCCCACAACTATCTGCGTAAGCAATTAGTTCATTATCATCATCAAACGCAATCGACCGCCAATGGGGATTTGTGTCAGATCCAACATCAAATTTCATTTGTACAGTACTATAGTCTTCTTCTCTATCGCGAATTTCAATGAATTGATCTTGAAGGATAGCTAACAGCTCTCCATCTCTGGAATAAAGCAACTGTAGTTTACGATAAAATAAAGCAATTATACTTATTACTTGTTTGTGACGATTCTCCATGGGATTTGTGATTGAATCAAATCAACGAATTTTTCAGATAACTGAGAAATTCTATCTAACCTGTAGGTTTGAAATTTATTAAAAAAAATTTAAAATCAATTGTTCTTTACCTTGTTTTTACTCCGACACTTCTTAAAGCAGTCCAAGTAACATCTAACAAATACAATTGCTTTATTAGTTATTGATTGAATTAAAATTCTAAAATTTACTAGATAATGTATTCAACGTTCCAGCTCTTTGTATACATTCAATTGAAGATTTTTCTTTCTGTTGCTTATTCTAAAAAATTGAAAATACCTTATTATCGCTCATAAAAAGTTATCAGTGTTAGATAGTTATGTATAGTTAGAAGTTATGATAACATAGTTTTCTTCAACTATAATTTTACTTACAACTCCCTCATTTTCCTGCGTCCATTCATGGTGTACAGTCAGATCATAGAGAATATTATTGTCTTCCACATCATCATCCATGATTCGACCTTTACCTTGATGCAAGTCAAAATAGACTGTGACGTGACATAGGAGAAGTAAAACCAATTAATTGACTGAAGACAAAAGTTCCTAAACTAAAAGAATACAGTAGACTAAATTATAATTTGATAAATATACAATTTTTTTTCAAAGTTATACTGTAAATTAAGATAGAAGATGTCAGCCTAAATATTGTTCGTAGGAAATGAGATAGAAAATATGTCCTTGGGTTTTATAAGTAAAGATATCTTTTTGGTGATTCAACACTTGATGAAGTTCAGTAAGGAGGTGGGTTAGAGAATTTAAAGGAAGAGGAACAAATATACTTGACAATGACAAACAAGGACGCCCAAGAACAGTCGGTACAAATGAAAATAAGGAGAGAACTATGGAATTAATCAAAGATAATAAGAGAATTAGCCATGCTGAGATATCTGAAACATTGAAAATAGGCCATACAACAGTTGAAAATTTGATTAAAGGACTTAGAGCTTCTTTAGAATACCGTACAAAATCTTCATCGCCACCAAAAAACGTTAAGGAAGGTAAGTCTGCAGATAGACTGATGGCATATTTTTTTGGATAGGAAAGGGTTTATTCACCTAGAATTTCAAGATTCACAAATCGGAACAAATTCTGAGCTTTGTATTGGTATTCTAAAGAGGTTAAAGCAACAAATTAATAGAATTAGGCCTAATAAAGGGGTGATTTTATGGCATGATAATATCAGATTCCTTGCCAGTCTGCAAACTTCCCAACATCTCGCAACAACTGGATGGACAATATTGTCTCATCCACTCTACAGCCCAGATTTGCTCCATCAGACTACTATCTTTTCTGGAAATTAAAAGACCGTCTTCGGCGCAAAACATATGAGAATGAAGATGAATTGAAAGGAGCAGTAACAGCATTTTTTAGATCAAAACTGCCTGAATACTTCGCCAAAGGAATTGATATGCTTCCCATCAAGTGGCAAACATGCATTAACAATCATGGAGAGTATGAAGCTAATTAGACATAACTAAGACATTAATAAATATTTAGGATTAGGTATATTATGTAGTTTTTGTTTTAGCTATTAGATACAAACGGTTTAAACTTTTTATGGTAATCCTGACAAAATACAGTATATGTATGTAAAGAAAATTTGTTTATTTATTTCTCATCTAGGTTATACATTAACGTTGGATCATTAAATTGAAATAGTTCATCGTCAAAAACTTCCTCGGGTAAACCTTCACTAAAATCTTCTGGATAGGCGGTTGGCATTGGGGGATGAACTTCTTTCGAAGTCATCTCTTTTTTCAAATTTGGTAATATTGTGTCGTATATACGAATATAAGAATGAGTCGGTCCTGGTGTGGCCGGACCCGTCAAGTACAATACGTTGTATTTGTAGTTAATTCTCCAAATTTTTAAACCTCTATGATTTCTCCATCTATTACCCATCTTTCCAGGCATCTTTTTGCCTTTATAGATAAGGCCTGTTCTTCCCCCGCTTGCTATTGTTCCGGGTCTTCTATGCCATTTGGTAGCTCCGTGACTTTTAGGTCCTCCCTTAAAGCCCCATCTCTTAACGACACCTTGAAAACCATGTCCAATAGTTCTGGCTTGTACGTCAACGTAATCTCCAACATTAAAATGCTTGGCTGTTAATGGAGTTCCTGGTTCAATTGCAGCATCAGGAGTTACCAAGAAACGGGTTAGCTTTCGTTTAGGAGGAACTCCCGCTTCATTAAAAAGGTTAACATAACTTTTTGTAAACTGCAGAACGAGAAATTGTTTAAGTAAAAATATGAATAAAGACGCTTTCTAAAACGACTACTTACACTAGTGGGATAACAACTCAACGCTCCAACAACCACACTGCCATAGTTTCTATTTTTCATATACAAAGTGGCAGCTGAGGATTGTTTATAATCTTCAGGAGGGACATATCTTATTACATGATTATCAATAATCTATTTGAGAGCAATTCATAATAAATTAATAGTCAACTTTTTTAAATATTATTTTTCCTACTTGAACTAAAGTCGTGAATAATTTTGTTCCATCCTTCGTCCACTGGGGTAAGACACCTATTTTAACTCCTAATACTCCTGTTCGCTTTGTGCTATCCATGATATTAATTTCTCAGGTAAAGTTACCTTCACAGAATATAAAAACTTACCAAGGGTTCCATGTGTTTCTCTTTATTGGTTCATCGACCAAAGGACTTTCTCGATTAGTTATATAACGGTCATATGCAACTTCCTTTAAAAAGTCTCTATTCGAAGGAGTTAAATTGTCGAAGTAATTGTATGCCTTCTTCGGAACAAACCATTCTGGGGGATCGAATCGATTTTTTACTTTTTTAGGGCGAGATCCGGCAAATGACTTATAATCCGAAATGCTGTGGAGAATAGCTGTTTTATCGCTCGACCGGATCAAGTACATTTAAAATACATTAGAATTGAAAAAGATTAATAAACGCTATAGACTTTTCAGCTTATGTATACACACCTCGAGCGGATTTCTATATTTATTATGGTGCGACAAAGGTTATTTGAGAAGAGTTTTGAACAACGTTGTATCGCAGACATGGCGGACACCGCATGCATACTGCGAATACTTTTCAAAAAGTCACGCTGTATGAATCTTTATTTATAATCTGTTGAAATAAAATTTTTTTGATTAGGTTTTTATTTTAGCCGATTTCTTTACAATGGATAATCGAAAACTGGTTAGAAAACATCTGAGAAGTCGCGAGACATTTGTTAAACATAGTGGACTGTCAGTGAATGAAGAACCAACACAGGTTTGTAAGGGTAGCTGAAATAAAATTAAAAAAAACTTTTATGAGCGATAATTTGATTACTTTCTTTAGCATATAGTCATTCTCAATGGTGGTTTATCGAATAGTGTCACACGAGAGGAAATTTTAGTTCTATTTAATGATTATACCGGTTCTGTCGATGTAAATATGCCTGTTGGAAAACCATACTGCTTTGTCAGTTTTAATGAAATTTCGGAGGCAGAACGCGCCAAAAGAGAATTTCATGGTTTTAGTTTAGCTAGATCATGCGTTGCTTCACCTTGTATAGTTTATACAGACTTTATAACAGATGGTTTGTTTGTATTATGCCGCTTTTGAAATAATAAAAATTATTTTCGCTTAGTACCTGGTTTGGAAAGACCATCCTCCAGTAAACCGCAAGATTTATTATTATTTGAAGATTATATAAGTCCAGAAGAGGAGGAATTGTGGCTGAATCAGCTAAGTTTAAATGAACAGGAGGAGGACTCTAAGGCAGTGATGAAACACCGGAGAGTTAAACATTATGGTTACGAATTTTTGTACTCTATTAACAATGTAAAGAAGGATTCTCCGTTACCCGAAGGCATTCCCAATTACTGTAAAACTGTGCTGGATAAGATTTGTAGTGAATTTCCATCAATACATTATCCCGACCAACTGACAATTAATCAATACGAGCCTGGTCAGGGAATTCCTCCACATATCGACACTCATTCAGCCTTCGAGGATGGAATTATTATAATCAGTTTGGGCTCGCAAACAGTTATGGAATTTAAAAATCCAGATGGAGTAAAGCTACCTGTCCTACTACCCCAAAGGAGCTTAACAATTTTACAAAAAGAGTCGCGTTATTTATGGTCCCATGCTATTGTTCCACGTCATTCTGACTTAATACCAGTAAACGGATCGAATGCTATTACTCTAGTTCCCCGTCGAAAGAGGATAAGTTTTACATTTCGTAAAGTTCTGGATCCGAAAAAAATTTGCGATTGTAGTAAGTTCTTATTATAGTTTTTTACTCTTTTTTGGAAAAATACCAGTACCAATCGTTTCCGTAACTTTAGATTGGAAAGATCAATGCGATGATTATAAGAAACAAGAAAATAATAAAATCCTTCCAAATACATCACAAGAGGCAGAAAAATTTGAAAAAGAACATGTGCTAAAAGTTTATGAGACCATTTCAACTCACTTTGACGCTACTAGACATAAACAATGGCCAAAAGTAACAGAGTTTTTAGCTGAAATTCAGCCAGGATCGATTTTAGCTGATATTGGCTGTGGAAATGGTAAATATTTAGGATCAGAAAATCTAGATGTGTTCAAAGTTGGTTATAAATCATTTAATATTTTTCTATATACTGTATAATATTAATTCATTTCCAGATGGGATGTGATACTTGTAAAAATCTTTGTAGTATATGCGCTGAAAAAAGTATACCAGTTTTTGTTGCCGATGCTCTAAATGTACCTTTAAGAGACAATTGTGTTGACGCCGTCATATCTATAGCTGTTATTCATCATTTTGCAACAGAAGTATGTATTAAAAAAAACTTTTTTATAAAAAGTCCTTCAATTTATTGTTATTTTAAAAAGGAAAGACGAAAGAGAGCAATAAAAGAAATCCTAAGAATACTTCGTAAAAAAGGTAAAGCCTTAATATGCGTTTGGGCATTGGAGCAAGAGAGAGGAAATGTTAAATCAAAATATTTGGCAAAAAATAAAGAATCTACGCAACAAGCTAAAGATTTACTACCCGTTCATGATAATAGGACAAAATTTGAAAGTCAAGATTTATTTGTTCCATGGCATCTAAGAAAAGATGGCAAGAAGTCTGAAGCAGTTTATAATAGATTCTATCATGTCTTTAAAGAAGGTGAAATAAATGAATTGGTTCAAAGTTTTCCCAGTGCTAAAATACTCAACTCGTTTTATGATCAGGGCAACTGGTGTATAATTTTTGAAAAATTGTAACGTTGTTCGAACCATATTAAATGTTATATACTGAAATCTAGTCATTAGATATCAATTCTGAATAATAAACTATCCTATTTGATGATTGATAAATAGTCTGGATTAACTATATCCCTCAAAACAAGCCCATTCACTTATGTTTAAAATCGATATATCAAAAATTTTACATTTATATGGTTATTTCTAAATCTTGGTTTTAATAAATATATTTATAAGTAAATTTTATATTAAAACAGAGATTATAAAAAGAAGGACGAAATTTGAGTGCTTGACGTCTTGCCAGTTGGTATTTAGATAGAACGAAAAAGATGGCGGCACCAACGTGTAACTCGGCAGATTGCGCAAATCAAGGAATTAAAACTGTTGAGCTGCAATCTGCCTCTTCAGAAAGGTATAATACTTAATAAAGTATCAATTGTTCGATTCATTTGACTTCCGATATCATATTGGCTCTAGATATTCTTACTCTCTTTCACAGTTCGATAGAAGCCGATGTTGATTCATCAGCGATTACTGATGATGCTACACTCTCTAAATTACAACCACCAAAAGTTAACAAAAAACTTAGACAGAGAACGACTTCGTCAAGTAACACAGCAAATCCTGTTGTTAGATCGGGAATTCGAACTATCTATACACAAGGAAGGCCGCCATGGTATGATTCTCGGGGACAACTGGAACAAGCCTTTATGATCGGTAATAAAAAACAACTATACTATAGATCTTTTAATATAAATTAAATATTAAATAAAATTTTATAGGTATATGCGGTGGCAGTGCTTCTGGAAAGACAACTGTTGCAACCAAAATCATAGAATCCCTAAGTATCCAATGGGTTTCTCTCTTGTCTATGGACTCTTTTTATAAAGTATAATCTGCAATAAGAAAAACTTTAAGAATATGATAATTACATTCATTCTATTGATAGGTTTTAACTGAAGAGCAACATAAAGATGCTTGTAATAATGAATATAACTTTGATCATCCTGATGCCTTTGACTTTGAACTAATGATAAAAACTCTAAAGAGATTAAAAAAAGGAAAATCAATTGAAATTCCAATTTATAATTTTACAACTCATTCCAGAGAGAAAGAAAAGGTTCTGAGAATATTTTTATTTCTTAGTTTTGTTCCATTTAATTAACCGAAAATCATTCAGAAAACTCTTTATGGTGCAAACGTTGTGATATTTGAAGGTATATTGGCTTTCCACTCGAAAGAGCTGAGAGATGTAAGTTATTACGGTCAAGTTTTGCAAATGACACACTAATAAACGTTACTTTTTTTTTATAAAAAAGTTGTTAGACATGAAAGTATTCGTCGATACCGATGCTGACATTAGGTTGGTAAGGAGATTAAAGCGAGATATTGGTGAAAGAGGCAGAGATATGACCGGTGTAATGAAACAATATGATAAATTTGTTAAGCCAGCTTATAATCACTATATCGAACCAATGACACACGTTGCTGATATTATTGTGCCAAGAGGAGGAGAAAATTTAATCGCCATATCTTTAATCAAAAATCATGTTCATTCACAACTGTTAAAGGTAAAATTAGTTTATTTTTCATCAATTAAAAAAACCAGCTGGTATTCCGTGTGTAATAGAATAATTAAAATCGTTTTTTACTTTTGTAGAGAGGTCATAAATTTCGCTCAGAATTGAAAGAAAGTGCTCATGATGATCAACCCTTGCCACCTAAACTATGTCAACTTCAAAAGACTAAACAAATACAAAGTCTACATACCATGATAAGGTTTATTTTAGTTTTTTGTATTTAACGTGTAATAGTTCTTGAATATTTTTCCTTTTGTTTTTAGACGTAAAGATACACCGAGAGATGAATTTATATTCTATTCAAACCGGTTAATGCGATTGTTAGTTGAATTGGCTTTATCTTATCTACCATATGAAGTAATATTTTAGTTTATTGGTCAGCGGTTATAAAAATTTTTTCATTGTTTTGTAGAAAAGGAAAATAGAAACTCCTCAAGGGAGTGTATACGAAGGAAAAGCTTGCAAAGCTAAAAAAGTAAATTATCTATTATATAATATAATCTGCTTCAGGATTTTAATGGAATATCTTTTGAAAATTTCTTACAGTTATGTGGTGTATCAATTTTAAGAGCTGGAGAAACAATGGAACCTGCTTTAACAGAAGTGTGCAAAGACATTCGACTTGGAAAGTTACTTATACAAACTAATTTTGAAACTGGAGAACCTGAGTTGCATTATATACGCCTTCCAAAGGACATAGGAGAACATCACGTATTTCTGTTGGATCCTACCGTTGCTACCGGTGCAGCAGCAATTATGGCAATACGAATTCTATTGGATCATGACGTGCCTGAAGATCAAATTATGCTTTTAAGTTTAATAATGGCTGAAGTTGGTGAGTTTTATTAAAGAAATCCGAAGTCAACGGAACTTTTCACGTGTCTAACAATTGAAGTAAATAAACAAATTTTTTTCCAGGAGTTCATTCAATAGCTTACGCCTTCCCAAAAGTTAAATTAGTGACAACAGCTGTTGATAAAGAAATAAATGATAGGTTCCATATTATACCTGGGATAGGTAAATTTCTATCTTTTAAAAACAAAAGAAAGTTGATCTTATTATAAATTTTCATTCATATTTCTAGGTAACTTTGGAGACAGGTATTTCGGAACTGATACTAAACCCGAAGTCGATATTTAACGCTACGTTTCGTTTCTTTTTGTTTTTTTTTGGGTGTTCATTTTTACAAGTTTCTTCCAGTGTTTCTCTGACTTTGTATTCTTTATTTCTGATAAGGTAAACAGTACAAATAAGCTAAAAGGACACTTGCATCCCTTTTTTCGACATGAGCAAGATGTTTTTATTAATGAAGATAATTTACCTATCTTTAATTGAGATATAAAATCTTTGTTTATTACAATGGAAATAATAATTTAGTAAGAATAGTTTGTATTAAATAATTATCAATTCTCAATTGAAGATAGGTAAATTATCTTCGTTAATAAAAACATCTTGCTCATGCTAAAGCTAAAGAAAACTTTGACTTTTATAAAAAAAACGTGGTGCTCCTTGTAGCTTATCGCTACTGTATATTCCGTTTTAAGGAAGATCCATTCATAATAATGACTTGTTTTAATAGGAAAGAATTTACGTATAAAATTAAAAGCCTTTTTTTTTTAAATTAATCATCAATTTCTGCCAGTGAAAGTTTTTATTCTAGAAAACTAGTGCCATAGAATGACTAACCTATAAAAGTGGTTTACTTTAAAACGGACTAAATATGTGTACTGTATGTCAGACCGAGGCTACATTCTTTATAAACTTTCAGGCAAAATATTTTCCAGATGGGTAAGGGTATATTATTGTGGAACTGTCTCTAAAGAAGGGATGTAGGTAAGAGTTATACAACAACAGGTTGTAATCGAAATTGCGCCTTTATTCGAATAAAGGCGCCTTTTTTTTAAATGCGACCATCTATTCTCAAAAATTGTGACTCTATAAAACTTACAACCTCAGTCTAACATAGATATTTGTATAAACGTTCTTTTTTTTCAATTAATATCATAATTATGCATAAAATTTATTGCTTAAGATATCCATTTAAACGAATATCTCCCGGTAAAAAAGGATATTAATGAAGAATACCAAACCTATTAAATAGTGCATAATAATTAATTGAAAAATAAACAAGAGATATATTGAAACTATAAAATTGTACGTTAATTGTCAGGATGTACTGTATGAATAGTAATGTGATGTGATTTTATACCTTGTATTGTCTTAAAAATTCTGCTCAACCGAGCAAAAGTAACACGAGTAATATAAAATGAACTGTTGCCTTAATAAATGTATTCTATTTTGAGAATAACTTGCGTAGCGTTAGCTTTACTTTTTTGTTTAAAAATAAATACCTTATGACAGAGCAGTTGAAAAAATTGAGTAGTTTCTCTTTTTATGAATATGAGCGAAATTATGCGATTTGTTCGATTACGTTTCATGCACTAAAGTTCTATTCTCCGTATACAGAGTGCTTTAACAATTGATAATAATTCTTTAAGAAAAACTATTAAAAAGATACCCGAAAAAGCTTATTGTCTTTTAAAGATTGTCATCCGAGACCACAATTAGAAGCACACAATCGGTTCGTTAAAGCAATTGTTCAGTCATAGCGCGATTTTTTTTTTGAAGATGGCAGAGAAATTGAGTAAAAGACTACTAATACACTCAGCAACTCAGATTGTCCAAATAATTGACAATCAAAATGAATTCTTAACCGGCGACTGTATGAAAACTGCAAAAATTCTAAACGAAACTGAAAACTCTGGATGTTGTTTGATAGTTGGATTGTAAGTTGATTTATCGCCCTACAGTTTTTTTTGTTACCAATTGTAATGATTTTTTTCAATTGTACAAAGGGATGGGAATATAGAAGATATTGGATATAATAAAGATATTTTGAATAAATATGAAAAATCGAATTTTGAAAAGATAATAGACGCTTCTGGGAAAAGTATTATACCGGGTTTTATAGACGCTCACACGCACGCTGTTTGGAGTGGGGATCGAGTTCACGAGTTTGTGTTAAAGGTTTTCTGTTTTATTATTACAATAAAAATAGGCCAAATCTAATTGATCCTTCTACGAAAAAGCTTGCAGGAGCGAGTTATATGGAAGTACATAATGCTGGTGGGGGTATAAATTTCACTGTTGATCACGTTAGAAAGGCAACAGAAGACGAACTTTTAAGCTCATTAAGAGATTACTTACGAAAAATGATGGAATGCGGAACTACAACCGTCGAGATAAAAAGTGGATACGGATTAGATCTAGAAAACGAAATAAAAATGTTAAAAGTTATAGAAAAAGCTAGAAAACTTGTCCCAATTGATATTGTTTCAACATATTGCGGCGCTCATTCTATCCCCAAGTAATATAATAATATATTATGTTAATAAATATTTTAATATAATTCTAATAAGGGGAAAAACTGCTGACGAAGCCGTTGAAGACATAATAAGCAATCAAATACCACAGATTGATAAACTAATTAGGGATAATATTTTAAATGTCAAGAACATTGACGTTTTCTGCGAAAAGGTTTGTAAAATCTTTTAATTAGATTCTATATTCGGTTACGTTTATTTGGAAAAAAAAATAGGGAGTATTTAACGTTGAGCAAACTAGAAGGATGTTAAATGCTGGAAAATCGATTGGACTCCAAATTAACTTTCACGGCGAAGAACTTAGTTTGCTGGAATCGGCTAGTGTTAGTATACTAGAAAAGACAACATTGTAATAATAGAAATTTAATTAAGGTTACTTTAACCAGATGGGAGCAGATCTTGGCGCTCGTGCTATCAGTCATTTAGAAGAAATTTCGGAACAAGGGATTGAAAAGATGGCTGAAAAGTCGACAGCTGCTGTCCTCCTACCGACTACAGCTTATACCCTTCGTTTGAAACGTCCACCGGCAAGGAAAATGATAAAGGCTGGAATTCCTTTGGCTTTAGGGAGTGACTTTAATCCAAATGCCCATTGCTTCTCTATGGTTCGTTAGGCTATGATCAAAGACTCCATAGTATATACTTTATATTTACATATATTATTAATTCCATAGCCAATGGTTATGAATTTAGCATGCGTATTATTTGAGATGTCAATGAACGAAGCGCTTGTAGCAAGTACATTGAATGCGGCCTATTCTCTAGGTCTTTCAAAGACGCATGGTTCTTTACAAACAGGAAAATTTGCCGACTTGATTATCCTGGATGCTCCGAGGTACTATCCCGTTTACGAGTTCTTTAATTACATAAAACTGCATATATTCATGTGTATTTATCAATTATTTTTATTACAGATGGGAACACTTGATATATCAATTAGGAAGTCATTCTTATCTTATAGAGGCTGTAATTAAAAAAGGAGAAGTTATTTACAACAAAGCGTAAAATTATTAAGAAGAAATCTTATTAATATAGCTTCTTATTAATTCTTTAGCTTAGAAATTGTTTTCCAATAAACACTATCCATATTTGAAAAAGAGTTTTTATTATTTTTATTTCCATAATGTAATGTCCAAAAATAAGAGCAATAATTATAAATCCAGTATTATGGGAAGGAAATATTCATGTTACATGCTCTTTTAGCATGATAAATCTTTTTAATTTTAGTAATTTGTAAATCTAGCTCTACCCATCTGTTCTTTTTATAGTAACAGTTCTAAAGATATTAAACGCTATTTCTTAATGAAATTTCATAAACGGATATAACAAGGATAGAGAATTTCTATCTATTTTATAATTCTAGATAGAAGACATAAATAATTTTAGGATAAATAAATTAAATTATATTTTTCTTCAATTATAAATATAAGATTGTATTGTCACTATCAAAATATTAACCAATATACTTGTATATATCAAATAATTTCCTTCTTTTCTTTATAATTGTCATAATAACATTTCTTACTTCGATGAATTATTAATATTCTTTTAAATGTAACTAAAGCTTATGGTCATACTTGAAGCCTGTTTTGTGAACTATTGGAAATTTAAACTTTTCACAATAAAGAGGTCTCTAGTAGTACCTCTGAAATTTATACGAGAAGTGTTCGATTAAAGTTCAGTGTCCTTGGTCGTCCATATTTTGCAGAAGTCACCTTTCGAAAGTATAAGTTCATATAAATGGCAACAATATTTGCTAGATCCAGTTCTATTATGCCGCATTTGTCGGCAACCCATTTGTCCGTCACGAGTCTGAAACCATTGTTACCTTTAGCGACCGTGAAAGCAGAACAAGCCGTTTTCTCTCCTAATACCAGCAAGGATATTGCTTCTAAGAACCAGAGTGTGTTGTGGAAACAGAATTTCGCATCCAGTGGTCTTAACTGTAGGTTCTTTTAATAGATCACTTCAGCTTCATTTAATTTTCATCTTTTCACAGCCACCCAAGTGCGTTTTGCGCATACAGATATAGCTAAGGTACCCGACTTTTCCGCCTATAGGAAAGACTCTGTCAAGTCACCAAATGCTCGAAACCAGCAGACTGACTTGCCCAGAAAGGCGTTTACGTATTTAGTAGTTGGAGGTGAGATTATAAACAATCATTGCCTTCGAGCTGCAACTTTAATAAAAAGAACTTGCTCGAGAAATGAATTGTATTATAAAAACAATTTATTTACGTAACTAAATTAAAGTTATATTCTTGTAGGAGGAGCTGTAGCAACCACTTATTCAGCAAAGTCTGTTGTAACGCAATTTGTTATGTCAATGGCGGCTTCTGCTGATGTTCTCGCTCTAGCCAAGATTGAAGTAAAATTGGGAGACGTTCCTGAGGGAAAGAGCGTGACATTCAAATGGAGAGGAAAACCATTATTCGTCAGGCATAGGACAGCAGAGGAAATAGAGCAAGAACGCCAAGTTGATGTGGCATCCCTCCGTGATCCTCAACACGACGATGATAGAATTCAGAAACCTGAATGGTTAGTTTTGATTGGAGTCTGCACTCATTTAGGTTGCGTTCCTATTGCCAATGCCGGCGAATACGGAGGTTATTATTGTCCATGCCACGGATCCCATTACGATTCCTCTGGTAGAATTCGTAAAGGCCCTGCACCATTGAATTTAGAAGTTCCCCAATACGAATTTGTCGATGATGACACTTTGTTAGTTGGTTAACACTGTTTATCTTTAGATAAATTGTGTGAGTACGAACTAAATGTCTTAAAATTTATCAACTGAATTAAAGATTTACAGCCATTACAATTCGATAAAATTATTCTGCAGCAAGTTTCGGTAAATTTAATGTAGGCCGCAAGTGGTTTCTACTAGATTAGACCTTTCGCAATTGTTGATAATCAATAAATGTAAACTGACGAAGAAAACTCTTCCGATAGTTTAGAATAGACGTTGCCTTGCAACGTAATTAAAATATATTCGCAAATCGACCAAACTACTCATCTATTCGCCTCGCGCTTCCAATTTGTATACAGAAACTAGTGTCCATACTTTGATTCAGCCTACACATAATTTATGTATCTTAGGTCACTTCATCGAATCTTAGCAAACGAAAGAGAATTCATCCTAATTTCTCTAATCCCAAATGCAAGTAAAAGCCAATTGCCTTTACCCTACTTTGCAAGAAAAAAGTCCAATCGTATATCTTATCTTCCTATTTCTACAAAAAAAAAAAAATCAATGAAACCATTCAATCTATATTGAAGATAGAACCAATTAAAAACGTCCTAAATGAATATCTTGTATTAAAAGTGATAGCGGTATATTAAAAATTAAAGAAAATATTAAAACAAATAATAATAATAAAAGCGACCCTAATTTGTCTTGAAAGAGAAAGAGAGAGAGAGAGAGATGTATCAAATAATCATTAATATATTTGATATGATATTAATATGAATAATTAACGACAGAACCATAGTGTTAAATATTGAATAGTGTATGTTTTTAGATGGTACGGATATACTGTATATAACTGGTTAAGATTGTAAAATACAACAATATTGTACGTTAGAACCAAAATTTTATTATTCATTACACATTAAATAACAATAGCGATATGATAACAATAAAATAAATTTGCATTGATAGTTATATACCTGCACGTAAATTTTATAATAATTTAATTAGTTGATGAGTAATAAATGGCACTTGAGGTGAAAATCGTTGAAAAAGAAATTTAAAAAAAAACATTATCACTACTAATCAAACGGAATAATTAGAAAATTACGTTTTAGTATGAGAGAAACACTAATAAAGTCTGATTGCAGCTATAGCTAATGTTACTACACCAGCAGCGGCAAGACCAGTTTTCAGAAGTAATACCCCAATAGTTTCTTCTTCAAAATATGCAGAGTATCCTTCCTGTTTGTAAATAAGTAATAAGTAATATTTTAGATTTATCAAATTTTCATCGTAGACTCAGTATATTGTCTAGTAATTCTATTGAATATTATTTAAGTAGAAATCAAATAGAAGCTACAATAGGAGATTATAAAGCCAACAGTTAAATATATGAGAAATATATTTAAGCTATGTGTTTCCCTTTGTTATAATTCCATAGAACACAGATTATTTTAATTCCTAAAATGTAAAACTTGGTTACTGATTTTCGTAGGATTGTAAAAAAAAAATACATTTTCTCTAATATATTTACATCTTTGTTCTCATATTAATACACTTACCCATCCTCCGTGTTTGTTTAACCAATCCAATATATTATCATTTATGAATTGCTCTAGTAATTCTTTTACTATATTTATAAGATTCTTTCTTCCTTCCTTAATACATCTTTTGGCTATAAGACCTCCGAATACTAGTATACATAAAATTCTTTCGTAAGTATATATCTTATCTTCGAACATATTTTCCATTACATATAAAAAAGACTGTTGTAAAGATTCCCTTGAAGTTACCGGTACATTATCAACCATTTCTAATAGCTCCTCAGAGATTTTCTCCGAAAACTGATGAATTGAATTGACCAAACCCGGACTCAATTTTTTCCTCTTGCCCTTGCTGATATAATCAATTACGTTTCCAATAATTATAGACGACGAGCTATTTTTACGAAACAAAGCTTTATCTTTTCTAAACATTATCAAGTTTTCAGTTTCTTTTTAACATCAAATTACTTCTGTTAATTAAATTTAACTATAGTCATTTGCGTCGTACTTATTATCTGTATGTGGGACAGTTTCAGTTGAAATCGTACCAAATGAACCGCGCGCCAAAGTTTAGACGCATGCGCGCACATAGGCCTACTACCAGTTTTCTGATATATTTTAGTAAAATATACCAAACATATAATAACTCGAATGACAATCTCTGTTTATTTCGTTTGTATTAGATGACAAAACTATTTATTTCTATTGAATAGATATAGCTGTCTCTTTACAAATTTTAATCGTGACGGGTTAGGGTAGAAGTCATCATGGCCATATATTACAGTTTTGAGAAATTTTCCGATTCTTTCTCGGGTATATCCTCTTTGTCTACTTAAATGTAAAATTTTGTTCTATATTTTACTTTTTCATGCAGATATGTGGCATCAAATATGGATGTGGTGTTTTTTATCAAATCTTATAACTCATACAATAGCCACGATAATAGCCTTCGTCAGATTAAGAAGACATAAAATTGGTAGATTTGTTCCTGCTTTAATATTTGCTGCTGGTGTTCTATTTTCAATAACTGGCGGTGTTATTACCAGTTAGTCTTTTATTTACATATTTTATACGTAGATCTATTATTATCATTATTGAATAGGTGCCGTAATTGCCTTTGTATATAACGCTTCAACCTTTACGTTAAATGGATACCATGCCATGCTATTTGGAGTTGGGCAAACAGCTACCTCATTATTTATATCGTTCACAAGATTCTTGGCGACACTCTAGACGTTTTCATCACTTAAAACTTAAGCGGGTATAACTTTTAAAGAGTCAGTGGACCAGGTGAATATCAAGACTTATGAACTTATAAAAAGAAACTTGATATTTAATCTACAGGAAATAACGCACTATAAATTATTGTATATACATATATAAAACTGTAATATAACTAGAAAAGATATTACTGTACTCGGAAAGAGTTCAGTTAATGATGTGGATACTAAATCTACACGATAAGCTAATGTCTTAGAATTCATCAACCAATTGCAAAATCCGCTCCTGTTCATGTCGTCTGTCATCCTCATCCATTGCATCTCCAATATTATCGGCGTATTCTCGAACGACAGTCTTGATTACTTTTGAAGAGGCTCCACGCATTCGGAGAATTTCAAATATTCGATTTTTTACATCTTGACCAGCTTGGGATACCTCAACTAGAGTATAATCAACCATTTGGAGACAAAACAAACCAGCTTCCAATCGCTGCATATAAAATTCTTCTTCATTTTCTTCGTCAACTTCACCGTATTTTAGAAGCTGCTCTCTTTCTTTTTCCACTTTCTTATTAACAACCTCAACTCGTTCCAAATATTTAAAATGTAATTCGAGCAATCTTTCGATCTTTTCGTGATTGTTTTCAGAAAACTTGGTCATTAAACGCTGACGTTGAGCTCCTTCACTGTGTCTAACTAGAGATGTGACGATACTTATAATATGCTCTTCTAATTCCTCTTGATTTGGACCGGCTTTTTTATGACGTTTAGGAGTTCTCATAAACAGTGGAAATATTGCTCTTAGTCCTAGAGATTCAATTAGCTTCGAACAACAGGGACCACCGTCATCTCCACTGCAGGCATGATTTAGAACTTTTATAGCGCAGTTTCTGGAGGCGTGTTTTTCTTTCAACATCAAAATCATTAGTTGTATTCCTTCTCCCTTAACAAAACGTACTCTATTCTCGTTTAGGCTCAAAATAGAGCAGACGCAATTGAAAATATTTTCCATATACTCAATTTCTTCGTTTGAAGATGGCTCATTTCGTTTATACGTAGCTAACTGTTGTAGAAGAATGTCTATACCATCCGCTTCTCCGAGCATCTTTTGTACTTCTGTTTGATTTTTAATAATTTGTAATGGAAGAAGGAAATTCTCTGGCTTTTTATTTATTAATCAAATACCTGTTTGATTTTGTAGTAGAATGGATAAAATTTCACTACAGTACAGCTTATTGGCTTCGAAAGCTTTGAGTTTTAGTCGTTTAAGTATCCATGCAAGTATACCTTGTTTGGCAATCGTAACCGTTAATTCGGGTTGAACGTCAATGATATTTTCAATTATTCCTACAAATATATATAATATTTTCAATTTCAGATTTAAAAAATTCATCTACTTTAATATGTATTTACCAAGGCTATTATGTATCGCGGATGCTTCTTCTTTAATTGATTCATCCATTCTATCCATATTCTGCACTAACGTCAATGGCAGTTGTTCATCCATCTAGAAATGTAAACATTCACTATTTGCATTTAAATTTATGAATAAAAAACTTACTAAGGCATCAATTAGGGAATCGATACCGCTGTCCTCTTGATTGTCTTCGTCAATATCGGTCAATTCTTGAAGTAAATCAACAACCGCAACAGCAATATCCGTATTCGAGTGAAGGAGTAATTGTAACAAGGTGGAATGGGCTTTAAATTGAACAAGGATTCCGTAAAGATTAGGCTGCGTAGCGATAACGTGAAGTTCCTGTATAGCTGCGTGCAAGTCGACTTCAGAGTCGACAAATCTATGAAAAAGAATGATCAAAGGTTAAGAAAAGAAGTTTTCTCTAAGATAAATTACTTTGTAGGCTGGTTGGAATATTTGATACGAAGTTCCTGATTTTTGTTAACCCTCTTTTCAAAAGAGAGTATCATTCTCTTTAATCCAGTTTCATCTATGCTATCTGGTACATCCTCTGCTTGTTCAACTAATTCTAATAGTCGTCTTTTATGCTCCTCCGCTGATATTTTGCGAGGCACAACATCTGGTTCATCCCCTGCCGGACGTTTTTCACCTTGATGAGAGTTTCCAGGCAGAGCTCGATTCGGTGTTTGCTCCTGATGAGCGACAATGAAGATACCATTAATCAATTATATATTTACTACGTAAAAATAATTCAAACCGCATTATTAAAAACTTCTGTAACATCCATTATCTTAATTATTAAAGATATTAGATTTCAAGTCAATTAATTTTCAATAAACGAGAAAAAATCCAAAAATACTGAACAGCGAACGTGGACTATATTCCTATTCGACCGAACAGTATTCGATAGGGCGATTATCGCGACATCTAAAAATTTTTTTGAAGTACTTTTTTATATATGTATATGAATAAGTATACATGTTTAATAAGTTGATACAGTGAAAACAAAACGAACAAAATGAAATACTCAATTACGTAATATTTTTATACAAAATAAATGGGTGAGAGGGGATATAAAAAGAAGAAAATTAATAGCTTTGATAAAAGATAGGGCTAGTTTGTAATTTTGTCTATAAATAAAATGCGAAAGGAAGCAGTACGATCAACAGAACGAAAAAAAGTCATATGGAAAATGGACAGAAAAATTGGCTTTGATAGGCTTTATATATTTTGAAAATCGACCTAACTAATGAAAACGGTTGCACATGTGTTTATTTTATTGCAAAATGATATCTTTGTGAATTAACTAGTGAAAAAAATAAGTTTTGCTTTTTTTTTATAACTAGGTTCGTTGACATTTTGTTACTTAATAATAAACCGCAAATGAATTAACTGAAACAACAAACTAGCCTGGAGAAATGTATGGGAAATCGTAAATATTAAATGAGTGGAAATGTACATACATATTTCGAGTAGAATTCCTTACCAGTTTACATAATGACAATGTAAATAATTAATGAATTTTTCAAGGTAATGAAGATTTTACTTAGAATAAAAGAACGTTCTCCCGGAGCGCCACCTATGAATAACGAATTTTATTATTATTATTATTATTTTTACTAGGTAGTCGGGATACCTTAAAAAACCGGTAATTAGAAGACAAAAATCAGTACACGGACATAGAACGGGCGGCTTCCCGAAGAAAAAAAATGCCCAGCACGTATAGTACAAAGTTGGCTTTAGCTTATTATTATCAATCACTTTCTCTATTCGTATTTGAAAAACAAGTATTCCCGACTATCAAGCCCAATATTTCTACGAGATCCGTTATTTTTCCGACTCATTTGTTTAGAATATCGTCGACGAGAATTGTTTTTGTAGACAAAACGTAAATGAACGTAAAAACGTATTCGCTAATAGAATTGAGCATATACATGTTTTTATTAGATTGTTAATAACTTACATCTAAAGGAAGGGAATGTCTATTAAAATTTTTTTAATCCTAATTATCACGATAAAAGGTCATATATACGCATTATGTAACGTATTAGGAAGAAATATTAGTTTGGTTTGGGAGTAGTGAAATTAGTATGTCAAATTAAAAAAGAATACCAAACGTTTTCTATTAAATAATACAATTTCTTTAAACCAATTAGAAAAAAGGAATGTAATATAAATGGCATCCTAAGCGTTATGTAGATTGTATATCAAACTAATTCAATTGCAGTTGATAAGGAGAAAAATATGACATAGATCTAGACCGTTCCATTCCACTGATAAACACTTTTTTTTTTTTCTTGTTTACTATTATTTAATTACTAATAAGATTCATTGAAAATAAATTATTTTGGAAATAACTGCAAAACAATAATATTGATAATTTCTTTTGAAATAAAGTGTTCATTTGTTTTGAATTAATAGCTTATTGATTCAGTGGATAGGAGAGGAGTGGAAAGCTGCTTTCACTATTCTGCATTACTAGTTTTATTATTTTGTTTTACTAAATGGGCCATTGAAGAAGTTCTTTAACAGAAGAATTTTATATTAAAATGAATATTTATGAGTTGGAAAATTTTCGTTTTTACGTTAAAAGTTTATTGTGAACTGTTGCTTAATAATATTTGATTGCTTAACCTGGTCAATTAATATTTATTTATAATTAACCGATTGCTAAAATATTGAATAACTGGAATGCACTGAATAACTTTGCAAATGTAAAGGCCTAGACGGCGTATGTCACCATAGAAACGCCTACAACGGATTGCTTGCACCCTAAACAACCAATCAGCGTTCTGAATATTAGACGCTCGAATAAAATCAATGTCTTAAATAATCTTCTTATCTATTATCTACGATCGGTTTTCATTGGAAAGGTCGATAGTATCTAAACAACCAGCGTTAAATAAATAGTTCATAAATAATTAATTGAGAGAAGAGTGTTGAAAAAAGAGAAAGACATCCAGCCTATTCTATAATAGTGACGTCACAGGATTATTTGCATAAATTTGAATTATTCATGGGCACCTGTATCGTTTCAGTCTCGTAGCAGACCGCCGAACGCGACGGGACTGAGGAGAGAAGAAAATTTTTTTCATCTCTGAGATACCTTGACATAATCCCTGCTAATAATTATGATGATCTCAAGCGAAAATGACTAGGATTGATATGGATTTGCAAGACGCTTATAGACGATCAGCGCTGAGTAGGGTAAGGAATATAGACGGTTGTTTGTCAATTAGCTAGGCCTATCGATTTTGGTTCAATTATGAATCATGGAAAAGAATTTTTTAAGCAAGACGCCATATCTTATTGAATTTGTCGCTTCTTGTGTTGTTGTAGTTTAATAGAAATAGCTGGTAAAATAATTTAAAGTAATTGTTATTGATTTCGCTCTGAGTGAGTATCTCGACTTAAAGGAAAGATATTCAGTTGATGTTTTATCTCCTCCAAAATATAAGTCTATGTAAGAGAAACTGTATTAATGGATTTCGATCAATTGTACAACATTTTCCATTTATCCTTCATATTGTATACTAAACTATTAGAGTTTTTTTTTCAACTCGATACTAAATTGCTTCAATTTTTTTTTACCTCTTCCGTTTAAAGACATTATTCTACCTTTTCCAGTGTGAGAACTTGATTGTTAGTATTAATTAAACTAAGTAAAAATAATGGCAGCTACGTTGAGAAGCAATTGATTGTGTAATACTCTTTATAGTCTTCTTAATATTTATAAATTTATATTTATATATATATATATTTTTATTAATAGTTTTCTTCCTCCTACTCCACCTCCTCCTCCTCCTCTTCTTCTTCTTCTTCTTCATCTTACCAGTCTTTTCTTTCTTTCTTTCTTTTAATTAATTAACGGACGTTCTTTATTTGTTAATTTAGCCTTTCCAAATTTTGTTTTTAGACGCTTTCCTGATAAATAATTAGTTTCCTTTGTAAAAAACAAAAAAAAAAACAAGAAAGAAAATATTCTATGATACAGAGATTATCGATTCTAGATGAGGAATTACCCAATTTAGGACAATTTTTTTAAAGGGCCCAAAATTTTTTCTTTATTTATTTTCATTTTTCTTCCTAAAAACTCTTTCCCTCTCTCACTCTCTCTCTCTCTCTCTTGTATAATTTCAACATTGCCTTTTTTCTATTCCTAAGTAGATACAAGCGGTTTTTCAAGAGTATTTTAAAGAATTAATTAATAAATTACTGTAAAATAGTTTTTACCACGTAGTAATTTTCTATAAAAAAAAATTATATTCTCTCATGCAACTTCCGGTTTTTGGGGGTGATAAGGCCTACTTTTTACAGATTTTTTTCCCAACTAAATGATAATCATGAGGTTTACATGTTATATTTGTTTGATAATTTACTGTTTGAATATAGTATACTGAATAATAACATATATGTATAGACATCTGTAATTTATGATCTATTGACAGTAAAAGCGTTGTAACGTATAATACTTTAAGAAGGACGTTTTATTATTATTATTTTTATTATTACTTTTATATTTTTCCTTATGATATGTAGTTTATATTAGAGGCTTCGGCTTAGCTTTTAAAGGATTCAAATGCAAATGCTTCAAACCAAAGGGAATTCTTCAGAGACTTAATAGCTTAAGAAGCCACATCTTTTTAGTGTTTTATATTTATGAAATTACTAACCAAAACTGACAATTTATATTTTCTTTCTTTAATTTCTCACCAGCCTCTTAATAGGCATTTTCTCTTGATTGAATTTGTTACGATTTCTTTAAGTAATAAAATATAGAAAATAATAATATTCCATATTTTCTCCTTCTTTAACTTTCTCAATCTCTCAGACTGTCTCTCTCTCTCTCTCTCTCTCTCTCTCTCTCTCTCTCTCTGTCCATCTATCTATCTATCTATCTATCTATCTCTCTTCGTCTTTCTGTTTTTCTCTCTCCTCCTTCCCTCGCTTCCCTCTCTTCTCTCCTCTCTTCGCCTTCTCCTCTCCTCTTCCCGCTCTCTCTCTATCTCACTCTGTCAGATAAGTTTTTATAATAAGCTCTCAGCCCGAACGATTTTTTAAAAACTTGTTCCCTTCCCCATTCTTATCGATTAAAAACAATCAATAAAGCAATTACTTCTATTTTAAGGAACGTTTACTTAACTATTTATTATTAAATATATAAAACAATATATATATAATACTGAGAAAAAATGAGCTAATAAATTTCTATTCATTATTCATAAAATTTTAATCTAATTAAATTTTGTGTCAGTTTTCATTTTTAGAAGTTTAAATAAGTTAATTAGGAAAAGAGAGAGAGAGAAAGATTGACTGCGATAAGATGAAGACAAAGAAGAAAAAGAACAAAAAAAATGACGATAATAATAATAATGAAGAATAGATAGACAGATAAAGATTTGTACAGTATTATAAAACAATAAACCGCTCCAGGAAATAACCTTGAAAAATATAAATAATATATAGACAAACATTATAAGCATTACATAAGAAAGAATATATCAGAAACTAAGTAGATACATAAAAATATGTCCACTGCACTTTTTTTTTTACTAAACATTACTGTTAATTTCACGGTTGAGTGAGTACTTCGTTACTGCTTTGATGAATTTCGTAAAAATTCTACAACTGTTTGACAATTCTCAATCCTATCAACAATCTGCCATTATTTCTTACAATTATCTTAGATAGTTAATTAGTTAACTAATTTGAAAAAAAGCAGACACGTTGTTTCTTTTCCTTCAATTTATCTTTTTCTCTCTCTCTCTCTCTCTCCCTTTTTTTTTCCATATTAAGAATTCATGAAGTGTGGTAAAGTGAATTTGTTAATTAAGATTGTATTCTTGATAATATAAAAAAAAATGCTCTATCCGAGGTATAAAGCTTTCAAAATCTCGAAAAATAGCATTAATGTTTTCTTTAAAGTGAGAAAAGTGTAATTTAGCTTATTAGATTATTCGTATAGGCCTATTGAAGGAGATATATTCTACATTATACGTCTGGAACGAGAGAGAGAGAGAGAGAGAGAAAATGTATAAAGTAGGAGCGAAAAGAAAAAATAAAAACAAAAATTTATATTAAACATGAATTAAGAATAATCCGAAGCTATCGTATCATGTTTTTAATTGCTTTATTTATATGCAATATAAGGCTTATTGTTAAAATACTACAATTATATTAAAATTTCGTAGAAAAAGGTTATAATAGACGCATTTATGGAAAATATATAGTATAATGGTAATGACTGTTTATTTTATATATATACTGTATATATATATACTGTATATATAATATACTCGAATGTGTTATATATTTATACATAGTCTTCAATATGATTTTCATTTAGAACAAACAAAATACATCCCTCATCAAATTGAACCTTTTTCATATAAATCAATTTTTTTCCCTTTGTTTATTTTATCCAGATGGAATAAAAGTTTTTTTTTCCCCTTTTCCAAACTTTTTCTTTCATTTTGTTTCTTTTTTTTTTTGGTTGTAAGTTTTTCCACTAAAATAAAATCATTGACTTTTTTTGTTTTTAATAAAAAAAAAGAAAATACTTTTTATTTTCCGTTGAAAAAAACTTTAAATTGTTTTTTCTTCCAATTTTTTTTTTTTTTACATTTTCTATTCTATTTCTCTTTTTAATTATTATATATTAAAAATATAAAAGAACATATTTGTTTATCTTAATTAGCAATTTACACTATTATCAAGATTCTACTGTTACAATGAACTTTAGGTTAGCCGCCAAAGGGAATTTCATGCTAACGAGCTTTAGATATATAGAAATATAATAAATAAATAAATAAATATGAATGTGTTTGTGTTGGTTTGTATGTTTGTATGTATATATATATATATATATATATATATATATATGTGTGTGTGTGTGTGTGTGTGCAGTGCTGCATATACCTTAAGGGAATTATTGATTTTAAAGCTATATTTTCCGTTTCAAGGTCTTAAGGATAAGTCCAGCACAGCACATTAATTATTACCAGGTTAAATAATACCAAGCAATTAAGCGTGTACATAGGACATTAAGTAGACTACGTAAACCCTATAATCCTATATATATTTTTCTTTTATTAAAAAAATAATAATGATTTGTCCATCTTTTCGCTCTTTTTCTCTCTTTCGTTAAAAATGCATTTGTATTCGACGCTTAAAATAGTTTCCTATTATTCAAACAAAAAAACTCAAATCTAACGGATAATCGCTTGTTCTTCTTCTATATCTAATAGGTCTATTATTAATAAAAAAATACAGATGAGCGAAATAGTGGAATGGATGCAACAAGACAACACGGGAGTACCTGTGAGATGCCAGAAGATCTTCCTAACGACAATTCCATGCGCCTTTACAGGTTTGCTAATTTTATTTTTTATTAGATAAGCATTCGTTTCGTCTTTTCTAAATCGAGCGTAATTACTCGATTCGGGCTATTTGCCCCGAAATTACTACATATGCATATGTATATATATATATATATATATGTATATACTGGTCATGTTGTTCGCCTTTGGTCGATTCGTGACGTCAGCAGTAGCTATATCGATTATTATACAACAGCCAGTTTGTTTTTTGTTTATCTTCAGTTTTTTATACCCATATAACCGTTTATATTATCTTTGGATTTCTTTCTCCTCTTTTCTCTTTTACTTCTACAAACCAAAAGGCAAATTACTTTTACGGGAGCGACCGTTTAGCCCTTTTTTCCGGTTCTCCATTAACCTTTTAACTCGTTATAAATTAAAGGAGATTTTTTCTTTCGTAGGTTATGACGTTGTCGAATGGCTATGCGAAAAGTTAAATATCGAAGATTCAGCCGAAGCTATGCATTTGGCGTCCTTACTATGCCAATACGGTTATCTATTCCCGGTTACGGATACAAAATCATTGCAGGTTAGGGACGACGGATCTCTTTACAGATTCCAAGTAAGTTGAGACGGATTTTGTTTAAATATTAATGAATTTATAAACCTTATTGTTCCTCTTTTTCATTCTATTTTTAAACTCAGACTCCCGCCTTCTGGCCATCCTATAATAGTAAACCTGACGACGTCTATTACGGTATTCAATCATCATAGATTTCCATATGAAAGGTAGCTTGTTACTCTTTTTCTTTTTTTTCTCTCTCTTTCCAAAGCAATCTACTTGACTAAACGCATGATGCGCAACAAGCAGAAGCACGGCTTAGAAGACTTCGAATTGGTAAATATTTTCATATTTCTTTTTAAAACTAAACTCTTAAAACTTTCCTTTTATTTACATCTCTTTTTGTTTTAATAATGATTCCTAAAAGAAATCTCTATAATCCTCTAATTTAAATGTTATTTTAAAGGATATGGAAGGAAAAAAACAAACAAAAAAACAAACACAAAAGACTGTTTAAGCCGATAAGATTTACAGTTGTGTTTATATTGCATGCACTTTCATTGCGTACATACTATACTCTTAATTAATTCTCTTTGAAATTGACTATTGACCAAATATACAGAGACAATCTAAATTATATAGAAAAGATATATACGAAAATGAGAACATGACGATATTAATATACATGTATTAATTTAACATTTTTATGTTTTTTTTTCCTTCTAATGTTCATAGTTACACAAATGAAAAAAATAATAATTAGAAATAATAATAACAGTAATAATAATAGTTACAATAATAGTTATAATAATAAAAAGCTGTTTCGTGACTCAGATCGAGCACGCTAGACTTCAAAAGACATTGTGCGACAAATGGGATTTTATACGCATGCAAGCCGAGGAGCAAGTTAAGTAAGATGAATAATTTCTTCTGTTCCTACCAATTAATGAAAATATTAAACTAAAGCACCTTCCTATACTATCTTTTTTTTCTTCTTTTCTTTTTCTTCTCTTTTCTTCTCTTTTCTTTTCTTTTCTTTTCTTCATTTCTCTTCGTTCATTTAATCATTTCTATTCCTCCTTATCAACATAGCATATGATTTATATAATATATGATTATATATAGTATAGTACAGTATATAACATCCTTCTTTTTTAACTTACCTTATTTTTCTTCTCTATTTTCAAAGATTGTTAAAGGAATGTAAAAAGGCTGATAAAGTCGTGAGGGATAGCCAAGAACGAGCTTTTTGGAGGGTCAGGAAACCAGGCGTAAGTGTTTTCCCTTTAATTTTTTTTTACCTCTTTTTTGTTCTCTTTTATTAATTTCATTATAATGGAGAGGCAAAAGAATGAAAGAAAGAATGAATGAAAGAAATAGAGAGAGATAAAGAGAGAGAGAGAGAGAGAGAGAGAGAGAGAGAGAGAAAACAAGTATATATAGGCTTACAGCTAGTCGATAAAAGTGGAATAGGAGTAGTATACGTCATTATATAGTGAAAACATCTAGCGCTTATTAATTAATTTCAGTTTGAACGATATACTGTATATATTCCATTTTTAGTATACTATTTACTTACACCTATTTCTTTTGCATAACTGATTAAATAGAAATTTTTGTTTCAACTATATTTAATAGAATAGTCGATACGTGTAATTTGTTTTTTTTTAGCCGGATTGTTATTCAATCAATACTCAAAAAAAAAAAAATAGAATCGAGAAAAGAATAGAATAGAATATATTTATAGATATCCGGCGTCGCTCTCACTCTACCCTCCCTCTCTCCTTCCTTCCCTCTTTCTTTTTCTGTGTCTCTCTTTCTCCTTCTATATATATATATATATTTATAATCTATCTATCTATCTCTCTATCTAGCCATCTATCTTTCCTCCCAAAATCACCCTTCCTTTCCTCTTTTCTTTGTCTTTACTTTGTTGCAGTAGTATCTATTTTATAGCTTCACTAATTAGGCCCTTCGAATGGTATAGGTAAAGAAAAAGATTATATTCCGTCGACTTTTTCCCTAATAGGGGGGGAGGGGGAGAATGAAAATTATGTATGCCTACAAGAGTTGCAACATAATTATAATCGTATTGATAAATGAAGGGTTAATTATAAATTTTAGACAACTTGCGTGTACATTTTTTTTATATAGATTAATTTGAAATGAACCATGAAATAAGAGGGACGACGCTTACATTCGTCTGTTAGACAGAGAGAATGATGGATTCGGCCTGCCGATTCTAAATTAAATCCCGGGGCCTTAGAAATTCGTTTAAAGCATAACATTTTACTTACGACGTAAATAAATTAGACTTTCAAACCAGTCCTGAGGCTTAACGTAACATTTCATAAGCCAACCAAGAGCTACTGTAAATAACAAACCTAAAAGAGAACATCGAGGCTTTTTATAGGCTTATACTGCATGCATGGAAGAAAGGCAACTAGGAAGCGCGTATTTCCTGCAAGCCTTCGAGCAAAAATGGCGTTTATTCTGATGAACTATTCCATTACTTTTCTTTCATTTCCATATGTTTTTTAATGTCAACAAATTCTTTTCCCCCATTCCATTTACGCATACCAGCCATCTCAATTAAACGCCTTCGAGGAGGATAAGAAAAAATTGGCGGCCACTCGTCCGAAGCGTAAATCTGCAGACTTCCTGCAAAGGGAGGTTAGTTAAATAATTTATGAATTACTTGTTATGCTATGTTTACGAATTTTCTAATGATCGATTTTCTGTGACGATTCTGTAGTCGAAAAAAAAGCAATGAAATAAACACAACATAAAAAAAAAAGAATGAGAATGAATGACGTTAGAAACTATTAAAAGATTAATTACGTTCTAATATTTCTTCCCGTTGTCATTTTTCTATATCAGTATCTTTTTTTCTCTCTCTTTACATTTTTAGATCGCTTTCCTTTTAAAGTCAATCGACCGAAGTCGGGCTAAGTGTTCGCATTCGTTCGAATCACTTCAACACCATTGTCACCAATACGCTGAGCATGATCCATTTCTAACTAGTCCTCAACCATCGAATCCTTGGATTAGCGATGACTCTACATTATGGAATATTGACGATCCAAATGCTGCAGTCTATACGGAGAAGAGGATGAAGAGATGGGCTTTCAGTTTCGATGAATTATTGCGAGATCCCGCTGGTATTCAAGAATTTGAAAACTATTTAAAGAAGGAATATAGTTCAGAGAATATACGTTTTTGGAAAGAATGCGAAAAATTGAGGTTTTTACCATTATCCAAGGTGGAAAAGAGGGGAGAGGAAATCTTTTATGAATTTCTGGCGAAGCACGCATCGTCCGAAGTAAATATTGACGGAAGAACTATGGAGAACACAAGGCAGGCTCTAAAGAAGGCTGATCGATTTACATTTCGCGAGGCTCAGGAACATATCTACTTGCTCATGAAGAAAGACAGCTACGTAAGGTTTATCAGGGGTGACGATTATCAAACACTTTTGGCCAATGCAGTTTGTCCTAGTAGTAGGAAGAAGTGAGTACTTAATTTACTGACTTTGCCAAGTATTAATAATATATTGAATCTAATCTAAGATTCTTCTCCTTCGTGTCAACTGTGACTGCGGCTAATAAGAAACAAAAAACACCCAATTTGAGTCCAAGCGCCAAAAGAAGGGGAAGCGCAACAGGTTTAGAAGGAAAAGCCGGAAACGGTGGACTTTCTCAACATTCTTTTTCAACCGGAAATCTAAGAGAACTAGACGACAGATCTACTAAAAGTTCACCAAACGGGTAAATAATAAATATATGCATTAGCTGTCTTTTTTTCCAACCTCCCCCCTCCCCCTTCCCCCCACAGACAGATACACGAACATATATACTGCAAATATACTTTTACATACTGTTAATTGTATAAAGAAATATATGCCTTTTCTGTTTATATATCTCTTTCTTTCATTTATTCTTTCTTTCTTCCTATTTCGTTTTTTCTTTTCCTTTCCCCTAGCCGTATCGTTTTGCGGCTCTTTTCATTACAGTTACAAATCCTATGGAATACATATATATATATAAATTTATATATATACTGTATATACTGTATATAGATACATATAGCTAGAGCAGTATAACGGAATTTTTTCCAACAAGTTTCTTATCGTTTCAATCTGTTATCAATATCTATATATAAGATCGTTAATTAAATCGTAACCAATTTCTCTCAGAATATATGACAAATAATACGATATTTAGAACGTGTAATCGATAAAAGACTGTCACTTAAGGTTTACCCTAAAAAAGTAACCGGTCAAATTTTTTGGAATGCTAGGCATTACCGGTTCCTTTCAATTGAAAAAATTAGATTATGATAATAACCTCTTTCTTCTCCAAATAGGTCTAGCACTGACTTGAAAGACGAAAAAGAAATTAGAAGAAAGTTCTCTGCCAAATCTCTCAAACAGAAGCTTGACGATCTCGTCTCACCCAAAGAACAAAAACTTTCTGTACCTAAGAACAGTCGGGGACCGATTGTAAATTCAAACCAGGCTAACGATTCTTGCGGCGTTGAAACCATTGCAGTACCGAATGTCGTTGCTCCTTGGGATGATTGATTTTAATCTCTTATTAAAAAAAAAGAAGCAAAGAAGCAAAAAAAAAACAACCCGGTTTCTCTTGTAAAATATTCACTCGGTCTTTTTTTTAATGGCACAAAAAAAGTACAGAAAATGAGCCTCCTCTTTTCTCTTCTAGAATCTGCTTTCTTTTCTTTCATCTGTTCCTTTTTTTCTCTTCGCTGATGCTCTTTTTGCAAAAGATAAAGGAGACAAACTGTTGCGAAATTTTCAACGCGAGCACCTGCTTGTACATAAAAGTAAGATGGACGCAAGTATAAAACGCACGTGTGTGTAATGCGAAATTCATGCAGAAAAACCTGATTATACAACGAATTAGTAATAAACTATTTATAAATTATATACAAAAATTATTCATTTAGTCTTTATTTATATATCTAGTAGTTAATCTATAAAAAGAAAAAAGAATCGTTGATAAACTATTCTATTGTCTAAATATCTATAATATCGTCCTAAAAGTTTATTTTTAAATTTATGAGGGTTTTATATAAAAGAGAAAAGAAAAGAAAAACAAAAAAAAACTATTTAAATTATTAGTTAAAAAGTAGTAAAAGACTGTAAACGAATAGGAGTTTTCTCTTTTTAAGTAACAATATTTCGAGTAGATCGTATGTCAAGCGGTATAAAATTGATTCTCTCACACGAATTGCCGTGGATGATGAAATAAACTAAGGAAATAGAATCTTCACTTGTCTTTAAGTCAATCTTAAATAATGATTAAAAAAGAAAGAAAGCTTATCATTCTTTTTTAATAACTTTGATGAAATAAACTGTAAATTTCACATTCATCTCAGACTCTTTTCTGTTCATCTTCTCTAATACAGTCGATATATATGGTTATAGCGAAGGATATAGAGGACAAATATGATATTGTGGCGTTAAAAGTAAGTCTATATAGAAATAGTAGAGAAATAGAACGAACGAGAGAGAAACTATTTTTTGACTATACATTATTTATACAACTGGAGCAATTTTCAAACATTAATTAAAGGTCTAATTATCTATATAAGTCTTTGCACGACGTCTATGGATTTAACTTTCTAATTATTCAATTTCCCAAAACGCTTACTAATTCTGTTGCATACCAATCTTTTCGGACTACTTTATTAAGAAAATTTTTTATTTCGTGTAGCCTTGTTCTTCGTCTATTGAGCAAGTAAAAAGAGAACATACACCCGAGTTTCTTCTCTTTTTTTAAGTACAAGCTCATAATAATGAAAAGAATATTTTTTACCCTACCTATATCCTTTTCTTTACCATGGAAAAGAAAAAAGAAAAAGAGAAGGATAGGTAAGGATGTAGCTATTTAGCGATCATGTTCTCCAACTTAAAAGGTTTGGCTAAGATTCCCATAATCTTGGATGACGGGATCAGATAGAATGAAATACCGAAGTACTGTCGTGTTCTTACGCCTAAAGGGACTATTTATCTATAGTTTTCCAGCAGATGTTGACATACACAATGTAATGGCGTTACAACTCACTACAGTACTTTTACCTTTTCATAGACTAGTTTCACCTATATTCTCTCTTCTCTTCAATCCATATTCCTTTCATCTTTTATTCGAAAGTAATTCGTCTTTTTCTGTTTAAACATTAAAAGAAGGCCTAATCGAAATAATCGTACAAATATTTAATAAATTAATCGATCAATTAACTCATGGTTGCCCTAGACGTAGACTAATATATATTTTCTCATCGTTTTCCTATGATTCTATATCTTTTGATAAATTTTAAAGCCTTATAACCAGAGCTTTTTCTTCCCTTTATTTCGTCACAATGAAAGGGTTCGTTTACACTTAAGATCAGTCTTCATTCCCATCTTTTCACCTTCCTCTCTGTTTTTTATTAATGAAACAAAAAGCTAATAAAAGTATAAACATTTCATTGTAAGCGGAAGAAGGAAGAGAGAGAGAGAGAGCGAATGGAAGAGACACCGAAGATGGACGGGTTGAAGCAGGCAGACTTAAATACAGCTTAATCGACTAATTTTTACAATCTATTCATATTCCTACTTAATACGAGACTTGTGTCATTTCTTTCCTGGAATTACGCCTACTCTTTTCAGAAGAATGGAGATTGAAGCACTACTTTGGTCAAAGATAAAATTGCAATCCTAGTCTTCCCATAGTTATTGTATAGTTATTGTGTTAAGCGACTAGCTTATATTCTCATCTGATAAATCTAAACGATAAAGGAAAATGATGCATTTATTTATTCCTCTGTGCTTTATTTCAATTAATTATTAACAAAGTTAATGACATGTGTAAAACATTGAAATTAGTTGCCTAAAAAAGAATCATAATGGCAGTGAAGATACAAAGCCAATGTAAAGTGTGTATATAGGCAGAAATATTCACGGATAATCGAAAATTAGGCGCGAAACCATAGACGGAGCCACTCACTATCTATTACTTCCTGTTAAAAGCTCGTAATAATAATACTTTTGCAACTTGCGACATTTACGCCATCTATCAAAACCTTGACCTTGAAGTCGCATGCTTTACAGAAATTCGAATTATTAAAAAATGGCATCAAATTTAACTCACGAACAACAAATTAAATTGATAGGGGATTTGGAAATTGAGATGATGGCCGATATGTATAACAGAATGGTTTCATCGTGTCAAAAGAAATGCGTTCCCCCTAAATTCAAAGAATCAGAGCTGAGTAAAGGTGAAGCTGTATGTTTGGATAGATGTGTCGCCAAATATATGGATATACATGATAGAATCGGAAAAAAATTAACTCAAGCGACTCAACAAGATGAAGAGGCTATGAAAAAAATGCAAGCGCAAGCCCAGAAATAATTGCCAATGAAGTAAAGCAGGGAACTTTAGTTACAATGTAGGCTAATTTTGACGATGTTAGATATATTGTTATTTTTAACGTTCGAATGGAAGTTATTATAATTTCTTTCCTAATTAAACGACTTATTATGTTAATCAGATATCGGAATTTTAAAAAGAAATGAGAGGATAAGGTGCATGTATGCGTATATTAGTACAGAAACACAATCTTGGGAATTTAGTCAATATTAAATAATTTATTAATGACCTTTCATCGTTCCCTTGAAAAGTTTCTAAGAAATGTGAAAAATCGATGAAAAATTCGTGGTCAATTTGCTATTACGTTTCTTAATTTAAAGCTTTTTACTCATCACGAACGAAAATCTTTGTACATTTCACTCCATTAGCTTCTGCCGTCTAATAAAGAAATTAAATTAAACATCAACACAAGGTGTTTAACAAATATGAAAGAAAACTTAATCAATACGAACTTCTATCATATTACCGTCTTCTCCTATCCATCTTTTTATATCGCAATCGTGTGGTTTACCAATTTGTAACCAAGTCCAGATACCATCCTTGTAACCAACGCGACTCTGAATAGTTGTTTATTTGATTAATTTAAAGCAAATTTATCCATATATCGTACTAATTACTTGATAAGAGTAAGAACTGATAAAATATCTATTTGCTATACCTTAATCTTCCTACCGTCAGGAGAAGTATCGTCAAATTCGGTATCCATTTTATATACTGTAGTACCACCTTTGAATGCAATCTTCCATTTAAGTGAGAATGTATCACCATCCATGGATATATCCATATAGGTTGTTGCCAGAGCGCCGGCTTTCCTTAGAATCATACTTACACCTGCAAAAAAAATGATGATAAATAAGCCACTGTATTGAATAATATAATAAAATATGAGCTTAGAGTATCTCATTACCCAACTCCTTCATTAGATTGTCAAAGTTTTCACTCGTCGTACTCTTCCATTTCCCTACGAACCTTTCCATTTTGTATCTCAATAAAGTATGAAATTTAATGATAAAATATTTAATTTTTATACTTATTTAGATAAGATTACATAGATATTTATCTTATTTCTCCGTACAGAAAGATTTGATAAGCTGAACTAATTTAAAAGGGCTAAAAGTACTCTTTTTAATTAAAGAGAAAACGAATTCAATAAACACGATAGAACCATTATATTTTATAAATTTTGTAGCTTACAATATGAAAACATTAATTGATTAAATAATGTCAAAACTGAAAGCTCTTCATCTTCGTCTGACGTAGGTTTTTGAGCATACAACCCCATTGGCTTCTGCAGTCTATTATAATAGGAATATACTTGAGAAATAATTAATAAGCTTTCACCAAGTAAAAGTAAATCTACCTCAATCATTGTATCATCGTCTTTGATACATCTTCTAAACGTTGCGTCATGAGGTTTACCAAATTGTTTCCATATCCACACACCATCCTCTATAGTCACTAGACTCTATATAGTTGGTAAGATTGATATAACTCAAGCGGGATAAAGGTGCTAGTAAACTAGCGAAAAATACTTTACCACAACAGTTCGTCCATCTGGAAGACCATGAGTAAACTCTTCATTCATAGGAAATGCTTGAGAGCCGCTCAAAATAGCAACTCTCCAACGTAGTACATAACCATTACCTTTCTCGAGAATTTCAAAATAGGTTGTTGTATAAGCTGCTATTTTACGAAGGAAGTAATTGACGTTCATCTCCTTCATAAAGCCATCTATATTCTCTGCGGATACACTAACCCACTTACCCAGAAATTTCTCCATTGAGACACTAATTTAAATAAATAAAAAAACCAAAATATAGGCCATGCATATTAATTCATTGTCTGTATCATAACAATTCTAGCCTGTATACCCTGTAAGATTTTGCAAACGTATTTTATTGATCTTCTATAAATCAATTTGGCCTATTCACCTGGGTTTTAAATAAATGCAGTTAATTAGATACAGCACTTTCAAAATTCTCTCATCTGTATATGTATATATATATATATATATATATATATGTATAAATGATACAAAATTTGCAGTAAAACTGTTCGATGCTTCTGGGATTTTCTTCATTTGGCGGGATATTTAAAATGTTTCCTGATGTATTGTGTTCGTGTAGAACGCAGCAAAACGATTGTTACCTCTTAAGTCTTAGCCTAAAAAGGATTGAGGAGAGGTTTTTACCACAATTATTCAACTATTAAGCTAAAGCTTCTAATAATATTTAAATACAATTTATTAGTCAATACAAGTTCTGTTTATTTGATTTGATTTTGATAAAAAGCTGATTTCTTGGGCGATAATGGCGGAATTAACAACAAAGCATGCAGAGTTTATCGAGCATAAAGCTATAGATTCTGTTAAATTAAAGAATTTTGACGAAGCATTGGCTAGTTTTTGTATTTTATTTAAATTATGTCCGTCAAAAAAGGAAGAATATAAATCAGATTTTATTTATTGCGTTCAAGAATGGTGCACAATTTTAATGGATAAGAATTGCCCTTCTCAAATTATCGATTGTTTTCCACAGATTTTAGAACTTTATCCTTATTGTAAAGAGATTCTAGGATTATTAGGAGGTCTTTTACACAAGCTAGAGCAATATGAATTTGCTTTATCTGTCCTTACTAGAGCTCTCCACATAGATGAAACCGATCCAGTTAATACAGAATTATCGGATAATACAAAATCAAGATTAGTGGAAAGGTGGCACTTTAAGATGCTAAACGATAGAGTAAGAAATCAAGCCTATTTTAAGGCAATACGTAGAATGAGCAAAGAAATCTCGACAATTTTGGATATTGGAACTGGATCTGGTTTGCTAAGTATGATAGCTAGCATTTGTAACTTCAAGAAAATTTACGCCTGTGAAGTTTGCCCAACCATCTGTAAAGTTGCAAGAAAAACGTTCGAATTAAATGATTCGAAAATGAAACAATCTGTTGTTCTTTATGAGAAATGCTCGAATGAAATTCTTATTCCGTCGGACATTGAGGAACGTGTACCCTTAGTAGTAACTGAAACATTCGATGCAGGTTTATTGGGTGAAAGAGCTCTATCAACAATAGCCGATGCATGGAAACGCTTACTAACAGATAGTGGACAAGTGATACCAAAAAAAGCATCAGTATATGGTTGCCTCGTACAAAGCGGCGAATTGAGACGTAATTTTTCGCTTGCTTTTCCCGCTCTAAGAAATCTCAACTTATCGGATGTTCGTCTACTCTACCGGAAATTACCAAGCGTTGCCGATCGAAAATCAAAACCTTACGACTGTGCTACCCTGAATAAACTTGAGGGTGGATTTGTTCGGCTATCAGAAGAGTTTAAAATTCTAGATATAGATTTTAATAATCGCGATGTAAGGGATATATATATATATATATATATATATATATATACTCATTTAAATATAGCTAATCAATTTTACATCAAACGCTATTTTTCCTTTTCAGGAAATCATTAAGTTATCCGAAAACGGTTTGGAAAAGTCAATGAATATCAGGTTGACCTCATCTGGAAAAATCGACGCGGTTGTTACTTGGTTCGACTTGGAAGTTTGCAAAAATCATCATATTGTGACCTCTCCTAGTTCGAACGGTAGCTGGCAACAAGCTGTTTATTTTGTTTTACCAGAAGATTTAGGCAGAATTGATAGCTACTATTCGAAAGAGGAACAAGTACAAGTGACTATATCGATTCAAGATGACTTAATTAATATCAAATGTAGGGGGGGTATGCCAAGTTCATTTGAATCAATTCTCTGCGGTAAGAAAACCCTTGCTGAATTCAATGATATTGAATATAATCGGGCAATGTGCCAAGGAGTTGAGGCTGTTCTAAAAAATAGAAAATCACCTAAAGTATGCATTTATTCTTCAGGAGTAAGTCCTATTGCCTTTCAGTGCTTACAAATGGGAGTTGATTATGTTCTTGGACCAAATTGGGCAGAAAACGAAGAAGAGATAGTACAAAAAATATGTGAAAAGATAAATTTAGATAGTTCGAAGGTGATATGTGGCTGTGAAGATTTACCCGAATTCAATGTGTTGATTGTCAATGCTGTAGACCGCAACGGACGACTAAGTGTTAACGTTCTTGATCATATGGATGTTTTGATATCTAGGGCTGTGGAAGACGTTATAGTTATACCTCAAGCCCTTAAATGCCTTGGAGTATTTGTAGAAAGTCGTTCTCTGGTCGAGGAAGGGGGTATTCAGAAAGATGTTTGTGGCTTTAATGTGTCGGCTATGAACGATTATCAAACAATCAATCATCAATGCATATCTCTAAATAGACTGAATCACGTAAAATTGTCACCGGTATTTGAATTGTTCAATCAATGCTTGAAAGATACAAAGGGAATGTTCGAAAGAACGATATCTGTTGAAACTATAGAAAGTGGAAGAGTAGACGCACTTGTTTACTGGTTCGAAATGCAGATGGCAGACGAAGTTCGATTTTCGACTATTAAATCGAATAATCCCTTCGATCAGTCAGCTTTCATACACTCCATTCCAACGTTTGTTGTTAAGGAAGAAGAACAGATCAACGTTCGATTAGTTTGTAACAATTCATTTATGCATGCTACGTACGAAAAAGCTATGGGAGCACAGTCGTAAAAAAATAAGAAATAAAAAGGCACTGCAAAGATACTGAAAAACTTGACGACGTTAAACAAATATTTTTGTCTCAATTTCCTTTTTATATAACAGAAGACGATGGATTATTTAGATAGTTATAAATAGCGTCGTAACCAGCGTCTTTTGCCAAATCAGCCGGAGTTTGTGCATAAGAATTCTTCAACTGGGGATCGGCTCCACTTTCGAATAATTCTTTAACGATCTTACCGTGACCGAAAAGAGCAGCTGCATGAAGAGCACTTTCCCCAATTGGCAACAAATTTAAATTCGCCTTGTGTTTAATTAATTCTTGAACTATTTCCAAATGTCCTTTGTGAGTGGCTTTAAATAGTGGTGTTGCTCCATCTTCTCTCGCAGCGTCTACTTCTGCACCTAGTTTCAAAAGAAGCTTTACTACATCCAAGTGACCCATTTGGCAAGCTATCCTGTTAAAAATTTACAATATATATTTAAGTATACATGAGAATGTTTCTATTTGTGTCTTTCACTAACCACAAAGGACTGGCTTTGTCTTTCCTTTGCTCATTTACAGAGGCTTCGTGTTTATATAATAATTCTATAATTCGGCAATGGCCATTTTGAGCCGCTAGAAATAAAGCGGTTGTTCCATCACTCATCTGTGCTTGTATATCGGCCCCAGTCTCAATCAGCAAAGTAGCAACGTCCAGATGGTTACCTAAGCAAGAGATTGTTTTGCATAAGCAATATCCCTAATTAAATATATAGCTTACATTGACATGCTACTATTAGTGGCGTTGCTCCTTCATAATTTGGTAAATCAACTACGGAAGGATTTTTTTTGAGAAGTTCTTGAACTATATCAAGAGAGCCACACTGTGATGCTAAAAATAAGGCAGTTGTTCCTGTTTGACGTCTGGCTGATGGGTCAGCACCAAGGCCCAAGAGTTCTTCAACACAGTCAAGATGAGCGTTAGCAGAGGCGAACATTAGGGGTGTTGTATTTTCCTTGTCCGGGCAATCGACGTTTAATTTCTCACCCATGACTAAATCATAAATATTAGAGGCGTCACCTTGAATAGCTGCTAGGTGTAGTTGTTGTTCTAGCGGGGGTTTTTCCATCTTGCACGAAGAGATCTTAAGAAATATCGATATGTAGTATAGCGTGATTTGATACAAGCAGTGACATCTAGTGTTTTTCGCGATTATATATGAACTACTAATGCATTTATTTGTATGAAAAACAATTTTTTTTGGACATTTTTAATATTGTATATATTCTTTTAAGTATTAAATTTTTGAAACAAAACTGTTCAATAGCAAATTTTTATTTTCTTATACAGTCAGAAATTAAAAAAGCACAAAAAAACTTAAATCGTTATTGCTCATAACCTCCTCTTGGATCTTTTCTTTCAGGTTCCAATTTTATCATATCATCAATTCTCAATATCGTGATAGCGGCCTCGGTAGCAAACTTCAGAGATTTAATTTTACTAATTGTTGGTTCCAACACACCAGCCTTTTTATTATCTCTAACTACACCCTTCTCCAAATCCAGACCAATCCATTTTAAGTCTGCACGATCCTTCTTTGTCTGGGCCGTATTGTGATAAGCTCTCAATTTTGCTACCAAATCCGTAGAGTCTTTTGCGGCATTGACGGCCAGTTGCTTGGGAATGACAAGCAGAGAGTGAGCGTATTCAGCAATCGCTAATTGTTCTCTGGAGCTTAAAGATGTTGCGAGGTTCTCCAAATAAATTGACAGGCCCGATTCTACGGCTCCACCGCCAGGAACAACCGTCTTGGACTCAAGCACACGCTTGACTACACAAAGAGCGTCATGAATAGAGCGTTCCATCTCATCAACCATGAAATCATTCGCTCCACGTAAAATTATGGACGCGGCAGATCGTGCTTTCGTTCTGTAGAATAAGATATTAAAATAATGACCAAGATCATAAGCCACTATTTACTAGCTATATTTTCTCTACTTTCACCCAATGGTATAACCAATAGGCTATATAAAAACCTATTAGCAAAGTGATATGGGTAACTCCGTTTTATATAAAATATTCAACTAAATATCATGGTATTAAGGTAAATATTAATTACCCCTTAATAAGAATCAACTCGTCATCACAGATTCGTTCCTGTATAACCTCTTCAGCGTTTCCCAACAAGGCAGATTCAAAGGTTTCCTCTCCTTCCAAATTGGCCAAAGTTACTACTAACTGACCTGAAAAGTAGAGATTGTTAGATGCGTACGAATGTATTAATAGAATAAGTTAACTATTAATACCCAGTAAAACATAATACTACTATATCCTCCAAGAGATTTCAGCCTGCCCTTATTTCGAACAGGATGTAGCAATAGAAGGAATTAAAAATAAAAGTGCAAATCAATTCTTACCTCCAGTGGCTTTAGCCAATCTTTTAAGATCCTTCTTTGTACACCTTCTAACTGCCATTGCCCCTGCTTCAACAAAATATTTGAGGCATAAATCGTCTATTCCCCCAGTTGTCAAAATAACATTAGCCCCAGACGCTAGTATTTTTTGAATACGTTCTTTGGTAATATCTGATTCTCTTTCCCTAATCTTTCCTAGATTTTCAGGGTCTTCAACTAAGACCTGTACTCCTAATTTCATCTTTGTTTTTTGTAAAGAGAAATCAAGGAAGGCTATTTTAGCGTTAGTGATTCGCTTCGGCATGAGTTGAGAACCGATTGTACAGTTGAGAGCGTAACCATTAACTAAGATAGATTCTTTCGTACTTCCACCGTGGGCTTTCAATACATTTATAGCTTTAATGGGATATTTGTAGGATCCCTTTCCATCAGAGGTTTTTATGGCGAAAGCTGCTTCAACTACCATATTCGAAAAGAAATCTGCATCACTAATGAAAAGTCAAGGAAAAAATAATTGTTTAGAGCACATATAGATCACCTATTTTAAAATAAATGATAAAATAACGCTGTAGTTTAATTTAACCCCCGTAACTAATCTGGGTATCGAAATACTCAGGAATGGGTGAGGGTGTTCATTGAATAATTTTTGAAAAAAGGATACGTTCCAATAATTTTACTCGACATGCTAGTCTTAGCAGCGTTAACAATGCATTCACTCTTCAAATCGTCAACACTTATTGTAAAATTCTCTAGAATATATTTACAAGCTTCCCTGAAAAAATTAAGATTGTTACAAAATACTATTTTGTCTAGTAAAGAGTTATAAAAGACATAAAGCTGTATCATTTCTTTATCTTTCCCAATGTATATACTATTGAAACAATTAATTATTTCAACAGCAAGTTGTTGGGAGTTTGTTGTTTGTCGCTAAACTTACTTGCATGCTAGACGATAGCCACTGATTATAGAGGTGGGATGAATTTTACATTTTACTAATTCGTCAGCATTCCTAAGCAACTCAGCGGCGATCATAACCTGAATAAATTAATTCTTCGTAATATGCTAATTTCGCGATATTGTGTACTTACGACTGAAGTAGTGCCATCACCAACTTCCTCGTCCTGCAGTTGAGCAAGTTCAACCAAAACTTTTGCTGCTGGATGTTCAACTTCTAGCAGTTTTAATATGGTTGCCCCATCGTTAGTAATAGTGACGTCTCCAACATCGTCAACCAACATCTTATCGAGACCGACTGGTCCTAAACTGCTTTTGACGATGTTAGCAATGGAAAGAGCGGCCGTAACTGTAATAAAAAGTCATAATTAAGAAATAGGTTGAAACAAGAATGCACGTGTTCATTTTTCCGGTAATCAAAAAATTCTCTTTTTACGAGATAAAAAAGAGCAAATTGACCGCAAATTGATAGAATAAGTAAAGTAATTTAAGTTATACTGAACTATAACTTACCATTTTGTGTTCTGATAGATTGTCCTGTAGTTCTTTGACCGCTTACAGCAAGAGCGCTAACCACGTCCGCCATTTTGGATATTTGATTGCAAAAATTTGCAGAATCATTCTCCTGTTCAATCCCATTTTGTCAACTGGGTGAAAAATCTCATATCGATTCGTAACTATGTACTTTTTTTCATGTATAAAATTTAAAAAATTACCTAAATTTATTTGATATATTTTAGAAATATTTCCTGCATTTTAAAGGAAAATTTTTACAATTTATTATAAGCCAATCAGCTGATAGTCAGACATTACTGCTAGACTTTCGCGCCAAAACAGACGCGAATGAAACGGCGCGGAATCACGTTACTTACTCTTACTAACTAAATTAACATCCCTGTTTTGAAGGCTTTATTTTCAATTCTTGGCGTCTCCTTTGAAAAACATAAGCCACAATGGAAATTAAAATTAAACAAATATCTTGATTAATAAAAACTATGCCTGGATTGGTTTTGTTCAACAGAAGATGGGGAATCGGCTCGGACGATCTTGTTCTTCCGGCGTCCGCTCTATCTTCTTTAAATCTTTTCTGGTTAGTCTGCTTTTTGTATAATATGTTTTCTTATCTACAGGTGCATTAGGCGTATTCATTATTAATGAGCTTAGTCATTTGTTTGGAAAAGACATAGTTTATTCTCTGTTTTACGGTATTTAATATTCAGGAATCAATTTGCTTAGCATACGATAAATGACCAGAGATAAAGTAATTTTCGTAACAAAAATCACGTAAAATATTTAGCAAGCTATTTTCTATATTCATATTTGCCTCTTTCTCTGGCAATGCTCCTAGTGTTACGTTAAAATTACTCAGTTTCTTTTGCATTATGATAAAAATTTGATTTTCTGTTGACTTTTAGTGGTTTTGCTCAAATAGAAAAGCAATTGGTATATTCGTTCAGTAGTAATATTCAATTTAGCAATTATGTATTAGAGGAGAAACGTCTCCAACTTAATTAAAAGCTTCAGTCATTTAGCAGTTGTCTTGAGAAAAAAGAAATTAGAGGTTAGGGCCTAATTGACAAAAGGGAAAGGAATAAAGCGTAATAAGGCAAACACAGGATGTGGGTCATTTAATTAGACAATTGATATTATTTAAACAATGTAGCTCTTAATAGTTACTCTGTAATACTAATATAAAATCTAATATTATACAGTTTAATATCAGCACGTGTTCATTTATATTTAACGTATATAGTAGAAATGAAGAACTGCTAAGAGTTGACAATTATATCAGTATAAGTAATAAATAATAAGCAGGCAAATAGGAGACGTCGAATAAAATTGAGTGAGAACCTAAAAAAAGACGACACTTCCACTGTAGCAGGCCGTCAAGAGCAATTCTTAATCCTATGAGCCGTTTCTATACCATTGGGAAAATATGCGACAATCTTCTTCTATGTAACACTGCATATGTATAAATAATATGAATAAGGAATAAAATAAAAGTATGTATGTATAGATATATATATATATATATTACACATACATATACACATATATATATATATATATTTAATATATATATATAGATGGCGTTTTGATAAATTAAGCTAATATATCATATTGGGTGATTCAATAAACAGAGTGAGCTGCAAAATTTCCTTCATATCTAGCTGCTTTTAGACTTTACGACTGTATTATTGCTAAATCACGTAATGTAATCAGAGAGAAATGGAATCATACTTCTAAAATTAAAAATCCTAAGTTAGTGATGTAGTTTATCAAAAGACCACTTTTTCCTTCAGTTGATTATCAGAATTTATATGATCACTAGGGCAAAATTGTCAATGTCAACTTAGATAAGAGTCAATGTCACTTTAATTAGTTATTTTCTCTTTTCATGCTTTTTTTGAAGAATTAATTGATTAAAAACAAAATTAGCTGTTTTGTTAATAAATTTTTTTTATCATAATTCATTATCGATTTATATTGGATGTTAATTGTGCTTAGAAAGTATAGTCTATTCACAGACATATAACAAATACACAAATACGTTTTATTTATATGTATATACTGTATTTTGTATACTATTCTATTTAAAAGATATGTACTGTATATATATATATATATATATATATATTATGAAGACGTTATATACTAATATATTTATATATATGTATATATATTTTTACGGTAAAGTTTATTGCACGTTAGCGATCGATATAAACTTAACTGATCCAATGCCAAAGTAATCGCTCTATATTCAATCAAATTAGCAAAGCATAGATTCTATTTTCTCTCACTAAACTAATAAGGGATATTTTATGGTATTCGAATTTGAAAGTCTAATATTTACCATGTAGATCTGCGGCAGAAAATAACGGCAAAAATCATATCGCCATGGTTCACTGTTATTGTATACTATTAAATACAAGAAGTGTAATATATACTGGACTTATCAACACGCAAATATATATATATATATATGTATAAAGAAATGTACTACTGCAAAAGTATTATAAAAATTAATACTTATTTCTAATGTTCTCATTTATTTCCTTGTAATAAAGCTTGGAGATTACATAACTCAAAGCTTGTTACTTTATATATCGTCTATAGATAGATATATGGATTAGTGTCTGTTTGCCTTATGCGAATGATTACTTATTGACATGATAGAATGTGTAAAACATTTTTAGGTCCCAAGTTGTTCTATTTCTTTGAAATGCCTTTTTCCGTTTTGCGCTTCTGCGCTGAAGCAAATTATTCCTGACCTTTTAGCTCGGAATACACTATTATTTCTACTTTAGATTTACGTATACTGTTAGTAATTGATGTACCTTATTAGAGCTATTTTTTTTAAGGTTGTTTCTTTCCAAATATTGTCACGATGATCTTTAGGATAGGGAGAGGGATAGAGAAAAAAATAAATATACGAGAAAACGTCTCCTTAGTACAGTATATGATATTTTTATAGGCATGTAGCTCATTGATCATTTGAAGAAAAATTGCTCTCCGACATAGTCAATTCTCATCCGACATTTATCACGTCGCTCTGCCTCTCATAAAAACCATATAAGACTTGCGAAACGATCTCATTTACGCGCAAGCGTTTTGCATATAAATAGAGAATCTCGAGTGTTAGGGTCTTTTGTTTATCGTTTTGCTTATGAAATATTTATTTAAAAGATGTCTCATCAAATGGAAAACTCAAAACAATTGATTGTGTAAATAGATCTAAAAATCACAGAAAAAAATCTGTTGCATAGAGTTTATCGATAAGGATCTGCATTTTTTTCCAGGATAATAGGCCTAACCGTTGTGCTATCAACCTACGAATGGAAGACAGATGGTTGCTCTAAGACGCTTAAAATTCATTTAATTGTCTACTTATGTTCGAAATGTCTCAATTTCTTTGTCGAACTAGTCATTGGTGTATTAAGTACTCGTGGGACTATTTTGGACACGGATAAACGGCAAGCAATAAGACCAGCCCTATATATTAGATTAGGTAATGTTATAGAAAAAAATGCAGCGCCCTCAAATTTCCAACATTTTTATTGTTTTAGGTTTATATATCTGTGAGGTAGGTTGGTTGACATACAGTTCGGTTTGGATTGGCACGAATTATACAAGTTGTGAGGAAATCGAAGCTAAGCGAACTATTCTTGGAGTTGTAGTTTTCAACTGGGTGGTGATTTTTGCAGTCATCCTAGCCTTATGGTGCTCCTTTGATTCCGGTGGGAGGTAAAACTAAGCCTATATCAGTGTGATTTTAGTTGTAATAATAATTATAGAGAATTACCTAAAAAATCTACATAAATTAGAGGTAGTACAGCTAAAATTTTAGTTAGTAAGAGAGAGAGAGAGAGAGGAAGATTATTTTTAGAAAAAATCAATAATTTGACAAACTTTTTTTTAGCAGACGCTTTTTTTGTTATCTAATTTGTAGATTTTTCCTTGACATGCAATAACTTTGTTACAAAAACATCAAAATATTGATATATACTTTTCTTTTGAGGGGGTGGGGTGAGGGGGCAGAAAGGTACTAGAGGTTATGCACACAAATACATACATATTTTATAACTAAGGAATAACAGTAATAATTATATAATAAAGGATGTATTTTTCACTTTATATCCATTTTAGAATCACTTAAAATAAATAAAAGGGATTTTTATTTCACTTATATTATTACTAAGAGTTTTATATTTCTCACTAAAATCACACTGTTTTTCTATTTGCGACGCAAAGACATTAACGCGTCGATCTAAAAACAGGCATTGGGTTCGTATGAAAAGATTTCAAGATAGTACGAAGAATAGTCAACGGGGTAGCCATCGTTCGAAGCGCACTTCCGGGAACACTAGGCGTAATTGGCGCCAACGGTGCGTCTTTAATTAGTTGTAACTTTCATATTTGGAGTACTTTATAAAAATGCGTTACATATTGTCCACGTGTAACTGGGCTACTACTTTATAGAATATTATAAATATCTCGGAAAGGAAACGGGGATTTTTTACATTTAATTATTTATACTTAGCGAATTTTTTTGATTGTAAATCTTATTTTATTGATTTAAATGTTTATTATTTATTTATTTATTCATTTCATAGAACTATTTATTTTTTGATTTATCCCAATATCCCTTTTTTTAGTTTTTCCTTCTATATGTATATATATGTATATTGTACATAATTATTGCATGGCAGAAATGGATATCAGCCGTTAAACACGTAAGTTTTATTGAAAACGTGTAAGTTTTTATTCTTTAGGGAATTTTGTTGATTAACGCTTTTTTTATTACTTTTTTTTTTAACATCAAATCAGCATAGACGCTTCTTTTTTTTTTTTTAACAAAATACTTAATCTTAACTGCAGTATTCTCTCCTTCGCCGCCTTCCGGATATACGAAACGATCTAATATCCTAATTATTCCTTTTTTCAGAAAAGCAACGAGAGCCTACCAGCAATCTTGGGACAAACGGTGTGGACTTTTCTTTTGCTGCATCAAGGACGAACATAACAGAGTAAATAGGTCGTTCTTTGTTGGCGTCTAATAGAAACAACGTTTTATTTTTTTTTACAGAACTCTTTCAGCGAAGTCGCAAAATTATTTACGGACTTCTTTCGAGATCTCGATGTAGTTCCATCAGATATTATCGCCGGTCTAGTTTTACTTCGACAGCATCAGAAGAATAAACAAAAGTATATAATTTCACGGGTAATTTGTAAACGGATACCGTCTTTTCCTATTTACTTATTATCGTTTTAATGTAGAAGAAGGATGATGTATTCGACTACTTATCAGGCGTTCCCATTACTCCACAAAGCAAATTTTTGAATTTACAAGTTGCGGAAGAAAAACTACGATTTGATAAAATTGTTCTATATATGCGTTATGCTATGGCTGCCTATGGCTGGCCTATGTTTTGTTTTAATAATCCATTCACGGGTTTGTGCAGAATTTTACCCGATTTGAGGTAAAATTGAATGAATAAATTCGAATTAAACGCTAATATATACATTTTAATAACGTTTCCAGATGCTGCTGCAGCAAAAAGCCTGACTGCGAAGTGATAGATGATAATTGTTGTTTGTGTAATTTAACGGCCATAAAGAAAGTCGACGGTTTACAAAACATCGAATTGGTTTACGCAAATTATCACGTAGATGTAAGTTGATGAAAATAAAAAAATATTTTTTTAAAGAAAATATAATTTCGCATGTTTCTCATCCAGATTGAGGAGACGCCGTTTTACGTGGCTCTTGATCATAATGAGAAAGTTGTTGTTGTTGCCGTAAGGGGAACATTATCTTTAAGAGTTAGTTTATTCGGCAAATTTTCCGGTATTTAGAGATTTAAATGGCTTATTTCAGGATGTCTTAACCGATTTGAAAGCGGATGCGGAACCACTGCCCCTTGATCCAGTCGACGAAGAATGGCTCGGACATAAGGTTCTTTATTTCTTTGCCAAAAGGAAATGAGAGGCTCTTTTACATTAAATAGATAATTTTTTTTTCAGGGAATGGTACAAACTGCCCTTTACATCCGTAATAAGTTGCAAGAAGACAATGTACTAAAGAAAGCTTTTAATAAATATCCGGTAAAATACTTTTAAGACGATACCATTTCAATTCATTAAGAAAGGCTATCTTTTTTTTCCATCCATCAAGGAAAAGGCAACGAAAGATTACGATCTCGTATTAGTTGGTCACTCGTTAGGGGCAGGAACAGCAGCTATTCTAGCTGTTTTATTAAAAAAAGAATACCCTAGTTTACATTGTTACGCTTTCGCTCCTCCGGGTGGTTTACTCAGTAAAATTTGTGTGGAGAAGACAAAACATTTTATAACATCGTGCGTTCTTGGCAAAGATGTTGTTCCACGAATAGGTTTATCTCAGCTAGAGGTTTTGCGAAATGATCTAATAAATGTAATCAAGACTTGTAAAAGTACAAAATGGAAAGTTATAGGGGGGAATTTATTTTGTTGTTGCTGCTGTAAAGATTCGGGTGTTGCTGAGGATACAATGACTGTGTTTGATCAGGAAGAAAAAACGAGGGGAAAAGGATTCATTCATCCTAGGGATAAAGATGTAAGTATGGAACAGCAATCATTTAGACTAAAATATGCTAAAAGCAAGAGTCAACAGATTCATTTGAGCACGCATCAAGCTCTACATCCGCCCGGTAGTATTCTGCATATTGTACGCAATCATTCATCTAAGAAAGGATGTCGGAACAAAAATCCGTTATATAATGGCGTTTGGGTAAATAACGACGACTTCGACGAAGTCCTCATTTCTCCTACAATGCTTAACGATCATATGCCTCACATCATGTTGAAAGCACTTCAACAGGTGAGTAGGGTTTGAAATTCAAAAGATTGTCCTATCATCTGGTATAACAAAGATAGATGAAAATTAGAAGGCGTAGTCTGCCGAAACTTTAAGCTTAATGCAAAACAGACGGCGTGCAGCCGATTAATTTTTCTTAATGTTTAACTAGCCGTTAGGTAAAAAAAATGATACTCAGAAATCTATCTCGCTTGTTGCATCGAAACATGCCAGATTTCTTTCAAGATAGTATGATTTAAGTCCTGTCCTTGCAACTTAATCTTCTTGTTGTATCTTAATTAGACCATTTTATCTGGAAAATTTTCTCTGTTTATCGTTCTCTTAAACGCTAAATATATAAAAATTGTCCCAATGGATAGTATATCCAACGATTAAATGTTTATCTCTTTTTTTTTGATATAAACAAGATTTTCTTGTCTTTTTCTTCTCTTCATTTTTGTTTTATCCCTACATTCACAAGGTTACCACCCCCGAGCCCATCATTCACGACGAAACTCAAGGTCTACTTGAACAACCCAATCTTAGTTGGGATGATGCATATCACCACGGAGGTTGCTCAACTGACGCTCCTCTTGCAGCGCAAGAATCTTTCACGGACCAGACGCCTCAAACAACATTTGAGGAATCTCAACGTTTATCAGTTGTGCTGGAAACTGATCCCATTGCCCAATCAACCCCTATGCAAACAGAAACTTTATTTCCGGTTCGACCGTCCTCTGACAACAGCTGTCGACAAGTTCTCTTTCAGACGGAACCATCCTTCGACATGACAGCAGAAGAAAAAAGAATCGAAGAGAAGCTAAAAGAAGCTGAACAAGGATACAAACTAGCCTTTGACAACGATATGTCCTACGAGCGTCATTCGCCGGATTCGTCTTCGAATCAGTTGGCCTACGATGGTGTAAATAACCACTACAGTTCGGCTGGTAGAGGCTATCCGCACGGTGCTTATTTATCAGAAACGGAAACAAAACTGCTGTTAAATGATAGTCCTATAACAGACGTTTGAGTTTGTTGTATGTTCCAAAGAATCTCTTATTTAAAAAAAAAAAATGCAGAATTTATATATCTTTCAAGTATTCCAATTAAACTGATTATAGGTTCTATCTTTAAATTAAGCTTTCAAAAAATAAAATGTTGCCATGTTTTACTCTATTTACTTATAATAAAATCATCCGAGTCACACTGTAATTTTCCTCATTGCTGCCATTAAGACCTGATAATGGTAGTTGTATCATGTTGTGCTACACTTCGGTTATTGTATTTACTTACAACGCATACCAAATTAGAAGCAGCCATCGCATAGCATCCAGTTGTAAAAGAGAAGTTATCTATAAGGATTCCACCACCGCTCATGCCAAAGAATTCACTAAGGAAGATAATTAGCCTTCTTAATTATACAATACTAAAATAAGCTATATATACCCAATAAATCTGGATGTATTAACAAAAGCTGCTATTGATGTTTGGCTTTGTATATCGTCCGGCGGTAGGCCAACTGTTTCCGTCATAACTTGCATAATAACAACTAAGGAACTAAGACCGAAGCCTAGTAAAGTTAGAGCAATAAAGATACGATAATTGGTTGATATATTCATATTCCAAGGCACAAGTAGGAGAAATCCAACGACATGCGATAGACCTCCGTATAGCAGAATGTTTAATCCGTTTTTCTGCACGAAATTTTCGAGTTCAGTGGACAAAATAATTAACTCCTATGGTAGAAAAGTTATTTACTTACTCGTTTATCGCTGTATCTCCCAAGCATAGGGGATCCTATTGCAATAATGCCTGGGGCTATTAAAAATGTGAAACCTATTTCGTATTCGTTCATTCCTAGAGAGGACTTAAGGTGGATTGCTAGAGTAGAGCTAAGATAGCCTATTGCCGAATATATAACGGCAAGACTTGAACATAATATCATAACAATCGAGTTGCATAGCATTTTTCTCGTTAAATCTGATTTCTGTGAGATTTCCGGTGAACGGCTTGGGGATGGTAAAAGTGGCATCATTACAAGACCTATTAACGTATACATAGTACCCGTAACAAAAAATGGCAGATGAAAGCCTCCTCTTGCGTACAGGAAAGAACCTATACTTGGCCCTAGTAGCATTCCTATCGATTGAGCAGCTCCGGATATGCCCTGTGACGTAATTTCTGGCTTAGAAGGATATTGATATTAGGATTTATTGTATCTAGTCTTTTTTTACGGCAATAGAAGATCTTTTCTGGGGAAAAGTTAACGAAACCAATGTCATTACGCCGACCATTGCTGGAGCGGCAAAAAACGCTTCAGCAGCCCTTAAGGTGAAACTCGCAAAAATAGCAACATAACCTTGAGGCATCCATTCTATTGTGCTGTTTTTAACATAAAGAAAGAAAAGAAACTAATTAGATTATAGCCTTGTTTGAAAGGGTCTAGATATAGAAACCCATAAATAATTGAGACTAGGCCAGTTCCAACGACACCTGTAACGTACATTCTCTTCACCCCGATAAAGACCATCTAAAAACGGTCTTAATTAACCTTTAAATAATCTAGAGAAAAATAAATACGTCTCACGAACCGCTTTAGCTGCAATCGGAGAGATAAAAGCAACAACCAAAGGAAAAACTGCTAGAATAAAACCGATTTGAGTCAAAGACGCTCCTTTTTTTAAGGCCTATTTAAAAAAAAAGAAATAAATGGAAGACTTATTGCATGTATGAAGGTACTCAACTTACCATAATAGGGAAAAAGGGTCCTAACATAGAGAAAAAGCATGCTACTCCAAAAGATGCGGCAGTTATTAGGGCAATTGTTAAAATTTCAAGTTCCATTTCAACCAACTCAACAAAATTCAAAGGTATACCGCTACTAATTTCAATTATGAGGGTCTTAACCATTTCGAATATGCTTATTACACGTATTAATATTTATTTATGACTAAATACTGTATATAATATGGCATCTACTATGTGATATGTATATCCTTATAGTACATTGTATAATAAGTACATTATACAGTAATAATAAATTACTTGAGATTTATTTAAAATGTATATATTGTTATAGTTTTTAATGGCATTTGTATAATTACTTTTGTTTGGTTGTAATTAGAGAAATTTCTTAATAATCTTCTAGTTATAATCAAAGTATGCACCAGAGATGAAAGCTTTTTAATTATTATAAGTATATCATTAACTTTGAAGGACATTACGGAAATAATTAATTAGACTCTGGAAACTTTTTACATATGACCTAATCATCTTATTATCCTTTCAGTTCATTCTATTACTATCTGGCAAGTTGGTAATGGGCAAAACAATTCAAAAATGGTTTTAAGATGTGACAATACTCTTGCTTCTTCTTTATTTTCTCTCTTTATGTTTAGAGATTAGAAAGAGGAGAAAGGAAGATAAGAGGAAGTAATAAAGTACTATAAAGTAAATAAATTGTACATAAGTTTTGAAAAGAGAGAGAGAGAGAGAGAGAGAGAAAGGAAGGAAGGAAAGAGAGGAATTTGAGTGGAAAAGGAGAAAAATAAGCTAATTTAAAGCAATTTATGTTTTCTTTTATTCTTATAAAGCAATTTGTTACCTTATACACAAAACGAGAAGGAAAGAAAGAAATAAAGAGAGAGAGAGAGAGACCACTGTAACAATACTAATCGTTCTACCATATCTTTCCATTTCCCGTTCTGTTTTCTTACTCATCTATAAGAAAATAAGTCAAGTACTTAAAAACTAGACTCTTTAAAAAATACAAGGTTAATTTAAACTGAATATAGAAAATATACGATTCACAGTATCTGTTCTCGAGAGTAAGCTTTTAATATAATATCATTCATTTTTCCCACAAAAGTAACTGGGGAAAAAAAAAAAAATATATATATATATATATAGGTCTATATAGGCCTTCTGTAAAAAAAACTGACTTATAAAGAGAGAGAGAGAGAGAGAGAGTGAGTGAGGGAGAGGGAGAAGAGGGAAAAATTAAGTTGCCCATCACCCTTTTTTTTCTTTTTTTTTTTTTGCACACGATAAAAAATAAATGTATTCTTGAGATGCTTTACAAAAATATAATTTCGTTCCTACAAATAATATTACTATATAGCACTTATGTTAGTTTCTATATACACTTAATTTAAAAGCTATTAGAATAAGAAAACAATGTATATTTATAATTTACAACCATATTTTATATTCTGTAAATTATATATCATATTCATAAATAATTCATATTTTTTTGTATTATAATTAATAATTATTTCTTATGCATCTCCTTAGGATTGGTGTTTGTTTGTATATATATATATATATATATATATATAAATTTTATAGTATATACTATATATAAATTGTATAAAGGTTAACTTCATTGTAATACAACTGGCATTCTAGGTTTAACCAAGTGATTTCTTTATTGCCTTATATCCTTTTCAGTAATGAATATGACTAGACAATAAGAATTGTCACCTTCATCTAAAACCAGTTTTTTTTTATCACATAAAATAAGTTTACTAGAAAAATGAATTTATGGTAATTTTTTACTTATTATTTTTATATAATAAATGTCACGAAATTGTAGTATATATACGGTATATAGTCTCTTTCCCTTTATTAACCTTTTTCTTCTTCTACTTACTCTCATTCCTCTTCCTTATAGTCTTCCAACATCTCATTCGTTTAAAATATTCTAGCTATAACGACAAAAAAGAATTGCATTATCCTTTCGACATTCGGGAATTTCCAAATTATATATACGTCTATATGTAATTAACTACATTTATTATCTTTAATGTTAATTATACTACTTTTGAAACTTTATTAAAAGTTTCATATTTTCTAACGATTTATTAATTCTTCATTAAAAATACAAATTTAATATAATTAAGTTCTTTATTCTATTTTTTCTTCTTTTTTTTTAAATATTGATTGTTCTAATTAGTTCATTATAGAATAAGGCTTTTAACGATGAATAAACAAAAATTACAGAATATTATGGATACATTTAAGAAGAAAGAGGTAGGGAATAACGAAAGAAAAAAAGACAAAAGCATTGATCTAAATATGTTCTATTATATCCTTAGTTTCGTATTTCGATAAGACTGTCAATGTTTTATGGTAGAATGAAAAAAAAGTTATTTGAATATTCTTCAATAAATCCATTAGATTATCGATCATTGTACATTATGTTCAATATAGCTATATATATATAAGTAAGTTTAAAGATTTTTTGTTTTTACGAATAGTAACGAATTGTTACCAAAGCTTAATTTTCTCATGAATAACTATTTTATATGTCGAACTAACTAATTTCCGGATTGCTACATATCAATCTACAAAGTAATGTGCTGGTTTGTAATTTATTCTTGCTTTTCTTAACATATTACAGTTGTTTTTAAAGGAAAATTTACACTTTTCTCTACATTATCGATTTATTCATTTCTAAATAAAGATAATCTTTCATAAGGACGCTTCGTCTTCAGTAATGAGAGCGGAATTATGCAGAATTCAAGACAACTAATAGTAGCATATTGTAATTCAAATAGGAGAAGTCTTATAGTTCTCGTATAGATGAAGAAAAGAGTTGAAGGACGTGAGACGCAATATCAGATAATCAACTTCAGGTTTATTTGCATTAAGAATCTATACAATTTAAATAAATAATCAGCTGTCCAAAAATTCTAACTTGACAATAGGTCCACTAGATTATCGAGTAGTGAGTGAATATAACATTATTTGTAAGAAATTAAAGAAAGAAAACATCTTAAGAAGACAAATCTGTAAATTAAATATGTCACAGTTATTGGGCAAAAAAAATTCTTCATTTTCTACTTAATAGATTGAAAATTTTGGCTTTTGAAAATCAATAAGAATATAATAACGATTGTAGCCTATCCTAGGGGAAATTTTCCAAAAGAAGAAATGTTTATAAGAGTCGAACCGGAAAGTGACGATGATTACGGACACTGTACTCATTTTCTATCGATTGATCAGCAGCAAAGGGATGAAATTAGTTTTTTTTCCCTCTAAATATATAGAGTTTATTATGTTGTTGAAAGAGTGGAATAGTCATAGAATATACTTTTTTTAAATTCCGTTATAAATCGTTTGTCTATCATTTTATAATAAATTTTTTACAATATTCACTGAATTATGACAGTTTTATTAAATTTATTTTCTAGGTTTCTTTTTTTTTTTAAAAAAAAAAACACTGCAATATAGAAAGTATACTCTATATACACACTATATATAGAAGATAGTATACTGGATAAAGAAAGCAACAACCTACAATAATAAAAGAATACTTTATAGGTATTTGTTTAAGCTTTTCTTTTGGTTTTCTCTTAATTCATCTCCTCATTTAAGTTTTTTTATAAGATAAAAAATCAAATACAAACAATCCTATGTGTATGTTTAATAGAGAATTGTACGAATGAAGAATGTTGATACTGCAACTTCCATAAGTAAAATAAACAATTTTGTTAATTAGAATAAAAAGTAAATTAATTCATTTTATGATTTTAAATAAATAGTTTTCAAGTTTGCTATGCCTAATGCTATAAATAGATAAATCTCTTTAATATATAGATTTAATCCCCTATGAAAGATGATCATCTCTTGAATACTTGAATAATTTAACACTTTAACAACTGTATAAAGTAGAAAATGCGGATATTTTTTTTTTACTGCACAAGTTTGTCTCTTATTGAAAAATTGATAAACATGAATTTTCTAAATGATATTATAAATTCCTTTTTTTCTCTCTCTAATACCACGTGACAGACAGCTATTTTATAATCTTAAATCTTTGACGTAAACGATATGATTTCTTGGCATGAGTTTGTTATTCACGCATTACGCTGTATATACAGTATATATATATAATAATACCATTCAAATTTTGCAGATTTCAGTAGTCTGCAACAAGTCACTTTTAATGAGAAGAAACGGAAATTAGGGATAAAGGGAACAAAATGTCCGTACTAAAAACTATTGAATCCAATACGCTAATCAAACACCTAGATAGAAAAATAACGTTCTCTTAAAACATTCATTTCTTCTATTGGCCTTTTTTTTGTTCCAACAAAGGAATAATTAATAATCATTATTCTCATAGTTTTAATTATAGCACAGTTAATAGATAATTTATATTTCATTTGTAATATAAACTTTATCGTTTTCATTATATTACTGAACAAAAAAATATTTTAATTCAGTAGAATATCACTTGTTTGTGCATTTAGTCAACAATCTAATAATTTTAAACAACTTATATAGATTTTTTATCCCCCTTCCCTCCTTTTTTTAAGCCTGAAAAGAGAGATTTTGATCATATATTCTTAAAAACATTATAATAATGGTTTATGGATAATTGAAAGTTTTTGTCAAAGGATAAAATGTCATTCATAATTTCGTTGATATCAAAAATAGTCTAAACAAGAAGGAGAGAGAAATAATAGGACAATAAAAAGCTGTTGAAATTATATTAAAGGTTTTCTTTATGAATGGTCAATTGAATTATTCTCTTTAACTGTAATAAATAATTCGATAGATGATAAGTTGTTATGTTTCAATTGGTATAGTTATTTCATTCGATTGGACGAAGAGATCCTTTTAGTCATTTTTCTACAATATAGAAGAACTAAAATTACTCTTATATATTTCTCGAGAAGAGGATCAAAGTACTCCCAAGACTCGAAAAGTGCATAATGGCATTTATAGTTGACTTTGCAAAAATTCATCTTTAAAATGATAAAAAGTACCTAGAGAATAATGAAACTTCTTATTTAGAATAGATAAATAAGTTATATAGGTGCTAGTATAACATGCCTTACGTTTTAACTTCAAAGGAGATTAATATCTTTGCAATAAAGGTAAAATCCCTAATGAAATAGGACTTTAAGGTATAGACGTAAGATAGTAGAACCGAAAATAGAAGTGGAAGATCTAATGTAATAAAAGTAATATATCAAATAAATATTCAACGTATGTTCTAATCTATAGAGAAATATATAAAAAAAAAATTTCATCATTATTTCAGCTAACCTTCACTCTTCTCCCCCTTTTTGTCTATACTAAATACCTTTTTTGATATATATTATCAACATCTTTAAATAATAGATGGAGAATATATTTTCAGTCTTTTCTAAGTATTTCCTTTTTTAACTAATTAAAAATTTCAAAAACCTTCTTTTCTTTTGCAAGTAAGCCATTTTCATTAATTACCTTCTTGTTTGTTTTCCCTTCTTTAGATGGCTTATGCTATTTCCTCCCTTTTTAATATTGTATATATATATATATATATAAATATCAGGAAATTATAAATTGTCATTAAAATCGAAGAATTATTTTTAGCTCCAAGGACATTCTTAATTCTTGTAAATTTTTACATATGGTCACGCTATATCGCTCAGGTCTTATTTTATTTTGTTGATTGAAAATAATACTTATGGTAAAGTATTTTATTGTAATTGTAAAAATAAGCAAAAATTTTTCCTTTCCTTGATGCACGCTGTTGAAATTCTAAATATAAATTATTGGTGATAATAGGGAGATTGAATAAACAAGTTGGAAAATATCATCTCCTATTCCTCTCTTGCGTTAAGATTCTAAATGGAATTTTGTACCTTATTCTTAGCGACATTCTTTTAATCTATAATATATGGAATATCATATTTTACTCTTGCTATTTAAACGTTTCAAAATCTATTACTCGAATCAACTGCGGGAATATATACCCAGTTGTTAAATTGTGACGAATACGCATGCGCATAAGCTTTAGCTTAATATTATTGCACTTTTATATATTTTGGCTTTAAGGTGAAAAACCTCAAGGTCATAACTGCGAAAAATATGTACTAAATGTAATGGTATAGTCAAGCTCTTGTATTAATCCTCCAAAATGAGGTCACGCAGTAATTCAGGAGTACGACTTGATTTTTATCAACGAATGGTCTACAAAACCATTTTAAAACACCAGGTAAAAAACAGACGACGTTTGATATTTTAGAATTAAGTAAGATTTTTACCCGTAGAATCCGGTGACGGGTCTGCTTCCAGCAACAGCCGATCCAAAGCATTCTTTTCACGATCATGCGTGGGTTAGAGACAATGTGTATTCGATTCTAGCTGTTTGGGGTTTGGCGTTAGCTTATAAGAAGAACGCAGATTTGGACGAGGATAGAGCTAAAGCTTATGAATTAGAGCAAAGCGTTGTAAAATTAATGAGAGGCCTCTTGACATGTATGATGAGACAAATGAATAAAGTTGAAAAATTTAAATATACGTAAGGCTATTACTAATGAGTCTATTTAAAACCTACATTGAACAATACATATAACAGACAATCTCCAAAAGATGCTCTCCATGCAAAATATAGCGTTACAACTGGGGCTACAGTTGTGAGCGACGATGGTTGGGGTCATCTTCAAATCGATGCCACTTCCTTCTACTTGTTAATTTTGGCTCAAATGACTGCTTCCGGTTTACAAATTATATACACGATGGATGAAGTCTCCTTCATTCAAAATTTAGTATTTTATATTCAATCGGCCTATAGAACTCCTGTAAATATTCCCTTCATACCATTTAATGAAATAGTATTTAGGAACACAAATATTTTTTATTAGGATTATGGTATTTGGGAAAGGGGAGATAAGACAAACCACGGTCTACCAGAATTGAATACAACCTCCATAGGTATGGCGAAGGCTGCTCTAGAAGCTATGAATGAACTAGACCTGTTCGGAGCTAGAGGTGGACCCTATTCCGTCATACACGTTTTACCAGATGAAGCCCAGCAATGTCAAGCTATTCTTCAATCAGTTTTACCTCGAGAATCTAATTCGAAAGAGGTCGACGCCGCACTTATGGGAATAATTAGCTATCCTGCTTTCGCGGTTGATGATCAAGATTTAATACAATTAACGAAAAATACTATTGTTGATAAATTAATGGTACTAGTTGTTTATTATTTTGGTTCAATTTACGATTTATTTTCACTTTTGCATATCGATATTAGGGCGAATATGGATGTTGTAGATTCATTAGAGATGGATACAAGACAGCCAGAGAAGATCCTAACAGATTACACTACGAACCGTGGGAATTAAGTATGTTTGAGAATATCGAATGCGAATGGCCTTTATTTATTGCATTCTTTGTATTGGATGCAATTTTTAACGATACTAAGGCTGATATTGAAAAATATATGACAATACTGGAAAGTTTAATGATCAAAGGAGAGGATGGTATAAAATTAATGCCCGAAATGTACCGAGTGCCAGCACATAAAGTTGAGGAAGAATGCTACAATCCAGGCAGTCAAATCAGAGAGCCAATTGGTAAAGTTCCTCAAACTTGGGGACAATCATTATATATTTTATGCAAGTTACTGATGGAGGTAAACCACTTATTTTTTGGCAGTTTAATTAATAATATTGATATATGTTTTTCCAATAGGGATTTTTATCACCTGGTGAAATTGATCCTTTAAATAGGAGATTAGTAACAGAACAAAAGCCTGATTTAGTTGTTCAAGGTAATCTATTTATATTTATTTACATAGCTTTAAAGTTTAATATCAATTTTTTTTTGTTTTCTTTGTAGTTGTTATTCTGGCAGAAGATGAAAAGATTCAAGAAAAGCTGGCGGAAAACGATATTAAGGTTCAAACATTAGCGGAAGCTTCACCCGTTCAAGTTTATCCTGCAAAAGTATTAAGCCATATTTTCTCTCATTTGGGTAAGTAAATATACAAGCACGAGAGAGGATTTATAATTTACAAATGTACTTACAGGAAAGAATTCTAAATTGGGTCTTACTGGAAGACCGACTGAAATGGCAGGCATTTTAGCAACTAGTAAACTCTATACTTTGGGAGATAAGACTCTAGTGTTTATGCCTCAGGTAAAAGATTTTTCTAGGATTTTCTCTTCTATATCGAGGTTGATTACAAAATATATATATCGATCGAAAATTCAAAAAAGTTTGTAGATAAGCAAGAATTTTACTTACCTCTTGATCTGGAACTACTGCTGGATATGCTCAAAACAGACGTTCAACACTTACAAAGATACTGGAACAATATTGGGAGGCCTCTAATGGTGTTCCCAATCAAGCAGTCATTATTGGGTAAATTATGATTGATGTTCACCTGTAATATTGTATCAAAAACTGGGAAATTAAGGATAGGCATTAATCAACTTTATAGAAAATGATTAAGTTATAAGATATTAGACTATCCTTTCATTTCTTAAGTAGTTTCCTAATGGATGGCATATTTGTTTTGTTTATTCGAGATCGTTTAGCTTTGGATTGTTATTTAGGCTTAATACTAAAAGAAACTCTTAATTTGCATCTTTTTTTATGCAATCAAACCTCTTTAATCAACTTCGGTATACATTCTATGTTCCATTTTAAATAAAATATTTCTCCTGTCCTTTCCCTCTGAATGAGTTTCTGACGCTTTGCAGTTCTCTGATGCTGATACCTTCTATATGGTGCATGATATTGAATATCTAATAGATGGTTTCAAAAATAATCTTTTATATTTGAAAAACTCATGGATGGGTATGGGGAGACCTATTTTCATTGTTCCTTGTTTTCGTATAGCGTATGGTTGGTGTGATCGGTATATTGTTTTTTATATAAAAGTATAAACTTTTCAACAGATTTCAAGAATAATCTACATCCTGCCCTCATAGCTACTATGAAAAAACTGCAGACAGGTTATATAAATGGAACAAGGTGAATTTTACTCAATATATATTTATATTATTATTTTATTTAGTTAATGGTAATACTTTGTTTATAGAGTTCAACTTGGTTTTATACAAGATTTTATGAATACCTCATGCGCAACTTGTTTAACTTATTTAACAGAAGCTGACGATTCGCCAGATAGTACGATTTATATATTATGAATTTTATCAATTATGTTATTTTTCTAACATCTATTTTTCGATATTTTCCTTTAAAGTTGATAATTTATTGGAATATATTGGAGCATTTCAAGTTAGCAGTGCCAAATCAACGTATCGCATACTCGATTCAATTTCTCGAAAGTGTTCCCAAGTCAAAAAGCCAAGAGCTAGAAGAAAGAGTACAGTTTCCGGTTTCCTAAAGAAGAGTCTCTCAATCCAGATTGCTCCCGAAGACGTTGGAGGTAAATAGAGTCAAATTTTTTTCCTATATCACTTTCATAAGCCAATCAATAATTGAAATTAGAATTGCCTTTTTCTATTTATTTCCTATCCCTTACCTCTTATAATTACGTTGTTCTCACTTTCAATTATCACTTAAGTTACATAATTTTCTTCTTCAATACAACAATAGACTCTACGAAGGAAATTAATTCTTTTTTAGACTTTTTTATTATTTCTTTTAAACTATTATTTTTCAGACTTATCACACCTGCTTCCGACAGGTGCACAGGATTTTGGAGGTGATTGCTTAAGCATGCAGAGATATAATCTATTTCATTTAGTATTAGTTTATATCTTATACATACTTTTATAATAATCACTTCAATTTATATTCACCTTTTCGTAATTTTTCTTCAACTCTTTGAGCACTTCAATAAATTTCACTGTGAAACTAATGAGAGAATTTGAATAATTTCGACTTATTAAGATGTTTTCAACATATAGCTCATTTAATTTTTGTTGCAGAGACTCCATCGTCAGAAAATGTATCCCCGACACCACCTTGTAGTCCTCTTACATTTACGCCACCCGAACGAGATCTATTTCAACCTAAATCTCATTTAAAAGCTGTTCTTGCTGGAACAACCGCTATAACTCATCACAACGAAAGCTTATATGAAGGTATTGATTGTATAGATTTGGTGGATCAATTGAGAGATAGCGAAAGTTTACATGAGCAAGCTGATATTATTTACTACTTGTATCTCCATAAGGGAGTAAATTGGGAAACGAATTTAGAAGGTCCTAATAGAAGTTGTAAAGTTAGAGATCTATTAGCGGAATTATATGACCGAGCCGGAGATTTAAAGCAGTGGTGGCTAGTTAGACACACAGCTGGTATGCTTAGGAAGAAAGTGGAAAATTTAGCCTTATCAGCTACTGATATTCTTGTCAGACAAAAACAATTAGCTGTTGGTCTACCTCCCGAACCGAGGGAAAAAATTATAACTCGCCCTCTGCCTCCTGACGAATTGGCCGATATGATACATGAGGCTTGTGGTCGAGATTTGTCCATTGCCATGTTAACGCAGGAACTTTTGGTTTATCTAGCCATGTTTATTAGAACAGAACCGAAATTATTTCATGAAATGTTGAGGTTAAGAATTGGTTTAATTATTCAAGTGATGGCATCCGAATTAGCTAGGACATTAAAGTGTTCGGGTAATTTGGTATTTTGTACATAATTGTCAATGAATAATTTATATAATTTATTATACGAAAAATATATAGGAGACGACGCATCTGACCAGCTATTGAATTTAAGTCCTTACGAAATGAAAACATTACTTCATCATATACTTAGCGGCAAAGAATTTGGCATAACGTCCGGTAAGCTATTTTTGGACTTGTCCATTTTAATTCGGGTTCTGCAATGTTTATTAAGTAACGATAATGAGAGAATCCTGACTTTCTATTTATTCATTTAACAAAGAGGAAAGAAAAAACACACATCTCTGGTTAATTCTATTAGAATTTTTAACAAAGCGTTTCTTTATTTGATATTTAATTTGACAAAAGATTCAAATTTCAAAGATTATTTTTTAGAAAAAAAATATTATTAAAAAAACGGAAAATATTAGAAGAAACAGTTAAATCTTTTCAATCATTTCTTTCATATAAACTACGTCAGGTTCTAGCGCGGGATCGAGTTTAAGAATCGTTCCAGCCGAACCTAGATCAAAACACAGCACTATAAGGACAAGAAAGACAAGTTTATATAAGGTGTAAAAATTATTTCAACTAATTCCGCACTGTTAATGATTCTTTATTTACTTCTATTGCTATTAACATGTATTAAACGTATAGACCAGAATACTTATACCCTCGTTGCAAAATATCTTGTAATAACAAGCAGGTCAGGGTACTTGTAATGAGGCCTATACTATTTTATAATAATTCAAATAGCTTAGCCTAAAATAATTAATTGGTAGAGATTAATTCTTAAAATTGTTGGTTGATATCCGATTTTAATATGCGCTTTAAGCTGCTGAAAACGTCTTTATATCGGCGGGTGATATGATAAGAGAAGGTAGTCGTACAACGACTAAAGTTCGCAGTAGACGATCGTCAATGGTAGCGGTAAGTCTTGGGATGCTTTAATGCCTTAGCTTGTCTCATACTCTTTCTCTTATGCACTTTTCAATCTCACATAGCTACTTTATGTGCATTTGTTTTATTTTCTTTGCTTTCTAGATTTTCGTCAAAATATACTTCTTGAGCACCGGCACGTCATTCACAATCTTTCAGTACGCTTTTCGTTTATTATATATGTATATATATATATTTATATACATGTAAATGCATATGTATACAGTATCTTATTGAAGAACAAACGGTATTTGTATATGTAGATATATACAGTATATATGTATATGTATATATGTATATATATATATATATATCTATTCATTGATATTTTTATGTAATTAATTATTGACATAATAATATGTATGCATATAACGTATTTTTGATTTAGACTAAATAGAAACCTCTTTCTTCTCTTCGCCCTAGTAGTAATTAGATTAATTTAAATGTTTTTTATTGTCAAATACAGGAACTGCAAGAGTCGGTAGGGCCTGGAGCTGATCTTAGCGACTCAGATAGACAAGGCCAGTGGCTAAGGAGAAGGAGACTAGATGGTTCGTTAAATCGTGTACCAGTTGGATTTTATGCAGACGTTTGGCTGGTTTTGGAAAAAGTACTTTTATTAAATTGATTTAATTCTTGTGACTTTTATTACTATTGTTCCAACTAGTGTAATGGATTGCAAATTGAAGAAACAAGTCTACAAAGATCCCTTACAAAAGAAATGACAAGAGGAGAATTGAAATTCGCGCTCCAAGTTGAAGCAGCATTGAACAGAGTAACTCAACCCGAGCTTAGACAGTTGGCTGTTGAAACTCTTACAGTTTTATCTCTCGTGGCAGAGTACGGCGCTGTGAACAGTCGTTGGGATCAGATAATAAATATAACTAATATCGTTATGAGAGCTAATTCAATTTTTATAGATGAACAGCAGCATATGGAAGGCGATGTGTTGCTATGTTGCGCAAAATTCAGCCAAAACCCGTTGAAATGTGGAGGTGTAGCGGGAATTTGCCAACATTTTTATGATTCGGCGCCTAGTGGAAGATACGGAACTATGTCGTATTTGTGCAAAGCAGTGGCTCGTACGCTACAAATTGCTGTTGACAGAGATGGAAATGCCGACTGCCGTGTACAATAAACTAAATACTTTTTTGTGTACTCCTTAATTCACGACTTAAACCTATCGCATAAAAAAATCAAGCTTTAAAAAAACACAAAAAACAAAATGTAAAAAATCACTAAATAAATTAAAATAACCATTCTTTTCTAAAGTCTTTAATTATATTTTAATTTATCTTATCGTTTGTTTTAACTATATTTAAGATGAATATCAAGTATTTTAACTTTGCACATTGTTGAATTCTAATTGTAACGTTCGTAATATAGATAAAAAAAAGAACAATTTGAAAAGATATGCAGTTTTTAGTTTAATAAGAATGACAACTTTTGTAATTAACATATAATGTTGTAATAAAATATTTTAGATTTTAGTAGGTTAAAATAGGCTTTTATTTTTCCAAATAGAAAAAGATACGTTACTTCCTTTAATCAAGTAAAATAGTTATAAAGTAATCTTTTACTATTCTACCATTATTTCATGTTGGACAGACACAAAGAATTTTCGTATTTATTTCAAAATGTCGTCCGCTCCCAAACGAAGGCGATTGAACAATAATCAAGTATCCTCTGTTTCACAATATCGCGACCAACATTTTAAAGTAAGAATTTAATTTTATTCGTTATTCAACTCATAATTTACTTAATAATGTTCATTTAAATCAGTATTTAAACTTAAATAGCGATATATTTATTTAACACGCATATTATCGCTCAATCAGGGATCTCGCCAAGATCAGGATCGATTATTAAATCAAACGACTACATTATATGTTGGAAACCTCTCCTTCTACACAACTGAAGAACAAATTCATGAACTATTTTCTCGTTGTGGAGATGTAAAACGAATTATCATGGGCCTGGATAAGGTTAGACGAACCCCTTGTGGATTTTGTTTTGTTGAGTATTATACAAGAGAGGATTCTGAAAATGCTATGCGATATGTTAACGGCACACGATTGGATGAAAGAGTTGTGAGAACTGATTGGGATGCAGGTTTCAAGGAAGGAAGACAATATGGAAGGGGAAAATCGGGTGGCCAAGTTCGAGACGAATATCGTACAGATTATGATAGCGGAAGAGGAGGTAAATACTTAAGTTTCACAAAAAAATACGCTGTTTCAATTATCGCTGTTATTTTTAGGTTATGGAAAGATCATGCAACAAAAAATGCAAACCCAATCTACTATGAATTCATAATGAAATCGGGGACCTCATTTACTTTATTTTCATTGTTTTCGTCTATATTGTAATAAATGTAATTTTTTTTAGGTAGTAAAAAAAGTGATGATTTTATATTTGGTTTTCAAAGATACATAAAATATGTTGTTAAAGAAAAGCTTCTGTAAAAACTTCTCAGCTTGTTAAAGATACAAATTCGATTCTTTTCTTGGCTATAGAACATTGATAGCTTTTCTTAATATTGCCAGATATTTAAATTACATTTTGATAAAAAAAGAGAACAAAATTATTTTGTTTCGCTCTCAATAAGTATTTTAAAAGCTAAGTTAAATAGTCAACGCTTTCCTTTCGATCACATGATATACCACATGACTATCCGGAAGTTTTATTCAAATAAATATACTCGAAGGTTGGAATAAATCGAATGATTCTGCTACACGATTCAAAAACAGACACAGTCGAACTCTTTTAGAGATACCCTACTAATTTAATAAGAATCTAAACATGGCACAGGTAAGATTAATATTTCTAATAGCATGTTCTCTATACGTTTACGTTCTATGTGACATTCGTTAGCTATAGCTAAGTTAGTCATGGACCTAGACTACATCAAAAGTTTAACTAAGCCTCTACATAAATTGATGTTAATGTATAGAAGAAATCGCTTAAATAAATATACATTTGTGCATTTTTAATATAAAGTTCTTGTAGACAGCTCAGTAGCCTTTTTATTTTATTGAAACATTTTGTAGGCTAAGTGTTAAATTCAATGGGAAATTAACTTCCTGTTTTATTTTTATAGAATTTTCAAGAAACTTTGGCAAAGTTTAAACAAGAACAGCCATCACCAATCAAGACAATGCCAAAAAAGGCACCTATCAATAAAAAACCAATAGTTGAAGTAGGAGAGAGAAAACAAGATAATGCACCGACAACAACTATATTACCAGGTATTTCACATATTTTTTATTTATTATTCAAAAAGCTGTTTACATTTATCCTCTCTTTTGCAGGTATAAAGCATATGGGACAGAATACGTTAAACAAACAATTTAAGAGAGTCATTCTTCGTTCATTGGAGAATGATCCTCCGGAAGATATGGAGAAGGATACTAACTTGGAAAAACCTAAATATACTCCAAGACCTTCTCCCGAAGCACAACTTCGTACTAAATATCCTGAGATAGAATCTAAAGATGAAGCAAGATATATCAGAGCTCCTCTACCTCCTTTGAATTTATCGAAACAGCCTCCATGGCCAACGAAAATGCCTGACAATTATGAGTTTCCCGTAAGTTTGTTCTCTTACCGAGGTAGCTAATAAAATATTTGTTTATAATGCTATTCTAATAGGGCTGCCTAAAAGAACCAATATACGATGATATTACGTCAGTATATCTCTCTCTTCTATAAATAGAATTATATATTTTGAACAAAAATTTTAAATTTTTATTCCATATTTTTCAGGATTCAAAACAATGACAACATATACTACGATGCAAAGTCTCTTTCTTAGTTAAAGAGAAAAAGGGTAGAGATAACATAAGAGAGAATATTGTAACTGTTTTAACAAGGATTGCAATAATCTTGTATATCAATATATTAAATTTCTAAGTTTGTATGAACAAAGGAAGAAATAATTTGGCAACTAATTTTAAACACAGCGGAATAATCATTATTAACTCTTTATTTTTTCTTCCTTCTCCTCTTTCCTCTTTTAATAATGCTCTTTATTCGTTTATTTTTTGTTTATTGTGCCTTTATTAATAAAAATAAATCTGATACGGTTAATAGTTTTAGTAATAAGAGAAAATTGGCGATTTTCTATCAAGAAAATCAAAACTTTCGATTTGAAATGAGACCAATTACTAATTTAAAACAGTTGTGCTTTGGTTCAACGTCATTTTATAGGTTTGTTAATACTTTCTTTACGTCTGCTTATGCTCTTTAATTGAGAAAAATACTAATAAAACATACAATTATTATATTTTTATAGGAAAGTTGACGATAAGAGAAATGAATATAATACTGTATTATCGTATGTTGATACCTCAACTATCTGCTTTAAACAATGTTTGACTGATCCTTCTTGTGTTGGTATCATTTTTGATAAGCTTAATAGAAAGTGTTGGCTAAATAGACGTTTTTGCCAAGAATCTAATACTCACATCAATTCTGAACAATACGAATATTTCGTTAAATCTTCTCCAGAGTGTAATCTTAATAGAAATAGTCAAAATGAGATTTTTCTCTTTGACGAGTCATCTGGGTATTGTTTCACTTTGTATAATAAAGAAAGTTTAAACTACTCGCAAGCTAGAAAATTCTGTCATATCAGGGAAATGCACGTAGTTAAATTTGATCTTCCACAAATTAGGAATTTCTTCCATACAAGATTATTTACATTGTTAAGCAGAGAGGTTATGATTTGGACTAGTTTAACGTCTAAAGATTATCACTTTAAATGGGATACAGAAATATTTTCAACAAAATCAGAAATCATCAGGGAGATTGGCCTCCTCTCGTCAAATGTTGAAAAATGCGTGACTGCAAATCTAAAAACACTTGATCATGATATAGAGTTTAACCTTAAGAGTTGTTCCGAGAAGCACGCAACCGTTTGCTGGCGTCCACTATTTGGTGAATGGTCTGAATGGGGACAGTGGGGAAACTGTTTGCAATTAAATCCAAACTTAAATAAAATACAGTTTCAAGAACGATTTCGAAATTGCTCTTCACCTGAGCCAATTTCTAATATTCGTGATTGCGGACTCGAGGACACGGAAAGAAAAATGTGCTACAAAAAGGATAATTATAAAGGGATAGTTAGCTCTAAAAACTTAAATGAAATAACTGTCATTATGACAGTGAATTTCGTATTAATTCTTCTTGGAAGTGTTCTCTCGTGTTATACAGCGAAAAAGAAAGGTGATTTGTTGACTAAGAATAACAATCGAACTCGAATTAGAATAGAAGAAAGGAAGCGTCATCTAACGCCCGAAGTATTTAAAAGACGAAAATCTACAAGAGACTACTTTTAGAAAAATGGCTTTAGTTCACTGCAAAATGTGAATCTGTATTCAACTTTTGAAATTTTAAACTTTGTTGAAAGCAGCAATATCGACGCTTTGAACGTAATCTTCGTTTTCTGTGATTTTATCTGTAAGGTCGTCGACGCTGACTTTATCGTCTTCGATAACGCAGGAAATTTGGAGCTTGCTGATACCATAACCAACAGGTACCAATTTGGAGGCTCCCCACAAGAGACCGTCAACTTTGATTTCCCTAACGAGGCGCTCCATTTCTTTCATATCGGTTTCATCATCCCATGGTTTAACTTCGAGGATGATGTTGGACTTGGCGATGACTCCCGGCTTAGCTTGTTTTTTCTGGGCATATTTTTCCAGACGTTCTTGACGAAGTTTTTCGGCTTCTTCATCTACTTCTTCATCAGAAGAGCCGAATAAATCATCGCTGTCGTCATCTGCTGCTGGTTTAGCGGCCTCTGCTTTTTTCAAGCAACTACCATATTCTTCTACGCTCTTCTTTACACCAGGTAGGGCAGAAAATTCACTCTCGTAAGATTTGATATGGTTGTACCATCTTAAAGCGTTTTCGAATTTGGCGCTCGGAGCAGATTTCAGAGCAGAAAAAATGGCCACGTCGGCTTGTGAAGGCACAAAACTAAAAAAAATAGCCATTAATATCACGTATATACGCTTTTCAAAATGCCAACCCTTCAATATAACTCTTGTCTACTAAATAAGAATTGAGGCAGTTACTGCCACATTCGCTGTTCAAGTCACCAAAACCCATTATAACAGATATACTCGAGACGGATTACGAAGGAGCCGCTGTCACGCCACAAAGAGAGCGATAATCAGCAAAAACGATCGGAGCGCCACACGAGATGTACAAAAAAAAATAGTTCCATCAAAACTATAATCACATATGAAATACATCAACGTGAATAGTTCATCTTTAAATGTAATAATTATACAGATAGATGTTAATTTTTTTGCTGTATTTTTTTTAAGAATTGAAGAATTATTTATAAAAAAAACATAAGTTGCATAATTCTTGAAAATAGTTTAAATTTTAGTATTAATTTGGCAAATGAATTGTATATCTATATAGTTTATAATGTTACATTACCAAATAACTTATGGCATCTTAGACTATATTATATTTAAAAATATCTCAGGATAAGATAAACTAACGAAATATCGCCTATGAAACATTTTAGCAAAAGTTGTTGCTTTAGTAATACTTGAGCATTCTTATTCGAATGTATTTCTTAAAAAGTATTAAATAATTCTAAAATATTAACATGATCATCAATCTTAAGCAAAGATCATTTACTATTCTTCTTTATTTTCGGATTTGTTGCGCAATTCTTTATATTTCTCTTGAAATTTTTGTAACTGTCTCTGGGCCGACGCCAATTCACAGCACAAGGACGTAGCTTTCTCAAATTCTAGTTGACAAAATCTAAGTTCTTGAGGAATTAATGCAATACCTAAATATTTATAAACATTATTATCAAAATTATGATTATTTGGATTTTTTCCGTTTACTTCTTCTGTGCTTTTATCGGTTTTTCTTTTACGTAAATTGCTGTCTTCTTCTTTCGTGTTATCAATCTTCATTAAATCAAATTTGCTAGTACAGTCATCCACAGAAATTAAATTTTTTGGTTCCAAAGTCAAATTTGTATGTTGAGGCAAAGACCTACTAAATTGGAATCCTCTATGATAACGAGATCTGGAAATATGATTGAAACCTCGATCCAAGCACAGATTTAATTCATTGCGAATATCAGTCACCTTCTTTAGGCTAGATAGCAACTCCAAAGCGATTTCATCCGCCTCCATTCTAAAGCATCTATCAGGTACGAAACTAAAGATGCAGTTGAAATTTGTAAATAATAATGTAAAGCGCCATCTAGTCTTCGCGGTGAATTTGAACAAATAATTCTTTAAAATGGTCTAAATAGACTGGAAACATACGTTCTCAATTATGGAATTCATATCAAAAAATAAGATTACTTCTTCGAAATTACCATCGGCCAACGATAAAAGTAAAGGCAATGAAATTCAAAAAAAACGGTCAAAAACTTCTACAGCAGAACAAACGAGCAGTTTGACGAAAGGATCGCTAGAAGGAGATGTAAGATAAAACAATCTTATTTAGATCTCTCTTCTAATATATATTTGTCAAAGAATAATAAAAAAAGCTATTTAAAAATAGAGAGAAAAGTCTCCAGTGTTGATTAATAGAAATCTCATAAAGTCAAGTCTCCTTCTAGTTCTAGGAACATCATTTCTCTTCGGTCTGAATGTTAATTTGGAAAATAACTTAAAAGAGGAAATAAAGACTTTTTTTATAAAGAAATTAAAAGATTTGCGTAGGGATGAACAGTTTGTGAGAGATAAGTCTGAAACTTTTTTATATGCTCTATCAATTTTCTACATTATAGGAGGGATTCTTGGCACTGTAGGGTAAATTATAAATATATATTGTATTTATTGTATTAAACTAATTAAAATCCTTAATACGGCTGTTTGAATAGAAGTTTCATTCTTGCCGATATTTTTGGTAGAATTTTTGCGATATCTTTTACTCAAATCTTTATTCTTATTGGATGTTCTATAACTGGATTCTCGGTATTTCAATCGTCACCTTGGTGGTTGGTATTGGGTAAATTTTTTATTGGTTTACATTCTGGATTTTCTTTGGTTCTTGCTCCTGTTTCTTTATCAGAAATCTCACCATTTAATTTAAGAGGTACATCGATTTGCATTCATCAGCTAGCAATTACCGTTGGGATGATAATTTCGTCAATACTGTCTTTGGAACCTCTATTCGGAAATGATAAATTGTGGCCTTATTCAATTGTTATGCAAATTGTTCCTGGATTTATGGTCTTAATAGGTTAATACAGAACATATTCAATTAATACGTTTTAATGTCAAGCTCTTACTTATTTATTGGTCCTTAGCTGTTAATTACCTACCGGAAACACCTAGACATTTATATTTAACAATTTACGATAAGCAAAGGGCAAAAGAATCACTAAGGTATTACAGAAAGAAAAGTGACGTTGGTGGAGAATTGGAAGAAATGGAGCTTGAGAGAGCACATAAATTAATTAGAAAGGAAGATGGAACTAATTCATTTAAACGTCCGAATCCATTTGAAAGACGATGGATTCTTCCATCATCAGATTTCCGAGAACTAATCTCTAATTGTGCCTTTCGTCGCCTTATTTTCATTGGAATGGCTTTATTGATAATCCAACAAGTAGCATTCTTAAATCTTGGCTCAATCTTCTTTAATAATTCTTATATTAAAAGGAACGTAAATGAAGTTATGTATAAGTGGGGCGGAATAGGAACGTATTTTATAAGTTTAATCAGTACTGTTTCCTTTCTTCCTTTAGTTGATTTCGTTGGTAGGAGAAGGATGATAGTTGTACCAATTTCTGTTATGCTAATTGTCTATAGTGTTAATTTGATATTTGTAGTATCGGAGTGTAAATCGGCAGAATGTGGTTACTCCATACTTTTATTAAAAAATATTTATACAACTGCTTATTCTATTGGTATCGGTCCTGTTGCATGGATCTCCCTTCCAGAACTTTTTCAACAAGATGTAAGATGTAGAGGGGTTGCTTTATGTTTAATTGTTTATTGGATTTGCTCTATTCTTACTAATGGACTATTCCTTCATCTTCAATCAATTGGTAGAATTTTTATTTCTGTTATATCGATAATGATTTTGATCATATTGACAACATTTGTAAATTCAAATATGAGGGAATCTAGAGGAAAAACATTTTTGGAGATTAATTTTGTGTATGCAAATACTAATTCCAGTCCAAATAAACGAAAGTGAAACTTTTTTGCTTAATTAGTTCATATTATGATCATACTGAAAGTTTTATCCTCTTGTGTCTTACAGCTAAAGAAAAATTACATAACATGTTTATTCATAAATATTTATTAATGTCTTAGGTATGTCTATATAGCTTCGAATTCCCCATTATTGTTAATGCGTGTTTGCCACCTGTCGGGAAGCATATCAATTCCTTTGGCAAAGTATTCAGGCGGTTTGGACCTGAAAAAAGCCCTTATGGCCTTTTTCAATTCATCATCATTCTCGTATATTTCACCACAAAATGGTCCTTTAATTTGCAGAAAAGATAATAGTCTGATGGCGCCAGATCTGGGCTGTAGGCTGGATGAGGCAATACTACCCATCCAGTTGTTGTAAAATATTGAGTAGTTTGTAGGCTAGTATGAGATGTGGCATCATCTTGTAATAAAATCACCTCTTTACGAGACCTGATTCTATTTATTCTTTGCTTTAATTTTTTTAGAATACTGATGTAAATCTCTGAATTTATTCTGATTTATGAACTTAAAAATTCTAGGTGAATAAGTTCTTCCCTATCTCAAAACACACATGCCATCAGTTTGTCTGCAGACTTACCCATCTTAATCTTTTCTGGTGGTGGAGAAAGCTTTGTATGATACTCTAAAGAAGCTTAGTCAATGGTTTATTATAGAATACCCATGTTTCATCTCCTGTAACATTTTTTTACAGAAAATCATTTCCTTCTTCACCATACTTTTCTGGAAGTTCTGTAGACCTCTACCCTTCTGTCTTTCTGATACCAATCAAATTGGTAGGGAATCCATCTCTTAAGACAATCTTTCTCATCTTTTGGTAATACTGATACCATAGCTTATTTAGACCTACCCAAAGCTATGGTAAAGCCTAAACGGCATGGAGCTGGTGGCAAACGGAAAAAAAAGCAAAGCATCGTATCAAATTTAACGAAAAAGCAGAAAACACATTGGAAACAATTTGGCGAGGCTCATCCTGCAGATGAAAAGTACTTACTTTTTACTTTAATAAGTTTAATTCAAGCTATGTTCCTAATTTCGTGTGAATCCTTTATTTAGATCTTCCAGTAAAGTGACGAAATTCAATCGAATTTCCTCTAGGGATTTACAAACCCAAGTATGTAGAAAACAATTGAATAATTTAATAACTTTTAAAGGAAATTTTAAAATAATTATTCTTAAATAGCAAAATATAGCATCTTCGTCCAGTAGTGAGAGTGAAGAAGATGAGCAAACCGCTTATAAAGAGTTACTGTCTAATTTGCGACCAAGCTATGTAAAGAAGTTAAACGAATTTGAAGAGACAGAGGAAAATATTGATACTGATTTGGAAGAAGATAGAGATGATGACATAGAAGAAGAAGAAGAAGAGGAAGAGAAAGACACCGAAGATGATAATGAAAGCGTATCTGAAGAGATAGAACAGAAAGAAGGAAGTGACGACGAAAAAAGTGAGAATGAAGATGCGCAAAATGATTCAAATGATGAATCTGAAAAAGAAGAAATTGATAAGAATGACTACAGATTTGAAGACTCAGAAGATATAGTGTTGGAAGAGGAAGATCACTTTATAAAGTCAGATGGTAAGAATAAATCTATAAATTTGTTTGTTTAATTTTAAAAATTCTTTACGTGCTTTAGATCCTTTTAAACAACACTTTGAATGCGCTTTGGACGAATCAGAATTAGAGAAACTAGATAATAAAAAAGAATGGAATATATCGGAGAAGAAATATCCTCAAATTGGAAGTTGTGTCGTAAACACACCGAAAAATTTAAAAAGTTCCTTTCACTTCGAATTCGCTAAAGAATCTAATAAATTGAATGTAAGTTATCAGCTATAAAGAGTAAAGAATATAGTTCTATATTTTAAATAATATCTCAGTTAAAGCCAAGTTTAGAGAGTCGATTGAGAATTGCAAACGAAAAAGTATTGAAAACAAAACTTTCAGAAGATGGTTAGTTTTTATTATTTACAATATTTTTATTATATATGATAATTATGTATAGAAAATTTATGTTTTTTTAGCCTCGTTAACACCATTTCAAAAGACGATACTAAATTATATCAAAGACTACAGAGATTTTTATTATCACGATAGAAATCATTTAAATTCGGAAGATATAAGATTCTCTTATTGTGTTCATGCGTTAAATCATATTCTCAAGTACTATTTACCTATTGTTTTTTCATTATTAATTACTTGATATTTTTCCATCCAAATCTAGAACTAGAAGTCGAGTAATATCGAATAATAACAAAATTAAAGTAAAGAAAGAAGAAGTTACCGAGTAAAATATCTGTTTTTTTTTACGTTATTTTATAATTTAATAACATTTCTATCCTTTACAGTTCCCATAGAGATCAAGGGCTAACAAGACCTAAAGTTCTAATTATTGTTCCTTTTAGAGATAGTGCACTAAGGTGCGTAAAATTAATGATGAGCTTATTAAATTGCGCAGGCAGTGTGAGTTGAATTCGTTTTTTAATTTTTTTTACAAACAAATTTAAGTACTGTAAAAGAAGAAAAAAGATTGACAGTGTTTTGTTCTTTGTTCATTAATTTTAATTAAACGATAAATCTTAGCAATCTGCAATGAATAAGAGGCGTTTCCTAAAAGAGTATAGCGACGATACAGAAAATCATAGGAAAGGATATAAACCAGGTTTATTCTTTTAACATTAAAAATATATTATTATAATAAAGTTTTATTAATAATTGTTACAGAGGATTTTGAACATACATTTAATGGAAATATTGACGATCATTTCCGAGTTGGGATAGGTGTTGCGAAAAAGACTTTAAAAATATATACAGAATTCTATTCTGCCGATATTCTCATCGTTTCTCCGCTTGGTCTACGAACTATTATAGGAGCAGAGGGGTATGTTATACGTTTATAAAATTTAAATTAATAATCAACTAAATATCTTATAAATCGTATTTAATAGCGATAAAGAGCGTGACTTTGACTTTCTATCATCGATTGAATTGTTAATTTTAGATCAAGTGGATGTATTTCAAATGCAAAATTGGGATCATATTTTGGTTTGTTGTAGTTTATTAACAAATAAAATATAATAATATGTGAAATTTTTTAGCATATAATGCGACATTTACATCGCCAGCCAAAAGAAGCTCACGGAGTTGATTTCTCTCGTGTAAGGATGTGGTGCTTAAACAATTTGTCCAAATATATGAGACAAACACTTGTATTCTCCTCTGTACTTACACCTGAAATACAATCATTAGTGAATAAACATTGCTTCAATTATGCTGGAAAAGTTAAAGTTAATTCAGTTCAAAGAAGAGGTACTATTTGCCAAGTTGTCGTTCATCTACCCCAGGTATATATTACCTCATCAAAATAGTTCTGTACTAGTGTTTTTTCGTATTCTTTATACATTATCATCAACAGATTTTCCATAGAATTAATTCATTGACTGCAGCAAATTCGGCGGATTGTCGATTCGAATTTTTCAAATCTAAAATACTACCAAAAATGAGACAGGAAATAAATAGTCAAACTCTATTATTTGTTCCATCTTACTTTGATTATGTAAGACTAAGGAATTTCTTTAATAAAGAGGAGATGAATTTTGGAAGTATGTGCGAGTAAGTTTGCCAATAACGTACATACAAACAAACATAATTCTGAATACAAATAATTTACTAATTCCCTTCCCTAATAAGGTATTCAAATGACAAAGCAATTGCTCGAGCAAGAACAAAGTTTTTTCACTCAAGAGTAGATATGCTGTTATATACGGAACGTTTCCATTTTTATAGAAGGTAAATAAGCAAGATTATTCAAGTATTTCTTTTTTTTTTTACATATTTTCATTTTTCCAGATATAAAATAAGAGGCATACGGCACTTGGTGTTTTATTCCTTGCCTCAATATCCTCATTTCTATAGTGAAATATGTAATTTCCTGGTAGACACTTGTAAAAGGCAACCCCAACTATCACCAACTTGTACAGTTCTCATTGACAAATATGACTTTTATAAACTCTCCGGAATTGTTGGTTCCAATAAGGCTAACACAATGTTATCTTCAGAAAAGGATGTTCATCTACTCTTAACTGATGATTAATAGTACTTTCAAGAAGAATAGTTAATTTGTTAGAAAAATCCATTTTGTCTCTGTTTTGTATCCATGTTTAATTCGAATAAATTCTTTTTAGAGGAGCACGTGATACGTTATCAGTTGCAATAATACAATTACGGTTAAAGTACTACAAAACTAGAACATTAAACTTACATTTGAAGGACATTGAAATTTGCAGCTTTATTTTTCATCTTTAAAATAATATTTATACAATCATTTATGAGTAAAACATAAAATAAAGTTAAAATTTATATCTTATAAGTACAGTATAGACTGTATATTTGCATAAAATCTATTATAAAAATTGACAGCTGTTTTGTTTTCACTTAATGTTTGTCAAAAGGTACTGTTTTCAGTACCACGGTAGTCTCTATACGCGAAAAAGTAGGTAAATCCATAAAAAAATAAAGATAGCATAAAAAAAGAGATAACGATTATTTCAGTATAATTCAAAACTGAATCGATATTAGTTACTTTTTCGCAATTTCTAGTAAGATATTCAGATTTTCTATTAGTTGATGAGTTTCCAGAACTTTCTGTAGTAGAGTTAGTAATTTTTTCATTATTCCATATGGGCATTGGTTCAATAAAATACGTAAAACAGTAAAAAAATAAAAGAGCCTTCAACATTGTCTGAATGTATTCAATGTCAGTGCATTTCCAAAGCTCATATAATATTGAGTTGTCTGTATTATCGCTATAGTATGTTATATATAAATATACTTTTACATATGTACAATATATATATATAAATAAATGTATATAGATATATATATATATACAAATGTATATATATATATATATTTTATAAATTTATAGGTCATAGGTAGAATAAAATAATTAAACTGCTTATTAAAGCAAATATACTTGTTAAAGTGATTTTTTTTGGAAGATACATAATAACACAAAAAATAGTACTTTTACAAAATGACGAGGGAATTTAGGAATGAGGAAGGGAATGAGGATTAAAGGTGGATAAAGTTTCTAAAAATAGAAAGTAAAATTTTTTTTAATAGGGAAAAAAAAAACAATCTGCTTATACAATGGTAATTAGATTGATAATAAATCATTTTTAAATATAGCATGCCAAAATACAACAAAGAAAATTTAAAGTAAAAAAAAAAGAGAAAAAGATATCAACTACAGAAATTAGAGTTCGTGTTCTTAGTTATTATAACATTTGGTGTGGAAGTTTGTAAAGTATTTGACACTACTTCTTCAGTTTTGATTGTCTGAAATAAATTTAATAACATTTAATATTTTACTTTTTTTTTGAAGAAAAAATCATCTAACCTGTAATTGAACTCTTGCTCCTTGATTAATTGGGGTTCGGGTTTGTTTACTAACCAGCTGTACAGTAGTTAATGGTTTACCAGCCAATTGTACAGTTTTACCCGCCAACTGAACAACACCAGGTTTAGAAACTGAAACTTGAATAGGTTTTCTAGCCAGTTGTACTGTCTTCCCGCCAATTATAATTGGTTGACCAGCTGAAGCATTGTATAAATCAATTAAAGAAACGTTTTAGGTGGGACAAAGTCAAAATAGCAAAAACAGATGTAAAGAATTGAATTCTTACTTGTCATACCCGCTTTTTTCATACTTTCTTCGTCCATGGAAACAACACGAGCGTTTTGTAATCCTTGAATTTTCTGAAAGTTAAACTTCTTCCCTTTAGCAAGTTGAGCTTCCGTCAATTGCTGTATGGTTAGTTGTTTGGTTCTATTAGGTTGTATCGTTGATGCATTCAAAGTAAGATGAAAGGTTGACGATCCACCAGAACTTTGAGTTGTTACTATGGTATTCGTAGCAGCAGACATAGGTACTGCTGTTACATTTTGATTAGTAGGTAATATTCTTTGGACATAAGTCAGTCCGCCTTCTTTCTTTGGACTTTGTTTGTTTAATACTTGACTGAATAGAGTCTGAGACTGAGTAGTCGGGACTTGCAGTAATTTCGACCCTGATTGTAGAAAAAGCAGAACCTTCTTAGAATTTTTAAAAACAAAAAAATAAATTTGCTTACCTTGTAGATTGATCAAATTCAATGCTCCAACGGGTGCTAATTGGACGGTTTTTATTTGTCCTTGCTTGAGAAAGGATGTGGAAGGATTAGATACAACGGCTATAGGGACACTTGTCATTCCAAGACCTAATTTTAGATTATCAACGGCCGATGAATCGGATTTTGTTACAGGTTCGGGATACTTTTCTAGTTTTACAGGAGTAACATTTGCAAATTCATTAACGATGTTACTCTCCAAGGATATGGGTATAGATTTCTTTGCCTCAACCGGAGAGAACTCTTCTCGTATCTTTTCAACTTTCACCACTGGAGTAATAGCAGTTGCCTCTTTAGCCTATGGAATAGAAATAAGAATATGAAAAAAGTTCATATGATAAATTACAAAAATGAAAATACAATTTTCCTACCCTTTGAGACTTTGGCTTGATTAAAGCTTTTCTAGCTTTCAATGCAGCTTCTTGAGCTCGATGTAGCTTTTCTACAAAGGAACATATACAATAAATTATATTAGTATATATGTCCTTTTTATGCAATATATAAATGAATATTACCATAATGTTCCATGGTTCTGCCTCTGTGTAAATAGATCCAAACTTTTCTATACATCTCAAATTTGACACAAGGATCTCTCTCATAATGTAATCTATCTAAGGCTCCCGAAACAACAGTATTCAATTGACTATCCGAAACATTAGGCAATAAAAATTGAGAATCCTTTAAAAGTTCACAAATATCAGCTCGAGTTCCTTCCCCATTCGGCAACCTCGCAACAGCATCTCGTACTATAGAACATTTATATATAATAATACTCTAGTCTCTATAGTGTTTTATACAAACCTAAAGTTAAAATAGTAACATAGTGAGGTCTGTCTTTTGTTAAAATAGAATGGTCCCTAGCTTCCTTACTGCCAGATTCTTCTTTTTTAAATACTCTTTTAACAGGTCCGACAACTAATTAAAAGAAATTGCAGGGTTTTAGTGCAAATAACAGGATGTTAATATATACAATTATACCAGAATTATATCCGTGCATTTTATAAGTATACGGCTGATGAGCATTGTTAAATCTTTCGGATTCCTGTCGCCTGAATTCTAATTTTTCTTCTTCGTTAGACGGCCGAACTTTGAATGATGTTTTCCTATAAATATAAAGATTTAGCTTATGTAATTAGGTAATAAGTAATAATAAGATCAACAGACTCTAATTTAGTGCTCTCCTCCATATTCCACTCTTCATAATTCTCTATCCAAGCTCTGCATAAACTTTCCAATTCCTCATCAGAGTCTCTTCCGTCGCCTATCCAAACGTATAGCCCAGCTCTTTCCTTAAAGTCAACGTATGGTACAAATTGTTCGACGATATTCAGTGTATCACCAGCAAGGAATCTTAATGCTTTATTTATTTTATCATTTAAATCAATGTCATCTGCTTCTTCTCCCGGTAGTGACTTATGGCAGTCGTAATCATTTAACTTTTGCTCTAAAGAAGCGACTGTTATTCTTTTATCTGGTTCTGATTTAACTATGTCTCGAATAAGGCACAAAAAGTTAAATGGTGAATCAACTGAGCTTCTATTTTTATAATTTTGAGCATCCTCTTTAATATATCTCTTTTTTAGATTGGTACTTCTTCTTCTTTTAGGTCGTTGAACAGAGTTTTCTTGTATGAAATTTTGAATAGATGTTTGAGTTCTTTCAATTATGCCTTCTAATGTTCTTCCGCTTGTTGTAAATTCAGGAGAATTCTTAAAGAAATTACAATAATAAAAATTACAATACAATACTAATAATTTTCATTCTCACTTCCGTAACGGCTTTTCGTTTACGATGACGTTTAAGCATTGACATAATATCATCCTCGGATATTGACAAACTAAATTCTGGTCGTAGTATCTTCTCTTCTGGCATTTGATTGCTTCTTGCAGGATCCAACGTTGAGATAACACTAGATTCTACTTGCTCATTCGGAAAATCAGGATCTTTGTTGTTAGCCACTTAAATGAAGAAAAAGACATATTGTAATATAACTTTGCTCTGTTCGACAACATGGTTTAGTTTTAAAACTTACAAAGTTTAGAGGGAATTCCATAAAACGTCATTTCCTCTTCACCTTCATCACCTTCACTTTCAGATGTATCTGAGGCATTGCATTCCTCTCGAACTTCTTTTAGTATTCTTCAAAAATAAAGAATTTTTATTTCGATTATAAATGCCGTTAAGAAAAGAGAAAGATTTACTTTTGATATTTAGTCTTGCATTTTAATGCGTATAATTTTTGAGAATAAGTAAATTTGGGTATAGAAAAAAGTTCTTCTCTATCAATAGGTTCACCAGAAGGATGGTTATAAGCGTATTCTAACAATAACTATAAGAAATAGCCATAATATCAGAGAGGAAATATTGAATGAAATTTTAAAAGTTACCCGACGATTTAATAGAATATCCTGAAATAAATCGGTATAATATTTCCTTTTCCATAGTTTAGTTTCCCTTTCTTGTCCTAATTTTGCCAGTTTCAAATATTTTTGAACCTCAGGATGATAGTGACCATCTAAAAGAATAAAATGTTTAAATAGTAAAAATACAATCTTGGAATCAATATTTTTTTTTATTCTAAAATAAAAACTAAAGATTTTCTTACTGTGTAACTTTTGATAGAAGTCCTCTAGTGGGTTACTAAACTTAAAATTTGATCTCTGAAATAGCATTCTTAACGTATTCTGCAGTTCTGCGACATTATCCTTGGGAAATTTTGGGAGAAATTTCTGAAAATTGGTGGTTTTAGTTTAATATAAATGGTTGATAAAAAATATTATGCTCACCATTAAATGTAATTTATTATCATCTGATAAATGATTCCATGTTTTTAAATTAATAACTTGCGAAAATATATCATGCTACGGAAGGATTAAGTTAAATTAGAATACAACTATAATTTATAAATAATATAAATAAACAAACATTTTCCATCATTTCCACGGGTAATCGAACACTTGTTTTTGCTGCCACACAAAGTTCTGATGAAGGAGCTTCCAAAGCAGAAGCCGGCACCTCAAAGGCGTCATCTTCCATTCTTGATATATATGTATATGGTCTTTCAGGCTTTACCAATTATAAGCTTTGTAGGGTAAAGCACTTGTAAGATTCTCCGAATTTGAAGAAAGAGACACTCAAAATTAAAGTTAACGTAAATCTTAAAAGTTTTTCAGTTATCTCCTCAAATTATACTAAGTTTAAGTCGTTAAGTGAGTGAATATCCTCTTTGCGAAAATAAGGTACTCGTCAATATTGAAATGCAGTCCCACGGCAAATACTGATTTCCAGAGTTTATTCAGATAGTCTTCATGGTGCTTGATACATATAATACATCAAAAATTAATTTACTAAAATAAATCAATTTTTCATTAAAGAAAATCAAAGAGGTTTTTCACAGAGAACACTTGAAAAATAATTTTTATATGGAGTATGGTTGAGTATTCCGCACCAATGAAAGACGATTGGAAGGACCTTGCAATCCTTTCCCATTTTATACACCTGTTGACGCTGATTGGACGAAATATTGTGGAAACCATAAACAAATCTTAACAACATGATACTCTTATTTTTGAATACTCAATGACTGTTACTACAATACTAAAGCATTTAGGAGCATAATAAGGATATCTCAGGTTTGACTTTATGATACTTTTTACAAATGTCACTCAACATTGTTGATAATTGAAGCAGCGGTTTAGTACATGTTTTTCCATCATTCATGAGTAACCTTTCCACAATGTATGTATGACGATTAATAGTAAGCATACCAACAGACATGACGTCTAGAAATAATAAAAAAGATACAAGAGAAAGAGCTATTGATAGGAGAGTATCTCTAACGGAATATGAGGACAATGATATTGATATTGAAGAGACTGCAAAAAATACAGAATACCAAAAAGGTCTTAATATATTAACAAATGTAGCATTAAATAATTATCAGTAATTAATATTTGTGTAACATTAAAATTTTAATATAGGTTCAACTCCAACGGCTAAATACGGGGTTCTGTTCCAGAAAATGAGACATGCCATTCCAGAATCGTATGCATGCTCGATAGGATGTGGTGGTGAAAAATGCAAATACTGCAATGCTCCCGCTAGTGGAAAATTTTCCGAAGAACATATGCAAATAAAAGGTTTATTTTCTAGTTGGTACGTGTCAATTGTTTTAATTTTTCTATATTTTTTCCAAATATGAATAAACTATAACAAATCTTTTGCGAAATTAGGATTACTGACAAGATAATAGCAATTTCAAGACCAAGCACAACTCTAGTTGAACGATATGATATTATCGGACAATTTGAACAGTATTTATAAAAAAATTTATTATTCACACACAGATTTATTTTCGTATGCCTCTTTATAGAAAGAATATTAAATCTATAATAAATTTACAATTACCTGGGGAACATCCCGCCTGCGGATTAAATAAATTAGAAGTAGAAGGATTTTCATACAAACCGGAAGATTTTATGAAAAAGAAAAGTACGTGTTGTTTTTTTCAATTAACTTTTTATCAAATCTTGAGTTATCTTTTTTGTATTCCAGTTTTTTTTTATAATTTTGGTTGGAGAGATTACGGTGTCGGTACAACAAGTGGAGTGTTAGATACTGTTAAAGTTATGCAATATTCCATATCGGAGGGAGCTGTTGCAGTACATTGTCATGCTGGAAGTGGTAGAACAGGCGTTTTGATAGCCTGTTATTTTATCTATGCTAATAGAATGACAGCTGAAGAAGCTATTCATCTTGTAAGATCTAAGCGACCTGGCTCCATTCAGACTGTATACCAAGTTAAGTTTATTCAAGAATTTCAACAATATATTCGACCTTTTAAAATAGTTTATTCACTTCAGTAAGTTAATAAAACGCAGTAACAAAATTAATTGACTAATAATTAATCTTTCTATTGTTTAGAAATGATTGTGACGGTAACGAGGCACCGCCGTTCAATCTTTCTCAGTATATTGTTCGACAAAGATACTTGTTGCATGGTCAGCAATTTAGAACATTTAAGTATCTACCAAAAATTGTTTACATAATATGCGAAAGATTATTGACATTAAATAAAGAAATGGATAGAGACTACAACCCAGCAATGGTTTGACCTGTTTAATTGATATTTTTTGATATTATTGTGTTGACATTATTGATTTATCAAGATTTTTTTTTCTTATAAATTATCAGAGACAAGCCGATAAAAGAGATCGATTTGTGAAAGACGGTAAAAGGTGGAAAGGGAAAAAAACTGAAAGTAAAACAGAATTTTACGAGACAAGTTTGTTTTATTAACATACTAATTGGGGTTTATTGGCATTTAATCACAGAACTCGACAAGTACTACTCAAAACATCAGGACTCGTCGAGCATAGGATCTGAAAATAATGATAACGATGATGAAGCTGCGCAAGAGAGCATATCCTTACAAGTTATTGAAGCATTGGAGTTAGACGACTATGACGGCTACGTGCATAAGAGAGTAGAAGAGCTTAAGCAAAAATTAAATGCTGAAATAAATATCTGGAAAACACTTGGAAAAGAGGAAAATGCAGTTGTATTAGCAAAATTATTATGGGATTGGATAGAAGAATTACACGTTAGTAGTTTAATTTTACAAAGTTCAAAATGTAGTTGAAACATATTTGCTTTCCGTTTTAGGATCCTGTTCTTAGGGCACAAGACTTTCAAAAGATGTTGTTATTATACGACCATCCATACGAAGGTTTGGCTTCGCTCGATTCGGTATGTATAAGCTTTTTGTAGTATAATTTTTAAAAACTGTCTTTTATTTTCAGTGTAGTACCGCAACAGTAGTTTATCTATTTCGTTTCTTAAGCGCCTTAGGCCCTTTAAACGAAAGCGATACTTTAAATTTAATTGAAAAGTTTCTCTCATGCCTCACTCAAAGAAATATTGTAAATTGTGACTCAACTATGTCGTCAACTTCAACCGATTTTCGGCCAAGAGCAACCAATTTTTCCATTTCAATTAAGGATGGCATTTCCGAGCGTCTTTTGAAATTCTTTAAGAATCTTTTGGGCGCCCTATCAGAGGATGATAGGAACCATATTAAAACTACAAATAAAATGAAGAAACTTCTTTTCTCTTTACCAAAGCCAGGAGAAGAATTGGAATCACATTCTTTGAATACTACAAATAGTTATAAAAAAAATAGCACAAAAATACAAAGTTCTAGACAAGGTAGAGGCGGTAGTAACAAGTATAATTATGAGGAAGAGGAAGATGAAAATGAAGATGAAGTTGAATTTCGATCTACTAGCCGCCAACACAAGTTTCGTTAAAAATTAACTTCTAATGGGAAATACTCACTGTTACTGTTATAAATATAAATTCAAATATATTGTTGTGCAATAATATTTGTTGATAAAAATGTAAATGACCTGAGACATCTCATATTCCATCCAAAATTTTCTATTGAATGAAAAGTTATCTTGTTATCGAAAGCTTTTTATTCTCTGTTGGATAAACAATAAATTATTAAATAAGATTAGCATAATTAAGAAATATAGACGAAAAGAGGATAGTATTAATTTAAATTTATAATATATTACTGGTTGAACTTCCGTAAATGTTTTCTTCAAATGTTCAATCCATTTTAAATTTCTTATAATTAACTTCTCTCTATTCATTGAAATAGTTCTATTTATTGAAAGTAACCTATTCAGACTTGAATTCCTTTTCACAATCGATAATTTTTCTTGCAGTTCTCTAGTCGAAGGTAAAAATAATAATTAAAACAAACTAACAGATAAAAACTTAAGAAAATTGTATTTACTTGAAATAGTCCAGTTCTTCGTCGACCTTCTGAATAATTTTATCAATTTCTAAAGTTTCATCGCAATATCTACTAAGAATTGAATTCCTTTTATGAGTGAGTTCTTTGAACTTAGCCACATCGGAATTTGAATGAGCCATTTCCATTAAACTGCAGATATTTTCTAAGTATAACCTCATATCTTTTGGAATAGGAGAATGTCCAAATAGTAGATACTTTTTATCGAACGTATAACACCTTAACCTTTCTCCAGCTAATAATACTTTCTCAGATAGCCTACAATAGAAATCAACTTCGCTTTTAACGCAATTTTCATAATTGAAAATCTGAAGCTATAGGCAAAAATATAAGAAATAAGCATGTCTTTAAAATAAACTAATAAACTAATTATTGTCATACTTCTATAGCTCTTTTGTCCAATTTCAGGATGCTCATAACAATTTCGTATGTTCTTTTACCTACTCTATTCGGGAAGTTCTTCATCGTTTCCTCATATTGCGCAATTTTTTCAACAATACTCTGTAGTTTGATTGATAATTGTTAATCATTAACAAGCGTTTTCAAATTAAATTCACTACATACATCTAAATATCTCGTTAATTCCAACGAATAAAATTCATTTCCTTTCTGCTAGAAAGTAAAATTATTATTAATTAAATATTTTATGCTATCTTCTATTATAGTTTACTTTTGATTTCATTTCGTTAATACAGCTATTATAACTAGCTTTCTCTGCAATCGGTTTTTCTGCTAATAGAAATTTTACCCTTTTTCTGGGTTTTTCATTATTCTTTGAGGAATCAGAATTTCCAGATTCTTCACTTTCTCTAAACTTTCTCTTTAAATTTGATTTTTTTTTTGGCTTTTCCTGTGGCAAATGAGGCACTTTGCTGTCATCGTCTGAATGACAATCAGTTAAATCAATAACCGCATTATTCCAATCCTTTCCAAGCCCACTTTTATGCGTTTGTTGACCCTGTTTATCTATTTTAAGGAATGAATGAATATAAAATGATTCAATAGTATTTGTAAGAAAAAGCTTTCTCACTAAACATTTCGCTGTTTTCGTCGAATATACATAACTTTTCTATATCGTCAGGGTGTAAACAAAGTGCTTTAAGCGATGTTGATGATGGTTTTTGTCCATCGAACCAGTCGAGAGCTTCCAAACAAGTGTTCTCATCAAATTCAATTTTCTTAGGTTCAAGTATTTCTGGACCAGGAATATCACAAATCGACTTGCCTTCACCAATGAGAAAAGCTTTCAAATAAATTTCAATTCTGCTTGTATTTTGAACAATCACTGGCTGAATGAGAACACGAGATTTATCGTGTTGTTTAACAAGGCTATCGTAATCTTCCAGGGGTCTATTATTAACAATTCCTTGTTTTGGTTGCTCTAAGGGGAATTAATAAACATTTAAGCATGTTATTTATTCTATAACACATGTATTATCAAAAACAACTTACTAGTATCTTTAAATAGTTTCGCGGTTTCAGTCCATAGTCTCTTACCAAAACAATCCGTTTTTTTCGATGAACTATGTGATTGTGTTTTCTCCTTTTCAGGTTCATTTGTGTCGCTATCAGAATCGCTCAACTGTATGCAGTCTGGTGAGGAGTTTTGATTCCTTTTTATAAGATTGCTCTTTGAAAGCTTTTCAATATCGAAACTATTTAGAAAATTTGATGATGCCCAAATGCTTGTTTCTTTATTTGCTATTAATTTCGTACTATTTATTGATTTATCCTTATCTCCTTGCTTGATATGATTAAAGTTTTTATCAGTTGTACTTCTTGAAACGGTTTCGTTCAATTCTTGTTCTTGATCTTGTATATTTAAATTTGGAGTTTTACTTGTATTTATATGTTTATTGTTAGAATCGTTACCTTTTTCTTTGTACGAGAAATTAGGTGTGTCTGTCCTTTCATTGTGTCTTCCATTTGTATTTGTAACATTTAGATTTTCTATGATGTGATTGTTTAATTCTTCCGTATTCGAATTTTCAATGTAGAAATCATCAGCTTCATTACGTTGGACTTTTACATTTGCCATATTTTGATTTTTGATATCGTGTATACATTGATTACTTGAATTCTCTGCATTGTTACAATTTACATTATTAGTATTTTGATTACCCTTATTTTCATTGTTAGTTATGTTTTCATTTCCTCTATTATTATGGCTATTACCTTCGCTTTTGTTAGAACTATCGAAGTTTTTATTGTAAAATTCTGTGCTTTGGCAATTTTCATTGTTTAAATCTTCACCACCACTTCTCCAATCATTGTAAGAATAAAAACTCGTAGCACTTCTAGGAGCCTCATGCTCGATGAAGATACAATCAGAGTCTGAATCTAAATTCGAATCAGAATCCAAATCCAAGTCAGAATTCGATTGAGGTGATTGTTGCTCGACATTTTCTTTAAGGGATTTGATCTCATCTCCTTCTGGAATGTCTTGGAGGCATTTTGCTATTTCTTTAAACGTCATTGAATTTTGATTTGCTTTCACATCTTGCTCCTGAAATCTTTTTTGACTTTCCTTGTAATCATGAAAGTTAAAATATTTATTTTCCGAAAGGTTAGGTGGAATACTATTCAAGTGAGCTTGTTCAATTTTGTCAGAGTTTGGTGGCTCCTCATATGGGACAGAGATGGGTATATATCCTTTCCTAGACACTTTAACCAAATGCGTAGGGAGAATTTGTCGAGGCCAGCTGTTGGTTTGTCTAGTTGATTTTTGTTCAAAATCGTACACAAAAACCAACGAGTCTTTAATATTAAACTTTTGCTTCTTTTCGAAGACGCGATGATCATAATCAGTTGATAATGGTTTTGAAATATCTGATTCATCTACCAGACAGTCTCTATTCCGACTAGCAACCTGATATTTACAATTTTGAAATATAAACGTTACGAATCAACCAAATGTACAAATCAACCTTAGAGATTATGATATAATATTCAGGGCCTGGAACCATCCTTAGAATTGTTGCCAAGTTGTTGAACAGTTGAATGCCTTGTTCTTCGTCGCCTTTAATTGTCAACATAGTTTATAATAAAATAAATTTTCACTTATAATTTCAACAAAGTTTAATACCAAGCGTTTCGTCAAAGTTAAGGATATTGCACTTATCCCTTGTTGAAATTCCCCATTGACAAAGGGATTCTGCCAGAACCTCCCTTTGATATATTGTAAAGAGAGGTTCATATCTAATCTGACTTTGTGAGGTGTCTTTTTTGAATTCGTCAACGATGGAGCTGTTTATAATAACTTTTAATTGACAATTGCTCAAGAAAAACAGAGTTATTACTTAAAATGGTCAACGATTATTGAGTTTTGAACAACTTTTATATACTCTACACTCCAGTTTGAATGGAACCAAGTTTCAAACTTCTCCATATTGGGACTTTTATCCGTTTTTAATAGTATAGACATAACTTGTACCCAATCAGAAAAATCTTTGTCTAAAGTTTTTAAATGGTATTCTTTATCTAATTTAAAAAAATAAAATGTTAGAAAAATCTGTATTGTTAAAGGCAAAATTAAATGTAGAATTATTACGTTTTGCTTTCATATTGGCGGTGAGATTGATCAAGGAAACTCCACAAAGATACAAATCTTCAGAAATCACGAGGAAGCGGAAGTGTTATGAAACTATTAGCGCATGCGTGTTACTTTGTCCCACTTTAAAATACTTTAAAAGTGACATTACTTAATTACTTTTAACAAATTAATTTAATATTTATTTACATAAATTTCATTAAAGTGAATTTGATATAAATAAATAATGTGCGAAGTTTTTATTGCAAGTAAAGATACTTTATTTATGGTACAAGCTGTACAAAAATAAGTAACAAACAAGTATACATTACCTATTGACCTATACAACATGGAATTTGTTCCATAGGTCTATTTGAGCAAACAATCCATCTCGTCTACCAAGTGTGTTTAATCGTGTCGCGAGAGCTAATGACGAAAGGAGAATTGTAACAATAGCAAAGCGCCGGATATTTACATGTTATGTCATTTCTATGATTTCATATTGTAACAGCTTACTGTTACAATGAAGTTAACAGATTCCTTGTCAAGTATAAATGAGACCTGGTAAACTAATAGTAAATGGATTATCATTAATTATGCATTTTTTTTTTCAAACTGCTAAAATATGGCTAAAATATCAGATATTCTGATTTGTTAATGAACCCATTTAGAAATTGTTACAAAAATCCTCATTGAGTAGACTAACTCCATGTCAAAAAGGGCTTTTATCTATATGCACATACATTTAGTTAGACCTTCATATATATAACAGATATGGCAATAATAAATGGTAATTCATGCACGTTAATGAGCCTATTCAAGAGATGTTTACACCAAAATACACCTAGATGTGCAACTGATCAAACGAGTACTACCGATAAAGACACTGGTGTACTGATATTAATAAGATGTTTCTTTGGTTATCCAAAGCATATATAAAGTTATTGCTCTTTGTAGATGGAAATAGTAACCCAAATTACATTGTAAAATACATTATAGAACTTGAAATTAATGCAGAACAAAACATCATCTTCATTGGTAACATTATTCAATCAGTTATTGAACACTATATACATTTATTTATCATCAATTATTAATCACTTTACAAAGAAATCTTCTTCACTAAAGAAAATTTTCCAATGCCTTTCTTGCTTTTAAATTTGATTTATATCCAATATGTTGAGACAAATTTGGCTCCAATAACCATGCGCTTATAGAAGAATTTTTCGCAAAATGGTCGAGAGCAATATCAATAGGATATTCTTTTGAACAAGTGATGGAACTTAACCTTTTTATAATACTATCAATTGCAAATTTAGGATATAGAACACACTGTGTGCAACATCCTTTGGCTGGAATTACTTCTAATAGATGCCAATTAAATGATCGTAAATTGTTTATATACTGCCTTCCAATTGTATGAGCCAACAAAACAAAATATAAGCCTATTAAAAATAAAGTGAATCGGTGTAAACCCTTTTTCCTTGTAGAATAACATATTAGGGAAATTACTCCGATAGAAACGGAGAATATGCCACATTTTTCGAGAATATGTTTAATTTCTATTCCATATCCGCTCCATTTTTCAGGATAGAATAATTTTAAGAAAAGCCAACTTTCTGAACTTTTGCAGAATGAGTCCTGACAATCCGGTTTGAAGAATCGATTTATCACATTACCTAAAATATTTAAAAAGTCTTTGCGAACTAGCACATCATCTTCCATTAATATTGTATAATTAGCCTACGAAAGAGAGAGATAAATTAATATTAATCCTTTTTGTTAATAATAAGAAACTAACATTAAATCGGGAAGCAGCGGACATGCAAAATTGATAATCTCGCTTTTCATCCTCAAAAATAGAGTCAGCTGCTTTCTTTTGTTGTCTCGTTATAACTGGAATATATTCAGATAACGCCTGAACTTCGGTGTGTTTTTCTGGTTGTAAATCTATATTACATATGAAGAATGCAATGTTGTCATTCATTTGCTGGTGTATTGCAGCTGCAGTTTGTGTAAGAAAACCATAGTCATCAGATGGGTCTTCCTTTTCTCTTCTCATTGTAATTATCCCGATGGCATAGAGATAATCTCTGTCGAGCTTATTAAGATATCGTGTATTTGTTTTGAGGAAGTAGTTCTTAGCATTTTTATGTCGTTCATTGTTCGCTTTCTTAACTTGATCCTCAATAATTTGTTTATCAGGCTTCCTATAATATATTGAGTGAGGCCACGATTTGCATAGTATTGGCAGAATAACGCAAAATGTGAGAAAGTATAAAAAAATAAGAAGTCTTAAGTCCTGTTTAGTGTTGTTGTCAAGTGTTCGGAATCTTAACAGGAGATCTTTACTACTAAAACAATTGAAACAAAAACGCCTACTTCTCTCCCGTACTTTTATTCTCATATCATTTGTGTTTCGCTATGCAATTATCCTATTTTGCCTGAAAATAATTTGAATGAGTTAACTTTACTTAGTTGAATGAGTATAAAATATTTTCTAGACAATTTTTAACCGTAATTTCTAATAAAACTACTCTAGAGAAAAGTAGATGGGAGTTATTTTACTACCATGACTTAAAGACTGTTCAAATTATTTTAATCCAAACTAAGTATATAGATAGCCAATACAAATAGATTATAGAACATTGGAAGAAAATAAAACTCATAGCAAAATAAAAACTCATAGCAAAAGAAACATCAATTTCTCATATATAAATTGATTTTTAGATGTAAAAAGACGATATTTAATTATAATGTTATAAAAATAGTATGAAAATATTTATAGGATAAATGATAATCTAGTCGTGAACAAAAAATCATATTTTATACCTAAATGAAGTCAATCGTTCTATTATTCTTTTTTATAAATAATTTAGTACTATAAATATTCCAATTTAATTATTGTTGAAACTAACTGAAATAAAATACTTATCATTACAAAAAGTTATTATTAAAAGTATATTCTTTTTTTACCAGTCACCAAGCAATTCTTTACTCTGATCTGCCTGAAAATATTTTCACTCGGTGAATTCATACCGGTTAGCTACAAAGCAGTTTGGGTTGCAACACTTTCGAAATATTGTCTGTTATCACAAATAAAATAAGTGAAAATACATTTCTGTGTATTAAAATCTTTTAATAAAAGTTTATTAATATAAGTTTATTACTAAATTGTAAACAAGTATCAACATTTTTCCAGTTGCAACCCAAAGTCTTGATGGAACCGGTTAGTAAAGCATGATAAGAACTAATCAATATTTACCTGATGATAATGTTATCTGTATTTTTTAGTAAAAAGCCATTTACAAGAGATAAAGATATATTTTCAATACTGATTGTCAATTCCACTACAATCGTTTCTTATAATTATTTTATGAGTGATTTGGAAAAGTTGATTTAAAAATAAATGTACAAAATTGTTTGACACATTATTTAATAAAGAATAATAATTATGCGTGCAATTTCATAGACAGCACTACTTAAATGAAACGACTAGAATAAAAGTATGCATACAAATTGTTTAACCTATATTTTTAACTTACAAATAAAAAACTATTTGCTTTATAACTTATACAGAAGAAGTTTATAATTTCTTTGTTTACGATGTAAGCACAAAGAAATGTTAATCATATTTAAAACTTTATCAAATATTCAATTAAGCTTTTTATGAATGAAATTTTTAATATCTGTATTCTTAATATCGCTAATTTAAAAAATTCATACATAAAACAATAATCAAAAGTCACTTTTGAGCAGAAAGATTGATTGCTTATTCTTCGCGAGAAAATTGCAAAATATACATCACAAATTTAGCTTATTTGATCTTTTTATCATAGACCTTACCAAGGACATGAATATGAATATTCAAAAGATTAATGTAACAGCAGTAGCTCAAAACAAATTTGCTAATAAGTGAACTAACATTACAAAAACTCTCTTTCAACAGTTCCTAAAAAACCATTCATAAGTAGTTGTAATACATTTTAGATTTGGTAAAAGTACCAATTAGATGTTAGATAATAGTATATAATATTAAAATAAGTATTTTTAAGAGATAGTGAGATGAGGTACTTCCCTGTCTGACGAAAGATTAAAACCTAAGGAATTCTTTTTCTGAAATAATGAATATCATCTTACAAATCTAATATTGTAAACAATTATAAACACAAACGAAAGACTAAATATTCTTTAATAAACAATTATACACCTACGGGTAACAAAAATTTAGGTTAAATCAGCTATAAAATTCTTTATATATTTATTTTGTTACATTCATTCCAAGCCAATGATTTCCAGGATTCTAAATCCTTTTTTTCTCTATCATAGTGGCAATCAAGAATTGGACAACCAAAAGGATTTGAAGATATATATGCCGTTGCCCTGAAAAGGCGAAAACTTTCGTGCTGTAAACTCTCCTTTGCTGAAATTCTCTCGTCTGGATCAAAGGTTAACATCACTCTAAGGAGATCAATAATACTTTCATGAACTTCAGTAAAATGGGCTTCAAGCGAAACTGGACTGGGATTTGGAAGCTTTGCAATAAAATTTCTAGCATCTGCAGAGGTCATCTTGGAGAGTACTGATTCATCAGGCTTTCCAACAAAGTTAATAATCTTTTGTAGATGTTCTACCGCGTGTTTGCCAGCAAACAGAATTTTCCCTGATAATAGTTCGGCAAGTATACAGCCCGCACTCCAAATATCAACAGTCGCTTTGTAATGAGTCCAACTACAAATAACTTCTGGTGCTCTGTATGGTCTCGTAATGACATAGCCAGACATTACATCACTTGCTGTCCTAGACAAGCCAAAGTCGAGCAGTTTAACTTCTAAATTCTCACTAACGCTGATATTTTCAGGCTTGAGATCTCTATGTAATATGCCACCAGAGTGTAAATAAGCCAAGGCACTTACGACTTGACCTATGATTTTTAGAGCACTACTCTGATCATAGCATTGCACATTTTTTAAACTTTGTTTCAAATTTTGTCCACCATATTCAGTAATAAGATAAACATTATTGAAAGAAGAAAGACATGTATCTGAAGTATAGATATCCAATAGATTAATAATATGAGGATGAGGAGAAATACTCAGATGTCGTAATATCACAATTTCTCTCCATGCTCTTTTTGCATTTGTTTCATTTTCAAAAGGTTTTAACAGCTTTTTTATGACAATTTTCCCTATTGTCTCGTCATCAGCTGTACAGCACATTCCTTGTGCCCCACATGTAAGCTTTTGAACGTTAGAGAATTTACCAGGAATAATCCAGGAGACAGTCTCTATCAATATAGAATAATATTTGTCACTCATGTTGAGCTATGTCTTCTAAACTGTTTTATGTTCTTACAAAGGCCAAAACTTATGATTAATTATGCCGACTGGTGAAAAATTACTTATGATCAATAGTCTAACTTGAATATTGTAGATCTAGATATCAAATTGGATGGCCTGAATTCAATTGTTATTATGAATGTAGTTAGTGAATAACATATTGTGCGGTTCCCTGTTCCAGTCTAAACTTTTTCCTGGCGCTTACAGACGTTAGTTTTGTAAGCATAAAAATGGCGGGTGCGAATCAACATACACAAGTTCCTCGGCAAAATCATACCAGAGATCAAATGACTGCACTAGCCGAAGTAGAAAATCAGATATTAACTGCTATGCAATCGGCAGGTAAAAATTTATTTTATTAGAAAAGTTGTTTGCAATCACTCTTTCTATATGAGCGATATTATGTTATTTGCGTTCTTATATTAAAAATCTTCCGTATCTTACGTTCTTATTGTTTTAAAGCGTTTCGTTATATAATAAATTCAACTCCTTTCTCTCAATATAGCAACATCGTTGGCTGAAATGGGCAAGGATAAAATAGGAATGAAAGCAGCGGAGACCAATGCAAACACTTTCCTTAAAGAGGTAGAAGATATTGAGAATAAACTCACAAAACAGATATCACAATTGACACAATACGCTGGTGGAAGTGGTACTGAAGTCAGTCCATATGGCCAGAAAAAGGATTTTAATATGGCAATGCATAGAAACAGACATGCCGAAACAATCCTTGAACGATTGCAAGAGCTCAAAAATGCAAGGGAAAATCCGAACGTTCAAGAAAACGCTGCCTCATGAAATGAAGCTTTTTGAATACTATGATTTTTAAATAGTTTCTTTATTTGACTCGGTTGTAAATTTTTTGTAAGTAATGTAGGAAGTTCGAAACAGTATTTTTATATTATAAATGAATTACATTCATACAATTTATAGTACATCAGGTATATTTAACTATAAATAATCCATAAATAAAACAATTATCTTACTATCAAAATATTGAAATGTATTGCAAACAAAAAAGTTTTGTACTATTTATAAAAGCTGGAGTCAACCACTTAAAAAACGATTTACAGTATTTAAATTATGCAGCACCATACTTCACTGGTTGTATTGCTGTTGTAATATTCTCAATAACGTTGCGAAGTTGTTGCTCTAATTCCTTATCCGACTTACATTCTACTTTCTGGGAAAAAAATTCATTTTTTAATTAATAGCTGAAGCATTGTGCAAAAATCATTGTGCAATTATACCTTCTCAAATACGTCGATAACTGCTGAGTTGCCATTAACAGATATTTGAAAAATTCCTTTTTCAGAAGTTGGATGAGCTGCTTGTTCTCCAAACATTTCATTTAATGTCTCAACAATGTAATCACTGATGTTTTCTTTTTCGATTTCTCCACATTTTGGTAGGTCTAATTAGAAAAGAAAATATTCAAAAATAACAAAAATGTTTAATATAGAATAAACCATTACCTTCTATTGAAGTACTTTTTAATAAAGCTGCTATAACTGAATCAGCGAACATATCCTGTACAGGGCCAGCTTTCCATTCCAACACAACGCATTCGTGTTCCTCCTCTAACCATATATCAACCGAATCAAAAATTGTAAAACGATTTTCTCCTGAACTTAAGGCTTTTTCTTTTACTTCTCCTGCTAGACAGTTTAATTGGAGCTTCAAAGATTCATTACTTCCCGAATATGGTAAAGATTGCTTATTAAAAACAGAACAAGTTGTTAATTCCGTGTAAGATGATAAGTCTGCAGCTGACATGAGATGGTAATTGAAATTTCGTTTGACTAAAAGTCCACTGATGTTTCTCTTTTTTTCTTTTCTATCAGCAGCTAATTTTCCAATGACTTTAGCCATTTTTTCTCCTCGAAAGTATAGCTCTACCGCTTGGGTGTTTTTTGGATTGTAAATGTGGATTCGATGTTGACTATCGTCTTCATACTCTCTTGTCAACGCCTGTTTAAGCCTGCAGAGAAAATAATATATGATAGATAAACCGTGAACACTATTAAAATATTTTACCTGTTCATTTCATTTCTTTCTCCGTGAACAAGAACAATATGAGGTGGCTTAAGGGTTCTGATAAACTCGCTAGTTTGTCTGTAGTCGGTGTGAGCAGAAAAGGATATGTAATCAACTGAACATTTCCTTGGAAGTTTTTGACCACTCATTGTGACTATCTCTTCCGGTTCGGTTAAGATCTGTTTTGCTAGTGTTCCTTCAACACAGTAACCAGCAATAATAACACCATTTCTCTTATCCGTACACCAACTTTCAAATAGTTCACGAGATAACCCACTTTGCATCATGCCAGGACTGGCCATAACAACAGATGGACCTACGTCTTCAAAATGATCAATACTCTATGAAGAAAATGGAAAAAATTATTTATAATTTTCCACGGATGTAGCATATACCTTTAGATAGTTAATGTGCTTGAATACAAAAGGATTTTTAATAGCAATTTGTTTTCTTATTCTTTCATTCATTGCACTGATGTATGTTTGATACACACTCATACATTTTTTGGCTAGAGAGGATGCATAAAATATTGGTATATCATGCAATTCTGGATGTTCGGACCAATATTCATCTGAAAAGTATAATAATCTTTTGAAATTCGTTCTCGACATTACAATAGTAGTAAAAATCTTTTACCTAAAATTAACAATAACTCTTGTGCTCTTCCCAAAGCAAAAACAGGTATCAAACATCTGCCCCCACGCCTGACAATACTATGAATGAGACTGGTAAAACGACTCTCTCTTTCTTCTCTTGGTTCGTGTATATGAGTTCCATATGTAGCTTCAACAATAAGGACATCAGGCTTCACTGTGGGAATTTCTGCAGCCATTAAATGTCTGTCTTCCTGTCGAGAGAAATCCCCAGTATATAGAATCTGTAAGAAAAACAACGTTTCAAATAGTTGAAAGGCGTATTAATCTCAATCCTCATAATAGAAGATACTACCTTTACGCCCGCTATTTCGATCATAAACATTGCTGCACCCAAAACGTGACCGGCGTTGTAGCACCAAAATTTAATGCCATTTACTGTTACCTCCTGGTGAAAATGAATAGTTTCGATTTTATCCATAGACTTTTCGATATCTCCCTCGGTGTACAACATTTGCTCGGTAGCAATATTACTGAAAAACATTTTCAAGTATACATAATATTCAAGCCAGCCCTTTGGAATAAAGTAAGCTGATTCTGCTTTTATCTGCAAAATACTTACCTAACTTTAACGTAATCAGAAAGCAGCCAGCGGTATATAGCTTTTGTCGCATGTGTCATGAAACAACGGCCCTGAAAGGTTGTTTTCTCCAGGAACCACGGTAGACCACCACAGTGGTCCAAATGAAAGCTAGTTGATTTTTTAAAAATAATGTCTTTAAAAATGTTAGTATAAATAGTTTTTATAATTTTCTTACTGGCTTATTAACAATAAGTCAATCTGGGAGGGATCTATTATGTCTGTGTAAGGGAGAGCTTCTATTCCAGACATTCCTGGATGTATTCCACAATCCAACTAAAATTAAGCAGACTGAAATATGCGATAATTTAAGTAAAAACTAAGTTATACCATTATTTTCTTTCCCTTGAATTCTAACATATGGCATGATCTTCCAACTTCTTGTCCTGACCCTCTAAAACATCCCATAATAGCCTCATTATCGCTCACGTTTTACTTGATATTTCAAAATTCAGTTTTAAAAAGAAACTACTTACAAGGGTCGGATTATTAATTGATCACTCTCCTCAGCGGGGAGATTTGACGAATCTATGACAAAGGGACTGTCGACATTCATCCTTGTAGATTAGACAAAAACACCGGCGGTAACCATATATTTGTTTTCGTAGTGTATTTAAAAAATGGTAAAAATATTTTTAACTATATCTAAGCAATATTTATTTGAAAGAGAAAAATTATACATGAAAAATTATGTTTTTACGAAATAGTAATAAAATACGACCACAAACGTCATTTTCAAAATTTTCTTTTTAACTATATGTACAGCTTTAAAGATGGATCTACCGGAAGACTTATCATGCCCCCAATGTAAAAATCTTCTTTCGCACCCTATGCAACTGCGATGTAAACATAATATTTGTTTTAAATGTATTTGCCTATTGACGTCTATTGATGGTTTAGACCAACCTTCTCCTAAAAGTTCCCTGATTGTTAGTATAAAATTAACTTTACTTAACGATAATGATCCATTGCTGAGAGAAAGAGTCAAAACTGCAGATGTAAGTATTTAACAAACATAATTTATTCTTTTGAACACTTTTAAAATAATTTTTAGATTACTTGTCCAAAGTGTTTGGATCAATCAACAATAAATTATAAACCGAATTCTCAGGAAAAGTTCTATGATCAGCCAACTCTTACCCGAAATAACGAATTAGAATCAGTCATTAAGACTTTTGAAGACGCCCAAAGGAAATTTTCACTATCATACAAAGAGCTCAATGACGATTTTTGCAAATTTCATCAAATGGAGAGAATGAAATTAGTTCTCTACTGTACCGTTTGTAAGGAAGATATATGTCATCGGTGTGCAATAGACGGACACCATTCTCATACCGTTATAAGTTTATATCTAAAAAATGTTTATGAAACTAATTTTTGCCAAATTCAACCAGTGAAAAATAATATAAAAACTTTTAAGGAAAGTCTTACAGAGAAAATGATAAGAGCCGAATCTATAAAGAAGAGAGAGCATATCGAATTCACTAATTACTTGACTAATGTCGAATTAGAATTTCAAAGTTTGATAAAGTGTTTAAAAGCGAAGCATCTAGAGATTTTATCGCGTCTAAAAAATGAAAGACAAGTTAAATTCCTACAAAATTCAAACGCTGTGAGCTGCTTTCGTTCAAAAATTGATGAACTTGCAAAAGTTGAAGAGGACTTGGAGAAACTTGAGAATGGAGCAACTCATGTCAATTTAAAGAGTACTTTAGAACTGTAAGTATATTACTTTACACTGTATATAAGTTATATTATCGTTTTTTTTGCTGTATTTTAATCTCTAAAGCGGAGAAAAAGCTTTACTTGATTGGAATTCTCCTGATATTTCGGATTCAAAAGTATCTAAACATTTAGTTGAAGCTTTACAAACCATTGGCGATATGATAGAAAACTTAACTTTTGGTAAGAAAAGTTACGCATTAAAGGATATTTGATATATATGTAAAAATTTTATTAGGAGATGAAGACATTAATCATAATACTCCCTTGGAAAATCCGTCACCAGTTCAAGCTCGGTCCGGTAGAAAACGTCGTAGTTGTTCCAGAGCGCTAGAAATGAACTCAAATGTATGTTCATCCTCATTCGACAAATAAAAATCTCAATGATGACTCTTTGTAATATATTCCTTATTGATGGAATTTTATATGTTGCTGCTCTTTATACTATATCTTTTCAGAATTTCTTCCTTGATTAGTAGATATCCCTCTCGCTGTCGTATTGTAAAGAAAACGGCAAATCCTACATTTAATAACAGAGCAGCTCCAATTTGAAGTCTGGCAGATTTAAATATTTTAGTAACTATTGATGATTGCTTTCTCAAATCCCAGAAAGCAGGTAAAGCAATGGTTTTATAAGCTTTTGCCACAGCAAAACAGGCTGTAGTTGTTAGAATCATTGGTTGCAGGAATCCATTTAACAATTGTATTGCAACACCTCGATTAATAGCACATAATTGGCATTTGTCACTGACATTTTGGCGCTGAGATACAAAACGATGGTATGTTAGCCCAGTTAGAGCAAAGGGTATAAAAACTCCTGACGCGTAAGTCGATAATCTACCAACGCCATAACGGGATAATTTTAGAGATTGTCTCAGATGATTTGTGAAAACAAGCCCAGTGGCTGCAGATATTGAACCACACATTTGAGGAGCATACAAGTAAGAAAATCTACAAAATGTAACAAAGGAAATTAATCTTCTCTTCAATGTCATAGAGTTTTCAAAGAATTTACACACTAAAAAAATGTAGTGCACTAATTCTTCCAGACAGTTTCTCAGAGGAAAATAATAAAGCATACACGTAAAATTTATAGTAGCAATGAAGTTAAATTAAGTTTTACAACCAATAAACAACTTACATTTCTCGCTTGTTTTTCCAGTTTTTCGCTACTTCATATTCCATTATTGACAGTTGAGCAGGGCTTAATCTTACTGCATTAGAGGGAAGTGAGCTTTTGTCGGAAGTATGATATACAGCCCCAGGTTTGAAGAACTCGGTTTGACGAGTTTCTTCTGTTAGTGATTCTTTCCAAAATTTCCATCGCATGTTTAAGTCAATGTGTGTGGGCGATATTTGAAATATCCTACTTTCGAAGCCGACAGTGTCTTTATAAAGTCATAGACTGGTTCTAAAAATTTTGAAATTAGTTAAAGAAATATTTGTATGTGACTATTAACTTTGCTTGACTTTGATCAGTTAAATAAACTGCCTAATTTTAACAACCAACAATTATAGATTTATATTACATTTGCTATATTTTACAGAATGCATTGTTCGAGTCCAAAGTAAGTAGATTTCTTCTTGGAGTAATAATATGAAGGTTAAAATAAAATACCAAGAGTGATAAAATATCATATTATTAGACCCACAGCTGAGAAATAAGGTATTACTGGCGTTTTGAAAACTTATAAATTCGAGACCAGGAACCCTGCTGTAGCAAGAACTGGTATTTCGGTTCAACAATATTTTACCAATCAGCCTGACCATATAGCGGCGAAAAAACGTTTTCTAATCGTTTGTTTATAGTTTATCTCTATTTCTTTACCTCTACACAAATAAAAATGGTAAATATGATCATTGTTATAATAATTTATAAATGATTTTTTCATAGGCGTTTTATTTGGATTAATCTATTATACTTAAATATACCTTTAGTATTATTCAAGATATGTAATTGTTTTTTTATTTCAGGCTCGAAACTCAGAAAAGGCAATGTAAGTCTTGTAATTTCTGTTAAAGTTGTAATACTCTATGATTGATCGAATCTGTAGTCATTTCTGCGTAAACTGTAGGATCCAATACACGTGTATTATTTTATGAAATGCACAAAGCAAAATTTACTTACATTAGGGACTTCTAATCTTACATACATAATATAAGTTAATCGAGAAGTTTTGTTTTATTGTATTATAAATATTTATATATTTTTAAATTTTTTACAACAGGACCACTCTGAACCGATGGAGGTTATATCAGGAAGAGTTGCTTAAGGGAAAGCCAAAGAAAAGACCTCATTTAGCCTCTGAATGTACTAATGTTAAAGTTTGTATGAAATGGAGAAGAGAGGTTAGTCATTTTTTGCATTAGAGTTGTTTGGTTATCTTAATTTCCTCTATTTTTAGGTCATTGGAGAAATTTCTAAGAAGGTAGCTCAGATTCAAAATGCTGGTCTCGGAGAGTTTAAATTACGTGACTTGAATGATGAAATTAACAAACTCTTAAGAGAAAAACGACACTGGGAAATTCAGATTAATGAATTAGGAGGACCAAATTTTTTGGTAATCTACCATCTTTGTTCGTGAATTCTTTAATTACGAAAAGTTATTATACAGAGATTGGGCCCAAAAATGTTAGATCACGAAGGAAAAGAAGTACCGGGGAATAGAGGATATAAGTATGACGACAAATTTGATAATATCAATTAAATTACCGAGCATATAACTTGTTTTGTTAGATATTTTGGAGCAGCAAAAGATCTACCTGGTGTCAGAGAGCTATTTGAGCAAGGTCCGCCTGAAACATCTCGAAAAACAAGAGCAGAGCTTATGCGTAACGTTGACGCTGATTATTATGGATATAGAGATGAAGATGACGGAATTCTGGTCCCGTTGGAAGCGGAGTATGAAAAGGAAGCAATACGAAACCTCGTTCAAACACAAAAATCTTCTCAAAAGAAGCCAAATAATTATACTTTAATTGGATTAAAAGATGTGAGTTGAATATCTTATGAAAATGCAGTAATTTTTATCGCTTTTAACCGTTTTCAGCCTAATGTCAAGGATGATATAAAACTGTCAGAACCTGAGGAAAAAGTAGTAGCTGATACAAGTTCAGTAATGATATCTCATGTTGAAGTTCCAACACAAAAAGATATTGAGAAAGCGTTAATATTAAGAAAAAAGAGAGAGCTTTTAGATAGATATGTTAGTGATGATTTAAAAACTGAAGGAGAAGAAATAAAAAAGATGTTAGCCCTTTAACAATATTATTTGTTTTTGTAAATAAGTATAAGCGCAGTTATATATACCATAATTTTATGTTAACTTTAAAAATAAAAGATATATTTGTCTTTTTATAAGTTGGCTTAAACTTGAACCAATGCTAACAAGTTGACTTGACTTAATTTTAGGGTTTTCACTTTAAGATGTAATTTGATCAGTTGTAAATATATGTTTATTTTAAAACTTGGCTGAATAAAAACTCAATTTAAATCATTTCCATTTGCTTTTGGCAAAAACCATGTGTTATTGAATATACTAAACTATGTATACTAAGATTTATGGAAGTTTCATATTAATTTGTCTGTCTGAACATTTTGTCTGAGGAAACTGGTAGACAAAGGATAAAACTCCATTACTATTCTTGTCAAAATAAATCACAAAATAAATATAATATATCCGATAAATCGTAGAAGATATGGCTGGTAGTAGATTCGAGGCAGTTGGGTCCATATTTACAAGGTATCTATTCAAATTTATTGTGTTTTGTTAAAAACTCTAATATCGCTCACACGTGACAGAATCAATGGTTTAATGAAATCGGGAGCACTCAAGTATGCTGAACGACCTCTCTGGTATGATGTTTATGCAGCCTTCCCTCCTAAAACAGAACCTAGAATAGATAGAAAACACGAAGTATGTGAGGTTAAAGATATATTGTATATAGAAGATATGGCTCGATCGTTAGTCTATTCTATACTTAAGTTCTGCTCAATAAACTCATATTTCCTTACAGAAAATTTTATACAGAATATGGTAATCCAGACAATTTAGACTTAATCGATAATAATTCTTCAAATGTCATTCAAAGGTAAATGGTTGATAAATATTCTAGAATATTAAAATTTAAAGAGCCGAACTTATATATTCCTTTAAAGATTCATCAATAAATACATGGAATTCAGTCCAGATGATAGATATTCGGAAGAAGCCTTTGATAAAGCGGTCGATAGCTTAAGGTCAGAAGGAGTAGAATTAAAAAATGTCAGAGAAGAGGAAGAAGTACGTAAACATGCTAATATATAAATATACTCTTAGATATTTAAGCATTGACTTTTATGCTTTATAAATGCAAATATATGTATATATGTATATTTATTTATCTTATTTATTTTAGAGAAATTATGAAGAAAAATCTCTTCTTACTTCCAAAGAAATATTAAAAAGAACAATTGTGCCCTCTAAAATGGTAACCTCCAAGAAAATATCTTAAATATTATAAAATGTACTATTTAGCTAATATTTTCGGCTGAATTATGTTTAGTATTTGAAAATAAGAACGATAACCTTTTGTCTATGAAAATTAAGAATAAATTATAGTATATCATTCATAAGAAAATTAGTCAAATTTCTTAATGTAAAATTTGAATTGTCCGCTAAGAATAGAGATTGGGAGTTCCGGAAACGGAAAATGCAAATATTTTGCACAATATAGGAAAACATGCGTTTTTGTTATCCTTATTCTTTTAAATAGTAAAGCTATGGATTCAATCAGTGAAATATCAAATGTTTTTGATCATTGTTGCCAAGAAGATAAGGCACAAAAAATGAAAGAGAAAAATTTAGACATTAAAACTTTTGAAAAACTTGTATGTATAACAAAAGAGTTTTAAAAAAATATCAATTGAGATTTCTCAAATAGTGGTTTATGAAAGAAGATGCAACGACTGATGAATACGAGGAAGAGTTATATAAATATAGAGGTGACTACGCTTATTATAATCAATCGTTTAGTGAAGCTGTGGACTGGTACACAAAGGCAATAGGTAATTTTTTGCTTCCATTTATGGAGGATAGATAATACGTTAATCTAATAAAATTCTAGAGGTAATGAAAAATAAAGATTGCCGAGCTTATCGAGAAGCCCAAGACTGTTTGGCAAGGTGCTATCATGCGACGAAACAGTATGAGGAATGTCGGAATATAATCTTACTGCTGGTAAATACAACACCGATATTCAACATATTCAGTCTACTTAGAGATACAAATACAATTACATTTCCTCATTTTTTGTTTAGCTCAAAGGGTGTGGAAATTACGACCAAACTTCATATATAGTTTCGTTATTGCTAGAGACAGCTGTTAATGAAAATGGTGATTTTAATCATTACATTGTCCAACTTAATAAAATATTATTTGACAGAGAAAATCTTATTCCATAAGTATTTAATTTGGCTGCACCCGGGCAACCAAACTTTATGGAAATCACTTAATCGTTCTTTGAATGGTCTGGAATCATTCGACAAAAAAGATAGATTGGTGAATTGCGAAGCTGATGCAAAAAATGTTAGAAATTGGATTTTAAGCGAATCACCTGATTTTGAAAAACATTTTGAAGAGATTTTTGGTGTTTTGTAATAAAATTGAAAATTACAGTGACAGTGCTATATAGAATCATCAAAGGTGAAACCAACAAGGGAGAGATTTCAATATCAAAACTGGTATGTTTATTGTTTTGAAATGATTTGTTTTTTCAAATTGAACATTTGGCAATATAAATTAGTACAAAATTAAGAGAGTTCGAAGCCTGTATTAGACGTTATTGCGTAACGCAGCTTCTCTCTTAACGTACTCTTTTTTTGGTAATTTGGTAATTTCAATAAATTAAAACAAGTAGACGAAGTTGGCAATCGACTCATAGTTTCTTTTTTTCGAACATTGAAAAACCCTTTAATAACAGATCCCACAGTGTCTCCGTTATCTTGATCGTCGCTGACTTCAACACATCTGATCGAGAAGGGTGGTTCTAAGTTGGCAAAACCTAGTAGAGGCGGCTTAGAACAGCTCGTAACAAACTATATGGTAACAGAAATATCAAGACGGATTATTGAAATAAAAAAGAAACCAACTTTTAAAAATAGTGCTCTTTCCTGAGCATTAAAATCCTTATTTAATATATCCCAAAGCCAGGAGACAACTTTGTGATTGTTATGAAAGCCACCATAATAGTGCGTGTGCTGTCGTAAGTCATCTAAGTCTATATCAACAGTGTCTCCTGAGATTAATTTTTGCAGCTCTCTAGCTGAGAATAATGACAACCATTCTGAATTTACAATAGATTTAAATCCCTGAAGGAAAGCGGCTGTCTGATGTTTAATTTGAGTTCTCATTCGGAAATTGGCCATTAAATGAATATACCGAATTCTAAGGATACAATTAAATACAATATATATCAGAAAATACAAATGAAATAGTAACTAACTTATTTTCGTTTGTGACGTTAAGGGCGGAACCTCCAGGTGTTAAATCAAAACTTTGGAGTTTTCCAAGAACATCTTGGGTGCAGGAAAACGTTAAATCAAGATCTGCGACATTGCCTTCGTAGTGCTTTATGAACGTCAAATTTTTGTATAACTCGGCATCTAACGATGGCAATTCATCAATAGGACTATAAATATTACTATGCTTCTTTCCTAACAGTTGCGAAAGGAAAAATGGAGCAAAGGGCAGTTCAACAACTATGCCTTCATAAACCGCTTTCGCTAACATTTTACCAACAAAATTGAATAATTGCAGATGATCGTCTTGAACGAATGAGGTAGGGGAAGGATAAAGTTTTTGTTCGTCTGTTGTTTTAAACAAATTTAAGCTAGGATCAAATATTCTACTAATAGTTTCTTCTAAAAATTCTTTAAAAACGCCATCCTGATCAATACCAGCTTCATCAAGGCCTTGTTCATTTACAAATTTCACACGAATTACCCCTTTTAAGTCTTTAGGAGATATTTCTGCTAATTGACGATAGCCATCTTCAACTAAGTGAGATCTATGTACTGTAATTATCGTAGGTCGTGGGGATGATAGAGAATTGGTTATATTTAAGGACGATTTATTAGCCTGAATGAACTTTCGGAAGAGGACCACTCTCTGAAAGGGGGAATCAATTAAATTTCATTAGATAACTTTTAGCAAATCGTGATATTACATCTTTATGAGGAATTATATGAGGAACTTTTTGCAACAAAAAATTTGCTTCCCTCTTCTTATCGCCTTTTTCCATTTCGGATAAAATATGTGACGGCTTTACATCCCTAAAAGAAAGGTGAAATATATTAATAGATTCTACATCAAATGTTAGCTGACATACTTAATTAGCCAATGTTCATCGCTAACAAAAGCCCTCCTACAATTTCTCTCATATATAAGCATTAACAGAGAATGCAATGACTTGAATAAATCGCTTTCCTCTGCTTCTCCTACTTCTGTAAAAGTTCAAAGTAAGGACCATTTATTTTAATGAATTTTACTAACTGATATTTCCGCTCCAAATGAGTTTAAAGCACAATTGATTTAGGAAATCAGATATCGAGCCAAGTAAATCTAAGGTAAACGGTGTTTGCCGTTCGTAGAGCTCTCCATCATCCAAAATACTATGAAAAGAGTAATTAGACTTAAGAGAAGAAACTAAACAAAAATTACTTACATCATCAAATGGCTCGATACTTCACAAGCAAGTAGTAAAATTGAAAACTCATCACCGCATCTGCTCATACTCATAAGATCGGTGTAGGCTTTTGCAGCAGGATTTACTCCAGGTGTTAACACAACACACCATAACTTGGTTATCAAATCAGGATTATTATTATTGCTAAAAATGGCATAAATATACGATTTTGTTCAAATAATTTCCGTGTTTTTTTTTACCTCAAACTTGATAATATGTCTAATTTTAATTGAGACAAGGCTAAAAGAGCTGTCTGATACATTTGGCATACTATTCTGCAGAGCTTACACAAAGGTGATTCTAATTTTAAGCCAGCTATATTCGAAGATGAAACTTTGTTAGCTTTTTCACGTATCTTTTGAAAAATATCTGATAAAAAAAAATGAAATTAATACCAAATGAACTCCTGCAAAAAAAGAAAAACACTATATACTTTTTGTTTCCTTCGATTGACTTCCTTGTCTGTTAGGAGAGACGCATCCAATTTGTGCGTGATCAGTTAAAAGCAACAATTCAAAAAATTGCTTTATTGCAGATGCTTTCCATAGTTGCTGTAGCTGTATATTAACTAGTGGCATCGCTTCTTGAATGCTAAAATGAAGTATAATATGTAAAAAAAGAGATATAGTAAATAAATTACGAGAAAAGACCTTTGGTCCACCGATTGAGAAAACCAACCCAAAATGGGATGCCAATTACATAAATTTGACTTTTTATTCTGAGTGTATTTTCCACATTGTTGTAGAATATCTATGACAATTTTCTGAAGATTGAAGATTATAATTATAACTCTGGGCGAAACTATGCATAACACTTACAGCAATACTTTCAGCTCTGGTTCCCAGAAAGTCATTGGAGTAAAGGGCAATGTCAACAAGATTAGCTAAAAGTGATCATTTTCTAATTAGAAGTTACTAAACAACTCGAAAAACTAGCTTACCAAGCAAACATAATTTATAATTTTCATCAAGTGAATAAAACACAATTTTTCTGCTTTGGTCATTTTTCAATATTTCAACCATACTATCCAGCAGATTTAAAGTTTTTATTTGGTTAAAAATCTTTTCACTTCCTGCTTTTAAATGAAAGAATAATGCAGGAGTTGAAACAAATCTTAATAAAAACTGGGAAGCTGTTGATTCGTCGTTTGTCAGCTGCACGCGTCTGTAAAATTGTTGACAAATTACCCATTATCTTTTTTTAACAATATCAATAAATGTGTGTAATTAATATATTTAAAGTTTGTAATAATACCTTAAACCAATCGTCACACAAACAGAGAGCAAAGCGTTATTAAAAAACGGCTTGCTTCTAGAACACGCTCTTTTCAGAACAATCTGAAAATAGAACACTGAGAGATTAAATGAACAGATAAAATAAAGATATTACTTGAAGGCTAAGAAATAATCCTTTATCATACAAATATGCTAAGATGTTGGAACAAATTTTATCAATGCTACTTTTTAGTTGAGCATCTGAAAGATGATTCATCATTTTCCTATTCACAAATAAGAAAAGCTAGGTAACTAACTTTCGTTATCTTTAAATACTTTCCAAGTAGATGTGCTTGTGAAGCTGAAAATAGTATTAATAAATACAGTAATTGCGCACAACTCCTTAGCAACATCTGGCTGTTGGATAACGATGGAAAACATTATTTATCTTTATTTTTTCATTTAGTAGACACAAACCTTTAAAATTTCTGTTATTTGACAACACTTCAATAGTACTTTTTTTGCTTGTTCAATCCATAAAACGAAATGTGTCTTTGGCATTGCCAAAGGTATATAATTGACTTTAAGTGTACTCTGTAATATGCTGGCCAGTAAATATTTGCAGAAGCATTGAAATCTCTAATGAATTTAGAAAAAACGGTTTTACTTTACATTCAGGGTCAAAATCAGTTACCTACGAATAAATCTTTTTCCTGCTTAAAAACGAAGAGAAGCTTACTCAGATGGTTATAAGTTGAGAGAGCTGAAATCAATAATCTTTCAAAGCATGGAAAACGAAATGAAATTTGCTGGAAATTAATATTTTACTCTAAAAGAAGCCTTTAAATACTTTTAATTAATGAATTTTTTTAAGGTGAATAGTTCAATCTCCCTCAGTTAAATTGTTTTTTTCTTCGATTATTTATTACGGTCTTCTCTGAGGAATAGCTTATATTGATGGAAGGAGTAAAATGGTACTTTTTAGTAAGAGGTTTAGCTTAACCAACCTGAGCCAAACTGTGATGGATTATAATCAAGTGATCCTTGACGTACTTTCAAATAACTATCGATCTCATCTCTAAGTGTGGAATAGGTTTTCTTTCGACTAAGAGATCCTCTAACAAAAGACTAAATCGGAAGAGTAAGTAATTTATATAAGTTTAAGGTCTGTATTTACTTGTATTCTAATCGCTGCATCTTCTTGTAATTTCTTTGCAGCTCTTTCTTCTCTTGCTGATTTTGCAGCATTTAAAAATTCATTCTTCTTCTCCGGGTCGTCAGTTAACATTTTGTTGGTTTGCGAAGATTTGTGGTGTTAATCATTATTGAAACATAGAATATTTTTTTTGGGTACTGCTAAAATACAGTCGGTGGGTATTGCTCATTTTTTATAAACATAAATATCACTATCATAATAGTAGAAATTCATGAATAAAAGTTACAAAAATTTTCGTCATTTATTGTGACCCCGATCCATATTATTTTAAAAATAATACGAAAATAGATTCCACTTCCACATCCGGTTTCCTACGGAGCTGATGTTGAGTTGGAACTTTATGAAAATTTTTATTTTTTATTTCGAATAGCTTTCATTATATAAAATGAATTCTCAAACTATTGTAAGTTTCCAAAAGAAATTATTTTAGAAAGTTGTTTAAAATTTAATCTCTTGAATCGTTCAGGGATTAACAGATGGGACTGAAGATGTTGCGTTAAATTTTGGAGAGGAAGATGAAATAGCAGAAGCTAAAAAAAGAAAAATTCAGTAAGTGATCTATAAAAAGTTTTCTGAACATTGTTAAATTTATTGGAATAATATACTTGAACAAGTTTATTTATTAATATATATTGTTTTTTTTTCAGACATCCTTTGGCATTAGTTTTTCACTTGACATTTAGAGTTTTGGCTCTGCTTACATATTTATTTTGTGGTCTTTTTAGCAATTCTTTCATAGTTAGTTTTGTATCAATAGTTGTTCTGCTTTCCATGGATTTCTGGACTGTAAAAAATATTACAGGTTAAATATTTGACAATTTCCATCAAACTTGATTTGTATATAATTCTTCAATTCCAGGAAGATTGTTGGTGGGACTAAGATGGTGGAATCATGTTGACGACGATGGAAAGAGCCATTGGATATTTGAATCTCGGAAGGTTAGTTTAATATTAAAATGTCTCATTAAAGAACAAGACTTTAAAACTAAGTTCAATCTCTAAATCAGGGGTCTTCTGCCAAAAAACTTTCTGCAATCGAAAGTCAAATATTTTGGCTTGGTATTGTAGGTTGTGAAATTATTTGGGTGCTCTTATTTATAGGGACTCTATTTACCTTGAAGTTCAAATGGCTGGTAAGTGATTATCTAAAAGTTAATCAACTTTATTTATGTCTAATTCTTTTTAGATGGTTGTTTGTGTTGGTATTGGGTTGAACGGGGCTAATTTATACGGATATGTGAGATGTAAAATAGGTTCCAAAAAGCCCCTATCTTCTGTAGCATCGTCTTTCCTTGGTCAACAAGTGTTTCGATCAGTAAGCTTGTAAAATAATTTAAAGATTCTTGTCTAATACTTTTCATTATTTAGATGTTTTCAAAAAATTCCGACGAATCAAAAGGACCAAACAATTAAGAAAGAATATTTTTAAAGAATTCATTTAAGATGCAGGACGATTCCATACTGTTTTCTGAGAATTTTTGTCTAATTGTCAGAGTCTTTTGGCTAAAAAATTGTACATAGCTTTATTTTTGTTAATTAATGTTATTGTAGAAAGACCTTGGGAAAATTTACTTGCTTATTCTTTCCTTATTTATAAAAATTATTGAATACCTTAGCAATATCTATTAAACTTAATTTTAAATTTAAATTCAAAGTGAGTGAAAGCATATCTTTGAAGATATTGTACTGTAGAGACTGGTTTCCCGTTCAATTCGAGCACAAAAGCTTTTTTTAAAAGTTACAATTTAAAAATTCGCAGTAGTGACGGTAAAAGACCACTAAGTTTTGATTTTGATCGATAAGAAAAGTATTTTAGGCATCCCAATAATATGTATGTATAAAAACAGTATTTTTGCTTGAATTTTTTGTACATTAAAGAAAGTGTGAGTAGACTGGGTCGAGCTCGAAATGAGCGACAGTATTTCCATATCTTTGAGCAGTCTATCTTTTATAGTATTTTCTGTTCCTACGAAACACGAAAATGTAAAATGGCCGTCTTCGAAATATTTTCCCATCCAGAAATTCGACGTTATAAAACTCATATTTTTTCCAAGGCTACCTTTTTACAAATATTTATAATAGCTTTAACTTTCATACCTCCATTGATTATTGCTTATAAAAGCCAAGGTAAGCTTGTAATCTTTGATTTTAAGTTAGAATTTGAAAGAATTTAAGTCTAAACTTGTTCGCGCCGGCAGGATTTTGGAAAAAAATAGATAATTATCGAGAACAAGGGGATGTCAGATTCAAACATGAAATTCTCCTTCTCGTATATTTAGACAATGATCAATTTTTGACTTGGAGTACTTACAACAACTATAATGTACTTTATTCCAACCAATTAAGAATTCCTATTGTAAAAGTAAGTTAAAGTTTTTCATCATTAGGTTTCTTATTATGTCTCTCCAAATTAAGATTTAGGTTATATAGAATTTGTAGAAATATTTGCAAAATAAATTATGTTTGTTTAGGCTTATTTTTTATAAAAATTTCACAGTCGCAAGAAACTGATGAGTTCTTCGACGGCAAAAAAGATGAGACTCGCCTATTGTTAGAAATTCCACTATTAGGTGATGAAAATGTTAAGGGGATAGATATGTTGGTGTTCTTCGAGTACAAGCTTTATACCTATCAAAGATTGACCATGGAATGTATGGCTCACGTTAGTCGTTTCTCGCCGTTTACTGGAAGTGAGCTAACAACTGTTGGTGACCTAAAATTTAAACAGCGATTTCCTATAGGCTATAAAGGAACTAATAATGTTTACAACGTGAGTCCTCTGAAAATGTATAAATTTTCCTCTTATCTTTTCATTTTTACTTGCAGAAATCTATCATAAACAGTACAAGTCTTCTATCAGAATCGTATGATTTATCCACCATTTTCGCAAATTACGCAAAGAGAAATTGTTTGTTTTTCCTTTGTATCTAGTAATTTAATTGCTAACATATATTCTTTCGTTTTTAGTCTCAACAACATTTAGTGATGAGTATGCAGTCTGGAAGAAAGGTAAACCCATAAATGATCGTTTTGTTGTTGATGCTACAATTAAATATCCAGAGGAGACCATTTTGTAAGTTTCAGAATTTACCTTTACAAAGTTTTCCTGACTAGTTTCTTTTAATTTTAGATTTAGACCCGGGTTCTGGCAGATGATTAAATGGGGATGGGTTCAATATTTAAGCCTACTTTTAATCTTCCTATTTGTATTCGACCGTGTAAAAGTATTCATCTTCTGTAATCAATTAGTCCCCACAATTATTGATAGGCCCATTCATAAAAAAATCTCATAGCTCTTTTCAATATACACATTTTTTTTATCATAACCGTTAACGATTAATAATTATTTAATACTTTTTAAAATTTTTTAATAAATAAAAGATAATGTGGAAGTGATTTATACATTGAAATTGAATTTATGTTGAACAATGTTTACAAATAAGCCTACGTGTATCATTATACACTTTTTAGAAAAACTGCTTTTAATATTTCTTTTTTTTTGTGTATTTAATTCTACATTGACAACATACAAATATTTATTTATATATAAGGCAAAGTAACAGTTTTAACATTTTAAATATATGTATTTGGAAAAATGATTGAAAATAATACGTATGTAGTAATTTACTTATCCTTTTTATCGGCTTGATCATCTTCAAATGTCTGTCCATATTCGTTGACGCGCTTTTTATCGACAGGATAGAGATAGCGCTGGTACAAGTATATAAGAAAGACAGCGTCATCTCTGAAGCATGCTAAGCGATGTGATGTTGGCATAGTTATAATGAATGCAAAGACATCGTCAATAAATGTATTAAATGCCTTGTACATAAATGTTCTCCATGGTAGATGTTCGACAGACTTTAACTGATGTTTGATGAGAAAGAAAATGTGTTTATATTTAATATTTCAAGGTACACTAACCTGATAATTAACAAATAATTGCGGAAGCATGAAAAGGAAGCCAAAGGCATAAACTCCATTGACCAAGCTCTGAATACACCAAGAATACCATCCTTTGTGCGGTGTATACAATAAAGAATAAATTGCACCCCCTAAACAAAGCGGATACAAGACGTAGGATAAATACTTCATTGCTTGTCTGTCGAATTGTAATGTATCTTTTTCTTTGTCAGTAGTTGTTCCTAGCTCAAATTTTGGTTTCAACCCACTCCATGTAATTTTTAATTTGAAGGCTTTAGTCAATTTCCATAGTTCCATAGCTACACTTACTCCACAGGGTATTAAAACAAGTAATGAAGTCTTTTCATCCAATAAATAAAAGAAGATAATTATGGTGCTGAAACAGCGCCAAAGTACCGTTCTAGTGCTAAGGCCAACCATATTTTTTTTCCCCTTCCAAAAGTGAAAGTCGTTCTTGAATGCTAGAATGTCAAAGAGCATGTGAAAAGCAGCAACCATGAAAGTTAGCATAAGTAAATAAAAATCAGTATCTACAAATATTCCTTTGATTTCATCACCGTCTTTCTCAGAAAATCCCCAAGTATGCAGTTGCTCAATAGATTGTTGCATCGTAACAAATAATCTCATTTTTCCCAATGAAATTGGTGAATAGTGAATAGTTAAAGGCATAGTTTTAGCACTCTGGTTCAAAGGCATCAAATCCTTTACTCGATTGCTTAGTTCATTCAAATATAGGAATGGCATGTATTCGTTGCTTTCAGTTATTCTTATAAACTATCCAGATGATTCAGAATAAATTATTAATAGAAAGTCTAGTTAAAAACATTTTTGCAAAGCTAGTACGGTTTTCCTGTCAACACATTATATTTGACAGATAGCCATATTTATATAAATAGGTTACTTAATATATTTAAATTGTTGTAAAAAATTATTATTCTGATTCACCTGATGCAATTCGCTGGGTATGGAATTGTAATCAAAAGTGGTTAAGTTTGCCATAACGTTAATATATAATTTGGAACGCCAATGACTAATTGGTCTATCGTCAATCGGAGCTTTTTTTGCTGTAGAATTCTCAGTCATGAGTTTAAAGGCTTCGGCCTGCTTTGGTGTGTAAGTTGTATGTCTTGTGACTGCATAAGACATCAGAGAACGACCAGTAAAAGGTTCTTCTCCCCTCATGACTAAGGCAGCATGAATGTATAAGCTTCCATTCTTTCTTGTTTGCCTAGGCATATCGACTTCCAATTCTCTATAAAATTATGTTAGTTTTTTTTAAAATAACTTTGACGGGGATAATTGAAAATTTTACTTGGTAACTTCTTCGTAGAAACTAAAGTTGCTATAATTCCAAATTAGTTTTAAATCTCTTGCGGCAGATCCATGAGTCAATTTAAACGCTCTTGATGTGTACACCTTCAATTCCATCTCAGGATTTCGAGCTAAAAAGGGACCAAGGCATTTTTGACCAACCGGACAATCTTGAGGAAAAAACATTTTGCCGATGCTGTATAAAGAATTTCCTATGTACACTATGAAAGCAACAGATAAAAAGAAAGTGAAATTTAGTTTTATCATTTTTATATTGAGGTTTGATGAACTCTCAGGTAAAATTGCTCAACAAAAACTATTTTTTCAGGAAATGGAGAGAAGACTGTGAGCGATAATATGCCGCATGGAGTTAGGATATGTGTGTGATTCTCACAGGCACTGGCTAACAGACGGGTATGCTAAAGTACGCTAGGAATTATACGAAAGTGGTGGTTATAGCATTTGACATCGAAGCTTGAGTAAACTATAAAATTTCAACGGAAATATATCGAATTTATTAACTTCAAACCATTTTGATGCTTATTAAAGATTCTTTGATCTTTAAATCAATGTTAGTTATCTCTAATAGTTCAATGTAGAATGTATTTAGCAGATAAACTTTTTGTTGTCAGCCAATTTTGGTCTCGCTCATTTCTTACTTGGTTTTAGACATACCAGAGTTTGCTTGGATCTCTGAACCGCACTAAATTGCAGTTTTGCAGAATTGGTGTATAGTTTTCTCAAGTCTAAGACATTATGACAGTCAATCAGCAATTTTAAAAGCCAGTGAATTACACCAATCTCTTTCTCGCCGTAAGGTTAAATTCTCACTAGCCATGGCAGACGATATGCCAGAATTGCAGTTTGTGTACTCAGATTCTGATTGTTATGAAAATGAAATAGCGGGTAAATAGATTCACATTAAAGTATCGTATTTCAGAAATATATTGTTTGTAATTTTCTATTTTTAGAATTATATAGTTACACAGAAGAAATTGAGTTACCAATCGGCAAAGAGTTTTTTGAAGCTCGATGTAAGCTGCCCTTTATTTCCATTATTTCTAAGCTAATTTTTGCGTTTTCTCACTCTTCATAATGTCTAGTTGGAAAAAATTGGCTCCAAGTGGACGATCATACAAAACGAGAGTTTATATTATCATTATTGAATCTTCTCGACTCTTCTGATCGATTGACTCGAGTGGAAGTGATGAGAATATTCCTTTATCTGGTTCAAGGTAATACAACTAGGTTTAGATTTAGCGATAAATTGAAATATCTTTAATTAATTAGGTGTTTTTGGTGAATGCGAAACTGAATATGATCAGAGAGAAGAAGCAATCGATAATAGTTTTCTGTTGTATAGAAATGGTGTTTTTCACTATTTTGTGGATGAACTATATACGGAGTAAGTTAAAGAAGTTACTTAACCAATGCCTAACTATCAACTATCATCTCTTTTTATAAATATTAGAATTATAAACGCTACGAATGCATCATCGGTGAGAAAACCTGCCGTTTCTTTAGCGGACAGTGTTCATATAAGGTTTTTACTTATATACTCTATATTGATAGTATTTTTAAAGAAAGCATTCTCAATTTTTGATTTTTTTTTATCTAGACTTATTCTAAACGTTATTTACACTGTATTGGAAAGTATCAGAACTCCATTTGCAAGCGAATCAGAAGAAAGACAAAAGATTCGAGAACAGTTTAAGGAAGAGCTTTGTGAGTCAATTCATTTTGAATATTCAAGTGTGGGATGTTTTAATTAAATAAAAATCTATTTAAACAGTGTCTCTTCCATGCGGTGATGAAACTCTAATTGTCTGTCTTTTTGGAATGGTAACAAAATTCTGTGGCGGTTCTGCTCCTCATTTTCCTATGAAAAAAGTTCTTCTACTTTTGTGGAAAATTACCCTATTCACCCTTGGTGGTCTGAGTAACTTTCATGAATTAAAAAATGCCGCCAGACGTAAGGCTAACCTTCCAGAATGGAATGAAAATAGTTTAGAGGTGTGTAAGAAAATGCGGGCGAGTTCGCCACCCACCTCAGCCGCAGATATTATCGAACAATCAAATATGGTGGCTTCTGGTTTAAAAAAGACTGAAAAAATGAGGAAACAGGGAGGGCTTGAAGAGGATGATAAAGAATTAGAAAATGGCCCTCCAACTCCACCTCCTGCTATCATTAGATGTTTACCATGGCTTCCGAAAGTTAGGCAAAAAGATTTGGAGAGTTTTATCGAACACACTAGGGATAAATTTGTAGGTTTAACAGTTAAAGGGGATGTTACCTCTATGGCTGGATTACCAAAACCTATTCACGAGGGAATAAGGGTAAATCTTTGAAAATAAATCTATAACATTTGTGATTTATATAACTATTTTTATGATATTTAGGTGCTTAAGAATAAAATTTATGTTTCTTTGAGCGAAATTCAAATGAAAAGAGAAGAAGAAATTGCAAAGTATCCTTTAACAAAGGGTGAAAAAGAAATAGAGCAAAGCAAAGCAGAAATTCTATATGAAGATCTATTTTCATCCCTCCCTCAGTACATGATAGCTCTATTAAAAGTAAGTGTTTAGTACTTTGTCCCTTTATTGTCCTTGATATATTATTAATACCATCTATAGATTCTTCTGGCTGCTGCTCCCACTTCAAAAGCGCGAACAGACTCTGTCAACATATTAGCTGATGTACTACCTGAAGAAATGCCTACAACAGTTTTGCATTCTATGAAATTAGGAATTGACGTAAATCGTCACAAAGAGATTATAGTAAAAGGAATTTCTAGTTTAATCTTACTTCTATTAAAACATTTCAAATTGAATCACGTTTATCAATTTGAATATATGAGTCAACATTTGGTTTTTGCTAATTGTATTCCTTTGATTCTGAAATTTTTCAACCAAAATATTGTTGGTTACGTGACTGCTAAGAATACAATTTCTATTTTGGATTTTCCAAGATGTATCATTGGAGAGCAGTCTGAATTAACAGCTGACACTCTAGTAAGTTAATACCATTGTTAAAATTTTATTCTAGGATATTCTATTTGATAATAATTAATTACTTTTTTAGGAATCTGGCGATACTCAAACATACTGTTGGAGGAACCTATTTTCTTGTATAAACTTATTGCGTATTCTTAATAAGTTAACTAAATGGAAACACTCAAGAACAATGGTATGCTTTTTATTAAATATTTTCTAATTAATTCCAATATTACCATTTTCTATTAATTTCTAAATAGATGTTGGTTATTTTTAAATCTGCTCCAATCTTGAAGAGAGCAATGAAAATTCTTCAAGCTATGGCACAATTATATGTTTTAAAATTATTAAAAATGCAGGTTTGTATTAGTATAATATCTTTTTTAATTTCCCTATTCAATTCTTTTTTTCTCTTTGTACAGACGAAATATTTAGGAAGACAATGGAGGAAGAACAATATGAAAATAATGTCAGCAATTTATCAAAAAGTTCGCCATCGGCTTAACGACGATTGGGCTTATGGAAATGGTAAATATACTATATATTTTCATAATATTCTTTTATATTTGTAATAACTATATTTAAAAAAAACCCTAAAGATATGGACGCACGACCATGGGATTTTCAGGCTGAAGAATGTGCTCTTCGTTCCAACGTTGATAGATTTAATAGTAGAAGATACGAAGGAAATATCGATCCCGATTTGACTCCTGTTGATAATTGTTTACAAAGCGTTCTAGGGAAGCATGTTGAACTGACAAATGAATTTAAACGTCATTATAAATCATGGCTAGAGGAGGAAGTATTTTCAGTCAATATCAAATGGGACGAAGTATTAAATATGCAATGAAAACTAAATGAAATAAAAAGTTCAGTTTTGGTTTTTTTTTTACGAAAAAAAATTCTAAAAGTATGTTTCTTGATTTTCTTGCATTTGTACATACTCTGTTGTATGGATAATGTCTATAGCAGAAATTGACCTTATAGAGGTATATTTATGATAGGATTTCCTCCTCTACTAATTTTTAACTAAGGAAATTTACAGAAAATATTTGTTCTAAACAAACTTTATGGAATAAAAGGCGTACATTTGCACATAAGTGATTGTTATATTTGATTTCCCAGACTATTTCTTAGACTAACACAATAGACTTTCGAAAGAAAATAATCAGTTGTAAAATAACATACAAACACACCAGATGGCCTAGTCTACCAGTTTTCTTTTATTGGTCGATATTTAAGAATTTGCTGTTTAGTTACTAAGAGTTAAGAACACATCATCGTAACTTAATAATGAATTGGAAATATTTTTTATTAGGATTTATTGTTCATGTTATTCTCTTTTATTCAATTTTTGATATATACTTTTCTTCTCCATTAACTCATGGAATGGATTTACATTCTCCAAAGACTTCCTCACCTGCCAAGAGATTGGTTTTATTCGTAGGTGATGGATTACGTGCAGATACATTTTATATAGAAAGACAGAGGTCACCCTATTTGAGAAAAATTATAGAAGAGAAGGGTTCTTGGGGAGTTTCTCATACAAGAGTTCCTACAGAAACTCGACCGGGACATGTTGCCATGATAGCTGGGTTCTACGAAGATGTCAGTTCAGTGGCAAAGGGATGGAAAGAAAACGCTGTCGAATTTGATTCAGTTTTCAATCAGAGCAGCTATACTTTTTCTTTCGGTAGTTTTGATGTTGTTCCCATGTTTGAAAACGGTGTCCGTGATGGGCACGTAAAGAGTTTTGTATACTCGGAAGAGATTTATGATATGGCTGCTGAAAATCCATACACTCTAGACTTAACTGTCTACAACATGATTAAAGTATTCTATTCAATTTGACCATCACTTGAAGAATTTTACTAATCCACTAACACACATTACAGGAATTCCTTAGGAATGCAACAACGAATAGTACATTAAATAAGATCGTCAACAGAGATAAAGTCGTACTGTTTATTCATTTACTTGGTATAGACACAAATGGCCACGCATATAAACCTCATTCAAGGTTCCATTCATAGAATCATTGAATATTCTTTAATAATTATTATTATTCTTATAATTTGTTTGTAGGCAATATCTAGATAATATAAATGTTGTTGACGACATTATAAAGAAGTCAGTTGAGAGGATTGAGGAATTCTATAACAATGATAAAAAGACGGCTTATGTATTTACAGCAGATCATGGAATGACGGCTTGGGGTTAGTTTTAAAGCTAATGGAATATCTGTTAAATTAGATTATCGTATTATTTCCAAGGAACTCACGGAGGTGGATATCCAAGTGAAACACTGACTCCTCTCGTAGCTTGGGGAGCTGGAGTCAAGGGTCCCGAAAAGTCTAATAGAAAAATATCGGTGGAGGAGAGTACATGGAACTTGGACAATTTGGTTAGAAAGGATGTAGAACAGGTTTATATTATCAATAAGCGAAAATTGATTTTTATATCCGTAACTTTGTAGGCTGATGTGGCTGCCCTTATGGCAGGTTTGATAGGTGTAAATTTCCCAGCTAATTCTGTGGTTAGTAATAGTATAAATCTTTTTCTATTCCTCTTTTTCTAAATTCATCCTATATTTTACATAATCAGGGAACGTTACCCGTTGAATACTTGTCCGGAAGTGAAAAATATATTGCTGATGCAATATTTGCCAATGCAAAGCAAGTCTCCGCCTCCTTTGAAGTTAGTAAACAAAACTTAAGATATCAAAAACCTTGCTAATTTCGATATGTCCAGGTTAAAATGAAAGAAAAACAGCAAACTACATTTTCAATGCTATTTTCACCATATAAGTAAGGAATAATACAGACGTAGTATATGCATAAATATACATATATAGATATATTTCCATACAATCAGACTTCTAACACCTTCCATACTACTGAATTTCCATAGACGAATTATCGAATCATTTAAATCAGGAAACTATAATACTACAGTAAGTTTATTCATATTAAATATTAATATAAATTTTATAGTACAAGTATATTTTAACATTCCTTTTTTAGATAAAACTATCTAAAGATCTTATAAAATTATCACTAAACGGCCTTCTTTATTATCATCATTATGATAGATTTTTCTTATGGTTTGTTGTTAAATTTTAGACAAATTTTTAATGACAATATAATTTTTTAGGGCTTGTATAACGTTAAGTTTCTTGGGACTTTTGGGCTATATTTCTATAGTTATTCTCAAAAATTTTTCCAATTTAAAAGCTCAAAAATTCGATTATACAAAAAAATATAAGAATTTAATGCTTTATAACAGAATCCTTGCTGGTTTTTTGATACTAATAACCGTTTGTCTCCTTTTTATTCAAAATCTTCCTTGGATGAATTATACATATTGTATTCTACCAATACTTATATGGTATAATGTTACAAGTGAACTTTTAACAAACATCAACATGGACGTATTTTTCAATTCTCTCTCAATGCATAAAACTACTTATTTTCTCACTGCAACAATAGGCATTTTATGGATAGAATCAATGGTAAAAAATGATACTTTTTCCATAATATTATGAATAGTTGTTTGATGTATTATTAACTCTTTCAGGTGTGGGCGTATTTTAATAGAGCATCATTAACCTATCAATTGCTTGTAATCTCTCTGTTTACAATATTATATAATCCTGCAAAGCAACTATTAGATGGAAAACTAAGAGTCCTATGGCCGATTACGTGTATAAGTGTTGCAATATTCCCTTTATTACCCGTAGTTGGAATTTCCAGTCAACATTATTTAGTGTAAGAATTCTTTACCATAAAAACAAAACAAATAGTAAATAAAGACTAATATCCTGCTTTTCCTTCCATAACATTATACAGATATGGAGTGGGCTTCTCTTTCTTTATTCTCAGCGCTATTTTATATTTCCTTTTCAGAAATAGGTAATTTTTATTGTTTTTCATTGCTTCTAAATACTAATTGCTTACATCATTTTTAAGGATCAACAACAAACTTGATCGAAAGATATTTATCTTTCAAATTATTATGATAGCTTTCACAAGTTATATTGTATTCACTACTTCTCGGAGCATCAATCAGAATTTAGGCTTGCCGATATTCAATCAAATATATAGTTGGACGTCTATTCCAGTTCTTCTTTTAACTCCTATGATAATGTCAACTAATTTTTACGAGAGACTTTTCAGTATTATAATATCATTTTTCACTTTAATTCTGTTACTTAGTACGTCGTACGAAGCTATATTCTTTGCAATATATTCGTTTCTGCTAATCCTGTGGATTCACGTTGAATGTCAATTGGCAAAGATAAAGAATATCGAGAGGATTCACTTCTCTCGTTCATCTATTTCAGCAAGAAATCTGGAAGCAAGGGATATTCGGATAGCAGTGGCTTATCTAATATTCGTAACATTAGGCTTTTTTGGAATAGGGAATATAGCTTCAATAAATAGTTTTGATGTAACAAGCACTTATTGTTTTACAACAATTCTCAAACCATTTATTATGGGACCTCTAATATTCATTAAAACTGTTTTACCCATGTTAACTGCAACATGTGCAGTCTATGCTATTCACGTTGCTCTATCAGTTCCCCTAAAAGGATTGTTTGCATTAATCTTATTCATTAGTGATGCCATGGCAGTTCATTTCTTCTTCATGATTAAAGACGAAGGAAGTTGGTTAGATATAGGAACAAGTATATCTCACTACGTTGTTGTTATGACAAAGGTACTGGCTCTTAACCTTTTTATGTTATTATCAAAGTTCTTAACTAGTAAGCACTTGTTATTCTCTGTGGGAGGACAAACTAAGAAAAGTCTCAATAAAAAAGATTTTTAATTCCAAATTTATGTAAAAATGAACTTTATTCGTTTTTTTTTCAGTTTTTGTGATTGATTTTTAAGCAAAATCTTGATAAATAGTTTGTCAAGACTGTTATAATTGAATAAAATAAAAGAATAAATTGAAAATATTTTGAATATTATCAATATTTCTCTATATTTTAATTTTTTGAGACGGATCAGAAAATAATTAAATGGCAATTAGATTAACGAAAAAGTGGTTGAAATTTTAATCATTATTAATCGTATTAGATTTCAATTCCTAAAAGATATTTGCATATTGAAAACCCTATAAAAGCATTGATTCAATTGTTTCTTCTCTTCGTCGATTTAACCATTGAAAAAAGTTATTTAACCTTATTTGTCTATCTTCTTTATAATCTTTGACTTTTTGGTTCAGTTCTGTATCACAACATTTTATACAATCTCTTGAAACAATCTCTAATATTTCTCTTTCGTCAAGTTCCTCGATATTTTTTTTATGTTCTTCAAGTAGCTTGGAAACTTCTCCCCAGCAAGATTGAAAATGAAGAAGTACTCCGTAAAAGTGCCAAACACTAAATTCAGGCCATAAAACTCTAACAAATGACAATACAGAAAAAGAAGATTGCCACAGCAGAAAGTCACTTAATCTAACTTCCCCAGATGTCCTTATAAGAAGCTGTGGAGGATTATATCCGTGTTCATCAGCAGTATAAAGACATCTTTCTAAGACGCGTTCGTCGATATCAGAGGATAAAATTATTCCATCTTGGACGCCTTGAGCGCATTTTTTCATGGCTTGGGCTATTTCCTCCCGACTTGTATAGGATAGGCAAACATTCAGTGTTGCTTGATTATTGTTCAATGTCATTTTCATTGCTCTTGATACTAATTTTTGAATATCTTTAGGCAAAAGTGATAAATTTCCTAATATTCTTACACGCACGCCTTTTTCCCTAAGCTTACCCTCTTCCTGAAATAATCTGTTCATCTTTTCTCTAACAATATTCCAAAGTCCAGCCAATTCTTCCTCACTTCGCTTGTAATTTTCAATACTAAATGCGTATACAGTGACAGTTGTTATTCCAAAGTGTGAACACCACTCCAAAGTATTGGCCAGAGTTTCAAAACCTAAACTATGGCCCATTTGAACAGATGATAAACCATTTTTCCGAGCAAATCGGCGGTTACCGTCCATTATTATGGCAATATGAGATGGAATCTTTCCCTCTTTAATAATTTTTTCTACTAATATTCTTGTAGAACTTTTTTTCTCATCAGATTGCCGAATCCACGACATTTTGGGACGGTTGTCAACAATCTGCCGAGAGAAGACACGTCAAAGAGAGCGATAATGAGCAGTTGAGTTGGCTATTCCAGCGTAACATTAGCTGAGCGGAAAAGGAAATGCGCATACATTCTCTTCGTTTAGTTTAAATATTTTTACTAGATGGCGCTGAATAGAACACATTTTCGAGTAATGGAAATAAAATATTTATACGTAAAACAGTGCCAGTATAAAGATATTCATTGAGTTAATTATCGCTTTAAATATTTATCCTGTGTAACTGATCGTAAAAAAAGTCATGTTTGTTGGAAAAAACAACTAAAGAGTTATATATTTTTTTATTAAAGGAAAACAACATTCTAAATTCTAAAACCTTATTTGTATTAGCTTATAATATATTATTAATATAACGACAAATGGCACAGCCGGACAGTTTAACTATATACATTGTTCAAATTAGAATGCATTTAAGAATCAATAAATTTGTGGAAAAGAAGGCTTCTATAGAGCGGATATTTGAATTACGAAATTTAGAGGTAATTGAGCATGAACATTAGCATTATGCACATAAACATGAAGAGAGAAAAGAAATGAGTAATTAGCTATAAAAAGTAATTACAAGCGAAAAAAATCACCTCCGTCAGGAGAAACTAAAATAACAAAAAGCGGTTTATTTTATATATGTTTGAATAGCCCCTCTTAAAAACCATGCAAATGCGCCAACACCATTTTCGCTCACTGTTATTTTTTTTGTTCAAAGCAGGATTTCCAGTCAGTTACTGTAAAACACAAGCAGCGGATAGCAAGCAAAAATGTTAATTTTGTCAAAGAATCACAAATATATTTAGTTTTATGAATATATATTTACACTTCTGTAGAGCTTTTCGGTTTATTTTTGCCTCTTCGTTGTGCAATGGCCGATTCGCCAACATTACCAATCATAGGTTTTGGCGAGGCGGCATTTAAAGCTTTAAATGTAGCATCAGCTGCTCTCTGCAAGTTATAATTAGAGAAAAAAAAAATGTTTTAGAAAAATCAAGTATTTTCGTTTTTATCCAATATTTATTTGTCTTACTTTCAAGGCGAGAGCATCTTTAGGCATTGCTAATTTTAAATTGGGCAATCTACGTCTATCGGCAATCCACGGGTGTTGTAAGATAGCAGGCAAAGAAATTCGTTGCTGTGGATCAATATGGAGCATACTAGATACGAGATTCTTTGCAGATTCAGATACTGAATCTAAATTTCCTCCATTTAACGCGAATTTTCCGTCTCCTATTCTTTTCAAAATTTCTGCCGGTGAATCCTCTGGTCCATTTGCAAAAGGTGTCTGCCCTGCGAGCATGGTGTATAAAAGAACACCTAGTGACCACACGTCGCATGCCGCATCGTATCCTTGACGTTTCAGTACTTCTGGAGCTACAAATTGTGCTGTGTAACAAGGTGTCATTAACATACCGTTATCCGCTCTAAGTTGCTTGGCGAACCCAAAATCGCAAATTCTTAGTTTTTCAGGATCCCCGCTGTCGTCCGCGTATAAAATATTGGACGGTTTCAGATCCCTATGAACGACACCGTTAGAGTGTAAATAATTTACTGTTGATGCAATAGTCTGCAAAACGGCTGATGCCTCTCTTTCAGAGAAAAATTTTTGCCTATAGATTTTATCGAGCAGTTCTCCACCTTTAAGCAGCTCTGTCACTATGTAAATTTGTGGTCCATTTTCATAGACAGCATGCAGTTTGACAATATTCGGGTGGTCCGAATAACGAGTGAGAATCTCAACTTCATCCTGCGGCTCCCTCTTAGATTTATCAATTATTTTAACTGCAAACTCTTGACAAGTCTGCTTTTGTATGCATCGTCGACATATTGAATAAGAACCATGACCGATTTCCTCGGCCAACTCATAATCTTCTATAAATGATTTAGATTTGACACCACTCATATTAGAGATGGAATGTTTATCATGTTTGGCCCTGTCACCAAGTAGATTGGGAGCAACAAAACTGAAACCTCGAAACAAGTCATGGGCAGTAGCGCTTGGAGGTAATCCTGGAGAGTCCCTAGGTGTTCTATTGGTAAACTCAGAGTCAAAATAAAAAGCATCGTCGTCTCTAGCTGTGGCAGGTTTAAAAGGAGGTCGTATCTTCCTAGCAAGAAGCATCTCCCATTCGATGGGTGCGAAAAAAGAGTGTCGTTGTAGATCTTCGATTCCGTTCTTTTCATCGGCACCAAGGCGATTCGCTGGATTTCTCTTGAAAAGTGCCCTCAATAAACTCTGAGCTTCAAGACTAAGGAATTGGGGCATTCCCAGTTTAGCCTTCAGTATCATAGTCATTGTCTCTTTACGAGTACCGCCTTGGAATGGTAATTGGCCTGTTAGCATTTCAAACATAAGTACACCATATGACCACCAATCCGCTGCCGTTCCATGTCCCTTTCGATTCACAACTTCAGGAGCCATGTATTCCACTGTTCCGCAAAAAGAATACGTCTTGTTTTCTTCGAAAATAGATTCTTTAGACAAGCCAAAATCAGTAAGTTTAACATGACCCTCAGTGTCTAAGAGAATGCTAAAAATAAAGACAAATTGATTAATATTAACTAACGGCCTAGATATTTTTCATTCATAAATCCTATTGAATAAATATTACACATGAACAGTTTTTTCCACGTAAAGAAATAATGACTTTTCCAATTATTTATACTCTCTTACGATCATATGTGTAAATATATCAATTACATAGTATCCATAAAAATCAGTTTCAGAACTGATATTAAATTAGAAGAAGATAGATTATATTATATATTTCTTACTTTTCTGGCTTCAAATCCCGATAGATAATACCAAGAGAATGTAAATGATTTAGCGCCAGCGCTAATTCGGCTAAATAAAACTTTACGTCCTCTTCTGTAAACATCACTTCGGTTGATAGCCTCGTAAACAAGTCTCCGCCCCTCAAAAACTCCAAGATGAGATATAGTTTACCTTCGGTTTGGAACGCTGATTAAAGAAAAAAATGTATATAGAAAGAGATAATAAAGCCAGTATATTGATGTAATCATGCTTTAAAAATCAATAGGATTAATAATAAAAACAACATCAAAAATATTTCTGTAAGACAAGAAACGAAGACATCCTCACATTACTTTAAACATAACATAACATGAAAATATTTAGTTATAACATTACCATAATGTAATTGAACGATAAATGGATGATTGACGTCCGCTAAAATATCTCGTTCCATTTTTGTCCTCTGTCTGTCTCTAACCTTTAAGGTAGCTTTTCTAAGAACTTTCATAGCATAAAGAACGCCTGCATCCGGTCCTTTTATCTTCTTTACGAGAAAAACCTTGCCAAAAGAACCCTGCCCAAGAACTTTCAGCAGCTCGAAATCCGAGGCTTGCGCCTTATGATCGCCCTTTGCTCTCGACGTAATATCATACTCCCTCTCTTGTATTTCGCCTTCATGAGCCTAAATAGAAAATTCAAAAATAATTTGAAATTTACTCCACATGAAACAATTGTAAATGGTTAATCTTGAATTAGACTCTTTCTTACATCACAAGAACAATTAAGATCTTTAGTTAGTAAAAAACACTTGAGATTCCTAATAAAAATTGAGATGCCAACGAAACAACAACAATAATCCATTCAGAACAGACATCTGAATGTGGCTGTTCAACAATATTTTCTAATCAATAAAATGGTTAAAATTTAGCACATGTTACTCTAACTTCATTAAGAATCTAAATTTTTCATTCATATGAAAACGAATCAATTGTATTAGATGTTGTGTTCAAATAGATTACAGTTGGTTGTGTACTATTGTCGAAATAAATACATATATACATGTATTTATATCTGTGAATACAATACATACGTAATATAAATATAAATATACATGATATAAAAGCTTTAAATATAACCTAAGTACAAGCCCATTTCAGTGATAAAAACAGCTGGATATTTATGTGAGTTGTTAATCGATACAAACCAAATATTTCAAAGCTAAAATGAAATTTTATTTCAATAAGAAAAGCCCAGAAATTATAAATATAACTGCTTCCTTACTGTGTCTCCATTTTAAGACACAAAGAGAATATATTCGAAAGAAAATAGCTTTATTTTTACATTACTTAAACTAAATCTTAATTAACCAAATATATTTGCTAAAGAATTTTCTATGGCGATATTTCTATACACTTAAAAAAACAGAGTACACTGAAATATATTTTTTTTGTTAAGTATGCATACCTTGGACTCTCCGCTGCTGTACGAAGACAGTCCATTTCCCATCTATAGCTAAATAGATTATGAATAGTCTTACTATTTTAATGCGACAGATGTTGCTGTCAAAAAACTTCCCAGGTCAAAATCAGTAAAGTGAAAGTATGGCGATTTATCAGATTGCTATCAATTTCTTTTTAACAAAATATAACGCTAAAAAATTTAATTTATTCCGTGTCTATAAGTTAACTAATTTTTTTCCTTTTTTACCATAATTATATTTTCTGCACTATATAACACAGGATAAACAGCTGAAAAGCCCGTAGGCCTAGCTTAAAAAAACTGGTATGGAATTCCACCAAAATATTTCTATATTGACACATCTTTACCTACTAAAGTCAATTCCTAACAAATGTTTGAACTCATCTATACTGCGTCAGTTGCATACTCTCGCCAAAAGATGGAAAACTGCTCTGTTTCCTGTTTGTCTAGACGTTCTATATAAATATTTGTATAAATAGGGAAGAAACAGGAAAGCAAATTTAGGCCAAATTATCTGAAAGAAAATTACTTCTTTTGTCTATTCTATAATAAAGTATTTGATAGCGTGATCAAGTAGCAAAATGAAATTTTTATATACTTTAGAAGTATAGTTCAATGTAAACAGAAAAACGGACCGACTTCCTTTTCAACATGAAGTATTGAACCTTTCATCTGATAGAGGTTTTCTTTTGAAAATATACGCCGACTGGTACAAAAATAAATAGGGTGGAGGGAAAATTTTTATAAAAAAAACGTGCCGTATGCGTGATTTACGCATGATGTAATCAGTAATATATTTTCTAGGTGATATTAAAAAAGCTAGCTTTTCTTTTGTACTTCCAAAGATTTATAATTAATGACAATTACTATTACTACATGTTTTATATATAGAGAGATAAATATATCTATATATATATACAGTATATATATATATATATATATATATATATGTATTAAAATATATCTACGTCATATTGGTTTATTATAACTGCAGTAATGCTCCTAATGACAGTTTGATAATCAGCCTTGCCATTCCTAATTCATAAAACAAATTTTATTGACGGGAAATACGTATTGCTGTATTCACAATCAAGAAACATTCCCTGGTGGACATATAACACCAAAAATGGACTATCGATCGCTATTGTATAATCTAGGCATCTTTAAACAAAGCTTCTGCTCTTTGTAAAATAAACGAAATGAAACACGTTTCTACACGAAATGAGTTGTTTTTTAAAAAAATAATTTAATTAACAAGAGCGTTTATAGAATTTAAGTGCGAAACCAGTTAAAGGGTGTGTGCAGCTTCTAATATTATCACTCTTATCTACTTAATTACACCTTGTAGCATATTAGCTAGCAATTTTTGAGTGGTCATTGATTTATATGTCTATAAACTTGAGGTTTTGTATGTGAAATTCTGTAAATTGTAAACCTCCAATGGTATATCTACTTTATAATCAATACAACGTTAATAAATCAGAAAATGTCCTGTGCGTAAAACAAGGAAACTATTCATACCTCATCTACTGACATTGCATCATCTGCGCTAGATTTTTTCTCTTCGTCCCTTGTTAGCTGTTAAAAGGAAAATTTAGATTACGAATTTAAAGGAAAAAACGAAAATTTTCATTTAAAAATAAACAAATGTATATACCCCATTAGACGACTTCAAGGCATGTTCCGTCCAAGGATCAGCCAGAGGAGCGAGAGGCATTTTATTGCATGTGACTTCAAAATTACGTAAAATGTTGGCTTTTTTGAGAGTAATTGGCGACAATCGGATCTCGATTAGCAAATGTTTAAAGACTCGTCTAATATGGTGGACATGACCTAAAAAAAATCTAGTTTTTGTTTAAAAATATAGAGAAAATTAAATAACATTTTTTTCAAGTTTTAGTAATTTTTTCTACAGTTTACGATAATAACTTTAGTGAGTCATTTTTGACAAAATGGCGGCGACCAAGGGTGGGGATAATTCTACAACTCAATTTTCCACAAAATCTAAAACGAATGGTCACGTACATGCTGAAAAGACTCAAAAGACTGTAAATGGAACTCATGCAAGACAGGTAAGATTAAAACCGACGAGACAGAAATTGTATTTATAACAGTATTACGTTATTAATGTTGAAATACCATTGTTTATTAGTTACCAAAACATAGCTGAAAATATTTACGCTTTAGAAGTGTCGCCAAATTTTAAGTTTTTCAATTTAAAAATCTGTTTTTGATTAATTATATTGTTAAATCGGACTTTTAAATATCTTCTTTTCTTTATGAAAATAGTTGATTGTAATCAGATGACCTGAAGTGTTACTTTTTATTACTCATCAGGCAGAAAATGGCACTAATCAAAATAAAGCTATACTTGAAACGTTCCATGAAAGCTTTGAAGAAACCCCGTTGCCAGTTGCAGTCCTAACATATTTGGGATATGGCGTACTCATAATATTTGGTCATATGAGAGACCTGTTGAGAAGACTTGGACTTGAGAAAATTCCCTTCGCCGAGCCTATAATCCCAGGATGGGTACCACTGTACAATAGCTTTGAAGCATTCTACACAAGAAACCTATACAGAAGAATAAGAGATTGTTGGAACAGACCCATCGCATCAGTACCCGCCGCCTATGTCGATCTTATCGATAGAGAAACATCTGACCAGGGATGGACCTTCACACTCACTGGAAAGAAAACCAAGTGCATGAATATGGGGTCCTACAATTACCTTGGTTTTGCTGAAAACTCTGGACCCTGTGCACAAGAATCAAAAAATGCAATTGAAAAGTATGGGTGTAGTATTGCAGCATCGAGAAGGGAGCTAGGAAATTCAGAAATTCACAGAGAATTAGAACAATTAGTTGCCGAGTTTGTTGGACAAGAATCAGCTATGGTATTTGCCATGGGGTTTGCTACAAATGCCTTAAACATACCCGCTTTAGTAGGAAAAGGATCTTTAATTTTGAGTGATCAACTAAATCACTCCTCTTTAGTCGTCGGGGCGAAGATTTCTGGAGCCACAATTATGACTTTTAAACACAACAACACTAAAGATCTAGAAAGAAAATTAAAAGATGCTGTCGTCTACGGTCAGCCTAAGACTCATCGGCCTTGGAAAAAAATACTGATATTATTCGAAGGCATATATTCAATGGAAGGATCTATTGTTAATTTACCAGAACTCATCAGACTAAAAAAGAAATATAAAGCATATCTATATTTGGATGAAGCTCACAGTATTGGCGCTTTGGGACCGAATGGAAAAGGGGTTGTAGACTATTGGAATTGTAACGCAAAAGATGTGGACGTTATGATGGGTACATTCACAAAAAGTTTTGGAGCAATGGGAGGATATATCGCAGGTATTTATGAGTATAACTTTTATAATATTAGAAAATCTTAAAGCGTAATAACTCATATCTAGGATAAAACTACCCCTTTTCATTGAAAGGCAATAAAATGCAATTCATTGACTATTCTTCTATATTTTCATACGGCTGCATAATTTCTATATATCATATTTTTATTTTACGCCAGCTGTTTATATTTAACATTTTGAAGTGAATATTTAAAAGTCTTATAGCCATTTTTTCGCTAAAATTATATAACAAACACCTAAAATCAATTAAATAATAGTCAGTTAAAATTTATTTACCTATTCAAATTGGTGACTAACTAATGTACATTAATAATTATTTAATAATGAAATACGGACAAAAAATTATTCTGATTAGATAGATACTAATATAACGATATTATTGTCATCAAAAGCAATATGAATTGATGTTAAAATGGAACAATGGAAACACGAATAACGTTAGATATATATATAAAAAAAAACAGCTTGATAAGAAGCTTGACTTAAGGTATTCAATAAGGTTATAAAAAATAGAACATTTTCAATATTTGTACAACACAATATGCCTTATATTGATTTTTTTTCCATAATTACTGTTTATTATTGAAACAGTACTAATTCATTGTTCATAGTGAATATTCATTAATTCTTTTTAAAAAGTACTAGCATTACTATCATTTGTAAACGTTAATAAAACGGAAGTTTATGTTTAATAGGAATTCATATCGATTGAAAACAAAACATTTTTTAAGAAATGACTATTCATTGTCATTATTACTATTATTCAGCTATGTTTAGAACATTTGTTTTTGATTGATTTTTTCACATTTATCAATTATTTCCATGTATGAAATAGCTAGAAAATTCTCTTATTCTTTCCGGTACTCTAACAACTTTTTTTTTATTTTTAGGTAATAAGCAAATCATTAATCATCTGAAGCGTAATTCGCATGCCGCTACATATGCTACGTCTATGCCACCTCCCATCGCTCAACAAGTACTAACTTCTATGCGCATTATAATGGGTTTGGATGGAACCAAAGAAGGTGCAAGAAGATTGGCTCAAATTGCTTATAATACCAGATATCTGAGAAGGCGACTAGCTGAACTCGGATTAATTGTCTATGGAAATTCAGATTCTCCTGTCGTACCTATATTACTCTATTGCCCATCAAAAATTGCCGCATTTTCGAGAGAATGTTTATCAAGAGGGCTTGCTGTTGTTGTTGTTGGTTTTCCAGCCACTCCAATTATTGAATCCAGAGCCAGAATTTGTCTATCAGCCGCTCACACTAGAGAAATGCTCGATGAAGCCCTCAGAATTTTCGATGAAGTTAGCGACGTACTCTCCCTGAAGTACTCCAGAAATAAGACGACGCCGCTAAGTGAAAATGATAAAGATTTTCTAAGCAGGTAATATATAGTTTGTCAAAACTATAAAATTAAAAATATTATGATATATTTCCTTCATGAGATGATAATAATTTCCTTTTTCCAGATATCCTCAATTGGAAGAATATATAAAATAGAACTGCAAATATAGTTGTAATATTGATATATTGATTTTTACTGTTAATTTTTATCTTTGCACTTTCGAAAAGACATGGAAATTTGTTGCAATTTCATTTCAGCCTTTATTTTTCAAAAAAGATACAATGCTTAAAAAAACTGTAATATTTAATTTTTATTTGCGAGTAAAGACTTTAGGGGAGGAAAAAAAAAATAACAAAAGGAAATGTAAAAGTTTTAAATTATTACTTTAAAATAATATTATTATTATTAAACAACTATATTACAAAAGAATTTTACATATAGCGCTATTACATACGGGGCTGTTCTATCTCTCCTAAATAGAGGGTTTTATCACTTGATCCGCTCACGATGATCGGCTCTGTTGGATGAAAGTGAGTGTCATTGACGCTTCCTGTATGTCCGGGCAGTTTGTAAAGAAGTTTCCTAGAGTTTACGTCCCAAATATGCAGAAAGCGATCACCCGATCCAGCGCTAACTTTATGCCCATCATATGACCAACAGCAACGCAATAAATTTTTTTCGTAAGTATGTTGATGGCCAGTGAAAACTTTAATACACCTGTCGGTTGGAGCATATGGTCTAATGTCCCATACTTTAATTGTTTGATCCATAGAATTGGATAAAAGATAAGAACCATCCGGACTGACGCAGAGACCAGTCACTGAGTCAACATGACCGCTCAAACGTTGCTGCAGAGCAGTCTGAGGGTTGCTAGAAGCTTTACGTAAATCCCAAACCTTGATATCATTATCTATTCCTCCTGAATAAACAAGTTCAGAGGTATCAGAGAAAGCGACTGACAATACTTGATATCCAGATTGTAAAGTGTGAACTGCAGCTTTTCTTCTAACGTCCCAAACTTTAACAGTTCCATCATCAGAACCCGAAACAATAATTTGAGGTCCTCTCCTAGCCGGGCAAACCGAATTAACATATGTCGTATGACCTTTCAATTTCTTTATTCGTGTACAAGTTTCTATATCCCAAGTACAAACCATCTTATCTGTCGAGCAAGTATGCAAATATTCGCCATCGGGAGAAAATTGTAAATCTATAATGGGTCCAGTGTGGCCCCGAATCACAGCCAGGTTATCACAATCCCCGTAGACTTCCCACAGATAGATAGCCCGATCGTATCCAGCAGAAGCAATAATATCACCATCAGGTGATATTTTAGAACAAAAAACTTCTCCAGTATGGCCAGTTAAGAGCATAATAGGCGATTGGAGGTTGGAGGTTCTAGCCGGTGCTTTAGGTTTCTACGAAAAAAAAGAATTTAGCGAAATCAAAGAAACTGTACGTATTATTTTACTCACGCCTTCGATAAGAGCCTTCCGATCATTTCCAGAAACAACTAAGTCAGTTCTAGTTTTCTTAACAGCGATTAATGCGCTGGAATCGTCGGCTTTCCTTTTCAAATCCATTGTCCTGATCAAGCGTCCAAAAATCGCCAATGTCACGTGTTATGCCGGTAGCGACATCTACACATGAAGTTGAAGACTACCAATAGAGCAATCAGCCTATTCAACGTCCCAGTTTTATGATAGCATAATATCTTGTAATCGAAAAGTAAACATGTAAGATCTCAAGGTCAATGACATTCTATATTATTATTATTTGGTAACCGGCTTGTTGCGTTTTTATTTAAAGAATGCATATATCACACAAACTGGCCGAAAATTATTATCCCTTAAGAACTACAATCGATGAAAAAAAAAAGAACAGAATCGTATTGCGGACTAGAAGAGAGACGTATATTCTTTAGACGAACTGTGGCGGGTATGTCCGATCCTTACTTTTATCATACTCGTCGATTTGCCATTCCATATTGTGGACGATAAATTTAACAAATAATTGATAGATCGTATTCTTCGCTTTAATCTGAACGGCCATGGCAACAAAAAAAGAGACGAAGAAGAGTACCCCGCAAGTTAATGTTATAATCTCCTCGCGAGTCAATTTCGATTTATCCTGCCGTCGTTTTGGTGGAACTCTTTCCCTATCAGCCAGGAAACACAAGATCGTTGCAACTGCACAGCCAATCATAATGAGAAGGTTTATAACGAAGACGGTGTGAAGAATCTTATCCCGACGAGAGACGGGTGGCATCCGGCAGGATTTTACCTTAAATTTTTTATGCCTGTGGAACACAAACCGACAGAGTTCACATTTTGCACTGCCCCTTGAGCCTTTCTTTTGTTCCAACCATCTTGTCAGGCAAGATCTGTGAATGTATCCCATTGAGCCGGAACATCGGCAAGGCGATATAAGTACATCATTTGGTTCATCGCCTGAAAAACATATACGGCAATAGGCGATCGATTGAACAGAAACTTTATCTTCGTCGTATATTGGTGGGGGATGCCCGATAACTGGTATAGGCTCTACAAGAGGATTTTTACACTCTTCTTCTTGAACGTTCGCCATCATTAGCCTGTACGTAGTGAAATATCTTATCTCATGAACGAACCTTAGAAGTCGGTTACCGGTCAATTTAAACAGTCTACACAAAAAATATTAAGAACGATCCTCTCTTGTTGCAATTGTAGTTATCTTGTTTACAGTCTGTAGTTAAACAGTTTTAACCATATCTACCCTTATCAACTATAGAGACAAAATACATAGAAAAAATATTTTCTTACCGGTTATAAACCGGTTACACCGATTTTTTTCGCTTGCAGCTCTTTATCTAATCAGTCACCTATATTTCGATTGTCAGTGATGATTAAACTGCGATCTCTTCACAAAACTTGAGCCGAACAGTTCTTCTTCAATTTCCTGGCATTTATTAAAATCTTGCGGCGTCGACTTGACGTGTATTGCCGTCCTTATTCGTCTACGTCGCCTCGCAACGCCCTCAGCGAAAATTGCTACCAGACGGCGCTGTTATATATCAGCTGATCGAATAAGCTTGGAATATTTATCGATTTTTGTTAATAAACTTGCATTTATGTGCATATTTTACAACAATTTCGACTAATTATTTAATTAATAAAAATGAATCGCAATCTCATCGAAACAAATAATTCTAATTCTGTTAGAAAAGTGTTAAAGATGATTGTAAAAAGGTAGTTTTCAAAAAGACTACAAATATAGTGATATTTATTTCTTTTCAAATTTTATTAAAGCAATAGGTGTAGCATATTTAAAGTCGAAAACAGCAAAGTATTTCGTTTTTCCAACTGATTGGTTCGGCTGTAAAAATATTACGTAAATTGATTTATAACTGCGTATTCATTAATCTATTTAAAGATCACCTCATTGTAAATTTCCTTGTAACAATTATCTGATATTCTAGCAAATATCACTTGGGACGAATTCTGAAAGATAATGTATTTTTGTGCTAATACTAAGTGTTATAAATTCCCTAATTAAAGAAGGAAAAAATATATAGGCTTACATGGTTTGATGATTTAATGGCTACCGATGGGTATTTCGTAAAGAGTAGAGCTTTGCCATCCTGAGATTCTGTATAATCTATTTGATACAAAGAAAATGAGTAACATTTTTGAATATTGTGTAATGTGCTTAAATAAGAATCATTATTTGTTGTTTGGGCTTAATCATTAATACTTATAAGTCTGTAGAAATTGATGTTATGTGCAAAGGAACATTATTAAATTACTTTAAGAATTCATTTTACTTTTTACCTGAATGCTCCTTGACGTTTAATATTATTAATGAATACTGTATTAATATTATATTTCACCTTCTTCAATGAAACCGTCTGACAGGATTCTACTAGAATTTTTCGTAGATCCGACCAAATAAGCTTCTATACCCTTATCACTATTATCTTTTATCTGTGCCTGAAATGAAAATATTATGCATAAAAAATTAACTGACAACATCAGATCAAGGTTCACTTATACATATTTCATGTCACATGACTTTTAATTATGTCAGCTTTACTGATCTCATTTTGTTAAAGAGAAGTAAACAACATTTTAAGATGAAATATAACCAGATAGTAAAAAAATTTCTGTGTGTTAAAACAGCCTATGTGACTTAGTCACGTGTGTTTTATAAACTTACTGCATATTTTTATAGGCTTACCTTAGAAATGGATTGTACTTGGTAATCTTCTAAAGAAAATTCAGGATCAGCTTCTAAACTTTTTCTAAATTTCAAGCTGATAGCGTAAAATTCCTCAGAATCTTTTCCATGACAGTACATCTCTTCGTCGTCATCCAAATTCCATTTTACCTCGTATTTCTCCAGAGCTTTTATTAAATTCCTTGTATCTTCATCATCAAAATCCGAATCTGATCGATCCGCTTTGATTCGATACTGCAAATATTCACGTTCTGGAAAGACATTATGAATAATTTTATAAAGAAGCTTTATCAGTTTATAACAAAGATAGTTAGTCACTGTCCTATATAGAAGCACTAGATATACTTTGGCCTACGTTATATTTACAACTGCTATAAACAGAAGGTCGATTGAGGATGTCCTTAAAATTAGTGTTTATCTTATGTAAGTATGAGAAAAATGTTTTTACATAGGCTTACCAATATCTAGTTTTTGCTTTAACAATAAATCGCATTTGGTCTGTAATTGATTTATTATGGTTTGCTGAGATGTAGTTATTGCTTTTAAGTGAATAATTTCTCTTTGCATTCTTTTATACAAAACACTTTGCTCTTGAAAATGTTCAACAGCCTTAGATCGCCATTTATTTATTTGCCTGTCCATATCAGCTAAATCCATGCCTGGTTCGGACCGATTATCATCTAAAAATAATGGAGTCCTAGAGGTATAGTACTTAATTGCTTAGAAATAAGTAATTACCGGTAAACGATGGTAAATAGCTCATTAATGTACAGTTTGTAAATTGCTCCATCAAATCTCTGAATAATTAAAAGTGTTCAAAGTTAAAATATTCTCTTTTTTTTTTTACTTTATTTTAATAAAACTCACTTAAATCGACTATTTAAAATGACGTCATCTGTAAAGCCATAACGTAAGAAAAAACCTGTTGCATCATTATCGGCGTGTACTACAATCGCATCATACTTTCCGCAAATAGTATTGTCTTTAATTAACTGTTGGTTTAGTTAAATAATCAACCCTATTTAAAAAAAACTATTATGAATACGGCATTTTAATATTTCATACATTCAATAGATATTTCCCAATACCAAATTTCTTGCGATATTTCAATCTGGTGGCTAGATATTTGAGATGATGTACAGTTTCTTGACCCTTATTGCTATTGGAACAGAAGAATACAGTTATCCTTGAAACATTATGAGACAGACGAGTGCTTACATGTATGTTTTATTGAAGGTTAGCGCGGCGGCAATTCGAGTTTCTATACCAAAGTTTTCATTTCCCTTTGTCTGCATTTCTGCCCTTCTATTCTGTCTTCTGTGTACGACATCTCTTATAAATTTATTACATCCTTCAGAGAAATCTTCTTCGTCTTCTTCATCTTCTTCTGTCTCTTCTTCTTCTTCTTCGCTTTCTTTATCGGAAAAAACTTCTTTGAAAAAGTTTGGAGGAGATTCATAAACGGGGCAGGTGTCTTTATCATCGCTTGGCTTTAGGTTAGATAAATCAGGTTTTGGTTCTTCTTCTGCAGTAATCTGTTTAGGGTAGCTTTGGACGACTTCTGCAAAGTATATAGTTTTTAATAGCAGAAAAAGTTATTTATTACGGTGAAAAGTGTTATGTATTACCATTTTCGTCTTGAATTAAGACGATGGTTTTAGCGTGATCTGATAGATGATCATAAATCGTGTCGGGTGACATTTCTGGAAGACTGACGCTATATAGTGCGGCAACGGAATGTAGCAGATCATTTGACAAAACCCCTTGAGTAACATAGCTTTCTTTATGCAACTTTGCATCTAATTTGGACAGTTTAAAATTGATGAGGTAGGGGGTTAAAGTTATTTTTTGTCCATCCTTGGATTCGAAAATTATAGGAGACGAGAGGCTTTTCGAACAGTATTTTTCGTCTGCCATGATGTAAACAAACTAGAACCGCGGTAAATTAAAAGCTTACTGTGATTGATTTCTTCCCGATAAAACGATATATCATATCGATTATGACTATGCATTTCGAACTAAATCGTATCGACTGTCTCACATCGTCTGAATCGCCCTGTTTCCAAGGAAAGATATTTCCGGTGACGTCATAAAATAGCATGAGAGATTATGAATGATATCACCGATTAAAGTTTAGTTTACTCTCTAAATTACACTTGTAATATATCTCGAATAAAATAATATACGAGTAAGTTATTAAAACATTGACTCTTTGATCAAAAACAATTTTAAAATGATTTATTTTTGTTTGAATAAATTTAGTATGTTTAATTATAATTTGACAAATCTAATAAAAGTGTGACCCCGCTGTTGTGTAATTAACTTGTCAATTGAAGAAAAAAACCTGTAAAGGTTAATTGATTTATTTTCTTGACAGTTTCGATTATTACAATCTGTACAACTAAACTCTTAAAGAAGAAATAGAAGAATGATTTTATCAACAAAACACTAGAGTGTTCTAATATTTACTCTATTGTTAGTCTTTCAAACTAAATAACATTCGATAAATTTTAACTGTCTCTTTTTTTCATGAAGATGGCCAATGTTCAATTAAAACCTCTTAGAAGTTCAAAGACCCGTACGAACTACGTTTCACCTATAAACCCAGAAACGAGACCAAGAATAAAATCCGCCACGAAAAATATTAAAAAAGGGCCCATTAATAAAATTGGCAAGGATAAACAACAAAAAAAACAACAAGAACCTATTTTAGCAACAGATAACAATACAGAAGATGATATAAAATTTATAAATCTAGATACTACTCAAAATACTGAATGCGAAGAAAGAACTGAAACAACGAATGAAATTAACGTGACCGAGATAGTAAGTACTTAATTCAGTTGTATACACATTTGCATACAATTTCTTTAATTAGTTAATTAGTTAATGAAAATGTAATTTAAAAAAAATAGCTGAAGGATGCTCAAGAGAAGAACACTGAAAAAGTATTTGAAATAGAACTTCGATCCAGGAGTATTAAATATATAAGAAATTTAGATGCTGTAAGTAAATAATTCAATAGTACCCGTAGATTCTATATATATATATATATATATATATATATACAGTTTATACATATAGTATATATACAGTCCATAGTTATTTGTTAGTAGTCTGTGCTTATGTTATTTTTATATAACGTATTTATATATTTACAAATGAAAAAAATATTAAATTAGGTTAACTATAATACAAGTATAAACTATCGAATTGCGTTGCAAACATACTGCAGTTTTTGCATAAGTTTGGTCTTGTTTATGGACATAGTCCTCTTTCTTTCTTCTTTTTTTTTACAACAGTTTGTCAAAGTTCGTCTAATAGATTTGAGTAATAATAGAATTGAAAATATAGAAAATTTGGACAAGAATACGGTAAGTAAATTGTCAATGTTAAACAAAACTGTCTATTTGATGAATAAATGACGAGCATATTTATCTATTTAACGAATATACAGGAACTTCGAGAGCTAAAACTCTATGGGAACAATATAAGATGTATTGACAACCTGGAAAACTTCCGTTTATTAGAATGTTTACAATTGCAATATAATAAACTTTCTACTTTGGGTATTAATATTACTATTTCCTATATAGATATATAATTTTACTTATAAGTTATACAACTCTATATGACATAAAGAGATAGGAGACTAATTTTTCTATTTATACCAAATGTTCTAACTTGATACACTTTGTTTCCTATTCCTTTGATAGGCAATGGTCTTCAAGCTTTAAAACGTTTAAAAACACTACGATTAGACAATAACTATATATATAAATTGGAAACGCGAGAATTGTCCAGTTGTTCCCTTATAACTTATCTGGATTTAAGTCATAATAAGTTAGAAAATATAACGGTACTTTATTTCTTTTATATCATTCTTAATAAGGCTATTTGTTTTGTTACAACCTTCCTATATTTTATTGCAGGCAGTATGTTATTTACCTAATTTGGAAGACTTAAGAGTTACTCACAACAACTTAAAAAATATTCCAGAATTATGTAGATGCTCAAAGGTTATTATTGTTATTATTATTTTTAGTATTATTCTCATTTTCGCTTATTCAGTTACAAGAAGTTGATTTATCAGACAATAAGATTTCTGATCTATCGAGGTTGAAAGGATCTTCTAAACTTCAAGTAATAATATTTCTAATAAGAAATTTTCTTTAAATGCTAAAATTTCTCTTTCTTCTCCGTCTTCTCTGTACAGATTCTACGAGTAAACAACAATTGCTTAACAAGCCTATCATCTCTGGGGAAACTAAAGTACTTCTTGAAAGCTGATTATTATATTATATTGACTTATATATGTCTGTTTATAGGGATCTGCAAGAATTCTATTTGTCGAATAATCGATTAAGAGAAACAAAAGATCTTCTAGTCAACTATAGTAATACTTTAGAAATTCTGGATGTCAGTTATAATTACATAGAAAATTTCCAAGAATTGGTAAAAAAATAAGCTATTCTTACCAAAATATTTTAAACAGCCTTAGGCCTACGTATAAGTGTAGACTATCAACAGGTCCCCTTTCTTAACAAGATCTATTTTTACTTCTTTACAGAGGAATTTAAAGAAATTAGCTTCTTTAGTTGAATTGAATGTTCAATGCAACCCGTGTACAAAGGAAAACAATTATATAACATCTCTCCAAAATGAAATAGAGACATTACATATATTGGATGGGGTAGTTATTTTTATTAATAGATATGTTTTAGAGTATGGATTAGATTAACACATTTTCTTTATTTTAGGTTCATTTTACAAAGACGAATAACACTGCTTCTATGCCCTATTTTAGACCGCTTTCGGCGGCAACAAGCGGTACCGTATTAAGTGCAAAGAATCCTAATAGAATAATAACAATTCTTGTTTTTATATCTTAGTAATTAGTTCGAAACAAATAGAATCCCAATTGAAGACTCTTGAAAGTGATATATCAGAATTTGAAAAATATCTATCAAATAAGTAAAGCAATTTTAATAATATCTTCTTCTATTATTCCATTTCTCTTTTCTCAGTATGACATCGTTCTGGGAAAAGATGAGCCAACTACCATCCTCACCGCAAGAAAACCAATCTCCGCCTCCAACTAGTCGATCAAGCCAGTAAGTTTTATATTTTTATTTATAAATATTTAAATAAAAAATTATAGTTCAATTAAACTCTTACAAAATACAGACGATCTAGACTGGCGGAAGCAAGGCAATTCGCTGCAGAACATTTTAAAGAGCGTTAGATTTTTTTTCTTTCTTGTTTTGAATATTTTTTAAGGAGAAGAGAATACAGTATTTCTTTTTTTTTTTTACAATGTACAATGCTAGTGTCCCAGAAAAAATGTAGTACAATATTTTGTGAGATAGGTCCGTTTTCTAAACAATCTAGTACTCTGAAATAAAATTCCTTGACCCCTTTCTCTATCCTTCTATCTATGTGACACATCAATCTAAAGTGATAAAAAGAAGGAGAGTATTTTCAAAGGACAACAAAAAAAGCGACAGAGGGAATTATTCATATCTCGCTCTATATAGTTGTTTACGTTTGTGAAATTACGAAAAGTAAATAAAAAGTGAATGATTTATTGATTGACTTGAAAAAAAATTTTGTGTAACAAAAAAAAATGAAGATTGAAATGTGATTATATCGTTTTTTCTAACAAAAGGACGGTATTTTTAACGTTGGACGGCAAATGTTGTAAAATATTACAAATATATAAGTCATTCACAGTTGTACGATAGCTTTAACGCCTTCGACCAGATGTTAGACTAGTCGTTGGTCGAAGGCTTTGATCAGCTTTTGAAAATCTTTCTGACTTTGCTGAATTAACAATTGTTCTGTCATTCATCAACTGAACATTTTGTCCGTGCTTCCCACTAGATGGCGACGATGTACTAAGCGTAACGATGTGCGGTCTTGGCATGATATCGCTGTTGGGCAATATTCCACTTTTAAAACTTCTTTCTAGCGTTCCAGTATAAACTACAAAGTCGTCGACATAAATCGCAAAATCCTTTACGCCCCTCGAAGGCGACTTTGAATAGTTCCATAAATGAATCTTGCTAAATGTAACTGGTTGGTCAAGGATGATAAACAGCTTATTAAGCTCTGAAGGCAGAATCGGGGCTAACCACGAATGGCTGTGATCATAAGTACCATCAATCAACTTTTCCGGAGTTCTGACATCATTTTGTACATTAGGCAACACGTTAACACTATGAGGATGAGCAGTTACATTATACTCTTTAAGTTCAACAGCTTTCCCACCCTCGTCAAATAGAGCTATTTTATCAAGGCCAACATAGTAAGCATCTCCCCAAGTTGAAAGTAGGTGCAATTTTACAATAAAACCACTAGGAAGTAATTCTCTACAATTCGATGTGAAAGCATTAGAAACTGGTTTGGGGGGAGCCTTCTTAAAAAGAACTTCCTGGACGAAATCAAAGCAAGTCTGTCCTGGACCTTTTCTTATTAAAACACCTCCTGGTGGTGAGATATCCCGACCGTCTAATTCTATTTTCATACATCTATCAAAATGATGAAAAAGCATTTGTAAATTGGCTTGGAGGGGGGCGAAAATTAATAGATTTTCACTTACTTGACTCCTCTATAAGTATCATCCAATGACTTATTATAGTTCCAAATTCTAATACCACATAATTCTCTCGATGAAGGTAAATTAATTGTGACGTAATGATTTTCTCCTGATGTAAAAGGAGCTAACCACATATATTGATCATCTGTAGTAACATTTATTCCGTTAACCAATTTATCAATGGTTCGTAAATCATCTTCATGACCAGGTAGCTCTCTAACGTCTTTTGGATCAGATTCCAACATCGAGCAATCAACAGGTATCACATCTCCATTATTATCAAACAGCTCTATTCCAGTTAATCCAATATAATACGGATCTCCCCAAGTATCTAGTAAATTAATTTTAATCTTCGATGCCCTATATACTTCTTCATGAGTACTTTCAGCCTTCTATTCATGTTTTAGAATAAACTAATTTATTTTATTATCAACTCAATAAAGTACATTACCTGATGGACTGATCTATTTGAGGCTCGAGTCAAGGGTCGCTCGTCATCTTCTGCAGTTCGTGGTCTTTGTTCATCGAATGATGCGTCTACAGTATCATCTTCCTCCTCAAAGGCTTCATCATGTAAGGCAACTTTCTCCAAGACATCGTCGTTTGTTGTGAAAAGAATAGTGTCGCCAAATTGATACGGAGCTCCTGATGTTCCACCGCAAGCTCTGGCAATCTCTCCTTTAAATATTAAATTTTTGTCAAACGATATGGAAACGTGACGAATTCCACGACTTGTGTGAATTCGACTTTTATTATAATTCCATATTCGAAAGAGAGCTAAACGGCAAGGATGTCTTAGAATTATCCGAACAAGGTGTCTAAAGAAACAAATTTCGAATTTTGTTTGTTTGTACTTCATTATTTATTATACAGACCTTTCTCCATCCTTGAAAGGAGCTAGCCACATGTGAGTGTCGTCCTTTGTTCTGTTGATTCCATCAACCAAGTTGGAAACTACTCTTGGATCATCACTATACTCTTCTAATACATTTATATCAGATGGTTCTGCTTCTATTTTGGCTATGGTTGGCATATCTCCGTTGTCGGTGAAAAGTTCTATACCAGTCATTCCAACATAATGTCTATCTCCCCATGTCGATAGAATATCAATAACAATCTCAGAACCATACGGTAATTCGGGTATTATGAAATCTTCTTCGTCATCAGATAGACCACTTGGTCCCTTATCTTCTGGTATATCAATGTTAAATTCGGGATCATCTTCTTCTTCTTTGACTGTGCTCGGTGCTCTTGCAGGTTGAATGCAGGTATCTAGAGAATCATCTGCAATTCAAATTGAATATAAATTAGCCAGGGATATTTAAAAAATTTTTCTACAATAGTATATAGAATACTTTGAATATCCATTGATATTCTCCCTTTTTGGGAGCGATCAAACCAATTTAGCGATGTGAGTGATCGTTCTAAATCTAAATCACGGCGTTTTTGGGCATGAGCTTGTGCGATTTGTGACATCTTTGAACTGGGTCTAGAAGATGCCTCTTGTGCTTTAGATAATCTTATTGCCTCATCTTCAGCACCTTTTGAATAAACAAAATAAGTTTTAGAAGATTATTCATAATAAGAACTAATGTGAACATACCTATATCAGGAGTCCTAGAACGTCTTCCAAAAGATGGTGGAGGAGTTAATCTACTGGCTTCTTCATCCAAAAGGGTAGGTAAATTAGCTCTTCCAGCAACCGGCCAGTTTTCCAAAATCTGTGTATCATGGTCGCTATTACAATAGGAAAAGATTGTGAAAGTTTTAAACAAACTTCGTCTTCCAATTGCATCTCTTTTTCAGTCAATGCATTTGCCATATCATTTTTCAGCCATAGAGGTACGCTTTCTTTATTTTTAGGTACAGCAGAGCTCTCTTCACTGAAATAAGAATTGTAATAAATCATAAATTTTGAATAAAAGTGCTCTGAAATCGATTTACATTGTTGAAGTGGTTGTTTGAGTAGGAATAGAAGTTTGAGGAGGAGATTGCTTCTTTTGAATGACCTCAATCAATTTTTCTGCCGACTTAGGCTTTTCCCTATAAAATTCACTTCAATTTTAGCAAAACTTTAACTGTTTTGAATTCATTTTTATACAATTTAATTCGAATATTATATTACATTGAAGAATTAAGCCATGCAGGTCGAGGTGTTTGAGCTGGAAGATTGCTATCGCTGAAAGCACGAAATCGAGAAAGTATAGAAAATGACAAATTATTGATTGAAGAGCTTTCTATCCGGGTGATCATGCACTGTAAAACTAAATTCAACAAAATTTCTAAGAACTAAAAAAACACAGCCAAGAGATTCTAAGCTATTTGCAAAAAATTTAATAGTTAAGCAAGATCACCCTAGCTGGACAAATACCAATAATGCAACTTTTACCTTGCTGATAATATAGAATCAATTTTTTCCTTCGGTTCTTCGATTTTTTTTTCATCCTCGTTTTTAACAATATCCATTTTGGAATCGTCATTATTCATTTTTGATTTTCGAGCTTTAATAAGAGCAGCAACACTCTTTTTCTTCTTCCCCCTGATTCTTGTTGATTCGTTATCAATTACAGGAATATCTTGCCTTGGAACTTTCTCCAAAACTCTTGTTTCACACCTAGGATGTTCATCATCCTCTGCCTCAAACATACTAACTCTATCAACAGTCGGTGTAGACGATGGGTTACTGAGGATAATTGTTTGACCATAGTCGAATACTTGATTGCCACATCCTTTTTCTATAATTCCTTGAAATAAAATTTGTTCATCATAGGACACTAAAATTTCTTTGACGCCTGTCGATATTTCGGCCAGCGATTTGTTATAATTCCATATTTTCATTTTGTCTGGTATTTCATTACATTCTATCTCAATTACAGGATATTTTTCTTCATCGTCACTCATCAAACAACTCCACATGTGCTTTTCTTTAACTGTTCTGAACCTTCCGTTGATTAGATTACTGATATTTCCATTTTCAGTTCTTGCCTTTAACACACTAATACTATCAATAGGGATTTTCTCATTTTCCTTTAACAATTCAATTTCGGTTAACCCAACTCTAAAATCTCCCCAATTCGATAAAATTTTTAATTTGATACATTTAGAAAAAGAATCAAAACTAGATTGCACAGCGGGAGTCTTGAACCCTGATTCAATCTCTTCTAAAGCTTGTAATAACTTCTTTTGTTTAAAGGGATCCATTTCTAAAACCCTTTCAATAATTGTATGATAGTCAGTCTCATTGCTCATTCTACGCTTTTCTTCTCTGTCCCCTAGCTTATGATCTCTGCTCTCGTCGTTTGATTTAGTGAGATTTTTTATTCGGGAACTTTCAAATTTTTTATTCTCTTCCTGCATAGCTCGAAAAACTGACGATGCATTGACTTTTGACTCCGAAGTACCTTCTAATGATTTTCCACCTTTTACTTTACCTAGTCTACTCTTTTGAACAGAGTGTTTAGGTTCTAACTCAGTTTTTTTTAGGGAGACTTTTTCTATAAAATATAAAGTTGACATTAAAAGCTCGATAAATATAAAACTAAATAGTAGAGTAGCTTACTGCTCTTAGGTTTATCAAATTCTAATACAAATATATCTTTTTCATTTTCTCTAGACTTTGACCTACTATCTTCGCGACATATTTCATCATTCTCTTCAGGAATTTCCTCAGGAATCTCATCAGAATCCGATTCAATATAATGTAGAGCTAAACTATCCCTTATACTCTTATTCATTTCCAGGCTTCTTCTAAGTTTCTATTTATAAAAAAGTGTTTATTGTTAAATAGTTAAATATTATTCATTGTAAATAATGAGTAGTAAATTTGCTTTTAAACAATTGGTTTCAATTGAATGGAATTTAATAGTAAATAGCATGATTAATGGAAGGGGGAGGCAGAAGGAACTAACTTGGTTATATCACGTTTATTTATATAAATATTTTTATATTTTTTCTATGTACCTCCTAAATTATACAATAATCAGCTGATTCGATCAATTTATATGTTTTGTTTAAATATAAATAATTGAAAACCTTAACGTCTTTAACACTCATTTTCAAGCTCATTTGATTCTCTTCGTCCTCTGAACAGGTATCAAAATCGTCTTCATATTGAGCTTCTATTAGTTTATGCAAACAATTAATATATTTAAATATTACGCTAATATTAAAACAGACCAGGTCCTTTAACATTGACTTTTTCTCCTCGTTGAGTTTGAATGTTGAAAGAAGCAGCATTCCATCTACGTCTCTTTGTTTTGTGAATTGTTGGCTTTGTTTTAATTTCTTTTGAGTCTATTGCATCTATAAAGTATAAATGAATAATTGAATAGGAACAGTACATTGTATTGAATACTATATAACTTTAATAAAGATCTAATAGGAGAGAGAATTATTGGATTATAATCATAAAGAGAAACTGGAATAGATAAATTATCATTGACTAAATCTGATCACCAATACTAGTTAGGTTGTAAATTATCTCTAATAGTTAACTTACGGGGATAACGAACATACGCTGTAGAGAATTTCAAATAACTTAAAGTTTACTTAGAAAATACTAATCATGTCTACCTGGATTAATAACGGTTCTTCTAGACGGCGATGATCGCCTCCTCTGTGCGTTTGCGCCATTTAGATAGAGAGTAAATCCTTGCTCTTTTCTCTCTAATTCTTTTTGATCTTCATCCTTTTCTCTAAGGGTCTTGAGAACTCTGAATGCAAATTTTACTACATCATCTTCTAACTTAAATAGTAGTATGTTTTATAACCTGTTCTTATCTTGCAATGCCAGCAAATATCCTTCATAGTTAGGATCAACATCTTGTCTCGCCTATAAAACAGAAAATACGAAATCAATTATCATTTATTCGAAATTTAAAACTTTTTTAAAGAATGATTGCTTTGCTATTATTTATATTTGGACTTATATTTATTGTTAACAGAAATAAAAAAGTTAATCGTATAATCTGCGATGACATAATTATAGATATAAACTACAACAATTCGTATTTCTCTAACAATCTTAATTTATCTATAATTTACCTCTAGATCATTTTCGCCTGTCGATGGTAGACTTATGTGCAAATCAGACTTATTCCAATTTTTTCTCTCTATAATACAACACATAAAGGGATTAAACGGCCAAAATTAAATACCATAGCTCACGTTTAGTTTTCTCCTCAGTTTTCGGCATTCCGCGAGTATGATAAGTTTATTTATTGCATTTTATCCAATTATCTAATAATTCCTGAGTGTTTAATATATCCTTAAAATGAGTCAATAATTAATTTGAAATAGAAGTTGTATTTACAAGTCGGAAAATATTGGAATGTTCAAGATTGCTGCTACGGCGTGATAAACACCAACTAAAGTTGTTTTCGTAAAAAAAAACATATGAGTATTTACCAATTCATTATCAAGCAGTAGTCAATAATTTAATTATTCATAATATCAAGCGACAAATTATAGATTTTACTTAAATTCACTTTTATCATATACGTTTTACAATTTGAATTTTATATATTAGCTAAACCTGTTTGGTCTGAATGAAAAAGTTTGGAATCAGGTTTTGAAATAGAGTAAATATTTTTACAACTGGAATATGATTTAATAAAGCTAATGTATTCATTTACAAAGTTGTAATGTTTATAAATCACTAAGTATAATGCCTTTATACTGAAAACACATATTTTTGGATTAAGAAATTGACTTTTTCTAATGTCAATGCACCTCTATACATTACCTTGTAAGATATTCAACACTTATTGGTAATATAAACTTCTACATTTTTGACATAATGCAAATCAATAGACCCTATCTGTTATATGATCTTTATCAAAAAGTCGAATTCACAGCATTTATTAATATATAACAAATTTTATCCCATTTTATACTGGTAAAATATACCATCTGCTAATTTGAAGCTTTAAAAATATTAATTATCCATCAATACTTCCATAAACAACTAATGATGGTATGTACAAAGAGAGTCAAAGATATAACCATCATTTAAATTTTGCCCAGAGCTCAAAAGGTCTTTTTTCATTTGTAAGCTATTTATTGACTTTATACTTAAAATGAGTTTAGTTTATATAGCCTTTTTTTATTATACGTAAAATAAGCTTTAATGTGATAAAAGCAAGAAGTCGTGCTGCTATCTTATTGTTGAACTTTTTGAAAACGATCACGAGATCGATTGGCATTAAACGACCTTGACCGTCAACGTCCTCTACTTTTTTTGCTTAGTTCACCTCTACGTCAGCCGCTGAAGAGAACACACTAAAAATGGCAGGAACTTCTTCTGGTATTGATACTGACTGTATGACTTTGACCCGTTATTTACTAGCGGAACAAAGAAAACATCCTCATGCTACTGGAGATTTAACGCAATTAATGACAGCAATATGTACGGCTTGCAAAGCCATTTCAACAGCTGTAAGAAAAGCCGGAATTGCCAAATTGTAAGAATAATATTAGCTTCCAATGCATAACTTTAAGTGCATAATAATAATATCTTTGTGAGATCGAAGATGTTGTAATGCACAGTTCTGCAATTCTGAAAGCAATGCATAAGCCAAGCCGGTCATATTCGACTTTATTTGCAAAAATTTTTAATTATTGCACCCGTTTTCAGATATGGTATGGCTGGTTCTACGAATGTTCAAGGAGAAGATGTAAAGAAATTGGATGTCCTTTCCAATGACCTATTCATCAACATGCTGAGATCTAGTTACACTACATGTCTTATGGTCAGTGAGGAGAACGAAAAAGTTATTGAGGTTGAATCAGATAAACAGGTAAATATAAGTTTCATAGTTAATTGGCTAATGAATACAAGTAATTATACTCTATTTAACCTGGAAACAAAGAATTTACTATCTAAACCAATAAACACTGTCGACCGATCACGTGATGCTCTTTTTAATATGCTTTATCTTTGTCCTTATAGGGACCGGTGGTAAGTACATGTTGTCATATAAAGAGTGTGATTAAAGTCGTTACAACTTTTCTTGCTAACGTCTCGTGTAATTAGTAATATCCACAACCTTTATTTTTCATGAATGCCTCTAGCCTGTGTTCTATTGACTAATCTATATAAAATTAAACTGTTAATGATAAATTTTGTAAATTTTAGGGAAAGTACGTTGTTTGTTTTGACCCACTCGATGGATCTTCTAACATTGACTGTCTGGTTTCTATTGGAACTATTTTTGCCATCTACAAGAAGGTGAGTTGTTTAAATTATCAACATAAACATATATTGAATTTTTATATAAATATTCTCTTTTATAGATTAGCGATGGAGCGGCTAATATTAAAGATGCTTTACAGCCAGGTAGACAAATCATTGCATCGGGCTATTGCTTATATGGTAGTGCTACCATGTTAGTATTAAGTGTCGGAAATGGTGTCAATGGTTTTATGTTGGATCCGGTACGATATAAATGTTCATGTTGATTATTAAATAGTTTTAATTTGTGTACTTTCAGTCTATCGGAGAATTTATTTTGACCGAAAGAAATATTCGTATTAAGCCAAAAGGAAAAATTTACTCCCTTAATGAAGGATATTCTGCTCTTTGGCAAGAACCAGTAAAAAAGTACATTGATAGCAAGAAAAAACCAGCTGTAAGTTAAATGAAAAAGTTTAAAGTATTCTCTAATTAATATTAATTTTACTGTCAGAGCGGCAAGCCCTACGGAGCTAGGTACATTGGCTCTATGGTTGCTGATGTCCACAGAACTTTATGCTACGGCGGTATCTTTGCGTACCCTGCAACAACTGAAACTCCAAATGGAAAACTTCGTCTTTTGTACGAATGCAACCCAATGGCATTCATTATGGAACAAGCAGGAGGCTTAGCAACCACCGGAACTGGTAATATTTTGGATATTCAGCCGGAAACAATCCATCAAAGAAGCCCAATATTCCTTGGATCGAAGGAGGACGTTGAAGATGTCATTTCATGCTTTAAAAAATACGGAAACTAGGCTTGAAAATAGACACATGCTTGAAAAAGTGTCGTAAATATTTTGTCATATCTAATATAGGGCAATAACGCCGTTTTGTTTATCGGGTTTATAAGGTATAACTGAAATGTTCATCTATTTGAAAGTTATTAGTTTTCTTATTAATACATTTGGGAATCCTGATAGCGAAAAAAGATTTATTAATTTATAAAGCATCGATTGCATAAACAAAAAATTACTCGTATACGGTTTGAACGTACAATAGATTGATTTTGACGCTAATCTTAAAAAAACTACTTAATACATAAGTAAATCACAAAAATGTGCTGGAATAAAAGTTTGAGTAGATCTGCGATCAACCTTTTTAAAATAATCTTTAATAGTGAGTGTAAAGCACCGAAATATATAGATCATTCTTAATTTATCAAGTGCAAATTGGCTTATTTTAAATCCATTTGATGCAGTTTCTGTTCAAGTTGTTGATTCAAGAGTTTGTAATGTTTCAGTTGTCGATCCTTCTCACCACTTTCATCTAATAGCATTCGGACATGTTTTTGTAGGGCAGCATTATGCATATGTAACTCTTCCAATACTTTAGAGGTATTCATTCCATTGGGTAGGGGTCTTATTGGTGGAACAGTACAGCCTTGCCTTTGTACTAACTCAGCTAATAGTGTGTCACAATCGTACAAGGTTTGCAACACATCTTCGCTTACGTCATCTGTCTGATCACTTCCAGTGCTTGAACACGGCGAAGAGGATCGTCTGCTCTCTTCATCTAATTGAAGAACAGTTCTTTTCCTTCTTTGCAGGGATTCTTTTTGGAGTTTTAAAGAAGTTAGGACGTCTCTTACTTTCGTTCTAGCTGATGCTTGATCTATAAAATCTGAAAAGAGATCCCGAAGAGAAAAATCATTTATGTTGAATCATAAGAGTATTACTAACAAATCGCTTTGTCTAAGCATTCAATAGCTCTTTCGTATTTTTTATAGTTTATGAGGGAATCAGCTTTTCGTTCTTGTTGGTGTGCCTATAAAAATAATCACTTTATCATTTTCAATACAAAATTAGAGGAAATTCGCTTACAGAATTAATTGGGCAGTCCAAAACGTTCATTACGTCTCTTTTGATCAATCAGTTGTTTAGTATTGCTTCATTCGAATAAACTACAATACGAATGCACCGAGTTTGTGACTAAGAATATTTCGTGTGTGGGGTAACCGAAAAACTGGTATACAGGTCGAAACTTGTTAATACTGAGAATGGTACAACATTCTCCCAGTAAAACCGAATATAGGCGGGCTTTTCGTCCCAGGCTTCAGCCTGAGACCTACGTCAGTTTGTCAGATTATCGCATATGTCGTCGTCTTAAGGAGAGCTCGCATAATTCAGATGTGTTTCATTGGCAATCATCGGAAGATGAAGATGAAACCCCTTCAATGACGCCAAGACCGAGTACAGCTCCTGTACACATTTTCAGACATGAAAAGTTGGTAGAAAAGTTTAAAAAAAAGCAAAAGGATGAACTGAAAGTAAACCTAAAATCTATTGAAAGAGCAACAAATACCAATTCGAATGCCAAGACTAGATACGAAGAGAAAGAAATTCAAACCAGCAATCGGTAAATATATAAATGAGAATAATTAAGTTTAAAAATTGATTTAAACCTATTTCTCTCATTGAAAAGCACTCTAACAAACGGTAGTGAAGGAGCCATTTCTGAGAAAAGCAAAAAGAAGATCGGTTATAAATTTAAGAAAGTTCCGAAGTATGTACCAAAACCTTCTTCAGCTCCAACAAAATCGCTATCGACTAAACCTAAAATCCAATCTAAACCTTTCATTGCATATGGCTACAAAGATAGTGAACTCGAAACAGGAAGAAAGAAAACTTACAACGTTCTAGCATCAGATCAAGTAAGGGTTTCCATATATATTTTAAATACAACCAATATGTTGTATTATAAATACCGATTGATGCTTCTAGATTTATGATAGTGCTCTGAGGGCTCAAAAGAGACGTCAGGCAGTTATACACGATAATGAACAACAAGAAAAGGATATTCCACTTTGGGAAAGACGTCAAAAAGCGTTGTTTAATGACAGACGCAATATCTTCTGTCGTGAATCTCAACTCCAAAAGGCTCGTTTAGCTCGTCAAACATCAGCCTGGGACACAGAATATCGTAGTAAATTTATCGGCTTTCCACCGGAAGAGTTTGATAGGAAGTTAGAAGCTTTAAAAGCTGTTCGAAGGTCTGCAGAATACTAAACACAAATTTCTATACTGTACTTGCTTGTTCTTTAAGTTGAAGTATACAAAACGTCTGTGATAGTAGTTGACTATACTATGTAGTTCTTCTTTCTCTTTTACACTTTCTCCTTCTCTTAACACTTTTTTTCACAAATAATAATAGATTTGGGAATATAATTAATATTCTATTGAAAAAGAACTGTAGAAGAATTATTAGTATTATATATATATGTATATATACATTTTGCAAATGTTCATTTTTACTTATCATGAATAAATGAACAATTGCAGTTTTAGTATTGAAAAGATTCTAAAAAAATTATAATAGCTTTGAAATTTATGTAATGAAACAGCTTATACAAAACAGAACATATTTTTCCACGTGTTTCAGTTTGTTTAAGATATTTCTTTGTGATATCGATTTTCTAGTGGCTGAGAAGAGTAAGTCTATCATTAAGCTTCAATTCTCGTATGCGAAGCTACGATACTACTATGGGCCTATACAAGCTGATTCAAATTCTCTTAATTTTAAGTTTCTTTCCACAAGTAACTTGTTTTATTGAGGGGTTGTACTGTGGAAGAGACAATTGCTACGATGGTAAGATTTTTATGTAAAGAGTGTGTTTTATATATAAAATGTACATGTAATTATTTAATAAATAGTCTCATTTTCGAGTGAATCTTTTTATTCGCTTTGTTCATTTTTCCACGTCTTAACTCAACTTTATCTTTTTTTTAGTTTTGGGCGTCACGCGAGATTCAGATACGGTAATATCTTGTTATTTAAATTAAGATTTATTAAAAACTAATCAAACATATATTTTTGTTTTTCGACAATCATGCAGAAAGAAATCAGTAGGAACTATAGAAAACTAGCTAAAACATGGCATCCAGATAAGCATAGGAAAAAAGTTTGTTAAAATATATATTTATGCTTTTTTATACTGTTTGTAAAATAATATTACAAATTTAGAGTCAAGATAAGCAAGTATTAGCTGAAGAAATGTTCAGAAAAATTGCTACGGCCTATGAAGTAAGTTCAAACAGTCGATTCTTCAATATTTAACACATTGCATACTTCAAAATCATTAAAACACTTTATTGAAAGTGCGAGTATCGTAAAGTCATTGAAAATTTTTACATTAGGTTTTGCGAGATGAAGAATCGCGAAAAGATTACGATTATATGCTTGATAATCCAGGTACATCAGAACAACAGGCACATTTGACCTTTTAACTAAATCGTTTGTTTTGTTATAGATGAATACTACCACCATTACTATAGATATTACAGAACTCGTGTAGCACCTAAAGTGGATGTTCGACTGGTCATAGCCGTTGCAATAACAATCATATCTGTGATACAGTATTGGAGTTCATGGAATAATTATAATGCTGCCATAAATTACTTTGCAAGAGATCCTAAATATAAGATAAAAGCAATGGAAATAGCAAAAAGAGAGGGTATGTTAGAGACAAATAAGAAAAAACAGAGAGGAATTTCAAAAGAAGAATTAAGAGAACAAGAAGAGAATGTACTACGAAAAGTCGTTGCAGAAAAAATGGATATAAGGTAAATATCTAGAAATTTACACAATTTCTTTGATATAAGAGAGTTTTTAGAACTTTTTCTAGAATAATACAAATAAAGTTGAAAAGAGCTAAATACTTGTTTATAAGCAAATATAACTTTATATTATATTTGTATACTGTAGCTATTTATTTTAAAATAGATAATTGTATAATTTTAAATAGCGGTAGCAATTTCATACGGCATATAATTTTTTATAGTATATATTACATTTTACTAGATAATAAACTATAATAAAGCAACGTGCGTAAACCTATATAAATTGATTTGGCTAGTTTGTAATAACAGCAGATCGTTAGACTATTCAATTTAAGCACACGTATTTTTCAGAGGAAGTTATAGTAAACCATCGATCAAAGATGTTTTATGGTTTCAATTGGCGCTTTTACCTTGGTATACATTCCAGTACATCGTTTGGTATATAAGATGGATATGGAAGTTCAATATCTGTGGAAATCCATATACAAGAGAGGAACATGAATATCTTATTAGAAGAAATATGAAATTGTCCGAAGGAAAATGGAATGTATGTACTTATAAATTAAGAATTAAAATCATCGTTTGACTAAGTTTTACTGTCTATAATATAATATATAATATCATTAGGCTTTAGAAGAATATGACAGAGAGGATTTCTATAGAATGGAACTATGGATTGATGAAAAATTTCAGGTGAAATATTAAACTTTAATAACGACAAAGGAATTTTTTTTGAAATAAATAAAAAATATTCTAGGAATGGAAAGAGAATAAAGAAGAAGAAGAAAAACAGAAACTTGCAGAAAGTAACAAATATAAAATCTATCGTCGTTACATGAAGAGAGGTGGCCCTGGTCAGATGGTTCTTGGACCAGAATAAAATCTCAATTTGTTAGGAATGTTATTTATTGGCAAAAATAAAACAGTAATTTTCTTAATTACAAATCAATGTTAGCGTGTGTTTATCAATTGAAATCAAAGCTAACGTTAAAACATTTTTTATTTAAATTATAATAGAAAATAGTGTTATTTTAGAGTAATTATTAATCAACAACCTAGAATTTACTATCTTTGTTAGTAAAAAGCAAGTGATTTAAATATTAATATGTAATGAAATATAAGATATTCCTAAGTTGTCTTTCCCCTTCCCTCAAGTGATCAATATCAACTCTTAACTGAAACTAAGCAGGTTCTGTTTCAATTTTAAGCGAAGTCAATTTCACAATAGACTTTTTTGTTTAGAAAAACACTGCAAATTCCATACACATAAAATAAAGATGTAAAATTTGTATAGTATCAATCTACTTGTTAATATGGACAAAGATATATACATGCAATTTTGTTAAAGTTACACTCTAAGAGATGTTTTCTGACTTTCAAATTCTTCTTTAACTGAGGACATTTTTTCTTTATCTTTGCACAAAAGAGCAGCTGAATAGGCTAAAGCGGTTGCAGCTTGAAGGGTGTTTTCTATCCACATAATGATACGTTACGAATAATACTTTTAAATACAAATAGTATAACAAACCGTGAGCTCTCTCGGTATTACAATCGTCTCTGAAAGTTTCTGACAGTTCAACAGCTGAGGTTCCAATATTGAAAGCTGAATCAAGACATGGAACAACCTGAGAAACATTTCCCATATCAGTTGATCCAATATGGGTTGCACTTTCATCAGTATCCATTTCTAGTCCAACTTCATTGGCGCAATTTTTGTACAAATCGCCCAATCTCTTGTTTTGAATCATAGGATAATAGATATTATCTTCAAAATTGAATTGCGCCTCACAGCCAGTTGCCTAAGATAATTGTCATATAATAAAATCATATTGTTCCTAAGAAAAGCAATATACTCGTACTTTGGCTGCAGCAACGAAACAAGCTGCACATTTCTGTTGCAAAAATATTAAATCAGTGTGGGATGGGGCTCGAAGCCAAAATTTCATCTCTGTTATTGCTGGAACAATGTTAGGCATTGCTCCACCGTTAGTAATAATTCCTGATAGAAAAGTGACAGGTAAGCTAATACAGATAAGAAATGCTTTATGTACAAACCGTTAACCATCCAATTGGGCTTTAACCCCTGCCTTAAGAGTGCTATATTATTATAACATGCGACCGCTGCATCTAGAGCATTTTTTCCTTCCCATGGATAAGCGGAATAATGCGCAGCTTTCCCTTTATACGTAACTTTATTAAAATAAAAGAGATTTACGCGTTATTGCAGAATAAATAAATATAAGGTATATCACAATTCTATTGACTAAACTTACCGGTAACGGAAAGCAAACAGAAAGCTGGAGGACTGGCAAGGTTCTTATCGAATGGTGACAACATCAAAGCTGCGTCAACTTGTTTAAAAGCTCCATGTTTAATCATATCAATCTTTGTACCTCCACCGCACAATTCTGCAGGCGTACCGATAACTGTCACCTGGAATAATTTAATTTAAAGTGATGAATTTAATTGAGCTATTAAACATGTGTGTTGTTGTAATTACTTCAGCGTTAATCAAATTCTTTTCAACACAACTTTTTAGTCCTATGGCTGCTGCCAAACTAGCTGTTGTTAGCAAATTATGACCCGAAGCGTGCCCAATTTCACACGCAGCGTCATATTCACAAATAAAGCAAATATTTGGACACCCATCCGCTGAACTTTCTGAATTTTTATAAGTTGCCCTGAAGCCAGTTTTCAGGACAAACTCTCGTTCGACCTGAAAATTTTCACTTGATAAGAACGACGTTATTATATCATGAGCCAAATGCTCTTGAAAACCGATTTCTGGGTTAGACCATATTTTATGACTGAGATCTCTCAGAGTTTTTTTACGGAGGATGATTGCCGAAGAAACTGTATCTTTAACAGTCAAATCCATATCAGTTTCTCTCACTGAGATAAGTTTAACCTTGACCTTTATTAAATAATGTTTAATAATTTCCAAAAAAATTTTTCTCTAAAAAATTTACAAAAATTATATGCTATTCCTCATTTTTAAAAAATTATTTAGAAGTTTAATCCGTAACTGCGGACAGGAAGTGGCAACGTTCTTTCTTTTTCCGGTCCGCCATTGAACCTCGTGTTTCTTGGCTGTCAAAAAACTTAAATTAACATCATGGGAGCTTATAAATACATCCAAGAACTATTCAGAAAGAAGCAATGCGATGTTATGAGATTTCTAATCCGTATAAGAACTTGGCATTACCGACAATTGTCCGCAATTCACCGTGCGCCAAGATCAACTAGACCGGACAAGGCTAGACGTCTTGGATATCGGTCTAAGCAAGGTTTATTTAGCTTTTTTTCAATTTAAAACAACCCCAAAACAATAATAAAGAAATATTTAATGTGAAATTTATTTCCAGGATACGTCATTTACCGTGTACGTGTACGTCGTGGTGGAAGGAAACGTCAAGCCCGTAAAGGTGCCACTTACGGTAAACCAACAAACCAGGGTGTAAACCAGTTGAAGAATCAACGCGGACACCAAGCAATTGCTGAGGAGAAAGTCGGACGACACTGTAAGGCTCTCAGAGTCTTGAACTCCTATTGGGTTGGTCAAGATTCGACTTACAAATACTTCGAAGTTATTCTTGTTGATCCCTTCCATACAACTATTAGAAGAGATGCCAAGGTCATTATATAAAACGAGTTTACATAAGTTTTATTATATATTATATATTTATTTCTCAACAGATTAACTGGATTTGCAAACCTGTCATGAAACATCGTGAAATGAGAGGATTAACCTCAGCCGGCAAATCATCCAGAGGTCTTGGAAAGGGTCACGGTTACTCCAAAACTACTGGTGGTTCTAGATTCGCTTCATGGAAGAGGCGCAACTTGCAACAAATGCGCCGTAAACGTTAGAGAATGCCGTGTTGTTTCAATACAGATAAGATGTTCGATTGTGTTGAATGAAACTCATTACGTGTAGTTAATTAGTTTGATTTAAACAATTAAGTCAATGATCAAATTTATGAAAGCTCAACACGTGTTCAATATGGGGAAAAGAAAAGAATATTTCCTCGATCAGGTCATATATTATTATTTATAGGCCAATAGCACATGATTACTCAAAAACTTTTTTATTTCAATTTAAAAAAAATCAAGCATCAAATTTTTATCTAGAAGTATCTACCAAGTAGTCTTTCAATAAACAAGTGAAGAGCTTCAGCGAACACGATATTAGGAAGTTGCCTAGCATTTTCAATCGCTTTAAGAGTATGTTCTTTTGCTAAATCCCTAGTCTTTTGAATTCCGTCATATTTTTCTATCAATTCTAGTGCATTTTCGATGTCTCCATCTTGCGAATATCTTCTTTGAATTATCACTTGTAGTTTCGCACTGTCTCTAGCTGCCAGTAAAGCGGGAGCAGTGGCTAATCCTAATTTCATGTCTGCCACTGCAGGTTTACCCAACTTTTCCTCGGTGCTCACGAGATCCAACAAATCATCAACCAATTGATAGGCTAAGCCGACATGTTTTCCTATGTTTCTTGCGTTCTCTACTAATTGATCGTTACATTTTGCTAATACTGCAACTGCAGCACATGCATTTGTAGTCAAGCTGGCAGTTTTCGCAAAGGTTTTGTCCATATATAATGAAAATTGTTCTTTTAAATTTGCACCTTGTTTTTGTTGACTTAACTCTCCTCTAACGATATCATTCATTGCTTGGGAAAGTAGTTTTATAACTCTTGGATTTCTTAAACGGGCTAATAACTGGGAAGATACACTAATCATGTAGTCGGCAACAAATGTTGTTAAAGTGTCACCAAAGACTAAGTGGGATGATGGCTTTTTTCTTCGTAATTCTGCATTATCAACAATGTCATCGTGAACCAAGGAAGCTGTATGAATCACTTCTGCTATCATTGCTATCGTTTTTTGATCAGACGAAGGAAGAGAATTTTCAAAACAAGCCCCTGCAGTCAATAAAACTAACTGGGGTCTAATTAACTTTCCCGAGCCATCACAAACATATGTACAACATTCTAAAGTTTTCTGATGTCCTCCTGATTCTACCAAAGCGTTTTGTAACCTTTTTGTACATAACTCTTGAGCCTCTGTTCGCGACCATGTGATAAGTTCTTCTGGAGTATACTCAGTTGGAAGATGCTGTTATATATATATATATATATGTATATACAAGCACTGAAACTTGCGTTACGCCTTACAAATTTTAATTTAAAAAAAAAACTTAAAAGTTTGTAATCTATATTAAAATTGAATCTGATGAAATCACATGTTCGAAAAAGTATTTTCTATTTACCTGCTGTATATGCTTTTGCCACTTATTACACGCAAAGGCAAGGCACAGTTCACGTCGTTTTGTTGCATTATTAATAAGTTTTGGAGCAAACAGGGGTTGAAAACCATTTATTTTTTCACATGATCTCAAAATAACCTTCAAGGATTGCTTGCCGATGGACATCGCCATTTTTTTGAACTGGGTGTTGCTAAGTTCTGATATCAGTTGTCGATTGCAAATGAAAAAGTTTTAGCGATGTCACTAAATTCAACTTTTTATTATTTTATTATACTATAAATTATAGAGGTCATTTAGGAATAAAATAGAATTTATTTCTTATTTCTCAAATATCAAAACATAGAATAATTTATGTAAAAAATTATTTTAATAAAGCTAACATTTTTTTTCGTTCAATATAATATTTAGAATGGATTTTGTTTGTTTAGATAAGATAATCTAAGTTGTTTAAACAATTTTTGGATAATTTAAGTTATTATGAGGATTCTCATAAACGTAGACTTAATGATGATCTACTACTGGACGTTGATCCGGAAGAGTGGACTGATCCTCTAACAGATGATGCTGGAGTTGAGGTCATTGAAGGCGGAGGGAGATTAGCGCTTAGGAAATATGCATGTGCAGAATTAGACATATTCGGAAATTGTGTGATAACTTCGTTAATTTCTCTCATAACACTTTTATTAAATTCTCTTGCACCTCTTAGTTCAATATCTGTTTCTTCTGTAGAGCGTTTCGCTCCTTTTTTCAGCACTTTATTCAAGTTTCGAGTTTGTCGTTGGACTCTATCCAAAGATTCATTTTGATTATATATTTCTTTATTCAGCTGCGACATTTTCTTCTTATTCTGTTCATACATTTCTGAAAGGTGATTTCCTTCAATCGACAGTTCTTCTATTGTATTTCCCATTAATTTTAAATCATGAGTTAATTCTCTTATTAATCTCTTTTTATATTTGAATTTATCTTGAGCAGCCCTGTACTGTTCTTCCAGTTCTTGTTTTTCTTCCATTTCATCTGAAGTTTCTTGAACTTTGTTAAAGCTTTTTCTATATATTTCATTCCTGGAATTGATAACTCTTAGTGTATTTTCTAAAGCGCCCATTTCTTTTTCCGCCTTTCTTATCTTGGCATCCAATTCATCTCCATCTTTTTGTAACTCTTCTTTTTCCTGTGCTGATTTAATTACGTAGAAAGCTTGAGATTGCTCCTCTTCGCCTTCGGGTGAACCCATTGTAACCATGAGTAATTCGTATCTTTTTTTCAGTTTATCAATTTTAGCTACTCGCTCGTGTAGCTCTGAACTCACATTCTGTCTTTCGTCCTCCACCAATCTCATCTCATTTATCATCATATCCTTATATAAAGAAATTTCCCGAGATCTCTCTTTTAAAGCAATATCCAGCTGTAATTTCCGTTTCTTTAAACTAACAACGTCATCCGCCTTGTCTCCTAGAATGTTCCGGACTTTTTTAAGTTCAACTTTCAGAACGTTTTCTTCAACCATTAAATCTTGTTTCTTGTTGATTGTTTTTTTTAATTCTCGCTCAGCCGTTTCAGCGTGTAAATCAACTTCTTCGATTTTCGAAACTAAATGATCCATTTCCGATTTAGCCTTTTCGGAATTTCTCTTTATTCTTCTTACATCATCCTGTGATCTTTTAAGTTGCTGTATCATAATTGACTTTTTATTCTCTTTTTCTTTTAGCTCCTCTAATAGAACTTTTATCTTTTCTTCCATTCTTAGTTTGTCCTCATTTGAAGTTTCACCATGCATTCGTCCCATTCTCCTCTCTAATTGTTGAATAGTGAAGTCTTGGTTGTACAATATTTCCTGTTGCTTTAAACCTTCTGTATCTAATTTTGTTAACTTTGTATTCAAATGACGTATAGTGGTGTAAATTCCTTGAATTTCGGATTCGATATTCTTCTTTTCGGACTTCAACTTGGTATAAATTTCAGTATTGCGAAAGTTTTGTTCCCTTAAACGATCCAATTCAATACTCAATCTAGTCTGTAATTTTTCTTCCATTATGAGTAGCTTATCCATTTCTTGAGCTCTTTCTTCAGCACTTAGTGAAATTTCATTAGCCACCTGAAGATAGGGAAGACATAAATAACAAAATTAAAGAGAATATGTAAGATCTTCGTCTATTATACGAAGCTATGGTTATAATAAATAAAAGAAATTACTTTAAACTTTTCTACGAGATCTTTCTTCTTTTCTTGTATATCTCGTAATTGATTACTCTTCTCATTAGATTCCTTTTTAAGTTGAGTAACTTGACATCTCATAGATTCAAGATCTAAAGCTGTTCTTTCGCATGTTCTTTGTAAAGCTTCTAGCTCAGAATTGAATTGATCCCTTACCAACTCTTCCTCTTGATATTGAATTTTTAATTTTCCAAGAATTCTTTCATTCTCTATTGTTTGCTTTCTAATTTCATCATTATTATCGGATTCTGCCTTTAAAAATTGTTCTTTTTCTGCTATCTCTTCATCTATTGTTCGTATATCCTGCTTTGCTAGTGTTAATTTTACAGCCATTTGGGTTATTTCATCATCTTTTACTTGCATTTGTTTAATTATTTTCTCCCATTGAAATAAAAGATCTTGTCTTTCTAAATGAATTTTCCTAAACTCCTCAGCAGTTTTATCAAGTTCAATTTGAGTTGTAAGGGTTTCAGTTGTCTCTTTTTCCAATTCTTCCTTCTTCTTCTTTGCTATATCGCATAGCCGTTCAAGTTGAAGGTTCATAGTTTTAATCCTTCCCTCATCCTTAATATTGTATTTTAAAAGAGCCATAGCATCCTCATCTCTTTTCGACGACTCTTCCAACCATTCTTCCAGAGCCTTTTCATCAACATTGACTGATTCTTTGACATCGTCAAGTTTCTTTGTACGTTGAAATACTTCATTTTCCAGCCGGTTTGATCTTTCTTTAACTTCATTCAAGTCTTTACCTAACCTTGCTAATTCGTGTTTAATGCGTCCACCTTCTCTATTAGCCACCTTCAAAGGATAAAATACAAATGTAAATAGAATGACTAACTTTATCGATTTTAATTTTAATTTGATAGATAAATATTCTTTTTGAAATATTTATAATTAAGAAAATTTTATAGGTTTAGCTATAAAAATGTCTACCTTTCCCAAATGATCTGTTGTTTCTACAGCCTTCCTTTGAAAATTAACTAAACTTTGAGTATGATTTAACTCTTGTTTCACATTTTTCATATGTTCTCGAAGATTTGATATCCTATCGACATTCTCTTCCTTTTTACTATTTAATGCGGCTATCTTTTTCTGTTTCCTTTGAATTTCATCCTCCAGTAGTTTATTATCAATATTGGAAACTGGCATTGCGATGCCTTCGTCCCATTGTAAATCGCTTAAAATATTATTTAAAGCGTCCATTTCACAGTTGTATAAAACTTGATTAGAGTTTGAAAAGCAAATATTAATACGGTTGTTATTTGTGTTAACCGGTATAACTAAGAGAGAGAGAGAAAGGCTTGAAGTTGTTTATTTAACAAATAAGTCTATAAAGAAATGGAAGGCGTTAATTACTTTGCTATCTATGTGAAATTAAAGAAGAAATAGAGGAGGTAAATTATCGAGTAATTAATGTATTAGACTTATATTTTAATACAATATATCTATTCATATATAGAGAGCATATAAAAAATCAATTTGTATTTAATCAAAGCTCGATTTTCAGTAATTGTACATTGAAGTTTTTTTCCATTTTTTTTAGACATTACAATATTTACAAAATATTTCATTCTATTGATTAAACATTTAATTTACAAGAGAATTAACTACATATTTAACAGTCAGTGCAAATGCAGCAAATCCAATAATAACGACGATGTTTGTTAGGGCTGTATTGATAATACCGCCTTGATCGTCAATTGTTCTTTGAATATTACTCATTCGATTTGGATCCTTTTTTGTCCTCTCTTCTAGTTGCTGTTGGCGTTTTTTCAGAACCTGGTTAATTTCCTTTAAAAAAAAATATAGAAAAATAATTAATTCAACCTATAGAATATGAATTAATTGAACTTAAAGTAGTACTTCAACTATATCTGGGAAAAGCTCCGTAAATGTTTTGTCCTTTAAATTAAATTCTCCACTTTGAGCAGCATATTGTCGTTTCTAGAAACAAAGCAAAACGTGTTATTAATATATATATATTTTTCAGATAGCGAAAGTATTATCTCAAACAATAAAAGCGGAACTTATCATTTACTATACTTACAGCGTAATCGCTTTTTTCTATACTGCCCAAGGTTGGACTATTTTCTAGCTAAAAAAGAGATTTCAGATTACACAAAATTTGACATTGGATTATTTCTTAACATTTTTACGAGATCAAATCCTTTCTATATGTGCGATGTAAAATAAAATTAAAACGAAAACAACTAACCATAAAGCTTAATAGCCCTGTCAAAATGGTTGAAACTGACCAAGCAGGATTCCAGGTATCCGGATGAAAATCACTAATTGATAAGCACAATCGGGTATTACATTTAAAACGACCATTGGGAGTAATCATGTAGATGCTGGGGGGCTTAAAAGGATATTCTCTGGGGAAAATTAACTTTCCATGATAATATCCACCTTCGTATGGAGAATTTTCCGGACCTTTAACCATATAATGCCTGTTAAGATAAACGAGTTGTACACTTTAACCATATTTTTCTAAAATCAACATTTCCACAATTTCAACATATGCTTAAACATTGCGAAAGGAAAAAAACCGCAAGAATAGTAAATAGATAAATATATGACTATTTTGAAACAAAGTTAATTAAAAACGAGACGTTCTAGCAACATAAAATCTCTAAGAACAATTTCATACCATTCAAGTATATTAGAAGCATGAGGTTCTGCAGAAACATAAGGGACAGGATCTTTCTTCAATCTGATATAATCTTGCTTCAATCTTGCGGTGGCCGTCGAATTCACTCTCTTTGACGTCATTTTGCAGATCAGCTTTTCAGGCGACTATTGAAAAAATTCAAAATTTAAACATTTTTTTCCTGCTTTATTATGATATGCTTATCAACCAGTTTGGCTGACATTGGAAAGTATACAACCATAATTTCTTATTAGTAAAATTCTATTCACAAGGAATAATTTAAAAATAATATACCTACACACGGACAAACTAGAATGGTTAAAAAAGTAATTCACGAATATTATTCCGAAAATATGAGAATGACCGGAAGTCACTCCTAATGAAATCCCGCAGCAAATATATATTTAAAAAATATTTTTTACGTGTAAAATACACCTTTCAAATAGTTATATATAAAAAAAAATCAGAAATAATTATAACATAATTGTGAGAATATTTAAAAGAAATCACGAGTTAAAATATGGCGGCTTTCTTGATGTTTACGTAAACATCAACAAAAATAGCCAAATTTGGGTACATCATTTGCTTTCTGTAGTAATCGTTGAAAAAAGCTTTCACTCAAGTGACAATAAATGCTATGAAATTACCTTTGATCGTTCCCTTAATATTTATTGAATATCTTATACAAATTTCTTGAATTTTTAAACAATGGATGATTTTACGGTCGATTTAGATCAACTTTTGGATGATATGGAGAGCGAAGGTAAGATTTCGGTAAAAATTTCGTAATTTAACTATTATTTTTAAAGATTCAGTGGTTAGAGCACCGACGGCTCCTTTAAAACCAGCTTATCCTAATCGTCCTCAACCGCCTCCTTACTCATTCATAGCAGCCGCTCTTAACAATCAACCAGAAATATTAAGAGCAACTCCCGACGAAGATAGAGTAATTGGTCCCCTTTACTCTGAGTTTGTTACTTCTGAAATGCCACCAGATATAGTTCCACCAAGTGCGGCTTCATTTTCTGAAAGTAAAAAGCATATTGAAGAGGAGAGCGATGAGAAAGACAATAATACTCAAATAAAGTATATATGAAAGCGACGTTTAAAAGATAGATAATATAAAATAATTCCAAATTTCAATTATTTAAAAAGTCTCGTCTTAACTTATTAAAAGCAAAACACCATTTTTAAATGTTTACATTTAAGTATTACAGTTTCATATATACTTTTAATAGCGATGAAACTAATGATAGCAATTTTACTAACTTCAATGAACAAACTCAAACTAACAAAAGAGAAGTAACTTCAAATCAATTTGACGATTTCCAGTGTCCTGATTTCAATAGCATTCAACCTAATTTATTAAAAGTAGAGGAAACCGAAACCTTCGATAAACCATCAATTGTTATGGATTCTGAAGAGAAAGTTATCGAGAAAGATCAGAATGATGAGGCATCTCCTATTAATTTAGATTTGGACATACTCGCCCCAGATGAAATCCAAATGGAAAAACCAAAAAGACCAAGCATTCTACCTGTTCAAAAAATTGATGCATTAATCAGTCTAACCACCAATGAGGAAGTTGGAGCTGAGGCGAATATTCAGGAAACAAAAAGCAATGCAAGCGTTGATAGTGTTGAAAGGTTTTTAAGTTTTTCATCTTGCGGCCCAATTGAACCTCCGAAAACTCCTGCTGTTGAGGGCGATAAGAGGCTACCTGCAATTCGACCCTCTTCACTAGAAATTTCGAGTCAAATACCTGCAGAGGATGTCACTTCCGTGCCTAATGAAGAAGTGTCAACGATAGCCCATACTGACAATACATCTGAGCTGGAAACCGTAGAGGAACCAGTTATAGAAAGTGAGAATATTGAGGGAGCTCAAGCGCAAATAGATATTCCTTCGTCAACATTAACGGAAATACCCTTAACGGAATTAGGCATTATCGCTCCAGAATGGGTTAAGGACGCTGACGCGCCAAACTGTAAGCAATGTGAAATAAAGTTTACTTTTACGAAAAGGCGTCACCATTGCAGGGCTTGTGGTAATGTTTTTTGTGCAGGTATTTCTAACATTGATATTACTCTAATTGATGTAAAAGTTTAACAAAAAATTTTTTTGCAGCCTGTTGTAGCTTCAGAGCCAAATTGCCTTTAAATAATAACCGTGATTGTCGTGTTTGCTCAGTTTGTATGCAAGATATGAATAGAGCTCAAGCTTTTCTAACGCCAACTCCGACAACACCTAATTCAATTATTCGTAAAGATACCTCTCAGAGGTCCAATCCTAAATCGGTTATGTTTAGTGACGGAATTAAACCGGGCGGAGCTCTAACTGATCTAGATGCAACTCCTCCTCCAAGACCTCACGCAAGAAGTTCTAACGGACCCAGAAAATTATTCGGTTCGAAATCGAATTCTAGTATGAGAATTCCACCAATAGGAAGATGTCAATCGTTGATTAAAGAGAATTGTTTACCACCTGTCGTTGGTGTAGATTTAAATGAAGAGGAAATATCTAGAATGTACTCGGAGAAAGGGGAAGAAGGATTACAGTTCCTACTTAATAGTAACTTAATTGTTCAAGTTGATTTAGTTGATCGTAAGGTTCAATTCTAAAATTTTAACATTTTTTTAATCGATATTTATGTCCTTTGTAGTAGACTGCTGCTTGCGTAAAAAGTGTTGGATTTTTTCAACTGATGGCATGTTATCGGCTGCGCAACCGGAAGTATTACTCATAATACAAATGATCGACAATGAACAACTTCCACCTAAGGACATATTCGAATTTTTAGAACATTTGTATGAAAAAAGTCTGACGGGAGAGCATATAGAAGAACTTCAAGTTGTTCCGACACATAATTCATCTTCCTTTCTCGATTCTCGATCGCATGCCGGATTCTTATTTGTAAAACCTACATTACAGTGTCTTTGTAAATTGAAAGAACCAAGACATCCTTATTTGGCCGCAATTCTTGTTGAGAGGCCGGAGATTGTTTGGGCAAAATTGTTACCTTTAAGATTACTTTTCAGATTAGGGGCTGAATTTAGATACTATCCTTTCCCATTGGTCAACATCAGAGATAGACCACCTGTATTTGGTGAAGTGGGAAATTCTATTGTAAGACTATTGGCAGATGTTCGCAATTTGCAATATACTTTAGTTACTATATCTGGAGCTAAGCTACATCTACGAGAACATGTGACCGAGTTGATTCTACCATTTTCGTCCTACAACCAGGTTATGAAAGTTCTCAGAGATTGTGAAGAACATGTTGTAGCAATGGCAACTAGTTTTTCAAACGAAGCTGACTCACATCTTGTGTGCATGCAATGTCTAGAAGGAGTCGATTTAGGAACTTATAGCACCCAAGCCATAAATATTGAGAAGAGAGCTAGAAGATTGACAGCGGCAACTTTTGTTGTTTTCAATGGTAGCTTGAAAACCCAAGGTCCTGCCAAAGCAAGATCCGTAATTGTGGAAGACGGAGTGATGATTCAATTAACTGCTGATGCTATTAAAGAGTTAAAAAGCAGCTTAGTTGCTACCAGACCATTTAAAGCGTCTTGTGCTGAACAGGTAAGATTGTTTAGCTTTTTGTGAGTTTGTTCTTATTAAAGGAGTTTTTTAAATACAGGATCAAGTTTTGGTCACATGGTCACACGAACAAGACGAAGGAAACTCAAAAATCGAAAGCGAAGTCGATGGTAAAGCACTTGATGGAGTAAAATCACTTCAAATAAAAAAGCTGGAAGATTTAGTCAGTTCCAGCGGAAAATTCGCCATTCGATGGACAAACGTCTATGTGTTTAAATCCGACGATGCAGGAACTCCAATCGGAAAGACCTGCGAATATTCAGAATTACCAAAACTTGCAGAAGCCCTAGCCCATTGTTCAGCTTTGGCTTTGATGAAATTTTCTGAAATGCTTGTAGATGAAAAAATTAAAAGAATAGGCGTTCGGGTGAATATTTCATCTGAAAATGTAGGATTTCAAGTCGGTGGTAACGGATCATTAATAAAAAATGATTCAATATTATCCAGTTTGGACGAGCATCTTGTACAAATAATGTACAATGCTGCTTCAGTGGTAAGCGAAAGCATCGAAATGGAATTTGTTTTATATATCGTGGAATGACAATAATATATATACATATATATATAAATTTATATATCTATATATAGATTTTTTTTTTAATTTTTATAAAATTATTTACATTTTTAACATTCTGATTTTTTTTTCATTTTTTTTTCGTTATGGTTATATCTTCCTCCCGCCCCCTCCCTCTCCTCCCTGCACCGAATGGCTCACCATTGGTCAGAGTCAATCGGTTCGAATCAATATATTGATTATTTAATCAATATAAAATTATGAAATTAATTGTTCATCTTGAATTCATGTAATCTGATTTTTTTTGAATTGGAGTACATATAGTATATTTGTATTTAAAAAAATAAAACAATTAGTATCTACTTTTGTCATTAACATGGTTTTTATATATATAGTATATATTCTTTTTTGTAAATCCCTAATATCAAATTCTTGTACATATAAAAAAAAACTTTTATTCACTTAATGTCCAATTTGAAAAAATAAATAATTCTTTCTCTTATTTTCATCTGTATTCGGTAAAACCTTTTAAAAAACCGACTCTCGGATGCTGCTCCTATTTACGTGGTTTCTATAGTAACAAATATTCTGATATTATATTATTGGGTTACGCTCTAACAAAATTATGCAGATAATAATACAGTTATATAATGTAAGATTCTTTCGACTCATTTCACTATTAATATTTAAAAGTTTCTTTTTTATAAAATTATCCATCATAATTATTCCGTAAGTGCGGACCTCCCCCAATTATGTGAAAATTCGCGCAGTTCGAACAATACGTGTGGAGCAACAATAAAATTATAAATGTAAGTAATGAATTAATCGTAGATGATCAAATGTACTCATATCTAGAAATAATAATGTTTTTCTAAATTTTGTTTATAGGATCATGTCGATATCCACCAGTAGCTTAGTGATTCCAGTAACATTGTGGGCAGATCGAGCTCCAACTCATTGCATTTCTAGTATTCTTTTAACCCCTGACAATCTAGTCACAGGATGTAACGATGGGTCCCTTTGCATCTGGTCAATAGATGATGACTGGCAGGTTTGTTTAAATCAAAAATTGCAAGATGTCGATCTATAGTTTCTTATCTTAATGGGGAGTAGTCTAATTTATTCATCTTAATTGATTTTATTCAGATAAAACCAGAAAGACTATTACTAGGGCATGCAACTGCAATTACTGCCTTATGTAGAGGTAGTTTTCAAGAGCCATTACTTGTTAGCGCGTCGGATGACGGGTTAGTTAAGATCGTTTTTATTAACCCTTTCATCAATACTCTATCCAATTACAGAGAACTATGCCTATGGAATATGAATGACAGTACATCCGTAGAACAATCTAAAAGTCAGCACACACACACTTTCATTGAGGTTGACCATAAAAATTTGCATCAATGAAATTCTTATATGGTATTTAATTACTTTAGGCTCATCAATTGCTTGGTTCTCGAGATGCCCGACTGGTTTGCCATGGAAATTATGCTGATATTGAGATTATAGATCCGTTGACTCTGACGGTATTGTTCAAACTCTCGTCCAGAATGTCTCCAGATTGGATAAGTGCATTTGCTGTCTTGCGGCCAGCATCTAGTCAAGGTATTTGTAACTAGTTTACATTACATAAAAGATGAATGCATGCACTGCATATTCATATATACTTAAAATCAATTTTCTTTCAGATGATGTAATAGTTGCCATATCAAATTCGGGAACAGTTAAAGTCTGGACTTTATCAAATGCAGAGAAACAGGAAAAAGAATTATTTGAAAATGAAGCAAAGCAAATTAGATGCTTAAATGCTCATACATTACGCTGTTGCCCTTATAATCAGAGAACTGTTCTAATAGTTTGTGCGAAATTCTGGCAGGTAAATATGCCTATAAGAGAGGTTCCTTATTATTTTTAGAGTGTAGTGTTAGTCATTAATATGAACTGGCCTATATCCTCACCCTTTTCTATTTGATTCAATTTTCAATTCATTCAAAAAACCAGATATATTCAACAAGGTTTACGTTTGAAGAAGGGGTGAGCTTCCTTTGCATGTGTATGACTAGCCTGGTTAAATATTAACTTTAGTGATGTATAAAAGAACATCTTAGGCTAACAGGCCGAAATAGAAGGTTTAGCGTTCCCTCTTCTGTTTTGCATTTGATACTTTTACAATCTAATAATAAAAAAGCAATTCAAGTCTTATATTATTATTTATTTGTATAGAGATTTAACACTTATGTTGAATGAAGTGGATATACAATTTTCAAATCAGATATACGATGCCAGCGATTTTTCTTTGCGGTGCTCAGAAGCATCAAGAAGAGGCGAAAGGTGGGCTGGAGGTGACTTTATATCTGTCGACGCTGTCGTTGCCTGGAGCACTGAAGGTCGAGCGTTTCTATACAAATTACCTGCCAAGTGAGTTATTTTTGGTGTGCTTTAGTAGATAGGAAAGGACTTGCTAGTGGTAACAGATAAATGCAAGTAGATTAACTTAGATAGTGTGTTGTGTTAGTGGCGTAGGGTAGTGCTTGCACTAATGTGTTATTGTGTCTTAGCTTACTGCTTGGAAAAGCACTGGGAAGGTGGGTCTCGCTTCTGTTCTCTTTACAATTCCTAAGAAAATAGTTTAGCTTTGAAAACCTGTCGAATTTCCAGTTTACACGAAGGACGTCGGCCGATCGATCCAAAGAGTCCGCATAGTGCGGGACCCCAACCATATACTGTTTTAGAATTGGGATATTCTTGCGTAAGCAAAATTTTCCGACTTGCTACTCACAATAATTTTTATTGTTTTATTATTTTATTATTCTCATATAGAACTTATTTTGTCCACCTGCAATGCGTCATCTCATTTGGACTAGAGGTCGTAAGGTTGGTCTAGTTGTTCGAGGGGATTGTGAAGGTCGGGTAACTATATGGGAATTGCCAGAAGGTGGGGAAAAGGTTCTAAAACGTCAAGATAGTTTCGATTCATTAACAAAGATAATGCCAAAATGCGTAGCAAAGTTGGAGGATGCTTGGAAGAGTGACAAATTAAGGGGTATAGTAGATGTTATCGAAGCATCAGGAGAAGAAAAATTAGAAGTAACCGCTACAACTTATATGCGATCTGAAGGAAAAATTGTTTGCGGTAGAGAAAATGGAACAATCGTAATCATGCCTATTATATCATGTGCCGCTTCTATACTTTTAAGTGAACAAGTTGAAGCTGTACCCATTCAAGTTATGGGTGAACATTGTGGTCGAGTATCATGTTTGTTGTACCCATTTAATGAGAATCAGAGATACGATAAGCGACACTTAGTTTCTGGAGGAGTCGATTTTAGCGTTATACTCTGGGATGTTATTTCACAGACCCAACTGCATATTTTTACTGTACACGGGGGAGAGCTGACTCAACTGCTGGTTCCACCAAATAACTGCAATCCAAGAGTCTTGCCATGCATTTGTGCTGTTGCTTCTGATCATTCTCTTTCGTTGCTTCATTTAAAAGATCAAAAATGTACTCTTTTAGCATCAAGACATATGTTTCCAATTCATGCTGTAAGGTGGCGTCCTCACGATGACTTTGTCCTTGTTGCTTGCACTGACGGTACTGTAAGTGTATGGCAAATGGAAACGGGTCATTTAGATAGGGTAGTACATGGTGTGGTGGCAGAACAAATGATGGCAGCCTGTACGGAAAAAACAGTTAAACCAACTGAAACATCTGAAGACGATCTAACAAATCCCACAATATCACTCGCTCAGGCATTCCGACGTCGAAATCTAGCAACATTTAAAGCTCTTGCCCAGCAGCGACTCACAGCTTCCAATGTTGCTGATGACAAGGGTGATTCCGGCATCAATGTCAGGGGGGATAGTGCTCCAATTATCATTCAAGGTCTAAAAACAAATAATAACGATCCAGACGCGCATTTACTTTTCTTCGATGTCGAAGCGTTAATAGTACAATTAATAACGGAGGAGGCCGCGAAAGATTTTCAGTCAACTAATGAACCTTCATCCGATTCCAAACAAGAACTTTCCATTTCTAGTATATTAGCCAAAGTAAAAGATAAGGCAGGAGACGTTGGGCGAGGGCTAACTTCGTCTCCACGAACGTCTCCACGTCGAGGAGGTCCTCCACCTAGACCGGCACCGCCGGGTTCGAAACCGTCAAGACCACCGCCTCCTGTACCTAAAGAGAGTCTATCAGTTCAAGCAGCCAAACTTTTAATGTCCCTGCTTCATTTATGGGATATCGATCCCACCTTAGACGATATCGTTCGAAATCAATTGAACTTAAAGGTACCAAAAAGTATGTTCAGCTTTGGTTTAGTTTCTCGAGGAGCTCGTATGACGTTGTATGTTCCCGGATCTGCTCCACGATCGTTAAGCACGTCAAGGCGTTCATCTACGCACAGAGTTCTCTCAGCTATTGCAGTTGCTAATGCTTTGATGGGAGATGGATCGTATGAAAATTCAACAAAACAAAACTGGAGTAGGATAGCGGCATTCCATTGTGTTCTGCTTCCAGATTTATTGGGCGATAAATATGTTCCTGTTTCGTTACCCGAATTGGCTAGACGATGGCAGCATCGATGCTTAGAAATTAGAGAAGCTGCGAGAGCATTACTAATGGCCGAATTAAGGCATATGGGAGGAGAAGGAAGACAAAAATTAGTAGAGAAATGGGGATCTCTTATTCCTAATTTCGAGGAGAAATCTCAATCGCCACCAAAATCGAAAGATAAAGATTTAACTCCTTTATCCGGACCTGAGCAAGAAGTTGAAGAAGAAGAAGATGACGATGAGCAATTGTTGGTAGAAGGATTGGACCTTGGTAGCAGACGGCGACAAGCGACTGCTATTGTACTTATGGCTGTGATTGGTTCGGAATTCGGAGCACAGATAGCACCATCACCCCAAAATAGAGAACAGGCTGCTCCGGATGGTTTTGGAATTAAAGATTATAGTCTAGCAATGATAACGTCTAAGGCTTTGTCTCACATTGTTCTAAAGTCACATACTCAAAATTCAATAATGCAAAGAGCGGCCGTTGACCTACTTGGTAGAGGCTTTACAGTCTGGGAGCCTTATCTAGATGTTGCGGCAGTTTTATTGGGACTATTAGAATTTTGTGTTGGCAGCGAAAAATTATTACCAGCATCAAATTCAAGATTGCCTCTTAGTTCGGCCGCTGATGCTTGCAGGTCGGCCAGAAATTCCTTAGAAATGATAGCTAAAGCAAGACCAGCGAATTTTATTTCAACAATGGCTCGTGAGGTTGCCAGATATAATGCATTAGTTGCGCAGTCTCAGACTCCGTCAGCAACTTTATCGAATTCCATACTTATCAGAGCGAAGAAGGACATTTTGAAAATTTTAGAAGTTTTAGTGGACAAAAGTACGGCTAACGTCGTGCAAATGCTTATCGAAGTAGTCGATGTTAGTATCCATTGTCTCGACTCAGCATCCCTTAAACAATCTGGATTGCACGAACTATTTCCAGCTTTATGTAAATTAGCAATGCTGTCATCGTGTCATTCCTCTAAAAAAGTTGCTTGCGGATCGAAAACTGGTTCTTTAGCTATTTATGACCTAAAACATCAAAAATGCCAGGTTTTTCACTCCCATAAAGGACAGATAGCTGCCGTTAGCATATCTCCCGATTCAAAATATTGCGCATCATATTCGCTAGTCGATAACACTGTCTGCATTTGGCAGTTTGGTTCTTCATCAATCTTTACAATGGGTGGAAGCCAGACTCGATGTATAAAAACCCTTTCAGCTCCACAGTGGCAGCCGGCAGCTGGAATTGCTGTACATAAATTAGCTAGGCTAGTATGGGTAGATCCTAAAACGTTAATTATGCTATCGGCTGATCGAAGGGAGACAAAATTCTCTATTTAAAATAATAAAAGAACAAAAGAAGAGGAAAAAAACGAAAATAAAGCTATATATTGTCTTATATTTTCTTTAAATTACTAACTTATAAAATTGACTATACGAAAAATAATGTTATCATTTTAGAGATAATATATTTATTCAAATCTAGAGAATATAATCATCTGGTAAAATGAACCCTACGTAGATAAATTTATATAAAAGAAACCGTTGTAAATCAAAACTGCTCAACCGATATATTCTTTTCAACTATTATTTTTGCTAAGAGATGATAAGAAATCGTGAAAACGAACAGAAAGTGCTAGACTCTCGCATACTTTCTATACATATACAGTATATACATATTTAGATTTAACTAGATCAGTTGAAATTATAGACCATACGTTGTCAGATTTTGGAACGTTTGTGTATCGACTTTTCGAATTTTCTTATCTTAATTCGTGACCAAGCTTGATATGCTTGATGCTAAATCAGAGAAATAGTCACGAACTGAAATTTTGAATTTTTTCTATTGCTAAAAAAGGAATATGAAAAAAGACCAAATATCCTATACGTCATATTCCGTATTTACTCTTATTTATTCTGATCGTATAACAATCATTTTAAATCATATACTGTAGATTACAAGCTATAAAGGAAACAAAACTGAACGATTTCAATTTGTCAATAAATCGCTTAAAGCCCTAATAAAATAACAATTTCGATATATACAGTACACATTCTCTCCATATTAAATACGTATAGACTATACTATGCAACAATCGAAAATCGCAATATAAAACTCGAATTCTCCTAATAGATATAAAATGAAAATAATTTGCTAATCGAATTTATTGCATTTTATCTTTTCGAAAACGTATCTTGAATAGGAAGTTGCAAAATACTCGAACTATTTTAGGAAGTAAAAATTCTGTTGTAAAAAAAGTTATCTTTTTAGGAATGAATGACTTGTCCTATTACTGAAAATTGAAAGAATATAGTCATATAGAATTGACTAACTGTTTGAGAGATTTTTTCACGAAACGGGGAAGAAAATACATTACCATATCTTTTGATGTAAATACTTCGCATTGATAGTTTATTTGTTAGGAACCACATCGAGATACTTGATAATATTTATTATAAATACAATACAAAGCCTGATAGAATAAATATTATAATTAGTTGACGGTTTCCATGACGAAACGTCTTTTGTCAGCCTAGAGATATCTAGAAACACTGATAATATATGTTTGCTTGTCATTAAAGAAGGAGCGTTGGTAAATATTGAACACGCCTTGATAAGAACTCACTGAAAAGTATATAAATATCCAAGTTAAATTATTAATGGCAGTTCTACCGAGCAGTTAACAAGAAACTTTTAACTAGAACTTTAGATATTAGAATATTTATAAAAGTTATGAAGTACTCGGTAACTTTCTTTCTCTTATACTTTTTCTTTACTTTTTCAATTTTCTCTTTTCTTTTTCAATAGATTTTAGCTGTTTTTCTACTTATCGCTTGCACTTATGCAATTGATTTAGGAGAAAAATGTGCTGGCGATAATAGCTGTAAGGCTGAGAATAGTGAATGCTATAAGTAAATATTATATCTTTTACACTTTATACATTTTCTTAATAAAGTAAATTAATTTTTTACTAAATCATTTTATTTAGGGGTGACGTAACATCCTCTTGTGTATACGGAAAATGTAGATGTAAAACAGGCTATAACAATGGTCCTACGGGTAATGAAAAGGAATGTTGGCAAGGTCCTTAAATTTAAATAATATACACATTATAGACTTTCATTATTAATAATCCTATCTTATTTCTTATTAATAGAGTCTGACTTCGATGGATCTTGCCTTGCTGCCGATAAAAAAATCTGTGATGTCAAGAAACATTTGGAGTGTGACAATCAAAACAAATGCAAATGTAAAAGTGGTTTTACTGAAGAGAATAGAGTATGTAAGGCAGACTCTATAGCTTATGACCAGCCATGTGTAGACACTCTACAATGTCAATTCGGTAAGTGGATTATGAAAACTATACGTCAAAAAGATTAAAAGTTGAATATCACAGACAATAGTATTTGTTCTGGAACTCCTGCAAAATGTGTTTGTGCTCCTGGATTTTACCGAAACGCAGATGTATGTGTTCCAAAACTTGAACACGATGGTGACTGCTCTGCTCCTAATGAAAACAACTGTAATGATTTGAAGCTATTAGAATGTACAGCTAACAAATGTGCGTGTCCAGCGGCACTTTTCCTGAAGAATGGTGCATGTACTGCAGGATCAAAGGGAGATGAATGTGCCGGTACTCCTGAAAAAACTTGTGGAACAAATTTAGTATGCGAAGGAAATCCGAAAAAGTGTGACTGTAAAACAGACTTCACAGAGCAAACTTTCAATAAACAAGGAGTTAGCGTCACAGAATGCCTTCATAAGGATGGTACGTAAAAGTTTACAGAGAAATATATACTTTTTTCAACAGTTACTTTTATTTTCAATAGCGAAAATCGATACTGCTATGTATGATAAATGTGATGAAGCCTATACCGCTACTGGAAGATTTTGCAGCGCTAATCTACTATGCGTCGATTGCTATCCAGGACAAACCAACAGAGTCTGTCTAAACAGTAAGATTATACTAAAACATTCTCAACTAGAACAATAAAATTTGTTATTAATTTAATAGAAAAATCCGAAGCAACAACCACACAAACCCCAGCGACAACAACAGCCGGTGCAACAACAACAACCACAAATTTCTCGTCGATTGCCATCTCCTTACTCTCAGTCGCTGTCATTGCTTTCAGAGTTTAGAAATTTCGAATTTTTCTTTTTCCTTTTACATATTGAATTTGACAAATACTTAAATAAGAAATTTGTTTTAAACTCTGTTTTTATGAAGTTCAGCATGAACGGAAAATAACTCAAAATGAATGAAAAAATGTGTACAAAGAAGTTGAGAAGGATATTATTTCTGATTGAGTTGAATGTTTTTGTTGTGTTGGACTGATGCAATCCGTATTATTCATACTAATTTACAATACATCAATAATCATAAAATTCTGTGTACGTGTATTTTAGTGAGTGCTGCGCAAACTTTACATTAGTCATACCGTTGACATGAGAAGCTAGATAAGAAAAAATAATTAGTATTCTACTTATTTTTATCTTTTCTTTCTATATGAAAAGAATAAGGAACATCTGGTGTATAATTGCATAATTGATTCGAAAATTTCACTCTTCTAGATTAAAATCTATTTTTGAACGAATTCTAACTATGATAAAACTTGAGTATCACACAAGCGTATCGTCCCTGAGATTAGCAAAATGATGCATGAGAATATATGATACGAAAATTTATGTCCATAATTATCTTTTGTCAATATTTGTTGACTATAGCGTTTGTTATAGAAATATTATTCTCTTATCATGAAAAGTGTAGATATTGAATATTTTCAAAGTTTGGAAAGTGAAAATTTCATTTCGTAGCCTGTAGATGGCAGTGTTTTCTTCTTTTTTGAAACATCGCGCTGCACTATCAACCTAATACAGAATAAGCCTGACGTTCTGAAAACGTCAAGGCACCTATATGGAAAATGGCTCATCATGACGAGCTCGAATCCTTCAGAAGAGAATGGAAGAAAGAACTACAATCGGTCTCGACCATAATACCCAGAAATGAGCCACAGCAGACTAATTACAAATCGTTTAATATAGCAGATGAACTTTTGCAGGGAAATGACTTGGATGCTCCTAAATTGTTAAATATACAAAAACGTAAATTAGAAATAGATAATCCTGAACAAAAGAAGAAAAAAGCCCTAGTAGACATTCTTATAGAAGATTTGAATGAAGGAGGTATTCCGATATTTGATATTTCTCTTCCAAAAGAGGTGGCTTTGTGTATCTTCTCATTCCTAAGTATGAAAGACTTATGCAATTGTGCTATGGTCAGCAGAGAATGGAACTCACTAGCATCAGATGATGTAATTTGGCATAAAGTGTTCATAAATGAAGGATTAAATGAGAATATTTTTAGTGAATTATCTTGGAAAAAACAAGTTCAAGCTGTTTTCGAAAGAAGAACTCAGTTAAGTAACAATTGGAGAATGAGAACCGCACATCTAACGAGACTTGAACACGCTAGAGGCGGTAAATTATTGTGTTGTAATTCATCGTCCAAATATGTTTGCGCTGGTTATTCAAACAATTCTATTAAACTTTGGAACATACCAAATTTAGAGGAAGTTGTTCTTCAACCGTCCGAAAATTCTCTTATACTATTAGACGATGATGGACGAGTGTCCAACGTGCCAATGTGCGTTGAAACAGCTGAAGAATATACCGCTGCAGGATTTTTAAGAGGCAATGTCGATATTTGGAAAAATGACGCTAATGGAACAATGGCGTTTAAGTCATTTAATACCAATTCTACTTTGAAGAAAATTAAATTTTCCGAAGATTATCTCGCTTGTACATCAATGGATAAAATATATTTTCATAACTTTCATGATAATGATCAGCATCTTACTTTAGAAAAGAAAATATCAGATATTCTTTTCTATAAGTCGAACCTTTTCGTTCTTAATCTGATAAACGAAATTCACTTGCAAGATGCAACTGGAAAAGATAAGTTTTCCGTCTTAGACCTTCCCCATGAATCTTATGCGGAGAAATTCGAAGTTCGCCGTGATAATCGCCTCGCATTAGCACTTTTTATCTCTTTCTCTGGGCAGCCCTATAGGCTAATACTTCACGATATGGAAACTTGGAAAGAGGTTACTTCACTTTATGGACATTCATCTCGAATTACTTGCCTTCACTCTGCCGACACTAATTATATTTCATCGGGAAGTGTTGATAAGCTCGTACGAATATTTGACGATAGATGTCCTTTAGGGCCTACAAGCGTTCTTCAGGGACACGTTGGTGAAATTACAAGTGTACAAATGGATGATTACAAACTAGTGTCGGCCTCAGTAGGAGGAGATCTTTTTGTTTGGGATAGGAGAACAAATAAAAAATTATGGGAATTTTTTATAAGACATCCAGTCAGACATGTAAGATTTACAGACAGATATCTAGTTTGCGCAGATATCCCAAGAAACTCTGTAACAAGCGATGATGAGATTGAACACTTAAGGAATAGAGGTTCAATATCGTTAATGGATTTTGAATCAAACGCTGATAATGTTTTAGATATATGTCAAAGTTCCTACGACGAACCAATAGGCTATAACTATAACATAAGACTTGCACTGCCATATGATAACATCTCATGATGTTTTTTTTTTGTTTTGTAAAGTTTACTTATTTAAAACATTTCAATTATTAAAATGAGTCAAAAAAACTTTTATTCAAAAAATAATCTTGCGTTTATTACATTCAAATATAACTTTGGAAAGGCCGCCACTTGAAGACAATAATCTGAATATGGAAAATTCTCACCGCCAAGATACAATCGCTCAGCAGACAACTTTAGAAAATGCTTTTCGAATGAAGATAAAGAATGAAAGATCAATGGCTCAAATGAGAAGTGAAATTTTTAAACTTAAAAAGCAAATACAGCGTGAGAGAATCCACAATTATTTAAACAAATTCGAATGGACGAAAATCAAAGATGAGCTATGCGAATTGAGAGCAAAAGATAAGTTCTTAAAAGCAACAATGAATGATACTAATAAGGTAAAAGTTACAATGAGAGCAAGAAATTTTAAGCTGACTCAAGAGAGTGATGAAATCCGTCAAGATATTGAAAAGATAGAGAAAGAAGGAATAGATATATCGGACTTGAAGCAAATATATGGATTTCATAATTTCGATTATGCGGATCAAGCCAAGAGAAAGGTAGAATCAATTGTAGGTTTTTAGCTATATCTCAAAGATGGTGACGAATATTCTAAGATTTCGAAGCTACGTTTTTTCAATTTTGAAATTCTAGCAACGCATTCAAATGACTTGATTGTATTAATGAATGAGGTTTACATCCTAATGGTTGATCTGCAAAAATGTTTAAATAAAGTTCTTATTCAATTTCAATTGCGTCTGTTTTCAATCTCTTTCCGCTAGGCACTTCGTTATCGTCTTCAGCCTTTCTCTTTTTTGGTTCAGATACCTCCATCTCCTCATCAGATATCACCTCAAGGAAGTCAGTGTCGTCTTTTTCATTCTTTCCATTTTTCCCGTTTTCGTTCTGAACGTCGTCTTTCTTTGATTTAAGTTGTTCAATGTCTCCAACTACTTCGAACTCTTGATCCTCTGGTAGATCCTCTTTTGAACTGAAAAATATTTCAATTTAGTGTGATAAAATATATTTTTATAGAAAAAACTAACGCTTCTGCTATGACAATTGTAACTTCATATCTTTGGAGAAAATCATCACATTTTAATTGGCTTCCATTTTTGATACTGAACTCTGACAATGTTTTGTCCATATTTTCAGTTGTTTCTCCTTCCTCACTGGATATTACAATAGTACCTTAAAGTGATATTCAATTTCATTAGATATACTTTAATTATTTTTATTTTGTACCAATACAAACAAAAATACCTTTTCCATCATCTAATTCAACATCCGGAGCAACCATGCCAAGACTACTTTTTAATATCTATAAAATGAATTTTTCTATAAGATGAGAACAAGTAATCACATACAAACTTTATCTTGAAAAAATCTGAGTGTGATGTTTTCTGGAGCAAGACGGACTGCAATCGAAGACTTCGAACAAACATAACACTTTGGATTTGGTTCGCATAAATAGCCCGAGACTGGTAACTTATTTCTTGGATTTGGCATCAGATTCATGTAGATCTTTTTTAAAACATTGATTGCAACGTTGTTGCTTTTATTCAAGTTACCTTACTTACATGTCTACAATCCTTAGCTCTTCCCTGAACTACCTTTAGGGCTTGCAAAACAACCAAGCCTGCTATTATAGCATTTGTTGAAGCAATTGCAGGAATAATATTTCCAGCCATAGCTTTAAATAGATTTTTATGTACTTAACTTATTTAATGACTCTTTTGGAAAAACAATACAAACATTTTATGTCAAATCTACTTTTTCGTTGAATACCAAATATATGAGCGCGAATACAAGCAGCCGAAGTTACAAAATCCATTGCAATATCATCATCCTGAAAATTTGATGACAATTACTTTTCAAAACAATATCAAACATCAACAAAAATCATACTTTATCCCAGATTAGGTTTTCATCGTCTTTAATACGTTCTTTCAATTCTTTCAAGCAATTGGAAAATTTATCAAAACATTCCTTTATAGACCATATTCGCTGATCAGGTATAACGTTTGACTGATTGTCTATAAGCGTACTAAATTAATTACTTATATTAAAATGGTATTGAGCCGAACCCTGAGTATCTGATAATTCGCTTATCACTAATGGTTTAGGAGGAGTTCGTTCCGTCCATAAATTTGTCATAGATAATAGATACTTTATATCGTCATGAAAGAGCTTGTAAGAGTTTTCAAATTAAAATTATTCGAACATTTCCTGAATAGAGACGCAAATTACTCACTTTAGTAAAAACTTTTAAATTATTATAATCATTCTCTTTTGCCCATTTCCTTGTGCTTACACGTTCAAAGTCCAAATTTTTTTGGACAGCTTCTCCAGCATCACCTGCAGCTTCAGGGTCCTCTGTGTCTGGAGAAACTTCCTCGTCAGCATCTGCCTCACCGAAAAGCTGACTAAAAATTGAAAAGCTAAATGAAAATATCCTGAACTTTTATGGCATATCTTACTTAAATAAGTGTTTCGACCAAACTATACAGTGAATTAATTCTGAAGGTGTATTACGAATTGTGCAGCCGGGATATGACTTTTGTCCACTAACAGGAGTACACTCGTAGCATTCTGATAAGTTCTGTTTGAAAACAAGTTAAGGACTTTCATGGGAGAATGGAAAATTACCTTTTTAATAAGAGTTGTTTGACCCAAATAACCAGCAGTACCACTTTCAATCAGGGGTATGTCAGCAGCAAGACACATTCTATTCACGTGTACTCTTGCACCTAATTTAGCGTTAAAAATGACAGAATTAGAACTTGCATCATTGGAATATATAATACAATACTTCTATTATCCAAAGCATTAAGGACGACATTAAACTTCTTGAAAAAATCAACATCATATTTATCACTGAAAATAAATTATTTATTAATAAAGATAAACAAGACATACTCAAGCATTCACCTACCTTTTAATATTATCCTGGTATGCTATGATTTTGGTATTAGGATTAAACTTTAAGGCCGATTCTTTTGCAACCTGAAGAACAAATAATTAGTAGAGATTTGGAGAGTCTTATAGGTTTAACATGATAATCACTTCAGCTTTAGACTTTCCAACGTGTTCTTTTCTGAAGAGAAACTGTCTGTTTAAGTTACTAACATCAATTGTGTCCAGATCAATCTGCATTCGTTGAAGACGAAAATAACGAACTCATCGATAATGGTATAGTTAAAAAATATTTTAGAGTTTTTTCAGTTTACTTACGATTTCAATGTAAGGAAATCCAACTAAAACTAAGTTTTTTAATAGTTCACATCCAATACCTCCGGCACCGACCATGAAAACCTTGGAGTTTTTCACTTTTTCGCATAATTCTATAGGAAGCAAATTAGCACAGTTTACCGCCATTATCTCAGTACCGGTGCTAAATGGAAGTAAAAACTGGTACTCTGTATCAACTTACTGCATGGTTTTGGCTCTTCTTCTTTTTATATTGAGCTCAAACATTATATGAGGAATGTCGCTAAGAAAATCGAGAGTAATATTTTCGCTTAGTCAAGATATTTATACAAATCTTGCATATGAAGACTTAATGAATGGGAAATTAGGCAATTCTCTTTTACTCTGGCAAAATCATCCCTGTGTTGTCATTGGTCGTCATCAAAACCCATGGCTAGAATGCGATATAAGTTATTTAGAAAGAAATAAAATTCCAATTGCCCGACGGAAAAGTGGAGGTGGTGCTGTATATCATGACTTGGGAAACCTCAATTGTACCTTTTATACATCTAGGAAAGAGTATGATCGACCAAAGAACTTAAAACTTATTTGCTCCGCAGTTCAAGATATGTGGCCCGATTTAGATATTTATCCAACTGATAGAGATGACATTGAAATGTTTGGATACAAGGTTTCTGGCACGGCCTCTAAATTAGACAGAGAGCACGCTTATCATCACCTAACTTTACTGGTTAACGCAGATTTACTTAATATGAGCATGGCTCTTAAAAATAAAATAAATATAGAGTCGAAATCTACCAAAAGTATTCGTAGTCAAGTAACTAACTTAACATGTTCAATGGCACCTAGTTTGAACATGGAGTCAATCATAGATTGTATATCAAGAAAAGTCTCTCCTCAGTCTAAAGTAGAAATAATCGATCCAAACGAAGTTGAAGGTGTAAAATACGAAAGAGAGAAAATAAAAAGTTGGAATTGGATTTATGGTTTTTCTCCCGCTTTTACTATTGTTAAAGACTTTAACACATCACTTGGACTCCATCATCTAACGATAAAAGTCGTTAAAGGAAAAATTTCTGATTTCAAGCTACTGCACAAAGAAATTAATTATCCGTTCCTTAACGAAATATTAATCGGTAGTGATTTTCGTCCAGACGTAATAGAACAGACATTAGAAAAATTTATAGGACATGAACTATGTGAATTAATCATAGGGTATATAACGGGGAGTTATGATGATTTATAAATGTTTATGTTGTTTCAAGTTTAATCGATATCGGGCATGTCAGGAACTCCTGTATTCTGGCCAGCTCCACCAGCTCCTGGAAATCCTCCTGGAAATCCTCCTGGCATACCACCTGGCATACCACCTGGCATACCACCAGGCATTCCACCACCCATTTTTCCAGTTAATTTTTCCAAAAGTTTTTGAACTTTTGGATTATCTTTGTATTTGTTGATATTGGAGGGGTTTTGAGAGATATCCGTAAAAGCAGCTGATACTTCAGGATCTTTGAAAGCAGAAGCAATATCTGGGTCTGAGAGTAGCTTCGAGAAAATGTCTTCCATGCCACCCATTCCTCCCATACCTGGCATTCCTCCTCCCATTCCTGGCATTCCTCCTCCCATTCCTCCCATTCCTGGCATTCCTCCCATACCCGGCATACCACCCATACCAGCCTTTTCTCTCTCTTCTTGTTCTTTCCTTGCCTTTTCTCTTTCTTCTTGAGCACGTTTAACTCTTTCACGACGTTCCTTTAATAGTCTTTCTTCTTGTTTTCTTTCTCTTTTACGATTGTGCTCAGCTATTTTTGTTGCCTGCATAATAAAAAATTAGTAAATACTGGGAAGATTTAAAGACAATACGTTACGTTAGGCTGAACTTGTTTAAGCCATTCATTAGCTTGATCATCGTAGTCCAGTTTGACAGCTGTTGCTAAATCCTTTTGAGCAAGATCAAACTTTCCAAGTAATCTGAAAAATTTAACGATGTAATGCAAAACTTGATATTTTATATTAAATATAAAAATAAAAAATTACGCATGGGCTCTTCCTCGCCATTTGAAGCCCTGAGCTGAGTCAGGATTGATGCTAACAGCTTTATTACAGTCTTGAATGGCTGCATTCGGTTTTTGGAGTTTAATGTATACACTGCAAAAAAGTAACACTTATATAGTTCAACATATGCTAAATTGACTTGATATTACCTTGCTCTCTTCGCAAAGAGGATAGCCGAATTAGGATTTAACTTAATAGCTTTGGAAAATAATTCAATAGCCAGATCACAGTTACCGTCTGAAACAGCAGACAAAGCCTGTGATCTCAAGTCTGAGCTTTGATCCATCATCTCTTCCGTAACTTCAACCGAAGCATCACCCATTTCCTGATCAACAATGTCATCTCCCGGTATAACACCTTCAGTGTCTAATTCAAGTTCACTCTCTTCACTCTCGTCTTCAGGTTCAGGTACAGGAGTAGGCTCAGCCTTTGATTCAGTAGTCTTTTCCTTATTGGTTGCGGTCTGTGATTTTGGTGGAATCTTAGCACCTAGGCTGTTGACGTTCTAATTTCAACCCAAATATTTAGCATAATATGATTATACCTCTCTAAATACGACATAAAGAACTGTAATTCCGGTTGGTACAGTACATCTGGATCAGTTTGGCATAGTTGAATAAACTGTTTTAGTTGCTGTAGCTGTTTATGATCCATTTCGAAAATTCTGGAATATTCCTGATATTGAAAAAGACTATAGCCTAAAGCTCACTATAAATGATTATATTTTTAAGCAAATTTGAACTAGGTTAGCCTGCCTATAATTGTGCATAATAAATCATGTCATTATACCTCCTACTTTCAGGAAAAATTCAAGTATTTCGCCGAATAGACGCGTGATTGCTTTACCGATTTGCGAGTGACCGGTATAAGAATAATAAACCGGTTACCGGATATTTGGCGGCATATTTGACATTGACAACCAAATTAGATACTCCTCTAAAACTGTAAATAAAATATTATGTGAAAAAAATAAGTTTTTTTTAAAAGACAGGCACATCTTCCTTATTGAAATGATAATATAAAAAAGTTATATAAAGATAACTACTGTTCTAATAATAAATTAATCTCTTAAATCCAATACAATTTAAGAAGAAATTGTGTAATAAGAATACAAGTATTATATTATTACGGCTTTAGAAAGTACTTTTTCGCAAGTGATTTGTCAATTAAGATCGATATGATAGTATTGCGACTGTCATTCAACTTTCCTCACAAACAATAATTCATATCTGGCTTTAGGCCAGAAATGACAAATTCGAGCGACGATCGTCTGGCATTAGAATTTGTAGCCAGTTACTCCTGTTTAACTTTCATCATCTTGGCCATTTTCGCTGTTTCGTTCTTTCACTATCATTGGGAAAATAGGGAAAAATATCAAAGGCGGAAACTTCGTATTCAAGCAATAAAAGAACACGGCAAAACAGATAGGATTCCTGTCGGTCCTTTTAAAGCGCCTCCGGACACTGTTCTAGTACGAACAAGGATGACAATGTTATATAATAAAATTGACGTTAGGCCTATCGTAACTCATTTCGCAATGGGCTTGCACGAGGACTTATCACTCGAAGATTGGCAGCAAATATGTAAATCACCAATGGGGCATAAAAGGTAAATATTACATTCTATAAATAAGATTTAATTTATTAATATTATTCTCAAATATAGGAAGAGATTAAATCATAGCTCCATGAGAAGGGATCTTGGGATGTTCAAATCGGCTTTATCTAGTTCAGATAATTCTAGTTTAGGTAAAACTGATTCTGATAGTGATTATACAGAAATAGAGGATTGTGCTCACGAGGATCCTAATAGAAAGAAAAAGATAGAAAAACTTAATCGAACAAATATGAAAAGACGAAAGACTCGATTTGGAGGTCTTAGTGTTAGTGTTAGTGTTCTGAATCACGCGAATTAAACTGTGAATTGTATTTTAAGCGTCTCATTTTTTGATTATGAAACTTATTTTGTTTTTTTGAAGTATTATTCGACAGAGCAGCTATAATTTTTGTGAAAAAAAAAGAAAAAAATGATTCAAAGTATTAAAAAAAACAAGCATTTCTCTAATAAACTTGCCTACAATCAAGAAATACTTGATTTTTCACAGGTATTTCAAAATGTGCATAATATTTTCGCCGAATAAACATTATTTGTTTTTTGAACAAGTATTTTAAAGAGTTGTTATTTTTTGAGCGAGCACCGCATCACAACAAATTTTGCTTCGAAAGTAAAAAATTGTTCTATCACCAATGTTCTAATAAAATCTCTTTCGCTGGTCTTCTGCTCTTTTAGTAACAATTACAAAACCAATCATGGCACAGACTGATACTCCCACTAAACCGATAACAATTAGGAAAAATAATTTCCATCCAGAGAGTGAAGACGGCTTGGCATCATCAATGTGATCTGGAATGATTTATGAGAATCTCTGTTAGGCTGAATGTGTTTACATTTAGAAGTGATTTACCTCTAGGGGGAACAAAAAAGTCTGCCTCTGGTGAAATTTTGGAAAAGTCTTCACCTTCCTAAATAGGAAATAATTTATATTTAAAGAGCTGCAGTCAATATTCTATTTGATATTAAATATTTTCTTTCAGTTACCTTTCGATTTCCCTCAAGTTCGTAAAGTTTCATCGATATAATATCATGGTTATCGGCTAAGTCTCCTGTTGCAGCTGATGCTCCAAAATAATATCCAGTTGGTAAACGAACACCCTCTACAGAGAAACACTCTCTCCATTCATTTTTTCCCTCAATATCAGTTGACACAACTAGTTTATTATTCAAGTATCGAATAGCAATAAGTGTATCTGTATCTGCGCCTCTAAAATGGGATTCACATCCAGATAATTCCGTGTGTGTTCCATCTTTGTCATGATCATAATGTCCAGTGCCATTGTTTACCATAGCAGATATATAAGGATGGCCATGCTGTGTAAACAAATTTTAAATTTGTAAGTGTTCAAGCACTTTAATGAATACAGTTCTATCAATAAAAAGTAATGTTTGCCAGATGGCGTTTTACGAAAGAAGTATGTTATCCAACTAACATTATGTGGTCCATTGTGGTTGCTGTATGTATCCAGGAAGACGCCCAATCCATTAAAATAATCTTTATTTCCAAATACAGGTCCTAAAACAGACGTGTCGTGTGAATGAGATTCTATAAAAGAGAGTTAACTAACCTAATTGTAGTCTCTCTTTGGTATACCAAATCGACATCCCATCTCCAAATAAATCAGTTCCAGTTCCATGAACTTTAAAACTAACATGAAGTTCCCAGTCTGGTATAGTGTTAGGCTATTTGAATAAAAAATAAAAAGTGAAAAGGTTATGTGTAAATTACAAGTAACACTTACAATATTATTCCATATAGCGCCTTGTCTACTCTGGTGATCAGGAGTTAATCGTATATAACTATTGGTAACCATGGTACTGCCAACAAAATCCCACTTCCCATCTAAGTGATAAGTGAAAAAATAACTAAAAAAGCGAACACCGACATCGTCTGCTTTGTCCTAAAGATTCGTCATACATCTACAATAAAAAGTATGAAAATAAATGGTACCTTGGTAAGGTTTCACTAAAGAATGCTCTCTTTTTAAATAATTTTCACACGAAATATATTGACTGTAAAAGAGACATAGAAGAAAGATTAAACGAAAATTCATAGCGGTTCGTGCTTCGATAGTCTCCTCAGGAAATGACGCGGTAAACTGGCTCGAGATATATATTTAACAACCACTCGTTCAATGGGAGAGGGACATGGTACCCAGTTTAAAAAACATGCTTCTTCCGAACCTGTCCTATCTTTTTATTTAGGGATGTCCACTTAAAATAGCCCAAAATTTACTATTAATCCTTTATCATAACTTTTTAAATTTAATCAAGAACTAAATAGAAAAATCTAAATAGTTGTTTTTGTCAGTTATTATAATTTTGTAACAGCTTTCTTCACCATTTCAAAGTATTACTAGATAGTAAGTTAAGTATTAGAATATTGAATGAACTGTGTGTTCCTTGCCTATATTAATGAAGATTTAATATAATGTTTGGAAAAATTAATGAAAATATACTTTATTAAGGTACATTGAATAAAAGAAAATAGGATCTTTTGACTTTTCGTCACGTTAGAAAACTATTCTATTAAGAGAAAGTTGGGCGGTGCCCGATTCATTTCAGATGTATTTTATATCTTTTTACTCCAAATGAAGACTACTGAAAGAAAATTTCTATTGATCAAATAGAATAGTTTATTCAGTGCAACTAATATTTATCTGTCAAAATAATCAGTTTTTGAATATTTAACAATAGGAGAAGGTACTGTAACTGTAGTACCGCCTTTGCGCATTGCATCAACAAATTCTTCTTCACTAATTAATTGATTATTGTCAGAATCGGCTAATTTCATAAGATTTCTGATTTGTAAATCGCTGAGAGGTTCTTCAAGGACATTATGTAAATACGTTTTAAATTCTATAAATGTTATATGACCGTCTTGATTTTGGTCAATATCTTTAAATGCCATACGATAGACTTCTATTTCCTCATTTTGTATTGCTTTAATTTGCTTTGGTGGTAGTTTATCAATTTTAAAAGCCATCCATTGACAAAACTCCTCAAATCCCAACTCTTTATTACCATCTACATCTAATGATTCGATAAATAATTCAACATCTTTTTCATTGACAGGAAATTTCCAGCTTTGAAGTTTCATCTTTTCTGAAAATTTACCGATAACTTTCATTAGATCTGCAGAATTTAAGGATCCCTTCTTTTCTGTATCAATTAAATTCCAGGCCTGTTGAAAGACTGTATATTGTTGAGTAGATAGACGAGGCTCCTGAGAACTAGATATTCCACTGTCTTATTAATTAAATTAAAGAGTTTTATTAAATTTTATGGAAATACTTAATAATGTTATATTTATTACTTTTTAATGACTTTTTATCATTTAATTTAGACTTAGTAAATCTATTTGACATTTCTTTCTCTTCTAATTATTTAAATAATATAAAGATGTCATATTATTAATTATTATATAACTGATACAAAATTGTTTGCTATATTAAATATCTATTGAAAATAACAGTATAATGTATCTTAATACATTTGTTATCTTAGTAAAGTTAGTTTTTTCTTATTGATTTATTATATCAACGGTTTCTTTATTAACATTTTATTTATTCAGCTTGTAAAGAAAACTGTATAGAACGCATTATGCACTTTTTAAGTATATATAAATATATTCATTCTTTTATAATTTACTCTTTAGCCTAGATTTTAGCCTAAAATCTTCATCTTTTGTGACAAGTAGGCGAATTTATTTTATAATTAAGAGAGTTTTTACATAAATGAGTATTCGAGTGTCTATTTAAAGTATGATTTGTCTTACAGGGATAATAATGACTATTGTTGGTAAAATTCACTTGCTTTGTTGCGCAATTTTCATTCTCTGATTGATTTGTACTGTTAAACGTTTTTAGATAAGGATAATTGCAACTAGCAATGTTACAATGTGGTAGATTAGATTTGTAGTAGCTTTTTGCTATATGGTACATAGATTCAGGATGCGATCTATGCTGATACGGATCCAAATAGTATATTTCATGAGATGATTCCTCTTTCTTAACTTTCTTCTCTTCAGCTAATTTCCTCTTAATAAATTGTCTATATCTCTCCTAAAAGATGTTATATAATTTAACGTTAAAGAGCTTTTAGTGAAGATAATTTAGTAAACATTTACTTGAACTCTTCCACCGACAGGTTGATTTTCGTAACTATCCTGAACATCAGGAAATTCTTTGTAAGTTGTAACAGGCCTAACACGTTTCTTTGGATCTTTATACTCTGCCATATATTCACTTATTCTCGAACTAGCCTTGTAATTACTAAAACACGAGGCAGTTAGACAAGTAGATTTCAGAATATTATTACTTGTTTCAAGCATTATTCAATGATTATATAAGTGAAATTTAATAAATTTATCTTATAAATTCATGAAAAGTTCATTTTTTTCAAAATATAAAATGTTGTAATCACTTATAAATTAAACAAAAGAAAACGGAAACAATAACAAACACTTTTTATAAAGTAAAAATGTAATCACAAGAAAGAAAAAGAGAAACAATTCTAAATATAGATACCCTGCATCTATGTAACGCATATCTTTATTATCAATTCTACCATTCATCTTCTCTTTTTTAGTTTTTATTCGTTTTTTTTTTATTTTTGCATGCCTCTTTATCTTAAAGAGCAAAAAAAAAAAAAAAGAATCTTCAAGAGAATCTTTCTTTTTATGCTTTATTCTTTCTAACGAAATGGATTTTTGATGTTATTTAAATTAAATAAACAATAATAAAGTAAATAAATATAAATAAATAATATTTGTTTTTTAAAAAAAAAAATAAATGAATTAATTTTGTGTTTTTCGTTTTCATCTCTTTTTTTTTGTTGTGTTGTTGTTACAAATGTAATTGAACTAAGTTTGTTAATTAAGAAGCGGTGCTATTTCTCTTATCATATTGTATATGGCTTAGTTAATAATATAGTATGTCGCATTTATAAGGGATAGAGAGAATGTTTGCAGCAGGAGGTTTCTGTGTTGTCTTTTTTAAAAAATGATATATATAAACAGATCACACCCTCCTGCTCTTACTGTTGTTAAATAAAACTCTATTGATTATCTGATAATGGATAAAATATTCGCTATTTATAAATAAACTGTTCTAAATGGTCTATAGTACTGTATAGACTATGCAGTGTGGGTACGCGGAAATAGAAAATAATATAATAAATATAACTAGTTTATCAGTTACATATCTGTTTTAAATATCCCATTGGATGAGAGTCTAGTTCTCATTCCAAAATTATTATATTAATAATTATCTAAGTGAATAGAAAAGCAACAATAATCAATTTTATCATTATTTCTTCATTGTAACAATACAAAAAGCAAAAACAAAAAATAAAGTGGAAGAATTCTTAAATTCTCTATAGGAAAATGAATAATTTGATAATCAACTCTTTTAGAATAATCACTAGAGAATTTCCCTGGAACATACGATTTGGCAAAAAAAAATATACAGTATTACTGTAGCGTAACAGTTAAAGGAGATTATTCCTGTCTTGTCTAAAAGAAGGAGACAAAGGAGATTTAGAAAAAACTAAGTAGAAGCAGGCAGAGATGCATTTTTCTTTTCATTTCTATGGATTATAGATCTGTAGAAATTTCAGAGATACGTTCCTCTAATATTCTTCTGTAACGTTCAAAGCGATTTTTTACTTTATTTCTGTCGGCGTCGTATTCTATTTTAAACTGTTTAAGGATACTTTGTAATGCTGGCTCTGGTAGGCATGAATAACGCTTAACGGTCTCATCGTCTTTCAACTTATCTAGATTATTCATCACTATAGTTCTATATTCGTTTTTATCTGCTGAGAATTTTAGCCACTCAATCAATGGATAACTATCGTCGTTTAGTACAAACGTTTCTCCGCTTGAACGTCTAATACATATGCAGAAATCCGAGACATCATTTATAATCTGGAATTTATTACAGAGCAATGTAATGACGTCTACTGTTGTTAATAGGCTAGTAATCTGTACTCTTGTATGATCATCGGGCGATGGGGTGAAAATGCTTGTATCAGCTTCGTATAAATGACCGTTTATCATAGAGAGACGTCTCCTAAATTCAGCTTTAGCGTGCCTAGAAGTATTGTCGAAGTGATAGCTATTTCTTGAATTTACAGGTTCATTATTTCGATCTGTTTGCTTTAAGTATAATGGCTTGTTAACCGACCTAGAAAGTAAATATATAATAGATATATTGAGAATATTTTTCTTCCTTAATGGCTTTACCGAATATTACTAGTATCATATTAATACATACCAATATAAAAGAAGCCCTCCTTCGGCAATCAATTCACCATTTAATTCTCGTTTTTCTATACGTTGATGTTCTCTTTCATTATTATAATCTTCGATTAGAATTTGCAAATTTTCTTTTAAATTCTCCATCTATTTTTCATTCCTTTTAATATTTTGACACGAAATTCACGAATTGGATATATTATGGATCCATCTAATTTCTATCTAAATGACATTTTCTGTTGCAAAATCTATCAAGCTGATTAAAACAATAAATTCAACAAGCGATCTGTTATGTTTTAGCTTATTTATCCTATCATCGAATAGTATTGATCGCCACGGTCACCAAAATGATGTCTGCACCAACACAAAAACAGATATAGAATAATAATATTGAGCATATTACTCGAGATGGCGCCACCAGTCTCATTATCACATTGAAAGAGATTATTGCATTAGGAACCAACAAAATGGTTATATTCAATGAATATGTTAACCAGAAATTTTCTAATACGAATCATAATACTTTTTTCATCTATCAAATTTCATGAATAAAGATTGCATTTAAATAATCAACCTTTATTTACTTCTTGTTTATGTGATTACATATACAGTATAATAATATATATATATAAATTTCTACTGTATCTATACTGTATATACGGTATATACAATTTTTATATATTTCTTTATATATACAAGTTGTTGAATAGATCACATACAGGTTTGTATATAAAGTATGATTTATCAATCATTTATAACTTATTTATACCGTTTCTCCAAAAGTTACTCATTACTAAGAATTAAAATGAAAGTACAATTCCATAACCATTCTATGTCGTAATTACATTAAATTGAAAAACAGATGTTCAAGAGTAACCTTGTAGTTTTATTACTTGGGTCAAATACTCTTAGAATCTGTCATTAGACAATTAATAGGTCTATTTACAAGAAGCTTATTAAAAAATGGTGGATTGTAATACGGTATTATAAATTTTTGCATACCTTGATCAATAGAATAAGTCAAGGATTACTATTCTTAATTTGTAGGAGCAGAGATTATTTATACTTCGGCGGGCATTGGAGCAACATACGAAAGATAATATAGACATTCTGTTTAAAGTTTTAAGTATGCGAATATAGTATATAATTATTTGCTGTATGTTTTAGTATATCTAATTTCTTATTTAATAATAGCATCAATAAAAAACCTGTACGAAACTATCCCTTATTTTTCGGAAGAAAAACGTCGTGACCTAAAGAATAAAATTGTGAAACAAATAGAGGATTTGGAACAGGAAGAGATTAGATGTAATGAAAGTAATTACCAAATTGATACGGGATATTGGGCTGACTATCTTAAGAGAATTGTGGAAGAAGATGAACAGAACAAGAACTAATTTGTTTATGAATGATCTCACATTGTCTAATTCTTTTATTATTTCCAATTAATGCTCTCTGAATCGTAAGCAGTAAAACTGGATAATTGTCTATTTATTTTAGTATTATTATTGCAAATAGAAATGAACACGTTTTAAGTATTCTAGATGAATAAATCAGTTATTTTTTTAATGATTCGCTAATTATGTTTTAAAACAACTACGGCTTTTCGTTTCTGATTTATGTATGTTGTTATAAATAATGTTTTCAATATCTCATCTCCAGTGATCCATACTGGATTAAATTGTAGCTTGTAAGTTTCAATGCATTTTCCATCTTCATCAATCATATCTAATCTGTCATTTTGCATATTGGCAACAATGAAACCAATAGATGGTGCCAAAATAATTCCAGCCGGATGGTTAAGTTCACCTAATTTGCATCCTTTGCTGCTGATACTGTAAAGGCAACTGCCATTTGAAAGATCTAATTTATGCACGCAATGACCGTACAAATCAGTAACGTATATATAACTATTGTCTGTCGCTATACCACAAGGTCTTTGCCACTTAAAAGGAGACGGAACCCTGTTTGACCATAAAACTTCACCTTCCCTGTTAAATTTATGAACACCGTCTGAAGCAGCAACAAGTAAACCAGCCGACCAAGCCTCCAAACCAAATGGTTTTAGTATTGATGCAAAAGGAATTATATCACCATTATTACAAAGTAGAATTCTGTTATTCGACCAATCGCCACAATAAAGATTACCATTGAAGAAACAAATTCCTGTAGCAAGAATATTCTCCAAATGAATGTCAGGTTTTATTGGTTGGAAATCATTTGTTGAAAATTTAAGAATAACACTTTCAGGCGGATCTCTCGATATCCACGAAGTAATATACAATATATCATTATTTACACAGATACCTTCCATTTGTTCAGAATCCAACTTAATAGATGCGAATTCATAAAATTCATTTAATTTAAATGTTGATTTTATAACTCCTAAAGATACATGTACAGAATTGTCAAAATAACAACTAGGCTTAGTGCACTCTTTCATAAATTCCTTATTGAAGGCTTCAATTTCAGTTTTTGTTCCTAAGTAATCAAAATTAAGATGATTGTTATTCATTGACTCGATTAATGTATTTAATTGATTTAGAATATTTTTCCTTTCAAATAAACTTTCATCTATTTTTCTTATCATCTCATTTTTTTTACTTGCAATTTGTTCCTCTGCCTCTTTAACTCTTCTTTCCATCTGTTCGACTAAAACAGATTTCTGGTCATTGAGGGCTTTTCTTAAGCCGGTTATTAGGTTAGATTGTTCCATTATCAAATTTTTTCTTGTAGTCTTAAAATCTTCAGGATCATGTAAAATATGCCCTGGATGTAAACGAGTGCAAGATGTACATATAGGTAGCACATTACAAGTTATACACAATAAGTTTAGATCTTTTCCATGTTCGATACACGTTGTCTCTTCTACAGCTTCAACAGCATCGTCAGCTTCATTACTTTCAAAAAAGTCATTAGATTTCAGGCCCTCAACTCCCTGTATAGGCCAAGAAAAAGGAACAAAACACATAGAGCACTGAAATACATCACCAGGTGTGATTCTTTTCTTAACTGATTCATTCTCTAAACACTCCTTACAAAAAGTATGAAAGCAAGATAGAATTTTTGGCTGTCTATTTGTCCAAATTTGATTACAGATGTTACAAGTTATGGCAGATTTTTTAATTGGTAATTTCACAACAGCCGTGTCGTCCATATCTGCCTAGGTCACATGACTTTGATCATATGATCAAGTACTATGCAGTATTAGTATCGTTAACTAGAGTAATTTTTTTTAAATTGGCGCCATCTGTCTCGTTAAAAGTGCGCTCTGTACACTTACGCCCTCTCTGGTATACGTTTAATAATTGTCTAATAAGTGCATAATAATAAAACTATAATTTGACCTACGATATGCAAAAAGATGAAAAAATATCAAAAGTTATCGAATTCTTTGTTACAAGAATAAAATAGCTAATTATATCTTTTTATATAGACAAATTAATCAATCATAGTTCATTCGTAAAAAAGTCTACATCATCTTCCTTTACTCTTTTACTAAAGTTTTTGTTCTGCGTTAACGATCTCATTCTCATCCCTGACGGTCTTCTATAACTCAATACAGAAGCTTTAGATACATCGTTACCTTCCTTATTAAATCCCCTGATAAGCAGGCATGTACAAATCAAAAAGATGAATAAAATAAATGGTACAACTGAAAATCCAATTATCATATATAATTTATTAGTAAGGATAAAATTTTTAATCTTCCGAAGGCAGGTAACATTGTAAAAAGAATCGGATGACGGAATATTATGTAGATTAGCAACTTTAAAAGGTTCTTCGGTGTTATTAACGTACTCTGTTGAAAAAGTGCGTAAAACGAAAGATAACTTTTCTTTAATAAGTCTATATAAAAAGAGAAAGAAAGAAAAAAGTGATACAATTTACTTATATAAACTTTCATCTTATCAAAACAATCTTGATTAATAAAATTCTTCTTCGGTTTGTAATTTTTACAACAAGATCTTGGAAATGGTAAATTCGTATCTTCGTAATAAATTACATCAATATATTCGTCTATACTACGAAAACCGCAACAATGAAAACTGTCTTGTATTCTATGAATTATCTTTCTTATAGAATGAAATCTATCTTCCTGACTGTCGATATTCTCGGAGACAAATGCATTTCTAAATATTTGTACCATGACTGGAATAAATGGTTTTAACGGCTCTTTAAGTGTTACAAAAATTACAACTGTTAGCTGAAATATAATTAATTTATTATCTGATAAGCTGCTTAAATCTTACAAAGCTAATTAGAACCGATTATATCACCATCACTAAAAATAGAATACCAAGTATTACTTTATAAATGTTAAGAATAGATTTAAGTTTTGTAACTGTGCCAGTCAATCCTAAAATTCCAGCCAAATAAACCAAAGTAAAGAGGGTAACCATTGAAATAACGGCAACTCTTATAATATTCACATGACTAGCTTTACTTTGTACACGATCAGATCGAAATCGTGTAGATTGTCGAAGAAATTCATAAGATGGACTAAATGATAAATAAGACGAAAGGACAATAGCAGTCGAGCCAATAAATATAAGTAGAACATTAACAAAAATAAGGAAATTTCTTATCATAATAATCTTTTAAACGGAAATTTTTTGTTCAATGACGATGTTAAAATGGTTTTACACTCTAATGAATATTCATATATTAAAAAAAAGTGCGTATTTATTTCTTAATTCTTTTTTTAAATTTGTAAAATTGTCAATGACATCTTTACATAAGTGTATATATTTCTATTTTACTTCAGTATTGGTGATTCTATGAAACTGTTATTTCTTCTATAAATAGAATTTATTATTGGACCGATGTTTGATGATAGGGTCAACCGATGATAATATTAATAGGGGTGGCAGGTAGTAATGACACTATTAGATTCAATGAAAAGGTCTCTTTTAGCCGACAATAATTCAATTTTTTCAATATTAATTGATTATATTCATTTTTAATAAGCCTTAAAACATTTATTAGCAGTTTTAAGATTTTATATATTTTATATATATTTTGTTTTAAAGAGGTTATCCACCCCTTTAATAATAACTTAGTCTATTATACTTCTAGACACTAGGTGTCTAAATATTAACACTAGTCTTTTTTTCAGCAATACCAGGAAAAGTTTGACCTAACCAGATGGTAGTTAGAAAAGCGTGTTAATCGTTAAAGCTTGTAAATAACTTAAAAACGTGTTTAATATGAATTGAATTCTTCCTATTTGCCAAGGTCGCACTCATTGTTAAGTTTAGGAATTATTTTTAAATATCCAACTATGTCAATTAGAACAAAAAAAAAATAAAGTACTTATATTTATTAAAAATAAAGAAAGACTATAAAGAGACATAGAAAAGAAAGGTTGGAGTATAATCTGCTAATGATATTTATTTGGCACTCGTTGAAACAGAGAAGTCCTACCCGGGGGTACAGAATCGTTTGTTATGGGTTTACCAACCCATACGGGTATTTCTATTGGTTTTAAATATTTCGGTGGTTTATTTTTAGTTAATTCTTGATAGCGTTCCATTGTTAACCAGCAGTCAATTTTTCTATGAATATAGGCTTTTCCGGTTGATAATTTCATTCTAGTAATAACTGGTTCGGATTGGGTAGATGAGGGAAATAGATGAATTTGCTTCTTTTCTAGTTTCTTTGCTATTTTATTTTCGTATTCTTCCTTCTTTTGTTGGCGAGCTGTTTTCTCATGTTTGGAGTTGTTCTTTTGAACAGGGTGGCTTGGAAATCTAGATATTTAACAAATGGTAGAAATATGAGAAAATTAATAGCAATACCAACAAACCTTAAATGATTCCCAATTTCGACTTTTGTTTTATCTTTTGGAATGAATAGGGCACGTTTAATAGCATCCGCCGATGCTGGTACCTCACGAGAATCTAATAAACCGTTCAATTCCTTTGACTGTTTCATTTTAAAGTCATTTGCCAAGTTTGCGGAGCTACCTCCAATAGTCGAAGGATAGCAGAGTTCGTCCAAGTTTTCGTCTCCACTTTTAATAAATGATTTACCCATCTTAAAAAGTTGTAATTGAGTATCAGTCAAGTGTTTCGTTCTATCTGGACTATCAACAAATTTTTTTGCTTCTCGATCGCGTTTTCTAAGATCAACCATATCCTCGGGCGAAGTTATTCTAGCAGCCTTAGAGGAATTGTCAATTTCCGGTGGAAATAATGCATTTGGCGTTACTGACTGTGTATCTGGCGTTTGAGAAACTGATTCTTCTACTTCTCGTCTTTTAGCATTGTACTTGGCAGTTTTTAATAGAGTCATACCACGAGCCAATTCCCTATAATCGAGACAATCATCTAAATCTTTGTCTAAAGTTAAAACGAGATCCTCAAGGTCTACATCTGATATAGGAATATTCTGACGTCTAATTGCACTTCTTAATTGGTCTCTAGTTATAATCCAATCTTTGGTTTTATCAATATGTGTAAAGAGGTCGAGAAGACGTAATTCATTTTCAACTAGATATTCTTCAATAATTTTAATAGCTACTGGAACTGGTCGGGCTAAAATAGGGGTTTTAGGCTTTAATCTTCTCCTCCTTTCCTCTTTTTCAACTTCAGGAGTTGATGGAATGCTACTAAGGTTTCTGCAAATGAATGGATGAAATTAAAATTTCTGTAATATAACATTTCCTTTTAAAAAAAATGATTTTATTTTCCTATTTTAATGATTCTATTTTACAGAGGCGAAATTTTGATACCGCTTTTAATTTATTGTAGGGGGCGCTTAATTCAGTTTTAATTTGTGTCTCACACTGTAATTATAATATTTGAGATAACTCACTTGTTTTCTTTTTTCCTTCTTACGACTCTTTTTTCCATCTCAGTTGCGTGTGGTTTGTTTCTAATGAACTTCTCCACATCATCTAACATTTTAAGATCCTCCCTTAATTTTTTTCTTTCATTTATCCAGTTTGAATGCTCTTTTTCCTCTTCCTCAAGCTTTTTAGCCTTTTCTAATGCCCTCCTCCGTTCACCAGCAGATTTCTGCTCCCTTTTCAGAAAGATTAAATCAGATTTTTGTTCATTTAAATCAGCGAATTTTGGCGCTTCATGAATCCTAACTCTTTTAGGAGTTTGTTTTCCGAGAGTTTTCCAACCAAATCTAAATATATGAGAAGGTTTAAGATTCCTATGTTTGTAGAATTTGATTTGTTCTTCTAATGGAAGATGACCGATATGATGCTTGTCAAACAGCCATTTTATGTGGAAACTTTCTTCATCTAAACTTTCCTCATCACTATCCTTTTCATCTTCCGGATTAGTCATCATTTTAATTAATCTAATTTTCTTGTAATTAAAAACTTAAATTTCCAGACATGTCGTTGCTAGTATAAATATATTTAGTTATGGCTTCAAAATGCAGATGGCGTTAAATTATATTTTATAGGCCTAATAGAATTAACAACAATAAAGAATCCAGTCGTTCTAATGAACTTAAAAGAAGCGTGTGCGCGTGTGTCTATCTGTCTGTCTATCTGTCTGTCTATCTGGATGGCCAATAATAGAAAGAAGAAAAGCAGATGAAATACACTATGTATCATTTTCAAACAAGCATCAAAATTTTAAATAGAAAATTCCAATACACATAAATAATTCTAAAAGGATATATTGATATGATATTAATAGTAATCAAATAGTTCAGCTAACAATAATCGCAACGAGTTGTATCGAGTAGCGAACTAAAAAGAGTTAGTTACTTTATATTAATGAAAAATGTCGTCCGATTTATAATGACGTATATGTATGGTAATATAATAAACTTAAAGGCACAAGTAATAGGTATAATGATGAAAGGTGAACTGATTCGTAGATTATGCTCTAAATTTTGTCCTACTGCCCCTCGACTGTTCTCAAAAACAAGTCTCTTTTGACCTAAAAGTACATTTGTAGGAACTATGTTCTCGTTTTAGAGAGAATGTTCTTGTTTATTGCACTGAAAAAACTATGTTGTTCTTTTTTTTAACCTAGAACAAATATGTTGAACGCTGCGTATCAAAGTTCTGTGGACGAGTTCATTATGCTTGAAATATTTTAGTGGATTAGACCATATTTGACGACTACGTCATACTTTATTTTTTATATATTTTGGAATAGTTTACTGCCAAAATTAAGGGAGAGGAGACAGGGGTGTAAGCTTTCAAGTCAATTCATTTCCTCCGTCCCCCTCAATAAACTCGACCGAAATGTGAATAATAGAGAGAATAGCGTTATTCGTGACATTGTACGTTTTCTAGATTACAATAATATAAAAATAAAAGAGGTTAAGAGTAGTCCTATAATTCTATTATTAACTGAAAAATATGTTTACAACTTATAAATTGGTTCGATACGTATTCAAATAAAAGAGATGTTTGCGTAGCATCCATTAAAATCCTTGTAAAGGATAAACTAGAAATGGCTAGGGGTCGGCTAAAAATAGTACCCCAAATATATCTTTAGGAAGTTTCAAGTCCATAACCTTGAAAGATAGGTATATAGACGCCTACGTCTGGCAGCGAAAAAGGATACAAGCCAGACGAGTCTTTGTCTCATATGCAACTAAATATAAAAAATATCTGTAGACGTGATGCGTCTACTTTAAGAGTTTTCAACCTTTGACATTTTAATGTAGCAAGAGAGGAACAAATAAAGCCATGTCAAGGTTAGACAGAGAACGTAGTAATTTACTTGGATTGCGCCAATTGAAGCTTCTCTTTCACTTTAACTGAATGCTAATTTGATACTTTAAAGACTACTAGTTGTTCTTTTTATCACTAAAGGAATGTCCTTTATATACGTCACGCAACTTTTTAGCAACAGGCCTAATAGTACTATTTAAAGAAATCCAAGAATCTATACTCTAGTGTCGGACTATCCACTCCTTTATCACACAAAATATTTAATTATAATTATCTATTAGTATTTAGAGACACGGCTAGTAATTAAAATATTTATAATTGTTAGTAAGAGATATCCTCAGATGAGCATACTTAATTATTTATTAAGATGATTAATAGCATTCTTATAGAATGTTAAGTGTCATTTTGCTTTCGTTTATTGCAATAAAGATTTTGCAATTAAAGGTTTATATTCAATCGTAAAAGTTTCTTTCTTTTGTTAAAGAAAATGTATAGAGACATTAAACCTTTAGAGAAGACTCAATAACAAGCTTTAAGCTAAAGCAGTGAACCCTTATTAAATAAAGATGATTATCTATCGAGTTTATGTCCTTGTTCTAGAGCATAAAATCTTTTTTTTCTTTCAAACGTTTAATGCTGTGGGTCTGACCTCTTTATTTTAAGACAAATAAACATTCTGCAACTACGGAAAACAATTTACGAACAGCCTTGAGAGAAGTAGATTGCACTATTTCTGACTAACTTGCGCAAAGCGGTTAATTTATTCAAAGTGGGCGATATGTACTGGAAATAGCTATGAGAGGGGTGGCGGCTTTCAATTCTAGTTTATAAATAGGACAGGAGGACGTAAAATTGGCAGCTACAAGGTCAATGATCTACCCACGCAGGTCGTACACCTTACATCTTGCGTTCACTGAAAGTTGACATAACCTAAATTCAGGCCTAGAGCAGTTTGTTTTTCAGTTTTCCATTAAAGCAAATAATATTTACTTTTAAATCAGAATTGATTTATCAAGTTTTCTTTTCAGTGAGATACGATTATTGTTTTACGAGTAATAAAATACTAACTATGTTAAACATATTGAAATAAATCAACTTTATATCGTTTTTCTTATTTAAATACATAACTTTAACCATTTGTAATTTACTTTTACAAATTAGAAAAGTAATAGCTACAAGAGGTTATAGAAATATTTTTAAATAATAAAAGAAAACATCCTATAAGCAATGAATACTTGAGTGTGAGTGTTGTATCTAGGAAGCATTTTTTTTTTTGGTTGGTTTTTCTGTTTCAAAGTTCTAGTTGCGCGGAAATTGATGAATAATTCTTATAGAAGGACTAAGGACAATGAAATATAAGTGTTAAATAGCAAATATAAGACAAATATTTTAAAATTATCATTACCTCAAATAAATCGCAGGTCATTTTTACGGAAGTTGTATCACACATTTCACGTATCGAATGCATAGATAGCTGAGCTATTTACAATAGAATGTAAAATTTTACTTTTTATGAACTGTTATACTATTTATTAGGAATGACGTACCGGCTCCTACATCAACTGTAGGAATTCCTAACTTTGCAGACATAAGGGGACCTAAAGTACTTCCACAAGGAGTATCGTTACGGACAACGAACTCTTGCACGGACACTCCCCCCAGTTCTGCTATTTTTCTCATAATTGCTCCAGTTATTGCTGTTGTCGCGTAGCGTTGATTTTGATTAGTTTTAATTACAACTCCCTAGAAATAAAGTTTCTTTTTAGACAATTAAAATTATGTTTGTTAGTTAATTAAATTAAAGTAACTTTGTGAAAATTTGGTTTGTGCTGATCTTCGTGTTTCTCTGTATAGTTTGGATGAACTGCATGAGCCATATCGCAAGATACCATCAAAGACTTGGGTATAGATTCTTCATAAGCTAAAACGTTATGGTTTTGTGCAGAGCATAGCCTCCTCATAATTAGTTCTTGTAGTGTGGATTGTCCTCCTTGAGCAGTTTCTGATCCAACTTCCTCATTATCGAACAAACTCATCATTCTTATCATAGTATCAGTTTCAAATGATTCTGATTTTGTTGAATTGACTAAACCCTACAGAAAAGACATTTTCTTTACACTATTAGTGAAATTTTACTATAAAATTACTTTAATGGCACAGAAACATGAATGAAGATTGTCTAATCTTGGAGAAAATATAAATTCATCAAAGAGACCTCCTATAGCCTAATTAAAAAAGAGGAATCTAGTTATTACATTTATGTTGGTATATAAATATTTTAGGATCCCTACTGCTGGTTGTGTATCAGTCAAACATAATTCAAAATCAATTATACTTTCAACAGATACATCTAGTTCTCCGCAAATAGCTGAAATTAAACATGAGTGATGATTCTCTGCTATCTTTGGAAAGTCGGGACTTTTATGAGGCTTAGCTGATGTTAAAAGTTCTTCTGTTATTTTTGTTGCAAGAATGGGCGTTCTAAAGAAGGTTTTTTAAAGGATATATATTATTCTTTGATACAAATACTAGTATGATGGTTGACATACAAATGATTCTCTTTATTCCATTCGAATTTTGTTCCCATATCTCTTTCCAAATGAATAGCAACATTTGGTATCCTTAATATAGGCTTGTTTATGTGGAAAAGTCGTTGAGCGATGCTTTTACCATTCTAGAAAGAGAATATGCGCATTAACAAATAAGTCAAATCATGAAACGTAAACAGGTAATGGTATTCTATAAATATAACCTGGATAATGACTCTCCCTGCTATAGTCAAATCTCTGTCGAACCAGGTATGCCAAGATCCACCTAAAAGGTTTCTAGTACAGTATTTTTTGTCTAATACGCTTATTGAATTATAGCGTAAATTGATTTTAAGAACCTCCATAACATTCTACCCCAACTTGCAAAAAGTCTTCTCTCATTTTCTTAGATATGGGTTTGACTTTGAGGCAGGGGCTGTCAGTATGAGCTCCTAAGATAGCAAATCCATTTCCCGGCTGGTAATTTCCTCCAATAGCGAATGCTATTAGGGTCGACTTATTTCTCGTAACGTAATACTATTTAGATAAAAAGAATTTTAGTTCAGAGTTACGACCTGGATAATTTACTTTATTGTTTGGTTTCACATTCCACTTCTCCGTCTCTTTCAACTCTTTGAAGCCCGCTGCTGCTAGTAATTGACACCCTTCCTCTACGGCTATTTAAAAAAAAGGATTTTAAATTACTATTAACTTTTTAGAAGAGACAGAACTTGGTTTAGTACAAATATATCAATATAACCTACGTACCATGGAAGGGGGAGGGAGACCTATTTATAAAATTAATAAATTCTTTTGCAAGTCCAAGAACACGTTGATTTTTTGCCTAAATGAACATTAAAGGATCATGATGAATAGGAAAATATTTTGCCACTATTTAATTATAATATCATACAGTTTGCCATTTTCATTAACTAAATAAAGAATTATTAATTTATTAATATTTTTGAGCGCTTAGGTTACAAACCATTGTTTTATAATCAAGATAAAGAGGTTTTAAAGAAGTGGTGACCTATTCAGTGTCTGTTGACCCTGGACACCATACAAAAAATATCGGAACTGTAATTGTCGTGTATCGAAACTACGACTTTCATTATTATTACTCTTCCATGGCGATTATTAGTATAAATGCTATCAAGATTGTTCAATAGCTTAGAATTTACAAGCAAAACTTATATTAAACATCTTATTTTCCGAAGAAATCCCATAGTTCTAGTATTGCACAATAAAATGAGCGATAATACAAGTTCTTCACAAATCAATTTAAATTTCGACAATAGGTGTCTTCGCGAACTACCAATTGATAAAGAAGAGCATAATTTCACCAGACAAGTTTCCGGTGCGTGTTTTTCCAGAGTTGACCCAACTCCGGTTGACAATCCGACTATAGTTGCATATTCCAAATCTGCTTTGGAACTGATTGGTTTAGATGAGGAACATGTACAGTCTAAAATAGTTTTAGATACTCTCTCAGGCTGCAAAAAATTCAATGGATCAGAAACATATGCCCATTGTTACTGTGGCCATCAATTTGGCAATTTTGCAGGACAATTAGGAGATGGGGCTGCAATTTACCTTGGTGAATAGAGAAAACACTTAAATGTTAAAGTCAAAGAAATAATGTTATAACATTTATTAGGGGAAGTTGTTCATAAGGACAAAAGATACGAAATGCAATTAAAAGGAGCGGGTAAAACCCCATATTCACGAGAAGCCGATGGTAGAAAAGTATTAAGATCAAGTATCAGGGAATTTCTTGCAAGCGAGGTGACAGATATATAACATTGTAACTATAAGTAATCGTTCTTTGTCTGCCTGATTTATTCTTAAAGGCGATGCATTACTTGGGAATTCCAACAACAAGAGCGGGAACAATAATCACGAGCGATACCAAAGTTGTACGAGATATTTTCTATGATGGAAATGCCAAATTGGAAAAAGCAAGTATTGTTCTACGAATTAGTCCATCATTTATAAGGTTTGTAGATATTGAAAACATTTTTACATATATATATATATCTATATATTTATTACTAATTTATGAAATTGAAATTCTTACTAGATTTGGTTCTTTTGAAATTTGCAAACAAACTGATAGCATGACTGGTAGAAAAGGGCCAAGCTTTAATAAACCTCAGACACTCGTAACACTTTTGGATTACTGCGTCAAACATTATTACCCAGAGGTGATAATTTCTTTAAATGTCAACTGAATTATTGCTTAAATTGACAATCATATTTTCTCTAAGATTTGGGAAGTTCACTCCAATAATAAAGAAAAAATGTGTAGAGAATTTCTTATGGAGATTTCGAAGCGCACAGCAGAGTTGGTTGCATCCTGGCAGTGTATCGGCTTCTGTCATGGGTTTGATGTTCATTTTAATTGTGATTTTTTCTAACATTTTCAATTTTATCCAGAGTATTAAATACGGATAATATGAGTATATTAGGATTGACAATAGATTATGGACCTTACGGATTTCTAGACAGATATGATCCTCACTTTATTTGCAATGCTTCTGGTTTATTTCTTTTTTCCATAGTATATACTCTCTAAAATCCAATATGATTTAAAACTTAGATAGCGGAGGTAGATATACTTATGAAAGACAGCCAGAAATTTGTAAATGGAACGTAGGGAAATTGTGCGAAGCTTTGACAGATTTCATCCCATCTAGCGATATACAAGATATAATGGAGTGCTTTGACGTAAACTATAATAAATCCTACTTGAGCAGATCGAGAGAAAAGGTATTCACATATCATAATATGACTATAAACTTGTTCTTAATTGTCTCCTGTTTTATAGTTGGGTATATTACATGCAACTGAAGCGCAAGATAAGCAAGACATGTAAATTATAAAGTAAATCTACTAAATTTCAAACTAAGAAATGATGTATTCTCTAGGGAGCTGATTAAGGAATTCTATAACGTAATGGAAGCCAATGGCTCGGATTTTACAAATACTTGGAGGTGTTTATCAAATTTAAACTTTCCAACATCTGAAAACTTTAAAGAAAGTCATGAAATAACATTAACGAGTCTAAAGGAAGCATCTTCTACCTTAGAAGAGCTTAAGTTAGCCTTTGCTCCAAAAATGGAAACCAGGTAACTAATAATATTTAAGAATCAAAAATTTATAGATGCATTACAACTATTTCTCTAGAGAGCTACAAATGTTTGTACAAATGGCTCAAATGAATCCAGAATTATTAAATAGAATAGGAGTCGGTGCTAATATAGTCTTAAGAGAACTTCAGAACAGAGAAAAGATGGCGGAAATCAAAGTAGGATTAAATTTTTTTCTAAATCTAGCTTTATAAATATAAATATCAGGATTTTTCGGATGAAGAAGCCTTAAAAGTATATCAACAAAATAAATGGAACGATTGGTTAAATCAATATGTTAAAAGACTGGAAGCTGATATTGAAGGAGTTAATACAGATATTAAAACTTTAAATACAGAAAGAAGAAATATCATGAATAAAGCTAATCCCAAGTTGGAAGATAAATTGAATATTTTATTTCAAAACATTATTTTCTATTTTACAGACTTATTCTGAGGAATTATATTGCTCAAAGTGTTATTGAAAAGGCGGAAAGGGGCGATTTTATTCCAGCCAATAACATTCTAAAATTATTGGAGACGCCATTCGAAGATCATTTGTTAGAATCGAATATTGACCGTTTAACTTTAACAGATAATAAAGAAGAAAGCGTCAATAGAAGTTCAGTTGACCCACCTGATTATTCTGTAAAAGGTTTGTTATTTAGTCTAATCGACATCTTATCATTTTTATCGTTATGTGAAAGTTTTTATCTTTTTTTTTGTACTTCTAGATGAAGTAGCTAAACTTGGCAATAAACCGCCAACTTGGGCTACTGCAATTAAAGTCACATGATCTTCATAGAAAACTTTTTTAGATATGGCATTTGTTTCAAATTAAAAAATCGACATATACTGTCTGTTTTTATGATGATGACGTAAGCGTAAACTTGAAGAGCTTACGTTTGATGTAATTTTTAGCAAATTGCCTTGTGAAAATTTTTTGGATGATTTATAAATAGACAAATGATAAGAAATATCTACTAAATATAACTTTTTTAAAACGATTGTTAAACGTTAGAAGTTGATAAAAGAAAATAAAAAAATTATTGATCAATTTACTGTTTCTTATTTATTCAAACATTGGAGAAATGTGAAAAAAATCCTTAAAAATCTTAAAATTTAATTGATGCTTTTTTATACACTTGATGGCAGTAGTGTCTTACTGCCACATGAGTCATTACGGAATTCCCTTGGGTTAGCGTGGGTTTTCCAATGATATACAAAGTAACTTACATCTCAGCAAATGCTACATAGATTTTTCTTTAAAAAACTAGTAAGCATCAACAAAAAATATCGAATTTCGAACAATGGAAAAGCTAAGAAGATATTGTTCAGAGAAATGGCCAAGAAATTGAAGAAAAATGGCCATTTATACAGAGTTGGTGCAACGAATCACCTGGATCCGAACACAAGAATACGTCAATATAAGGAATTTAAGAAGTGCTGCAAGTATTATGCAGAAACAGATAATACTAAATTTGCAGAAGATCATCTATTGAAAATTCTACCAAAAAATCATAAATTCAATATTCATCGCCAAAGTAATATGACAGGGAAAAAGGGATACGTTTACATAATTGACACAACTCATATGACCAAGAACAAAATAAGAAAGAGACGCTCAAAGCGTTCTTTCTTCCGGCGAAATTTTCTGAAGAGACTATGGAAACGTCTTAGAAAATACTTATTTTTCTAGAATGAAAATTAGAGAAGAAAATCAAAAAAAAAAAGAATTCTATTTTGCAATATTTTTTTATAAGAATCTAATTTACATATTTTTTAAATGCATATGAAAGCATGAAGATTTTGTATAATATTTCATTTTTTATTGTATATATATAGGTGTATTTGTATGGTTACAAAATGTAAATTTGTATTGGAAGAACCACATGGAACTTTTCTCCTCATACGGCTGTGAAACGTGTATAGATTTCCATTATTATTAATTCTAAACTGTTTTTAATATAAATTGCATACTCTATAACCCTTATTTTCTTTTCAAAAATGAAATAAAGCATAGAATAATTAACGATCTATTGAAAAAATAGTCTAATGGAGTAGGTTGTGTAAAGTGTTCATTGTTAAATAGCTGATTGTCCTCATTAACACTTAATGACAGGGTACATAAGTCTTCAATGAATATATTACAAGGGGTATAATTTAATATAATCAATCAATTTGAAGGATAAATTTTATCATTTAATCTCAGCTGCAAAGTTATCGATATAGTTAGAATAAACATGCAAATACCAATAGCTACGAAGTAATACTTGGGCAAAAAAAAAACCAAACATTGACAAGTGTGCCCTCTATACTCCTATTTGATCCTCTACAGGAAATGTATTTTTCTCATTTTCGTGCGAAATTTTAAGTTCGTCTGATTATTTTTATTATGAACAATAATTTGGAATGTGTTGATTGTCAGCTATTAAAGAATATTCATGAACAATTAAAAAAACCTCCCGAAGAATCGGCGAATGAGATATCAGTTTTAGAATTAGTTAAAGGCGACTATTTATATTATCATTACGGCTGCGATGGATTTGATGATCGCGTAAGCATAATTAATTTCTAAAATTTTCAGTCTAGAAACCAATCTTTTCAGGGCTGGGGTTGTGGTTATCGAACTTTACAAACGTTGTGCTCATGGTTGAAATTTCAAAGGGACTGCCCAGAATTAGTTCCACCTTTAGATGGGATACAAGAATCATTAGTTGATATGAATGATAAAGCACCTTCGTTTATTGGGTCCAAAACATGGATTGGAAGTATAGAAGTGGCTATGTGCGTAGATTATTTTTATGATGTAAGTACTACCTAAACAGCCTGAACAATCTTTCTATACTGTTTAACAATTTAGACATCCTGCAAAATTGTTCATATTAAACAAGGTAGTGATCTAAAGAATTTTCTTCCAACTATCATAAATCACTTTGAAAAGTATGGGTGTCCAATAATGATGGGTAGCTATGCAATTTCTAAAAATAAAAACAGCATGCTAAAAATGAATTCTCGTTTTTTTTAGGTGGTGACAGCGATAATGCTTCTAAAGGGATATTAGGCGTTTGCCAAAGTAAAGAAAACGCCTATTTATTGGTTTTAGTAAGTACACTATTTGTTTAAAAGGGCATACTCTGACTGTACCTTTTAATAATCATTATATTTTTACAGGATCCTCACTATTACGGACCAAATCAATCTCCTAGGGAATTAACAGAAAGCGGCTTCTTGTGCTGGCGCTCCTTGGAATCGTTTATGCCAAACTCTTTTTACAATCTATGTTTAGTTCAACTTAAAGCATCTGAAATTAAATAATTAAAATCCCCACTTTGTTCTCAAATTGCGGTTATCTATTTAAATGTAGTGCAAAAAAAATTACTATACAGTATATGCTATAGTAATGGAACAGCAAATATGTACGGTCGTTAAATTTTAATATTTGTTCAAATGTCCTGCAGTTTATTTTTTTTCTGTTATCATAGTTTGGAGTGGAGATAAAGATAAAACGATGAACTTTGCATTAAGAGACAAAAAAATCTAGCAATATGCCGTGCTATTTGTTCAGATATCCTGCAATTAGAAGAGATAATATTTAGATTATTTATTACTGACCGTTTGATTTGATTAGGTTGTTGAAAGATGGTGTTCTCTACACACTTGTTTTAATTAAGTATAGATATCTATCTTACATGTTATTGTGTGAGTTAAATAAAATACCAACAACAGTTAAAGGTTGTGTTTATTGATCCAAGTTAAAAACAATGTGATTTCCATAAACAAAAAATTTCGAATAGAACTTTGTTAAGTTGTTCCATGCTGCAGTTAAAGTGGAAATTTCTTGACTGTTTGTTTTTTTCAAGAAATCGAACATTTTTCACATTTTTAGATAAATCACACATGCAATTTAAAATCAAGCTTGTTAGATAAAATAATCTTATAGTAGATCCATTTCACGATCTAGATTATCGTTAGATAAGAGTGATTGACCATCCGTAGGCGAAGATGCGAACTTTTTTATTTTACCAAATTTGGACGGAGAAGCTGAACTTGATCTGAGCTTAATATTATTCTAAAATATATTCTAATTGTTAGTAAAAGCGATAATTATAGGTTAATTAACTTTACTGAAAGGCCTCTATGCAATTCAACTTGTCGATCATTGCTCTGATCATTTTCATAAAGATGAAAATATTCTGAAGTTATTAAATCTTGTCGTTTCTTCTTTCTCCACCTGAAGAAGAATGATTAAAAATGATTATTAGTCATAATGCACAGTCTAATAGTTTAACTGTCCTACAATTTAAGCAATAACGAAGAGAAGACGACGGAAAGAGATGAAGAGGCCATGGCAGCCGATGCCATCCATGGTTGTAAGGATAAGCCAATCGGGAGAAATATTCCTGCTGCTATTGGTATTCCGACAAGATTATAAACTGTAGCTGCGATAAAATTAATCCTTATTCGTCTAACAGTTTTCTTTGATAATTCTATCGCATTAAAGACATCCAATAAGTCATTCTGCAATAAAAACTTATTTTAATCACTGTCTTTTATCCTAATAAACACCACTTTATTATCATAATGAAAGAATACTAACTCGTATTAATACCATATCAGCAGCCTCGACAGCAACGTCCGTACCAGTACCTATAGCAATTCCTACATCCGCCTGAGCTAATGCTGGCGAATCGTTTACTCCGTCACCAACCATTGCAACTTTCAATTGTGAATCTTGCAGTTGTCTTATCTTTTCTACTTTATGAGACGGTAATACCTCAGCAAAAACTGTGTCAATTCCTACTTGTTTAGCAATAGCTTGAGCAGTTCTCACATTGTCACCAGTTAACAAAATAACATTTAGATTTAATTGTTTTAAAGCATGAATAGCCAAATGAGCCTCTGCCTTCACAGAATCTGCGACACCTATCATTCCTACAATTATACCATCTACAGCACATATAATAGCAGTGTGACCTTTTTCTTCTGTCTTTTTCATCGATTCTTCAAGTTCATCAGTTACTTGAAGGCCATTTCGCTTCATCCACTCCCTATTACCTATTAAAACTGAATAAACAGTATCACTCTCTTCTACAGGAGTTGCAGCTGTCAGGCAAATACTGTCGACAATAGTTTCTCCAATTGTGACTTCACAGTTTATATCATCATCCGTTGGATTTGGAGTGTTTCCAAGAAATTGACTAATTTTGCTAACATTACATTTGAGACCACAGCCAGGTATGGCTTGAAAATCACTAGGAGTTCCTAATGTCTCCGATCCGATTAACTGCTTTGCATATTTAACGATAGATGATGCTATAGGATGTTCACTGCTTGATTCCGCTGTGCCTACAATGGCTATAATCTTCATAAACGAAAATTGACTTTCAGGGACGATAATCATGACTTTCGATACTCTAGGGGTTCCATATGTAAGTGTTCCAGTCTTGTCAAAAACAAAAGTATTGACTTTGTGGGCTGTTTCTAAAGGCTCTCCACCTTTTATAAGTATTCCATTAGTTGCACCAACACCAGTGCCAACCATAACAGCCGTTGGGGTGGCAAGACCTAAAGCACAGGGGCACGCGATACATAAAACTGTAATTGCAAACCTAAAAGCGTGTTCCCATATTACTTCATGACGGTTCTTATCTCGCTCTTCATGATTCGCATCAATAATATCTGTATTATAATACCCAATAATAACCCATCCTATTAGAGTAACAGATGATAATCCTATGATAATTGGAACAAACAGTCCAGCAATTCTATCGGCTAGTGCTTGTATAGGAGCTTTAGAAGTCTGAGCCTCTTCAACGAGTCTAACTATTTGTGATAGCGCACTATCCGAACCAACATGAGTTGCTCTTATAAAAAGACTTCCATTCTGATTTAAGCTTCCGCCAATGACATCTGATCCAGGATTTTTGGGGACAGGCATACTTTCTCCTGTTATCATACTTTCATCGCATGACGAGCTTCCTTCGACAACACGACCATCCACTGGTACCTTTGTACCAGGCGTAACTTTAAGAATATCTCCTCTCTGAATCAATTTTACATCAACAATAGACTCACTAATAACGTCTCCGTTTGGTCCCATCTTCACCAACATAGCTTCTGCTACTTGAAGTGACATAAGTTTGGCCAATGCTTCAGAAGTTTTACCTTTGGCAATATGTTCTAACCATCTTCCAAGTCCAATAAAAGTGAAGAGCATGGGTGGTGTGTCAAAAAACGTTTTAGGAGAGAAAGGTTCGGATAAGCAAATTGCAACAAGAACAACAATAAAGGAATAAAGATAAGCGATACTTGTAGCTAAGACAACTAACACATCCATATTAGTGGTCCTATGCTTTAAAGCTGCCCAAGCATGAATATAAAATTGCCATCCACCACAAATTTGAACTGGTGTAGCTAAACAAAACATCACAAGATTTTCTATTGATAAACCAGGAACGACTAAACCATAATGAACAGGTAGAGTTGTATTGTTCTTTTTGGCTTCTGCTTTTGCTCGAGATCGATCGATCATAAAATAAATCATAAGAATCATACATGGTAAACCGAAAAACAAAGCAATGAGGAATGAATTTCTCCATCTAAATAAAGTTTGAAAAAGAAAATTGTTATTAAATTTCAAAAATATGACAGTAGTCTTACTTTTTTGTTATTTTTCTATGAGCTTTAACATCTAATCCTTTATTGTCGTCTGTTGATAATTCGCAAGGGTGGCCTAAGCTTTCAATTATTTCGATAATAGTGCGCGGTCCCGTATTGGAAGGGTCATAGGTAATTTTTCCGCTGGAAGTTGCAAGTGATACTTTAACATCTACGATGCCAATTTTTTTCCTTAAATTTGATTCGATGTTATGAACGCATGAAGAACAGGTCATACCCTGAATCTGTTAAAATGTAATATCAACCATTATATTCAACTATTCAATTATTTTATAAACTCTTCCATTACCTTTAAATCTACTACATTGTCTAATTTTGTTTCTGTTACACAAGCCTCGAAACCTAAGTCTTCAATACAATTTTCAATTTCTTTAGGGGTTAAGATATCATCATCATAAGTTATTTCGGCTCTTTCAGCCATTAAAGCTACCAGCACGTTTTCTATGCCTAGAACTTTCATTAAGCCTTTTTCAATAGCAGAAACACAAGAACTACAAGTCATTCCTCTTACAGAAAGAATACATTTAGAATATTTATTTTTATGATTGTTTTTCACTAATGGCTCCATCTCAATACTGACAGATTCAGCAGCAACGTTATTTGATTTCTTACTTGATTCTTGGCCGAATACAGAGGCCTCGAATCCCATATCATCAATTTTATCAGCAATTTCTGCTGGAGAAGTTTTACTTGGATCGAATGTAACAACGGCATTTTTATCGATTAAGCTGACGTTTATAAGTTTAACACCTAATTCACCACTCATTGTTCCTTCTATATGTTTAACGCATGAGTTACATGTCATACCTTCTATATTTATAGTACATGAGGCTTTATTATCCTGATTATCACTTTGTAATAAACTCTTTTTAACATTGACAGATGCGTCAAAGCCCATGTCATCAATAGCATCGGCTACAGCTTCGGGGTGCGTTAATTCTGGATCGAAAGTAAAAATACCTTCTTTATTTTCAAGTGATACTTTAATATTCAAAATGCCCTTTGCGTTTGAAATGGTATTTTCAATATTCTTAACACAAGAATTACATGTCATTCCTTCGATATCGATAACTGTTGTTTGTCTTGTTAATGAACAGTCGAAGCCCATATCGTCAATTGCATTACGAATATTTAAAGGTGAAATAAATCTTACATCATACTTTACAAAAGCAGACTCTTCTTCCAAGCTGACTTTTATACTTTCGACACCTTTCATTTGAGAAATGTTTGATTCTATTCCGTGTACGCAAGATTGGCACGTCATGCCTCGAACTCTTAAAAGAGTATCTTCTAATTCAACCGCATCACTCTTTACACCTAACGATCTTAGTTCAAAAGCCATTTTTTCCTGAGTTAGGCTGTTTGTACCGTATATTCTAAGAATGGAAGTATCTAAATCAAGCTGAAAAATAATTAAAAATATTTTTAAGAGGCTATATGAAATATTTTAAAAGATTAATAAAAGAATTCTACACTGAGGTATGAGTGATGACATAGCTATCAAAGCTGGGATGAAATTATATCAAGAGAACAAAGTACAAGCATTCCAAAATTAAGTTTCGATACAGAATTAGATGTATATACAACATTTCACATTTTCAAAGCAAATTGAATTATCATGGCACTTACTACTGCTTTTGAAACATAATCTAAAAGCTCCAATCTTTCAATTGTACGATTTTTATCTTCAGATTGAAAATCAAAAAGTTGGCGAATCACTTGGATTGAACCTGTTTGTTTAGCCATCTTACTTTAAAATATATTCGCAAGTCTTAAAAATCCAAAACGATTTCTTAAGAACAAATGTTCACATGATTTTCTTCAATAGATAATAATGAGTCACAAACTCTTAAGTCGTAAGCTAAAAGTATAACGCCAAAAGTGGCTGAGTAAAACAATAAAAAATATTTGCAGTGTTCAGGCTGAATGTTTCTGTGTCTGTTTCATCTTGATCTCTTCTTGTTCGTTCACTAAAAAAATTAATTTTAAAATCGTAGGAAAACTACTTCTTCTAAGGAGATCCTAATTTCGACGTGACACCCCACTGCGCCTTTTCGTAAAAATATTAAAATTCCAAATTAACTTGTGATAATAAAGATTTCGAATTAATAAAAAAAATTAAACCTATTCTTTTGATAAATATAAAATTTGGAGAAAATTTACGACAGTTTACGTTCTGTATATTTTTCTGAACATGCAGATGGCTTCTATATATTTAAAAGTACATGTTGTGTAACATCAACAACTAGCCATGGAGACTCTAGAAGAAGTTATGCTCAAGGATAAAGTCAAGCTTTCCGAACCGGTTAAAAAGCTTGAGGTAAATCTTCTAGGATACAAACTGATAAATATTTAGATGAGCGATAATGCCACAACAAAGGCACTCTCTCTTTTTAAAAATCTTGATTATCTTAAATGAATTAAAAACGTGTAATAAAAAGTATAGTATCGCTCCTACATACCAAAAATTGAACAGATTTTACCATGTTGAAATCTATTAATATAAAAATAAACTATTTATGAACTTTTTGTCATCTTTTTCAAGAACTGAAATAATATTGAAATTGAATATCTCAAGTTAATAATAACTGCATGACATATTTATTATGTTATTTTTTTCCTAATAATTCAAACTGCAATAACTAACACTAGCTAACAAAATACTATATAATGTCTTATTTATAGATTGAATCTTTCAATGCTGAAAGTTATACAAGAGTGATGCAATAATCACGCAAAAAAAACAAACAAAAATATACATATATTGCTTTTTCAGGACAAATGGAAACTTTTACCTTCATTTTTGAAAGTTAAGGGACTAGTTAAGCAGCACATAGATTCTTTCAATTACTTTATAAATGTAGAGGTATGTAATTATTTTTGACAAATCGAAAGAATGTATAAAACTGAAAAACGACCCTAGATAAAGAAAATTTTAAAAGCTAATAACTTAATTACAAGCGATGCAGATGAAATGTTTTATTTGAAGTAAGTTACCTCTTACTTATTTTTATGAAAATGTGATGTATTAACTCTTTCTCAGATACTTGAATATCTATGTTGGAAAGCCTGATATAGAAGAAAGTTTCAATATATCTAAACCAATATCCCCTCATGAAGTATGTATTTTTATACACCTTATTCTAGTAATTTTTGCTAATTTCTTCTAATATAATAGTGCCGACTACGGGATATTACTTATGCCTCTCCAATAACTGTTGATATAGAATACACAAGAGGTCAACAAAGAATTATTCGTAATAACTTACCCATTGGAAGGTTTTTTTACTCTAGTCAAGTTTACGAACAATATTAATATTATCAAACTAAACATTTTAGAATGCCTTTAATGTTGAGATGTTCCAATTGTGTTCTTACTGGAAAGTCATCAGAAGAGCTCGCTCGTTTGAATGAATGCCCTATTGATCCCGGAGGATATTTTATTGTCCGAGGGACAGAAAAAGTTATCCTAATTCAAGAACAATTAAGCAAAAACCGAATGATAGTAGAGGTTGACAGAAAAGGATTGTTAACCTGTTCAGTGACTAGTTCAACTCATGAACGAAAGAGTAAAACTGTTATTAGCACTAAGGATTCACGATTTTATTTAAAACATAATTCTCTTGCTGAGGTATGTTTCCACAATGAAGTTTACTTGTCTTACAAACTAACCTGTTGTTTAACCAGGACATTCCGATAGCTATTGTGATGAAGGCGTACGGAATAGAATCTGATCAAGAAATAGTTCACATGATTGGAACTGAAAAAAACATTATTTTTGCTATGGCTCCCTGCATAGAAGAATCCCATAGACTAAAAATATTCACACAGTTACAGGTAATTTAAATAATAATAAAAATCTACAACAAACAAGTAAGATAATTTCAACAGGCTCTCGCATATATCGGAAATAGAATACGTCAAAAACGCTTTGGAAATTCTCCTCTCAACAAAGTGGACGAAGCTCGACAAACATTACATGATTTGATCCTCTCACATGTTCCTGTAAGTCTAATATACTGTATATAATTTAAATCGTCTATAATCATACTAATTATCGTTTTTTTAAAAATTGTTTAAAGGTTGAAAATTGGAATTTTAAAGTGAAAGCTATTTATACAGCTCTTATGATTAGAAGATTAATTATGGCATATGACGACGAAGCAACTGTAGATGATAGGGACTACGTAGGAAATAAACGATTAGAATTAGCTGGACAACTATTGAGTTTGCTCTTTGAAGATTTATTCAAGAAATTCAATTCTGAAGTAAAGTTATGGCTAATTAATCTTTGACTACTTATTTTATCATATATTAACCGTTTTCAGTTGAAGAAAATTGCAGATATGACTATTCCTAAACAAAGAGCTACACAGTTTGATATAATTCGTCACATACGACAGGATCAAATAACAAATGGCCTTGTACATGCCATCTCATCAGTAAGATATCAAATTTTTTTTCTCATCTATAAAAAATAAAAATCTTCTTTAAAAAGGGAAACTGGTCAATTAAAAGATTCAAAATGGAACGAGCTGGTGTAACACAAGTTCTTTCTAGACTCTCTTATATATCAGCCTTAGGTCATATGACTAGAATTACTAGTCAGGTAAGCTTAAGCTATGTATTTTCACTTATGAAAGAATATCAATCTTTCAGTTCGAAAAAACTCGAAAAGTAAGTGGTCCTAGATCACTACAGCCATCACAATGGGGAATGCTTTGCCCTTCCGATACACCAGAAGGAGAAGCCTGTGGATTAGTAAAAAATTTGGCCCTAATGACTCACATAACAACAGACTTGAATGAAGAACCCATAATTCGACTAGCTTTGAACTTTGGTGTAGAAGACGTAAACATGGTATTGTCGGGTGATTTTTCCTCACCCCTAGTTTATTCTGTTTTTCTCAATGGAAATATTCTTGGTATTGTAAGGCACTATGAGCGTCTTGTTCAAGCTTTTCGAGCAATGAGAAGAGCAGGCTATATAAGCGAATTTGTTTCTATTTATACCAACTTAAAACTTCGAGCTGTTTATATTTCTTCGGATGGAGGTCGCGTTTGCCGGCCATATATAATTGTGGAAAACAAAAGGCCTAAAGTTCGTCAGCAACACATTGATGAGCTTGTGCAGGGTGTTCGAGAATTTGAAGACTTTCTTAAAGAGGGACTTGTGGAATATTTGGACGTAAATGAAGAAAATGATTGCTTCATTTCGGTCTATGAGGATGAGATTACAACGGAAACGACTCACTTAGAGATTGAACCGTTTACTATTCTAGGCGTTTGCGTCGGTTTGGTTCCCTATCCTCATCATAACCAAAGTCCGAGAAATACATATCAGTGTGCTATGGGAAAACAAGCAATGGGAACAATTGCTTATAATCAAAGAAATAGAATCGATACTGTTATGTATAACCTAGTCTATCCCCAACCACCCCTCGTAAAGTCTAGGGTAAGAAATTTTTACCAAAAGGTTTGTTTTACACTAATCAATTTGCTTTTACAGACACTTGATCTTATTAAGTTTGACAAGTTACCTGCTGGTCAAAATGCTACACTAGCTGTCATGAGCTACAGTGGTTATGATATAGAAGACGCTTTAATTCTAAATAAATCATCTGTTGAACGAGGATTTGGACGCTGTTTAGTTTATAGGAACCAAAAAATATTTATGAAACGTTATGCAAATCAAACATGTGATATTGTAAAAGGTCCTATGTATGATTCTACCACGAGAAAAGTTATTGATATTCATAAGGCATTGGATACTGATGGTATTTGCATGCCTGGAGAAATGGTGGAGAATAGACAGGTGATGGTAAACAAAGAAACACCTACTGTAACAAGCAACCCTCTCTCTGGATCAAATTCACAAGATAAATTAGAATACCGGAAAACTCCTGTCACGTACGTTTTTATGATTGATAATGCTGAATTTCACACTATTTAAATAATATGCTATATTATAGATATAGAAGTCCAATTCCATCGTATATTGATAAAGTAATGATATCTTCTAATGAAGAAGAATCCTTCCTTATCAAATTAAATTTACGTCAGACACGAACACCAGAAGTGGGTGACAAATTTAGTAGTAGACATGGACAGAAAGGGTATTTATTAATAGTAGTATTAATAGGTTGAGTTCTGCGTATAACAAATGGATATTTTCAGGGTATGTGGCCTGATTGTTCCTCAAGAAGATATGCCATTTGCTGACACAGGGATCTGCCCAGACGTGGTAATTTTACATGCTTATTCAAGCTAAAATTTCCCAGATATAGATAAAAATTTTTTATTAGATTATGAATCCACACGGCTATCCATCTCGTATGACCGTTGGGAAGCTACTGGAATTAATGGGAAGCAAGGCAGCAGTATTGGACGGAAAATTTCGATACGGAACAGCTTTCGGAGGGGATAAAATCGAACAATTATCTCAAGCTCTTATTGATAATGGTTATAATTACTTAGGAAAAGATTATGTAACATCCGGTGTGACTGGGGAGCCTTTATCTGCTTATATATATTTTGGACCTGTATATTATCAGAAGTTGAAGCATATGGTTACTGATAAAATGCATGCCAGAGCTACCGGACCAAGAGCTGCTCTTACAAGACAGCCAACCGAAGGGCGATCTCGAGACGGTGGATTACGTTTGGGAGAGATGGAAAGAGATTGCTTAATAGGTTATGGAGCTTCGAATCTTCTCCTTGAGCGTTTGATGATTTCCTCAGATGCTTTTGAAGTAGATGTTTGTTCTAAATGTGGATTGATAGGTTACAGTGGATGGTGTAACATGTGCAAGTCGTCGAGTTACGTCGCATCGATGAAAATGCCTTATGCTTGCAAGCTTTTATTTCAAGAACTACAATCAATGAATATAGTGCCTCGCTTAACTTTGAAAAAATATAATGACTCTTAAAATTGTTTTTTCGTCCATAAGAAATACATCATTGTTAAGTTAGTGTACTTTTACTGACTACTTAATGTGTATCGTTTATTTTATGCTGTTCATTTCATTATTCGCACGCTTTGATCATGATTGCAAATTTCCTTGGCAATTTTGAATTCTCAGTGATCGAAAATCGAATATGCTATACAGGAAGCGGAAAACCATTGTTAACCTCTATACCAGTTTATGTATTCAACTGGAAGTCATGCCGCTTATAATTCTAAGCGGTTTTCCAAGTAGTGGTAAAAGTAAGATCGCCAATGAATTAGTGAAGTTTTTTACTGAAGATAAACAAAAGAATGTCAAGCTCTTCGGTGATGATCAATTAAAAATAAAAAAGAATGCTGTGTACTCTAATTCGCATCAAGAAAAAGAGGTTAGGGGTAATCTGAAATCGTTTGTGCAAAGACATTTATCTAAAGATTGCTTAGTTATTTTGGACTCATTAAATTACATAAAAGGGTATCGATATGAACTATTTTGCGTAACCAAATCTTGTCAGACACCTCAATGCGTTATACACGTCGCAACAAGTATCGATAAGTCGAGAGAGTGGAACTCTCAACGCCAGGAAGATGAGAAATATGAGGAGTCTATCTTTGACGGTCTGGTTCAAAGGTATGAATGCCCCGATTCAATGAATCGTTGGGATTCTCCATTGATAACTATACCGTCAGAAGAGAAGGTTCCCGTTGAGGAAATTTTTGAAGCTTTATACGTTCGAAAACCACCTCCAGCGAATATGTCAACACAATCCCAACCACTCTCAGATGGAAATTTTATGCAAGAACTGGATGGTATCACCCAGCGTATTGTAAGCGCAATTATTGATGCTCAAAAAACTTCAGTCATCGGAGATTATGTTACCATAAAGAATGCGAGAGATAAAGTTCATCTAACTAAACACTTTACATTAGCAGAACTTCAAAGAAAACGAAGGCAGTATATCTCTTTTACCAAAACTCATCCTATCGATATAGATAAGATTCCAACAATGTTTGTACACTTTATAAACAAGATTGACTGAGGTTGAAAAAATTTGGTTTTTATCTGACTACGGGGTTAAAAACGGCGAAACCAAATTAAAATTATAGAAAAAAAACATAAAAAAATATCATATATTTTCTTTTTTTTTTATCAAACAAATACAAAGTGTATTTTATTTGTTTAATAAGTCATGAGAACCATGAGCATAAGGGCAATCTTCTGTCTTCAAAGGACAATTATTGGGATGATGACAATGAAACCAACAAAGTTTTTTTTTTATTTCGACCTTTTTTCTTTTCCGTTTGTCTTCGTTATGATTGCAGTTTGTAGGCAACTTTAAGCGAACTTTTCCCTTAATTATACTAAATATTTGAGTAAAACCTTTAAGTACGCTCGCTAAACCCCCACCTTGACTTTTTAATTTGTTCAATTGGTCCGTATCAAATAAACTGGCGCAATCTTTCAAATCTAATTCTCCTCCGCAAATCCAATTTTGTTTTGATGGAAAGTCAACATAGTTTGCAGGTTCAATTTCCAGTAATTTATTAAATATTGTCATTGCGATTGACTCTTTGGTTTCTTTCTCCAAAATCGGACGTTTCACTTCTTTGCGAGCTGTAAATTCTTTTTCATTTGATAGTTTTCTTCTACTTTCTATAAAATTATCAATTTTTACAGAAATTGCAGAATAATCCATCGAAGTACATTTTCGACCGATTAAGCAAGTTCTCTTGGTTGACGGAATCCTCAAGACGTCTACTTTGGCCTCGAAACCGCTGGCTGTCGATAAATTTATAAGATATTTTGTATACTCCTCATAAACACTTTCTCTTTCCCTCCCTTTTCTTTGGAATCTTGAAAAGAAATCAAATGCGCAACAGGGTAAAAGAAAAAATGAGCATTTTGATCTAGAAGCAATTACGGGAATCCAAGGCGTTAATTCATCACTGTGATTGCCAATAATCCAATTTGCGTCCATAAATATTTCGGTGGACGGCTCCATTGCATATTCTCTCAAGTCGGCTTTAGGTCGGAATCGATTCCAAATATTTCGCGACTGTAAATCGATCCCATAACCATCATATCCCTCTGAATTCAAGATATATACTAATAAACCATTACCACAGCCAAGATCAACAAATTTATTAGCCTTATCTGCCTTCCAAAGGCAGATTAAATAAGCAGCAATAGCCACATCTTCAAAAACAAACTTTTGGGGATCAGTACATTCTGTCCATGTTTTTGCTAATGGCAAACCATACTCTTGCTTGAGTCTTTGATAAATTTCATTATAGAAAGGTATATCTACCTCTCTGAGCGACGTTTGATTAAGATTCAAATCTTTAATATCGCTCCAATTCCTAACTTTCTTTAATAGAACGCTTTCCAACCAGAATGAATTATACACGTCATTCGTTGTTAAATTAGCATCATCATCATTAATAAACAATTGCATATTGTCTTTAACATTATATTTAATATAGAAAATAGGTCCGTTTTCTACTTCTAATTTATGATTGACGTCTTCTTTCACTAGAACTGCTGTTAGAGATATATTATTGACGTCATCGTTAAATACAGCATCATATACAGCAAACGTCTTAATAGGATTTTTTATCATAGAATAACGGAGATAAATTGTAACGTTGGTCTGCTCACTTTCTAATTCCTTAGAATCGGTTAGACAACTGAAAATATCTTTACTGAAATCTTCCCCATTCTCTAACAGTCTCTTCACATTATTAGCAAACTGTAAATGTGTGGGTAAAATCAGCTCAGGCCAATTATTAGGAAAGGATTGCACGTGCGTAAACTTTTGAACTGCAGCTAATAATCGTCTGTTTACAACATGAGGTTTTTGAGTCCAAAGAAGGGTTGATTGTAAAAAGTGGCCTGGATCAACATTTTTTGCCTCTGTTTCTGATATTCTTTTAAATGGCATTTTATTTATAGTCTATTCTCTATAAGAGAATATTAAGGATTATGTGACGATATTAGAAGCACATTACACAATTCGCATGCTTGGGATACGAATTCCCTCACCGAAAATTTATCTGAACACAACCTAACCAGACTATCCTACCGTTCTATTATCACTATTGACCTTGACCGCACAGATTTTCTTGATCAAATAACAGCGAGTTTGAAAATGTCGCAGCATCATAGATTTTAACAAGAGGGTTTAAAATGTGAAAATACTAAATTTCAGCAACTTCATGATGATGATCAGTTATAATTAAATTTTTCATGAAGTTGCTGATGTATAAAAGTTATATTTGTTCTAAAACGCCTAATATCACTCATTAGAGTTGATATTTGATTTCGAAACACAAGACACAAAAAGTTAATGATAAACGGCGTCAGCAACAAATCAATCATAAAATTTATTCAGCTTTTCCACAAGCAACGAACTATGCATGACAAGGACTGAAGAGGCTGAGGAAAGCAGCAGTATCAACAACTTCGAGATTGTCATAATTGTCCACATAATTGTCAAGTAAACAGAAAACTTTCAAATTACCACCCTCTTGACTATGCGGATATGGAAAATATCACTGTCGATTGTATTTCTGATCAGAAAAATGCTTCTCCCTTGCTAATCCCATCTAGTTTGATCAGATGTGATATTTCTTCTTTCAAGAAGTGTTTAATACACATTCACTCATCAGAATATAATATAATAGCCAAATGTAAAAGCTATGAGTCATTTGGACATATAAATTATTTATGTACGTTTAATTGTTATTAGTACTAGTTTTATATGATCAACAAAGTTTTAAACTCTGCATGTAAACCAATGCAACGCATGCGCTTTAGGTACTTTCGATCCGACAGTCTGGTTGGTTTGTGATTGGCAAGGATTAGTACCATATTATTCAATTCTTAATGTCAATTGTTGAGAAATTATCATTAAAAAAAAATTATAGTACAACTAGTTTGGGCGAGTGAATATTTATAATCAATTAATGATACTTTAAAAAAAAGGCGGAAATGACGTAGCAGAACTAGCGCGCACTCTGATGCAAAAAAGATGGTAAAGCCATTTCTTAGTTAAATAGAAAGCCACGGTGATGGTTGAGTTCGTTTCTTTATAGAAATTGTTTTTTTTTTCAATAAACAATTGTTCCAAAATATAAGAAATTTCTTTCGTATTACTGTTAACGTTACTCTCATCCTTAAATTGATTAAATTATTTATGCGATACAAATGGCTTCAAGCTCCGTTTCGCAAGAGAGTGTTGATCATGATGAGAGAAATTGTACGAGAAGAGTAAAAATTCGCACTGTTCGCACAAATATCCGAAATGCTGGCCATAAGGAAGAATTATTTGATTGCGAAGAACGTGACAGACGAATTCGCTCTTTTGCTAATTTGAAGGCGAAAAATACAAAAGAAAAGAGAAAATTAAGAGAAAAACGCCGAAGTGCTGGCGTTGTTCATCTTATTTCAACCGAATCAACCGGAGATTCCTTAGATGAGGATGATGTTATGGACATAACTAAGAAGAATGCGGTGATAAGTGAGGATTCTGTCTTTCAAAATGTAAGTAAAAAACGCATAAAAAAGCTTCTAAAAATCTTAATTGATGCAACATCATCATTGTTATCTAATTTGTCATTATTAACATTCTAAATGGTATCCTTTTCATGCATTCTAAAGAATCGTGAAACGCAATATAAATACTCCTACAAAAATCCATCGGACTTGGATGCTGATTTTGAAGATAATCAAGATTATGATAGTGCTGTTAGTCATAGTGAGGTAAAAGAGCCGGAAGGTTACAAAGTTCGCTTCCTAGAAAAGCTCCTTGAGCAGGAAAGAACCGAGAGGCTGTCACTCAAAGAAATATTAGATGAAAAAGAGAGGAGAATAGGACAGCTAGAAAAAGAAGTTCGAATGCTAAGGACGGTACGGCTATTAAAAATTTAATATTTATTATTTAATCAATTAATAATCAAACCCTTTTTTTATATGCTTCAGCAGAGAAGGCATTGAACACTTGGTAAGACAATTAATCAAATAAAAACAGGCCTAAACTATAAAAGAATGCTTTTTTTTATAACAGAAAGATTACAGTGATGAAGAAGATTGTTAGATAGAAATGATTATGCATACATCTATATCTATATATACTTATATATATCTATGTACTTGTAAAACATATATACATATAATATATACAGTATAGATATATATTAGGCTATAACTTAAAGACTTTTCATTTTATAGAATGAACTGATTTATATTTATTGAATGACACTAATAAATAATACTTACGTTGGAAAACAATAAAGCTGCATATATTAAAGTAGGATTAATTGCAATTCATTTAATAGCTGACAAGCTAAGCATACTATATATATATATATATATATATATATATATACATACAGCATAAAATTCCTAGATAACTCGATCAATGGTAGCAATGTACTATATGCAGTTATAGAGATGACGGCAGATGATCTATATTAAGCCTAGTAGATGGTAATGACTCATAATTCAGCAAAAAGTTTAAAATTCTTCTTCTAGTTGTTGTATGGAAGCCCTAATCTGAGAGTTCTAACGAAAGAGACATCAATTTTCTTATAATAGGAAAAAAGCCCTATGTAAAAAGCTTGAAATCAGAGAAGTATTCATTGACGAAAATTAAAAGGGAACAACAGGCTAGGAAAAACCTTTCTTACACTGTCCAATATTTTTTTTAGATAGTATTTGAATATTGGCATAGGTGCTTAATCGCTTTATTCGCCCAGTAGCCGTCACTTTTGATGATTCAGTCGGTATTGAGTTCAATTCGCCCTCCTTTACAGACAAATACAGCGTCATCTACAGTATTTTATAGATTGTTAACTTAAAGTAAACGATATTGCTTCTAATTAAAAAAATGAAACAAATGCAAAAGATTTCGCAGTCACATTTCTTTCATATTAGTTTTTATTTAATCTCCTCCAAGATTCTCCTTTTTATTATTACGTCACACAATTAAGAAAGCTGCATCTATCAAACAATCAAATTAATTAGCTTTTCTTTAAATTGTTTCTTTTTATAGGCCTAGACAGAACGTAATTTGTTTTTCCAGACTGTTTGTCTTTCCAGCGTATATGGTTAGAGCGTTTTAAGTTCAATACTAATATATATAAAGTTTAAATTTTTATCGAGTTTTCTATTCTTTCGGGTTTTTTTTTATTATTTAACATGTTTGTCAACAAAAAAAAAGAGAGAAAGAAAAACGTTTTCCTAGGACGCCACAATTTTCAATAAGGGCGTTTAAAAAAGTTACTAAGAATATATCTTGTACACACAAAAAAATAACAATTATTTAGCGTTAAATTTATTGAACGCCTTGTTTTTTTTTTTGCAGAGTCCATACAATATTGCAGATTTACACATAAATTAGTATTTTTAATGGAAATGATAGTATACGATTACGTAATTTTTTACATAAACGTATTGAATATCTCCATAAACATTACAACATTAAATTCTAAAAGCATTGTATACATTGGCATTCAACTGGTTCGTAAAAGTTAATAATTGGTTTTTTCTCAAAAATGCTCAACTCAAAATCGTCGCAAACGTCCAATTCTATTTTTCTTTCTCTGCTTTTAAGAGTTTTGCAGCATTTACAAGTTTTTTTAAAATCCGGATAAATGATACTAGGAGTTGCTTGAGAAAAACAATATCCTTCGCATTTGTTAACCTTGGCCGACGCTGCGCAGGTTATTCGCTTCCATCGATTATCGGGCAATCTGATTGTTACTTCTTTCTTGAAAGTTCTCTCTGATGGTGTAATTAGACAATCGGATGTAACCGTATTAATCATGTAGCCGGCTATCGCAATAAATAGATACAAATTTACTGCTTTCATAATTCTTTAATGAAGATGATTCGTTCAAAAATATGAATATATTGAAAAATTGTTTAATAAATTAACAAAAAGTTGTGGCTCTCTCTCTCTATCTATCCCTCTTCTTATTTCTTGCCTCTTCCAATTATGTCGTTTCTCCTTGATGTTACTTTCCTGTGTAGAACTTTAAGACCTTTAACGAGTAATGATGCTCCAAACCGAGTTCATAGTTAACTGACGTATCGTAGGTTGAATGAGAAAACTCAGGTTTCCATGAAGCCGGAAGAAAGTCATACTAACACCAACGCTTTCTAAGATTAGATCAAATTGTAAAGGTCAGCACTGATTAAACTCCTTAATCCGAAAATTAGTTTTGCGATATTTAGCTATTTTTATAACTCTATGCCTTTTTTTTTCATATAAGAAAAAAGACTATTTGACACTTTCACCATTAAAAACTATTTCTTATTACCAATAAAATCTGTCTAATTAATAAATTAAATTCTTAATTAATTGACTAAACATAATAAAAACTCAGATTTTTTCATTTCATTCTAAATCTTTAATGAATTAAGTTTACGCACTTTAGTGAAAGCTGTAATAAATTATTAGAAAAATGTTAACTATTTTTAGAATCACCTTTAATTACTTTCTCTTAAAAGGAAATTGTAAATTTATTTGTTGAGCGAGTTATAGGCCTTGCAAGTAGACAAGAACCAAAAAAAAGAAAAATTTAGGTGTGAGATGGAAAGAGAGAGAGAGAGAGAGAGAGAGAGAGAGAGAGAGAAAGAAATGAATAGATGAAGATAGACGGATAGAAGTAAATGTCTAGAAAGAGCATTGGTCAGTTCTATAAAGAGTATACTTTATATTAATTTAAGAATGTTGTCTAAATCTGAATTTAAATTGTATTTTTCATTTGTAAATATAATAATCAATATCTGTTATTTTTATATATCTTATTTATATATATATATATATATATATATACTACATATATGTATTTATAATTTCATCTTAGGGTGTCTAAGATCCCTTTTCCATAGGTCACGTATAAAACTGTATACTACCCTTTAAATGTAAAAAATGCTTATTACAAACTAAGATGCCATGTTTAAAGCTTCAAACTTCAAACTTTAAATAAACTTGTTCATATTTAAATATCGTTTAAAAGACTAAGAATTATTTTATTGCTGTTTAAAGTAATATTTATACATGTAATGAATGTACAGTATATATATATATATATATATATATATACATGGATTATACGCTATATAATTATCTAAGGATTAAAGCTTATGAAATCTTATTGAGAATGGTTGTTTTCGTAATTTCTAACAGTATTCTAATTTCCGAGGGTGTTATACCCTCTTTTTTTTTTTGCAGTATCGAGTGCAGTTCGTTTTGAGTTAGACAAATTAATTATAATGAATTAATTCAACTATTTTTTAACTATCTAATTTTATTTAATATGCCTCGAGTATTATATCAAATATATTCAGTATATGATGCATTGCATAAAACACTTCTTCATGGTATTAAGGAGATTATTATGTGACGTATATCATTTAAATATTTGCATGCTTTATATATCTCTCTATATATACAGTAAGTATACTGTATATGTGCTAATTTTTAAGAGACAACTCCGTCGTGTCTTTTGCCCGAAAGATGGCGCTTGATTATATAATTTGATAGATGAATATTTCAACTGGACTTTTTATTTCGTTTTTATATTAGCCTTGTCTGTAAGTGATGATAGCTGCGGATGAAGTTGATAAGAGCAAATTGAGAGATCATCATATAAAACAAGAATATTGCCTAAACCGCCCTAAATATCGTAGAGGAAGAAAACTACGAGCAGTCAAGGTTTTTATACAATATTAGTGTATTTTATCTCTATGCAATCTTTTTCATTGCTGTCCTATCAGACTTATACAATTAGCCAGGAATCTCATTATCTGCTTATTCAAAATGTTCCATCTATTAAAGTTAATAAAGAGCTTGAATCAAATCTAGTCAAATTCGGAAAACTGGAAAAACTTGAAAATTTAAGCGACTATCCTAGAGAAGAGTTTTCTGAGGTGTATTTCACAAAATTTACTGATATTCAATCAGCAAGGAATGCAAAAAAGAAGCTAGATGATACTCCTTTCTTCGGATCAACCTTACATGTTTGTTATGCACCCGAATTTGAGACTGTAGACGAAACTAAACACAAATTGGAAGTGAGAAGGCTCGAAGTTGAAAAAAGATTGAATGAACTAAAAGCTCCTAGAATCAGGAAACGAAAGAAAATTGAAAAAGAGTTAACAAACGAAGAATTGAGGGAAAAAGCCATAAAATTGAAAGATGTTCAAGGACCTAGTCTAATACCAAAAATAATACAACAATAGAAATCAACATGATGCAGAGTGATCACAACCACCTTTCAACTTCCGTTAACAATTAAATACAGATAAGGAAGGTAAACAAACAAATAAAACATATTATTTTAACAAGGATTCGTAAAATATATTTCAAATGTATTGTTTTATATCTTTTTATATAAGTAAAACAAAAAGAAACAAGAAATTACATTGATTACTTTAAATTCCAAGTGCTTCTTTACTGACTTCCCATAGTCTTTTCATATTATCCTCTCTACGGCAATATCTGGACGCTATCCTATTCTCGCATTCCCTTAAAGTAATTTAAATTTTTATCTTTTCTATTCTCTTTGGATAGTAAAAAGAAAAAGTAGGTAAGATCTTAATCACTTACGAAAAGTAATATCCGCTCTTTGTCTCTAAACCCTGTTCTAGACTGCAAAATATCGGAGTTTGCGCAGCCTGTTGAGGTGTTTTTAACTTTTGCTTAAAATATGCACAGTTTGAAAGACAATATAAGCAAAAATCGGTCAATGGATTTATATTACGTCCCAACTCTGTATCGGCAATCCCTGGATTGCAACTGTAGCTTGTTATTCCATATTCTTTATGAGAATAGGTGAATGAATAATTGATTAATTATATTTTATTCATAGTTTGTTTACCTCGATATCTTCTATCGAATTCTGTGCTAAACATTACCATTGCAGCTTTACTCCTTGCATAAAGATAAAAATCAGATGGCATAAAACACGATTGATTCAGGTTGAAATCATCGTAGTCCATGGAATTTATGGAGTAGTGAGCTAACGAAGATAAATTTACTACTCTACTCGGTGCACTTAATTTCAATTTATCTAATAATAGATTAGTAAGAAGGAAATGTCCCAAATAATTAGTCACTGTAACTATTTCTAAGTTATCTCTTGTATGAGAACGCCAACAATCTGGTTTATATATTCCAGCATTGTTTACTAAGATATCCAATCTTGTTTCTTCTATACAAAGAAAGGTTTATCTCTCATTAACTTACAATTATACGGATAAAATCATTCGAAAACAATTACCTTCATTAAATTGATAAGCAAAATTCTTAACGCTATCCAGCGATGACAAATCAAGTTTTTTGATCACTATATCTCCCATGTGAGTCGTTTGAGATATTTTCAGATCATTTTTTATCTCTTCCTCAGCTCTTTTACTCTTTTCTAAATCTCTACTAGCTATTATGACTCGGGCTCCTCTTTTTACAAACTCTCTTACGCATTCCTTACCAATACCACTACTTCCGCCCGTTACTATAATAGTTTTTCCTGTAAGTTTCATTGAAGAGTCGAAAACTGCTAAAATACTATTTCTAAAAGGGCAGAGCTAAATGTACTAACAATATATTGGCATCTAACATAGAAATATAATGAGATAATGGTATTGTAACCTGTTTTCAGCCGTACCAGCTCGACGAAATTCGGATACGGTAAGGGATTTCCATAAAATACATGCCATTTTCTCAAGGTAAAACCTTATCTTATATACTTTCTTCCCTGCCCGATAAAGACGAATAATCTAAATACAAGAAAAAGAAGAACAAAAAGATTATGTAAACAGGATTCGGAAGTTCAGTGAAGGTTTCGTAGGCGTACAATCGTTAGTAATAATAATAAAACTTGCTCATAGAGTTTTCAATATTTTGTTGAAAAAAATTCCATATTTTCTTCACTGTTTCTTCAATGTTCGACTAATTTTATTAGTTTTAAATCAAAATGAACATACCCTATCTTATCTTATCTGAGAAGCTAGGAAAATAGAATAGAGGAATTAAAAAACTGCTGACAGTCTATTAATAAAAATGATTATTGTCTATTATTAAAAATTTCTTTAAACCACTTATAACTTAGTTATTGAAGAATTATTGATTAACCATACGGTTTTATTTAATAAGTTTTAAATTTTCCCGCCAATAATCATGCGCACTAATTACATTTCCTTTCTATTTTCATTTTATTGTGTTTTTTATAATACGCGAATAAGTAGTACTTTAAATTTGTTATTGTTTCTATTTTTGTAATTTATTAATAAATATGCTACAATAAAAAATATCTTATAGTACTTACTGTATTCATCGTTGCCATGGCAACAGCAAGCACAAGACAACAAAACCCCTCCATAGAAGTTGTTGATAGGAAATACTGCTTTTTTGTGCCAAATTTGACATCAATTTTTGTTATTAATTTAGTGATGCATTTAAAGTTTTAGGTGTCTGTTTGACCTGATTTGTTTTAGAAAGATATTACAATGGATTTACACGCAGCCTCTCTTAATACTAAACTCCTTCCATACGAAGAAAAACAATTGCTTATACCCGAACTGCGGCCCAAATTGTCTGGTTTTCGACATCGTCCACCAATAACAACACCTACTCCCCAAGTTATGTTATCGGCTCATAGAGAATTAGCTCATGTTAATAGGGCCTCGTTGGAGGATAGAACTTATAAAAGTCCCTCCCTTGAATATAGGATCTGGTTAGAAGCTGGAAAACAAAATATGAAAACAGCGAATAAAAATCATCCAAAGGTTTCCACCGGTCTTTGGAGGAATATACGAAATGAATACGGTCTTTCACGGGCTAAATCCTCGGAGGATGAATCTGCTGAGTTTGTCGCTTCCTTATATCCCTTATCCGTTCCTCAGCCTAGTCAATTGAGGGATAATACGTATGCCAAGTATTTAACTGAAACACCAGAAATTATTAAAGATGCTAGAAAGAGGCAAGTCGTGATAGGAAAAGTTATGACAGAGAATAAAAGAATGAAAGAGCTTCAAATGAAAAGTCATATGAGAAATCCACCTTTGGATGAGAATGGTAGGTTAAAAAATTTGAACAGTCTTGACCACGAATAATTAAATATTTATCCTTCTTTTACCTGTTTTCTTACAGAAAACGTAATGCCTCCCCCAACATGGAAGAAATATTATAGATTTAGAGGACAACCATCTCCCGAATTACCTCCTCCGATCGATCTTAACCGAGTTCGAACTGATATATTTGGACAGCACGTTCCTACAAAGAGAGACATGAAACTGTTAAAATTGACTCTAAGGTCAAATAATCCAAAATATGATGATCTAAAAAGAGAGCTAACACAAGAATAATACAATTGTAGTTTGTTTTCATATTTGAGTAAATAGTTCCCAAGTCTAGTTTGCCTAGTCTCCATCCTCTCTTGATCTTTATATTAGCTTCTATTTTTTTTAATTTTACTTTGCCAACGTCATAGAACTCTTTGAAAAAAATTGTCTCTGTTTGACTAAATGTCTTCGATTAATCCCCTAGCGTATTCTGGATCAATTTTCGACAAACCAATTAGGTTTGTAAACTTGTCAGATTTACTAACCTATTACGCCAGTAAGACAACAGCACATGGCTGTTGGAATTTAAAAACTGCTAGAGGTAATTTAGCTTATAGAATATATTACTTTAACTATTTTATCAAGCTACATTCACATTTAAATAGGAAAATGTAGATGGTTATTCTGGTTGTTTGTTCTATCAATGTCGGGAAGTTTTCTATTGACGCTTAGTACATCTAGTACAACTAACTATCTAAGATATTCAAGTTCAACAACTACTAGGCGTAAGAGAAATACAGAAATTCTCTTTCCGGCAGTTACAATTTGTAATATGAACCCTCTATTAAGCGATGAAAGAGGTGAAGGTCAGCAAGCGGGTTTTCCTAGTAGAAGAGATTATTTAGAGAAATTATTAACGAAAGAAGCTGAAAATGATTATTTAAGGTCTTTTAACCTACAAAGATATCTTGGAGCTATGAACAATAAAGATAGAGAAATGAGCGGACACAAATTAGAGAATATGCTAGTTGAATGCAGGTTTATGAAAGAAACTTGCGACTATACAAATTTTACGGTATTCTTTAACGATTCCATAAGTTCCTATCTATAATAAAAGTCTTCATCTTTACAGTTAATTTTAAGTAATTCTTACGGAAATTGTTACACTTTTAACGCAAATAAAACGAGAAAAACTTCAACTTCCGGTGTAAATGAAAATTTCTTTTTAGTATTAGATTCTCAATTAAGTGAATATCTACCATTTTATCAAAACTCTGTTGGATTTCGCATTTCGATTCACGATGCTGAAGACTATCCCTTCCCGGAATCAAAGGGTTTCAATGTACCACCTGGTCATTTGACATATGTTGGCCTAAGAAAGATTCATACCATCCTAAAGCCAAAACCATATTCAAGATGTGAATTATTGAGTAAACTTCAAATGGAGGATAGAGACGCTTATGTTGGTCAATTACCTCACGTAACCTATAGCGAAAGTTCATGCATGAAAACTTGTTTTCAAATAGAGCTTATAAGGTCAATATCCCTTTAGATAAACTATGATCTCACTATGGAAAAAGACTAAAATGGTGAAACATTTATTCAGACGTTGCAGATGTCAAGACCCCAGCTATCCACGAGTTATGGAAGTTAGAGCATTTTCTCAATTATTAGAAGAGTTAGGATTAAAATCGGAAGAAATTCCATACTGTAGATTATTTGATAAAAGAGAAAAACAATGTCTTAAGTGGTTTAATGAATTGTTTATAGGCCGAAAGGTATCATCGAATGAGGAAATTGTTGATAAACTATGTAATCAATGCCTTCCCGAATGTGACACGATAACTTATCATACAACTCTCTCTTCAGGAATTTACAACAACTTGGAACATTTCAGAAATACGAGAAATCAAAATGCAAAAATAAAGTACAAAAATCTTAAAAACGATAAGATTCGGTACAAATATTTAGAAGATAACATAGTCGCTATTAGCATATACTTGGAAGATTTGGAACAGGAAGATATTCAAAGTGATATTGATTTTTCAGCGTTATCTTATATTGCCGATATGGGTGGAATATTAGGTCTATGGATGGGATTATCAATTCTAACCGTTTTCGAAATATGTGAATGCTTATATGATATATTTTATAATATGATATTTTGTCAAAAAATGCTTGAATACCGTCTACCAGATGTAAACGAATCACTTAGGCGAAAAATTCAACGTAGAATAGTTATGAATAAGATACTTAGTGAGGAACAAGACAGGGAATTGGACTTGATATTCATTGAACATGTATGGAAAAAAGCCAATCTACCATTTAATTACATGGAACAATTACAGAACAACTGATGAGTACTTTTAACGGCAATTTGGTCAGATAGTGTTTTTAGTCCACTCATTTCATAATTGGATTAATTTAATCCAAGAGACTATATATAACACAAAATACATGTTACTTAGGCTTGGGTATAGGTTCTGTTTATCAACACGTTGACTTTTTATACGGTTAGCAATGTTATATACAAAATATCCTTAAAGTTAGAACAAAAGGTTAATTAAATAGTTATTATCCTCACATTTAGTTGTATATGTAAATATCTACATATACAAATATAAATATATATCATATACATATATATCTGTATAAGGATAGGTATCATGCTTGAAAATTTTTACAGGACTAATGGTATCAGTATCGAATACACGTTAACTAGATAAAGCTCCTCTCAGCGAAGATATACTAAAGAGCAAGTCGAATAAAACAGTCGACATATTAATCAACGAGAAGTGTACTTACTAAATATCATTGCAAAAATTTAATATATCAAATGAAAGGGCCCAAACACTTTTGCTAGATGACTGGGGCAGGTAGCGATTCCAAGCGTCAGATAACGTATAATCTCAAGGTGCTTCACCAAAACTTTTCATGTAGTGTGGGCAATTTTTATCTTTAAAAGAATTACATTTGATATATTTCGAAACATAAATCCTCTTGAATATCCTTAGTCAATTATTGACAACACTGCACTCTTCTACAACGATATTTAGTAAACATGTACGTTGATCGTATACTGCAAACAAAAACAATCGCATATACAGCAAACAAAAACAATTTCCACAAGACAAATTACATCTACAAGTGTATTTAATGATATAGTTAATATATTAATTTTTTAGTGCTAATATAGTCACAACATAAATGTTTTTAAGAGTCGAAACCGAAGCATTCTTCTATGTCTTTTTTCTTTTGCTCCTTCTTCTCGTCTACATCAGATTCTACTTGCATTAACAATAGTTTTAATTTTCAAAGATAAACTTAAAATTAATCATAACATACCTCCTTTACTTGTAACACGTGTTCTTACAGATTCTCGCGTTTGTCTTTTGGCAACTGGTTCATCGACAACTGACACCTCCTTTCGAGGTCTTCTATTTCAAACGGTTTTCATAAGTAAACGTAATAGGAAAATTCTATTACACAACTAACACAAACCCTCTGCCTCCTCTGGGAGTGTATTCTGCGTCATCGGATGGATCGTAATCCTCATCATCCATTTTCGGTCTCTTCGGTGGTCGTCCGCGCCCCCTTCGGCTGACTTCGCCTGGTGTTGAGGGGGAAGCTTTTAGACCTCTCATTTCGTTATCGTCATCTATTTTTGTTATTAATTATGAAATGCTATTTATTTCCAACAAGCACGTCCTACTTACCATCATTAATTGATTCGTCTCCATCCATGGACAGTTTTTCCTTGTCAGCTCTGCTGCTTTGTTCGCCTGTTGCCAACGCTTCCTCTACACCAGCGCTGGGGTCAGCTACATTTGTTACTATCAAAGGTTGAGAATCTCCTTTACGAACAACTTGAACTTGTCCGTCTGGTTGTTGAATGAGGACAACTTGTTGTACAGTGTTTCCTTCCTCGTCAACCATTTCTCCTACAAGATTTTCGCCTTGTTCACCTAACATTAAGTCACCTTCAGCTTTTACCATCATTGTTTCGCCTGAAAAACAATTTATATTAGCTCCATTTATACTAACTAAATTTTTAAAGAACATTACCATCAATTTCACCTTCTTCGTGTTGTTGCATGTGGCGAATTAGATTGCCTCGGTGAGCGAAGCTCTTGTCGCACCCACTAGCCGAACATTCGAACGCCTTTTCCTAGAAAAACAACTCAATATGAAATGTTTAATACAAACAATTTTATGTAATTCTTACTCTAGGATTTGGCGGAATGTATTCGGGAGAGTGATACAGGTTCTTGTGTCGTCTCAACAGTTGTTTTTGTCTAAATGTTTGTTCACACTCATCACACTGGAATGGCTTCTCACCAGTATGGGTTAAAATATGACTTTCCAAATGCCTTTGGTTTAGTGCAGCATAAGGACAGAAGTCACATCGGAAACACTTTTCGCCTTCGTGAGTCTTTAAATGAATCTTATAGGTGTATCTATCAGGGAAACTTTTACCACATTTTCTACAGGGAATCGGTTTATCCGATGTATGCAGTTTCTGAATATGGATTTTCAGGTCAGTTTTACGCCCACAAGTAGTGGGACATAATTCGCACTGATAAACTGGCTTATTTCCACTGTGAATTAGCATATGAGCTTTCAATGAATTGCTCTGTGTAAATCTTGCCTGAAAATGAATGACAAAATTAGTTGAAGGACATTTGCAAAAAAAAGAATTCTAGCTTACGTCGCAAACGTCGCAAATGTAAGGTTTTTCACCAGTATGAACTCGTAAATGTCTCTTTAACTTATAAGTATCAGGAGAGGCATATGCACAATGAGGGCAGGCATAGGGTCTTTCTCCTGTATGTGATCTCATGTGTCTCTTCAGTTTCGACAATTCTACGCTGCAATAGTTATACAATAGTTTTAGAACTTTTCTTCACAGAAAAATTATTTTGTCAAGCTCACCTAGAATAGTCACACTCGGTGCATCTGTGCGGTTTCTCGTAAGTGTGCCTATAACGAACATGTCGGACCAATTCACCAGAGGTTGTGAAAGCAGAGTCGCACTCTTTACATTTATGTGGCTTTGTTCCAGTATGCGTATTGATATGGTTCTGTAAAGATGCAACTGTCTTAAATCCACGGTCGCAAATAGAACATTTATGCGGTCGCTCCTCGGAGTGAGTTTTCATGTGCCTAGTGAGGAGATAGCGTTTTGGACTCGTGTAGTTGCAGTAGGAACACATCAATTGAGAAGGAAGGCCAGTAATAGGCTTTCGTGGCTGCATTCTCATTCCTCTATTCATACCACTACGATCTTCTTTAAAGTCATAAACAGACATATCAGCATCGGTAATTTGCTTTTCCTCTTCATCTTGTTTTTCTGGCTGTGATACTATGAGAACGTATGACATTTCTCCTGACTGATCAACATCCGAGGGAACGATAGTTACAGTTTGATACTGATTAGCACTCAAAACAACGGCATCATTATTTTGACCGTCAGCGGCTGCAACCTGAATAGCTCCTTCCTTGCCTTCTTCACCAGATGTTGAAGCCACATTGGTCAGCACAACAGAGTCTCCTGTTGCAGATGCTTCTCTTTGACCTGCTTTTTCTCCCTCTGATTTGACGGTATAGTATGCAGTGCCTTCGGTTAAGACTTGAACAGGTTGTTGTTGGCTACCACCATTAGAAATTTCCTTATTAAAGTTATCCAGGTAACTTTGAATGTCATTTAGAGCAGGATCACTGCTTTCGACTTGTGTAGTTCCAGTAGCATCCATTTTAATCGTTAGTCTAAGAAATTATAAAATGTTCATTTTGAGATATATTTCGCCTATAAAAATAGCTTTTAACATAAAGTGCATTTTAATTTGCGGATATAATTCACTTTTATACTATAGAAAAATATTTAAAGAAAATTTGAAAAAAAGACTATTTTTGACAAAAAGAAATTTTATAGCCGAAAAAGATACCGATTTGTTTATTTTCCAATTTTACTGAACGCTTCCAATTAGCATTTTACGCTGGGTAAATACAGTTCAAAATCACATAAATTTAAAGCATATTCATTGGTGAATGATAAATTATAAAGCCATGGGCATTATCCACCGTCACGTAACTGTTACACGCAAAAATAGTGTAGTTCTAAATATATCAGTGGCGCCATTTTGGATTTTTGCCGATGTTAAGTTGAACAATAAAACTGGACAAGTTCTGGAAAGTATCTAACATTGAACCCTTCCCCTGTCCTGGAGTCAATTTCTAAAAGATTTTGGCATGACTAGATGTCACTGAATGCACCCAAATTGTAGAAAGCGCCATCTTCTAAAACGTTACTGCCACCTGCCCAGTAATGGCGTCCGTGAAAGCGCCGCCGTTTTCAAGCGAATTGAGTCTTATACTTGGATGATAAACAAAAAATCTTTAACTAACCTTTTTCCGTGGTCTTGTCAGTTGCTTGTTTTATGGCGATAAATATCTGATCGCGCAATATCTTAATATCTATAGGCAGAAGACGAAAACGATTAAATATTCCTGACAATGCTAATATGGCCGATACGTTTTGCGCATGCGCAGGTCAGACACACTGTCCGGCCGTTAGTTTATTTCAGCTTTTCTCCTTTTTAAAACGATTTCTCAGCGGAAAGATTTAGGGAAGGGTTAAAGGAAGCTCTCAGTGATAAAAAAAATCACTGTTTAGTATATCTTTCTTAAAATTAATTAGACTTTAAAATTTAATATATTACCATAATTTATTCCATGTTATATCCAGTAGATGGCGCGTATGTACATACCGCCACCTGGCTGCATTAAAAAATCATATATGCTTTTCTCATTGAAATAAAAGAATTCCAGTGTACACCCTTTGTAATTATATTCCAATTAATGTTACCAAAAGCAACGAGATATATAAACGAATTTAGCAAAATTAACATTTTTTTGTCAAATACATGTAGTTAATTATTTTGATTAGAAACTTTCCCTTCTACAATTAATCTGTGCATTTCATTTTTATTATCGAATTAAATCCCACCTTAAACTACCACAATTTAACATAATTTTAGTATTTTGCAGCAAAGAGAAGATAATTTTTTATTACAATTTCAATTTATACAAAAGACGCTTATTATGTAATATATTTATTTTTACATAAAGCACTCATATATAGAAAATGTAGTATAGCTATTTTCAGCCAATTCTAAAATCAATGATGAACTATTCCCTTTACAAATCAATAGTGAATAACAAAGAATTAAACAAATTCTAAACTTAATGTTTTATATGTGACTTTTTTAGAGATGCTACTATAAATGATATCTTCTTTTCATTAATTAGATATAAAAGGGATTAATATCTATATAGATATGGATTTGCCTGAATATATATTAATAATTTATATCAATAAATTTTTGTCTTGATACTCTATTTGACAACATAGTTTGTTTTTAGGCTTTTGTTGTTAAATTTACATTTAACGTACACTGCGCACATATATCTTACAATTAGCTTTGAAAATGATGCTATTCTATTTAGTCGATCTTGCATAACAATAACAAAAGTCAAACTAGTTTATATAGGACGAGCTATATTTATTTATGAATATCATTTGAAATTATTACTATTGTAATTAAGATATTAAGATTATTGATAGATTAGAAAATTGGCGATTTTTCAGATAGCACTATTCGATCAACATTTCATGTATTAACTGATATTTTGTAATAAGTCTTAATTTTATAAATAAATCATTTCGATTAAATTCTAAATATTAGTAAAATGGATAATAAAATATCACATGTAATTTTTGATGTAGATGGTCTTATTCTAGGTTTGTTCTATTTAAATGAATGTTGCTTTTAACATTGTCATGAATTTTCCTGAGCGATAATAAATTAATTTTGGTAGATACGGAGAAGTTATATACTCTTATACTAGAAGAGATGCTAGAAAAATATAATAAAAAATTTACATGGGACTTGAAATTGAAACAAATGGGAAAACAGGAACAGGAAGCTGCAAAAGTGGCCATTGGTTAGTAATATTGTGTTTTAATTCTCGCTGCGCTTTCTTTATCTTGATTGTATTTGATCAAGATTTAATGATTTTCATGTATTTAACACGACCACAAAATAATTTTCATCCTTTTAGATGAGTTAAATCTGCCTATTACTGTTGAAGAATATCTAAAGCACATGCATGAAGGACAATCTAGACTATTTCCAAAGGCTGAATTATTGCCAGGTATTAATTGGTCAGAGGTTTATGTGTTCTTATCATTTTAACATGGGCTTTCATTATAAGGTGCTGAAAAGCTGATAAGACATCTACACAAGCATAAAATTCCTATTGCAGTTGCCACCGGTTCAAATAGTTATAGTTATGCTTTAAAACGCCAAAATCATGGCGAACTTTTCGATCTATTTCATCATGAGGTTCTAGCCTCGTCTGATCCTGAAGTACATAAAGGGAAACCAGCACCTGATGTATTTTTAGTTGCAGCTAAGAGATTCAAAAATCCACCTCAAGATAATAAACAGGTAAAGAAAAATATTCTTTTTAATCTGCATGACAATTGAATTCCATCAGGTTCTTGTTTTTGAGGACGCTCCTAATGGAGTTCAATCAGCTTTAGCAGCAGGTATGAAATGCGTTTGGATACCCGATTCGAACGTTAGCAAATCTGATTGGGAACAACCGCTGAAGGGTGTTAATTTGATTTTGAATTCTCTTCAAGAATTTGCTCCTGAAGAGTTTGGTTTACCGCCATTTTGAATAATATTAACTTGAAAGTTATTGTATGTTCATTTTCGAATAAACTGTGATAATTTCATCAGTTACGCGTTATTGAGTACTTTTACCACGAGGTATGATCAAAGCATATTTTTGGTTTGATCGTTAAAAAAGAAATCAAGTGTCTCCAAAGTAGTTTAATCGCTCTTTATTATTATTGGTTTAACTCTTATTAAACAGTTATGGCAGAGCTCGGGTTCTGACTATACTTAAATAAAGAATACATAATATCTATATACATGAATATAGTTGAATATATGCATGCATTGTACATTTTATATACAATATGTAAATAACAGTCTTTTATGTACAAGTGATTATTTCATGTCTACTTCTTAGCGGCTGCTTTTTTTGCTGCTGGTTTTTTTGCCGTCTTCTTCGGGGCCTTAGCTTTCTTTGCCGGAGATTTTTTCACGGGGGCCTTCTTAGGCTTGGCTTCTTTTGGTTTCTTTGCGGCGGGCTTCTTTTTCGCTTCCGTTTTCTTAGGTGAACTCTCAGCTTTCTTAGTAACTTTCTTCTTCTTTTCTGCTGGCTCCTTCTTTGCTTTTTTCGGTTTTTCTCCTTTCACCTTATCGGCAAGTTTGAATGAACCAGATGCACCAGTTCCCTTGGATTGTTTGAGACTATTATTCTTCACTCCAGCTCTTAGTGCTAACTTCAGGTGATTGTTAGCAGTTTTTTCATCACCAACGCTGTAGTTCGCCATGATGTACTTTAAAATTGCTTGCCTGGATGAGCCATTTCTTTCCTTCAGAGCGCTAAGAGCTGCTCCGATCATTACAGAGTATTTCGGATGGGAGGCAACCTTTTTCGGTTTAGCGGCTTTTGGTGCCTTCTTTTTTTGTTGCTTTGGGGTAGCTGGGGATGATCCTTCGGCCGACATTTTCGAGAACGTAACTTGAGTAAGTCTGAACGAGTGAAAACAACAGAGTGAGGAAGAAATGTTCCAAAGCGCTTATTTAAGCGCGAAGGATACTCGTCGCTGATTGGTCGAAATATACAGCCAAGAATTTTCTAACGAGAACGTGATTCGTTCGACATTTGTGTTCGATAAGATGATTTTTCATTCCATTTTTCTCGTTAATATTCAATTTTTTGGAGAGTTATCAATCAAATACGATTCTTAGGATATTAATTTATCACTTTTTCAAAAAAAATTATTTAGAAAGTAAAAAATACTGGAATTGTAAGCGATTTTATTCCGAATGTCCCTCGAGTTTTCATCAGCTAGCCAACAAATTAATCGAATAGATAAAGTTGTTGAGAAGATTTTTGAAAAATAATTTACTAAATATATAGATAAATATTCGATACATAGTTTCAATTATTAAAGTTTTGATATTTCGTTTGTTAATGAGTAATAAATCCAATTTTTTGACGATGCCGGTAGCACAATCTACGGCGCTGTGGCAGCCATTTCTAGTATTTATACGTCCAATTTCTATAGGGTTTAACAGTATTTTAAATAAGAATTCTGATTGATTTCACAACTAAAAGTACTGGTATTCATTAATTAAACATTAATCAGTACTTTTTTTCAAGAAATTAACTTATCACAACTATTGATATACTATAGACAGTTTTCATAGTAACGAAGCGAACTGTATCTTGTTGTTGGTAATGTTTTGTCTTGATTTGGTAAATGATGTAAACTATTATATTAATTTTGGGGGTTTGTTTATATATGGAAAGAGTCGTCGATAATTTATATTACATATACTTCGAACTTATATTACAATTAAAAATCAAAACAAAATAGAATAGCTGAAACGAAAAATGAAATGAATTTACAAAATAACAAAGGATGATTGAATTGTATATTGAAGCTACAATTCATAGACTATGTGTTTATATCATTATATTATTACTGATTTTCACAATTTTCTTATGTAAAATAAAAGAAAAGAAGAGGAATGAGAACAAAGGGGGAAGCATATATATATATATATATACAGTATATATAAAATAGTTGTCCCAGTTATGGAATGTTTCAGTAAATATATCTTATGGAAAGAGAATATTTTTCGTGAATTTATCTCCTTTTTTTAAGATATTTATAACATTAAACTTATAAACATTGGCATTAGGTAAAGTGAACTAAATCGTTTTATTTTCTCATGATTAATCAAATAAACTTTGTATATATTAACTTTAATTAACGTATAAACTCCTTTAAATCTTTTGATAATTAAGTCGTATAAAAATCCTTCATATTCTAGATTTATTGTATATTTACATGAAAGAAATTTCACATACCGAAACTCAAAAACATTCAAAGGTATACTCTGATAATTAAAGAGTTTTTATCTTGTATACAAAAAGCTTTGAACTATTCAAACTTCACCTGATTAATTACGTAATTTGAGTTTACTTGAGTTGTTTTTTACATTTAATCTCTTAAATATGGTTTTCAAGGAGAAAAGATGAAAAGATCTTTTTCTTGGTTAGTTGTAAAATTACAAAATGGTACATAAAAACAGATTCAATTAATAATTCCTTAATATAACTTGATTGAACAATATGAATATTAATAATCATTTTTTTTTCTTATGGAAAATCGATGAGGATATGGCAGAAAAAAAACGAATTTTCTCCTTTCTGCAGTTTATGCCATATATAATCTATCATTTATTGTTTTGGGATTAAATTATATAATATAGACGTTATATTCTTAAATGTATTTATATGTATGTATTCATGGATGCTATGAACCAGTTATATATTAAAGTCATACGCGTATATTATATTTGAACTAGAAAAGACAGAAAAAAGAAAAAAAAAATTATAATAACATAGCAAGAAATGTGACATTTTAAAAAGGGAATAGAATTGCAGGTATGACAAATATATTCTTTGTAATGTTTACGTCTTTGGCGGAAAGAAGTCAAAAGTGGAAAAAAGATAGACTTATATGAAAGCTTTCTTTGGAAGTGTATACGTTTAAAAAGAAAACTAATGGTAAAAATATGGTATGGTCATTTAAAATGTATCTATTTCATTTTAATTCTTATTTATATTGTTTAATTTACGATATTTATGATAAAAGACATTTTTTTCCGTATGAATTTCACTAGTTTATAAAAACTAACAGCAATTAGTAGTTTTAATTTTTTAAGCATTTTATCTTTGTCGTTTCAATTAGTATCAAGAAACGTTTTAAGCCTATTGTTCAATATCGGTTGAAGAACCTAAAATGGTCAGTATTGAGTAAAATATTGATTGGTAAAATTTAAGCTTTTTTTATTTATAACATGATCATAGAAAAAATATAATGATAGTAAAATATGGTCTTTTTGTTATTACATAATACCAAGTTAAGGTCCTACTAGAGAGGGGTTTCACCATTTTTCGTTTCACCAACTTTTTGATCTTTGTTTAAGCCCTGTTCGAAAATTTCATTTAATAGGTCATCAGCATTAGGCGTTCTCTCCCTATGTATCAACGCTTCGTGCGTGACTGTGCAATTTTTTACGGGAGGTATAATAGACGGTTTAGATAATGGTTTGATATCGTTGTCATTAGATTCTGGCATGACTTTATTACATCTTCGTTTTCCTGATGGTGGTTTCGATGGTTCCGATTCAATATGTATCACTGGGGGTGGAGGTGACTCCGTTTGATTTAGTATTGAAACGGTTTCGCTGTGAAATGATATTTGACTTGGCGGTCTCTTTGAATCAGTTTCCGGTTCGTCTGCAACACCTGAATCGTCTGAATTTTTTTCACCTTTGATGGGGATTTCTGTTTGTTCTACAACCAAAATTTCATCATCGTCGTCTGGTATTTCGTCTTTCTTTTCGTTTTGTTTCTCTGTTGATTTTTTCATACCACTTGATAGCATATCTATGACTTTTGAATTTGGTTCAACCATCCTTACGACTGTTTTAAGCAATTTTGGAGTATCAGGTCTAGATTTAATAACCTCTTCGCTTATCATTTTATCGCCCTCATCTTTACCCTTAGCCTTTTTTTCATGTTTAGCATTAGCAGCAATTTTCCTTCTTGCTCTTTTCTTTAGAATTTTTAAAGCAGTCGGGTAATCCATCATGGCTTCTTCGAAATCCGCTTTGCATAATATAAAAAGTTGAGAAAAACCTTTTGAACGAACATCTGCTGTCCGCCTGTTTCCACCTGCCAAAGCCAGGAGGGATATTTCACCAAATACTGAAATTAAACAATTTAATTGCTAATTGCCTAAATAATTTTCAATCAATAATGTATTATCAATATTTATATATTAGGCTGAATTACGCACCTGAACCAGATTGTAATGTGGCGAATACAGTATTATTGTTTGGCCCCCCTACAACTTCAATGATTCCACTCATAACAATATACATTTCCGTTCCAACTTCTCCTTTACGACAAATATAATCGTTGGGAAGGAAAAGCTGTGGTTGTAGCTTGAGCACAAGGTCGTATAACAAATTCTTGTCGCAATCCTGAAACAATGACACTTTACTAAGTATGTCATAGTGAACATGAATCGCTAGATCAGCTTTCATCTTTTTCGGTAAAGCTTCCAAAAGAAAGTTTTCGTTCAGAGTTTTTTGATGTTCCCAATTATAATTGAACCACATCCTTACGCGATCTTGTAATTCCTTAGGTAAGTTTAACGTTTTCATATATTGAATTGTTTGATCCATACTTTTTCTATAGTACGTTTTAGCGTATCCTGCTGACTGAAATATATCTCGAATTTGTCCTATAAGAATAGCGAAAACAAAAACGCCTGATAGCCAATAGAAAGTCATAAACACCCATTCTTCTTTATTAACAGGTCTGGGATTATTTCCTATGGATGTTGCAGTTTTTGTGGCGAGATAGATGCATCTTATATAAGCTACTCCTTCAGCATCGTACACCCAAGCATTTCGCTTCAAGCCTTCATAGGCGGACATAGAGTAATAGCCACATGCCTCAATGTGTATAAGGAAAACCATATACGTCAAAGTTCTAATAACTCTTACGATATGAGCTGATCTTGCTGCTTGATCCATTCGGTCGAAAAAATCCCAAAAAGTGTGAATCTTATGAAAATTTTCCATTGTAATTTATTTTAGAATTGAGAAAAAAACTTAATCCATACCTTTAACATTCGAGGAAATCTTAGTAAAGGGTTATAATCGAACGCAGGAACAAAGTAGAATAAATCGGTTGGTGTAAGGCATAATATATCCATCTTTTAGTGTTAAAAACATATACTGGATATTAATCATTTCCCACATTTTTTTTAAATATTGTATTAAAAAAAAAACTAAAATACATAAAAATAAACCTACTTTAAAGTTGATCTTCTTAAAATAATGTTTTGCACATTCCTTTCGATCTTGCTATATTTAACACAAAAAAAAAATAAATTAGCCGTAAAGGTATAGTTAAAAAAGTGGAGTGAATATCTATAAAAATAGGAAATTTACTTGAACTAAACCATTTTTAACAAATCGAATTCTTGATTTTACAAAGAGTATATCCATAAGATATAAAAAATCACAAAAATAATCTCCAAGCCACCAGTATATGCGATTCTCGTCTGTTTCATATCCTTCATGGAAGGGAAGAGGTAAATTTTCAAGAATTGTTGAACAATTGGTTTTATTTAACGGATCGCATGTTGTTCGGTATCGCATATAAGAGCCATCGTCGTAATAATAGCCTCTTTTGAAAGCTGCCCTAAGAGTCATTACCAAACAGTTATACATAAACGCTACAGTCACTATTAGCAACCAAATATAATAGAGTTTATCTAGTAGGTAAAGAGAAACTGGATATGATATAAATCAAAAGACAACTATAGCACTTACTTTGCGGATCAATTGTTTTCAGAAAGAGAAAGAAGTATATTTTATATAGGAATTTTGGTACTTTTATTCGAAATTTTCCTGATCCGATGTACTTTTGTTCTTTCATTGCGTCATCAGCTCCGGAATTAGAGCTAACTGCAGTAAAGATTGATGAAAGTCGCCCACGAGCTTGAGGAACATCCAATTCTGCATTACTGGAAACATTTGAAATAGCTGATTTAGCGTCTGGGCTAGTTGACGGTGTAGGAGGTTGAAGAGTTTTTTCTTTAAAACGCTCAGTACGATTTTCGAATTTTCGAACAAGATCTTTTAATTTTTCACTCAGTGCTGATGAGACTGCAGAGTGACTGCTGTAAAAGAAGACAAAAGGAACTTAAAAATGAGAAAAATAATTAGAAGCGTAGGATGAAATTATTTTTTATTATTTTCAAGACAATATCTCACACTTCGTCATCTTCATTATCAAACACAGAGAAGCTGGATCTTGCAGAAAGTAAACTTGGTAAAGCGAGAGTTTCTTTTCCAGAACTTGTACTACTGGTTCTGATGCTCAATCTTCCACCGGGTTCAACTGAAATTAGGGGTCTAGTGAGTTCCATCATTTCGAAACGTTCGAAACTCGATGCTCGTCGCTTTGACATTTCACCGACTGGCATCTTGTAATCAATTTGGACGAAACCTTAGACGGAAAAAATTAATACCTTCTGGCACTTCTAGGTTGTGCTGACCGTTTACGGGGTCATGAATTTCAGGCGGATCATCAAATTCTAAGCGAGAAACACTTCGCCCTCGAGGAAATTGCGGCCCAAAAGTTATATCATCTTCATCTTCTTCGTAAGCAGGATTGACTTGTCCTTTCTCCGCTAAATTTAAATAACCCTAATTATATTTCAAACTTAGTGAAACAGTAAATACAAACTTCCTTCTTGAATTTTTATTATAGGCTGTTGACTATCCATATTTTTCAGAATAGTTTCTTGTTCTCTTGTACAACTCCAACTATTTATAATGCATACGAATGGCTACAGGTAGACAATATGTAAATCTTATTGATCAGGTTAGTTTCTCGTTACCTGGGTAACAAAATACCCTTGCTATCGCAGTTAGGTGGCGTTCTCCAGATAATGAATAATTAATTATCATTAATTACCGAATTATTCAATCGTGAATTTATACTTTTCTACCGTAAGAAAACTTAATTACTACTGAAAAATTAATTTACAACAAAGTTATTTGCATTATTAAATGTTTATTTGTGACAAAAGAGGATGATCAAATTAATGTAAATATTCATTAATCTTATGAAAAGTTATATTAACCATTTTAAATAAATTTGAAACATCTTCAAAAAAATATATGTAACCGTATTATCACTTTTCGGGCTTCTAGTTAATCTGTTCATTTGAAAGACTATCTAATCGTTGTAGTGAGATAATTAGATATTTTAATTGTTTTTAGTAATTCTTATGAGAGAAGAATCCAATTTAACTTTAAATTTTAAAAGTTTAGCGTATCTTTTTAATAGTTTTTCCCAATAACATTCTATATCTTCCATTCTTAAATGATTCCATATAAATTCGTAACCTCTGTTAAAGAAAAACGAAATATACATATAAATATAGTTAGAACGTTATTGTAATAGTAATTGTGTATAAAAAAAAATTCTATGAATATCAATTGTTCACCTGTTGGCTATTTCTTTTGCGATTTTGTCATTTTCTTTGACAAAGTTAATTAATTCTCTGTTTGGTAGAAAATTTCTTTTTATTAAAACTTTCACGAATCTTATTTTATAAATAGGTTTTTTTTTTGAGGAGAAATAATATTAAATTCTTACTCAGCTTCTTTTAGGTCTGTACTGACGGGAATGTAATGAACCCATGGCTTCATTGTCTGGTAGAAAAATTCCTGCCATTCGTCACCAACATGGAAGACGAGAGATTTACAAAGAAATAAATGCTTGAATCGAAAAGAAGCAGCCACTCCTCGAAAGTTGAATAAATATCTACCAAAAAAAAATAGTAAGTAACATAATGTTCTCCTGTAATGCTTGTTAAGAGATTTTATAGGCCGTACTTGTATTTACAGTGTTCATCCAATGGTATTTCTTTAGCTGGTTCACGGTGTAACGTGTCCTAAAAATTCTACTTGTAGAAGATATACAAAAAAGTATACGTTAAATTCTTACTTCAGAAGATTTCCAAGCTTGATTTTTTGTATATTGGGCATCGGCCAAGTTGGGCTTATCTCGGGAGAGGAGGACTAGAGGATCACGTTCTGCACTAGTTCTGGAGCCACGAAAGAAAGCAATGCTTTCTTTTTTTTCCCATGGAAATTTCTTGGCCTTTTTTGGAATTAGCTCCCTTTGTTGATCCCATCTACCCAAGCCAGTTGGATAAATAGGCCAAACTGCTGGTCCTCCTTCCCAAAAAGTCCATGCCGGATACATAATATCAGCATGGCTTGTAGCCTACATAAAAAGAGTGTTGATAAAAAGAAAAAGTAAAAACTTTTCAACAGATTTTCAAATCATAAATATCTTTTTTCCATTACTTTTTTTTTACTTACTATTTTACTAAAGGAAAATATTGGTGCAGGTTCTGAACCGGGATACTTATAAGTCATTGGATAATCGTGAACGTTCAGTTTAAATTCCATATCGGGCAGTTTTTTAATTATTTTCAATATGAAATGTTCAACTCCGCTACAACGAAATGGGAACATACAGTCTGATTGTCTGTAGAGTTTATGATTTACAATTTGATATTTCATTCCTCTATCCCCGCCTTTGGCTAAATCTTCCCTTGTAATACCATTCTTAAATGGATCCAAATCTTCTTCTAATGTTCTAGGATGGAAATGAATAGAATTTACTCTTTGAATGAACAAACTAAAATTTAAAGAACATATTTGAAATTTTTGTCACAAATTTTGATGTTTTTCCTAATTGTTAGACAGTAAAATAATACTTATTTAATATCAACCGGCTCATTTTACATTTTCTAAGTAATGAAACTTACGGAAAATAGCATGAACAGTCTTCAGAGGTGCAATCATTATAATTCTTCAAGGCTTCATTTATTTTATTGATATATTTTGACCACTTTTGTTCTAATTTGGGAAAAAAACAAGCACTTTAAATGAAAAATACGAATGAAAGAATTTGTTGAAAATTGAATACCATTTGCGGTATATTTTGATTTTTCGTGAGATTCGGATGTATTTTCTGTTTTACATGAATCAGGACTTTCACAAACTTCTTCAGCTTTAACAAAGCAAATTAGAAAAAAACAAATGTAACCAATTTTGAACTTCATGGCTCTATCGACACGTAGACGTTATAACAACTTTCAGATGGCGTTACAGTCGTTTAGTAGTTTTTCGTAAACAAATTACAGACGTCGCTCCAAATAGATGGTCACGTGATTGTAATCTGCTGAGAGGAGAAGAATGGAAGAAGAAAAAGAGGAAATCCATGAAAATGACGAAGAAACTGTTTTTCCAGTTGAAAAGTTGAAAGAAATAGAAGATGATGGAGCGAACAATGATGCTGTACCATTGAATACTGCTTGGACATTTTGGTTAGATAGGTGAGAAAGATCTTACCAAAATTTGTATTATATTTGGGACATCCTAGTGTTCAATGTTCCAAGGTCGTAAATTATAAATGACTTGCAGATCGGTAAAAGGAGCAAACGCCGATGAATTTGAGGCGTCTTTAGTAAAAATTTACACAGTCGAAACTGTTCAGGTACGAGTTCAAATTATTAGATATTATTTTTATTGTGCATTATCTATTATTATTTTTTTTTTCTAATAGACCTTTTGGAGTGTATTCAATCACATAAAAGACGTAAGGCAGTTGAAAGAGAAGTATACCTATCACTTGATGAGAGGAACGAGGAGACCTATGTGGTAAGCTAATCCTTTATGGGAAATTAATTTCTTTAAGACTTTTTTCATTCAAGGGAAGACGAACAGAACTGTAGGGGAGGGAATTGGAGGATAAAGAGTCATAAAAGAGATACTGTAATTACCAAGATATACAAATTAATCCATCTTTCCAATATCAATTCATATTTAACAGCCTAGAATTTGGAAAGAGTTATTAGTTGCCGCTATAGGAGAACAGCTGACCGAGTTCATAAACGAAGGTAGCTTAAATTTCTATTTTAATACAGATTTTATTTTTTTACTATTTAACCTACTTTTCAATTATCCAGGTGACGAAATCGGGGGTTTGAGCGTAAGTCCGAGAGAGTATGATGATATTATTCAAATATGGAATACTAGGGCTGATTTACATGATAAAGCTTCGATTGAAAATGACGTAAGACGATTATTATCCGGTGTACAAATTATAGCCATGTTTTATAAAGGTAATATAATGCTTCTCTACTACATTTTTAAATACTTAAAAATACAAAGCTTACCATTTAAATGAAATCCACAAACGAAATAATCTTACTAAAATTTCGTTTTTGAATCTTGTTCAATTGGCTTATCATAAATATTTATATTTTTCATATTCATACAGCTTTCTCAACTCATCAAGCATTTTCGGGCACTAAATCACGTAAAGTATCGAAATAACCCTCCTTAATAGATGAATGAATAATCAAAGACATCATTACTCTGATGGATTGTCCGCAAGAAAAACAGAAAACGACAAAAAAAAGCAAAAACTTAAAAAATTATGAAGATTTTTAAAAAAAACTGTTTTTAGGATTTTTATTCGATAGACTTATTGCAAAACTTTTATGAATTCTTGATTTTAGGATGAATTTCAAAAAAATTGTTTGTTTCATTAGAAGTAGTAGCATTCTTGTTTTCTTTTTTTTTTTTTTAATATAAAAACAATGTGATACTGCAGAGGAAGATAAAAAAAAGAAAGAACAATTTTTGCAAAGACAAATACATTTAGTATTATAGTGCAACTTGATTATTTGCAAAAAAATGATTACCATTGCGAAGTTAATTAGACAGAGAGAGAGAGAGAAAGAGAGAGGCTTATCTCTTCTTTAGAAACTGATATCGAAAAAAATATATTAAAGATAAAAACAATTACAAACTTTCTACTAACATAGATTATTTAATATAGATATTTTTTATTTATCATACTATCTCTTTTAAATGTTGACTTTCTCTAAAGTAGAATAATAATAAAAAAAACTATAAATAGTATTAACTGGTTGTAAGTTGAGGGAATATTTATCGATTAAAATATTCTAAGGTGGAAATTTTAGTATACAAAAGTATTTAATTGATTAAAATAAATTTGATGTCCAACTTTTTTTTCATCAAAATAAAAAACTTACCAGTTCCTATAACACCAGCTGTTAGATTATGATTTATATTATATTTTGTAGGATAGAGAGAAAGAGAGAGAGAGAGAGAGATAGAGACAGAGAGAAAGAGAGCTATAAATTTGTAATTTAATCTTTTTCAATTATCATTTAGAGCATTTTGTCAGATAAGGAAAAAGGGTTGAAAAAAAAAGGTAGATAAAAGGATAGTTGTTGATTGGTTGAAAAAAAAAACAAACTAGACAGGGAAGAGTAGAAAGAAGAGATTGAACAAGTTCCCATTTTTAATATAGTAATGATTACGTAATTGCTTTATATTTAATATGATATCTTATAATTTAATCATAGAATATCAGTCAGTGCTAAAAGAATGTTGTAAACACTGTTTTTATGCCATTAAAGCAGATATATATTAAAAAAATATTCAATCATGGAATGTTGCATATTGGCAATCGTTTTTTTAAATACTGATAAATACTTTTTTGATATATATATATATATATATATATATGTATACTGTATATAAGAATGCATAGTGAACTGTTTACTTTGGTTGTATATGACAAGAGAAGACGGCAGAAATGAAAAAAGGGAGTTCGAGAGAAAATACAAAAATAAGCTTGAGGAGGATTACATCTACTAAAAACGAAAAGACGGTGGGGCTTCTCGGGCAAATATTCTCTAATAATAACAATATTTCTAATCAGTAATTAGATAGAAAGATTTAACAACGTTTTGATACTTTATTAAGAGATATAATTCTTTTCTACTTAAGCAAAACGTAAGCTGATTTACTACCAGAATTATATATATATATATATATAGTATGTCTATGTGTATATTATCTTAAATTCAACGTATGTGTTTCTTTTTTCCTTATGCATTTCCGAAAAGAAACCATAAACAAGTAATTAACAAATGTTTTTATATTTTAAAAAAAAAGATAAATTTTTTGCCAATAGATGTCGACAATTTCCTTTGAATTGATAGTAGTGCCCCCTACTTCTTTAAAACTTTGAATATAATTTGATGATATTCAAACCCCAGAGGCTAATTTTGTGGACAATATGAAAAATGAACTTTGATATATGCTATATTACCATTTTTGCTTAAAGTTTTGCATATTAATAAGTAAGAATAATGGATAAATGGAGCCGCTGCATGAGAGAATAGGGAAGGTGAGCAAAGCGCACGAGCGCCAACTGTTGCAGATTCCGAGGTATTTATTTTTTTCAGTCTAAGCGACGAGCAGATAGAATGTGGCCGCTATGTTCGACGAAACCGTTAAATGTATGTTTTCCGTCAAACACCTCGAATGGTACTGTGTTTGAGAATGCCAATAAAGCTTCTGTGGTTCTCCAGCTGTACCTGATTCTAATTGTTGCTAGTATAGGAATTTTAGGGAATTCTATCTCTTTCATTGTTCTACACAGCGACAAGGAACGTCGTAATGTTCACTTTTTGCTCAAAGTTTTGGCCTTTGCTGATACATTTTACTTGATATTTGCTCTCCTCCGAAGCCCGTTTAAACATGTTACCACAGACGCTTATTACTATTTTATACTTCAGCCGATTGTTTACCCTCTCTTAAAAACTGCTCAGTTGATGTCAGTATGGACTACCGTTTTAGTAACAATCGACAGGTATGTACACGTCAAAGGCTCGATTCGTTCGAAGCGAATATTTAGCGAGAGAGGAAGAAAATTAATGGCCTTTCTACTATTTCTTGCAACCAACTCCTTCGCGGCACCTCTCTACTTCGACAGTTGTGTAATGGTTCATATAGACTGCCAAGGACCTGGATATATAATGGCCATATCGAACTTTTTTCTCAACAATGAAGGGCATGAAATATATAATCATACTCTCCTTCCAATTTTTCTCTTTTTTATACCTTTCATCTTATTGTCTACCTTCAACACTATATTACTGGTTGTTATTTGTAAATCAAGGGAAAGGCGCAATTCTACGCCAAGTTCGAGGTGCAATTTTGCTGCACACTTAGCGAATAGGCAACAACAGATAAATGAGAGATCGGCAACAGTCGTATTAATTGCAATAGTTGCCGCCTTTTTAGTTTGCGAAACACCAGAAACAGTGCACGGTTTCTTTGCTATCATACAAGTACGATTGGACGCCGCTAACGTGAAAACTCTGCGTGATGTCAACGAACTATTAATGGTTGTCAACTGTTCGCTTAACTTCTTCCTTTTTTTAGCATTCGGCAGAAGATTTCGAGCAAAACTCAGAGAAATCTTACAAAGACGATGGCCTTCCTCTCCGTTCACTCAGAATACTAATGTTGATGGATTTAAGAAGCGATATAGGCAGAATATACCCCTACTGCCAAGAAAAGTGATTATACTTTAATATAATATCTTTTCTCTTTTGTTGCTACAGTTTTAGACATCTTTTCACCTTGGCCACTACTTTCCGTACGATTTTGTTATCAGTTCATTATAGTAGTTAGGAAAAATTTCTTCAATAACTCCTCAATGGCCTCGGTGTTGATATCTGTAGATTTCTCCTTTACTTATCTTCTCCTTAAAAAAATTATCCTCACTATAAAGGTTTAGATTTTAAGTTGCGCCATCTGTCTCTAATTATATATATTTTATATATATTATATACTGTATATTAGTATATATATTTATTTATAACCATAGCATATAATTTTTACATTAAATAAATAAATATACTGTATATATATGTATATATTTATATAAAAGTAGTAAATCTGTACTTATATACATAAGCATGTTTATATGAAATTATAGAACACATATGTGTGGTATATGTCTATACTGTATATCTTGCTGGAGATGTTACAGTAAAAGATCCCAAGTTTCTTTACATTTACAAAGTATATTGCTGGAATTTTATCTTTTTTGTCTATTAGATTTCCCTTGTTGCAGAGATATGTCTAAAGTATATATTAAAATGATTTTTATAATTTTAATAGGCCTAGGACGGCGACGAGAACTATTCGTGACGAGAGAGAGGGAGCAGGCCTATTTTGCTTCTTCAACGAAGTAGTGCTTCTTCGTATCGATATTTCTTCTACTAGTTTGCCCTACTGATTGTCAACCTTCATCTTGATTCTAATGAACGTAATTTGTTGGTCACGCGATAATATTTTTAAGAATAAATTTTTTAATTAGAAAGAAAAGAAAGAAAAGAAAGAAAAAAAAGAACAATAAACTAAAATGTATTTTCTGTTGATTTTAGTGTCTTAAATAAAGGAGAACAAAGTTTTGAAGATTTAAAGAAAGTGGATATAATATCTAGTTGAGCTTACGCGGAAGGGAAAACCGTCAATTAAAGCAACCCTACCAACTTCAACAGACACTTTTAGTTGTAGATGTAAAATACATAAGCCTTACCAATCAGCTATACAATATGAGTGTCTTTTCATGCGCATGACGAGGGAAGACGGTGATTACAGCAATTTGAAAAAAATAAACCTCATTATCTATATGTCATACGATACAGCAATTTATTCGTAGTAAAATAAAAAAGTTTGTTCCTGGTAATGAATTTGCCATTTCTAGACGGTCTAGTTTGTCATTTATCCAAAAAAATATCTTCTTTCTTGCCCAATTGTCAACCGTGCCTAGCTTCCAGCTGATCTTGGTAGAAACCGTTAAAATCGAGCCTGCAAATGTTTCCAACTTTTTACATCTGCCGATAATTAATCGTATGCAAAAGACTAACCTATGCAAAATATTCACCAACTTCAAATCGGTCATACTGCAAAGGCTAAAATCAAGAACTTTATCCAATAATCTTACGAGTAGTGCGCTAAAATTGTCATCAAATTTCGATATGGTATTTTGAAATTCAATGGTATGAGACGACCCTCTTGCCGAACCAGATTTCAAAGCTTTTTGCATACAATTCGAATAAGTGACGCAAACAACCATCAGTTTATGGATCATCGACAGTAATTCAGGGTTAGTTAGCATACAGTCCCGCATGGAAGAGCTCAGGAATTCATTGTGAGCCTCTAGTACATCATCGATATTCTTTGCTGAACTAATCGCCTTTTCCAGCTGATGCCAATTAGGTTCGATGACTTCTAATAGCATGTAATATTGCAGATTATGCACAAAATTTAACATCCTTTGTCTGAGTGCAAATGCTGCAGTATATTTTTCCCAGTCGTTGGATTTAACTCGTTTACTTGTCACCCATGTGCTAATTAGTTTTTTATAAGAGAGAAAAAATGAATGTTATATAACAAGAAATGTCAAGGACGAATAATTTACTTGCATAATTGCCTCTCGACGTGCTTGCAATAAAACAAATGCCTAAAAAGCATTTGATAACGTGTTAAAGCCTGTCGGGGAAAGAGAAACAATGTTATCTGACAAACACGCGACGTCGATTTGCCTAATGACGTCATCTTTCTACTTTGAGGCTTCGACTCTACACTATCCATCGTCCGAATCAGGCCGTAAATGTTTTAGGCAAACAATCGAAGCTGCTTTTTTTTTTCTGCTCCCTTTTTTTATGTCAACAAATGAACAGAACTAGTTTCAAATAAAAGAATTCTGAGACTAAGTAACTTTCGTTTGTCGTAAACTATTTATATATTTATACACGTATATTAATATAAAGTATGCGTCCCTATCTTAAAGTCCGACCGGATGTTAATTATGATATTAAAAAAAAAATGATCCGAAATGTAAAACTGCGTACAAAATAGATGAAAAAAAAAAAGCGATATAATTAAAGAAGGAATAATTAAGTGTAGTATATGATAATGAATTTTTACTATAATTAGTCAAAGCTGATAAGGAGAGTTCCTGTTACATGTTAAAAAATTATTTACCTTAACAAAACAAATTTTTCCAATATTATAATGAAAAAAAAACATTAAAGAAAGAAAAATCAGCATTTTTCTATTTATCGTTAAGGAATAAATAGTTTGCAATACTATACTAGTTTTATAAAGATAATTAGTAGCTATATTAACTTTGCTATAATAAATATTATTCTCAGAAAAAATGATTCCTCCCACTTAGTTTTTTTCGCATTCGTTTCTCTTTTTTTTCGTTTTTGTGCTGGCTAGGCTTAACGTAGTATACGAGAAAAAAAATTCACTCATTTTATCTTTCCTCTTCCTATATGTTTATTCTTCGCGCAAAGAAATAGGGAAAAGGGAAGAAGAAAGATCTAACAAAAGGTACATAATCTTTTCTTCTTCCAAAGCAGTTTAGTAACTTTTCTAAGGGTCTATTCAATCCCTCTTTTTACGAATAATTTATATGATGGATAGGATTTTTACAAAATCGTCTTGTGAAGTATGATATGCGTCAAGATAGTTGTTATAATTGCTATTGAAGATTATCTTGTGTAATGGATAAACAAATTTTTTAATTAACTTATAAATCTGTACCCTCTAAGTTATTATACGTTTTAGCTATTCCTATATAAAATATAATCCAATAAACCTAGTGAAATCTTTAGTTAAGTGGATAAAAAAAGATGGATGATAAATAATACTGACCTTCTTATTCAGAACCAAAGAGACTGGCCACTTAACAACATAATTAAAGGCAAAAGCCTCTAAGCCAGTTAAATTTTCATCGGAATGCTCTATTGCATACTCTATAATTTGAAGTAGTAATAATTTGGTTAATTATTTAATCAGTAGCGAATTCGAATTAGGTTGTCACCTTTTTCTCTCTTTGTTTCTATAGAGGCTATCTTAAAAATTTGAGAGACGAGATCATACTTTAGAAGTTCAGGTCTAATAATAATAAAAGCGTATGTAATTAATAGCTAAGAGAAATTGCAAGCGGAAAAAAAGGATAAGGGCGTATACCGAACGTCGTCTTTAAATTGATCGATATTCGCGGCACTAGTTCTCAAAGATAATTCCAACAACGCTTCTAGACGACTTTCTTGAATATCGTTCATGTTCTTCCTCAGCTCCTCTTCCGCCAAATCCATAAATTGGACAATAAAGTCGCCTTGATTGAGTAGGAAATAGTGCTTGATTGATCTGTTTGGATAAATGTTTAACAATTTGTCATACAAAGAAACATGAAAAGAGCCGATATCGGAGGCTATTATGAGGATAGATATTTCTGATGGAGTACGATTGTTTAAAATACCAGGGGAAAAACTAAAAATCACTTAAAATAGAACGATCTGTCAGAGGTCATTCTTAAAGTCGACATAAGAACGGGGAGCTTCTAAGAAATGTAAAAAAACTAATCCTCGAACACTCTGAAAGCCTTACCGGAGACGGTCCATTAGGCGTTGCTTCTCCAAAAGCATGTTTAACAGTAGACCGGAAGCGTAAGCATAAGCTTCGTTGATTCTCGATGCCAACTCTCTTTCATTATCCGTATAGACAAAGGGTTTAGAAGGTGTTGATTGGAAATGTTCTCCACATAAACGAACAACATTTAAGTATTTTCCCGTATTCAGAATTAATCCAGCCTGTCGCTCGAGAAAGACGGGAACTCTATCCCTACAAATAATATAATGCTGTTCCCAATAATCATCATTATAATCATTTTGTAAACGTTCCTTCACTAGGCTCTGTCTTTCCTCAATCATGAACTGTAAAGGATATACAAAAGAAAAATAGAAAAATAAATAGACAGTAATAGTGAAAGAAAAGAAACAGTACAGGGGAAAAAAACTGCCACGCCGAGAAAGATCTAGTAGGGAAGAAATAAAAAGAGAACAAAATGAGAAATGAGGACAGAGAGCAGAAGGAGCTAATGAAACCTCGTAGTAGAGCTAGTAAAAAACTCTACAACGCTACAAAGAGAAAAAAAAGGAGTGAAAGGTGTTGAAGGTCAATAAGAAGGGATTTAGAAAAAACACTAATCAAGTCCCGCTGAAATATTCTCTATACTAACGATACTATGGTAAAATAGCCGACGCAAACGGCCCGCGTTATTTCCTGTCACTATCAATCTCGTCTAGGTCAATATCTGTATAGATCACCCTTTCGCGCTCTTTCTGGTTAGTGGATAGGGGTAATCGTAGATGGATCCCAATAGAGGATGATATTATTACATATTATTTACATGGTTCAATTTTTTTTTTCTATCGCTATGTTGGGATTAATAAAGATTCCATTCTTTATATCTCTATCTTTAAACTAACTTCCCTAAACAATCAATTTATATTTTACAAAAAACATAAAGGAGTTTCTTTCTCTCCCCTAGAAAACAGCGGTAATGGCCGTAAAAGTCTTAATGAATAAGACCCCTACACCTGCATTAATTGAAAACATAAACACATATGTAGAGTTTATTTTTAGAATTTGATCGATATTCATGCTGATTATGCTCTATTATTATTAAGTATTATTAATACTAAAAGATACCACCTAAATTTTTTACAAGCCAAAGATTAAGGTTACATAATAATATTAAGCTTAAATTACACCGTTTCTCTTCCCATCAAAACAGATGGCTTAGAAAAGTAAACTCCAAACTGTAACAGTTTATTTTCAAGAAGGGAAAGCTTAAATACGTCCAAAAAGAGTGACAGAATCAAAACTAAAAACTTTCACTTAATCATTCCCTCTGGTGTATTGGAGGTGTCCAGGATAAGGGTAACGCTTAGGGAATCTCTGGCATATAGGCTGGCAACCGGAACATTATGCCTACCGAAGCAGTTTTTCGACCGATGTAATCGTCTAATGGAACCAGGCAGTTGGAAAAAAAACAAATACAATCGGAAATAACGAGATGTGATAAATAGCCCATTTGGACAGGGTGTTAAAGGCCTATTAAGAAAGGTTTATATATATTTTTTTTTATCTAAAAAATAAGGTGTTTCTATTTCAAGGTTATTATAAATAGGAATAGCGATACAAATTTATTAATAAATGGCAATTATTTACGCTTTGTATACTCAGCAATCAGAGCAATTCTTTTGCTCGAGCTGATATTATTGGTTAAATACGTCTTTTTTTTATATGAAATAATAACTAAATAGACTAAGGAAGATAAAGAGAGAGGGGAAAGAAAGTTGGAATAAAAACAGAACTTAAGTAAAAAATCGATAATCTTTTTAATAAAAAAATCCATAAACTTACCTCGGCGTAAGTGTCAACTATAGCGCCCTTGAAAATCCATTTCTCTAGTATGTCGAAATAAGGCTTGTTAGCCGATTGCATTAGAAAAGAGCATAAGTCTTGGGCTCTTTTATCCCTGTAAGAGAGAAAGTAATTACAAATTACGCTCTTCTAAATTTTATAACCAATAAATATTTATTTATAAAAAAAATCTAAATTATATTATTTATTAAACTTTTGCATCTACCGTTGACTGACAGGTATATAAATAGACTCCTCTTATTTTACAGAGGATAGCCTAAACGTTTATAATAAAAAAGATACCTTTTCCCATAACAATTTATAGAGTAAAGTTTGTCAATCATTTAGTATCGAGAGAAAAGTAAAATAACCATAAAAAATTTTATCAACAATTACTAACCCAGTATGTTTATGGGTCTTTTCATACAATAAAGATAATACTGCTCCACCAGTGCATTCGCCCTGAAAACAATCGACAAAGTTAATTCCTACGTGACACTTTCGGGTTCTCTCAAGAAAATTCAATAGTAAACGTAAAAGTAAAGGTACATCTATACCTGATTAATTGCGTTAGATATTGAAGCTAATATTTCCATAGTCCTTATAGTTGGTTGCATATAATACCAAAGTTTTTGTAAAGTTAGCTGACCTTCCCGACTTTGATGTTCCAGTTGGCAAATCAGAACTAAATAATCCTAAAAAGTCAAGTAGTGGCAATAAGCGCTTTGCAAAATAAGTTTATGATAACAGAAGAAAGAGTCTATCGACATGCGTCTCATAAATTCAGATGGCGTCACTATACATACATTTATTAAGCTTCTCATTGCAGCACCAACAGCTTGGTTAACCAAACCATACTCGAAAGCTTGTTTCTCTAAAAGCATAATAAAACAAACTAAAATAAATGCTTAAATTTAAATATCATATTCATTAACCTTCAATAAAGCGAACTACAGTAGAATAATCTGAGCAGAGAGGTAACATTCTCTTAATCAATTCTTTATTCATTGGATCTAATGTCAGTTGAGGAAAATAAGTGTTTACTTTTGAAAGAGTATTTTATTTGGATTACAAACCAATGGAAGGATCTATATTGAAATCTCTTCTTCCATAGTTTTCGGAGAGTGGTATTTCTTTGATATGTCTGCCAGTTACACCCTCCATAATGAAGAGTATATCTTCAATTATCTCTTGCTCTTGTATTGACGTCGATGATTTAACAGTTGGGAATATTTGATCATTCTAAAAATAAAGAATAACTAGTTTTATTATGTCATCTGCTTTGGATTTCCATAAAAAATGTTATCTCAGCTATTCATCGTTTAAATGTAACAATTTTTCTCATTTGATTCTAATGTAACAAAAAAAAGTAAATCCTATGATAAATCAGGGATTGAACGATTGAATAATGAGATAAGTTTACAAAAAAAATCCAGTATTATTGTCATAACAATTACATTGCCAATTTCTCTAACTGGTAGAAAGTCCATAGTCAAAGCGGATCGTTCGAAAAGCCAGTCGGGTTGAGCCGGTAGAATTTCTGAGAATTAGTTAAAAATAGACATAAATAAACAGATACAGTATATATATATATATTAGATATTTAACTTTGCATTTGATGATTTATTATTTATAAAATAGTCATAAATTTCAATTACTAATAATAATAATAATAATAATAATAATAATAATAATATATTTCATTATCAATATATCTATATAAAGCTATCAAGTTATAAAATTTTATGATAATTCTTTGCTTACTTTGAGATGCTTTTTTACCGTCTGCACTGTGTAAAGTTAAAGTAGACTCGTAATTTTTCAGAGTATTTGTTTCGCGTAATAAATCGGATTTTAATTTCTTTAATTCGTCCGGTTTAAGAGAACTTGGAGTGTTTGAAACGTCATCGGATTGTAATTTTGGTCCAATACTTTTCATAACCGCTTGAAAATTATCATCCCGGTTAAGTAATGATAATAAATAAACGAACGCATCTAAATGTCGAATACTGTTAAAATTGAAAATTTTTGGGTTAATTGAACTGCACTCTAATAATTGTGATTGGACTCACTTTTTGGCTTTTAGCTCTTCATATTTTTCTAAAAACTCGTTAGGTTGAGAACTAGTTTCAGCTAAAGTACGCTTTGCACGATGAACGGATACCTGATGGTTATAAATAGAGTATAAAAAATTCAACAAACTTTCAAAATTCTACCTACCTGACTTGAGACAAATGGTTGCCGGTTTTTTAACAGAGTTTCTACGAGATTTTCTACAGAGGGATCGTCTGAGTCTCCTTGAACTCTGAAGATATATTAAAATGCTTTAGGAATAGTTTTTTAATTTTGTCCCTTACTAACCCTATTATTCTGTATAGTTCGCTAACGATATGATGAATTTTGAGTTCACTCTCCTTATCCATAATCAAGGTGACAAATATTTCAAAAACTATTGAAATAGGTAAATTATTTAATTATTCAATCAATCCTCTGATTTTGTGTATTTATCACTGAATATTTATAAGTATTTCAATAATAAAAAAAAGACGGTTCAAACTGAGCGATAATTCAAGAACGAACTAAATCAAAGCGCCGGAAATTTGCATCACGTGTTTCGCGCCAAAACTTTAGAGCGGGGAGTCAGATTCGAACAAGTTTAAAAAATAAGTACAAAACGTGAATTGAGGTAAAGCCGATATTTCAGTAGTAACAACTATAAATTATGTTTTTCTTTTTAATAAAAAAGATCATAATAAAAATAAGATTAATATCGTTTATTGTAGGCAATCCGACAGGGGGCTGAACAGAAAAAGTCGAGTATTTCTATTAAGGATAAAATGCTTGCTCCCAGGAAGATGACCATATATATTCCAATGTTTCCTGTACATAATAAAATTTTGATATTGTTTTATAAATCAATAATAAAGTCTATTTACTTAATAGATCTTGAAGGGTCAATTCTGCTTCTTCCTCGAAAAGAAAACTAGGTCGTTTTAATATTGTCATAATTGACATGCCGCTATTTGAATAAAAATTTAAAAATAAACATTTTTAATATAACACAAAGCTCACTTGTAATTAGATTCTTTTCGCTTTTCAACTAATTTCAAACATTCGTCATTAAACGGTTTTAAATGACTTGTTAATTTATCCAGTGTTGTAGACCTCATATAATTTAATGTACTATAAATTCTTGATTTATCATAGGTTTTCAGAATGTCTTTATCAATGTTGGTCAATTTAGAAAAGCCAATTAAAAGTTTCTCCCTTTGACTCTGTTCATTTGTATTATAATATTCGAAAACATCGTCTTCCAAATGTCTATAAAAATCTTTTAGAATTGTTCCATAATGTTTTTTTGTTAAATTCCAGAGTTTTTCGGATTGTATATCATACTTATTAATTAATTCTGTTAGTTTATTGAGAGAATCTGGTTCATGTAACACCAATAGCCGTTTAAATTCAATTAGATAATTCTCTTCTGTAACTTTGAATTTATCAATTTCCTTTTTGTAAGTAGATTCATCATTAATAGATTTTTCTTTCATTAATAAATTTGAATGAAAATTTAAAACTCTTGTAACTAAACTATGAAATTCATTATAAAAATCTTCAACTTGATTCTGAACTGTATTTTCAATATCTTGAAAGAATATTTTCAAAATATTTATATATTGATTAATCTTTTCTTTATCTTTAGAATTTTCATTATTAAAATTATTTAGGACGTTTCTTAGAAGACTTTGTTCATATTTCTCATTTGTATCCTTATCATTCATTTCAAAAATATGATTAAATTGAAATGTTTGATTAATCATTAATTTTTTCGATAATACAAAGATATACATAAAGTTTTTGATGAAATCTTTATCCAATACAACATCATCTATTTTCGACACGTTAATATAGTACTCAAAAGTTAACTTATCATTGAAAAATTTCTCCCAATTGGGATAGTTAACCTTCCACTTTTCAATAAAATTTTCATTAAAATATACTTGTTGTAGCTGAAGCATAGAATGGTGAAAATTCCATCGGTTAGTTAATTTTAGATTGTATTTAGAGAGGAAATCATCTAAACGATTCATTTCTCTTTGACAATTGTTAAAGGAATCGTTATAGAGATCTTTCTGCACCACTTCCAGTTTCAATCTAGTGGCATTTGAATAAATTGCAGATAAATCAGCAATGTCAATGGACCGGCTATTGCAGTAGTTTTTAACTATTATCTGTTTACAGGTTTTATTCGAGCATGATCCATAAGGAGCGTCTAGTCGTAAAATCTAAATTTCAACAGAAAAAGAAATCTTTTCATAATATACAAGGTAAAAAAGAAACATAATTAGTATTAAAGCATTAATTAATTAATCAATTTATAAACAAAAGAAACGTATTGTTTAAAAGTGTAATGACAATGAGAAAAATGTAAAAATATGCACAAATAAACGGGTATATAATTATGCTTTATTACAGATAATAGATTATAGCTAGACTATTGTTATGCGTTTTTTTACAGAAGAGTTAATTATCCATATTTTGCTGGACATTCTGACTATTCAAAGTGCAACATTTTAATGTTAACTCTTTTAGGTATAAACCTCAATGTATAGAATTAATTACATACTGTATATAAATATAATAAGAATATCATTAACATTGTTTGTCATATGTTAATACTGTGTGTTTCCAATAGGCTTACATGATATAGTATCTTTTTTAAATAGTCTATAGATTGAACATCTTACTTTTAAGTATTCCATCTCGCATGTTTCGTGTTTCGAAATTTTGTTCCATATTTCTCCAGAATCGTGGTGAATATATAATTCTATATTATTGTATGTTATTATATCCACTGTAAACCCTATATTATTAAAAAAAACGACGCCTTAATTTTATACAGTATATATAAACAATTGTTAGCAACATACTGTCTTTTAATGAAATTTTATAGCAATTAGCCGTTCCCTTCGATATGTTACAATTTTCGAATGTTTCTCTTATTAAACATCTTTATATAGGGAAGAGAATAATATAATAAAAATTCGATGATTAATTTTAAATTACCTGAAAGATTCATTGAATGATTTCGAATTTGTCACGTTTTCTCTAAAAAAAGAAAATGTTTTTACCATAAAAAACAATATATTAATATTCTTAACACGAGTTTGCTCTTCTTTTGGAAAAATACTTACCCATTTTTTATGCATATCGATATTGGTAATATATTATTATACGGTTTGACAGTTGTTTTTGTTGGATACTCAAGGTAATGGCTTACTAATGTATAAGTTGAAAAACAAAATATTCCACATGCCATTATCGTAACAAGGAACCAAAAGAATTTGCAAATTATTGGTGACTTTCTACCATAAATTCTTGGGATTCCATGAAATGATGAATTGGAAAAAGATGCTTTTAATTCAGTTGAACAAGTAACATCTTCATCATCTAGCATGGATGGAAAATCTAACTTCAAATTATCTGTGTGACTTTCGATATTGTTTCCGTTAGACATTGCTAATCGGCCGTTATCTGACATCGAGTCTGGTGGCTTCAAGGTAATCATGTAAGCAAATATTTAAAAAAAAAAACACATTAATAAATCCGGTTTGTACAAACAATGGACATTTTTTCTATATGAAATATGCATGAAGGATGTTCACAACGCAAAAGCGCCATATCTATTCAGTGGTTTCCACTCCGCCTAGCGGCATAGAATTTCGCTTAATAAATTATAAATATCAATTTAGAATCGCCAGAGTGTAGTTTATCAATTGACATCCAATATCAATAAAACCCTTGAAAGGATATAACTCTAAGAGAGAAGAACCATTTTCGTAATGAAACCATAAGACTTTAATAATCTCCTACATTTCTTCTTTCTAACTTTCGTGTAACAATTCTCACAAATCCTAAAAAAGCGATCTATGAATAAATTAATCATATCGAACTGTTGAACAATTAGTCAATCATGAGTTTATTATTGGGAGAACTTAAATATGAGTGTAACGTTTCTATCCGTTGATAAACAAAAGTATAAATGTAGTTTAAACATTATTTTTAGATAATTGATAGAAGCTGTTTATACAATGGTGTCTTATAACGTACTTATTTTCACCACGTTTAATTATCTAGACATTTTTGTCTTGTTTATTTATACAGAAAATATCTTATTAGTAGCATCTCCTCAGATGGTAGAATCAATTAAGTTGTTTATTCATTTTCCATCATTTCTCTTTTCAGAGGAAGGGTTAGGTTAAGGAGAGAGAGAGAGATGAGAAAAATATTTTGGAAAAGAAAAATTGACCTAACTAGTTTGTTTCTTACTTTTTTCCTGGAAAGAAAGAAAGCTGCGAAAGGAGGAAATATTTTTCCTTTTGTTTATTATATTGATTTTCGGTTCGTAAACAATTTTTTTATTAAAGTATTTATGAATTAATTAGTAAGCTGTGTATTATCGTATTAAATATTAATCAATTTGTTTATAAATAAAGGAAAGTGGAAATTTAACGCCTTCCGTCCCTGAAATTAACTAATATTGTGAATTTTTCACTATATAGTTATATTACTAATTGAAGATAATTAGAGGAAGGGACAAGAAAAAGATGACGAAAAATGATGAGAAAGAAAAATGATAATTACTATAAATATCATAAAGGTTGCTTTCTTTTTGCTCAAAATGATAAAGAAAAGGAAATTTCCTTTACAAATTGAATACAAGAAATAAATTGAAAAATAATACAAATTCTGATTAAATTTTCATTCTATACTATAGTTTCTTGACGAAGGGGGTGGCAGGGGGCGGAAAGAATCGCTTTGTAAGAATTAGACGGGGGAGTGGGAGAGAAAAGATATGATTTTTTTTTATAGCTGTTACACACAGATGGCGTATTTGTATAGGAAAAAAATAACAGGAGAAATTATACTGTATACAAAAAGTGCACGTAATCATGAAATTCTAACAGTTGTCTATATAAACAGACGTCTAAATCTCGCTAAGCTGTAAATCATCCAAACAAATCGGAATGATTGAGTAAAAAAGCTTGTTCGATTTCTATCAGGCACATAAAAAAATATGACGTAGAGAGCACCGGTTACGTCAAAATCAAACTTCAGTTGCACAATCAGCCTTATTCTCTGTTTTTTTAGGACTAAATTCGACGTCGTTTAGACGCCTTTCATGCTCTTTGTTCCGTCTGCGAAATAATAAATAATCGAAAAGATCGACCATAGATAAAGCACTCGCTCCAAGAAGTAATGCTAGGCAGCCCCCAATGTCGCCTGTTTAGTTGATTAAATGTAATTAGTCGATGAAAACATGTGCTAATTTCATTCTTACATATTAAGTCTGTCCATTCATAATCCCACACCTCCCTAATTCTCTCGACATAGTCTTCTAGATGAACATCAACTTGGACGAGATTTTGCCTAGATAAAAAAGAAACTCGCCTATAGAATATGCGCGGATAATGAATATAAATTACCTTATAAATTCGCCTGACAGTTCGCATTTCTCGGCGAATTTTCTCAATTTCGCCTCCACCAATCGCAATGTCTTGGCGAAAGAGACGCTGGACCTCAAAAATATATCATTTTTTGCTAATCGACGAACGCCATCTAGAGTTGATCGGACTCGTTTTAAATTGTCATCTAGCTTGTCCACATCGGCATTTAATCTGCTCTTCCATTCGGCTTTTGGAATCCTTTGAGCGTCTGGAGCGTCAAAGCGGGCTAATCGAGCTAGTTGTATCGCCTCTTTTGATGAATAATTCAGATTGTCGATATCGGCCGAGATTCTTTCGTAATAGGTTTTCGTGTTACCGTCCGCCTGAATTAGACGCCAAAGAGACGTTAGGCGGTCGCCAAATTTTGTTACTACTTCTAAGAGGTTATCGCTTTTCAATTTCCACTCCGTTAAAATATTTTGAGTGTCAAATTCAAAGTTTGAAATACCTTTAACCTTAATATTTAATTTAGTCAGGTGATAGTTCTTCGTATAATTTTGATATTCCAATATAAAATTTCTTACATCCGTATTTAATCGTAATTTTAATTTATTAAATAACTCTTCAATAGAATTTGATTTTTGTAAGAAATTACCTAATAGACGTCTAACTGAATTACTTTTATCTTCCAAAGTGCTATCGGATGATTTTAAGTCTCTATCGAAGTTGGTAAAGCTCTCTTCTAATTTATATTTCAAAATTGATAAAGCCCTACTATTTTTCATCATCATAGAAATACAGATTTGAGCGTCGCTAGCATTTTTTTTGCTATAATTTGAAGGTTCCACATCGGCCTTATTTGTGAGGGTTAGGGCTTTGGAGGCGGAGATTACAACTTGCATAAGGCACTCGTTAATGGAGTTGATTAATGTCTGGTTATGGATTTTTCTTAACGCGTCGAATGGTAGTAAAGCATTAGACACCTCCTTACGTTTAGTTAAAAGCGAGATGAAAGACACCATTTTCGTTATGGCGTTTTGGGCCATCATCCTTGTTAATGTCAATGTTCTCTTGGAAATGGCAGCGGATATTTCTTTGGTTGTTCGACTCTTCTTTGACAAAAGCACTTGGATACTCGAATTGAAATCAATTGCAGCCTGGTTAGCGTTGTATTCGAATTTATTAAGATATTTTTCGCGGTAACTCCACCAAGGTGCTAAAATTTCATCACGAATTAGAGTTTTCTGCTCTTGTTTTGTGTGGAATTTGTGGAAATCCGATCTTCTCTCTATTTCATCCGCTAACTTCCTTAATTTCTTTCTTGTTTTATTTAACTTGTGCATGGCGTTATCAAAGGCGGCTATACTAATATCAAACGATTCTTTAAGGTGACGAAAGTCCTTTGTGTCGTCATCTAAATTATTTAGTTTATCTCTAACACCTAAAGCTGTCCTAAAACCCGCTTCAAGCCTTTCTCCAGTTTCCAACAATTCGTCGACTTCCGGTCGAGAGAACGCGTCGACTGATAATGATCGAAGTTTGAAAGAAAGATTTCGGCAAGCTTTCTTACAAGAACATCTTGGACGCCAATTCTCTGCGAGAAACGTAAATAAACCGGGTTAAGCTAGCGTTGTTTATCTTTTTAAAGGGCAATTTGCTGTTTGCAATCGCGCGCGAAAGTATTCCATTTTACAGGCCGAGTTTGTAGTTGGAACGCTATAAAGATGATAGATTGCAACGGGTGTTGTTTTTTAGAGATGTTCACATGACAAGAACCATCAGACACTCAATTTATGTGACAAGCCGCAAATCTTTTAGAGTGCGATAGGATAAAAAAATGGAGGAGAAAAAAAAGGGGAGAGAAAGAAGATCTGTTCGTCTCTTAGAGAAATTATCATATGAAAGAAAATTATTAACATGGGAAACGGTTAAGTTGAGAAAATTGAAAAAAGCGTGTAGTAAACGGTATTTAAAGGTTAGTCACGTGATTAATCACGAAATGACTCCAGTAGTATACTTACTATTTACGCGAGAGATACAAGTTCGATAAGTAGATAGATTGCAGATGGGAACCCGTTCATCTATCAACAGATAAACCGCTTGTCAAGAACGCTTAGAGATATTAGATGTCAATATACATATGTAAAATGATATAAAAATATATGTTGAGACCTAAAAGTTTTGAGAATGGTTCGGCGCATGCGCAATCCTTCTTCTGATGTTCGATTAAACAAGCAGCCAAGCATTTTTCAGACTTTTCAGAACACTCTGTTGAATCGTAAATTATCGGTGTCGCTCCGACGCTGAATTGTCGTCCAGGGATCAAGCTTAGAGCATTTCGGTAAGCCAATATAGGCTCTCTTTCGCCAACATACATTTTCAAACCCTTGTTGCCGAGTTCGACGGGGGAATTTTCATAAGATTCAGCATTAAGTAATAATGATAAACCTGGATTAAAGATAATCCTTATCGGTGATGTATTAAGAGATTAGAATATGAACCTTTTTTATGGAGTGGTGTAGTAAAGCAGATTCCTGCTTGGCTACTCGTAGTTTTCCATTTGCATTCGGAGCCTTCGGTCTGGCACCTGCATTTCCATAAATATGACGGTCAATTTGAAAAGTTTACTGAGGCCACTTATTTAATCAATCTTACTGGAGAATGGTGTCGACTTGCCGATGTGCTCCCACCGCCATTAGTTCATCGACAATCGCATTCTTCTTGATAAGATGAGAATTATAAATGCTACTCAACCGCAAAGACGCCTGGCAGATACTTAAAAAAGGAGACGGGAACGTTTTCCTATGCTCAACGATTGTTCTTCTAATTCGGACGGCGGTTGCATATTTTCGGACGGAATTTGCAGCTAAGAAGAAGAAGAAGGCGGTCGAAACGAGGAGAAGGGACGCCCAAAATATTCTAAAAAATAGAAGCGTCATTACGAACCCGGGTTGCCTCTACTCGAGGGACGCCTCGTTACCGTTAAACGCTGGTTTCTATTTAACAAAGCGGTTCTAACGAAGCTGCTAACTGAAGCAGCATAATATTTTGCAGTCGGCATTTTTTCTTGAGTGCCAAATGTTTCGTGGTCTTTAATTTTCTTTTTTAAATGCTAAAGTGCCCTCAGGATTTAATTTAGGCCTATTTCTCTTATGATAACAAGTTATACTTAATGAAAGCAATTTTGTTTTCATCCTCTCATAAGCAAAAAGTTAAATAGATATTCTTTCGAGATAGCGATGATCTTTGTTGTTTTTAATAACAAAAGAAATAAATGATACATTACCTACGTAAAGGTGATGATTCAAAATCGAAAACTTTATCTAGACCATGTATTGTATTTGTCCGGCCAGTTCTTCTGTCAATTCTCTGGTTCCTATAATCTTGTAAGCCATTTGGGGATCTGAGACGACGAATCCTGAGTGGAGAAGTTTGCATGCTTTTCTTTATCTTTAGTTTTTCTTCTTAGCTTCACCTGCTGAGAGAAAAAAAGCACTTCTTTCGCTTCCAATTCTAGATACTAGTGCACCATCGTTTCTTTTATGTAATAAGCCTTATCCTATAAATAGTCGATTTAACACCTCTTTTGAAGCGGTTAATTGGCTATTCCAGAGCCCGCTGACGATTGTATCCATAATTTCTTCATTTAAGGTTTCAAATGTAAAAACTTACCTAAAATAACAAACTAGATAAATTTTATTTGAGTCCTTTTATTACTTTGTATGTCTATACTAAATCTTGTTATTTCACAATATTTTCGAGACTTAGAGACCAAGAAGTATTTTCGCCCACATTCATACTGCATCTAACGAAATTCAGATTTTACACTCTAGCACCATCTATCGGTCATTATTTGTTTGCGGTTGCATTTGTAATGTATACTAAATAGATTATTTTATTAGATCAAAAATTCGAAATGTAAGAAAATGGAAAGAGAAAATTGAATTAAGAAAAAGAGATAGTTTAATTAAACGGTTGAGTCGAGCGTTTTAGGATAAATCTTTCTACTTTTCCCGATAAAAGATAGTTCACTTGTTAATGAGCTTAATCTACGACGATTCAAGGGTTCAATTCCAGAAATACTCTTAAATAGCATATCTTTAGCTGGAATTATCTTTGTTGCATTAGTAACTATGTTTCTCTTCTTCCCACTTCTCCTTTCAACTCCTTCAGTTTGTTTTGAGTGGTAGCTTATTAGTGAAAAAGAAAGACAATTGTGGTAATTTACATAGACTGTATCATTCGCTTTGATTAAAAAAAAACTTACACAAATTGGCAAAACATTCGACCAAGAGAATTTTGACAAACTTCGAATGATTCGTATTGAATTATACTTTTACTTAATTCGAGCAATTTGAATAATACACCGTAATTCACTCCGTTATCCTCTGGAATATTGAAAACTATGAAATTACTATATTGTTCCGAGATTATAGCCTCAGGGATAATTTCAAGGATAAGAGCTTGAATCTGAAGTGATTGCTCTAGTGTAAAATTTTCTTTTAGTCTAAACTTTAATTGCTTTCCTCTACTGTGTTTTTTTCTCAAAGAATCTATAGTTCCAATACTAAAAAAGCGGCCATTATTCATAAATGCAATCTTTGTACAAAATGATTCGACTTCCTGCAAGCTTCTAGCCGACATAAGGACTGTCATTCGACCAACTTCAACGAATACCTTAAGTATACTTTTCATAGTTTTAATAGTCTTATTACTCATCCCAAAGAAAGGATCGTCTAGTATCAAAATCTTTGGTCTTTGTAGAAGAGTTATACAGAGATTTAGCGATCCTTTCGAGTCTCTCTCAAGTAAGCATGCTCTTGTATCAGCTTGCTGCTTTAAAGAGAAAACCTCAAGAAAGAAATCGGTAACTTCCCTAAGATTCTTATTAGGATAGCCAGTTAGTCTTGCAAATAATTGGATATTTGAAATGACTGTTAGACAGGGTATAAAAGCACCTTTTGCAGGAGAAACAGCGAGCAGTTCTTTCTTTAATAAATTCGGATTACATGGAAGTAAATCAGTTTTTCCACTATACAGCAATATGTCGTCTATGAAAACTTCCCCAAAGTCGATTGTCGATTGTCCACTAATTATATCAAATAAGATAGTACTCTTTGAAGTTTTAGGCATTATTAGACCAAAAATGTCAGAATTCTTTAGGTACAGAGATATATTATCTACATAGGAATCCTTTTCAAACTTGCTAACATTATTTAATACTACTGCAGCTGTTGATTCTCTGTTTTCGTATTTCCGCCACTTTTCAACTGTCATATATTCCGTCTTTATATCTTTATCTAAAATTTCGGTATCCCATTGTGTATCGTTTGTAGCATCAACTTCTACCTTTTTCAGGCCCAAAGTAATAAATAACGATCTCTTCCATTCCATGCCGAAAGCTCTCTTCAATTCAAGTAGATGAATAAAAAATGGAAAACCAATTAAGTGAATTATAGTTGGTCCAAGAGATATGAAAAGAATATAGGAAAAGGTCACATTATCCAGTTTTAATGATAAATAAATTGCAAGCTGATCTGAAATGTGAAATTGAGGGATTAGAAGAGAAGAGATAGCAACAACTATAAGTGATAAGTCCTCCCTTTCCCATAATAGAAACAGTAATAATGTAAACGTAGGAAGAATTAGAGACGTAGTTAAAGCGACGCAATAGAAAACAGCATCACCAAAATTTTTTATCCAAAAGGAAACAATATACGCAAAGGGTAAAGTTGAACAAATTTTACATCCCAACAATAAAAAGCGTTGTATTGTGAAATTCTGATCAAGAAAAGACGTTATCAAGAAACCAAATAAAGCGAATATGAGAAAAATTTCACTTAAATCCGTAATTAATGTCATTAACCAGAAAACTATGCGGTTTATCCCTAGTAATGTCAATCTTATTCGAATTTGATTTTGCTGAACCAAACGTTTCAAGCTTAACGCTGGTAGTAGACCAATCATGAAATTAACTAAAATTGTAGCAGATAGATGTGCGTGATCTTCGAAGAAAGATCTTTCTTCTTTCCATGGGTGACTGTTAACAATTATATTAGAGGAATTTAAACGACCATTCGTTATAACTCCAGCTAACCCTCCCATCAAAGCTCTATGAACAATAGCGGGAGAATGAACTTCTGAGTCGTTAAAGTTTAAAGCTACTTCTGTTCTAATACTGCCATTTTTACTAAGTAAAAAATCATTAAAATCTAGGCCATAAGCTTGCGGTTTTATATTTCTTATATCTGTTATATCATATCTGAAAAATTTGGTCAATCTTATACCGGATGCGTTCGCTAACGAATCCATGAGATAGTTTGGAAGACGCTTAGGTGAATTTATTAATAATGGTCTTGAATTGTAAATGAAAGAATCAATTTTTAGGCTGTCCGATTTAGGTTCGTTTATTGGATACCAAGTTTCAATTATTAATCCCAACCAGATAAAACAAACCGGGATTACTAAAAGACCAATCGATAATAGAGATGGATAAAAATCGGACTGGATATTAGCCAACAAAAGAAATATCAATCGTTGAATTTGAGCGTAAAAAAATGGCACTCTCTCTCCGTTCCACCAAATTTTTTGAACCTGATGTCGAAACTTTTGGTATGAAGTTCCAGACTCTTCAGACATTTCCCCATCTGTGTGCATAGTTGGTGGACTATCTATCAATCCTTTACCATCTAAAACATCGTCTAAGAGACCAGGATCATCAGTCGAATGATATGTTTTCCTGGCCCAACTTATCCTTTTCATCTCTTCGGAAAGTCGAGTCCTAGATTCAAATGGATTAGCTTCCTCAACAAGAATCTGAGAGATACAGCTCTCAAACGTTATTAAAGTAACGGAACAGTTGTGAATTTTAAATGAAGCTGCTACAGTTTTCGAGTATGGAATTCTAGCTTCTTCAATAATGGTTCTCTTAGCAAATCTTATAAAGTCTTTCAACTCTAAATCATCTCTCATATGTTCAATATTTGGTTCAGCCCAAGAGGAGTTAAGTCTATTTAGAAAGCAGAAAAAAAGTAAACACTTTAAAAGTAAAATTGCAATATACCTGCTAGTCTGACACCTATCGGATGACCAAGACGCCTTATTCAATAAACTAGAATCTTGATTAGAATGACTAGAATTTGATTCTAATTTTGAAAAGAGAAGAGAAATTTGATCAATTTTTGATTTTGGTATTCTATAGCAAAGATAATTTTGGCTTCTGGCTTGTAATTTAGCGTCTGGTGCATTCTGTTCCACAACTTGATGTAATTCGTCAATTTCACTATCATTTATCAAGTTAAACCTATAATTTAAAGAAGAAAAATACGTTTACAAGTAAGATTTAATATATCCTTCTTAAACAAACTTAATTAAGTATCCTAATTTGAATATGTCATTTAAACGGTCCGTTGTACCCCAATATTTAATTTTGCCCCTATAGAGAATGCCTTTTTCATCACAGAATAGATTTGCTTCATTCATAAATTGCGTTGTAACTAAAAAGTATTTTATTGATAGAAAAGAATAAGAAATAGGATAGAATATAAAGAAAAAACTGAAAGGATATAAGTATGTCTCCCACAGACCTAGAATAATTTTGCCCTTTTTGTGCTTTTTTAACAGCTGCCAAACAGCTCTTCTTCCATTTAGATCTAAGCTAAGAAGGGGTTCATCGAGTAATAGAACTTTAGAATGACCTATTAAAGCTAGGCTTATTCTTAATTTCTTTTCATCATGTTTACTCAACTCATAAATAGGTGAATGGGCTACGTCCATAATGGCTGTTTGATAGAATTTACGCTCTAAAACGTTAATAAACAAATAATAGTCCTACCTAATTCTAACAAGAGATTTTCTATTAATAAATGCTGATCGACTATGTCTACATTTCTAATTCTAGCGTAATACTTTAGTATTTCGTACGGCGTTAACCAATCATACAGATCCGATCTTTCCGGTATAGTTGCGATAGCCTTGTAAATATCTGAAGGCCAGTTGTAACCATGGAAGATTACTTTACCAGATGTTGGCCTCTCTCTTCCCGAAATGATACGAATTAAAGTTGACTTTCCGGAGTTCAAATGACCGAAGAGAACCATTATCTTACCTTCAGTTAGTCTTAGATTAAGATCTTCAAGAGCAGTAACCCTCCTTTGCCCTATTTTCTTATAAATCATTGAAACATTCCTCAAGCTTAAAAAAAGAAGGCATTGAATTTCAAACGGTGAATTACAAGGGAACTTTATGAATTAACTCAGAAACGTACCATATAATGTTTTGGTCGCCCTTCTCATCTAAGGTAATCTCTTCGTTGGTTTGACAAGTAATATTTGAACAGGAACACACTCTCTTCCAAACTATTCTAGTCCTTCTATTATCCGTAAAATTCTCCATGCAAATCACAACTAAAAGTAGTAAAATGCCATAAATAATATGGCAGGAGATGCAGAGTAAAACCGGAAAATCCCCTTCCGTCCAGTAGAGCTTCTTATTTAAACAAATACTAGTAAGAATCTATTAAGGAAGGAGAGCTAAGAATAAAAAAAAGAGGCTTAATTATTTAATTATTTATAAATTGACCTGGTAAAATCCAGCTGCAAATACGCTTAAGGGAGTGGTGACAATAAACCATTTACGATAGAAAGGAAACGCTTCAGTTAAAGTAGGATAAACAGCAACAATAAGAAATGGCCATACCATAGTAAAGATAAATCCAATAACAAATGAATTTACTTTGGCTGGACTCCTGACTAAGTTTGCTATTAATGCGGAGAGACTTGCCATTGTAATAGAAAAGGACATAAATAATGATATATGAAATGCAATCCGTTGCTCAAAAGTTTTAAGAACACTAAGGAAGATAGATATAATAAGTGCAGCCGGTTGAAGAAAGATGACAATAGCTAAGATTCTAGCTGTCCAGTAACTCGACGGTCTTAGCGAGTTAGTAAATGAATAGATTTTTGGAGATCTTTCGAAGCCCGATGCCAGTTCAGAAGCTAAATGCCTCATTAACAAACCAAAATTTAATAATATTATTAAAGTAAGGAGAATTTGAACTAGATATAAGTTATTTGAAATATGCACATATTCTGATTTGGGAAATCTTTGAAGTGATAACTTAATTGTAAGTCCCCTCTTCCTAGCTGTAATGTAATGTAACATTTAAGAAGAAGAAGATGAGGAGAGAGAAAGATAATTTAAGGTTAAATTTTCCTTTTTAAAGAATGAGAAGTAAAAGAATGACTAGCCTAATTTTTTTAGAAACTGCAATGAAATTCCGTGTTGCAAGTGCAAAAATCCTGAACGAATGTACGAATCAGTTGGACATTCGGACGGAGACGTCCTTCTCTTTTCACTACAGTAGTTACTCAAAGAATTCCATGACTTTAGATTGGTTGAAGCAATCTTCCAAGCAGGCATTCGGATGGTATAACTTATACAATCAGTAGACAAGTTATGGAAGATTATGGCTGTCTTTTCTTTAAAGTTCTTTATACTTTCAAATTGACTTTCGTTCATATAAGTGAATTCTTTTAACCTTAGAATATCTAAGTTTATTGACTTGATAAAAGATCTGATGACTGTTGTGTTGGGAGATATCAGTAATCCTCTTACCTAAGGGTTTTATATTATTAGAACTCTTTTTATCCATTCTTTACCAATGCCAATTTTTGTCAATAGATACCTCCAATGGTTGAATTTCCCTGTCAACATCGTAAAATTCCTGTATATGCGTTGACTTTAGATTTTGGGAGAAAATTAGTAGTACAAGAGCGCCACCGATCGAATAAACAACTTCCTTTATGAAACTTTTCCATTTGTGAATCTTCATATGACAAACCAGGAAAAAAACAGTACAAGTTTGCGACAGCCAGCTGCTAGTTTTTAGAATTTTTGCCTTTTTAACCACATGATTGTCGAATTGTGAAATTGTACTTTGGGAATGAATTTTCTCCTCCTTCATTGCCTCATCAATTTTAAACAATCGTTAAATTATAGACTGCAAATATTTTTTTAAAAATATGATAATATATACGTTACGTCTAAAATAGAGCATGTTAATTATTGGATTATTTATTATAATTAGGGTGAAAAATGGAATAGTCGCAAATCATTAATGCATTTTATGTCAGGAATTAATTTAATAATTCAGGACAAAAGACGTTAGGAGATGTATGTTATTTGTAATAAGATTTAGAATAGAGACATATATATTAGTATAGGACGCGGGAAACTTTATAGGTCTAAAGAATATTGTATACTAATACCATATTTTCAACGGTATTATCATTTAGGTCGCGTTCGTTTCATACAGAATAAGACGTTTCCATCTTTTTCGTATATCTTCTATATCAATATTTATAATACGAATATAGTATACTTATATTGTATACTTAACAATTAGTTTATTCTTATATAAGCATATTATTATCATTATCATTGTTATACAATTTGTTAATTTCAATATCATTTTCCCAGAATAAACAAGAAAATATTAATGGTTTCAGATGATTTAACATAGTTGTTTAATCTGTTAGTTTATGGCAAGAAAAGAATATATTAGTATATATATGTAGAAGCAATGTTTACAACAAGTTTCCCTATATTGCACAAATGTGTTCTTTCTTCTCATCAACACAATTAAATTTCAAACCAAAAAAAGAAAAACAACTAAATATAACAATCGTCATAGCTATAAGAGAGGAAAATTTGAACGGGGAAGACAGTTGTACGCTCTAGTCATACAAATATAGAAGCAACTTGCTAAAAACTTTATCATAGTCAACGAATATATATATATATTAATATAAAACACAACCTATATTATGTATAAACGCTATTTAACCCTTAAAAGAAAGAAAGAAAGAAAAACAAGACATTGGTTAGAGATTCCATAAAAAAACATTATGACCTAATAAGAAAGATGATATAAAAAATAAAATTGATTAGGAATGTCGTATAAAGAATTCTTTGTTTAAAAAAAAGACATTGAAGACATAGTTTTTTTAAAGCAGGTTTTAGTTTTGTTTCTTAGTTGATGAAGGATAGTTAAGCTTGAAAAGTTCATTTGAAACACATACAGTATATATACAGAATATATACCGTATGTTGTATGTCTTTCCTTAATGTCGTTAATTGAATTTAAAACTGATATATAAGATTAATTATTTGTTAAAACTTCCTTCTTTTTACTTTTATTTTAGCCTTTTTTTGTTTTTTTTTATAGTTTCTTTTTCTAGATGAATTTTTATTTTTCTCCATAACTTTAGCAGGCGCAATCCTTTTTTTGTGCTGTTTCTTTTTCAGTTATTTTAGCTCCACCTCTAGCCAAAGCTGGAAAATTATTTTTATCCAAAGCCTTTTCCATTCGCTTTAATAATAATAATAATAATAAATATATAATATATTAGCTTATCTAAATTTATCAATATTTAATTTACTAACAAGCATTATTTTGTCAAGTAAACATTCAACAGCCTGTGAAACGTTTTCACCAGTTTTAGCGGATGTTTCAAAGTAGGACAATCTGTTAAAAAAAGGAAAGTAAACTTAACGTTATTTCGTATTTGGCAATGAAAGTGGTTTTTTTTTATTTTTACATTTATTTTAACAATCTATATGCTTTATCCTTTTTTATGGCATAAGCCAATGTGAAAAGAAGAGAAAAAGTGTTTATACCCATAACGATCTGTAAATTCTCTTATTTCCTTTTGAGACACAGCTCTAATATTCTCGTCCAAATCGCATTTGTTACCGCAAAGTACTACATCCGGATTATCACAATATGCGTGAGTTTGCAGTTGGGTTAACCAATCACCAACGTTGCGAAAGCTCGATTCATTTGTTAAATCAAACACTAATAGAAAACCCATTGCATCACGAAAGAAAGCTGTTGGGAGGAAAAACTACCGGTTAAATTATTGATAATCTATTTTTTTCAGATAATTATTTCCCGTTTGCCATTATCTACATGGTCAATACAATCTATTGAATATATATAAATTGAAAAATAGATAATAATAGGTTTACTAGTTTTCCCAACTAGCTGACAAATTCACAATGAACAAACAACCTGTAGTTAAACTTCTAAATCTTTCTTGTCCAGCCGTATCCCACAATTGTAAATGAATTTTATGAGAAGTAGGTGCTAATGATCCATCCGGTAAATTGGCCCGATGAACAACTCTTTTTTCTTTAAAGTCAATTCCGACAGTTGTTATAAATTTACTATTAAATTTACTATCGGTATATTGAAAGAGCAAACTTGTTTTACCAACTCCCGAATCACCTGTAAGACATTTCAATTATGATAGAAAATATAAATATTATTATTATTACAAATATGAATAAAAACAAGTAAAAAAATACAATAATAATAAATAATAGTATGTTTTTAATATGCACAATATGCTTTAACACTTTCCTTCTTAAGTTATAAAAAGAATGACCAACAAAAAACAAAAATATTTCAATCAGAATTGAAAGGAAGAAGAAGAAGAAGAAAAAAAAAACAAGCTGTATTGAAGAAAACAAAGAGGAAACTGATAGAATTATGAAAAATATATTTTTCGGCTCATAAGTAATTTATTAAAAATATATTGGGATAATTATTAATATCTATAAATAGTTTTAAAATGTTTATCAGGTATAAAAAAAATTCAGCAAAAACGACTAAATAATGACTAAATATATGTGATTTTAAAGCAATTAAAAGCGTATATAATTCAACAAGCGCATTTGGCTTTATCAGACTTCGGTACTAAAGCTATTTGACTGCAATATCTACGTGGAGGTCCCGGTTGTTCTGAATGAAGTTCGATTTTCTGCAAAAATTGATGGATGTTTCTTTTTTTTTTGTTTTTTTTTTTCTCTCTCTCTCTCTCCCTCCCGCAAATTTATGGCGCACTCACTTTTAAAACATTATTGAGCAAGAAATGGAAGACTTTATCAACATTATCACCCGTTAACGCAGATGTTTCTACGTAATTTAAACTGCAAAAATGTTTAGATGTTGTCTTTAGTTCTTGAATGTAATTTCTCTAATTAATAAGGAGGGAATAGTTTTACGATAATTGTAATAGAATAATATATATTTCCCTCAGTTTCCTCTTCTTCTCCAAGAAAGTCAGCTAATATATAAAACTTTTGCCTGAGTATTAGCTTGGGGCATTTGGAGATGCACTACAGTAATTAGTAATTCGGAAGGTATTAGTTTGGGAGAGAACGAGCAATGTCATCTTGGCTATCGCGATAATTGTAGCAAAGTTTCTTAAATGGACTCCACTGTTAGGCTTGTTGACCTGAATCTTGGAAGTAAATACTATAAGATTAAGCCTTTGGGATTCTAGAGGTACGGTTTTCTTGCAGAAAAGGATAAATTTCTTTAAACTATTTACATAAAAGAAATATATAGAATTTCGTAATATTTCATTATAAAAAGATTTACATAGGATTATGACAAATACGAGATTGGGAGCCGACTCTCTTGGAAATAGAAAAGGAAAAGTTGTAACGGTCATCTCAAAAATCTACCCGAAAGCGCTGACGATCTGTTCAATTTCACTGTCCTTAACATCTCTTCTTAAATCGTCACTCTTATTACCGCATAAAACCAAATCAGGTGTTGTAGAATAAGCGTTACGTTTCACCTCCTTCAGCCACCACTCGACATTTTTGAGCGTCTTTTTGTTTGTCAAATCAAAGACGACAAGGAAAGCCATTGCATCGCGATAAAACGCTATACGAAACAAAAAATTTAAAGAAATCCCAGAATTCTATCGCAAAATTAGAATACAAGTGTTTTCTGAGAAACCCCATCTTTACCAAACTCTTTTGCCTTAAAAACAAGAACTAAAGGCTCTCTTTTGGTAAAGGGAGTGTCTCAAAAAAAGAAAAAACACTGTATAAATTCTATTTCTTCTTACATTTGCAAATGCTATGGAATCTTTCCTGACCGCACGTATCCCATATTTGAAGACGTATATTATATTCAGAGCCTGCCCCGGTTTTAAATCGAATAGTCTTCACTTTAAAATCAACACCTAGCGTTGATTCGTTGTGGAAAGATTCATTGACGAAACTATGTATCATATGGGATTTTCCGACACCGGAATCACCTATCAATTTTCATATTTTACATCAATTATAACACTTTATAATTATAATTTATGCTTAAAAATGTAACAATAACAATAAACGCAGTATTATATAAACATAACAGAAGCGATAAGTATAAACATTTTCATTATATATACAGTATATACAGTATATACAGTATATTTTCCTATTAGCTTTATTATGATCCAAGCTAGTATACATCCAACTCCTGCTGCTCATGAAAAACAATTAAATATGGGAGTTTCGCTAATTAGATTACATCAATTTATCTATATTAGTCCTATACATTGTCGCTTATCTAGATGTGGATGATTTATCGAGGTGGCGCTGTATAAAAATATAATAACAAGCGCAAAATTTAGAAACTATAGATAATTAAGCTCTCGCTATTGGTTATGACAGCAAAGAGAACCGAGTGGAAAACATATACTTGTCGCTCTATCATCAGAGTACACCTCCTATCAATTCTTTCTTTACTTACTAAACATAAAAAGGTTTCTGTTGAATCTTAAAGCTTGCAGACTGGATTATATTAACCATTTATACAAAAAATAATTTGTCTAAGCACTTTTTTAAATGATACACTTACCTAGAGCGAGGAATTTGATTAAGTAATCGTAGTCAGTTGACATAGTTTGCACGTTGTCTCCATTATTTGTCACTATAGATCCACTCATTTCCAGATCTGTTTGAATGGAGTACAATTAGTAACCTTTGTTGTTTGTTCTTCGCAGTTTAGCTGCAAAGAGATAATTAAACAGAGTTGTTCGTCTGTCACAAAGACTGGAAGATAGAAAAAGCCATGCGTAAATTGTTCTTAATATGAAAATAACTACCGGCTAGATCCTTCTTTTTAAGAACATCGTTTAAACGAGTTCTATAGGTCTCCACGGATTCCGTTTCATTTGGATCTGGAGAAAAGGCGTCAGGTGTTTTGTTTAAAGTTTAATCGGTCATGACTACAGTACTTTTTTTTATTGATTATAAAAACGACTTCCTCCACTCAACGAATGTTACGCAGTCATGAAATATACGATATATACGAAAATAGGCCTACAAGTTTAATAGTATGTCAATAATTCTAGTTATCTTTAATTTTATCAATGGCTTGAAAACGTATCCTTGTCAACATTCGTGAAACAAAATACTTAAAAAATAGAATAATTGACAGAAACTTACCAACATCACTTTCAATATCTGTCATTTTTCTGTTTGATAAGTGATATTTATAAGCAAAATTTCGTTAATAAAAACATTTTAATCCAATAGAGTCAGATATATGTATATATATATCTATATATATATATAATATATATTGTTATGTATATAACAAATATTCAGCAATAAACTAAGAAAACTCAATGAACTTTAGAATGACAAGTCACCTTGAAGTCTAAACATGCTTTAATAAAGATTATAGCTTTAACAGGACTGCCGCAAAGGAAAGGCATGCATGGCCTTTGCCAAAATTATACTAACCAATTTTCATGCAGACATATAAACGCGCCTTGCCCAAGTGATAGTTAGATAAAATATACAATATGCCTCTTAAAAATTCACCAATCGAAAAGTTCAACAACTACGAAGTTGCCTAATTCTATATCGTAATAACTTACTGGTTGAGATTAGATGTCAAGAGTTACAAAAAAGTTTCCACGGAGTTTTTTTCTTGTTTTTCCAGTTGATTGCATCCAATGAGAGCGCCCTCTGTTGAACACAATATATATCTGCAAAATAATGGAGAAAAAAATTAAGTAATATTCAACAAAATATAAAAACTTGTTTAATAAAATTTTATAAAAATTTAAGAATAAATTCTTTATTAAAATAAATCCTATTTCTCTGACTACGAAAGCTACAAATGGCCACTTCCGCAATGGCGGAAATGAAAAAATTATTCGAATTTATACGCGTTGTAGGCCGATTAAAGTCGTTAAAGAGAACAGGATGGGTCAATGCAGGGGTTAAAGACCCCGAGACTGTTTCAGGTCATATGTACCGTATGGCTATGCTTAGTTTCATAATTGACGAAAAGCGGGACCACGTGTCCCGAGACCAGTGCATCAAACTCGCCCTGGTTCATGATTTAGCAGAATCAATCGTAGGTGATATTACTCCTTTTGAAGGTATCACAGTCGAAGAAAAGCATAGGCGAGAAAAGGAAGCCATGGAAAATATAGCCAAATTAGTTTCCAATACAGTTGGAAATGAGTTGCTTGATCTTTGGAATGAGTATGAGAAGCAATTAACTAAAGAAGCACAATTTGTAAAAGATCTAGATAAATTTGATATGATAATGCAAGCGTTTGAATACGAAGAGGCAGAAAATAAACCTGGCCGACTACAAGACTTTTTTAATTCGGTCGAAGGAAAGTTCAAAACCGAAACTGTCAAAACATGGGTTGATTATTTGAAAGAAGAAAGAATAAGAAATAATTAATAAAATATGTTTAAAGCTAATAAAATATTTCTAAAACACTACAAAACATCGATTACAAGCATTTTTTTTCTCTTCGCTCAATGACGCATAGCCAGCAGATGTCCGTCATTTATCAATATTCTAAATTATATATATATTTAAAACAGTCTCATCTAGTCTCAGTCTCGGTCACAGTTAAGCGAATAAAACGATCATGCTTGGATTCATTATTATCGGTACTTATTTATTACTTACTTTAGATGAAGTTAGGATTAATATTTTTCTTTACGCAGCTCTCTGTGGTCACTTTGTTTTTAGTGATATGACAAGTAAAACCCCTGCTATCACTACAATAAAACATACAACGATTAAAGCTGAAATTACAGGAAGCCATAGTTCTGTTCATACCACTAAAGGTACTACATTGGCCAAAACTACCCAACATGCCATTTCAACTGAAAAGCCTACAACAAAACAACCCACAGGGGACACGACTAACAAGGAATCAACTAAACAAACTACCAAAGGTGTGAATATAACAACAATGGCACAAACAACTAAGAAATCTACTTTGAAACCACCTATAACTACAGTGGGTCCCACTCATAAATTAAACGTTACAACAGCTCCAACAAATACCACGCAGGAAGAGCCAAAAAATAAAGGTGGAAGTACTGGAGTAGCACTTGGGTTTCTATTCGGAATAATTGGTATTTTAGTTATTGCCGCAGCATTTGTTATCATTAGCAGATTAAGAAAGTAAGTTTAATTTATTGTTTAAAAATTTTACACTCCAAAATTCTCTTCTGCTTTTTCATATTACTCCAATCTTCACAGAAGTCAATATCAACATATTTAGCTTGACGAAAAGCAAAAAGAAAAAAAAAAATATATATATATATATATATATATATATATATATTATATATAATATATTCTCATATATAAAAATAACTGCTTCATTTAGTAATTTTGTGGGAAAGGAATGTTAAACAAACTAAGTTTACAAATAACAAGGAACATATTGTATTGGCAATATTAATTTTAAAAAAAGATACATTTATCTTTTACGTATATTTTTTTTTTTGCTGTAAACATATAAAAGGCCTTAATCTTTATTATTGATGTTTTAAGTTTTTCTATTTGTACTTTATATATATACTATATATATATATAATATGTATATAGTATACTTGGTGGAATATCACAAATAAATCATCCCATACTTTTATCTTTTTGTGCTCTTTGAATATGTAAAAGGTTTTTTTTTCTTTCGTTATAACTCATGAGAAAGTCTGGTTTTCTAGGAAAATTTCGGTTTGTTTTTCATCTTTTTTATTAGTTCATTTTCGATTTTTCTTTTTTTTTTAACAAGATGCGATAGGTTCGAATAGGATAAACAACCAACGCCATCTGGATTACTGTATGATTCATACAGTTATCCTAATTCTATATCTAATCACTAAAAGTAATATAATTATCTTTTATTTTTTAATCAAACAAAACGAACTTATTTTTCCTATTTATTAAATAACATCGCCGTATTTTAACTATTTTGTAAAAATATATATTTATATATACTGTATATATAAAATGCTTAAATAGCAAAAATTTTCGATATTCCCTTCTTTTGAAAGGGAAGAACTGCTAATTAAATTTTTTCTAAATTTGGAATTGTCATTCATTCTCGTCAATGTCACAAACGTAAAGTGAATCTTCCTTCTTAAGTTTTCCAGGCTGAGATCGCGAAGAAAAGAAATTTGGTTCAGATTTTGGTCGACGAATAACTCTCGTTGACCATTTATCATTGTCATCCTCCTGTTGTATTGAAATTTCCTGGACACGATTCTTATTTCTTTTTAATTTAATCTTGTCTTTGAGGAAATCTTTTGCAGACTGCAGCTGTATATAAATATAAATAAATGAAAAAGTTTTCAAATCTCTCATTGTCTCCTTTGCTTTTTTTTAAAAAAATATAGCAGATTACAAAGAATTTTGTAATTATGATAAAGTTTATGAAAATGAGTACAATAAGTGCTCCTTTATAGTTTCTTTTGGTCTTTGATAATAGATAAAAGGAATTTAAAATCGGTATCCCTTAACTAATCGAATAAGTACTACTTACGCTTTTTCCTTTATTCTTTAACGTTTGCCAAACGCGCTTCTTTTTATTTTTGGAAGTTTTATCCATATCCTTAATAATAAATAAAAGAATTATATGTCAATACACATATTTTGGCTACATATAAACACATGGCTAAAATATATATATACTGTATATATATATATATATATATATATCTAAACTTGTCTATTTTCATCTAACGTCAGCACATATATTTTATTAATTTCTATTAATTAATTTAATCATAAAAAATTATGTTGATGAGATGCTTTTTGAAGTACCTTTGAAGTTTTTTCTATCTTCCAAACAAATTGACATTTTTAAATAATTTAAAGTAATACTACGTGACTTATCAGGTAAACCTACGTCGATAAGTACACTCAACAGCAATCCTAAAACAATACGATTAGCAAACACTGCAACGAGACGATAGCAATCTCTTTATTTACTGATAACCTTATAAAAAACTTTTAGAGTCAAGCAACATATATAAACAATCGTAAACAAATGATAATAAAAGTAGTAACTTAAAGAAGTTTAATTTTTTTTTCAAAACTTACCAATGATATTGCATTAAGTCCTGGTTGAAAATTCGAACTGCAAACTGAATTTCCAGATTCTGGTCTACTGTCATTTTCTGAGAGATCTGGTGTATTTGGATGTAAAACTTCAATAGGATCCATACTTAAGGGCATTCCTTTTATTTTTACTTCTTCTGTCTTCAAGTTTTTTTACCGCTCCCTCCTGGATTCTTTTGCTTCTTTAGAAAGACTTTCTCCTATTTTGTTAAGTGCAAGATAAGAGTAAATCTAACGTTTTTATCCTTTCTTTTTATGCTTAAGAAGAGCACGGACCAAAATTTCAATTTAAACCGGTCGACAATTCATATGAACGTGACTCAACCTCCTGCGAAATTGACATGACGTATATTTATCCGAAAGTTAGGCCTATATATTATTTAGGTTGCACCTGCTCGAAAAACTCTAGTTACCATGGTTATGTTCTCTTATTGTATTATATACACCATAATTTTATATACATATATATATATATGTATACTGCATATAAAAGTGCATAGTTTTAGGTGTATTCTTCTCTTAATATGGTTTGGTTTTTTCGTGTTGTATAATAGCTAAGTATATAATTGAGTATCTACTTGCGCTATAATCTAATCAAATTTTAGCCCTCGCTATCATGCATGCAATAAGATATACGTCAAAACATTTCAATAAGATATGACAGATTTATAAAACACTCCTACTTTTTCTCCCTATTGATAAAGCTATTATTCATTATGCAATCATTGTTTACACATACATTTGATTTTAGATTTTAAAGAAAAAGTCAGCCATTTTCTTTTATGACCGTTTTTTTTAATAAAAACGGAAACAAAAACTTTATAAACATCAATAAAATACCTTTATTAGTCAAATATTAAATAAAATACCTTTTCAATTAGTTTCTAAGATATGAAGTTTATTGGACCGAGAAAGGAAAAGGCTCCGAAGAAAAGAAAATATATATATATATAATATTAGAATCAAACTAATATTTCTCATCTAGAAACCCAACAAATATTATTAAATAGATACTCGATCGTGATTTTATAAACTATTCTAGAATTAAAATCTTTTATATTTTTTGTCGACAAATAGATTAACCTCCATTTTTCTTTTTTTTTTAAATGTTCGATTTCTAAAAATGTTCTTTTCCATTCGACTACTCTATATTTAGTATATAAAATTGTACTTTAGAGAATTTCTAATTTTGTCTTTCTTATACATACAACCTCTAATTGCTCATTATCTTAGATAATTCTTAGAAACTTTAAGTATATTTTTTACTGTTTTGTTGATTTTTTTTTTGGCTGCTCTTAAGAATTCAAAGTATGGGAAATTGTACTAGACAGAGAGAGAGGATGAAGTGGAAGAGTGAAGGAAGCGAGAGGATGATATCTTTCATTCTGAAAGTCATCCTAATATAGCTATAGGAAAAAATACGGAACATTGTTATCAAATTCTTAGCTACTCCAAGTTCTATTATTTTTTAGGTGCTGTAACCTGTTCTGATCAGTTTTTAATTAGATTCCTTTATATATGTCTTATAATAGCGAGTATAATGATAATTGGAATGTTATCGAGACTTGGGTTTTAATCACATTTTAAATAATATCAAGAGATCTGTTCTAGAAGGTTGAGCTTAATTATCAAGTTTGATGCAAAATGTCGTAGTTTACATAAAAAAAGGCATTTTACTTAATAGACCGAAGGGTATTTGATAGAGGTCGATATTTAAATACAAATTTATCCTTGAAGATAATACATTATACATACCTAGTTAAGTACGGACACAGAAAATGCTGACGCCCAAAAAAAAAGAGCAATTCACACACACACAAAAAAAAAAAATAAAATTAGACGCACCTTCTTCCTTCTCTAACTCTTCTTATCTGTAGAATTTCATTTTTATTAGCGATTTATCACCGATATTTATGGAGTTTTTTTTTCTTACTCAAAGTATATTTTGTGCAAAAGAGAAGTGCTCAAGTAAATCTTATAACTTGTAATTATTGTACTTTGCCGTGCTCATAGTGAAATTAGCATACAAGATAAGAGAAAACTAGGTGGCGCGCAAGACAGTATATACAAAATTTAAAATAGAAAACATATGAGAACAACAAAAGTATTAAAATTTCAATTAGATTTTTAAACTTAAAAATAATGCTTTACATCATCAAAACTGGTAACAAAATCTGACAATTCTTTAAGGTTTTGTCTCTGTAATTTCTATAGAAAAACTTTATTATTAATGATTTACTAGTATACTGTGCATCTACTGTATATTGAAACTTTGATCACTACCTTTTCCCCTCTAATTGATCTTTATTGAACACTCACTTTATAATTTCCTTTTTTCAGCTACTATTGATTAATTAAAGGTTTAAAACCAAATTATTTTAATAAAGAGGACATGGTATAAGATCTTCTCTCAATGCAAATGAATGACTGTGGGAAAAAAAGATGATTAAAGCAGAAAGATCCTCCTTTGAAACATTAACAATATGAAACTTTTTAAGGTAAAATTTTTCAAGAATATCATAATTCATATATTTTGTTAACTGACAAACAATATATTCGAATTTTTGGTTTAAATTTATTAAATGTCTTACACTTTATTGTATAGTTTTCCTAGTTAGAGCTGTGACTCCACGGCAAAGACAGATACATTGTTTTTCGATTGAAATTTATGTTGAACATAATCAATCAATCATTGAAAAGTTTCGTTTATAATTTTGACAAATTAATTAATTAATGGTTTAATTATTATCACAGACAATAAAGACGAAAAAAAAACAGAACATATTATGTCAATTTAGAATCTGATTTTTGAGATCAAATTTCTTATCTTCTTCTTCTTTCGAGATCTCTTAGGTATGACTTTATTTGATCTGAAAGCCAGTTTACACCCTCATCAAGACCTTCTCCTGTTATCGCATTACTTGCGCAAATATGCCATGGTTTGTTGCTTATTTCATCCAACTTCAGCAGTGTCGAGCATTTGACACTAGATAATGCGTCCCTATGATCCATTTTATTTGCAAAAAATAAAACTGGTACTCTTTTTGAAACTAAATCTGGATGTTGAATCAGCTGGTCCAATTCGTCCTTTGCTACGGGCATTCGTAATTTATCAGCGCTGTCAATTACAAATATCACACCCTGACAATCTTTATAATAATGTTCCCATAAGTTACGATAACGGCCTTGGCCTGACATATCAAAGGCATTGAATTGTAGTGATTTGGATGAAAAATTCTCCACATTGAAACCGATAGTTGGTACAATATCAGAAGTCTGTGAATCATCCGGCTTCAATTTGTTCAGAATAGTGGTCTTTCCACTATTATCTAAGCCTACTACAACTATGTTGCATTCTTTTCTCTTGACACCTAGCCATTCGGCAAGTTTGCTAAATATTCCCATAACTGCGAAATTTAAAGCCCCAACGTAATTAGGATGAAGTAAAAGGATTCTAATTTAAATAATAATTTCCTTTGATATTTCTGAGCTATTCAAGTGCTAATTTCAACAAAATGCTCCAATTGTGATTTGTTACTCCTCTTAAGTATCAGTTTCGCAAGACTGATCGATTTTTCCTACCTCAAAAATGTGGTCGAGAAAATATTTCACTTCCCGGCGTTCTTAGTTACATGTGGCTGAATTTTGATTTAGAAATTGATGCTCAATTTTGAGCTCGGAACACGCAACCTCTTTTTTACTTTCCGCCTTTAAATACCTAGATGGCTGAGAGAAATAAAGCATTAATTAAATATTTTCCGATTTTAAAAAGATTTGGAAAAATAAAAATGAAGGTAAGAGAATTTATTTTCTATATGATTCTCAAACTTTTTAGACCATAAAAAGTTGATTAACCGAAATAATGTGACTTTCAAGATACTCATACGATCTTTTTAGTATAAACTCAACTCGAGAGGGAAAATAGACAACGACTCAAATCATACCAACGATAGCCGACGTAAGTTAATTATGCATTTGGGTTAATTCTGACGATTAATTATGGTTTTATATGTAGAAGAAAGTGTTATGCAACGAAAACTCAGTAAAAAGACTAGTTCATTCTTGCCATCGATAAAAAAGTCAAAGGCTGAAGGAAAACAGAGGAATGAAGAAACTATGAAAACTTCTTCGACTAGTGGGATATCATCTGAAGTATTTGACAGAAAAGGGACTTTGAAACCAGAATACGAGTTGTATGTCGGTTTGAAAGATATTCCAGATCCAGCAGATATTGAAATATTTGCTCTGCAAGATGTTGAATTTGGCAAATTAGATAGATATTTCAATAGTGTAAAAACCTATTTTTTCGCTCAAGACGAAGGCTGTCATTCATTTTTTAACGAAATCGGCTGGAAAATTGAAGATGCTACACTCACAGAGGAGGAGATTATGCATACAGAGTTGATGCCCGCAAAACAGACTGAAATCGGTTCCGTAAACGATTCAACTGAAAACCAACACAATTCTGGTAGAAAACGGAAATTAACTCTGGCCGATTTACGATCAGAACGTTTGGAAGATTTCGTTTCTGAAGAACGTTTAGACATATTAAACAAGTATTTTAATAGCGTTCAAAACCTTGCTAATGAACCGGAAGAGAAACGATTGTGTTCGGATAAGAGTATCTCATCGATGGAAGTCTAAAAAGAATATTAGTTATTTTTGAGTCTTTTTTTTTTAAAGAAAGAAAACTAAGCATCTCTATTTACAGAAAAAGAAAACTTTAACTTTAGTCTCTTCTCTTCCTTGAAAAAGAAACCAAATCATTTAAATTGTCTTATAGAAACTGTTTAATCACCATTTTTATTCTTTCTTTTTCTCTCTCCCCCTTCCACTGTCTCTCTCTCTCTCTCTCTCTCTCTCTCTCTCGTATAGTTACTCCTCGCCCCCATCTCTACTAAGCGAAAAACAACAGTAATATTTACGTATGCATATACATGTACAGTAATATATATAGTGTATATATAATTGTCATGTATATACATATATATATATATAACTAGTTTAAATAGTCGTTAATAGCTGATAAACAACAAAAACGTATAAGAGCAAAATTACTATATAATTTTAGAATATTTTTGTCACGTCACTTTACAAAACTAAAATTGAAAATAAACCAAAAAAAATATAAAACAATGAATGAATGATAGAAGGAAAAAGAGAGAGAGAGAGAAAGAAAGAAAGAAAGAAAGAAAGAAAAAACTTAAAATATTTTAGATATTTTTTAAAAGGAATATTTTTCTACTGTTCTAATGAATTTTAGAGTTGTAAAAAAAAAAGAAAAAAGAGCAGAGAGATTTATTTTTTTTTTGTATTTTGATTTTATTTCTTTATGAAATGATGATAAAGCGTATCTTCCTTTTTTTTTTTTAAAGAAAAAACAAGCATATATCTTTCTTCTTTTTTTTTCACTAAGTAAAAGAATTAAATGTTTATAGTTTCATGAGTCTCTTTTTTTCGTATACACTATGTACAGTATATATGCTGTATGTAAATGTAAAATGTGTAGTCATATCTGTTTCTTCTAGAATTCAATATTTGTCGAAAACTATTGATGCTTTCTTTTTTTATAAACAGCAGATGACTCTAGTAGTTGTCGACTTTTGTACACCATTGCTTATCATATATATATTGCATATGTATATATGCAAGGCAAAGGAAATATATACGTGAAATTTATTTAATTAGATAAAACCTTTTCTGATAATAAAGAAAGACAATTGCTTTTATAAAATAATCATAATATTAACAATAATATATATATGAATATATTTCAAGTGCTCTAATTCTATTCTACCGAGTAAATAGATTTATAATCTATGTAAATAAATATATGTAGTTCTGTCTAATTCCTGAAAGATTGTCCAGATAACTTTCAATTAGCTCTTTATTATCAATGTTAAAATTTTAAGGTTAAAGCTCGAATCTTTACGTGCATCTTATCACGAATATATTATAGAATATGACATTGTAGTTTTGTTTTATACATCTTCTATATACATGTTATATTTATTTTCTTATTAGAAAAACAAATATTATATATAAATGAAAGATTCGTGATTATTTTATAGTTTAGAGTATTATTTTAGAGTTTATTTACCCTTAATTTCTTAGATAATTCCAATGTTCTTATTCTTTACCTTCCACCGCCCCCTTTTTCTCCCTGTCATTCTCAAACTTAGAGTCAACCTTTAAAGTTGATCTCAGAGTTTATATCTTTATTTCTAAGATTCTTTTCAAGCTTTTCAAGAATTACCTTCTTGCGTTTATTTTCCTCTTGCAGAGTATTTTTACTCTTTACAGTTTAATTTCTGCTTATATTTTTAATTTTAAAATGGCGGATAGCGATTCAATTGTTTCGGAGAACACTTCTTCGAGTCTACAATACGAACTTTTTGATTCTGCTGAAAGAGGCAACTTACAAGTGGTAAAGCATTTAGTGAAAAGGGGCGCGAAATTGGATAGTAGGTAGTGTATACACTTTAGATGGGAAAAAAACAGCCTTTTATCTTTATCTTATCTTTGTAAAACATCTCATTTCCATCTTTTAACTTTTATCTACAAAGAAACGAATGGGGTGGAACGGCTCTGTCTTTGGCAGCTTACAATGGTCAAGTAGCTGTATGCGAATATCTTCTGGAACAGAACGCTAATCCTAATCTGCAAACCAAGTACGGTTATACCCCGCTTCATTTGGCGGCTCAAAAAGGTCATCCTCAAACGATTGGTACCTTAATAGATGGAGGAGCAAGAGTTGATACTCAAACTGGAGAAGGTTATACAGCTCTCTATTTATCCGTTCTTGGGGAACATAAAATTCCAGCAAAAATGCTCCTGGCTGCAGGAGCAGACTGCAATATAAAAACAAAAAAGAATGAAACAGTTTTGCACATTGCTATTGATAAGAAAAGAGAGGATATTGTAGATCTACTATTAAAGTACTGTAAAAACTACTCCATATGATAAACTTTATAATAATATTTCTTTGATTTTTATAGCAATCAAGCTAATCCTAACAGCGTAAGAAAGGACGGAGAAACACCTTTGCATTCGGCAAGCCATATCGGTAGCCCTAAAATTGTACAAATGCTAATTAAAGCTGGAGCTCTAGTAGATGGAACTATGAAAAATGGAGCTACTGCAATGCATATAGGTGCTCGATATGGTAAAGAAGGAGTAATAAGAACTCTTGCTAACATTGGAGGTGCTGATACAATGAGTACGATGAATGTTGATACAGCCATTGGACCAATCTGTATTGAACGAGATACTGGTAAGTATTTTGCAATCAACTCTGACTTTGATGACAATGGTCGTGATACTTTCAAGATGAGCTTGTTGGAGGAGGTCATATTGATAAGGATTGGAGGCCTATCCATATGGCTGCTTTTTGGGGTCATAAGCCTTGCGTTGAGGAATTACAAAGGAACGGGGCGGACATAAATTGTCAGACTTCCGAAGGCTTCAGCCCTTTATACTTAGCTTCTCAAAATGGACACGTTCCTGTTGTTGATTATCTACTTAGGCAAGGTGCCTTTGTAGATCGTCCATCAAAGATTGGTTGCATACCATTAATAGTAGCTAGTGGCGGAGGTCACACAGCAGTGGTTGACCTTCTATTACGATACGAGTCGAATGTTGATCATGTGGCAAGTGATCCAAATAAGAGTACAGCTCTAGGAGAGGCAATAGAAAATGGTCATAGGTTCGTAATCAAATCAATAAATTTGTTATTAATATGACTCAATTTTATGCAGAGATGTGACAGAACTACTACTACAGGCTGGAGCAGATGTTCATAAAGCCAGATCCGATGGTTATAACCACCTCTTTCATGCAGTGCGGTCTGAGAAAATATCTAGCGTTGAAATATTATTGACAGGGCGAGCAGATCCCAACGGTTCTCTGCGGGGTGGTATTTCCTGCTTACAAGTGGCTGCCGCTCAAGGCAATGAAGAAATATCTAGGTTTATATTAGGCGTTTATTATAGTACATATAATAAATAATATTTCGTAAATAGAATGCTTTTAGATGCCGGGGCTGATGTAAATCACCAGAGAAATGATGGAAGCACAGCTTTACACGACGCAGCTGGTCTTGGAAGGATCAAAGTCGTTAAACTGCTATTAGCAAGAGGAGCTAATCCTAAAGCCAAAGATAAAACTGGTGGAACACCTTTACAAATTGCAGCCGAAGAAAACCAGCCTCATGCAGCCGAATTGTTGATAAAAGCCGGCGCCGAAATTAATACCGTAAACGATAATGGCTTTACCCCTCTCTTCTACGCTGCACAGAACGATCACTTAGACGTTGTTAAACTCTTACTACACTATAGAGCAAACACACAAATAGAAGATTCCGAGGGATGGGTAGCTCTTCATTTTGCAGCTCAGGCAGGTCATTGTCAGGTTGCAGATGCTTTAATCAGAAATGGACATCAAACAATCAATGGAGAAGGTAATAAAGGCGAAAGTCCTCTTTGTTTGGCAGCTGAACAAGGACATTACGACGTTGTTAGATTGTTGTGCGTAAGAGGCGCCAATGTAAATCACAAAACTTCAGACGGTATGACACCTTTACACTTGGCTGCAGAAGAAGGCCATAAGGGTGTTGTTGAAGCCTTATTGGGTAGGGGTGCAAATGTAAATGTACTCAATCGCGTTAAGAATTCTCCTTTACATTTGGCCTCAATGGAAGATAAGCAAGATGTTATAGCATCTTTATTAAGAAAAGGTGCGGATACTAATATTCGTAACATCGACAATTTAAGGCCTATAGAACTAGCGAAATCTGTGAAAGCGAAAAAATTACTCTCTGGCAAAATTCGTTCCGATAGATAAACTTTGATATTTTTCTGTTCTTATCTTCGAATTTAATCAAGCTTGATATAAAGTGTTATAAATGTTACAGTGATATAATTATTATTTTAATATATAGAATTTGTGAAAAGTATAGCGCTTTATCTATAATAAGACCAAAAAAAGTTTGATATCTATTTTTTATTAGGAAATTTAATTATTTTTTTAAAAGCTATTTTTAGAATTTAAATAAGTCGGGTTTATTTTTGTTCAATATAATAATAGAATATTAGTAATCGATTATTCAGTCTTATTTATTTTAACCATTTGCTTCAATCGGTTCCCAACCGGTGACTCACCGGTGCGTAAGATTCATTGTATACTTTAATTACGATGAATGAAAACAACGAGCGTCTAACGCCAAATCAAGAATCAAATCATGGTAAAAAGGCCACCGAACAAAAACCTAATGGAAGACATGCTTTAAAAAGGTGTCCCGAATGCTCAACTTTTGTAAGTTTAGCGCTTTTCTTTTTCGTGAACTTGTTTACAAAAACAATGAATTGTTACAGAGGCCAGTAGCTTGTAAAACCTGTGTATGCGGTTATATATTTTGTAAAAAAATCGCTCAATTACAGAATATTGACAGTAAGTAGAGCTTTAATTTGAGAAATATTCATTTTTAAAAGCATATTTAAAGATCTTTATCATGTTCTTTTTAGCCGAAGAGGAAAGTATAGGTAGTAGGAAAAGAAGAGAGCGTCTCAAAAGATTAGAAAGACCAGAGAGACCAGAAAGAACAGCCATGACATTGAGTTCATCAAAGGTTCATATTATTAGATGTGCTATTTATCCCACATTCGATAGATTTACTACTGCATTTAGCATTTAATATATTTCTTTCATAAATGAAATTACAAATATTGAATAATAGATGAAAGACTCATTTTTCTCATTCTTTCATTATTACCGGCTTTCTTGTATTTAATTAGAATATTTTTTCTATCAGAAGCCGTCAATATCTTCAACTATACAATATGGATTAAAAAGAAGAGGGAGAGTACCAAAAGAAGGTTTACCATATTTTTTTTATATTATTCATCATAAATGAAGAAAATTTCATATTTCTTTGATTTATTTTTAGAAAGAGAAGATATTGATTTACACGATAGTTTATTGTCAGAAAAAGAACTTCAATATAAAATAATTTTAGCAGATATTAACAGAAAGTACGCTAAATCGAAATTTTGGACATGAGAGTGGAAAATGAAAATATGACAATAACTTTTTATTTTTAGCTACTTGAAAAAGTTTGAATGCTTTTTTTTAAAAAATCTTCGATCGTAGTAGGAAAATAGGTATTAAAAGTAGTTTTTCAAATTAGATGCATTTTTTTCATCTGAGCATAAATACAAGAGATCGCATTAGATTAGAATAGCGACAATTTTATCTTATGTTTTTTCTGTTCTATAAATATATAAAAACAACAATTTACATTAATATTCTAATTGACGTAGTGATTATTGATTTTTTCATTGTTTAAGAGAAAAACCAAAATTATGAGAATACGTAGTTGAATTCTTTGAAAGCTGACTAGATTACAAAATTAGTTGTTGCTATGATGAGGTTGTTTTGATACTCTCATAGCACGATGGCAGCCGCATTTAAATTTTGGCCTGTTCGAATTGGCTTAGAAATCATTGGCATATGACCTCTCTTTTGCAAGTTCTTTTATTCTGTCGAATTCACTATGATATCTTTTTTTTTATCTCTGACAGTTCCTTTTAGGCCCTTTCTCTCTCCATTATAACCCTAAATCATTTGTCTAATTTAGGTAATTCACATTTTAGATTAGCCTTCGCTTGGTCTTGTCTTTCCATTTGTTAGATGGTACACTCAATTTTTGAGATTCCTCAGCATTTTCTATCATTAACTTAGCCAAATCATCACTTCGTTCCTCACGAATAGCGAAAATTTTACCTTGTATTTTTTTCTCTACTAGTATATTGAAACAATAGTTACATTTGTGCTCTAATTAAATAACAATGACGTAGAGATTATTAATTTTGACTAATGTTTATAGTAATTATTTTTTACAGTACATTGTACGCTGGATAGGTTGAAAGTATTTTTATTTTTTTACGGAACCATTTTTATTACTTCAAAGCGAATAAGCATTCCCTAAACCTTTATGGAAAGAAAAAAAATGGCATACAATAACCATGCGTTCTCTTAAACAAAAAACAGGCACAATAAATAGGAAGTTTTCTTTAAATGACGACCATCCAAATATTTTTTTTGCAAGAATAAATTAAATGAACCTACTTAATACATACGACCAGAAATCTTATGCAGTATTCTCTTTTTTATAGATATTAAGTATTCGACTCTTAGATAAATAAAGGCATAAATGAGTAAATAAGTATAAACTAACAAACCCAAATAACTTATGAGGCTTTGATCGAAAAAAGTTCATCGAAAATTCAAAGCCTCACAAGTACGCATTTTTATATAAGAGAAAAACTAAAACTATAAGAATACGTAGTTGAATTCTTTGAAAGCTGACTAGATGGTTACAAAATTAGTTGTTGCTATGATGAGGCTGTCTTGTTGCTCTCATAGCTCCGATGGCAGCCGCATTTAAATTTTGGCCTGTTCGAATTGGCTTAGAAATCATCGGCATATGACCTCTCTTTTGCAAGTTCTTTTGTCTAACAGCTTCTTTTATTCTGTCGACTTCACTCTGATATCTCTTTCTATCCCTCATAGCTCCTTCCTTAGCTTCCTTTAAGGCTCCTTCCAGGCTCTTTACTCTCTCCATTGTAGCCCTTAATCTTTTCTCTAATTTAGGTAATTCACATCTTAGATCAGCATTATCTCTTACGAGCTGTTTGTGCACTTTTGTCAGCTGCTCTAAGTTTGTTTCTAGGAAGGATATCTTCTGTTTTTGAGCAACAGAACCTCCGGCATCAGCCGCTCCATCGTCTTCTTCTACACTAATCTTTGACGATTTTTTAACACGATTTTGTAAGTCAGCTACAAGTAATTTCCTTAAATTATGTAACTTTTGAAGCTCCATAGCTACTGTTTCCTCCAGACCTTTAAGGTCAGCCTTCGCTTGGTCTTGTCTTTCCATTTGTTGAGATAGTACACCTAATTTTTGAGTTTTCTCAGCATTTTCTACCCTTAACTTGGCCAACTCTTCACTTAATTGTTCATGAACCAATTGTAATTTTTGATGTTGGTCCTTTGTTTCTTCAAGCTGTCTTTCTTTGTCTGAAATCTCTGTTCGCAATCCAGACAATTGTTTAGTATGTTGCTCATGATGTTCAGAGAGCCGTCTTTCCAGCGCCTCTTTCATTTCGTCAGCAGTCATTGAACGTTCCTTCTCTTCTCTAGCTAAAATATCCTTCTGAGTTTTCAATTGCTCCATTTCATCCGTTAAGTTGTCCAGCTCGCTTTCTAATTGACGCTTTTTCTGTTCAGTTTCTCTTTGCAATTCTGTTACAGATTTTACTTTTGCTTCATGTTGTTGAACGACTAATTTATTTTCAGATAACTCTCTTTCTCTACTTTCTAGGGCCTTTGTTAACTCAGTTTGCTGCGTCTCAACTTGAGAGCATCGACTAGCCACATTTTTCATTTCTGTCTTTAATCTATTTAAAAATAGCCTAGCATGAGTAAATTCCTCCTCAATCTTATCCATTGAGGTAAATGTAGGTACACTCAAATTCTCTCCATTGACAAATGTTGCCATTTCTCCTATTTCCTTGAGGAATTGAGACATCATATCCAAACTTCTGTTTCTTGAATGTAAATTAATATCCTTCAATTGTTTCATTTCCATTTCGTAATTTTTCACTTTAGATCTAGCTAATTCAAGATCTTCAGCAATATCTTCAAGTTGCTGAGATTTTCTCTCAACCTCGCTATTTTTTTGATCGTAGTTAATAGCTAATTCTTCGAGTGCATTCAACACTTCTTTTACCTCTTCCTTTGCACTCTCGTTTTCACTTTGCATTCTTTGCATTTCTACTTGAAGATTTTCAAAATCTCTCTTAGTGCTATCCATCATATCTTCTTGTTCAATCAGTTGTTCTCGAAGGCTATCAATTTGTTGAGATTGATTCTTAATTTCATCATCTTTGTCATCCAATTGATGGTACAAGTTCAACTTCTCAGCTTGAAGAACCGAAAGTTCTTCGTTAGACACTGCTCCACCAGCTGCAATTATTGCACTAGAGCTAACATCTGGTTCAATTGGAGTTAATGAATCAGCACCGGATACAGCAGAGGCTTGAGAAACCTGTTCATCTGTCGGAACAGATTCTCCTTGCCTCCATCTCTGAAGTTCATCTAAGTATTTGTCAACCATTTTCTTCAGTTTAAGGTTCTTTTCTCTTTCCTTTTCATACCTTCTCTTCCATTCTTCGGCTGTTAATTCCTCGTTGACAACAACCTTATTCTTAATAGTCTTGGCTCGCTGTCCAAATTGCAAAGTACTTTTAGTTTCGGACTCATTGAAACTAGCGGGAGAGCAGCATATAATCATCGTTGTCCTAGCATTGCCTCCCAAAGATTCTTGAAGGATTCTAGTTAGTTTTGAGTCTCTGTATGGGACATGGGATTTATTTCCATCGGCTAGCGCAGAAATAACATTGCCAAGAGCAGACAGAGATCTGTTTATGTTTTTCGCCTCATCAAGAACTGAGCCTTCGGCGCCGGTTTTAGCAACTTTTTCAGAGCCGGCTAAATCGACTAGATAAAGTTTACCGGATAGCTTTTTATTTGTTTTCGGATTTTCTTGTTCAACTTTGAGCAAGAAAACGGAATGTGATCTTGAACTGTGTTCATTCATGTCTGCGTGACAAATAGGAAAGTTTTTGGGATTAAAATTATGTCCAAAATTTTTGAAAAACAACTCACTAGTTACTGTTACGTGTCTGTTTGCTTTTCCTTGCGCTATTATATCCATTACATCGTCAGGAGATCCGCATCCAACCACTGTTACATCTTTCACATAAGGAACTCGATTTTTATCTTCATGTACAGATAAATTTTTATTACTAATATCTAGCAAATCTTGAATCTTGTCCATATAAATTTCAAAGTAAGACGCCTACAAATTAACATTGTAGTGATAAGATATAAATAACATCGTGAGTAAAGCGTTCAAACCTTTATATTTATATCAACAACTTCCTCCATTTGGTAGATGAAGGCATATATATCATCTACAATTCTTGGGATAATACCCTCCAGACTAGGGTCACCAATTTGACCCTCCATCGTGTGTGTTTTACCACTGGAGGTCTGACCATAAGCGAATATGGTTCCATTATACCCATTTAGCACGTCTGTTTAACAATAATATCTCGAATAATATTTTTATTCATTGTTACACGTCTGGTCAACATACCCGATACAATAGATTTAGCAGCTTGAGTATAGACGGTCTCCTGATCATCTTGCGGCTTGAATACCTTGTCGAATGTATATACTTTACCCTAAAAAAGTAAAACACGTTTAATACAATTATAATCAATCAGCGCCATATGCTTAACAAATACATATGGTTTACAGGGAAATATTTTAAAATAAAAATTAGTTAGAAATTTTGTAAAAATTACTAACCCCACATCCTATACTGTCAGCAGATGGAAACTTCAGAACAAATTTGCTATTGTTTGCCTCCTCAATAGAATTTAAGGGCCGAACACGGCAAACTACTCTGATACTACATTCGTCACCAGACGACATTTTGAGATTATTCTTTGCACACTGTATTCATAACAGATTAATAATTTTCCGGATTAATGATAAATATCCGAGTGGGATGAACCAAAGATAGTTAATCAGTTTGTTTTTCAAAATTTCCAAATATTCTACGCAACGGGATTAGATAGTAGCACCTATTTATAAATAATTACCGTATAAATATTGAAATTCAAAAGGCCGCTTCACTAGAACAATTCAGTTTGTTAAATGTCTAAAATAATTCATTCCATGCGGCCATTTTGAATGTTGCATTATGGTAGCCGAGGGGAAAAATAAATATTGTAAAAAATTTTTTTTAACAAATAGTTACCTTTAAAAATTTATTTTTTTTAAATAAGGAATATTTAACGTTAAGTATTAGTTAAAATTTTTAGCGCCATCTATTGTCAAATTTTAATAAAAATTGAATTTAAAAATGTGAATATTTTTAGGAAATTAAATCCTTTTTACAGCAGGGGTTTCCATATATTTTTAGAAATTTAACTACATTTTAACTTGCAAGCTCATTTTTCTAACATATTGGCTGCTTGTGTGTTTAAGTACTATTTTACTGAGGTGAAAATATCTAAAACAGCCGGTATAATGAAGTTCTAAAACTTGATTTGAAGGGAGCTCCTGAAGTACTCATAAATTTTAATTGATATAACTTCGAAATACTACATAGCGTAATGGGTAAATTAGCTGTAATTAAAAAGACAGCTTTCGAAGTTGTGTAATTTTCAGTAGTTTAAGAAATTCGTAGTTTTGATTCAGTATATTTCTTATAAAAACGTAGAAATCTTAATAGAAGGAACGAATTTTATTTTTTCATATCCATTATAAACTCTAACATTTCCTTTGCTCAATAGAATGAGACGTCACATATTTACACATTAAAAGTATATTCAAAACATGTACTCCCATAGTTTTTATTTTACAGCAACAAGAATCTTCTTTAAAATTCAAGTCGTCGGTCTCGGTTTTAAAATTAATTTTCCCCTCTGTTATTATTTAAAAAAAACAACAAATTACACTTTGGCTACTTTTAAGTTGACTGCAAGAACTATTACCTCATCGCATGACATATTATAGTCACCTAGAACAGTTCGACATCTTGCTGCAATTCTTTAAAATGTTAAGGATTTTACTTTTTTGTTACCTAAGTAGATAAAGTAAAGACAAATTTTTGCAAATTGTAAAGGATACATAGAAGGGGCAACAACCCTTTTATGAATACCACAAAAGAAGAGAGCCATAAATATTAAACAACTTATGGTAAAAAGAGGATGATTAAAGAGGGATTCCGTAAACCCTACCTGAAAAGATCGCGAATTGTAATGTTAAACATTCAAACTATTATACAACCTCTGACGTTTGAGGATCAGAGAGCCAATAATATGCTCCGAGTGATGTGCATATTGATATTACAAATAGGGCCACTAAATTTAAGGAATTAAAAGATTATATAAGTTATTTAAATTTTTTTGATTAAACGAACATCTCCAACATCTAGTTGCAGGTTGTAAACTCGATATTACTTCAGTCAAACGCTTTTCAAAGATCTTCAAATCTAGACAATCGAATAAAAAGATATAATGAATATATGTTGAGGCATAAATCAAAATATAAAAGTCAGTATCTGAAGTAAATTTAAACCTTCAGTTTGTTCGTCTCTACCACGGCTCATCATAACAGGAAGTAGAATATCGGAAGCGAGTTCAAGTAGCGCCATCTCTAAATTGTTCTTAAACCTTATAACTAATATTCACTTTAGAATTTTGCTCAAATCTAAGCAACAATTAGTAAATATATTCGATTGGTGTTTATACTTTGATGACATACCAAAAACATGATTATTACACACAACAAAGGGCAAAATTCAAAAGAGAGATAAATATTTGTTTGAATTTAGGCGCGTATTCAATGCGGAGCTAAATTTTGAAATCTCGTGGATCAACGCGCTACGATCTTCCTTTTCCGGTTGTTCCACCATGAAAGTTCGCAGTGAAGTGAGTTTATCTCCTTTTCTCTTAAAATACCCCGAACTGGGCAAAAATTTATAGTCCATTTTAATTACAAAATGTTTATACATAAACGTGTTGCTTTTTTAATCCAAAAATTTGCTTTTTCGACAAATTAACATTGGCCACGTGATTTCAGCTGAAAGAATACAAGATCGTTGGAAGGGCCCTCCCGACCCCAAAAAACAGGGTTCCTCCTCTGTACCAAATGAGGATTTTCGCTACGGACATTTGTACCGCGAAATCCCGTTATTGGTATTTCGTCTCGAACCTTAAGAAAATGAAGAAGACTAAAGGCGAAATCGTTTGCTGTCAAAGGGTGCGCATTTTTATTAGCGGCAAGTTCACCTAACCATTGATATTGTTTATAGATTTACGAAAAGAGACCGTCGGTCATCAAGAACTTCGGCATATGGTTGCGTTACGTTTCCCGATCGGGTATTCACAACATGTACCGAGAATATCGGGATTTGACAACCTCTGGAGCTGTTACCCAGTGTTGTAAGTAGTTTTTGCTATTTGCGAGTTTATACAATCGACTCTTATCCCTTTCGTTCGGTGCTGAAACTTCTGGTAGTCGAACTAAATTGTAGTCGAAAATTAAAGCGATTCGTCGCCTTCGTTAGCTTTAAGGTTAAACGAAGTGAACCGAACCTGCGACAAGCCTATTAAAGCATGAAAATCTAATCGTGTCTTTCAATTACAGATCGCGATATGGGAGCTCGTCACCGCGCCAGAGCCAGCTCTATCCAAATCATGAGAGTTGAAATAGTGCCGTCTTCAAAATGTCGTCGACCCCACATCAAACAATTTCATGATAGCAAGATTAAGTTTCCGCTACCACACCGTATTTGCAAGAACTTGCATAAACCTAGATTCAGCACTAGGAGACCTCATACTTTCTTTTGAGGTGGGAACGTCGAATACAGTTTGAAATAAGGATAATTACGTTCAATTTACAAGTTATTTTGTATTTCGTATCAAAATAATTTAAAGCGAAAAATTAAGCAAAACATTTACAATTTTACAAAAATCGATGAAAATATCATGAGTACTAGTCATCTTTATGTTCATCGTCTTTCTTCCATTTTTCATCCTCTCTGACTCTGATATATGATATGGTCCCCTCTCTGGACATAAACCTCGTGTCGTCCATTTTCCTTACTGCTTCTTTCATATCTTCTAAGCGAAAGTATTCAACAAATCCAGCATTTCCGTCCTCGTAAACAGTAGCAAAACATACCTCTCCTGCCTCCTAAATTAAATTCTATTATTGAATATTTAGAGTACAAATATGTCAATACCTGCATGTGATCTTTCAAGTCATACCATGTCGTCCCAGGAGGTAAGTCTGAAACTATAACCCGCTGATCAGGTCGACGCATAGGAGGCCCAGCTCCAGTACACCACCGTCGTGATTTTGGTGATCTTGAACCTGATCTAGATCTATCCCGATTTGGATCAATAGTAGGGTCTCTTCGAGGTACATAATCTCGTGGCGTTCTTGGAAATTCTACTCTCAGTTTGTATCCTTTATAATCATAGCCATCTCGGGCATGAATAGCATCTTCAGCATCCTTTTTGAAAATGAAATATTAAATGAAAGCAAATCTCATGAATTATAAAAAAACGATTCAGTATTTTAATTTGAGTTACTTCATTAATAAATTTAATATTAATATGTGTAGATAAATGACTAAGGTACCTGCGGATCTTCAAAACATATAAAAGCAAATGCAGGCCCTCTTTCGCCCCCGTCATGGACATCAATAAATTCAATTTCTCCAAATTTTCGAAACATTTTATCTAATCTTTTACTTTTGATTGATTTGGGTAGGTTTCCAACAAATATTCTTCCATCCCGATAACGTTCGTATATCTCATTGAAAGACATTTCCAATTGTTTTGGCTTATTAGATATCCTTTAGCAGACATCCCAGCCTATTTCCGGTTCCTGTTTTCAAATTGCATTTAATGAAGTTTTGATATTTTAGTTATTGTTTTTATTAGACAATCAAGATTTGAAAAAAATTTGTGATCTAATCATTTGATCAAACAAACAAATAGTATAAATTATTGTTATTTAAGGCTTTTAAGCCTTCGTTGATTTCACATATTGAGAAATAGCTGTCTTGAAATTATCACTATATGGAATGCGCTTTCTAATAGTTTCTATAAAGTCTTTCAGATTGAGTTCTTCTGGTTGTCTGGCAAACCAACTGTCAATCAATTTATATTTTTGCCTAAACACATCTGTAGGATAGCTAGTCTCAACGGCTTCAAAATCAACCATCCTCAGTACCTCTGAATCTAAGAGGGATTTTTGTATCTCTGATTTGGTCATATTATTAGCCATTTCAAAATACAGCTTGTCACCTATTTTTTTTTCCAAGTCTTCTTCATTTAGTGTTTTTAGTAATTCTTCAATTTGATACTCTTGGAAAGCGTCCGTAATGTCATTTCTTTTTTCTTCGTTCTGAATTTTCTCTTTTACATTTTTGAAAACTCTTACTATCTCGCTTGCAAGCTTTGTATCATTATTTCTCGATAAACAGGAGCAGAGCGCCTCCACAGCTTTTACATCTTTGCGAGACAGGAATGAAATCAAACAAATAGCTTGTTGTCGTCGTGTGGAATTTGATAAAACATCAGCTTGTTCGTCGATGCTTAAGACACCTTTTGATATCAAACAAGGAGTTATAAACTGAGGTTCTAACTTATCTGTAAGTGGCTCAGATAGAGTTTCAAATACGTTTCTAACCAATCTATTTTCATCCATTTTGGATATGCTATTGAAATATAGTTTTTTCAATAAGAAAAGGAAAAACAGATTTGATGAAGTTTACCAGTTTTCAATAGATTATTATAAATATTGATAACAGCTGTAGGATTTTTTGTTTTGTTTTTTACAATGGTATAACATTAAAGAAAAATGTGGCCATGACAATTTATAATAAATTTGTAACCTAACATTTTTCATGTCATATTCCTTTTGCTATTATTGAATATTTCTGTTTCGAAAAAGTAATTGTCAATGTCGTCAATTTAAAGATATACAAAAACCTTTTCGTACAGAGTACGAACAATATCAAACATAAGAGTCTCTTTAAATTTTTTTCAGGAATACGGAACCAAACAATTAGATAGTATGGTTTCGGTAGAAGCCAATCGGAAGATTTAGCAGACGATACTAACTTATAATATATAGGAAGAATGAAAAGAGCTTTCATTGAAGCTTAATGTAGCTCGTTCACCGCCGAAGGATGCTGTCAAGTCATGGAAAGGCCTTAGGCTTACATAAGCATCTGTTAATCAGCAATAAAATTTTAAGGCATTTTAGCTTATGCAGTTCTCTTAGATTTAAAGAACAGCAAGTTCCATCTTCAAGTAGAGTTAGTGAAATTGCTATTTATAAAGAACAGAAAAATTTCATAATGTCTGTCCATTTTAGATTGTAATTGCTGGTGGAGGCGTTGTAGGATGTTCTTTGGCATATCATTTAGCTAAAAGAGGTGTCAGCGATGTTGTACTATTGGAACAAGGACAGTTTGTATTTTCACAATTATAACAATCTCCTATCCCCAAATACCTTTTGCAACCGATATTAAAGATTAACTTGTGGTACGACATGGCATGCTGCTGGTTTAATTGGCCAGCTTCGTGGAACTTCTATTGAATCAAAATTCTCGAAATATGGTCGAGACCTTTACACTGATTTGGAAAAAGAATTAGGAATAAGTAATTCTATCAAATTTCTTTGTTAAAAAATGATTTATTTAATTTATTGTTCAATAAACTTGAATTTCAGGTTGGAAAGAATGTGGGTCGCTATATTTAGCAAGAACTGCAAGCAGAATGACTTATTATAAAAGGGCTTTTGTAAATGCAAAGTAAGATATTCTACAGCCTATGTTTACAATTGAAATCTATATATTTTGTTGTTTAGGGCCATGGGTATACATGCTGAAGTATTATCACCATCGGAACTTAAAGAAAAATGCTCCCTTCTTAATCCTGAAGGGTTGATAGGGGGTGTGTGGGTCCCGTCTGATGGAGTTTTAAGTCCCTCCGATTTAACAATGGCGTATAAAAGTAAAGCAAAACAACTAGGTAAAGATAATTTTTTTCTACGAGATTATCATAACTGTGTTATCAACAATCAGATTCATTTGAACTAATAAGATAATATTATTTCTTAAAGGAGTAACAATTCAGGAGCAAGTCCGAGTCGAAGAAATTCAAACTAAAAACAATAAAGTGTCCGGAGTTGTAACAGATAAGGGACAAATCGATTGCGAAACTTTTGTTAATTGCACAGGACAGGTAGTTTAAACGAAGCTTATCAGTTAAGCAGATAAAATATGAATATGTTTCAGTGGGCAAGATTCTTAGGCGAAAAAAGTTCACCTAATGTTCGAATACCCTTACATTCATGCGAACATTTTTACATTGTTACAAAACCATTTGATGTTTATCCAATGATGCCTGTCATAAGAGATTATGATGGATCAATCTATGCTAGAGAATGGAGTGGTGGATTGTTAGGTGGTTGTTTTGAAGCTAAAGCTAAGCCATGCTTTCACGACGGCGTGCCAGAGAAATTTGAATTCGGTCTATTACCTGAAGATTGGGATCACTTTGGGCCAATTTTAGAACAACTCTTACTTAGATTTCCTTCATTACAAACTGCACAAGTACGAAAAATGTATAACGGGCCAGAAAGTTTTACTCCAGACGGTATATATACCCTTTGTAACTTTTAGATAGGAAATTTAAGTGTTTCATTTGTACTTATATTTATGATATTTTTCACTGACTCATTTTGTAGGTAAAGCGATTTTAGGTGAAGCTCCAGAAATATCAAATTATTTCATTGCCGCTGGTATGAACTCAACTGGAATTGCCAATTCAGCAGGAGTTGGAAATCTGATATCAGATTGGATTATAGATGGGGATGTAAAAGAAAATATTTTACCTTTAGACTGCCGACGTTTTGTAGACTTACATAATAATAGAAAATTTTTAAGGGATAGAGTTAAGGAAATCCCCGGTAAGTATCTTTTGGTGGGGGCGTCTATTTTTGAAACTATAATTCTGATTAGCTTCTCGAGCTGGAAATATCTTTGAGTTAAATCGAGGAAGAAAACTCAGACTTTCACCTCTATATTGTCGATATGAAAATGATGCCAAATTAGCACAAATGATGGGGTACGAAAGACCTGTTTATTTTGAAACGACGGCAAATGGAGACTCTTATAAATTGGCCAGTGGAGCCGAAAGTCCAGGATGTAAGATTCTCTTAATGTTGTAACTGTTTTCGAATTTTGACGCCCCTTATTTATTAATCTAGTTTAGTTGTGTGTTGTTGAATGGCACCGTTTTTCTTTCCAGGACTGCACGCTTTAGTAGGTCCTGAGATTGCGTATAAAGGAGGTAGAAGACTTAGAACATCTAGTTTATATCCTAGATTAACTAGAAATGGAATGCAAATGGGCCAAATAATGGGATTCGAGAGAGCGCTTTATTTTGATAATAGTGATAGTTCTCTGTTCACGTATTCGGGTGACTTATAAACTTTTTAACTCTTTTTTATTTTTTAAGCAAATTAATGCACTTATCGTGAACTTTATAAATATCTTATATCGTTTGTCTTAAAACTACTAAAAACATTCTCTTCTCATATCAAATAGGTTCAAATTCACTTGAAGTTCCTAGAGAGCCTACTAATGCTTACAAAAAGCCAAACTGGTTTGAAAAAGTACAAACGGAATATCGTGCATGCAGAGAAGGAGTTAGCGTTATTGATATGTCAACTTTTACAAAATTTGAATTGCAGGTATTTCATGAATATGAAAATATTTTTATTTAACAGATTAAAAACTCCTTAATTGAAATATTTACATAAAGTCAGCAGATAAAGAAGTTGTTGATTTTCTCCAATATGTTTGTGCCAATGATATTGATGGTGAAATTGGCTCAGTCGTTCACACTGGAATGCTTAACGAAAGAGGAGGTTTTGAAAACGACTGCTCTATTATTCGATTGGCCAAAAATAGATTTTTTATGGTAGCTCCTACCACTCAACAAACCCGAGGACTTGCTTGGTTAAGAAAGCATTTACCGACAGACGGATCTGTTCAGGTACTTGTTTAAAAACTAAAAAATAAACCTCTTAAAAGACCGTTTTCGTTTTATATATTATTAGGTATCGGATGTGACATCCATGTACGCGGCAATTAATCTCCTTGGCCCAAAGGCACATGCAGTTTTGTCGGAACTTACTGATATTTCGCTGTCTTCAACAAACTTTAAGGCAATGAGCTGCCAAGTAATGGATGTTGGTCAGGCTTCTGGAATAGTTGCTATGCGATTAACTCATGCTGGTGAAGATGGTTGGATGCTCTATGTTCCCTCGGAATATGCCTTACATGTATATGACTGCATTTTAGATGCAGGAAAAGACTATGGAATAAGAAATGCAGGATATTATGCTTTAAGAACATTAAGAACTGAAAGATTCTTTGCATATTGGGGAACCGATTTATCACCAGTAGTAACTCCATTAGAATGTGGTAGGGAATTTCGTGTGAAATTTGATGTAAGACACTTATTTTCTTGAAATGTTTAACTTTTAAACTCTCATTTAGGCTTAATTGGTTTTTTTGTTTTTTTCTTAATTAGGGTGCGGACTTTATTGGTAAACAAGCTCTTATCAAACAAAGGAAGGAGGGCATTAAAAAACGTCTCGTTCAATTCGTCCTAACCGATCATAATGTTGATCACGATATTTGGCCATGGGGAGGAGAGCCTATTTACAGAAATAATCAATTGGTTGGATGGGTAACTTCTGCTGCTTATGGATTTACTCTGAAGAAACACGTCTGTCTTGGATTCGTATCGAATAAAGATGGAAAATCTACAGTCACAAATGAATTTGTTATGGATAAGAATGCCAAATATCATATTAATATTGCAGATACACATTTTGCAGCGAGACCTCATATTTTACCCCAAAAGTTGTAATTCCAGACTTCCCTAATCATATTCCTGCAATTAGATTTTTTGCTCTGTTAACAACAATAGCTTTCATATTTTAAATGTAATTTGATTAACTTTTTTATGCCTCGCACTTTGCGGGAGAAGATTCAAAATTATTAGCTGAATAAACTGTACTCGTCTCTGTGCTAGAATTGTCTAATAAGTTTCTTTCTCTCCTCTCTTTGAGAATATCACCTACATCCGGGGATGGACTGCTTACTCCTAATCCAATCGAAGAGGGATCCATTGTACTTTCACTCTTTGATTCCTGTGATCTAGGATATAAGGTTTGATAAGACGGAGGTTTTCTGCTAAAAGATGCTATTCCTGCAGACGGAAAAAGATTTACTTGTTCATTTGAAGGCACATTTCGAACAATTATCTCTGAATTCCAGTTATTCTCATTATTCGGTGTAATCCGCGGTGGATGTCTTTTAGTTAGAGTTATTGTTATCCATAGTGCGCATAGAACGCAAAGAACAATAAAAATAAATAATCCAAGGGCTGCTAGCCGATTTCCAGCAGAATGAGAACCAAGAGATCGAAAATATTCATCATCTCTACAACATTCTAAACCAGCTTCTTCAATACTATGTTTAAAACGACAACAATATACGTTACGAGATAATTCTGCTGGAGGACAGAATAGATATTTATAATAATTCGAATTATAATTTTCCTTTCGCCAAATGTTCAAATTGAATCGTCCCACAAATGATAGAGAGGTATTGTTCGTCTTAGCATTCCAGATGCACACATGTGTTTTTCTCAAAAGGTGATTTTCTGTTAAAATTACATTGCCTATAGAAAATAGAAAAAGAACAAAATACATATTTAGGTTATATATTTAAAAAAAAATGATGATTTTAAATTAAAAAATGACATGTAGATATAACTTTAACTCGTATAGTTCAAACAATTTGTAAGGGATCGGCATCTGTGGACGATACCAACACTTCTATAGAGTCTTCCAGTTGTTCCGAAAGTTTAGCTTGTATATGCTTTAGAAATCCTCTTTCAGTGTTCGAATGCTCGCAGAGTATAACTGAAGACCCACCAGCAACGTAGTTCAAAACTTCATGATGAGACATTTCACCAGATATTAACAAATCAGCTTTGGCATAACGCAAAACACTCGCACCAGAGCCGGCACATACTCCGATAGAATTTATCTTAATATCATCTGTTAATAACAAAGAAGCAGAGATTTAAAAAAGAGAAATTAAGAGATGACAGCTTTATTTACCAATTGTTTTCTTGTTGTCGAAAGCAAGTCTAACATTTTGCATGTTTAGATGAGTTTTTACAATTTCTATGGCATCTTTCAAAGCTATTGACTTATTCAAGTTGGCACGTCTGCCATAGCCAACTTTAGTAGAAGTCTGAAAATTTATTTATTAGTCTAATAGAAACTATAAGTAGTAAGCTTATTACCGTTGAATAATCAATTCCATCAATTTTTTCAACAGCTTCACAATTCTGTATTATCTTATCAAATGGTTTTATAAGCCAATCATTAACACCACCTTCAATTGCGTCCCAGGAAGTATGTGGTGAAAAAACAGCTATTTTATTTTCTAGACATTTTATGACGATTCTTTCTTTCCAACTTGATTGGGTCAATCTTTTTAATGGGCTAAAAATTGGTGGATGATAGCTTAATATCATATCAGATTTGGTTTCTATAGCCTCTTCTAGGACTCTTTTGGTTAAATCATTGGTCAAAAGCATTTTCTTAACAGTGTGAGAAGATGGTTCGACTAATAGTCCGACATTGTCCCATGAGCCGGCAAGTTTTAGTGGAGCAAAATTTTCTAATATCGCGACAACTTTACAAAGTTTCATTTTCCTAAGCATTTTTATAAATATATTATATTTAGTATTTATTAATATAGTTTATCAAATAAATGTTACTGCTTCAAGAACAGACACTTACGTGTTAGAATTTGGTTCCGTTTGAAAATTGGACAAATCAATCCTACCATTAGATGGCTCTACCAGCGCTTAAAGAATTGTTCTTTTTAATTAAAATAGCAAAATCTTAGATATATACATATTAAAACTATAATAAATTAAAAGAATAATAAAATTTTATTTTTTTAAAACACAATTAATAACTTTATAGAATGTTTATAACGCTTTTTGAATAACAGTTTGTACAATTACTAATTGTCACCCCTATACTCACAGTGTTATTTTTTTTAATTTATTCTTTCTATCTTACTATTATGCAATATTACTAAATAAAAAAAGTAATTTTTTTTCTATATATAACATACTTAATTCAGAAATTGTTAACAATTAAGTTGTTTATAACTTTAATTTCCATGACAATAGAGATCAATAATCAGATGCGATTGATAATACTTAAACTAATATAGACAGAGTGACTATTATCCTAAACTGTAAAGAAATAAATTAATTAATTCATACAAACTATATTTTTGAATGACTGAATAAATTAATTGATAAAATAAAGTATTATAAAGTTTTTAAAGTGATTTTTTGTAAAAATCTGTCTTAAAAACATAAATATAATATAATATATTGTTATCTATATATATATATATAAATATGTATATCTAATACATAGTTTTTTCTTTTTAGTATAAAAAATATCTTTGTATTTACGCCATTTTGAAATTTTGTTGGGAAACAACATCTGATCTATAGATAATAAAACACACGTATTTCACTGTGACGCCATATGTATTGTGTGAATTGAAAGGTAGTGTGCGACATCTATAAATATTGTAACAGACTGTTCATGCTCGGAAATAGGGTATTATACATCGAACTTTAGATCTGACAATATATCGTAGTTATTTTGGATTATACGACGATATTTAAGAGTTAAACCATTCCGTACATTTGTATGTACAAGTCTTTACAATGATTTTAGCAAGATTCGTGTACATCTTCCTCATTTTATTAAATATATGTTACGTGAAAGCCAATTTACCGCAGTGTAAACCAGTAAGTATTGAATATATTATATTCTTTATAACTACTTCAGTCAAGCGTGTTTTAAAAACATAACCTGCAAGTAATTTATGGTATAATACGAATGATATTTATTAAACAGAACTCGGACTTTCATTATGAATATACAGAATGTGATTCCCAAGGAAAACGTTGGAGAGTTCAAGTACCTGAATTTGACAAATGTACAGGGGGTAGTCCTCAACCTCCAGAAAGAGCACCCGATTGTAGTAAGTAGAAGTAGTTCAATAAAGAACTTAAACAAGGCGATTTCTTGTCATTATAAACATCCTTTATTGTATAGATGTTAGATGTAAACCGGGACAATATTTAGATAAAGATATTCAAAAATGTAAAGATTGCACACAAGGCAGCTATTCTTTAGATGGTGGAAAGAGATACGATACATGGAATGAAATTCCTAAAGATTTCGACATTAAAGTGGAATACTTTGCCAATTTTGACGCTGTTAGTTGAAAATTTATTATTCTATATATAATATTTAATGTTTCAATAATATCTAGGAGGAGAATACTACTTGTCCGAAATCTGCTGGTTGGATTGGTAAAAAAGATTATATAGTAGCGCAACCAGATTCCTGCATGATACGTTTAACCTACGTTGCCAATTTGGTAAAAGAGGGGAGCGTCACCTTCAGATATCTCTATGATACAGCTACTACAGCTTATTTCGCATTTTCGGTTACTAATCAAATGTGTCAGAGGCAAAATGATCAAAGAAAGTCACTGACACGTTCAAGCTATTGGGTCTCACAGACTGTTAGATTAAATCCAGGTTTGAATTTTTTGACATGGAAAGTAGTACCTTTAGATTCTAGAAGCGATGAGTTGCAACATTCCATCTTTATACAATCCATTGAAATTACTGGTCTCGCATTTGTCAGTGAGTGTACCGATTGTCCAGCGGGCAGCTACTCCGATCAACCAAAATCTGTAGGATGCAAACCTTGCCCTATCAATACCTTTTCTGACAATCTTGGATCAATTTCGTGCCAAGATTGTGAAAAAGATAGCTATTCCTTCGAAGGACATACCAAATGTATTAAGAAATTACCGTGTAGAGAAGACGACTATAAAATGGTCGATCCCGTCTGTAAACAGGTGAGAAGAAATAAGTAATTTGACTATCAGTAATTTGAAATTTGTAACTGTCTGTTTTTGTGTTTTCTTAGAACAAAACAGAACTTAGATATGCCTGGTTAGAACCAAAAATATGTAATAGTGAACATAAAGATTCGGTCGCTCTACCTGAGACTAAAACTAATCAAGACTGTCCACCTTGTAATCCTGGAATGGAATTGGTCAATGGAATTTGCCAATTTTGCTCAAATGGCTATTACAGTGAAAATGGCTCTGGTCCATGTATTAAGTGTCCATCCACTAAAAAACTCGGTGATAAGCAGTTAATTATTCAAAATTTCGATTCTATATCAAAAGGAATAAATATGTCAACATCCTGTTTGGATACTAGTTTATCATTTTGCCGCAGTAACATTTCTTGGAAATCGAATGGAGATTTTATGAAAACTACGGACAAAAATGGTTATGATACATACTCAATCCTGACAATCAAAGTTTTCGGTTTTGCCGAGCCAAAAATATTGGCTGGGGAAACCATTTACAGTAATATAGAAATAACATACGACACATCTTGCGAAGAAAATTGCAACTTCCTCTTTATGACATTGAATAATTTTACTCGTAGAGGACTTTCCGAAAAGTTGGCACCTTCAAAAACAAAGACAACTCATTCTTCCCGCTTGAACAGCGAACAATATCCTACATTAATGTGGGCATTTCAAAAGAGTACACCCAGTGATTATGCGAGAATCTATCAGATTCGTATTACAAATGTTATTAATGGCGGTGCAACACGATGCTCTAATTGTACAATTAAGGACGTGAAGAACGCAATATGTGATCAATGCCCACCAGGTCAGGTGATATCCAATGGTACAGAATGTAAACCTTGTCCTGAAAACAACATTGTTATCACTAATAAAAAGGGTGAATCTGTTTGTGCTCCCTGTGCCGAAGGGTTAAAATCAATTGATGGACTAAAGTGCGTAACAACTTGCAAGTTTCAAAAGCATAATGGTAAAATATATGACTTTACCAAAATGGCATCAAAACCAATAGAAGTAAAAGGGGAGAAACTATTTACTCCCTATATCAGTTTCTACTATACATATAATATAAGTTTATGTTCGGACAATATAGGAAAGCCAGCCACATGTAGTGATAATTTCCAGTTTTCTTCAGAGGTGTGTAGTATACTTTTTATTACTTTTTCTTATTATTATTAAACATATATAGTATTATTATAAGTACATGATATAAACATATATATGTACGTTTATATAGGATCTTTTGGGATTGCACAAGGTAAAACTTGATTATTAAAAGAAGAAAAACTTGATTATTTCAAGAAATTTTTATAGCAAAAAAACAAAATCTGCCTAATTTTAAAAATTATGTAAAAAATTATATTATAAAAAATTTAGGAGGAAACTAAATACGTAGATAACAAAACAGAGGAGTTTGTGAGTTTTCACTTTAAATCAAATTGAGGGTGTAGGTGGTGTTTTTTTCTTTCTCACAATAGATATCAATTTTTTGATTTTGTAGAAGATATGATACAAATTTGAGATATCTCGCATAAAAAAAGGCAATTGTTGGTTATTTTTTGTTCGGTTAAGAGACGCTTTTTTTAATCTATTATATGAGACAAGGTGTTCTTTTAAGTTTCATAGTAGCTCTTGCTTTTTATTTTTAACATTTGTTTGTTTTTTCACTGATTTATCAAATTAGCTTTAAGCTTTAAATGACTTTTCCCGCTGTTTTTAAGCTTTAATTAAGTATTTATTATTAATTTTCAATTTCAGCTTGAAAAAGAAACTGTTTCATCAAGTGTGTGTCAAATGACAGTTTTACCAACAAGCAAACCTAATGAACCGCCTATTATCACACAACCTAAACCTTTGGGTGATATTTTAGTGAATATATCATCCGATCCAAAGCCTATGAACATGTTAGATAAGATGAAAAAAGCTCGATTTGACCTGCCTGAGAATCCCGAGGATGATACCTACTTTACTTTTTATAGTAAACATTCAAGTAATCAATGTAAAAATGGACGTTATACAATAGTCATTTTAAGGTTTGCTTGAAATAGGCTAAAAGTGAAATTTTTATAAGAAGCTTAATGTTATACAGGTGTGACGTTACTTCAAAAATTCCAGGAGAGATAATTCCAGCAGGTTTTTCTGGAACGTTTGATGGATGCACATTCATGTTCCTCTGGAAATCAATTGGTGCATGTCCAGCGTGTACGGGTGATGCTTACAAAGAAGTCGTAGGTGAATGTAAGAATAGGAAGCAGCTTGTCAGCTACATTGCTCGAGACAAGCATTGCTTGTTCTTGAAGGATGCCCCACCAGAAACAACACGGCCGTGTTCACCAATTCCAAAATGGTTATATTTAGCTGTTGGATTTATATTTTTCACTGGCATTTTATTGTGTTCTTTGCTAATATATTGTTGGAAAAAGAATAGAAAGCTTGAATATAAATATTCTAAGCTTATTGGAAAAAAAGGGTCCAATTCCGATGAGGCCGAAATGCCAGCACCAGAAACTTGCGCTTTAGATTCTTCTGAAGAAGAAGAGTTTGATTCCGTAAAAATTGTTGAAGGAAAAGGGAAAAGGATATTTAATAAACTCTTAGGCAAAGTAAGTACAAATCATGTTTAAAAGTAAGAAAAAAAAACTAAACTATATTAAGAAAATATCAAAGATTTTCTCTAATTTCTATATAAATTCTATGTAATATTAAAAGAAAGTCGCTAGACGGTACGAAGAGTTTTTTGAAGTGAGTTTAAACACGCATTTTAGCACATAAAAATAATGAACTGGTGAGGGGATAGATTTGGAAAGAGACGGCTTTATTAATATTGTTAAATTGATTCTTCTCTCTTAGATTGTATTATATTCTATAGATATTAAATAGAATTTAATGATCACTAATTTATTTCATATTTTCTTTTTCAGACAAAATCAAATCCTTTCGAATCAATCAATCTGACATCCCAGGAAAAGGAGCCATTAACTTAAACAAAACAAAAAGAAAACAACTTGCCCGAAATATATAATGTTATTTTCATAACAAAAATGTCAATATTTTCAAAAAAAAGAAAGAGATACAAAAAAAAAGAATCAAAAAATTTTACTTATACAATTTTTACTTTAAAAAAAAAAGAACATAAAAAAAAGAAAAAAAAAATTATTCTACATTCCAAATTCACTTTTTTAAAATTTTCTTTGTCATAATTAAAAGACAAAGCGCTTTATTAATATAATGAAAATTATTCTATGCTCAAAAAAAAAGTATTTTGTAGTCATCCTACTATATTTTCCATTTCTTTTCCTGCCCCTCTCCCTCCTCCATGATTTTTACATGTAAAAAAAAAAAGAATACTACATTCCAAATTGAAAAATTCCAATTTTTTTTAGTTCTAAAAATCTGTTTCAATATAATAATTTCTTTTTCTTCTTTTTATTTCTGTACTAATGATGTTTTTATTCTAAGGTAATGAATGATAAGGTAATGGCTTTTATGTTTTTTTTAACTGTGTACAAAAATGAGAGATACTTTGTTTTTGAAAGATTAAACATCTAATCTAAAATACAGTGCTAATCATTCCTTTTAAATTATTTAGAAATATGACAATATTCTAATAAATATTTGACACTGTTTTCAGCTAACTCTTATTATTTACTATCTCCTTTCCCCTATTTTCTATAAATCAGCTCTTTTCAACTACTAAATGTGATTGATTGGCGACGTTCTATAAAGTAATCTTACTCCATTCGCTTCTTTCGTAATCATCTATTTGTTCGTTTATATTCTACATTATATCTTTTACTATCTTTTCTATTATTTAGCGGGATGTTCTACATCTTATTCAAACAATAACTGATAAAAAAAGAACAATCCAACACTCATAAGATAAATTCATGGAAAATATAAACTGGTACTTGTCGGGAATATTTCCTGATTTGGGGAACTTACTTTTTCATAATTGCTGTACATCTTATGCTTAAAAACTTTTATTCCATCCGATAGAAGATAGTACTCAACCGGAAGTAGTAAGTTTTTAACCACTGTTGGTAAGGTGAATTTATTTATTTAGTTAATTCAAAGGATCTCGAGTAATTGCTGTTGCAGTTCATATGGTGTTCTGCTGAGCGATAAAAAACGTTATATAATCCATCATGACTGTTACATATACGGATAAAGTTGCTACTTCCGGTTTTGGAACTTTCCTGCGATTGCTGATTCGGTGATTATTACCTTGTGTTTTAAGAAAAGTGTAAAATTTAGGAAATTTTGACACAGATGGAAAGGTAGCATATACAAACTACTATGGAAAGAATTCATTTTATATGTTTTCATGTTTGCATGTTTAAGTGTACTATACAGAGTTGGCCTAAATGAAAAGCAACAAAAGTGAGTATTAAAAATGAAAAGATGAAAAGAAAAAGGATTATATAATTCTTGTAATATTTCTATCAATCGAAGAATTTACGAAGCTGTGGCTCTTTACTGCAATCGATATGCTGATCTCATTCCAGTTGCTTTTGTTCTTGGTTTTTATGTATCAATTGTCGTTAGTAGGTTAGTTCAATTAAAAGTTCAACTATTTTCAACAATAACTATTGGAAAAAATGGAAATATCTATTCCTTTACACTTATTTTTAATCTAGATGGTGGAAGCAATTTTTAGTTCTTCCTTGGCCAGACAGAATGGCTATGTTTGTTATGTCAAGCATTCAAGCCAATACAGAAAGAGCAAGAATGATGAGGCGAGGAATAATGCGTTATATGTGCCTAAGTTACACCTTAACTCTGGCCAGTATGAGCTCTGCAGTTAAAAAGAGATTTCCCTCGTTATCGCACATTGAAAAAGCAGGTTGGAAAATTTTTCCGAATAGTAATTTAGACTATTGTTTCGTATTTAGCTAAATATAGTATTGTAATTATAGGCATCATGACGGAAAATGAACAAGAGATAATACATCATTTAAAAACCCAACACAATAAGTATTTTGTGCCTCTTGTTTGGACAACATCGCTGTTAACTAGAGCTAGACGGGAAGGTTTAATAAAAGACGATTTTGCTTTAAAGACATTAATAGATGTTTGTATAAAATAAATCTGTATTTACATGTGTACAATAATTAGTATTAAATTGCTATAAAAAACAGGAAGTTAATGATTTTAGAGGCCGTTTAGGTATGTTATTAAGTTTTGATTGGGTTTCTGTACCACTTGTTTACACTCAGGTAATATTACTTAACTAATTCATTTTTGATCTTATTTCTATATATATTTAAAGGTTGTTACTCTCGCTGTATATGTATTTTTTATCGGATGTTTGATGGGAAGGCAGTTTATTGTGGATAAGGTTGAAGGAAAGATAGAAGTAAGAGCAAATAGTTAAGTATATTCATTGGACTATTACTACATATTTTTTCTTGGTTTACAGATAGACCCTTATATTCCTTATTTTACTTTTATGCAATTTTTTTTCTATATGGGATGGCTTAAGGTAAACGATATTCTTATATAAATAATATAGTCCAAATGCCAATTTTAAAAGGTTGCCGAATCTCTTGTTAATCCTTTCGGGGAAGATGACGATGATTTTGATATTAATTCGTTAATTGATAGAAATCTTCAAGTAAAAATCAACTTGAGAAAATTTTCAAAATGAGAAAATAACCGTTAAATTATTTTTTTAAGGTGTCTTATTTAATGGTTGACGAAATGCATGCTGAGCATCCTGAATTGATAAGAGATGCCTACTGGGATACTGTTGATTTCAACTTGCCTTATGCCGCTGGTTCAAAACAAGTTGATCCTTTCGTTGGTTCGACCTTAAATCTGCAGTAAGTTTTTATAATCTTCCAAAAAATTTTAACAATCATACTAAATTTAATAATAATAATAATAATAAAAAAACAGTATTCCACATCAAAGACCTGATTTCCCTGAAGTTGTTGGTACTATTGAAGAAGCCGACGAAGAAATGGTAATTACATGTTCTAAATTATACTGTATAATTATCAATTATATAATCTATGTATTTTTAATGCTGAAGGGTTTTATCGGACCGAGAAATATCCCCAAGAGTCATCATCGATTAAGGAATATATCAATGAAATCTCACAGCCCATCATTCAAATTTCAATTCCGGAATCGTCAGACGTCTAGAGAAACAGCGAAATCAAACCTAAAGCATGGTATATAAAAGATTTTTTATCTCAATTGATTTCAGACAAGAGGCTATATTTTTCAACAGTACCGGGTACCGTTTACAGTAGTATAGCATCATTTCCAAGTCGGAATGAAAATCTTCCCGAGCAAGGTGTTTTTGACATGGAAGTTCGATCAACTTCGGATGTTAGCGTCAGTGCTAAAGATAAACTAAGCGAGCAACACAAATTAACAACAGTCAGCGAGAAAGAATCTCTAATCAAAGATAGCAGTGAAAAGAGTACAGAGCACAAGTCAAGTAGTGAAACACTCAAGGACATTGATGATCTCAGCGACACGAAAGTAGGGTCATTCGTTAAATTCGGTACAGGACCAGAAGATGTAAGTCTTCAGAGACATTTTTTTTTTACAAACTCTCTTTAAAGACTTTTCTTTCACTAGATTAAAGGGAATTTGATAAACCTAGACAATCCAAAAGTCACCTATTCTGCGAGCCTACCTCAAGTAATTCGTGTAAAGAATCCGTCAGGAACAGTAAAACCTAGCTTTAAAGACAACGATTTGGAACCATTAGAACTTACTGAACCAAAGGAAATTCCATCAACTTCCAGCAAGGAAAAATCATGGTTAAGCCATAACCTGAAAAGTTTAAAAAACTAAAAACACAATGAAAACTTAATGTTATTTTAATTAGTTAAATGAAGGTTCGAGGCTTAATTCACTCTCATAGCTCGCGTAGATATTTAGAGTTACACAAGTAGGTAATCTTTTGTTATTTCTTCAGGTGCCACAAAAGAAACATAAAGCAGATCTGATTTTACTATTTTTATAGTGTTTTTATTTTTATTATTGTTTCATTATTTTTGTTTTACTCATACAACCATATGCTATATATACAGTATATATATAGAAAATTTTTATTCCCTATTTTCGCTTTTTCCTTTTTTTCGTATATTCAACTTTGAAAAATGCTTATTTTCTATATCAACATTAAATTAGGAGTTAATTTAAATTATTAAATATTAATATCTATATTTAAAAAGAAAAGAAGCACTCCTAATTTAGGAAAATATTTGAGTGATGTAACTATTTAGATATTTGAATTTTCAGATTTCTAACTCCTATCAACAATAAACATGATGATTCGACAAAAATTGACATTATCTTTAATGATTATTATTATCTTAGCTAATTTAAATATGAATGAATCTTTAAGGTTTAATGGTTGGACAAATTGGTTTCCTTGGTCATCCTGTTCTAGGTCGTGTATAGGTAAAGGAATTTCAGAAAGACAAAGATTATGCCTAGAAATGCCTTGTGACGGCACTAACATAGAAAAAAGAGAGTGTTATAATAGCGTTCAATGCCCTTTGACGATTAGTACGTAATAATAATTAAATGCTGACCTTTTTTTTTTTACAAATGAATCTATTGAATACTTTAGTATCTGAACCGGAAAAGAGTCTAGTAAATACCTTACAGAGTTTAGTGACCTGGGGTCAGTGGTCAAGTTGTTTATCCTGTTCAGATATCCAAACAAGGCGTTGTTTAATCAGAAATCCGTTTTCTAAAATTCTTAAACCAATAGAGATAAACTGTAAAGGAAAAACTGAACTTTGGAAGAGGCCTTGCAAAGAATCGAGTTACTGTTCAGAACAAGCAATAACTACTCAACAATCTATTAAAGACGGTAAGCCTATGTAAGAATAATAGAAACTTGTAAATTCTGTAACTAACCATCATAGAATTTTAAATAGATGAAACAAGTACAAAAGAACAAATAAACATAGAAGGTATTGGCAATAGTATATTAAAAATAACGAATCGAATATTTATATTTAGCTCTTTTCAAAGTTACAAATAACATTTCAAAGGACAATAGAAGAATTACAGTGAAAATTGTTAAAGATATTATTAATTTATCTAAACAGAATGAACTTGTTACAAATCAATCTGATATCGATCTGCAATTAAATCTATCGCAGTCCTCTAATGGAAAAATTATATCTAGAGAATCAAAGTTTCAATACTCTGATACTAATACTTCACTTACTACGGATATTAGGTGATATATTTAAAGGGTATGAATAATATTGTCTTTTGTTTCTAATAGAAAACTATACAATAGGTTTAATATTACGAAAGAACCTATTACTACTGTTAGTAGTAATTTATCTATTTATTTTAATGAATGGTCAAACTGGTCAAAATGTTCTAAAACATGTGATAAAGGTATTAGGAAAAGGACTAGGAATTGCCTTAAAAAGATAGCTAATTGTAAAACATTTACCGAGGTACAAGTAAACTCTTGCCGTATTGTTTCTTGCTTACGAGTTCAAGAATGGACAGAGTGGTCACCTTGGTCTATTTGTCCTATAAAGTGTGATAAAAACAACTCAAGACATAGAAGTAGAATATGTCAATCAACTTTAAGTTGTATTGGAAATGGAATAGAAAATCAAGTTTGTTCATCTTTAATCGAATGCCAAGACAAGAACGTTACCTTTTCATCGAAATTAGATGTTGAAAAACGTCCATCTATCATAAATTCTGTTTTAAGTTTGTTTTTCAATAGCAAAATAAAAGAAAGACAAGATAATTGGTTTTATATTCTATAGAAGCTGTTCAAAATTGGAAAAATCAATGGAAGGACGAACCGCAAAGGAAAAGTATTGTAAGACAAACAACCATAATCCTTATCACTCTAGCTATGATAATTAGCATTTTTCTTATAATATTCATATGGAGGTAAGGAAAATAGATAAAATCAATTGTTTTTAGCTATCATGTTATAAGTATCTCCCTTTTCTTTTTCTCTTTCTCTTCCTTTCAGATTCTTTTGTACCAAGTGCAATTGTTGCAGTAAAAAAGCAGATTTTCAATACAAAAAACTACCTGATCATTTTCAAATAGACAGACTATTAGATCATAAAGAAAAGCTATTTCAGACTAACAACTATATTACGGAAAGTAGGAGTGTTCCAATAAATTTACGTTCAAAAGAGATAATAAATTTTTCAAAGCCTGTAAAATCTGAAAATATGACTAATTCAAGAGTTAAATTTGATGAAAATGAAAAATTATCGGGTAAAAAATTCCTCATACTAATAACAATCAATAAATATTAAATCTGAATTAAATTTATAAGATTCGAAAGATTCGAAAGAGAAATTGAGATATAATGATCATCCTTTACTTTTATGCGAAGAATTGACAGGAATTAATATAAGAGGCGAACCTCCTATAAATCCTAAGGAATTTAGTAGAAAAAACAGTAGATCTAGAAGCAGGAGATCGAATCGTAGGAGTAATATGTTTTCTATAAATACGTTATCAATGAAACCGAGTAATGGTATTATAGAAAGGTTAGAATGTAGGTAATAATACAATGGCAAACTCTTTTTTTATTTTCATCAATTTATTAAGTATAATAAATGAAACGAATAAGAAGAAGAATAAGACAACCTACAGTCAGAATAAAAGCGATAGAGAAGATAGATCGTCAGCCGGGATCAATTTCATAGAATCTTGCCCGGATCTAAGTAATTTTAACAATAAGCAAAATATCGTAAATTATGTTGAGAAAGATGTAATAAAAAACGAATCAGAGCTTTCGGATACACCACATTCAACGCCTTTACCAGGGACGCATTCATATCCGTTAGTTCTACCAATATATCAAAATACAACGGACAATAGCAGCGAATGGGATAAAGAATTTTATTCTGATTTTAAGTCAAGACTACAAACCCAGCCGAAAGATTATTATAATACAGATAATAGTTTTAATTTCAACCTACCCAGCGCTTCTTTATCATTGAGTCTACAATTAGATAATAAAACAGTTACTGAACATAACGAATGGCTTAACGGTATGCTAAATAATGTGTTGGAAAAATCTAAAAACCATTAACGTTAGGTAACATTTATTATATTAACTTTCAATGTTCATTATGCAACGTGTCTAATATTCTTTTCCTTAATAAATATAACGTTTATACACTGCAATAAATTTTAATAATAAGCATTAATACTTTATTCGAATTCTGGACGGTGCAACCAGCTTTTATGAGCCGGAATTTTTAGACCTTGTAGTTCCTGGAAAACGGAAAAGGTTATAACCTAATGACATTTTCTTTTTGAAAGAAACCAACCTTGATGATCTTTTGTTCGTCATCTTGCAGCTTCTTTATCTCTTTTCTGCAATCTTCTGAACTAAACATTTGCACAAATTCTGCCAAAACTTCTCTAACCGCGTCATCTTCCTGTTTAGTATATTTAATATCATATTTTAAGGAGAAATCTTCATTTTAATTTAAATATTTTACCTCATTTTCATCTTCACTCCAATCGTCCCAATCAGATTCTTCCTCTTCTTCTGAATAGACTCTTAATCTACTAGATTTGGAGCCATTACTGGCATCCAGAGTTTGTGATTCTTTAATAATCTTAGTTTTTGATTCATCGTCATCAGAAGAAGACGGGTTTTCTATCAGCTCTGGTCGAACATCAATAGAATGTAATGATAAATCAACACCGTTAGATCGTGGTGAGACAAGTGGTGATGACCTAATACTGTCCGAATTATTATATCGAGCTATTGCAGCTCGAAGAGTAATCGCCATTGCCGATGGTACAGATAAACAAATTAAATAGCCCACTTGTAAACAGTGACGAAGTGTATAAACATCTAAAGACTTCTTTAAAACTAAATTAGATAAACATTTTGCAGTATGTAGAAGTTCATTTTTGCAGACTTCATCCTTTTTTTCTTTTAAATAATCCCCACATCTAGTTACTAAATGTGTCAAGCTATAAGAAAAAGAAGAACTATTAACAGATTATCATAAAATAGGCTGTGTATATTGCCCACCTGTCAACCAAAATTTTACATAAAACATCCTGGTCATGGAAAGAAGAAAGAGTCATTGCAAGATAAGGTGCAAGAGAGCAGACTGTTAAAGTGTCCGATGCTCTTTTAACGAAAGGAATGATGCAATTTTGCAGTTCTTCGAAAGTGAATTCAATAGCAGAGAGAGCAGGTTTCATCGAAATGGATATAGATTGTCGTTGAGTAGTTGAAAAACTATCGTAAAGACAAAAATATATGAATTATGAATAAGTTTATATCTGTTTTCTGGGTTTTTTTATATTAAATATTTATAGATAGTACAGGAGAATTAATATACCTAAAGAAAGACTCTTTTTCTTGAACGGTGAATATATGGTACTTCTGTTTAGCCGATTCACTATACGCTTGATCCGCTATTGATTTTAAGCAATCTATAGCTTGAATTAAAGGGTCATCATTATCCTGTTGAAATGTTGAAGGCTAATTAAGTTTTGTTATAAGTTTTTAGCATTCAAAAAAAAATTAACGAACTTCAACGAATGCTCCCTTAAAATGTGTGTAGAAGAGAATTAGCACTTCTAGAGCAATAACGCTTAGCTTATCATAAGTCGATCTATCTAAAATAGAAGTCATTATTCCGCAAAGTTGCTTAGCGTTACTTTCAACACTTGAAGTTATTGCTAAAACAACCCGTCTGCAGGCTAATATATCGAACCAAGTAGCTGGAGGATTTAATGCTAGACATTTCAGTTTTGCAGCGTGGTGTAACGTATATTTTAGGGCCAAAGCTGAGCCAAAGCACCAAAGAGAACAGTCACTATCTAATCTAGTTTCCCAAACGGTTTCTAAAATATTCATATCATACCAACGAAGTGCTTCAACAACTACTGGAAGTAATTGAGCTGCCATTCTTCGCAGCTCCCAACAGGAATCAGCTAAACATTGAACAGTTTGATCCAGAATAACAAGAAATATTTCATCGAAAGACGTTAAGTTAATTTTCGTCAACCATTCCGGGTGCATTGTTGGAGGGTCAGGAGGCATACTCGACCTTCTTCTTCGTCTGTTGAAGCATTACATAAAGTAAATACACCAAAATGAACTTTGATAATTGACTAATTAAAGCTTATAATCCATTGACATTAAAATATTTTAATATAATAAAACACATTTAAGACTGATACAGTTAATTTATATAGTTGAAAATAAGAAATAAGAACAGGCCATATAAATAAAATAACATCACACATTTGAAAGAATATAGAAGAGGCAAGAAGTTCTTCCTTGCTCATGTGATTTAGTGATTTGAAATTCAAAACGGTAAAGTAAAAATTAGAAAAAAGAATATTATGCTGGTGAACAGATTAACTGCTTACGTATTATCATCTGCAATTCTTCTGAACGCACACATCAACTCAATATTAAATATATTCAAAGAGGGGAAAGATTTGTCTTTTTTTTTGTAAAATGAAAGAAAATTAGGCCTATATACTTACGTTAATCTGTTGGCGTTTGGTCTTGAAGCTGACGAATCACTACCTCTCACCAAATTTGAATCAGCATTTAGAGCACTCCAAAGTGTCATTGAATTCGTTTCTTCTTTTTCATCTTCGTCAATTTCTTCGCAAGTTTCCCTACATAAGCATAATAAACTTTTCGTTTTGCTACTCTTTAAAGAATTCGATCTTGAACGATTCCCCATATTATCTAAAGGCATTCTTGTGCTACTGATTGTCGCCAGTCTTTGATTTAATAAAAAAAAAAGTTGTTAAATATAAAATTCAAACAATATAAATTAAACAAATATAAAAATCATTATACAGTATATAGTATACATATTAACAGTATGCTGTATATACTCTATATATGTTAATATACGGTATAATATGTCACAAAAAGAGATTACATTTCAACAAGAGAAAATAGGTGTTTTTTTTGTTTAATAGACAGTAAAAACATTGAGGAAATATCAACACCTAAATAATAATTAATAATACTTCAGCTATTAAGAATAATAACACAAATAAAGAAAATTACTACACTCTAACTTTAAAAAAAACCAAATCCTTCATTTTTTTACTGTTTTAAAAAAGATACTACCTAACAAGTTTTCTTTTCCAACTTCTGCAGTTCGTTGGTTAACAAAATTACAAATATAAAGGGTACAGTTAATAAAGGTATAAAGGGAATTATTCATATATTAAAAGCATCCTTTACAGAATGGAACAGTTAAGAGGTTTAAATTAACAATATGAAAGTAAAAAATAAAGAAAATGGAAACAAAGACTATTTATCTTACCTATGTAGATTATGAGAATCTCTTCCTTTATCTTGCGTCAGTTGCTTTGTCTGAAGAAAATGAACAGGAGATAGATAATATTTATATTAAAAAGTATAAATAAATAAAGAAATGGAAAGAATTTCATAGATATTGTCATATTACTTTTTTTTCTTGACAAACGTAATCAGAAAGAAAGCTTATTTTATAGAAAATTTGCAATTCAAACTGCAAGCGTATTATTCCCTTTCCCTTTTCTAGTACTTGTGTTTAACAGACACAAAGTATACACAGTAATAGCAAGTGATTGAAAATATACAATTTATGTCAGTAAAGAAATGCATTTACGACAGAAGTTGACGATAAAACCGTGTATACACAAACCTGGCCCCAAGCCTTTCTTTTCTTTAACTGAAATATGATAATTAATTTTTATATTTTTGGTTTTTTGTTTGGTCTCTTTGTTTTTAAGATCAATTGCTAATATAAAAAATCCATGATAAAGCAAAAAAGCTAATTAATGTGTGATATTAATCTGTTCTCTTGATCTGGAAGCCATTTTTTAAATAATATATCTTACATGACATTTCATTGATAGTTCTAAACACGCTGGACTAGCGGTCGATATTGATGTTCGACCGCGCGAAACTTTCTTTTGATATCGTATTCTAATGGCATCTTCCTCGTTAAAAGTATCTTCGTCATCGTCTTTAGATTTCTTTATATTTACAAGAAATCACAAGAACACAAAAAATAAAGAAAAGTATTGAAAATTTAATAAAAAGAGGAATAATAAGCTATAAACAAAACAGAAATAGGTTAAATAAAATTTCCAAAGAATATCTTTAAAAATAAAAAGGAATATGGTGGAGACACTCACGTTTTCAACAGAAATTTTCTTATGTTGAGGAGATGAAAAGGAACTTCTTCTTTCTCTCTCATTATTATCCGACGAGAGTGATGACGATCTATCTTTCTGCATGCAGATAGCGACAATCATGCATTAAACTATAAGAAGTGGGTGGATAGCACGAAAATAATAGTGAATCTAGAACAACTTAAAATGAGGTACATAGAAAATGAACTCTTTCTTTTAAGTTTTTTCTTCAAAATTCAAATAAAACTAATATAAAATAATAAGACAAATTTAGCATACCGATTGTGACTTATGGATTTCAACTGATTTAGCAAGTTTTAAGTTTTCCTCTGAATAGCTTTGAGATGCTTTTTTATCATTTCTATATATGAATAAATAAATTTCGTTACAAACTCTGCTAAACTGTTTTCATTCATAATTTAAACAAACTTTTCTTCAGGTTCATCTGGTGATTGTAGGCCAAAAGTGTATAAAAGATGATTTTTTATTAAAAAGCGAAACACTAGTTCGTAGGAGAGCATACACCCTTCTCTCCATTGCCAATCTCCCTCATTCCATTGAGAAGATAAAGAGTCTAAAACCAATCTACCAAACAACGGATTGTTGCTATCCTTTGCAACTAAAAATTTAAAAATTGAGCTTGTAGCTTGTCTGACAGTTGACGCAGGATGCTTAAGGTATAGACAAAATGTGCTGGTATAACGAAGCCAATGCGGGAGGAGATGAGCCGGAGGGATTTGCTTTAAAGTCATGTAACATCATATTAAAATAATTAAGTATTTAATTAATTAACCTACTTTAACTAAAAATTCACAAACTCCTAATAAGCCTTCGGCATGTTGAGCCTCCATAAATTTAAAATTTGGCACATTGATTGCATTATGATAATGAATCTATAAAAAAAATAAGGTCATAAAGAAAACTGTTCAATGATTTAAACAAACAGAATGGTTACTTACTCCACTTGGAATATTTGCAGTCAATTGGCAAATAACATTTTTAAAACAAGCAAGAGTCTCCTGAAAAGTAGTCAATGAGAATTTTTAATATAATATGGACAAATTTCTGTCTACGAGTAGACGAACCGTAAAATCTGTTCTTGTAAGATAAGAAGAAATGGCTTTAACCGTATTCTCTCGGACACTTAACTGTTGATGAGCCAATAAAGGAAAGAGAGTATCGTATGCACAATTTCTCAAAAAATCGGGCATGCATTCCATTTCTTCGTCACCCATCTAGAACATTAATTTTCACTCTTAAGTTTGTTCAATATTGTTTATTGAATAAGTTATATTTACACTTACCCTAAGTAAATATTCCGTATGCATAACAGGATCAAAAGACAAAGTAGATGCTCCCGAACTTGGTGATATTAATCCAACCCATTGAAAGTTTCTTAGAATGGCATTTATTCCTAAAACTGCACCTTCTTTCGTTTGCCATGTTGTTTCCAGATTCGAACATAATTTTACCAAAGTACTTACTAATTGTTCAATAAGCTTAATTGACAAATAGTGAGCCAAATGCATTAGACGAGAGGCAACGCTACTCCTGATAACAGACCAAACATCTGTTAATCCCAGTGTGATAAGAGTCTATAGGTAAAAAGGAATAACAAAAATCAAAGTATATAATTTATGAAGTAACAGTTGTTGGTGAAATATTTATTACTTCGACTAAAGTGAAGTTTTCTTCATTAATTTCAGTTCTATGAGATTTAAGCCAATCCATAACTCTAGAGAACGTGTGTTTTCGTACGGAAGGTTTTTGGCTGGCTGTTTTTTTATTTTTACAACATACTTTTCTTAACAAATATAATAAAAACATAAAAAACATTTAAACTTTTTCACCTTCTTTAATTCCATATTGAAAGGCTTCTAGGATAACTGGTGAAACAGATTGATTGGTAAGCCTGTTGAAGAAAACATGTACGGAAAGTGACTTTGAATTGTCCTTTACAAACCAATTTATAAGAAAATCAAGAGATTCGTTAATAAATGACTTATATTTAGCTTCTTCCCTCTTGTTTCGACCATTCTTACAATCAGATTCAGCCCAACCGTATCGTCGTTCAAACAAGTAAAAAACAAAAGAATTAATATCTTCTTCTAAAATATCTTGAAGTCTACATCCATCCTTTGCAGAATTTTTAATCGTTTCTTTCAAAGTTTTTAGATGTGAAACTTCTTCATTTGTTGTTTTGGCATTAGTCAAAGTAGATACAGTTAGATTCATACCTTCAGATCTTTGATTTGATCCAAATGTTGCGAAAAAGCAGAGTTTTGAAATCTATATTTTTAAAACTAGTATTCATAGATACCTTTCTAGTTTGATAACCTTGTTCTATTAGTTTGAATAAAGATTGTCCTTGTTTGACACCATAATGACTGTTTCTTACGGATTTTCTATTTCTAAGCTTCTTAAATCTCTTGGAATTCGTGCACGATTGTACAGATGGCGCTACCAACGAAATGTAATTTACGTAATAATCATCAAGATATTTTTATAAATTATGATTTTATGAAAGGAATTAGTGTTTGGAATTTTTTTGCTTTTTTTCTAATTTTTTAAGATAAAATATTTTATTTATACGAAAAAGTTCCATTTGGTTGCAATCATGGCGGCGTCCGGAGGAAAAGATACTGGTAATTTTGACGATTACTTTTAAGAATGAATACTTTAGAGTTTCGTAGGACGAAATATTTACAAAAGAATATAAGAATTGTCATGTTACTTTGGTATTTTTAATATCAGTCATTATAATCCCACATATTAATTTCTCAGAATTTTCCAGTCACGAATCATGACGCTTCCAATCAAAATAATATTTAATGTATTTAACAGTTGTTGTACCAAGAAATTTTCGAGTATTGGAGGAGCTGGAAAAAGCTCGGTCAGGCTATGGTGACGGCACGATTTCGCTCGGTTTGGAACGTAATGATGATATGACAATGAGCCATTGGCAGGCTATGATATTAGGACCTCCTGGAGTTTGTAGTTTACCTATTAACTAACAACACAATACTAACAATAGACATGAATTTACAGACAACGTATGATAATAGGATGTATTCGCTTCGTATTCATGCTGGCGAGAATTATCCTCGAGAAGCACCAGCAGTTCGATTTCTAACGAAAATCAATCTTGAAGGCGTGGATTCCCAAGGAAAAGTAAAATGAAAAAGTCAAAAATCTGAATAATTTTAATCTTATTGTATAAATTTCAACAGGTCAACACTTCTAATTTCATAAATTGGAACTATAATTGTTCTATTTATATGCTACTCGATCAAATAAGAAAAAGCATGAGAAACCCTCGAAATAAGAAAAGTTCACAGCCGCCTGATGGTGCGACTTATTAAGGACGATCTAGTGCCACGCAAGTCTATAACTTTTTCTTTATATGAGATGCCGACGAGCTTTTAATAATAAACGACTGATTCACCAATATTATCAAGAGTTGGTCGAAATAAACAATTCATTTATTGCTTGTAAGTTTATCAATAATCTGATTTAGTGTTGGACGTAACTCAGGATCATCATTCATACAATCTCTACCCAAAAGATCTAAAAACTTGACAGATTTTAAAGATGCTATTTCTCTAAACACAAAACCCAGTGAAAATATATCTGTTTTCTCAGATAGCGAATAGCCTTTTGCTAATTCAGGTGCAGCATACCATCCTGCTTCAAAAGATCCACTGAAAAGGAGGTAACTCATCTCTCCAACTGGGCCTGCTTGACCAAAATCAATCAATACAATTGATATATTTTTAGATTCATCCAATCTCACTAGAACGTTATTCGGTTTTAAATCCCCATGAAAATAACGTCGTACTCTGTGTAAATCTGATAGAGCTAAAGAGAGGCTAAGACAGAGGTCTATCCAGTTAAAATCGATCTCTGAACTCACAAAGTCATCCAAAGTTACGACACGAATAGAATTAGAATAAAAAGCAGCTAATTCTTGGCTAAATCCGGGTACTAGAAAATCCTCTATACTTAAGAGACCCAAAAATTTCGGTACATATTTAGAACGTTGTAAAAAGACATTATTATCGATTTCTCGAATTAGCAAATGGGGAATAGGCAGGTTTAAATATTTAAATGCTTGAAATTGGAGCTTAGTCTTCTTCCAAATAGCGAGAACCATAACCGTTCCATAGCTTCCTTGTCCAAATAATACTGATTGATTTCTCGAATTGCTCAAAACGTAGACACTGTGTGACTTGCTGACTGCTAAGTCTGAAATCTCTTCACCGATGGCATATTTATCACATTCTACAGTCATGTTAGGTCTCGGTATCCCAAACTCCATTGTCTTTTCCCGTAAAATATCATAGGCATCTGATGAATGAAGAGGAATAAGGTTTAAGCCTACAATTGAGCTAATTAAAGCGCTAAAAACTGTCGCTATTATTGTTATACTCATATCGAGTGGCGTCTAATTGCTACCATGACAACAAACTTATTGACGAAACAGAAAAGTTTATTTAATATGATAAAAAAGATTGAACTGGCCAAATAAAATGGCGAAAAAGCTTTCGTGCAATAAAATATATTTTAAATATACAATTTTTTTTAAATTTCGTCTATACACTGAGCGTAAGCGAATCATAGTTTTGCATAGGAATGTAACTTCATTTAAAACTTTATTAAATCTTCACCGATAGTTGACTGGTGGAGGAGGATGGTTAACCCTTGCAGCTGGGTTTTGTTTATATTTACTCGGATAATGACGAGTTTCTCTCTTAAACGGTGGTGGATCACAGAAAGTGTTCGGAGCAGGGAAATTATAATTTCGCTCGAAAGACGTATCATACATAACTCTGGTGTCTTGACGCGGAGGCGGAGGCGGTGGTACACTAGATGGCATTGGGCGATTCGAAGGAGGGGGAGGAGGTGGAGGCTCTGTTGAAGGAGGAGGGGGTGCTGTTTCTCTATGTGGTAGAGGAGGTGGTGGTGGAGGAGGACCCCTTGGAGGATTTGTGTTCGATCTTGAAAGTGCCGACCTACTGGGTGGAGGTGGAGGAGGTGGCCCAGGTCTCTGAGGAAAAGCATTCCTTGATTTTGAGGGAGGAGGCGGAGGAGGTGGCGGAGCTGAATTTGAAGCACGGTTGTACCGAGATCCTCCAACTGGAGCGTGAGAGCCTGACTGAGAAACTCTCATATGGCTTGAAGATGGAGGGGGAGGGGGAGGAGCCTGAACAGAGGGAGGTGTTGGAGCCTGAACAGAGGGGGGAGTCGGAACTGAAACAGGGATTGGAGCGGGAGCTTGTTTCGCAAAACCATTTGTAAATCCACTAGATGCTGTCCTATTGATTGGATTTGGAGCCGGTGGTGCTCGACTGCGAGATGGCATGTCAAATCTCGGCTGCTGTGGTTGTTGAGCAAATTTTGGTCTCTCTGCTGGAGGAACTATTGGTCTTGAAGCTGAAGTCAATGATGCATCTGTAAAAGAGGAATAAAGTCTAAATTTTGAAAACATTATTGTCTTGTTTACTCACTGCTTCCTGTCGAACGAAGTTGTCGCTGCTTTACTCTCGATTGCAGTTCACTCATTGGATTCATAGGACCTCCTCCACCAAAGGGAGGTCCTCCAGTCCTCATCGGAGCTGGACCAGCTCCTCCTGTAAAAAAAAAGAGATTAATAGTAGAAAATGAAAATTAGTGACAAATAATTATTTAGACTCGAAGGAAAATTAGATAAAACGCATGCGTTCTTATTTGACATTAGCAATATCTAGACTATACAAACATTTTTCAGCAAACAGGTCAACCTTCATTATTAAGTAAAAGATAAAACGAAATTCATTACTAATTTTTATCGCAAACTTTTTATCTTATCTTTCTAACTCTTCTATGAAAAAAATAACATTTAGCACGACGATTCATGCCTTTACCGCAACTGTCAAAAGGCACCGGTGGCGGTGGAGCCCTCGGTTTCCGGACTGAGGGTGAACGAGGAGGTTCCGGCGGAGGTTCCGCCGGTGGTTTTCGCGCTAAAAAAAAATACGAGACAGTGATAAGAGATCAGGCGAGTGTTAAAAGATAGCGAGTGTGTTTTTTTTTGCTAACAACATTTAAGTACCGCGTATGTTTCCAGTGCTCGCACTTTTCCTTATATTATTTTCTGAAATATCTATGATCGTCAATAATCAAGCACATGTATTTTAAAAAAAATTACCTTTATTGCTGTCAACCAGAGGTGCACTACGATCATTTGTCTTAGTTTTCTTGAGTCCTCCTCTAAAGTTATTAATAGAGCTCATCAAAGCACCCCGTTGATCCTGTTCACCTCTATTCATTCTTGGCGGTTGTGTATTTGCTTGTGAAAATGTTGGTGGAGGTCCAGGAGGAGGAGGTGGTGGAGGGGCTGCCATTTTCTGTCAGATTGGTAGTAAACTAATGTTGAAAAACCAATTATTGGCCTAAAATTAATAACCAATCCCAATCGTTAATTATAGGAGAGAAAACATATCATTTTATATTTTGTCCGCTCTCTCCATTCGATTGCTACTTCCGCAAAAAAAATAGAATAGACTGGTAATATACGTATATAACTCACCGATGACTGATTTTCTATACTACTGATTAAATCGTATCGAACAACGCTATACAATGTGTCTATTTATCGATATCGAAAAGGTAACGATATTAAATGCTTAATCGATATTATTCAATGTATCTTAAACGAAAATGTTTACAATGCCAAATATATTATATTCTATATTTAGAAAGAAAAAATTGAGCAAGTACTGCTTAGATATTAAATTATGTCTAAAGCTAAAGTCTAAAATTAAAGTCCGCACGCCACAAAAGTTTGATCTGTGTTTAAATCATTCAGATTGGTCTGTCATAAAAAAAGCTGTAGTAATCCTTGAACAAAACTATATCCAATTTTAATTTAACAACAAACCAACTATAGCATATTTGCGAATGCTTCTTCTGTAATGTCACTTAGAATGTATTAAAAATAACGCAGGTATAGAAGATACATTGAAAAAAACACACCTTTTGTGATAATTGCTTTAAAATCAATCTTGAGAAATGTTACTGAATAACCTTGTCTTTCTCTTGTTTTTTAGGTATTAAGAGATTTTTAAGTAGTATCAGCTTTTTTTAGCATATATAACTTAATAATAAATATCAATCATCCTTATTGCAAATCGTATTGCCAGAATAAGAATTACGACTTATTCTTTTGTTCTTATGTATTTAGAGGCGATTATTAACTGATAACCTAACTTACCAATGACCAAATTTCACTAAATCTTGTTAAATTATGAACGATTTGTAGAATTTGCTTTTGTTTGTTAATTTATAACATTCGATTATCCGATTTATTCAGATCGACCGCATACTTCAATTTCGATACAGACAAATTACCAAATCTCCGCCATTTTAGTGACGTCATGAGATATTCCCATTGTCTATTTTTAAACTTAGCATGACTTAGTCAACCCATCCACAGAGCTAAGACAATTATAGATAAAACTGCGACTATTTATATTTTTGCAATATATGATATAATTATCTGTAACATTATCAATTATTCTTTAGCTAAAAAACAATTTATTTTCCGCTGACTTAACACAAATTGTATATTCTGGCGGGAACGATAACGTTTCCATAATAAAATAATGTTTAAAATAGTTATTTACAAAGATCTCTTAAAATTCCGTTTATTTATTATACAATGTGTAGAAAGATAAGCAACAAACACTGCATGAAAAACTGCGTTTCTGACTAGACTGTACAGAAAGTATTGTCTAAACATAGTCAAATAGGCGATATGTTCTTAGGAGACAGGAATGTCGACCCAGCTTTTTGATTAATTGATTTAAAGTGTGGTATCCGTAAAAGTTCTTATGAAATAAAACTAAAAAAAACAAAAAATTGTCCTCGATCATAGGCTTAATATTTTGATCAGTTTGATGTATCATTGGGTTTGTAGGCTCATCTTTGTGCATATCAAAATCCGGGTCGATGCTTCTTTTATCAGAGCCCCTATATGAAACATTTTGAAGGGGATAGTTATCTGGATGGTGATTTTGAGAATATATCTTGTATTCCATTTCATTAAGCATGACTGCTTGATGGTCTCCTTGCCCTGAAAGCATGTCGCCTTTGTACTAGAGCTGAAGCTAAACATACTCTATTATCTGGTAGAAAGACGAAAAATGTGGCTACATCGGCCACACCGTCATCAGTTTGTTCCAGAGAAATTGGAGTTGGTAGAAAATATCTTTTATCAGTTTCTTCGCTTTCATTAATATCTATAGTAATAAGCGCAAATGGTCTAGATCTCATTTGTTCCATTTCCATGTGACGTCTCTGTCGTTGTCTTCTGGCAACATATATGGATTTCATTTTCCAAACAATTATGCAATTAGCAAGTAATAGAAAGAAGCATGAAAAGAAAACAGAGAAGAAAACGAATAAATCAATATGTGGATGGTCCTGACGAGATGAGATGTGCCCAAGAACGCCCTTTGCTGAATCGGCAGTTGCATAAATGAGAACGTAAAATTTCGCATGTTTCAGATTAAAGGGTTCGAAAGGTATACGAACGATAGCTTTATGGCTGATATTACTAACTAATAATAGGGTGTTCGTTTTAAATTCAACATGGCACCAGGGACTTCTGCAGGCATAATTATGAAATTTAATTTTAGTTGAATTATCCAAACTGCGCTTTCTTCGCCCTTTGCTATTGCTTATACTCAAAACTTCCCTCGCTGAATTCTGACTTGAATCATCCATTAAATACTCATCATTTAAAATTATCCGATGATAGGAGCCATCCCATTTGATCAGTAATACTTTGGAATCATGAGCTATAAACATATTTACTTTACCAATATATATATCCAAAAATATTCTTATATCAACATTGACATATTGAGGTGTGACACCAAAATAAGCAAATTGTAATGGTGCAAGGGGTTCCGGAGGATTAGGACAGTTGACAGGAAGAGTAGGGTCCAGACAGTAGGATTGATCTGTTTTTATATGTCGGTAACATTGAGCCCCCTCAAGGCTCGGATCACCATAAAAATCCTCTAAACATTCGGAGCACTGTTTCATCCAACACTTTTCTTCCGGATTAGAGGAAGAGCATGCTGATTTAGTTTTATTATGGCAATTACAATGTAATCCGGATTTTTGATCACAGTATTTCGCATGGCCTCTGCACTGACAAGGTTGACAAGCCTCAGTCTCCAATGAGTCAGAAATTCTAAAGAAATTTGACTGACATGATTCGCACCTCATTCCCTTCGTATTATCACCGCAAAACATACAAACAGCATCTTTCTCTGGTCCTGAGGTGATGTTAGCAACCCAGTCTTCTATAGATACTTTCGTTGATTTTGATTGATTGTAGAATGTGTCAGCGTCTTCTTTCGAAAGACAAAAGTTCGTATGTTTAAAACAATAGTCTGAGCAGCTCAAACAACGTTCACCCTTATTTATCGCGTTGCCAACATGTAAAGGAGCACATTTTTCACAATTTTTACCTGTCGTACCGTGCTCGCATTTAAGGCAAATATGAGGATTTTTGGCACTCTCACAATCACTATGTCCATTGCATTGACACTCAATCGTACAATTGGTGCCAACGTAACCAAAATTGCAAGAGCATTTGTTAGGTGCTGTGCAACTACCGTGGAGACAACCAGGACATACAGGTTCGCAAACACCTGAAGACTTTCTTTCATATCCTTCAGAACACTCACAACTATAACCTATCGGCAGATCCTTACAAGTTTCGTATTCAGTGCAATCATGATGTCCATTTATACACTCATTTTCTTCCGGACATTTACCATAATTCCAAGTATACGTTTTTATAAAGCCTAAATGAAGACAACTTTTACCCGAAATACAAGAGCCTTTTCCGTTTCCCCCTTGTTCGCTGCACCAATTGCATAGAGGAGATGTTAAACAGGTAGAGCATCTATCAAAATTGGCACAAGATTCAGGACAATGCAGAGATTGAAGGGAACCGATTTCATTATCACATTTCGGAGTGTTGCAAGCTTTCCCTTGAGTTAATCCGGAATGAGTAAAAAATGGGGAACATTGTCCCGCTGAACAAGTTAGCATAATTACAGATTTTGGTACACACGAATTGGTTGATGCACTCCAAAAACACTTTGTAGCACCAGGCTGTTCACCCGTGCTGTTCATACAAGTTTGACAGCTTCGAAGCTCGGAACAAGGAGTTGGGCAAGATAATCCTATGGAAGTTTTTTGACGTTCAGTGGGTGTACAGTCCCATTGAATTCTCCCGTCTCGAACTTTGATCACTTGAGTATCTGACACTCTCTGTCGACTATTAGTATATTCACAGTCGTTACCACACGTCTTACAACCTGAAGCTAAACATGTTTTAGGGCAGCTATTTGGGTGCATGAGAGGTGATTCCTGAATATTACATTCATGACCCTGATCACATCTCCAAATGTCTTTAACACATTTCTGACATTTTGTACACCAACTACAAGCTTTATTATTTGATTTCTCGGTGGATGACGATAAACAGGATAAACAGGACTTAAATAGCTCACAGTTACCATCTGGAATTTTATTCGTGCACTTATTACCAATAAATTCTGCTGAACAGTTACTTATTGCAACGGATTTATCGTATTCCATGCAAGTTCCGTTACAAAAACCACAACCGTCAGTTTTCGTACATTCCTTTTCACTCAGTTGATTACATATGTCAGAAATATGAACTTCATAGGTATTTTCTTCTATTTTTCCGTAGCTTCTCAAACCGCCGAGTATTACAAAACTATTACTTCCTTTTTCAATAAAGTTCATAGAAACTAAATTTGATGGACGCCAATTGAAATTATTTATCTGAAGCCATGTACCACAATCAAATTGATAAGCCCATAGCTCCAAATATTCTTTCTCTTCCTTTGTATAACCGCCTCCCACTAACATAAAATCTCTTAGAATCATAGATGCATGCAAAAAAGTTGCTGCTGGACCATTTTTGGAAGGAATCAGAATTCGGTGAAAATAGGTTGTATCTAAAGCGTATAGATTATTTGAGGATGTAAACTTTCCCAGATTTAATTGAAGACCGCCAAAGGTGTAAATTGTTTTCTTGTGAAGAATTGATGAGTGTCCTATAGACACCGGTAGTTCTACTCCTGTTACAGGTACTTTTGTCCATGTTCCTTTTGGAACATTGTACAGTAACGCTTCTCCGTTAAACGAAGAAGTAAGGGTAAAACCTCCCAGTATTAACAAATGAGTATCGTTAATTTTTGTCAAAGTATGTCCTACAACAGGTAGGTGCGGAGATTTTAGCTTTTCCCATCCTGTAGCTAAGCTAAATCGCCAAAAATCGTCAAACGTTTTTATCTTCTTGCTATTGAAACCTCCGTAAATGTATAATTTTCCAAGAAGACAATCGGCAGCATGCATATATCTAGCTTCAGGCCAATATTTTGATTCGTTTCTCGCAATTTCTAACTTGGAGTTGTTTTTAGGGTAATAAATTGTAAGATCGTCTTTTGCTCCGTCATTAGCATTATAACCACCAAATGAAATTGTAACATTACTGTCACAAACGCCTGAAGCAAGCCCATATCTATTCCAATTTAGGTTGTTATCTACAAGCTTTACAAATATTCTATCTGAGAAAGAGTTGGGTTTAGTATTCTCACACATGGGGCCATAAAAACCCTCCTCACAATCGCAAAGTCTGGATATCTGGAGAACAAATTTCGTTTTAATAGCAGATAAAGTTGGTAATACAAGTTAAGGTATATACCTTATTACAAATACCATGTAAACTACAATTACTAGGGCAAACGAGTTGGTCACAATATGGTTCCAAATAACCTTCTTTACATACGCACTGATTGTTTTCACAATTTCTATTCTGACCACAATTGTTAGGACAGGCAAGTATCTCATAGCTAGCATTGAAATACGACTCTACTCTTTCTGTTAAATATACAGTTTATTATGAAATACGGTTATTATTTGTATATAAAATAATATACTCACGAGTTATGAATTTAACGACCATCCCATTCTTTTCTGAGATAATTTTGGCTGGATTTTTGCCACAAAAGGTTAATAATAATTTTTCATCATTAGGCGAAGTATTCTCGTAAACAAAAACGAACTCTTCTTGGCAGTTAACAGTTGAACCAGACTCGATTGATAAGAAAACTTTTTCATTAATTGTAGCTGGAATAGTCCATTGACAAGTTTTTGATGTTAAGGATACTGCAGGCCCCATTTTAGAACCAAAATAGCCTTTTCTTTCTATAAGTTTTGTATCTCTACTGCATGACATATAGCATTGCTCTCCGTTCCTGAAGCAAATAGTGCTTAATAATTTACTTAAAGATTGCATTACGAATTATTTACCTGGGATCACCATAATAACCCGATTTGCAAAATTCACAATGATCGCCCATAGTGTTATCCCCGCAAAAACAAGACCCATTTTTGTTATTGCATAATCCTTTGTGTATAGAGCCGTGTCCGTTACATTGGCATTCCTTGCAGCCGGATTGGTCAATAGCTGAACCATATGCTCCTTTCGCACAATGTTCGCAGTGCAGGCCAACTGTCAAATTATAGCATTTATCACACTGTCCAATGCCATTTACACATGTGCTGTGATTATTACATCCACAATCCATGCTGCAATCGGTTCCATTCCATCCTAACGAGCATATGCATTCGTAATCTGGAGGTCCGCTGCAATAACCCTGCTTGCAATCCTCATAGCATCTGGAAAAAAATGAACTGTTTAAATGAATTTCAGAATAGTACGAGAACAGCAGGCAACTCTGTGAAAATTTATCTCTCTGGAAAATTTATTCTAGGCAAAGAAATTCTAGTAGCAACTGTCTAAAGTCTTATCTTAAAGATAACATAGGTTACTTTTGTGCTTAAGGGCAATATAGCCATTAACAAATGGTTTTTTAACAATCTCGTTCTGTGATGACAAAAGGTGAATCAAAGAATACTCGAATTGTTAATTATTATTCAGGAGTAGTGTTCCAAATTTTTACTGAATAGTTACATATAAAGAATTACAACAACTGAGAAATACGAAATGAAATATCAAAGAGTAAAGCCTCTTACGTTCTCTTACAGACTCTACCATCCCCAATGAATCCTCTATTACATTTACATTCATAAGATCCCAATGTGTTAAAGCAGGTTGCATTTTCCTGGCAATCGTGAAGAGATAGGGAACACTCATCCATTTCTGGACATTCATCATAAGCCCATTCAGATGTTTGTGAAAAGATCGTTGAATGAGTCGAGTTAAGAAATTGTGTACAAGTAGCTTTTGACGATTGTTTAAAGTCACCCTTTGCACAAACTCCTATAGAGGGATTTTCAACGTCATAACACCAGCCACAGCCAAAATCTTTTAGGCAAGATTTACATTTCTTTTTGGAAGAACAAGACTGACACTTTAAACCCTCCTCTTCCTTAGATAGCCAAGATTCACAGCCACCTTGATTATATTTTGATAAGTAGAGAGGAAAGAAAAAACAAGATTCTGTTATTTCGCACCATGCACACGAATCTTGTAGGATGCATGATGAACAGTCGGTTTTATTATGACAGTCCACACAATTCGAAAAATTTCTAACCCAATTTGCTCCCTCCATTCCAGCCTTATAAGTAAAACATTCTGATTTTGCTATATTCCAGACACAGTGGTCAATCTGCAATTAATCTAAAGTAAAGAAAAAACAATAAATGTTTTTTTTAAATTTTACCTGAGTGCAGGAAGAACATTGAACCGACTTTCGACAAGAAGGACACCAAGACAACTCGCTAATAGTAGATTCATTTTCACATTTTCCGGAATTTCTATCAAGGCATCTTTTTGAATTACTGCACCATAAACATTCAGAATTAGACAAGCACGTCAGACAGTTCATACCATTTGAACAGGTTAGCGAATTCCCGTAGGGTTCAAGATATGAATTATTTATCACCTATTAGTTGATTGATAAATTAGAATTTTACATTTATTAATCGAATAAAATACTAACAACTCTCTTTATTCCTCCTGTAACATTCCAGAGAATTGCCATATTAATTGCATTATTTTTTCTTGGCTCCACTGTTAACTCAAAATAATATCTATTTTTGCTCTTAAAAATAACTGACCCATCCTTGGCCGTTGTAGTTCCTTTATTTACATTACTAATATTTCTCTGCATATATTAAATGTAAAATAATATTATTAAATATTTGTTCGAATATATTTATAATTACCAAATGCTGCTCGCTGGAATTTGTACTGATCTGCAGTAGGACATGATCATATGCATTTTTTGAAACTTCTACATCGGTAAATTGATGAGGGGAATGAATATATCCCCGACAAAATTCCGAATAATTCAAGTGTGAAATTTTTAAACTGGAAGAATAGTACCCCTGCAATATTTGAATAATAAATGTATATTATAACATTTTAATGGCAAGAATTCATTAAAAGTATTATTTATAAATATTTATTCATTCTGATCCCTCAACTTACTTCATCTGGCCAGACTCTATCTGCCGTTGGGGTATATGAAGATAAACAGATTACCCCAGATCGTTTTGAGACTAGACAATTAGCAATTTGCTTTATTTTTTTATCCTTTGTCCACCAAGAGGTTATTGCTGCCTTTGGACATTCTGTAAAGCGGAAATAAGTGTTAATTGGTAAAGAAACGCAAAATTCTATTTTGGCTATACCTAGTTTATCGGGAATGCATTTGGCAGTTTTCTCACACCACACACATTGGAACGACGAGTGAGCCAAGCACGAAATGCAGTTAGTTAAAATAGAGCAACTCTCAAGAAGAGTGCTCGGTGAAATATTAAATGCTGGAGTTGTACAATTCTGTTCAACAAATACCAATTATATGTAGATAGTTTTTGATAAGAAAATAAACTAAACAAACAATTGAAACTGTAGAAGAGTTGAAGCACTTAGAGTTGGTTTTGCACCAACTACACCTAGAATCATAGAGGCATTGGGAAGTAGTTTTCCATTGCCTACAATGAGATCCTTCAATCTGTTGATTTAAAAACAAGGCCATTAAGTTTTAGATTAAAGACATTTATTTAACATTAAAATATAATATTTTCTCTTCCATTGCATCAAATGATATTTTCATCATCAGGTATCGAGAGAAATATAGTTTCTATCACCTAGCCGTCGGCACTAAGTGCTAGACACTTGACTTTCAAGAGGAGACGGAAATTAAAAAATAAGAATAAAAATAAACAAACTTGATTTCCAAGAATAGATTGGGGTAAAACAAAGGCCCAAAAATCGCTGAGAGCAATCCCATTAAAGCCATTAGCAACGTACAGAATTCCCTCTTTAGTTATACCGCTAACAGCAAATTGCCTGGGAGGAATGCTACGGATATTTTGTCCTTCTGGCATCAGTTTTGTAATATCTAGCCATTTTTTTATTTTAAGGTCAAAAATTAGCATTTCTGAGGAATAGCATTTCTCTAAATAATTATGTAAATGAACATTTCCTCCAAATATTAAGAGATAGTCATTAATGAGATGCATATTATGGTACACTCGTCCTGTAGGAACGTTTTTTGCTAGGTCAGATGACAGAGCGAACCAAGCCATCATGTTTATATCGAATACGGATATTTGGGATGTACGATTCAATCCCTGATTAGAATTAACTTGAAATCCTCCATAGACTAGAATAGAGTTCAACTTTTCATCAAAAACAGCAGTATGTCCTTGTAATCTACCTAACCAATATTTACCATAAGATGGGACCCTACTCCAAACATTTGAGATCAAATTAATTCGATAAATACTCTCGCTGATTTGATCATTTTCATTTAGTCCTCCAACAACATACAAATATTCAGTACTGTTAATTTTTACCAAAGTTAGACTATGCATAGTTAATCGGAAAGTGGAGTTTGCTAAGTGAGTCCATAACTTAGAAATACTATTATAATACCACAATTCATTTGAAAAGCGACCACTTTCTAAAATACCACCATGGATGTACAACCCATTATTGCTTACGGTATAGGCAGCCTGATAACGACCTTCTGGCTGATAACCAATAATTTTTTCATCCAACCAACCATATGATTGATCATTCTGCTGAGAGTAAGTATAAACTGTATCGGACACGCCGTTCAGTGACCTACCACCAAAAATTATGAAAGAATTTGTGGACTCAATAAATCCTCCAGCTGATCCAGATAGAGGAGGTAGACTAGAGAATTGAGTTGTGATTCGAAACGCTTTTCCAAATTGCTCAGAGAGCGGAATTGGCGGTAGACTACATGTTTCTCCTTGATACCCTGCTTCACAAGTGCATATTTCTTTTACACTGTTCCATGTACCTTTATCCGAACAGCTACAACTATTCTTCTCACAGGCTTTACCTTTCCTGCATTTTTTACATCGACAAATTCCATTCTCGTCACAAACACCCCAATCAGGATAATAACAGTTATAAGGACATTTTGATATGATATATACGGCCTTGAATCCGTCTAAACTATAATTTCTATCTGACCAAAAATGCAATAGCATCTGAAAAAATGAACGAAAAACAATTATGTAGAAACATAAATTTATTTAAAAATTAGAAAGTCTAGTGTACATAAGTCATATAATACTTATAAATACTTTAAAGGGATCAGTTTGGTTGTGATCGTAACAACACTGAAAAAAAATCTGTCTATTTCCTTACTTTGTAATAATAAACTTTTATATTTCAAAATGACAAACCGTATCAGTTTACATAAAAAAAAGAATAGCGAAACGATACCTAATGGTTTTAGTTTTCTATGGAAGCTTATCTAGATAAAAGCCTATTTGCACTTTTGCAGTGCACGCTACTTTTCAGGAATGAAGAGGCAAGGGAGAGGAATAAATAAAGTTCAAGTGTCCAAATTAAAAAAAATAGAGACGAATATAAAAAATAATGTTTTATACGGAAAATCTTTCCTAATTTCGCAACAAAATGCACAGAAGAAACATGGTCGAACAATAGGAGATTACCAGAAAATATTTTTCAATGATCAGCTTATAATAACAAGTAATCCATCAACCGTAAAACGTAGAGAAAATATCTAAGCTATTTCTGCAACACAACTATTCCTGAGGAATTCGAAAACGTTTATAACAGGTCCAAAATGGATTACTGACGGCTAAAATAAATTATTTACTTTACAGAAGATTTCTAAAGGGATAGAAACAAGATATCATTTACCCATTTTTCATAGAAAATTAAGAAAAGGTACTTAATAATTTAATATAGATATTTTCTGAGAACAATGATATTTATGCCATCTTTTGTTACAAAGGAAATACTGTCTTCTCCTAGTAAAATCAGGAAAATAACTTACAAAAGCGGACTTAGCTAATATTGGAACCGATGGTATAGTTTCACCACTGAGTGTAGCTAATTCAGGACTATAAAATGATGTGCCATCATAAATTGTTAAAATATCATAGCTACATTCCGTAGAAAATTCGGAGAATGTTACAGTAATATAAGGTCCATATTCAGTTCCTGAAAAAAACATTTGAAATTTAAGAAGATTATAAGCAAAATAAATCTCGTCTAAAATACATAAACCTACTAAAAATACTTGGTTTATATATAATTTATGCATTCTTTAGCGGTAGCACGGCAACCGAAGAACCTATTTTTGACTATATTAATTATTCCTACTAATAAATTGCTGTCATTTGTTATTCTTTCTATTTAGCAATAAATATAGAGATAGTATTTTTCATATCACAATGAAAATGAAAGAGAAAGATTCGATTTATTTTTTGCAACAGGAGAGATTTATCCTTTAAGAGTTAAACGATTGATGAGCGAGGGATGAGCTGCCTTGAGAAGCTAGACAGGCGCCTGTATTTGATAAGGTTAACAGCATAAAGTAATATTTTATGACCTTTTTAGTAAATTTAGGCTTGCAAATAGTAAACTTTCCATCAGTTTGCCTAATTTTGAGATTTTCCAACTTAGGCTCTTTATCCCTCAAATATATATAGAAAAACGGGGGAATAAATCACCAATTTTACATGTATCATGTGATTAAAATAATGCAATTATATAGAAAGCCTTGGAGAGTTTGGCTGCGAAAAGCTTTTCATCCTGCCATAGAAATCAAGGAAAAACATTTTGATTGACAATCTGCTTATTGCACATCATAATTAGTGGCATAACCTAACAGCTGGAAATGTTATATAACATTCCAGTACCTCACTAATCTAATTATTAATAATACACTTATATTTGTTGATCTATTTATAATAAACTGATATCTTATTTATTAAGTATTTCCTTTATTTTTTAGATAACATAGTATATCTTAGCTGATATACCAATATATTGTTAAAAAGTCATAGCATACGCTTGAAAGATGTATTTGATAGCGCTGTCTGATAGTACTCTATTTTTCAGCCCTACATTTTATTCAGTTTTCAAATATTGTACAAACCATTTATAAGAAATTCGCAATGTGTTTTATATTCATATTCTTTTGGCCCGTCAGTAATTACTCCTGTTCTCTCTTGAAAGATCTTTCTTCCTTTGCACTTCTCAGCTACTACTTCTTGTAAATGAATAAGAATGTATATAATCTCTAACAAATAAATTGTTTTTTTATCCATAACGTTTTTTATAACATCTTTTCTGCTTAGTTCCTCATCGTTAGTGACGCTTCATTGAAAGCCAATGACCTGACGATAGCTTATATCTATCCAAATATTACGTTTTTTCCAAATAGAGTTAATTGTAGGAAACAGAAATTCTAAATATATCGAAGTGTCATGAGTGATATAACATGGCACGTTAATAGCGTCGATTCCGAATTTCCTCAATTGCACTGTTCTATAACAGTGAAATATCTGGGAAATGCATAGACTGGTTCTTTTTCCTACCAGTCCACCAGTCTGTTTGTTTTTTTTCTTCCATAACAAGGAATCGACTGAATTACATAATTGATAATATATTGTATAAATTCATACGTTATTCTGTAAGATGTGTAGCGAGCATAACAAAGGGCAACGGCTTCGATTAATTCTGATGAATTGACTCGATTTGCAAAATGTCTAATTGAAACTGTTACTAAGCTTAATTTTGAGTAAAATAAAATTTAAAATTAATACTATGGAAATTTTTACAAATATCTTTTCAATTAGGTTCCTTATCAGATATAGACCTAAATCCATGTTGAAGCAATTATCGTTTATTAAATCGATTTGATTTTTCGATATCGATTCAACGTTTTATAGATAACTGAAGCATATCGAAAAGTAACTATGTAGTAATTTGAAAATTTAGCGGGCAAATAATATCCTTTCTATAGCTGTAATCTTCTTTGATGCTTCCTAAATATCTAAGAAGACAATCAATATGTTTGGCGAGAAAGCCTTAGAGTTAATTAAGGAACTGAAAAGATGTGGGGATGGATTATTACCTTCTTTCAATGTAAGTTATGTCTATGAATTTAAGCCACAACATATTTATTATCGCTCGACAGGAGGAAACTGTGCGACAAGTCTTAGAAGAGATGAAAAGCCTCTTTGAAGAAAATCATAAAGACGTGTAAGTTTAATATGTATATGCATAAGTATTCGCTCTACAGGTGTTTAATTGATCTAAGTAAAATTGTAATCAATTATATGATATACTCTTAACATCAAAGTAACTATATAATTGCAAACGCTCAATCCTATGCATGAAAAGGATATTAGATGAAGAGTCTATTTTACTATTAGTGTCCTAATAATAAATCTTTAATAAAATAGCACGGCTTCCTCAGAGGGAGAACAAGGTCTTTTTCCTGGGGTTCAGCTTCGTCATGCAGCACTTGAAAGGAATAAACGTATTTTATTAACTTATCTCAACGAAAGAGCGACCTCAATAGCAGAACTTCGTTGGCAAATGGGCACAGTTCTTCCTCCTGATATTCGGTCTCGCTTAGCAGAACACGAACTCTCGTGGTTACAAAAATATAACAAATCCCTCACTGCCTACATGAGAGCCGTGGGAGCTGATATAACTCACAATTTAAAACCTCCGAAATCTTTATTGATCGAGGTGAGATGCACCACTGAACACGGATCCATTGAACTGACCTCAGGTAGAACATTACATTTGTCAAGAGGAACTCATCACTTTCTCGAAAGATCAGAATGTGAACCATTGATAGCAAGAGGGATAGTTGAAGAGATTTAACCTACCAGTAACATTTCACATTTTTAGATAATCCCTCAACCTGGATGTATCTAGGTTGTATATATTAATTTATAAAAGACTTTACAAGCAACTTTGTGTTATAAAAATAAACTTACGATTAAATTTATTAAACTAAAAGTATTATTCATCGGAAAATTTGATGTGTAGCGGCAATTGAGGCCAGACTTGTGGTCGAAGTTTATCTTGCTTTCGTTCAAAATTCAATTGTAATGCAGTTTCCATAGCATGTATCTTAGCACCATCATTACCATATAGCTTTAAAATTTTTTCTCGTCTCGAATCCGATTGGTTTGGACTTAAAATTCTTGATTTTTTTGGTACTATAAATAAAAACAAACAATAAATCTTTTGATATTTGTACGTTTCAAGAAAAAACTTACAATCAGAAACATTAACATAAACCATTTCATTGACGCATTTCTTCATTTTATCTGTTGAAGATTACAATTGAATTTCAATAAACAAATGGCCTAAATGCTCTAATTTATAATACCTCTTTCTTTTTTATGCTCCATGGAAACCCTTAAAAAATTTTTATACTCTAAATCAGCTTCGTCAACTTCATCAGATTCGTAATAAGGATTAAAATTAGTAGGTTTATTTTCTACTGCATATTGGGACAAAGTTTGAGATGTGAAGAATTTATACTGTTGCATAAAATGCTGAAAGTAGTGATTCCATAAATATAAGTGATGTCCGTAGGCATTTAAGTAGTTTGATTGATAGTTTTCATTCCCATAATTTTTATTATACCATGTTTGCAAAGATTTCCAATGATCCCAGTATTTTTTGTAGTCCTGTCCATTTGCCCATTCTGGAGCGTAAGGAAATTCCCCAGAATCAGCCATTATCGCTCAGAGAAGGAGTAATTTTGAACTTTCAAAATTTTTTGTCTGTTTTAGATTTATTATACATGTGAGCAACAAATTCAAAGTTCAATTTCTATATAAAACTGAGTTATTAAAATGTTTTAGACGAGTGATATAAGTGTTATATTAGAAGAAATTGAATTCGTTTTTGGTATTAGTAAACTATGGTGACAGTCGGAGGTAATATAAGTGAAAGAAATTGATACTATTTCAATAAAAATAAAAGAATAATAGTAAGATATTTTCTACAAACTTGTATCAATCGCACCATTTTTTTATTTGAAATTTTATCATCTTTAAACTTTTCTACATTTTGTTAAAACCATGTTTCTCTCAACTGTCAAAGGTATTTTATTAACAAAAAATCTTCAATTAGTTTAGCTTAGAGCCTTCAATCAGTTCGTGAAGAAAAAGGACAGTCGTTTGTGCGGAAAAATGAACGATTATATTGAGAGTTCTTCGCTCCCAAAATTAGTGAGACTCTAGTCGAAATCAAGACAGTCAGACGAATTGACAAATGGCTACTTCATTGCAATTGCCGGTTTTTCGAGCTTGTTCTCGTATGAGAAACATTTCTTCTGTGAAACTCTCTCCGGTATAGTCAATAATTTTATGCTTTATACGTTGATGATTTTTCTAGTGCTTACATTGTGTGTATAGGCTTTTTTTAAGTTTTTTGTAAATGAATGTAAAGACTGGTTGCAGATAGGTGACATTGATCGTCCTTGACCCGAATAGTCATAAAGATGCGATATATTGTTACTTAGTTGTTAGTTATTACTGATCTAAAAGTGGAAGAATATATATTAAACTTGGAAACTTTTGAGCTTAAGTTACAATTTCTAGCAATTGTAGTTTAAATGAACTCTTGCTTCACAGATGGTTCACTTCTCTTTTTGCCTTTTTACAGATTTCACTAAGATTTTTCCAAACAACCAGTCAAAATTTTAGGGATCTATACTGGAATGACAAAATCCAAAAAGGAGAAAGTGTAAGTACCATATGTTATTGTTTTAAATTCGATTTTACTCTTTTAAATTTTTAGCAATTTGATAAAATATTGGTTGCTAACCGAGGAGAAATTGCTTGCCGTGTCATTCAATCATGCCAGAGACTGGGTATCAAATCCGTCGCTGTCCACAGCGAAGTGGACTCCAGTGCGGTAATAATAACATTTAGAATTTTAAATGTACATCCTCTAATTTTTCAATTTTGAACAGAAATTCGTCAGAATGGCTGATGAGGCTGTTTGTATCGGCCCCGCTCCAACTAGCCAGAGTTATTTGAGGATGGACAAAATTTTAGAGGCTGTTAAATCTACCGGAGCTCAAGCTGTCCATCCAGGTTATGGGTTTTTATCAGAAAATATGGAATTTGCCGCTCAGCTTGTAAGTTTTTATAAGCATTTAAAATTTACTATAATGAACATTTATAATATTTATTTAAGGCCGACAACAATGTTGTGTTTATTGGACCGTCTTCTTATTCTATTAAATCTATGGGTGATAAAATAGAGAGCAAACGTATTGCTTCAGCTGCAAAGGTAGTAGTTTAAATATGCCAAATCGAAAGTTTTATTGATTTAATTTTATCATATGAAATTTTAGATTAATATGATTCCTGGATTTGATGGAGAAGTTGGCGATGAAGATCATGCTGTGGAAATTTCACGCCAAATCGGCTATCCAGTTATGATAAAAGCATCTGCAGGTGGAGGTGGTAAAGGTATGAGAATTGCTTGGAATGATGAAGAAGCTAGGTATATGATAAATTGTTTTATAACAATAACTATATTAATTTTTAACTTTGTTATAGAAAAGGATTTAGATTATCAAAGGATGAAGCAAAGTCAAGTTTTGGGGATGACCGAATGTTAATTGAAAAATTTATTGATAATCCTAGGCATATTGAAGTTCAGGTACTATGCGATAATCATGGAAACGCAGTTTATTTGAATGAGAGAGAATGTTCTATACAAAGAAGAAACCAAAAAGTTATTGAAGAAGCTCCTAGTACTTTTGTAGATCCTGAGATGAGAAAGTAATATCGCCCCGCTGACTTTTGATTTCTTTTTAAATACAAACAATTAAATTTCTGTTCTAATAGAGCGATGGGTGAACAAGCTGTTGCTATGGCTCAAGCCGTTAAATACTCATCGGCTGGAACAGTTGAATTTTTAGTTGACTCTCAGAAAAACTTCTACTTCTTGGAAATGAACACCCGTCTACAAGTAGAACATCCAATTACAGAATGTATTACAGGCATCGATCTTGTTCATCAAATGATAAGAGTTGCCAAAGGACATAAACTAAGCCATACGCAAGATGAAATTCCTGTCGATGGCTGGGCAATGGAATGCCGAGTATACGCCGAGGTAAATCGAGCCTACTATAAAAAATTTCTTAATTGACCTGTTCAATAATTTAAAGGATCCCTATAAAAATTTTGGTCTCCCATCTATTGGTCGTTTAACAAGATATAGCGAACCAGTAGGAGAGGGAATACGCTGTGACAGTGGAATTACAGAGGGATCTGAAATTAGCATTTATTACGATCCAATGATTTGTAAGGTAAAGTATTAGACGTATTTATATTTCATTAATAGTCAACTTATGCAAATATTTTATTGCTAGTTGGTAACTTACGGTAAGGATCGTCAAACTTCTTTGGATGTGATGACGAACGCCTTGGATTCATATGTAATCAGAGGAGTTACTCATAATATTCCATTATTGAGAGATATTATAACTGAAGAGAGATTTGTTTCTGGTGATATTACAACAAAATATCTTCAAGAAACCTACCCGGATGGCTTCAAAGGTTTGTTGTTCATTTATCAAGATATCAATAAATAATTTAAAACAATCTACTACGTCAGGAAAACAATTAACATCTTCTGAGGAACTTAAACTAATGGCTGTTTCTAGTTGCGTTTATGCTAAGGAAGACGTTAGAGATAGGAGTTTTCTTAATGAAAAACGGTTTGAAATCTCACTTTTTATTTAATCAATGCTACTATATACTTTATCCTTTTAAAGGTTACATAATGAGCAATTAGCAGACAAAGAATGGAAATTAAGCGTTGTACTAGATGGCAACCAAGAAGCAGTGCACATTGTCTTGAAAGACGATATATTTACAGTAAAATGTAGGGGAGAAACGTTTGATATCAAAAACAACTTTAACTTATCTCAAAGTATCATAAACGCTGATATTGATGGATCAAAAATCACATACCAACTCTTGGGTAGAGATGCTGCAGGCCACATAAAATTGCAGTATGCTGGTTCGGTATTCAAAACACACGTCTTGGAGGAAAGAATTAGCGAATATGTTAAGCACATGCCCGAAAAAAAGGTTATAGATAAACTCTCAACTGTATTTGCTCCAATGCCTGGAATGGTAAAGAAAGTCTCCGCTGAAGTTGGTCAAATGATATCTGAAGGACAAGAAGTCTGCGTTTTGGAAGCAATGAAGATGCAAAACAGTTTAATTGCGGGTAAAACAGCAAAGGTTTGTATAATATATTAACTATAAAAATAATATTCATTTATATGATATACTTCTTTATTAGGTAAAGAAAATTCATTTCAAAGCTGGTGATACCGTTGCAGAAGATGACATCATAATTGAACTAGAATAAATTGAACATTGAACTAATCTATTACTTCGAGTAATAAGAACAAATTTTTGTTAGAGTTTAAATTGTATTTATTTTTCTTCGAATGACAATTTAGATATATAGTTGTGATGGCGTTTATATACGATAGTAAGAGTTCCTCTAAAAATGAAATAATTACATCTGTCACAAAGAATGCTTAGTGAACATCTTTCAATACTCTAGAAATTGTAAATGTTGCGTCCTTAATAAATAAGTCTCAACGTTTACTTCAATTTTCTAATTCCAATAAGTAGAGTTTAACAATTAGTTCATTAGGTTTATTAAACAACAAAATTGATTATGCTAGCATATACAATCTATTTATAGAATTTATCACAAACAAACTAATATTCCTGACTGCTTAATGACGGAATTTTAGTTAGAATTGGAAAAGGAAAATACTACATTCTACAAGTCATTTATCAAGCCATCGCTTGTCACCGATTTTCTTAGAGTCGATGTTAAGTCTGTAGCTCTTCTGTACAGTTTGGCAGCAATCTAAAAATGATTTCATATTTAACAACTTATGATTGGAAGGACTATATTATAGGAAATACTTGAAAATGTCCTTGTTCATATCTAGAGAGAGCCATATTTTTTAAAAGATCTCCAATTTTTCCATTTTGAGGACCTAGAGTTTCTTCATATATTCTTAAAGCTCTTTCATATAAGGGGATAGCATCGTTATGCCTTTTCTGTATTGAATTGGTTTTTTCCAAATGAGATAAAGTGACAATTATTGATCAATCTAAACTTACAAGTTGGGATAGCAAGACAGCTAAATTAGCTAAATCAGCCGCAACTAGAGGATGTAAACATCCTAAGTTTTCTTCCCTTAAGTCGGCTGCTTGTTGAAACAGTCGTATAGCCTCTTCTATCTCTCCCTGTTTAAAAAAGTGAATGAATAAAAGGCGTGTTAAATACTTTACTCCCTTAACGTACCACTTTTTTGCGAAGCGAAGCTAAATTCATTAATGATGATATAATTTGAGGATGCTTTTTATCGAGGAGCTAATAAGAAACACAAATAAGCGTAGGTATATAATTCATATTCATAACTTATTTACATCTCGTCTTATTTGTAAGGCGGTTTCATAGAATTTCATAGCTTCTTCAAACTTTTGCATTTCAGTATATAAAGCTGCCAAATTGTGATAAGATTGAGCAACGTCAAGATGATTATGACCGAATACCGCCTTTCTCATTTCCATTGACTTAAGGAGTAAAGGTTCGGCAGATCTTTTTTCAAACAGTAATCTTATAATTAATGAAAAGATGATTATTTAACAAATCTACTTTGTATTTCCCTGTAGAAACTGTAGAACACCTAAATCATTTAAAGTTCTTGCTTGTTCTGGAGAATCCGGTCCTATAGTCATATCTTCAAGGACAGCTGCTTTTTTTCGAAGTACGTGTCCTTGCTGTATATATATATATCTATATATATATATATATTTATATATGAGTAATTCATTATCGCTTCGTGAACTTTTAAGCGAAACTGTGAAAATAAAATGCTAAAATGTTACCCCTTGAGATGACTTAATAACGCTCATTGCCCGTCTACGATAAGGTTCTGCTGAATCTTGTCTTTTTTATATGAAATCGCATAGAATTGTATAATTATTACAATATAAGAAATAAAAATGAGAATGTATACTTGTTCTGTCTCATAAATAATTGAGCCATTAGATCTAACTGTTTTCCAAGAAGTTTACTATCGCAATCAGGGGATGCTTCGAATATCTTTAGAAGATATGAAAACTCGTAACAAACTCCCTCTTTTCATTTATTTGTTATTTTTTTTTTACCTCTAAAGCATTTTTATGTAGTTGTTCAGCAACTCCATATTTTCCCCATATGGTATTGAGGATACCTAATTGCTGTAGAGATCGTCCAATTGATATATGATCTGGATCTAGAGCTGCCTCCCTAAGTTCTAAGCTTTTTTCTAGAGGTCTCAAAGCCTAGGCCATATAGAAAGCAATTTAGATATTTACTAATCTTATTAATAGTCCAAAACCTGTTCAAACATTCCAAGTTCCCTTAGTAAAAGGCCTAAAGCTTCATACATTTCTGCGACTTTTGGCAGGGTAATAAAGGAGTCGGGTCCATCATCCGCAACTGAAAGTACATTTATTCCATAAGCACTCCAAATCAGAAGACACTAAAAGCACTTACGATCTTCAAATCCCTTCAAACTCGTCATATATTCAGTAGCCATTGTTTCTCTGTCACTTCCACAATTTTGCCAATATAGAACAATCTCATCGCATCTTCCCCTATTCACAGAATGTAGATAAATACTTAGGTAAATGTTAATTTAAATGTTCAAATTTACCTTGAAAAGAATTGATTGAAGATGCATAAATTAGCAACACAAGAATGTAATGCATTTTTATCTGATATTTGAAAATATAACCAAGGTAATTCATCGGCAGTTCTATGAGTTATTTTACCAGGTCTATAATTAGTAAGATTATATTAATTAGGTTTATTTTAATTGATTGAATAATTATTTAAATACTTCATAAATTGTTTGAAATAATCAATAAGAATTTGAAAATAGTTGGTATTACTGAATTTATCAACTTTTTCTAAACTTATTTGAAACGTGTCTATTTTGTCATCTGCCATGGAAAAGATAATAGTCGTTATCATTAATTTTTACTATCATTGTTAAATCGTTATTTACCAGTTTTGAGCCTATTGATAACTTTCTTTATAGTGATATTTTCTAACGTTATAAGACCAGCAGCATTTTTTAAAACTTTCAAGTGTTCGAGGAGTATCCAAATAGCCCCCCAAGTATTCCAATTTAAGGAAGGTACTAATTGAAATATTTCCGCTTCCGTTAAACCACAATGAGAAACAAAGATGAGTTTTAATATCTAAAATTTAATGATTTAATTAAATAAATATAATAATTACTGCAACAATTCAAAAACCTAACTTTAGATGTTATTTTCCATATATCTCCACCTAAAATTTTGCTACTATGCCTTAAAATGGTCTCATACAATTGTTCACAATTGACACATTTCGCAAACATTCTTATATTTTCGCCAAAAGTATCCTTCTTCGATAAGCTTGAAACGAGTTATAGGATTAGTACTTTCTGTTATTTACAGTGTTTGTATTCATTACCTTCCAATAGATCTAACTAATAAGATTATAAATCTTGATACAGATTTAGAATCAGTTAGCGAACATTGTTCTACAATGAAATTCAACTGATCTTCAGTAAATTCAAAAGTGCTGTGTAAACTTTCGTTGCAAGTCCATTCGTTTAGAAAAAGACTTCTAATATGAGATTTTGAATGCGATTCCAATTGACAAGATGGCCATGACCTTTAACGATGGATTGTTTATAAACAATATAGTATTTATAAATAGGTCATTTTTTTTAATGAAACCTACTTCCAGGAAGGTGGCATCTTATCACTGGCAACGGATAGTAGTACTCGAACATTAACTGGTAAAGGGTCGTGTAGCCAATTAAGCATAGTCTCAACATTCTGGAAAAGAAATTACTGTTTTGTTTTTTTCGTTTTGATTAGAAATATATTAGAAATACCAAAATCATGTGAGCATTATCAATAATTAATATAATTCCATTACTAATTCTAGACGAAACCTTTTCAAGCCACTTTACAAAGTCTGATATCAATTTCTCAGGACAGTAGGACATGGATGGAGGATTTGGAACGTATGATAAAAGCTTTTGAGAGAAGCGTCTCATAATCAGACAACAAAGTGCACTAGGAGAAGAATAGTCATCAACAAAATGGTATAATATATTAACTTTTTCCCTCTTTTGTTGTTGAAGCTCAATCCTATATAGAAAAAACATTCAATTTTAAAAAGGGAGAAGAATATAGGATATTAAATTGAATAAATCTTATAAATTAACCATTTAGCCAACAACAAAGATTTCCCAGAACCAGGATAGCCATGAACAATAAGTGGTGATAAAGGACCCGCAGGTGAAACATGAGAATTTATCTTTTCATACAACTATTGAAAATATTTACATTGTTTATTAAAAGAGGTCTATCGTATTTTGAATAGCAGTATATTTACCAATTCAAATCGAATTTCGCAAGAACTATTGCTAAAATGTTTGAATAAATCGTGTTGTTCAAAATCTGTCATAGGATCGAAAGCCTCTACTTGACAAAGGGGTTTAATTTCATCACTCGAAGGTGGTTCCATATCCATAATCTAAAACAAACAAAAAAATCATTAAATTAACACTACTACTTGCTTATTAAAAGTATTATAAACAGCCAATAAATTACCCTTTTCATACAACTTTCAAGTTCTTTAGCAACAGAATCAGAAATATCATCAAACTGACTATACTCAAATAATTTCAGTAAGGGAACCTTGGATACTTTTAACTTCATATCGATAATGGTTCTGTTTTATTATTATACATATTTAAGATATAATAATAATAATAATACTGGATAGATATCTTACTCGTTTGAACAGGATGAATTGAGGCAAATAACAACAGGTTTGGCATCTTCCTTGAAAAGTATATATCTATCAAAATCACTTTTTAAGTTATTAGTTGATTGATTATTCCAAAATGCTAGAAAAATATTGCAATCTTCTCTCTGAGTTTGTCTGGCAATATTTTGTAACTGAAACATGAATATTTAAAATATTATATTGAATTAATGCAAAATATTTACATGAGCAATCGGTTTATCGAAATCGTCGGCTAATAGAACAAATAATAATCCCTTTCCAGCTTGTAAGCAAAGCGATTGAAGACTTTCAAAATGCTTTTGTTTGAAAAGTTCATAAGTAGGTAAAGCATCTTGAGCTGCAGATACAAAAATTTTAAAAACTGAACTTTCGCTATGCTGTTCGAATGAGGGCATTATTTGAGATAAATTTGCCATTGCTGTATGCCAGTCATCTAAAAACATTCAAGTATTTAGTTTATTCAAATTATAATCATTATAAAATAATACCTTTGTTTATTGTTAAATAAGGAGTTCCAGTATCAGAGACAATTTGATTTTGATTAAAGTCATTTTTTTCGTTATTTAAATGAACCATACTTCCTAGACTAGGTTCACTTCCAATATGACTCCACCAGTTTCCTTAATTTTTAAATTAATCCTATTAGTTAATTCTAATTAAATATTATATTATAAAAATATTACTTACCATTCGTTAAATCAAAATGAGATCCGTCATTCTCATCAATTGTTGCAAATCTTGACAGTTTTTGTTCTAAATCTCTGCGAGCTTGCAGTAAATTTTGAATTTCAGATTCCTTTGTTTCTCTAAATATCTTTTTAGAATATTATAAAATCATTGTTAAAATAGTCTTTTTAGTGAATTTATAATTAAGATTAATACTTTAAATTGTCTTTGAATTTTATCTCGATCTTGTTCAAAGAAATTCGACCTACTTAAAGCGTTTTCTGCTGCCTCTAGCGCTTGCTCCTTCTCCTGAGCTAATTTATCCCTTGTTCTCTGCATTGCCTTTTAAAGCAAATAGTATATTTAATTAGGAAATTTTGATGGTTCTTTTCAGGTTAATTACCCTATTTTCATTCTTCATTCTTCGATTTTCGTCCTCTAATTTTGTTAATAAAATTTTCATTTCGTTCAGTTCACTCTCTAAAGTTTTCCTTTTAATCTCCAACTCTCTGTAAGCTATTTATGGACTTCATAAATAAATAATTTATTAACAATTTATATGTAGGCGTACATAATTTGCTTGAGTCTTCGGTGTCAGCATGACTCTCCTGAGATAATTGAGATCCACTGACGGATTGATTTTTGGGAGGTTTTTTCCCTCCTAACTTCGGTCTTGCTTTTATCTTTATGTAGGTAATACTTGTATAAAAAATTTAAAAAAAAAGGTGACTACTTACTTCATTATCAATGTGAACTTCACTTTGACGTTTAAACATATTACCCATGACAAATTGATCCTATAAAGCTACCTTATCATACAGCTATTCTAAATCTATTAACTTTATGATGAAAAAGTCAAGATAATTTTGTCTATTTAGTACTTCGATATGTTGTCCTTTCTTTGCTCGCCAATTGGTTTTAATCAACCAGTATGAAGCGACATCTTGTTAGTGTATGCTGATTCTCCCACCTAAGATAATTAATCAATTGAATAGACTATCGACAGTTGTTGAATAACAAAACAAGGACACTATAAGTTTTCCAGAAGGGTTTTCGATTAGTCAACGTTCCATGTTCCGCCCTTATTCAAACAATCTATTCAATCGATTGTATTGATCAACAATGTTTATTTTATATCAAGCAGAAGAGATACTCTTCGCAGTCAAAAACCTAGGTAATCAATGATGCTAATATAAAGTATATTGTGTACGAATATCAATTAGTTTGGGCAGCTTATTTATATCCGAAACTTATGAAATGCATATGTTTTGGTACATTTTTCATTAAATAAAATGAACAATTTGTGGACAGTGAAAATCCCGTAAAGATATGAATTACCAGAAAAAATTGTCTATTTTAAAGTTATAAATATTAGAAGATATATCATTAAAGTTTTAAATTAAGTGTTTATTTTTCTAAATTTTCTTTTAAGCAGTTACTGATGGTCCATAATTCATAACGATTCTATCGAATTCATTTTGCTGTAATTAGAAGAAAGTTATTAATAATAGTGAAAATAAAAATGATAAAATTGTTACCTTATTCAAATAGTCTTGTACAAAAGGATGCTTTCTATGCGAATCTTTTAACTGCGAGATGTAACGATTGCTAACCTGAAGGAAAAATAATCATTTCAGTTTTTTTCTTACTGTTATCCCCTTAATATTAATACAAACTTCGGGTGCTTTTCCTAAATGTTGAGAAAGAACAGTCATATTGATAAGAGTCTCAGGATTGTTGCTGTCCTAGAAAATAAATCAAACATTTAATTTGATAAACAACGTAGGACGAAATGCTCCTTACTTTGTCTAAAGCTTCTTGGAGAACCGTATCAGCATCATCGTATTTTCCCTGTTGCATGTAGCATGCAGCTTGACCGTTCAAAAGTAATGGCGTTGATATATATTTATCGCACATTTCTTGGTAAATATAATAGGCTTCCTGCAACTTTTCCCCTCCCTAGTTGAAAAAAAAAACCCATGAATATTTTTAATATAAAGATGTCTCTTGCAACGTACCATAGATAGATTAACCCAAGCAAGACTTAATTGAGTTAGAATATGATCTTCCTCTATATGCTGCATCTTTTTCCATTCTTTCCTAGCCAGATCAACCCGATCGATTTTCAAGAGAATTTGAATCATCAATGACAGACTCTCTAAAGAGTCAGATTGGTGTAATAATTTTAATGCAGATTCATAGCATCTTTCGTTGTAGTAAATACTACCAGCACATACTAGGAATGTATCATTTTCAATGTCTATAGATCCAGTTGACATAAGTTTGTCAAGTTCAGAAACAATTTGAGGTCCCCTAGATGTATCTGATAAATAGTCGGCCAATCGACGAACAGCTTGAAGTTTGTCAGGACTTCCTGAAGTGATTTCATCCAAGACTACAGCATATTTACGCTGACCAATATAAGATCTGTACATGTAAATGTCTCTGTCAACTGCCAGATCCGAAGATACCTACACGAAAAGAAGGAACTGTTTTATTATCGATGGATTGTTTTGAATTAGAGTATTCTTTTTCTAGAAGTATTTAAATTTAGAAATTTACCTTTAACTTTTGTGCTTCATTAATACACTGTTGAAAATTACCGGTGTAATAAGCTGTTTTTATGTCGAGAAGGGGATCGTTTTCACTTGCCATCGTGTACAGATTCTGTGCGCATACGCGAGTTCAGGTGTTGCTTAACGTGGAACTATCCAGTGGTTTGTACAGTCATTCCCAAGCATAATTTAGCAATACTAATATGGCTCCCGTCATGTTACCGTCGCGTGCATTTCATTCAATAGTTTGAGGGTATTTTGCCTAGGAGCTATTATCCAGATTACAGTTTCGAATATTTGTGTTTCGTGTATGTCTTTTTTATCGGTGTAGTTCTAATAACTTTAAAAAAAAAAGAAACACTATAAATAATTTGTTTATTAAAGTATTTGGAATTCTAATAGTCAAGAATGTTGCTACCAATATTCACTTTAAAGTTAAATATGAAAATCAATCCTCGAATGGTTAGTTTGGGGTATTTTGATGGAAAACATCCAAGTTTAGCTTGTGCAACAACAGGCGGAAAGGTTTAAAGTGAAATGTTAATGTCATTACCTTATCACGATTATTATATTTGCTTTAGGTTTTCATTCATAGCCCACACGCACCGCAAGAAATATATGGTGGTCGCTTAGAAGGCAAAGGAAATAGCTCGATATCACTCTTAAATATAAATCAATCCATTAGCGCTGTAATTAGCGGTTCATTTAACGAAGAAGATCGGTCCAGTGGTGACACACTCTTCATTGGAACTCCTACTAATTTTTTAGCTTACAATGTTCATTCGAATACTGACCTTTTTTACAAGGAAGTTTGTATTTCAACAGCAAACATAATTTCAAATTTTAAAGTTAAACTTTTCAACATAGACCGCTGACGGTAGTAATGCTTTAGTAATTGGAAAATTAGGTGGTTTGGAAAAAACTATGGTTATTGCTGGAGGAAATTGTTCACTTCAGGGTTTTGACAAAGATGGAGAAGAAGGTTTTTGGACAGTTCGTTTCTTTATATTTTTAATATAGTCATAAATGATGTATATTTATTTACAAGGTTACTGGTGATAATGTTAGATCTTTAGAATTAGTTGATTTCAACAACGATAATCAGAATGAGTTAATTGTTGGGTCAGAAGATTTTGATATTCGTGTGTTTCAAGAAGACGCAATCTTAGCTGAGTTATCCGAGACAGACGTATTAGATTTCAATTATCGTCTCTTTAATATAAAAGTAAAAATATTATATTTTTTTCAGGTTATTTTAGATCTCTGTCGTATGTCAGACAACAAGTTTGGATACTCTCTAAATAACGGAACTGTTGGTGTTTATGACAAAAACACCCGACTTTGGAGAATAAAAGTAAGTAAGGTTTTGTATATAATCACATTACCTTTAACATTTAACTATTTCTTTCAAAAGTCAAAAAATCATCCAACTTCTTTGCATTCTTTCGATTTGAACGGCGACGGTGTAGATGAATTAATTACAGGATGGAGTAATGGCAAATTTGACGTTAGAACTGATAAAGCTGGAGAAGTTATATATAAAGATAACATGAAAACTGCAGTAGCTGGAATAGTTCACGTAAATCATTATCATTAATTGTATTACAGTTTACCCTCAAAAGTATTTTTATATCGCTATATAGGGGAATTATAAAATGGATGGCAATGAATGTCTAATAATAGCTAGCACAGAAGGTGAATTAAAGGGATTCAACCAAATTTCTCCAGAAAATGCAAGTAGAGGTATTGCGGTAGATGGAATAACAAGCGCTACACCAGGAGGTGGTGGTGGATTTGGCGGGTCTAAATCATTACAAGACACGAATACTGAACAAGAAGCGCTAAGAGAACTAACTCAAAGGAAGCAGGTATGGTCTTCTCCTTTGAATATTCTCCACATTTGAGATATTTTCATCTATATAGAATCTACTACTTGAATTGCGTAACTACGAAGAAAATCTAAAAGCAAGTAAAATGATAAGACCATCAGGATTGGGCGAGTTGGATCAGAAGGAGATGGGAATTATACCCGTTAGTTTTTTCTATTGCAAATACTTTGTTATATATAATGCAAAGCTACCTGTTTATTTTATCACTTTAATAGGCAGATACAACTATTCAAACGTCTTTGACCATATCCGCCGGAACAACCCACGTAGGAGTAAGTTTAAAGTTTTATATTAATATTATTCATATATACATATACTGTATATACATAATTACACACAATTATAAATATATAACAATATATATTCAACTTTTATCAGAGCGGTGAAAAGGTATAATTCACAAAACTTCACTTTCATTTCTGATCCTTCGTTACAACACTCTAAAAATCTTTTCAAATATTTTGTGCTCTATTATCCAATATACTATTTCAACAATCAATTTTTTTCTAAAATTAACGATATATTCAAATATTTATCATCATTATACTGTATATCTTTTTACTACTTTAAAGCAAAATGCAGTTTAATTAATGATTATTTCTTGATATAACATTAAAAAAAAAGTGAAAATGAAAATGTTTCATTAAAGATTCTAAGTTTAACACTTAATTAAGAATGATAGAAATATTCTTTTTTACATTTCTTCTATTGTTCATACAATTACTAATAATATTTCATATTGATGTAATTTCTATCTATTTTTATTTTTTATTCAGCCTCATGTAAATCTGATAATATCAACTTCAAACGGTAAGTATTATTATATTGGTACTATTTATTTACTATAAAATAGTTAATTCTATTCAATTTCTCTACTAGAAACGATTGTTAGATCGGCAATAATATTTGCAGAGGGTATCTTTGAGAATGAATGTCACGTTTCGTTAGTATAAACCTTGGTCTATCTTTCTTATCTATTTTCTGAAAGATGTAGTAAATATTATTCTCCTTAAACGTTAAACAGACATCCTCCTAAGCAAAAAATTGGTCAGGAAATGTCCATATCATTATTTCCTAATAAAGATTTTCCTATTGATTTACATTTAAAAGTTTTCGTTGGTTATAAATCAAGGTAAGAATAATTCTTATGAATTTTTCAATACTTTTAAAATATTATCATTTCTATATTAGCACTCAATTTCACGTATTTGAATTATCAAGACAACTACCTAAGTTTTCTATGTATGCTCTAATTACAAAAACAGACCTTCCAGAACCAGCTGGACATGTTACTTTTAAAATCCATGAGAGAATCAATAGAGTATGTACTCAGGAAATTTTTTTTGTGAGATATTAAACGAACAACACTAATAATTGTAGATTGTTTTATGGATTAATCAAAATTTCTTATTAAGCGAGGATTTTAAGTGTGATGGACCTGATTTAAATATTAACTTCCAAGCCCTTAGAACCTTAGGAGCCGTATCATTTACTATGACAGGTCGTGGAGAGGTTAGTTAAATTAATAAACATGTTTTATCCAAGATGGTAAAAATTTTACTATTAAATAGGTTACTATTAGAACAAATGATATGGATGTCGCAGCCGATTTGATTCAAACCCTTTGTACTTTCCTTAATATAGAAGATTTACAAGTCACTGCAGATTTTCCCGAAGAGATGGAAAAATTAGGCAACATTCTATCTAAAGTTGATGAATTTCACGCTGCTGGTCAAAAGCTTACAGCAGAAATGGCCGATCATTCCAATATAATAAAAAATTTAATAGTTAGAGCGGAAGATGCTAGATTGTTAGGTGACATGTTAGTAGCAATATTTCCTTTTGAGATAATAACTATAAGGATAACATTTATCTACAACTTTACAGCAAAAGTATGAGAAAAAATTATATGGATCTGTTCAATTTCAATAAAGATCTCATCAATGGTTACAAAGTACGATCTACGAATCATACAGAGTTACTCAACTGCTTGAAACAACTGAATCAAATAATTCAGAAGGCTGGAAAATTAAGAGGTTAATGACCATTTTTTTTCCTTTTTATTTAACAATAGAAAAAAAATTCATAATTGTTTACATTCTTTATCTTCTTCGCTTACATTTCAGTTGGGAAATATAAGAATCAAGTCATCACAGCTTGCAGAAACTCAATTAAAAGTAATAATGTCGCAGCACTTTTCAAGATAATTTCAACTGGATCTTTATAAATGAAGTTTAACTTAGTAAAACTCAATTTTTTGTCTCCAATATACTTAATTTTATTTCAATACTTAATAATCCTGATTCACTAATTTGTATTTATTGGTTTTTAAGGAAGAAATTATTTATTCTTCTTTGTTACGCAATAGACTCATTTCGTTCTATTTGAATTCAATAAATTATATAAAACTCAATTGAAATTGAATTATCCCCAAAGAAGAGAGATTATCAACTAAATAGACATAATAAACTATTTTTAAACGTTCTTAACATTGCTCTTATACGATAAGCAGTATAAATTTATATATATATAGATATCTATATATACGCTTCTTTTTTGTTATTGTTTATTATTGTTTTTTGTTCTTTTGGAGTATATTCAAAGATACAAATTATAATAATAATTAGATCATTAAGGTTCATTTTTTCGGAGAGAGAGAGAGATTAATTATCAAACTTTAACCTCAATGGTCAAAGTACAATCGTATTAGATTAGACTACCAGCTTTTATCTAAAGTTGCGTTTTTGTTTTTTTTTTTCTTTAGTCATTTTTTTAATAGTACAATGCAATAATGCGTTACATTCACGCTAGATCAAATAAAAGATGCATTACGTGTTTATAGCTAAGATTAGGTCGGCGAGAAGTAAATAACTCTAATGTTTATATGTTTGCTTTGTACTCTGAAATAGCTAATTATTTATTGTGAGCCTGTAATTAGTGCACTCTTTGTGATTATTTTTGACCTGTTCCCCTTTACAGACATTCCAAACTGAATTTTTTCTCCATTTTTTTTGCGTATTTAATAAGCCATATTTAGTGGCATATGTAGAAAAGATCATTTATGATGGAAAATTTTATTCAAATTAGCTCAGGGTGAATGATCTAAATAAACATATCCAAAAGAATTTAGGCAAATTTTGTTTAAATTCACCGCTACTTTAAATACCCGTTTTCGATTGTGTGTGTTTTTCGATAGTTTTTTTCCACTGAAACGAGACGAATTATGGCGGAGCCGGGAAAAAAATTGGTTAGACGTCGTATTAGTTGTAGTAGAGTGTCATTCCAGGCAGAAGAGTCTCGACGCGAAAAGTTTTCTAGAAGCGATAAGCCGTGAGTTCATTTATCTTACATTTAGAGCACTCAGACTCGGCTGAGTGTTGAGCTCGACTGTTTGTTTACAACCGGTGTAGCCTTGACATTGATCCGGTTCCGACAAAATCAATCAAACGCTTATTGACGGTTGTGTCGGCAGTGTTGAACAGCCGAATATGAGCCGCGACTGTATATCAAGAACTTCTATCCGAACATGGAAGTTAGAAGGGGATGACGAGCTAGACAGTGATAATTATCTTAGAAGGAGGACGATGGTTACCGGCCTGACGAAGAATCTTGTCTCTGGTGTAGTCCATCAAAGAGACCCAGACGATGAGTGCCTTTGTCATTTTCCAGTTACTTACAGAGCCCAATTTAGAACTACACCGAGTAGAGTCGACACCCCATTCACAAAAAAAGAGGAAAAAGAATCTCGTCTCAGTGAATTCGCTGCTACTTACTTTCCTTGGCTTCACGAACATGAGGAAATAATTTGCTATAGTTGCTCAAAAATAAAAAGTTTAAAATTTGGGTAGGAATGATTGCAATTAATAATTCTATACCTCTTTCGCAACAACAAAAAATACTTAATAACTTTTACACGTGTGACCTGTGCGTGACTTTTTGTCTAGCTTTCCTCTTCCAGGTCAGGCACGTGTTGGAGTGAAGCTAATCACGTGATCAACAACAAAGAAATATTTCTATGTTTACAAAACATATACAATCTATTTTTATTTTTTTTCAGTTGCCATGAAAGGGCCGATTCCTTATTTAGCTCATCCAGTGGTTTTGGTGATTATAGAGGATTGCTCAATTTATGTATAATTTTATTAGTTCTTTCAAACGCAAGAGTTGCTCTTGAAAATTTGATTAAGTAAGTCTACATCGAATGTTCTTGGTTGCATGTTTATTATTCATCATTATTCATTCTTTCAGATATGGTATACTTATTGATCCTATTGCTTGGGTAAGACACCTTGCGAAGGATCCTTATAGTTGGCCTTGCTTTGCCCTTATTATAAGTAGGCTGAAATTATTTATACTATTCTAAGAAATATATGCATTTGTAATTCTCTTTCAGCCACCAATTTTTTCATTCTTTTTTCATTCTACTTGGAAATTCTTTTAAGTGATGTAATAAGATATTTATTATACATATAGCATTGCCCCTGTTCATGAATATTAATTTCTATCGTTAACAATAGAACCGAATTTCCGAGGATCGAGCAAGAAAGCTATTAAAAGCTAATTGGCTCTTGATAATATTGTACCCTGCAGTTGTTATACTTTATTTTCATCCGAGTCCAGGTAATTGTTTTCTACTTCCTTTTTATTGATTTCCAAGAAATCGATTAAATGTTATTTCTTTATGTTTTTTTTTCTGATTTTACAGTTTTCTCTTCGATCACACTTGCTGTTTATACTATCGTTTTTCTTAAATTGATATCCTATGCCGACGTTAATAGATGGTGTCGTCAAGATTTGGAAACACTACAGAAAAAATCGGGTAGAACCCGATTTAAATCCGTTTCATCGCAGGGAAATTGTAAGTTGATTCATTAATTACTTTTTTGTCAAACTTATGTCTTTGTTTAATTTACAGTAAGAAATTCAGCTGAATTAACTGAAAATAATCGTGAACATTTTCAAAAGTATCCTGATAATATCAATTTAAAAGGTATAATTATCTAGTTTGCAATGTATAGATAGTTTATCTATATACTGTATATATTTCCTTTAAATATAGATATCTACTATTTTCTGTTTGCACCAACTCTTTGTTACGAATTAAACTTTCCAAGATCGTCTCGAATTCGAAAACGATTTTTAATAAAACGTATTCTAGAAATGGTAAATAAAAATTTATAGTTATATACAAATATATATATATATATATACATATTTTACTGTATATTTTTATATTTCTAGCTCTTCTTGTCACATTTAATGCTTTGCCTTATTCAACAATGGATTATACCTACTGTTAATAATGCACTAATCCCTTTCAAAAAGATGGAAATTAGTAATGTCGTAGAGCGACTATTGAAACTAGCTGTAAGTTTATTATTACTGAATATTTTTTTATTCGTCTTTTCTTAAACTAATCCTAAAATTCATCTAATCTCACTTTTCTACAGATACCGAATCACTTTATTTGGTTGATATTTTTCTACTGGTTCTTTCACTCATGTTTAAATGTTGTTGCCGAACTATTACAATTTGGCGATAGAACTTTCTATAGAGATTGGTGGAATGCAGAAGATGTTTCATCATTTTGGCAAAATTGGAATATACCCGTACATAAATGGGCTTTACGCCACCTTTATAAACCAATGTTATCCAAAGGATATAGTAAAATGTCAGCTGGTGTTTTCGTTTTTCTGGCTTCAGCATTTTTCCACGAGGTTCATATATTTTTCTTAAATTTCTATTTTTAATTCTAATAATCTTGATGGTCTTGAACTCTTCAATTGATAACAATTTTTTTTTCAGTATCTTGTTAGTGTTCCATTAAGAATGTTCCGATTGTGGGCGTTTACAGCTATGTTGAGTCAAGTACCTTTTGCCCTTTTCGTTAAAAAATATCTTGATGGAAAGTATGGAAATATGGCTGTATGGATTACTTTAATTATTGGCCAACCTATAGCAATTCTTATGTATTACCACGATTACTATGTTACGCATCAGCAATGATAATCTTTTATCTCTTTTTTAACATCGTTTATAGAATATAATTATTCTGAATTACTCTTATTTTATTTTAGGTAAAATTAAACCACGGGTCATATCAAAACTATTTCCATCAGGATGAACACTAACTATTTCTTCAGACTCTGTAAAGACCCTTAGATAGCCATATTCGTCCAGATCAACAATTTTTGCCTTTGTTCCATTCCATAACTCCACCTCTGTTCCTGAATGAATCCATTTCTCATAGTAAAGTGCTGAGACATTATCCTCTTGTTCATTTTCGTATAAATCAACCAACTCTTCAAATTTTGATATGATAAGAGCTCCCATTTTCGGTACAGTAAATTTCTCTAAAGATTTGGCGGCCTTTTTATTGTATCTATTTATAATATCATTTATTGAAAGGGTAGGTTTGGAATTGCTAACATTTACTCCAATCCCTATAAAAAAGAGAAAGAAAAGTGAATCTTAAGATCCATAATATTTTTAAACGTAATAGCCTACCTATTATTAGATGTATTTGATCCTTAAACACTGAAGAGTCAACAAGAATTCCCCCTATTTTAGCTTTGTCCTTGTAATAAATGTCATTCGGCCACTTTATTCTCAAATCTAGATTCTTTATAAGAAGATATGTTCATAAAGTATTACTTAAATGTTTGATCTGCGGAAAACATACCCTATACTCTTTAATATCCCTGATGGCATTTACAACGGCCAAAGCCGCAATATGTTGAGCGTAGGAGACATGCTGCCCCAATTTTGATTTTAGGCTAACCATCGTATGAAACGATAGACATAGGGAACCGGGTGGGCTCAACCATGCATTACCACCTCTCCCTAAAAAATTAATATCGTATAATTTATAATTTTATGTCTTATTTACTTTAACATATTAGGAAAAACTAACCAACTCCGGAAATTTGGCGACTTGCTATTGAAGCTATTCCTAGGTCTTTTGGAGTTGAAAATTGCAAACTAAAAGTGGAATTTTAATAATTTTATATTGTATATTAGATTGTATGTAATATACCTGTCAAAGACATTTTGAGTACTGCCCATCATGTCTGCGTAGATAAGTATCTTCCCTAGTGTTTTGGTTGAAAGATGGTGAAAGTACTCATCAGAATTGAATAATTTGAAATTATTGCAGTTTGATGCAATATTAATTGGAAGGAAATTTTCACTTGGTGTGTCTTTTTCAGTATTTCCAAATTTTAGGACAGTTTTGTTTGATCTCAAAATACCGTTTGTTAGTTTTACTTCAATGTGTTTTAGGAAGTTTCTTCTTGAGTTCTTAGAATATCAAAAGCAGATTATTTAATATTAGATATTAAGGACAATTAAGATATGGAAATACCTCTTGTTTAGATATCAAATAACCTTGCGTTAATTGTATATCTTCCTCTTGAGACTGCTTTATCTCGAAATAGGAAGATAACAAATGTTTCAGAACTTGCTTTTGCTCGTGTTTGATCTCGATGTGCCATTGAACCTGGAAAGAAGATAAGACTAAATACGAAAGACTGCCCAATTGTTATCTAGTTAAAACGTTTTTAATATCAGTGCCATCTACTGTTTAAAACACTGTTTTATTTGTGTGACTGTGATAAGAAAGAAATTAAAAAATCTTACATGTGACAGTATAACTTTACCAGAGTTATCTTCAGAATCCGAGAAAAGTATAGCAGGCCTCCTGGTGTCGTCTGAAAACCACGCTATTTCGGTAAACTTTTGTTTCTTGAAATTTTCAAAAGATATATTACAACACCCGAAAACTGGTACATCTTTCCATTCAGAACACTCTAATTTTATTTTACGAATATTAACTTCTCCTTTATCCTTTACTTCTAGAAAATTCTCTTCGAAGGTACGGCAACATAAACTCAAAACATTGCCACCATTTATGTAATACTCATAGAACATTTTATTTATATTCTCTTTGAGTGTCTTGTCCATTATTATTAAGAGCGTAGTATTCTCCTTCCACGGGTAGCCTAAAGCCTTTTCTTCGCTTAAATGGTAAAAAGTATAATTATTTGCTCCCAAAATGCTTCGCAAGGTTTCTTTCAAAGCTAAAAACGAATCTTCTTTTGCACTCCTCTCTGTGTAAACCAGTACATTCGGAGGTTTAGGAATGGTCTGCTTTTGTCCTGTCGATTGTTTGTCATCAGAATTGGCCTTGTCCTTTGCAAATGTAGACATTTCTGTTTTTTTCTCTTCAGTTTGCAACAGGGATTTTGCTCTTCCTGATAAATTAACAGCTGCTTCCGCATTAAACAAAGGATTGGAAAAAAATCAATAGCAACGATGATAAATAGTGAAAATAACTAACTTGTTAAACATTTCATATTTAAATTATCTTCGTAAACAACATTGTCAAATTGTAATGCTCTGCAGAGGTCAGCTAAAGATTTTAGAGTACATTGAACTAGTATTTTTATAGATTCGTCACTTTTCCAAGCAACAGGTGTTACCATCTCCGAAAACTACTAATTAAATGAACCTTAATTAAAATAAAGATATCGTAAGGTTTACTGTACTTTTGTTCTATATCTAACTGGGACATCAAATAGTCTACTATCTTCTTTCTGCTCCTCTGGAGATGTGAATTCTACCAAAAGCATCTCATCATTAAGAATTTCCTCCAAATATTGATGGTTAACGAAGAAAGTCCAATCTTCATCCAAATGAATTGACTCCTAAATATCATAAAGAACCATTAAGCTATATTTAATTGACTGAATTACCCGGTAAGTTCTCATTAAATTGAATATTTAATCAACAATACTTAGGTAACTATTAGATACTATTATACCTTTAAATGTTTAGATATTTTTTTTATGCCTTTGCTTTGCTTTCTATCAAAAGAAAACAAGGTTTAACTTGCCAACCTTGTTTATTGGTTAAAGTAAATTATAAATGAAATATATAGATGTTATATTCGAATGCTCATAGATTTGATTAGGACACTGAATGTTGCAAAAACTTTAATTTTTCAAAATCCAAGGTGATTGAAAAATAGAAAAACTGCGCATTTTTATGATTAAACTAAATGTTGAAGGTGTTTTGTAAAATCTATACCTTGGGATCAATTTTATATGCTTTAATGAATGAATTCCAATTAATCTTTAATGGTGTCATTTTCTCATAATGTTTTTTGGAATGAAGAGAACAATTTTCAAGAAACAAACTACTTTGAGCCTGATTACAGCATTTTACCAAATGTAACCAATGTAGAAACGTATTACGATACTTCCAATATTGAGTTAGTTCAATGCAGCCAAAAGCCAGCGTGAAGAACATTTTTGATTAAGAATGGCACAACATGAGATGATAAGAAACGTACGAACGCGAAATAAAGGTTCTGTTTGAAATTTTTCAACATGTCAGTAGAATTTACCCTGGAATATAAACATTGCTTATAATAATAATTTATAAAAAAATTTCGAAAGTTAATTAGAAAAAAGATAAAAAATTTACTTGATACGAAAATATTTTCAGTGGCAGACGATAATTATTCAGATGCAATACACTACTTATATTAATTTTGAAATATTTTACAAAGGGTGAAAGTTCAGTGATTCATATCAGATGACTATTAGTAGAACACCATCTCCTGCTCCTCCATCAAGAAACTCCTGCGAATCCTGTCCAAACTCACCTGCATCCCGTCTCAGAAATAACTATAAGAGGAGTAGCAGTTCGCCAGCTGGAAGTTTGTATTAAATTGAGTTATGTAAACAAAACAAAATCATCTCTATTTTACAGACCGGCAGAAGAGAGATCTCAAGGGCAAAGCCATATTAGAAGCAGTCGATAAAAGTGATGTCGTCACTCTAAAACAACTTGCAATTAGTAGAGAAGGTTTTATCAACAATGACCTTCGAAAGTTGGCTTGGCCAAAATTACTTGGCCTCAGCGAGAATGATAGAATTGAAAGACCTAGTGATGAAGTTCTTCATGCTCACAAAGACTATAATCAGGTTGTCTTAGATGTTAATCGTTCAGTTAAAAGATTCCCCCCCGGAATGGAGGAAGAAGTTCGATTGTCTTATCAAGATATTCTCATAGATGTCATAATGCGAGTACTTGTTAACAATGAAGGACTAAATTATTATCAGGTTTTATAAAGATATTTTTTTAAAACATTATAAACATGTATTAATGCATATCCCATGTCATATATTTCTCTAGGGATATCACGATGTTTGTGTCACATTTTTATTAGTTGTTGGTGAAGAATTAACTGTGACGTTGATGGATAAATTATCAAAATCTCATTTAAGGTAATTGTTTTCTGAGTCTAAATGAATTAAACAGTAACCTGCTGTTATATATTTAGAGAATTCATGGATGTTAATATGGACAGAACAAATCATATGCTCGATTATTTATTTCCAATAATAGGAATGGTTAACTCAGAATTACGTAGATTCTTGGAATTGTAAGAATTGTTCTCTCAATAATCTAAAGTTTAATATTATGTATTACTCTTTTAGATCTGAAGTAGGAACTATTTTTGCTCTCTCATGGCTCATTACATGGTTCGGCCATGTCTTAAATGAATTTTCCTCAATTGTTCGCCTTTATGATTTCTTCATAGCTTGTCATCCACTGATGGCTGTCTATATGGGTGCTGCAGTACGTATATCTTTCTTTTAACTATTCCTGTTTATCTCTATGTATTTTTATAATAATATGATAACTGTCTTTTACAAACAGGTAGTTCTAGATCGAAAAAATGAAGTGATGGACTGCCAGTGTGAAATGCCTTTTGTACATAGTTTATTATCTAATATTCCGCCAGAAATACCACTAGAGAAACTTGTTTCACAAGCGGGTCTTTTATATATAAGATTTCCTCCAGAGACTGTTGAACTCGAGGCCAGGATACTTCTTGAAAACCGAAAAAGGGAACAGCGAGAAAGAGATGCTCGTATTGCAGAAATGAAATTGAAACGACAAAATGGCAGTAGAATCGTTAAATCAAAATCAGCAGATTTTCATTCCAAATCCGACAAAGCTATGTTTTATAGTGTCATAAAATGGACGGTAGGTGGAGTTGTAGCTGCTGTAACAGTAGCCGCTGTCTCAAAAAGTTTTGGGTTGAATTGGGTTGTTTGGTGAAGTGATTTGTCCCAAAAGTTATTAACTTATTTTAAATTTTACTATATTTCTCTTCTGAAAAGCTAGTCTCTTTAAAAAAGAAAACAAACAAAAAATTACTCCTGAACTTGACTTGCCTGTAAATTTATTGGAAAATGACAAAAAATTAAACACAAAAAATCTAAACCTTGATTTTTATTAGGGCAAACAAAAAAAACCAGTTATTAGTAGCTTTATATGGTCACAATATCTATTGATATGCTTTAATTACAAGAATAAATTGTTATTAATTCATTTAAATAGTTCCAAAGGGAACGTTTAAATAGATATATATGATATGAAATATAGACCATAGAGAAATTTTTTTTATTAATTATTGAAGTAATATATGCCTAAAGGTAATTTTTATCGATTTTATATTTGTCTGAACAAGCGAATGTTTCTAGCAAATCTAATTCATTTTATTTTCTCTAAAGTATTATTTTGTCTGTTTATTTGTTCCATTTGTTTTTTGCTATATTGAAATGTCTAAAGATAATGTTTATCTATTAGAGCATATTCCATATTTATTGTCTCTTATTTAGAAATGCAATAAAGTTTATAATATTTGGCGCCAAATTTTTCCACTATTGCGCCTGCGCGGTTGCTTAGACGACGTATACAAACTTTTAAAGCACTGACTATACAATTAGTGTTGTTACTTTTAAGCTCAATTTTAGACAGAGTTGATTAAAGTTACTTGAAATTATGACAGAGGAAGCCGGCATTCCAGGTTCTGGTATTTTCCTACAAAATGTATCTGTATTAGCCAGAAATTATTCTAATAATTTCTATTATAGTGGAAGAGTTGTAAATCAGGTAAGATTTTTTTACTTTTTCTTAGCATTTGATGATCATTTATGACAGTTCTCGATCATATTTGTAAACTAGCTGTTACAAATTCACAGATAAATGCAGAAAATTTTCTTGTTGAGTTGGATGTTGAAAGCACAAGAGAAAAGGATAAAAATGAATTCCAAGAAACTCATATCATTGATCTTATATCTCTGAATGATGGTAAACGTCATCCCCTAGCAACTCTCGATAAAGTTCTTGCACCGGAAAATTCCGTAAACGGCAGGTATATTCCTGCTGAAATAATTTCTATCGATAGTGAGGAGAGTGGCTCTGCAGATGAAATTGAAATAAGACTCGCAAATGATCAAAAGCAACGTGTTCCTCGATCAAACGTTGTCTGGATCTCCGAAAACCTATATGATCGATTAAAGTTTGTTTGCTCTAAAGGAGAATGCCCAGAGATTAGAGGTACTTTGAAAAGTACAACAGAAACTTATCTTTTCGAGAACATCAATGAAAAAAATGTAGTATTCTGTATAAATACTAGTGCATCAATGTTCGATTGTTTGGAAGAAGTCAAAGATCAACTTATTGCAACTTTAGAGGAACGAGCCAGAAGTGATCAACCCGGAATGTTCAATATAATTGAATTCAGCGGACAGGCCACTGCGTGGGCTGATAAATGCGTTCTTTGCAACTTGGACACTGTAAAAATAGCTTCAGAATGGTTAAGAAATGTTCAACCTAAAACGACTTCAAACGTGTTAGACGCTATTCTAACTGCTCTGGGTGATAACGAGTGCGATTGCGTGTGTCTTGTCACGGACTCTTTACCCGATGATCATCCAGAAGACACCCTTGATCACGTGATACCTGCTACCAATGGCCGACCAGTTCATTGCTATTTCCTGGAAAAAGGGGATTGTCCTGAAAATGCGACAATTACTAATTTCCTTAGTCAACTGGCATCTGAAAGCTATGGAACTCTCAACCTTGTTACAACAAGCTGCCATAAACATTTGGAACAACTGACAACTGTATGTTCGCCGGGTACTTCAACTGTTATTTCATCAGATCGACAAGTTCATCACTTACAAAATAGATTATGCTCAATATCCACAAACTTAGAAGAATATCCCGAACAGATTATCGTCCAACCACCACCAAAGAAATCAATTTCACATCTAAATGTCCCAAGTTGCTATTATTCTAACAACCCACCATCTGGATGGGTAAAATATACTCCTCCTTATCATTGGACATCTACTAGAGAGAGAATCGTCGATGTAGCTGGAGAGGTTGGTTCTGCCGAAGACGCTGGAAGAATGATTGTTGGATCAAAAGTTTTAGCAAGAAAACATGATGATGGATATTTCTATTTCGGAAATGTAAAATCTCATCTATTAGACGATAAATTTTTAGTCGAGTTCGCATCAAAGAAACCCCGTCAAAGTTCTTCCACCTTTCAAGAAACTCTAATCTATGATATAGTATCAATTGAAGACGCCAGACGACATCCTATAGCTCCCTCTGATCATGTTTTGGCACCAATCGATGGAAAAGGTAAATATGGTCCAGGTATAGTGCTAACAGGAAGCGAGAAAACTGATCTTATAAGTGGTCCACTAATCGTAAAGTTTGTTAATGGTCAGACATGTGAAATAAGTTCTGGTTTATCAGTTTGGATTCCTGGCCCGTTTTATGATAGAATTTCTTTTGAATTGAATTTACCCAAATCTCTAAGAAGTTCACCAGCAAACCCACCAAATCCACCTGCTTATCGAGATGACTTTGACCGATACAGGTCAATAACAGTTGAGAAAAACGATGGTAGAAAAGTTCGAGGCTTATATAGACACAACGCATATATCCCAATGCATGAAGTTGCTTCGGCCTCAGAAGAGACTAAAAATCCTGATGGCCTAATACCAGGAACTGATATGACTTTATCTCAGCTCAATTCTCTCGTTTCAGCACAAATCACTGAGAATAAACATTACTTGGAAAATGGTACAAGATCAAGACTTTTGCATAGAAGAGAAGCTAGACCGAATAGCTCTCTAAAGAAATCTGTAACATTTGACAGCGTCACAGACAGTGGAAGAGGGTCTGCATCTGACAACAATCTCGTATCGGATGTAGAAGATAATGAACTGGATTTACTTGATCTAGAGCTTGAAGTGGAGAGAGAAAACAAGGAAAAGGAAAAGGAAAAGGAAATAGAAATTGAGAAGGTCAGACAAAAACTTTCTGAAGACGTTGACAGAGAAAGAAGCCCATCCCCATCTTCGAAAGTGAGACGTTGTCATAGAGTTTCCAGACCTCGTTGGAAGTATTGGAAAAATGAGCCTGCACCCTCTTTAACGAACCCCTACACTTTCTCATCTGGATATAGGCCTTTTCGGGAAACTTTGCTTCAGGCTCCTCTCGAGGCAAGAGACCACAGTTTAAGACGCAGTGGTGAGTGACTAGATACAATTTACTTTGAATGATTTCATTAACATTCTTTTTCTCTGCTCTTTAGGCGCTTGGACCGATTCAGTTTATCAATCAGTCCAAAATTCTGGACCGTCTGTTAAGGATTCCATGGGATATAAGTGCGACCAAGTTCAACATATTCCACAACCGCCAACAACTATTCGATATGTTCGATCGTCTGTACCTCCAGATCATTACGAACCAACAGCGGAAGAGAAGAAACAAGAATACAGACAAGAATTTAAGAGGCAACAGGTCGCTAGAAGAGCTGCAGCCGAAGAAGGGGCTAAGTTGGAATTTGCAAGAAGAAAAGCGATTGGAGAGCAGAATCAAAGACGTCAAATTATGGAACGTTTAGACAAAGAGAAAGAAAAGCGAGTAGAAATGGAAAAACAAATTGAGCAACAAACTATTCATAAAAGGAGAGTTGTGTTCGAAATACGCTCAAAGTATGAAACGATGAACGTTGAGGACAATAATAGAAAGAAAAAGAGGCTAATGGCGATGAGAATACGTCGAGAAGAGAGAGAGATGGCTGATATCGAAAAACAACAAGAGCAGACGCAGATAATGAACAAAAGACAGGAATGTAGACAACAGAGAGTTCAAGAAAGGAACATGATGATTTCAGAACGTCTAGCAGAAGAGGAGCATCAAACCCTGCAGCAAGATAGAAACAAACGCCAAGCGAAATTGCAAAGAATAGAACATTTTAGGCAACTTGAGAAACAGGGTCAGGAATTAAAGGATAGACGGATCCAGTCAGCTCAACAACAACTGGCCATTCAAAGGTCCAGAATCTTTCCATAAGAAAAGAGACAAATAATTTTATATTTATTCATCTATCTCGTACGATGTCTTAGAATACTCACAAACAATTGTCTATTACGTCAGTATAAACAGCAGCAAAGTCTCAAAAGATATAACTATATATTTATATAATAGTAGTTAAAATTTCAAACAACCAACTTTTGAATTTTTTTTGCTAATTAACAAAAAAACATACGAAAGAATTTTCTTTAGAAGATCTATCAGTGTCGTTCCTTATAATCTTAAATTTGTCGTTTCTTCCTAGAAAGAAAAATTCTAATTTATTTATTAAACTGTTTAATAAACTAATAAATTTAGAAAAAAGGTTATTATTCTTATTATTATTACTATTATTATCACTTTTTATCGTAAATATTTTATATACTGTATATTTTTGAAATTTGGCGGGATAATAAATATCGTTCCAATTTTATTCACTGTTACAGGATCCATAGTAACCTTCGTTCAGTCACATTGTTGTGAAGAAGGTCAGTAAATAAGAGCGGCTATCTCATATTTGTGGTTATGCCGAAGGACAACAGATTAACATTTACTCAAAACTTAATATGCGGTGGCAACGCCGGCGTTATATGCAGGACCGTATGTTCACCCTTAGATGTTGTAAAAACACTTCAACAAGTTGGAATTGGAGACGCAAGGAGTGGAATGCTTTCAACATTTGTCAATCAGTATAAAAATGAAGGAATCAGAGCATTTTGGAAAGGAAATGCTATTGCTTCTCTCAGAGGATTTCCTTACTATGCTCTTCAATTTGCTGCTTATGAAAAATTTAAGAATGTGTTGTCTGATAAAAATGGAAAAATATCCCCAATCAATGCAATGGTAGCTGGATCTGCAGGAGGCGTTGTGGCGGTCATTGCAACATATCCTATGGATATGGTAAAAACAAGATTGACAGCTCAGCACGCTGATCTTTCAAAAGCAAAATACAAAGGAATTGTACACGCTTTCAAAGTTATAGCAGCTGAGGAAGGAGCTCTAAGTTTATACAAAGGTATGGGTACGTCAATTATTGGAGTTATACCATTCGCTGGAGCAACTTTCATGGCTTATGAGATATTGGAAAAAGCCTGGAAAAAACCCAAGTCACAAATGACGCCTCTCGAGAATTTCATTGATGGTTGTTTGGCTGGTGCTTTTGCTCAAACCCTTTCTTATCCTTTTGACACCATAAGAAAAAAATTGCAAGCTCAGTCGAAATTTATTGAGGGAGCGGGACCAGATGTTCATTTTAATGGTATGATTGATGGATTTGTTCAAACAGTCCGATCTAAAGGTGTATTAGCCCTATGGAATGGAACAACTGCAAATCTTATCAAAGTCATGCCATATGCCGGTATCATGTTTATGTCCTTCGAAATGTCAAAAAGACTTTTCTTGTACAATAATGGATATACCTCAAGCCCCTTTCAAGATTCACCCTTGCCAGATGTCGATCAATCTCTTCCTCCGTCTCAAATACATCATCCATCTCACAACATGATGCATAGTTGGCATAAATAGACTTTTGAATTTGCATAAAATCATTGATATATAAGAAAACTGCTAAAAATAGATTCACTATTTTTAAAAGAAAACCTGACTATTATTAAAGTGTTTAGTGAATATATGCTTATCAATGGATTAGAAATGCGTCAAATGATAACTATCAGCGCCCCCCTATGTGTACTTAACATATTTTATTCTATTTGAAAAATATGACATGTTATTGACGTTACATATTTTAAATCATTTTTAATTTTGTTTTAAATAAGTGATACTGAAAAAAACAATAAAGTAAAAAAAAATGAGAGAAATCGTTAGTATTCAAGCTGGACAATGTGGAAACCAGATTGGAGCTAAGGTAATTCAATACTTCTGCTCAAGCCATTTATTTTAGCTATATTTTACTTTTGTTTCAGTTCTGGGAGGTTATTTCTGATGAGCACGGTATCGATCAAACTGGAAGTTATCATGGAGATTCTGATTTACAATTGGAGAGGATTAATGTCTATTTCAATGAAGCTACTGGTAAAGTTTACTCTTTCTGTTGATTTTACTAATTCCAGCTTCTTAAGGTGGAAAGTATGTACCCCGATCAGTCTTGGTTGACCTAGAACCAGGAACTATGGATTCTGTTCGGTCTGGTCCTTTTGGACAAATTTTTAGGCCGGATAATTTCATTTTTGGTCAAAGCGGAGCAGGAAATAATTGGGCTAAAGGTCACTATACTGAAGGAGCAGAGCTGGTTGATTCCATTTTGGATATTGTTAGGAAAGAGGCAGAGAGTTGTGACTGCTTGCAAGGATTTCAAATGACCCATTCGTTAGGTGGGGGAACTGGCTCAGGAATGGGAACTCTTCTAATTTCTAAAATCAGGGAGGAATATCCTGATAGAATTATGAATACTTTCTCAGTCGTGCCCTCTCCAAAGGTTTCTGATACTGTCGTTGAACCTTATAATGCTACACTTTCCGTTCACCAGCTAGTTGAAAACACAGATGAAACATATTGTATTGATAATGAAGCTTTATATGATATATGTTTTAGAACTTTGAAGCTCACCACTCCAACTTATGGTGATTTGAATCATTTAGTTTCAGCAACTATGTCAGGTGTTACTACGTGCCTACGATTCCCTGGCCAATTAAATGCTGATCTAAGAAAATTGGCGGTCAATATGATACCCTTCCCAAGACTGCATTTTTTTATGCCTGGATTTGCTCCGTTGACATCAAGAGGAAGTCAACAATATAGAGCCCTTACTGTTCCTGAACTAACCCAACAAATATTTGATGCTAAGAATATGATGGCTGCTTGCGATCCACGCCACGGTCGTTACTTAACCGTAGCAGCCCTCTTCAGAGGTCGTATGTCTATGAAAGAAGTAGATGAACAGATGCTTAATGTTCAGAATAAGAACAGCAGTTACTTTGTCGAATGGATACCAAATAATGTAAAAACTGCTGTTTGTGACATACCTCCTAGAGGTCTGAAAATGGCCGCAACATTTGTTGGGAATACAACTGCCATTCAAGAACTATTCAAACGAGTTTCTGAGCAGTTTACTGCTATGTTCAGAAGAAAAGCTTTTCTTCATTGGTATACAGGTGAAGGCATGGATGAAATGGAATTCACTGAAGCTGAGTCAAACATGAACGATCTTGTATCTGAATATCAGCAGTATCAGGATGCTACTGCTGATGAAGAGGGGGAATACGAAGAAGACGAAGAAATACAAGAAGGTTAACAAAAAAAGATAAAAATAACTTTGAATTAATTGTATAACAAAAGAATAGAGCTAAATTCAAGATAACTTTTTAACGTTTACGTTTAGCTTTCAATTTATAAACAGCTGCACTTGTTTTGCTTTCTCCTTTAATCTTTATTTTCTTTGTCTTCTTTTCCTAAAACAAACGAGAGCATATTTAAAAAAAGGATTTACATACAAATCAATCTATTTTCCCTACCATCAGTAATCGTTTCTTTACAGAGAGTTTATCTTGAATGACTCTTAATTCTTTCTCTCTATCCAATCTCTGACCTAACTCTTTGTAAGTTTTGATTCGTTTATCAGTAGTTCTTAAGATTGCTTTTTCTCCAATATTTATAGGCTTCTCTAGAGTGCTCATTTTTGGCCTATTAAAACTTCTATCAACAAGCGAAGGATGAGTATCAAAATACTTGACAGGGTCAAATTCTCTCTCTATCAAAATTGAAATAATGAATATATATACTGATTAATGAATTTCATGAGAATTCAAACCTTCTGTTTTTGAATCGACAAAGACAATGTGTTTATTAGGTTTTTCAACATCGAGGAAATGCATACTACTTTTTAATTGCTCAATTTTCTGTTAACAAACAACATGACTTTTATTGATCAAATAATTATGAAATTTATTTGATAATAGCTTACTTTTTTTTCTGAAGTATGCTTATATTTAACATAACCTAAATCCTGTGTATTCATTAATTTATGTTGAGCGTCAGTATATGTTTTCTCTTCATCTTTTGCTTCATGGATTCCAGACTAGTGAAAATACAAAACATTGAGAAATTAGATGAATACTTTCAAACTTATCTAATTTTACTTACTTTCACTTTGCTATTTATCATATTAAAATAGAATTCATCAGGATTTTTATCCAATGCCTTATTTTTTAAGGTCTTTATAATTTTTTCTTTTTTAGCTCGCTCACTAAATAAAAGATGGTATCATTCATTAGATAAAAGGACATATTAGATAACATACTTTGCTCTAATCTTATAATCCTTTTTCTTTTCAAGAAATCCTAAGTGTTTTCTGGATTCAAGCTAAAATATTTATTCCATTGATTATCACTCTCTTAATTTCAGTATTGAATAACCAAATCATTGAATTACATACCTGTCCTCTCTCTCGATGAGTCTTCTGATAAGACTTTAACACATTTCGATAGCTAGACATTTGGAGATAGGAATATTAGGTATGTTAGGATAATTCTTTAGATTAGAAATCAGTAACACACGAGTCAATTTCGTCTGCTACGAAAACTAATACCAGTTTTCGTACACAACCAGTTTTTTGTCACCGTTTACAAACGCTACGTCTAAATCGACCACGGTGGAACTTTAAAGATGACAGGCAACAAATATTCAATTTTGTTACCAACTTATAATGAAAAAGAAAATTTACCATTGATAATTTGGCTGATTGTCAAATATATGTCTGAGAGGTGAGCTGTAGCTTTTTCTTGAACCGATCTTGAATTGATTTCCTCAGCAATTTGGATTATGAAGTCATTGTTATTGATGATGGAAGCCCTGACGGAACATTGGATGTTGCTAAAAAACTACAAAAGCTGTACGGCGATGACAAGATAGTGTGTATTTTGCTTCCTAGCATATAGCTTTAACATAAAATTTTATATTTATAGGTTTTAAGACCTAGAGAAAAGAAACTGGGTTTAGGTAAGAACGCTATTCTATTTTAGAAGAGGTTCAAGTAAATACAATTTTCCAGGAACTGCTTATGTTCATGGGATTCAGCATGCAAAGGGAAATTTTATAATAATCATGGACGCTGATATGTCTCACCATGTATGCTTAGACAATTTTCTTGCTATTTCTTATTAATAGTGATTTTTTTTCAGCCAAAGTTTATTCCTCAATATATTAAGTAAGAAATAAGAATTACTCATACACTAGTAAATTGTACTTAAATTCCAATTCAGGAAGCAACAAGAAAAAGACTACGACGTTGTCACAGGAACTAGATATATTGGAAACGGTGGAGTTTATGGATGGGATTTGAAACGAAAAGCTGTTAGTCGTGGCGCTAACTTCATAACACAAATTCTCCTAAGGCCTGGGGTAACAGATTATACTGGAAGTTTCAGGTAAATAATTACACATTTCGAATCATTTTCCTTAATTATATACTTCTTAATTAATCGTTTACTATAGACTTTACAAGAAATCAGTTTTAAAACAATTGATGGATACTGTAATCTCTAAAGGTTATGCTTTTCAAATGGAGATTATTGTAAGAGCTAAACAAATGAAATTTTCAGTCGCGGAGGTTAGTTTTTTCGAACTGTAATCTTTAAACAGAGTCTTAACAAAGAATATATTAATTTATTTTTACACAGGTCCCGATAACGTTTGTCGATAGAGTGTATGGAGAATCAAAGCTGGGCACTGGGGAAATATTCCAGTTTTTAAAAGGGTTGATTTATCTCCTAGCAACATCATGAATTCAATAGAAACAATACAAACAAAAGTCCATCTTTACTCAACTATACTTTTTGTTTAATCTTACGCAAAACATTTCCTTGTTCAATAGCAGCTGCCCTTTTCTTACGCTGAAAAAAAAACATGTAAAATAAATGAAATAATACAAATTTTATAAAACTAACTGAAGGAGTTGGATTTGTTCCTGATGAAAGATCAACGCCGCTTAGAATTGGAATAGACGGAACACTTAATGCCCCCTTCAGATCTTCAGGGAGTTCGTAAGAAGGATTTGATTGTTGTATACTGATTCTCGTCGAATGCATTTCGTATTGGAGGTTGAACATTTGTAAAGCCTCCTCATATAATCTTACTATATCACTCCTTAATTCGTTAAACAGTTCTACATTCTCTTCAGTTGCAGTTGGCGTGTCAGCCTTCATATTTCTTAAAGCGCAGTCTATTGCTCTATGTTTCTTCACACTTAGTGTACTTGGCAATTTCATCCTTTGAGATCTAACCGATGGGCCAGTATGGCCAGACCAATCATGATATTTAATGCCGTCCACATTCAAGGATGCAGAGATTGGTGTAGCCGGCAAAGACTTTCTCTTAGAGGGAGAAGCCGATAGTGGAGTATGAGGTGTACTAGGAACTGAAACATTAGACACGGATGCTTGAGTCATTAATTTTTGCAAATCTTGAGTTTTCTTTTCTCTTTCACGTTTACGAGCTTCTATCTTACTCATTTCATTTTCAAGTTGCTGTTCTTCCTCAATATCTTTCTGAGACCTTGACAAAAGTCTTGCTAGTTGTTCTCTGCGTCGTTCTTCATTTGACGCATCAAACATACACTCATCTTCTTGGTCTATATTGCGTACTTTATTAAATGTTTCTTGAATGTAGTAAAATCGAGCTTTCAGTTCATCAACTGATCTCTTTTCAAAACTCTGATTGTCCATTTGGTCCATCAAATAGCGATCGGCCATAACTACAAATCGCCTACTATATTTTACAGCCAACTGCATCAGATAATCAGTTTCATTTTTGGTCCACTCATCACGATCAGTAATATGAGCATCATATTCAGCTTGAGAGTAACGAAGAAATTCTACAGACTTATCGAATCTTCCGTAACCAAAAGTTCCAGGATCGTCTTCACGCCTAAGGCATTTCATCGTCATATGATCCTTTCGTGTTGGATGTTCAACTTGAACATGTCTCCACTTTCGTACTTTTCTCTTCATCATATCCATCTTACGAGTGCAATACGATGTACCAGCTTGTGTAAGAGGATAGTCTAAATCTTCGCCATCAGTAGATAACAAACCCCACAATTCCCTTGCCATTTGCTCTGGTTTTTTCATCTTTTTCTGCAATTTACCCACTGGAGGAGTTTGTTCCCCATCAGGTGTAGATGGATTCCCCTCCTATAGATTAATTTAAATTAAAATAGCATGATCGATATTTCACGAACAGATACTTGCTTTTACTATTGTCAATAAATCCATAGTACTCATTGCGAATTTTAATCTGGAATATAGAAGTATTTAGTTGTACGTATCACTGACAATAAAATATGTTTAATAAAAACAATTATAAAAGCAACACTTAAATTTAAATAATTTTCTAGGAAGATCAAATTTTATTGGTTTTCTTTGAAGGAAAATACCATTATGGACACTAAATTGATTGAGATACATTAAATTGGTATTGATACGCAAAGTATCACAGATCTGTCGAGAACAAAAAAAAAGCTAAAAAAAGAAATTCGTTGTTCAATAGCGCTGTTCTCAGAGATCATCGTGTATATGAGTGGTTTTAGCTGGTAACAATCTCTCAACGAAATCAATAACTGCTTGCACATTGAGACTCTTCAATTCCACGGCATCTTGAAAGCTTTGCTTCTTCTGATGTGGCCTTTTGCCGGTCCAAAGCACAACTGTAGGAAAAGCTCTTACACCTACATTCTCACATAGTCTACCATAACTTTCACAATCCACTTTTCCGCTTTTTACATTCTTCTTTTTTAACTTTCTAGCTATTAATTCAAAGTCAGGGGCAAATTGATGACAATGACCACACCAAGGAGCGTAAAAGTCAACAAGCCAAGGAGTTTCAGATTTTAAAACATCTTCAATAAAATTATCATTTCTCAAGTCCACAGCTTCCGATGGTAAATAAGAATAAATCCACTGACGAATATTTTGAGCATCTCTATGCCATCCAGAATAATCTATATGCGTATAGGGCGATGATTTGGGTGGATAAAACCGAATCGTTGGATAAGAGCGAACATCATTGTCTCTGCACATTTGTTTATCAGATTCACAATCAACTTGAGCAATCATAATATTATCATCATCTTGAAGAATCTTCGCTAATCGTCTAAATTCAGGTGCAAATTGACGACATGGACCACACCATGGAGCGTGAAAATCAATTATCCATCCTCTATCTTTACGATCAATGACATTCTTCCAGGAATTTGAATTTAATGTTTGTACAGGAGGGCGAAGGATATCTCTTACTGATTCTACTATTTCACTAACTGAATCGTGTTCGTTGAAGTCATGAGGTACACTGTCGTTGTACAAAATTGTCGTTGGGTAGCTCCGAATATTATAATCTCTACACAGTTGCTGATGAACAGTGCAGTCGATTGTTCCTACTCTCACTTTATCTGAGGCTACTACACTAGCAGCTTGACGAAGCTTGGGTAAAAGTCTCATGCAAGGAGGGCACCATGGTGCATAAAAATCCACTAGCCAAGGTTTGTTGGTTTTCCTGACTTTATTCTGAAATTGTTCAGGGCTTAATACTATTAAGGGACTTTCACTAGCTGCCTTCGTCCACGTAGCTACATCTTGAGGTGTTTGTCGACCGAAATGAATTTCATGACCTCCATTATGTTTAAATAGAACGAAGGAAGGAGTCTTGAAAATATGGAGGTCTTTGCATAGAGAGTTCTCTGAGCATATAACACGACCTACTTGAATACCATAGGCATCAACCAATGGAGGAAGCTTTCGCCATTGTACATCTTCAGAGCTATCAGGTGTCAAGTAGAGTAACCAATTTCTTCGATTCTTTTTTACGTCCGCAACACTACTATCTTCTATCAATTGCAGTCCGTCTACTTTATTCAAAACAAAATTTACGACATCCCTTGCTTCAAGCGATTCTACTGCTAAACCATTTCCTTTTTGGATGGAGTGTTTGAAAAATAAAGTACCATGTTCCATGTTATAAGAAGAACATAATTTAGAATTTCTATCACAATCTATGTAAGCTACCTTGGCAATACCCTTGAGCATAGCCGCAACTTTTGTTCTAGTGTTTTTTGACAAGCAGTCTCCATCTAAGGAGCAGAAAGTTATTAGCCAGGAAGAACTGTGTAAAGCATTTTCGGACAGAGCCTGAAGATCGTGAACTTGATAGTTGGCAAATTTCAGAGCAAATTTTAAAATTGTGTCTTCATTTCGAGGCCCACTAAATTCTTCTCGATTTGGGTAAACAACTAGAGATGGGTAACCATGAATACCCTGCCTTCTACATAGATGCCACTCTTCACCACAATTTACTGCTCCAATGCGAATAACTCCATCTAGTTCCCTGGCAATTGCTCGCCAAGCTGGAGCCAAATCGTGGCAATGAGAGCATCGGGGACTGTAAAAATTAACAAACCAGACGTCGTCGGTTGAATCAACAAGTTCTTCAAAATCTTGCGATGACAAGGTTACCACTTCTTGATCTTCATCATATATTCCAAACTCGGTGTTATAATATTGCCAAGACTCGTATTGTCGGCCTCCTGTTTGTTCATCTTCTAGAGCTTTTTCACCGTAAGTATCATATTTTCTTCGCAAATCTGAATCTTTTAAAACTTCATAAGCTCTAGTAATTTCTACAAATTCCGTGTGAGCATTGGGATTGTCTTGATTCTTGTCTGGATGTTTCACAAGAGCAATTTTTTTATAAGCTCTTCTTATATCTCTTGTGGTTGCAGATCTTTCAATTTCCAAAATCTCATAGAAATCCCTACCACATATACTCAATTCGAATGAACAAAATAGTAAAGCAACGCTTAAACGAATAGTAAAACTGAATAATTGCATACTAGTTCCACGCTGTTACGAATTTAAGCTAAGTAAGTAGATTAGATACGATGAACAATAAGTAATTATTATATACAGGAAGATATTTAATTCGTTGCTACCAAATCAAAAATACCTTGTGTATGATTGTATCCAACCTCGATTTCAAATATTCGGCGTGTCTTATGTTGTTTGGCTGCTTTTTTCAGAAAGTGTATTGCGCATGCGTAGTTTAGCTGATTGAGATATACCTTAAACTTAGTCGGAGTCGCAAGCACAAAATGTACAAGTTATTTTCGGATTTTTAACTATAGTATTTCCTGTCTTATTAACCCTTATCGTTATTAGATAAATTAAAAGATCATTTGTTTATTGCCCCGCGGTTCTTAAACATCGTGCTTCTTAGACATATCTGTACTGCCCCATTTCCGTTTCCGTTAGTGTTTGTTTTTTTCTATGTATACAACACTGTAAAGTTTGTGATTTATTTCTGAGTGGTATAAGGATTATAGTTTGTGCAAAATATTCAGAAGTTCAAAGGAAACTAATACAAATTTCGAAGCATTATATGCTAATACGTACAAGATAAAAAAGAATAATGATAAAATGGTTGACAAAAGTTTAGTGGACCGATCAATTCGGTATCATGGCTCAAGTCTGATAAACCGAATAACAACAAAACACCCGAAATTGTTTCCATCACACTTTAATATTCAATCACTTCAGGGTGAAGGAACAAAATTACATACTAGGTAAAAAGTCACTATTAATGTGAATGTAAATTATGAGTTTAACTTTTATAATTAGCGATGAGGAATTTGAAGAAACTATTGAGGACTTTATTGCTCAAAAAGCGCAAATCTTGTTTGAAAATAAATCTAAATTTTCAATCAGTTATGATACATTAATTGATGACGATAAAGAGACTGACAAATACTCAATAATGCCACCTATTGAAAATTTCATGGACGTCCCTTCGGAAGATCGAAAACAACATTTACTTTGGGTGAATCTTCTTTGAATTCTACTCTGTTGTTTTGTAAAATTATTTTTTATTTAGAGTCTGGAAAAAGGAGATGTAATATGCGGAGTAGTGAATATGGTACAAGATACAGGACTTTCAGTATCAATATTATGCACTCAAAGAGGACCTGTCCGAGATTTAACCCATATTCGAATTAATGTAGGTATTACAGATGTTATTTATTAATTACAGTAAAGTGAACATAACAATTTCAATTAGGCACTTTGCCCCATACGGGAGTTGCCCCGAATGGGAGCTCATGACAATCCACTTAGCCAATTCTCCTTAAAAGATACTGTAAGAGGTATACAGAAATTAGAAAATTTTTTTATTGTCGTATCTTTTTCATTCTAAAGTCTATTTTTTTTCCCACCAGCCGTCATCATAAGCGTTGTAGATGATAAAATAACTCTCTCAATGAATTCCAAGCAGCTGAAAGAAGAACATTCAGATTTATTTCTGGTAAATGACTATTCTATTAATTATCATTGTAGTAGATTTATGAATCCGAATGTTTTTAGGGGAATATTACGCATGAAGATCTTCCAGTTCATTTTAAAAGATTACTAGAACCTAAAAAAGGAAATTTTGTTGATCAGGTTTGTAAAATAGAAATATAAAGATATTTTATTATTAAATTACGAATGCAACAATATTTAATATTCAGATTAAGAACGATCCAGGCTTTAGTAATATTACATCAACTCAACTTCTAACTGATGCTTTAGGAATAGAATTTAAAACTTGCTACTCTTTCTTAAATCAATTTCACAAGTATATATTTAGTATTTATAAAAATCACCTCATTTCATCTCTGTTTAATTATGTGAAAGAAAAACTGTAAAAAATGAAGATACTGGAGAATATTTACGACAGGTACAATCTAGAAAATTTGCGTCTATTAGGTAAATTAAGCTTCTATAGAAATGTATGTTTAGAGATACTTATAAGTTTATGTTTATTTTTAAGTGTTGCAAGGGGAATTGATGATTTCCATGCAAAAAATATCACCGAAGCCCTACAACACTTTAATAAAGCCCTGCAGATTGATCCTGAGAATGCTGATGCGTTTGTAGCTCGCGGAGCTTTGTAAGTTTATTTAAAATATTTTTATCATGAATGATATTTATTATGAATAATTCATAGGTTTGCCAATAATGAAAATTATATAAAAGCTATTGAAGATCTTGAAAAAGCTCTAAAATTTAGCCCTAACCATAAAAATGCAAAGAAATACCTTGTTGAAACCCAATTAGACTATGCGTACAGGTATATTTAAGTTATTGAAATAAATACAATTAAATTTTATATGTTATAAACAATTTTTTCAGTCTTATTAAGAAAAATAAAAGACAAAATGCGAAAGAAATTCTCAATGAGACATTAAATATTGATCCCTATTGCGGTGAAGCTAGAAGAATGATGAATAATCTCATTCGCGAACATTCGCCAGAGACCCTAGCCAGAAAAAAGAAAAATAAGGAGCATAGCGTAAATTTTGATCAATCCTTTGAGATATATAATAGCTTACAGATAATATCTTCGTTTTAGGCTCAAAGGGAAGAGCAAATAAAAGCAGCTCACAAGAAATTTAAGAACCAAGGGAATATAGATGATAGAATAAGACAGTTAATTTCTCAAGATAAAAAATTGCAAAAGGGATCGTAAGTAAAACAGTAATTTGTTCTATGACATAAATATGACAGAATTTGTTTTAGCGATTCAAGTTCTGAATCTTCTTCTGAATCCACACCTAAAAGAAGACGTTCGTCAAGTAATCGGGAAAATTTCAAATCGTCGAGTCATAGAATATCTAATGAAAGCGGAGATGAACATGAAGGAAAATCAAGTTCGAAAAGATCTCGAACACATGATGATAGACATCCAACCATGAAGCAGAGTAAATCTGATAGGAAAAATGAGGACTTGAATAAATCTCTTAGTAAGATATTTTTCTGAATGCCTTTATATCATTCCTAAAATATTGATAATTCCTTAGATGATTCTTCAACAAGCTATTCCAAACGCTACAGCGATGGCGCAAATCTTAAATCTTATTCCGAAATTAAACGAGCTAGAAATTCATCCGAACGTTCTTCAATATCGTCTGAAAGGAGCCACAAACGGAGTCGAACGAAATCATCTAAAAGTCATAAATCGTCCAAGTCTCACAGAAGATCGAGATCCAGATCATATTCGCCACAAAGTTATCATAGTTCAAACTCGGGACGACGATCCTCAGTGAAAGGAAGTAGCAGATATAGCAACAATTCCAGTAGAGAATATAGAAAGAAGGATAAAGGTTATTTTTCTCCACATCACATAAAATCCAGGTAGTAAAAAGCTTTAAATTTAATATTTTGCAAATAAAAGAATGTGACTTTTATTCTTTTTAGCTCAATGTCTGAGACTCCGGAAAAAGATGAACAAAGTCGCTACAAGCAAGGAAAGTCATATCAGTCATCAAAAAAGTATGATAAATACGATAATGAAACTAATTCGCATGAGGAAAAGAAATCGGCTCTGTCTCAAAATGAGAAGAAAGAGCTAGAAGGCTTACATGATTTTTTGAACAATCTTCGTAAAAATGCACAAAATGCAGGAAAAAATGCTTTGAAATAGTGAAATAGTGTTGTTTTCTTTTTCTAAATGATTGATGAGTCTAGAAAATCTCTTTGTTTCTTATATTTTTGAATTTTTTCAAAGAATAAAGGTATTCTGAAATATTTTCTGTGCAATTTACTATCTTAGCATTAAGTTTTAGACAATTTTTAAAATATTTAAATTTCTTTTATATTTTCATATTTTATAAATTATTCATGGACATTAATTACCTATTTGATATTTTATTCTATCTTTGCTATGTATAGAACAATTTCAAATGACCTAAATACAACAAACATTTTGTTATTGGTAGTTTACTCTAAAAATAAAAATTCGCCTAATTCCTTGCAGAAATAGCTTGCCTGCCTCGATAAAACTGAACTTCATTAGGCCAACCTTTTTTTATTTTTTAACTTTACTTTAGCGTTTAAAAAGCGATTTATTAGGATAAATCACTTTAATACCTCACATGTGGAATTGACTTCAAAAGCAGATAGTAATTGATTTTAGTACCTCCTCTTTCCGCGCATATTTTAGTTATAACATAACCGGTTTCGGTCCTCTTCCAAGTTTGATGGATGAAAAAGTTGATTCAAATAACTCTGACTCAAATTCTTCAGAGCTCTCAGATGTAGAGAAACTGAAGGAAAGACATAAGAAAGAATTGAAAGAGCTCCAAGGTAATGATAACGTTGCTTCAGAAACTATATATCTACAAATGTTTGCTTTATCCCATATTATCGTTCATAGCGTCTATTAGACAAACCAAAAAACAAGTACCAGCAAATGATAAGAAGAGAAAAAAGCAGGTAAATGAAGAATCAGCCAAGAAGGAAGAAGAACTCAAAGAAACACATAAAAAGGAACTGGAAGATTTGATGCTACGAGAGAAAACAAATACTCCTCAAGAACCAAAGGTATAGTGATTCCTTTTATCCAAAAGCTAAATTTAATTTAAATTGCTCTTAAGTAATATATACAATTCAATTCAACGCTGTTCAATTACAGTCTGACCATGTTCAAACCGAGTCAGTAATCACTCAGAAAGCAGCTCAAAAGCCTAGTCGGGCTCAGCGACGGCGGGTAAATTTTTAAGTTTTTCTTAAAAAATCAGAGCATCATTATATACTTAACAGGAGAAGAAACAGAATGAAAAGAAAGCTCGAATGAAAGAAATGGAAGAGCTTGAAAACTCAGAACAAATAACTCCACGAGCTCAGGAAAATAAGGTGTTGGAGGAAATGCTTAAATTGAGAAATTTGCACATATTTGATATACCAGCCGACGGCAACTGGTCTGTTTTAATTATATATCATATTGCACTTTCTGTTATTAACAACAAATTATATTCAGTCTCTTCGCTGCTATTGCCGATCAAATGAAGCGCCGAGACGAAAACTACAGTGTTGATGAATTGAGAAAGCTGGCCACTTCTCACATGGCTGAAAGAGCTGAAGACTTTATGCCTTATATGCTAAATGATAATGGTGATCTAATGTCACAAAGTATATAAATATATCATATAAGCTATTCATTAGTAGATTTAATGTAAACTTTTCCAGATGAGTTTAAATCCTACTTGAAGAACATGGAAACCAAACCTTCTTGGGGAGGTCAGGAAGAGGTTTGGAAATTTGAATTCAATTAAAATAGAAATATCATTCAAATAACTTTTTAACATAGATCAGAGCCTTAGCTGTTACTCTTAAATCGCCTATAGAAATAGTTCAAGCAGATGGTCCATCCCTAGTGTTCGGTGATCAATTTGACAACAATCGCAGAATAATACTGTCGTAAGTGATACTATAAAGTTTAACTAAGACAAAATATTAAAAAGAGCTACTTTTCTTCAGTTATCACCAGCATATGTATCGTTTGGGTCAACATTACAATTCTGTTATTCCTAAAAGTGAAACTACTGAAACTGAAGACAGTTTTTTTGAGAAATAAGAAACCTGTGATATTGGTGATTCTTCTGTGCATTAAAACTAAATAAAGTTGCGGCTGTTATATTGATAATAATGTTAATATTAATAATAGTAGTTATAGTATTATTTTTACGTTAAAGTCCTTTTCCTTAGACAATTACTCTGGTATATAATTTTGGAATATTAAACCAAACTGTGGTACTATTTACTCAGAATAGTCATGAATTGACATATTATCTGAATTTTAAATAAATCTAAGCATTCTGTTTTAAACAATATTAGGAATTAGTGTTAACTTTATTATTTTTCTAAGCTAAGCCGCTCGTTTTTGTTATTTTTGTATATTTGCTGGAATTGAACGCGCTCCTCGCGTTGTTTAGGTAGTCTCGTTCCACCGGTCACTGAACTAATAAAAAAAAGAAGTTTATCGTGAATAACAGCGTTTCACAATCGAAAGCGTTATTATTATGACAGCTCTCTTGCGGCAAATTTTCCAACAATGTCGACAAACTTTTTGCAAGACTATGCCAAATGCCGACTATCATGTTGAGATTGAACAATTGCTAAGTTTAGTAAGGCAGTTAAAGCCTCACCATGTTAACTTTGACGAAAAATTAATAATGAACAAGGAAAGATATGTATTTAACCACCTAAGAGCTCCTGTTTATTATATTCATATGTTTGAAAATCAATTTTTTACAATGTGCATATTTGTGTTGAAGAATGGGACTCGTATGCCTCTTCACGATCATCCTCATATGACGGGAATACTGAAAGGTTAATAGTTGGATATTATCTATCAAAGTATCTAAGCTATGTTATAAATATTTGAATATTGAGTAACTCTCTCTCCAAAATTCTATATAAGAAAAATTACCAAGAGCTCCATAAAGATGTTTCATATGTTATGCTATACAGTTTATGTATTATTAAAGCTGTATTTGAAATGATAATACTAACTATTAACCTAACAATAGTTTTATATGGAAATCTTACGATAAAATCATATAGTAACATTCGAGATCCAGAGTACAACGCAGCGGACGAGCTTCCACTCGAAATCCGTTCACATTTACGGAAAGATCAAGTTATAAAAAAAGTTAAGTTTGACGGTGAAAAGCATTTAAATGAAAAAGATTGCTGCTATCTTACAGAAAAGACTGGTAATTTTCATACACTAAGTGCAATGGATGGTCCAGCAGCATTTTTAGACATACTTGCACCTCCCTATTCTGAGAGTTTAGGAAGAAATTGTAGCTACTATAAAGAATTATTGAAATCAGATGAAAGTGAAATGGTATATTTATCCGAAACGAGTAGTAGAGAGTATTGGTGTGAAACTGCACCATATCTTGGTATAAATCTAATAGATGAATCGTAAACTTGTTTTTTTTTCACCCATTTTAAAGAAATTCGCATAATCATCTTATTTAATGTTGGATATTTATATTATAATTATTTAATCATTATTCTTTCTTTTTTTTCTTTTTTTACAATAAATTCAATATATGATTAGAGACAATATATCTTGAAAGTTCTTACGAAAAGGCTATTCGAAATAACTCTAAATTTTCAATAATAATGTTTTTAAAGTGGAGGGGTCATATTTGGGAAAACACTTTGATGACTAGAGTCGGTTTTTACTGGCTCCGTTCCACCCATTTCCGATTCTAATCCCTTCTCCAAAATTTCTTGAGATATTGACAGGTCTGGAAAGATTGTCTTCATTGATTTAAGAATATCTTCATACTCTTGATATAGATTTTGTTCAGTAAAAGTATTCACCACCTCAGGAGATTTAGGCATCAATTTTTCTTTGTATGAATCACCTAGAAAATGAGACGCTAGTACATCAACAAGATCAGGATTTGCCAACATTAACGACAAATAGGTATTATAAATTTGCATAAAAGAAGCTTGATATAATGAATTGTTACTCTCTTCGGTAAAGTTTTCTATTTCTACAGGCTTAGCTGTAGGTTCCTTTTCTTTTTTAGCAGATTTAACGGGTTGCAAAATTGGAGAACGACTTCTCGTTGCTTTTCGTTTAGTTTGCCCTTTAGCAATTTCTTTACAAAATTCCAGAGCTTCGGTGACATTATTACGAGTAAATCTTGAATTTACATAGCGTACTCGTCCCTCCTTTCTGCATGAGGACCTATCAGTAACCTATCGATATAAATAGATTTTAGCTGTGTTTGAGTAATAACACTGTACTGTTAATCTACTGTATCTTCATATGAACAATAATAAATTAGAAAACGAGAGAAGAAAACAAGAAGTTTTAGTTGACCCTTGGCACTTACAGACTTATAAACAACGTGAAATCCAAAGGAATTTAAGCGTCTCTTCAAATTAGTTAAATTCCCAGAAGGGACTAATCTTGTAAAATTTCCCTGTTTTACCAATTCTGTAAACTGACGCTCATATATAAAGAATCCATCGCTATCGTCATCCCATTCAAAAGCTCTTTCCTCCTTTAATAATTCATTTGACTTTTGCAAAACGGAGTAAAGATGTATTAGAAACGAAGAGCGTTTCTTTTTTTGCAACATGGGATCAGCTAGAGCCTCATTTAAGAGATTTATATCGCTATTGGATCCCGACATAGCCGCAGAATTGTTTCCCAGTCGAAATTCCGAGTCAAAAACCCTTTACAACTTTTGATTTTTGAAATTTGGTCAGGAATGACGTTATTGTGCATTTCGTTGTGTGTCTTCTAAGCCTATAATTTTTCATAAAAAACAGTCTATTTAAACATGATGTTCAAATTATGTTGAGTAGTTTCCCATAATTAGTTCTAAATATCGATAAAATTACAATCGTAATCAAAGAATTGAAAAAATAGGTCATTTACATAGAGAATTGTTTATTTATTTCATCAAGAACAGTATCAAAACTCTTTCTATCTAAGAAAATAGCTCGTCGTAATGGTTCATACTCGTCATCTTCATCTGTCCATTGGCCTCCAGCGGCTGAGTCTGATTGTCCTTCAACACTCCATGTAAAGGAAAATGATGCATTCTAAGCAACAACAAAAAAATCAAAGTATTAAAAAAATTTATATATTTTACTTTCAAATCAGATTTACATACTTTAGAAAAAACTTCTTCTTCATCGTTTAGAAAGAACTCGTCGAACGGAGCTTTCTTGTTTTTAAGCACTTTAGAAATTAGACAATAATAACTGAAGTTATATCTCATTTTTTTCTTAGCTCCTTTTTCTATTTCCTTTCTATTTATAAAATTATTGTATTAATTCTACAACTATTTTTACTGAATTATGTATAATTTTTACTTTAGTGATGCGAAGAGTGGCGGGGCAATGGCTACCGGAATATTCACAAATCTTTCATTTATAATAAAAGCGATTTCCTCATCAATAATTGATTTTGTGAAGTCGTGCTTTTCCAGCTCTAGTATTCCTCTTAATTGCTTTATACATTGTAAACTCTGTTTAAAAGATGTAATCAAAGTTATAATTAATTCGTATGAATATTATTAGAAATAGAAAAAACTAATAAACCTCTTTAGCTTTCAAATTAACAACAGAAAGAACACCATAAACATCATTATCACTTTGAGTGGTATCCATTAACTCATCTTCTTCTTCATCATCATCTCCATCGTCTGTTACTTGCTGAAAGTTTTTGTTTATCAGTGATATAATAATATCAATTACATTAAAAAGTGGCTCTTGGAAACTTACTTTTAAAACACTACCAACATAGTTTTGAGAAATTATCAGGTCAGATAACTCTGTCAAATTTATCGAAGATTTCAGGAACAGCTGCGAAAAGAGTGACCGGTTAAAAATCATTCACCTGTAAATCACAAAGCTAACCTGTTGTAGTAACTTTCTAATTCCAGAGAAGTCTGAGTCTTCTATATTTCTTCCCTCAAAGTCGACATTTATTTCCTATAAAAATTACGCAATGAATCGCAATTTGGAATCGAACGATTACATGCTAAATTGTACTTAAGTTAAATTAATAACAGTAACAAAAAACTTACAGTTCCTACAAATTGGTCGTCACTAGAATTGCCGCCATCATCATCATCACTTGACATATCTTCATCGAAATGCTCTTCATTTACTTCATTTTGTGAGTTATCGTCGGCACGCTTCTTCTTTCCGTAAGCTGACATTTTGAAGAATTATATACCGGTAATCTGGTAACCTGACACAACCGATAAATTTAAAATTTACTGATACAAGAAAGAAAATATACTTTACTATTTCAAACTGCTTAGAAAAATTATATATAAGGTTATTTTGAGTTTGATACCAATTCTAAAGTTAAAAAAAGAAGTTTAACAAGTTTTAAACAAAATTAATCACGATTTGAATAAAAACTGGTAGATAAAACCCGTTTTCACGTGGTATTGTTTTGGACTATTCGCCAGAAAGCATGGTCAGTTTTCTGGATCAGAAATACTTAAAAATATGCGACTCACCGTCAACGGTGAACTATTGTTATACATGTCTAGAAGAAAATTATATAATTGCTGTTGTAGACAAAAAGCAAATTATAGTGAAGCAGGTAATTTTCTTGATTTTATTAAATGTTCGCTTTATCACTCAATGGATTTGCATAATTCGTTTTCCAGGATGATAAAATGTTCAGACAGTGGGCAATTTTAAAAGGTCAAGAAATCACAGCCCCAGTAGTTTATGACGCTAAACGCAAACGAATAATAGCGATCTTCAATAAGCAGGTTTTTGTCACCTTTGCTTATTTAGTGTTCAACGCAATAACGCTTTTCTTTTAGATTGTAAGAAATTGGAATATCGATGATCTACAATGTGAAAGTAATTGGAAAAAATTAACTGTGAATATTATATTTTTATAATTAATAATTTTTTTCGCAAATTTTCAATATAAAAATATTCCTTTGCAGTCAACTAAAGCTATAAACTGCTGTATTACATCCAATTGTGAAGAACCTATAATCCTATTCGAAGATGGTGGAATTCAAACTCTAAAAAAATTAAAGGAAGGTCCTATCCACAATAGCCAGTGTATCGAACCAGGAGAGAAGATTGAGAGGCTCGAATGTCAAAAAATTGGAGAAAACGTTTATTCCATATTATTTTTACAAACTGTAGGTTTTATAATTAGTAAAGTATAACGACTAACCTATAATTTTTTTTTTACTTAGATTGAGGGCCAAAAGAAGGCTATTATTAGAGTTGTCTCTTGGAAAAAAATGGAATTACATGTAGGCAGGCCTGTCAATGTCGATATATCAGGGACAGCCATGGACTATTGCTCTTATGTGTCCAAAAATCAATTACTTATACTATCTATCGGTTTGTTTCAGTGATTTGAATATAATTTTCTCAAATAAACTGATATATCTACTAAATAATACAGATGACTCCGGTCAATGCAAAGTCTACTCTATGGAAGGAGCCCAAACGAAACTACCTCTACTAAATCAGATTAATCCTAAGGCTACTAATATTAATATCAGGCCTCTAAATAATGTATATGCTGCTGTTTTATATGTAAGTGATGGTCTTTCGTTTATTGGAGCCTTACACACCATGTTTGGAAATATGACCTCAACCGTTATGAATGAATTCTTTGAAAGCCCTAAATTATTCATATCTGGTGATAAAATAATTGCTTCCTCTCAAACTTCTTTGGCTCAAATTCGGTTTGAGATTGAATATGGGTTGTTAGTTGATGCCATAGGAAAAACTAAGCCAAATTTTGCAACTGTTCGAGCCCTCTGGGGGAATTCCACTGAGGTAATGAATTTTCCACTTGTTCTATTACCGAAACTTTATTGATAACTTAATTCGATCTGACAGTCTCTTTTAAGCTTTTATTGTTTGCAATAAAGCAATGACGGTCCCATATAAGCATTATTATTTTAATAAAAAAACTTTCAGTTATATAAAATTGATCAAATCAATTTTCTTTCTATGCAGCAGTGTGAGGTGCTAGACGATAAAGAAATTAATTCAACGTTAGAAAATTTAATAAATAACAGAAATGTGAGTTAAATTGGAAATGGGTTAGAAAAGTGTAACAAAATATTTTTCCAAAACAGGTGAAACAAATAGAGAAACTAATAAAAAAATTGGAAAAAGTATCTCCTAAAGCACTTAAATCCCATAGTTTGCTTCTAAATACCTTACGGCATCTTCTCTCAATTGAAGGGTATTGGCCAGCAGTGTTTTTTAGAAGTTTAGTTGAAAAAGAAATATTTCCTTCAAGGTATTTAGAACTTTAATTACATAGCTTTTACATTTTGTATTAATGTTTACTAAACATTATCAATAGTTTGTCGGTTGAGAGCATAAGGTCTGCGGCTGTTTCTGACGATATATTGTTTATACGAAGATTTTTTGAGACTATGCGTTATATACCTGAAGATGCCTTGGTTATTGGAATTCAAACATTGTTAAGGTGTTTTTTGTTTGCTCGTTGAATGATTAATTTTTTTCAAGTTTAACTTGTTCAAACAGCCTAAACGAAACAGTTTTAGAAGAATCTTTGAATGATATCGAAGATAAATATAACTCGCCCATTGGCCCATACAAAGCTTATTTAATGTATTTTTCAAATATTTGCTGTCAAATCGAAAACTTTTATGTGAATATTTTCGTTACTTTGCAGAAATAATATACTACAACACGATTTTAATGGAAAGAACTTGATGGCTTTGTTAAAACAAATGGAATTAGAAGAAATGAAGGTTCAAATAAAAATTATCCGTTCAATTACTTGTATTTCCTAAAATAAATTGTATTTATAGAGTCTCCTAGAACACTTAAGATTTATGCTTGAAATGAATAGTTTGACTAACAAAAAATTACGATCCGATAAGGTATGCTTTTCTTTTTCACTTTATGTCTATGTTAAATTTTATATTGTTTTAGATTATCGAGTGGATAAATCTATGCATAGACAGTTATTCATCAACATTAATCCTATCACCAACCATGCACGTCTTATTAATTGACCTTCATGACTGCGTTGCTGAACACAAGAAACTTTTAAGAACTATGTGCGACATTGACATTTTAGTTAACCATATGCAAACTCGAATTTGTAAAAAGTTATCAACAGAAAATTATAGCATATTTAATTTACACATTCCGTAGCGGATTGTGTGTTGTTATTAAAAAATAAGATAATTTTCGTTTATGTAAAATAAAATTTTGTTGAGTAGAACTTGAATTATATAAAACTATGTAATTTACTGTAAAGCTATTGACGAAATCTGCAATAATGTAAAAAGAAATTTCACTGTTAAATATCTATATATACCGCTGACTTTGTTTAAAATTCGAGATGGTCTTTCAATATTCCGTCTGAATAGATATAAACTAACGTGCGGGCTTTCTATATTTAGAATAGTTTAAAGCAACTGTTTAGAACAGTAGGAAGGCCATTACAATATTCTCATTTAAAAAACTGCGACCTAAAAAAGCCTTTAATTATGAAAATACGGTTCGATAAATAATGCGTGAATTAATGCAAGTCTGCTGTCTATTTATACAGAATGTTCGAAGGTTGAAAATGGGTGTATTGTTGGGACTTGCAACGAATTGTTTTCGAAAGGTGAAGGGCCACATATTGATGGTTTGAAGAGGCCGATAAACATGTTGAGCCCAGGAGAAAAACAGGCCTTTCTGTTGAAAACTTTAATAAACAAAGATTAAAAATACTCGCAAGCTACCGAAATTTTTCAAAGGTTTAATTTCTATGCGATCTATTTATTGTTCAAAGAACGCTTTGATTAATAGCTTATACACCCTATAAAAAAGTTTATCTATAAACAATTCCAGAAAAATTCGTCATTAAAAGGAACGGAGTAACAGATCTAAGCAAAGAATATTTTTAATCATTTAATGACTTGTGACTTGTTGACAAGAGTCCATTATTTAATGGCGAAGATGGCACGGAATTTCGAAACGAATTGACGGAATGTGAACTCCGAACGTTTGTTTCATCGGCTGAGCTAGTAATATTCGTATACATAGAAGCTGGTCTTGCTAATTTTTTATCTGTGTCAGATACTGATGAGCCATTTAAATTAGTTTTTTCGACTTTAACAGGCTGACTCTCAATTTCAACTTGAACTGTATGATTTATTGCTGGCTTCGTTGGGGATTTTTTGGGCGATGCCGTTTTCGGCTGACTATTACTTCTTACTATTTGAACAGCTTGCTGGGATTGTGGTATATAACTTCTCTCACTGAATGAAAGTTCATCTGCACTGTCTATGGAGTGCTGTCCTTGTAAAGGTGACATTTCTCTGCTTGACTTGGAGTTGCGAGTTGCTGAATTTTCGTCTGTCCCTGACTTCTGACTCTTGGTTGGTGACTTTTTCTCCTCTATACGCAAGTAAGAAGGGTTAGGAAGAGATTCGATACACATCTTCTCGAAACAATCAATTCGTTTTTGTATTTCTTCCGTGTTACACATAAAAAATCTATTAGGACACTCTTTCTTTCCATCTGGCTGTGTTAATTTATTTATAAACGTTCGACTTCTCTGCAGTTCGTCGACTAGATCCATAAGTTCCGTCATAACTTCATCGTCTGGATAACCGAAGTTTTGCGGCAGAGTATTATTCATATATTCGTAAAGTTTTTCGTCATTCATTTTCAACATTTTCTTACTATGTTTTTTGAAATACAGCAGACCCATAGCTAGCAACATTTTGTCGCCTTCAAGAATAAAAACGTCAAATAGTCGAAACATCAAACTCGGTGGAACACAATGAGCAAAGCAGGCCATGAAGAACTTGAAAACATACGTATCTGCAACTATATTCATTTCTTTCATGTGCTTATACAATTTTTTCAAGTGTTTCTTCAATAATGATTGCAGCAGTTCCTTAAATCGTTCAATTTTTGGAAAACCTAAAGCAAAGAAACCGTGCATACCATATTTTTCGACTGTGAATAAATTTGAAAAAGCCCAAAACGCATCTTCATCACTGAGAAACATGCATAGTAATGCCGCTATTCCATTCATTCCCTGCGTATAACCAATTTCAGTATTGTAAACGGAATATGCGACGAGAACGTTGAAAAGGTGTTTTTGTTGTCCTTGATAACGCTTTTCGAAAGATGTGTGACTGCGAAAAGTTCGATTAACATCCTTATCAATTTGATCGATGTAAGGCGAATAGTTGCGTCCCTTTTCGGTCATATTCTTATATACATTTCCATGAATTTGTTGATCCTTAGTATTTTTTACGTCTAACATTGATTCCCAATACCATCCTCTAAACCTTTGAGGTACGCCTTTATAGACCCTTTTACGAAATTTTTCATCTTTTCGAAAACCGGCTTTAGCTTTAACGTATTTATCCCATTTCTGTAATCTAGAAATATCTTTTTTCTTAGTTTTAGATTCATCACTTGTTTCTGAGTAACCTTCAGGACTAGATAAAAAAAAAGATGGATTAAAGACATTAAAAACCACTTTTTCACACTTAAAATATAATTGTTATTAATTGCTTACTGTCTAAAACCGAATCTATCGATTTTATTATAATATGAACTATCGAAAACTTCACTTTCGTCTATATCTGCAAAGGATCCCTGTAAAGATTATGACATCTATTAAATATTGCCAATATCTGCAATCGATGGTAAAAAAAAAACAAAAATAGAAAATAGATAAATAGTTATTTATTTTTAGCCTATTTTTAATAAAGTTCAACTAAGATAAGTTTTAAATATACAACAATAAGTAGTCGAACTATTTACCGAATCATAGCTTTTGACAATTTCCCGACTCCTCTTAATTTCATTGATAAGGCTATCCTCATTGGAAGCTGAAAAAAAAATATAATAGATAAATCGTTGAACCAAATTTTTCTGGATCAATAGTACGGAAAATCACTTACCCATATTGAAAAATTCTTACTGCTTAGGTTTTGCTTTAAATTTGCCAAAGTCCACAGAAAAGTTAAGGAGATTGGGTAGCTATAAAAGCAAAGATAATCGATTTATCGATCCTGACCAGAACTAGACTTCAACGATTAACGAATTCCGGTTCCGATTCGATCTCCCTGAAATAAATCGTAGGTTTCGATTTCGATACGATAATAATAAAAATAAACGGAATAGACAAGAAGTAATTAAATGGTTAAAATTGGGTTATTTAGGGTCCTTTATGCGCTTATACTACTTCCTAGTTTTTATAGAAAGCATGCACTCCTAACAGAGTAGTTGTTATGAGTTCTATTTGAATTTTTATTTACCTAAACATATGAATGATTACGAGAAATCTCACGGTAGGACAGAGAATCAAGAAGATCATTAAAATTATTAATAAGTTGTTCACAAAATAATAAACAGCCAGTCCATATAAGGAAACATCACAATTGAAATTTTAATTTCGCTCAAGTTATTTACTATTCAAGAAAAAACAGCAAAATTTATTGAATTGCTCATAATTCTACAGTTAAAAGAAATAAATCTTTTCATTTTACCATATAATTAGAAATTTTAAATTAGTAAATATCGATTCAAGCTATTGCGATTAGATTTTGTTGTTATAATCAGAGCTAAACGAGCCAGAGATAAATAAATAATATTGAAAATACAAGTTACCATTTCAAACGTCTCGGACAATTTAATACATGGATGTCGTGTTCGATCCTTAAAGTTGGTATTTCTAAAGTAACGATAATTCCCGAGGTTTCAGGAGGGAGGTTCACCAGGCAGATCACGTGACTTTAATATGAATTGTTTTCCGGTTTGTAGCATAATTGAGACGACAACTCAATTTTAAACCATTTACGCCCTATTATGGCGACTATATTCACGACCAAGAGTCGCCATTTTGAAAAACTGAAAATCTACATCTGTAAACATAAATAGAAATATACAAATTTTATAAAATAAAAATGGCGTTTGAAAGAAAATGATGAATTTTAAAAGTCCCTAATTTCAAATCCTTCATGTAAGTGCTACCTCTATATTGGCTACGAGTTATTTCGCTTCTGGGTGATCATTAGTCATATTAGAGCATCCAAGTCTGACAGTTCTTGGATATACACACTTAAGTTATATCGTTTGAAATAAATTTATTCAAATGGCTCATTGCGATGCGTTCCTGCGAACTCACCTTCACGATTACGTGAATCCTGATGTCAGTAAGAGAGATATATCCTCTGCTTTAGCTGCTTTTACGGATTTAAGGCCTCACAGAAGTACATTTGTTCACAATGATGGTAGACAAGAGGAATTGGTCAACATAGATGGAACAATACCAGTCAACTATAAGCGAGTGACATACAATATTCCAATATGTATTTACCTGGCAAAAAATCATCCAGCTGAACCTCCAATGGTAAGTGTTTGAGTGATGTGTTATGTATATTACAATTCAACTGTTTCGCAGGGTTTTGTCAAACCAACGCAAGCAATGAGCATAAAGCCTGGTAAACACGTTGACTCTAGTGGAAGAATTTATCTGCCCTATCTTCATGAATGGACTCCACACAGCAGTGACCTGATGGGTATGATTAGTATATTAACCATTGTTTTTGGAGAAGAATCTCCTGTATTTTCAAAGGCGGTGTCGACTCCTTACCCGACAAGTTCGTTGTAACATTTCTATTAAAAAAATATTTTTCTTTCATGGCTGATATTCCATAGCCGTTCCACCAACTATACCAATTCCCACAGTATATCCTGAACCTTTTAAACAAAGCGACGGCACTGATCTGGAAAGGCAAATAAAAGCTTCTTTGCAGTCTTCAGTTGAAGAAAATGTAAACAGACGAGTAGGTGAAATTTGGGCCCAAGTCGGTTAGTATAATAACTTTTGTTTTTATTCTCCATTTAATGCTTGTTTCACGCAGATGCTGAAATGACGACCTTAAGAAAAACTCATGAAGATTTGGAACAAGGAAAGCAACGGCTAGATGAAATGTTAAAGAAATCTGATAGAGAAACTGATAAAGTTAAACAAGCATCTGCAGTCCTATTAGAAAAACATGTAATTAAGGTTGCTTTATTTTTAACCTGTTAAATGAAAATGTTGGTGCTTTCAGGCTCAGATTAACGAAGCTATTACCCAATTAGAGAATAGAGATAAGGTAGACATAGATTCTGCAATCGTTCCATCGACACCATTGTACAAACAGTTAGTAGATTAAACTGGTATTGAAATGCTTTTAAAATTCGCAACTATAAAAATTTTCAGACTCTTGAATGCTTTTGCCGAAGAACAAGCAGTTGAAGATGCTATTTTCCTGCTGGCTGAAGGTTTAAAGAAGCACACAATAGACTTAGATGTGTTTTTGAAGGTATTGCATATACTAAAATCAAACGTTGATTGTCAGATTTCTCTTTTCTCATTGTAGGAAGTTCGTGAATTATCTAGAAGGCAATTCCTTTTGAGAGCAACAGTCCAAAAATGTCGACAGGTGGCTAAGCTACCTCCCCTAACTGTATAAACTAATATGAAAATGTGCTTTTGATTTTAATAGTTGGAAATTTAACAAATATATGAAAGGAACTTTATTTAATTTAAATGTTTAGTATCACAGGCTACAAATTTTACATTAAAGATCTCTCTAATTTTCCCATCTGTATTGTCTATATCCACCTTTCACAAGGCCACGTCGAATTTTCTCTTTGTATTTATTATTTTCTTGTGAATCAGTGAACCCTTTAAATGCATTATACATCATCCTAAAATGTAAAACAGAAATGTGTCGGAATTCTTCAGAGTCAAACCACGCAATAATTTCGTCAGAAGTTGCACCTTTCGCAGTATCTTTTGGTTTAAAACGGCGATTCTTCCCATATGGTATATCAGAAAAATTGTTATGCTTCAAATCGTCCGTTTCTATCAATAATTCTTTTGACTGAGAATTTTTAATATTTGAAGGAACAAAGGGATGATCTAAGAATACGTGCTCTCGGTACATACTTTTAAATTCCCTATCAAACTCTTGTAAATGAAATCTGACGTTTAAAGCACAAAGTCTCGACGGGGACTTGCATGCAGAATATTTACATCCATCACAATGAAACTTCGGTAATATCAATATTCGTTTTAGAGCCATAGCTATTCCAATAGCATCAGCAAGAGCGTCTCCTTCTATTCCACGAGTTTTTTTCTCGAAGTTAAATGGATTAGAGTAAGTCATATATTTGGCCTCTCCATTCGAATAGTACTTATCTTTGTCCAAATACCACATTTGATGTTCCTTAAATCGGTAAATTTTCGCTTCAGAAGTCTCTATCCAATTGTTGTGAATCAAAACATGCTCTGGTGTAAATTTATCAGTGTACCACATTCTTTTCTCATTTTCCCAATAAACGATTCCGCAAGGCCATTTAACATTGTTTAAAGTATGATATCTTAGTTTTCCATGAGTTTTTAGGTGCTTCATTGCTGGATTAAGTGTTTTCTGATTTGAATTATTAGGTCTAACTCTTTTCAGCATTTCTTCGTGAAGTAGTTTACCGGCAGCATTTGCCTTAACCAAGTAAAAACCACTATTAGCCTCCACGTAATCGCTGCTTACTTGTAAATCGCAATCAGGGCAAGGCCAGTGCTCAAGTGGGTTTTTTACGTAAAAAATATCTACATCTGACAAAACAACAGTGTAGTTTAACTTTAAAGCATCAAGAACAATCCTGGTTTTAATGTGAGTCTTTCTACGGAATTCTGGACTATTGTATCGGCTAGCTGATCCACCAGCATTTTCAGTAGAATAGTAATAAACTGGTATACCGTGGTTTCTGTAAAATATATTGATGGAATATATTGCATAAAGATAGTTTTGCTTCTTACCGGAAAATATCACAGCTTTCTCTTTGAATACACAGCATAAGAAAATTCGTTAATCCGTGTCTTTTAATTGATCCAATGAAAAAATTTAAAGTCATATCTAAATAGCCTGTCATTAAAAGAACATATTGATTTATTTTAATGGAATTACAGGACTTAGTTTGATATTATTGTTATCTATTAGTATCTTATTATATTTTGCATTATATTATCATTACCTGCATCTGCTGTGCTTATGATGACAGTTTTTCTATGATTATGCTCAATTGCTATATACTTTAATGCTTCCGCATAAGATGAGAATTGAGGTTTAAAGGGCTCAAAACTATTTTGATTCTGTTTGAATAATGATAAATTAAGACTTTTGTAAGTAATATTTCAAGTAGGAATCTAAACTTACCAGCTTGGATTTAAAAACAAAATGTGAAGGTATTTCTGGAGAAGCAGCGATCTGTAGAGATAAACTATGTGAAGAAAAGTAATAGATTCAATATTCTAATTGACCTCTTTTTCTTCAACCACATTGTGAGGGTTTGCAATCGGTACGTTGTCAGTATTAACAACGATTTCAATTACCTTCTTTTTAGATGATAAAAACCATAGAATAATAATACATCCTACAAGACTTAAGATTGTCATTAACTTAAAGTTTGAAAGTATATTGAACCGACAAAATCGCTTCAAATTCATAATCTTAGTTTCAGATCTATGAATTTTTCAAATGTATCTTAAAATTTACGGAACCTTCCAATCAAGTTATGCACACGACGACATCGTCTGCTAGGCTACTACAGACAGGATACCTAATCTATCTCGACTTTTTCATTTTATTTCTTGGTGGGGAACTGGACAACAAATTCATATAATAATTTATCTAAATTCAATCTGAAAGAAGATAATAAAAATGTATAAATGTAATCTGAAAAGTTAAAAACTAAATACTATCATCGAGCTTTAAATAATTAACATCAAAATTCCTCTATAATATTTATATATTCAATAATAAGTATTTTTTGTTATAAATAAATAATTAACTCTTCATAAAAATAACAAAGTAATTAGAAAAATATAAATATAGAAAAAAGCGCAAAGTTTAATATAATATAAAATCAATTGGCATTAATAAATATAAGGTAAAAATAATGTAACATTAGTGCTAGATATACAAATAACAAGCAGATCCTTTTTTTTAATTTTAACTGTGTCCTATTAGGAACATTATCTCACTATTTAATAAAAAAAAAAAGGATATTATATATAACAGTTTATATAGAATAATACTTGTATTATCGTTATTATTTAAAATTACTATTAAGGTGACGAGATTTACCTGAAACACGAAGATATGTCACGACAGGAGTATTTTTAAAGCTAAAAGCTTTTTCCCGCGTCTCCTCCCCTTTCTCAGGATACCTTACTCTTGAATTAAACTACATATATATATTTGATAAAAAATTATCTTTCCTCTTCATTTGCCAAATGAGAAAATTTTCACTTTAATCCAATTGAAATCTCTCTTATAAAAATTAATCAAATAATTTAGACAGAATGAGGACAACAATTTCGAACGTATCATCATCTTCTTTTAAGAATAAATGCATCTAGTCTTTTTTCCTTCTATTTTTTTTCCAATAATAGCTGCCTTTTACTGAATAGAATGAGTAATCTTTCATATACTTTAATACACATATTTATAAATACAAGAAACAGAAAAGTATTCTACATTTAAAAATAAAAAGAAAACATGTCTTTTGTTGGTTTCAATTTCGTTGATTAACATATTTTCCATTAGAATTATTAAAATTTGCCAACAAAAGGTGACTTACTAGTTTTTTTTTGTTGTTGATAACATTAATAAAATAAAGAAATACTGTTCTTTTAAAACGTTTTACTGTCTTATAGCAGTAAAGACATTTGCAAATATATTAAAAATTCATGATATTCTTTGGATAAAATATAAAAAAACTACTATTTGATTAGAATATTATTGAATAAATAGGAATTATTTAATATTTTATTTTCAAGTAGAGTATCTGCTTCTTTCTTATAGTCTTTTCTACTGACAGAAAAAGAGTTAGAATTTAACAAAACGATTTTGAGCATATTCGATTAAATCATGTAATGTAACAATAAAAAAGAGAAAAAAGAACCGGCTGATAGGCCTAATGCTAAGAAAAAAGGCATCAAAGCCCCTGCTGTTTCTTCATCCTCTTCATTAGCATTCATTGGTCCGTACATCATGCATAGCGTCGATAAATATCCATTTGACAACGCAAAAAAAACCATGATGACGGCTGGGGCGACGTCGTTTTGAAATAGATAGGTGACTAAATAGAGTCGTGGTTGAACGTTGCAGAAGACAAAAAGAGGAATGAAACCAATCCTAAGAATACAGAATAGTGGTAGCAAATTGCTTTTAAATTTCGGCTGGAAAAAACAAAAATGAAAGGAGTCGTTAAACGAATCATTGATAATAAAGAAAGTATATAAAGAATATACTGTATAATACAATACTTACCCATTGATAAAACCCAGCGATTGTTCGCCCAACTAAATCAAAAACATTAAACAATAGAAAACAGATAACTGGAGTAAAATATTTGCGTCTCCATTCATCCTTAACTAATACTGTCCTATTTCCTTCTTTTCTCAATGCGGGAGCTATTGACGAAGTTATAGCTGGAAAGCAGGCCAAAGTCACAAAGAATATAATTGAGACGCTAAACGCGTATTTGGAAATCTGTAAATGAGGGGAAAAAATTTGACGAGTATTATTAAACTCTATACACGGTCAATTACCATTCGAAAGACTCGTAGCAAGGGCGTTGAATTACTTCCAGAAAAGCTAATACTATTTAAATCTTCGCTGGTGTCGACAGTATTATCCTCATCATTCGACGAAATTGTTTGACGAAAATTTCCTATTTATGATAATAGAATTACAGTAAATTTCCGTTAATTGACTTATAATAAAAGAAACCTACTATCAGTATGATATCTGGCAAATTTCTGGAAAGAAAACAAACAATAATAAGATTGATTTATGTATAGTTCCATCATTAAAAAAGAGAAAAAAGGTTGATTTTTAAAAAAATTGTATTACTTCGTATTTATTATCTATCTTACATGATTATTCCAAGAAATTCAAGGATGAAAGAGTTGGATAGAAATCTAATCTTAAGTTTCATTTGATACTTACAATGCAGGGAAGAACCAAATAAGCTACAAGCGCCATCAATAAAACAACTAGCGCAATCGTAAAGTAAAATAGACCACTTTGCGAGGCATTCTTGGTTGCTGCTATACTTATTATATTAGCTACAGCTGCTAGAGTACCTCCCATTCCCTAAAATTCATTTAATAAAATGAAATTGAAAGTACCTCTGTTATTTGGCTAAAAAATTACCTGTCCAGCCATAACTGATTGAGAATACTTTGGTGGAAACATGCTCGCGAGGCCAAAAACACCGCCTTGCAACACTGCACTGGCAGCTAAAAAACAATTAAATAATGAGATAAAATTTCATCTTCATTTTCTAATAGATATCTATAATAGGAGTAAAGTAAAAGTACCGACCATTCATTATTACAATACAGACCAAAGTTATAGCAAAGAATTCAACTTGCCCTGATTAATATAGTATTTTACATTAATTCTCTCTTCTAATAAGGTTATTATTGTTATTGTAAACTGTTACTTACAACGATCAGTGTCCAAAATAACAAAAGTAAGTGTAACAGCAAAAATTAATATCATTGTAACTGCTGCTATTACCATACGAATTCGTAAACGGATTCTGTGTTTAAAGATAAATATAATAGGAATTAAAGATGCATAATTCTGTCTTAAACATCATCACGTACAATCTAGTTGCAACGGCGTTCAAAAACATAAACAGGACAGTTGGAAGCATGGCTGCAATAGCCAAATAACTTTCAAATGAGACTTGAAACTCCGTTTCATATTTCGGTTCATCATAGTGTGTAAAATTTGTAGGCAGTGTGGTATTTCGGAGTTTATACATAAAATACTGTTGAAAAAGGATATCGTTATGTGAACTTGTATCTTACTATTGTTCTTTATATATTTATCGGTATATAGTTTATGAGAATTAGTCATAGCTCTTTGGACAAAAGTTATGATAATGTGTACATGTTTTGCTGACTTTAAAGCAAAAATTACTAACATGTTTTCCATTAATAAAAAAGTTCCATGGAAGCATAGTCCCAATTCCCAGTAGATAAAATATTGCATAAACAAATTTGAGTCTGTAGGGCGGTAATTGATTGATAATAAGTTTAAATTTGCCCAATTCAATAAATTACCTGTCTTTTGGCGCATTAGATGTTTCTGATGGTGACAGTAATAATGTCGATGATTCTTGATCCGAATTATCCATGGCAACTAGGTAGGATCTTTGTTTTTTGCCTTACATTTTGTTTACAAGTTTAAACCGGAAGTGTATTTTCGGGAAGGCCTAATTTCCATACGTAGTTCTACAAATTACTTGAAAAATGCAGCGACATCTAGAAAGCATGAATATTCTCATCAACACCTTATTGCAATGAAGTATTGATTAATAAAATTCAAGTTCCATCAAAACAGTGAATATTTAAACAAACAAAAAATCAATCAGCCCATATAGAAATGATTGATCTCGTGTCCTGCCAAAACTAGTCGCCTGTCTAAGTGATTTTCAATTGCTGTATTTGTTAAGCAATAATTATAGTTGATTTGAGCATTTTGCCTGTTCTATCACTCTTACATGAATTATAATGCATTGTAACTAAACAGTAAGATTATTAAGTACCTAGATATTGCATGTACGTATATAGTATATTAGTAATATTAGTATGTATATAATATATTTTATATATTTTTTCCAGGTCAAAACTCTCAAAGAGGCATTTTAAAGAAATTCTATCGATAGGGACGTCGTATAGTCATAAATAATTCTTGCGCTATATCAGTTTCATTAGCTTATAGCGACGAAGATTGTATTTCATATGATATTCAATATTTTGGTGTTCGATGTAGGTGTTTTAGTGCGCGTGATTTTTCAAAAATAGAAAGTATACATTTGAAAATAACTATACGATAAACTGCTATCAAAGAATAGATAGAAAATGGATTAAAGAACACGTTTATTGTCAAACAATCGACAATGAAGCTAATTTTCAGTTTTAAATGGACAAAGTCTTCCACCACAGTAAACAATTATTGAAACTTAGAAAAATAAATGACAGAAAACAGCAATCAAAACTGGTAAAAGTGTTTTGAAAAACATACACAATTATATTGACCTATATGTTTACATTTATGGATATGAGCTCCTCTCAAGAATTATTACACCGATTTGCAAGAGTATCCAACTATGACCACTGGTCATTCGAAGCAATCCAAAAAGTATGTTTTACAGGTTTATATAAGATACGTCAAGTAATACTTTTACGCAATTCCCAAACCAGCATAAGACAGCATCATGTATGCCTCGAGCTGCAGTTCTGGTTTCTTTTATCTTTAAAAGTGGGACGTGGAAGATATTATTGACTATTCGGTCGGCAAAATTAAGAACAGAACCGAATACAGTCTCCTTTCCTGGTGGGATGGCTGAGGAAGGAGAAAGTGAAGTTGAAACAGCTCTGAGAGAAGCCAATGAAGAGATAGGGTTAGAACGACATCAAATAACAGTCATTGGGAATATGCCACCAATAATAAATAGAAGCGGAAAACTCGTGTGTCCAGTAGTTGGTTTAATAACAGATCAAAATTTTGACCCAAAGCCAAATGAAGAAGTCGATAAAGTCTTTTATCTTCCTGCTGAAAGGTTCTTGAGTTCCGTCGATCACTCTATAAAATATCCGGTCATGTTGGGTAATGTTGATTACGCTGTGCACTTTTTCTACGACACGATTGATGCATCTGAAGAGACAGTGACTACTTACGGCTTGACGGCTCATTTAGCTATCTGCGCATCCATAGTTGTTTGCAACAAACTACCCGAGTTCGAAATACACCCTAAATTCAATTCCTTATCGATCAACGATCCATATATTTGGTTAAGAACAATCGCGAAGAATTTCAATGACATTATAGGGCCACAGACAAATGTATCAAAATTGTAAGAATGAAAATCGAACGTAATCAAATTTCCGCGCGAATAGCAGTTTACTAGACTGGTATAAAGCTCCTCTTTTCTATATGTTTTAAATTTGTTTTGTTATTGGAATACACGTCTATGCAACTGACATGCAATTTTAAAAAGAAAACCTTAAGGTTTAAAAAGTTAACTACCGTTGAAAACTTATTAATACTATGCAACATAAGCAAATTCGAGTTTGCATAAGATGCCAATGCGCTCCCACCGCCCTCAACCGATAGGTGGCGGGGCAAGCACTTAGCGGAAGTCAGGGTGCCATTTAGTAAAAGTGCCACTACCTTGAGGATTGTGCGATTAAATTATGGTATGGGCAACGCATACTAGCAATACTTTCAACTAAGAAGCGTATTTGTTGGATACTACTAATACAATTATGTAGGAAAGAGATCTTCTTCATAACCGATTACTTAAAGAATCTCAAAAGTTCATCTCAAAAATGGATCATAAGGAACTAGTAGATGAACTAAGCGAACTAGAAAAACTGCCGACAGAAGATCGATTAAAGCAAGCCAAGAAACGGCGGGCGCAACAGTTGAAAAGATTTAGTATTTATGACAAGGCAAAAGACAAGGAAGAAAACAGGAAGAGGAAGAAGAATCTGGTTAATAATAACTATGTTGCTAGTAAAAAGACGGTCGATTTTGACCCGGAAATCGTTCTTCTAGAAGTCGCCGCCAGGGATGACGTCGAAGAAGGTGGGTGCGGAAGATAGGCCTGGTTTCAATTATTTATATCCTCTATATAAAGTTTGCAGTTAGGGTATGCAAAAGAGGTTGCAAAGTAATTATACATTCAGTAGAGGAAAAAAAGTATCCCCCTGAATTGTGTTCTATCATCAGCTTAAATAGAAGTTATAAAGTAACAGATAAGATAAGATTTATAGACTCAAGTAAAAAAAAGTGGCTGAACAAACATTTATTTCGGTTCTGCATACTTTTGGCATATTATTTTTTATACCGTTTCGATAATTAGTAGGAAAGTTCGCCATTGTGAGCATGCAACCTATTCAATCTAACAATAATACTAATTATATCTTTGCCAATTTATTAGGTATGCTGGAAAATCAGGTATAAGCATAACGTTGAGTCGGTAATTCTAACGTTGTTAATTGATTAACAACCTTTAATGTTGCGTAATAATTACGTTAATCGTACTCAAGTGTTTCTTTTATTTTTCTTTCAGTTCGTAGACTGCTTGAAATGGGTGTCAACCCTGACACGTCGAACGAAGATGGTTTAACAGCACTGCATCAGGTAAAACAAGATTAGTCAACACGTTATTTAAAGGGTACTACTGACCTTTCAAACATCTTTTTTCCTATTTACCACTCACTTACCTTAAAATATAGAATATGCTACGTAAACAACGTTCAATATTCATTCCATTCATTTCTTTATTTAGTAATATAGGTTATATATAGATGTGATATACACTGTAAAACGATACCTATTTCTAATTATTAACTTTTGACGTCATATTATCACGCATTTTGGTAACTTTTATTTAAATCTCTATAAAAAATAGTGTGCGTATATTCCATATTGTAAATTCATCTCTTTTTTAACGTTTTCATCTAAAAATAATGAAAAAGAAAACTATATTATTATTTCAATTTTTTCTTACTTATAGAAGAAAATGGAATATTTTCAAAACCTAATAGGAATGTTTATTTCCGGTAAAATTCATTATTTAACCAATATATCATAATTTGTTCCCTTTTTATATAAATTTCCCATAAGAAATTCAAAGTTGCATAGAATTCTACTGCAAATGCCAATTTTCTATGCCAAATTGTAACTTGGGGCTGGATATAAGCTTTATTATTATACAAATTTACGTGTATCATTGGCTTTTGTTCTTTGCCTAGTTTCCAGGATCTATAAACTTCTCGACTTTTCTATTAATCTTCTGTCGTTTTTTATGTCCATATATAAAAACCGCCAAAAAAAACTGGCCAAAACGAAAAGAGCGTTATTTAGTAAAAACGTCGATAGACGTCGACGCTAATTTTTTTCACATTATTTAGCTGGATAAAAAAAGAGAAATATGTAGATTATTCCACAATTTTTTCCCTCTAAATAAAAACTATATATAAATTAAAGTACGATCTCATTACCAACCCATACCCTAAGGAACATTTTTAAGTAATGAAGGGATAAAAAAGCATCTTAAGAAACAGTATTGTACATATTTAATTGAAAATACGAAATAATGAACAAGTTATATCTTTTTCTTTTATTTTTAGTGTTGCATAGATGATTCGGGCAAAATGATGGACCTGCTTTTATCCTACAATGCAAACGTTAATGCTAAAGACTCTGAATTATGGACGCCCTTACATGCTGCAGCGACTTGCGCCCATGGTCATCTTTGTAAGAAATTGATTGATAAGTAAGACGCATTTAAATAAAAGAGCTATCAGTTACATGCTTAAATCTCATTTTCTTTTTCCTCTAAAAATGATTAGTGGGGCGGATATGCTTGCTGTTAATGTTGACGGTAATATGCCCTATGATATTTGCGAAGAAGAAAGTACATTGGACTTGATAGAAAGCGAGATGGCCGCTAAAGGAATAACTCAAAAAATGATTGATGAAACTCGCTGCTCTACTGAACAACATTTGCTCAACGAACTTAAGCTTTCCAAAGAAAATACTGCATGTTGGAGAGACAAACAGGGCGCTAGTGTACTCCACGTTGCCGCAGCTAACGGTTACGAAAAGGTTGCAAAATGGATATTGGACAATCGGTTAGTTGCTACGGATGTTAAAGATAATGATCAATGGCAACCGATCCATGCTGCAGCTTATTGGTGTCAGAGGAATATCATCGATGTTTTGGCTGAACATAAAGCAGATCTTGAGGCCAAAACAGCTTCAGGTGAGACAATCATTGAGTTATGTTCGGATGGGCAATTACGGCAACATATTGAACAATTGAGAGATTCCGCAAGAATAGTACCTGAAACTAACAATGGACCTAGCGTTGAATTAAGAACAAGATCCTCTTGGAAACCAACACGGACATCGTCCGTTCGTCGTCAAACTATGAAAGAGAAAGAGAATCTCTCTCGAAAAGATATGATCGAGGAAGGTCTCTTTCGTGGTTCACTCTGTTCAGAAGATGGTCTTGAATTTGGGAAAAGTGATCAAATATTGGACGAAGAAGAAAATGGTGGCTCATTAATCGATGAACAACCGTTTATCGATTCCCCGGTATCGACTGAGACAATCAAGGAAACGTCCCCTCAGAAAAACACAGAAGTTTCCTCTTCTTCAGACACAGTTATACATTCGCCGGGTAATTCAATAACCGAATCGTCTCCAGCTAAAGTGGACGATATTAAACCAATTATTGACCGATCTGGAACAGGCTTGATAAACATTAAAAAAATTCGTCAACAAGAAAGACTATATAAAAATAAAGCTACACTATCTAATACTTCTTCTCCAAACCGCGATTCGGATGCTAATACTCGTGCTGTTTCTTATACTTCATCGAACGGAGGATCTACTGACATTCCCAAGAAGCAAAAATTCACTTCCGCGGAAGTAATAGGGGGAACCGACAGCGATACGCAGAATTGCTGTTGCATCATGTGATTTTATTCTATTTTTCTTAATCTATTTTTTAGTGCAATGTTTTTCTATTTTTTCTCTTTTTAAAAAATTTCATTCCAGTCTATTTTTCACTGCTAAAAAAATTACATTGTAATAAGATTTGTAGAAATAAATTGTATTTTTCAAATACAGAATATAGCATACGCAAAGCATTTGTTTTATGCAATGGAGAAATAAGAGAGGAGTGAACCACCCATAGGCTGATATGAGTAATATACCTAGGAGTATTCGTACAATTTTACTTTATAGAATCGATATTATTTAACTTTTACTGTTTTTAACAATCGTGATTGAAGTTAAGGGGAATATTTAGTTACGTATTGTTCATAAAAGAAAAACCCTACCAATTATTTCTCTTATTTCTCCTATAAAAACATGCGAATAGTTGTTATGGTTTATAGTTTTATACAATAGGGTAGCTGGCTGTTGTAGCGATACCGCATTGGTTATTCTTATTTCTTGACATTTTAATGTAGCCTTCTTCACCCCAAGTTGTTCCCCAACTATTCTTTACGAGCCAATAATCTGCACCATCTTCAGTTCCATAACCGACAACGAGAACACCGTGGTCAAGTCTGGTGCTACTACAATTCATTTCGTCATAGACTCCGCCTTTGTATAATTGGAAGGTCTCGTGGCTAGCATCAATTGCAACTGAGATCGGACCAACTGAAGCCACGGCCTCTTTTAATGCATCTTCATCACCGGAGGGAATATCAGTGAAACCAATATCGGTGGCACCGATTTTTGAGCTTTTAAAGTGGCAAGTTCCATCGACAGCTTGGTAAGGATAACTTGCTTCCGTATCAATTCCGTCATTGTCCTTGATGTATTGGAAAGCATCGTCCATGAGACCACCTTCACAACCATGATTTCCCCAATATTTTGAGCAGTCAACTAGATTTTGTTCAGATAGAGAAGTTAAAACACCCTTCTTACGGTAATGTTGTCCTTCCAACGATCCAGTCGCAGAGAAAGACCAACAAGATCCGCATTGTCCCTGATTTTTAACAGGAGTAACATAGCCTCTAGAACGCCAATCAACAGAGTTCGGCATTTCAAATTTAACGTTTGGAGACATATAAGTTGCTCTGTCTCTGTTGATTGTAGAATTACGCATTCTGTAGCCGTTCATTACCTTAACGAATTCGGTGTGTTCCTTTAAGAATGAAGAAAACCAGCGTCAACAACAGTCTTTTTTAACACTCTCCTAAATTATTAATTAACTTACTAAATCTGAGTATTCGTTAACTCCTAAAGAGAATGATTTAGCACCATTTTCATGTAAATAGTTGTGCATTCTAACTCTCTTAAGGTTCGTTTTGAAAATGTTCCTTCTCTTCAACTCTTCTGTTTGAGAGTCATACGTTTTGCCTACAAAAAATAATTGCATGTTAATCTGTTAACAGCATAATTGTAATTGTCCTATTTACTGTGCTTAGTTTTGAAATCCTTCCATAATTGCTCAAAATCGCCCAAAAATGACGTAAATCTCAAGGAACCATCTTCATTAGGGCGTCCGTAGGCGATACCAATAACAATGGCGAGTGCGATAAGTGTTATCTTCATGTTGATCTATAAATAAACAACTTTTAGTTTGTAAACAAAATGTTCTTTGTTTATGAAAGGTGCAAAATGTACATTGTTTTCGATAAAATAATGAATTCAATTATCTAGATATAGCATTTTAATTTTAAATATGTTTTCATGGTTAAAATATAGGTTAAACCTTTCTTTTTTTTTTTGCAAGTCAACGACCGTAAAGTGATCGATTTGCGTAAACAAAGCCTCCCAGCAAACGTAATAATTTATAACGGCAAGCAATAGCTTATTTTTAATATACAAACCTCTTGTGATCAGGCAAAATCGAAATCGACTGTATATTCTTGACGCTTGTGTTAAAAATGAGGCTTTGTTGGAAAATAAACACAGGTCACGAGCTTTGTCATATGACTGGTGACTCATCAAAACAGCCACAGCCAGTCTATTTCCGAAGACTGGTTGCGTGTTTTCCGGTTTGGCGGGAATAGTTAGTTTTTAATGATAAACTTTTAGTGTTTATTGCAACAGGTGTGTTTTCCGAAATATTGAAGTTATTTGTACTCGTATAAAAAAACGACACGAACAAAAAGTTTTGCCAACATTGAAAAATCTATTCATCTAAAAAAATGGCAACATTTAAATTACTATTTATAATTCTTTATTCACAGTCTTTCGATTGTTGAATTGTTGACTAGCGCGGAAATTGCATAATCGTTCCACATTCAAGCAACACACACGCAAAACACCCTGGACAAATTAGGAGATTAACGAAGCACCTAAAAAACGACGGTCATGTGTTGTTGGCGAGAGCGAAAAGATAGATAGAGAGAGTTACAAGTAGAGATAGCTAGAAAGAGCACCGGTGTCTTTTTTTTGTATCTTTCTTCCTTACATATTGAATCTATCCTTTATTAACGCCATCAATTTTTTCTTGCCTTTATAGACCAATCTCATATTGTCGATGAGGGCGGCAAACTGTAAAGGTCCGTCTGGCGCCATAGCGAAAGTGTGTTGGGCCGTCTGCAAAAAGTCGACGAAATCAGCATAGTGGCGAGGAGAGATATGAGCCAGTCGTGAGTGTGTTGTGTTCACATAAGCACATATAGCCGCGTCCAACAATTGCCTTAGAGGAGCTCTTTCGTGAGCCCGTCCCCTTGTAGTCACGTGCGCCGGATGTGGTGCGTGACCGCCTATTGTACAACGTCTGAGAATTTCGCTTAATACCGAGGCGCAATGTACATTTTCAACGAGTATCGGAACCACATGAGCTAGTTCTCCTTTACCTAAACTCATTGCTAAACTACAAGTCCAATGAATATCGCTTATAGCGGGATGAGCATCCTCGTTGTAGGCAATCCGTAGAGCCTTTAGAGCTAACAAAGCAATATCATAGGCCCTCCGTGATTGATTTCGGCTATCCAAATACCTGGCGATGGCAAAGAGTTGAGAGGCTGGTAATCGGTTGGCAGCTGAGACGACTAGATCAAAAGCTTGAGAGAAAGTTGTATTATCCTTTTCACACATGGTCAATGCCGATAAAGCGCAGTGTGCTGGATCGTCGGCTGCACATTGCATAGCAACGCGGATGGCCAGCCGCTCACCATTTTCAGAGCAACTCATTAACACAGGTGATAAGACGCTACAAGCTTCGACGGCTGTTAACCAACCCTCCCACTGCTTTCCAACGTTCAAAAGTTCACCGTCCCCAGCATCTGGAGCGGACGTTTTAATAACCCATCGAACCATTTCTGACCGGCGCCAATGAGATTTGTTTTTCGTCTTTTTTAACACTATCAGACCCAATTCTAAGGCCGCTTTTTTCAGATCGCTGGCGCTATTTGATTCGGTTTTGGCATGCTGAGCTAGTGAAAAGATTTGCGATGGAGAATGCATATGCGATCGCACGGCTCTTAAAACGTCTTCCAACTGTTCACTATTAGCCGCAACAAGTAAGGCAGTTGCCAATTCACATTGCCTTTGTTCGACGTAGTTCATCGGGTCGTCACCGGCTTCCGTTTCCGTGGGCGGCAGCCGCAGGGCTCGAATTCCGACTTTGAAAGCCAAGTCGTTATCGTGCGGCAAGAGACTTTGGAAGAGGAATTTGGCAAAATAATGGATCGGAGCTGAATCCGGATGGATTAGGGCTTCCAGAGCCGAACCAGCACCACCGTCGAACATTAAGGAAACCTGATCTCGGAGTGCAGCTATTACACGGTCGTCCAGCGGAACTTTACGGAGAAGCTGTATCAAGTCCTTTTCTTGTTGCCTGGCTACGGTTTCTTTATAGCCAGAGTATTTCATGCGTTGTTGACCTAAGCCTATGGGGGGGAAAGGTTTATAGTATATGTCTTACTTTTATAGCCATCATTAATTTTCCTTATTAATAAAAAATGTACCAAAAATGGCAATTTGAACGGCAAGAGTTAGATAACTGTCGTTTTCGCTGCCCGAGGGCAACTCCGTATGTTTATAACTCTTATCATCATTGACTACATCCACATCGCTATTGGCTGAAAAGACAAAGAAGCTTGGTATACTTTTATAAGAGATTCTACAAACAAAGCAAACCTCTGTCGCCACCATCGGCCAGACAGACTTCAATTAGCGTATCAAACAGGCAGCCAATCGGATTGAGCGGGTTACCCATACAGGCCGTGTCGACATTATAAGGCGCCATACTACTATAACCGCACTCGCAGCTGGTACTTCTTCCTGCAACTTGACAAAAGCGTCGTGACTTTCGCTGTCCGATATACTTTCCACCTTTCTTACCGAATTGCTTGTGCTGTTCGACGCGTCGCCAAATTTGACGCTTCACTCCCCTGACGACGGCGACAGCTAGTCGGCGGGCTTCCGTTTTGTAACCGTGGCAACGCAATGCGTTTACGCGCGCTGATGCTATCGTTAATTCTTCTTCTAAATACTCTGAACTGCCGGTGTCCGATCGCAGCGTCTCCTGCAACGCTTCGTTATCCCACATCAATTTAGTGGCATCTAACGCTCGTGCAAATATTGCTCGCACGTTGGCGGGTACTGTAAAGAGAAAAGCCCTACTTCTTATTAATCCTGTCTCGCGGGAACTAATTAACCCACCGTTTTGAGTATTAGTAGGCAGTTGTGGATCTTCTGGTGGACAACCGTCTATGGAGTTCCATTCTTCAAAATTGGTTGCCCACTCATCACGATCCTGAGAAATCGCTGTTGGATTAAGTACAACAAAAACCCATAAACATGCTAATTCATCCCACAACCGTCGAAGTTTATCGGGCATGGGCTGAGATTTATATAATGAGAGTCTCGGATCGAGTAAGAATTGTTCAGTAATTAACGACAGCATTCTAGAACCATTACCGTCTCTAGACTGAAGCATCTCGCGCACTTTATTGAATATACAATTGAGTTTTTGCTGGTGGTGTTTGCACTGGTAGCTTTTTTCAGCATAACATAAATTTGTCTTGACTTGCTCGCGTAGTTCGTCCTCATCCAAATGCCATGCGTTGTTTGAATCAACACTAGCACCTGCTGTTGGATCTGGCGCTCCTGAATATATAATTTTGTCATTAAAGAGTCATGTGCCGTAAAAATCCTACCTCGAACTTGATTAATCACCGACGACATCTCTAAAATATCGTCGGCTAGCTTTTGCGCTGTGGGCAATACTTGCGTGTGGTGGTGCGAAATCAAATACTGCGCGAACTTTTGAAGTTGCTCTCTGTCCATTTGGAGGAGAGTTTCTGTGAACATACGATACGTTACTTCGATTTTTAGTGATAAAAAGAGTCTAGAGTTTCGTTTACCTGATATGGGGGATCTTGATTGAACGTCTTCGGGCGTTCGCATCCTAAATAAGGCTAGAGCAACGATATGAGAGCACCAGAATATGTCACGATTCGAACACGGGCAATTAACGGACGTAATTTTACATCTAAGGTCGAAAAAAAAACAAAATAACATAAAACAAAGATCGTACTTGAATTGAACTTTTTTTATACAGTACCTATCGAAGGTTATTGAAACGGAGTAGGTTCTCTCTTCATCCTGCACAGTTCCGCTCAGGTGAAAACCTTTCAGAAACGAAAGAGATGAACAATGATAAGAATTTTTTATTAAGAAGCTTTTCACGCCTATAACCGCACTCGAGAAGATCGATAATTACATAAAATAACAGGCAGCACTGGGGTTTTTTTCGTTGGACCGACCTTGCCAAGTGCAAGGACAATTAATTACAACCGACATCATAAATTCGCCACCCCAGAAATAAAAACAATACGAACAAAAAATAGTTCCCAAAGGGCAGCCTATCGCAACTGTTGCTGCAGGCTGACGCAGACGCGAATCAATGCAGTTGGGTTAGAAAACGCGACTGCATCGCGTGCTGTGCACGCGTTTTACATAAATCTTATCGATTCACTCCCCTAGCCATTTTTACTGTCCGAAATTTTCTATTTTATTGCAAGGCGTGCAGTTTGGCTATTGATTGACAATAGCTTTATTGATATAATCCATCGGCAGCGCCATCTACGTAATTTAAATCGCCCGTACTAAACATTTTCTCTCAATGGTTAATTGCAGCAATTTTTCATGATGTCGCCATATTGGAAAGAGAGTATGCGGGAATAATATCGAAAGATAGTTATTTTAAGTATTCGAAGATTTTATGTTAGCTGGCAACAATAGAGAAAAATAGCATAATTTATACATCATATTGACTCACCTATTTGCAGCGCGTCGCGCACGCCGCCCCGTTCCAGAATAGTTTGACCTTCTATAAAAGGGATCCGACCGTGTTCGGTCTTTGAAAAGGAAGAGTATAGCCGAATATCCGCCTCATTCCTCGGAAATGACCAATACACAATTCGATTTTCAACCGGTTCGGGTATTCTCGACGTATTATCTTCGACATATTGGAAAGGAATGTGAGCGGCGACCACTTTGGCGGCGGCATCGAGCATAGAGAGTGGCTGATGCGCGATTTTCGGTGGTGAATTTTGCGAATTTCTACGCGCTCGTTTAATTGCCGACGCCATGCGAGACACTGAAAATCACACAACCGGCAGAGGGAGCGAGTTGAAAAAGTGCATGGTTCCATGATCCTGAACGATATTTGCCGTGAAATTTCCTCTAGGAAACTCTTGTCGGAAGCGTTATGCTCATTCCTGGCCTGTTTGGAACCTTGGGTCAATACGGCCCCGAATAGGTACACGAGTACAATCAATGAGAAGTACTTATATAGTGATGCATTGATTAGTCAGTGGACAATAAATGAAACATGACGTGAATTAGAAACTCCACAAATTAAAAACATTCCACGCCTATTATTATGCTAGTAGGCTTTACACGCTCTATCGATTACGTTATACGATCCAAAAAAGTCTCAATTGTATAAAGAAATCGCGCACAGTATAAAAACTGCTGTGAAAAACCGTTGTCAGCGCGATATCCATTAAACGATTGAATTATGAAGCAGATCGAATATTTTCGAGCGCAAAAAGCGATTTCGATTCATTTTACATAATGGATATAGCGTCGCGCTTTTATGTCTTCAGGAAGCACTTTTTATGTTCGACTATCGAATGAAACGTTTGTTTAAACTGCTCGTGATCAAAGTTTTATCACCGAACAATGCGACTTATCGAAACAGTGTCCGTTTTGTTTTTTGTCTTATCATTTCAATTAGACTAAATCTTCGAAACTTTCCCGCTTCACCCCTAAGGGTAAACTGGTATAGTTGGTGAGTTAAGTGTTTTGCTCACTAGAAATTAAACGAAATTATCTTTCGAAATATAATCTGAAAATTCAACAAATATGTCTTTCGTACCAAACAAGAATGTTAGTTGGTGAACATGTATATCTTAAATGAAATAAAATATATGTTTTTTAACTAAAAGCGTTTGCTTTTCTAATACATTAGCGGCGTGGTTTTTTTCGCTGGGATTTTTAATTTCGTTATATTAACGTATTCTTGATTATATGTACTATACTAATATGAATTTGTATGTCTATTTAGGTTGAAGATTACAAAAATAGAGTAAAAAGAGAGGTATTTATCTTATACATATTTTCACACGGAAATTTTATCTGGGCTGAAAATGTTACAGGCCGAGGTTCTCGTCAAAGATGTTTTTCCTAACAAGGTTGTTTTTCTCGATAATTTGATGCGCGTAAGTAGTAATAATACAATTATTTCGTACTTTGAAGTAAAACTCTTTTTTTACGGTCAAGACGGAGCAGTTAAGTATAAACTCAGTGAATGACTTTGTAGTCGACTTAAATGTGCCACATCCATCCAACTGTTTGTTGGAAAATGATGGACCAGCAGCAAAGAAATTGAAATTGGATAATAGCTTAGAAGGTTATACATAAATAAACAATGACAAGTCCTCTAAAACACTTTCTCTTTACAGGCAGTAAAGTTTATGCTTTACCGAATGGAGAAGTAACTTGTAATGAACCATTATCGAAACTTATTGACCAAGTTAAGCCGTTGTTAAGAGATGTAATTGCTATAAAATTCAAGAAAATTTTTATTAAGTCATTACTTTTCATTACATCTAGCTAATCGAACACGCAAATCAAATAAAAATGTGGATAACATATTTGATACCAAGAATAGAAGACGGTAATAATTTCGGTGTATCTATACAAGAGGATACAATAGCCGAAGCTCGACAAGTAGAATCTGACGCAGCGACGTACCTTGATCAGGTCTCTAGATATTTCTTAACTCGAGCCAAAATTGTCACGAAACTTGCGAAATACCCACACGTTCAAGATTATAGACGAGCTATTCAGGAACTTGACGAAAAGGAATTTCTGAGTCTAAGACTTGTAGTGTGTGAGCTTCGAAATCATTACGTAAGAGTTCTATTTTAAGTATATATATATATGTATAAATATCTAACAAAATAATAAATTTACATTTTTTTTTTCAATTCTTACAGTGCAGTTTGCACGACATGATACTAAAGAATATCGACAAGATTAAGAAGCCACGTTCGTGTAACGCAGAAAACCTATATTGATTTTTTTTCTTGTTTCATCATAGACTTTGTCATGTTTAATTATCAGGTCATTGTGTTATTTTGCCGCTTGCTATTTCCAGGACATGCAAGGCAATAAAGAGTTTATGAAACAAGTAATGTCATCTGGTACACAATATTGTAAATAAACGGCTCGGTGACGCTTATTTATAGAACAAATTTGTTTTTGGGTCATTTATGAGACAGTATATAGGCATTGTTTAAGTTAAAAGCCGAATTAGAAAGGATTTTATTTAGAAAGTACGTTTTCAATTTGTCAGATCAGTCGTAAATAAATTAGCTATTAGGGTCCACAACAATCTATACCAGAAATAAAACAAAGTTAAAGTATTAGAATGATTAAAAGTAACTTAAGTATATTGGTCGCAGTTTGAATTACGATATAATCAAAAGTTGTTTTGGTTATTAGTCTCTTGCAGGAAACAACTTGGTGCAACTTGCAGAAAGTATTCGATAAGCTCATTATCAATCAAATGATTAAGAAAATAAAAAATTGTTTAAAGGTACCTTTACCGGAAGCGAAAAAAAAAGATTGCTAATTTTTAGACCTAGTTGTAAACTACATAAATCGCTTCATATCGATTAATGTCTATACCGATACGATCTGTTTATCGGTTACTAATAAGTATTGAACCATCCAAATACGTCATATAGGTAAATTAGTAATCTAAATAGCGGATTTTTATGTTCTCTGGTTATATATACATATATATATATATATATGGGAAAAAAAAGATAATATGTTGGAATATTTGTCAACGATCTCTTTTAATTTACCTAAAATACCTGTTTTTGCAGAGGAAAGAATGTTTTCTAACGAAACGTCGATCTTTAGAACTACGAACTAAACTAGTTGTATTTTACCTTTCACGCTGTAATTCTATCTTATTATCTATTTTCTCTACAAAATTTTCATTTAGATGTATTTTTACGTAGTCTTGGTGTCGTTATTTGTTATTGAATTGACTGAGGAGAAATATATTTCTATACTAACACACTTCTTCGAATAACAAAGGGTAGAACTCTCTTTGTTAATTATACAATATATATAATATAATATTTTCACCTTTTCTATGTTAAATACACGACAATGTTCTTTTTCAACTAAACAAACTAATGATAATTTTCTATATTTGCCTTTTTATCGTTACAGATAAATTAAAAAAAGTATAATTTCCTATAAAAAGAATCAACACTATATTACCCTCCTAAAATGGACAATGACTATTCAACAACCATTGATAGATTCAACACTTTTTCGTTCTTTCCCCATTCAAATTTTAACTTTAAGAATTTATCAATAATGGGATTTTATTTTACTGGGAGAAGAACTGAAATAAAATGCTATTGTTGTCAATTAGTAGTGAATGATTGGACTATTGAAGACACTCTTAATGAGCAAGCAGTTTTGAAGAAACATTTAACAGAATCTCCAAAATGTTCAAATGCTAACAAACTATACATTACTCATAATAGTCAATATCTACATCAAGATGTTCAACCGTTTACAATAAATGTGAATGAAGTCTTACAAAAGGCAGATCTAAGCATTGTATCTAATAGATTGAAGACATTCATTAGTTGGTCAGCTAAAAATGCACAAAGTCCGCCCGAGCTTGCAAAATGTGGTTTTGTGTTTATTGGTCCTGAGGAGTCTGATAGAGTTCAGTGTGTTTATTGTTTAGTAGTCTTGACATCATGGAATTCATCAGATACTGTGAGAGGGGAACATGCGAGGCATAGTGAAAATTGTCCAATGGTGACTAACAATTTTGATGAAAATATAGTAAAAATGGTAGGATATGAGTCAATTTCGTTATTAATCACGAGGAAATTTCTATTAAAATTTTATGTTTCCTATTTTATAGAATCATCAACCGAAAATGGGTATACACGTGTTTGAAAGTGCTGCTGAGGTACTGGGCGTTAACGATCAGCCAATGTTAGAGAAAATTTCTTCAGAGGAGATTGCATATTCAAATATGAAACCAGGAACTCCATCGAAAAGTTTATTCATAAAGCGCTTAGAAACATTCGAATATTGGTCTTCATCGATACCTCAAAAACCAAAAGATTTAGCCAAGGCGGGATTCTTTTTTCTAAGTATTGTATTTCTATTCTTAGAAAATATCAGTCATTATATAGTTACTATAAATTTCGATTTTTCTTTTCCTAGAAGGGACATACGATATTGTACAATGCTTTTGGTGCGGTTTGAGATTATTTAATTGGGAACCACAAGACGATCCTCTAAGAGAACATGAACGGTAAGAATGCTTATTTAATTCCTATATTAATCTTTCTAATATTCTTTCTTACCATTTGTTAAAAATATAAAAGACACCACCGAAACTGCAAATACCTTCAGGATCGATTAAGAGAGAGAATGAATGAAGAAATGCAAAACGTTTCGTTAAATGAGGAAGCTATATCAATTCAAGAAACTAATATCTTACCTCAAGGTAATGAAAAATAAATCGTTTTGCTATCAATTTTTGATACTAGAAATGTTTTCAATAGATATGCAAGATATCAATAAGGAAGACGAACAGGGTTTGTGTAAACTATGCTTTTCGAAAAAAAGAGACACACTATTTTTGCCCTGCAAACATCTTATCGCCTGCAACGAATGTTCAATAAACATTATCAGTGAAGAGACTTCGTTGTGTCCCTATTGTAGAGCAACTATTAAAGGAACAGTTCTGGTTTATCTGTGAATGTTCCTGGTGGAAACCTTTTATCATTAAATCTGCCTTGTTTTTAATAATTTGTTCTGAAATCACATCTACAATTGGGAAGAAGAGAGAAAAGCAAGTGGAAGAGAAGAAATCTATAAATATAATAAAGTTCTTATTATAAACAAGAGATCCTTATTCATGGCTGTGTGATGCACATATCTATTACCATAGATGTAGCTAACTCGCTAAATTCTCAATAATAACCGTATTAAAATAATATGGGACTAAGATTAGATTATCTTCGTATTTATTGTCTCTAACTGTGTTCAATATTTTTTGTACTCGATTTATTTGAACTCTTTGTTTGCTAATCGATAACGTTTTTTCTTCATAAATCTATAGATACGTCAGTTACAAAAAACCCAACTTATCGAAGGTTCTTATGAATTCTTTAAATTTTTATATTCTTTTTCTTTTTTGAATATAAGCAAATAACCAAGTTTTTGGAGTTTGGTATAATTTCCTCTTTCAGACGTCCGGCTTTTAAAAAAGTCTACTGACAAATAAAAATTGAATAGTAGAAAATTCTTAAAAGCAATATATGCAATTTTTAAATAGTATAGTAACAGTTTGGAATTATTCATGTCGGGTTTAAAAGGATTTTATTACTAAACGAACACATTGTTTGACCACTTGGGCCTACAGTCATTTGATACAATGAAATTACGTAATTAAAGCAATTTTGAGTTTAAGTATACAGTTGAAATTGTTAAAGATTGAATGATATTTTATCTATCTATTTATATATAAATTTATATTTCATTTTGTTAAATATTTCAATAGGCTATGAAAAATTTATGTAGTTGGGAGAGAGAAGAGAAAGAAGGAAGAAGGAATAAGAGTGGGGATTGGGGGGGAGGGGGAAGGAGGGGGGGTTGAGGCTGCCCACAATAATTTACATAATTTATAATTCTGCACTCATTCAGAGATAAGAGACATAGCAATTTGTATATAGATAGAATAATTAAACATAATTTAACAGTATACTTTTAATCCATCTCGTATAAATACAGACAGTTTAGTCATATCCGTCTTCTAAATTATACATATATACAGTATATAATAACTAGAAGCAATATACGTAGCAACTACTAATTGTTCTTATATATTACATATAAAATATGTATATATTAGTGTATATATGTATACATATATACTGTATATATGTGTAAAATTGGTCAACAAGTACCCAAGGAATATAGGAAATGCTGTACATTTTTATAGGTTTATAAAACATCTTGCCAGTATAACAATCTGCTATTTTTTTACGGAATACAGTATCTTGTTTTTTCTATTAAGATAATACACTATTCGATTATTTTAATTGCATTTTATTTCACATTCAACCTATTTATAACAATTTGTTTTGTGGTCGTTGTCAGGTCTTTATAATTGAACACTTTTTTTTTATAAATACTAATATATATATATATTAATATATATATATATAATTTATATTTTGAGGGAGAGTGGAGGGAGTGGGGGGTAAATCTTATATGTCTTGACTATTTACATTTTCTATACAAAAGATATCTGTTAAGATTGAAATGAGGTTAATATATTCTAATAACGTAATTAATACATATCTATCACTCTCTATACATGTATAGTCTGTATTATTATATATATCTCTTTTATATCTTTTAAAAATAATTCATAGATTAGGCTTATAATAACCTCAAGAGCACCAAATTTTACTTAGTAAATACTATAGATATCATATATAAACACACACACACACTACATACATACATACACATATATATTTAAATATAATACACATTTTGTTTTGCTATATGTGCGCATGACACTTTATTCTAACAGTATTTAACTACTACTACAAGTGAATGGAATTTATGTGGTTTTTTTCCTTTCTTAAGTATGTTTATTAAGGCCTTATTTTTATTTTTACGACAGAGAAGAGGAAGGGGTATTTTTTTTTTTTTTGTAAACTATTCATAAAATCTATGCTTAGTCATTTTAAAAAGAGTTTATCTATTATAAGATAAAAACAAATTCATAACCTGAAAAAGAATAGAATATTTAAAGAGGTTAACATTGATATTTGTTTCATAGATAAAATTTTAGTTATTATACAAGTTATATTACGCTAAAAAAACTTTACCCTTTAAATTTTCATGGAGAAATAAAAAACCTTTTTTCAATAATTCTTCTTTGATAAAAGTGAAATAACAACTTATTATAAAACTTCATAAAGAGTTTTCTTCTCTCTCTTTTCATTTATAGGGCAAATGTAATCACTCTTGTGGAAAAGCTTGTAGAATCCTTTTTTACGAAACAATAGCTTATCTGAAAAAAGAAAAAAAAAACTGAAATATCTTTTTCCTATCTTGAATTGTAAGTGGTTATTACTAAAATCTTTTATTAGTCTTTCATCCATTAACATTTCTCCTGCCCCTTTTAACAAAGACGAGTTTTTACTGTATACGATTCAGTATTTTCTTTTTTTTATAAACATTAAAACTATATTTAATTCGTTTCTCTTTTTATTGTCTACGCCAGATGTTAGTTTAGATAAAAAAAAAAGATCCTGATTGTTAACTTCAAGATTACAACCATAAATTTGGAGATAAAAGGTCATACTAAAAACCCCTTTTAATAGATTTATTGATTTACTATTGTGGTTCAATGTCATAAAGGACGAATGTATGCCTCAAATAAGAAATCTATTAGAATCGATGAGGAAAATTAAGTAAAAACATAGCACTTTTTATATTTTAGTATATAATTATTCAATATAACTATCTAATTCCGACAAATTTTATCTATTTTTATAGATAAGCGGATTACATTCACTTTGGTTAGAAACAGATGACAAACAACTTTTTAACAAAGAAATATCTGAGATATTTTTAGGTAAACTTTTTTATCTGATAAATATTTAAGTTTAATTTCTACTTTCATAACGAAAATAAAGAAAGAAACTAGAGGTTTCTTTCAAGTCCTATATAAAATATATATATATATATATCCAATATATTTTTTATGTATAACCCAAAAGAGATAAAAGTAGGATAAGAATTATAGATTGTTAATAACATTCTAAATGATGATATTTTTAGATGGATAAAGGCAAAAATAAAAAAAACCGGTTATCTTAGAGATTATGCCAACCCTGACGATGGTCTTGTTGTTCGAAACACAACGATTTTTAAACATAAATTACTACTCTTAGAGAAATGTTGAAAATAGATTGAAAATGATGACTTAAGTGATATACTGTATAGTAGTTAGAGTAATGCGTAAATACTTTTTGAGGATAGAGAATTCTCCTTAAATAGTTCGATTAACCTAGAATAAACTTGAAACCTTCCTTATCGATGAGTTTAAATTATTAAACATAATATTAATCTGTTAAAAAATTTAAGGTTGTATTGTCTTCTCAATTCAACTCTACAAACTAAATCGTACATTTACTAAGCAGTCTTCATCTAAATCGCCAATAATTTTCATTGACCAAATGAACAAACTAAAATGTAGACAAAAGCATTTTTTATCTCTTACAATAGGAGAATAAAAAGAAAAAAAAAGAGAATTTCAGATTTTGTATTGCATATCATAGAAGAAAGAAACTTCTGTCCTTCGTGGTTGTTTACATGATCTATTTTATAAATATAATTTGTGATCCAAATCCGAATTGTCCAAAATGTCAAAGTATGGTTTTGGGTTTCTAAAGGGACACTTAGTGAAAATTTACTAAATCGTCTATTGTGCATCATTTATAACACTAAGTTAAAAAATTATCTCCAACAGAATATTGCAATTTTGATAATGAGAAAAAAGTGTACAATATTTATCATCTCTCTTTGACAATATTAAAGTATTATATTACCAAAGATTCTAACCTTCAAAGTTGAGTTTAGTAACCTTAAAATTCCTGTTTAATTTACAAAGATATCTATTAATAAATCCCATTTGATATATAAATAGAGAATGTTAAAATAGGAAAAGAGCAAAAAGAAACCAATAATGTCTTTTAGCAATTATCGCTGAAGGTTACGGCATCTCAATTAGAACTTTAAACTATTCTGAAGATCTTCCTGGCATTTCACTCGGCAAGAAACTTACAGTTTTGTCTATTTCGATAATAAAATATGGAAGTGTTCAACTGTTAAGACAAAGGAAGACACTACAAGAAAATAAACAATACCTTAGATACATTAAAGGAGTCCTCAGGAAATGCCTTAAGTATCTATTTCAAGAATATTTATAAGCGCATTATCATTCCACTAATTAAGTAACAATTGATTATCTTACGCGTTTTTATAATCTACAAGATATTGCAACTTGAGCTGTAAAAGTTTACATTGATTTCAAATGTATACTCGATTATCCCTTTTTGCAGAATTAGACGAAAAGTAATATGAGCCAGAACATTCTATAGATTTTCGACAGCAATATTTTTTTGCAGTCTACTTCCTGTTTTTCATATGGAAAAAAGAAATTGAACCTTTTATTTGCAAAATATAAATATATATTATATATATCTAAATAGTTTTGCTCAATTCTAATGAAATATAGATACTCCAGCAGGATAGTTATATCCAGTACATAATAATAAAGGAATATTGTAAAACATCAATCATATAATAATAAAAGAGAATTCTTTGAATATCTATGTAATTTAATAACGAAATATTATAAGAAAGAAAATTATGACAATATTTTCCCATTTGAAGATTAGCTATCGACCGATGATTGATTACTTGAATCTTCTCTAAAGCATCTATACAATTTAGAGAATAAGACCAAAGATGATTTACAATAGTTTTTTCTTTGCAGTCTCATTCATCATTTAATGAACATATATGTTTTCAGTGAGAAAGTATAAATTGATAATAAGTCTGAAAAAAATAGAAAAAGGTACATTAAAAATATTCATAACCTGTCTGTGTAGGGTAGGATTCTTTCAATTGTTTTTTTAAATAACTAATATCTTTCTATTTATTATATCTTCTATAAAATATTTGATAACGGAATAAGAGGGGTTTAATGTATTGAATATAAGGGGGAAAAAAACTGCTAAAAGACTTAGGACAAACTACTCAGGACTTAGTGGAAAGACTAAATGGATTTATCAATGAGAATTACAAAGACGAGTCATCAATATTAAAATTAATGATAAAATTTTTCCTATAAATTATGGAAGATCTCATATTTTAAGAAAATTTTATAAATAAGTTACAACGTCTACGATTATTTTTTCATGAGTTTTAACAAAAATTAAAATACCTTTCACTATGCATTTATCTAGTAATTCCCTATACTTTTATATCAACTTTCTTTAGCTCTGGTTATATGATCCGTTCCTAAAATAACTTTCATGTCAAGTCTAATAAAATTTCTGGCAGTCATTAATTGTGTGGAAAGGGAAAGCATGTAAGAAAGATTATTTATAGCATGTATGCTAGATAAGTGGTAACTTCGACGTTGATTAAGTTAAAGGGTGCAAAGGTTCTTGATGTACAAAAAACAAAAAAAAACAACTTCAATTGTTTTTGATTAGATAGAAAAATTTAATGTAATTTCTTTTTTGTTGTATAAAAAATATATTACCTTCATATAAAAAATATTTCTATGCATTTTTAAACACATTAGTCTGCAATCAATGAAATTTATCTTCTTTATCGACAGAAGAGATTTATTAAGTTTTGGCAAATATTTCTGTTGTTCTTATTAAATAAAAATGTCAGATAATTCATTCACCACCATCTGACCATGAATCTATTGTTATAGTGGAGCTACTCGTCAACAGCTTTTTCTGTTTAAAATATAAGATAATAACAACAGCATAGATTGATCCACCGAGAACACAGCTGCTCGTTATTACAAATATTATCATTACTTTGCCTATAAAAGACCATGAATAAAAGAGAATTTTTTATGACTAATAAAAAATGGGAAAAAATCCATTAATTGGTGTTTTAAGAAATCACTCAAGTTTGTGATTTGATCCTTGTTTCTTATATAAGACTAAGGAATATTCATGGCCTCTAATATTATAATCAAAAAGATTCTGCAAGATATCTTTACTCTGTAATTCTAGTTTTAGAGCTGTCATATTAAGTTTCTCAGTACTTATCATAACTGAAGATTTCGATGTGGCTGCTATATTTAATTTCTTTGTTGTTGATTTATAAAGCCAAGGCATTATCGATTTCGGATCTGGGAAACCAAACTTATCATCAGATATACGTATTTTAGGTCTTGTAACTTGTTGAACTATATGTATATTTTGATTTTTTTCCGATATTTCTTTCTGACGTATCTTTGGACGTTTTCTCCTTGCGAGGCTTTTCTTAAACCTTGTCTTTGAATTAATCCAATAAGTTGTTGAATAATTTGCATTTATTGAGAATATATTATCTGTTAGCATTCTATTATTAAAGGTCTTTAGTGAATTATTCTTATAGTATTGAAATTTGAAAAGAATTGGAAGGAAATATTTACTATATCTGATAGTAACTGATATTTTAGGAAACTGATAAAGTTTTACTATATTTAACAAGAAACTACTTTCTAAGTACATTTAATCAAGGATTTAATATTTCAAATAGAAAAATTCTTACTCAATTCACTCAATTTCTTTATTTTCCAATCAACTTGAGAAACAAATAAATTTAATTTAAAATATCCAATAAACATATTATATTCTAATCTTTTTTCATACTTACTAAAATGAAAAGAATTCTCTACCTTTGGTCTTCTAGATAATTCACAATCAAAAGAAAGAAACAGTCTAATCATGACAGTAATAAGTAGATTTTGTTTGATTCTCATAGTCTGTGTATGACCCTCATGACCTGTATCTTCTAAGATTATTATTTTTTTTGAACGTATCAGTAATTAATTATGACGCAGAATAATTTTATAATAAGAAAAACGAGGACGTTTCTTTTTAGTCTAAACACAGAACAATTGAACATCGAATATAAAATATTCTTTTAGGAACATTCTTTCGTAGAAGCTTACATAGTTTCCCCTAAGATATTTGTTTTCACCATAAAAAAGGTTGTTTTTACTTGAAATGAAAGAAAAATAGAGATGCTCCTACCACGTAGCAAAACATAGGGGATATATATCACCTTGAAATCTTCTAAGTACAAACTACCATAGCTCAATACATTCACAGAAAAGGGAAATCCGTGTGCCTCATCAATATCTTTCACAAAAAATGAGACCAAGTAATTTCACTTCTTATAATGAGTAATAAAAAAGATTAATTATTCTAGACCTTAATTTTTTCCTTACAAAGACTGCTCTTCCGAATTAAATAGAGTAGTAAAACGGGTTTTTATAAAATAAAAATGAATCGAAAAATCAAGGGAAATAATAGGTGGCGCTGCGTAACTTTTAACTACCGTTAAAACAAAACATAAAGCGTGATGTTAAGAATGGTCAGAAAAATAAAAATAGTAAAATTACAAATTTAATAAAAACAAATCATAATAAAGAAGGTTAAAAATATATTTGTTTCTTATTCATTATTATTATGATTATATTAAGAACATTTTATATAAATCTTCATTTTTATAGAAATGCCGGAAATAGAAAAGAACATCGAAGGTTCTCCCTTCAAAGTAAAAAAAAAAACATTAAATTTTCGATTTATTGTTAATTAAAGCAAGTTATGTAATTAAAAGTAAACTATTATTACTTAAATTAATTTTATATATAGATAAAAAATAGATTAGATTTCATTAGATGATCTTATATAGACATTTTGAAAATAAAATCATTATTTTAAATTGCAAAAAAATTTACTGTTATTGTTAAGAAATAGAATTCGCTGATTGAAATGGATTCTATTATTGTTATTAATGTTTTAAACAAAAAACTTCCAATAAACTTAATATAGAGCACTAAAGGAAATTTACATACTTTAACCAAAAGAGGACAGAAAAGAAAGAGAAGTACAGTCGAAGTAACGCTAATTTCTTTTGATGACCGGTTTCCACTTCAATGTTTATTTTCTTATGCTAATCTCTTTCATTTGAATGCATGAACGTTTGAACTCTGGTTATATAAGCTTGAAATTAGTTACAAAGGTGGTACTTTGCAGACCATACAATTGTTAGAAATTACATATACTGTATATAATAAGCTAAACAATTGTAATTAAATATAATATCCATTAATTAATTGCGATTTTGATTATTATTTCGACCTGGAGATTGGGGGTTTATGACGAAAATGACATCCGTGCATGAAAAACTGTTTCAGGGTTAGAATATTCAAAATTAGAGATCACACAACACAATGTGCTGATTGATCTAGCAAATTCTCTGGATGATATAGCCGAAAGGAAAGTATTTGCAAAAGTTAAAGAATTAATAAATGCTTCCGGATATCTACCTCTTATCTGTGAAGAAAAAGCCTACAGTATTCCTATTTCAATTTTGCTTTCCTAAGACATATCCTAGAGAACCGCCGATGGTAAGTTACAAGGTCTAATCAATTTTTAAAATATATTAATATCTAATTAATCAAGGTTAAAAAGTATTTGTCAAACAAATAAATACAACAATCATCTACAACAATGGAAAACATGCGGATTCGAAGAGAAAAATCATTGTACCTTATCTTTATAAATAGTCAAGATCTTCTTGCGATATATTTGAGGTGATTACAAATCTACAACTCGCTTTTGGTTTCGAGTGTCCGATTATCCAAAAGAAATTTTTTTGATAGCTAATTAATTTCTTTACATTCAAATCATCGTAGGCAACAAAGTCTAAAATAATCGATTAATATTAGCAGATAAGCCTATAAACTAGAAATTATTTTTAAAAGCAGATAAAAATGATGATATTGCAAAGCCATTCAGCATGTACGTTGAAAGATATATAATATATTGCATACAATATACAGTACAATGTAGGTAAAAACATTTATTATTAAATATGCTTACAGTATAAAGATTATATTATATGGCAACTGTATATTTAGATATCTAAAAATTTATATTACGCAGATGGGATTTACTATTTATATAAAGATTTTCATTATCTTTTAAAAAAAACAATATAGTAGGCGAACTAAAATCAGAATGATTATTAATTTAGGATATTGTTGGAAATGGATTTACAATAATATATTCATTGAGTCTAGTCCATAACTTTTGATTTTTTTTTATAAATATTTAATAAGAAAAATGATTATCAATTTACATTGCCAAATACTAAAGAAAAAAACTTTATCTTGTAAAACCTGTCCAGAATCGGTTTCAAATGTAGTTTATACTTGATAAACATTGAATGAATATATCATATATATATAGTATAATATATATAAAAGAATGTTGTATTTATCATTGTACTGCCTTTTTTTAGGTTTATTTTTTCGGGGAACTCAACGATTTCTTTAGCCTTTTTTTCCCCTCTATCGAATTAGTTGATAAAAGATCAATTTTCGTTTAGTTTGTTGATTACAGTAGAAAAATTCTTGAGATATTTGCTCTAGTATGCAAGGGAAATCGATAGACTTTTATTAATTTTACTTAAACATTCTACGACAAAAAAAACGTTAAAATGTTATAAACTTTCCTTTTATTTTTGTTCATTTATAAAATTTTGTAAAGATATATTTCCTATTAAAATATATTAACAAATATACAAAACAAACGATTAATTACAGAACGATTCTTAACAAGATTGTTTTTTATTTTTGCTGAGGTTGTATTAGGACGGAATAACGGCAATTGACCAATTTTTGCACGCTAGATAAAACCGTCAAACTGACATTGGTAGGAAAAAAATACGGGCGTATTTGCATATTATTCTGAGAAAATAATATTTCGTAATTCATCTTTAACTGAAAAAGAATTCAGATTCCAGAACTTTGTCAAGATTGAAGTCACCTAAATAGCAAAGTTAAGGTATAAATGTTTACAATGCGCAAGAAAAATATAATAAATTATCAACCTTTTTCCGGTACATCCTTTAATACTGCTTTCATTACATCGTCGAAAATTTCTCTTTGATTCACATTAAACCCAACGACAGAGGATTTAGTTGTCATTTGTTCCGATAGATTATGAAGAATAGGATATTTATGTAATCTAACAAACTCCTGACGGCAAATCTAATAAAAGATATATGATTTTACAGTTCAATTTTAATACTTCACTGATAATAGGTAGTAGCTAACCTTATTCATTACGGACACATCTGCTGCATGTGTCCAATAGCAGTCATGCACTGATACAAATGTCCTTCCGGCTCTAAAACACTGTAAAGCTGTCAACATCATATGTGTAGAATCTAAAGAATGTATAAAATTTGGAGGATAACCATTTTTCTGTTTTCTAGCATCCGGCTTCCTATTTATTGCAGTAATTATTATATTAAAATATATTTATAGGATATGTATTTTATAGTAAATTTTCTATTTACTCTAAATTATTTAAACGTAAACCCTTCGCGTGTTTCTCTAATAGACTGCTGGGCATTGTTGACGGTTTCATATATGGTTGGACAACAGGCCAGCCTAAAGGAGTTTGCCATTCTACCGGTTTGTTTGCTATAACCGATATTATATCTGCACTCAATGTTAACCAATCCTGTATACGCTTCGTGGCAGAAAACATCTTTTGAATGCAAAGCAAAGTCTTTGTTGCCAAATATTGAGATGCTGATTTGCTGTGCGATTGGGGAAAATCAGATAGATCATCTAATTGACGCATTATCTGATTCCATGCCCCGTACCATGTAACTCCGTAAACCGTCGTCATGACGGTTTGCTTTATTACTTTTCTCGAAACAAACCCTTCAAGTAATTTGGCTATTTCCATGCCGTTTTTTAAATCTTTCTTTCTCTCTTCTTCAACCTGTTTTTAAATTATTTATTCAACAATTCCTGTGATAAATATTTCGAAAACAACAAACCAAGTCTAAAACGTCACTATAAACATCTTTAGGTCTATCTGATACAGCCAGGTTGACCGATTCAGCTCCTCCTTGATCCCGTCCTAGGGCAGCGTAGTGTTGTAGTCCATTACATGAACCATCTTGATGTACGGGAAAATATGAAAGATACTCTTTAGGATTCTTGGAGTTGATGGCATTTGCAATTTCAATACAGCATGCCAGAGTTTGCCAGGGTTCATCAGACTTTGTCCACCATTGTTTTCCCTATTATTTTTACATTAACATTAATTTTAAAAAAAGTCGAAGAGAACAATATGTAAATACTTTAAATGGGTTATGCGCCGAATCTAAAATATCTTCCATTATTGAATCAGCAAATTGTAAACGTTCTTTATTAGAACTACGCTTGCGTAGTCCAGTAAGATTGACAAGGTGTATTTTTAACCAATCAAGTCCATACTCTCCTAATTCTTTTCCTTTAGCAAAAAGTAAAATACTTCTAGCCAAATCATTTCCTAAGTGATTAAAATGAGGTGGTACAGCATAAGCGCGTCCTCGAAAATCCAAATTATGTGGGAAATAAAAAACTTTATCTCTAAATTTATTAGCTATAGATAATCTATAGAGTTCTGTGCACCACAATCCATGCATATCGTGTCTTTGCTGCTGTATTTTTTGCCTTTCACGTAAAATTCGATTCTTTTCGGCTGGACTTGCTTTACTGTTTGAAACTTCATTGTTAGATAACTAATTATGAGTTTTAATATTATTTTACTTTGGTATTTCTGGTGGGAGAGGACATGACGATGAAGGAGGAGGAAGATCCAAAGATGCATCTCCTCCTTTGTTGAATAAGTCAATAATTATATCTAAAACAGTGTTGTTGATGCGCCAAGGTGTTGAACTAAGAGAACTTAAAGAGTCTAAAACAGGCTGATATGCTTTCGTAGGCGTGGATTGTAGTAGTTCTTGATGCGTTGGTGAGGACCACGCATTCTTTACTAGTTCAGCTGAAAAATTAATTCTCTTCACTCCTATTTATATCAACATTTTGACTACGTACTCGTTGATAAGAAACTTATTCCATTATTTAGGCTTGTCCATGGAATCGGAGGAATCATGGTCGGCATATCACGAGAATTAAAGATTAATTCTCTGTTATTTACTCTTTCGTATAAACGTAACAAAGTAGGATGAGGCTAATTAAAAATTTACAAATAAATCACCTTGAAAAAGATATACTAATATATAGAGGAACAAACCCTGATCTCTTCCTTGCTGTACGCTTCACCGGGCTTTTGAATTTGAACCGAATAAAATGCTGGAATTTCCTGCCTTGATGACGGTTCCCTAAACATATTGGCATCAACATGAATGTCTGCTAGGATTATTGAATAGAGAAGTTTTCCAACTTGTCTTGTAACAGAATCTGGCCATTTAACGTTAATATTTCTCTGTGATATTTGTATTTAATGGTTATAATCTTAATCTGTAAGATAATGATAATCCATCTATACATATATATATGTTTCACATACCAATGGTATATTACAGCAAGCTTGATCAAAACTTTCGTTCCAAATTTGAGCAAGACTAGCGCTGTTTAGCTTTTCTTCGCACAATTTTCCACTATAGATTTCGTATGCTTGATTCATCTATTGTTGAAAATAAATTACCTAAGTCTAATTTGTGAAATTTAAATTTGTCCTACGTAATTTAGAACTTCATTTTGAGTCTTTTTAAGAGCTTGATATTTGTCATAAAGCTTTCTACCCAGGCTTCGTTGTAATGATGGCAAAGCAGGACTGTACCCCGAGAATAAAGACAGCAAGTTTATTTCCTATTAGGAAAGAAAAAATTCAAGCTTTTTAACTTTACAGCTCTTTGAATAAAAATATGTCTAACCTGCATCATGTAATCAACATAAACATCCGCAGGAAAGAGTTTAAAATAAGGTAGTAAATTTGGTTTAAAGTCACCTAAAAAGCAATATAAAGTTTATGAATATTGAAGGGGTATTATATTTTCGTATACCTTTGTGTTGTTCCCATAGTTGTTTTAATAAACGTTTGAAAGACTTTTTTAGAGCTTTTCTCCATTCTTTCTGCGATTTTTCCAACAAATTTCTCTGTAAATTTCACTTAAAATAATAAGTTATCCATAAATATAATACTTTTACAAACAGCATGTATCATTATTTCATCAGGTTCACTTTGAGGTTGAATTGATGACACAGTTACACTGGAATCTAATTCATTTTTTATTTGATCCGATATTAAAGTATTCAAATCAGCTTTTCTTAAGACACCATAATGAGGATTATCAATATCCTATAGCAAATGTTAAGATTAGCTATATATTCAGAAGGGAAACATTAAAAAATAATTTACCTTATTCAATGCCAATCCTTCTAATATTTCTGGTTCATAAGCGAGCCCATCATTAGACTTTTCCGGAAATTTAGGAGAAAACGAAGGTAATACTAGACGAATTGCCTGAAATAAATGTATAACATGTATATAAGTCACTTAATAGTAAAATATATTTACTAAAAGAATATGGTCTAATTCTTCTCCTTGAAAGGTACAATCTCTTAATATATTTTCCAAATCAAAGTTCTAGAATAGAGCAACAAAATAGTCTTAATTATAGAAAGGAAAACGAGGTATATTTTAATTTACTTGTTCCTGAATATCATTTAAACATTGGCGAATTTCATCTAAAAGAGTTTCTTGTTCTTCTTCGCTTCCATTGATGGACATTCGGCCAAAGCATTCCAAGTAAGCTGCATAACATTGTAGAGACGTTTTTATATCTTTATTACTTTTTAGACATTGAAAAACATTTTTCATATGGCTTGTATCCCTCTGTAAAATTGTACTAATTTATCTAAAATTTCAGTTTAAAACTTTGTTTACCTTCTTGGCTAGGGCATGCAAAAGCGTTTCATACACGTTAATGTCAGTTATATGATATTGCTTTTGAATAAGGCTATGGGTTTTACTTTTACTTCTTGCGTATTCTCCCCCAACAACTGCAAAACTAGCTTTCTTTGTCTGCACAGTAAAGATATCTTCAATGAAACAATTAACAACTATTATTAAAGCCTACCAGGCCACAGCTTATGCAGACGTCTATGTATGCTTTCAATTCTGCATTAAAGGAGTTTTTTCTCCTTTCTATCTCACGATTTACAGCATCAATGATGGAAGCTTTCCGCACATCACTCAAACTTCTTAACCGTTTAAACAACTTAAGGTGTTGTTGAACACTTTCGGATGTTAACTGTTCATTTGCTTCAAGAATTGAACGCAAGCCTGTCATCTCTTTATTTAAATCAGATTTACTTAGAGGTTTTAGGGTTTTTGAGTTAGATGTAAGTAATGTTGTCAAATCTGTTGGATGGAATTCAACATCATCTTCACGAAAGCGGTCAAAGTTTGTTGATTCTGCAGGAAATTCGGATATCCAGTTTTCATCAAAAATTATTTCAGGTTTTGAGCGTTTACGACGTTTTATTTGCTGTTTTGCTTTGTTTTTCTTTGGTTTGGCATGATTTTTTTCAGAAGTATGAATTACATGAGATTCATAATATTCTGAAACTAAAATTAAATAAGGGAAATAATTGGATATTAATCAATGAAGTAACTTTACATATTCGAATGAATCGCAAAATGCGTCGTTCTACTTACTATTAATTAGTTCTTCTTCTTCAGTTATCCTTTTTAAATCACCAGTTTCTTCCACTTGTGCATGTTGACTATAATTTGCAACAGCTTGTCCTAAAATTATAGTATAAGATATTATCTCCTGACAGGTAAAATAAAAAAATTACCATAGGCAATGTTAAACTGTGAGTTAATACGATATCGCTCATTTCGCAATTTTAATTGATTTGAGAATGTTCTTGAGCAATGCAACTTATTAGTAAGAACATTATAGTGGTATACTTTTCTCCCAATATTAAACACATGGTTTTTCCGAAACTGACATATATAACTCATAACTTTTGTAATATTGGACCATGCTTTTAATAGTAAAAAACACTATCAGTTTTCTCTACTTAATTGTCGTCTGCTCTGCGGTTGAATCGAAAGATATTCCATATCAGCATTGAAAGTGAGCTGTCTCATTTTTAGAGTCATACTAAATCTGCGCTTGCAAATGATGTGTAACAGTTTGATTCAAAACTGCCATATTTAATACTACAATAGTTTCATATCTCACTTTGGTTGAAAGTGGTCACGTTGCATTAAAGGATACTCTGAAAAATCCCTGCTTTTGACGTAAAATGGCTGATAACAGTGCGCAACCAGGGTAAATATTATCTTAATTGAGTTTTCATAAAATTATCATAAGTTGTAGTAATTTTATAACTAATGATAAGCTTACAATTTCAACTTTGAATAGCTGTTCAAAAGTCATAGAATACCCAAAAACTGGATTTACAACCATGTTTTCTTGGTTAATTCCAATTATAGATCAATATAATTGCGCAGAAATATAATATTTTGAATCAACATTAAACACTAAAGAAATTAATAATGAGTAATATTGCGTCAGATTTGAAGGAAATGCGCCTTATGCAATAATAACCATTCACCTGAGTTATATAAGAGATTTCTTTCAGTGAGACTGGCATTTCTAAAAAAGCCTTGAAGAAGCAACAAAAGGAAGCTGAAAAGGCAGCAAAAAAAATGGAACGCAAACAACAGGTATTATACAAATAATTTATAATTAAATAGAAATATCTGGAAAAAAATGTTACATTAAAAATTAAATCTATTTTCTTATTCAATTCTTAATTTCGTTTTAAAGAGGGAAGACGCTCAAGCTAGCGAGGAAGCTGCTAAAGAAGATATATCTGCCGGATTATATGGCCAGATGAAATTAATTCAATCAAGCGAAAAACCTCAGAGGAAAATGCATAATATCGGTTCTCTAGATGCTAGTAATGTTGGGGAGAATATATGGCTTAGGGCCAGGTTGCATAATTCTAGAGCTACCGGAAAACAATGTTTTATGGTTCTGAGACAAAAACATTTTACACTTCAAGCTCTACTATTTGTAAATGAGAATGTCTCTTCTCAAATGGTTAAGTTTGGCAAGCACGTTAATAAAGAAGCTCTGATTGATGTTTATGGTCAAGTTATGGCTGTTCCTGAAAAAATTGAAGGCTGTACGCAGAAAGATGTGGAGCTACATCTCCGCCAGGTATGGGTAATCCATCCTTCTGAACCTACCTTGCCTTTACAAATTGAAGACGCAGCCAGACAAGTTAGCGAAAAAGATGGATTGTCAACTGTTAATCAGGATACCAGACTTGATAACAGAATACTTGACTTGAGAACGCCTACGAATCAAGCTATATTTAGAGTAGAAGCTGGAGTTTGTAAACTCTTTAGAGATATCTTAACCGAGAAAGGTTTTGTTGAAATACACGCACCTAAAATTATCTCGGCTGCAAGCGAGGGAGGTGCTAACTTTTTTACAGTTGCCTATTTCAAGAGAAGTGCCTACTTAGCTCAGAGTCCTCAGCTCTACAAGCAAATGGCAATAGCTGCTGATTTTGATAAAGTCTTTACTGTTGGGCCTGTCTTTAGAGCAGAAGACTCAAACACTCATCGGCACTTGACAGAATTCGTTGGACTTGATTTAGAGATGGCTTTTAATTACCATTACCATGAAGTCGTACAAACAATAGGAGATCTCTTTGTTCAAATGTTCAAAGGTCTCAAAAAACATTATCAAGAAGAGATTGATGCAGTACATCGACAATATCCTGCGGAAGATTTCAAATTCATTGAACCAAGTCTCGTTCTTAACTTCTCAGAAGGGGTTCAGATGCTGAGAGAAGCAGGAGTCGAAATGGATGACGAAGATGATTTAAGTACTCCAAACGAAAAACTTTTGGGACGATTGGTTAGAGAAAAGTATGACACCGATTTCTACATTCTAGACAAGTTTCCATTGGCTATTCGACCTTTCTACACAATGCCTGATCCCAACGACCCTAAATGGGGAAATTCTTACGATATGTTTATGAGAGGAGAGGAGATATTGTCTGGAGCTCAGAGGATTCACGATCCCAAATTTTTATCAGAGAGAGCTGAGCACCACGGCGTAGACTTGGAGAAAATTCGGGCATACATTGATAGCTTTAGATACGGATGTCCACCTCATGCCGGAGGCGGAATCGGTATGGAAAGAGTTGTTATGCTGTACCTTGGTCTGGACAACATTCGTAAAACAAGTATGTTTCCCCGCGATCCAAAGAGACTAACTCCTTAAGTTACAGTGGAAATTTCGCTAAAACGATATTGAGTAATAAAAGTGTTATTCATTACAAAAATAAAATGAGTGAGCCATTTAATTCTTTATATCTCTTTTCATAAAAAGGGTCCAATAGACATTCTATATACAGAATATCATCAAATCATTTATTGAAATGAAGTAATCAGTTCTAATTTTTTTTAAAACAAATCAATTTGAACTTAATAAATAAGGTATAAAAAAACACAAGGAAGAAGATTTTTAACAGTTTTACACAGAGTATGGTTTTGGATACAGCTAAATATACTCAACAGGTTACTCAGAAATTGGAAATAAAAAAAGAAAAAATTCATTGATATTGAGTTCTCAATAATAAATTATTTAAGAACTAATGACTAGATAAAAATTATGTTAGAAAAGAATTTCTATATCAGAGTGTGGTTACTAAAAATATAGTTCTGCATTTAAAAATGGGGTAAACAAACTTTTCCTGCAAATAACTCAGATATAACTGTGATCCAAAGTGAGAGAATGAAGAAGATATAAGATATACCAACGGTATAGCTAGTTGGTAGTTGATACGCCTTTCCCCCAATTAAATCCATGTCAAATCCAACAGGAAAGAGAACAGCAGCCAAGCAAAAACAAACCATAGCACTAAAACCTAACCATCTAGCAACTTTAACAACTTTATACTGATAGTAAGTGGCAATCAAGAGTCCTATGGTCACAGTGATTAAAACTATTCCACCACAAATAGCAATAAATGATATAACCCATTCTGGTCGTATTATTGGTTGCATAAAACACTCTTCTGTATAATTGTTATAGGCATATTGAAAGCAGGTTTGTAGTAGACCAATTTTTGTGCTTCCTAGATAAAAGAATTTAGATTTTAAATTCAACTTTACTTCATATACAACGATTTTACCTTCACCAATATTTGTAGTTATCCAATTGGGCATTGATAAACTGGCTATAGCAAAAACATCAGCCATAAAAAAAAGAGCCCCCGAAATTATGTTTAATTTCTCCATGGGAAAATAATTGTAAATTGACTAAAATTTATTGACAAACCTTATAGTTAAATTTATTTATTAAAATATTCTAACAATTATATGTCGCCAGGAGGCGCTGTAAACTATATAAAAATATTTTCGTACAAATTATTTTCTTTATAAATAATATAGTTTGTAGGATAAATTTATATTTATCATTTTAAAATTTAGTTTATTTAATTTTTAAAAGGGATATCCCATTCAACATTTCCGGAATTCCAGTAAACAATTCGATAGAAACGTTCCTCTCATCTGAGTTAGAGTGAACGAATAATTATTTGCAACTTTTAATTACCGTCTTACAAGAGTAACATAAATCTAATCAGAGTATCTTTATTGAAAGTTCTCTGTAAACAACTTTTGATTGAATTTCTTGCATATTTAAAGAAAAAGCGTGATTCAGCATGCCTGTATTCGGTAACAAATTTACGACGAAGAAAACTCAAGCAAGGAAATGGCCCTCTCTATCGAATTTGAATTTAGACTCCAGTGATAAACGTAACGAGCTCGACTCTGGTCCAATTAAAATGACTTTGAATGGCCAAAATATGATATTCGAAAATGGACAATGGATTTTAGGTAGGCCAATATAATTTATTTAGTATCGAAATTTATATCTAACGGATTATTAGATGATGGTTCAAAGAGTGGTAGAGGTGGAGATTCGTCGTTAATTAAGAAAGAAAATGACAGATTAAGAGCAGAGAATAACTTACTGCAATTAAAACTTGATACTCTTATAGATTTGGTAGGTAGTCTTTAATCTAAAAACTTGAAATTCTAATAATTTCTTGTTGCTTCTTGTTTTTTAACAGATGGCTCAAACTGAAGCTGATAGGCAAGTTTTGGAAAACGAAAATGAACAATTAAAGACAAGATTAAAAAAATAGAACAGAGAAGATCTTTCAATATAAGAATATGTTAGTTTCGTTGTATCTCTTTTCTACTTTTCTTTAGTTACGAGAGAATAATTAAGAATATAGATTAGTTTATAAATAAAGACATAAAAGAAAAACATAAATCAATGAAAATATCAAAGAATTTAATTTATAAAACAAATGTTTATTAATTTTTTAAATAAAAAAAAACAGAAGAGACTTTCGCTCAAACTCATTCAGTGATGCTCTTTATTATTATAATACTTCTTAAGATAACATTGATAGAAATATCACAGGCATGTAGGGAATAATTTTAGAAGAAGAGAAGAAGATATTTTCTTGTTCGGTGACTAAAAATAATATTAATTTCATAGAGAATTATTAATTAATTCTGCAAATTGGTCCACTTCCTCAGGAAATAACGCAGAAAATTTCTGACTAACTGTATGAACTTCTACTACAGAATCTTCAAATGCTAAAATCATCTGAGGTTTTCTACCAGGTAAGCCTTGTCCAGTTGCAGAGTGATCATTTGAAAGGCAAAAGGCTTTTAGACTGCAATAAAAAAGAATAATAGCAAAATATGATGAATATAATTAGAGCGGTATACTTTATTTCAGAAATTTTCTCAGTTTTAGCTGGCCCTGAATCAAGCATAGATAAATCCCATATATATAACGTATTCATTTCATCAACTACAAAAAAAACGGAAGGCCTAGATCTGCAGAATTTGATGAACTTGATGGCACGTCCTTCAGTTGTATCAGACCATGATAAAAGGGGGTTTTCTAAAAATTGAGAAAATAGAAATGTACTCTTTTTTATCTCATACTTTGATCTTTAATTTTATTTACCTGATCTTGTATGGTATAAATGAATTTCTCCATTTTCGGAACCAGTTAAAAATACTGGTTCAGTAAACGGTGAAAAGTCAATGCAGGTTACTGTTACTGGTAAATCGGGCATATTACGATAGGCTTTCGGTGGAGCCTTGCCTCCATATCTTATTCCATGAATTATGCATCCCTTGATAAAATTAAAGTAAAGAAACTGTTGGAAAAGTATCATGAGGAACTTACTGTATTTGTTGTAACATAAAAATGACTTGGATCAGAAGGCAAAACAGCAAAATCTGTGCATTGTAGAGTACTACGTAATCTGGTATCCCGCAAAGGTGATTCAAGGTATATTGATGAGCTTTTAATTAATTTAACCCTCCCTCCAGGTGCAAGCCCAAAATCTGTTTGACTTCCGGCAGGATCAGGATTTGAGATTTCGGCGACAACCCACAAACTAACTACACCTGATTCGTCTAAGGTGGCTATTTGAAATGTTAAACCTTCAATACTAGATCCATTTTTGGTGAAACCAGAATCTGCACTATAAACGTTTACAAACAAACAAAGAGAAATTAGATAAACAAAGAATAAAATAAGAAAATGAAAACATACGTATTGTCTGGAGAAATTATTGCAGTAACTGACTTTATTGGCGCATAATGATTATCATTTTCTAAGATAGCAGCTAAGGAACAAAACAAATTTTATACTCTCACTCATGAAAATAAAATAGTTAATTAACACTTTTATGTATTTTTATTACCTGTATTATACGTTGGACCTCTCAAAACATACTCTACTGATTCATCTTTGAAAGTTTTATGAAAATTTGACGCTTCTCTTAAATCCCAAACAACTAATGATCCATCTGACAAACCAGCGAATATAAGAGTTGCTTTATTAGGTGAGAAACACGCGCACATAGGCTCATTTTCACAAGTTAAAATTCTATCATTTAAAAATTACATTTGTTGTTTTAAAAAAATATTCAATAATGAAGAAAAAACAAATTAAGCTACTTTTGTGGGAAAGATGGTTCTCCTACGTTCCACATGCAAATTAGACCTTTTTGATAATTATGATTTGCCTCTTCTTTCTGAAATTGAAAAAGGAATTTGCAGAGAGGACCAAAAGATTTTAACGCGAAAAAAAAAACAAAACAATGACAAACTTTGGATGAAAATTCATGGACAATTATTAGTAGATTACTTTGAGTTGGCGAAAAAGTTGCATATCGAACTGGAAAATCTAGAGTGTGAATAGAAGGACAGGAATATAATTTTACTTTACGAATCATTTGATTTGGCTATATGTCACCTTTAAGAAATTCCAGCTGTGCTAATTGAATATATTCTTCAGAAACTACAACTCTACTCTTTTTTCTTCCCGGATCCTCTTCGGATTTTGTTTCCATTAAATTTTCTTCCAAAAGAGTTAGAACAGCCTATATTAAATTATATATCATAAATGAGATTTTGATTTTTGTTGATTATAAGAGAAATGATAAATACTTGGCAAGCAGTGTTTAAAAATTTATTTAATCTTTTAATATCGTCGGGCTTGGTACTTATTTCATTCTCGTCGTTGCCATCTCCAGTACCACATGCTTTAAAGCCTTCAGGAGGGTGTTGAGACCATTTGTCTCTATAATCAATTTCTTCAGTTTGATTATCTTTATCCGCATTATCTTCATTAGTTTGTATATAAACCTACAGATGTCAAGATTTAAGATAAATTATTATTTAAGCTTCAATGTTTACTTGTTGTGTATCAGCTCTACCAAAACTTCTAATATACAGATCGTATTCGTTGACTGGAGGCATATCAAACATATCCAAGTTTGAGCAATCTAACTCAATTAACTTTAAAAGTTCTTGTCCTCTCTTCTTCGTCTTACTCATTGCCGCGTTTGATATCACTCTTTGTTTAGCAGAAACAAAATTAATAAAAGTTGACCCAGATTTTTCGGGTCTTGTATCACTCTCATTTCCGGATTCTTCGTCGTCGTCCTATTCAAACGTAACAGAAATATCTTTAGATAAAAATGTATTCAAGTTATAGTCTATTAACATAATCATTATCTCTTTTTCTTGAATCTTTAAGCAATCGTTCATTTTCGTCGTTCATTGCTTTCATTAAATCACTCATTTCATTATTCTTTTAATAGAAAGTGTTATAATGAATAAATAGTTTCTTTTTGCCTGTCAAATTTATAACATACCTGCTCATCATTCGCCGAATCATCACCACCTCCGGCATCATCCTCGAAATCATCATCGTAATCCTACGAGATATAAATACAAAAAACTACATATGGTAGACAAATGAGTGAATGAAGAATAGCTAATGTATATCATTCCTACTTACGTCATAATTATCTGCTGGCTGCTATGAAAAAAAAGAACAAAAAATATCAATTTACCTCAAAATCATCTTCGTAATTATCATAATTATTTTCATCCTCATTATTTTGCTGTGAATTGAAAGCGAGTGCAAAAAAAACTATAGCATTGTGATAAATTTCTTCAATTATGACAAACTTTTGCTAGTTCTTCTTGTCGTCTCCTCTCCTCTTCCTCTTGCCTTTCTCTTTCCTAGCAAAATGAGAAACAAGTGTGATTTGTGACAAATTTTGTGATAATAAAAAAAATGTAAAGTATAGTAGAGATATGATAATAAAAAAAAGAAAAAAAAATGCAAAAAACTTGATGTGATAATAATTTAAGGATAAAAGAAAAAGCTTTCAAAAATATCAATTCAAAATTCTTGATTGAAAAAGTTTATGTATGAAAAATTGTTGCTTTTCAAAAAGTTGTTTCATCTTCTTACTGTAATGAAATATATTCAACTTACTTCCTTTTCCTTTCGACGTTTCTCTTTCTTCTCTTCGTGCCTTTTTCTACGCTCTTCGCTTGTCTAAGAAAAATATTAATAATTTATCGAATGGTAGAGATTTATTTCTTTAGAATTTAATACTTCATCTCTCCTATGCCGTCTCCTGTCATCATTATCTTCATTTTCTTTATCTTCTTTTCGCTTACGTCTCTCCTCTCTTTTTCTTTTTTCTCTCTCTTCAGATGTTTCTTCTTTCCTTCTTCTCCGTCGTTCATCTCTCTCCTGAGATGTTTCATCTTTCTTTCGTCTTCGTCTCTCGTCTCTTTCTTGAGAGGTTTCGTCTTTCCTTCGTCTCCTTCGCTCTTCTCTTTCTTGAGAAGTCTCCTCTTTTCTGCGTCTTCTGCGTTCATCGCGCTCTTGAGACGTTTCATCCTTCCTTCTCCTTCTTTTCTCGTCATCATCCTTTCATTTAAAAATTTTTAACTCATATCTATCTCACCGTAAGAATGTTTATCGTAAAAAAAAGCATAGGATACACACCTCGTCTCTATATTTCCGCTCTTTCTTTTCACTTTCTCCCCCCTCCTTTCGTTTTCTTCTTTCTTCTTTTCTCCTTTGTCTTTCTCCCTCATCTTCATCTTCTTTGGGACGCCTCCTTTCCCTTTCTCCATCCTGAAAATTGAGATTGATAACATCTAGAAGACAGTACTGTTAAAACAAAATTTATACATCTTTTCTATGCTTTCTGTCGGAATCTTCGTCTTTTCGTCTCTCCTTATCCCGTTTCCTATCCCTATCCTAAAAAATCAAATAAAATAGATGAAATATTTTAAAGAAATTAAAGAAAAACAAACTACTTCATCTTTCTTCTTATCTCTTTTTTTTTCCCTATCTCTGTCCTCTTTTCTTTCTTTATCTTTTGAAGATTTCTTTTTCTCATCTTTCTGTTAAAGGCAAACAAATTTTAAGATCAAATTTCCCATAGTGCAATGTTAAAAATTCAATCAAACAATTAATAAACCTCACTAGATTAAAATTAACTATAGAAAAAAAGATTTAAACTGGTAAAACACTTGAAAAAAATTATGTTTGTTATATTGTTTTAAAGAGCTAAGTCTATATTATATACTGCAATCATCGGACCCTTTTGCGTCTCTCATAATCGTATTCCTCATCGCTTTCGTCCTCGTAATATTTCTAAAATCAACGAGTTTCATGAATGAAAATTCTATTTACTATTTTATAGTATTTCCATGACAACAAAAAAAATATTGTTTCGTATTTTTATCTGAAAGAAGTAACTACCCTAAATATCAACAACTAATAGGCACTAAACAAAATTCTATTCCAAAATTGGACTTTGATTACTTTTATGTAATTATTCTTTTGTAAACAGTGAATATTATAAACTATAAGCAACTGAAAGAAAGCATCCGTCAATTTCCCCCCAAAGACTTGATTTTAAAGTCTTCCTAGTCCATACGAATTACCTTTAACGAATTCTTCAATTCATCTGTTTTCCAAGTATCATCCAACCTCTGTTGAGTATTAATGGAAGAAAACAGTGCGAACATAAAAATCGTTTTGAAAGGCAGAGCTTATGTTATTCTTAAATGAGTGAAAGGCTTTTAACATTAGGATACAAACCTTTCCGGACGGCATATTTCTTATCTTTTAAATCTAAACACTTTCTTAAAAATTTTCGATTATATCCGCATTTAAAAGTCTTCGAAAAAATTTCATAAATAGAATCTAGTGGTATGCGCCGATCGACAGAGACTACCTAAAAGTGGGGCGGAGGTAATATTACGGCGCTAAAAATATGATATTTAATTAATAGTTATGTTCATATTATATTAAACTTGATATTCTTGATATGCATATTTTGTAAGGTTTTTTACTAAACGCTGATCAGAACTTTGTTTATTTCTCAACAAGAATTTTAGTATTAATAATTAAGATCACATTTTTCAACTTGACTTGGATGCTATAAGCTGATTTATAAACATTTCGATGATTTGTTTTTAGAATTCTACATGAATTTCCAGCTTCTTTACAAAAATGTATGTTTTATAAGAAATTCCATAGTATTTCGTTCTGTAATGATTACGTACGATTTAACTGTACATATATTATATATATAAAGAAATCAACATATATATACAAAAGAACAACAGTACTTAAAAAGCGACTTTCTTTAAAAATAGATAAATATTTGCATCTACTTCAAAACCGTGTAAATTATTTGCATCGCCTTGCAATCTCATAAGAAGTCCACCGTACGAAACATAAGCTGCTAGTCTTCCACTGTCTTCGTCTCCTTCAATTCTATATACTTTTCCAAACATAACATACTCAAAACTGTCAGCTCTGGAAGGTCTATTATCTGATGGATCATATTCGTCGTCTATGGTTCCATCTTCTCTTAAGCTGTTGGCAAGAACCATACGAAATTTATCTCCTAATGCTAATGGGTATATTTGAGTGTTGACGTCCAGAATTAAGTCCATTTTAAACGACTCAGATTCAGCCAATATCCTTGAAACGCGGTCGAATTTTCTGCCATCAGGATCCAAATCTTTAATCTATAGTCAATTTCCCAATATTACTTAATTATTGTTTTCTTTTTACATGTTTGATATCAATTAGAAGGATCTTACCTCGAAAATATCCTCGAACAAACTGGACATATTATTCGATACGAATCACTTGTTATTAAGATTTTAGGCTTTTGAAATTAGGAATAACACTTATTCTGAGAGTGCACGGCGTTTTGGCCGGGAACAGAAGACTTCCGGTTTAGCACCAATTAGAAGACTTCCGGTTTAGCAAGGTAAAGAAAACGAATCATCAATGATCTTACAACTACTAGATAAAAAATATAATTTCAATTGAAAAATTGTTTACTCTATGCAAAAAATATTTAATTAATTAAAATTAATACTAAATTAATAAAATACAACTATAATGAAAATATTTTTTACGACAGGCGTTGTTTGGTTCTATCGTTTACATGTAGCTATTTATACATACTAGGTAACTTTGTTGAGCAGTGACGATTTCGAAAATTGTGTTCAGTCGAGGGTGTGATAAGGCTACAAAGATACAGAATGTCGACCGAAGGTGCAGATAAAGTTGGAATGTCATTAGGTACGGAAATTTCGAAAGCCGATCGAAAATTCGTGAGGGTTAAAAATTTCGCTTCCCTTAGATGAGATAATAAAGATGAACAAGAAGCCCGGATCGAAAAGAGGTAGAGGCAGAGGTAGAGGAAGAATGCGTGGAAGAGAACGTGCATCTAGCTCTAGAGGCAGAGGTGGTAGAGGAGGAAGGGGCCAGAATGTTAGAGGCACCAGAGGTCGAGGTAGATCCTTTCGTGGAAGAGGTAGAGGAAGGGGTGCATCAAAAAACATGGACACCTCGGAAAGTCCGATTCGATCATCGTCTGCTGGAGAACATGTAGCTCGTGGTAGAGGTAAAGGAAGGGGAAGAGGCAGAGGACGTGGACGTGGGGCAGGACGCGGTGGAACCCAAAATAAGACAGCATCGGCTGCACAAATTGTGGCCAGGAAGCGAGTAGTAGCTGCAACTAGAAGACGAATGGGTCGTGGATCTAAGACTGTTCAGCCTCAAGCTGGCAGTCGTGTTAAGGATGCTCGACAAAAAATATTAGCTGCTCAAAGGGGTCTTCAAGTACGACTATTTTTTTTAAATGAGAGAAATTTTACTAAGAACATATTGTAGACAAGCGGAATGAGAGAGTCAGTAGGAGGAATGCGATCAGATGCAATTGTAAGAGGCCAAAGAGGAAGAGGTAGATCCAGAGGAAGAGGACGTCTCATGACTGTTAACATAAACAACACCAAGTTTGTTCCTTAAGAATTCCGTATGATCTCAAGAGTCATTGTAAAAGTTAAATTTCAAATGTTGTCTCTAGACCATCAATTGATGTGCAGCTCAACTCACGAAACTGGAGAGGAAGAGGAGCAAGAGGACGTGGTCGAGGAATGAGGGGGAGAGGTGCCAGTCCAAGAGGAGGAGTACAAGATAGAACAAGAGGACGAGGTAGAGGTCGACGAGGAGGCCGTCTCAGTAGGGGTAGTATTACTAGAATAAAGCAACAAGTTATGGAGCTCAGCTCAAGAGGTAGTCGGTCAGAAAATTTCTCATACAAACGAAGCGATTTTGGTCGAGCCCACGTAAGTCTTTACATTTTATTAAAATTACATATGAAGTAATAAACTCTTTAAAATAGACCGGGACAAGTTTAAACGACCGTTTCTCTGATGGATCTCAGCCAAAAGGTCGAGGTGGTCGATTCGTCTTGCTTTAACTCAAGAGGTAGCAGGTGTTGCGAGTGTGATATCTTTAACTAGAATAGAAAACTATATAACTCTTGAAAAGTAGTCCCGATGAACTGTTATGATTTTTTATTTCGAATGCATGACCATACTGTCCATTTTTATGTATATAGAGGCAAATTGTCACTACTTGTGATATTTTTGAATTAAGAATGCATGATATCTTTTGACAAACGATTAAAACATTTTCACGTTTGGAAATTTGTTAATTAATTGTTTATTACTCTCATTAAACATTTCATAACGCACATTTAGAGGTTTTTAACTTCATCTTCTAACTTCTTATAGACTTTTGATTCCTGGCTTGAAATCTACGTAAAGGAAATTAGTAAGATATTAAATGTAAAAAACAAATGATCGCTTACAATTCTAGCTTGCTTGTTGGATAAGTTCAATGTTTTCTTATTCCATTCTAAAAAGTTAAAAATTCTTTCGTCAAGGTTTTCTTCAATTCTATTTTTTTAAGAAATAAGTTAGTTGTGTATTCTGTACGTATAAACCTTCTTACTGATTGAATTTTAATCTAGCAGCTGTAGTTGACCCTTCACCAGCGAGGAAAGACACGTACTGTCTTATTGTTTCATTTACATGTTTCTATAAATAATTTTTTGATGAAGTAAAATCACAAATTAAAAACAATTATTACTTGCAAAAGGCCTATTTCGTATAAAGCGGTACTCTCTGGATGACAATAGTCTGGATGATCGGATTCAGGGGTATAATTAGAACCTATCAACTCATTATCAGTTTGCAGGAGATGTAAGGCCCTTGAGTCCAACTGTATGTAAAATATGAATGAGCTGCAATTCATTTATCTATTTGATGTACATACGTTCAGAGCGTTGTGTAAATTTTGAATGATTTTAAAAGTAACTCCACAATCTTGTTGCAAACTAGCAGTTGAAAATCTTTTGATGAAAGACAAAAATCTTGACAGTGGTACCTGGAAATTTAGTTGAAAATAATTATTCTTATCTATCTGCCATAAACAAAAATGCTTTACTTGTTTTCTTCTTTTACATATCATTTGTTCGAAGCAGTTTAGAAGAACATCCGAGATGTCAGATTTACTCACTATATTTAATCAACTTGCAACGTGAAAAGTAAATATTTTAGAATCAATACTTACAATCATTTACTTTCGGCAAACACATATACAGATGAACGTAGAATGCAATAGGATCAATATTTAAAGTATCTCCGACACTGGATAGAATAGTCATTGCAGTATGAATACAATGCAACGATTCAGTTAATCCAAGGTCCTTTGTAAGATATTCAAGTTGTATTATTTTAAAGGCACTGAAAATAATAACTTACTACTTCTTCTATCAATTGTTTGAGAAGATTAAATAAATCATCAAAGAAGTCCAAGTTTATTAGATGAGCAAATCTAATAGAAGAAAAATATATTCCAATAGGTTATAAACACTAAAGTAAATTTAAATAAATTAAATACTTCGCTAAGCCCTCTAAGACAGCTGCTAACAAGTTCGATTTAACGTGAAACTTAAGAATGCGAAAATAAGTTAAGAAAACCAATTGAATAGTTTCAGTTTGCTTTAAAAAAATAAAAAGAAAATATTTTAATGAATTTCATGTCGTGCAGGAAATAATTGTATAAATCACTTACAATTTTTCCCTTTCTTTTATTATTTTCTTCAACACCAGCTTCTTCTAGTTGTTTTTCTAATTCTTGAAAATTTTTCTGCCTCTATAAAACACAAAACTTTTGTATTAAAGGCTAATGGATTTAAGAGAATGTACCTTTCTCTCTCTTTTAGACATAGCTTTCTTTTTCCTAAGTCGTTCCTCTTTCGTCTCCTTTTCTTGACTCTCCTTAATAATACTTTCGGATAAGCGAAGAGAAAGAAAAACATTAAGAATTCGAGGATGAATATTGAAATTTCTTTTCTTTATTACTCTTCCAATAAACCTAACAGCCTAAAATAAATATATGTTTCAAGAGTAACAGGTTTATCTTTTTTATCAATGAAAATCAATTTACTTCTAGTGTTACTTCGCCACTTTTATCTTGCTTGAACAGTTTCTTTATATATTCGCAAGCTGTTGTGGCCATCTGAAAAATGTTACTTTATTAATATAAAATTCACCTTAATTAACCTGTTTGTATAACCTTTGCATTTGAAATAGAACATACTGGAACAATTGTTGAAATTATTTCAGTCCGAAAATTAAAGTGAGGATGATTGACAAGCATTTCACCTAAGCATTGAAGAGCTATCCCTTTCAAAGTCTAGAGAATAAATTTCAATTGAAATACAAATTAATTCAATTTTATAACGAAGATGCCAACCTTATAATCTTCCGGGGAGAAATCTTTTTCTTCAGTTTTACTCTTTTTCTTCTTAACTGGATTTTGCCCGCGCATTAAATTAAATTGAACATCTAAGAATTTCTTATAGAGATTAAGAAGTTGATCTTCAAATGACCATAATTTTTTAGTTTCTTTCTTGGCCTTTTTAAGAAAAAAATCAAAGATGAGTAACCTTTTAATTTTAAAAAAATCTTTATATTTAATACCTTTTGTCTAAGTTCAGATGATGTCGCTCTTCGAATTCTATATCCAGGTGTAATATCTTTGTAAATTTCCGACAAAGATAATAGAACAATTTTATAAACTTGAGTACGAATTCGATAATGAGTTGTGTCCAACATCATTGTTAATTCTCTCAAAGATTTTATCTATATTAAATTAATTAAGATGATAAAAAATGAGATTTAGTTTTAAAAATATTTAGTTTACATTCTCCTCAGGATTTTCTATAACAGAAAGCGATAATTTAGCAACGTTTATTTTTATTGCTTGAACTTTCTTCGCTCTCAGAGCATAAATTTGCGCGCTACTTAATCCTATCTCATCATCAATTTCAACTTTCTCCTCTTCCGTGTTATCCTTTTCTTCGGCATCTTAAAAAGAATAATTAATTCACAGTATTTAATTACTTTTCTTAATAAATTACAGACCAGACTCTTCATGCTCTTCAACTTCAACTTCTTCTGTACGTTCTTTAAGACCTCTGCTAGTCTTTATCGGAAGGAGAGCTTTCGTCTCTAAACGCGGTTGTTTTAGTCGCCTACTTTCATACTTATCTTCCAAATTCGAGTCGTTTTCTACCTCATCTTTTTTCTTTTTCCTCTTACGTTTATTAGAGTTTTGCTCCGTGCTGTAAATTAAGAACTCTTTGATAGCTGTTTTTTGTGGATGAAAATGAACAAAACTTACGAAATAGCAGATAAAAAATCCAAGTTTCTGTTCTTTGAATCAAAAAATTCATAATCAGCCTCCTGAAGCGGAATATCCTCAGCAAGTGGTTCAATTAATCTCGTATCCCTCTGTTCCTCAGGCTTTGCATTTGGATTAATACGTTCTTTTAATAGTCTAATTAGCTTATTTTTGGGTAATTTTTTTTTTAGTTTTCCCTGTTTGGCTAATTTATTAAGATGTTTATTGGAGAGTTTTGCTGCTGATACTTTTGTTTGCTTCCTCTTTCCAAATGATTTCGCTTTTCGCTTCTGAGAGAAAAAGTAAATTAATCACTATCTTAATTCTTTAAAAATACCACTTAATTTATTTAATATAGCAAGTCATGATAATAAGGCCAAAAAGAAACACAACAATTAATCGACATCTTTGAATATAAATTTAATGATCTTCAAAGTGGTTATCGAATGTGCAATGACAATAGCATAAGGCAAATTATTAATACAAATATATTTTAATAAAAGTATGTTAAGATCAATAGCAATAACTGGGAAGATGCTTTGACGTTTGATTCAGTATATACAACACGTGGAGAAACTACCTAATTATCGCTCATACTATACTTTTGTAAATAGTATGGTTTAATTTGAGAAGTTAATTGAACACTTTGCAGAAATTTATTGTTATATTACAATATTAAATATTATATTATTTCAAGCTCTATTATTTGAAGAAAACTACAAAAAAAACAATAGCAAATACCGACCATATTCAGATTATTCGCACGAAAAGGTAGCTCTAAATTCGGAACATCATTTTGTCATATTTTGGAATCAGCACCACCTAGGTGAAGCTTGAATAAACAATGAAGCGCAATACTCTTTCAGTAACAACTGGTTCAGCCGCTAGAGGTGAAGTTTCAGTTCACCAAACTACTAATCTTATCATAAGTTCTCTTGCAATACAGTATTTTATTTCAAAGCTAAATTAATAAGATAATGGTCATTCCAGGCTCTTGGAGAGATTGTCAAGTTTGTTAAATTAATATATCATATCTTAGCAGTTATGAAAAGTTAGTCTCAATATTAAACTAAAGTTTTTTAAAAAGGCTTGGAAAGCTGACGGAATTGAGCTATCAACAACCAATAATGAAACTGCAAAACTGTACGATGCAGCCCTCCATCAAATAATGAGTTTAACAAATGATCCAAGTTTAGGAGGCCTCCCATCAACTATACAAAGAATGGTGGAAACAGATCCTAATTTCCTAATGGGTCAATTATTTAAAGAAATGTCTTCGATTGATGTTGTAACACCCGGTGAGGAGACGATTCAAAATCTAGAACGACTACGAGTCATTGCTCAATCTAATCGAGTTGCAAGCTGGGAAAAATTATGCTTTGAGGCTGTTGAACACCAAATTTATGGGTGCGCTACGAAACTGATTTATAGTAGTAATTAAGTAAAGGTTATTCCCTTTTTAGGAGGCAGCTAGAGGCATCCAGAATTTACGAACGAAACTCTATGCTGAATCCGAACGAAATATTTTCCATCAGCCGCTTATTCGTCTTAAACATTAATACTGGATATAGTGAACAAATGAAAAATTCCCTTGGCTATGCAGTTAATGCGTATAGCGAAAAAAAACCGCTGTATAACTATCTATTAGGCAGGTACGGATTTGCCTTAAATGAATGTAATAAGAATTCAGAAGGAGAGAAATGGGCAAGAAAAGGATTAGATTTAAACAACGGTCGAGATCCATGGGCAACCCATGCTGTATCCCACGTCCTATTAGATTCCTCAAGATCGGCCGAAGGTATTCATTTTCTTCGTAGTACAGAAGCAGATTGGCGTAAAGGGGACATGTTTTTGGGACACAACGCCTGGCACTTAGGTATTTTTTACGTTGAAAGAGGAATGTACGAAGAAGCTTTGGAATTGTTTAATGATACGGTAAAAATTAAGAAACTGTTTAATGTTTTATTCGTTTTGTTGATAATTTTTTAGATTTGTATAGAAGCTTGTAAAAATGAAGCCATGTTATTTCTGAACGACGCAGCTTCCCTCCTATTTAGGTTAAAAATGGAAGGGTTAAATGTTAAAGAAGAAACTATAAAAATATGCGAAGTATTTAAACAACACGCTTTTAAACATACCAGTATGTTTGATGATGCTCATCTATTGCTAACTTGTGGTTCAGATAAGGAGTTTTGCAATCAAATACTTGACAGTGTGGAGAATTTCATACAGTAAGATAATTTTATTATTATGCTATCATTAATTTTTATCGTTAAAATAGAGGAAATTCGGGAAAGTATCAGCAAGTAGTTGCTAGAGAAGTTGGAACGCATATTTTAAAAGCTATTGTTGAATATGAAAATGAAGAATATGATAAAGTAGTCGAACTCCTCCTTCCTGTTCGCTATGAGATTTGGATGTGTGGTGGAAGTAATGCTCAGCGAGATATCTTTCACTTAATTCTCTTATCGGCTGCTTCCAAATCAATATCTTATCAGGACCTTGCTAGGTTAGCTTTCATACAAGCACACAAACTCGAACTAAAAATGATAAACTATAACTTTTATAATAGGTCTTTGCTCGTTGAAAGGACGAGCAACAAACAGACATTGGAACTAAACGGAAGATGGCTTCAACGTTTAAGTTTATGAAAGTAAAGAGAAAATCAAAGAAAAATACCAAGCACATTACTGCAAATATGCTATATGTTATTTTAAAAACACGAAGGTCAATATACTAGTGAAGCAATGTGTTCTTTAAGATATAATTACACGATACCTATAAATTAGATATTTTAAGAATTTAAGAATTATGCAAGTAAATGTATACCTGTACATGATAGAAAACAATAGAGGTTAAGTAGTCATATTTTTAGTTACCTGATGTATACGGCCATACGACGTTACAAGCACCGGTTCTCGTCCGATCACCGAAGTTAAATGACGTACGGCCCAGTCAGTACTTGGATGGGAGACCGCCTGGGAACACTGGGTGCCGTATTCTTTTGTTCATTTCTTTTTTTAAACATAATACTTTATATACTTTTCAGCTATTCTGTAATTTGGAACTAATCTTAATATACTATATCTAAATATATTGCATATTTGTTTCTAAGGTACTCTATACGATTTAGACATATATATATAAAAATTCATTTTATTTTGAAGTAACTAGAGGAAACATTAAAAAAACTAGGTTTCATTTCTGTTCAATAGAAAATCAGAAACTTTCTCATAAACAACAAATGTTATACAGCATGCAGGCGTCACTCTTAACAAAGCTGGAACTATGCCCTTATAGAAACCGATTATACCTTCCAACCTGTAAAAATATATAAGATAATTTAGCCAGTAGAAGTTTTTCATAATATAAATTTTTTGATAAATATAATTTCTAAAAGTCAAGTCATTTTGTTTCGCAACGTAATAAGTGTATTTTATTAGAGAGTATACGATATCTACTCCAACAACGGAGACAACTAAACAATTTACTTAAAAAGAGTAAAGTTATTTCGATATTATTTTGCATCTTGGATCTCTCGCCCAATTACTTAAATTTCCTAAAGCGATAAATCAGATCGAGAAAAATGTTTTCGGTCAATTTATAGAATCATTTCCTGCTTGTTACTTTTTCGTAAACAAGAAACACAATGCAAATATTAGGAGTAACGTGTAACAAATAAGGTGATAGTCCCTTGAAGAAGCCTCGTAAACCTTCCAACCTGAAAAATGATTTACACAGGCGATGTTTGTATCACTAATATCCTAAAATATTGGATAGACCTAAAGTATTACGGAAATTACACTTACTTATAGGTTTGTCTAATAACATCCATAACTCCAGCATATTCCCTGTGTTGATCCTGTAATCTTGCCCTCACGACTTGATATGGATAGGTAGTAGATGCAGCGAAGATTTTGGAAAGAGCGGCAAAAGTTAGATATTCTACAGAAGTCTACAAGAAAGAAATAAATTTGTTAAACATAGCTTCTTTAGATGAAATTTGAAAAAAAAACTTACAAATTTTGCATCGGGAGGGGCATTTTTTTGTTTATTATAAAATTTTTTCAATTCTTCATAAGCCATAAACTGAAGAGCACCATGAGAAACACCAAATAAACCAGGTATCAGGCCTCTGTAGAGGCCTTTAACACCTTCGTGTTTGTAAATTTTTTTTACGCAATCGAACAATCCCCTATACTGTATAAATTTAGTATGTTTATTTTCTCCCATCGTTGGTCTTGCGAGAGCATCGTATTGCAAACACAAACGAGTTTTTGCAACCCATATTGGATTTGTCAGAAGTAAGGTTAATGAGCCTAAATGGTAAATTAAATAATATGTATTGTTTTTAATAGGGAAAATATAGAAAGCTACAAACCAGCTTCGCTGGCAATTAGCATATGAGATGGAGCGGAGAGAGTTTGAACTTGGTTCTTTTCCATAAGGTGTGATTTGAAGGAGTTATAACTAATTAATAAAAAAAGCTGTTAGCTTTCAATTTGATAAGAGTATCATGAATTACAATAAAAAATATAATCCCCAGCTGGATCCTGCACCCCAAACATTTGGAGTTACTCCCTTGTATAGTCCACTCAATCCCTCTTGCCTGGCAATTGAAGTTATTGCATGTAAAATTCCTCTATATTGGGGTCGTTGTAATGTAGACCATCCTTCATCAACTGAAAGAATTATCAATTCTTTATAAATTGGCCTTAAAATGACGTATTTTGTACTTCATATATTATTTTTAGATTTTATTCTTTCTTGTAACTAAGCCAATATCAAACTAGTACAAACCTTGAAATCGTATTTTTATGAGATCTAAAGGATGCAAGACAAGAGTTGATAACACTCCACCACTTACTCCAGCGGCAAGATGCTCCCATTTTACATTCATTAATTTTCTCTCTTTATCGCTCGGGGGAGAAGGGACAAACTTTTTCCTTTATTCAACATCATGCAATAAATTAAGTTAAAAACAACGTTGATGTTTTATGTGCAACAAGCATGTATTAATAGCCCTAAGGCGTATAAGATTCTCAAACTGTACTTGCATTCAGTTCAAATACTGATTCATAACATTAAGGTCAAGGTAGACTTAGATTTGAGTTAAAGATCTGGGACAATAAATTTTCTGACTATGGGAAAACTTGTACCACGTGTTTTGTAGCCAAAAGGTTTTTGTTCACAGTATTACTGATTTGTATTCAACACCAGGTCGTTTAACGAAACTCTACTAAAATCTAGAACATATGATTGAATTTTTAACTGTTCTAATTGCAGATTTTTTTAATGGTAATATAAAGAACATAAATGCTAGCGACTAACAAAAACAATCGATTTTGTTTCGAAATCCATTATCCTAACTTGCTAGTTTCTTTTACGTCATAGTTTGAAAATCTTTATTGCCTGATATAGTAAGATATATATGACGTTCTATTTCTTTGAGTGAGCATTATTAATTACATTAGCTCAATTTTTAATATGTTTTATTTATGAATTGTCAACGACATCTATAAAATTAATAAAATAATTTTTCCAGATTATGTAACAAAAAAACTAATCTTCATTATACAATCATTCTTATAAATAAGAATTCTTTATTTACCTTTAACTGAATTCTATATTCTTACAATTCCTAATGGCTTAGTTTTAATCACAAACAAAATCTAAAATGATCGAAAGTTCCCGAAACCAGACTGAGCTGGTAACCAGTCTAATTTGTCCTTGAAAATATTCCGCTTCCTCAACAGCACATGACAGTTTGAATTAAGTCATTTCGTAGTTAAATATAAAAAAAAATGTCGTTTGAAAATAAAGGTACATTTGGAAGTTTGTTTGGAGGCTATTCATCCTCCGATCCAATGATGAATGTTCCAGGTAAGCAAAAATATCAAAATGATTCTCTAAGTGCGTACGGTTCTCTAATTTCGATGCGACGTCATTTTTCAGTTACCTCTTCTCCAGCTTCGTCTGTTGTTTCCCCATACTTAAATGTCGATCCAAGTATTCTTGGTGTCGGTGGTGACTCTCAGTTTATTCTCCCTGAAGGACAGAGTCACACTAGAGGTCGTTTCGAGATGGCATTTAGTCAAATTGGTGGAAGCGTGTTTGGTGGAGCTGTTGTTGGAGCAACTACAGGTTTATTTCGCGGAGTTTCAAATACTTCTCAATTACAAGGAGCCATTCGTCGAACTCAACTCTTGAATTATGTAACGAAACAAGGAGCTTCCACTGCTCAAACACTTGGTGTCGTTGCTTTTATGTACAGTGGAATAGGTGTCATCTTATCAAAAGTCAGAGGAGCTGACGATGAAATGAATACGGTTGCTGCAGCTACACTTACCGGTACTTTATTTAAGTTGTCAGGAGGCCTTAGAAGTTGTGCTAGAGGAGGTCTTGTTGGATTTGGATTGTCATCAGCTTATTTGTTAGTTACTAGACTCGATAGAATAAAGCAAATAATGGGAATGAAATAACTTTTAACATAAAAAATATCGTCCATTTTTTGTTTGTATTTTTGTAATCAGAAGAACATGTGAAAATATATGTTTTATCACACACACATTGAATGTACAAACTGATATATAATTATGTAAAATACAACAGTAATATATCCATAAAATATATAAATAATTTCATATATATTTTCACAGTTATTTATTGATTTTCTTTGTACAAGTCGAGCATTGTCGACAGAGACATATATTTTTTTATAATGGATTTTTCTATTAAGTCTTCTCTCAGGTGTATACTTTGACTTAAAATTTTTCATCCCAATGAACATCTACAGATAACTCACTACTGGGGAAATGCTACTCCATAGAACTTATGACCACTACTGTTAAAGCATTTATACGAACAGAGTAAGGCTCTTACGGGCAAGAGAGGTGGTTTATTTCCCCCATGTCTTGGGGTAATTTTTAATGTATTTATCTGCAGAAGTTGATTTATTTATGTTAATAAGACATAGTTATAATTGTTTACCTGCTCTGAATCTATGAATCGAACGCACTCAAGCCATGTATTAAGGAATGCTTCACCACATAGAGCACATCGTGAACTCTGAGAAAGCATCTCTCTAATAGCTGGATAATGTCTAATACTCCTGCGAAGATATGACCATCTATCTTTTAATTCTTTCATCACGAAACGAGCCGCAATTTCCTATTGAAAAAAGTTATGTGAAGTTTAGTGAAATGCTCAAAGCAGGCTTCTCTAAAACCTTTAAAGACAGAACTTCCTCTTCTTGGATGCTCTTGACAGGCATATGCTTCAAAAGGGGATTTTCCTCCCAATAAAACTCTTTTAAAGGAAGTTCAATAAACTAAAAGAACATAGGGATTCAGTAATCAATTAATGGAGATATTATTTTAGTAAATATTATTTTACTTCTGTTGGAAATATCCGAAGTTCATTAGCAGCAATATCTAATACTCTTAACTTGTAGCATTTACCTAAATTCTAAGGGAAGACATAAAAATGTATACACTTCTTAGTTGTATTATGGAATCACTAACCTCAGGCAATTCTTTTAGTTTATTCATTGCTAAGTGAAGTTGTTCTAAATTCATTAGAAATCCAAATTCTAATGGTAAAGCTTGTAGTTTATTACAATTAGCACGGAATTCTTTTAAATTCATTAAGGCACACATTTCAAATGGTAATTCAACTAATTCATTATGTTCAACACTTAATACTTCTAAATTAGCTAATCTGTAACAAATTTATATAAGATACATCCCGATTGTACTTTCTTTAGTCATTACCTGCAAATTTCTGGCGGCAATGTTTTCAATAGATTATGATTGAGGTTAAGAACTGTTAATCTATCAAGATTATCTATATTTTAAAGGGTTTTTATTAATTCATGTTAAGAAATTATGGAATCTTACTTAAAACAATTGGATTTAAAGATGTTATATTGTTGGAAAAGGCATGCAATTTGAGTAAATTAATACAATGTCTTAAAGCTGATGGCAGATCTTCGAATTTATTATTTCCGATATTTAAAACTTCTAACTGTGTTTTTTAGTTTTATTAATCAAATATTAATCATACATTAATAAATAAAATTTTATTTTAAAATAGATGTTATGACAAACCTGTTCAAGTTGACCAAATTCATCAGGCAATTCACTCAATTGGTTATGCTTTAATTCCAATTGCAAAACTGACGTTAATTTACCAACAAGTTTAGGTAATTTTTTTAAATGTTTATTATTTAAGTTAACATTTTTGGGCTGAGATTTAAGTGCTTTTAAAAGTAGTATATCCGACATTTTCTACTGGTTTCTAAGCAAGCGCATAGAAATGCGAAATATGTATTTTTTATACCCGTTTTTGTTCAACAGATATATATTTTACAAAGTTATTTAAACTTAGCATATTTAAAAATATGTATTTTTTTTATTATAAAAGAAATATTTTTGATCAAATAACAAATTTTAAAAAAAGCAACTTAATTATGACAAAAATGAGAAAAAATTACAAAATAATATTTTTAGCTGAGAAACGCGCCAAAATACTTCATTAAAAGAATTAAATTTTTAAAGGTAATAATTCTCTAAAAGAGTCAATCAATATAATAATCAAACTAGTGACACGGGTAAAACATTTCATCAAGTTAAATTAGAGAAGTTAATGTTATGTACAATGTAAAATGTGTATAAATTTTGAAACAATCGATTTCAATGAAGATCATTCGAAATAGAACAATTTGCAATTGGAACGTTTTTTTTTGTCGCTAGAAATAAAACAAATAAAATTAGAACTCGCAGCGAATTGTATATAAATTACAATTATAAATACATACAAAAAGTACTAAATTATGTATTAGGTACGTGTTTCCAAAAGATAATATAGGATAATAAGAACAAACGTGTTTGCTGTATCAGAATAATGAGATTTGCTTTTTCTAAGATGAATTGGATAGAGAATGATTATATGTTTTAAACTAAAAGGTATCTGTGATATATTTTGCTGAAATTCCCTATTTAAATTTTACTTTTAAATAAAGCAGTTTTATTTTAAAATGCTATTAACAAAAAAAGAGAGCATTGAATATGCTGAAAGAGAAATGCAATACTTGGAATACTGTCACCAATCAAATTTGCATATGATGAAACATCATCGTATATAAGTCACCAATTTCAAGGAAAGACAATAAATAGGCGAAGCCTGTTTTAAGCCTATTGAGGGTAGAGAAAAAAAAGAGACAAACGCCTTTCATTTGTATATCATCAACGCGCATGCGTACTCCATCCGCCGACGTCCTTTCTATTAATTCCATTCGGTTCTTATACGCGAAACAACCCTTATGGAATTCTTATGTTCTCAATCTATTCTTATATTGTATTTAACTGCAAAAGTTTTTGCAAGTGGTTCTTTTGAATTTATGCTCTTAAACTCACCAGTGGAAGAAGGAAATACAACGCATCTTACGGTTTGTTTAAAAGAACTTCAACCTAAAATAAGATACGAAGGAAGTTGCTCCTTCGGAAACTCCTCTCTTTTCTCTAAGGAATGGTCATCTCTTGTCACCTTTCACTTTGAATTTGGTTGGAAGGTTAGTTTAATAAAATCGATAGATAAGCATAATATTTTGATGTTATTATGAATTTCAATTAAATTCGTTACACAAAAAAGGATTAAATCACTAATTTTACATAAATATGTTATAAGGGTTAATTAATTAATTTATCCATCTCATTCTCTGGGAGGTAATTAGAATAATTAGCAGCATGTGGATCTAATTCTTCTCTTTTATAAGTGAACAAACTGAAAATAATATGCTCAACATAAGAAAGCAAAGAGAAACATCTAAATAGATAAACAATCTAAAGATGTTTATTTTTAACAGTAACTATTCTTCTAATAAGGGAAGACAAAGAGACAGAGAAAGAGACAGAGATAAAACAGATTTGAAAAAAAAATGTTTGGCCTCTATTAGCGATTGTTCATCCAGATCTAAGGATTATTCATCTTTCACATCTTACTTTTAAATAATAGTCTCTTCTTATATTGCGTTCTTAGAAGAAAATGATGCTGTTTTTATAAAGAATAAGAGAACACCCGGTCGGTTCTTTGCCCTCTGGGACTTGCATGAAAACGTCTAGTGAGCGTCTCTTTTTTTTCCGTTTTTTTTTACTGTTTTTAGAATAGGAAGAAAGAGCAAAAACACTAGGACTCATTATATTCGATCTTTTTGTAAAATATACTTAAGATTGAGCCTATTCCCGTTTGGGATATTCGCCATCTGCACCTGGCACCTCTTTCCGTTTGTCTAACTTATCTCATTCTAAACATATTGTCGTTAAATTATTTATTGGTAAAAGATTAAAAATGTCATGCATCTCTCAACAGAAAACTTTCACTTTGACTATACAAATTCAAAAAGACTCGGAATGGATAGAAAGAACTTATTACTATGGTTTAATCCTCCCTAACAGAAAATGGTTCAATATAAAGCAAAAAGCAATTAAAAGCTTCTTTGGATACAGAATAAGAGTTGTCTGTGATCAATATTATTACGATAGTAATTGTCTGACTTATTGCAAGGCGAGAAATGACAAATTTGGCCATTATAATTGCGATGCAGGTGGAAATAAAATATGTTTAAATGGATGGTATGGAAAATATTGCGAGAGAGGTATATCTTATATAATAGGCATCGCATGTTTAGCGAAAAGGGTTGATCGACTTTAAGCTTATACATACTATTGGATACCGGAGTAATTCTCCGATATTCAAGTATTGACTGACAGCAACTTTCCATCGTTTTGTAAATAAGCCAAAAATAACTTTATATCCTTTATCACTCCTCGGAGAATTAATTCTTGATTTTATTAATATTTGTTCTGATTTAAAGAAAATGTATGCTTTTGTAGCGATATGCAAGACTGGCTGTCTTCACGGATTCTGTGACCGACCTGGAGAGTGCAGGTGGTTTTAATTAAGACAACACTTACTCTGTATAATTGTCACGTGATCCTTTCATTGGCTCCTTTTAGATGCGATCCGGGTTGGCAAGGCGATAAATGCGACAGATGCAAACCGTTTCCAAACTGCAAGAACGGTTATTGCCTAGACAAACCCTGGCAATGCATTTGCAAAAAAAATTGGGGTGGCAGCTTATGCAATGAAGGTTCCTATTATACCTCTATTCTGCCCAAAAATATTAATATTACTATAAAATGTGTTTTTTTTCTTCCCTTAATAACTATAGATTTAGATTATTGTGGAACTCATAAACCGTGTCAGAACGGTGGCCTCTGCAAAAATACCGAAGTGGGTCAGTACGTTTGTGAATGTACGAAAGGATTTTATGGAATTAACTGCGAAAATGGTAAGATAGTTATTCCCAAACTACTTCTCCGCTAATGATAGTTATCATTAATTTTTTAAAATTTAATGAAAAGGACGGTGCTCAGGGGAAGATTGTAGCGGAACAAAAAATTATTGCTGGTGTCTGAACGGTGGCAGTTGCCATCGTACAAATTTTACGGTTAAATGCTTGTGCCAAAATTACTACGGAGAATATTGCCAACATAGAATCGATAATTGCAAAGTTAATCCTTGTTTACATGGGGGAAGATGTTATAATTGGGATAGTAAGTAAGATAATATAACATGTAGGAAATAGAAGAAGGTTATAAAGGAAATAGAAAGATGGAGAAAAGCAGGGAGAAGAGAAAAATCTTCTTCTCATTTAGAAAAATGTTTTTAGTTACATTTATGAAATATAATTAACTTTTCAAACAGCTTACGACTATTTTTGCCGTTGTCCGACTGAATTTACGGGAAAAAATTGTTCAATACCAAAGCCTTTGTTAAGTCTTACACAACCGCCCTGCAACTGCAACGAAAACGAGCAGTGTTTCAACGGGAAGTGCGTTTGTCGCAATGGATTTTCCGGAAAGAATTGCAGTAGGAGTAAGTTAATTATCTTTATCAGCTCCGGTACAGGAAATAAATTACCATAGTAGTGAATTTAAATATTTATTAACTCTATCTATATTTAGAATGTTAAATATTAATTAAGAATTGGTTACTTCTTCTTATTCCAGGCGATAATTTTTGTGATTCAAATCCTTGTTTAAATGATGGTACTTGTATAAACAGTTTATCTACATTCCAATGCATATGTCAATCAGGCTGGGAAGGTTCCAGGTGCGAAGATGGTAAGTTGATTTATTTTTTTAATAATGAAAAAGCGTTAGACGAATTATCTCATCTGTTTAATTCAGAGAGAGATAATTGTTTGGAGAAGCCATGCAAAAATGGAGGCACATGTATTAGCGGTTTTAACAATTTTACCTGTAAATGCCCTACAAATATTACTGGAGCACTTTGCGATGGACGAAGCAATCCAAGTGGAAATTCTAAGAACAATCTATCAAACAAGTCTTGCTTCAGCTCTCCTTGCCTACACGGTTCAACTTGTTTAATTGTGGGCAATGACGATTTCATTTGCATATGTAAACGTGGATTTGACGGGTCACTCTGTGAGAAGTTAACTGGTCACTGTCTATCTTCTCCTTGCCAGAATGGCGGTAGATGTATAGAAAATATTCAATATTATTCATGCGAATGCAAGCCAGGTTTCATGGGAAAATTATGCGAACAAAGTACACATCTATAATTACCTTAACGTATAGCTATAGCTAAAAATTTTAATATAATAGATATCAATGAATGCTTGTCATTTCCCTGTTCGTGGGGATCTACCTGCGTTGATGAAAATGCTTCTTTTAAATGCATATGTCCCTTGGCAAGAACAGGATTCCTGTGTGATAGTAGGTGTTTTTTTTACTTTATTAAATTTGCAGATGAAACAAGATAATCTTTTCATAGTTCCGGTGGAAATCAGCAGCTCTATCGATTGCCATTACAAAAATAAAGTATATAGGAATGATGAAGAGTGGGAAGATAATTGTAATTTATGTTACTGTTCCAAAGGAAAGGTCGAATGTAGCAAGGTAACAGGTCAAGTTAATGAATATGAACAATTTCTCTAACCTTTCATATTATTGAAGTTATACTGCCCTGAAGAAAATTGTGCCAAAGTTTCCTGTAAAAGTGGAGAAATATGTAGTTTAAGACCAACAAAATGCCTAACAAAAAATTGTAAACTTAGAGGAGTTTGTACTAGACTAAATAAAATGGATAAGTTAAAAAATTCTGTTGCATGTGGTGAATTCAACTGTACAAAATTACATTTTTGCTTCAAAGAAGAATTTTTAACGCCTGTAAATTAAATTTCTCTTCTTTTTTTTTTTTTTTAAAAAAAATACATATAATATATTTAAATAACAGGGTTTAAGCGTTGAAGACACTTGTGATAGAATAAGGAAGATGTACGCTGTAAGGAAAACAGAAATCTCCTCTACATTATATATCAAATGTTCCATTCCGCAAAATTCTTTCGATAAATGCTTAACAGTTGAATTCGTAAGTGAAACCTTTTATCTAAATAGAAATTTAAATAGTGTCCGTTATTTATAGATTATAGTACTAGAAGACGACGGAAATAATTTGAAAAAGTTGACTCTTTTATTATTAAAATATTCCACTTTGGAAATGAATATACTCTCGAAACTCGTGATAGATCGAATAGTCCGAACAAGAAATAATACGAGCGTGATGAATCCATCTGCAAAAATTCTCATAATAACTGCAATTTGCCTCATCACAATGATAGCAGTTTTCTGTATCATAATTGTAAATATAGGAAGGAGAAAGAAGAAAAGAAGAAGAAGGAGTTTATCAGAGAGTTTTTCCGATGATTGCCATTATGTGATAAGAAACCCCATTTACGAATGCGCGTCTTCGAATAGTAGTACAACTGTTTCTCTTTTGGATGATAGCGTAAAGAAAACTGTAAAAAGACAGTTAATTGCTTAAGAAAAGTGGACTGTGAATAAAATAATTACTAATTTATTCTGTTAACAAACTCAATTTTGACTTTGTTTGTCAATTTATTTGTAAAACGATTTTTTGTTTTCTTTGATATTGTGAAACATTACCATACGGTAGCGACATCTCTTGTTGTAGGTGATATATACTGTAGTTTTCTTGAAAAATATTAACACGTGTTGTTTGAAGTTGTCCATATCCGTTTCAACACGTAATTTTTATTCAATTACATTAAGTATTTAACATCAATAAGTATTATTATTCTGTTGATTTTTCATTTAGGATAAAGAGTCTATATCCTTTGGAAGATATATCAAGTTTTTAAAAATTTGGTATTTTCGAAAGGTTCTTTTATATCGAGGAAATGGAAGAAATCCTAACTATTTGTCCCATAACTGCTTTAGCTTTTATTGACAATACCGATTATTTATTAGTTGGAGAAGCTTATAACGTTTCCCTTTACTGCACAAATTCAAAAAGTAAATTATTCGAGAAAAGATTACTTGATTCCCATAATATTCATGGATTTCTTGAACAAAAAGAGTTAATACTAGCCTATGGTGGAAAAGAATTAGTTTTATTTAAATTGAACGATAGCTCAATTGAACAACAACAAAGAATCGAGGTGACAGACTGGATAAAGAACTGCTCTTTTATAAATGATCTTGATTACCTTTACGTTGCAACAGCGCACAATTTTGTAGAAATATGGGAATTTACAAGTCAAAATCAGTATAAATTAAAGAAAATCGTCAAATACGAAGATAATTGTATATTATATTCGGCCAAATTGTTTGGATCATCTGTCAATGATGTTGTGTTATTGGCTGGTACCGTTTATAATAAGGTTTTAATTTGGCCGGTCGAATATGAACAATCGGTAATTGAAAATTCGCTGAGAGTTTTAGAAAATCACGACGGGGTTATCTTTTCCATTAATGTAAAAGGAAAATGGATAAGTACAGTCTCTGATGATCGAAGTATAAGATTATGGAAATGTCCAAAGGAAGATAAGAACTTTGAAGATTTTACAATAGAAGATTGGTTGGGAAATGATATAGCTTGTATCCATACACTATACGGACATGGTTCCAGAGTATGGGATTGCATCTTTCTCACCAATAAATTCGTTTCAATAGGTAGATTAAATCAAATTTAATTAACATCTTTTTCGAATTATTGTATTCCTATTAATGTTCCTAGGAGAGGATGGCATTTGTTGCATTTGGGATTATAATGGTAAATTAATTAAGCAATTAAAAAGTCATAAAGGACGAAATATTTGGTCATTGTCTGCAAAGAACGATAATCTAATAGCAACTGGTGGTAATGATTCAAGTGTAAGATTATGGAGCTTGAATTCTATTGATCAAGGGGAGGATAATAAACCAGCAATACTGCATACAAAATTGGAAAAGTATTTTCCTCGGAGTTTAAGCTATCTAGATGCAAGGAGTGTTATTGTAACTACAGACGAAGGGAAGCTAATGTTTTATCACAAGGGAGATAGTAGGCCTCTTTTTGAAGATGACGCTTTCAAATCGTATAGCGTTTTGTGCACAGATTCTAGCAATGGTATTGTAATTGTAGGTAATATCAAAGGAGAGATAATTGTAATATATGGAAAGGATAATATTAGAAAAAAGATCTTCAATAGTAAAATCTATAGTCTAACAATGATTTCGTCGGATGAAGAGGAGTGTCTTTTCATTGCTAACGGAGATGAAGGAAAAATGATAATGTATCGATTAGAAATAACTTCTAATCTATCATTAGTTGAGTTACATAATTTCATATTGCCAAAGTGTAAACAAAGATGGATTACGTGCGGTTGTTTAAATATTTCTGCTGAAACTGGTCTAAAATCTCTTATTTGCGGAGATAGGAGTGGGTCGATTCACGTTTATGACCTTAATTGTACGGTTCGTACTCCTAACAGCTTATTTTTTATTAATTATTTGTTAATTGATTACTTACGGCTATTGTATTCGCAGGATTTATCTCCTTCTAAATCCTATCATAAAGTTCATGGACGAGTGGGCGTTACTTTTATCTCATATTTCTCTAATTATGATTCAATTATCAGTTGTGGCAGAGATGGATCGTATAAGTTTTGGAACCTGGATCCAATCAATTATCTAGTACTAATGAAAGAGTGTAAATGTTTCAAGAATTTCGAGTGGCTGAGCAAGATTGTAACGATAGATAATAATCTATGTATAATAGGCTTTTACGACGAACACTTAATCGTTTTCAATGTGAAAACTAGCGAGATATTATTGAAGGTGCTTTGCGGGGGTGGACATAGAGCTTGGGACATAGATTTTACTTTAGATGAAAATGGGAGACCCACTTACGGGCCAGTTGAAATTATTTTTATAAAAAATCGAAGCGTACTTAGATGTAAGACTGATTTAAAGAAATTGCAGTATATATTAAAGAAACCTAACTACTGTAGTAAAATTGAGGCAATTAAATATTGCTTTACATGGAGGATGGGCGATATTTCGAATCATTACTGCGTAACAGCAGGGGAAGAGAATTTTATAAACGTTCTAAAAATAGCTGAGAATCGGGATAATTCTTTTTCTTATGAAATTTGTGAAGTATTGCAAGGACATTTATCGAATATAAGGTGCCTTTCCGTCCTGAGAGAATCGGACTCGTCTTGTCTTCTAATAAGCGGTGGAGGCAGAGCTCAAATGAAAATTTATAAAATAGAATTCAGTTATAAAATGAATAATGTAATTACTAGAGACCTACTAAGTATTAAAGTGAACGACGATAGTAATTCATCCAATCCCGAAACAAGAATTATGGATATAGATAGTATCTATTTATCTGATGTTAAAAGTTGCGGATATAAATTCTCCGATAAGGAATCAGTTTTATTAACTGCAGCTTGTAGTGATGGATTATTAAGATTATTCGTCTATAATATGGAAACAAACGAAATTAAACAATTGAATACAGTAACATTGGAGAATTGTTTAATGAAAGCCTTTTTCGTAAACACATCAAATGACTTTCTAGCTGGATGCGGAACGGCGAATGGGCAAGTAATTATTTATAGCCTTCAAGAACTATTAGCGAACTATACGGATGACTATGAGGATGAATCTGTCGCTTTAGAAGATTTAATAACAGCTCAAGTACATGAAAATGGAATTACTGCCATCTTTGTTAAATATCTGGACGATGGAATTTTACTAATAACTGGATCCGATAGTGGATTTATCGATTGCTCTCTCTTAAAAACTTCAAACGATTGCTGTAGAACGCTAAAAACGCTTTGTAAGTGGGGTGGTCATAATTCGTCTGTAACGAGCGTCACCTACTCTATGGAAAATATAATATCCGCCTCAATCGATCAAAGAATCCGTTCATGGTCTTTCGAGAGAAAGAACAAAAACACATGGGAATATCATTCGCAGGATTGTAAATATATACCAATTGCCGACGTGTCATCGTCAGCTACTTGGATAAGCGATAATTATTCTTTAGCAGCCTTAGCTGGGTGCGGTTGCACAGTTATCAAATCTAAACTATTCTGAATTAATCATACAGATATTTAAACTTTTCTTTTTTTGGCTTTTCTTTGGAATATAAATATATAATATAATAAGAATATACACTTTTTACAAGTTCTCCTATTTTGTCTGTTAATCTTTATCTATCTATAAGGATAATTCTCTCTCTCTCTCTCTCTCTCTCTCTCTCTCTCGTTTGCTTCTATTTATCATTCTATTTATTATCAATGTCTTCAATGTTGACTTTTAGAATCAGTCTTGGGATTTCTAGTTAACCAGTACGTAGTTACTTCACCTTTTCCTTTTATGGGAATTTCCCCCCTCTTTTCTATGATAAAAGCGGCGTCATTCTTCAAGAGGGCCCTTGTTTCTCCAGTAATGTGTATTCTTAGCGGTTCTCCATTCGAAACCATTCTAGACGCTGTATTTATTGTATCTCCAACTAGAAAATACTTTGGCAAGAGCACACCCATAACACAAGATACCATAGGCCCACTATGAATCCCTATTTTAACCTAAAAGTTAACATTGTATTGATTATTTTAATTATTAATTTGATTATTTTTACTTTAAGATTGAGGTTATTCTTTGAAATATTGAAATATTTAGATATTTCAAGGATAGTAGTACAAATTGTAGCCATTTCTGAGGCATGATTTTCATTCTTTTCATTTAAACCAGCAACGATAACGTAAGTATCAACAATACTTTCAGCCTTAAATACGTTATGTTGCGCAACTAGATTATCAATTTTTGAATGGTATTCATTCAATAATTGTATAACTTTCACTGGTTCGGATTCGTTACAAAATTCTTGAAAGCCGTTTATATCGATGAAACTCACTGTAACACAATCATAGGCTTCTGGCTCAATAAAGAGTCCTCTTTTAAATTTTTCAACATCCTTTCTAGGCATTAACAAATCTAATAACTTTTGTGTTTTAGCTTGTTCTTCCTTTAATTTATTAGATGATTTTTCAACTCCACTTTCCAGACCGGAAGTATATTGTTGTAATGACTCTAGTAGTTCTTCTACAAAATTGCTTCCTGTTTTAACAATTTTCTTACCCTCTTTAGCCGTAGGTCTTAAATCTGGTTCTTGTTCCCAACAAGCTATTGTATAGGCGAAGAGAGCATCGTCACAATACTCAGCACTAAACGCAGGTCTAAAGGGTGGGGTCTCAGTACTTTTAACTCGAGTTATTATTATATCAGATGAATGTTTATTGAAATAAGGCAACTCCTTTTGATCAATGATTCATTTAGTTAATTCAGTATATACTATACATATATATACAGTATATATATGTATAGTAAAATGAAAAAGAAAAGACATACCTGAGTCATTATTTCTTGAATTATAATACCGAAACTATAAATATCACTTTTAGCCGTTGGAAGTTGACCTGCAAGAACTTCCGGTGCTGACCATAATAACATTTTTGGAGAATTTCCATTAGTATCTTTTAAACTATTTAAAAATCCATAATCGCTTATTTTAACAGTCATTCTATGATCAACAAGACAAGTAGAACTGGATAAATTACCGTGAACTTTTAATGAGCTTTTATGAATGTATTTAAGACCGTTTGCAATATCGTAAATAAAGGCGTATTTAAATCTTGGTTCGTATTCGATATCTGTATTTAAAAGGACACTTGAAAGATCCCCTTTAATACAGCATTCCATAACTATTCGAACTCCTGCATCAGTTTCTGTAATACCAAAGAATCTAGCAAGATTCTGTTGTCTAAGACCCGCATTTATGCTAATATCTTTAATGAGATGTCGAGTTTTAACAATAGTATATTTATCGGTTTTCCGAAGGACAACCTCCTCATCCCGATAAAGATAGATGGTCGCCTGAGTTCTGAGAAAACATTAAAAACAAATAGATTTATTTTCAAGTTGAGTAGTACTATAGAACCTTAATTGGAGTAGAACTGGAAAGAGTATATTCTCATTAGACATACTACTGGCCAAACTAGCCGCACTTGCTTTACTATAACTTCCACCGCTAAGTAGAGCACTGGAAGCCTTACTGATATCGCTATGTTTTCTCCTTAAACTGCTACCTCTCTTATAAAGCCTATATTTTGAAGTAAAATCATTTGGCTCAAGAGGTATAGAAGTTAACTCGTTCTGCGATATTATCCACTTGTCCTCGTTGAAAGATGAACAATTAATTCGTGTAATAATAAACAGAGTAGCCGCTGATGCAAATAATAAAACCATGAGAATGATTAATAAGCTAGAATCGTTATATTCGTTATCTTTCTTCAATTTGACTAGACAATTTGAATCGAATAGGTCATTCTTTTCAATTGTTTGTAAAATATTTAAATTATCGTAACTAGTGATTTCTATATGCCTCATATAAGTATCACTATAGCTCATCAACGAGTAAGTTGGCTGTTCTATTCTATATAAGGATAATAAGTAATCATTAAAATCTGTGCCGCTAAAGTTCATAGATGACTGTTCAGTACTGGAATATAGATTTTTATAACTTTCAGCAATAGCCTTTAGAACATTCCTATAAATATTTCGCCAATATTGAGGTTTTCTAATTATAAAATACTAAGAAAAAAGTGATAATAAATGATAATAGAAAAAGTAATAGATAAGGTATAATAATATCTATATCTCTAATATTTTCAAGTTAAAGAACTGACGGTCTTATTATCACTTTATAATTTTTTGGCTTATTCGCGAATTGATGATTATCGATTAGACGGCTACCAATAAATGTATAATCTCCACTTGTCATTTTAAGGATATTTATCTTTTTGAAGAGAATCTCTTCTTCTATTTCATTTAATAATAAAATATAAATCTTTATACCTTCGGATTTAAAGTATTTAAGGTCATCGTAAATTTGAAAGTACTCTTTAATTATCCGAGTTCGAACATCTTTCGATTTATCTTTCTTTAATGCCAATGACAATTTTTTAACAATACATTTTACTGCTGGAATTTTTGCAGTGTACAAAATAGCAAGACTACACCATTTTTGATTATTCAAATAATCCAAGAGGAATCCTTTCGAACTGTAAATAGACGATATTAATTCCGGTCCTAATTGAACAAAATTCCTTAAATCCTCTTTGCCTTCACAAATCCTTTCCTTTAAACCGAATTGTATAAGGTTTGCTGCTGAAATAAACGGTGTTGCAAAACTGCTATCTAACAGATATAAAGATCCCAAAAAGATTTTAATGTCGTCATCATAATACATATCAATTATATCTGTAATCGTTTGGGGAAAAGAACATTTATTACTACATTGTCCATAGTACAAATCTATATTAAATTCTTTAGCAATGTTCCTTAGATCCCTTTTGAATTTTCCAACAACGCCTACTCTTATTCTTAATAAATCAACTTTATATTTTTTCAATAAAATACAAGTTAAAATTGTAAATAATGTTATTTTATGCATATTTATTTTCATTAATATACCATTACAACTATTGTTATTTTTGTTTGTCATCTCTTCCATGGCATGTTTACACGCAATAAATACATTTTAAACAGTATTTAATGATGTGTACATGGTTTTTTTTAAATATATAAATTCATTTTGTTTATCAAGCCGCTTTAAGTCTAATTCCTTAAACTGGGAAAAAATATTAGTAATAAGAGGGAGAGAGTCCTTTATTCTTTCAGCTTGAACGGTTTCTTTCTTTATAACGATTAGGATTATCTTTAAATGTTAATAACTTCTATTTTTAAAATCTTAATACGTTGTGACCAGATAGAAAAAGAACAATCTTCTTAGAGCAAAATATGATTTGGCACGGTAAAGAAAGCCTTCTCGTAGAGATAGATCATCGTTTCTTCTCTCTCTCTACGTCTTTCTATTTCTACATCGCTATTAGTGCATGCGGCTGTTTTTTATACTTTCTTTTAATATTGAATATTTTATTATCTATGATTTTTACACTGAATTTTCGTTGCGTTTCTCTGTAACAACTATTTTTATTTATAATTTTTTGGCAGCTATCAGATTGCGTAATTTCTTAAGATTTGATAAAGTAACAGAGTCATTTGGTTTTAAACGTAACGCTTCTAGATAACTTTCTTCGGCCTTCAGGAGCTTGCCATTTAAATGATAGATGGCGCCTAAATTCATATGAGCGGCCGCTTCCTATAAAATTAAAGAAAGGAAAAAATTCATCAAAGTTACGTAGAATATTTTTAGAGTATAAACGAACTTTAGGACTGATTTTTGTCGCTTTAATATAATACTCTTCGGCTCTCTCATTATCGTTGGCTTGTCTGGAAAAAAACAACATAGTGAAGGTCACTAGGTCTATAAAATAAACTATCAAAACTATAATTTTAAATATTTAATTGATGAGCAATGTATATTTAGTTATATTGTCTATACCTTAAGGTATTGGCTGCATTGAAGACTAACTGAAAATCGTTGTTTCCTAATCCAATGGCCTGTTCAAGAATCTTTGCTGATTCTGCATAGCGATTCATATCTCCTAAAAACTGACCTAGATAAAAAGAGAATAAAAAGTGTTTTAATCATTTCAAATCTTCTCAGTTTTCTTTAAAAAAACTCCTTTATTATTGATTATTTAACAAAAACTTCTGGGTGCACTAATTAGATCTCTTTTAATGAAGAGAGATATTGTATAGTATTATATATTTTTTATCCTTTTTAAAACGTTTTTAGTGTAAAATATAGGCATTTTTTAAGAAGTCGAAAGCATACTTAGAACATTAGAGGTAGAGTTCAATTCATGATAAGAATCTGTTTAAGTTCTTTTTAAATACATTAAAGCTTAATATACTCTATTGATAGATGTCAACTTGAAAAGAATTCTTGAAAGTTCCCCTCGTTTTTCTACTAGTTCATCAAAGAAGCGTTGCGCAACATTTCAAAGCTAATTGCGCTTGAGGGTTCTCCGCTTTATAAAGTGCCAGGTTACGTTTTCTAATCTTAGATATATGCATATATGACTTTTAATCAATAGATCCCTAACATGAGCTTGTTTACATCATAATTTAAAGAAACTTTTTTTCTAAAGAAGTATAGCTAATTAATTTTTTTTTGTACCATTTCAGAATAGCTGCAGACTGAAAGAAAAGAAAATGTTTCTTAGCTTAGAAAGTTCTCCACCCTCTTGCTTTTTTTGATTTTTTTAATATACGTTTAATTTTTTTCTATGGATTTTGCAGAGTGTACTATAAATTAAACTGCAATTTAGGAGTTCTGTATTATTAAGTACTCTTTTAGTATAGAGGTTTTACTTTCTTTTAGGGAAATGATTTTCAGATTTCGTATATCACTGGGAATCTTTTGGGAAAAGGTTATACACATTTTATTCTAATAACAGGAGACAGGCTAATGCGATTGGGCTTAAAATAACGTGATTAACTGTTGATATATCAATTCACCTGTCAACTAGAAAACAGTACTGTTTGGCCAGATTTATAAATGAGTTTGTAGAATTTTGTTTGTGTTCTAACTTGAAAAATAGCGGTATCATAGCCTAAGAATATTTTTTTCAGGGTCACGGCACCGAAACGGACTAACAATGTGTTGTAAAATGTAAATAGGAGAATAATTTCTTTACCATAGTGTTCGTATACGGAATAATCATCTGGAGCTAGTGTCAAAGCGCTTCTATATAAATCTTCAGCCTTGTCAAAATTTCCCTGTTAATTATGAAGAAAAGAGGAAAAAATTTCTTAAAGACATGTCATATTTATGTTTGTTATTAAATTATAAAAGAAATATTTCTTTTAAGCTTACTCGATGCTGATAGAGTCTTGCCAGAGTCAAAAAAGCTGGAATATGATCTGCTTTTGCCTGCAGTGCTTTTCGATACCATTTCTCTGCCTCAAGCATATTCCCTAGTTTTGAGTACACTTCTCCTATAATTAGTAAAAATTAGTAATTAATTTCTTTCTCCTTTATTAAGCTTCACAATTAATAGCTGTTGCTAAGTACAATATCTTCAAGAAAAGTATCCAGTGTATTCACTGAGCATTCAGCTGTTTCTACAAGTTTAATCAAATGAATTAAACTTGCTGTAAAGGAATTACTATCTCGTGCATCGACAATACCGTTACAACTGTAGGGTGTTGTTGAAATGCAAAAGTAGAACAAATTTAAATTTATTATCCTTATTACCTAAAGGAAGGATATTGAAAGATGCACGATACTAAACGAAAGTTCTCACTTCAATGGTTCATTTGGTTCAATGAGTAATTTTAATTAAATTTTTACCTATCATATTATAAATGCTCTGAGGAGCGTAATCATCTGGTCTTCGCCGTAAAGCTTCGTTATAAATTTCCAAAGCCTCCTAAAATATTAACGATTCAAAAATATTAATTAAAAGCATAGTTCTTTATACTAGAACTAAAATAGAATAAGATAAACTTACTTTTAATTTATTCTGTTCAGTTAATAACCGACCCATATTGAATAGTGCCGATATTTTAGTTGATAAATGTAATTTTGGATCTTTTGAACCGCTTGTATCTAGATCAGCACATTTTCTATAGAATTTTAAAGAATCCTCATATTTCCCTTGCTTCGATAAAACTATTCCAATATTTAAATAGGCAACTGAAGGAATGAAAATATATTTATTAACTCAATGAATATTGAATATGATAGTGTGTTAAAAACTCTATTTTATATTCTGATAGAACTTTCACCTTCTAAGGTATAATATGGCAGAATGCTGTAATTTCCGTTATATCAAATAATCTCTTGTTTTTACGGATTTTATAATATAGATCGATTATTGATGTAAGGATAAAAAGCTATGAAACTTGTCGATTTCGTTTATTGTTTGCTAAAGGCAAATAACACTATTTTCTATTCGAACGCTTTATATCCTCGTTAATATTCGCTCTACTTTAATTTTAAATATGATATTAATAATAAAGAAAAGAGGATAAAAAGGCGTAGGAAAAAAGCTTTAATCATCCGTGGTTTTATGAATGATACTGTAACTCTTTTTTCTTATTTGTGAAGATTATTAATAAATTCATCATTTTCAACTTTGTACAAATGTGTAATAGTTTCCTTTTTAAAACGTCTATTTAAGTTATTTTACTGAATGACACATGCCCTTTAAAAAGTGATTCTATTGAAATATAACTATTCAAAAAATAAAAGCAAGAAATGGTTGAATAAAGCTAAAACGAAGTAAAAAAAAAAGGCTTATAGCATTAGATCAAAAATAGAAAATCCTTAAGAACAATCTCATTTCATGATATTGAATTGTCTTTTTCTTAAACGACATACTCATTTCTCTCTACAGTTTGTTACTTATTTTTTTTTACTTCCCTTTAAGTTTTTAAGTAACAGACCATTAGTGATTGTAAAAATTTTACCCTTAAGAAAGATAATAAAAAAATGTATCGAACTTACGACTTAGCTTTGGTCTGAAGAGAATAGCATTCTCGTAGCTGTTCAACGCCTCTGTATATCTTCTTTGATTTTGTAACAATATTCCCCTATTTCGAAAGAATTAGAAACAGATCTAAATCAACAGGTATAAAAATAACAAAAAAAAAAAAAGAAAGAAGCAAATAATTAATATAGGTAAGGGATCTAAAATAGAAAAAAGGTATTGTTTATTGTTTAAAGATAATCGATCAAAGGGTGAGATCCATCGAAGATATATCGTCAACATGAAAAAACGAATATTGGAACAATACGTAATGCATCATGAATGATCTGTTTCCGTCTTAATCATAAATGCTTATGAGAGACCCGATTAATTTCGCATGACGCTAGACATTTGAAATGAAATTTGACGTCGCAGTATAAGCCTATTATATACAGCGTGTGTTTTTAGTATAAACTAATCGTCCGCACAGTATCCCTTACATAGCCCCTCTTTTAATTATAGCTAATAGCTAAAAATCTTATGCTACTGTACTTGGCAGGCAATGAAAATACATCAATAAAATGATGGATGATAAGGAAACAACAGGCTCTTAAAATATCAACTTCTCTTTAATACTAATGTATTTTTCACTTAATGTTGATATGTCACATCTTTCCCTGCGTATTGTTTTCACTGTTAGGTCAATAATGTGAGAGTACGTTGGATACAGTATGCGAAAGTAAAAGGGCTACTCTTGCCTTTATAATCTTGGGCACGTGATTAAATTAGGGAAATCAAACAGAGGCTTTAAGGTTCAGTCGTCTTGATGTTGATCTGGTAAATGGTTTGTTCTATAGTATGTTAGCTTAACAATTATCAATGACCATGTCCAGACAGAATATGCCTAAGAGAATTTATCAGATCGATTTCGAATCTTTTCCTTTTTCCCATCTCGTAAATATTTATTAGGGCCTAAAAATATATGCTACTCCTATTTAAATAAGAAATTCCTCCGACGTCTTAACAACATTTCCTTTTTATTAGTGCATTAAAGGGAAAATATGTAGAATAATACAATCATTGACCTCCGTCCCATCATCTCGCTTGAATGACCCCTAATAGCTAAAATTAAAGGAAATCGACCGCTTCTTTTCTTCTATTGTGCATATAATTTAGATCGAGAAAAGCACGACGTCTAGAACTTCATTCAATAAACCGTGATTACGCAATTTTGCTAAACCAAATAAGTGTTAATGACTGGCTGATTTATTTCTGCTTTCTCGTTTTTTTTTCCTTCTGTTCTCATTTTATTGATTGTAAATTCTCTTTAGGAAGGTAAAAGATATATTTATCTTTAGAAGATGGTCATAAAACGAAATTGAAGAAAATTAATATGGTTGTTCTTCTAAAAAAGAACACTACACCTTAAAAGGGACACTTAATGGCACCTTTCGTATTCAAACCTACAGTTAAAAGGAACTTGCACTTCCATTTACAACCTAAATCTGTCAGGTGACCGAATTCTTAAAGTTTATTCGAGAGTTAGTACACATTTTCTTCTGTCCTGTAAGCACCGACTAAACAATTGGAATGCAGTAAAAGTATTTGTATATTCAATTTCAATATATCGAAAAAAAAAGGGAAAATAAAGAAAAATTTTATATAGATAGTATGAGAATAAAAAGAGAATAGAGAGGAGAAAGACCACTCGAAGAAAACGTATTGAATATTAATTGTTTCTCGTTGTCGTGTTAAAACCTAATTCTATAATTAAACGATTTAATGAATCGTGTTCAACTCCCGTCTGTTATCTTTTTCCTTTCATAAAACAGAGTGAGTATCTTTCTCTTTTAGAAATTTTATACAAAAAGAGATCAAGTGAAGGAGAGCGAGAGGCGGTCTTTAAACAGCTTTTATTATATAATCGATCAATTTTTGGAATTCTTATGGTAAATTTTCACAGCAGTTCAGGGACTTATTTAGTTTTATGAGGTCCAATAAATTAATTGACACTCCAATATTCTTATAGATGCTAATTTAATGGACTTTTCAATCGTGCGACTGGTTGTACTCTTTTATGTTTGTTTAGCCGTAAATTGTTTTAAATCCGGCTTAATGGAATAATTTTTTACGTTTTGAGAGTTAATACATTTTTGTTTTTCTTCTTTTCCTATTTAATGATTTAGGGCAATTTAAATAGTTTTCCAGTCGTAATAGTTGAATCACGTGACCGTGCTAAACAAAAGGGGAATAGTGGCAGACGTTCGGGCGCCACCCGCCTATAATTAAAAGTTGTTGATAAAAGGCTGTAAATGGCAAGATAAATGCGCTCCCTCGTAATTAATTCCGACTACATCAATCACCCTAACTATACAATTTCCCAGGAGGAAGCGTGAATGCTCCGCTATATATTTTGAGCAGTATATCTTAAAGAACCATTTCTTAAAAGCCTAAACAGTAATATTTTCTTTCAATAAGTCTCAAGTAAAATAGAGGGTATGGGGTGGGAGGAGAAAAGGTTGGAAATGAGCAATAAAAACGGAAGATGTGGGCGGAAGACGAGAATGGAAAAGAGTCAAACTTGTGAATGGATAAAAAAAGATATTTTCAAATAAAATTAAAATTTTCAAGAATACTTACAAGTTATAATGTGTGTCAGCCATATTCGATCTATAAGATAAAGCTTTTCTGTAGGCGTATTCTGCCAATTTTGTCTGCCCTTTAGCGTTCAGAACGTTTGCCAAATTTCCCCAGGCTAAAAGACAAAACATAAACAAGATTAAAGTATAATTCATTTACTATTGACTTATTAAACAAATGCAATAAATTTTAAAATGAAAAATATAAAATAAAGGGCGTTTAGTTAAATCATTTAGCAATATAAATAAAGATAATACTCTAAACGGGTATTGTAAAGGAAATTTATCGTCGCGGTTGTCGTATTTAAGTTATTAGATAAATATTGTGCAATTAAGAGGGGTAAAGCGCATTAAGTGATTAGTTTAATTCGTCAATTATTAATATTTTAGAAGGAATACCGTATTAAAGGTTAAATATTTACATCTCTTACAGATATACATATTACTAATATATATAATATAAAAAAATCCTATCTGTATATTATAATTAAATAATGTAACTTGATATTTTGGGCGGGACAAGAAGGTCACAACCCCTTCAATTCTCATTCTTTGTTAAAAGATCATTTACAAATATTATTAAGTATTTTTTTTAATGAAAAATCTCATTTTAGACAAATTATAGGGTTATGCAAGCAATCAACTCTTTCAGAAGTGATTTGCTTACACAAAATTAAGAATAGTCTAAATCTAACACAGAATTCCGTTGAGAAAGACACTTAAAGACTTATTGTTAGTGTATATGCCATATGCTTGTAAAACTTTCAAATAGAGATATTTCTTACAAATAAACTAAGTATATTTTGAATTCCGACTGAAAATATTTATCCGAAATATTATGTTTTGGACAGAAATTGAAAATTTTCTAAGGTTCCACTTATGGAAGAAAGAACACGGAATTGCGCATGCGTAATACAGATAAGAAGATACTAACCTTTAGCAGGATTTACGTCGATACCGGACTTGTATAGGGATTCTTCATCATTCCAATCGCAATTCCTAATAACTGTTTTTGCCGAAAGTATTAAAATTAATAAGAAAAAGGCAGCTATTCCTATTCGCCGTTTTTCCAAACCCCAACAGACCAAAATGCAATAACCAATTGAAGGAATATATAAAATACGCTCGGCAATCACAAAACCAACGTAGAAAAATAGATTAGCAGCGGGAAAAAATGATAGTACTAAAATCGAGGCTGATAAAACGACTAATTTGCAATCTCTTCCAGAGAATTTTCCCGTCATAAACCCAACTGCTGAATATATTAAAATTGAATAGAAAGATAAGCTGAAGAGATTTCTATAATCCGAGATAGATTCAACCAGAGGGACTGCATTCATTGACCAGTCGAAGCTTAATTTGGAGGGGAATAGTAAAAGCCAAAAATTGAGCGTAGGTAGGAAGGTGAAGGTTAGAGATCTGGTTAAAAAATTTTCGTGACTTGCTGGGTTATCGGCTGGCGAGAAGTCGGGCGTTTTGGTCATGATTGACATTCGGAAGAGTATTAGAGTTAAAGCTGAGAAGATTAGGAATAATGAGCCTTTGTAATACACCCGTTTCGGCTTTCTTCTATGCTAGAAAGTAAAACAAAATATTTTGTTACTTGATCAATAATCAATTGAATTAAAAGTTATTCCCTAAACAATTAGAGATAATCAAATATGAGATAAACTTATTCGACCAACAATCGCATTGAATAATTATTAATCATTATCAAGAAGTTATTTGCGCAAATAACTCGAATCAAACGCAAGAGAAAGTTATATCTATAAAAGTGGAAGTGAATTCAATTCTAGTTTTCTAGAAAAAAAAAAGTAGGGTAATTTAGAATTTAACGGAACGTGTTTTCCCATCTTATGCACTCATTATTCAGTGACCCAGGCCGTTAATAAATTGGGCATTTACATGCAATTTCTTATAGGAAGCCGACTAAAAGGAATAAAGATGGAACACTCTACGACTATTCTATAAAGTGATGTGGGAAAAATTTTTTAAAAAGATTCCAACCTCTCTGTTCATTATAGTTTGCAAATCGAGTCCTTGCCAAGACAATATGTCGAAGATAAGGCAAACCCCAAGCGCTGAGATTCCATTCTCTTTTGATAACAGGCTACAAATTGTAAACAGAAAGGCTAAAAATAGATATTTAAAGCCATTTTCATGTTCTCGAACTTTCAAATATTTTACATAGTTTATAATAGTTAAAAGAAAGAATATGGCTGCTAATACATCAGCCCGCCCAACGATACCAGCAACCGCTTCAGAATGGATAGGATGGACAGAGAATAGAAGTCCACAGAGAATTCCTTGCCATTTCCGCCTTGACAAACTTTGTACAAGTATCGTTAATAAGTAGCAAACAACTCCATGAAGGCAAACATTGGCTATGTGAAAGAAGCTTGCATTTAAGCCATGAAGATAAACTTGAAGTCTAAACGTTAAGATGCATAGTGGTCTATACGATCCATGAGATCCAGGATCCGTTAATTTCGTTCCCCAAAAATCATTGAAAAATAGAGCTGTCAATGGAGTTTTAAGAAGGACGTCGTTGTTCTTCTCAATCGCTCGGCTGTAAACAAAAAAAATAAGTTGGAGAAATCGATAGATCAATAGAAAAACTGTAGAAGCGTAATACGAAGAAAAAATTAGCACGCACCATAAATACGTTAACCGTATGAAATATGACGAAACGATAAAGTCATAAAAAATTATAAATAAAAGGAATCATCTTCCTGATGATAGAAGAAGAAAATGATTTTATATAAAAATAGGTATTGGTAAATTTTTCCTATATTGAATTAATGCCTAATTAAGCTTACTAGTAATAAATATGAATCAATAATGCTTTATTGTAGTCGTGTTATGGAGGTGTAATTAAGCTATTTATATTTTTTAGCCGTATATTTTAACATATCGCTAGATGGATACGAAATAAAATAATACAATAATTAGACGCAATTCAATTTAAACAGTCACAAAATTTTAAAACTTATTACTAGTTTAAAAAGCAACTCGTCTCAGTCATTTTACATTTAATGGTTAATGAAGACAATTCAACAGAAATAATTATTATGCCAATCATAATATTTGAGGGAACCAACTAGTTTTACTAACTATTTGTTTATAAAATCACTAGAGAATTTTTAACATATTCTCTCTTTCCATTCGACCAAGGAATATTAATTCTTACAAAAGCTAACCTTAAACTACAATAAACTACTTTAAAAATATATAGAATTATATGATCAATACAACAATAGAATGAATATGTTAATAAGTCAAAGTATATAAATAATCCGCGCAAAATAATCTATTCTTGCAAAGTTTCGTCTTGTTTTTCTTATTCATGAGGAAAAATAGCTGCGGCCTAAACAAATATACTTCAATCGATAATTACGTGGTTGGAATTTACCTTACAGTTCTTTAATTATAGGAAGCAATTAGACTATGTCAATCTATAAAGATCAATGAATTCTTATCCTTTTTAGATTGAAATGTTTAGGTGAATATCATAATAAGTTAAAGATTAAAGGTCACTTGTATATTTGCCCCCGAAATGCGTCTGCAAACAGACAGATAAAGACGTTATGCAAACGAAGATTTTATCTCAACAACACACAGACTTTTAAACTTAAGACTTTATGTAAATATTAAAAGAAAAGCATGGAAAAGTCTATAAAAAGTGACCGTTTTTCTTGAATCGAATTAGTATGTTAGCGTCTGACGGTCTACAAACCGTTTTAACATTTGAAAAGGTATCGAATTTCACGTGTTTGCCGCGTATTAGCAGACGATATTTTTATCGCTTTAAACTATTATTGTCCAAATACATATATAAAGTAAATTATTTATAATTACCTATCATCGTATACAAAACCAGCTTTAAAAGTATTGCTGTAGACAATTAAAGCGCAAAGAGACGGTAATAATGACAGAAAATCCATAAGTTTGCTCTTTCCATCGTCAACCGCACAAATGACTGGAAATACCCTTAGAGAATCCGTGCCTGCGCGCGCACGGGCTCCATAGACTGTTAGCTCTATAGGCGAGCAGGGTTTTTATCTAAGTGAGGCGCGGTGGTAAGCGCCATCTATCGAATTCTCAATGTAAGCGTCATCTTTGTACTGAAAAATTATTATTTTAAAACAAGACTTCATTCGGAAATTGTTACATTATAGCATTTGAAACATATATAAAAAATTTTTAACCAAGGAGGAATTGTGAATGGATTTGATTTCACCAAAAATACTGCTATTCCTCTTACGAATAAATCGCTTTTCATGCACATTATACATCAATCTTCATTACTATTAATTAAATAAACAACAATAACAATGTTAAACGAATCACAGAATATTTTTTGCATTATTTTGGCAGTAAACCTAATTCTTGGAGGACGAGAGTAGCTGCCTGAGCCTTAGCACTCTTTTTATTAGGGCTTCCAGTAGACGAAACGTACTCTACACCATTTACTATTACTTTATACAAAAAGTTTTTCTTGTGAGGTGGGCCACCTTGCTGGACTAGCTCAAAATTGGGTGCGCCCCATCGTCTTCTCGTACAAAGCTCCATCAAAGCAGAGACAGGATGCTTTCCTAAATTTTTTTAATATCAGAATTATTAAAATATCTAGGCCAGAATGATGAAGCGGCTATACCTGACAAATCTTTCATGATAGAAGCTGAATTATGAGCGACTGACTGAATTTGACTACTTTTCCTTTCACCTTCCGTATTAAGCCCTAATAAGATATTGAACGTTAGTTATTAAAGAATAACGATTAATTTATATTTCATACCTTTTCTATCCACTTTAAAATCTAACAAAAGGGGCTCGAGGCTACCTTCTTCATGCCTACCTAATCCAGTACCCTCCCGCCAACCCATCTTGCATAGCAATGCTTTTCCTATTCCACCTCTTACGGGGCCAGCTTTCAAAAAAGTGTCCTGTATAGTAATAAGTAACTTAAATATAAAAAGCCAATGTATCTTAGGATTAAACTGGAAAATAAAAACTTTTTGAAAATAGAGCATCAATTTCAAATACCTTTCGACTTACCATCTAATAGACATTAAATAACAATTTTCATCAAAATGAAGATTAACTAAGAGATTTCCATGAATTTTTCTCAAAAAGGACGAAATATTCAATCATAATTTTCGACTAACTTAATTGTTATAAACTCCTAGTTTCTTACAATTAATATTAAATATTATTCAGTGAATAAACGTTCTATTCATATACTTTCATGTAATATATTTATATATCTTCGCTTTGTTCAATTATATAAGCTAAAATCTGATATATTTGTAATACTTCTTATAAACGTTTGCGAGGGAAGGAAATGTGAAGCGTCTTTAGTTAAAACTTTTTAAATAAATTATTTTTCAATAATTTTTCAATAAATAGTTTTTCTATGTCAGAAAATTATGCTTGAATGTTTCTTACTTTTGTTGATGGCTAATAGTCAAGTTTCTTCTTATATTTTATCTCAGTATCCAACTTTTTGCCATCCTTCGCATCCAAATACTTGGTTGTAATACATAATGATTAAACAAATTTTATTCTTACATACCAAATATTTGGAAACGATTATTTTTTGAAATTAATCATTTTTTAAACCAGTAGCACTAAAATTTTCACCTTTTTCAGCCAAGCCTGATGTGAATTGGCGCTTAATTCCTTTGCAGATAATGGTTGAACGCCTGTACTCCCTAAAAATTGTCCAGGTAGGTTTTTAGATTGCGCCCAAAGAGATACCTTCTCTTGAGATTTGTAGACTTCCGATATGGCTTGCGAATCATTTGGATTTTGTTGTAATTTTCTCATTGCTGAAAGCCTCTCAGCGACTACTTTTGATATATCCACTTTCTATCAGACAAAAAGATAAATTTAGAAATTAAATTGATTAATTAATAAGTAATAATTGAAACGTACTTCCGATGAAACATCAGGGAAGACGCTGGTTTCAGTATTTGAAAAATTTGTGTTTTGTTCGTCTGGCTTGTCAACTTGACTTTCACTAGATTTTTCTTTGTCTAAAATATCTTCAACAGCTTTGTCTGCATCACCTGGAACGTTTTCTGTTGAAGGTACTACTTCTTCGTGCTCCTTCGTTCGATGCTGATTGCCACTGGAAACAGGAAACTGTAATCTTAAAGTTGCAGCATAGTGGGCTTTTTCAGCAGGTGTCAAAGCAGGTAACTGCCTAGCATTCTACAGATGAATAACAATTAATAATAAGTTTATAACGTATTTAATAACTGACTCTAATATTCATGACTATAGAGTTGGATTCCTTAACTTTAACTGAAGCAGTCATATCGTCATCGGACACTTCTTGTTTTTCATCCTCACTAGATGATAATCTTGTATCAGCTATTGTTTTACAGAAAGACGTTAATTCATCAATACTCTTTCCTTGTGTTAGTTTGGCGATTTCTTCAGGTTTGAGAGCCGCCTTTTTTGCATATTTGTGCGCATTTTTGCTATAAAGTAAAAAATAGAGAAGTTAAAAGAAAATTATAAATCTAAAATTAGCTTACATCGCAATTTCACGTAATTTATCTTTATCTATTGCAATTATCCCTTCCGGAGGTGCTCGTGAAAATTGTTTTTCAAAATACTCTTCTTTGTGCCTCTCTCTGTGTTTTTCTTCAGAACTACTTCTAGACGATCTTCTTCTTTTGTTCGACCGGGTTCTTTGAAATTCATATATCATTTGTCTATCTCTACTTCGAGGACGATTGCGATCCCAACCAGATTTTCCTTGAGGTTTTTCTTCCGAGTCAGACCGATGACGTCGACGTCTCCTTGATGATCGAGAAGAGCTTTGATTGCGCCTAGAGCTTGATCTGCTTCTACTTCGGTGATGATGCTTTTTACTAGTTAATAAAAAAATTATTAATGTAAGTACTCAAATAAGCTTATATTTTTCTTACTCTTTTCTATTGGAAGATCTATCTTTTGATCTCTCTCGTCTACTTTTGCCCGTTTTCTTCTCTGACGTCTTCACTGCTTCGTTCTCAATAGTTTTTTCTTTGGAAGCTGTTTTTTCAGTCTTTCCCTGCTCTTGTTGCTTTCCATTTTCATTTGAAACCTTCTTTTCATTTTGTTCAACCTCTGTTTTAGTTGCTTCTTCAGTTGTACGTTCAACTTCATCAATTTGTGCATCATTTGACGAATATACCTTCTCTGTTTCTTCTTCAGACGATTTCACGATATCTTTTTCGGGAGAAGGGGCTTGCTTCTTTTCGTTATTTGGTTCTTGTGTGTTCGTATCAAAATTTTCTGTATTTTCTTTTTCTACAGGGCTTTTATTGGCTTCTAATCGCCTGGATTCTTCAAGACATAAATTGACAAACTCTTCGCACTTCTTTAATTGTTCTTCTTTGGTTTCATTCGATTCAGAATTATTAATAACTTGTTGGTCGTCTGATGTTTGATTATCCTCTTTCTGAGTTTGTGCACTATCGTCACACTGATTATTAATTTGGTTTATTATTATGTTTTCATAACCACATGGTGGAACAGCGGAGTAATCCTGCTCTTTCTTTCTACCTGAGTGAAGTGGAAGGAGTTTGACTGGTGGGAAGAGGGGGGGATTGCTATGATCGCCTCTGCGAGTTTTATGTTCAAAAGCTGAAGAGGTTCTCTTTTCTGAACTTTCTCTTGATCTCACTCTATACGAACTATCCGACCGTTCTTTTCTTTTACAATCGTCACGATAACTCGTTTTCTCAAGTGATTTTCGACTTTCACGATGATATTGTTCTTTCGTACGTCCTCTCTGATCCCTGCGATACTCTCGTTGAAAATTATCTGATGCCTCCTGTTGATCTCTCGGGTATTTGCGAGAATGACTATTTCGTGAATCACCGAAGTTGTCATAATTTCTAAGTTTTGTTTTCTCATACCCATCGTAATCTTGTCGAGAATCAGAATTTTCATGCCGTTTCCATCTCTCTCTATCATCTCTAGAATCGTAATAGCCTCTATCCAAACTTTCATAATCGTGATTTCTTTCATTCTCAATACGGGAACGATGATAATTGGATCTTCGATCACTGTGCTCGATTGCATCGTCTTCCCTATTATATTCATCCCTATCGTAATTTTGACTAGTTTTGTATCGTGTCGGTTCTCGACGATTTATTGAGTGTTCATTAGTAAACATCTCTCTATCACCTCCGTACCCTCTATGAGAGTCATCCAGCTGTCGTCTACTTTCCATCCCTCTTTTTACATTTGAATATTCCTTATAATTTTCATATCGATCATCTTGACTCAATTGTTGTTTGTCAAGTCTTGAATAGTGATTACGACTCAAATTTCGCCTTTTTTCATAATAATCTTCTGAGTATTCATCTCGCTCTCGATCTCGATCTCGATCTCTCTCTCTATTCCAATCTCTCTCTTTATCCCTATCTCTTTCTCGTTCTCTTCTTTGAAAGTACTCTCGATTTCTCTCAGCGTTCTCACTATGTTGACTATGATGACTTCTTGAATCCCTATTCTCGCAATCATATGAATCTTCAAATCGATTTGAGTATCTATAGTAATTAGAAGCTTCATTTTCCCTCAATTCTTCATCATAAATTCTCTGATTTTCGCTTCCCCAGTTGTCTTTTTCGCTTTTAATTTCTATGTTCAAGTGTTCGTCCGGACTTTTGCTCTTTCTTTCTTTTTTAACCTTTACTTTCTTTTTTTTCTTTTTACGTTCGTTACCTGCATCTTCGTTGAGACCACTCATTTCATCAGGATATCCTTTTCTCTTTTCTTTTTTAACCTTTTTTTTCTTTTTGCGTTCCTGTTCAACTTCTTTCATCTTAGATGTAATAAATTTTTTAAATAAATCATCGACAACTTTAGCTTGCTCCCTTTTTTCTTTAAGAGTTTTTTCTAACTCTTTTACTTTCTTTAATTGCTGAACTTCATCATCTCCAGAGCTAGATTTACGTTTTTTCTTAGAAGAATGGATTGGGGATCTTGGCTCTTTCTTAATAAGGTTAGGAGGAATCATTTCGAATTCAGGAGATAATTCCCCATCGGATAAATTTTTTTCTTTTTTTATATCAGTATCAATCGTTGGTTTCCCCTTAGTTTTATCACTAACTGACGTCGTTTCTTTGTCGTTTGAGCTATCATCGCTCTTGCTTTCTTCCTTAATCCGAACATTGGCTTCTCGTTGAGTTTTCTCAACTGAACCTTCAGACACTATAAATCGATAGTATTCGTAACGTGAAAATTTGTTTTTAAAAGTTTAAAAATTAATTCTCAAAATTTGCTAATTCTATATTTAAATTAAAGCAATAATACAATATGTTTTGTACAACTCACTTTTATTTACAATCCCTTTATTTTTTAATCAACTACATGAAAGAAAATACATATCAACATAGAATAATTGAAATGCAATGACTTGTTTTTAACGTTTTGATCCATCAAGCAACGTTCCTGATGTATCCACCATACTTAGGCTTTAAAGCAGCTCCGCAGATGCATTATGTGGATAATACTCAATATTCGAACACATTTTTTATTGAGATTTAAAATTTTCAAACATCTGATTGTTTTGTAAGATATAAGGTTATATGTAGCAATAGCTTCGAAATATGTTATTAGGGAAAAAATTTTCTGTAATTTCTACTTTTCAGTCAATTTCTCTAGTCTGGAAGCCCAACGAATATTGTTGATAATAATAGTAGGGAAAATGAATTTTAAGGTCTAATAACTCATAGAATCAAATTCATGTATTCTTATAAAATGCTTATTAGAACTGATTCTATAAAACACATAGCTGAAAGTCTGCATTCTTCAGATTTTGTTAAAAAAAAAATTAAAGTTGTTTGTAAATATCCGCGTTTTGTAAGATACCCGTATGACGAGCATGCGCAAAGTAGCGGAAATTTTGAAACGGATATACTCATCGGCGATGTCGATTATCGAAATTGAAAAATATCGATAGGCCTGAACGATATTTCAAGATGCCTAAAAAATTCCAAATTGATGGATTTTATGATTCTGAAACGTTAATAAATTCAAATTTCTTTCAGAAATTTGCTCACCTCAATATCTTTCGATCCTTTCATTGCTTAAGTAAAAGCCAGGTTAGTAATAATCAGTAAAAATTCACGATCATACCCGGCCTCAACAAGTAATGAACCGCGTGCTTTTGATAGTCAACTTCTTTCATATATATGAATGGTCAATGAATAAATTTAAGAAAAAAATTAACTAGTTCTAAAAGAAATGCAAAAAGCATTAGTTGATTACATATAATTTCTATCTATATGATTAAAACTAAATATGTGGCCTAGTCAATTACTACGTTTTTACTGCGTATTAGAACATGTGTATTTCGAATACAGGAAGAAAGAATTAGTGTTCTTAGACACATTTCTTGCCTACCTGATGATTTTTGGAGTGAGAATTCAATAACTTTAGCAATATTTCGCCTAGCCTCACTACTTATATCGGATATTTCGAGTTATGAGGTAAGATAATTAATTATACTACAATTAATAGTAAAAGTTCTAGAACGATGTTATTGTTTTGATTTTTTATAGAAAATCAACTATAATCAACTGGAATTCCTTTCTTCACAATCCAGCTCTATAGAAACTTTATTGATAAATTTCCTTAGTAGTGAGGTAAATACATGCAAAAAACGTCCATTTGTATTACACATTGAAATATACAATATTATTCTTTTTATAGGTATTAATAAGATATGGAGATGAAAATAAACTTTCAAGTTATTACAAGAAAATAGAATTCTCTAAACTACCTGATCATTTTGAGGTAAATTTGACAATTAAAATTGTTATTTTATTAAAGATATAAATTCTTCCTTAGAATGTAAGAGATGACCTTATTCCTTATTTTGCTAAAGGAGTTTTTAATATTCTCATATTGGGATCAGTTGCTAATATTAAAGATCTATCAAATACATTAAATAATACCATAAAGAAATTTGATGACTCGGAGAAGAAGTTTAAATTCAAGTTATGTCTTTTAGGTTTACTTTTAGAGGCTTGTGGAACGTTTTATTCTTTAAACAAAGCAAAAGATAAAAAGGATATAGTACTTTCAAAATTTACTGAAAATTTAATAAAAGGACTTCGAATTAAAAAAAAAGAGGATGTGGAATTAGTAACAAATAGCATTTACTGGAAGAATATACCTTATCTATTTCAACCTCATTTCTCTGAGTTTTTTATAAATGGAGCTCAAAATGAAAATGTCAACATTATTTCATCTTTGTTTAGTAGAATTAAAGTGCAATCTAATTATGAGTCAAGAGATTTTTTCATTTTAATATTCAAAAAATTAAGTGATTTGGCTAAAAGTCTTTCGGGTTCACCAACGTAAGCTTTATTATAAATTAACTATAGCAGTTTTTGGCATAATTATATTAATCTACATTTTTCAGCGACAACGCAGAAGAAACTATCAAAGGACTCTCAAAATTATTTTTAACTGCTTTTATATCGTCAAAAAAATGCTTAGAAGTCGATGAAAATTTGACTAAGAATTTCTTTCAAGATCATTATTATCCATCAATGAAAGCATTAGAAAAGTCCCTCTCGTGTAAAGTTTCCTTTCATTCATTATTTAGCCAATATTTCTCATGGATATCTCAATATGGTATTTAGTTTAACTTTCAAATTGTTCATTGTGTGTACGTATAAAAATTAATTATTATTCACAGCTGACTCAAATTTCTTATTATATTCATGCGAAGGGGATAAAGAGCTATTAAAAGCCAGTCAATCCTATATATCTGTAAACCTTCTCTTAACCTATTGCAAATCAAGATGTGATGATAAATCTATTAAGCCATACGAACGTATGATATACGAAAATATTACTAAAGTAAGCGGATTAAATTCTATGCTGTATTTCAACTTACATTTTCACTCTTCTTCATTAGACTGCACACAATCTGATTGAAGAATTACAATCAAACCCTTCCGAAAAAACCTTCTGCGACGCTTTGTTGGCCTGTGTTGTCTTTTTGAGTTCAACAGGCTTCGAGGATGATCACTATATTGCTACAATACCCATTCGATTATATCTGAAGGAGAGAAATAATCAATGTTCAAGAATTTGTGAATTATTAGATTCTGTTCTATCATTCAAAGAGTTTAGCACAGTATTTTTCAAAGAGCATTTAGAAGATTGGGAAAGTGCAGCTGAATTATGGAATGAATGTAAAATTCTTGAAAAAGAATCAGATGAAGAGTCTGATGATGAAGATGAAAGTGATGAGGATAACGATGATGATGACGATGATGACAATGACAATGAAAGTAATGATAAAGAAATGGATGATGCTACAAACGATAAAGCTCAGAATGAGGCTGAAGAAGAAAACAATGAAGCCTCCGATAACGAAGAAACAAAATCAGACGATAACAGTTCAGAGTCGGATATAGATGCTGATCAATTAGATCCGGTATGTAATTTTCTTATTTTTAAAAGCATAACCTTTCATTTGTTTTAATTTTGAAGGACGAAGTAAACAAACAATTAGGACAGATGGTAAAATCCATTCAGAACGAAAAAGAGCGTAAACTGAAAACATTTTACCCTAACTTCATGAACAGGTAGTTTTATTAGTTTACCTTAAAGCAAATTTATATATTATATGTACTAAATACATGTTATGTATCTTTAGATTCCTCATAATTATTTCAAGAGGATTTTGTGGTGAAACTTCATTAGACCCCCTCTTCGCCTTGGTGAGTTCTATAAGTTAGCTAATTATACAAAAAATTAAGGACTACTTTTTTTATCTATAGGAAATATGCAATGTTTTGTTAAAGAGGTGCACAAATATTTCCATTAAGGATAGAAATATCTTTTTTATTCAAACCTTTACTAAGTTGGTAAAGAAATTCTCTGCAGAAGTATCCAAGCAAACTGTTATCGACGAAACTCTCTCAGGCGAAGTGTATACTTTCATTCGCAATCTATTCGACTTTTTCACACATTGTATGTCGAAAAACACCTTTCAATTAGAATATAGTTGGAAATAACTTTTGTTTTTATATCTTAGCCCCAGCAAAAATTGAGGGAGAGCCATTTAATGATTATATGAAGGTTATCGAATTACTAAGTAGTACAATATGCTCATCAACAAAAGAGGAGCATGGCCAGCACTTTGAAGAGCGAATGGAGAATTACGTTCAATTAGTTACTGATTTAATCCCTATCGCGCTATCAAAAAAGTAAGTTCATAACACTTCCCTATCTCCTTTAGTGCTAATATACTTTCCTTAATTCTTTCTAGTAATATTATTAGAGTTTCTCTGAGTAAATTCTTGGAAAGGAGTATGGTAATTGTTATCTTTTTTAAATGCATATTCTAGTGAATTTTAATGTTTTATTTGACGTAAACTGCAGAATTTAACCCTTCTCCTTTGGCCAACAATAATCAATGTGCTAGAAACACACAGAAAACCATACGCGGTGAGAATAAATCTTCCGTAAATAACAGAAATTGAAAGATAAACGTTTTTTTTTTCAGTACATGGTAATCAGGAATCTTTTGCATGTAAGCCTCGTGAATGAATCAAAGGTTACCTTTCACAAAATTTAAAAGCCAGATCAGTCAATTATAAAGTGTTTTTTTTTATTTTAATGCTTTTTGAACAGAATCAGAATATTGTATTTGGTCAGAGAATCGCTCAACTACTTCAAGGACTATACAATGTTCGTTATCTTAAACTTAACAAAAAGATTATTTATTTCGCTCATTGAAATTTTTTTGTTTCCAGTTGGCTACCACACTTATGAATGACAAACCGAAAATGTTCATAGATATATGCGGTGTTACAGAAAAAATAAGAAATTGTCCAAATTTCAAACAATTTGCAAAGTCTTTTCCAGAGCCGGTAAGATTGTATTTAAAAATCGACATATGATTAACTCTATTAAAAAATTTGTTAATAATTAAACAGCCAATGAAAAAATTAAAAAAGATATGGCGAAAGCAAGCAGGAGTTTCTGAAACAGTCAGCGATGAGGAATTAGAATTACCATTTGCTGAATTCAGGAGAAAATGTGCAAAACTTGGCTTCGAACAATTAAGAAAGAAAGCTTTAAAAACAAATAAAACTATGGGAAAAATGAATGGAGTAGGTAAAGAACCAAGAAAACGAAATTCCTCCGCAGATTCCAGCGAAGAGAGGATACAGAAAAAGAAAGTTAAAAATTAAACTTTTGTATATATAAAAGTCGATTTTGTTAATCTGTAATTGTCCTATATATTATGCAAAATGAAGGATCATCGAACATCTAAATTTGTAAAAATTGACCTGTCAAATAAGAAATTAAAATCTCCAGTGCTCTTTAATTGAAATAATTAGAATTCTTATTTTATTATTTTATTTCTTTCGCTGTTTAAAACTTCTATTGGCATTTCAAAAAATTTCTTAAAAGCCAAACTAACAGTCTTGTGGGTATTTTTTTGATAAAATCCTTTTCCTACGTCATTAATGATTATTGCAATACTTATCCAATTGAAGTTACTTTCTTAGGCAAAGGGATGTTGTTGAGTGAAAGGAATATAAAATTTGCATCCCTGGAGAATTGTTTTTCTCTTCTCGAACTATTTTTTATTTTAAAGTATCGAATTCTGATGCCGAATCTCTTATCAGAATAAGCAGTTAGCTGATTAGACACTTGCGAAACGACTCTTTATCGAAGAATGATAAAAATTACAGATTAAGAGGATATGATCTCTGCCTGTAAAAAAATCTAAACATTGGAAACAGATGCTACGTTATTATTTTCATATGTTCATTGAAAAATAAAAGAATGTTAAATCTATAGTTGATTGTTTATTGTTTACTGAGAAATATCCGAACAGAAATAAAGGATAAATAAAGTACTAATAAAATAATCTAAACAGCTTTATAAATGAGCATGCTTATTTACAACTTTAGAATGGAGCGCTCCCGTGGCCGCACCTGTTATATCTAATCTAATAAAACCGCCACTGTCTAATCGGACGCAACGAAAATTGCGCTCATTTGCAAAGGAAAAGAAATAGAGAAAGGATGGGGGAACAACTACGGAAACCGGCTGGCTTTTATATCTCCAAGTCGAGAGCTATTATTCTTACGTTACTTGTTATTATTATTATAACGGCTGTAGGACTAATGGCCGGGTTAATACCTAAGAGAAAATGCTCCGACGAAGTTAAACCTCCAGTCTCTCGACCAGAACAAATTCATAATAATTCTCGTTTACCCGAAATAACTATACCAAGACATTACGATTTGGATATTTTTCCCGATTTCTATCACGACGGTAGTTCGTATAGTGGAAAAGTGAACATAGATGTTGATATACAAGGATCAATTAACGAACTAGTTGTTCATACCAAATACTTAACGATATCCGAAACAAAGGTAAGAAAACATAATTCTTCAGTTTATCAATTAAAATTTCTCTCTTAGTACGTAATTTAGTCACGTGATTACATATTTCAACATCTAGATAATTGAATAAGTATCATAAAAGTTCATCAATGGATTTTTATCGTCTAAAAATAAAAATGTATGTTAAGTTTATTCTAGAGACAAAGTAAATCTAAATAGAATTTTCATTAAAAAGGCTAAGATGATAGTTTATTCACTTAATTAGATAAATTGATGGCAGAATTAGGTGATTAAAATGATGTTAGGATAAATGTAAAATAAGCAGACTTTTAACAAAATAAACAGGTGTACAAGGATTCTGACGAATTAGAAATCCTATCGACGTTTTACTTCGAACGCAATCAGTATTGGGTCATTCAATTAAAACATTCTCTAGTCAGAGAGGATAAAGTAAGAATTTATCTCGCATTTAGCGGATCACTCGTAAGAGGAATAGTAGGAATGTATAAGAGCAACTATACGAATAGTATTACTGGAGAGAGACGGTAAGGATTAGCGCCATCTCTGGCTTGTTTTCTTTTAATACACTCTTTCTACTTTTCCTCTTATAACCTTAATTATAAAATATGAGTCTAAACCCTTTTTAGATGGATGGTAACTACAAAGATGCAACCAACAGATGCCCGAAAGGCTTTTCCATGCTTTGATGAACCGAAATACAAAGCTACTTTTAAGTTAACAGTAAAACACTGGCGAAACTTTACAGCTATAGGAAATATGCCTATTCAAATAGAAAGGAATATAGATTCTACATGGAAAACTACAGAATTCGAAACTTCACCAGTTATGAGTACATACTTATTCTGTTTTGCTGTAAGTGATTTTGCAAATAAAACAACAACGCTAACAAACGGAAAACGGGTTTGTAAATAACATTTTTGAGTATTCATTAAGGTTTATTGAAGTTTGGTTTTTGTTGTTGTTGTTGTTTTTTTTTTTTTAAAAAAACAAAGCTTAGCATTTGGGCTCCTCCACATATTATTGATCAAGTTGACTTTGCGATGGATATGACAACCAGAATGGTTAAATTTTTCGAAGACGAATTTAACATGACCTATCACCTACCAAAATTAGATCAAATTGCTGTTCCCGATTATCCATCTGGAGCAACTGAGCACTGGGGTTTAATATCGTATCGTCAAACTTCTCTTCTATATGATAGTAATCAGGTTGATGCTACTGGAAAACAAAGAGTTGCAGCAGTTATTGCTCATGAATTAACTCATAATGTTTGTATTCTTCTCCTTTTTCTACTTTCCCCTCCAACTTTTTCTTAAACTATTTCACTTTTAACACTTAAAAGTATTTTGGTAATTTGGCTACCTGCGAATGGTGGGATGATTTATGGCTTAACGAAGGTTTTGCAAGCTTTTATCAAGTTAAAGCTGAAGATGACGCTAATCCGTCGTGGAAAATTGTAAGAAATTTATATATCTACAAAAATTATCCTTTTCTCTTCATTCATTTTTTGTTGTTGTTTTTTTATTAGAAAGATCAGTTTATACTGAAGAAAGCTGGAGTGATGAGAGTTGATTCTGGAGGAGCTAGGCCTATATTAATAGATTTGAGCCGTCCAAACGAGATAAATTCAGTTTTTGATATAATTACATATAGCAAAGTATTGTTTTTAAATAGTAATTAACTACTGTTAGTATTAATAAGAAAAAAATAAATAATTCGAAATTTAGGGAGCGTCTATTGTAAATGTATTGGAAAAGACACTTGGTAAGGACCTATTCAGAAGAGCAATTAGAGTAAGAGATTCGTATATTATAACATGAAGGAATGATTGAAATATGATAAAATTGAATTATATTTTCATAGGAATTTCTAAAGAAATACGAATATAAAACAATGAATACGAAACAGTTTATTGACAGTGTTCAAGAAGTTTGCAAACAATAATCCTATACGTTCGTTAATTAATGAATATTTTTCCATTTTGGCAGACTGTAAGGGAACAACTTAACGTTAGAAATTTTCTAAGACCATGGCTAGTCCAATCAGGTTATCCATTAATCTCTGTTGCAAAGAGGGGTTCAAAATTAGCTATACATCAACAACTCTTCCAAAGTAGTTCAAAGGATTCTAGAACTTGGCATGTACGGATAGATTATACGGATGACAAGGGGAAAGTTGGTAAAGTTTGGCTAAACGGAACAACAACAAGTTTGTATAAATAATTTATCAATACACAAGGCTTTTCTTAAAGATATAATATCTTTTTATATAGCCGAAATACTATTAGCAAATGCTAAATGGATAAAATTAAATCATGGTGAGAATGGATATTTTCGAGTTAATTATCCGGAAGAAATGTGGAATTCATTTAAAGATCTATTGGAAAAGAATCATACAGTTAGTGGTTTACATTAATATTAGTATCTTAATCTATATTTCCATTTATAGGCGCTTAGCGATGCCGATAGAATAGGATTGTTGAATGATGTTTTTGTGTTGGCCGAAAATCAGCACATTAAATATAAAATTGCTCTAGATATGTTAAAATATTTAGAAAATGAAAAAGTATTCGTAGCATGGTCAACAGTAAGGAGAAATTTAGATCGGATAAGCTTTCTAATGGAATACTCTAATAATTACGCAAAATGGAGGAAATTTCTTAGGAAGATAACGAATAATATACTTCATGAATTATCAATTGAAGATAAAGGCAATCATCTTGAAAAGTATTATCTGTTTTTCAATAATGAAATGTTTTAAACGCTAAAACGGGATTCCTTTCTTGTTTTTAGGTTGTTGAGATCGAATATTATAGAACTTGCTTGTTTCTTTGGAAATGAAGTTTGCATTAGAAATTCAACAGTTTTATTCAACAATTGGTTAACGAATAATCAGTTTGTTTAGCATATTTTATATCTATATCTTATTTATTTAAACAATTGAATATTATAGGCCTATTCCTCCAAATTTAAGAAGCTCGATATATAGAATGGGAATGAGATTTGCGGGCGATGAAGAAAAATGGGATAAAGTTTGGAATATTTATCTGAATGCTACTTCAGCCCAGGAGAAAAGTTTATTGGTTAACTCATTGAGTTCTATTGAACAAAGATGGATTCTCTTAAGGTAAATATAGCTTTATTTTTATTCTATTAAATGAACTATGACTAATTAATCTCTTGTAAAAATTGTAGATTTATGAATCGAGCGTTAAATGAGGAGTATGTACGTTCGCAAGACTTTTTCTCACTTATCTCGTCCGTAACAAGCCATTCAATGGGTTTAGCAACAGCTTGGGATTGGGTTAGAGAGAACTATGAAATACTCATCAATAAGTTTGGTCTAACAAATAGATACTTTCAAAGGATGGTTCCAGGAATGGTACAAAAGTTTAAAACAGAACTCAAACTAAAAGAGGTTTTTGTTTACATTTCACTTAAATAGGGAAAGGAAAATTTGAAGAATAATATTTCTGTGTTTTTTTTTCATAAAGGCTGAAGAATTTTATAAAAAGTACCCAGAAGCAGGACCTGGATTCAATGATCGTTTAGCATCTCTAGCTATAGTTAGAAACAATATTGAATGGATTAAAAAGCACGAATTTGAAATTATCAATTGGCTGGATGATAATTAAAATATCTGGCATCAATTAACTATTACTAATAGTATTATTCTTTCTTTTATTTTTATTTCATTTTCCATAGAGTATTAATTTTATGTGGATCTTTATTTTCGCGTTTAAAATGAATAAGTTTTCGCTGTCTGAATAACTTATTAACTAATCAATATCATTATAAAATAATATATGTAAATATAAATTTTGAATATTGGAAATATATTAAAATTAAACAAGAAATTTGAATAATTATTAATTATTTTTATTTTTTCAAAAATGTTAAAAAACATGAAATATACAAATTAAAATAAAATATGAGTGTTGAAAAAGAGAAAAACTTTAAAATAATGACAAAAAATGATGATAGTAAAGGTAACAAAAAAAGCTTACGATATTTCCCAATCAAATTGAATGATGAGAAACAAGCCGCTCTAAGAGAATTATTCAAAGATCAATCATTCGGCGATAAGAAATTAATATTTCTATGTTCTAATTCTAAAGACGACATCTATAACGAATTGGTTAAATCTAATTCAACAGATAATAATGATTCGAAATCGTGTTCAATCTCCAATGATAGTAATCTTCTATCTGCATTAGTTAAGAAGAGATGCTCGTATTCTAATGATAACAACGTAAAACCAAAGAAAAACTTGACGAACAATGCTAATGAAGAAACTATGGAAAATTGTTTATCTAGTTCTAAAAACAAGACTAAATCTCATTTAAGAGTTGTCAGAAAGAAACGGAAATCTTTTCCTTCGGTGATAAACTAACTGTTTTTAGATTGTAATGATTTAATGTAAACTATTTATAGGACGAACTTCATATTCAAAGAGCTAATGACAATATTCAGGGAAGACCTCCTTTTCCTGCTCCTGTTATTCCAGATACAATAGAATCTTTGAAAGCAGCATCTTTTAAGTTAAATCAATTGGCTGAAGCAGCTGGCGATGTTGAAGGTAGCGATTCATCAGGTGGCTTACGGAAGAAGTCTGTGACTTTTGCTAAAAAGAATTCAGGTATCGAAGAGAAAAATCAAAAATCATCGGCTGCCAGTCTGTAATGTTTAATTATCCTTTTCACTTTTATCTCTTATTAACTTTATTAGAAACAAATTCTATGGAACCTACATCACGCTCCTCTTCTAAGTACCATCCGGATAAAATTCAAATTGATGTTCAAGAAATTAGCCCAACTGGAAGTTCTACTGGAACTGAGAGGAAATCGAAAACTTCGTCTAAGAGAAGAGATTCAAATGAATATTCATTGCCAGGTACAGATGAAATTGGCTCCAAGGCGGAATCGGAAAGGTCAAGCCTAGTAAATTCCGGTTCCGAAGATGCCAAGCGATTGAAAAGCTTAGAGATGTATAATGAGCGTCTGTCAACCATAGACGAAAAGCAGTCGATTTCATCATATAGTAAAAATCGTACTCAAGAAACTCGTGAAGAAGCAGAAATTTTATCAAAGAAGATATCATCTGATAAACAAACCAGATCAAGTAAAATTAGTTCAAGGAAAAATGACGTAACCCCTTCAGATGCGAGCAAAGTTAAAGAGTCTGAAGAATCACCGAAAAATAGTCAGTCAGATACCGAAGAAAGTGAGAGTGATATAGGCCAGAGTGTTGATGAGATCAACGAAGATGAAGAGGATGAAGATACCGTAGGAGACGAAGATGACGAAGAAGAGGAAGAAGATGAAAATGAAGAGAACAAAGAGGGTGAAGAGGAACAAGAATCATTAAAGGAAGGATCACAAAATCTCATTGAAAGCGAAAAAGATAATCTGGAGAGTGAACGTGAAAGAGTAATCGAAATAAATTCAGTATTAAATGGATCTGATGAAACTAAAAAGTCAAAAAGTTCAACTAGAAGAACAACCAGTTCATATAAACGAAACTCATCAAAACCATCAGATGATATTCATAAAGAACAAACTAAAAGCTCTTCGAAGATTACAAATTCAAAGAAATTAAGTTTACCTTCGTCATCTAAAATTCAAGAAAGCCAAACTACCCAAAAAACAAGTAAAAGTTTGTCGAGAAGAGAAACAAATCGCATGCAAAGTTTAAGGAAATCTACTTTAAAATCACAGGAAAGCCTCAGCGGATTAAATGAAGAAAGAAAATCTTCTAAAAATGAATTTACTGATAATTCATTAAAAGACAAGTTAGTTTCGAGTTTTGTGGAGATAATATCGCATTTATCAGCTCAAATAAAGAAAAGTGATTCAGTTGATTGTGAAACGCAAGATAACAAAAAAGCATTTCCCGAAGAGGAAGAAGTTGGAGAAGAGAAACAAGCAAGCGAACGAGAGGAGGGCGAAGAAACGACCGGAACAGAACTTTTAACATCTGTAAAGAAAATAAGATGTACTTTGTCATCCGAGAGACAAACGAAGGAAAACGATGAAAGTTCACCACTAAAGAGCATTGAAAAGAAAAGTTCGAAGCGAAAATCATCTTTAAGAGGTGGATTGTACTCTGAGAAAATCTCAAAATCAAGCCACTGCAAACAGTCTGAAGTAGAGACAAACAGACAAAGAAATTCAGATAGCAATGGAGATGAGAATTCGTATGATAACGAATCTTCAAGTAGCATTGTCCCTATGTACTTGAATGAAGAAGTTCTACATGCTATTAATAATTGTGTAAACAAGTGCTTGAAAAGGAAGTTAAGAAAAGTTCTTCCAAATTGTGGTCCGATGTGTGCTTCTCAACCAGAGAATTTTTTAAGAACTTGTTGCCCGCCTACACTGCCTAATATTGCTATATGCGATCTAAACGCTTTTCAAAATCTTCAAAAGACTGTTGCTCCTACTGTGCCAGGTCAAAATGTGATAAATCCTCAAACTACTCAATGTAAACCATTTAGCACAGATAAAAACTTTATTGATAAAGCGTGCTCAGTGATAAGTTTACCTACAAACATTGGTGAAGAAATGGAAACATCGAAAGAAGATGATTTACTATTGTCCGGTGGTGCTAAGGCATTAAGCATGAAAAAGGAAGATGAAAACGTTAATCCAGAATACGAAGAGGAAGATTTATCAAGTTATGTGTCTTCGTCATCTTCATCGTCAAGGACAAGAACTCTTGTTGACGTAGGAAGACAAGTAGAAATTGGTACTCAAACAACTTTAAAAAGTAATCCTCGCATTAAACTATCATCTCAACAAATTTTAAATTGTCTTGATGAATGTATTAATTGGTCAACGGAAGATGAATGTGAGTCAACTATGGATCGTCCTTACAATGATAATCATACAGTGAGTCAGATATTACAGTCAGCTGCTTTTGTACCAGTTCCAGAATGTGTGCAAATAGGTATACCAAATGCAGATGAGGCAAATAATTACTTAGGTATAGGACAAATAAAAAATAATTCAGTTTCGACGACAAATTTTCAAATAGCTCGGAATAAGTCAATTTGTAAAGGATTTAGGAATGCTTCGTGTATGAATTGTCAAAAACAATGGGGATATGATATCTATCCGATACATCATTCTCATTGTATCCATCAATTTAGGCAACAAAATTCTCAACAGCAATTTATGAATGAACAAAGAGGATTACGAGGAAAATTGTCCATTTCTACAAACGATCTTCAAAATTTAGGCTACGTCATTTCAAATCGTCAAGATCTTAATCATTTTAGTAACAAATTAGACGAAAATGAAGAAAAAATCGAATTTCATTCAAAAATTTCAGCTGATGTTCGAAATCGATATCAGATTAGAAGAGATACAAAATTTCCTGGAAGATTTTCCAAAGAGTTAACAGATACTTCTATTCATTCAAACAAACCTCCAAATTGTTAGCAAATTATAAACTGCAAAAAAAAAGAAAAACGAAACAATTTTCAATTCGATCAGCAATAATAAACAGCAACAAAGTGAAAAAAAATGCAAACTTACTCTACTTTTTATTGTTTGTTTGTTAAAGTGTAAACATATATAAATAGAACATAAAAAAAATAATGGACTTTTGGTCTACGTTTCTTAGATGGAAAACAGTTTTTTTTACTTGAAAAAGAATTATAAATAAGCCTATGAAGAGTTCATAAAGTAAACAGGATTAGTACAATATATTATGCTTAGGTTAAACCTTGAAGATAAAATGAGAATATCCTATAAAAGTAGTCGGCATAAAAATTGGAACACGATAAATTTTGATAGGCCGAACATTAAAAATCTTTTTCACTAAGGAAAAAGATTCTTTTTTTTATTTTTTCTGTCTTAAATATTAGATTAATCATAGATATATAAACGAATGTCTAATAATAGGAACAGGGGGTTTAATGTTTATAGTGTACAACTTTGGTTATATTTTATGCTTGAACTATATTACTTGATGCAACTTGTACATGTACCTCTTAAAACCAACGCCAGAAAATGCTACAACATTGGCCAAACACAGGTCTGATTAGTCAGCTTGAAGGCTCATCTTTAATTGCTAGTTAAGGTTTGGCCAAGTTATAATTCAATTAACCTTCCTAAATGTTGAACCTTGTAACATCCTGTTACTAAGGATAAATATCAACTACACAGTTCGGCAACTGTAAAGTGATGATGGGATATCAGAGGCAAACCTCAAAGTATATAAATCCTCACTATTTTTATTCTAAGCATTCCTATCTGAACCCAAGGATCTGGGAAGAGAACCTAGAAATAACCTCCACAAATTCTTTTCATCCTGCCTAAAAATATTTGCTAATAATATTCCCAGATATCATCATTTTCTCAACTTTTTTTTCAATATTACACATGTACGCTTGTAGTGTTTTATAGGCTTAACATTTGCGTTTCTTACGGTAAATAAAAAATTCGGTAGATCAATTAATCACATATGTTTCAGTATAATCAATTAACTTTATGCCACTTCCACATCATTTCTAGAACTATGTCGGTAAGGAAGATTATATTTTCATTCTTTTCCAATTAATTAATCTACTTAATTAAACTATTAAACACCTTCTATATTGATTAGACAAACTTATATAAAGTCCTCCTCGTCATATTTTCTACCACTTTGGCTGAAAAATGTGAAGTTGAAGAAATTAGTGGAATCGCTTTAGCTGGCGTTAAGGCTCCGTATAGCAGACTCATTGGAGAATATACAACGCACCAAGAACCTTTTCAATGCTTTAAGGCGTGCTGTCAACTTACAAGTAAGATATTCTATTAATAAATTCTCTAGTTAACTATACAGTATTTGCATCTTTTGAATTGTAATCTAAACAAAAACAAAAATGAAAATAAGAAATCTTTACATTTTATATTTACAGTTGAGAATTGTAATACTGCTGTTCAATATTTGAGTAACGGAAGCTGGATATGTGTTCATGCCTTTTGTTCATCTCCCGAAACTTGTAAATGGACATATTTGCCTAATTCCTATGCTGCTGAAAATTTTAAACGTATCAAGACAGAAACGTCATCTTTTGTTTTATCGACTACAACCGTCCAGACAGCAGACACTACTGAAGCTTTAATCCATTCGAAAAGCACATCCAAAATAATAACAAGAATATTCACCTCGACGGATGGTACTATTTCTGTAACTGATAAAGCATCATCCACTTCTATGAAGCCAGGAGAATGGAAAGATATCTTAAATAAGATCCGTCATAAAAAAAAATTCTCCAGTAAAAGTCCAAACCTAACTGAAGTTCCTCATTCTAATGGGTTTATGAACCGTAAACGTCCACATAAGCATTATCCAGGCATGGGCAGAGCTTTTAAAAACGACGACATAAATTGGAATATGTGGATAGGCATAATAGTTAGTTTATCAGTTGTACTAGTCTTCCTTCTTCTCATTCTATTCCGACAAATATGCAAGAAACGTGTCAGTTCCTATACGCGACTCGAAGATTTGGATGTATCAGCGAAAGGTATGCTTTGGTATCAAGATGATATGGAATAAACTCACACGTCTGTTAACTTATCAGGACGCTTATTTATTTTTCATTTTAAATACAAAATCTTTTGAAAAATTAGAAAACAGTGTACACTGAACAACCACAATAGGAAAGAAATGTAGCCATATGAGACTTCGGTTTTCGCGTCCTATACCAATAGGAACAGATTACTTTCTTGCAGATTCGTAGTTGGCCACAAACCAATCACAAGTTTCCTTGATTGCTGTTTAAAACAAGATTAAAACAACGAGACTAGACGTGTTATATTAATCAAACCTTGTTTCATCGGTGTAAACTTGAAATCAGGCAAATATTTGCGAAGTTTGGCATTGCTGGCAGTCTTTTTAAATTGTCCATCAGACTTCGTCTTATCGTAGACAACTTCTCCCTTAAATTCCATGGCTTCAACAACATTTTCGGCTGCCTCTTTAATAGAAATTTCATCATCTTCGTTCACTGTTTTAAAAAAGTATGTTCAAATTCTCCATTGTACTCAGTATATGCTCCAACTTACCAGACAAAATAATTGGGTCAACCTCATTGTACTCTCTTAAAACCCATAGAAACAGTCTAGCCAAATCTAGAGAATAGATAAATTGTCTTCTTGGAGAGCCAGTACCCCAAACGGTGAATGGAGTATTTTCTTTCTTAGCGGTGTAAACTTTGTTTATCAGACCTGGAAGAACGTGTCCATCTTCCAAGTTGAAGTTATCATGAGGCCCAAAAACATTTGTTGGAATGACAGCTGTAAAGTTGCATCCATGTTGCTGGTGATAACCTTTATTTTGAACGTCAATCATTCTCTTGGCGTACGAATAGCCAAAGTTAGAGGTATGAGGAGGACCATTATGAATCATGGTCTCATCAATAGGATAAGTAGTCTTATCAGGAAAAATGCAGGTAGATAAACAAGATATTACTTTTTTCACCTTATGTTCGTATGCAGTATTTAGAACATTGTCATTAATTTGAATGTTTTGTCGCTGTATAAAATTAAAATAGATTTAATGTACTATATAAAATAGATAACAGAAAAAGATGTCCCACCAAAAAATCCAAATTATATTTCAAGTTTCTGAAAAGACCGCCCACCATGGCTGCAAGATGAATAACATGAGTTGGTTGATGCTTTTCAAAAACAGCTATAGTTTGTTCTTTGCTGGTTAAGTCAGCATCTTTGGATGAAATGAAAATCCATTCTTCATCTACTCTCTTTTCTTCTTTGTTGACAATTGTTTCAATTGCCTTTCCAACCAAACCGGTTCCTCCGGTAACCAAAATTCTCTTTTTTTCTTCAGCCGGGGCCATTTTAATATTTTCAGGTTTGCACTATAAAAAAAAACATGACACTACTCATCCAGTAAATCGAACAGAATACGTAACGTTTCAAAGCCCTAAGATTACATTGTGTTTCTATAAAGAATAGAATAGCCTTTTGGTCTAAACTAAATATAGTTAATTATCTTAGGCTTCCCTGAATAAAAACCTTTTTTTTTTTACAAATTGAAAGATTAATTAACTATATTTAATAAAATAAGCTAAAATAGAATGAAAGAATATTTCTATAGCTAATCACCTCGTTATTAATACAATAGCCGGTATCAGCCACTGAATTGTTGAATTCATTAACAATTAAGATGCAAATAGCGAAAACAATATTAAATGAAGTAGTCATTTCTTTTATTATATTACATTATCATATACTGTCTAGAAGAAAGTTAATGAAATGACTTCTAAGAGTTACTCTATAAATAATTTTACGACATAGAATTTCTGTCAGCTTACCTTCTTACGATGTCCACGCGGCAAGTCAGTAAGGACCTATTACGAAAATGATTACGTAACTGTTAGGTAAAAAGCTTTTTTATATTTTTTTTATAAATCTAAAAATACTTATACTTAAAAAATCATTGAAATAGACGATTTAGAATTCTTTTTACGAAACTCGTTGCTATGGGTTTCTATTTCCGGTAATAATAAACCGCGCTCGTGCGGGAGAATTTAGAATTCTTCGGTCGATTTCTTCTTTGTATTAGTTTGTTTATTCTTAAAAACTCAGACAAATTGTTATATTATGTTCTTTATCTCATTTTGTCTTGGAAATTGAAAACTGAAAATGAATGATTACAATGAACCATGTATGTTCATCCATCGGCCGTCATCTGCTAGATCGCAGGATACGTCTCATATACTTTCAAGAATTTTCCGAGACCTGTATCAAAGAGATCCAGTGACAAATGACACTGTTAATTTTCTAGTACAGTCTAAGGAGGGTGATGATGAAGTTCATACACAATATGTAGCTGAATTAAAAAAGGTAGCTACATACTAACAAATATATTTCTTTTTCTACTAAAGTTCTTATATACAGGTAACTGAGGAGAGGGACAAAAAATTTTCTGAAATAAGCATGCTAGAACGACATATTCAACAAGCTCAAGCAGCCTCAATACTAGCTGATGAACGACAATTAGAAAATCGTCAGAATATGCCTGATTTGGGACTGCCTCCAGGTAAGATAATTCCCACGAATTGTAGTCTTTCTGATAAAAAATTACTTTATGAATATGTTTAACTTATGCAGAGAGATCCCATTTTAGAAGATATCTCGATTCAGATCTACTAAGAAAGTATAGCTTGATTGTTCCAGAGGACTACAACCCTATAGAACTCCCAATTGTACACCCACCCAGTGGTAATACATTATCAAATAATTCTTTTCAGTCCTTATATCATAATTTTGCAGCTGGAGAACCGAATTATACAAGAGAAACTGTTAATTATTCTAGAAGAAGTAATCGCCACTCATCTCAAATATCTGACAGAAAAATTCTACAAAAGGATGATTTTGTTGACGATTTTGGGCATTTACCTTCAGATGATGACAGTGTTCCAGATACATCAGCTCCCCCTCAATCAAGCGTAAGTCAACAATTCGAACGAATGAGAACTAATAATTTAATTACAATTATTTACATAAAAAAAGAAAAAGAAGAGAAACCTAAATCAAAGCCAAGAGATGGAAAAACTTCTGTGGAAAAAACAAATGTCTGCAGATGCTCGCCAAGATGCAAGAGCTCAATTAGCAAACATGCAAGTAAGAATAGTTCATTCTTCATATTAGATGATCGTGTTAATGTAATATAAAATTGTTTCTTTATTAACTCAGGCAAGAGTAAACTTTTTAAGAAATCCACGTTATGTATCAGAAGTAAGCGAAAATCTATTGTCTAAAGGAAATCAAGTATTCTTACCCATTCCTGAGGTCGTTATTATTTCTGATTACGTTCCAGGAAAAGTTTACGAGGTATAATTCATTAGCAGGACACAATCTTTTATCATTAACGGTATATCGTTACAGGTTGATCTTGAGTTAAAGAATATAACTAAGGTCTTAAGAAATGTTCGAGTTATTCCACCAAGAACTACGTATTTTTCAATTGGTTTGGGTAGATTTCCTGCTGAGAATGGTCTAATTGCCTCTGGAATGAGCTGTCAATTTACCGTTCGATTTGCACCTGATAGCCTAGCAGATTTTGAAGACGATCTCGTTGTTCAAAGTAATGGTTGTGAATTTATTGTCCCTCTTAAAGGAAAAAGACAACCACCCATACTAAATAGTAAGATTTAATGATTTAAAAGTGTATATATATATATAAATTTATATATATATACTGTATATATACAGTATTTATAGCAAAATATACATTTATAGGCAACATAATGTACAAATTTATAATTTTAGTTCCTGAGGTCATAGACCTTGGCGGATCCTTAGTGGGAGGGACAAAAGTTGGACAAATTCAAGTACAGAATACTGGTGGAAACGGAAGATTTGCTGTAGTTCCAGGATCCTCTTGGCCAACTACACAATTCAAAGTAGGTCTCTTTCTAATACTCCTTGTTCAGGTAACAAAAACCTCGAGCATTTTCAGGTAAAGTCTCAAGGAGGAGCAGTTGCAGTACCTCCCTTTGAGTTTAGACCATCTCTTTTTGCAGTCCGACCTGGTCAGAGTACTGTACTAGAAATATCTTTCTCACCTAAAGAAGTTAAAGAGTATGAGACATATGTTACGATTGTCTGCGATAATTGTCATGTTAAACATATAAAACTAATAGGTCACCTTATTTCTGTTGTTCTATATATAAAAATGTTCAAGCTTTCTTTCTTTCTTTTAGGTGAAGGTCAGCTTGCAACAGTCGAAATATCTGAGGTGGAAGGTGGAGAAAAGATTCCGGCAGCCGGAGATTTAGCTGATACTTTATGTGATCATTTCATCGATTTTGGAATTCTGCATCCTTACACATACATGGAAAAATCCTTTATTGTTACCAACCGAACGTATGCTATTGATATCTTAACTAGTTGCTCAATCTTATCATAAAGAATGTTTAAAACAGAGCTGTTGATCTTCCTTTCGTTTGGGTGATAATTAAACCAGATTTTAGGGAGAAACCTAATGAGATCAGAGTTCGAGATGTCGATACTAGGTTTAGTATAACGCCAGATACAGGCTTGCTATTAGCAAACGAGAGCATGAAGTTCTTATTGGCGTTCGCTCCCCCGACCGTAAGTTATTGCTATTTACTTGAATTGAACTTTGTGTATATTGACTCAGAAATTTTCTTTTAACAGCCGAAACTTTATCACTCCGTCCTTCATTTTGTCCTACCTCAAATGCCTGTACCTAAGACACCTGCTGTTGACCAGTCGAGACCATCCAGTTTGACAAGTTTAAATAGAGGTTTCAAGTTCAATTACGCGATAATATCAATATTTTTAACAACTTTTCTACTATTAGGTTCTTCCGTGCAAACGGATTTGGAGGACGTAGCTGCCTTACAAATAGATATTAGAGGAACATGTGATCCTTTTTCAGTCATTTTTGAACCTTACGCCCTCCATATTCCTGGTACGATACCAGTACAAACTGTTGTGAAAAGACCAATTCATGTAAGATTATTTAAGAAATTATTGGTTTAAACTATAGTATGCACTTGCTATTTCTAGGTCTTAAACCAGAGTCTTAGCCCCATAGTATTCTCTTTCCAACGGGTAACTGAACCAGCAATTATCCATGCGGAGCCTGCAGAAGGGGAAATTCCTCCCAACTCCGATTGTCTAGTAGAGATTTGCGTTAGTGGACCGATTCCAGGAAAAATGGAGCATAACTTGATGTGTTTAATTCAACATCATGATGAACCTGTGTATTTAAATGTTCAAGCGGAATTTTCGGTATTGTTACCAAAAATTTCTCTTTAATTTAAACATTCTTTCTAACCTAACAATAAAATGTCAACTAGGGGCCAGAGATTGTAATTGACGAGGCATCAATACCATTTGGTTTAGTAAGAGAAGGTAGTCTTGAAGAACGTTGGATTACTATTAGAAATCAAAGTAGAATACCTGCTAACTGGTCAATAACTCTGGAAGAAGGTGAGCTTGGTGAGAATGAACTATGTATTGAGCCGGCAAATGGTATTTTACCACCTTTAAAATGCACAATGGTGAAAGTTGAATTGAGTGCTCTGGCAGTTAAATCTCTAAATCTTTTACTATCCGCAAAAGCAGAGGATGGTAATACTACGTTAGTATTTAAAAATCATTAAGTTTTTAATAAATTTAACAAGCTTTTTTTCATTTAGCGTTTTAAGATGCACAGCCGAAGTGCAAGCCCCAAAAGTTTGCTTAACAGAGTGCAAAATAAAACTGGATGATGTGTTTATTGAATCAGAAAGCAGACATGCCGTTGTCTTGTACAATCAAACAGTTATTCCAACCTTCTTTAAATGGGGTAAAGTTATTGGTAATGGACATTCGAAGGTATCTGTCTCAATGAAGCCGAATAAGGGAAAGATTACAGAAAGAGAGACTCTAGCTTGTATTTTGACAATTGTATGCCATTCTTTGGAAGACGTTGACGATTTGCGAATACCATGTGCAATTGAAGGACAGGCTGACCCTCTCTGGTTATCTTTTAGTTGTACAGTTAAAGGTCTCTCAGTATCATTCAGAGATGAAGAATCATTATAGTAACACTTTAATTTTAGATGTCCAATAATAATTCAACTAACTTTGAATTTTAAATTTTAGTGGAAGTGAAAATGTTCGGATAAGCATGGATGACTTTAAAATAGGTAGCAAAGTAACAAAAAGCCTCTTTATGCGAAATGATACTTCCATTGTGGCTCCGTTTTCCTGTTCTCTTAAGAATTTTGGATTCAAGCCTCCTACTCCTCCTCATCGAGCAGCTATGCCTAACAAAGGGTATGATGTCCTGTTAATTAGCGCTTCATTAGAAATAATAAGTTTTTTCACAGCCAAAGAAGAGCTCTAATACAAAGATCTTCGGCCACGGCTGATCAACCTCAATTGACTCTCAGAGCGAGGACAGAAGCTCAAAGAGCAATTCTTAAGAACTCAAACGGATTAGCACTAATTCTAGAGCCATCAGCAGGAGTTCTCGAACCTTATTCCGAAGTTGAGATTTCTGTTACAGCTTGTGCCAATTTGTGGGGTGATTATGAAGACTTTATTCAATGCAAAGTAAGTCATCTAAAACCTTAAATTTAACGAAAATATCCTATTGTTCCTGCACTAGGTCGGAGACCTTCCTATACAAGAAATACCTGTAGATGTAAAAGTAACTGGTTCTCCACTTTTATTACAATTATCGGCTATGACAACTGATGGTAAAACTCCCGTTTTACGTTTTGGCTCTCAAGTTGCCGGATCTTACGTTGTACGCAGACAGTTAAAGCTTCTCAATAATGGACCTTGCGGTAAGTTTCATTTCGTTTCATATTAAATAAGTGTTAAACTATCTGCTGCCTACAATTTCTCATAGATATCTTTTGTTTTTACAGATATAAGAGTAGACTTTCAAACTTTCGATAGGCACGAAGAAGATAAACAATTGGTTGACTTTGTTGTTGCTTATAAGCCCGCCTTCCCGGTGAAAGATCAGAAAGGAGTTGAAGTTGTTCCACCAAATGATGAGAAAGAAATTGAGGAAATAACACGTCAAAAGACCAATGAATTACCACCACCGTCCACTGATACCTCATTTGTTCTAAGTAGGGCAACAACGCTCAAAGTATTTCGAGAACCCCGACCACAAGTTCTCGATGTTCATGTTTTCGAGCATGATGGCCAAGAACCTTCAAAATATTTCAGTGTCGAACCATCCCAAATCATTATTCCAGCCGATGGAACTAATATTGCAGTTGTGAACTACATTCCACCTCCTTCCAGAGAAGTTAAAGCTCCTATGGATATTATTGGGCATGCTGTTGGATGGTTATCATTACCCGAAAAAGAAAAATCGGATACAGCCGTTTCTAGAAAAGATGGTTATCATGTGGATACTTTAGCTGTTGAAATGACTGCAGGAGTTGTTCCAGCAAGGCTACTAGTAGAATTTGAAGACGAAGATGAGTTGCATTTTCGTTCGGCAGCAAGTGACCTTTTGTGCAAAAATAAACTACTGGAAAATTATATGCACATACGATCTGTAACTCTTCAAAATACGTCACAAACTCCAATTAAACTACAATTCAGAACGAAACCTCCGTTTTACATTATCGGGGAAAACGATGAGGCAAAGTGTCAAACAGAACGCGTCATTGTCAAGTCAAGACAACATCTAGTTGTCAAAATAGGCTTCCGCCTAAGTACCCAACTTTTGGATTTATTGCACAGTTCAGAATACGATAAGAGTATTCCATCAAATCTGGAAACTGCAACCAGTACATCGCCTAAAAAGACTGAAGACGACGACAAAACTGAAAATGAAGAAGAAGAATTCATAACTCATATCGATGAAGGAATATCATTCTTTAGAAAAGGAGATGACAGAAGACTCCAATTTTCATCAGATATAATTTTGAAGTATGATAATGGAGAAAGTGAAATTTTACCTACAGACGCTTTCATTCTTCTACCATCAATAAAAGCATCAAAGAATATATTAGAAATAGGAACTTGCCTTGTTGGAGAGTACAGACAGCGAATGTTCTTTCTCCAAAATCCTTCCCTATCTTCTTCGTTCTGGACTATTTCAATAGGTAAATAAAATAAAACATTTGATGTATATTGTTTTCATTATATAATGCTGTATCGTATTTCTCAGAAAAACAAAGCAGCACTTGCACGCAAGATACATTCAGGATAGAACCAGATAGTGGTATGCTTCATCCAGGTCAAACAACCTTAATCAATATCATAGCAACACCCAACCATAGCGAAAATTACGAAATTGACTTAATTGTTCATGGTCTATTAGGAGAAATAGATCAGAGAATACATGTTACGGCAAGCGGATCTTATGATACAAGACACGAAGTTATACTCCCATCTTGAAAGGGAATATCGAAAAAAACTACTCCATCATTATGCACTGTATATTTAAATATATATTTGTCAGAGATTTACTCATTTTATTTAAATAACAACTTAAATATTACCAAGTTTTCCTTAATATTTTTTTTATTAGATTATACTATAGACGACAAAACAGTTTCAGAGCGAAAAGAGAGAACTATTTCAATAAGTTTGAAATAATTCAACTATTATATAATTCGTTTCTTAAAAATAGAAACAACTTTCATCGTTTCGCTGACAAAAATACTTCTTTTTTTTATACAATCTAGTACTTGAACCTTATTCGAAGCTTCGCAACAAATAAATTAACAGTTAAAACGAACAGATAGATAATTTTTTACCTCTTTTTTTTTCTTTTTATCTGTTTCACGCACAAAGATATTTTATATCAAATGACAAAAATAAGGTTCTGTTACTAAATTGTTTTTGACTACAATAGCATAATATTTTTAATTATAAAAGCTTTCTGAACGATTTAAAAGAAAAAAAATTTTTAAAATAGGTTAACTAATTAAACTTTGCTTGCAAGAATTAAATGCTAATTTTTCTTTCACTTATAAGTCTAGCTAGACTTCTACGAAAGTGTGTTCATCTACAATACGATAATTCTTCTCTTTATAATGTTGGAGGTCTTGAGTTCTTGCTTGGTGGACACCTAAATATAGATTGCTTACCGAGGAAGGTAGTCGTGGTATTGAGGCCAATTCGCAGAGGTCATCATTATAGGCCCATTGAAGCTGGTGCAAGTAGTGTGCTCTTTTTTCGCTAAATCCTAGCTCTTCGGTTCTCCATTTGTAGTCGTTTTCGATATCGGCTAGCATATCATCTTCACAGGGTAGTGTGATTTGGTTGGTAAAAACTGCCGCAGCAAAGCTGGCCTGAATATGAAAATGGGGAAAAGGCAGAACCGTTTTGGTTATGCCCAGATAGATAATATTTGGATTCCGAGCATCAACCAAATGCTTATAAAGGGGATAGAGACGTTCATTCGTAATTCGCAATTTGACATTTTCTTCCAAAAAGGGGAAGTTATAACGATATCCAGTGCAAAAAACAATTGAATCGACCTCATAAGTGTCGCCATTAGCCAGTTGAACCCGATTTGAGCCAATTATTTCTGTCATCTCAGATACTAAAGAAATATTGGGCCTCATTTTGGGATTGAAATTGGGTTTTCTATGGCTAAGCAGTACTGTATTTTCGGTAACTGATGCAATATCATCGGCAATATCAACTCCTGAAGGGCCAGCTCCGAGGACTAAAACTGACCTAGCTTTATACTGATCGGGTTTTCTGTAATTGTGACTATGTATCACATCTCCTTTAAAGTTTTCTAAACCCCTCAAATCCGGAGTATATGGTGTAGTATAATGGCTATATGGAATAAATTTCGATGAAAGATGTATACTCACACAGGTCATCTATACTACTTACCCATTACAGATGACGAGATAGTCGAAGATGTCCTCCTCGTCCCCTGATTTACCTACCTCCCAGACAATCTTAATTCGACCGTCGTCTTCTTTGCCTACACTCTTCACGAAACTGTGGAACTAGGAACATTTCTTTGTCGAAAATTTTATGCTTTAAGTGATTATGAATACTTTAATGTATTTCTTCAACTGATGGAATTCGGCATAGTCCGATAAATAGCTAGCAACATCGCTATGCCGAAGAAAAGAAGAAAGATGGGGTGGGAATGGATAGTCTTGAAAGGCCATGACTTCCTTGGGTAAGTTAGTCCTGTGAAGACAAACATCTAAATAAACCACAAAATATAGGATAATTAAGTACTTACTTCATGTTCCTGTACATGCTGGAATGCAAAGGCCGTCCCAAATCATTTAGTCCAACTTTTTCAGTGTAATTCCATGTCCCTCCGACTTTGTCCGACTGTTCGAAACATGTTAACTCGAATATTTCTAAATGCTTGCTAAAGACTTGTAACACCGCCAAGCCGCCAGCTCCGGCACCAATTACAGCTAACTTTTTCTTTAGACTTGTCACTCTCATGTCTATTAAAAATGGTATATTACTTTTCTTAAATCGGCGTTTTTTAACAATGACTATACTGCAATAATTCCACCTTCTTTATTCAATAAATATGAAAAGTTTCGAAACAGTGCGCCGTTATAATTTAGCTGAAAGATAATGGCAATTGACTTTTCATACAAATTTTCAATATTATAAGCTTATCACTTATTAATATGAGATGTTTTATTTTAACCTCTGAAGGTGACAGACTAAGGCTATTTCAATCTGTTTTTATACAGATAGGTAACCCTACCATAGCCCATTTAATATAAACAACGACAGTAGTGTCATCTAGTAAATAAATACAGCTTGGACAATTTTTCTTTAGAATCCTGATAAACAAGAACCAAACTGACCGAAACAACCAAATATCAAACTTTAATTGACATGTTTGCTAATATTTATGGCACTACGTGTTTGAAATCAGACCATTTACAACTTAACAAACTTTTTCTATAATAAAAACATACTTATCGTTCAATCAATCTTAAGGGAAAGTCTTTTGTTACTTGTCAATATGTTTTGTGAATGGTTTTATATATATTTCGCATTATGCACTTTTCATTTGACAGGTTAAAAGGTTAATTAATATAATTTTCATCCAAAGAAAGGAAAAAAAAGTGAAAATAACTTGTCTTTTATTGATTTATGGAACATTCATTCCAAGATGATCCAACAAAAGGTTCTAGCATCAGTAAAGAGGTGGCGTTTATAGTCCTATGGTAATGTAGTGAGGTTCTATATTCGATTGATTTTTAAGTTGATACGAGATTGTCTAAAGAGTTTTATCACGTGCGTGCAAAATGCCAAAGTAGGACGACAGTCAAATATGCAAATTAGAACATTTGTCTTTGTTTTACCAATATCGAACCATGCCTATAAATTTCTTTTAATTAAAAATATTCCATAAGTCATTGAACTGAATGACAATAGTTCTATACAATGTACGTGTCTTCGAATATGTACATCCTTTGAAAGGAATATCATAAAACAGCTGAGATATCTCAAAAGGATAATAAAAACGATTTATTTTACTTTTTTAAAAATAGTAACTAGTTCTGACGCAGAAAGACTAATTTATCCGTAGTTAATTGCACTTATATGTAGTCTACATATCTACCGATAGTTCAAATTCCGAAGCTATAAAAAAAAAATAATCATAATCTAAATTAGTATATAAATAAATTAGAACTTTGAACATTCATTGAAAAAGAACATTAATAATTCTGGATGAAAATAGTTTACTCTACAGATAAATATTGTATACAGATAAATATAAGAAAAATTTTCCTTGAAAAGGGAAGCTTAACGGAATTAGCAGAAAAAAGAAAAATAAATTTTATCAAGGTCTTCAATTCTATTCGTAAAATTAGTAGTTAGTTTATTTATTCTCATTTGAGTTGATAAGGAAGAGATTCAGATTAACTTAATGAAATGTCAATTTACTCTTCACTGTCGTTTAAATTGATACTTTATTTCGATTTAAGATGATAAAATCGACGATTGTACAATTTCTTTTAATTCGATAATCGAGATCGGATATCGTCGTATCGACAATACTAATTCTACAAAGCTTTAACCAAAATTTGGAATTCAATGGGAAATCGTCGTGATAAACTAATACTTATTAGTGGATTAATTATTCTATTCCATGCAGCCTACTCTGCCGCACAACGTAAGTTTAAGATGAGATCGCCGACTAATATTTTTTATCACGTTTTCTCCATTTATTTCGTTTAGTTCTTAAAATTCGTTAATTCATCATGAACCTTCATCATGATTGTTCATCTCCAAATTTTATTACTATTTAATTTTACTTCTTTTTAGATCGAACATATGTAAGATTGACCGAAAAAGATGCAACTAGATTGCCAGGAGATGTCGTTTTACAATGTATCATTGGAACACTCTTAGCTTGCTATGGAGTCGTCAGCGTTGCTGGAACATTTCGGGATATCAAAGTAGGAGCTGAGTTAGACAATAAGACTTGGGAAACATTAACAAATCGTCCAGCTTTTTATACATTCGCGCATCGTGGAGCGAAATTCTTTGTTTCAAAAAAAGCCAACGGCAGATCAGCCTTAAATTCAAATGACTAGACAAATTTATATGGAGCTAAGAAATTTTTTTGTTAATTAATTTCCAGTGAGACAAAGGTTCGTTTTAAACTTCAGATGTTCCCGAGGATTATTAAATCGTTCCTCTAAAAATATATTTTTCAAAAAAATATAAGTTTTTAACTCTACGGAAGTCTTCACATCAGTTTAATTAAATTATTTTGTAATTGTTGATAAATTTGTAAATGCATAATAACAATAAATAATTTTCATTGTAGTTATTTAAAAAATAAAGAACTAAATTGTTTTGTTCTTTTATACATGTTCAAAAAGTATCGCTCCAGCTATTAATTATTAATGTTCTATTCTGCAAAAATATATTAGCAGAGCGATAATATGTATTCAAAGAAAAAGCACATTATCAGCGTTCAAGAATCCACAGTTATAAATTAAACTTTAGAATGCTATTTTATAATTATCAATCAGTGTTATGAAATGCAAAATAATAGTTGGGTAATGAAATACAATTCATATCAGTAAATTTTTAAATAAATTGTTGATGGGAGATCTTAAAGTCAGTTATGAATGATTTGAAAATACCAACCGCTCAAAATAATCTCAAGAAGTTTAATTTTATTACGAAAAGTCTTGTTTTTCCACACAACAATATTATTAATACTAATACGACAAGTGATCTTATATTGCTTAGACGTAGTTCATAAACTAACATTTACATGAAAGAGATCAAGTAATAACTTTATAGCCTATAATATCATCTTCTCACAGACAAATGTAGTGGTAAGAAAATATTAGTTTAATACTTTTAAACTGTTCCATCTTTTACATCCGGTCTAGACTATACCGCCATCTAAAGAGGTTCTAGTTAGAATACGTTTTTGTTGATAGTTAGGGCGGAATAACGAAATTTTACCTCCAGACATGGACACCGATGATAATAATCAATCCTCAGGAGAGAAATTGTTCACAATTAAAAAGTGGAATGCGGTAGCGATGTGGAAATGGGATGTAGAATGTGATACATGCGCAATTTGTCGAGTTCAAGTCATGGGTGAGTGATAATATGAGATATTTCAAGATCTTACCCTATTTCTATTTTCGTTTAATTCGATTAAATTTACAACTATTCTATCATTTTTAATTGAAATTGCTTTAAAGATTTTATAATATCGTCTGAAGATATTATTAAACAAAAAAATTCAAATTTCAGACGCCTGCTTGAGATGCCAAACAGATAACAAACAAGAAGAGTGTGTGGTCGTTTGGGGAGAGTGCAACCATTCATTTCATTTGTGTTGTATGAGCTTATGGGTAAAGCAGAATAATAGATGTCCGCTTTGTCAACAGGAATGGAGAATTCAAAGAGTAGGAAAATAAATTGCAGATTGCTTTAGATTCTCTCGTCACAAGCAATTACAATAGTATTTACGTATCATGAATTATTCTTTTTCGAATTTAAAAGAATGTTATGTGATTTAAAGAAACACTCTTTTTATAATAAAACTTTTGAGAAATATTTAAACTTCCTTGGGCATTTGAAAGTCGATTTTGTAAGAAAATTATAAACAAAACGATACCTTTAGAGATTTTATCAACATTTACAGGAAACTCACTAGTGACTGATGGCTTACTTTTATTATTGAAGAATATTTACACACTAATTTTATTTGTCAAAAGATTGTAATATTAATTTATTAATGATTAAAGGTTAATTAAAGGCGATTCATCGCGAGTAATAAAATTTGCTTGCCAAATAAAAAGTTATGAATAATCAATTTGCTTCTGTTAAAAGTCAAATTTTAGAAGTGAAGTCAAACTCAACATTGTAGTAATACCATTAATTTCTGCTTCGGTAAATAGCATAATCAACATTATTTTACAAATAGATACAAACTCTTTTTACATAAGTGAATTTATACTGGCATTTAAAAGATTTCAAGTAAACTTGACAGTTAAGAGTTGGTAAATTACAAAAAAATCACTCAAATGTAGGTATATCGTCAAAGCTGTAACCGTCATATCCTTTGTAAGCCAAATATGCTAGCCTTACGTGATAGGCTCCTGGTATGAACATAATCGCTCCTAGGAAGAGTACAGGCCATGTTCTATCTTTATATTCTTCGGCAATGAGACCACCAACCAGCATACCGCCTATGACTAGAAAAAACGTTCCACAAGTAAATAGAGCAACAGCTAACAGGATAGCCCGATAAGGAATAGGACGTTTGATTTGTTGCTCAAACCTAAGATCAACATATCCCTCTGATGTCTCTTTTAAACGATAATACTTGGTCTTCTCTGTCGACATTCTTTCGCGAATGGTCATAATTTGAAATCTATTAAATGTAACAGCTGTTCGTAACGAATACGAAATTGCGCTCAATGTATCGAATTTTTGAGTATTTTATAACTCACCGTATTAAAAAGGCAACTTTTTCTTGAATAAAGATATTGAGTAGTTATGAGTAGTAAGACCCGGAACCGGAAATTTGCCTGCGCTGAATATGTTCAATGAAAATCTAGGTGGCTCTGTGCCTGATTTCCCGCTATTAATACAAATAAAAAACATTTGCTATCTCAAAGTTACTTTTAAATAAATAAGTTAGAGTTTGTATTAAAATTATTCAAGAATGTGTTGAAAAACGAATACCTTAGATATATTTTTAACATAAGAGTACTCGTGCTGAATTGTATTGTAGCTTTTCACTCGAGTTGTCTCATATTATCAATATTTGATATTACTAACAGACACACTATCAAACTACTTCTCTAGCTATTTACAATTTTCTTAGTCACGTTCTAGTTCGATTTGCTTCAACATCTTTGAAAGAGCATGAGCCAATTGAGGCGTACCAGCGCACAAAATTCTGCGACTCATAAGGTCCACTTCACCTCCTGAAATATACTATTATTTTTACTAATAGTTATGCATTTAGGATTTTAAATAATTAATTCCTTAAAGATTAAGAGTTAGTAGAAAAAATGAAAGTGAATTTCAAAAAGTGTGATTATTTCTAAAATAAAAAAAGAAAATTTGTCCAGGTTTTTTGAAGCACTTATTAATCAGAAAGGAAGATGCAACCACCTGCTGTATCGAGAGCACATCCACCAGCTTCAGTCAGTATTATTACCCCAGCTGCGATATCCCAGCAATGTGTACCGTATTCAAAATAGGCATCTACGCTTCCTCTAGCTATTTGCGTAATATTCATTGCAGCCGAACCAAGCATTCTTATTCTGTATTGATAATATACAGGGACGTAGGATTAATTATCAAGTAATGATTAATTTAATTATCTGGTTTGTTTATAAATTGTTTCGGCAACGAATGAAAGCAAACAGTAGAGTAATCCTTCTCTAAGAAGTTTAAAATATGTTACAAAGAGTGTCTCTTATATACATATATATGTATATAAATATTACATATATATATATATATATATATATATATATATAAAGAGTGCAAATCATAGAATACCCAAAAAAAAAATTGACAGACAAACGTTGTCACTTTTCGAATAACGATATATATTAAGTTTATATTAAGTTAATTACCTAGTCATTCATAGCGTTTGTTTTTAGTGTGGATTCACCTAAATTAAAAATTTAGTTCTACACAACTATCAGTTGTATGATTTTTTATAAGATTAAATATTCGAAAAATAACTATTAATGTTGATAGTTTGTTAGGAGATTCAAGTTTTTTCGCAAGTAAAATATGAAAACCTGCTGTGTCAATAACGCAACCACCAGCTTCTTGAACAATCAGATAACCTGCAGTAAAGTCCCAAATATGTATTCCGAAACTAAAATAAACGTCGGAAGCTGCTTTGGCCACTAAGCACATATGTAAAGCAGCTGACCCTAAGGTTCGTATCCTATAATTATTCAATCGATGCGTTGTTGAGATAGAGTTATAATAAAGCAGTTTATACGAATAATTACCCATGAACATAATCTATTATCTTTCTCATATTACCCAATTTAACATCCAGTATGTCCTTATCTCTGCTAGATCCAAATTCAGTACAGAGGAGAGCATCCTTCAATTCTGTTTTTAAATTGCAATTAAATACTGTATAAAAAAGCGAAATTTTATTCGTTAATAGTAAACCTATTTACCCTCAGTCTTTTTGACGTGTATTCGCTCTCCATTGCAAAAGGCTCCTTGTCCTTTAATAGCATGATAATATTCATCTGTAATCGGATTATAGATAATTCCCACGACCGGTTTTTTTTCTATGAGTAGACCGACAGAAATACAGACAAAAGGAAATCTATATAAGTAAGAGGCAAATTAAAAAAAAACATCTATAAAATTTAATAAAGTGTGTCACCTGTGAACAAAATTATTAGTTCCATCAATTGGATCAATAACCCAAGTAGGTTTATCAGACAATATATTTTCTTTACCGGCTGCAGTATTCTCTTCGCCAATGAATCTAAATGAAGCAGTATACTTGTGAAATTGTACTTTTATGAAACTTTGGGAAAAGCATACTCATGAGAAGGAAAAATTTCCAAGAGCTTACGGACGACCATATCCTCTACTTTCTTATCGGTTTCGGTTACTAAATCACCAATACTTGATTTTTGTTCAACAAGCTTGTCTTGGTAAAAGGCCTCTTTAATTACCTATTGAGCGATAATATAACGAAAATAAACATTGCTTCAAAAGCCGCAAATCTTATATTTTGCTAAGAAATTATACCTCTCCTGCATGTCTGCAAAGTTTTTCTGCAGTCCTATAATAATTCTCAATATCATGGTCCATTTTCAAAAGCAAATTCCTTAAAATTCTAAATTACCTTTTCGATAATTTACAATGTCAGAGAAAAGCAAAATTGTCTCTAGGAACCAGCTTAAAATTTTTTCAAACGAACATTTATTAAAAATTAACAATTGAAAAATATTAGAGAAAACAAAATGAAATATGCATCGTAGGAAGAACTTTTCAGTGTTCATAAATGGCAGGAAAAATCTTTCAAAAAATTATCCACTAAGAAAAAACTGTTAGCAAATGTATAAAAATAGAAGAAATCGACTTATTGTTTTTTTTTAATATTACGAACTAAATTCGAAGGATTACTCTCAATATAGAAATAATCCTACTTTTTCAAACTTCTATTAAGACCAGATTTTTTTGACAAGTGATTTTCGTATTTTGTGATTTGTTAATCATTTTCCTGAGAGTTTTGAAGTTTTAAAATAAATTCTAATAAGCACATCTGAACTTGCATTTCAATTTCCTTATTTGTTACATAAAAGCCTGGAATACCAAGCTTTTCCAGAGTTACTTGTTGATCCATAACTTTTTGATCTAGTTCCATTATTATGCGCATATCTTTCTTCTTCAATTCATCTTCACATTTTAAATCAAACTCTTTAGCTTCTTTTTCACATTGCGCCTGAACGGCTTGAAGGTTTTCTGGTTCAGATAAACAAGACTGAATTTTCTCCCGATGCTTACTTATAACTTCCTGTTTTGAAACAACCTGTTCATTTACCATTTTTACTCTTGAAGAAAATAAATTTTTCTCCTCCAAATGTTGAACCTCCCTTAAAGTTCTGCATATCTCAAAAACAGAATCATTGAGAAGTGAACTTGCCAGCCCCGATAATAATTCATCTGTTAACCTTTGTTGAATATCAGATCCAACTTCCATTTTATATTCGTTTAATTTATTCAAGAAAGACGTATGCATTTTTTGTCTTTTAGCAAATATTTCCGGATCTTCTTGATTTTCATCCATAGAATAATCTAAGAAAAAAGCTTTATCGAATAAAAAGCATTTGTTAAAAAATGGAACAACTTTTTACGTAAGTTAATTATATTTCATAATAAACTATTTTATGAAATATACTAAAGCTAAATCAAACCTTTTTTATAATTTAGTGCCTGATAATAATTTTTTAATGAAAGATTTAAATTTATTTTGAAGATAAACAAGAGAAATCTCCTAAATTAATATATCGTTATCAAAAAATACGACTGACCACTAATGAACTGAATTTAGAATTTAATACCAGACTAACTTAAATAAATAAATTATATGTAATTGATTTACCTCTGCTCTGAGGTATTGAAAATTCTTAGAAAGAAAGTCCTTATACAAATTTGAGTGTCTAGTTCATAGGCTTCTTTAGTTGCCTCTTTCAAAATTAAGCTTTCAAGACTGCTTAAATTATTTAGTAATTTCTCATTTAATATTATCTGCTTTCAGGACACTTAAATGTCAATAGCCATCTATATATTCAAAACAAAAATTACTATTGGACACTGTTTATAGGACTAGAGGAACGAAATTTGATCTCATAAATGGACACTGACGAAACCAATTCATCTTCGGGAGATAAGTTATTCACAATAAAAAAGTGGAATGCAATTGCTACATGGAAATGGGATGAAGAGCGTGATACGTGTGCAATTTGTCGTGTTCAATTTATGGGTGGGCGAAAATATGTTGTTTTAATAAAAAAATTTAACTTTTCCCTTTAGATTGTAGTTTAATATTATGATATTTATTTAAATATTTCTGATAAAATCTCATTCGTTTTTTATTTATTAAAAAACTAATAGCATTCTTTTAAAATATAATTTTAAAAAATATTCGAATTTCAGATGCTTGCTTGAGATGCCAAACAGATAATAAACACGAAGAGTGTGTAGTCGTTTGGGGGGACTGCAACCATTCATTTCATTTGTGTTGTATGAGCTTATGGGTAAAGCAGAATAATAGATGTCCGCTTTGTCAACAGGAATGGAGAATTCAAAGAGTAGGAAAATAATTTAAAAGACTATCTCATGAGTATTTAAAATATATCGGCATTTATCATAGTTTTTACCTAATTTTTTTTAACTAATACACTATATTACAAGATTAAAGATGAGTCTTTTTATAACAAACAACAATAAATTATTATATAAATAAAAAAGAATACGTATTGATTTATTTTTGGTAAAAAAAACTCTTCAAATAAAATATTACTTTATCCTAGTAAAATATATATATTTATATCTATTTAATCAATTCATTTATGCTTAGAAGTATGACAAAACTCTTACGAAAGATATTTCAACGTTTGTAAAAAAAAATTCCTTTTGATATAAATCCAAGGTTCTTTTCTTAATAGTATAATGAAAAAATATTCTATTGAACTTATAATATAATATAATATATCTTTAAATATATAGAAGTATACCTGTCTATATATATAAATATATATACATATACTTATATAAAGTATAATTAAAGTTTTTAGTATTATCAGACTTTGTAAATTTGAAAAATAGAAATGATTTACAGACATGTAAATACTGTGTAATAGAATATTACAATCTTCGCTTGTGAATTATGATATAGGTTATTTGGCTTAGCTCTTTATTTTACTTATTATAAAATTCTTGGTAAATGTGAAAATCTGTTTCTTTTGTTGGGAGAATTTGTAACAAGGTTATTTGAAATTAAAATAACACCAGTTTTTAATTTATAAATTGGTAATACATTCTTAATAAACATGGCAGCCCCTGCTATTGAAGAAAAAAACGTATTACCATGCCACGAATTTGCTTTGTTTCAGGTACTTGTCCAAGTTTTCTTTTTCTAATTTTGTTCTTTAAATAGAAAATTAGAGTCTTAACCCTTAAAAATATTTACTTTGTGTACAAAGTATAACTTTAACTGGGCGATAAATTAGTGGGGGTCGGCATTTGTTTGAATGTCAAAATACTATATATGTTTTTATTATTTTGTAACCGAAAAGGATATTCTGAAGAAACTCCGAACAATTGATGATAGGATTATTCATAAATTGAATACAACTATTCCGACCGATTCTTTTACCAGTAAAGTTGATGCTGCAGACGGTTGCAAGCTATTCCACAAACAGGTATAATAAATATTCTCAGTGTAATGAAAGTAGGATGAATAAGCATAAACAATGAATACATATCCAGCTTAAAGTGGCGCACGAAAGCCGAAAAATAGGTATTCAACGGTGCATAGAACAAAGTGCAAACACAATCACTAAACTATATGGTGAATATGATAATAATGCTGAAAATGACTCTTTCAAGAATAGCTTGAGGAAAGAACAACGAAAAGTTTGTATACAAATTCTGTTCTTACTAGCGTAAAATTCTCATTAGTATAGTTTCATATAATTCACTTATATACAGTTACGATTAATGAAGGCTGAACTAGATGTAGAAGAAGTAATCCATGATCGAACAAAAAAGGTTAGATGTTCTTTGTATTGTAGTTTTATTATAGAGTACATTATAAGCTTTGGAGAATTTTTAATATATTTCACTATTTATACAAGTTATTTTATATGTTACATTTAGAAAAGAGATTGTTTTTTAAATATAAAAAAGAGATTTTCGTAGTCTCGTAGAATTTACAAGTTTTTTCTATTTACTATTGGATAAAAATAGAAAGAAAAAAGTCAATATACTGTAATAGTTTTGTAATTTTATATAAAAAAAAGGTCAGCTAAAAAATTTACAGACATATCAAATTAAGAAAATACTCAGTGACTTTTCCTAGATTAGAAATTCTCCGATTACGATATGGTTTTTACAAAATGTCAATTAGATTTTTTTACATATATACTTTGGTTATATATATATATATATATATATATAATATAAATATGTAAATTCACTTCTACAGGTCTTTAATGAGCGTTGTCGATTGTTTTATCAGCCACAATAATTTATATTAAGAAACTGTATTCAAGAGGATACTCTATATTGTATTTATAGAGGAGGACAGAAATTTGATGCAAGCTCAAATACGCTAAAATCAAATGATCTAAGATTTCTAGTTTAAAGCTATCTTTATATACTGTATGTTCAATCTAAAATACATTTTTCAAAAAGTAATAGATTATATTGATTATTACCACTCGCGCTTTTACCCATAAGGGAAGCTCACAGGCAGGCAGAGCAACACTCTCTTACAGCACTACTTCATTTTCAAAATGGCCGTCGTAACTCTTTCCACAATCGCCACCTTAGAATCTCCGACTCTTTAATAATTTTTGTATTCATTTTCTGTGTCTCCGATAGACGGCGCCAAACAATATTTGAGCAATATTGATTAATCAACTGCATGAGGAACGGGGACAGTAGTTCGCGCCGATAAAGCTTTATCGAAATACAGAACGGTCGTTTGGTATCTTGTGATTTTTATTTTTGGATTATATTCTCAATCGTCTCATTTTAATACATTTGTTGAAGAGGCGTGGTTTTAAGACGCAACACACTCCAACAAGTGCAGAAATCGGCCATATTTTAGCAAAGCATCTGCAAAAACATTTGATTACTGGGAAAAGATTACAGATTTATTCTGGGCGTTGAACCGCCTAGAATGAACTAAAAAAGAAAACAATGGCTTGGTTGGAATTTGTTCTCATTACTCTATTTTTTCATGCTGCTATCTCATCGGATATTACTTGCGATTGTAATTCGACATTTTCAACAAAGACAGTTAAATCTTACCTAAGTATTAAGTCAAATCATGTTAATGTGGAATTAAATTTAACATGCTCGTCTTGTAAATCCAAATTTGAATTGAGGATAGACGATGGATCTATTGCTGAGATCAGCGGGAATAAGACACTCTATGCTTGGAGTGATGATGAGATATGTTTTAGTGGGAATATCAGTTTGAATTTACTAAAGGTAGGAAAAACATACATGGAAATTTTAGATCGAGAAAAGTTTTGTCGAATGAAAGTAACAAAATTAGAAATATTTGTTTTAAAAGAAAAGGGTACTCTAAGCATGGTATTTATCATTATCCTAGCAGTCCTTCTTGTCCTCTCAAACATCGGATTAGGACTGAAAATCCAAGTAAAATTGTTACTCAAACTACTCAAAAAGCCGACAGCTCCACTCATTGGTATAATCTGGCAATTTTTTGTGATGGCTCCCTTAAGTTTCGCTATAGCGAAGGGACTGCAACTGGACTCTGTACTAGCCTTAGGCCTCTTGGCTATAGGCTGTTCACCTTCTGGCGGTAGTGGGAACATATTTGCCATCTTACTTGATGCTGATATGGAGCTAGCGTTACTCATGAATTTGACGGGTCTGATAGCCGCTCTGGCAACATCTCCTCTTTGGATTTGGTTGCTTAAACCTTTTCTAGAGACCTTTGAAACGGAACCGATAACTATTTCGGTTGAAAATGTCTTTGCTTCCCTAGCCATTGTTTTATTTCCCGTTGCCATCGCCATGGCGATCACTCTGTGGCAACCAAAAGTCGCCAAATTCTTGCAGAAAGCACTCAAACCTTGCCTAATCATAGTTGGAACTACGTTTTTCGGATTAGGTGTCGCGGTGTATTATTATGTCATTCCTTTCCTTCACTGGACTGTTTATATCGCAACATTTCTTCTTCCTTTTATCGGCTACGTAAGTTCCGGGTTTGCGGCTTACTTTCTTAAAAGTGGAAAAGAACGAGCAATAACTGTCGGATGCATGGTTGGATTCCAAAACGTAGGTTTAGCTATGCTGATGCTTCGTTTATCTCTACCAGCCCCTGATGAGGATATAGGTGGGGCTGTCCCCATTGTATATATGATAATGGGAGGATCATTGCCTACTTTAGCTATTATCATTCGACAAACTCGTTTACATTTAGAAAAGAGAAAGAAAAAAGGCGAGGAGGCAAATGTCGATCAAGAATTAAGTGAAAAATGTAATGGAGATGGACATCTCGAAGCAGCTGAACCTCTTAACCAGCCGGAAAAAATTGAAAATGAAAAAACAGAGTTATGATCTTTTAATTATTTTTAGTCTGACACTGCCGGTGTGATATTACTTGAGCGGAGAATGGGGAACGCTTTTTTTTTTCTTATATCGTTATTTTGCAAGTTTTGCAATTGATTCTTTGTGCATAGCTGGTTGTAGGAGTTTTTATCCGACATTGGACATAAGTTATATTTTCTCCTTTTTAAGTCTAGATATATCCATGTACATATATAAGTATATATATATATATATATATACATATATGCATAAAAACCAAAAAATATATATATATATATATATATATATATATATTATAATATATATATATAAATTGCATATGTATGTTTATATATATTTTTTAACGATCGTTCTGTGCACTATTGTTTGTTTGCAGAAAACAGATTCTTTTTTGGTACTTAGAAAAGAAAAAGAAACATTTCTTTCAATTTAAGAAATTGTAATGTATAAATAAGGTATATATATATATATATATATAGATATATATATATACTGTATATATTAACTTTTGAAAGAAACTAAGAAAAAAGAAAAAAACCATTTTACTAATTATTCATTTGTACTTTTAATGAATACTTTAAAAAGAAGAATATAGATGCAATTGCGGTATATAATCACCATATGATTTAATTTATTAACATGAGTATGACTCATTTTCCTTATCTTTAACAGTCCTATCTGGTTTTTTTGGTGAATCAGGAGATATAAAAATTTGAAATGGGCTGATTTTTTTTATTAGGGCTAATACTTAGCAGACGATAATTTTATGTCTGGAGACTTAGCAGATTCAAGGTAACAATTATGAAGTAATTATAAAGAGTAATTAACTTTATAATGCACTCTCACGTTTCTCTTCTTTCGTTCGTTCTTTTTTTTATTACACTTACTGTTTACAACCTCCTTTTGAACTTTCCAAATTGTAAATTTATTGACAGACTGTCTATACTTAGATATTCTAACGCATAAGTTTATATATACACATATATATATATATATATATATCTTCGGCTATTCTTCAATCTCCATCCTTCCCCATCCTAGTCTTCATAGTCTTTTTTTAAACATTATACGTAAATACTGTATATATATATATATATTTTATAATTATAATATGATTATCTGTAGCAATTTCAGATCTTTTTTTTTATAATAACAAACTGCTTTTTTGTCTTTTTTTTTTATAACTATTTGTATATTTTATGAAAATTAGTCATCGAATATCTTAATACATCTTATATGAAAATAACTTTATAAATAGACTTATAGTCATTTCTAGTATAAATAGCGACTGATTAAATGAATAGAAGAAAATATTTAATTTATGCTTTGCTTTTAGTTTTGTTTTTAAAAATCAATACGTTTTATAGTCTTTTTCGTATTTATTAATATCTTTTTCTTTTGTTTTTAACCGATATATTACCATAGTTTCCATTATCTTTTATAACCTTTTTTTAAGAAAAGTAATTTCAATACAAAAAGTGTTCGTAGAGTGCCAAAATAAAATTAATAGGCCTATTCCGATCGTCACCTGAAAGTCCTACTTACTCCAGTTTTAGTATAGAAACTGTTTTTCTTTTTAATTTATGCAAATTTAATTCAAAAGTTACTTTCAAAGTGAAGGGTAGGCTATTGTTAAAAATTCCATTAATAACGCCACCTCATGGTATTTAACCTAACAATATTTACAACCAAAAAATTTTCGACAACGACTATTTATTACGCAATATTATCATAATATTGAACAATAAAAAAACCATTCCGTCAATCATCTTGCTGTCTTTTGTTATCAGTGCTTCTGAGTAGAAAGAAACTATTTAGATTAGGCCTACAGTAGCTGAATATACTGAATGGATTCAACTACCCAAATAATTCGATCAAGCTGAAAAGCAAGTTAAATCTTGTTAATTAGAGTATTTTTTTTATTTAGATTTTTAATAGCTTTTTTTTTGGTTCTGTTTATTTTTTTTAATATTAGAAATTCACTATCGTAGTACTTAAATTGTACAGTATTACCTTACGTTTCTCCTCCTCCTCCTCCTCCTCCTTCTCCTCTGCCTTCTCTTCTCCATTTCATTAAACCCTTTTAAAAATATCTGCTCTAGGTATTCTAATATCGTTTATAGTTTATGAATACTTGATATTGATTTGAACGACTTTTTTGTTGTTGATGTTCTTTCCTACTACTCTTTATTCTTCAACCAATATTACTTGACATTTTTGTCCTATTTTTCTGTATACATATTCTATACCGTTATAGGATTAACATTGTAAAAAAGGAGATATACTAATTTTATAGATTTAATAATTTAGACTTTAATTAAATACGAAAATAATTATAATTATTTGTTTGAATAGAGCCAGTTATTAAACTATTATACTCGGTAAGGATCTAAAAATACAATAGAAATAATACATAGTTCGATAATATCCTGAAGAATAGTAAGGGTTTTTTTTTGAATTTGTCAAACTGTACTATTATTTATTTATATTAGGATGTTGTCAGTGTTTTTTTGTGTGTGAAATGGAAGCGTCTCTTATTAATTTTTGTTTGACATAATAAAATTATTAAGGAATTAGGCAATTTATCTTGACAATAATAGTACTTAATTGAAATACCAAAGGACATTTCGGGAAATGGCTGGTAGAGGTTCTGTTTAAACTATTGTACTGCTTTCCTGACACATATTTTTTTGAATTATAAAGATTAATTAATGAAAGAAGGTTCATATGAAATATATTTCAAAAAAAGCATAATTAAGTTCAACATCAAAGTAGGCTGAACATTTCATCAAAGTATGTTTGCATCGACAATTACCAAAGAATAGAATCCTGTTTGCTGTCTAGGATAGATAGTGCAATTTACGTCGGTAGTCTATATGCTAGAAAGAGTTATTGGATCATTATCTTCCGCCATCCTTTCTGATAGAAAACGAAGAGAAACTACAAAGTCTTTTTATTTATGGATTAAAATTCGTTTAAACAAATGCTTTCTCACAATTAAGTAACATTTTGTTTGGATCGTATTCTATTAGATGTCATAGCTGCAGGAAACAGTTCAGTTGCGTATATATTAGAGGGGATTTGTTTTTTAGTTTATCCAGAACAACTACTCATTTTAATCCATGTCTTATCTTTTGAAATAAAATATTTCTTATTTGCATTACAGTTTTGTAAGATAATCCGTAGGGATTATAAGGCAGCTGCTGGTCGTATCTGGAGGATGTTATATGTCTTCGGTCATGCTATACTTCTAGGTATTGCTTTTTTTCTACGGGATCTCTTCAGATTACAATTAGATACTGCTACTCCATCAATTATCCAACAACGTTCATAGGATATTCGTCTCGAAATGATTAATCAATGCTTGAAAAGTATAACAGAAGACTCCTCGCTTTGATTGATCAGTCAAGGTAGAAGATTCGAAGCCCACAGGGTACCAAGAAAAATGGCCTCTATCAACAATACAACATTGTCCAAGGGCATTAAATTTGATGAGACTAGTTGTGATCACTTAAAGGGCGTTAGAAGAGAATCGTCCTAGATTTATACTTATCACAGCCACTAAGGGAGGAGAAAATCATTTAAACTTTTATTTGGTTGAGATTATCCGCAAATATCCTTCGTTACTTTTATTAGTTTTCTTTTAAATTGAATATATCGCCAAAGGTTTAGCTGCTGTTTAATATATTTTGGGTTGTTGGTTTGTTAAGTGGAAATATTATCTCTCTACAGTTCTATCAGAAACTGTTGAAGTACTCTAGCTGATCATGGATAAATAGGAGAGAAGGACAATACATCCTTTCTTCAGTTATGGTTAATCACTAACTCGTAGGAATATATTTAATTGGACGAATGGGAAGACGTCTAAGTATATCCGCTTCTCCGATCGCAGCTGGATTTGCTGAAATCTCTTTGATTTTCTTTGTTTATCTTCAATGGTAATATTCAATTTATATGGACTCATGCATATTTACTTGTATTTATCAGGAATTTTCTGCATTGGTATAGCAACTATCAGGACTATTTTTGAATGGGATACATAATAACTCTTACCTATTTACATTGTGTACTTTTGCCCGGTAGAAGTCGGCGAGTAAACGTCTATAAATGTAAGGATTACAAGATTGATAGGTCTATATATGAGGGGGATTTATGGTTTATTAATTTAGTTAAGGAATGATTAGATTAATTACACGAGTACGTCTTCCTCTGGAGTAATGCCTGGAAGCTTTTTACCCACAACGATATTTGGAGTATACGCTACGAGAAAGTGAAATTTTATCCCTTCTACAAGCGGAAACCTTACACGCAAAAACCCTACGAGATAAGCTGGATATTAAAAAGTGAGTTTTATATATTCCTTCTCTTAAGTCTTTTCTTATCATCCGTCACTCTAATATGTCCAGAAAAAGTTGGCTTATTACAAAAGAAAGTGAAGAGGCAATGGAAAAGGCGAAGAAAGAAAAAGGCGAAAAATCAATAAGACTCGAGAATAGTAGAATTTTTTTTCTGTTTGTTAGAAAAAAAGTGGTACAAACCGATTAAGAAACGTTACGAATTATCATTTGAAATTGTATCAATACATTCTATTTAGAAATGAATGACTTAAATTTTATCTAATAGGATTTAAATAAGAAAAGGTTATGCGTGGCTTAAAAACGTTTATAGAGGAGCTTAGATCTTGTAGGAATGAAGATGAGGAAAGGATCAGAATCTCAAAAGAGCTTGCGAATATTCGAAAAAAATTTTTAAAACGCAATAAATCTTTGTACGATAAACGAAAATATGTTTGTAAACTGGTTTATATTTTCCTTAAGGGTGAAAAAGTAGATTTTGGACAAATGGAAGCCTTAAGCCTAATATCGTCCACGAACTATTCTGATAAGAGAATTGGTTATTTGTTTTTAAGCACTTTTCCAAGTAGGGAAGATTATTTACTGCTGGCTGTTGAATGTATAAAAAGAGATCTACATAGTAATCGTCCAGCAATTCAAAAATTGGCTCTAGCTTGTCTATGTAATATAGGTGGACCAGAGATGGCTGATTTGTTTACAAATCAGTTAGTATCTGTCATGAAGAACGAGGGAAATTGTGATTCAGTAAGACAATCCTCTATCCTAGGTTTGATAAGTTTCCTTAGGGAGGGAAACAACTATCCAGTAATTTTAGAAAAAGAAATACCTTACTTATTTATGATTATTGATAATGATAACCTAGGATTGGTTCAATCTTCAGTTACACTACTCATATATTTAACTAACGACAAAAATCAATTACAAACAATTTCATCATTTCAGTATTTAATTATATCAAAATTAGATAAATTAATGAAAACTAATAATAATTTCAATCAATATATGTACGGAGGTTTTTGCGCTCCATGGTTAATAGTTCAACTATTCAATTTATTGAATAGAATTCAATTAAGAGAAAATATTACGAATCTTATTGAGTATGCAATTGAAAAATCTATAGAAACGAAACCCAACGTTACGTTTATTGAAACTAATATTAAAATATCTATTTTCCAAGAGGCTGTTAAGGTTGGTATGTATAGATTAATTGAATAAAAACGGTTTTATATACTTTATATATATATATATTTAAATTAATTAATTTCTATTAATTATTAATATATTTTGTCAAACGAATTAAATTATTCATTAAAACCGAAAAAAATAAAAAAAAAAACAACAGCTATTTGTAAATATTGAGCAAAATAATCAACTAATGAACAAAGTCTGTACTGGAATTAATTATCTATTGGAAAACAAAACGTCTAACCTCTACTATATTGGTATTGATTTAGTTCGAATTTTAATAGGATCGAAGGGAATTTCGAATAAATTACAATTGTATTCGTATGAATTTTTGAAAAAACTTCAAATGATACCCTGTAATCATGATAATTTAGAAACAATTATAAAAATTCTAGATATAATTTGTTCCTTTCCTGGAGATTTTTTTAGATGGGATGTAATTTGGAAAATGATATTATTTCTGCCTCGTATTAGTCAATTTAGCTTGAGACAAGAGCTTGTTAATAAGGTAAACTTCCTTTTTTTATCCTGTTAATAATGCATCTATCTATTATTGTATTGTATAAGTTAATACATCCCAAATAGATACTGTTTGTAATCGATGGCGGAGAGAAAGATGTAGAACAATACGCCCCTGCTCTTATGAATCTAATTTCGATTGCTGGTGACGTCATTAGCAGCTCTTGTTGGTTTAAATTAGTAAAATTAATTCGGGAAAAGCCATTTTTTCAGGTAGTATATATGCCTAAGTGACATAAACTTTCTAATAACAATAATTCTAAGAGTGTATAACCTTTTAGAAAAAGGTAGCTGCAGTCGCTTTTAACCTGCTAAATAGGAAATCGAACCCCAGCAGCGTACTATTGAGAATGTGCTCTTTTATAATTGGGGAATATGGCTACTTGATAGCTAGGTATGCCAAGTTCATCCTGAATTTTAGAGGCTAGATAGTTGAATTGTTTTCTTTTCTTTTGATATCTCTTATATATGTTTCCGGTTTCAAACGTAGTTACTTTTTTTTTTTACATATCCTATTCACAAGTGGTCGGGAACAAATTGACTGTCTCAGGAATAGATTTTATCAATCCGACGAAGAGACTAAGTCTATTATGCTGTCAGCATTTGTCAAGATTGCCCAACTTCATACTAATATCAAAGTTGAAGTTCTAAATGTATGGCGTATTATAAATGTTTTAATAAGTTCAATTTTCTAGCTTTCTTTATCTTATTAAATCAACTAATCGAGATAATTCTTGTAGATTTTAAATGATGAAATGTTAATTAAAAATCTTAATACGGAAGTTCAACAGAGAGCTGTTGAGTACTATCAGTTAATTGCCTCCTTTCCCTCTAACTTTACAGAGAACATTCTCCTTGAGAGGGCCAGTTCGAACTTGATCTATAAACCGGAAGAATCTTTTCGACAAGTACTTAAAGTTGCAGATATAAGTAAAAGGTTGAAAAAGACAGATTTTGTTCTGGATGCCATAAGGGATCCAACAGTTAAGAGCATTGATGACTTGTACGATAAGAGATGGTCTGATTTTTACCATACAGAAAGAATCTTAACAATAACTACAGATTCATTATCCACACTTAAAGAAAAGGTATTCATATCAAATATAAGATTAAGGTTCTTATCCGTCCGAATAAATATCAAAAAATAATCTTTTCAGTTGGATCATCATTGGGAATCATGGGTAAAACATTCAACAGAACATACAATTAGAGCAGCTAGCTTATTCGAAAATATTCCCAAAAAAACAACTAGTGGTTGTTTAATAGAGTGTGAAAAAACTGCTAAGAGGACGGATGGTAGATGTATATGGAGTATTAAGATTCGTTGTGGTACAATTGAAGTGTCAGAAACTGTTTCCATATTTATTAACACATTATTTTCAATCTAAAAATTTCTTTTTTTATTGTTTTTTTAAAAAGAAAATAAGAAAAAAAAACATATAGACATTGAAATAAAGATCGATTTGCAAACTGAGGTTATTGGCTGATTCTTTAAAAATAGACGAAATATATATATATATATTAAATAAATTAGCGGAGGTGGTCAAATATCCTTTTCAGCTGTTTATTAATTAGACTTTGATTAATTAGGATTTACTATATTTAAAAGAATTTAAAGAAAGATATGTAACTTATAATTGACAAAAGGAAGAAACTTTTTTTACGAAAGTCTATTGATCTATCTATCTCTCTCTCTCTCTCTCTCTCTCTCTCTCTCTTCGTACTTAGCAATTGTAATGCTCACTTTGATTTAAAAGTCTTACAACAGATCTAATAGATTTCTAATCGATTTATATCTTCACTCTTAATAGTTTTGAATATAATCTGAAAAAGAAAGTAAGGATGAGAAGACTTAACTCAAGCAGGAGTTTGCTCTTTGTTTTATTGCACTTTAATTTCTAATCCGATTATCTCAATACAAGAAAATCAGCTGAATAGAACATTCTACTTTCTTAGAGTTAATCACCTTTATTTCCTTCTTTAATACATTATGTTTCATTATGAATATCTCTATTTCTAAATATAGACATTGAATTGTATTAACTCAGTCAAATCTTAATTAAGACAGAGAAATAATGCTGAGTTTTAAGATAGGATTAATTAGCTTAGTGTAGGATTGACAACGTCTTATTTCTTACAGTTTCAAGCTGAGTTTAAGTTATATCAAGTTTTCATATAGTTTTTTCTTCTCGTCTCGATAAGATGACAGCAATGAAAAAAGTAGCAAACTTAGGAAAATCTCTTTCAGATGTTGGCACAATTGTTGGAAAGCCTATGTCCGAAATTCCTGGACCAAGAAGCCTTCCATTTATTGGCAGTTCTTACAAGTATCTGCCAATATTTGGTGAATATAAGCTTAACGAATGGGCAGATGCATCTGTAAAAAAGTATCAAAAGTACGGACGGCTTGTTCGGGAGGAAATTTTTCCAGGTTTAACTATGGTTCATGTCTTCGACCCTGACGACGTTAGAGTTGTTTCGAAATACGATGGAAAGTTTCCGCATAGATTTCCGTTCGAGGCTATGCTGAAATATAGAAAAGACAACGATCTACCAGTAGGTTTGACTAATCTAAATGGTGAAGCTTGGTATGATTTACGAATGAAAGCCCAAACAAAAATGATGAGACCTAGATCGGTTTCTGCCTATCTTGGAGCAATGGAATCAGTTGCAGAAGATATGGTTAGTAAAATTCGATTTGTTAGAAATGAGGATGGAGAAGTAGAAGATTGCTTGCAAGAGTTCTATAGGTGGGCTATGGAATCGATTGGAATTGTTTGCTTTGATACTAGAATAGGAGTAATTAGTGGAACTGATTTAGAAGCTGATGAATTTATTAGAAACGTTGGAAAGTTCTTTGAATCTTTAATTCGCTGCCAATTGGCCTGGCCATTTCACAAAAGACTTAAAACAAAAACATACAGAACGGCAATGGAATGCATGGAAAAGTTGTGGAGTATATCGATGAAGTACGTAAATAATTCTCTAATGACTTCGGCCGGTCGACAAGCTATTGATTCGACAAGGGCAGCGAGAGAGGATGGCTTGTCTCTATTATTGTACTTGTTGACATCTTCCGATTTAAACAAGAACGAGGTACTTGTTTTAGTCTCTGATTTCCTCCTGGCAGGAGTAGATACAACTGCTCATACTATAGCATTCGCGCTTTATCTGTTAGCCAAAAATCCTGACAAACAAGAGAAACTTTTTGCAGAAATACAACAATTCGCTCCAAAGGGTCAGCCAGTCCTTCCAGAAGCAATCGATAAAATGACCTATTTAAAAGCCGTCGAAAAAGAAACAGCTAGAGTTCTGCCAACGGTTGAAGGCACAATGCGAACTTTAACAGCTGATGTTTTGCTTTCAGGCTACCTCGTTAAAAAAGGTGCAAACGTCTTTACTCACAATAGCGTTGCAGGGAAGTTGAAAGAATACTTTCCCGAACCAGAAAAGTTCATTCCCGAAAGGTGGCTAAGGAACAATAACGAAAGTGAAAAAATACACCCATTCGCCGTATTAAATTTTGGTTATGGGGCAAGAGCTTGTATTGGAAGAAGATTTGCCCAACAAGAGCTCTATTTGGGTCTAATAAAGATTTTGCAAAATTTTACTGTAGAGTATCATTATGAGGATATGATACAAGTTCAAAGAATGATTAATATGCCTAAAGTAACGCCCAAGTTCAAATTTATAGATCGTTAACTCTGTTTTTTATTCTTATCATTTATTTCCCTTTGGTTGTTACCCCAATAAGATTATTTACTTAAACATAATTGATTTCCCCCTATCATAAAAACGATATTGTACACTGTTAGTATATATAAGTTATCATACAATAATTGTGACGTAATCAGACTTCTTCTTATTAACAAGTTTCCAATCTTTAATTAATGATTTTGTAAGAGAATATAAAACAATCAATTTAATTATTGCTAACGAAAGAAGAGTTATATTAATAAAATGTGTTAATTTATCAGCAAATTGTTTCTGCCAGAAGTAAGCATCGTATAAGAATTGTCTTATTTCCTTTAAATCGTCTAATGAATTATCATCCATTGTATGCAATTTTTGAACTTTCTGTATTGCATCTTGTAGACAAGTTGAATATTTAGAATCATAAATTTCGTTAGACAATGTAAATAATCTAACAACAGAATGAGCTATTTCGTATAAGCTTTCCTTAGTATTACAAGGTAATTTCATGTAGCACTTCTTTGTAATTACCAATTTCTGAAGCAATTAGGTCTATATGAAATATAAATAATTTATTACTAAAGTGGAATATATATGAATTAATATACGAATGTAGGTCAAAGAAGAAGTAAACGATAAAAAAAATAACAAAACAACAACATAAAACTGATAATTACATCAAGAAACAAGCTATTCATCCTATGAAGATTGGTTGGATACGTTACAGATGGACTATTAAGAAAAACGGATATTATATGCTTTCTCCGACCTCCATAGTCAATTAAATACAATAATTTACCATCCATCAGCAGAGCATGACCAATATGACCATAAATACCATACATCTGGGTTTTATACAACCTCACTTCAAATGTTTCTTTACAATTTACTAATTCCAACCAAAATTCATCAAAGAAGCCAAGTAATCTTTTCTTAGGAAGAAAAGTGACGTCCACAATTCCCAGGAAATAGACGCTACGTATTAAAATATTCATAATTAAAACCTTTTGAAATAAACTTTGGAAAATTTTAAATATATTATTTAAATATATTTAAATAATGCGAATAATATTCTACTCTTTTCGTGTACAGCAATAATGAAAAAAGACGTTACGAAGAATATTTGTATATAGACGTCATATTATATTAGATTATATTGGACGTCTTTATCGTATACAATTCAACTACGAGTTTTTTTTTATACTTGGCAAGCGTGTCATTCCTCTCAAGCGTCTAATAAAATTCTTAGTAATGCACCCTATATTAGCCTTGGAATCCTTTGTTCTCTATCCTGTTGTTCGCTTTATACGAAGAATCATGGAAATAAGATAATTCCTTTAGCGAGAGCGATTTGGTACTCATTTATCTTTGGATTGTACTAGATATGAGCCAACCCTTTATATTCTTTCTTTTATTTTTTGGTACTCTAGTAAAGTTCACTTTCCTAATCACCCATCCTTTTTAATTTCCTACTTAAGAGTTTCAGATAAGATAGAGCTGTGGGACCAGTTTTTACATATTTCATGCGGAATTTATTTCCTTTCTGGACTATTTCAATCAGTTAGATTGAGCCTTGTAAAGAGAAAAGGTCAAACCGCTTAGTTTGTTGTTAGATAAGGAAAAGTTTGAATTACATTAATAATCAGTTTTTAATTTATTCGGAATCGAAACGATGACAGGGCGGAAATTAAATGTCATATTATGGTTTCCTCGACATTGAAAAGGGCGTATACTTTGTCATAATCGTGTTTCAAGTCTTCGGCACCTTCTGAACGTAAACCGGTGAATCTTGTTATGTTTGTAGCGTTTGAAAATAATTCACTTATGACATCTAATAAGCCGTCATCTCTTACTATGCCGTAAGTCTCAACGTCGATGCCATCTTTTAGTTTTGTTAATATATTTAAGAAGAGGATTCGGGCTAATTTGTCACAAGAAGCGTAAACAGGTGATAATCTATAGCCTGTTTCTAAAGTAGCTCTAACACCTGCCCAGCCTATAATCTTCCCTGCGGAATCTCTGGCTAAAACTGCCAAATAATCCTCCTTCATTATCCAATTCCTAACGTAACGCCTGCGTTCGAAGGAGCAGATGGATGAGTCGTAATCAATTATTTCATCTATAACATCTTCTTTTTTGTCAACGAATTCAATTTTCGTTGTACCCAAGTCAACATTCTCTAATTTCTTGTAGACGTCGGCCAATCTCAATATTCCACATTGCATAAATCCTTCTAAGCATGTTTTGGAAAAGCGCCATCTATTGACATACATAGGTATGGCTGCATGCAAGGCATTTAAATAGATAATTCGATTCCCTAAGGCTTTTACGACTGCTTCGAATACTAGTTTGCCGTATCGCCGTCCCCTGAACTCTCGTACAGTCAAAAATTCGGCTATAGCCGCTATGTTATCGGTTAAAGGAATACCCTGGCACGTGGCTGTTTTAAATTAAGAAAAAAATGCAATAAAAAACTCTGTTTTTTCAAAAATTTGATAAAAAACCTAGAATTTAAAATAGCTTACATATTAGTCGACCATCTTTTGCAAATAAACCATAATAAGTATCAGGGTTATTCTCGTAGCATTCAAACATGAAATCCAATTTGTCGCACCATCCTTCTTTATCAGTCTCACGTTTTAGCAAACGAATATCTTCTCGCTTCAATAATCGGAGTTCGAAATCTTCGTTATTAGTTTCCATGCTGAATAAATCAAGCACGAGTTTGAAGAACTTATAGCCTCGTAGCCGTATTCTATATTTTATGTATGTCCCCTTATCGTTTAAAATCTGTATATTTCACTATTGTTGTGAAATTGTCTACAACGCCATCTGGTTAAAATCCAAGAGGCGAGAGAACTTCAACTAAATCATAAAGATTTAACCAACTCGAGTAATGCCGTTGGCCCCTAATATATCAAACATGTTAAATTTTCGCACCGTGTATTCAATTACGGATGATTGATGATTATACTTTGGACCAATGACGTTTATAAAATTATACCAAAGCAATCATATGTACAATATTATATATATATAAATTATATATATATATATATATACTGTATATAAATAAGAACTTTGCAAAAAGAAAAAGCAATTTTAAAATAAAACAGAATATAGATACAGATATGTTTACATGATACACAATATGTAAAAACACATGGTTCAGTAATGTACGAATGTATACAATAAATATACTTATTTATAGTCAAATATATGTTTATATATATATATATATATGTATATATATGTGTGTGTAGAACTTTGGTAATTTCTTTTGTTTTTATATAAAGTCTAACAATAATTTACTTTTTTTTTAAACACAACGGCAGTATAAATCCGTGGGAAGAGTTTTTTCCTTTCTTCTTGAGAATCCGGGAATTCGTTTAGGAATGAGAGATAAAACTTCTTTTCCCTTTCTCTTCCCCGCAAACCTTTGCAAACTGTATAAACTTCTAGACACGTAAAATTTTTTTTTTCCAATTTACCCTGCTACAGATTATTTTAACAAAAATAAACAAAATAAAGTCTGCTTCTAGACAAAATTATAGTTGAAGTGATGTGAATAAATAAATCAAGACACAACAAATGGATATGCAGTTAAAAAGGTGATAAAAATGATGGAAAATGATGCGGAGAGGCTGCAAGCGTTGTTTCCTTCGTCATTTTGAAAAGATTTGTGACCAAAATTATTGTAAGAGTTCTTTCGGTAATCATTATAGCTGTTCAACACCTTGTGTTTATTAAAGTGATGCTTATTTTTATATATTGTAGCATCTCCGCTGTAATTGTCCTCGTAATCGTCTTCCGTCCCATCGTCATCCCTTTCCCAATCTTGATTATATCCGCTTCCACTTCCGCTTCCAACTAATTCGTGCTGGTTGTTAACATGAGAAAAATGAAATTTATTCTGATGACGTACACTCTTAAACAAGTATTCTTCCCCATTATACGCTTTTTCCATAGCAATCGTAATCTCTTTTAATCTTTTTGTTAATCGATCTTCGTCTACTTCCAACTTTGTTTCATAAATATTCACTTCCGGATTGGACTCAGACCTAAGATCACCAGCAGTGGCTTTGTAACGATCAACTGTATGTCCATTCCAACAATTCTCAACTTGATCAAATTTTGTCAAGCTGGTGCACATAGTCTCTGTCAACGGTTTACCAAACATTTCATTGGTTCTTGGTAGAAATTTATCGATTTCATCCATAATTTCATTGATATTATCCACAATAGATGTTTTCTTACTACTATAAAATATAAAGAATGTATTATTCTCTTTCCACTTAATTTTTTTTAAATATTTTTCTTTGTTACACTACACTAACCGCTTTGAAAAAGACTTCTTTTCGGCTGTAAAGTAGATTTCATCGTCTTCGCTCTCTCTGTTTAAATAAAATTATTTACAAATCGGGCCTAGAAGGATGGTAGTTAGGGAAAAATCGAACTTACTCAATTGAGTGTTTTCTTACAGCCCGTTTTGCTCTCTCTTGTAGCGGGGGAAGCTGTCCGCATTCCATGACGACCTGCGAAAATTGTTGCATAAGAAGGGATTAATTAGGCAAGAGGCAAAATTGGAAGGCGATGGTGCTTCCACACTAAAACTCTCGTCTAATAGAGAGTTGTGACAGAGTAGAATTATATAATTTTACGCAACGCTTACCGTTTCTTTTATATTGCCAGACTCTTGAAAGTTCATTATCATGTCAGAGAACTTCATATGGAGGGTGTCCATCGACTTTTGAGCAGACTTGTCTCCGATGAAACGCTTCTTTAATTTCTTTAGTTGCTCTGCAAATGAGCGATAGAAAAAGGATTAATGGGTGTGGGCGGAGAGGGAAATTTTTTTTTTTTTAGTTCTCTCACTCTCCCTCTTTCTACTATCGATTCGCGCAAGAAAACGCGAACCAGACGGGGGGTGAGGGTGTAGAAATGGTAGAATAGAATAAAATCTGCAAAATTCATTCGACTTCCAGGCGCCGCACGTGGCATAACATTCAGAATTGTTCTTATTGACTACAATTCTTGCGGATTGAGGCGAAAAAGCTACTTATAAATTGATTAGGAATTCTACCAATAAATACTTTTAATCCTCCTAATAGAGTGGAAAAATGTTAAATAAACTGAAATTAAGACGTTTTTACTATTCAACGTTTAATGAGATTAATTTTTAATTATCTTTTCTCCCAAACAACAAAAATACAACTAAAAAATCTTAGAAATGCGAAAATTAAATGCAATTTAATTTTCATATTAGATAAATACTAGATAAATGTCGTGGTATTTTCCAATGTTGATCGGCCGTTTACGTTCGTTTTAGCCGCATCTCTTTTAGCCAACGTAAACAAAGCAGACAAAAAGTACTTTGTATAAGGTATAGGAAGGAATAAGGGGGAAAGAAAAAGAGAGAGCGAAAGAGAGAGTGAAAGAAAAAAAGAAAAATCCCCATAAATTCATAGTACAGTATATTTATATATAAAATTTCTACCAATGCTTTGGCGCGTGCTATATATAATATATTTATCCTATATAAAATACACCGGAAGATAATCATATACAATCAAGTCAGCGTATAAGAGAGATAAGGGGATGACTTATCAAGCACCTTAGCTGTAGACAAATATAAGGTCGCGTTTTATGAAGGAAAAAGCCTGCTTACTTGCGTATTCATTCCAATGTAATTGTAATTTATGATGTAATGTGAAACATCCGTTCATTACAGCTGAACAATAAGTATAACAGGGTTTCGCATTCGATTCATCCCGACAATATTTGCAGTATTCTAGTCGAGTTAATGAATTGCTGCAGTCTTTTCCAAATGGTTCCTATGAAGAAGTAAAACATATAGAATACATGAATAATTCATAGCGAAGAGAGGGCAATTATTTTGTAAACGTCCACTACATGCTATATGTAATCAGATAAGCGCGTGCATTCCATAGATAAATACGCAAGATATTTCTGACAATAGTGAAAGGGAATGACGCGCATTTTCCTAATTAACCAACACGATAAGAGCAAATCGTCATAAACAACAAAATGGGTTCTGACATTATTTATTAAAATGATTTATTAAAGTACAATTTAGCGTTCTGTTCAATAGGCATTTTTACTATATTAGTACTTAATATTTGTAGATATTTACATTATCCCTACAATGAATCATTATTTATCTGATTTCTATTGAAATGATTACTATATTTACCAAAACTAATAATAAATTACAAAAAAAAAAGAATTCTTTCGGTGTTCAACATTCAATAAATCATTAAAGTCAATTATTGAACAAAAAAGTTTAATAAGAACAGTTGGACATAAACAAGTTTTAACTAAAGAGGTTAAAAAACTAATTTCTTTCCTCCTAGAGCTTTTTTTTCCATTATATAGCTCTAAATGCTATGTAGCTGCATACGTACAGTATTGACTATACAGTACTCTTAAAGGCTATAAATCAATGTTTCCCTCTCTGATTGACTTGTTTTTTAGTGAAAAAAAGTTTTACAAATATGCCATTAAGATCGTTACCTATAAGTATAAAACAGGTTGACATATCGAACTTATTTTTCTTTAACGCGTTTAAGCAAACAATGCCGAAAAATTCTATATTTAGTAAGATATAATTACCTTTATTACGTCCAGAATAAAATCTCGGCCAACTCTCAGGGCCTGAACAAAAGTTTTGGAAGGATACATGAATTTTTCCAACAATCTAATAACAGCTTCTTCTTGCTCTTTCTTAAAAGGTTTTATTGTTTTTCTAGTTCTTTTAACGCAATTATTGAACTTCTCGGGAAAACCATTCGGTTTAAAGGTGCCACCATTAAATTTTATATGGAAGAGAGCGACGTAAAGGGTGTCAAAGAATCTTTCAATTCTGTCTTTTAAAGATTCTTTTCCTTCGTTTTTATAATAGTATAATAGATCCGACAAAAAATCAAAAAAGATATCTTTATGTTTTACATAGAGGAGACCATAAACTATGTCGAGATACTTATGGGTCACATCCATCGTATTCTTGTGTAGTTTATTGAACAAACCTAAAAAAAACGACGAATAATGTACACTAGAAAGTCGGACAGGCGAAAAGATTTCTTTGCGGATAAACACTGCAACGTTGAGTTTGGTAGGAAGCTGGTATTAATCATGCCTAGATTTTATTACCAACAGTTTTAAAACGTCTTTAGTCTAGTTTTTATTTTTTTCTCTATGTGACAAGAAAATGAATGACGTGCAATCAGTGTCGTAAATGACTCTATTGTGGGTATAGAAATTCAAGCACTACCTGATATCAAATATCACGTGATTTCTTCGCAATTACATACTTATTCATTAATAGCTTATGGCAAAAAGTTGGTTGGGCAATATAGTATGAATTTGGTTAAATAACTCGAAAAAGTATAAATCAATATATCTTACAAAAAGCAGTAGAATACAGTGTTTATGCCGCGATTTGATTAATTGTGTTCAAGATTCATACTTACTGTCAATCTGCGCATGCTTCGAGACAAATTCGTTCTTGTATGTAGACATATAATTATTAAACATCCTTCCCGTATCATTTACACTCAACTTTTGTAGATTCTTCTCAACTTCATTACTGCAACATGTGTCTCGCAAACGGCAAATACTATTCGACACTGTTTGGAAAGAAAAAAGCTTCTAATTAAACTATGCTAGACCAATAAACGATCTGAAGAATGTCTAAGTGAAGCACCGGGGCTTTTGTTAAATAAAGGAATGATTGAAGTTGCTTTTGTGCCTAGCTCCTTCTAAAAGATTGAATGGGAAAAAGTGTAAAGTTGAATTTTTTTTCTACAACGCTATAAAGCTATCAATCTGACCAGATAATCTGTTCAAATCTGTTGAATGCTTGTCAACAGTCAGTGATAAGAGGTGAATAGACTTTTATATATAGATAATAAATCAATCAAACTTAAAACTAGGTCAACGGATGTAATTAGACTTAATTTGACAGTCGTGTAAACGAAGGATTTAATGACTACTTTAATTTTGACAAAAATATTTAACAATTACTCACGTGTTTTCGGTCGATTTTCTATATGATGCATTGGAAACCCTTTTTGAGTATACATTTGCCTCATGTTTCTGCAAAAGAAAGGTGCATAAGCGAGAAGAGGCTGGAAGAGACAGACGACGATTAACAATCCTCTCATTATGCTTTCATGGGAGATCCACTATCTAAAATAAAGCATTTTTTCTAAACCAGTAAGAATGTTAGACAACGAATCCAATTCAATTTATTAATTAAATTCGTCGATCGTTCGGTTTTTCCTCTAAAAACGAAGTGATTAACGAGTGGAAGCTTATCCTACAACAATTCACATACAATGAGAGGTAACGAAAGCTGATTGGCCCTTCGTATTTGAATGGTTCCCAGTTCCTCTCGAAAAATCGATCGCTAAAGGGCAGGTATTCGAAACGGATAAGTTTCCATACTTAATGACCGGTTTCGTCGGTTCAGCTGCAATTATTTAGCGATTGGTGAGAGGTCAGCATCGGTCAGCCTATAAATACTAGTAGGCCTTGAAGTTTTGCGGTTACACTGTACCACACTTCTTTATTATCCGAACCACGACATTTATCGAAATATTTGAAGAATTATATATTTCACATTGTATTAGCACGCTGGCATTTTAAATGACTACCATAACAAATTCAATTAAACTTAAAAAATAACTTTGCGAGTGTCTAAGTACAAAATATAATCTACATTTTTTCGAATGATGATCCTAAATATGAGAATGAATAGGTGAGATTGTTAATTAATCAGTTTTCTTTTCCCATGCTTCTTTCTGTTTCTCTGCTTCCACTTGTAGCCTCTTTTCTCTGGCGCGAACTTGAGCAAACACAATAAGTCTACAGAGTAGCAATAGACCAAATATTAACGTCGGGGTCATTTTGTCTAATGAAAATTTCAGTGCCCATGATGTATAAAGAGCTCCAATCATTATAATAAGTAATATTGCGTTTGCAACTTGTTTTAAAGTTCCCGGTATTACAGCCAGAATGAGACCGCAAATAACTTCTAGGATTCCAATAACACGGCGATAGACATGAGGATCCGGCTTCCATCCCGTTTGGCGGTAAAAAGGAAATACTTTTACAAATTTAATAAAAGCTTTTCTCTGAGAAAAACGATTAAATAGAATCAGTTGAAAGTCGGCTATGAAACTGTTAGTAATTAATTACCTGGTCCTTGTAAATATCGTCATTGAGTATAGGACTCAATTTGATTATACCAACAATAAGGAAAAAAAATCCAATTGTCATCGAAAGAACAGTTAGTGCAAGGTTTGCCATTGCTTTTTATCAAAGATTAATTATGAACAAATGAATACCGGTTTTTGCGGGGTTTTGTTCATAAACTTTTCACCGGTTACAGTAGTAAGGGTTAGGATAAAGTATGAAGGGTAATTTTTTTATTACTTTTGAATGGAACAAAGTAAAATGATATAATACTGTAATGAGATTATTCAAATCGAACTTGTCAAGACTCAAAGTATGACAAATAGTAAAGAATCGATTAATTAGCTAATTAACACGAAACAATACTGTCTTTATTTGAGTTAAAGAAGTCAGGTTACGTAATGCGCTATTCTTTCAAAAAATACCTCAATTACTGATATATTTGTTTGGCGTTTTGAAATTTGACTTTTTTTGTATTCTTTAGTTTTTTCTCTTGGTACATAGTGTGTCAAGTAAAATTTAGTAGAACCCCTAAACAAATATCGTTACCGGTTCCCATCACAACGACATCTGGTTGAATCTAACGAAACTTCGAAAAATTTAAAAGTCTTTTGAATAATTCTATTTTTAAATATAATTTTCATGTATTATTTTTAATAAAATTCCCTATTTATTCTAAGAAAATTACTGTCTATTTCCTATGAATAATCAGTTGACTATTCCTTATTTGTAAATTTCACCTGGAAGACGACAGATGTCGTAGTGCCAAAAATGGCGGACAATCTAGAAGAGGATTTTCGATCATCGATTAAATTCTACTGACACGTTTGTTCAAGAACATCATAATCCTTACGATGATACCTAGTTTTAGAAAGGATTTTACTAATTATATGTTCTCTTTCTACTAAAGGTAAAAAGTTATAAACTTGTTTTTTTTTATGATTTTTTCAAATGAATAATACAGGCGATAGATAATACATCGATAGTACATAGTAAAATAATAAACAATTGTCAAACTAACCACAATAGTTATCATGAATCACTAAAGTTTCGCTCTTTAAAACTGAAATAGTTTTTGCTTTTAATACATGTATTAAATTATTTATTAGTTGTGAAAATGTTTTAACACAACTAGTTTACCGTTTCTATATTATTTGGCTTTATCAGCTGGTGGTTATGAAATTGAATCAATACGCAAACGCTTCCCATATTTGGACATGCTTAAAAACATTATGAATTACTTTATATAGCAAATGCATTTTGTAATCGTGTTATTATAAAAATATTCATCGGTCATTTTTCTCACTAAGCGAGCACGATGGAAGAAATGACAGTTGCAGAAGTAATGAAACTATGGCAAGAGAACGAGTATGCATAATCAAGTCTTATTTTTTCCAAAAAAAAATAAACTATTGTTTCGGGAGAGAGATGAACACTACTTTTGATTTATTTCTTTTTTTATTATGATTGCACCTCTATATGCACAAAGATTTCCTCTTTGTCACTTTCAGTCATTGTATTTATTTTGCTGTTTATGGGTTGTTTGTATATATGTTAAAAAACAACAATCACAATAATTCGAATTGTCATTTTTGAAAACCATTCTTTTTTCTCTTTAAAACAGCCAAAAACAACCGGAAATGACCTCTGCTCGCCATAACTTTATACCCTATACTGTGGGAACCCGAATTTTTCAATATAACTCTGCTCAACCGACTTCTAATGTTCAAGTTCTCTTCGATCAATTCTGCGCAGCAAATACTTTCCAACAAATTATTAAAACATTTCAACAAGTTTGTGACGAGGTGAATTTGACACCTGGAGGTGGGATAGCGTTTTATAAGAATCTAAGAAATAGAGTTACATCTTGGAGAGCAAAGGCACTATGGACAAAATTGGATAAAAGAGCCTCTCATCCCGACTATAAGAAAGGACAAGCTGCTGCTAACACAACAGTTAGTTTCTTTTTTCTTGGCGTGATCATATAAAAAAAATATCACTTTTATGACCTCCATAACATTGAGATAAATCACGCATTTACTATCCGTATATAACTGTAGATTATAGGTACTGCACTCATTCTTTCTATAAACTGAAATGATTCATCGAGGTAGAATAGTGCGTTTTAATTATTTATACATGCATAGATTTATAAATAGATCTCCTCGTAAGACCTATTTCCAGACTTTTAAATTTAGTTATAAACAAGACTGTTACTACTAGCTAAAAAATTGTTTTGAGTGTTATATCTTGTATTATCACATCTTATCTTTTATATCTTTTTAATTATTAGGTTTTAATAGTCGGTGGTGGACCTTGTGGATTACGAACTGCAATAGAAACCTTACTATTGGGAGCTAAAGTTGTTGTACTAGAAAAAAGGGATCGTTTTTCAAGAAATAACGTTCTTCATCTATGGCCATTTGTTATTAACGATTTAAAAGCTCTGGGCGCCAAGAAATTTTTTGGCAAATTCTGTGCAGGTTCTATAGATCACATCAGTAAGTATTTTTCAATACACAATTGCTAAAATTAGACACTAATTGATTATTAACGACCATACATTTATTGAAAATTAGGTATTCGGACACTGCAATGCGTACTTCTAAAAGTTGCACTTATTTTCGGTGTCGAAATACATCCGTCCGTCACCTTCAATGATCTTGTGGAACCTGTCAATTCGAAAGAAGGATGGCGTGCAGATGTAACTCCTTCAAATCACCACGTCACAAAATTGCACTTTGATGTTCTGGTTGGAGCTGATGGAAGTCGTAATACTGTCAAGGGGTTTGAGAAGAAGGAATTTCGAGGTAAACTGGCCGTCGCAATAACTGCCAATTTTATAAATAGGAATACGAGTAGTGAAGCTCAAGCGCCAGAAATTGGTGGTGTTGCCTTCATCTTCAATCAAAAGTTCTTTCGTGATTTGTATGCAAGAAGCGGTATTGATTTGGAAAATATCGTTTACTACAAGGATGAAACTCATTATTTTGTCATGACTGCAAAAAAACACAGTCTTCTAGCAAAAGGCGTTTTAATTCATGACTATGACGATCCGGGTAAATTATTATATAAAGAAAATGTATGCGAGGAAGCGCTAGTTGATTACGCTAGAGAAGCGGCGACTGTTTCAACTGAAGGTCAGCTCGAACCATTAGAATTTGCTCATAACCGATACGGAAGAGCTGATGTTTCCATTTTTGACTTTACTTCCATGTATCAAGCAGTGCATGCCAGTAAAGTTCGCGAAAGACAAGGTCACAAAATACTAATGTGTTTGGTTGGTGATAGTTTACTAGAACCCTTCTGGCCAACCGGAAGCGGGTGCCCCAGAGGATTTTTAGGTGCAATGGATACCGCTTGGATGATTAAAAATTGGGCATCGCAGAAAATGACACCTTTAGAAGTAATAGCCGAAAGGGAAAGTGTCTATCAGTTACTCAGTCAAACAACTGCCGAAAATTTATTCAAAACATACAACAATTACTCAATAGATCCCAGTACAAGGTTAGTGATCATCTACAAACCTTAACAGCAGAATTATCAAATCAATAGCTAAAGATTAAATAAATACATTTTTTGTTTAACTTATACAAATGTTGTTTTTTATTCAGATATCCAAATCTAGATTTAAATTTCTTCAAACCAAATCAAATTCAGCAGTACTACGATGGTACGGATAAAAAATACCTCAACCAAATCGTCAAAATGGCTGAAGAAAAGAGTAAATTATATGGTAAGTGTACTAAGACATTTTTTTATCAGGATATTATTAATTAGCGTTTATTTGTACTATTTTGTTACAGAAATGGAGCAGAAATACAAATATTTGCTGATATGGTTACAAAGGAATGTCAATGGCTATAGAAGCGATATTTTGGTTAAAGATCTTTTAAATAGTTGGAAAGACGGATTGGCTTTAAGCGCTTTTGTTCATAAATATAAGCCGGAATTAATGTTGGTATTTCTTTTCTACTGAAAATACACATAGCTTGTATTGTCCATTTAATTGCTCGTTGTAGGGCATTATTCCCTCCTTAGAATATTTAATTGTCTATATAAACTTATTAAAGACTATATTCTAATCTCTATCTGTAACTTATAGTGTTATATAATATAACTTGTTAAACAAGTATTTTTTATATTTTATACCTTTTTTCAGTAAATTTGAAGAATTAGGAAGAGAGAGTGTAGAACGTAACTGGGAAATATCAACTAAAATTATTGAAAAGGAATTTGGTGTACTCTGGCCATATGATGATTGCTATATGCCCTCCTTGGATGGTCAATTCCCAAAATATCTATTAGATATATTTGATGCTGTAATGAAACAGGGCCTTCAACCAGCTAAAAGTTTGTTGTTTTGTTTAAACTTCATTTAAGAATAGTATGTATATTTATCTACCACGAACAGTACGAAGAGCTAGCATTGATGGTGAGAAGAAACATCCGTTGTCCTTTAAAAAGGTACATTTTCTTCTATCTCATTCTATTACTATTTCATCATAATTATAAGAATTCTCTTGCGAAAAATATAATTCTCAATTGAACGATTCAATTATTTATAGTTCCAAAAAAAGCGTAATCGACGTTGTTTGTCGTTTACAATGTGGGCATCATCCTTACGTTATCGCGGATATTACGTAAGTGGGATTGACCTATGCAAAAATTAAGAACACCGAAATTAAAAAAATAAAGAATATTAAGTTTGCGAATTAGGCATGCAAAAGGTTTTCAAATGAATTGTCAGAGTTGATTTAAAGCATGGTCCGAAGTTTAGCTACTGACCATTTAACCGTTTTGTTTTTTTTTCTCAATAACTAACCTAAACGAGACAGATAATTAATATATTTCAATTAATTAATTCTTAACATTTGAATTAGATTAATAATTCGGACTCTGAAGAGGAACCTCCCATTCATAAAAAGCGCCCTGCTATCGATAAGAAACGAACAGAAGATTTAAAACGATTGAGAGATGGAGTGCCACCTGTGGGCACTAGGGGTCAAAACAAAGTTAGCGCATTGGCTACTAATCTTATGCATCAGTGGGGTTACGGTTCTGTCGACGTCGTTGATGAAATAACTAGCTCGGTACGTCAGAATAACAATCCTAGATTAAGCCTTTTGAGCGCTCTGTGGCTTTTTCATGAAGATTTATTAGTCATATAATACACAGAGGGCGCTCGCTATCAAACAGCTTTAAGATGAATTCTAAAACGACCAATTTGTGAAATAATATTTTTTATTATAGGGTAAAAACGAATTCACAGTATCTGTTACCTCACCTGATATTTGTTACTTTTGCAACGAACCTGTTTACTTGGTCGAAAAAATGAGAGCTGAAGATGTTTACTTTCATCGATCGTGTTTCAAATGCTACTATTGCGGTTCTAGTCTTCGGGTAGGACAATACAACTACAAGACAGTCAATGAAAAGTGTATGTAATCATATTACCATCATCTCTTGCTATGTTGTTTAGTAATCTTATGACATTTTAATTGAATAGTGAGGTTTTATTGTCCCCAACACATGAATCTGGAGAGGGAGATTAAACGAAAGCGTTCAATGTCGGAAATAGCAGTACGTATTCGATTTAGCAACATTCTAAATAATTAAAAACATGTGGCTAGCGATAGTAGTCCTGGCAAATATTATGATACTGATAGAATCACATTTTAAAAAAAAGATTATTGCCTATTAGGCAAGAAAAACACAATTTAAGTTGCAAACATTTTGGACTCAAACATAAAATCGAACTAGAAATCTTTTTTCAGTCAATACAACAACTCCTTGTAATTCTTCTTATCCTATTCATCCTGGATCAAGTTTTTCTTCCTATTTATTGATTGAAACGATCAAAAATTATTCTGATTCGATTTTTTTCCGCTTTAGATTACTATTCGTTTGCCAAAGTTATTTATATTTTTTAAAGTAAAAATTAATTGGATATAAACAATTTTTTCCTTTTATTTATATAAAGAAAAAAATTATCCTACGTGATTTGATTGTTGTTTTGATTATAATTGTTTCAGTCCCCTCAGAGGAGCTCAAATTCTGATCTTGCGGAAAGAGTTGAATATGATTTGGAATCAGAATGTGAAGAAAGTGAATGGGACCAGGTTTCTCATAATCTCTCACTTGTTCCCGATGCCGATGTCGACTTGGAAGATTTTGAATCAGATGACGATGACGATGATGACGGGTGAATAATTTTTATTAAAAACCTTTTTTTTCTTATCTGTTCATTTTCTTTTATCCATCTATCAAATTAATTCTTTACAGAGTAATTGAATATGATTCTGATATTGAAAAATTTTTAAGGTTTTTGTCTGCGAGTGAAAAATCTAATAGTGTATTTTAGCTATAGTTTTGCAGTTACCTTACGATTTTCTTTATTATGAAGAAAATTTCATTTTTTTAATTTAGTAAAACTTGGATCATTTCTAATTTATTTCATTATTTTACAGTTCCATTGAAGATGATCAAATACTGTCGGTGGATCCATTGAGAAGTGGAGATATTGAATTTTTAGTTGACATTAAATGTAGAAGGAAGAATGTGAGTTGTAGAATAAATAGAATGTATGAAAATTAAAGAGCATTTTAAAATAAACTCAGAAAAAAGCCAAAGAAATTATTTCGGAGTCAGATTCATCTGGAACAGAAAAAGTGGAAACAGATTCAGATGAAGATAAAACCTCCGGAACTCCGTCACCAAGTTTGTATACTTATCTAAGCTTTTCAATAATTTGGAAAAAATTATAAATAAATGTATTTCAATAGATGTCGAAACGACAGACACGACTCCTATAAAAAGAGAATCTCTTGTTTCCTCAACATTTAAAAGTAGCAGAATGGCTTTCTTTAATACAGCTCCTGTCCCTGTTCAAATTGATCATGGTTCTCTGGCAAGTCGTTTAAATTTACCTAAGCTTTCTATAGAAATTGAAAGAGAGAGACAAAAAAGATTGGAAGAGGAACGTCTAAGAAGGGAGGAAGAAGCAAGACTGAGGAAGGAGGAGGAGGAAAGATTGAGGAAGGAGGAGGAAGAAAGATTGAGGATGGAGGAGGAAGAAAGATTGAGGAGGGAAGAAGAAGAAAGATTGAGACACGAAGAAGAAAACAGACTTAAAAGGGCGAAAGAAGAACAGTTAAGGATAGAATCGGAAGAACGGTTGAAAAGAGAAGAAGCAGATAGATTGACGAGAGAAGAAGAAGAACGATCAATTAGAGAAAAAGAAGAAGAACTTTTTAGAATTGAAAGAGAACAATTAGAGCAATTGAAAGAGGACGAACAGTTAATAATGGAGGAAGAGGAACAAATGAGAATTGAGGAGGAAAAAGAGATAAAGGAAAGTAGAGAATTGCTTCTTCAAGAAAATACGGATGAAGAGTATCAGGGAAATAATACTTTAGACGATACCTTGAAAGTAGTTGAGAAAAATGCAGTATCTACATCTGAAGTAGAAAAATTAAGAAAAATAGAAAGGTTGATAGATAGTACATATCAAAATGGATCAGAATCCTCCTCAACTGATTCAAGAACACCACCCGACAAGACAAGTGAAGCAGATATGATTAAGCTATTAATTAATTCTCAGTCCACTAAATTGCCTAATCTATCATCAAATTCGTGCGAGGACTCTGAAGATAAGATTTCCTCAACCAGTGGAAGCCTAAATGACTCAGAAGAAATGCATTCCAGTGCCATAACAATTAAGGGCGTTACTTTGGACAGTACATCCGATAATATGGCAGAAAATGAAACAACAATCAGAAATTCAATCTCCTCAAATGATGAGTTTGAAAATACATTGGATGATGCTTCTGATATATCACGATCTCGAGAAACGGTCTCAACAACATCTCCTCTACCTTCTTCAGGTGACGAATCTGCTATTAGTTCAGTTGATAGAAAAAAGTGTCATTTGGCTAATTTCTCGGAGTTCAGTAGTCTTAGTTCTCTTGATTCTGGTACTCCTGCAAGAACACCTTCAACTCCAGGGAAACGTATGTTTGTTGAGATTCCAAACTCATCGAAACCATCTCCTTGGCATAGTAAAGCCATAAAGAATCAACTAGAAAATGATATAAAGAAAGCAAATTCAAGATCTCGAAGTGTTGATTATTCAGCTATAATGAAAAAATCTGAAAAAATTCTCCCAAAAAGCCTGTCTATTCAAGAAATAACATCAAAAGATGAAGATTCCGCAGAAATTCCCCTATTCAGTCCAATCGTGAAAAAAATGACCCCATCCTACATAAAAGACGAAGACGGAGATAGAAATAACAATGGAAATGACCTTGTTGCAGTTCTTGTAGATGAAGGCACATCCTCAGAGAGAACGATTCTCATAGATGACTCTAAGGTTACTAAAACTAGGGGCAGAACCCCAAGACGTCACACAACAGAACCAAAGTTTTTAAGCAGCGATAGTTGTAAGAAACAATTAATGGAATTTGACAAAAAACAAGCGAAAGAATTTGAAAATCCTGTTGAAAAAGTTGAACCTGTGGTTGTCGAGATAACAGAACTACGGTTCATAAAGCAAAACGAAGCAACTAAGTTTATACCATCCAAGAAAGTTGAGAGAGCCGAGTTCGTGCCTCAAAAACGTGAAGCACAAAGGCGGCCTATTACCATCGAAAATGTTAGGGTTTTATTAGACAATACTAGACCGAAAAATATCTTTCGAGAGGCGACAATTAAGGATGATAAAAAGTCAAACCGTGAGCTTTTACATAGGACAAAGAGTGATCAAAGTCCAAAATTACTACTTAGGAGTCAAAGTGAATCATCGTCTGGATCTGACAGAATTAAGCTTCAAGCTGCTGAGCTAGAAAAAAAATTCAGCTACAAATCTCAAATGAAGAGCTTTGGCGAAGACTATCCCATTAAAAAGCCAGTGAAGAAAAGCTCCAGAATAGAGAATTTACAAAAGCAAATTACTCAATTAGAGCTTTCCAGTGGAGTAAAAGCATATAGTAAAGCCACTGAAAGAGATGTTGTGCTTAGGGGGCGCCTACTCAATGATGATAAAAGAGATAGTCCTTCAAGAGGATCAGAAAGCCAGTCTGAAGATAGTGGCACTAAAGAGTTCTTTAGCGAAGAAATCCTTCGGACTGATAGCTCCGCATCTAAAGCAAGCTCTGCCTCTCTGAAAAGCGATGAAAATGATAATAAGATTAATAATGCTGAAAATGCAGAAAAAACATCCGAAAACGTTCACCACCATCATCCCCCTGTCGACGAAAAACGATCTGAAAAACTTATTAGGCATTTAGATGCTAAAAGGAGATTTGTCTCACAAGATCCGGAGCCAATACGAATTGATCCAAATGCGGTATTCGGATTTAGGAGTAGAAGTGAAGATCACGAAAAACATGAAATTACCATCGAAGTAAATGGGAATGAAAAGGACGTGCCTATAAATCCGGACAAGAAAAATTTTCCATGGACAGCAAAGAACAAAAGCTTGGATACCTCTCTTAGTAGTGCTTCAAGCTATGGTTCAGACCAGCCAATTGATACAAGCGATCCAGAGAAACCTCCACCAAAACCTCCTCGCCGACCCAACTCAGCTGATGAAAAGCAGAAGCGGCGATCACTACTTGGTTTATTTAAAAAGAACTCAGACGAAAGTTCTAGGACAAAACAAGAACGAACAATATCACCTGAACGAAGTAAATTATCAAAACTCAAGCGACGCTCTAAAAATGAACAAAAGAAACTCACAGAAGAAATTCTGAATTCGATTCCAGCATCTTCTTCCATTTCCCCCCCCATGATTGACAGAAAAATATTGGAACGATTAACAAAGAAATCTAATTTGACAAACGTACCGACTGCTTCCGAGGAGTGCTTAGAGTGCGGATCTGAAGAAGAGGAAGAAGAAAAGCAAATGACAGCTGCTGAAAAAGAAGAAAAAGTTCGAAAAATGGAGCAGCATTTGGGTAAACAGCAGAAGAAATTAGAACAAAGACAACTGAGAGAAGCTCAGCATTTGCAGAGAAATTTACAAGTACACGTTTCACATTAATCTCTTTAAATTATTGTTATAAATGACACACTATTTTATGATTTTGCAGGAAGTAGAGGAAATGCAGAGAAATGTGGAAAAAAGAGGGGTTGAAGTAGAAAGTAAACTTAGAAGCAAGGATTGCGGTTTGTTCAATTTTCAGCAATAAAAAACTAATTTCTTTTAACACGCTTGAATTTTCCCTGCTTTAAATTGCTTACTAGTTAAAGAATCTTGATTGCTATTCTTATTTACCCTGCTTTATATGCTTCATAACGTACTATAGTTTAAAAAACGGCTTTAACGACTTTTAACAGACGTTAACGAAAGCGAGAAGCTCCTACAGGACTGGTTTAGTATTGTTTACGAACGTAATCAGCTTGTAAGGCTCGAAAATGAATTAGTTTTGAGGTAAAGAGCATCATACAAATGCCAAGGATGAATGAATACGACATACGAATCGTATAATTCCAGCTCAATATAGATATATGCGTTCTAAACTTAAGCGTAGATTACTGCATAATTCGTCTCTTATAGATCGATTATAATAAATATCATTCATGTTATAGTTAGTACTCTTTAGATGCCTTAACGTATTCATTCATCAATGCATCTTGATTTAATGCGAAAAAAGAATTCTTTTATTAAAACTTAATAAAAACACCAACTAGTTATTTTATTCGTATGAATAATTATGACATTCCAAAAAATTTTGCAGAGCAAAAGAATTGGAATTGGAAGATAGGCAGAGGAGGGTTGAAGGTCAATTAAGAAAAGTAATGCTTAGAACAGGTAATGTATAAATCTTTTTCAAAATCCGTCATCACAAATGTTATTTCTTTGACAACAGAGGATAAATCATCAAAAGAATATTGTACAACTGAGAAGGAGTTAACAGAGCAATTAGTCAATTATGTTCAAGAACGGTCTTTATTGGTAGAACATCTAGAAGAGGAACGCCAGCGATACGAAACAGAAGAAGAAAATTTAAAAAGTGTAATGAGATCAAAAGGCTATAAACTCATTCAAAATCCAATAAGACTGTCTTCTTCATTTTATCGCAATCCTCTAACCTAATCGTTCTCTTTTATACGCCGAGCCTTTTTATTTTTTAGAAGTTATAGTTTCAAAAAAATTTTCATTTTTCAAAGGTTTTTTTGAGTTTTTTTTTGTTAAGAGTACATATTATGTTGATAATACGTATAAAACGATTGGTGCTACTATTGGTCGCTTCTTTATTATTATTCAAGCTATAGTAGGCAAAATTATTTTGTTAACTGTGATATCATTTGTAGATTAATTCAATCGTATGCAGTGTAAAATTCAATTAGATTATTTCTTGCCTGCTTTAACTGTTCAATTTGTAATTTAATATAATTCGAAATTCATATAATATATCCGTTTCCCGCACATTTCAGTCACATGATACAGCTTACTCATGAGAAATAAGTAGAACGTCTCGAATTCTGTTCCAATTTTCAATATTCTTTCTTCTTAATAATAAATGTTCGAAATAGCACTTAAATGACTTCTCAGGTTGATGAAAATATCAATTTGATTATGAAAGGCGTTTCTGCCGCATTAAAACTTGACCGTGAATCTAGTCATATAGTAAGATATTACTTAAATTAAAATTTTCAACATTCACAGAAAATTTATTTATTATCGCTCTCCTCTTTTCAGGAAGCTTACAGGCAATATCTAAAATGTATACAGTTCATCTCGCAAACACTTCAGAAAGATGCTTTAAATCTAATAAGTACAAATACAAAATTATATAAATAGCTAATTACTAACTCTGTAAACATAAATACCTACAGTGTCCTACAACACTCATAAATGTCTAACGTTGGCCAAACAGTGCACAGATCGTTTGGCTGACATGTTTGAGAACAGTAAACAGCACTACTGTAAGATTGATATCAATTAGATACTTAGTCTTGTTTAATCCTATATTTATTCAGCAACAAGCAAGCCTCCTATTTTAATTGCAAGTCCAAGTCCGTCGCTTACATCATTATCCAATATAGACATAGGGTATTTGATTAATTAAACGTTTCTAATTTTTAAGTGCAATCCTTAAGTTTTATTATAGGCAAATTACTCCTATGGATCTGGCAATTAAGCAAAATCAAAAGATTATTGAAGCTTATTCATCAAGAAGATGCGGGGTTGACGGTGTTAGTTTATACCAAATAATATACATATATATATATATTTATAATGATACAAACAGTATATTCAGTATATTATAATTATTATTTTTTCATTTATAGAATTTAAGTCTAGTAAGAAAATTATCGGAAAATATTGCCATTGCTAAAACTAGAGAGGAAACTGTCAGTGAAAATAGGAAACTTTCTCTTTTTTCATTGTCTTTTATCTTAATTTAAAATTCACAGATTTCGAAGAGATTAGCGGAAAAGCGAAAAATACTTGAAGCTAAAGCAACAACGTTAGCAAATAAATCTCTTGGTAGCAAATTCAATATATATACATATATATATTTGATTTCTACAGATCTATGTCTTCCTTACCGGGATTAGACTCGGACGAGAATGAAAGAAGAATGATCTATATTGAAGTTTTAGAATACGAGCAAAAAAAGGTCTTTAATTTTGCTTGAATTATATTTCTTAATTTTGCATGTTTCGATCTCTTACAGAAGTGGCCAGGAATCCTAAGGGAGCAGTTAAACTCCCGGCCAAATGATTTTCTGTTTGCGAAGGCAATGATCAACAGAATATTATCGTAGGCTTATTTTCAATTAAGATTTTGAGACCTTTTACCCTTCTTACGATTTTTAGAACAGAGGATCATCCAATAACCATACTTCTAACTAAGCAACAACAAAAGATTCTGAATAGGACTCAGCCTTTAACCGAACGCCATGCCCATCACCTTGCGAACTACAATCCTCAGCCAGCTTTAACCAGCAGTGTCCAGTCACTTAAAAGTCCTCAGTCATTTAAAGGAGAGGAACTATGGGAAGAAATGGATGATTTATTCGAAGATGAAGTAGAAAATCCTGAAATGGTTACCAATTTAGAAGATGAGGCTTTGGAAAGGCATGTTAAAGATATATCAAGAGATACTCGAGAGGGTCTAGAAAAAGTTGTCACTATGTTAATTATCACATTTAATGATTTAAAATCTCAAGAAGGATACGACGTAATATTCTCTACCGTGGAGCCTATATATTTTAAACCGATTTGGCATTCCTTACTAACGCTCTTTCGATTAGCAAATAGAGCGGAAGAGGAAGGAATTTCCAAAACCATGACAAAATTATCAGATGCATCACCGATCAATTTAAAAGTAAACCCGAAATTTCGATTATCAGACGATCGTAACACTTATAAACAGGCGGTCGACGAATTGGCAAAATGTTGTGATTTGCATAATCCTCTGGCAAAACTAGAATCAATCGGTTAGTCTCGTTGTATATTTTTTCTGATTATATTATACTATTTTCTTGCTAGTTCTTTCATCACGGAAGATTGTCGAGTGTGTTCAAGAGCACTATGAAAAAACTCAGCTCGAATCTCTACCTGTTCTGTAAGTTAATGATTTATAAATTAATCAAGAAAATTGGTTATTATTTAAAAAGTTGTTGATTTAATTAACATTATTCAGGGGAGCGGATGATTTGGTGCCAATTTTAAGTTTCGTCGTTGTAAAAACCTGCAAACCAGAGCTAGTCACTGAATGTAGGGCTATAGAACAATTTACCCATGAAGAGTAACTTTTCTTGTAATTGTCAATAAATCTATAATTATTAACAATTGTCTTTTTTTCAACAGCTATTTAATGGGTGAAGAAGGATATTGTCTGGCGTCACTTCAAACAGCTGTTCGTTATGTTGCAAATATGTTCAATCAAGAATTAACATAGACTGTTCATTAATTTTATATAAAAAATTAATTATGTTTTTCTTCAACAAGATATTTTATAATAATGCAAAAATTAACATTTAAACATTTTGGCGCGAAAAAAAATCGATTCGTTTTGATGCAGTGTCTTCAAACAAGGTCAATTAAGACGTAAATGAAACTGACAAAAAGAAAAATGGCGTACTGTCTATATTTAGCCATGCCATGAGAGTTTCCCTCAAACGGGCTTCGGAGGGCGTAGCTGTTGTAGTCGGCGCTGTCCGTAGCAAAAGCAAACCAACGTAAACAAGATAATTTTCACGCGTTATAATAACGTCTGAAGGAAAGTTATACAGTAATAGCTAATAAAGGCGTGAGAAACACGGTGATGAATCCACGAATCGACTGGTTACCGGCTGAATGTCGGGGTCCGGCTAGCGATTTCTGGACGCGTGTTGTTGAAACCAGCCGTGATCAAAATGAAGAAGAGTGTAAGTTAAAAACGTATGAGGACGAGCAAGTTGGAAAGAAGAAAATATTTCGACCATGCAGGGATAATATAGCCAGTACATACGGTTTGAGTCGTTCTGCGTATGCTCATCATCTGGAGGTTGATAGTGAATCTCCGATGACACCATGGATACCACATCAGAAGAAATACTCGCCTGGGATGGCAGGGTAAGTGTAGGACGTATTAGCTATTGAATATAACGACGAATTATTAGTCTTGATTTTTTTATCTATCATCTCTTTTTTTTACGCAACTAATTTATTGCAGTATGGTAGGTTTCTGCTCTATTCAGTGCTCAACTACAGTTTTGTAATATTATATATTAGAGAAGAATTTTTTTTTAAAAAGAAACGATAGAGAGGTTTAATGAAAAACAACCTACATTTTAACATATCAATAAACATATAAATATCGAGAATCTTTTGTAAATAATAGCCTTTCTTCTTATTTACCAACGCCTCTTTTCTAGTAAAAGTGTACTTTCTAGTATAACGTAAACAACATTTACTACGGATTGAGGAAAAGTGATATTACCCCTACAATAAAATAATAAAATTTCGACCTAATTCAATGGTTTATGTATTATATAGCTAATTAATGGAGTCGTTATTTATTTTCACACAGGTTACATGAAGAAATCCTCGACTTTAATATGTACATGAGACCAACTCGTGCCGAACATAAGATGAGGCAAGACGTTATTGATAGAATAACGAAATCTGTAAATAACCTCTTTCCGAACGAGAACGTCCGAGTCGAAGTATTCGGTAGTTTCAAAACGGAACTTTATTTACCAACCAGTGATATTGACCTTGTAGTTTTTGGTGATTGGCCAAGTCCGCCTCTTCGACAACTTCGTGAACAATTGATTAAGGACGGAGTTTGTAACGAAAATGACGTTAAAGAATTATCAAGGGCTACAGTACCTATTGTAAAGCTTACCGATAAATTTACATCGGTTACTGTCGATATCAGTTTTAATATGAAAAATTCAGTTAAGAGTGCTGAACTTATTCGACGTTATATGTGCCGGATGCCGCATTTACCCTATTTAGTTCTTGTTCTAAAACAATTTCTCCTGCAGAGGGATTTGAACGAGGTGTTTTGCGGTGGTATATCATCGTACTCATTGATATTGTTGACTATTTCTTTTTTACAATTAAATCCAAGGTACGATTCCAGAATAACTACTACTAATTTAGGAATCCTTCTCATTGAATTCTTCGAATTGTATGGAAGAAATTTCAATTATTTTAAAACTGCCATAACTATAAGAGACAGAGGGTCGTATAAGCCAAAGTCTGAATTACCTCTAGATAACTCTGGAATTTTATGCATAGAAGATCCCTTGGAGCCTACAAATGACATAGGACGATCATCCTACGGGGTTATGCAAGTTAAACATGCCTTTGAGTACGCATACGTTACTTTATCTAACGGCCATGTACTCCAAACAGCTGGTCATAATGTGGGTAATGGTATGTTGGGAAGGATTATACGAATACCAGAGGATGTCGTCAAGTATAGAGAATGGGTTAAAGCCTATTACCATATACCCGTACCAGTGGCCTTAACGGCCTTTTCAACACTTCCATTCGCCCAGATGGACGCCTATAGTTCAGATGGGAGTCATTCGTCGCGTTCGACATCACCTTGCGAAGACGCTGCACCAAAAAAGAAAGAAGTTCTAGTTTCCATTACCAGAAGTAAATCTGACTCGGATTCGAGTCATTCCACAGTTCCTACCACCCCAACCAAACGGGACAAAGATGGTATGGTACGCAAGCCAATAGCCTCCCAAATGTGGAGACCGTCGACAGCCAAGACAAGAAGTACTAGTTCAAGTGGTGTAAATAGAAAGAATAAAACAAGACCTATGGCAAATGGTAGAACTTCTAGATAATTACGTTAGTTTTGAGTATTAGATATTTTTTTAAAGTCATTTTAAAACTCTTCCTCCAGCTGTGTTTTTAATAGCTCTTTTCAAAAAAAAAAAAGTATATATGTAGTGTTGTTCGCTTTGTGGTTTTTAAATTGACGATAGAGCGGATGGTTTGGTAATTTAATTTTTTTTCCCATATGAAAAATATCATTCTCATCTTTTTGCCTTCCGCCTCAATCCTTACACAGCTCATTCAAAAAAAAAAAAAAATTACAAATACAAAGCCGTCAAAAAACTCGGAAAAATTCTCATTTCGCGTGCTTCAAGTATTTTTTTGTGTTATCATAGGCTTTGAAAAAAATTTTTGTTGAGTTATTTTTTGTTTAATAAAGTTTGTTTTTAATTAAATCATTGTATTTTTATATTATCGTACACCCTTATTACGTCGGACATTTGATCTGCATAATTGCATAACGATATGGCGGCCGCTAAGACCGGTTCGTCAAGCTCAACAAAAAGTTCTGGTATGTAGGCAAATCGAGCTTCAGTTGATTTATAGCTTCTCTTTTCTAATTCTGACTTTACTTTATGAACATCTTTTCTTTCGGTTATAAACTGAAAAAAAGACGAGTATTATTTCTCTTACGAGCAGTCATGGTGACTTAGGAAAAATCAACTTAGATCCAGACTACTAGGCTACAAAAGCTTTTATAGAACGGCCTTCATAAATCCAATGTATATGAATATAGGTAGATTTTTTTTTAATAATAGTCATATAGCGTATTGTTAAGTCACATGATTCCTTGTAAGCTTAATTATGAATAGCTATTAAGTGTATAACTTAATAAAAAGTATGTTGGCATAAACTATTGATATATAATGTATATACTGTATATATAGATCTAGGGAAATAGGTTTTTAAGACTTTTCTCAGTAGAAGTAAGGCAATCGATTAGATACATACTTGCCACACCTCTCTACCATTGTCATCAACAGTTTCCGATACATCCTCCGCTTCGCATTCTATAGCTAATTCAGTTGCTTCGTCAGCGTTAAGAGAGCAACCTTCTTTCAATATCTGACATTGACGTAAAACTAATTAAGTGAAAATAGACTTTGGAAATCTAAAAAGGCCTTACATTCACAATTCCTTTGTAATTGTAGGCGTGAGACGCCGTTCCTGAATCTCCAATGGCGCCCCTAAAAGAAATAATCTTTTGTATACTTTAGAAGGGGGAGATATTTCTTTTCATATTTTACCCAGATTTTCTAAAAGCAGCACTCAATTCTTGACGAGTTCGTCTAGGATTATCAGAAAAAACTTCAACAATCATCATACAGCCACCTGGGCCTTTTCCTTCCACAAACAAATGTGTACCTTGATTTTTATTTTTTTCCTTTAGGTATTACAATACATGACCTTACTAATATGCATATTTATAATACATTACATATTCATAAATATTTAACATCCTCTAAATATAGCAATAGCAGAACTTACGGCTGATTTTAAAACATTTTCAACAGATGACATAGGAATATTGTTGGATCGGGCTTCGTCCACAAGTCGTGCTAATCTGGAATTTAACTCTGGCTTATGACTACCTCCCTCTATAAAATTAGCACTTTATTGTTCCTTTTAATAAATAACTTATTTAGATTTGACCTACCTTTTATTGCTAAACGCATTTTTTGCATGATTTTCATTGATATTGCAGCTTTTTTAGAATCTTTTGCAGCTTTTATGTGCTTAATATTTGACCATTTATTATGCCCTGCCATCTTTCTTATAGGCGTTACAAGTAACGATTTATATTTCATCAAGGACACCACCGCATTCATTTCTTATAAAATATAATCTATATATTGGTGTTCAGAGGGAAAGGAATTTTGGCGCAATGTGCTTTTCTTTTGAACACTCAAAAGTATATGTTTATATCTTGCGTTTCTTTTTTATTTAAAAAAATGTCTTTTATTTCGAAGATGAAAAGGAAATATTGTGATAAAATTGAGAACTTCTCATGAGCGATATTAAATTTTGGATTTGTTGGAACGGATTTCTTCACATGTTACAATGTCCCGAAATGGCGAATTTTCAAACCTGAACGTTATACATAAAACATATAAGAGAGACCAGAGTATTAGTTTCGATAATATTATATTGAATTATATAACGATTCAGATTGACCTTTTAACTAAAATTGGTACAGATATCTAAAGATCACAAATCATATTTATTTTTATCATTAGTTAAATACGTAGTAAAAAAGATTTACACGTTCTTAATATCTCTTTCGGGAAACCTCCTAAACTCTATACATTCTGATATATACAAATCTATGAGCGTATATGTTGTTGAATACATACTTTTGATATAGATCTAAGACAAATCTTTTATTGTATACAGGATTTGGAACATACTGTTCCTTTTAACATAGTCAGCTTGTTCTAATCTTTCGAGAATGGCAACATATGGTCTTCATAATATTATTCCCAAAAAACAAAAACAATTACAAGTTATTCAATAATGTTTTCGAAATGATAAGAGGATTTTTAATAAAGAAACTATTACTTCCCAACAGGTCGCCGTTTATATGTTCTATATACTAATAATATATTAACTGAAGGAAACACTTTGATAAGTTAATTTTAATGTTATCTCTTACTATTTATTCGAAATTGATAAGAGCATATCTTGTATGGCAATTGAATTAAGAAGAAATCTAAGTATACATCTAAAAATTTAATGTCTATTCTTTCTTAGTTTCTTGAACCAATACGCCATCTACCAGATTTCAAATGTAACAAAATGCATTTTGTATTAATATACGTTTCTAGATACATTGAACGGATATGGAAATGAACGGATTATACAATTATATATATACTAATATATAATGTATATTGAAAATATCCTTAATATTCTTTTAATAGTTCTAATAAAGAGACTGCAATTAACAATTCAGATGAAAGGAAAACGTAAAGATGAGCAATTGAAGTTTTAGGAAAAAGACGTAATAATTCCAATTATTTCTATCAGAAGAAAAATTGTCCTACCTGTGGAGAATTATAAAGACTATATATGATACTTTTCTTATCTTAGAGATATTATAGCTTATTCTAATTGGCTTTACTTGAATATTAGTAGACTAATTATGGTATTAGTTAATTTGCTACATCACTCTGTTGAACTTTACATTTAGCAGCCTTCTAACCAGTTTTGCTAATGAGATCTATTATACATCTCTAATTAGCATTTCGTGTTGACAGCAAACACGATACTTTAACAGCGAACACCATCAAAACATTTTTAACGCATCAGATACGTCAGTTAGAAATTTTTTAAGAAACGAATTCTGATACATTGGTTAAAGCTGCTAATGTATATCGTGTCAAGGTGTATTCTTGCATTCCAACTAATGCATTACGATTCGCTTACATAGATATATACAATTTCATAATCCATGTTAGATTTGAGGCAAACAAAGAAAAAAAAGGTGTTTTTATGTTTTTACTTAAAAATAGAATAAGATCATTTTGTAATTTTTTTTACGAATGCTGCAATTATTGTGTCTAATTAGCATGAGATTGAATATGTCTTCATCATACTATAGAGTTATTATATAGTTTAGACTAAACAAACAGAAATTTAATATAATACCCCACCCCTTGCCCAAACCATAATTATAGTTGAGCAATCAATGGTATACCTGATAGTTTGGCTCCGCCCACGCGATTCCCTGTACGAAAACGAACGGGCGTTAAGCTATTGAAACTAGGAAATGAAGCGTTAAGCGTCTAGGAATAAGGAGTAGACGTGCAGTAGTTTGCTTGATATAATTATCTCGTTAGAGCGGTTAGTTGACAAGGCGCACTATGATCGAATAGCAGCTTAAGCAACGAAGGTAATTAGAATGAATGATGTGACAAACTACTGCACGCTTTGTTCTTTCTAATTGACTGGCAAGGGCGGCACTTGAGAGGGAATGATTGAATAAGGTTATGCTTGTTAGCTGACTCTTATCCCGGTTTTTATTTTGACCCTGGCATTTTTTAGACATTGTATAAGTTTCAACAAATGACGCTAATCTCTAATAATAAATTAAATATAAAATGCACGCTATTCTCTTCTAAAACTATTTAAATATCCGTAATAAATCATCTTGTTTACTGTTGTTTGTTTTTTTTTCTTTTACCTAAAGAGTCACTATCCACGTATCTTAAATTTCATGAAATACACACTTACTTTTAAGTGGGATATTTTTCATGTTTCGTGATTATCCGTTCTCTTTGTCACTGTTAAAGTTACTTAAAATGAAATTGAAAACGTTCTTGAAACATTTTCGTATAAAGTTTCAAAAGTTATTTCTCATCATCCTCCTTTTCTTTTGTACAAATTAAGAAAGTTCTAGTTTTCTTTTTCTTTTCATTAAGAAGAGAATAAAAAAAGAAAGAAAATAGATTTTCATTTAACAGAATTTACTTTGTTCTTATTACATAAATGAAATATTATCTGTCGGAATTTTTTTTCTCCTATTCCCTTATTTCTTTTCCCTTAAATACAAAAAATAACTGTTCTCATTCCTATTGTGGCAATTAAAGATTTTATTTTAATTCTTATAGTAGGCTTTTAACAGACTCTGTCACAATAGTCTGTTCTTTTTCCCTACATTTTGAGAAAGGATACTAAGGGAGTACATATTTAATGAACATCTCTGGTGTCTTTTATGAGTGAACTGTTGTTAGTCCAGTCTTTTTCATTTGTTTTATTCGTTAAATTATTTTCCAAAGAGGAAGTATAGAATACGCTTTTTTTCACTTTTTCAAAGACCTTAGGACGACTTGTTGCACTAAACTGGAAAAGTGTGCGAACAGCGTCGGGGCAGTGATGATTGGTTGGGAATTTATAATGATATGCGCAAACTCCGCCCAACATGCGTTGTGCAACTGTTGTTCTTGTATCATTTAGCTTTACTTTTCTTTCCCTAAGTTCAACATAAATTATGTTGAACTTATCTTCAAATCTCATATATAAGTGATCTTGTGCGCGTATATACGTGTGGTTACATGTCTGTGTGTTTATGTGTGTATTATGGCCTAAAACTTTAATTCCTTATATCAATAATGAGTCGTAATACTTTTGAATCTTTCGTACCCAACTTTCCATACAATTCTCCTACTCGGCCTTTTTATTGGCCTTGGCCGTTGATAACAACACCAGGACAAGAAGCAGCGTCGATTCCGAGCCTTCAAAACGAAGCTGGAACGCGAAACGAACACAGCCGCTTATCGATGTCGTCAATTATTGAGAAGATTCTATTATCGATGCCTGAGTTCAATTCGATATCGAACGGTGTTCAGTCGCTAGAGATATTGACAAACAACGGAATTTCTATTTCGAGAAAGATCATAGGTAAGTCAGATAATGTAAAAGAACCGAATAAAAACCAAGGTTTTGTTTAAAAAAAAATAATTTCTTCCCTTTTCTAGAATTTGATGGAGAAGCAGTCTTATGTAGAGTCTGCGGAGATAAGGCTAGCGGATTCCATTATGGAGTTCACGCCTGTGAAGGATGTAAGGTAAGCTCGTAGCGTTATTTTATTAGTAATACGATCAAATCATTACGACGGCCTTGAAATAGGTAACTTTGTGTGTTCTCTTTTCTCCTTCATTAATTCTCCCGAGTGCACGTTCTTGCCTACCCAGTTAATTAGTCATCACTAAATAATAAAAAATTACTCTAAATAGGGCTTCTTTAGACGGTCAATTCAACAGAAGATACAATATAGACCTTGCTTAAAAAATCAACAATGCTTAATTCAAAGAGTCAACAGGAATAGATGTCAATATTGCAGATTAAAAAAATGCATTTCCGTTGGAATGTCAAGAGACGGTAAGCTAAAATTTTATATATCCTCTCTTATCCATCATCTTTTTAAATATTCTATTTGCTAGCTGTTCGTTTCGGAAGAGTTCCAAAGAAAGAGAAAGCGAAGATTATAGAACAAATGAAAAAGATTAATAATATTTCACAGAAAAAGTTAGATTTCCTAGAATTATTAATAAATACTGATATACAGTTTTCAAATTGTTTGCAGTACTATTGACTTTGTTTTGGAGAACGAAAACGAAATTGGTTCCTTGATTATAAAAGCTCACAAAGAATTTTGTAAATTCACTAAAGATCGATTTCAAGCTTTTTTTACGGCAGCGTGGAGAGAGCCGAGATTTGCTTCATGCGCTCCTTGTTCCGCTTGTCCTCTTAATCCGCAACCGAATTCTCTGGACTCTTTTCAAAATTGGCAGGAACTGGAGAAAACTTTTACTCCAATCATAAGATCTATAATAGATTTTGCTCTTGGAATTCCTGGTTTCGACCTGCTTTGCATTGACGACAGGCTAATTCTAATAAAAACAGGAGCTATCGAATTGTTACTTTGCCAAATGGCTTGTTTATTCGATAGTCAAACAAATACTATGATCTTTACTAATGGCCAATTGTACAAAAGGCCCATAGACGACAACAGTTCTCTTTTGAATTTTGTCTTTGACTTTGCTGAAAGATTTAACAGTCTAAAATTAGATGATGAGGAAATAGCAATATTCTGTGCAAGAGTTCTGATTTCACCTGACAGAGCTGAGCTGAGACACGCAGATCACGTTGAAAAGATGTCAGGAAAGATAGTCAGTTCACTACATTCTACTATAAAGTCTAAAAGGTGCGAACCTTTAGAATTTGTGTCTAAGCTGCTATCAAAATTGCACGACTTAAAGACTCTTAATGCAGTGCATAGTCAGAAAATGAATAATCCCAAGCCCGTGACTCAAAGTCACTTTTTTAGTCCACCACAGACATCACCGAAATTTAAATTTAACCTAGGAGAACCTGATTCTTCGAATTCGCCGGAAGGTGAAGTTCAAATGAAATGCCCTAAGATAGAAGAGGGTCATGCACCTACTTTTAATCCAGCTTTACTAGCACCGACTTTGAATCCATGCACAAGACCAATTCTTAATGAGCCATTAAAGGAGAAGCTGCTGAGAAAGATACATGATGATAAATTACGATTGGACAAACAGTTTATCTATCAGCCAAATCCGTTTTCGTTTTATCCCGATGGTGTTCAGTCGCATTCCTTGTTTTTACAGTATTACCAATGGAGATTAGCTGCTATGCAAATGCATATGACATCTTATAATTCAGCTGATAATCTTCGAAAAGGGAATTAACTAGATATTTCTTTTCCTTTCTTCCTTTCTTTTTTTCTCTCTTTTCCTTTTCTTGTTTCCATTTAAACTTTACATTAATAATAGATGAAAGTGAAGTTAGTATAAATATAAATAAATGTTGTAAGTTCTCTGTAATAGAAAAGTAATATAAAAACTCTCATCAGGTATAATAATATTTAAATTAGATAGTTAAATGTCGTTTATTTGAACTTAATAAAACACACAAATTAATTCATTGTTATGAATAACTATGAGAAAATAACTCTTCTGTATATTGTGAAGTTTTGTCACGTACTTTAATCCTTTTTGATCAAATATACAATCGAATACTAAACTTCCTAATTATGTAGATATGAAACTAATAATTCTAAGAATTAACAATAATTATATATATTGTATCTGCGAATAAAATCGCTGAATCATCATAAAACTAATTACCTTATAACTATTTTATCATTTCAATAGTAACCTAATTGCAGAACTAAATGTATCACTTTGTTGGCAAAAGTTTGTAATTAACAGTTAATTAGTTTGTAAAACCTGTCCTGTAGTGATTAACTATTTTAAACTTCTTGCTAACAATTATATTGGCAATGGTTTATTGTTTGTTTTTTTTTTCAATATAACTTATAGATACGAAGCTATATTGGCTGGTTATGATTTTAAATATTACTTTTTATACGAAAACTTCTTTAGCTAAGAAGCGCCATCTTTATCATATTATACGTTACATTTATTTAATCGAAAACGAAAATAGGACTCAATCATGAATGATAATCAAAAATATAAAATTAGAAAGAACTTGGTTCATTTAACCAAGAATTTGAAGGTTGATGCATTGTTTATGGGAAAGCTTATTCAGACAGATATTTTTTCAGAAGATTATGAGGAAAAATTAAATATAGTATGTATAGAATTTTTGGGGGTAATGACTATGTTAACGTTTCCATTTTTTAAAATTTATTTTTCAGTATTGTTAGTTTAAAGAAAGTATTGATAAAATATCGATTTCTTTAAAGACTAATAAATGTATCATAGCTATTAAAAAAGCTTATCGTATGAGCGATGATACACTCCAGGCAGGATAAGTATAGTGATTGAAGACTGTAATATATTAGATTAGACTCTCGTTACATATAGTAGTTTCCTTATTCATTTACAAGCTTTTTTTACTTCTGAAATGAAAGCAGAAAAGTAAATCAATCATAGTTAACTTTTAAGCTTTTTCATTAATTATATCAATAAAGATGTTGCATATAGCTTCAATAAAATAGTATTTATTTAGTTTTTTGCCTTCAGTCCAATTACTCGGATTATGAGAAGAACTTCAGAGTTTGGATGGATATTCAAACATCTGGAGAACAAGCCTGGAAAGTACTTTTCATAGCTTTATTTGAAACTCAACAGGGGGCTATTGCGGACTATTTAGATAGAAAATTTGCAAAAGAAATTTTTTCTGAAATTTTTGAAAATGAAACATACCCTTTTGATGAAGAGAAGAATACTGACAGTGTTTTCGATGATATGATACGAGACCATGGTAAATAATTGATACTCTTGCTGCTATTTAAAAAATTTTCTCTATTTTCTCCTTAAGTTCTTGAAAAGAAACCGTTTGAGGACATACAGATTGATTCAACGTTTGAAGTTTGTGAAGATGTCAATTCAGAGAGAGTAACCGTTATCTAAAACAGTATATTATTAATATATTTTAATCATTTGTCACAATTTAAGGCATACTATTTGAAAAATGGACCAGGTCTCATTATAGATTGCGTTAAAGATTCATATGATGGAAGCATGTTAGACGACGTTTTAACTGCTCTCGGCTGTCAAGTAACAGTATGCCAGAGCGAAAATGAAATAATCGTACGATCTTTAACATTAGTGTATATTCAATAAGTAAAAGTATCTTTATTCATTTATCAGGGAAAATTAAGTATTCTTTGTCAGATATGGAAATATTCGTCAGCGGCAGTTATTGTTGTTCACGCTAAGGAAACAGAAGATGGATTCTCAATTTCACCCAATGATACAACTATGAGTTTTCGAGAATTTTATGATAAATTTTCAGAAAATCATATCGTTAATATTCCAAAGATTTTTATCTTTCTGCTCTATCCGAATGTAAAAGGTAAAGAAGATTTTGTTTAAAAGCCACATTGAATATATTAGTAGTAAACGTTACTTAATTAAAAGCGTCAGCTAAAACAACAGAGAATACTAGTAAAGTCACTAATATTCCCAAAAACAGTATGGTAATTTGTCACAAGATAAGGGGTAACATTTTATATGATAACATTCTAATCAACTTTTATACTATTAAAAATTACTACCAGTTCAAAAACAATACGAAGATAACCAAGTGTGCCTCTTTACAAAAGTACTTATTTCTGGATTAATGGCATATTGCTACGAAAAACCAATACATCCAGATATAATTGAAAAAGTCAATGCTACTATGATGAAACTGAAAAATGAATATGATAATACTCCTTCAAGTGTCAAAAGTACAAGTGAGAAGGGAAAACAAGAAATTTCTAAAGATAAAATATGCCTTGTGGAATCAAACCTTTGCAAGAACTTTTACATGTATTCTTTCAAAAGTAACTCCAAACCATGAATCCATATTTGAATACAGACCTGAATAATTTCATAGTGCTATATTGAATTTGCGTTTCATAACATATCTGATATTTTTATATTACGTATTAGATCATATAACAGTTTGGTATTTTGATTAAATAGAATAATTTGTGAATTGAACATGGACTTGTTCACTTATAAGTTCAAATTCTGTACAATAGTGGAACTTTAAAATATTAAGTTAATACGAAAACATCTTTTTAAAAAATAGTGCCCTCTGCCTTATTGAGCGATAAATAGGTAAATAGATTGAAGATCCTTGTTTCTACAAGCAAAAAAGAAAGTTGACAACATCATGGAAAAAGAACATAGAGACAAGATAAGAAAGAATATGGTTCGCTTAAATAGAGATTTGTCTACTGATGGATTGTTTCTTGACTGTTTTCTAGCAGAAAACATTTTCAGTTTGGAAATGTTAGAGATCATTCAGGTTCACACCATTTCAATTAACACTGTTGTTACAAATTGAAAAGAAAGTGAATAGAAGGTCATTTTTCACTAATTAGAATGTTTTCTATTCCAGAAAAAATCCACCTCATATGAAAAAAATTCAGCATTTTGGATGCAGCTTCAAAAGTCAGGATCCAGAGCCTGGAACGCACTTTTTAGAGCTTTAATCGATTCAAATCAGTCTGATTTGGCTGAGATGCTAGATCCAGTATTGGCACGACAAGCACACAAAGCCCTCAGACCTGGGGAACCTTACCCATACGGTGAACTAAGGAATCATGATACTGAATTTATGAACGCAGTTAAAAAACTCGGTAAATATACAGTATAATATCTTTGAAAGTTTTTCAGAAGACTATGTTCTTTTTCTTAAGTGTATGAAAAAACAATACCATCATCAATTAATATTGATCAGATTGATAGAAGTTCTAAAATTCATGAAGATATTGACTTGGATAAGGTAACTGTTCACATCAAAAAAAAAACAGTATATTATTAACATATTTTAATCGGTTTTTTTCCCATTTAAGGCATATCATTTGAAAAATGGATCAGGTCTCATTATAGATTGCGTTAAAGATTCACATGATGGAAGCATGTTAGACGACGTTTTAACTGCTCTCGGCTGTCAAGTAACAGTATGCCAGAGCGAAAATGAAATAATCGTACGATCTTTAACATTAGTGTATATTCAATAAGTAAAAGTATCTTTATTCATTTATCAGGGAAAATTAAGTAAGCTTCGTCAGATATGGAAATATTCGTCAGCGGCAGTTATTGTTGTTCACGCTAAGGAAACAGAAGATGGATTCTCAATTCCACCCAATGATACAACTATGAGTTTTCGAGAATTTTATGATAAATTTTCAGAAAATCATATCGTTAATATTCCAAAGATTTTTATCTTTCTGCTCTATCCGAATGTAAAAGGTAAAGATAATTTCATGTACAAATTTTGTGGAATATAAACACTATTTAAATATCAGAGAGAACTGTCCGAGGAATCACAAAAGGAGTCCATACTGTATCTTTAAGTGAAACTCAGCTTGCAAGAAAAAAAAATTTAATCGAGATTCCTAAAAATTCCATGTTAATTTATCATAAAGTTAATTGTAAGTCTTTACTTAAGGACATTCTCTTCAATTTTAACACTTACAAATATTAATTCTAGTTCCCAAAAAGTGGTCGAGCGGCGATGGAAGTATCTTTGCGAGAATACTATGTGCAGGGTTGATGTCATATTTCAACGTAAAACCATTAAAGTATATCATTGAGAAAGTTAAGAATGCTGTAAAGGAAGCAACTAAGACATTTAGTGATTCAGTTGAAGAGGCTGATGGAAATGTTGAAGAAGATATATGTCTGACTAAAACAAACCTTCTAAAAGATTTTTATGTTTATGGTGATAAAGATAACTTTGCATAATGTGTGATTGTATACATCGAAATTGTGTGATGTAACATTTTCCTCTTATGAACAATTTTAATGATTAATCTTTATTCATCACTATTTAGTAAAATATTAATTAAGTCAAGATGGAGAAAGTAATGAAAACAATGTTTGTCTTATTAATTAACAGTTTTTCAGTATGTCTACATTTGTTTCTAATTTTAAAACAGGTAAACTAGCTAGAGAAATTCATTCCATCTCTTACTCTGGATGTTTTTTAGTTTTATATTTAAACCACACTGATATCTGTGATAGATATTTTTTAAGCAATCTATCTCATCGAGATTTTTAAAAACCTATTTGTAAACTTTCAAATTATAAGGTTGGGAGTAGGAACCATACTATTTCCGGCATCTTCCTTCATTATCGGCCACAATACAATATTATTTAATTATCGCGGATCACGTTGCCTAAGCAATACACCAATTTAGGAGATTGATTCAAAGATATTTTAGTGAAAACTAGTCTATACATTTTTTAAGTTTATTCCTTTGAAATAAAATATAAGTCTGAATTGTTTACAAGTTTAAACTTGCCAAATGGAGGAAGATACGATATTTAAAAATGTTCAATCAATTAAACAAAAATTGGAAAAAACCAAGCGAAGTTTACAGGATTTGCATTTATCTGATAGATCTAATGATTTTGGGGGATCAAACAGCTCAAATTCTGTTCGGCAGGCTCCGGATGGACATCATCTTGCAATAAATGATACAAGTTCAAATAGTGTAAGTGTTGTTTTTCAAAAAAGAAACCCTATCACTCAAGGAAGTGTGTAAAAAACTATGCTAGTTGATTTAATAATTATTCAATAATATTAACTCCAACAGCAATCCAGTAAACGAACAAGTTATGAGCTCGAAAGAGCAAAGAAACACTTGGAAAGAATACAATCTGAAAATGATCGTTTAGTGGAGCAGAATCATAAGCTAATGCTCCAACTGGAAGATACCACCGACAGAGTTTGTCAAATCAAAGCTGATGTTTGTTTACAGATTTTATATCAATTGTTCAATAATTTCTATTATTGCTTAATTCATTAGAAAGTGGTCCTTACAAAAGAGATGGAACAACTATCGTTAAGATTGAAGAAAGAGAACGAGGTTTACGAAGAAAAAACAGAGTGTCTAGAACGATCGGAAAAGGAGCTTATTCTTGCTCAGAATTCTCTAAAAGAAGCTGAAGAAGATATGATTAGATTGAGATATGAACTTGCAGAACAGAAAAGGTGTAATCAACAGATGGCTGCCGAAAGAGAAGGTGCTATTATTAAAGTCAAGGAATTCGAATCGACATTTACGGGAATAAAGAAGGAAAAGGATGATACTATCGAAAAGGTTTTTACAAGATAATAATATTTAAACATACAATCATTTGATTACTAAACAGCTGATGGAATCAAAAAGGAAGCTACAAACCAAATACGAAAGTACCCTTGTAGCTAAAAGTGGCCTTGAACAAACTAATTGCAGATTGAAGGATGAATTAGATGATTATAAAGACAGATTCTCGTAGGACAAATTTTTTTCATCATATTTTAAAAGTTAATTATTTATTTTAAAAGATCATTAGTTAATAAATTAGAGGAGACTGAAGAACAAAAGGGTAAATTTGAAGTTCAGTTGATCGAGGTAAATGACTTATTAAACGGTCAGTCGGACATAATAGGTAGGTTAAGTTTTTAACCGTTATTGAAAGTCACTTGTATTGTAATTATTTTGAATAGATTGTTTGGAAACACAACTTCGATCCAATCAAGAAATTCAAGCAGACAGAGATCAATTAAAAGAAGATTTAGATCGTCAAGAAATTGAATATGACAGAAAAATTGTTGATTTACAAAATCATATAGAAAATCTTGAACTGCAAATGAATGAATTGTATTCTTCTATTCATGAAACTGTAAAAGATTTTACCCGAAATATCCGTCCAAGAACAAGTTCACCTAAACCCAATTACGATGGATCCTATATGGAATTTGTGAGTTCAAACGAAGAAATTGACGTTCTGACACTAATAAAATCTATTCGGTGAGAGTTTACTTAGATCAGCTCATTCAGTCCTTACAATATACACAAAATCGCATTTCAGCCACGAATTGGACAGGAGAAATAAAGAAATTAAAAAATGGAGAGAGAATACAAGGACTTACGCTGAACAAGCAGATATGATTGATAGACTTAATGAAGAAGTTCAAGCGCTGATGGTTAAACAAAAAGACAGTAAGAAGATATTATTAAATATTTAAATATTTAAATATGACATTTAATTCTGATTGTTTATTGATTTGAAACATATTTACAAGTGTTTTCTTATACTTTTTTAAAGCAATTTCTGAAAAAGAAAAGCTAAAAAGCCTATACGAAGAACAAACGGATATAAATCGAAGAAAGTCAGAGGAACTCAATACTTTTTTGGAAAAACTTACTAAAATAGAAGATCATTCTAGCTCTTTGGAAAATGAATTAGGAAAACGAGAAGAATTAATTGATAACTTAAAGAAAACTCTTGAAAAGTCTAAAAATGAAAGACAGTTTCTAGCTAATAATTTTAAAACTTTGGAAAGTGACTTTGAAACAAAAGTAACTGAACTTCACAGAACTAATCGACGTGTCAGCGATCTTGAACAGCAAATAAAAAGTACTTTATTACTTTGTGCGGAAAAGGATGAAAGAATTGATGAAGCAAATTCAAAAATGTCAATGATGAAGAATTTACATTCAGAGCAATGTGCTGAATTGCAAAGAAATATTGATATTCTTCAAAACTCTCTTAAAAAATGTGACGAGCAGAGAGAAATTTTAGAAAGATCCGTTACTGCCATCAGAGAAGAAGTATTATCAAGGGAAGATAGTTTGTCAAAGATTAGAAATGAATACGAAGTTCAGTTGGAAAAGAAAGATGAAACTATAAGGAGATTAAAAAGAGAAAGGGATGAAAATATCAATGAAATGAAGGATATCGAAAGTAAAATATTATCATATGAAAAAAACATTGATCTTCAAGTGGATGAAATGGAGCGTCTAAAAGACAGACATCAATCTGAATTAGAAATTGTTAAAAGAAAATCCAATAATAAAATAGAAGGATTGGAGCTTGAGATAAATAAATTACGCTTGAAATTACACGAAATAGAGGATGAAGCCATGAGAGCAAAATCCGAGGAATATTCTGCAGAAGTTCAAGAATTATTCAAGAAGGTTTCTTTTCTGGAAGATTGTCAAGGTCGATTAGAGCAAGAGTTGAAAGAAGCTGGAGAACAGCTTGTTGCCGAGAGGGATGACTCTGAGAGGTTAAAGGATCGTATAGCAGAGATGGAGGGGATTATTATTTCATCGAAATCAGAAATTAACTCTCTTAAAGATCATTTAAAGGATAAAGATGAGAGTAATGAAAAGTTATTAAATGCCCTCAGAGAAAAAGAAGACAGGTTAAAACGCACAGAGGAGAATTACCTCTTAAAAAGTAATGACCTTAACAAAGTAAAAGCTGAATTTACTGAAAATGGTATGAAAATTGAAAGATGGGAAAATAAGTTGGAAGAAAGGGAGAAAACTATTGACCATCAGAAAAAAATAATAAGACGTCTTCAAGATGAAAATAGAAGTCTTGAGAGAGAATGTATCTCAATGGAAAATGACTTAAAGGAGAGACAAGGAGAACTACTTAGAAGAGCAGAAGAAGTTTGTACTTTATTAATAAATAAGAAGCCAGCTTATATACATTAAAAATTTATTGTTTTTAATCAAAGATATCACAACTCGAAGCTGGGCTGAGACATCATAAGGAGAACCTACAGCAAAGGGCCTCACAACTCGAAGATGGAATGAGAAAAGCCATACTTGACTCAGAACAGAAGTCAAAAGAAGTAAGTTTTCATCTTATCAATTAGTGACTATACTCTTTAATCCTTTTTATTTAAATTATAAATAGCTAAGTAGATTGAAAAATTCTCTATCGAAAACCGAATTAAATAGTAATAACTATGTTCATGAACTGAATGAAACTAAACGTGAACTTGAAGAAAAGAATATGGAACTGAATCAATTAAAATTAGATTTTAAAAAATTTAATATAGCAGAAAGTAAGGTTCAAAATGAACTTGGAAGAATGAATGAAAGAGAAAAGGATTTATTAAATCAAGTAGAAAAATTGACAAAAGCTCTTGACGAAGTTAGAAAATCGTCAATAAGTTTGAATGAACAACTGCACGAAAATAGAAAATTACAAGGTGATCTAAATTCGAAAATATTAGATTTGGAAATGGAAAATAAGAAATTAAAAGATGAGATTAAAAGTAAAAAATTGGGTTTAAATGTATGTATTTTATAAGACGAATTCTTATATCAATTTTAACTACTTATGTTTCATATTTACTTTGTTGATTTATCAAACAGAAGAGAAACGAAGAAACCTCACAATATTCTAGGAAAATAGAGTCCCTTGAAAGGGACTTAAAGCTTAAGGAATCAGAAATAAGACGTTTAGAAGCAGAACTATCTGAAGCGCAAAATTCTCATGCAAATCTTGTAAATAACCTTATTACATGAGTTTTTTCTTTCTAATATAACTTTTAAAATGTTACTCTTTTAGCATAAAGATAGAGATGAAGCGTTGGCTAAACTGAAAGAAGTTGAACAGGAAATTAATGAAATTAAAGATACTTATAGAAAAACGGTATATATATTATCATTTCTCAAAAGATTATCCAACATTTTTTATCAATGTAGAACGCTGATCAGGAAGAGGCTCGTCTTAAACAAGCTACTCAATATCGTCTTCGAATAACACAATTAGAAGTTGATAAGGAAAAACTTGAACAAAAGTTTAAGACGTCTCAACAATCTATAAAACGTCTTAGTAAACAAATCGCTGATAGAGACGAACTGTTGGATAATGTTAAGCAAGATCTTATTTTAAAAGAGTCTGAAATTACAAGACTTCAAACCCAAATGTCTGGATTTGAGAGATCTGCTGATGAAAGTAAAATTTTAAAGAGAATTAACGCGATTGGTCCTGATTTAGAGACCAATTCGGAGAAAAGTCTTACAGATTTTGCCTTTGAATTTAGAAATAATAATAACGCTAACAGAAACGAAGATAGGAAAAAAGAATACTGTTCTAACTGTGGTAAAGAAAAACGACCGAGCCATTCTTGCAAGCACAGGGTTGGTTGTAAATGCTCAACGTGTACAAAAAAAGATAAGAAAGAACAAAAGAGAGATATGGGATCGATTGAGAGTCTTTTACCCCTAAGCGATAGTAAGTGTCAATATATCTTGTATATAATCTTTTACATTTAATTAATATATCATGTTATCATTTTTTTTTGTTTTAAACAGTTAAGCAAGATAGTCCTATAACTCTTATCCAACATTATGACTCTGATAGTAGTAGTCGACCAAAAATGGCTTCATTAGAAGACAGTGATTCAACATGCAGTGAAGATGTGTTTGCTAGGCTATCTGCCACTAGAGATAAACTAACTTCAAAGTTTAAAACACAAAAATAGTCTCATCATATTTTTCTTACATTTTTCCAAATTACTTTTTATTGTGTTCATAAAAATAGACATTGTTACCTAGAAAGAATTTACATAAAGTTCTTTTAATTGTACTTTTTCTTATAAATATATAAATTCATTTTAGCTCAATTTTCAAATGTTCTAAAATGAAAAGAACGTTAACTTTTACCGGATAAACATTTGCTGGAAAAAATTTGCTTTTAGACAATCTTTAACGCTTTGACGCCACTGTACAAAACTTTTTGACACTGGTGGATCAATATGAATAACCTAGAAGAAAACTCCGGCTAAGGGTTGTTTACATATCAAATCCCTAGCAACACTCAAGGTCATTTCATTTATTTTCGCTCAGCCGGGGAGCAGGGCAAACGCTCAGTTACACTCTTAAACAATATGCAAGAGAATAAAATTTGATTTTTGAGCGTATTTAACTTCCATTTTTGTCAGATTACAAAATCTATAAACACTTCTTTTATTATGTAATTTTATAGACTAATATTAAATCATATATTCATTTATTTCTGCTCTTAAAGACAATCATTCTAAAGATTATCCTAATTTTTTCTTAATATTAAATTTCCATTAGAATAGTGTTTTTCAGAGTTCAAGAAGGCAGACTGTTTATAATTATAAATGTTGCTTTTATTCTTGTTTATTATTTTTGTCAATGTTTTTGGTATCTTTATTATCATATGCTTTTGTTTCGCCAAGTCTGTTCGCTCGTTAGACAAAGAGTATTTATATTTGGTTTAAACAATTCAACAAATTGTTTAAAGAAAATATCAACTGTATAAAAGATGTATAGGCTAAATTATAAATAAATTTAAAAATGTAGCATTGATCAATAAAATTCAACTGTATAGGGGTATTTTAAAGTTTTCAGCAATTTCTCTTAGATGGCGCTGCAAAAAATGAGCGAAAATATATGAGTAATCAACTAGATACCCCAGCAAGCAAACAGCTGCCTAACACAAACCCTTTGCAGTGTTTCTGTTGGTGATCGACTGTGTGCTCGCTATACAATGTAAAATCTGATACATTTATATATAAATATATTAATATATATATATATATACATGTATTCGATTTTTTCTCTCTTAATGATGATAAATAAGGAACATATTTCAAAAGCAACCGTTGAGTAAAATAGATTTTTTACAACTCACGTTACTGAAGCAGCTACGTGGACAAAAGTAAAGAGTCGCCAAGAAATTTAGAGCTGAAATATATATATATATATATATATATATATATGGATATCTAAGAAATTTATTTGGTGGCCTATAGACATACAAATAAATCCACATGGAGAGGCCGGAAAGACAGATAAGCGGTTCTGGTTCTCTGAAGAAGGTACGAGCAGCTATGAGAAGTTTGAGCGGTTCCGAAATGTCCCGTAGTCGACATACTTCGGTTGGATCTTCCAAACTACATGAAGGAGATGAAGCTAACTCGGACGATAGCGTTAACTTAAAACCGAAAATGTCTTTAATGAATGGAGTTGGGATTATCGTTGGATCGATTATTGGTTCAGGTATTTTTGTGAGTCCAACTGGTGTTTTAAAGCATTCCGGAAGTGTAGGATTGGCTTTAATTATATGGGTGAGTATTTTATTAGTGTTCAATATTGTAGTACACAAAAGAGAACTTTTTCAAAATTCTGCAACAATTATGTACTAGCTGGATAATAAATATTTAGCTAGTAAACTACAGAGTATTCTATTAAGTACATATACATCTATATATAAATATGTACATATATATATATATATATACTTATATATGTTCAAACCACGTGAATCAACCGGAAACGTCCTTCGCGACATTGTAGACTCTTTTGTTGTGTAAAGAATTATTCAATCTTGCATCAGTAAAAAAAAACGTGGAGAAAGGGTGTAGACAAGTAATTTATTATGTTATGAATGAAATTCCCTGTCCCTCTCAATAGAAGATAGATTTATTTCAAATATGCAAATTTTGGAAATTAGATAAAGAAATAATATCATATTTTATAATAGTAAAAATAAAATATACATAAATATACATTTTATTATCAACTTATCTATCTATCTAGCTATATATATATATATATATATATATATAAATGAATATAACTGCTTGAATTGTATCTCGATGTTTTATCAGAATCAATTGTAAAGATATCTTATTCTTCTTCGCATAGATACACACACACACATATATATATATTTATTAGCCTTTTTTTTATGAGAATATCTATAGTCAAAAGTGGCAAATTGGTTGATTATTTAGTATTATATAGATGTCAAAAAGCTGTCGAAAACTTTTAGTGTTATAAAGTCTATCTTATAAATAATTCATAATAAAATCTATTTGTCTCTTTTAATGCATTTTAACATAAAATAGATTAAACGAATATAATCAAAAACAAATATCGTTAGTTATACTAAAAGTGTTTATTAGGTTACCGTTATTATATTTTATATATATATATATATAAATGTATATATTCTAATATAAATCTATTTTACTTAAGCAGCTCTCCTTTAATGATTTAATCTACAGTTTTTTTTTACTTATTGTTATACTTAATCCGAAATCCGTTAAATCATAGTTAATAATTTAGCCTTAATCAGGTTTAATTCTTAAAAACGATAATCTTTCATAAAAAATATTATTACTGTCAATTTTTGTCTTGTAGTTGAAAAGCGAAGACTGTGTCTTTATGAATAATTAAATGATTGGTATTGACCTTCTTTATATTGTTCTTGTCTTTTAAGGGAAATTTTTTCTGGTTAAGAGCTAATGGAGACGCATATCTCATTTGACAACAAAAGGAGTTTTTGAAGGTGATATCGTAAAAGCGAAAATTCTTACAACAATCGCCTAGAAGGAATAGTTTTTAAACAGTCGGCTTATTTTTTATCCGTTATATAGTTTCTCCTAGTAATTCTTCTAATAGGCTTAGTAGACCGTAAATAAATTGCTAAATTTCCATTAAGGCTAAATTTAGATCGGAGAGAATGAAGACTTTTAATGCTATGTTCGCTTTAGTAACAGTTGGGGATTTCGGTTTTCTCTTTTTTTAGTTTTCTTGGTATGTAGGTCAAATTTTTATTCCTACTCAACAGACAACCTTTAAAATATAAATTGCGTAACTGAAAGAAACAAATAAAAAACGCCCATTTTCTTCTTACGGGGCGGTGTATAAGACTTTATCGGTCAAGTTGTATTATCTATTGTGAAATAAGAAAGATAATTTACTAATCGAGCAAAATTAAATATTTTAAAAAGAAAACAAGCTTTAGATAATTGTTTACAATTACCTAAGGTACTTCCTGCAATCTAAAATAAAATTCCTTTTAATTAAAAACCAGAAGAAGTTAGTGACCACCTGCCGTCCCTTAATTATTAATCACATTTTGGCGGTAAAGCGCTAATAAGAATAGAAGAAATAAAATATTATAAACGCGTTATACTTTCAATAGAACAATAATGTTCAAAAACATATGTATTTATTCTCAAAATCGAAATGTCAGTTTGGCTTCTGTATGTTTGCAAATATATAGAAGAACCCCGGATTTACGCACCAACTTTCTTAAAAGGAATTTTACCTTATAAGAAGCAGACAAATATTTCTGACAAGAGAGAGAGAGAGAGAGGAAAAAAAAACCCTTGAAATAAAATATTTGCATAACTTAGGGATTACTTTATTTACTTTTAAAAAACTACAATTTCCCGTCTTCATTAAAGAAACTTTTACTAAATCTACCAATAAGGATTTATATACATTATTATTAATTCTAAACTAAGTAAAGCAAAATTCTAATATTTATTAATTTATTATGCACTAGTAAAGACAGCTTATTGCTTATCATCTTGACAAATCGAATATTCTTTGTTAGCGATATGCTAATAAACTTTATATTGTTATAAAAAAAATAGTAATATGATAGATTGTACAATTTTTAAATGGAATAAAAAAAAGAAAATCAACAAATCAAAAGATATTAAATAAATAGAATAATATTGTTTTTTTAAGAATGTAACAAATAAAAATCCCCATGCCCACTCTCCGCCTTTCCATCATTTTGTTTTTTAGAGTAAAATAAATAGCTTAATATTTACTATGCTTCCTTGAATATTTAATACACAAACATATATAAAACATTTTATATTTTTAATTATGCGTATAGAGTAAAATTGAATTTGTCTACAAAAAGGAAATTGTATATAATTTAAAGAGATACAATGATGGAATATATTAAATCATGATATTATAAGGGTCGAATAGCTGGATAAAAATTGTTTTTAATTTTTTCAATTGATTTTTAATACAACGTGCTACTTTTTGTTTTCGTATTAGTTTTTTTTAATAAATCATAGATTGTTGTTATTAAATATATTCATATTGATTTATATTCCACAGATTCTGACAGGATTCTTGTCAATGTTAGGAGCCTACTGCTATGCCGAACTTGGTATAGCTATTATGAAATCTGGAGGAGATTATGCATATATTCACGAAGCTTTTGGTTCAGTATTCGCTTTTCTGCGTCTCTGGACGGAAGCTTTAATTGTTAGGCCATGCTCCCAAGCGATTGTTGCTTTAACATTTTCTTATTATGTTATGGAGCCCCTCTTCCCAGATTGTGAACAGCCCCAAATTGCTGTTCGTTTGTTGGCGGTTGTTTGCATAAGTTAGTAGATCTTGCAACATTTTACTAATAATAATTATTCACTCTTAACAAATTCTTATCCGTCTCTACTAGCTAATTAAGAAAGATATCAAATTTACTGTAAACAAAATAGCATTAAACAAATGACTAGTAATGTTATAGCACAATTTTAGAATGGATCATACCTTTCGACAATGTAATATTAGTATTATCGTTGAAAGATCATTATTGAAAATTCTTATATATAGCTAACATGTTTAAATGACATACTAAATATAGCATTTATCGTAGGTTACGTGACATTTATCTAAACACTGCCAATAATATGTCAGATTATATAATTTACTTTCTATTTAAGAGATTTAGGGGAGAAATATCTAAAAGTTCCTCTCTGATTTATATCAAATCAGTTTACAAACAAATTTTCTATCCTCTGAACAAAAGTAAATTGTATGCTCTGCTTGGCAGAGTATACAATTTGTTGCTCTCAACAGGATGTATAAATGATAGAGAAAGAGATGTGATCTTATTTGTAGTTGATGAAAAGAAAAATATCGCTTCTTACTCCGAATAAAATCAACATAATACTTACCATTACACTATATTATATATTATTTCTATTGAATGTTATATGAAAGAATTATCTATACTGTATCTTTTTTTTTCTTCTCTTCTAGTGGTCTTAACCGCTGTTAATGCTTACGATGTTAACTATGCTACACGTGTTCAAGATATCTTCACAATAGCGAAATTGGCTGCCCTTGTATTAATTATTATTACTGGAATAGTACAGGCTTGTAGAGGACAAGTTATGCATTTCTACGGAGCCTGGGATGGTACTAGTGCAGATGCCGGTAGTCTATCACTGGCTTTCTTTTCTGGACTTTTCGCATATAACGGTTGGAACTATTTGAACTGCGTAATAGAAGAGCTGAAAGACCCAGAGAAGAACTTACCCAAAGCCATTGCCATGTCATGTTTAATAGTAATGTCTGTATATGTACTTTGCAACTTGGCCTATTTCACAGTCGTTTCTAAGGAAGAAATGCTGGCTGCGCAAGCTGTAGCTGTTGTCTTTGCCCAAAAAGTCTATGGTGTTATGTGGTGGATTGTGCCCGTATTTGTTGCCTTGTCAACCTTTGGAGGCGTAAATGGTATCCTGTTTACGACAGCTAGGTAAAATCTTTTTCTATTTAATATCTGTAGTTGCTTTATGCAATTAAGTGCAATAGAGAAAACATAGTAAATGAGGACAAACAATTCTTTCCCACGTGTATGACATATATTTTTTCTTATCCTTAGCCTAGATCTGCTAAAAAAAAGATTTGTTTTCATTTCAAACTTGGTATTTGGTACAGACTATCTACTTAGGCCTTGTGTATCCCTAAATTTTCGAGGCTTTTTTTTATAGTCTACTGCTCTCTGGAAAAGAAGCCAAGTTGACGTTTCGTAGTCAATATAGAAGCTAGTAATCAATAAAGGAATATGTATAAAGAGCGCTAAAGTGGGGCTAAAAATAGACCAAAGTTTCTGTGAATTGCTAATTTTTTTAGACTAAAGTAAAATTATTAAAAAGAGTAGAATAAATTATCTTTAAGAGTTTTTAAATTAAATATAATAAACCCTCCATCAGTAGAACTGATTTTACCAGTTTTTTTTATTTTTTATTATAAATTCAATCTATCAACCCGCGAACCAATTCATTAAAAAAAAATCATTTATTAACGATTTTCTATTATTTCTTGATAAAATATGTGTTTTTTTTGCTTTTATTAGACTTTTCTTCGTCGGAGCTAGGAACGGTCACATGCCTAGGATGATGCTTATGGTTCAAACAAAACGAATGACTCCGGCACCAGCAGTTATATTTATGGGTTTTACATCTCTATTGTATCTGGTGTCAACTGATATGTTTGCTTTAATCGACTATGTTACCTTTAGCAATTGGTTAGCTATTACGTTATCTGTCGTCTCTCTTTTATGGCTACGAAAGAAGAGACCAGAACTTCATAGACCACTGAACATTCCCTTAATTGCACCAATAACTTTTATCGTCATTTCTTCCTTCCTTATAATATTCTCCATCTATCAAGCTCCCACACAGACTGGTTTCGGATGTCTAATTATAGCATCCGGCATTCCGATCTATCTTATCTGTGCCATGCCCAAACGTCATCCAAAGCCCATCGAAAGAGCAATAAGTAAGTTAAAAATAATTTTTCTATAAATTAAATTAAATTTTAATGAGGATTTCTTATTATTGACCCAATTACGAAAATAGTTCCAAATTAGATATTGTATAAAATTATATTTGTTACTATTTTTCAAATAGCATAGAAAATAAAAATAAACTGAATATGATATGTTTTTATTGAAAGAGAAATCCTTTCTATCTTTTCAGATGGGCTTACTGTTCTAGTACAGAAAATTCTCATTTGCCTACCAGAAGAACAGAAAGTGAAGGATATGGAATAAACCAGTTAATTAAAATTCACTTCAAAAAGTTAATTTTCCCTTTACCCGTTTTCTTTTCATTTTTTTCTTCTTTTCTTTTGGGAAAAATAAATAGAATAATTGCTTTGCCACACAGACACACAATAAACAAACAAATAAACAAACAAAAACGCAAAAAAAAGATGATTTATTAACGAAAAGACCTTTCTTTCTGACAATGAAAAAGCTCTTTCTTTGACCATAAACAGGCAAAGAAATGTGATTTTTGTTCTCAGAATGAAAAAAATTGAATTCTATTTATTTTCCCTGCAATAAAGACTGATAGGAATGATAAAAAAAGATAAATTTGTTGAAATTGGTGTTCTTTTTATTTTTTTGGGTTCTCTTTTGTTTTCAAGATAAAATTTACAAGATGAAAATTTAATCAGGAAATGGATGTAACTGAGTTTAAATTAGATTCAAATTTATATATATGTTATTCATATTTAGTTGATAATATAGCAAATTGTGTTTGTCAAAAAGAAAAAAAAAAAGAAATAAAAAACAAAATTAGTGGAAATTAAGATCTGAATAAAAGAATTTAGTGTCGATATTGTGATGTAGCTAAAAGTAAACCAAATTGTTTGTATCTTATAAAGATTAAAGCTCCAAGGTTTATTTTTTATATATACTGCATATGTATTGATCGATTGGTAATTTAGCTTTTATACGAGATGGGTTTAATGGCAGCTGAAAGTTTTTTCTTCTATAAAAATGAAGGAAAGGATATCTCATTGAGAGATATAATAAAACAGATAGATTTACTTACTCGTCTACATATTAGTGAAGAGAAATGAAAGGCCGATACAAGACACCCTTAAGAATATATAGTGAAAAATAGGAATAGAAACGGGAAAATAGAGCAATAAGGGAATCAGGATTAAGGCAATGCATTTGGTGATTGAAAACATCAACGCTCTTCCTACGCATTCTCTCTTTTATCCGAACGTTACATGTCTAATTCTACTTAATTTACAAGAGTAAATTCAGCACGAAAAGGTTCATTATAAAAACACTAGTACATGTAGTTTTTATGAAGCATTCATTCCGTATTAGCGTTTCCCCCTTATGTCTATTAAATAATTAATAGTTTATATCGATCTATAAAATATTTTAAATGAATATAACTAACTAAACGTTTCTTATACATTATATATTATAATAATATAGAATATATGATTACGATAAAGATACACTAATCAATTAGGACATAATTGATGAAGATTTTCTTCATATGATAAACATCAGACCTTATTTCTTGTTTAGGTTATTTTTATTAAAACCTTTTCCTACCTATTGTATTTTTGATAAATTGAAAGCATATGCTACGAGAACAATGAATTAGATAGCTTTAGTAAAAACCTTCCATGTAGTTTATTCTAATTCAAAAGGAAATTTTATATAAAACATTTTTAATATAATTAATTTTCAGTGAAATGCTTAAATTGATCATTGGATTTATAATCTATATTTAGAAATTTAGTACGATAACCTCTATATGGCTTCGTGAATAAATGTAGATGAAAATCTTATATTTAGATATTCATTAATAATTGCAATCTGTGTAACACATTGAGCATATTTTTAAAAAAATATTTATTATTGAGTTCTCAGACTGCAAATCGCTTACGATCGACCGAAATTAATAAGACTTTGACAGTATTTACCCACTTTTACTTTCTCTCTCTCTCTCTCTCTCTCTCTCTCTATCTATCTGGCTATTTATTTGCCTCATTCGGTCTATCTCTTCTATACTCCCTTCCTCTTTTCTCTGTTGTTTATTTCTTTTTTTTGGCAGTCTCTATTTTACAGTATCATTGGATTTTATTTTTAGTTCTCTATTGAATCTCCTCGGGAAATTGCCAATTAACCAAATCTCTGTTTTCACTACTATTATGTTGTGTCTACTGAACAAATTTCACTTTTCTCTTCCGTCTCATGGTTGATTTAATAAAGCCAACTAAGTAAATATTTATAGTTTACTCCGTAGAGAAAAATTATTTGGAATCTTAAACACGATACACATCATTCACTATTTATTCGTTTTATTAATCTATATTGTTACTATATCCTTTTATCTCTTGCATAGAATAAGTTCTAATTCGCTTATTTCTTTAAGAATATAAAGAAAGAGCGGAGAAGGAAAAGAAAAAGGGCAAAGGAAAAGCGACAATGAAATGAAAGGGAGAAAATAGAAGGAGAAAATAAAGGACTTGTATAAGTTACTATTTATGTTTCTATAACATATTTACTCTCCTCCTCTCGCCTACACTCTCACTCCCTACCCTCTCTTTCTATATGCTGCTAGGTTTAATTATATTTCAGGTTTCTATACTAAGTATAAGAGAAAAGTATTGACTCCTTGACAGCTATGCACAAAATTGCAAAATTATTATCGAATCTAATTCTAAAAAAATACTATTAGTATATAGATTTAGCTCTTTATAGAAGACTATAAAAACATAGTATAGAAATTAATAAATAAACATTTTCTCTTATAACTTTATGCTTCTTTGGCACAAAATTTACATGAAAAGAAAATATCAATATAAAAAAATTAACGATATTTTATTTGAAAATAATAACAAGATCAAACTAGTGCCCTCTACTGTTAGTTAGTATTTATCAGAAGAAGATGAAGATTTGTTTTTTATATAGCTTGATAAACATAACCCTTTCTTTTATTTTAATATCTTTATTATCAATAAACAATAATTATAGTTTCTAAGTAATAAATTGTATTATTATTGTTTGTCATTCAACTAATATTCAATATAAAAAATTTACACTTGAAACGACCTTTTTGACTTTGATTTTTTATCGACGTCAGCATCGTAGACGTCAACAAATCGTGGGCGTCCTATTTTAGGTGAATACGGAAGAGATTTCAGTAGCATACAGTACTATCCATACATTGTATTAATAACAAAGATAATAATAAGAATAAGCAATGGGAGAAGATAATACGAAGGAGAAACATATTTCTATATTTGTATTATATATATTAGTATTGTTGGAATATCCTCCTTAATTAATCATTTACTATTTTCTTCATATTTCTATAAATCAACAAAATGTGACTGTTGTTTCTATTGAAAAGTAATCAAAACTCTTCTTGATAATAGGTTAATAGCTACCACATAACCCAATTACGTAATATTCCATTGCTTTATACATTGGGATCATTGCCCTAAGACTTCGAGGAAATGGAAAGAGAGTACCTACTTCGTGTCTTATCGCTTATACAGTAACGACATCTTTTGTATATTATCCACAATTTTTACCTGATAAGAATAGTATCAACGATAAGAAAATTTAGGTAGTATACCTGCCTTTTGTCTAGTTCGAAATGGACAAAATTAATGTATTATTATTGACAATTTCTATATTATTGTTATGGGTAAATCAAGGTAAACTTTGTATATTTTCATTAATGATAACATTTTCATATGAAAAATTATGTATTAAAGGAAATAGTTTGGAGTGTTATGCATGTCAGAATCAAGATTCTAATAAAGACAAATGCATCAAGACTTCTGTACAGTGCGAAGGACATATGGATATGTGTATGACTGAAGTAAAATGGGGACGTAAGTTCTAATGAATAGGATAATATCTTAGATGCTTCTCTAATCTTTTAATTATAAATTAATCTTAAAAGTTAATAATCATTATTAATAGTCTATTATTTTGTTTACTTAACCATAGTTCCGCCATATTGGGTACCTTATGGAGAAAGGCAACATTATGTAACAAAATACTGCGCAACATCAGAGCATTGCCTCAAAGAAAGGAAACGTCACCTGCCTTACTGCAAGAGAGATTGGTACGATGATTGGAAATGTGTTGAATGTTGTCACGGAGATTTATGTAATTATTACGTAACGGTAAGCCTTATTATCTATATTATTATTATTTCAGTTATATTCTAATCTATATATTTTCTAGTTGAAAGGAAATCAAAATCAAGCTGTAACAGTCACTCTTCTCCTTAGCTTAATTTCATCATTTACAATAACAAGATTCTATTTCTAATAAATAAATTTGTTCTTTTTTTTAAAAAAAACAAAAACAAACACGAAAACTAAGAAAAAAAAAGCAAGAAAAACCTGAGAAGGAAAATTTGTTTTATACTTTTTAATCATAGTTGTTTTTATATTTGTCAAGAAGAAAACAATCAAGTAGGATTGATTACTTTTTATTTTGTCAATGAGTAATTTTATGTATTGTTTACATTTTGTATTTTTGAATATAACTTCAAGATCTTAATAAGGTTATTTGAATATTAATTATCTACTTGTTTTGTTTTTGTTTCTTATGACTAAAAAATATTAAGTTTTTATAACCATTCTAGTCTTTTACTTTTCCTCAATTAGTTAAAGTATGCTCCTTTCTCTTGAAGTTTATTTTTTCTTCTTGAAAAGGATTGTCTTTTCGACTTGAGGGAACTTTTATATAGGAACATCACTTCCGATCAAACCGAAGGAAATCAATACTAAAGAATGTACACTAGTTTCCGAAACAGAAGAAAAAGCTTAGAAATTTTAATTTTAACAGTTTATCTTCTTCGTTAGTCAGCTTTGTCAATGATTAACTTCATTTATAAACTTCTTCCGCAAATTGCTATTTGGTTATAAAAATGAACTGTAGATGGCGATCCTATTGCGGCAAAACCTTTGATCGAAAAGGTACAGTATTTGAACTTTACAGTCATACGCCAAAAAATACGTAAGACCTACTTTTTTCACTCTTCGCTAGAGAGGTCCACCATTTTTTCTAAAGAACTCAAAGATGGAACGTGCAAGACGTATTGAAGGCCACTTGAGAGGAAATAAAGTAAACTTACAAGCTAATTTCTGTTCGGCTCCCAATTTCGCTCAATCGGACGAAGATGTAGTTATAGTTGCAGCTAAAAGAACACCAATCTGTAAAGCTAAGAGAGGAAGCTTCAAGGTAAAATGAAATCATATAGAGTAATTACATATAGAAAAAACTAACTGTCATTACCTGTAGGATACTTCTCATTCTGATTTACTGAATGCGGCTCTCCACGCTGTCCTTAAGGATGGAGGTGTTAGACCGGATCAGGTTCAAGATATTTGCGTTGGTAAGCTTAAAGATATTAAAGCATATTTCGATTCTCTAAAACTTTACTGAATGATAACAGGTAACGTTTTAAGACCTGGATCAGGTGCAAATGATTTTAGAATGGCTCAATTATTTGGGTATAAAAATTTCATTTTAACAAATTTCATTCATAATTTCTAATGTTCCATATTTCATTTAAAGTGGCTTCCCCGAAACAGTACCACTAACTACCTGTAATAGGCAATGTTCTTCCGGTTTACAAGCGGTGATGAACATTGTAGGATCCATCAGAGCTGGCCAAATCGATATCGGAATTGGTGCTGGGTATAAATTTTTATAATTGATTGAAATATATCTAATAAATTAGTATAAAATTTATATATATATGCATGTATGTATTTCTATAGGGTAGAGTCTATGTCAATTGATAGCATGGGAGCCGCAGCTAACATGGCAATCCATCCTAAAGTCTTTGAACACGAAACAGCCGTTCAATGTCTCTTACCTATGGGGTAAGTAGGAGTATTCGTCAAGTGCTTTTTAACTAAAAAAAAGCTATTAAAAAACTTTTATAGAATGACCTCTGAGAACGTTGCCGAAAGATATGGTATCACTAGACAGCAGCAGGATGAAATGGCTGTACGATCACATGCAAAGTAACTATTTTCAACAATTAATTCAAATATTATTTATATAACAAATAACTACTTTTATCAGTGCGGCAAAAGCTCAAAATAACGGTCTATTCGATAATGAAATTGTACCTGTTAAAACAGTACTAATTGGCAAAGATGGCGAAGAAAAAGAAGTTATTGTAAGTAGTAATAATCATTCAATAGAACTATAAATTGTTTTCTTATATAGTATTCTTATTAATTGTTGAATATAATCTGTAAAAAAGGTTTCTAAAGATGATGGTGTAAGAGAAGGAACAAATCTCTCAATTCTTGGTAAATTAAGAGCCGCTTTCAAAGAAAATGGATCAACAACTGCAGGTAAAATATCTTATCCTATATTTTAATTAGATAATCTTTTTTTATGCTTTCTTAATAATCTAATTAAAAAAAGATATTTGACTGTTACTACTTTATGACTCCTGTTAGATGGAGACTAGGTAGCATTGGAATGTAGTGCCATCTCTAGTTTTATTTTTTTTCATAAACACAATTCTTACATTTTAGTTAATTATTTAATGTTTAACATGTTTAAAAAAGCAGACGGAATGTAAATTGATTTAGGTTGATTCTAATAATGCCTCTAAATTCCAAAGTATAAAACTTGCATTCTACAACCATATGTTGAATTATATACCACGGAAGGTCATAGGTTCACGTTATAATTGACCATTTTGTTCGAATTTCAGGAAATTCAAGCCAAGTTAGCGATGGAGCTGCTGCAGTCTTACTTGCTAGGAGAAATGTTGCCAGAAAATTAGGCCTACCAATTTTGGGTGTTGTACGCTCGTACGCTGTCGAAGGAGTTCGTCCGGACGTGATGGGTATTGGACCCGCCGTTGCCATTCCATCAGCACTGAAAAAATTATCACTTAACATTAACGATATCGAAATTTATGAAATTAATGAGGCTTTTGCATCGCAAGCAACTTACTGTGTCGATAAACTTGGCATTCCAGCCGAAAAAGTTAATCCTAAGGGTAATGAATAACACTATTCTTTTTCCAAGAAATTCTTTTAAACGTCTATAAAATTCAGGTGGAGCCATCGCTCTTGGTCATCCTTTGGGTTGTACAGGAGCAAGACAAATTTCTACTTTGTTGCACGAACTAAAACGAAGGGGAAAGAGGTTTGTTTTAATATAAAATCTAACATTAAAAATAAGCTTATTACAACCTATGGAACTTTATTTTTAGGGGATTGGGAGTTGTGTCAATGTGCATCGGAACAGGAATGGGAGCAGCAGCAGTAATTGAATACCCTGGAAACTAATTTCTATTATATTAGCAATAAATTAATAATGTTCTCTTTCTTTGAATCCTTATTCTCCCTGATTTTCTATTAATTATTCTCCCATATTCTTTCAATATTTTTCCATAAAAGAGAAATTTTTGATTACCTTATCAGACAAACAAATATCTTTTTGTCTTTATATATCAGTATATATGTTAATAATTCAATATTATGCATAATTTCTAAGAAATATTTGCAATTCAGAAGAAAAGTGAAAGCTTTAGTGAAAAAAACACTGTCAAATTTTACACTAGAATAAACAATGATCAAAGTTAATAAATAGAAGTAATTCTGGTATTGCGTGCTTGCAATAGAAATTTCATTATTTAGTCTAAAGTAATATAGTTTCCATTTTAAAAATATAATCAAAGTAGCCTTGGAAATGAGAAAAAGACTTTTTTTCCATATTGTAACAGACTTTAAATAATGTATTTATACCACCTTAAGAGATGGGTTTTTGTTATTATATATTTTCTTGAAATAACTTATGAATCAGTTGTGTACATTGGCTTTCCTTAACAATTTACAATATTGAGTTGAATGCTTAAATACATAACTATTTTTTGGAATGAATATGAGTTTATGCAGTTTATTGTGTATAATAATTAATAGGTATTGTATTTACTTTCGATATAACCATGTCGAAATCTCGTTTAAAGATTGCATATACCATATTTAGATATATATCTAGATACCCTACACATGTTGTCAACATGCAATAGATTATATTTATACATTGATACACTTAGTTTCAATACCCAATTAAGAATTACTAAACACTGTTGTTAAAATTAAATAATAAACAAAAAGATAATTCATTGAGGCTTATTGTTTAAATGTGTTAATTCACAGATAGTAACAGAAAATGTTAGTAAAAAATTAGCAACGGTTCGTTTAATTGATACTTCATTCGTGTTTTTGTCTGTAATTGGATATGATTGCGAATAGTTATTTATTACAAGACCAATTATATTTGAGATTATTAGCAATATGTAAAAACCAAATAAGAACTATCCATCTAGAGAAGACAGATAGCTTTACATAATCTATTCTACATGAAAACTAGTATATTTATTATCATTTCTTTCATTTTTAATAAAATCTTCGGCAGATTCATGTTTACGTAACAATTTCCATACATCATCTAAACTGTTTTTTTTTAATATAGAAGATGTAATAAGCTCTTTTAACGTTAATCACTTTTAGACTAATGTTTATTACATTAATTAATTATATTATAATGTACTATGTTTATAATATATTACATAAATATACTGTATATTTATAGTTTTAGCTTTTATAAATGCAGTACATAATAATGAATACGTATTTTCTATATTTTTCTCTTTTCTTACATATAAAAAATATCTCATTAATATATTTCTATTATCATATCACTCAATCTATATATATATATATATATATATATATATATATATATATGCATATTGTACAGTTTGCAATCAGTACAATAACTTTTTCTTTCCTTTTTATCTTGTTTGTCAGAAAAATAATGAAATAATGATAGAAATATATAAAAGAGAAAGAATATAAATGCTATCTATTACCATTAGAAATCTATATATTTGAAATAATTGCTATTCAACAATGGATGAAGAAAAGATTCTTCAAATAATATTAAGTGTATTAGTAAAACTTAGTTTAACACCTATTGAAAGTATAGAAACTGAAAAGTAAATGTTTCTTTTTCTTGCTTATCTAAAAGAGTCTATTTTCAAATGGGGTGACATTTGGTAAATATTCAATAAATCTTTTTCAAATACATTTTATATGTTACAGAACTTGTTTTTTTATACTCCTTTTCAAATTCATATTATCTTGGTAGTCATACAATGACTTAGACCTAGTGTAAAAAAATTGCAGAATATTTGATAGTAGAATGTAAATTTTAGATCCAATACTAAATATCAATCACTTATAATAGAAAAAAAAACGAATAATGATTAAAAGTGTTAAAGTTCCGTTTTGACATTTTCTTTGATCGAAATTACAAATAAATTCTATCCAGTAGAAAGCAAATTGTGCGCTATAGGGTGTTAATTGTTCTCGTTTCTTACGTATATGTAAACGTATAAAGATAAAGAGCTTGTGTTTAGACTACGTGACCTTAATCATGTAAAGAAAAAACATTTCTGGTTGAAAGTATCTCACTACTAGCTACTCCTTGCATCAGTCTTCAGGTATAGAATGTTATTTTGTTGAAAAAAATTTGCATTAATTGGGTTACGCTGCTTTATAGAACGTATGCGTATTGTAAAGATAAGGTAAAATACTGTATGTATAGAGTTCTTCAGAACTATTTCTATTTATATCTTTTACACAATTGTTATAAAAATGGTAATATTCTAGATATTTTGTATTTCATTTACTAATATAAAATTTTCGAAGATCATAATTATATGGCAAGTACTCTTTCTCTTTCTTTACTATCTCGCTCTATATATACTATACAGTATATATATAACAATATTAAATACTAATTTCGAATCATTACATAAGTTCAATAATAGAAAAAAGGAAATTTTTTTTTATTTACAGTAACAAAAATATATTTGTTTCTCTTTTCAAACAAAAAATGCTGGATTTTTTTTCAAAATGTGATGCTTTTTTTCTTTTTATCTTATAACATACTTAATTTTTGGTGCAGATCCAAAGTCAAGTTTTTTTTTCTCTTTTAGTCAAGTAAGCACCGTTTCTTTTTTTTCTTTTAAACATAAAAAAAGAGAAAGAAAACTAAGCTCACAAAACCAGACACAACAAAAAAATTATCAAGATGAAACTGTAACAGGTGGAGCTAAATCCACGTCTAATTGTTTAGCATAGTCAGCAAACTCCTTTAAATTAATCGAATCGGTAACAACAAACGAATTGTGATTAAATTCTCTAGCGATTCTGCAGTTTCGTTCGTCGTCGTCTAACAGTAAAATTTCTTGGGGTTTTATTAGTTCGCCATGGGTTTGATAAAGTTGAGTAACTACCCAAGATAAATGTTGTTCCTTTCCTAGAGTCATCATAGCTATTTGTGGTAAAGGTCCATGTCCCTCTTCACCCCTTGGCCAATGTTTTGTGTTACAACGTAAAAGTATTTTTTTGTAATTATATCTGTAAAGATTAATGAGAATTTTATGAAATCACATTAAAAAGAATATTACTAAGTATATTTACAAAGGATATTTCATAAAAGATATATTCTTAGAACTGGCGAATATTTACATTCATAAAAAATACTGCATTATTTTTAACTTACTTGGTAAAAGCAGACGCCATTAAATCTTCTATAAGTTTGAATTGCTCACTAAATGTCACAATGCAGACGTGTAAGGAGGATTCGAGGGCTGCTGATAATAACTCTTTCATACAGGGTCGAATTTGCGCTTCTAACTTTTCTAAACTAGACTTCCATTCTCCACCTGAATAAAAAAAATAACAAAAATCTAGTTTAAATTCTTTCAGTGCAATCCTTCTTTCCACCCTCCTAACCCCTAATTTATCATTCTATCAAGCAAAATCATCAATAACCTCCCCAGCCCATTATTTTTGCAGATTAATTGATAAGTTTCTGATAAAGAAAGATCTAAATTATTAATATTTCTTTTCATTTAAATATTTTAATATTAAATCAGTAATAAACTTGAAACAGCTGATTAAGATCATTAGAAAAATTTATTACATATCCTTCTTTTCACAGACGTTTAATAATACATATACAGTATATATTCTAAAATGTACATTACATAAATAGTAATATTTGTATAGTTTTTAATGTATATATTGAATAATATTCTTATAGTAATAGTAATAATATGACCTCTGGAAAATGGTTAATATAATTGATTAATTAATTAATATATATACTAATAAATATATATATTTTCCTGTTAAAGTAAAATCTATAGTAGGGGAAAAAATCTGATATTATTTACTAAGTAATCTTATTATTAATTTTAGATAATAAACAACATAAAAAAGTTAACATTATATACCGAGTAGTACTTTCAAGAAAAGACCTACAAATGAATGAAATATTGTCTTCAAAAGTTTCAACCCTTTTTTTTCCCTTTAAAAAGTATGAAATAACAAGCAAGAGACTGATAGAAAAGAGAGAGAAAGAGAGAAAAGAAAGAGATAAAGAGAACTACAGAGAGAGATACAGTGAGAATAGAAAGGAGAGAAAAAGGACTAGAAAGATAGAATGAGAAAATAGTTTAAGAGCCTAGAATCGTCGTCCGTTTAACTATTTGGTAAAAATTCCAAAAGAATAAAAGCTATAGGTGATCTGCACTTTGCATGGCTTATATAAATCAAAATTAATAACCTATCAAATTTTTACACCTCTCAAAAAAAGTTCATTTAAAGGTAAATCATAAGCGAAGTGTAGTATATTGAATTTCTTTTGATAAAATAAAAATTGAATTCATTCATACTTACATAAGCATAATAGATCTCTCTACACCTAACGATTCAAAGATTAGGCCTTTAACAATGATTACTTTATTTTTTACCAGATTAAAAATAAGCTCTTAAATTCGATGATATATATACTGTATATATGTGTGTATACAATATATACAGTATACTGTAAGTGTACAAGTGCCTTGGGAAGAAAGGCTGTAAAACCATTTTTTCAGACGAAAGAAGAAAATATAGTATTATACAAGACTTTTGAAAATAATCCCAAACATAAAAAGAATTTAATTTGTGCAGTTACTTTACTATTAAGTGGCACCAAAAAAACGGAAAGAATTTGTCTAAACGATCCTCTTCAACGTTATTAGATTTGATATTCCATTTTTTTTTATATATAAACTTCAAAGACTTATAATAAATAGTTTCATTTCATATGAAATATATATATGTTATTTTAATAATTCACACTTTTCGATTTATTCTTTATATTAAAGATTGATGTCAAGATTTCAAATGAAAGTTGATAGATAAATTAAAGCATATTTTTCATTCTTTTTAAGAAAAAAGAGAAAAAATATCGCTTTCTTTCAATTCGACTAATTATCCTACCTCTTGTGTGTGTGTGTCTCTCTCTCTCTCCAGGTAATAAAACACATGCAAAAGAACCGAACACGGAGAGAAGTAAACACTAATGCTACAGTAATATAAAAAAATTAACTTTTCTCTCTTTCTCTGTTTAAATATTGAATATTTAATAAAAAAAACATGCTACCCTGGAATTTTCAAGAGTAGTTTTTAAAGTGAAAAGAAAGAGAAATAAAAACGGGAATATTATCGGTTGTTTTTTAGAATATTAACTTCTTTTCTTACATCTTTTCCTTACACCAACCATTTGGGCTTTTATTTGAAAAAAAAATTTTTTTTTCAACCTACAATGATATTTTTTTTTTGGATCTTTTTTTTCTTAAAGATAAATATTATAGTTAACTTTATAATTATTTAGTAAGACTTCTTAATATAAAATTTTGCTAAAAATATATAATAAAGAGATCTTTATCAATGCTATTTAAAGAAGCAAAATTATTACGTTTAATCATTATGTACAACATCTCTAAAATCCCTACAAACATCTTTTAACTTGTCTTAACAACCAGAAAACCAGATATAAAGAAAAGTAAATATGAAAAAAACAGCAACAAACCGGTGTGTACACGGACGATCGTATTATCAAAATCAAAGGCCAAAATTTTTATGCCTTTGCATATTAGCTCTCGTATGATGGTTTTCGCCTTTACTTTTTCAGCCGAGGAAGCCATGTCAGCCTTGGAGAAGGGCGAAAAATACGATTAAAATGCCGTGGAACAGCCTCTACACGGACAAATCGGCTGATTAGCGTATGGCGGGCAATATTCTATTGCTGAAATTTCATAAGTTATATCTCTATAATCGAGAGAGAAATTTTAACTGACCTTGTAAAAAAGGAAAAAATGGCGGTCTTTTATTGAACAGGTGGCGCCATTTTGAATTCTATTTCGCATATCACTTTTGTGCTACTAAGAGCTTTCGCATCTATTGGCAAGCAAGGTCAGCCTATGGTATATAGATAAATATATAGAAATACAAAATGGCGGCTTTTCATTTTAGGCACTCTATCTAAAGCAGACGACAGCCTGATTCTTTCCATTGTACATGGTTGCTTTAGGTTTTCTTTCAATACATTCATTCGGCTAACTACTATTCATATTTCTTGTCATTAAAATTTATTCAAGTCCTGATTAGTGTTCAAATGTACATTTTCTATTAAATATCTTTTAACGCAATTGTTAAGTCGATTTCGCATTGTCTTTGAGTAGCTATTTGTCCTCAATTATGCCTCTTGAATATTAATCGATTTTGAAACAAACACAATTCTGGAGCAATGCTTTCGAAATGTTATTTATCTCAAACAGCTACAATCTGTCTAGAACAACCTACATTCTAATTAAGTTATGCACTTATTAGAAGTAATGAAAAATTACTTTTTTATAATATATTTAACAAAGGATCTATTAACTATAGTGGAAAACTTAAATAAATTAAGAACGAATTTTGTATGCAATATGATCACAGAATTTTCACATGCTTACTGACGAAACTGAAATGGTAACGCTAAAGTTGATGTAAAACAGTGGCTCCATCTTTCATGTAGTGAGATTAAAAGTTTTAATTTCCCTTTATATCTAAGTCTTTTCCGCTACTAATAGGGTTTTGCTCTATCAAACTAGCTAATACAGATGATATAAAAATAGATGTTTCAACCTTATTTTTTTCTCTCTCTCTCTCTCTCTCTCCATATAGGAACAACGTATATTTCATATTATTAAAGTAATCCCTTTTTCATATCTTCAGGGCAAAAATAACTTAGCCAATAAGCCTCCGGTCTGCAAAAATATATTCCATTAATTTTCCATTTTGTTTTAAGTTTTTCATTCCAATATTTAAATTTCCTTTGTCTATCTACTGCTAAAGTCCTATCTACATCCTGGTGTTTAACAATTACATCTAAACATTGAGCTACAATCTTTCCAGATTTTTTAAAGTTTATAAAGAAGTCTTCGTGTTCATACAAGTCCCTTTCTGTATCCCATCCTCCAGCCTCTATTACATCTTTTGTCTTGGCAACAAAAACATTTTTTACAAAGTCCAATGTATAACAATTTTTGAAATTTCGTATCGAATCGTAATATAAGTTTGGATAAATGTATACACTATTATTCCACGATCTTATTAGACCATCATAATTGTATTTTGGTTCGATGTAGGCTCCACATAAAGATATATTTGTATATAACAAAACGTTTATTAGTTTCTCGATATGGGAAAACTTTATTAGTGTAATATCATCGTCTATTGTAAAAAAAAAAGGAGTTTTTACTAATTTTAAACCATGCTGACGTCCTCTTCCAACTCCTGAACCAATTTTAACATGTAAAATATTCTCAAAATTTTCAAATCTTCTCCATTCACCTATATTTGAGGATTTTGTATTTTCCTCATCCATTACAATTACCTTTACATTTGGATAATATAGAAATAGAGATGATAATAATTTTCCTACATAAGATAAACGTCCTTTTGTCTTGACAATCACTGTCAGTAAATCTCTGTAAAATAATCATAATGACAATGGAAATAGTTTAATGAAGATTTATGATTTGTAATTAAATTTAAAAAAAGATTATAATTACTCTAATGTTCCATTACATGCAGGTTTTCGATTAACTGTTATCGATGGATAGTAATTTAAGAATTTACAGAGATTTTCGTCGCATTTCGGTATCATCTTACTCTTAGTCAAATTAACTATGGATTCTTTGGGGAAAAGAGTAGTATTCCTCTTAAATACCGTTTCTGCTGAGCTTCCCGTATTTATTATTATTTTGATTGGAGGTTTCTCAAGGAATATTTTGAATAACAACAAAAAGGCGGCTATAGACAGGATCGATGTAGCCCAGCATTTTACACCTCGTATTTTTTTCATTCTTTAAATAAATAACAAATATATATACATTTAAGCATTTATATTAATGAATTATTTGTTTTATCCAAGCAACTCCTTCCACTAAAATTATCGCTAAAAAGGAAAATATCTATTAAACTATGAGAAAAGCTGAACGATATTTAATTGTCAACTATTAACAGGTTATTATTTCAATTTTTTTCTACTTACGAAAAGTCGTCTTGGAACTTGAACCAGTCAAAAATTAAATAGAATTTTACATTTGTATTAGTGTATAAAATAAAACAAAATATTAAAAGAGTTATTCATAGAATTCGTTTATATAGAATTAAAAGCATCTAAACAATTAGCCGTTTCTTTTTGTAATTCACGTATCAAATGCTGAAACAATTCGCAATTACTAAGGAAAGGATATACTATAGTTGAGGTTGTTGATTGAGATTAGTTTTTATTATAGTTTTTAATACAAAGTAGTGTCAATAAATAATACGTAATAAATTTTTATAAAATATTATAAAAAACCTAGATAATATGTAATTAAACGTTTTCTTTTTATAACCATGACAAATTAGAATGATTTGTTAGCGTCTTTATCATCTTCCAATTCGTTCTCAATATGCCAATGAGGCAAGTTTTTCCTACTTGTGTGTTTCCATAACGTAGCAATAAGCTATAAATAAGTTATTTTTGTTTTTTTTTATAGTAATAAAAAACACAAACAATAAAAACAAACCCAGTTAAAGATTACTTTACCGCTATTATTCATATTAAATAAATCGTCTTCTTTCAAATTACTTAATAACTTTAAACATTTAGCCTTTTGACAGTTTGCAACACCTCGTCTAACAGATAGAATCTTTTGTTTAAAGAATGAAATTCCAACTGTTTGAATATATGTATAGATTATTGTCCAACTATTTTTACTTTCCTGCATTCCCACTAAATTCTTAAGAATCTCAAATACTGAAGATGTTGTTAAATTTCCATCAGTTGGTATCTCTATTAATATGAGAACGCAGTTTAATATGATTTGTACATGTTGCGGAGGTGGATATTCATCTAACAGTTCAAGAAAGTTATTTATTTTTAGCTTAGCTAAATGCTCTCTAGCTGATTCAAGCATTTTAACTTGAGACTTTAAGGAGAATAAATTTGAATAATATAGAGATTAGAAAGTAAAATTGTGTTTTTTGTTTCTAGTATAAGTCTACAAACCAAAGATTTTTGACATGCCAATAATAGACTATCTAAATTCTCTGATTTCAACTTTTGGCCCCTTCTTACAACATTAAGTAATTGAACCTGGCATCTATCTCTTAATGCTGTTCTCATATCTATTTTGTCATAGATTTAATAATGAATTTAAGTTTGGTAAACGCACGAACCGCTTTCAAGAACATATTCTTTAAATACGTTAAATGGTATTCTAAACAATTCGCTGCTTGTTTCATTTTTTAACTTAATCATTATATTTCTTATTTCTTCCAAACTAGATTCAGCTTTTACATAATGAATCCAATCCTTTATAAAGTATAAATAGTCGACATCGTTAACTGCGTTAATAATTAACCTTATTGAATGAAACCTGCACTTCTTCTTCAGAACGGCAATTTAATAAAGTCTCTATTGATCCAATTTTATGCTTACGTCGTTTCTTAGAACCCAAATTATTCCTAGTTCTGAAAAACATATAAAGTAACATAGATTTTCAATTTGGATCATAAACTTTATTAACAAACTTTCGTGTTGAAATAAAATTTAATATTTCTGATTTTATTTCGGAACGGTTCGGAAAATTGTAATTAGATTTGTATGGTGAGATTTTTTTAACTTGTTTAACTTGAGAATTTTCACTTGAAGTGTTGCTATCATAACCTGTTTCTAAACATGGACTTTTTGTCATTTTCCTAAGACAGTTGATTGATTCCTCTATTGATTTTGTTTTATCTTGCCTCCTTACTGTATACATTTGAACTTTTGTGAGAATATTACGGAAGTCCCTTATAAATATATCAACGTAGTAAAGACCGTTTGAACATAACCTATTCAAAAACACCTTGTATTTAAATTAAATTCTCTATATCTTGAAGCAAAACCTAAAGATAACCTAAATTCAAAATGTGGTTTATTATCATTAAAATGTTTTATATGAAAATTTGTGCAAGAATCATAGTGAACTGAATTATGAATCTCTATAACGAACTCCAACAACGATTCGGTACAATTAGTATTCATTTGCTCCAAATACTGTTTCGATAGCGGTATTATTACAAGATCACTATCAACATCAATATGTTTGTATGGTATTCTTGGTGGAATTTCGAATTGAACATTTTGAGTATTTTCTAATAAGAAATAAAAAAAATAATATCTCTATTTATGGTAATTTGAAGTAAATTATATCAAATTTATGTTACCATTTCCACTGACAATCGAAAACGGAAGTAATAGATAGGACACAATATGTCTTAGGCAACGATTTTCTCTGCCTTGTTTATAAGCGTAGAAATTAGCTCCAAATTCTTTGTCGGAAAAGGTTCGAATTTGAAAAACGGTCATTTTATCTGACAGGTAAACAATTTCAAATGATATTCTCAAATTTGTTTTACTTTAATTAATAAGAACCGAACCTTCTAGTCGTACTTGAGTTAATTGATCTGTAATCATTTTTAAAGGCAAATTACTGGCTTCATTTGAAGTTAATTCTAATGATATAATAACATCGGGCGTATGCTTAAATTTTAATGAGAAAAAATTCTCTTCAGATCTTAATATTCCCCTAATTTCTGATGGTTTAATTCCAAATGTACAATTACGATGTCTAGCACCAAGAACACTTTCATATAAGCTAGGAAATGGAAGGCCAGATACTGAAATATTATCGCATTGTAGAACATAATTACAGCAATTAAGTAGTGTCTCCTGGCAATTGGCTTTTCCAGTATATAATTCCATTATATATTCTCCAGCACAAGGTAATCGAACGTTCAGTTGCAAATTTTCTTTAACGAAGCAGCAATATGTGTAGCTATAGTTTTTCACATTTAATCCTTTATAATTTGTTATTAATTAAAAGCTTATTTGTTCAATATACTTTGTTAAGTCTCTTGTTACTATTGAATTATTTTTTAAAAGCACTTTAGCAGTGAAATTATCTTTCAGCACTTGAGATTTGATACCAAAATTTGTTTGTAGGTATCCAGACTCTGTTAAAAGATTTAATGACTAATTTAGTATTAATTAAAGTAATCTAAATTCAATGGATTTCTTTTGATTGCATTAATTATAGAATTATTCTCACCCATAGCTATCACGGCACTATCGTGAGCTGCAAACTGAATGCCTCCTATATCAGCGTAGACTCCTCTACCCCAGCCAATTTTTGGATTTTCACTCAAAGGATCAGTTCTCTGATCCGAATGTTTATTATCTATAAAATAAGAAATCAATAATTCCATGTTGGAGTGCTTGTTCTTTTCCATTCCAAAAAGATCCCATCTATAGAAACCTCGCCTGGTGAACATCATGTGATAGATAAGCTGTTTTTTTGTTTTTTTATGGAAGATTAGGGCAGTGTCTTCCAGAACGTAGTGCTTTTCCAAATCATATAATAACCACTAATATTTGTAAATAATTCTTATCTATAAGGCCTTATATTTCATTATTTACGAAAACTTACGACAAAATCATAAGTTATTGAGCTACTCCTATTTGATTCAAAAGGTAGATCGAACGTCAGAGTTAGCTCTCCTTCATCTGTTTTAAGAATACGATTGTCGGAAGATTTACAAGCCAACTTCATATCGAAGAATCTCTCTCTAATATATGGTCTTGCTTGAAATTGCTTTATTGATATTGTGGGAGTAACTAATTGCCAACACCTTAAACAAGGATAATGAGTTGCTAAGAACTCTTTCGGAGAAGTTAAAAAGAAGAATTCATTAATATGCTTTTTCATGAAAAAATCCTTATTTTGGATAGAAGTTTCTGTCTTTACGATTTTTATCAATAAAAATCAATGAAAAGAAGTTTCTTTTTAAATATGTTAACAGCCAATAAATACCATAAAGTCGAAGTCTTCGTCCGTTACAGATTCTCCATTCATTTGAATTAATTTCCAATTATCTTCCTTTTCCATATCCTTCTTCCTAGAAGCCCATACTACGTCTAATAGTCTCCAAGCTTCATTAACAAAAACAGCATTCCATTGGCAAGATGCTGTTTTAACATTTATATCATTTAAAGCAAAGCAACAATTGCGATTTTTAGCTATTCCCGTTATTATCTAAAGGTGTCAAAATTCGCCTAAGTTTTATTGTTATACTTTAAACTAAGGTCCTTATTTTACCTTAACGGGAACAGGAGTATGTCTGCATAATCTTGAAAAAAATCCCGCCATGCTAGCTCTTTTTCCATAGACATTCCATAGGCACTCTAGAGGAGAATCCTCAATTGGTATAGGTAAAATCTCTTCCATTAAAGAGTTTAGGTCAATAGAACAGCAAAACACAAATATGGAACGTACTATCGCCAGATCTGAATAGATTGGTGGTATTAATTTACGTACAAGATCAGCGAAAGAAGCATTAATTAAAAAAGTCATATTATTCGAAGCCATCATAGAACACGTGTGATTTAGTTGTTTGAATTCAACATTTTTAAGTTCATACTCCTCCGATATAGGATTTGCTGGTGGATAATTTAAAGATACTAAACACTGAACAAAAATTATAAACTCTAATTATATATAGAATAAAAGCATTATTTTTTTTTTAACAAACTGGCTTATATAAGTTTCTATTTTCATGAAATCTCTGAACGAATTCTTTATCAATTGATGTACGATTGTAAGATGTAATATCGCCAGGGATTTGTATAATATCTTCATCAAGAGTATTTTTATTTCTCCTATCTTGATCATTATCCTGAACAAATACGGATGCAGGGATTTGTAAATTACTTTGTAGTCGTTTAGTAGACATATCTGCTTTTGCTTCTCCCTGTTGCTTATTCAGTTTCCCTCTATTTATTTGAAATTATTTTCTTTTTTCAATCGAAAGTTTGAAGTCGAATTTAATATTTTAAACTTAAAAATATATTGTCAGAACATTAGTTGTACAATAATAAGAATAAATACATTTTTATATAAGAGATATGTATAAATACGACTAAATAATATCTAAATGTTTGAACTTTCCCGCCATTTTCTGTTTTAAATTCTGCCTCTCATTTTTAAAGAGATTAATGGAACTGACTATTTTACCATTTTTCGTAAGTCTGAAAAACATACCTCAAGTTTTCCTTGATAGAACCAAAACCGGCTTTAAAAATATAAACAAATTTAACTGTTGATTTGAATATTTATGCAAATTAAGCATGCAACGTAAGTTAATATAGTTAAATGTTCACAATCATTGACTTTCGATGTAAAGAAAAGAAGAACAAACATTTTAAAGACCAGTAAACCAATGAGCGATATTATCATGATATAATTTTCAGGTGGATTTATAGCCTTTTGTATTTTTATACTACATATCTCTTTCAAATATGTTCGGGCTTCTAGTGGTGACAATTCTTGGGTTTTCATTAAGTGTTATCGACAATGTTTAGATATCTCATGCAAGCAACCAAATCGTTAGTTTATCCAATTAATAAGATAATCAGTTGAAAAAATGAATACATTCCAGTTCAACAGTATGAAAATTCAAAACCATTTTACATGTACTTCTGGTCATGCAATGATGAATGCAAATATTCATGTATGTGGTCAACTGTTGAAGCCTTTAAGAAAGATAACAGTGGCGTACCTCAATTCTATGGAAAGGTACTACTTATTCTTAATAATTAGTTACTATTATATATGTATATTTTCTCACTTTACATATATTGTGCATTGCAGTGGCCCTTTATAAGATTCTTGGGTATTCAAGAACCAGCTTCTACCCTTTTTTCAATTTTAAACGGCTTACCTCATATATATCTTCTATTGCAATTTAGAAAAAAAGTTCGGAGTGACTCACCTATGTACTATGTGACTCATTGGTATGCTCTGGTATGAATATAGTTATTTTACCTACGCATTAAGGTTACTATTGTGTATTTACTGTTTCTGTAATAGGTAGGAATGATAGTTTGGTCATTTTCTACGATATTTCATACAAAAGACACCCGTTTAACGGAGGTACAACAATAAATACCAATTACTTAATTAATCCTTTGATTCAATATTTTAACTTTTCCTTTCATATACTGTATATGTAACATGAAAAGTTAAATGTATATATAAATACATTTATATTTATAGGCATTAGATTACTTTGGAGCAATAGGATACGTTTTGACCCAGTTGTTCTTTTTTATAGCGAGGTTTGTAAAAAATCATTTGATCTCCTTTTATAACCATTATTATTGCAATAACCTTTCTTTGGCCTCTAAAAAAAATCTAGGCTTTTTGGAACAACTGGCTCAGGATTTTTCAAAACAACGTTTTCAAGTCTAATTTTAATAGCTTTTTATTGCTATCATGTACATTACATGTGGTTTGTTAGCTTTGATTATGGATATAATATTAAAGTAAACATATTTATAGGTATGTCTATTGTTTTCTATAACAAACACTCATTTGAAATTTTCCGTTATTTTTAAACATATTTCTCTTACGTTATACTTCCTAGAGAAGTTCTTGAATAGGCTTGGTGTTATTTATTTCATTCATGAATTATGTCCTTTCAAAGAACTAGGCCCAATTGACATTATAATCTTTACATTCGCGTTTAATATTAACTATCTTTCATATATAATTCTTTTCAATTAAATTTCTCCTTGTTTCAGGTCTTGTAAATTCTATTGGCTGGCTTTGGTTTTGCTCGAAAAATAAGCATTTAAAACATGTTCGGAAAGCTGCTTTAACAGTATTATGTTTAAATTGTTTGGTTTTATTGGAACTTTTAGATTTTGCTCCCCTTTATTGGACCTTTGATGCTCATTCCCTATGGCATGCTGGAACTGTTCCATTGCCATTTCTCTGGTATAGGTAAGATAAGCTCATCGCTAATAATTAACCTTGTTAATTTTAATGAAACCTTAATTATTATTTCAGCTTTCTTATTGATGACTGCAAACACCTAAGAAATGAAAAGACAAGATAGATTGTAAGGATGTGTTAAACTTTATTCCGCATTATGTTTAATTCTTTAATAACTATCCCTAAAAATCAAAATCTTTACTATCGTTTGTACGATAATTTTTATCACTTACGAAAAATAGAGTCCACAGATATTTAAGTATTATGTAACAGATAAATCGAGAGTTCATAACACGTCAAAAAATAATAGATTTTCAACAATTGCGTTTTTCAATAATCTGTTTGTAGTTAAGATGTTGGTTTTATATTTTATGACTTTTTTTTATCTTCTTGAGATAAGAAAAGGTTTTGTTATAGTTCTACTATGTCACTTTAAATTTCAATTTTTTATACTTGGGAATATTAATATGCATTGTACTTTTCCCTAATAGATTAATAATAACTAAAGTGTAAAATGTTGTTTATTATTGCATGATTGACTGTCCTTTATTTAAATCACTTTACGCACTTGCTTTGGTAATGTCAGACCAACTCACAGAGTTATTATTGAAAGGAATCAGTATTTTTACATAGGTATATTACATTACAATAAGCTATCTGAGTAACGATCGGCTAAAAAGAGAACCAGCGCTGTATTTCCATAGAAAAATGATAATGCTCTGTCTATACTTTTATAACCATAGCTAATAGATTTCTGTTTAGTTTTAATTCATAAGCTCATCATTAATTATGTTGCTTTGTTAATAGCGAGGAAAAATCAATAAATGCATCTTGATACCTTTCTATGCTTTATGCATATATAGAGTGCGAAGGTTTCTTTTCAATCTATACAATATACTTTCGCACATACTCTATCATTAAATTTTATCGGCAAAGTGAATAGTAAAAGTAGTCATTAGAATTCAAGATTAATTATTAGGATAAATTGCCATTAAAAAGCGACAATACGATTATGCATAATTTTATAAACAGTAATTTATGCATTTATAGTAAAATAAATATCTCTATTTATATATACAGTTGTCATTAATACATTTTTTAAGATACTTGTGGCCGTACTGTCTTTCTACAAGAACGAATAAAACACACTATTGTTTATTCAACATATAATTACTAAGATTTATATGCTAATTCCAGTATTTTATGGTTTCTATTACGGATTCTTTCATTCACTCTTGCAGAAAAAAAATTATTAAAGTTATTCCAGCTTTAATGTTCAACATACAGTTTCTATATTAAGCTTTTCCTTCCTTTTTCTATCTTGCCATTAGCATTTTTGCATATATTGTTGATTTATAACTGATAAACGAGTCTCTTCATCTGCCTTTCTCTACCCCTCCCTTCGTTTATACTTTTTCGCTCTATGATTGTTTCTTTACGCTTCTTTCTGATCTAATTTTTTTTTTATCAAAAAGCATTATGATGGCTGCTTTTATTGTAACAGCAATTGAATATCCTATCGTGGTTGGTAACGTACATTAAACTCATATTGTGATTTTTTATTATTACTTATTTAACAGATATTTTTTGTGCCATACCAAACTGGAGTATTCTATAATAAAAATTTATTTTATGGCTAAATCAATCAATAAAATGTAATCGCACAGAACTGCTTCGGACATGACCTTTTTCTTTAAAAAAAAACAAATGTAATAGGACAGTAGTGGTAAAAATATGCTTATATAATAATTTCTTTAAATAGACTTAAGATTTTCTCTAATTTGCATATACATTAAATAAGTAGTACGAGACTAATAAAAACAAAGTGTTAATTTATAAAAATCATGAAGAATAGCCAAGTTTTTCAGAATTTTTAATACTATATGCAAATTAATCAGTCAATCTATAAATAGGCACTGAAGTATTTTAATTTATGAGATGAGTCATCTTAGCAACCTGCAGAGTGTATTTGTCCTAGATTTAAATATGGTAGTTAGCTAGCAAATTATTATTAAAATATTTTTCCTAATTCAATCAAAAATAGTCACATTTTTTTAGTACAATATAGAAAGATAACAGATAGAAGGTATGAGAGAAGAGACTTATTTTCAGGTAGTTGATTTATACCGCGTTTCCATAGTAAAATGATATAGTCCTATACCTATAAACTGTATATATATCAAGAATGTATAGTTCGTTCAATAGATTTTATTTTTCACGAAAAAATGCTCAAAAAGATAGCTTTGTCAAGTATCACTCTTTAAATTCTCTTAATTCATTGTGTGGTTGTTAAAAAGGCATGTTCTCTCTCCTTTTCTTGAATTTAGGCATGATAAAATCATTTACCTCTTTTTTTATATCTTATAAAAGGTGATTTTATGGAATTTATGAGGAAATACTTAGTTTCAGAATCTTTTTCTCGTTGATGCTTTCAATAGAGTGAATCTTAAGTCTAAATTATCACATGCAATATGATGCTTATTGTTTCCCCTAGCATTAACTTAAGCATAAACAATGTTTCAAGCTATAAACAATTCGCAGTTAGCGTTTCTTCGCCGATATATTCTATAATACTCGTTACGGTACTCGTGTACAATTCAATAATATATATAGCCTTTTATTTACGTAGTAGAAATATACATGAATTTACAGTATATGTACAATTAGCAATAAAATGTTCTTCTATCTATAGTTAATGCATCATACTTTACGTTATATTATAAAAAGGCATGGTAATTATTTGAATGACCTACCTTTCAATCAAAAATCTTTTATATTTTAATATTCGTTTCCAAATTGATTCTTTGCTTTTTTAAAATAATCTATATAAATCTTAAAATATTCCCACCCATCCTGGAATAGTTAGCTTAATTCTTCCCCAAATAAAAATACAAGTGATAAGGAATAACCTATTTAAAATTTAGCTAATCGATAAATGTTCTTTATCTTTTAACGTTAATCTCCCCTTCCCTTAAAATAAAGATTCACTTTTTAATACAATGACAGCTGTTGATTAATAGGTCAATCAAGAAATTACATTTGTACTATCTCCTGTACATTTAACTTTCTTGTCCAATTATAAATATGCGCATATCCTTTCAGCGATAGTAAAATTCCAATGTGTGCTCTGTAGCAGACGAAAGGGCAAATATGCGAACGTTGTCATACAGATACTGAACACGAAAAAACTACATTTGCTAGAGTATTGTTTTAATTGTGTTATTTAATGTTATAGTTGACCATCAATGAGATGGATGGATTTTCGTTCGTTACAAATAAACAATTAATGAATTATGCAACTCTGTTTAGAGCTACTGTGTGAGCGATTTTGGCATGATAAAAATATACACAATTTGCAAATGTACAATCAACATACACATTTTTTTAATAGAAATTATGATAAGTTGTAATAGACATAAAAACGTTCTAAAGAGCCTTATTAAAAAATGGTTTCGAAAGCACGTTTGCAGGTGAAACTGGTTCCGAGAGAGACGCCGGAGAAGGCGATTCAACGTCTACATCAAGTGCTTTATTGAATTCTTGCTTGGCTTTTCTTATGATATAAGCTAGTAACAGAAGGGTAACCAACAACTGGAACAAGTAGAACGTCATGAGTCATACGATTTAAATGCCTCAGGTATATAGGCTTACTTACTTGAATAATAAATACTAAGTAACCAGTAATATTCTGAGATTTATCTGATACAACTTCCTCCATTGAACGAAGAGTTGAACCAATATAGGCATTTAATACTTGAGTAGGCAAAAGACCTAGTATCGATGCTATCAAATATCGAACAGTTCCGATATTAGATATCTGTTTAAAAAAGATTATTTTATCTATCTGGGATGCTCAATTAAGCAGCTAGTTAGAACAAAAATAATCATTCCTTTGGATAATATAGGTACTTGTTAGTAAGATTAATAGTTTGCTCTGAGAATCATACTTAGAATATAAAAATCTCGTGGTAAGTAAATCATTTCTCTAAGAACAATTTTGATACTTGAAGAGCAAATAGAGCAAGAATCTTTACTTACTGCGAAAACAGCATTTTGCAATCCGAAAGGTATGGGAGTCAATCTGGCGAGAAAAATGACTTTCGTTCCCTGCCCACTTTCTACTATTTTAACAAGAGATTGTAGATTGTTCGTCAATAATTTAGACATAACAACGTCGTTGCAAAATCTTCTAATTGATAAATGTGCTATTAAGATGCCCACAGGTGCACATAATGCCACAAAAATGGCCCCCACAGTAAGCCCGAACAGGTATCCAGCTGCTACATTCAAGAGAACATACCCCCATGCTACTGGGAATGATACTATGGTAAAGAGTACAGAGAATATTGCAAAACTTATTGATATATCAGTCTTCTCTATGAACAAAAGGAGGTATTTTATATAGTCTCTTCCGAGAAAAATAAACAGGCAGAAAAATACAATTATTCCCAAACTGAATATGACTAGTTTGAAACAATCCCTGTCTTTCGTATCTTGATTAATGTCAATGATAATTTGAGGATTTTTTTGTTGAATACAGCTATCCGATGAACTGCGCTTGTGATCATACTGTTCCGTTTTGTTCACAGGTGCGGCTTGTGAAATGTTCAGGTGTACAGGAAGATATTCCGCTGTTTTGGACATTTCATTCGGTGTCTCGGTCGAAACTGCTAGCGACGAACTCCAGCGATCTAGTTTCTGATACGCTCAAGCGTTGGCGGCCTTTTTTTTACTATGAGTTATCGTCATTATTTGTTTAGTACCTGAGGTTACTAATGACAGCTCTGAGTCACTCCTCTGTGAGAGTTTTCTGGAGAAATGAGTGCGGAGCTAGAACCGCTCTACTTTCACCTATCACAATAAACTGGTTCTAAGCAAATTAATAAGTGCGCTATTTTTGATTGAGGTATCATCTTCCAATCTATTTCATAAATATCATACTTTAACTGATAATCGAAAGTTCTGTGAGTTTATATAATAGTTAAAAGTATATTTTCAATTTTCATATTTCAATATATTATTTACTTAGGTGACTATTGGTTGTTAATTTGAGCGATATTGAAGTGAATTACGCTTTATTCAAATTATGTCATCCCCATCTTCATCTCCTGAAAGGAAAAGTCCAATAAAATTTAAAGATTTCCATCACAAAAATGATTGGTTAAAAAAAGTCAAGGCGGAATATGGAAAGTTAAAGCATGAAGAAGCAAGCAGAAAAATTGTTTGTATTAACAAATTAGTTTCAACATCATAACATACCTATTATCGAATTTCGAAGTGTTGAACAGTTTTTTAACTTTTAGGAAGCTTGGAAGGGAAATAGACAGTTTATAGATGATGTCAGTAAATCGCGTTCGTTAGTCACAGAGCCTTTGGCAAGAACAATTTCTCAAAATATAATACCAACAAATCCAAAACAGAAAAAGGTAAAGCAATTATTATTTTATCTCTTCTAATTAACTTCTATGAATATTCTAATTTCCTGAATTTTAGACAAAAATATCTGTTAGAAATGAACAAGTACAATATGTCCCAACAAATTTACTAAATCCAGTGACTAAATTACCTACAATGTACAGCTGGGCCCCATTACAACATAATTACCAGGTTTTATTAAATATATAGTAATCTCTTTAGTTTAATAAAAAGTTTTCTCTAGATTGAAGATGAGAGTGTGCTGCACAATATACCATATATGGGCGAAAGGCTATTGGATGAAGATTCTTCTTTCATTGAAGAACTATTAGGGAATTACGATGGTAAAGTTCATGGGGAGGACGGTGAAGAGGATCGTTTAGATAATCAAACATTAGTTGATCTCGTTGATGCATTAAAAAAATATGATGAATCGGGAAAGGAAGTAAATAACTCGGACGGTTTGTGTTTTTATTATCTGAAATCTCGAAAGTAGAAAATTTAAAACTAAAATTTTTTTTATTTATAATAGCAATGTCGTCGTTTCCTCATGATGTAATTTTCGAGGCGATATCCATGTACTTTAGCGATAAACGTACAGCCGATAGATTAAAAGATAAATATAGAGAGTTAACTGATCAAAATTCTCCAACAAATTGTACCTCGAGTATTGATGGCGAAGGTGCTCAAGCGGTTTCTCGTCAAGTTGCTCTTCATTCTTATCATCTATTATTTTGTCGGATTTGCTATAGATATGACTGCTTTATTCACGGTTTGTGGTCGTTTTCTTTAAATATAAAAAATTTGTCAATTTTCATTGTCTTTGGCAGGCTATAGTATGAATTCCCTTATGCACCATCGCTTAAGGAACGACGAATCACCAACCAGACATAAGAAGACCTCTGATGACAAACAAGTGGAAAATGATTCTGATAATGATAACGAAGAAGTCGACGATTCGGATGACGATGTAAAGATTCCGATTGTTCAAAAGAGGACTGGTTGGGAGAAAAAAAAGCCTATACCGTCTATACGAGCAGACTCATCTATACCCTGTGGTCCTAAATGTCATCTTCTATTAGTTAAAAAGTCCGATCAGGATGGTAGAACTACTCCATCTCCAAGATCAAGTGGCCGTCTAAAAAGGAAAACTCCTCCCCAGGACGACGAAGCTCTCGTTGATTGGGATGGAAGCGAACAGACACTTTTAAGAACATTGCACGAAATATATAATACTGACTATTGTTGTATAGCTGCAATAATAGAAACTAAGTCTTGCCAAGAAGTTTGTGAATTATCTAGAAAATGGAATTTAGAAAATCCATACACAGAGCCTGAAGTTCCAAAGAAAAAGAAACGAAAATATCAGTAAGTTTAAAAACGTTTCGATATTTATGCTCTCCAATTCATAACTTGAAAAAAACAACAGACGAGAAGAACGTAAGGCTCAAGAATCTCATTCCTTCACACCGTGCTATCATCCTGATAGGGAATGCGATGAAAATTGTATATGCGTTCGAAGTAAATTAAATTGCGAAAAATTTTGCTATTGTTCCAAATATTGTATGTATAACTTATTTTGTTGTTTACTTTTTATGCTTTAATTTCATTGCTTATTAATCTGAATATTTTAGGCGGAAACAGATATCCTGGTTGCAAATGCAAATCTCATTGTAATTCGAAACAATGTCCCTGCTTCGTAGCTTTAAGAGAATGTGATCCAGATTTATGCATGAGCTGTGGAGCATGTAAGTTCAATTCTATACAAGTAGACAATTAATTAAGTTTAATGCAAGTTTTAAAAAAAAACAGCTGATTCTAAAAGTAAAAATTGCAAAAACGTTAATATTCAAAGGGGTTTGCGAAAGGTACATACTTTTCTTTCAGTCACAACCATTACTAATTGAAATTTTCTTTTAAATATTAGCATTTACTTCTCGCTCCGTCAAATGTTGCTGGATGGGGAATTTTCCTTAAGGATGCTTGTGAAAAGCAAGAGCTCATTTCTGAATATTGTGGAGAGTTAATTTCTCAGTTGGAGGCCGATAAGCGAGGAAAAGTTTACGATAAATCGATGTGCAGCTTTTTATTCAATTTAACCAAAGGTATTTTATATAAATGTTTCATTTAATGAAAAATTGCTTACATTTGAAATTGTATAATTTTCAGATAGCGTTGTTGATGCTACAAGAAAAGGGAATAAGATTAGATTCGCTAATCATTCACGTAATCCCAATTGTGATACGAAAGTATTATTAGTCAACGGTGATCATCGTATTGGAATATTCGCCAAAAGAGCAATAGCGGAAGGAGAAGAATTATTCTTCGACTACCGCTACGGTCATACAGAGAGAAACCTATTTGTCGGTATTGAAAGAGATACCGACTTACTCAACTAACTGATATAGGTTATATTTAGCTATTAGAACTAATTTCATGAGATAGTCTTTTGTCATTGCCTCTATTCATATCATTTTAAAAAATACATTTCTTAGGACATTGTTATTAAATTATTTTTAGTACTATCAACACACATTACACTATTTGAGATCGAAATATTTCTAAGACATGTCGTTATCAAAATTTGGGCAGTAAGTAGGTCTCTACTTGAGCAGTGAGCAGTTAGTTGTTTTGATATTCTTTAATCTCACTATCTCTATATTTAATAATTTTATTGCTTATTTTCAATAGTTAAGACAGGGACAAACTGTTTGAAATAGATCGAATTTAAGCATTGAGCTTTTTCTATTAGTCCCCTTTGATGTTGCTAATGCTTGCATTTCAGCCATTGCTCCTTCCAGTGCATCCGCAATATCGCATGTCGACCAAAATAGATCGTTGCTTGTAGTAGATTGACAAAATCGTACAATACCGTCCAATCCCAAATTAAGAGAGAGATCAACTTGTTTTATAATATAACCCAATTGAAAGATATCTGATTCAAAGGACATGGAATACTGTCTAAATGAGCTTTTCTCGGCCATCCCTTTGAGACCTTTAGACGATTTGTCTGAAAATCCGTCAAGGATGTAGGCTCGTCCAAAATTGCTTATCTTAGGAGCCGTCCATCCTTTGTCCGGGTAATACCTTAAAAGGATATTACTCAACTTTAAGTTATTGATTACAATTAAACTTCTATGAATTTCCTGAACAGTTTTTGTTAATCTATATAACATTTTTATCCACCTCCAATTCTCTAAAATGACTTCTTGCCCCTCCTTTCTCCGTGATATTTCTGTTAATAGCAACTTTTCTAGAGATATTGTTCCTAGATCGTCAGCATCTCCAAATAATACTGTAGCAATAGCAAAAGGAAGGTATTGTTCAGACTCTGCCACTTTTAGAAGTCCAATAAATTTTGGAACAGCTGAAGTTCTTTGTCCAACATAATCCAAAATTTGAGCCTCTCGTATTAGATCGAATATAGTAGATTCTCGGACAGATTTCTTATAGAGCTTCACAGTTACTATCACACTTTGGACATTTTTGTTAGTCAAATCTTGCCAGTTTTCCATTGTACCTTTTCGAACTAACAAATTAGAATGCAAGTAAATATTAGACTATGTAAAAACAAAAGACGGCTTATATATTGATGGTACTTGCCTGAAAAATATTCAGTCTGCTCGACTCTCACATTTATTTGACAAGTTGCGGCCATAAGTACAGATCTTCTTGAGATTCCTAATAGTATTTGTCTACCCGTATTTGGATTGTTCATATAGCTTATCGGATCTAGCAAGAATTTTATTCTAGGGAGTTTAAAAGTTCGTTTAGAATCTTGTCTATCATTTGTAACATATTCGTGCCACTGTTGTATGTATTCATCATGAAGAGCATTTATCTGATCAGAATGGGACATCTCTGGTTGAAAAGGCGGTGGATTAATAAAAAAATCAGCAATTGGCATATTAGCTTCCATTTCATTTTGCTTTTTAATCTTATTAAGTTCCTCTATCATTAAAGAGGATTTATCTTTTCTCTCTTCCTTTGGCATTCTGTTATTCTTAGCGATCGACCATTGTCTACCAATTATCTTTACGCTTTCGGTTGATGCTTTTTTTATAGAGACTTTCGATTCTTGCATTGATTTTTCCTGCTTAGGAGCATATTTTTTAATCAGGGCAGATGCCGAAGATTTTGCATCCTCCATCATCCATTTTGAGGACATTACAGATGTTGATTTTCTATCTAGAATTATACTTGCAACGGTTGACATAGGTTTTCTATCATTATTAAGTTGATCCATTACTTTTAACTGCTGCTTAATGTCATGAAGTCCCTTTATTGCCGTCTGAAATTCAAATTCCTTCTTTCTAGAGTTATCTTCCAATTTCTTTTGCTCGATTAATAGGTTTAAAACAGAATCTTGATCCATCATTTGATACAGTTCACTTTCAACAGTTTTAAAACTTTTCCCAGTAGACATGGCAATACTTTCGTGAGACCTGAACCATAATTCATCTAAATCCAGAATAGCTTGTTCCAGCTGAGTAAATTTATGACAGATAAAAAAAGGTAAGAGATTCTGTGGCGGTTTATATTTCTCCCAAGGTATAATTTTACGTTGAGGTTCATTCTCACTTTTATCGAACGGACAAGAAGATAGTAAAACTTCGTCTTTAACTTCGGGGCTGAATGATTAAAACAATTGTCTTTTCTATATAACGATATTTCATTAATGAAATATTATTTTCTTACAAACCTACTTCTGTGACGGAATACATCGGCAAATATGTGCTTTTGTATTGCAATAAAAGGTTCAGACCTTTTTAAAGTAGACTCCTCTCCTTTTTTATCCTCTTCTCCGTTTTTAACCGCTTCTTCCTTTTTCTCCTCTTGTTTTTTCTCTTCAACTTGAGATTTTGGGGGCGAATGTATTTTTGAATTTTCCTTCTTGACTGTATCGTCTTGAACAGTCTGGTTTGCTGAAGAGGAGAGTGTTAATTTATCAAAGCATAAAGACTAAATAAATACTTTCATCAACAGGCTCCACTACTTCTGATATAGCTGAACTGGTTGGAGTTTCCGGTCTTCTACAGGTAATGCAAGCAGTAAATTTTGAACAGCCCCCGTTTTTATCGGAATTTGTATAAAAAGAATAACTCGATTTTGATGTAGATTGTTTATTAGGCTTATTATTTTCATTCTGGCTTTCACTTCTAGCAGACGATTTACTTTTTCTAACTCGACTTTTTGATCCAGATGACTTTGACACTCTATGAGAATTTTTTCTAGACCCTGCTTCTTGACTTCTCGATGTTCTTTTTCGAATTTCTCGTTCTTCAGAGTTTCTACAAACCGATTCGTTTTTTTTCATGATTTACCAACTCTATATTAAAAGTTTGCACTCAGACAAAAACTAATCGATTCAGTTACTCTTCTTTTTTGTTATTATAAAGTTTAATTTTTAAAAAATCTCTATTGAAGTCATTTTGTCCAATAACTTTCAAGAGAAAAAAATATATTAAGAAGTCCTTTAGTTTGTTTGTGAAGTTCATTTATATCTTATTGAGTTATAAATATTAGTATTATCATTTCTAATGCGCTAATTATCTATTTTATTGTACTACAAGTAAAACTAAAAGATTGTACATGTGAAATATTTTTCATCTTCACAACTAGGAGTGTCCCCTAGCGGATAATTTTGATACCAGTTTTTATTGTAATATGGTAAAACTTTGCCAATTGAATTGCAGAAGCCGATCAAAGAAAAATGCGTGATATAGCAACCTTTCTTTTTGAACAGCAGAAAAAGTCATCGGGTGAAATTGCTCAAGAATGGGGAACTTTGGAAAGTTTACATAATAAAAAGTAATTTTTTTTTCCAATTTAGAATTTATATCAAGCATAAAACTTTATTATTTTATTTATTCTTTATGATTTTATTCTTAATTTAGATTATGGCACCAACTGACGCTTCAATTACAGAAGTTTGTTAAAATACTTACAATCCATCAAAGCGATGCCCTTATGCCGGTTAGATTCTTTTAAAAAAATCCAAAAACAGTCAATTATGAATAATATTTTCCCTCAGTTGTACACAAACTTTATAGTTGACTTTGAGCATCGTATCAATCCGTTAGCCTTGGTTGAGATTGCAATTCCAATTGCTCGTCAAATAAAAGGTACTTCAAGAAATATTTCTGATTATTAATGAAACTGTTAAATTTAATTGTCTATCCAGATAATCTCGAAGCTATTGAATTTTTGAATAAGATTAAAGTAAAGGTTTGTCTCAAGTTGACTATGGGAAAAATGGTTGTTAATTTTGAACAAATCTTCAGGTTTCAAGTGACAAGCAAGCTATGATTTTATGCCTAACAACATCAGGGCAGTTGTATATGCTTGCTAGCGACATGGAGAAAGCTAATGTTTGTATTTTTCATATTTATACTGTTTATTAATAAGCCTTGTAATTATATATATTTTTAATAAAGGAAATAAGGATAGAAGCTGGTGCTATGGTTGAAGAATTAGACGGTATTACACCTGTTCATGCTCCTTTTTACGAACTATCAAGCAATTATCATAGAATTCAAGCTGATCATGCTAATTATTATAGAGATTCTTTAAGATTTTTAGGATGTATTGATTTGAAATCTCTTTCAAGTAAGCAAAATTGTCATCAGTTATATTTTAGCTTAATGATGATGTATTTTAGATGAGGACCAGATTGAAAGAGCTTTTAATATTGGCTTGGCAGCAATCCTCGGTAAAGGAGTCTATAATTTTGGCGAATTACTACAACATGACATTTTAGAAGCTCTGAAAAATTCTGAAAAAGCATGGCTTGTCCAACTCTTGTTTGCTTTCAATAGCGGTGACATTAAGCTATATCAACAACTTAAAACTAGCTGGAGTAAACAACCTGACCTTTGCGTAAATGAGACATATATGAGACAAAAAATATGCTTGTTAACGCTTATGGAAATGACATTTAGAAGACCAGCAACCGAACGAAGTTTAACTTTCGCCGAAATAGCGAAAGAAACTAATTTATCTCTCAACGAAGTAGAACATCTTATAATGAAGGCTTTGTCATTAAATTTAGTAAAAGGATCAATTGATCAAGTAGAACAAGTTGTCCGTATGACTTGGGTTCAACCCCGTGTATTAGATCGCGATCAAATTCGATCTATGGCTGGTCGTCTACAGAAATGGTGTGACGACGTTATGAGTATGGAGGAGTTAGTTCATAATAGAGCATTAGATATTCTAAACTAAAATACTCACCATAACGAGCTGATTGTCTATGTTTCCATGATATTCAAATTTAGAAATAAAAGGATGTGCTTACGTAGAGCTATTGAGATATTTTATCATTAAGTAACAATACGAAGAACGACTAAATCGATTTCTTAAAGTCTATGGGTGAAACTAACTTATTCAAATTTTTGGCGCGAAAGTGTTGTCTGCTTGCCCACTTCCTGAAATCCATATAACTTCCGCTACATTTACATTCCGGATAAATCTTGAAATGCAATCAAACAAACATTCAACTGATGTCCTTGCCTAATTGTAAAGGAAATTTGATAAAATGCACGTATTATTAACCAGTTTTAAAGTAAGTGTTTCATTCAACTCTGTTATTAGTATATATTTCGTATTGCAACAAAGTTATTATGCTTTAAGATTTAACTAAATTCTTTGTGAATTGGAATTGTTGATATGTCTATCCAGATTGAAATGTCACAGTTCAGAATAGTCACATTTTTCTTTTGACTGAATAAACGCTAACCTTCAAAATGCTGTCAAGAATTAGTAATATAACAAGATCAGATGGTGGCTATGAGGATCTTCATGGAGTTTCCCTTAGTGATCCAACATCTAGTGAGAGTTCAAATAATACTCCAACTGGTACGCCAGCAAATAACTTAGCAGAAGGTTTGTTTAATAAATCTACTTCAATTCCTAAGCAATATAATTGTATCGTAAACATCAGACACATATAGAGTAGATGAAGCAGTAGATCAGCTGGGTTTTGGAAAATTTCAGGTTAAATTATCTTTTTTAACTGGAATGGCATGGGTAATTATTTTTAAAATTGCTAGCTTTGAAAGGCCCGCAACTATAGTCCCTTATTTCTATAGATGTCAGATGCAATGGAGATGATGATACTTAGTATGTTAGCGCCAGCCTTACATTGTGCTTGGGGGATTCCATCTTGGCAGCAAGCTATGCTAACGACTGTTGTGTTCGGAGGAATGATGGTCTCGTCTGGAGCTTGGGGAAGTGTTTGCGACAAGCTCGGTCGAAAAGTAGCTTTAATAATCTCGTCTGCTTTTACGGCTTATTATGGGATATTATCTGCCGCATCACCAAATATAATTTGGATTCTTATTTTAAGAGCTCTAGTTGGATTTGGTATAGGAGGTGCTCCACAATCTGTAACTCTCTATGCTGAATTCTTGCCAAGCAGTGCGAGAGCAAGATGCGTAGTTCTAATCGAAGTGTTTTGGGCCATTGGATCATGTTTTGAAGTGATCCTTGCACTTCTTATAATGCCTACTTTGGGTTGGAGGTGGCTGCTGGTACTCAGTTCAATCCCCTTGGTAATTTTTTGTTTTTTATGCTTTTGGTTACCTGAGAGTCCAAGGTAAATAACTAGTGTAGAATCGTCTAACTTTGAAATCAATTCTTTATGCTATGTTTAGATTTGACATGGCGAGGGGACGCATCCATGCGGCTCAAAAAACTCTAGAGAAAATTGCTAAAGAAAATAACAAGTCTATGCCTCTTGGAAAATTAGCCTCAGAAAATGTTACTTCTAGTGGCAAACCTAAAAGAGGCCGTATTCAAGATCTTTTTTCTCCCGAACTTCGTTTAACTACTTTCTTATTATGGATCATTTGGTTGGCAAATGCTTTTAGTTATTACGGAATAGTTCTAGTCACTACTCAGCTTTTTGAGGCTTCTGGATCAAGCACTTGTTCAAGCGTATCGAAGAACGTAGATAAAGTTGATGAACCTCCCTGTTTGTTAGATTGTAAAATGCTGACAACTAGAGATTATGTTGATCTTTTATGGACCACGTTAGCTGAATTTCCCGGGATTCTTGTAACTTTACTAATCATAGAATGGATTGGCCGAAGAAAAACCATGATAATCGAAATGGTAGCTTTTTCGTTTTTCGTCCTATTAGTGAACATTTGCGCATCGAGGTAATAATTTATTGATTCTTTTCTTCCCATATTTATCGATTCATCTTTTTATATTCAGAGGTGTTTTAACTTTCCTTCTATTTACTGCTCGGGGTTTCATCACTGGAGCTTTCCAAGCAGCTTATGTATACACTCCAGAAGTGTACCCAACAACAACTAGAGCATTGGGGTTAGGAACTTGTAGTGGAATGGCTAGAATTGGAGCAATTGTGACGCCCTTTGTCGCCCAAGTCTTATTAAAGAAATCTATTCATGTCGCAATTTCTATTTATGGTGCTGTTGGAGTATTAGCAGCAGTTGCCACATTTTTTTTACCAATAGAGACAATGGGCAGAATCATGAAAGACTCTGCAGATTAGACTTACATTTTTATATATGTCATCGTGTGTATCACTTTCACACATTTAATTCCATTCGCGAGTTGTCCAAAAGAAACATTCCATTTTAAACAATGTATTTCTTGATCGTGTGGTTTTTTTGAATTTATTTAACATTCCAGTGTAAGGATGCTTTATTTTAAAATATTTAAAGTCTATTTACGGAAAATAAGCAAATAATAAATACACCTTGTGTTAGTATCTATTAGTAAGACTATATAGAGTCATACATGCAGAATAAAAACTCTCAAAATTTCAAAGGATATTACTCTCCTGTAGTACTATATATATATATATATATATATATATAAATGTATTCTTAAGCACATCTTTAAAATAGTGAACTATAGAATCAAGAAAAAGTTTAGTAGTCATGTGTTATATATATATTAGAGAAAATAATCCCATCACCGCAAACCATTAGCAAAAAAGCTCAAGACTTGTCATTAGGGTTTTGAATAACTATCAGCAAATAGTCTTTGTCTGCAAAAAATTATCATTCTTATAATATATTAGATTAAGCTTAATAAATATGTTAAGAGGGATAAAATAGTAGAATATATAATAGAGAGATAGAGCAAGAGAGATAGCGAGAGAGGAAACAAAGATGCGGCAATAACAATTAAACAGAGGTTGTGACGCCGTCTGTGCTTTGAAGGGTGATCAGGATGTAATCTTGTTCTGTGTAGTTTTAAATAATTAAGATAAAAAGAATAATAATAAAAAATTAAGCTCAATTTCAATAAAATGTAAGTGTACATTAATATAATGACAAAGTTGTTGATTATTGAAATTGTTTAATTAAAACATTAATGCATCCTAATTTGATAATATATCATTTTGACTGTTTTGTAAAGATTTTTATGGGAGGTAACTTTGGACTTACCAGGTGCTATCATTATCTCATATTTTTTTGAACGAACACGCAAAAACTGTAGGTCGTTGGATGGTTCGAGGTCTCGAACTACATTTCTAGCTTTTGCGGTCAATTGATGAAGCAAACTTGCGTATTGTACAGTTGTTGAATTATCTAATGTCGTTCTTATTGGAATGCCTGAAGTAAGAATTGTATTATTCTTAAGTAGTAATTTTATATCAAAGAACTTCTACCTTCAGAGTTGACAATGATAACTCCTATAACTCCTTTATGACTTTGAATACGTTTCAGGGTCTCCTCAACGGTCTCGGCCTAAAATTTTAATGTCTCCAATTACAATCAAGAATTTGGTTTAGAGCAAAATATAAGCATGCTAAAAATCAACTAAACCAACCAATCTACTTTAAAATTATTTAAATTAATATTCAATAATCAATTTATTGATTTAGGGAGTGTTTAATCAAATATCTCCTACAACATGAAATCAATAGGAATATTTTCCACCAAACTTCTAAGACAACACCTAACTTACCTGAGTTGAATAGCTCTTAAAACGAAAATATCATATTTAAGAGTAGTGCATTTAAATATTTTAAATAAAATACACCTTTTCCTAAGATTAATAGCAAAATAATTTTCAAATACTACAAGCGTATTTTCCGGTAATTTATAGGAAAAAATGCTCAAATCAACTATAAGTATTGAATTTTCAAGTTGAATAATTTATCTCTTAATAGGAATTTGAACGGAAAATACGGCTTGGGATTCTAAAAAATCAAAATATCATACCATTTTTCTAATAGATTTGAGATTTCTTATGGAGGATTGCACATGCGCAATGAAATATTTTGTGTTTTTTGCCTGTTGTCGTGGAGAAAACTATAATATAGAAACTGTAGCGCGATAGGGGCTACCTAAATACAATAGAACATCCTAACACATAGGTTAGTTAGAGCAGTGTTGGGTGATTAATATCGACGAATGTCTTTTTTACATTTTTTACAGCTTTTCGGCTTTATTTCTTATGAATTTAATAGCTAATTCACAATTATAAAGGATTTTTACAAAAGATCATTCTAGTTAGCTTGAAAGTCGATGGACGGTGAAGAAAACGGGAGATCGGCATCAGTTTCAGTAAGTTCTTTATTTTCGTTTTGTACGAAATAACTCTAAAAAGTAATCTCCATATACTAGAATGCCGACGGTGGCAAAAAGGCAGTACCATTGTCTGTCAATTATAAAATCGAGGATAAGTTGGCTAGCCAATACCAAGCACATAATGTTATCAATTTATCCGGATCGGAACTAAATTTAGCTTATTTCCAAAAGAACGGCTTTACAAAGCCCATTTCAATCAATGATAAAAGTGGTCTGGGATTAAGAGTGCCTAGTCAAAACTTTACTGTTGCTGATGTTAAAGCATGTGTTGGCTCATTGAGAACCTTAAACGTTGTGGACAGCGATACTCGTTCTTCGTTCATAATGATGGTTAAAGATTGGGTTGAGTATTATGTTCGCCCCGAAAAAGTGAAAAAGAAATTTAGTGTTACTTCGCTAGAGTTTACCCACACGAAATTATCAACTTACGTAGAAGCTCCAACAGCAGTTCAACAAATTGACTGGGCTAATTGCGTATGGCCTATTCATCAAAGGGATTCTCAAAATGAAGAAAATACAAGTATACCTGATAGAAATCGACTACCAAAAGTTCAAAAATTCTGTGCTATGTCCGTCAAGGGCTGTTTTGGAGATTTTCATATTGATATGAGTGGTTGCTCAACCTGGTATCACGTACTACATGGATCGAAAATTTTTTGGATTTTACCTCCAACACAATACAACCTTGATGCTTTTGAAAAATGGGTGAAATCTGGAAAACAGGAATTTTTTGCAGAAAAAGGAAAAGAATGTCAGAAATTTACTTTGAAAGAAGGGCAAACGTTTCTATTACCAAGTGGTTTGTAGATATTCTAGATTTTTTGTTATTTTTTATGCAAATCAATAATTATAATATAAAGATTAAATTTTCGTTTTGAAACAGGATGGATTCATGCCATCTACTCTGAGGAAGACTCGCTTGTATTCAGTGGAAATTTTCTTCATAGTTTTAGTATACCTCAACAAATAAAAATTGCTGAACTAGAGAAGCGAATCTACGACAAATTTAATTATTCTTTTTTTACTGAAATCATGTGGTATGCCGTGAAAAGATATTGTGGTGCATTATTGAACCCTCCTCTGACTCCTGTTAAAGAAACCTCCGGCGAAGAGACAGATACTGAAAAGAAAACCCCAACAACGAGTCCTATGGCTAAAAGTACATCTTCTCTTCCTGAAAACGGAAGTTGCAAAAAAGAAATTAAGAAAGAAACTAAGGGCGAAAACGATCAAACTGAAGAAGAGCCGAAGACTGAAAAAGCCACTATAAAAGATGAAAATAATAAAGTACCTATGAAAATATATTTAACAACTTTTGAACTAGAAGGATTGGAGTGCTTAATTGAATGGCTTGAGAAATCAAATTTTGCTGCAGCACGAGTTCCTATTGAATTTCATAACGCGCAGCTGTTGTTGAAAAAGCTACAGGTATAATTTTGATTTAGTTTTTTTCAAGACAATGAAATTACCAGTTGTTTTGATTTTCTACAGGATTTACTAGATAATCATAGAAATGACGCCGCAGACCTAGCTATAACAAACGAACCTATTCTCAGTTGGACCTTCAATAAAGTAAGACACTTTATTCAAAACGTTAAATTAATGTTTAATAGTTTCATTGCTTTTATAGAGGCCACGAGCAGCTTCACGAGTACCAAATTCATTGAAAAGGGGACGAGGGGGCAGTCGAGTCTCTCAGAGCTCTCCCTCGTCTGCGGGAGTTGATCAAGGTAGCGGAGATAAGTCAAAGGGACCTCAACATCGAAGAGTTCGCTGCAAGAAATGTGAACCTTGTACTCGAACAGATTGCGGTGAATGCCATTTTTGCCGAGATATGAGAAAGTTTGGTGGTTTAGGAAGAATGAAGCAAACCTGTGTGTCGAGACAGTGTATGGTGCCTTTATTACCATCAACGGCCATTTGCCACCTTTGTGAATCCGGTGATGGGAGAGAAGCTCCTGCTTGCTTGGACGATATAAAAGAGGCTAATGATCTACTAATGGAGTGTTCTATTTGTTGGAAAATCTCCCATCCACGCTGTTTGTCAAGCAAAGATAGCGATTTACCTTGTGGTAGTCTTTGTGATGATATGCCCGCTTGTTGGAGGTGCCCCGAATGCATTAGATGTGATGGCAAACCTATAGAAGAAAAACGTCGAATTGGTAAAGAGAATAAGATTCCTCCACCTGTTCTGATGCCAATATTGCCAACTGTAAATACGCCGCCGACTCCCAAGTGTACGAAAATGCTATCCTTCAACGATTACTTAAAGGCCAGACCAGCTGACAAAAAAAGTCGATCTAAAGTAGAAGAAGAAAAACCAAAATTCGTTGTAAGGCCTGCTCCTATTACCCCACCTCCGTTATATGTGGAATTGGAGGATGGAAAGAACCATGTTTTAGATAGAAATCTATGGCAAACTATCTTTGGATTTCTGGACTCAAAATCCATGGTTAATATCATGTCCTGTTGTAAAACGTTTTGCAAATGGACAGTTGATCGGAGGTTTTGGTACTACATCAACGTCAATCAGAAATGCCTTTCACGAAATATGCTTACGGGAATAATTCGAAGACAGCCATCAGCTTTAAATTTAACCAGCACAAATATTTCTAGAGTACAATTAGAATGGCTCCTAAAGCGCCTGCCCTGTTTGGAGCATCTCTTTTTATCCTCTAATTCTGTTGCAGCTTGCTCGGCTCTTCGAAGCGTTCCTGTCACTCGTCTTAGAACCCTAGATTTAAGCTGGATAGATGGTTTAAATGACGACACATTAAAAATGATTATACCACCAATTTCGCACACTTCCAGCTTGAAAATAGTTTCAGGTTTAGCACTAAATGGTACTGAAGTTACTGATAGTGTTCTCGGCTCTATTGTTCGATACATGAATATTCTAGTAAAGCTAGAATTGACGTATTGTCCAAATATAACAGATGATATTCTTGGACAATTAGCAGACGCAGAAACTCTCTCCCATGTTGGTCTTACGGGTTGCCCTTGTATAACTGATAAGGTATTGAATGGGCTTTTCAGCGTTCCACTGCTCACTATCTTAGAGGTGAATTATTGTAAAAATGTCACTGTCTCTGCTTGCCACGCAGCTATGAGAACAATGAGGCAAAATGGAAAGTGTATAACTATTTGCTGTGGTCAAAACGAGTCGCCTTATGCTAGGCTTGTTGACATGGTGCCAGAACTAATTGACACATAGTGTGTTTACATCTGTTTACTTTTGATATTTTATAACTTCTTGCTGTTTTTGGATAGTTGTTGTAAGATTAGAAAATAAACTTGTACAGTTAATAAAAGTTGTGTTTTTCTTATCCTATTCAAACAGGCCTATAAATTTTTCGATTATAGCGCCATCTGTTATGAAATCACGTTGTTCACAAGATCGAACTACAAATGTTGAAACAAGTTCTTGTTCCACGCAAGTTTTGCCGTGTATATTTTGAAAACCCATTTTCTATTTTACAGGTAAATAGAACGACAATAATTAATACATATCTGCATAAGCAATTTTTGTAAAATTGATTTTGTGTTGAGCGATAAAATGAAAATCAATGTCCTTGCCGTTTATTTTAGATATCGCTTTTAAAAAATACTTACGGTACCTCATCAGAAAACGAAGCCATAGGAAATGCTGGATCGTATAAAGCGAAAAAGATTAGTCAAGCCATGAAGTTATACCTAGAAAATGCCAAAGCTCATGGTATATTCAAGTTATTAATAATTACTATTACAAAGTAACAAATTGTCATCTTACCTTTAGACGAGTTTCTTGCGAAAGAAGAAAAGCAATTTGAAATTGGAAAAAGGCATCTGGCTAGAATAATGGATTTGGATCCCGACAATATAAGTCAAGATGAAATAGATGTAAGTAAAGAAATGAAAATCTTTTAGAGAAGTTCGTAAATTATCTTTTGTTTAAAGAGAGCAATCGAGTATTTATTTCCGTCGGGTCTCCTTAATCCAAAAGCCAGACCTAAACTAAAACCACCATCAGAAGTTATACCAAAGAGAAAGGGTGATTATTTGTTTGATGTGTATTTACATTTTATTAATCTTCCATTTAAATCACAGCTGCCCAGTTTGATATGGATGGCAGACCGTTTCATAATTTCTTCTATACGCGACAACCAAATTATTTCGAGTTATTACACGTAAGTACTTTTACATGAAGTAATACTGTTTTCAACTATAATATTCTATAGGAAATTGTTGAAAAAATGGAATTTTTGAAATGTTTTGAAGATGAAATTATTAAGTCCAAAAAAACAGTCTCTCCTGATAAATTTCTTAATTTGTCTGCCACTGAATGGTTAAGCTATAGAGAATTTGAAGCACTTTTAACTGAAACCATTGATGAATTTAAGTACGCAAGACTCATTCGTCTGCTTGATCGGCTTTCTAAGCAAACACATGCGTATGCTGTTAAGGATTTTATTTTGAAATATCGAAAACCTCTCAAAAGCCAAAGCCTTTTTTTAGAACCGAGTATTTTACAAAAAGATGAATCGGGTAGAACGTTTGCTCAGGCGTCTGGCAGTAGGAAAACTGCTATGGCAGAAGTAAAACTATGGACAGAAGGAAGTGGAGAAATTACAATAAATAATCAAGATCTACTTACTTATTTTCCAAGATTGGACGATCGAGAACAGTTAATTTTTCCATTACTAGTATCTGGTTTCTTAGGAAAAGTAGATATAAAAGCTGAAGTTTATCACGGTGGACCTAGTGGTCAGGCAGGAGCCATAAGATTAGCTATATCGTCAGCATTGCAAAGTTTTGTTGAAAAAGAAACAATTGAGAAAATGAGGATATCCGGTTTACTTACGATAGATCCTAGAGTAAAAGAAAGAAAGAAGCCAGGAAAATGGGGTGCTAGGAGAAGTTTCACATGGTTTGTAAAAATTATTTACCAAGTTCCTTCTGACTATTTCTAATTTTTACTTTACTTTTACTTTTACAGGAAAAAGAGATAGAAAATAACTCGTAACTCTTAATACGTGATAAAACATAGATATACATATATACAGATTATACGTTTATCTTTATAAAAATAGTATAAATTGAAAAGTTTCAAATAAATCTCTGTTTAAATAAGACATTTAACAAACCTGTTTATTTTCAAATAAACCGGGTACCAGACTGAGTTACAGATGGCGTTGGACATTGTATTTCCGTTTATCAAGTTGAAGCAGAAATTCCGTACAAAGTTTAGTACAGGTGGTTCATTAATGTTACTAGAGGACACTCTCTATCGGTTGTTTCTTCATTGATCTGATAGATTTCTAATAATTCTCCCCAGAATATTTTCAATTGTTAACTAAAATGCGAGACCTCTATTGATTAGGAAAGGTTAGCAACAATACATTTCTTTTGTAGAAAGAAATTTACAACAATTTTAACAATAGCATGAGTCTTCCAAGAGAATTGCCGAAAAGTGCAAAGAAGAAGGTCAAAAGAGTGTTTGCCAATAGGTATCATGCAGAAAGGAAATTGGGTAAAGGATCTTTCGGGACTGTCTGGTTAGTAACTGACGCAAAATGCAAGATTCCAGACGAAAAATTGTAAATATTAAAAATAATATTGCAATATATTGTATTCTAAGTTTATTTATCCTATAAAGAAAAGTATTAAAAGAAATTTCGTGCCCGGACATGGATAATGATGAAACGTTTGACGTTGATCGAGAGGCTACTCTGCTAAGAAACTTAAATCACCCAGGAATTGTTAGATTTCATGATTCTTTTTTGGATAGTGATTGCTATTGTATTGTTACTGAGTACTGTGAAGGTGGTGACTTGGACCAAAAGATAAAAGAGTATAAAAAAGAAGGAAAAAAGTTTCCAGAGCCCATAGTAGTAGAATATCTAATTCAATTGCTATTAGCCGTTCAGTATATGCATGGTAGAGGTGTTATGCACCGAGATCTGAAAACTAGGAACATTTTTATTAAAAAAGGAAAGTTGAAAGTTGGAGATTTTGGTATTTCAAGAATTTTAATAGGAACAAGCGATATGGCTTCAACTTTTACCGGAACCCCCTACTATATGAGCCCCGAAGTACTTAAACATCAAGGCTACAATGCTAAAAGCGATATCTGGTCGATTGGTTGCATACTATATGAATTAATTCATTTAAAACACGCGTTTGATGGAGAAAGCATGATGGGAGTAATGTATAAAATTGTTGAGGGTGATACTCCCGATTGGTCTTCAAATTACTCCACAGATTTGCGATCAGTGTTCGAATTGTAAGATAAATGATCATTTTTTTAATTTGATAAAGCTTTTATGCTAACTTGCAGGATACTCAAAAAAAATCCAAGCGAACGTCCGTCGTCTAAAGAATTGTTGAAGCTACCATTTATAACGAAGCAAATGGAAAAGATAAAAGATACTATCGTAGAAGCGTCAAAAGAAAAAAAATCATCTCACATTATATTTGAGGAACAGAAAGAAATAGCCAAAGCATTGTGAGTTGTATAAATATAAATTAGCTAAATTAGCTAATTATGTCTTTTGTAATAGTAAACAAAAGAAAAAATACGGAGAAGTTGTTATTGAGTCTGAAGATAAAAAGATGAGGAATCTCAACAACAAAGATCGCTTACGTTTAAAAAAAATGCAGAGAGCAGACGCTGAAGCGGAGAGGATACGTAATGCTCAAATCCAACAATTAAAGGATAACAAAGCACAATATGAAAAAGTTCGCGAGAGTCAGAATCCCTATTATAGTAACATAAATGTTAGTTTTTTTTTAGCTATTTATGATAAGTTACAAAATTTGCTATTATCTTTTAAAGCTTTTTAAGGAGCAATCGGAACGTAAACCAGTTGAATATATCCGTGCGAAAACTGCGTCATGTAAGCAAAATATTTTAATCATAGGTCTAACCGATTTGAAGTTATTCTCTTATATCTCCTTAACAGATTCTTATAATGTACCTACAAGAGATTCTGACGATTCCGATAGCTCTGATGAGGACACTCTTCAAAGGGCTCCTCCAGTGTTTTTGACCGAACCTATTCTGAGATCTCAAGCAGATGATAGACCTATTACACCTATGAAAGATAGGACAGTCTATAACAAAGAAGTATCATCTTTAGATTTCAAGGATGGAAAGCCAGATGATGCAGAAATGGCGAATACGTATTACTCGCAATACGAGGAATTCGAAAGCGACTCAGATGATGAAAATGAAGGAACTTTACTTCAAACTGTTCAACCATTGTCTGGAGCTGACGAAGATTTAATCAACGTCTTGGAGGATGCTTTATGTAATGATACAGGTAGTTATCAGGATTTGTTTTAAGGACTTCATTGACTTTTAAAAAAATATTTTCAGTCAGTACTATAACTTTGGCTGATGATGCAACAGGAGCATATGGGCCAATAGCAAGAAATCAGAGAATAATCAGTCTACGAACGTAAGTGATAACTACATGATATCTAGTTGCTACTGATGAACTATATATGATTTTTCAACAATTTTAGAGAATGTATAAAAAAATTATCGGAGTCTGTTTTCAATAGAGTTTATGCTTATTTGAAAGAAGCTAGAGGATACGGAAAAGAAGTGAAAACAACAGACGAAAAGATAATAATGGATAACCTATCCCGTCTCTCTCCTAATAAAACGCGCGATTGTTTTCTTGTTGATCAACTATTGTTTCTCGAAGCGCAAGCTAATCTACCGCAATGAAGATTTGTTATTATATCAGTTTAGAATTTGCAGTTTGTTTTTTTGTTTGTCCACTTATCCGTCCATTTATAAATAGCTGTGATACTATTGTCAATTCTATATATAACGTTTAATACGAGTGTTGTCAAACAAAAAATACAACACTAGATCAGTTCTGATAAGGGATACCTTCAGATTTCGAACCCATCATAAGTTTCTTTAATTCGCCTATGGCTGCTCCAGGATTTAAGTGTTTTGGGCAGGTTTTAGTGCAATTCATAATTGTGTGACATCTAAAAAGAAATTAATAAAATGTTAAAATATCAAAAATATTAATTATTTCGAGAACTTACCTATACATCGACCACTTATCATCCAATTTTTCCAATCTTTCCTTAGTGAAGTCATCTCTAGAGTCCATGATCCATCTGTATGCCTGCATAATAACGGCGGGTCCTAGGTACTTGTCACCGTTCCACCAGTAAGATGGACAAGCAGTAGAACAACAAGCACAAAGAATACATTCGTACATGCCGTCCAATTTAGCTCTATCTTCAGGACTTTGGAAGTAGGGTTCCTCACCAGCTTCTTTCGCGTCCTTCTTCTTTAAGTAAGGTTCGATATACTTGTACTGAGCATAGAAGTTATTCATGTCAGGAACAAGATCTTTTACAACATACATATGGGGAAGAGGGTAAATTTTTGTCGTCTTCGAAGGCTCTGTTATCGGGCAAAGACAAGCTAAAGTATTTCCTCCTTCGATATTCATAGAGCAAGAGCCGCAGATTCCCTCTCTGCAAGATCTTCGGAACGTCAGAGTTGGATCTACATCATTTTTGATCTTTATAAGTGCATCCAACACCATAGGGCCACAAGTATTCAAATCAATTTCATATGTAGACATATAAGGTTTGCTACCAGGCTTGTCAGGATCGTATCGATAGATTTTAAAGGTCTTCATGCGAGGTGCTACAGTAGCAGCAAATCGGCTTTGAAGAAAAGCCGGTTTCAAGATATTTTTCGCAAGTTTCATCGAAAAGTTCTTTGCACTCGCCATTTTGTTTTTCGAATAACCTTCATTGACCTTCCATGCTGCCATCTATCGGCTTTGCTTAAAAGCTTTGCTTTTTTATTTAAATTCCGGTACAGACATGGAGTTATTTTCTTTTTTATCATAGCTCTCTAGTAATTTCAAGTCTTACTTGGGAATTTAAACGTTTAATTAAAAATAGAACCTCCGGAGCTGTATTTTCATTATCAACGTATTGCTTTCGTTTAATATGGGGGTGTCTTGACGAATATTGTTGCAGACAGGCTATAAGAATAAGTGTAATAATGATAACGGCCCTTTCACATCTTGAATGTTGACAAGGAATTTTTATGTGAAATAAATAGGGAATTTAATTGTGGTCTCATGAAGATTTTGAAGAAAAGCAAATCAAAACAAACTGTTTAATGGCATTATGGTCTAATAATTGAAATATTTCTAAATGGTTATTGTCTATTTTAGTATGTTCGCACATTTGCAAAGCATGTCCTAAAAAGTACTTCTGCCTTCGGTATAATTTGAGATTTTTAAATGTATCGTGAAAACATTGCATTTATATCTTCAGTACGTCGTGTATTGAGGTATTACCAACCACAAGAACAAAAAACTGCAACGCACAGCTTATAAAGAGTTTACTTTTTCTTTTTTGAAGACGTTCCTTGCGATTTCTGCTGAGCTTTGATAACTTTTACGACAATCTTTTGTTCTTCAATCAAAAAAGCTCGGACAATTCTGAAAATATATAAAATGTGTTGGTTATTTCATTTTCAATTTAATATTCTGAGTCTATACTCATAGAAAATATGTTTTAATAAACTCACCTGTTTCGTACGCAATGATGGCATCTAGATCCACCGTAAACTCTAGAAACGGTCTTTAGACGCTTTGTCATCGACTGTCTCTCCATCGGTCTGCTTGGTGTGATACCATGCAATTTAACTTTACAGTCACCGCATTTTGGGAGGGTACCCGGCTTCTTCTTGTAGTGATAAACGAGTCGACCGCCTGGAGTCTTAACGCTAATGAAATAGGGATGATTAAACGTTGATCTTCAAAATAAGCAACACTATAAAAGCGCATTTCCCTACTTACATCTTTCTTCTGTTAGATTTAGTGTTGTAGCTGAGGCGCCTTCTAAACGTTAATCGTTGCACCATTTTCTGAAAATAAGTATTCCAATATGAAATATGTAATAATTGACAATTATCAAAACTATCATTTCCCCATAAAATTGAATTTTAACTATAAGATAATAGGGAGATTTTTAGAGATTAATACAAGAAGTAGGCAAAACACGTACCAGTGTTGATACGGTGCGGAAAAGGAAGAGGAAATCTTTCGTGGGTGAGTCGAAAATATCAATCGCTTTTGATTGGTTAATAAAACAGCCTCGTGTTTCGCGCGAAATTTAAAATAATAAATTTTACAAATAAATAGACTTTTGAATTTATAATGGCTTATTGATAGTTAGCTTAATTTTTGACTACTTAATTTTGTGAAGTTGTTAAATTTATTCATAATAGGTTCAAATTTTGTGTCTTTATCTTTGACTTAAACTACTTCTTTCTCTTCTTTAGGAAAACTTGGCATAAAATTGGTCGAACCTTTCTCTATGGACAAAAGCATGGGTTGATTCGAATTCATTCTTCACGCATGTCTGATTTCTAGACAGAAGAAAGAGGGGACGACCCCTATAAATATATCTTCTTGTATGCTAGGAAAAAATAACCCGACAGGTGATAGGAACAGGTGCGGGCACCCTATTTGGCACGCGCCGTTACAGCCTTTTGAAACTCTTTGTTCATGACGTAAAATCTACTTTCCCATCTTTGAATTTCTAATGTAAAAGTGAACAAATCGAGCAAATTATTCATAAAAGTATTAATAGTCAATAAATATTACATTTTTAGAGTTTATGATCATATTTCAACGACTATTCTCAGTTAATATTTCATAATAGCTTTGGTCCTCAAGTGCGGATCGAAAGAAAGACCTTTGTGTATTGCACCTGCCCCTTCCCGGAATAATGGCTAAAATAGCATAAGGGCGCTAAATAATCGTATGTCGTTTAGTTCGTTCCTGTTCAAGATACAGATGATCAGCTGACAAAATAAAGAACAATTCACCGCCTCCTAAAATACCCTTACATTAAACGACATACACCATTCTGGTTATAAATCATACAATTGGTTTTCTCAGGGAATTAGGTCGGTTTTGCTCAAAATTTCCAGGAGGCTCACAATGGTTCTGTATTCCGATTGGACAATTTAGCCCGCGCACTTGAAAATAAAATCGAAGATTTCTTTGTACATCAGTTCAGTTCTGTGTACTTGGTCGCAATGTCTTGTTCGGAGATGATCGGTGTTCCGAGGAGAAACCTTCTTTATGACTTTTGCGAGTCTATAGGTAAGATTTTTCATTTTTATTCTTACATTAAAGATATTGTTTTAATACGTATTTAATTCTCACAGAAGAACCTCTTGATTTGAGAATTAGACCCTGGAGATTCTGGGAAGAGAAGGAAAACATTCCAATTAAAATTGATATGAGTCCAACTAAAGCTGCTTTGAACTTGAGCTTATTGGCAAAAATTGAAAGAAATATAGAAGTAAAAGAAAAAAAAGAAAAGCTCTGCGAATTTTGTGGCAAAGGTTACCAATCAATTGGGGCATTAAAAATGCATGTAAAGACGCATACCCTTCCGTGTAAATGTCCAGTTTGTAATAAAGCCTTCTCTCGTCCTTGGTTATTGCAAGGACATATGAGAACCCATACCGGTGAAAAACCTTTTACGTGTAACCGATGTTCAAGAGCATTTGCTGACAGATCAAATCTCAGATCTCATCTTCAAACTCATGAAACTGTAAAAAAACATAGCTGTCAAGTATGCTCCAAATCCTTCTCTCGACTATCCTTATTAATAAGGCATAAAGCAACTTGTAGTTTTTAGTTAAATCCTAAATCTACAAGCTGTTATAAAATTTTGTAAACCGTATATTTTATGCATATTATTATCTTTTAACCTCATTTAGGATTTTTATATTTTTAAAACCTCATGTTAAAAGTTATTGTATTTTCCATGTGTCTTTTTTTCGGAGTGTTACAATCTAGTCATGCTTTGTAAACATTTTCCCATTTCATTGAGTGTCATCTCTAGTCATTTTGTACAGATTAACCTATTACTATTTATTATTTATTATTAACATTGATAATCATTATGCTATTATATACCTGTTATTATACAGTATACGAGTCTTTATTCTGATAAATCTCAACCAGTTTTGTCTTTCAAATTTTATATAAATCTGTTTTTTGCAAATTAATAAATTTGCATACTGATTTTCATCTTAAAAATTAGCAATATACATAATTCTTAAGAGCATTCACTACATATATGATAAAAAGAAACTACTATACGCTTTAAGATATAAGCAGCTCGACTTTAAAGATAGAATAGGTTGATAGTCTATTTTAAAGAACCCATAGGAGGCGCTGATATATTTCAAGTGAAGAGAAGCCTTTCTTAAGGAAGTTGTTCTTTCACGAGAATGTCTAACGTAACGGCTGATAATAATACAACTTTTTCATCTGGTAACGGTTTTTGGATTATCCACGTCGTTTATCCTTTTCTAAGTGTATTTGGTATATTCGGAAATTCAGTTGTGCTAATTGTCTTTGCAAGAAGTAAAGCATTATATTCAAAATTATCAAATTATTTTGTTATCAACCAATCTGCGATTGATTTGGTTGCTGCTTCGCTTTTTACAACAACGAATTTATGCTATTGGTACTTTACTGATGTTTCAACCTGGTCGTTTTCTTTGCAAGTATTCTACTGTCGTATTATCCACGGAAATCTTCTATATTTCGCTCTTATGAACTCTTCAACGTATAATCTAGTCTTACTGTCATTGGATCGTTATGCTGGAGTTGTGTATCCAATCACGCATAAGCTATATAGTTCAAAGAGAAATATTTTATTGACAATAACTGCAATTTGGTTGTTCGGTCCACTACTTCAGTTTTCTCTACAAATTCCAATAAGTGGGGTTGAAAATGGAAAATGCGTTAATTGGGATATTTTCCCTAATAAAACAGCTAAATCTTTAGTGGGATGTTTCACCTTTTTCGTTCAATTCTTTTTTCCTCTATTTATCTTAACCTATTCATATGGCGCAATTGCATATTCTGTGAAAAATAAGGTTGAAGATATTAGCAGAGCTCACTCAAAACTAGAGGAGAGAAGAGTAAGAATAAGAAAAAATACGCTAAAAACTTTTGCTTTAGTATCCGGATGCTTCTTTTTATGTTGGATATGGAATCAAGTGTATTTCCTATTGTACAATTTCGGAATGAAAGCAGACTTTACATCTCATTTTTATTATTTTTCAGTAGTGATGCTTTTTATGAATTGCTGCATTAATCCTATTATTTATATAATCAAATATGAACAATTTAAAAAATCTCTTAAAGCTCTACTGAGATATGGAAAATCTGAATCAAATATAACAGTTGTTAATTAGAGTTGAAATATTTTAAAAGTTCAGTAGCTTTCTAGAAAGCTACTTCCGTCAATTATGATAGAATTCGAAGAAAACTTGGACTTTTATCTCAAAAGATCCACTATCTTATATGTTATGAATAAGTATGTAATAAAATCTACATCGTGTTATAAGACTATGATTATGTTTTTTTTTGTATGTTTGGCTGTTATATGTGCACCTTTGACGATTTTCATAACAATACATCTAAGTTTCGAATGTATTATATAACATGAAAAAATAAGCTTCTCTTTTCTTTATACTGACAGTGTCATATTTCTGTTACATTTCTGCTGATTCATTTTATATGTTTTTAACAATCGTTTATTTTTAGGGGGAAAAAAACCAACAAATAGATGGCGTTAATGTAATATTTCTCTTTTTTTCCGTGATATCTCTCTCGATTTGTTATCTCTGACTAAGAATCACATGATAAAGGAAGCGGAAATAAGCTTGTATAGCTTATACATTTTAAAATTTTATCATCAATTCTTGTCCTACAGTTGATCAACGACTACTGTAGTGATTATCAGTGATAGATCATGGCACACTGGTTTCACAGAAATCCCCTTAAAGCTTCAGGCCCTGTCAGTTTTGATCTACGAAGTGTTGTTTCGAGTAGTGATGCCCAAAAGATTTGCAGGTATTATTATAGCCCCTATCCAGAGTGATCAACTCTTTCTAATAATTTTTAATAACTCATGTTGAAAGATCTTTACTTTCTTGTGGATTTGTTATAAATTAAAGTACAAAAAAATGGTATTTTTAAATAGTTATTTTATTTTTTATTTTTAAATATAATTATGATCTTTTAGAATACATCTCTTAAGTGAAAACTTCCTGAATTATATATAATATTGCATTTTTGTATTTATGTAATATCAGATAAATGTATATTTGTATAGTTATAATGTTTTACTTGGTTTTTTTTTTATTGTAGTGATGCAAAATTGACAAGAGCGAGAATATTAGATCTTTTGAGCAATCCAAATAATACAATTGATAACTTGGAAGCGGCGGCAAAGAACTATGGAGAATTGTTAGCGGGCTTTGTAACAGATATTGAAGATCCCTCAGCTGATAGTAAACTAAGAGAAATGATCTTATTTAGATGGACAAATACTCTTACAGGCTCCAAACCAACGTGAGTTCATTATTATTAAAGATATGATCTAAATGTTAAAGTTAGCTCTTCTTTTTTGTTTTTTTTAGAGAAAAAAAGGACAGTATTTTTGAGTTGGCAAGTATACTGTTTAATTTTGCTCTATGGTATACTAAACATGCGGCCAAGATTGCAGCAAAAGATGAGTTTGTATTTTGATTTATTAAGAAAAGAAGCAAAATTTAAACTTGTTTATTCTCTCTTTTTCTTTAATAATAGGCCAAATATGGAGGAAGCAAAAGAAGTTCATAAGTGCTTACGTATCAGTGCTGGAATTTTCAAGTACATACAATCGGAACTCGTACCAAAACTGAAAGAAGCGCCTGAAAAGGGTGAAGATTTGGAGAATCGTATTTTGAATGCTTATATTCATCAATCTACAGCTGAAGCGCAGGAAGGTATAACTCACACCATTAAACTTTGAGAATAAAGGAAAAAAATTAATATTCATCCTCTATTTTTCTAGTAACTATAGCAAGGGCTATTGAGCTGAAGCACGGAGCATCTCTTATATCTGCCTTGGCGTATGAGACTTCAAACATGTATCAATCGGCGCACGACTCTATGATTAGTTTAGAGGATCCTAATCTTCTAAAGTGGAAGAAATATCTATTATTTAAGATAAATATTTACATGGCTTACGTAAGCGTTTACTCTTTCTTTAAATTTCAGATATGCTCTTTTAACTTTTTTATCTTACCATCACAGGCATTTAATTATCATGGAGAATCGTTATTAGCATCAGATAAGTGTGGAGAAGCAATAAAATGTTTACAAGAGAGCAAAAAACGTTAATATTTATTTAAAAAATATTCATGGAAATATTAATTATTTATAAAATTTACACAAATTATAGATTTTGACAGTGCATTAAACTTTGGTCAAGAATACTCGAAAACAAAAGGTCCTGGAACCACTTGCCGACCTCACGAGCATTTATTCTTCAGAAAATTAGGACCAATTGTAACAAGAACTCTTGATAAATGTGTTCGAGAAAATGGTTTTATGTATGTAAATTAATTTAAATAAAATAGTTTTTAATTAATTATGTTATTTTTATAATTTAGTTACCATCATAAAGTTCCAACAACAACACCAGCTTTGGAATTAAAAGCTACATATGGACTAGCGTCTCCTCAAGACTTTGAAGTTCCCGGACTAAGTAGTTTGTGGACAAAGAAAGCCTACGAAGGGTTTAAAATAGAAAAGCACGTTCCTGATCCTGTAAGTATCAGTTATTCCTAGTATCGAGTAAGTGTATATAGTAAAATATTTAATTATAATCAACTATTATAGAATGAAAATAAAGAAAAGGGAAAGGATGTTCCTCCTGTCAAAGAAGCCGATATTTCGCAATCAAAAAAAGATCCCGGAAATTCTAGTGGATGTGTAATATCATAAGAAGTGTAAAACCATGAAGACTGATTTAACCGATAAATTACATTGATAGAAAAGAACTTTATGCTTTAAAGGAGCCGAAGTAGTAAATAAATGATTGCAACGATTAAACTTTCACGAGTTTTCAATATTTACTTGCAATAAAATCTCTTCCATTTAATAAATGGATAAATATTTTATTATTCTTCAAAAAAAACCCCCATATATTTGTTTTCATATATAACAATTAAAGCATTCATTCGTATACTATGTTATAATTGAGTTTATATACATTTTTCAATACTGTATATTTATATATATAGACATTCTTTTTTTTGTCTAAATACTTTTTTCTTCATATTATAATATAATAATGAAGTCTCTATAAATCTAGAAAAACTACGATGTATTTTAACAAAATGGAGTAAAATCCATTTGCTCATGTTCAGAGGAGAAGAGATAAGGATGCAATTGATTTGGAATTGAGTTTAACTCATTATTTGAATTGTTATTGTTATTAACATAATATTCTGCTTTCACAGGCTCATTGTTTTGCTTTATATCGTCTAGAAAATTTTTTGAATCTATATCATTTGTCTTTCCTGCATAAACCAATTGTTCGTATAATTCTTTGGCTGCTGTAGTATGCCAATTCTCTATTGAAAAGATGGGTGATGTTTTTTCTTGGAAAATATCCGGGTCCATATTAGCAAACTCTGCTGGCATTTTCCCATATTTTGACGGACCGATATCAAGTTCTAGCTCTTCTAGAATTTCGTTTACCTCATCTTTACCTAAAAGATCTGGTACTGATAAATAAAGGCATAAGAGTGTAGGCTATGTTTCCTTGTGAATCTTTACTATAATTACCTGTAAAATCTTCTCTGTAATTTAGTGACCTTGAAGAAACAATAAATTCTGCTTTATGCGTATCAACAAGAATCTTTAGAGGACAAAACGGAACTTCAGATTTTAGGTTGGAGGCTATTATGATATATTAACGAAGTAACAGTATTAACAGATTAAACATTTGTTGAAAAGAAAGAAACCTATTTCACTCAGCTCTATGGCATCTCCATCCTTTTTAATAAGTTTTGTAAGAAAGGGACGCTTAGTATTCGTCCTGCAAAAGAAACACATTTTTTTTTATTATGTTGTACATGTTCAACTATAATGTTTTACACATTCAAAGCACATTATATAAAGTTTCACTTCATTCACGATTGAACTAGTAATATAAACGGCTAGCTTAATAAGCTAATATATTATTACTTGTATGAATTTTTTTTACCTTCTACAAAAATATTCAAATGATAACAAAGTAGGTACAAGACCACCAGCTTTTAAGTTTTCCGGCTTAATAAGTTCTTTACTCTTTAATATGATTTTTTTCCCAGACGAAGTTAAATATACAACTTCCAAAATTAATTCTCCACTGATATTTTTCGACTGGTTTTTACTAATAGTCGATTCGCTAAATCTGATAACGAAGGCGCCGGTGTCCTCTTTAGACAACCTTTGTTCAACTTCCTCCGTTGTGGCAAATCCATATATATATCTGATAATGATAAAAAAAACGATGAAATCTGTCTCTAATCGACTGTCTTATATATTTAAAATAACTAATAATAACCCTTTTAACCATTCATCTTTATTAATACAGGCACTTGTCATACAAGCGAAGAAATACTTCCAAAAAGAGAATGTACTATTTGGAACTAATTTCTCCTATAATTAATAACAAACAGATAATTTTAAAAAGTTAAACTAGAACAATGAGATCATCATAAAGCTTACCTTACTAAACTGACTCCAAGTTAGATCTTGGTGGTAAAAATCTTTTTTATTTGATCCTATTTTAAGAAACAAACGTAAAGATGATTCAAAATAACAAAAATGAAAGATTCTTACTCATTGCTCTTGATGCTAAATACGTTAGATCATCTACTCGTAAAGGTCTTTGATCCTATAGTTTTATTTAAAGGCTGTTATTAGTTTAATATTATTTACTAATAAACAACTTACCAATGTTTTTGAAGCTGAAGCTTTGAATTTATTGAAATCCTTAGCTGAATCGGCCATTTGCTTATTCCATTTAGTTGTTAAAAATTTCTCTAAGCATAACCAAGGTACTTCTTTAGGTAGTATGTTATCAGTAACTAGACCTCTCTTTTTTCCGTATTAATTAGAATATTATATAAAATACTCAATACATTTAACATTTATTAAACTATACCTGATTATTTGCAAATAAATTGAACCAATAAATTGTTCCGTAAGCGTCAACGGTTTGATTTACGTGCGTTATTAAACTTACAGGAAGTGATATTTCCTATAAATATAGAAAAGGAACAAAAAAGAGACAAGATTAAAAATTCACGTAGCATAATCTAAAGATGTTTACTTGGGCAGTAAAAGTTGGTGTATTCTTTAAACAATCTAATTTACATTCAATACGAAGTGTAAAGAAGTATTTCTTCTCACGAATATAGTCATTCCTATCAGACTTTTCATGTTGCATAACATTAGTAATTGGTACCTGAAAATGAATAATTAACCAATGATTAATTTTTTTATTATAGTTTTCATTAGTAAGAAAAACCTTTGTAATAGTCCAAGATCGGGTTCCTTGTCTGTTAAATTTGGATTCGAATTCGGTTTTTCCCATATGACAAAATTGTTTGATATCATCTTCATTTCTATTGTGAAAATCTTTATCATAAATCGCTTTGATTTTTAACGTAGATATTTGAAAATAGGAATTTTTTCCTAATAAACGAGCAGTCATTTTGAAATTCTTTATCTTATTTTGTTCTACTTTGAATACTTGTTGAGATTTCTGTTCAAATTCTTGTGTTGGTTGATTATCAATGATCAGGGCCCAGCTATTATAATTAATTAATTGTTGTTATTCTTCATAAATTATCATATTTAAAAAAAGAAATTACTTTTCAATGAAATCCCTTATTAAGGATATATAGTGATGATAAATATGTTCCAATTGAACAGAGTGGTCATTTTCTCGTTCTAAAACAATCCTTTGTAAAATACTTTTTGTTATAGAGAGGAAATCGTAGATTCTAAAGAAAGGAAGGGGTAAATTAAACAATTTATTATTAATGAAAGTTTCTCTGATGCTGAAATATATTACTTATTATCTAATTTCTGTAGTAGTTCTGTATTTCTACTCCAATTTTTAACAAGTCCGCTGTCAAGCTGAGCTCTTCTTTGAAGTATTTTCCAACAATCAATCGCATCCTTGTTATGAAAAAGTATTTTAATAGTAATAACACTATATGCTATATATGTAGAGCATGTGACTAAATAATAAAAGCATCATTACGCATAGATGTCGATGAAGGAAGGAAATCTTCTCATTAAGTTCCTGCGATTCAAGAATTTCTGCCAATACGGATGGAACCTGATGAGCAGAGTCATCGATAAGATAAACAAAAGTTTCTGAGAGATATTTTTTTTGTATACCTTGCTAAACTGTTCATTTATGTTTCGTATAGTACTCTCACATGTTGTTATCCTGTTTTCGAAAGATTCAATACTAAGTGTTTCTTCCCAATTTTCCATGGCAAAGAGTTGTCATCAAAGTAACTTTTTCTTCTCTTAATCCTTATTATTTTGTTGTTATTTTTAGCAATTTAATTGACTACGATCCAGGCTTTAGTGCATACGATTCAATTTTAATCACTAAACCTCGTGTTTTAAAAAAAAGAAGAGATAACGATAAACTATATGCAAGGTGGGATCGATCAATATCTAATCAAAATGAGTACATAAAGTGGGCCTTTATAATAAAATCGAAGATTAATATTTTCATCTTTTGCCAACAATAAATTGTCGCTTCATGCTATTTATCAAGAACGAATAAGACACTCTATACTATTATTACTAACATATATAACAACGAAAAACTTTTCTATCGTCTCTTAGGACATTTTCTAAAAATGCTACGTTACGATATCAAGCTAAAAATTCCAGTTACATACCTTGTTTTGGTAAATTTAAAGAAAACACAACATTCTCAAAGACAATAGTTTGAAAGTAAAAAAAAAAAGAGAGAATTTTCGAAAACTGGTAAAAAAAAACCTATTGTTTATGTTTAAATATGGAGTGGAAGAGATGATATTTTATACTAGTATAAAATTAAATATACTAGAATTTGTCCTCTATTCAAATTTACCAAATACAGGCCAAGTCGTTTTTTCTCATTTCAACAATATATATTTTATTAATAGAGAAAGCTACGTAATAAATTCTTTTAATATATAGGACATGAGGGTATTGTAGAAGAAGTTAGTATCACTATTTCATCATCAAAATAGAGCAATTTAAAAGTATAAAATGATGATGCAATAAACAGTTTTCTGCGTGTAATCTCTAACAAAAATAATCGATAGTTATTCGGTTGAAATCACATAAAATTGTTAGTATTCCATAGATCATTGTGAACTTTAGATGCCAATAATTTTTACTTGTTACGCTTTATATTACAGAACATTTTAAATAATTATATTTATATATATATATTTTATATTTCTACCTGTAAAATTCATAGTATTTACAATTTACGTTTCTCTTTTATAAGCGAAAGTTAATACTTTATTTATCAGTTTATTCCGTTTCTATTATTCAGATGAATGTATTTAAATTTTGAAACAATTTACAAGTCTTTCTTTTACTTAAAAATACTTTCATTTTCAATTAAGAATAGACAATTAAACAAACAAAATGCTATTTAGAATACAGTTTGTATTATTGTATATCAGAATTCTACAGCAATAACTTATTTACGAAGATTAAGTGTACTTGTTTATATCCAGTAATCGGTTAACTATCACTTTATACTTTGTAATAAATAGGATGTTTATATATTTACTTGCATATCAATTAAATGACATCATTGTAATTAATCTAAATTTGAAATGTTTATAGTATAAAGTTTTTAACCATTGATATCCTGCTTTTTTTTTGTACACTGTACCCTCAATATATTTTATATATATCTATAAAAGATCCATCATTTCTATTGGAATGCAACATAAGCGTATGATATTAGAAATTTATTAATGATGAACGAGGTTTTCATTTTTTTGTATATGTATATATATATATCTATTATAAATTAGACAGAATTCTATAAACTTCAATAGTATAGTTCACGTTTAACAGGCCTCCTGTGATTTGATATCTAGTCATGGTATAGCTGCTGTAAGATGCGAAAATTGCGATCACAATGTTTGCCAATTATGTTTGCCTCTTTTTGAAAAGATTCATTCATCAGAAAATATGAAAAATCATAAGATTATTTACCTAATTAATGAAAATCATAATAATGATAATTTTTTATCCGAAAGATTACCAAAGTGTCCTAGACATCCGGAAAGCGTATGCCATTTATGGTGTATTGACTGCAGTCTTGCTATATGCAAAGTATGTACCCAATGTGGTCATTTAGATCATAAATTTGATGACCTAGCCCAATTAGGTCAAACTAGATCTTCCGAACTAAGCCACGTTAAGAATAAGTTACAAATTAAGATGGATAATTATCGTAAAGTTATATCAGATGTAGAATCGTCGAGAAAAGCTAGTAAAACTACAGTATTTGAAACAGCTAGAACCCATTTTGAAAATGAAAGATCCAATTTGAAAAAATGGGTTCAAGATCGAATGAATAGCATAGATTATGAAGAAAGAGATATCTTAAACAAATTAAAAGAAATATATGATGGAATGAGTAAAGAAGAATCAAAATATTTACATGCAATATCGAATGATTTATGGAAAGTACAAAACTTATATGATTATATTATTTACTTGATAACGGATGCTAAATATCATGAAATTACCAAGGAAACTTGTGAAAAACTAACGAATGAAATATCGTTTATTGAAAATCCAATTCCTTTGCAAAATCGAAAAGTTCAACTTATACCAGTTCCATTAGAAACAACCAATTTTACTATAATTAAACTTACAACTGATAAACTAGACAAAGAGCTGTACGAACTCAGTAATGATAAGCAAAAATCTTCCACGAGTAGGGATTTAGAAAAGCGATTATTGCATCAAAGAAATGATTCCAAAAGTTCTAGCTCTAATTTAGAATCAATTGAAAATAGCTTTAAGAAGTTTAGCATTATGGAGAAACAAACAGAAAACGTTGAAATAACGATTCCTAGTTTTAGCAATCAAATATTAAAAGAGCAACCTCCGCGGATGAGTGATATGCTATTAATTCCAAAGGAAGTTGGTAACCATCAAATGGAAAGTGTCCTTTCAGCTAAAGATTTAAGGTTATATTGACAGAAATCGTTATTTTATATATATATACAGTATATAGATATATATATATATATACATATATGTGTGTGTATGTGTACCATATAGAATAAGTGAACATGAGGAGAAGTCGTCGAACTATACATCCAAACTACTTTCTATCAAATCTAGGGGGAAAACAGAAAAAAGAAAAAGATCGAAATTACCTTTTCTACTTTGCTTATCTTCCGAAAGTATGGACGCTATGTCGGAAAATGAATTGATTCTTACAGATGATAATAAAAGATTACCTAATAAGGATTATACAATCCGCGAAAAAATCCTTAAGAATCAACTGTTGAAAAATTCCACTGGAATATCAATAATGAAAAATCTATCTCCGCTTAAAAATGACGCCGTTGCTCAAATTTCCGGAAAGGATTTTTATAATGTTGAATTTGATGAAGAAGATTACATATCAACAAATAAAATAGAATTTGAAGGATTGGTATCATTTATATCAGTTACTCCAGAGTTAGTTGTTCTTATTATTAAAAATGAAACTGTTTTGAAAAGGGGAAAATTACTTTCACTTCAGATAACAGTTTCAGGTGAAATTGGCCAAATTCGAACTTTACACTCAGGAAATATTGTCAGCTGTTCATCCTCGTATTGTGGAACATATATAATGGTTATTACGGTAAATCAAGATGAGATAGGACAAATACATTATCTAAAACCACCATATTCCTTACAAACTGTTGGCTATAATATGTACGATGTCAGATCTGTCGCCTGCCTACCAGACAATACAATTATTGTTATAGGAAAGATGGATTATGATGATTGGTCTCTTTTTTGTTGGACAGCGAAATGTAAAAGATTAAAGTGGAAGGAGAAACTTCCGAGTTGTTTAAATCCAAAAAATGTACATTGATGAAAGAATAGATAAATCATGATTAATTAATTTATGTTTATTGCTTATGATTATAAGATTTGTCTTTTCTTTTACTATCAACAAACAATAAATAAAGACAAGATTAACATATAATGAATATAATAAGGAAATTATCATTTATGATTATGAAAGTATCTGGCTATACTTAGATAAGAAATTTTACAAGTGTAATCTTCAACCAAGTGGATTGAGATCGATATGTTCATTTAGAAACAATTTTTTATTAGGACTAGAAAAAAAAACCTTAATATTTAATGAACATGGTGAAATAATTGGAAAAATACCATTTCAGTTCAAAGATACAACATATTTGGCCTACGATGACCATAAGCATAGGTTGTATGTTGGTCACGGAGAATCGTATTTAACCGTTTTTTCACCAACACTCGAAAGGATTACGTAGGAAAAGATAATTTTGAATGAAAACTCTCTCTTTCTCCCTCTCTCTCTTAATGTTCTATTACTATTTCATATCTCTTCCGAAATATTAAACTTCAAATCTGTCTTGTACTCTTAAGTGCAAAATCGTGTTCTATCCTACTGAAACAGATATTATTTAAATCACACTTTATAAAGCTAACATTACTGATAAAAGAAAAGTTGCTTATTGCTTTAATAAAAATAAAAAGATTACTTTTTCAGCATCTAAGTAAAATCAAAAAAAAAACAAAGTTTTTAAAACATACAGATGGCGCTATAGTCTCCATTTGCAGAATTGTAACAATTAACCATCAATTCTTGCATATCGATTATCTAATCGTACTTAATATAGTATTGGTGCCATATACATAAATTTCAATAGAGTTATGTGTGTTATGTAGCCAACTGCACAAACGATTTGTTGTTAATGAAAATAATTGTGGGTAACAGTGCGCACTTCAAAAGCCTCCTTTATTAACTCTTTATTGTTGAAAAATTCTATATTGATTTTTATCAAAATGTATCTAACTATATACAAACTATATAAATAAATGCGAAAGTAGTGAAAAACTTTATTCATTATACAAAAAATATTCATTTTGTATTGCTATTACCAAAAATAATATATACAGTATATATAGTATATCTATAAATAGTCCATATGAAAGTATAATAGTTTTCTTATTTAGCAAGTGAAGGATAGTGTAAAAGAAAAGCTTCTTATTAAAAATATTAGCACTTGAATTGTATATACAAAATAATGATAAACTATCGGCCTATATTGTTAAATAATAAATAATAATAAAAAGAATAAAATTCGGTTATTAAGATGAATACCATTATTATAAACTAAAAAAGAAACTTTGCAGTATAGCTGATAAACTGTAAAAAATAGAATTCAAAAGTCAACGTCATTTCTGGCGTGAACGCCTACTAAAACTGATAACATTCTGATTACGGAAGATTTAAGAATCTTTATCTGTATCATAGTCTATCAAGAATATCAAAAGCTTATTCAAACAAATCAAACTATCTACAGCTTAGATATCTGTTTTAGATTATGCAATAATAAAATTTTACTTGTTAAATAGTCTTTGCATGAGGATAGATAAAAGTAATTTGTCCCTTATTTAAGTATAATAGAAATTAAAGGGAACAAGAAAAATAATTGCTATCGATTATCGTCTTTTAACATTTTAATTAGTTGTTTAAAATGGAGCATGGATTTTTAAAGTAAACAGTTTTACATATTGATTTACTGTGAAAAAACCTCCTCCCACCTTCTCTAAACTAAGTTAAAATTATTCAACTAATCGGTTATCTGTCGATCAGATTATTTTAACTACCAATTATAATCCTACAAACAATCTGACTTACTGGCATCTTGCCTGTAAAGCGGGATAAAAAGATTTTAAAAATTAGATATTAATAAAAAAAAGAAGTGTCCTTGTTCACGGATATGACAAAAAGAGATATGTGTAGACAGTTTGTTTTTATTTTTTAAAAACTATATTCTATTATAAGAAATGGTTGATTAACCGCAAGAGCAGAAGTTAATATTCTTATCCTATATGTATTTGGTTTACTTCGTATAGGAGATATCAGCTTATCGAGAAATCAAAAATGAAAAGAGCTCTTCAGTAATGGTCTCTATTGAAGTATGCTGGTTAATGATACGTTTTTTATTTGATATTGGAAATACTTACATAAATGACCTTCAATATACTATATAGATACCAGAGAGAGGTAGAGTACCGTAGATCACATATCTTAAATTTATTATACGAAGAGAGAAGGTCGTAAAGAAATTTTTGTTAGCCCAAAGCAAATCATTCGTCGACATTTTTGCAATATTATTAAAATTATCTTTTATAAACCTATCATTTGACCCGAATGATTAGAAATAACACTGAAAAAAGTATAAAAGTATTGCAAGTATTTAATACAGTCTATAGCAATAAATAGTGCACTATTATAGAGAAACTGTAAGAGTTATAGTAATTTAATGTATTTCATCTTATTTAATTAAAATATATATATATACAGTATATATAAATATAGATTAATGAATTAACTGCAATAATAATAATAATAATAATAAAAGCTTTATAGACATGTACTATTTGTAAATAATTCTCATTATATTATACGAGACATAAAAGGGGAAACATACGAAGAAAAACGAGTATTGATATAAATAAACATTATATTTAGCTTTAAAAAGTGTTTATTATCTATTTATTGATAATTGTTGGCGCAGTTACCCTCCGAGTGAGAAAAGCTACGTAAAGGCATTTTGGCATAATAGAATAATTTAAGGAAATGCGAAAAGGGGGGCCCTATTCAATTCTCCTTTTTTATACTATTATCGATTTTATTTTTTGCAAAATTTTCACACCGTTGTCACAATTTAACTGAACTAAAGTAAATTTACAAACGCCTTATGGTAAATATGAAGTAGTTCCACTAAACGCATAAATTATAGTATGCTCTTATCAGCTTGATAAGAATAACAGTACTTATCCGCCTTAGATAAGACGACTAACAGTTTTTCATTGTTTTGTTAGCTAGCAACGGTTGTAATATATAAATATAAATTTTTTTTTCTTTGCAGAAGAAGGAAATATAAAATAAAATAAAAAAAATAAAAAAAAAACATGGAAACTTAGCATAAAAACAAAAAGATGGTTTCTTTCATTTTAAATACTTCTGACTGAGAATATATATGTACATTAATATGTAAATACATATATCTATTTATAGATTGTTGTAAATGGTCCGATATTTGATTGGAAACTCTAAAGAAATAATAATAGTATATAAATAATTCAAAATATAGCCATGATAATAATAATAACAAATAAAAACTATGATGGCGTAGGGGGGGAAGGAGGGAGGGGGAGGGAGGAAGGGTAAGAAAACATGATGAGAGAAATTAAATCAAATATATAAAAAAAAAAAACATTTTGTAATGGTAAAGCACATAACAAGAACGTAGCAATATCATTTTTGTACTATCACAATCATAATTTTCAAAGGTCTTTTCATACATATATATATATATATATATATATATATATATTCATATATATATAATTACTAATCGATATGATTTTCGGCTTCCTATTTAAATATGGATTTTCATAAAGCCATGTTTTTTTTTTTAATTTCTTTTTTTCTTACAAGGAGGGAGTAGTAAAATCTCTCATTTCGTCCATAAGTTCAGCTCTCCTATTCGGAACGTTAGGTTTACAAGATGCCTTTTCGGAGTAGAGTAAAATAATTTCTCTATCGGCAGGACAAGATTCTTTGAAAGCTTCTGTCTCGTAAGCTTCGGTAAGATACCTCCAGATGGCGTCAAAATCGTTGGGTATAACGAAATCTTTATAAGCCTTTGAGGAAAAGGGAGAATAAAAAAAAAGAAATAGAATTGCTATTAACGAGAAAATTGTAAAATAACGCATTAATAACTAAAGTTAAGCTGGTAAAACTAAGCTGATCAATAAATACCTGGACTATGAATAAGCAAAGTCAATAAAATGTGTATGGGATTTTTATAGCTTAAATTTTACACCGGAAATTTAAAATTGTCTTTTAAATAGAATTTTATATAGTTAGAAAAAGGAAATAGGCCAATTTCAATAACTTACTTTTCCAGCTACTTTGATATGTTGAAGCAGAGGCAAAAGATAGCAGTCAGCTTTTGCTAGAGTATCTAATATAAGAAATTTCCGTTGATTTCTTGCTAGGAAATCGTTCAGCGTTTTTAAATTTATCAGCAATTTTGTAACATTATCTTTTTTATCCTTCAGGAATAAATTAAAGGAATTGTACAAGTTTTGAAAGGCCAACTCCGCCTTCTTTTCACGCTCTGCCAATTCGGAATGTTCCTTATCTGCTATCTGCCTCTTTTGAATCGTTGTGCTTGGCATTAATGCAGAATCGAATTTTTCAATTAGTGCATCGATTTCGTCGGTATTATCGCAAACTTCCCCTCCAATATCGCTACCATTCAACGTTGTTCCTCTATGGACTTTGACAATGGGATACTGTTTACCGGAAGAAATATTTTTCACTTCTGGTGGCGGATCTCTTGGTAAGAACGTTGTAACAACCAGGTCGATCTGACCCTCTTCACGTAATAGATAAAACATCATAAAGTATCGGTGGCATATAGGACAGTTTCCATTTTTCTTCTTATCGCAGCCAGCCTGTAAATATTTTTTTTATCAAATTTATTGATTGATGTTAGGCTTAAAGTGAATTTGCAATTGTACGGGCAACTTCAATGCGGGCTTTCATGTATTACTCAGATATAGAAGATATAATTTTGGCAATTTTATTAATAAGACTCCATTATTAAGACATTTTATCTTATTAAGTTGCTATCTTATCATTACAAAGGTATTTGCTAAGCAACCGACTAGCCACTGATTAACCTTTTTCTTTGAACATCAAAAGCGGTAGATGTATTCAAGCGTAACTGTTTAAATGAACATGATGAATTATATCTTACCTTTACAAAGAGTTCTACAACAGGCCTGTCAACGTCTTCAATATATTCTGTGTTTTGGTTTGCACCTTCTTCCTTCTCTTCCGCTTTCCATTCACGAGAATGCGACAAGTCTTGTTGATCGTTATATGTATGGTTTTCGTCCTCAGCATTGTCTTTTAAGTCTGTCAAACGGGGCTGTAACTCTTCTATAATATTTCCATAATTTCCATAGGCTCCTTGATCAAATTCTTCAGCCATCTTTTGCAACTAAGTGTAATTTATTAGAGGTGAAAAGCGTTGATTTCGGTTAGTTTTAGCCTCGCCCTCTTCTCAGGTAATCCACGGCGCGCAACTAGCCAACTAATAACCTAAACTGGTTTCTTGTCCACGTAGTTCGGTCACCTGTAAAGTTTACCAAAAAGATGGCGTTACCATATATGGGAAAGAGAAAAAAAAGCGAATTAAAACCTATAAACTATACTAATAGTATTAACATTTTATTCAAGTATAGAAAATAAAATGGAATATTAATTAGGTCAACTAAATAATCATTTATAGATAAAAGTCAAGTTTAAACTTTTCTATAAATTTCTAACTGAACTAACAAGTGTTAATCTAGGTGATTTACTTAAGAATAACCTAGGTAGTTGTTAATTTTGCCCCTGATGAATTATATTTAACCTCAACCCTGGGATATCTCAGAGCTGTCAGTAGATGTCAAAATTCTTTTTTATTGAACTCTTTTTTTATTGTTAAAAAAAAGACACACAATAAGAAGCAAGAAAAGTTTCAGACGTTCCTAAGCCTTGTATATGAAAAGTCTAGATTTTTTATCCTGTACTTAATACTTTACTTTATATATATATATATATTTTAAATAACAAATATAAAGAAAGGAAAAAGAAAGAAGAAGTACAGGAACTATTACTCGAAAGCAGAGACAAGAGCTTTTATTTTCAGATACTAAAGAAGAATTATAATATTAGATTCTATGTTATAAATGATTGCAATCGAGCTACATATTGACATGCAAGGCTTACTTTTCCTTCCCTGAATACAACAATTTCTGAAACATGTAGGTAAATCAAGTGGTTACACGATGAAGAAAAATGTTCCTCTTATTTCCTAGAATTGTTATTAAAACAATTATGAGGATCTTTTATATACATTTCAAGATTTTCTTCTGTTTCTCCCTACGTCTTAATTATCTACCAGAGACAACTCATTATATTTCCGTTTAATATTGAAAGAAACATTGCACAGAGGCAAAAACAAATAGACATTTTTGTCCTGCGTTAATAGTAAATTACTGAGTCTTGTGAGACACATGATAGAGCGAGACAGTGTGTGACAGATAGACAGATACAGAGAGAGAGAGGCAAAAGATACGAGAGAATTTGTTCCTACTTTTTTTTATATGGCCGTTTTAAGAAATTATTATATTTATCGAAATTTCAACTATTTCCTTTGGAAATTGTCTTTCTTTCTTCTTCCTTTAGCGTCTTATTTGAAGCTCTATTTATTCACATAATAATTTCTCTAGTAGAAGATGTGCTTTACTAAATCCAAGAATAATTAATGATTATTATAAAGTTAGTTGTTAGGAGCTAGATAAACAACAGTTTACTTCTATTTATGGTTCGCTTTGTATTCTATTATTAAAAATTCTTGTTATGTTTACATCTATGTATATTCGTAGTATAAATGCAGTACAAAAGTATAAAATACAGTGTTTCTATATAGAATATATATTTTAAGTATAGAGTATGTTTTTATAGAACGTATTTTATGATTTATTACTCTAAATCAAGCGATGAAATTATGAATGTATGCATACATTAATCATAGATAAAAAAAACAAGAATGGAAAAACTAACATTTACATGTCCCGGTGCGGGCAGCTGAAAGCTTTTTTTTGCTCTTCTTTCATAATAATTCATCTTTTTCTCTCTTTTTTTTAGTTAACAAACGAAAAACATTGCTATATCTATGTATGAGGGTTAATGTTAATATATAAAAATCATGGGTAGATAGCTAGATTGTTCCAGATAACTTCCTAAAAAGATAGATGGATAGAGAGACAAGAAGAGGGAGAGAGAGAGAGAGAGAGAGAGAGAGAGAGAGAGAGAGAGAATGTATATTGTATATAAATATCTGTGAATGTTTGTGTATACGTAAACTGTGAAAAGATAAAGGTGAAAAAAATTCTTCCATTATAATACAATGCAATACAATCGGAAATATTCAATAATAATATTTGGTGATTATTAATAATTAATTAACAATTTTTTTTATAATTTAAAAAACCTTTTCTCATTCATTAAAGGCTTGATAGGGTGTTTTACGTGGACAGTGTGTAAAGGGGCTCGATGTGGTACGAAATAAATTCAATAAAGGATTTAATTTTTATACATCATTTCTTTATGTTAAGGCTATATCAAGGAGTGTAAAAGCTGTTGTTCCTGTTCTAGAAGATACTTTACATGCTTTAGACCGGGTTTGAAAGAATTTCCACCCAACTTGCCCGAATCACTAAAGTCAATGTATAGTATATTAATTATTTAACCAATTATTAGAGGAATTTTTTTTAATATAATTGTATTTTCTTCAATTCTAAAAAGAATTATCATAAAGAACAAATTGACCACAATTCCAGCTTATTCTGTCAAATCCAAGACAACGGTAATAGATTTATTTGAAAGAACTATAAATCACTTGCTTATTCTTTATGTTATTTTTAAAATTTATCAGACATATTTCAGATTGTCTAACAATGGAATTGAAAATATCGAACCAAAAGCTTTCGCTGGTTTACCAAATCTTCAGACATTGTAGGAAATAATTAAACATTTGTACTCTTATTAGTTTATATATAGTATACTGAATATATGTTTTATATTATTTAGAAATTTAAAAGGGAATAATATAGAGAATATAAGCAAAGAAACATTTCACGGATTGAGTAATTTGAAAGAATTGTAAATTCTTTATCAATTGAATATCATTTTGAAAAAAGAAATTTAATTAAGGATTGTATTTTTAAAAGGTTACTTTCTGATAATAGGATAAATGCTGTTGAAAAAGATACTTTTCATTACTTAAGTAAGGTAGAAAAATTGTAAGTATTATCCTTATTATTTTTACTTATCAATTAAAATGCTATTTAATAATAAGAAATGATTTTTTTAGAATTCTACGAGGTAATTTAATATCTTTCGTAGCGAAAGAGGCTTTTCTTTTAAACTCTCTAATATCGATGTAAGATTTTTAGTAAGTACTTTAGTAATAATTTATTTAGATGTATTTATTGTAGAGATATGAATCATTGTAAACTGCAGTGGAATTCTTCGTTCGAATTATCCATTGGAAAGAAGCTAAAATATTTGCAAGTTTTCTTTTTTTTCCCTTTCTTGGAAAACATATTGTACTAATACACTTTAAATTGCAGATATCTTGAAGATAATCAAATAAAAGCTATTGGTTCGCGCTTTCTGCCAAAAAATCATGGCCTTTCCTCTTTGTAATTCTTTTTTGCTTCCACTTAATCCATTCTAATTTATCTTAAAAAATTTTTTTTTCTTTACAAACCTAAAATAGAATCTTAAATAGAAACAAAATTACATCTTTTGGAGCCAACTTTCCTTTAAACGAAATATTTAAATTGTAAATACTTTATTTAAAAATTCATTTATTAAGTCTAATAAAATGTCTTGCCTGCAAACAGGAGTTTAAAACACAATTTATTGACGGAACTTCCTCTGGATTTTTGTAAAAATTACAAAAAATTCTATTTTTCACTGTAAATTGATTTTGTTGAAAAATTAAAGATTATAAAACTATTTTCTCATCTTTAGAGACATTTCATTTAATAAGTTTACCACATTTAAGAGAAAAAACTTTAAATCTTGTAGATTCTGGCATTTGTAAGTTTATAATAAATGTCTACAAGTCTTTATTTATCTATTTATTGCATTTTTTATAAAGAGGTATCAGAGGAATGAAAATTAAGAATTTTGATAAGACAATGGTTAGACTCAAAACAATTGATCATCTGTGAGTAAAATGATAAATACTATTAAAAATGACTTATTCATTTAATTTTTTAATAATATTCTTTAAAAGCTACACAAGCGATTCGAAACTTTGTAAGAAGTTAAATGCAAAAGATTGTTTTATTAACTGATAACAAAATTATACCTGAAAAACTTTTCTGAATACACTAAAACAAACATTTTTTTTTTCATATCTGCTAAAAATGAGTATATACATTTATGTCTTTCCTTTCATATTTTTATAGTAATATTTAAAGGCAAAATTTATAGTTGCTCTTTCTTCAATAAATACTCATTATATTCATTTTCAGATATCAATTTTCTTAAATTACCATCGTGATCTTGAAGTTTTTTTGGCATGACAATAGCAATAAATCCATCAGAATTTGGCTGTAAAAATTATGAATTATTTAGTTGATGTTTTTTTTTAGTAGATGAGTTTGAATTATATTTATATTCTCTCTAGTCAATTGAAATAAATAATAAACTACTGTAAATATAAAGCTCTTAAAAATGTATGAAAACGTTTTACACTGGATTGATAGGATTTAGGGGTAAACAAGTAGAGTATTCAATTGTTTCATTTCTATAAAAAATTCATTCAGTATTCAAAACTTAACACATGTAACATATACAGTATTTCCTTATTAGATATTATCTTACTATCCAAATTTAGTAGCATAATTGATTTTAAATTAATAATGAAAATGATAAATAGAAATTTAAAAATACATAAGAATTTATCTATCGTACATATAAACTTTTACCTTCTCTATTAAGAGTTGCGGCTTTTCAATCAAATTCTCATTAACTTCAACAAGCATCCCCTTGATACAGCTGTATACTGTAAAAACTTCATCATCTTCGCAAATTATCTTACAGAGGATAGAATTTTCATTAAGGTTTTGTGCGCCCTGAAAAATGGGAATATTTAAAAGCTGAATATTTAATAGGGATAAACATACATGCTTTTTCTTTCCGGCTACCTTGTTACTTAATCGATTTGTTTCTTTGTCCACTTGAAAGTCAATTTTCTTTATTACTTTTTTTCCATGATATAATGAATGAGATATTGCCAATGTTATCACACTAAGTCTATAGAATTATAAGACAAAATCATACAATAAGGACATTACTAAGCTATTTATTTTATTTTACTTGTTTGAATGAATAAGAATGCACTGATCAGACCCATTCTCGTTATTGGCGCCTGAAATAATAATGGACGATAATACAGTGACAATGAAGTAATTTAGCGAAATTCAATGCTTTAACTAACTTATTTTATATCTCGGCGTAAAGTAACGTTCGGCAACGCTTGGATATACTATATTGGTCGATATATTCGAATAATCAAAGTCGTTACTATCCTTTTCATCAGAATGCATGTCGCTAGTAAAATCAAAACCAATTTGTATTAAACCACGTGACAAAAAGCAAGATAGGACTTTTTGAACAGTTTCAAAGTTAGAAACAAATTCAAAATAACATTTTAGTGATTTTTTGCTTTTTGTTTCCTTCGATATTTTAATAGAATATGTTTTCTTTAGAGAAATTTTAATAAACATCTTTTTCACTCATTCTATCTATTTCCTTCCTTCCTTGTTTCGTTCATTATTCTCTTTCTCTCTCTCTCTCTCTCTAACAACTAGTTCTCAATTTTGCTTGAAAAAAATTTGAAATTGGAGCTTAGTTCCAGAGTATTCTCCAACAATCCAAAGTTAATATTGAACACTTCATTTAATCAAATAATCTGTTTCTTGATTATGAAATTTTCCATCATTAAGAAATAGTAATAGAAATGGTAGATTTTCAGAGTTTAAATATTTAGATGAGCAGCTAGCTATTCCTTTTTATGAAGTTTATAAATACAGCTTATATATATATAAAAATCGAAGGTAATTGGTTGCAACATTTCCAGATGGATAAAGCAACTAGAAAGAGAAAGTTTGATTTAGTAATGGAATTGATTGAAGAAGTAAACATGAAAGAAATAAAGTGTTTGGAACGAAAAGGATACAAAAATCATTAAACATATTATAGTTACCATCGCTAGACTTATATATACAGATTATAAGTCTGTAAATCTATCTAATAATCTACTAATGAAGATCTTATTTTATATGACCTCTTTATTAGCTAAGTAATTTGACAAAATATAAATATCTTTTCAGGTGCCCTTTTGTATTCATTTTTTTTTAAATTTTATATAGTATATAGTATGGAATATAATAAAGAAATAATGCTAAAGAGCTCAGTAAGCAAAATTTTAAACGTAAACAATGAAAATCCTATAAAGAAAATGTTTTAGTAAATATAGAAAATATTTATGCTTTTAATGTCCTTACATTGATAAATCTCATTCTTTCTCTCTTATCTTTCTAACAACACTATTGAAATAAATAATTTATACTTTTCATTTATATAATTTTCTCCACTTAAAATTCTATAAATGGTTTATATTAATATTTAAAAAATTAACTTTGTATACTATGTTATATCTGAAAGTGAAGTTTAGAAGATAGCGCCATCTTAGAATTGAGAAAAGAAAATGGCTATAGATATACCTTTCTCTGAACAAACAATATTTCTGTCGGTAATAGTTTTCCTATGGATTGTATATTTATGGGAAAGTTACTTGTCTCACCGTCAGGTATAATCGACTCAAAAACTTATTTCTGAAATTAGTAATTATATCAGAAATATGTTTAAGAGTTATTTCTCTGAGCGATAATACAACTTTTATGACCTTTTATCGTTTTAGATGAAACTCTTCAAGAGCACCGAAAAAGTGCCTCGCGAAGTGGAGCAAATTATGGATCAAACTACTTTTTCCAAAGCTAGATTGTATCAAATTGACAAAGCTACATTTGGATTTTATCACGGCTTGTTTAGCCAAATAGAGAATAGTGTAACTTTTTGAACAATCTATTTTTTCAATTTTTTAATTATTGAACAATCCATGTGATAATAGGTTATTTTATGGTATGGAGGTTTACCTTTCGTATGGTATTACTCAGGAAAACTACTTGCTGGTTATGGCTTTGATTCCACTCACGAAGTATTTAAATCATAGTTTACATTGAAATTTTAATGATGATAAGAAAATGAATTTTAGATCAAACAGTCTATGATATTTATTTTGTTCTGTTCGATTTTCAATATGATAATCAATATCCCGTGGGATTTATATAGAACATTTGTAATCGAGGAAAGACATAATTTCAACAAACAGGTAAATAGTTTCTAATTTTAGTTTATATTTCAATATTTAAGTATATTTTTATTTTTTAGACTCTCGGGTTTTACGCTAAAGACCAAATAAAAAAGTTTGCTCTAACAATTGTAATAATACTTCCTATTACAGCAGCCTTAGTTTGGATAATTAAAGCTGGAGGCGATTACTTCTTTATATACGCTTGGGTTTTCGTTTTTGTCATTTCTTTGTTATTGGTGACTATTTATGCTGATTACATCGCACCTCTGTTCGACAAATTTACTGCCCTTCCCGAAGGGGAGCTAAGACAGAAGATTGAAGACCTTGCAGCCAGCATTAATTTTCCGCTGTACAAATTATTTGTAGTCGAAGGTGTGTAAAATAATTATCCTTAAACAAACATATTGGTAAAGTACAAAAATATATATCATTATTAGATAATTATTAAAAATATCGTAATTGTTTCTTAGGCTCAAAAAGATCTACTCACAGTAACGCTTATTTTTATGGATTCTTTAAGAATAAAAGAATTGTTCTGTTTGATACTCTTCTGAAAGACTATGTATCTAAAGATGAAAGAGAAGAGAAGGAAAAAAAAATTGACGAACCAGCTAAAGAAGAGACAGGAGAAACAGATAACAATAAAGACGAAGAATCAACAACCAAAGAGAAAAAAGTAGGAAATCTTACATTTAACATGGAAGGAAATCTCATCTATTTTTGTTTACAGAGCATCGGATGTGACAATGAAGAAGTTTTAGCCGTTTTAGCACACGAACTAGGGCACTGGAAGCTAAGTCATAACTTGAAGAATCTTTTTATAAGCCAGGTAGACTAGAATGAAATTATAAATTCGTATAAGGAATATACAGTATATATTAACATTCTTTTTTAACCTAGGCAAACGTTTTGCTAACGTTTATCGTTTTTGCCACGCTACATAACAACAAAAAAATATTCATGTCATTTGGATTTATGAATGAAATGCCAACCATTATTGGATTGATAATAATCTTACAGTTTATCTTTTCACCTTACAATGAGGTATACATACATATTTTTTTAAAGAAAATTGAGTATAAGATAATTTGCCATATCAACAGGTGTTTTCTTTTCTGATGACCGCTCTAAGTAGGAGATTCGAATTTCAGGCAGACGCTTTTGCTAAGAGCGTGAAACAAGCGGCATATCTCAAAAGTGCTCTGATCAAATTGCATAAAGATAATTTAGGTTTTCCTATTGCTGATAGTCTCTATTCTGCTTTTTATTTTTCACACCCTCCTCTGTTGGAGCGTTTGAAAGCAATGGATAAGCTTGATTGAAACTGAATACAATTATTTATAATTTTTTTTAAAGCTGATATATTCGTACTTCTCCCGCCTTTGTTCTGTTTACACCTCCTAACATGACAGCAATACATTCTTGAATAAATGTTACCCCAATTGGTTGCATAAACACATCAACCGTATCGACATATCGAACTAAAAACCGAATAAAATTGCCACGTTTATCCAACAATTGTACTCGCTTATTACCCGTATCAGCAACAGCAATAATATTATGACAAGAATCGATCGATGTAGGAAAATTGAATTGTTCGGCTCGCTGTCCATACCCTCCTGTAGCTGTTAGATATTCTAATTGATCATCATAGAATTGTATAGTATGCTTAGGAGTATTTGTAATAGCTATCTCATCAGTTATTAATTTTGTTAATCCTCCTATATAATTGCAATTTTCTAGCTGCTTCTCCGTCTTGACCTTGCCGGACTTACCAATTACGTAGAGTCGACCCTCTGCATCTCCGATCATTATTTCATGATTTTGTATATGTTGAATCGTTGTTACATAAACAGAACTTGATAAGTAAGTGGCCATCATGAATTTACCACAGAATGTATAAGAGCATATAGCTGTGAATTGGTTTTCGGCGACTGCAACAGTAATTCGATCATTTGCAACACTAATGCCATGGCAGAAATTCGATCGATGAATAATGGGAAAACTGTTCAGTAAGGCACCATCTTTCCAAACAGTAACTCTACTTGTTTCTTTGTCCGATATTGTTAAACAATTTCCGTTGCTCGCTAGAGAAAGTGGTTTTTGTAAAACTTCAACTCCCTCTCGGCCAAAATTGAGTATTGGACACTCATTTTTCGATTCCTTTACAAGTATTGTTCTAGTACCGCAAACGCAACATCTAAGAACCAAATCTTAAATATGTATATACACTGTATATTATAGATATAGGCCTAAAAATTACCTAAGGAAGAATCTTAATTCCACAATACTTCCCGCTATAAATTGATCGAAACAATCATTGCAGAAAACATGCTGGCAAGATAATTCATTTATATTTTCACTACAATTTTGGCAAACTGTACACTCTGTCATGTTGAATAATATTCGGAGTCTAGGTAACGAGTACATAGGCCTACATATTGGACAAAGTATTTCTTCTGTAATTAAGTAATTTTGGAACGGTATTAAGCAGAGGTTTTATACTATATTTAACTGGCTGCATTAGTAAATTAATGAATTTATTATCTTATACTTTTTTTGCGAGGTGAAGAGTTATTAAGGTTGTGTTATTTAGGCAGGTGGCGCTGGTTAAATCCTTAAAAACTGTTATATTTTTAAAAAAACGTAAAATAAGGTCAAGGCCATCTTTTATCAAGATGTTCGATTATGATGAGTTTATTCGTCAGAAAGTCGGCCATCGGTCAGTAAAATGTGAAAAATAGCATTATTATGTTCTTATTATAGTGTTTTTAAAAAGTTGCTTAATTATTAAAACTTTTAACAAATTGTATTGTGATCTGGAAAGAATTTTGAAGCGTTCACCTAATTATGGGAAATTTGAAGTCATGCTGTAAAGCACCTAAAGACATTGATTACTCTTTTCCAAAGAGTCCTAAAAGAAGTCCAATAAAGAGTCACAATAGAAATTTATCGGCAACGTTTAACGTATCAATAGCTAGTAACGTCAGTGATCGACCAGCTCCTCACTGTATTGATGTGAATACAGCAACGGAAGAGCAGCTAATGACTCTCGATGGAATCGATAGAACAATAGCTCATTTTATAGTTGAATATAGAAAACGTCTTCCAGGTTGTAAATTTCAGAAAATAGAAGATGTCGCCCTCGTATCGGGGGTGGGTGCAGACCGATTCGCTTCCTTTCGAGATGAAATATGTATAAAGAAACCGTTAGAAAATAGTAAAAAATCAACAAAGCATAGTCTCAATACTTCCATCTTATCAGATTTAACAACAATTCCTGGTGTTAACGAAGAAATAGCAGGCAATATTATCAATTATAGGAAAACTAAACGATTTATGAGCATAGAGGACTTATTGAAAGTTGAAGGAATAGATGGGAATTTATTTAATAAAATAAGCCATCATTTTACTGTCAAGGATGAAAATTTGAAACCTCCCATTCCACCAAGACCTTCTGAGAACTATAGCAATTTATCTAAAGACGTCCAATTTGGCTCTAATTCATCTATCAATAATCTCTTAGAATTTTTTCTTCCTCTTATAAAAGAATCAAAACGTCCAACTATTACTAATTATTACACATTTGAAAATAATAACCGTCCCTGCATAAGAATTGCGACTTGGAATTTAGCTAGATTATCAACCGAAAAGGCTTGTAATCCTGGTGTTTTAGAAGTAGTTTGTATGACCATTTTAGAGCAAGGAATAAGTGTTCTATGTGTTCAGGAAATAGCGGATAAAACAGCATTAGAAAGAATACGAGACGAACTAAATAGGCCTTCGTTAAGTCATGTGAAAAAGTTCCAAAGTAATTCTAGAAAATGGGATTGCCTTACTTCTAAAGCCTCAGGCAGAATGTACCAATCAAACGAATATTTGGGAGTACTCTACGATACAAATATGAATATTACTATATCAGCATCATCTCTAGTCGAATTCGATGACGACGGAGTCAAATTATTTGTTAGAAAACCCTTCGTTGTATCTCTGCAAGTAGGCCTAAATATTTCATATATTCCTCTCATCTTATTTAGACTTACATCTAATTCATCTTTCCATCATTTTCTTTCCTGTATAGATAAATAAACTGGACGTTGTTCTGGTGATTTTACACTTAAAAGCAGTGTCTCACGATGGCTCCGGATCCAATAGGTAAACATAGCATTAACATTTGACGAAAATCTCCTAATTCTGGTTTGTTGCATTTTAATTAATTTGAATAGAAATGAAGCGGAAGCAAAGCGTACAGCTTATTTATTGCATTCATTGGAAAATTTCTTGGCTGGAGAGAAAGATTTAATATTATTAGGAGATTTTAATTTGGAGTCATCAGCGAAGCAATTCGATGTATTGAGAAGGAAAGGATATACCCCTTTAGTTAATGGCAATACTTTCACGAATATTAGTACGAAGAATATAGAAGGCAGTAGAAGCTATGATAATATTTGGATTGGGCAACAGACGAAAAAAATTCATACTGGTAAGTGGATGTTTACGAGTGGGCGGTGGCCAATACTTTCATTAAATATACAGCGAATAATGAAGTACTTCTTTTTGTAGGAAGCGTTTTTGTTGTACGTTCCGGTCTAACGAATGCTTTAATCCCGGATGTTTGGAGTTGGGGTGGAGTTGTCAGTGACCATTGTCCTGTTTACGCAGAATTTTATACCGATGAAGATCATGATGATACGTACATTACCATGAAATTAGATGGAATGCAAATTGGAGATAGTTAGCAAATAAGTTAAATAAATTATGTTTATTAGTGCCGTATATATTCTCGTTGACTAGATAAGGCGTGGATACGAGACAGATAAACTAAGGCACATAGAGATACAAATCACAAATGAATTAAATAGGAAAGAGACAGTGAAAGCCTTTTTATCCAAGTTTTTTTTGTATACATTTTTTCTTATTATATTGTTTCTTATCAATTTTTTCCTTTCAACAAATTTAGATATTTTTCGGTCGATTATTAGTTTTTTATATTTTCATGTTAAGATGACTAAGATTCTCTTCTTTGTGTTATTGATTTAGTTTTCTGGTTTTTTTTTTGTTTTTTTTGGTGGCCTTTTTGTATTACTATTTAGATTGTATTTCAAAGAATTTCCAATGTAACATATTGCCTCATTATGGAGGGTAGGTGTACGTAATGTAGCGTATCGAAAAGCGGTTTCCTAGCATAACGCCGAATTGCCAGACGGCTTTGCTGCTTCAATGACATGGGTGAGTCTTTATGCCGCTGCAACAGACCAACAATGGACGGCATATGTCTCATGCTGACATTGATCATTTCGGACGTTACTTCGCCGCCAGCCATTATCAACATCTTGGCGACTTTTTCGATAAGTTCATTGACGTGTTGATGCTGGCGGCGTTTAGGTACGGCTTCAAGCAGTCTAGATAGGATGCTGTCTTGGTTGGTAGGCCTAGAACCAGCGAATAACAGCAGCTGCATAATAGTTAAGAAAGTAGTTGCTTCCTTCTCCCTCTTATCAAAAGAGACGCTCCACTCTCCTATTTCATGAATACCATCAACGGCTCTTCGAAGAGGTGTTTCCCCATGCTTGTTACGAGCATCTAGTATCGCTCCGGACCGAAGCAAAGCCTTTACAACTCCTACATGTCCGGCGACAGGAGTTCTTTCTGAAGGCTTCTCCGGATCGGAATAAATAGTCCGAGATTCAGACTTAGCAGCAACATGTAGTGCAGTATTACCCGCTTTGTTAGCGATGTTGAGTATGGCCCCTCTTTTCAATAATTCTTGAACAACCGGCATGTGATGTTCCCGAGTAGCTTGAAGAAGGGCCGAATTACCCGTAAATGGATCAACCATTTCATCTGCTTCTTTTTCACTTAACTGGAGATTATCCAGAGACCAACGAACGGAGAGCGGATAACTTTCCTGACATGCCCTTGAATTAAGTTGAGCTCCTCTGTCCAGCAGTAGTCTTACTACATTCAAGTGACCCATTCCGGAGGCCATAATCAAAGGTGTACAACAACTATGATCCCCAACGTCCACTTGAGCACCAGCCTTTATGAGTGTTGTAGCCATTTGCAAGACTTCAACTTCATTCGGATACTGGCAGGCTAAGTGTAATGGAGTTGCTTCATCGAAAGGTGTCACGACATTAACATCTGCTTGGGCAGATACTAATTCATCAACAATTTTTGCATAGCCCGACAATGAAGCATAATGTAGGGCGGTCATCTTCTCCAAACCATCGTCGAAACGATGAAAGACATCTAATCCATTTGGTTTTTTGGCCAAGAGACGTTTCAATGTCTTAAGGTCTTTCGATTTAATGGCCTCTATAAGACGACCAGCTTGCTTTGCGTCAGAAAAATTCGCTAAGTTGGAACAACGAAAATTCGACGAATTGTGAGAAACGGCACTGCAAATCGAAAAGAGATAGTTTTTTAGTTGAGTTTAAAGAGAAGATAAAAGTTTAAATATAGTTATAATGAAAAAAAAAGACAAAGAGCGCTTTCTAAGTAACTGTTGTACATATAAAAGCAAATAGTCTAAATTCAAAATCGCTTTGGGATTTAGAGAAATTCTCCTGGATAGTGTTTAGTTTTGTATTAATGAAGTATATTTCGCACAGAATGATAGTAATTTCTAACGCCAAAGTAAGATACTTTAAGGCTGAAAGGCGAATCACGAACACACCCTCCAAAGAAAAAGTCGACAAAGACTTCCTGCACTTGTACAGAATATATCTTATTCCTCTTTTATACATATCGACTAATCCCTAAGAACTAACTTTCTCAATTTTAAACAGAAATCGTTCAAAAACTGTATGAACATGCAATAATTACAAGAAATTACATTATTCGTTCGCCCTTACTTGATGGTAGAAAGCGTTTAATTAATCAAAAAAAACCTTATAATCATTTCTCTATAACGTCAAGATAGTTTCGAGTAAAATTTCCTAAAACAAGCGATAAATTAATGAGTAAAGCCAAAAATAAAATAACTCTAAATCGAATAAGCATAAAAAAGACGTTCTTACACAGTCAGAGCCCAATTCATAACCTATCCACGACGATGGAAAAATGAGAATAAAAACAACATCAGTGGAAATTTTCATGATTAACCCCGAATATTGCAGTGCGTATGATTGCAGTCACTCGGTGCAATTTTGGACGCCGGCGCGCGTGTTGCTAAGCAAAAAAAGCGCTCAGGTAAAGAACATATGATTATTTAAGACAGCAAATAGTAAAAAAATGATAACGAACTGTACAGTCTGCATCTTGTGCCAAAGAACGTTTGAAGCTACGAAGTAACAGTCCAGAGCCATTACCTACCCAAGAGCGGGTCCTAAATGCATTTTGGCTGGAAGCATGCTAATCGATTACAGATATATAATTTATTCCAAGCCGCGTGACTACCTCTGCAAACGTTTTCCAGTTTAAACTGGTTTACTGCTCCATCTGTAAGCGTATTTTTATTTTTGTTTGTAGAGCCAAAATAAAAAATAGTATTCTTTAAATCGGACAAAAATATGTTTCTAGCAAGATTAAAATAGTTTGTTCAGTAATCAATTACTTAATAATCTATTGCGTTCTTTGTAAACTTGAAACAATAAATACAGGTGACTCCACCTTTTGGTAAAACAAAGTAGAGCTTTTACTTTTCACTAGAAGTGGAAAACTCTTTAAATTAAAGAAAAAATTTCGCTGACAAAGTAAATTTTCGTTTTGTTTCATTTATTAATAAGATTGGAAGATATTGTATAAATAATCTCTTTCATAGTTCATTTTCGTGTATAATTTCCGGTATTGTGATTATTTCATAAAGCAACTGACCAACTATATTAAAGATTATATGAAGAAAGCTTCTAAATGATCAATTATTATTTATTTATTAGTAATTTTCGTAATTTAATATTGATCTTGTATTGTAGCACTTTTTGAAAACTCTATATATATCTATATATATATATAGATTATATTAGTTTTTATTTTAAAGATAACTAATCCTCATATTTCGGCAACTGAACGTCAATAGCATGTTTTGTTACGCAATCAAAAGAAACATTCTGTATTGCCTCTAATAATAGTTTTTCTTTTTTTGTGACATTTCTTAGGCGTTAAGCGATTAAATTCTTAATTGTTTCAACCCATTTCTTTCAGCATTAAATATTTATTAAAAAGAGTTGTCTTTTAAAAGTTAATTTTAGTAATAGAACTAAATGCACAACGGAATACTGCTTTCTCGTCTAAACTCATTTCAAGATGACTAGAAAAAAAATTTCTCTATCCCTTAAGAGATTAACTCTCTGGACCTAAACTAAACGATTTCCAAGACATCCTTCGAACATCTCATTATTTCCATCTAAAAATTTGCAAATTTCGCACTTTAAGATATATCTCTCCCTCCCTGTTTTTCTTTCAGACAAACTACAAATTTATATTTAACAAGGGTTTCTTACAGGGAGTAAAGTCCCTTGGAGATTACTCAGTTTGCATCCGATCTTTTTATTTTTTTAGGTACACTAATGGAATAAGTTGCCAGAGTCGGTAAAACTTCCCCAGAGGGGATTATGTAACAGAAGAAATTACCAAGAAAGAGCTTAAATTTCCCTGTGATTTTAGTTCATTTCTTACATGTAACAATAAATATTTATATATACTGTATATACAGTATAACTACAGTTACTTGTACGCTGTTTTCTTAATATTTATTCATATAATAGTTAATTACTTGAAAATAAAAATATACAATAAATAATTTTCCATTATTTATTAATAAAGAGAAAGGAAGAGTATTCACCTTAGAAAACCAGTATACTCTATTAATTATCTTTTTTTAATAGTTAACTCGTTAACAAACGATAATTTTTTTTGCTTATTCAGCATGAAATAGAAATGATAAACAATTTTCGAATGCCAAGCATAAATCTCAAATTATTGGCAAAGTCATTTGTTTCTATTTTCCTTTCTCATTTATCTCTGTGATTTGATAAAATATGTTATGTTAATATTTACTATCAACTGGTCGAATATTTCTTCTTTTATGACAGGTCTTGATTACAAAATATAAGATACTTTTAGTGTTATTTAGAAGCCCAAACCATTGATGATGAAGAATTATCCATTATTGAATCATCAGGCTGTTAATGTAACAAAAAAGTTTTTTTTAATTATGTTTATATAGATATATAGATATTTTTAGACATAAAAAAGCCTTCAAAGAACCTCAGTTTGTTTAGATTTTAGTAGTTGAGATTTTAAATCTCGGATAGCCTTTTCTTTAGCAAAATTAACTTGCTGCTTGACTTGCCGAATTTGAGATAGTAAATTTTGAGCTTCGTTGACTATACTCTTTACACTCTGAAATTTTTGCCGAATAAACATTTTTTTTTTGTTAAATAGATATAAATAATAAAAAATATATTATTAATCCCAAGATTTTACCGTTTCCAATTGCCACCATATTTTTTCCTCTTCACACGTCGTATTAGTGGTTACAGATGGGACGTACAAGGTTTGCCCAGTGGAATCTAAATATAAATCATTTTTTAACATTTTGCTCTTTCTCTTTCGAAGAGTCTATTATATAAATTATAAATTGTTTTCGCGTAGTTCTATTATAGTTGTACCTTGATAAACGTTCCCTAAATCGGCAGAGATAAATTGTACAGGTATTATATCTGAATTAAAAGAAGTTCTTGACAAGTTCGTATCAGATTGTGTTGGTATTACTGAAATAAAGCATAAATTTCACACATTTATCCTGAAGACATTGGATATATTTTTAATAATTTACAAGTAACGTCGGATAAGGCTTGGTCGGATAACGCTAATCTCTTCACCGAGGTAGAAGAACTTATTTCTTTTTTCTTTCTTTTGTATGGAACAAAAAATCTTACTGGTGCATTCTGGAAAGGAAAGAGTCATTATGCTAGATGTTACTTAAATAGATTAATCATTAAATTAAAGTGAGATATTCTAGAGGAAAACCACCTACAACACTCTCATCATCACAGCAAGCTGAACATGTACAGGATGCAGCGTGAGGAACTAGAATACCATCCTCAATCAAGAATTGCAGGGGTCTTCCTCCATAACGTATTGATCTTTTCCAGTCTTTGCTACTACCTCTTCCGCAAAAATTTTCAAATTCATTGGGGGTAAACCACTTTTCATTAACTCGAATACACTTTCCCCTACCACCCGAACCGAACTTTTCTTTGTGCAGGAACCCTGTTACTTGTTTACATCTTACTGTTAATACATCTTTCATTGTTGATGCATTCCATTCATATCTATATGGTTTTCTTTTCATTGATCTACGGTAAGATGGTTCTTCATTTGGCTGTAAACTATCAACCTCCTGAATAACTACTTTGCTAGAAGTTTCATTACATCTGTCATCTTGTAGGTCGTCGCTAATATGTTCTGAATTAATATCAAACGAACTATCGTTATCTGTTGTTTCTTCATTCTTGTCGGAAATTTCAAATTGTTCCACCGTAACATCTTCGGAAAAGGACCCGATAGTTGCCGAGACCTTTTTTGAATTTGAATCTCTCTTATTATCCATTGTGCTTCAATTTTTTTATTTGCAATTGGTAAATAAATCCACCCTGATTAATCTAATAGACGTTTCGTCCCTTTAATATTTAGTAGAAGAGCCAAAAATAATATTGAAAGAAATCTTCGGCTATTTTCGATCATTTCCGCCTCTAAGGCTGTCGCAAAATTGAGAACTATTTCAAAATGGCGGAAGGCTGTCAAGGCGCCAATTTTCAAACTACAAAAACAACTTCAAAATAGTATAAGATTTAAATTTTATATTAAATAACATCTAATTAATATTACAAAGAAAGGATAAAAGGATATTATTATTTAGAAGTTCTTATAAAGAAGAATTTTAAAAATAGATCTTCAATTATCTCGTTTTGATAATGCTTTGATGACAAAAATAATTTTTAAAAATTCCACATTAAAGTTGTTGTCGTATTAATAACACTATAAAGACGGTAGGCTTAACTGTCTCAAAAGTATTTCAATTTTTTGCTGTCTAGTCTGATTCTTTGTCAGAGTCTTCTTCAAAAGATAATGGTGATCGAACTGCATCTATCCACTCGCCAATGACGGGTCGGCAATTTTTATCTTCAATTAACGATCTTTTGATTAAGTCTCTATATGGACAGTCTAAAAAATCTGATGTATCATTGTTTAATTCAGCTTTAACAGTGTCAATATCAGTTACAATAGTATTGTGCCATAGTTCATATGCCGCCAAAGCTATACCGTAAACATCCGCTGGTGAAGTATAAGTACCGCCTCGAATAACCTCGGGTGCTAGATAAACTGAAACGTTCTCCCCCTCTTTAATATCTATTGGTCTTGCTGAGCCCAGGTGACAAAGCTGTACCTTGTTACTTTGAGCATCAATCATTATTGAATCTAGTCGAACCTCAATGTGTACTAATTTTTTTGTGTGCAAAAATTCTAAAGCAAGGCTTGTTTGCTCTAAAATACGACGTCCTACGGAGAGAGTATGAATACGACCAGCCTTGGGCACACGCCTCCTCCAAGCAAAAGATCTGGCGCTCTTTAGATGTTGTTCAATTAAGAGAGCAGGTGCATTTTCTACGGGTAGACTACCGAGTAAGAATGCAACATATGGATGCTTTACTCGTTTCAAAATATGCTCCTCGGATGCTATATGTCTTGCCGAAACATTTCCAGTATACAATTTTACTGTACATTCGGCACCATTCCAAGAACCTTCCTTCAAAAGACTCCAGGTACTCTTCCCGCAAATATTCCCTATTATGACCGATTCAGAATCAATGTCGTATTTCCTAACATATTGATTTGCAAATTTTGCGATCTTTTCCTGAAGTTTAACAAACAAATAAAAATACAACTTTTTTGTTAAAACCTTATTGAATTTTAAATAAAAGTTTAATTACTTTGAGGAGAGGAGCCAAAGCGTTGATACATTTATGTCTTGAGGTTATTTCAGCACATTTTCGTCTATCAGCAGCAAGAGAGTGCATAACTCTTCTGGTATCATGTATTATGTGAGGTATAATTGCTCGAGCATTACTCAGAGTTTGTCTTAAAATTTGTAATTGGTCTTCGACATATTTCGTAACTATACATTCATTGCTGATCGTTTCAAGCATTTTCATTGAATAGTCTCTCATGTATTTTTCCCTATCTCGACAATAGCTTAAAAAATCTCCTCTCTGCCTTAATTTCTTTATTAGGGGAAAACTGGTTGATTTCGTTGGTCTGGATAATTCACTTACGTTAATTGTCCTTGTAACATCTTCATCATTGACGCTCAATAGGGTTGGCATATCTCCTTCTAAAACCTAATTAATTTTAAAGATATTTTCATACTCATTTATCGCTTTTTGAGAGAAATATTTTAAATTTACCTTTGTTGTGTTTGCCAATTGAGATTCAATAGGCATTAACTTTTCCCTACACGAATCTCTAATACGACTGTAAATCTTTCTTAACAATTGAGTTCTTTCATCCCATTCCCTTAAAACGTTAGCAATTCTTTGCTCGACATGACCGTGCAATTTAGTTTCCACATTGGGCCATAAGTCGGAATGCTGCGTATAGGGAAGATGATCTTTACTCCACATTGACATTTTAGCATGAGTATTTGAATTATTTAGATAAGAGACGAGATTCATCGTCGCGATTCGAATTTCTTCGTCTAAAGTTTTTTCCAATTCTGAAATAGTTTTATCAGCGTCTCTTTCAATTCTTTCTAAACTCATAGAGAGGGCGTGATGTCTTTCTCTAAGTTCAAGGGTATTCATTTCATCCCAGGCAACATGAGCAGCCACAATATGTAATGCCCTATTTGTCATCCTTTCTAGCCACTCAAAAACGACTTCTGTTCTGGTTCTTAAAGCACTTTTTGCAGCTTCATCAACCTTGTTGCATATTTGAAGTATTTCCTCATCTGTTAAATGAGAACTGGATGCTGTTATAAAATGTTCTGCTTGTAAACTCATTGCTTCTTTCTCTGATACTTTAGAATCATCCTCCTCACTCATATAAACAATTACTGATGCTCTTGGTTCGTTAATTCTATCAAGCAAACCTTCTAACTATTAAACATGATACGCTGGTTTTTAATTAAATCAGTCAATTTAATTATCTTATTCTTACGTGTTTATCCTCACTGGGACTATCAGCGGATACGTATACGAAAGCAAAGAGATCATGATCCGCCAAGTAATTTTCTAAGAGTCTGTCTTGCGGAGGCATTGAAGCAATTGTGACCTTTAACTGGAGATTGAAGGGAACATAGTGAAAACATTTAAATCTCATTTTAAAAGTGCTATACCTCTAATAAATCGTTTGGAATGCAAATATCTAAAGCTCTTAAATTACCCGGGATATCGAGCATAGATATAGCCAATTGTTGAGCACAAGGAATATCAAGGGCGTCAATTTCATATACCCTTCCCTCTTCTGTTATTATCCTGGCGCTAGGTTTTTCCCCGAATCTGATAGTATACGTTGGAGGAAGACTAGTAGGTAAGACTTCGGTTGTTAGCAGTTTGTTTACAATATTCGTAGAGCAGGGCGAATTGGAACCTTAATAATTATAACAAAAAAGGGTTTGTTTATATAAAAAGTTTCCTTCTTTAAAAGGGTATGATGGGGTTGGAAATAATTATAGACATTATACCCGAAACGACTAGTACACAAGCATGACGAGTTAACGTTTGAGTAACTCTTTTAAAATCTTCTTTTAACGAATTTCTGATGATGTTCTCTTCAATTAACTCTCTCTGAACTGATTCATCGACATCCTCCAATGTTGCCAGCAGCTCCTCCAGCAATGATCGTAGCTCCTTTCTCCTATCTTCATCTTCTAATCTAGCAGATAATATGAGGGAAGACATAGTTTTTCTTATATTCAAGATAAAATAAAGAAAGAGGACAGTAAAATCTCCTGGAAAAATCTGTTAGATGGGATTTTTACCCAAAAATCAATACGATCTGCTGTTCTCTTTTGCACAACATCAAGAGCCATCTAGCGGACTATTCATGTTTCAAAAATCGTAAAATTATCTTTATCACTGATTTTTTAGATAATAAAGACGATATATTAGCAATCCATGTACTTATATTAAAAAAAATGGCTGACCAAAACAATAAGGTTGTAGACATTCTCTTTAAATACGAAGTTTTGAACATAGGAAATAAGAAATTGAAACTTTCTAAAGGATTGGCGTTGAACCTGATTGTATTTCTAATATCTCTTTTATTTTTTATCATTGGATGGTCAACCAATCATTGGTATAAAGCACGAATAGAATACATATGGGGTACGGATACCTTTCAAATAGGACTATGGAAAGCTTGTACACTTGATCATTGCTATTGGCACTATCCGCAAAATATAAAGCATAGTTTTAAAGCTGTTCAAGCTTTGGCAATGATTATATTTTTGGTATATATATTTGGCTTAATCGTTTATAGTTGGATATTTAATGCATTAACTGATGATGAAGAAGATAGCTATCATTGTGGAGAAGCAGTTGAATCAAATTTTTTAATTCTACTGCTATTGAACGTAGTATCGTGTAGGTATCTTTTCATTCAGTAGTTTTTTTTATATATAAACAACAACTATTCTTTCTTCAGGTACTTTTCAACTGATAGTAATAATTATTCATTCAACTCTTTACCATAAGTATGAAGAAAATTTTAGTTCTACTACAATAAGCTATTCATTCATAATGATAATAATGAGTTTTGTGTTTATTATTCCATCCACGATCTTATCGACTTTGATATTTGTCGTAAACAAAAAAAAGAAACCAAATTCAGAAAGAAGTGCAAACTTTTCTAATATACAAAAGCCATAAAGAACAAAGAGATTAACGACGTAAAGACTATAATGTATTAGCCAAATATTTTCTTTACTGGTTTTTTGCTTATGTACTATTTTTTATAACATTTTCAATTAACCTGCTTCTTTTGTCCATTAAACAAATAAGATTTCTGTGGCTTTTATCCAATCTTTTTGAAAATTTTCATTAGAAAAGCGTTCTACACTTTTTCTTGCATTTTGTCGAATTTTTAACAGATTTTCAGGAGACATTCTTATTATATTCGAGATATATTCTGCATATTCGTCAATTGTATCCGCCAGGAAACCAGTAGTTTCTCCATTAAGGGGTGTAACTATATCCATTTTAGGACCACCACTTTTATGGGCTAATGCTATAGCTCCTGCTGCCATACACTCAACAACACCTAACAGTTTTTAAATATATTAATTTGATATGTTAAAATTTAATAATTTTTTATTTTATTCGACTTACCAATTCCAAAATGCTCATTCCACATTGTATGTAAGCCAATAGCCGCATTTTTGAAGTATGTCAATAAATCTTCGTAGCTAGCGTTAATCTTAAATTCTACTCTTTCTCGAACGCCTAATAAATTTGCCAAACTTTTTAATTTTTCTACTCTTTCTTCATCTTTCTGATTTCTAACAGAACCAACTAACATCATACTTGTTTCGGTATCCGTACCAAAAGAAAGATATTTAGCGAAAGCTTTTATTTGTAATTCATGATCTTTCTCCGGGCGGAATTGGGCGACGGATAACACAATTGATCTTTCATTATCAATTTTCATATTTAATAATCTTTTTAAGTCAACAGGGGGGAATACTTTAATAGAGTCTATATTCCATAATGAATCAATATGATTTTTAGTCCATGATGAATTAACCATTACACACTCTGACGTTTTTCCAGCTAGGCCGTATAGAAAAGCAAACAATCTATAATATGAATGCTTTACAGAGGATAAGATAGATGATTTAGCAACGAGTTGAGAGTTATTATGAGCTGCTTTTCTGGAGCTTACTTTGTCAAGCATGTCGGTGCTTATGGTTGGATAGTGAACATAGCAGCCAACTTTTGATCCTATTATCTTAGCTATGGGAAGTGTAAAGGCGTAACCCATTGAATCAATGTAAACATCAGGAGTAAATTTCCACAATGCTTCTAAACATAACAACATAGATCCGAAGCTTTGACCAGCAAGGGTGAAGATTGGCCAGCATTTTGCTTCAACTAAAAATCTACTTTTAAGCCAAACAAAACTAACTGGTCTCTTTAGAGTTATTGAAAAATTTTCTTTACATTTTTCTATTATCGATTCAGATGTTGCATCTAAATCTCCACTGTAAATTGTTATATCAGCCTTAGGATATGTCTGTTGAATACTATTAACAGCCATCCAGAGTACTCTCTCTCCACCACCCCCAGCATTACAGTATGGATGAAAGAAAGCTATACGCTTTCTATTTGAATTTCTTCTCCTATTTATGAAACAGCACTTGACTAACCATACGCAAACCGTACTGCAGAGACTGAAAATTTATAAATAGCTATATTATCGCTCAGCGGTTTGCAATTATAGAAAAGAAAATAGAAGATCAATTTACTGAAAAGAATAATGCTAAATAATAATTACCATAAAACGATGTTAGATAGAAATCTTAAAAGAAACGTAAAGATAGTGCCACAAATATTCATTTTAAGTTGCGCAACTCTTAGAGAATTTTAAACGTCATCTCGAACGCGTAACTAATAAAAAATATGTTCAAATATTCAGCAAAGCTAAGCGCAGCACAGCGGCTGTAAAAATTTTTTTGAAAGAGCACAGTATTTGCTGTGTACACTTTATGGCCAACGTGTTAGAGCTTATAATTGTAATGGCTAAAACTAGAAATAAAGCTACAAATTAGATCTACGTGAATTTTTAATTATTTAAGATATAATTTTACTAAAGAATTCTCTTGTTTCCATTTAAAAACTTAATGAATTTTTTTTAATAAATTAAGTAAAATTGAACTTTAACGTACCTATCTATGTAATTCAGAAATAAATAAATGCCATGAAAATGAGATATTAAATTACAAGAAAAAAGCTTTTTGCTTTCATTTAATAATTATTTATTATTAAAAAAACGAGCAGATCATCACGTTTCATCTTGGCAGAATATGGCTTGTTTTTTTTTAATCTATTACAGCATTTTATCAATTTACACGAGCAATAATGGCAAAAGAAAAACCCAATAACATAATATAAAACTCTAGCATAAAACAGTAATGCAAGACAATTGGTTGGTTGGCTAAGATAAATCATTATCGCTAAAGAAGATAATTAATATACTTAAAGCAGAAAACAAAGGCAAACCAAAATTTCACACTCATAAAAGAGAAATAAAACTAACAATACTCCAAGACAATTTGAGAATCAATAAATTAATGAGAGAGAAAGAGAAAAGGTATGACTATTTAAAGGTGTGAGATAGCTTCTTTTTTTATCTCAAATGTAGACTAGTGCATTTTATTTGCTGTCTTGTTTGGTTATTTTCTTTTTTTTCTTTGGTTTTTGATTTAAAAAACAAGACTACTTTCCAGAAATTTAAAATACAAAATAATTTTCTTGGGAGGAAAGAAACATAGGAAGATGTTGGAAATGGAAGAAGCTGTTCATAATCAATCGTCCTTTTTAAGTCTTACTAACTCTTCGCTGGTTGACCACAATCTCTCAGCTATTTCAATGTCCAAAGCTTCTTGAATTGGTACGGATAATTTGCAATCGCTGTATAAGAAGAAAAGTAATTCTTATTAACATTGTTCTTTTAGCAAGATGAACATATTTTTTCTAGCTGTTACTGTTTAAATACTTTAACTGGAAATGATAAAAAAGATGGACATAGAAAGGTAACCTACCTGAAGTATTTACCACTGACACCTTCTATTTCTTCAGATAAAGCACAATAGAGAATGGTATGGATCCCTTGTTTGGCATTCTTTAGGAAATGTTTTCCCAATTGGTCACTTATCATCCTTAAAAATTTATATCTCATAAAGAAAAAATGTCTGGTTAATTGAGTGTATATGGCGCCTGGATGGAGAGCATATGAGCAAGCAACTTCAATATCTAATCTTCTCGATATTTCTTGAGTAAATAATACCATAGCCAGTTTGCTATTGAAATATGCCACAATAGAGTTGAAACCCCTATCCATCATTAAATTATCAAAATCAATATGTCCAAAAATATGCGCATGAGCGGAAACATTTATTATTCTAGCTCTTGCTTCTAAAAGATCCAGCATAAGGTTCGTTAATAGAAAATGTCCTAAATAATTAACTCCAAAAATGTATTCGAATCCGTCAATTGTTTTTTGATAAGGTACCCCGACGACTGCCGCATTATTGATCAAAATATTCACACGAATGTTGGAGTCTTTCAGCTCCTGAACAAATTTCCTCACAGAGCTTAGCGAAGCCAAATCGAGATGAAAGTAAGAAACTAATGCCGATTTACAACTAGATTTAACGTCTATGAGCGCCTCCTCCGCCTTTTTTTTATCTCGACAGCCTATAATTACTCTTGCACCTGAAAATATAAATAGAAAAATATGAAATATTTACATAAAAATTAACAAAAATTCTAATCTTTTTCTTAATTATCGTAATCGACTTTTTTTTTGAATGGAAATGGGTGGAGATTCATAAATGAGATAGTTGTATGGAAGGTAAAATATTCATTTATAAAAAATAAAGTTCCTAATTTAAATAAATATAAAAAACTTCATATTGTTTAAATATAAAGCAAGTTTGAAAAATAATTTATAGATTATCGTGATTTTTAATTTCTGTTTTTTAGTGCTATAACCATTAATATAACAGTGAATATATACATTATTTATATAAGTCTGGTATAAAATTAATTATACGGTGAAAGATTTTCTTCGTATAATTTTGTCTGCATGGAAAATACTTTTATTAGGTTTGTTACGGTGACTAATAAAATACAGAAGTCTGGCAATGAGATCTTGAGGCTGTATACAAAATTGCATGAAAAGCCGACACTGAATTTCTCAAAATTTTTAGGTTTTACTATAATACCACTTATTGAAAACAATTTTAAATTACCTCTAGAACATAAATTTCTTGCAGTTTCCAATCCTAATCCACTACTTCCTCCTGTAATAACAACAGTTTTCCCATCCAGGCGAGCATCACTATGAAATTCAATGGGTAGCATAACATAATGTCTGGAAAATTGAAAATTTTTTATTTTTTCCTATTACAATGTGTCAACTATGTAAATATACTAACTTGTAGAGGTAGTAAAGCCAACCAAAGGTGATACAGGGCAAAATAAAAGACAAAATCGTACTAAGAACCATTCTCTATTCTTAACCAGTTTTCTAGTGAAGCTGTCTAATGTTTTACCATTTTCACCCGCTAATTTCAAACTATCTACATATATCTATTACGCCATTGTAGCTTATAAGCTCAAGTACTTTTTTAAATATAATTAGCTCTTCGACTATAATGACCAATTACCTAATTATCCATATAAAGTATGATTGATTTAATAGGATTTAGTATCATTAGCAAGCAGTAAGCGGATTTTGCGCTGTGAAACAAAATAGCCTATCGTAAAAGATTGAGAATTTTAATTTTTCATTTTAAGTCGACGGGACTTAAAGTCATTAACAAAGGAATGTATGGGTTGTGTAACTAGGATTCTCTTGTGCTACAGAGTTTATAAGTGAGTGTCCTATTAGGATATATAAATGAAAAGAAATCGATTTCAATCAGTCACTGATAATTTTCTGTATTGAAACAAAACGCTTTCTTAGACTTTAGAGCATCCCCAGATGCCGATAGTTGAAAATATATTTAATCGAGCTGAAATGCAAAGAAAAAATTATAATTATTACATTTTTGAAATAAGCCAAAATTACCTTCTTGAAACCGATATCACCAGCATATGCTCTGAAGCATTGACGGCACATATGTAATCCGTATTTTCGGATAAGACCGTGTCTATTTCCGCAGACTCGACTGCAAGGAGCGATAATACAGACTTAATTGAGTGACAAGGCATGGCACATTAAAGGGTCGGAAATTTATGATAAAAAACGATATTTTTCGAAAAAATTATCGTCGGATATACAGATAAGTACTTATTATACATTAACTTACCAAAATCGAGAGCCTTGGCCGTATTTTCTAGGGTGAGAATGCCAAATGTTAGCGAAGCCCATGACGATTTTTATCTCAGGGGGAAAAAGGACGCATGCGTGGTAACGGACACCGTTTTCGATTATGGCACAACTGGAATACATTTTCGTCGCAGTAAAACATTCTTAATAAACATTTGTTAAAAGCCTAAAAATAAGCAAATTATTTTAGTGTTGGTTATAACAACTGTTGTTAGTCAATGGACGCCACAACGGCTGGTACACCGGTCTCTGATGGCCCAAATAATATTGTTAAATTAAATGTTGGAGGTGGCAGGTAAGAAAAGAAATTTTGTACAAAATAGGACTTTTTCTATTAAAATACCATTTTTAAAGGTTTACAACTTCACGAGAAACTCTCACATGGATCCCAGACACATTTTTTACAAGGTTTTAGTCACAATCATTTTGCATATAACTGATTTCTCATATAAAAACGATTTTACAACAGTCTTCTAAGTGGTAGATTAAATTCTATAGTTGATGAAAATGGTGCTGTAAGTAGAAATTGCTACAATGTAATAAAATATAAATTAAATATTCATTAAAAATACTTTCAGTATTTTATTGATCGCGATCCCGATCTTTTCAAGGTAATTCTCCACTTTTTGAGGACAAGACATTTACAATTAAGGTAGAATTCATTGAATGGTATTTATTTTATTGAACATAAAATAATCTGCAAATTTCAACATCTATAGCAATGATACATCTCCTGCTATGATTGATGCTTTACAAGTTGAAGCTGATTTTTTTGGAGTCACTCCACTAGTTAAGAGGCTGAAAGCTTGTAGGTTATTAACAGAGGACTCTTGTGGAGGTGTACACTTTGTATCTTCTCTTCCGCCGCCTGAGGTTACTGAGGCTGTTGAAGAGAAAACTGTTACCGTAATTAAAGCTCAACATAACTGGCTCGTAGCTGGCTATGCTTGTAAAAGATTATCGTTGTATCGAATCAAAACACCTCAAATATGGCTTCCTGTATGGACAAGCGAACAATTAGAAACTGTTGTTGATGAAGTAGCGTTAATTATTAGGCAGTCGAGAAGCCTTCTGTGTGCTAATACTCCCCGTGATTGCATAAAGATTTGGTCTTTTTTTTTAAATGGTCAAGTTCAAGAAATTGATGTCCTAAAACTTGGAGCAAATGTCACTAGTCTTTTAGTTGGGTTTGATGAATCTTTGGTAGCTATTGCAAAAACTGGAGAGATTGGGGTATGGCAAAGTACATTTTCAAGGCCTTGGACAGTTTGCAAAGTGGTAACTCCAATTTTTTCGTTTGCATTTGCCCCCAATCTAATACTGCTACTTGGCTGCTCTGATGGAGTTATTAGAGCTATAGATCTCCACAAACTCCCAATTAAATATATCAATAATTCTATGGCTGATTTATTAGTTACTGATTGGTATATAGATCCGAATAGATCAAAAATCACCGCTGTTTCAATACATCTACCTCATTGTAAACCTCATTCTTATCACAATAAATGGTTTGAAGTTGCCTATGGTACGGCTAATGGTAGTATACATATTCTAGTTCAATATCCGGAGACTAAAGCCGCGACGAATGGACCAGCGCTTGTTCAAACAATTCTAGTCCATACAAGCCCTGTTATTTCTCTGCATTTATCTGATCTCAATTTGTTCTCAATTTGTTCACAATATGGCCATGTTCGAACTTTTCAAGTAAAACGGGAATTAGGTCTTATGGCAACACAGCCTCACCCACCAACCAAACCAGTAGCTTCTTTTAGGATTCTTTGCTTAGATGATAATGTCGATGAATGGCAAATGAAAGTTCATGGATCGGAGAATCTTGTCTTTGCTCATAAACTAGTCCCTAATTGTAGCGAGGTTTATATTAGAAACGCTTTAAATGGTAAGTGCATAACAAGATTGGATGCCGTAGATGGTAGTGCCGTCACCGATTTACTAGTTCATGACGCACCTAATAACCTTGGTCGCTATATCATCACGGGACATAATTCTGGCAGTTTACAAGTTTGGGATTTTGCAGCCGCTTTAGAAATGGCTAAAACTGAATCATGCAAAGGGCCAGATATAAGTCGACTTGTACGTCATCTTTCAGGATGCGATTTGAACAGAGGCATGAATACCCCAACAGTAACACCGTGGCCCTCAAATGCGTCTATTAAGTCATCCTCCATTGGAAAATATTGGCACTAATTTCGATAGATTTATCATTGTTTTGTTATTTACATACCCTGTTAAGTTATTTAGGATTTAGTCAATTTGATTTAACAACAAGCACTTTTCAATATCATGTAAATCGATGGGTAGGGATTGTTGCGTTCATGTATTCTAACAATAACTATGAACGTAATACAATTCTATCTGCCTACAACAAACAATTTTACTGATGTTGAATAATAAAATCAAAAGGCACCAAGTTTTTTGAACATTTTTTGAGATGTAATAATTACCTAAGATATAGTTGGTGTAAATCTCATATAAGTCCAGTCAAAGCATTAACGTAATGAATACGTAAACTTTCACTATAAGCATATAAGCATATCATTAAGAAAAAGAATAATATCAAGAAATATTAAATACTAGTAAGAAAACAGTAATACTGTGATAAATACGTGCACATATAATAACATAGCTATAGTTTAGGGTGATAAAAGTATCCCGTATAACAAAGAAGTTACTCTTTGCTCAATTATTCGTTTTTAGGTGTTTCGTTCATATTCTCAAGTCTTTCTTTACGACGTCTACGTATTCTTGCATATGGTCCTATATCAGGATTGAAAATAAATTCCCAAAGAACCTTGAGAAAGGAAAAAAAAAAGGTCATTATTTCATTATGAAGGAGATAAATAAAAATAATATCAATATTATACCTTGCACCAGGAGTTGTGGCAAGGTAAATTGTCATAATATTCTGGTACCATTTCTTTCAGCTGTAATAATAGTTAAAAATCCATTTTAGTTAAAAAGGTAACGATATACAACAAACAAATTACAAAAGATGTCAAGAATATATTGTTAATGATTTGTGTTCAATAGTTCGAAAGTTTTAATAGCATTTTTTTAGATAGAAGAAAAAACAGTTTAAATGGGTGTTATGGTTGTTTAGTCTTTACAAAAAAAGAAGACGTTAAATTTGTTATGATATCAATTACTAGATGAATGATTATTCGTTTAAAACTCTTTCTTGTTTAAGCTGTTGCGATGGTAAACAACTATGAAGGGATTAGCTGCTTTCCATAACAATAGCGATAGATAGGACATATGCCTCTAGTAGTTATACACACAACTCTAGTGTCTTTATCAGTTAATAGTCTTGTATCGGTTTCAAACAACCGAAAAATAAACAGATTGTAGATAAGGAAAGAGAGTAAATAGATTCATAGATTCTTACCTTGGGTAAGTTACATCCTGGAATACTAGGAAAGTCATGATGCTCGTTATGGTATCCCACATTAAATGTAATCCAGTTCAATCTGCCATAGTAGCTGTACGTTTCGTAACCCTTGACAAACATATAGTGTTCAGAAATAAAATGACCCGCCACCGGATGAAGACCCATGGCAGTGAACGTTCCAAAAGCAAGGTAAATTAGAGATCTCCAGCCCATTGTGTAGACTATAATAATGTCAAATATGACTTGAATAATAGTATTTGCTATCTCAAGCAATGTTACAGGTTTAGGATTCACCACCAACGGCCTTAGAGCGTAAAAGACGGGCTGTAGCAACAGCCATACAAATTTCAATAAGGTAGTTGTAAATAATTTAGCTTCTAATTCATGAGGAACATCCATATCCTTATCAACGTCCCCTTGATATTTATGATGTTCCAAGTGATACTTTTTGAAGGATATTGACATGGGTATTCCTAATGGTAAATTTGCCCAAATTCCTAACCAACGATTCCATAGTAGTTTACTATGCCCAAAGGCAAGGTTATGTGAAATTTCGTGTATTGCCAAAGTGAGAGAGTGATTAATAACACCGCCAAAACAGTAGGAGACAATGAATATAGTTAAAAATGACGAATCTTTAACTAAGTAGCAGGCAATCAGCTGCATGAGAATCAATGCAGTAACTTTGTACTTCATATTTGGGTCACAACCCATCAACTTTTTTACTTGGGGATATTTGGCTGAAATTAAAAGCAGAAACCGCTAAGTCTTTAAATGAAAACAAAATGAAGGAAAAATATGCGAACCCATAATCTCTTTTCGCCTAGTTGCATGGGGTTCATCTGTATAAACCCATTCGTAATCTGTGCGAGAAACACCTTGTCCCATGTTTGAGTCTCCTTTGAAGAAAAATGGTGATGTTTCTTATCACGCTATGGTCGTACGATGTGGACAATAACCGGTAGTAAAATTGCGCATGCGCATGGAACAAACCGTTAGGGTTTTGTGTAAATTTAGTCACGATTTTTACCGACATAGCTAATATATAGTATACCTTGTAAACTAGACAAGTAACGTGGGCGTTTTTACTAAAATTGTCATTATTATTGGGCTTTTTAATAAATAATATGATTTATTTTTAAAAAGGAAGTTGAAAATTCATTGTTTCATATAAATACCTCTGTAATAATACCTTAGATACCAAAAAGTAAATTCATTGAATATCCATTAATATTGTTCTAATGTAGTAACTAGAAAATTTTTATCACAGTATTTTTAGTATACTTTGAGCAGATTTAAATACAGGAAGTAAAAAAAATAAAGGATATTTATTTTATTTATATAAAATACTACTGCTTGGAATATCTTGCCTTCTTTGCACTGAAGTCGCCTCTTTCTATATTCTAATATCATCAATTCATTATTTGATGTTATAATCTTTATTATTATTATTGTTCGGAAAAGAGTGACCTGATTCATTTCGAAAATAAAGATTCAATCGAGAAACCAAAATATATTCGAAGTTTTGACCTTGTCACTTTTGTTCGCGTGCCAACATGACAAATGGAGATTTATCACAATAGACAAAGAACCTATATATATATATATATATATTGGAGATTAAAATACATAATAGGTGATTATAATTACTAAACTTCACTACAGATAGATGATCTTCAAAGTTAGAGTAAGCTACTAAGTTTTATAAAATCTTATCAAAATAATAGTTTTATTTATTGCTATAATTCATACTGAATGTTTGAAAAAAAGTTTAACTGCTGAAGAATAAATATCTTTAATCATCACTTTTGGCTTTCTATTCTCTACCTGTTAGCGACTTCATATTTCTAAAAATAGACAGTACATGTTAGTAATACCCATTCACTAATAGCATAATAAAAGATAGACTTTTAGAAACAAGCTGTTTTGAATTTATTGATAGCTCCAACAAAGAAATATATCTATATATACTATATTACACAAAGGTATTGTTCTTCTCAACTTTATACTACGCTATTCAGTATGCCCTCTATATTTCATTTTTAAAGACAAACGATTGCTTAATTTTCGTATAATGTAGCAAACGACTAACATAGACATATTGATATAAATATAACATTATTAACATACAGAAAAATGTATTGTAAACATGAGAAGCAGCTATTCATAAACATAACAATAAATATATTCCGAGGCTAACAGATGGCGCGGTGCATTCGTGATTTAAATAGGTTTCAACCAGAATCATTTCTTTGAAATCAAACTATAAGAAAGTTCCTCCTTTCTTTTCATTTAATACAAATACATCTCTTTCTTTCTTTCTCTCTCTGTCTCTCGGTCTCTTTCTCTCTTTATATCGCTAAATCTTGGCCGCCTGATATTCTCTTTTTCATTTATACATACAGTAGTACAATTATCAAAGAATTATATAAACGAGTTTACAACATAGTATATACTATTTTAGTATATATACTTCTTTATGAATGTACAAATTACATTAAATAATTTTATTATGCGTGATGTTTTTCGGGGAATTGTATTGTTCAAGTAATAAATATCTAGAATCAATCTGCATTCATAATTCTTTCTTTTTCTAATCACTATATATTTGTAATATACATAGAGGAATATACGACAGATTATGTGACCTTTTTGCCTATTCAATTTCTATTTAATTAGAAATATAGACATATGAAATGATGAAAGATTAAGAAATATCTAATATTACATTTAAACTATCTTTTATAATATTTTTTCTTTCTATATCTTTTGAATACATTTTGATTCATTTCCACGTAATAGCGTTTAAATGCGCAGTTTATATACTATATATTTTTTAAGACTAATATCTTGCTCTTTTCTTTTCTCTTCTTGATCATTAGAGAAACACGAAGAGAAAGTAGATACAATGCATTAGCTGTTCTAATTACTAAATAGAAAGTGTCCTTCGTTCAAAAATAGAAATGTTTTAATGTTACATGAATTTACAATATAATTAAAGCTTATTAACTCCTAAAGTTCAAGGCTTTAGTCCTTTAAAATTCTATTATTATATTCAACTTTTATTAGATTAAACTTAATGTATTATATATAGAAATGTATAATAGTTACATTTTTTTATCATTGAATAGAACAGCCTTGAAAATCGTTTTGTTTTATTTAAATTGATATTGCATTGAATAGTTTAATTATTTATATCTCTTTCAAAAAAATTGCGATTTACTGCATTTATTACGATTTTGTACAACATAGTAGCTTGTCGTATACTCATTTAACATTGAAAGATTATGGTTCATGCTTGACCTTAATGTCAGTGACACATGATAATATCTAGGTTGTTCACCCTCGTAGTATTATATATAAAAAGACTATACTGAGAGAACTATAGTTTAAGATGATGGAAAAGGGAGAAGATAATGTTATCTTTGGTTTCATTAATTGTTTCTTTATTCATGGCTAAAAGTCTTCATCATTTGTTACAAAAAGAAAATAAATAGGCCTAGGAAAAATCTCTACCTCTGCTAAATGTATGTCGTATTGAAGGGTATTCTTTAGAGCACCTTCATTTTTTTCTTTCTATTTCTCTTTCCCTCTCTCTTCCTTAAGAGAGAACTAAAGAGGAAGAAAATAAGACAATAGCTACAAAACTTTCGGATAAAAAAGATACTTTTTCTTAAAGAAAATGTTAAAACAAATAATCAACAAGGCGTACATAGGAAAAACAAATGACCGTACGTTAACAACATCTATTGGTTTATTATATTTAAGCTTTCTCTTCGTAAGCTGGTGGTAGATCTGAGGGAAAGACGCATTCTTCGTAGGTAGGCAATCGACATTGACTAAAATTTGACTGAGGGACATCTGTAACCATGATATTACTAACTGGAACTCGTAAATGGGGGCTTAGACGATGATGACTTGCGGAATTTGCCTGAACAGGTCTTGATATGAAAGTAACGATGGAGGATAATAAGGCAAGGGCAGAAGAAACAATTGATAGTGAGAACGATGATCCAACCGAGTATTCTGAATTAAAACTTTGAGCTAAATTAGGTATGATGTCCATACTCTTGGCGAGGAACAATCCCCAACATAAGCAAATCACCAAGCAACTAAACAAGCTTGAAATGGCAAGAGGGTAGCGACTTTTGCAAGCCCAGGCAAAACTTAAGCCAATAATTTCAGCAGAAAAGAGAAGAACTACTGCTAGGATTAGCATTATTTGTAAGAATCTGAGTAGTCCTGTATAGAAATAAATAACAACAAATATTCAGTTTTGTAATATTATATTACTGTATATGATAGGATCTTTACCTGACACTTCGTAATAATTCTCACATGACCGGTGATTTTCAATTTTCATACAAACAGAGAAGATACCAAATTCTTTTGTTCCTGTTTCAGGTGATGATAATGAACTCCAATCTTTCATAATTAATGCAACTAACAAAGTAGCTATAGACGATGGTAAGAGTAATCCAATTGTAAACTTTATACCACTAGGAATATTCATGCACCTTGCTTCAAAATTCATATCTTTTAATTGCTATTTTTCCTTCTTTTCAATGCTTTCTCTTTAAGAATATCTGTATATTTCTTTTCTTTTATTCCTAAATTTTCTTCTTTCAAGCTAATAAGCGTTTCAAATTTAATAAATAATTAGTTTCTAAATAATTATTATAGTCAATTATTTGATGGAAAAAGCATTAAGAATAACGTATAATGTGGCGTCAACTTCTCTCTGTTGCATAAAGAAAACTGATACTTTTGAATTTGCTTTTAAATGAAAATTATATAGGTGGCAGCACAAATTTTATTTTTCGTATCGTCATGATTTGCAGTAAAATAAATATTTCTCTATTGTTCTATTGCTACATATCTCTATGGTTGTCTAATTACAAGTTAACTGTTTATACAAATATACGTACTACATATATTTTAATACAAACAAACCCTTTATACTCTTTTATTTTTTAAAAATAACGAATTTATTCAGAGAAAAAATTAGAGCATATTCGTAACCTTCGTAAAATCGATTTCGTCACAATATCACCCTTCAACAAGGAAAGTTACCAGCAAAGGCCTATTTACTATTCTTCAAAATTTCCTAATATTACGCAATTATATCTCAGAAGTCATTTACCTTAATTCAACATTTAGCTAATAAAAATGAAAAAAGAAAGGAGAATCGCATAATTAACTTGAATTTTTTCAATTAACAATTTGTTAGATAAAACAAATGAAGAATATTGAATAAGTTATTAATTCTCCAACGAATCTACATATAAACCCAAATCAGTTGGAAGATATAATCCTATATTGTTAATTAACTCTAAAAAAGTTAATCTTGGATTACATTTAATATTATTTAAATCCATTTCCGTGATAGAATGATTGAATATACTTCCAGATATTCTTCGATTAGAATATCTTCTTCGACAATCCGATTTATTTTCAACTACTCGTATTATTCTTACTAATGATTTTAAATCGGTCATTTGCTTAATTAAATTGAAAGACAATCGTTCTCTAATTGAAAATGCCATATGATAATTTTTGCAGTTGTGCGGAGATATTTCACAGGGATATGATGGAGATTTTACCGATAAACCTATGTTTATATATATATAAATATAGAGTAGAGTTAAAAATTGTACACTGTATATGTATAAAAAGAATAACAAGCTTACGTAGGCAAGGATATTGTCTTCTCTGTCGGGTGTAGTGGTTAATAAGAATGTTACTTAGCCTCGAACAAGAAGAAAAATGCCGGATGTAGCGATATTTTTTAAACGAATTCCCAGCGTAACGCTTTCCTGTTAATTCATAAAGGAATTGATCAATATCCCCAAAATAAATTATCCTTTCATGATTTCTAAGGAACGTTTCGAGAATTTCAAAGTTTTTACTGGTTTTTTCAATATTTACTTCCAAAATCACAATAGTCCGTATATCTAAGTTTTTAAGGTACTTTCTCCTTTTAACGACACTTAAAAAGCCATAATATGGCGACCTAGCCTCTTTTATAATCTTTTTTCTAATCAACGTATTCGATATTTGATCTTTAGATAAATATATCCAAAATACGAAAATCATTTGAAATATAATAAAACTTGTAAAGAGCATAAAGATATTACAATTCATCATTCTACTTTTGGAAGAGAGACAGAAGGTTGGAGGAGAGAGAGAGAAAAAAACAAGACAAATTCAAAGTTTATCAAATGTCAAGGTTCCTCAGTGCAATATCATATCTGGTTTGCTTTTCAATGAATAAAGGAAAACTGCAAAAAACATTAAATTACCAATCAATAACTTATAAAATATTAATATTTATATATTTCCATATCTAAATACAGTTTAGTAAGAAATCTATAAAATTAATGAATGGACGGTTTTAATTTTCAAAAAAAAAATAAACAAATACTCATAACATACATATATTTATATAAGTTAATTAATAACAACGTTTTCATTTAATTTAAAAAGGAATAATACTAATAATAAGGCGAATAGGAAGAAAACGAAAGAAAAGAAGATAGAAATTATAGGCATAATATTGTTATAATTGTGAGAAGAGACGTCTATTTGCTCTCAAATAATAATGAGAAGATTTAGTAACATAATAATCGAACAGATTATTTTTAATTAACACGAAAACTATAACAAAATCATCTTCCTTTTATGTAAAGAATATATATATATATACATATATATACAGTATATTTAAGTAGGTTATCACAGAATTATTGCTTTCAAACTACATTCTCTTTATTCTTAACTCATATAGATACCGGGAATGTTGAATAAGGAGAATCAATTGTCTACAATACAGTGTCCAATTAAAATTAATGAAGAAATAATAAAATATCCTATAGCTCCTGATGGTTTATTATTAGAAACAATATTTTATAAAATAATAGCTTATTCTATTTGCTTTTTTATTATCTGTACTCTTTTTTCATTTAGGATATATACCAAATTCTGTTATAAGAAGGTTATTATCGTGTAATAATAAGAATAACCTAAATATTGATTATGAAAAATATCAGGTTGATGACTGGCAACCACTTCCCGTGAATATTATTTTATATTATAGAAGTATAGTTTTTTTTTATAAACTATTAACCTGTTAAACCTTAGCTACCTGAAAAATCTACATTTGAAAAAGAGTTTTTCTCTAAACCTAAACTTTACTTTGGCGTAAAAATATTTCATTTATGATAAAATCGTATTTAAATAAAGGGTTTTTCTTTTCTGTTTATAAAGCAAGGCGATACCTTTAAAGAAACATCTGATATTTCATTGAAAATTCACAAGGAACCAAGTAATATTCATAAAAGAAAGAAATCACATATAACTTTCAGTAGAGAACGAAGTGATTATGTAAAGTTTTCTCGATTTAAAAAAAAACCGTATAAGGCCTATATACTTTAAATGCTAGGTCAGCAACCAAGAAAATGACGAGAAAGCCAATATACCAAAAGGTCTATCATCACCGATGATTGTTGTCAACAATCCAGATATAGATTTCCGTATGTGTCAGAAAACGAAATTAATTTTTGCACTAAGTCTGTATAAGTATTGTACTCTATTCTTTTAATTAGACCAGAGACGGATTAGGCGAAATACCCTACCAGATATAAAGCTTGATTATAACCTATGGTATAAAAGTAGGATAGATAACAACAATGACGATGATAATGATAAAGTAGAAGAGTACGAAAAGGTTAATAACTATTTCGCAACTTTCAAATCAGTTAGTGTATTTAACAACCCTTTTATAAAGCTGCCGCCAATATTTAAAGAGATAATTGATGAAAAATGGTTTGCGGGCACAAAACATCAAGCTCCCGAATCAATAATTAAAAATATGATTGATATAATGCATATATGTAATGATTCTTCCTACGAGAACATTTGCGATTATATAGTTAAAATACATGAGTATAAAAATAAGCTAAAATATTTAAATATATCTAAATATCATTGCCGATGTAATTCTATTAGAAATTATGGATATCCTAGCGGATTGCAGCAGTTTATTCTTGCTGATTTGGCAGAACAGTTGAACGTATGTTATTTTCATTAAGTGAATATAATATTCTTCTTTAATAGGACTAATAAAAAAACTATAAACAGACACAATCTTGTAATAGAAGAAAAGGAACTTTAAGAGTTCTTAGTTCAATGGGAACAGAAGAAAAGGATGTGTCAAAGATATTAAGTAACGAAGGAATTGAAGTTAAAGATTCCTCGGTAACTTAGTATTGATAAACTTAGAATTATATATACATATATATATATAATACAGTATATATATATATATATATTGTATATATAGATTAATCTTAAACTGGACGAATACGAGAAAGATAAATCTCAAAGCGACTCTGAATTGTTATATAACGTTATCAACTTTCTAAATTTAACTGAATTAACAGATGTTAATATTTTAAAAGATAAATAATTAAGTATTTCTTCTATTTTACATTAACACTCATATGTCAAGAATAGGAAGAAGAATTGATAAAAGAAGTCATCAAAGCTTGCCAAAACGATAAAATGCTACTTAATATGACTAATCAATTAAAGATAAATAGGAAAAGAATTAATCAATTCTTAAAAAATACTAACAAACTACGAAAGGTAAAACATCTAATTATTTCATTTTTTGGCTATTGTGCAAAAAATATAAAGATATATATTCTCTTTAAGTCGGCTAACAAACTTCTAAATAGAGATAGGAAGAGAAATGAAGTTTCTAAGAGTACACAATAATTATAATTATGTCGATAACAAACTAATACTTTTCAATATTCTAAGATTACAAACAGAAAAGCCGGAAAAAAGCATTCCATGTACTAAAGTCTAAAACGAAAGAAAACATATATAATTCTCATCATGTTTATTCAATGACAGAGGAGTTTGTATCCCTATTTTCATTAATTTTTGCGTTTTTCTTTTTAATAATGTTTTTAATTTATTTTTAGATCATTTAAAACTAATAAGTTTGAATTGACACAAACGTTAGTTTCGTATTACAAATTGTAACTTTTTATCCAGTTTTTATTTCAACAGCTTGTTTTGCCTTTATTATTAGAAATACATATTTTTACATATATTAATTAGGTATACTACTAATAAGGAAGGGGATGATACAGTGCTCGACGTTGGGGATAGTGAAATTAACGTTTTTTCTTTAACTAGACTACCAGAATCGAATAGTAAAATTTATGTTATAAATATAAATCTATTTTATTATATTCATTTGGTTGAATAGTGTTGAACATTGATGGAAATGAAACGACTATATCGTCTACTATGTCAGTTTTCAAGATGAAAGACTCCACTGGTAATTTTGTTAAATTTAAGGACGCCGTTGAAACATCTAGCAAAGGAATAAGTGGAAATTCTTGTAAAATAGACGTTTCTCGTATGAAATGTAGGAAAACAATTAAAAAGGGGAAAAAGAAGATTTATAGATATAGAAAAAAAATGAAAAAAACTACTTATAAAGTATTCAAGAAGGAAAATCGATCAGGAGAGAAACTACATGAACAATCATTATTAGCAGATGAGGTTATTAATTTAACTGAAAAAGATAATAGAATTTCTAGACAAACGACAGCAGCCAAGTTTAAGCTAACGAAAGATGCTGATCAATCAAAAGAGAATATGGATATAAAGAAATTGTTTGATGATAATCCGTGCTTAATTCGAGCTGAAAATTATTATTATAATGCTATTAAACATTTCTTTATGGAGAATAAATATAATTTATCTAAGGATACGGAAGATAAAATGATTGCTAATACTCTTCAGCACTTACGAGATAAATTGCAAGATACTTTTACAATGAATTCTATTCCATTAAAAAATGCGTTACAAGTTTATAAAAATTTAGAAATTCCCCTAAAATCTTATCTTTATGGTAAAGATCAAGATTTCCTTATCTATTTTAAAGAGAATTCAACAATGGTTAAAAAACGATGTAACAATATTGAATATTTAGAAAATATTCATTATTATTTACCATTATTTGATAAACCTAATGAAATGGATAACGATTCTCTCCAAAGTTTTATCGATAAGAATTTTGAAAATGGTACAGCTACAGTAAAAGATAAGGCAGAGATAAATGTATTATTCAATATTTCTATTATCCTTCCAATAAATGAATCCTTATTTTCTTTCTTTTTCCAGGAAATTGATTATGCATATTTATCTAAAAATATCATGAAAAATTATCTGGAATACTTGAAAAAAGAAAGGAAGTATGGTAAAAAATTAACTTCATTCAATAATGATACTACTCAGTATACACATTCAATTCCATTAAAAACGGCGCCAATGACGCTCGGCACTACTGTTAATGAGGAGAAAGCTATAATTTATCCTCGACTTAAATCCATAAGTAAACCTGAAACTAGAAAATTATCGTCAAATTTAACGCTGACCATTGATTTACATCAATTACCAAATGATTTAGAAATTGCAGGCAACCGTAAACTTTTATCACAAAGAATTAGTCAAACGAACAAGGAAGTAGCTAATCTAAACGAACCGCCTACACCATCTACCGGTTATATTATAGACGCTTACAAACTGAATAAAATTACTAATCCGCTAAACTGTTCAACACAAAAGAAAAAGGATATTAAATCTTTAAGAGAAAAATATTCAAATTTTGCAAAAAAACCCTTAAATATATCATTTAAGGATTTTATAAGAAATCCTATGACAGTCAATTCGAGAAAAGATAATATTAAATTAAACATCGTGAATAAACAGACAAAGGAACTGTCTCATAAATTCCCTTCGATTAATAAATCAAGATTTAAAAATGGAGATAGATTTCCAATATATACAAGAAATTTAACGGCAAAATTTGATTTATATCCTACATACAGTAGTAGTGCCAAGAGAACTAGCAGGATTAAGAATGAATTTGAAGAGAATCCTTACTTTGATCTAACAATTCAGAAAATTAAAGTATTTTCAAAGAATTCAATAACAAATCGAAAAAAACCAAATCTAAAATCTTTGAAATTAAGAAATTTACGAATCAATGAAATCAGCAGTGATATCGGACAATTTCAAAGAGCTCTCAAACTTCAAACTATGAATAAAGTTGGTGGTACAATCTTTGTAAGATCTTCCCCCGATAGCTTTGATTCTAAAGATAATATTCCAAGACTGCCGAATAGTTCAGTTGCAAATTCAACAGAATCTTTAAAATTATGGGATAATACAACGCCTGCAAACTCTCTCCAACCGAATCGACAAACAACAACTCCTACTCACGAAGTTGGAGTCAAAGATAAAGATGAACAAATTAATCGAATTGATAGTCTTTTAAGTGATTTCTCTTTAAAGAATAGCTGGAAATCGGATAGAAAGGATAGCGGGGGAACAACTATGGATATCGATAGCGATAGCGTCTTTTCAATTGATAGTAAAGAATTAAGAAAGGCTGTTGTTGAAATTCGAGATTGGATACTTGGAAAAAATACTATACAAAACATCTACAAAATATGTAAATCACTACTCAAACCTGCATTAACAATCATTATTAGTAATTGTTCGGAAAATGAAAGGAAACACCAATTCTTACAGATTAATAAACTACTCAGTTCGTTGAAAAGCTACATGACAAATACATCTATAAATAGTCGAAACAGTTTATCTATTAAAAGATCTGACGGAACTGTCATTAAAACTGATATATTACAAGAGAGTTTAACCATAGAAGATATAGACGCTTTGAAAGAATATATTACATCATCCGGTTTATCCAAAGATATAAGAACTTCTATAGAAGGAATTCAAGATTGGGCCGAAGGTTATCTATCCACCAACATGCTTTCCCAAATTCTTCGGAATAGAGATAAGAATGAATTAAACAAAATAATTGACTCATTTTCTCATAACACAGACAATCAAAAAGTGAAGGATTTGACAACATTGATTAAATACTTGTCAAATATTGATTCTCATCAGAACATTAGAGAAAAAGAAGTGAATTTGAAAGATAACTTTACGGCCCAACTAACTAAATCCATCTCGAGAAACAAACAACAAAAGACAGAGAATACTCAATCTTTTCTTAATTCAATTATGAGTGTACATAGTCCAATTAAAGACGAAGATAAATTTAGAAGAAACAAATTAAATTATTATAGAATATCGTCTTGCCTTATGAAATCGAAGCATAGAAGATTTTTACAAAGAATCTTCTCAAAATATAACCAATCCGCTAATCCTATAATACAATCGAATTATCCTCAATCATTAACATTTCAAAAATATCATAAATGTTCATTAATTGTTAAGAATGTAAAAGAAATGGACATTGGTAGGCATATAACTTGTCTAATAGAAAAACTCATTAGTATTTAACCCATATTTATATTCAAGAAAGAAATGTTCAATCCTGTAGAGAGTCATTTGTTTTTTATATGAAAAGAAACAATCTTAATAAAATTTTAAATAATATAAATGATATTAGCATTTAAAAAAAATTTAATACCAATTAAAAATTACATTTTACTGAACAATAAAATAATAACTTTCCGCCATCTTTCTTGGAGTAAATCTTCCTAAAAACGAACGACTAGAGAATAAGTCTTTTTGCAGCAGTAAGGTCAATTTAATTCCATATTTGTTATTCTTTTATTTTTCTTTACATTGCATCAAAGTGAAATTTGTGAGCGTCTTGTCTTTTTTCTTTTTTATCGTCACTCTATTGATTGATAGATAAAAACAAAAATCATATGAAAAGAAGAATAGAGTAGTCGTTTTTTTTTTCTACTAACCCTTTCTTTCCAATGTAAAAGTCCTACAATAATGGCAACAAAGATGCAAGTTCCCAAGAGTGAGCCTCCTGTAATTAATACTTTAATACCAGGATTAACAAACAGTTTATCAGTCCATGACGATGGTTTATCAAGTGGATATGGTATGATAATTATACGAGAATTAGGAATTACTGTTGTTAATACTTTTTCCTTTCTCTTTAGATTACTTGGAATGGACACGACTAGTTTATCGAGGAAATTTGGCGTTTGACCAAGACCAAAATGTACATATGGTAACTGAAGAGCTCTATGGGCCGATTGAGATAATTGTCCACCGAAACTTTTTTGACGCCTATTATTTATATTGACAGTGTCATATCTTATTGCTGGACCAGGTACATTCACTCCGTAAGGAGGTCTGTCATTCGCACAATTCTTGTAGCAAAGACCGTTTGTAACTATAAATAAAAAACGTATAAAGCAATTTTCGAATAAATTTTCAATAATACTTTAATACCTAAGACCTTCATAAAGCAAACATCAGCGTCCAGCTTACTTTCGTATAATTTTAACCGACTTCCGTTCTTAAGGCCGGTGTCAGTTTGTACTAATATATCTAATTTTCCCTAGTAAAAAGTAATATTATGCATAAATGATTTAAATAATAGATTAAATTTGAACAATAAATTATTTACATCTTCCTGATAATCAAAGAATGTTGCCAAAGTCACATTTTCGGACGTACCACTTGACCAATCAACATCAAAATATCTTTCTAATTTTTGACAGAAAGCTTTTGAACACTTTCTATTATAAAGTATAAAGGCACGAGATTCAACATATTGCGATTCACTAGGATAAAAAAAGAAACATAAATATGTTTAAATTAGGAAATTAATTGTTACTTTTCGTCCACTCTTTTTAATACAACCAAAGCATCCTGGTATCCATCTGAATCAAAATCTCCCATTCTTAATTTAATACCGTATTTGTTATTATTAAAGCCCCAAGTCGCTTTGTTATGTTTATTATAGAAAGGTTCAGATGCTCTAAACCATTTTTGTTTCTATGGAAAAAGAATATTTATTAATATTGAATATATTCTTGTTGAATTTTAAATAGTAATAATAATAGAATTACCCCAATTGTTTCATTAAGATAAACCCATATTTGACTATCTTTACATTCGTAATCCATACAAACAGGTAATATATGATTTGCAAAAGTATTCTGATCTGTAAAATGAACGAAAATAAGCGAACACGAGCAAAAATTAACAAGAAGTATTACTTACTTAAATCAGTAAATGAAGATTGACCATAGACTTTGGCCCCTTTTATATCAGCAGTTATTTCTTGCGGCTCTTCTTTACCACTGAGATAATATTCGAAAACTGGAATATCATCCTTGTTGACGGTTGTCAATACATAATCTGAAGTAAGACGTTATTATTTTTAAAAATATGAATAATCGTAAAGATAATGAAAAGTAAGAAACCTGCAGATGAATCATGTCCTAAATCTAGAAAAGCAGAAGAATGAGGAACAATTAAACGATGTTCTGTTCTATTTTTAATAGTGGCGGTAAAATTGTTATTAAGTGGTCTGAAAGCAATTTAAAGTAAAATTACAATTTGGAATAAAAATGAAAATGATCAAGATATAAAAATATTATTACTTGTCAATCTTCCATATTATTCTATCATTTTTAGTCTCCGCCAACAAATCTGGATACATGTCAAAGTTTACACTGCAAAATTGAAATAATTCAAATCATCTCGTAATTATAATATATGAAATTATAATTTACTCGAATAAAAATGGTTCATCTTTTAAATCTGCTAGATTTGAATCAACCGTCAGCCAATGTATATGGGGTTCTGTTCAGGAATATAGAAAATTACATTCAGATAGATTACATACAAATAAATCCTTTTTACTTACCAACAGACGTTTCTCCAGGTATTCCAAAATGAACACCTGCGTTAAATAGTTTTTTCCCAGCTTTATAGGTGACCAGAACATCCATTTGTCCATCTCCATTGAAATCAGTTGGAATAATTCCGTATATTTCACTCGTTGAAGATCCCTTTAAGAATGTAGATCTAGAAAATCCCTCCTTCTTATTACTAAGGAGCACATCTATTCTTCCTATTGTTATTATTTTGTTAGACTAAAACAAACATACAAGGAGCATACTACCTTCGCTTGTTATGACTAATATATCTGTGAATCTATCCGCATTAATATCACCAAAAGCGGCGATTGTCGCCGATTCAATATTCCCAAAAGCCTTCTTTGTAACATCTTTTACAGCAATTTGACTTTTAATCGTTAGAACCGACAAAATCAGTACTAACAGTCTATACATTTTATAATTTTACGAAAATTCAGTACTCCTCGGAATTTATGACGTCATTAGGGAATTCCGCCTGGTAGGCCTGCACTTGTAAGGTAACCCCCTCCTATGATTGTTTACTCATATAGATAGATATTGAAAAATAATTATAAAAATATCATCACTACCAAGAAAATATCTTGTATTCAATATATTCAATTGAAAAAAAATGGAGCAGAGTCAAGTTCAATTCGTACCATTTAACAGTTGTATTAGTGGAGCATTTTGGCAAAAATTTTCCGAAAATAAACTAGAACATTATAAACTGGATGACAGTAATATTCAATTAATTGGTTACTATTGTAATAATGAACAACCGGGTCTCCCTTGTACGTTTAACGTTGATCATGAATCTTTTGAGGAGCTTAGATTGGGAAGAAATAATTTCAGAAGCGAAGGATTCTTAAAGAATTTCAATACGGTAGATGATTTTAAAAATTGTGATCAAGGTGTTTATGCAAAGGAGGCTGGAAGAAAATTATGGCAAGATATTACTAGCGGCAAAATCTTTGATGATGTTAGCTTACTTAATCGTTTCTGTGTATTAACTTATGCAGATTTGAAAAAATATCACTATTACTATTGGTTTAATTTCATCGGCTTAACAGGCCTAGAAAAATTTTCCTTAATAAATCCTATTAGACAAATGAATGATCAAGAAGTGATCCTTATTTATCAGGAGATACAAAAGCTAAGTGGGAAAATTGAACCATTCTTTGGAGTTAGAAAAACCAATAACGCCATTGAATTTCTTCAATTAAAAGAAATATCTAAATCTCTTCAGAATAAGGAGGAAATATTCGTTGTTTGTTGCGATCCATCTTCCAATGATTATCCTGGCTGGCCATGCCGTAATTTAATTATTAGTGCATGCTATCATTGGGGAAAATTTTCAGATAGACTACGAGTAGTTTGCTTCAGAAGTAGGAAACCGGAATTAAGTATTGAATTTACTGTTCAATTGAAAGATTTAAGTAATTTAGAAGAATGCCCAAAGGTTGTTGGATGGGAGAAGAACGAAAAAGGTAAATACGGACCAAGAATGGTGAATATGGCTTCAAATATGGATCCAAATAAATTAGCTGATGGTGCTGTGGATCTGAATCTTAAACTTATGAGGTGGAGACTAATGCCTGATTTGGACTTAGATAGAATTAAGAATCTAAAATGTCTATTACTTGGAGCTGGAACTCTTGGATGTAATGTTGCTAGGAATCTTTTAGGTTGGGGAGTTAGAACAATAACCCTTGTCGATAACGGAAAGATATCCTACTCTAATCCAGTTCGACAATCATTATTTTTCTTCGAGGACAGTCTAAATGGTGGGAAACCTAAAGCTGAAACCGCAGCAATAAATCTAAAAAAAATCTTTCCTGGTGTGAAGGCAACAGGAATTAGTTTAAGCATTCCTATGCCTGGTCATCAAGCCCTACCCGATGTTAGAAAGGATGTTGAGAAAATACAAGAACTTATGTTGGAACATGATGTAACTTTCCTTTTGATGGATACAAGAGAGAGCCGCTGGTTGCCAACTTTATTAGGAGCAAAATATAACAAACTGATAATTAATGCTGCTCTCGGATTTGATTCTTACTTAGTAATGAGACATGGACTGAAGTCCAATACTAATTTAGGATGTTATTTCTGCACAGATGTCGTAGCTCCCGGAAATTCACAGAAAGATAGAACTTTAGATCAACAGTGTACTGTTTCTAGACCAGGAATGTCTATGATTGCAGCATCTATAGCTGTAGAATTATTGATGACTATAATTCAGCATCCTCTTGGCGGAGAGGCCCCAGCCGATACTAGCTGTGAAGTTGAAGTAGAAGAGGGACTTTTGGGTATTGTTCCCCATCATATTAGAGGACATATGTCGAAGTTTACGCAAGTTTTTCCAACAAGCTTGGCGTTCAATCATTGCTCAGCTTGCTCAAAGCCCGTTCTTGATGCATTTGAAAAAGATGAATTTGAGTTTTTACTTAAGGTTTTCAACGAATTTGACTATTTGGAAAAGGTAAGCGGCTTGGATGAGCTACAAAAGGGAAGCTCTGACGCCGTTGTTGACTACAGCGACATAGACGAATTAAGTGATGATTGAATCAATGACAAACTATCTGTATTATTTACGTCTGTACTTTCTCATTACATACATTAAATGTAAAAGTTTAAACTAAATAGTCCATAGAATTTAATCTAACTCAGAAAACACCCTTTAAAAATAAGCTTATTTTCTATTTAACAACTGAATTCGTAGTATTTATTATAGTAATAATATAGATGGCGTTGAGAACGAATTAGTACGGTAACGCGTTCCATCAATGGATTACTTCAGTTTTAAAAGGTCAAGGTTAAGTAATATTCCGCCATATTATTTTCCACAAATTTGTAAGTATTAATGAGTTTTCAGCCCATACAGCCTCAAAAGACTTATAAGTTCTATAAATTTGAAAGAATATCTAATCAATTGTTCACCTTCCGATCTTTATATATCCAGTTGTTAGATATTGATCATTATTAAATAATCATGCATGGTGGAAACAGGGACAATCATGAATTTTCCTTGTTTATCAACTGTGTATTCTATCGAAAAGATATCGCATAAAGACTTATCTGATTATTTATTGCAGCTGGCTACTGGGATTGAGACTCCAGGGGCCAATAATTGCATGCTAATAAGGTAATTAAATCATTCACTATAACTAATAGTTTTAAAACAAACGATTTCTCCTAGTCCATGTCTACGCCTCATCTGTCATTTGGCAGCGGTGGCTTGTACGGTGCAAACACAAGTAGCACGGTTAGCAATCTCACTGCGTCCTTTCAACGTCCCATATCGGCATCTAACCAATTTGGAAGGCCGGTAACACCAACATCACCTTCAAGCCAACTTTCGCAAGGAGTGTTGAATAGTCCCGTAAGAACACCAAGACAGATGCCTTCTGTTGTGCCAGCACCACAGCTTAACGTTAATAAACGACCTTTAGGGCCTCAAGCCAATTTCTTGAAGTGAGTTGGATTATTTTTCCATTTTAAATGTAGACACCATCATTTGAGCGTAAATGATTTAAACTGGTTTGAATTAGTTTTGACAATAATTCAGTTAAGTACTCAAGTCGTTAAATCAGTACTTAACTCTGTTGAACAATATTAAATTTACTATGAGAGCAATTATTTGCAATAACAGTAAATATGGAATGCGATCTGTTGTCGGGAAATTCTTGGTACTTAAAAGACAATTTATAAGATATTTGAAAATTTAATATATGACTAGTGAATTTTACTTCAGCTCATCCGGACCGTCTTTACCGTCAGTGTTCCCCAGAAGTCAAAGTCAATGTAAGTATCTAGATATTTTTAAAAAACCTTTGAATGCACTCTCTCTTTCACAGTGGACCAGCCTAATCTCGACTTATCGGAATTTCCGTCGTTAGGTCGTAGCTCAAGTTTATCATCTGCAATATCGACGCCGCGAAATTACGGTGAGTCATTCGGCCGACGAGTATATCCTCCAGTGAGTAGTTTTTAAACTATGTCGTCGGTTTTTAACAGTTAGCATGGTGAACAAACAGTCTCAGGAAACGTCGTCAGAATTCCAGATTCAGAACGAAGACTTTCCTGCTTTACCCGGATCGACTCGTAAGATTTTTTTTATATTTATTATTAGTAGTTTCACAAAGTAAAAAATGTTTCACATTCGTTTGGGAAAATAGCTTCGACACAAACAACAGTAATAGATGGTCGACCGTCATCAACTGGAAGCGTTATGAATCAAACGACGATCGTTAACCGGGAGACTTCACGACAAACGGATGATAAAAAGGGAATTCAGACATCTCGAGACGGAATTGTTTCCAATATACCATCGAATATGGTTACAGATCAATTTGGCATAGTCGGACTTCTAACCTTTATTCGAGCGGCCGAAAATGATCAAAGTTTAGTAGCTTTAGCTCCCGGCATAGATTTGACGACTCTAGGCTTGAATCTAAACGCTCCGGATAACTTATATCCTACATTTTTATCACCTTGGGCGGACGGACCGTGCCGGCCACAAGACATCGATTATCACGTTCCGACAGAGTATTTGACGAATATGTACATCCGAGAAAAATTGGCTCCCATAAAACTAAATCGATATGGAGAAGATTTGCTCTTCTTTCAGTTTTATATGTACGGTGGGGATTTAATGCAAATAGGAGCCGCAGCCGAATTATATCACCGTGATTGGCGATACCATAAGGAAGAAAAAGTGTGGATTACAAGGGTTCAAGGTGTCGATCCTAGTTATAAATCTTCAACATACGAAAGAGGAACGTATTATGTTTTCGACGTGTCAACATGGCGAAAAGTTGCTAAGGACATGACGATAGAATACGATAAATTGGACGAAAGACCTGTAATGCCTCACCCTCAAACGTAGTATGATCTCTTAAAAATACAGACAGGAAACTACTTATCGTCTTTGTCACTAAGTAATCTATCCAGTTTCTTAACATCTTCCACTTGTAGTTGAATTTTCATATCTTCCGAATCCAATTTCCCTACGTTAACTACTGTTGGTTGAGAGGTTGACTTTTTTACAACACTGACAGCAATAGGGGTGCACTTTGTTGTTCTTTCGCTCGATGAGATTAGTCGAACTTCTGTAGGAGTTTTCAAGGGAACTCTATCCGTTGTAGGTCCACTAAATCTAATAACTTGTGGTTTTGGCGTGTTAACCGGTTTGGCAATGATAGCTTTCACGATAGGTCTTTTCATAACTGGCTGAGCAGAGCTGACTACATGAACTACCTGCATGACAGCCTGCTTTGATGATGTAGAAGTGGAAGTAGTTTCAGATAAGCGAATTTTTGAACTTTCACTTGTTCCTAGTAATTTTTTGGCTGCATTTTTTATCTCCTCTTGGCTAGAATGTGGTGACACGTAAAACGTTCGAATTCCGCTTGGTTTAGGCAGAACTTTAACAGTGGTTTCATCCGTCTTGTCTCGAGACTGAAAAAAACTATACAATATTCGTAAAAATTTTATACAAATCGCTTACCTTTAGAGACAGTGAAGACACACTCATCACTACATCGTTATTTGAGCTCTCCTTTTCTATCACATCTAGCTTCGGTTTAGGCAAATCCTTGATACTGTCTCCAGAAACTTTACGTTTCTTAACTTTATCTAGTCCAGAAGTTCCAAATTGTTTAACATGTTCATGAACATCTATAATGTCACCGTCTTCAGGAACATCTTTCTTATGAACCCTTCTTATATGTGTTCTTGCTTCACTCTTGTTAAAGCACATGGCATCGCAAAGATTACAAGTGTATCGACATATTCCTAGATGCCTATACGCATGACGTAATAAATTTGATCTGTTTGTGTATAGTCGATCACACTGCAAACATTTCAACTCTTTCTCGCTAATAATGGAACGCATTTTTTCATAATCTCCTTCTGTGAAAGCCATCTCGTCCAGCTGATCGTCGTCAGAAGTTCTTTTAGCATCACTTTTGTCATCGTCAGCCAAAATCATAGATAATATTTCTTGTTTACTCGTTTCAGGCATTTCCTGTTTCTCTTCTTCTTCATCTTCAGATTCATTTTTATCTTCAACTTCCTCCTCTTTCTCCTTTGAGCCAGTTCTCACAATAGCTCTTCCTCTCTTTTTTGCCCTACGCATAACTGCATATCTCTTACAGCTTGATACTCTTGGCTGTAATAAATTATCGACTTCCTTTTCTGGAACATTAAATGACGTGGCCATAATTCTAGCTTTTAGCTCTTCTTTAGTATATTGTGTAACATTTCGCGCGTGCTTGGTTTGCATATGCCTGATTGATGCTGATTCCATAGTGAAAAGTACTTCGCAAAATAAACATTTATAAATCGTTCTTTCTAATGAATGAAGGTTTATCATATGACTTAGCAGAGCGTAGACATTACATAGTCTTTTGTTGCAAATTAAGCATGTTTGAGTGGCGGGATCACAATTAAAATCGCTTAACTTGCTCATTAACTTAGCCGAGGCCGGACCGCTTTTTTTTGGTCTGACGGCAGTAAGTCTAGCCCTCTTCCTTCCTCGTTTTCTGACAACTCGTTTTGTTTTATTCTCATCCTGCGTTTCCTTATATTCTTCCGTTGCGTCTTCTTCCTCCTCCTCCTCTTCTTCATCCTCCCCTTCTTCTTTCTCTTTCTGCTCTTCGCACATTACTTTATTTTCTGATTCATTACCAGACTCAGAGTCCTCTTTTTCTTCCTCATTTTGATCGATTTCGTCTGCTTCATCTACCTGTTTGCATATTCTTTTTGGTTTTGTGCTCTTTCTTTCTCTTCTTCCATTTGAAGAACGATCTTCTTCATCATCATCTGTCTCAACCGATCCCTCATCGCATTCCTTCTTCTTCACTTCAAATTTTATAACTTTAGAATTTGCATCAAGAGGTTTTGCAATGATCGTTGTTTTAGGGCTAAATTGATATGACCTTTTCCTATTTAACTTAGCTTGTTCAATTTGTGATAAAATCTCCACCAAATTTTTGCCTCTTTTCTTTTGCGAATTTACATAAGAGTCATGAAAGTTATTACCATTGCACTTTACGGGAGAGAGTAATTTTTTACGATTGGGTACGTAAGAGCTAGCTACTTTGCTTGTTGCCTCATAAGCTGCTTCAGGTTGAACAATGTTTACAGTTTCTTCCTCTGGCTCTTCGTAAATAATAGGTTCTTCAAAATTTTTCTTGCAGAATGCTCGTTTATGAGCAATGAGATTTGATAGAGACCGGAACATATTCTTACAAGATTTGCATTCAAATATGAAATTAATCTCGTTGAGAAGAAGCTCCTGAACTTCTTCCGAGCCTGATTGTAGACTTCTTGCGATCTAAAAATATAAATAAATAAATTTATTAAAGAGTAATAATAGTCGCTATAAGTTTACCAAAATAGCTGGATTTCCCCCCATTTGCATGGATGTTTTAAGCAAACCGTAATCAATATTTTCATCTTCTTTTTCTTTCTCGAGTGGTAAAGGAGGATTTTTTCTTATTTTCGCTCGGCGTTTTGATGGCATTTTTTCTAAGGGAAATAAACTTTTTTTTATTATGTATATTAAGCTCATATTTGCAGCATCAATTAGTCGATTAATCATTTCTCACAAGAAAGCTAGCTAAGAACTGCCTTGAGAGCTACTATACGGAAATGTGAAAAGATTAAAAGTTTTCAAATGCCTTTCACACTCTAGTCACAAATGTCAGTTTTACTGGCTCCATAATACTTTTATCACATGAAACTTGGTCCGATAGAATAAACTATCCTTAAATTTAACTAATCTCTCTCAAAAATGAATAAACAGAAATTAAGAGTGTGATTAAAAAGCTTTTTGGACAGAATATTTCTCTGCTAAAAAGACAGGCAAGGAGGAGCACAAAACATGAATCGCTTAACCAAGCTTAACTTACGTTAATATTCTTCCTGCCTCTTCAGAAACATAAAAATATTTCTAATGAAGAGTATAGTATTAAAAATATGAAAATGATAGGTCTGTTGAGCTTCTTTTTATGGAGAAAAGATTACAATTAAAACTCGATGCGACTTAGCGGGAAGTTGCGAATTTGGGAATCATGGGAAGTAGTCAGGTTTTTACCATTGAGAAAAATTATAAAACTATAATTTTTCAACTGCTAAAAAAGATTAACTTTTTAATCTTACCTTCAATCGATTCCTTGTTTGTTTAGATAATTTCTTCACTGTTTCATAACTTTATACATAGCGTATATTGATATGATATAAAACGTTCGGAAATTTTAGAAGAGTAAACCAGACTATTCCACACCGCTCCAAGTTTGTTCAAAACTTTTTTTAATTTATAATAAATATAATATTTTTTCACGTTTTTGTAAGATTTATTAACTTATTTCTTATAAAGGATGTCACATTTAAAAAAAATTTCCACCGTTTTCAATATAATACATCCTTGTAAGTTATGTTTTATGCGATAGAAATCGGACGAGACTGGAAGGACGTAAAATACAATAATAGACCACTGGTGAAGAAATCAGGATTTTATAAGTAAAACATATTAAGAAATTTGTGTTTTTTAGAACTAAATTTGAAAACTGTTTACTTTAGTGATTTAGCTTACCATATCGCTCAATGGTTTATCGATTATAATATCGAATCGAATTTCAGTTTTAGCCCAAAAACATATATATTTTATAATGCTCTTTATAAACACAAATTGATTTGGTCCTCTGACGTTTAGAATAATAGTTTCTGAGATAGTTTGAAGGTTCTCCAGATAACTTTTTAGATTGTTTGTACCGTCTTTATATTGATTGCGATCTTAAACAGATGGCTACTGCAAATAATAGTTGGTGGCGAGATAGCTAACTACTTTTTCCAAAGATAGTCATGTACTTAATACATCAAACCAATGTAAATTTCATAAGGATGAATGTCATAAGTGATAAATAGTATTTTAATTCATTTAGAGTGTAAATTGTATGACTCAAAATTGTTATATTTATATTTCAAAAGAAAACTCTAGTATCAGAAATATTACAATGTCAAGGTCATGACAAATAAAACTACTCATTTTGCTGAAACTTATGCATATTTTTTTTTAGACAAAATACAAATTATTATAGGTTAGGTGTTGCATCTTTTATTTCGAGGAAAAAAGACAGCAACATACTTTTCAATCATTTTTTGTGACTATTATCGATTGCTTGAAGGCGATAAAATATCGTATCGAATATCGCGAGATAAGTGACATACTAGGAAACGGCTTATAGGTACTCTTAGCAGACGACAAATGATTATTCCAAGTTTTCAAAACATTTAAGTAAAATTTGATTCATACCACGCATGTTGCTGTATGATTGAATTAATTGAATCTTTCTTGATGAAAAGTTGTGATAGATCAACGTTATAGGAGCAATTGAGCAAAACATTAAAGTATGAACGGTGACCACCAATGCAATACCATACTCCAAATCAAAGAGGCCAATTCAAAAAATTTATACACTATATTTACTGTTGAAGCAAAACCATTTAACTTCTTAAGATGGTTAATTTATACAACTGTTTTATATTCTATAAGTCTCTTTCTACAGCTGCACTTGAAAATGGTAAGATATTTTTCTTCCACAAGATAATTTTCATAACGTGTTTTACTTGCAGAATATTTGGTTAATGGTAACAATCATTTTTCTAATGATATTAATAGTTCTTCTAAAATTAAATTTCAAAGTTGTAAAGGAATCTATTCATGTTATGTCTTCTATTGGAATTCAGCACGTCACAACTTATGCAACGGGTAGAAACAAGGTTCAATTTTATGATAATTGTCGTATCAATGATGTGGTTGTGGCTGAGGCTATTTCTATGGTGATTTTCCAATATTATGTTTAAAATTATTTAGTCGTAATACACTCGGTTACATTACTATTATATTTTTCAGCATCAAGTAGTTAGCTACTTGGCAATTTTGCTTCAGGATTCGTCATTAGTACCTCTATTTCAGGTGGGATAAGTTTCTATCGTCTATGATTTACTATAGCGATTAATTTTCTACAGAACACATGGCCAAGACTATGCTGTCTGAAAAAGTTATATAATGGTATTCAAAAAGTGCTTCATTCTGGAAGCTAGTCTTTACTTTATGTCGTGCATGTAATTAACTAATATTCACTGCTTGTTTAAAAAATAAAATGACACAATTTTAGTCCATTCGACTTCTCTCAAACTTATGTATTCGTAACAATTACTGCTTAAGAGCAAATTTACGTGAGGGGTATGATCGTAGCTTTCGACGTTCTTTCATCGTTTTTATCTTAGTTTCCCCGGTAGTGAGAGCCCGTCTCATTGCTCTGGTCTTCTTCATTCTCAAATCCTTGGGCTTGTATTTCTTGCCCTTGTAGAATTTGCGTAAGTTCTCCTTCTGGGCTTGGTTGTACACGGTAAGGATACGAGCAATGTTCTTTCTGACGACTCGGATTTTCGACAGTTTGGATGCTGCTCCACCGGTAACCTTAGCTACTCGCAAAGTGCAAAGTTCCTGAGAGGATAAAGTTGTGTTAGATATGGTTTATTAGATGATGTACTGAACAACATGATAACTGGCTGTGGATAACCACAATCATTACAATATTCACTATTCAAAATTGGTCAAAATTTTAATAAACGAAGAGAGATTACTTACAGTTTTCTGCTCATCGAGCTTCTTGAGAAGTTCCTCTTTTTTCGCACCGCGAATGTCCTTTACTTTTACCTTGGTATTACTCTGAAAAGTAACAAATAATTAAACACTATTAAAAATATCTTTATCGAAATATTTTGGCAGAATCCTGTAGTCCATATATTTAATAAGTGATATGCCCAAAGACGTTAGCAAATTGTTTCGATAAAGTTAGATAAAACACGATTCTAATTCATTTTTCAGAGACCTACCATGTTGATTCGTAGCAGACGGAGAAGAAAAGGAAACGGAAACGGTATTAACCTGGCTCCTCGTCTTGTTTTGAAAACGCCCTCTAGTCTTCAAAGTATGAGCGACAAACTTTACTTGCGATCATAGATGCTTTATGATGAGATTCTTCTGTTTATTCAGTTAAAATTTCATAATCATTAAATCTTTATGATTTTTCGGTGAGCTTACATTAATTATTATCAATATACAGCTTATATTTTAGTAATATTTCATGCTTCTATTTCAGTTGTGGATTTCTTATCCCATAGATAAGAAAGGTAAACTGAATCAATTGTTTTTACAATATTTTTTTTAAATAAGTAATTGTGAATAATATTTTGTAAATAAAGTGTTTAAAAAAATACTCAAGTACGTTGAATTGACACTTGATAAATGAGGATGTATTATGCTCCCAAAATAGTCAAAAAGTTTATCCGATTTAAAACGAAACATTGATGTGTCACCCCTATTAGACATTCCATACTAAAGAAAGTATCACTTAATTCAAAATCTATAGAACTCCACTTCAAATAATGTAGTAATAAGATGTATTGATTTAGGTAATATATGTTAGAACGTGACAGATGTACCTATGAACCAATTCACAAATGTATTAGTAGATAGATCGATTCAGAGCGTCAGCATTATTTTATGTTTGCATATTGTTTCAGGTGTTATTCGGTACGAAAGTCTGTATGCTCTCTGGTAAGCGTCTGTGGGAGTTCTAAGTCATCTCCGGTTAAAGAAAGGAAATATGTCGTGCAAAGTATACGCATCGATGATAACTCTGAGGGTCGTTTGGCCTCTTATTCTTGGATTTTGTTGTTTAATGCGTTTTAATATGATGTCATTATTCTATGGCTTGGTAGTTTTATTATCTATGGTTTTCAATTTGCCTCAGCATAGAAGACAGTTTATTTACTCATCGGGCGGGAGATTTATAATTTTTTCGTTCGTCGTAACAATCTGCTTCGTTATTAGCCAGATAAGCTTTCATGGTTTCTTACTATATGAGTATCTAAATGGTCATACGAATAATAGCGATTACGGTGGAGATTTGAAGAATTGCAGTGGTTTAGAAATTGCTTTACGCCACGTTGGACTTCAAAGAATTGAACCAAAAGACTATTTAAACATTTCTAGAGTTCTATTACCTGACTTGGGAGCTTTTGTTATTACTCTTATTACTATTATTGTATGTGTGAAAACTTTACCCACCGAGAATTCCTCACCGGAAAGAAATGAAAATGATGCAGAACAGAGTTCAAGTTTTGAAAGTCGTTTAACAGCTGTTACACAATTGGTCGCTACCTTATGGATGACAACTATTTTAGCAATCTGTGGAATTGTTTATCCGTGCATTATTTCGTTTTTCTATCTCATTTCTTTTTTGACTATTACCTTATACTGGGCCCTCTACAGGACTCTTGGAAGGAAATTTTTTGCATTTAGATTATTTCTACAGCTCTATGCCGCTATACATTTATTACTGATTTATTGCTATCAAATGCCTGCATTTCAGTTAGCCTTACCTCCTTCGTCTTTAACAGCTAGATTATTAGGTTTTACGGAACTAATTTCTAGAAATTGTGACAAACCATGGATGATCATTATAAACCAACATGCCCAATGGACAATGTTCGTCAATCCAATAGCTGTTTTTGTCTTCTATATCACAATAGCAACTATGAATAGACTTTCTTTTACCTTCAAAAAAACTACTCTTTTTGGGAAGAAGCGAAGCTCTAAACGAAGAAATGAGAACGATGAAAGAAGAGTAAGTTTCTTTAAATGTTGTCATATTCTCCAGATTATGTTTGAATATGCATATTTTTATACGGCTATAGTCTGCCAGGTGCTTGTTTCTTTCTTTCTCTAAACTGTAAGGTCTAATTTCAGGCAATAATGAGAGACAACTCATCAAGGGTCGTAAGTATAGTGATAATCAACCTGTTGTCCAACTTGTATCTATCGCATGTGTTTCATTTGAAACCTATTCGACTAAAGGGTTTTGGAATTTATGAATTTTTATCAACTTCCTTTAAGCTTCCGTTCTTTTTGTTATTTTGTTGATACATTATATATTTAACATCGTTAATTATAAATTGTTCCCGCACAGGCCTTAATTGAAGATGACACCGTTCGTCTTACATATAATTCAATGGACGAAGTTAACGAGTCAGCTAATGCTACGTTACAAACTGAAAGGGATGATGGTGAAGAGGTTCAAATAAATCTCGTGGAAGAGCCATCAGCAAACGAACAATCAAATCTTTCTACACAAACCACTATCAAATCTCGTTCAGCTTTTACAGATGTTATGCAAGCTATGTATAAATATTGGTTGCGTCATAGTCATTTTAGCGCTTTAATTATTATGTTAGCATGGAGTATAACTTATCACAGTTGGCTCTCTTTTCTCATGTTACTTGCGGCATGCATCATTTGGATGACGCCCCAGAAAAGTAAACTATTGCTCACTCTCTCACCAGTTATTGTTTTCTATGGCATTTGTTTAGTCCTACTTCAGTATATTTATGGCTTACAACTATCTAATGAAGAGCTTCCCGTTAACACAACTAATGGCTATCCGTTATCTGAATTAGGGCTTGTGAAATATGGGGAAAAATCATGTTTTGTATTGACCGTGAAATTGTTGTTCACTCTCGGATTTTTCTTTACTATGAGACAATGGTCTTATGAAAGGAAGATGAAAAATGACGCTGAAGCTTTGGCAAATTTAAGTCTGCGTTTGGTTGAAAATGGAGCGCGTAAGTATTTTAATCGTTAATTATAAATATGTATTTAACTCAAAAGAGTGCTTTAATTGTTTTTCTTACGAATTCAATTAATTTTACATTCTCGGGATTCGTTGCCCGTGTAAGTATATTCACAAGTCTTTCCATAACAATCTTACGCATTTCTGGCGATATCATTCCATCATAAGCTGCCATTCCAATAGCCAAAGAGATTGTAAGATATCGTTCGAGTTGAATATCTGCCAATTTAATTTTTTTGTTAATCAACAATTGTTTAGCTCCTAAGAGAAGATTTCTTTCAATTAATGACAACGCTCTTTCATATTTGTCGGCTTCAGATAGTAATCCCGGATTTAATAGACTTCTTGAATGATTTTCAAAAAAAGCAGCCAGCGGTATCATCAGTAGCGGCTGGACTGGCATTAGATCACCATCTTGTACTAAGTTTATTGAATCGTCGCATCTCACTTTATAAAATCCATCGACTTCGCATTTAATGATACGTCCTTCAATAATCCTATTATTCAGTCGGACTAAAACTTGAAAGTTTGCCGTGTAGGCTTGAGGAATATACATAGGGAGATTTTTTGTGGATATTATTTTTTCTTGCTGTGCCGAACGTGTTGCAAAATTTTGATTTTTTAGTAGTGTTCTTTCGACCTTGAGAAATGAGCTAGAAAAACGTCTAGGTTTCCCGCATACCAGTTTCCTAACTATTCTCCATTGATTTCGAGATAACTTTGTATTTAATTTAAGCTCTTTAAGAAAAAGCTGTATATCATTTCTTGGTCCATAAAACAAGCTTAATTCTATTGCCGAATAGAAAAATTCACATAAAAGCCAACGATGAAATAACTTATTTTTAGGTAAGGAACAATTAATGTTCCTTATAGAATGTGTCGTCTCAGTTTGACCTAATTTTGATTGGGTTGAGAAAGCATAACAATTTTTCAAAAGTAAATGTATTTTTGGTTCTGAACTATCGCATAACGACGCTGAAATAATATTATAATTAATTACTTTTAATGTTTAAAATTAATTACCTAAAAATGGTAAACATCCATTAGCATCAACCCATATTAAATTTCCTGTTCTATTAAAAGAACATTTTCTTACGAAAAAATCCTTATCATCAAAATTCTCTCCAATAATAATATTTTCATTATCGTTTAAACTAGCCATAGTTTATTTTTTATATTTAATTCTAATATTGTTAAAAGAATAAATTTTTCCACCGCCTGCATCTTTACTGTACGTCTTTTTTAACGTTACGTCTTTTAATCGATCATTTTTTTTATTCATTAGTTTAGGCCTATGAAAAATATTAGCATATATTTTTTTCTTTCAATTAGCTTTTAAACTTCTCGAAATATGCGAGAAGAGAAAATCAGAAATAAGATCATATTTTGTCGACGATGTACTGGCTTCGCAAAGTTTTATCATTAAATATAGTCCGTAACTTTAGTGTATATTCAAAACTTGTTTTTGTTCCGCTCATTATTCGCTTCCGTTCTTTTTTTTTTATGCAATAGATAAGGTGTTTTGTTTTTTTTTTTAGTATAATCTATTTTCTTTTAGACGAAGACGAAACAGAAGATCAAAAGAATTTACCAAAGTGGATAAAAGTTTTTGGTACATTAATTTCTACTATTATTATTATCATTATTATTTAGCCATGAAATTCTTATCTATAATATAGTTTTATTACAGTAAAGGTTTTATTAGTTTAATATAGACAAAGCTTTATTTTAGTTATTTGATAATAAATAGTTAAGCTTTCATTCATAGATAATAATTTATAAAGTATATAATAAATCCCAATAGGATCCTGGCTTCATCTCTTCCTGTGCAAGTATTGGATTTTAGTATGCTGTGGCATGCTACTTGCAATGGCTCTTATGGAAGCGGTAGTCTATAGAATCATCTATATGCTCCTTCTGCTGATTTTCCTAATTGTGTTCCAAATGTCTTATAAACTATGGAGATTAATATCCTTCGTTTTTTGGTGGATTGTTATTGTGTACAGTATGATTGTTTTGGTTCTATTATATACATACCAGTTTACCAACTTTCCACACTATTGGATGAAAATTACGGGTAATTTTTTTCTCAGTTAGACATTATTTTCTTGTAATCTAATGAAATGTAAATTTTCAGGTTTATCTGCAAAAATTATTGCAGATCTTGGCTTTCAAAAGTTTTCTGCTGTACAATTGTTTACAAAGTTGCTGACTCCAGCTTCTTTCTTGGTTGTGATAATTATTCAAATTCATTATTTCCACGAACCCTTCATGAAGTTATCGGATATAAATAGATTTCGGTAAGTTTGCACTGTCAATAGTTGTGATGTATTTTTTTTATCTCATTTTAATATCTTTTTCAGTAATATCTTAAACCCTCCGTCAGAGATAAATGAAATAGCGAATATTGAAGAAAGGTTTGCAATTTTGCTACTTTATATGTCTTCTAATTTGTTATAAAATTGTTATATTCTTGTTTTGAAGGAGGTCAGAAGAAGAGCATGCAGAAGATGAAGAAAATATTGAAAACTCTCAAGAAAAGAGCTTCAACTTTTATCAAGAAGCCGAAAAACTAGCCATCTCTTTTCGAAAACTTCTTGACCAGTTAATTGAAGTTCTTTGGAGAATTGCAGAGGTCCACTGTTTCAAAATAGTCTGCATTGTGGTTTTTGTATGTTGTATCAAAGAAGTATCAGCAATTAACGTCGTTCTGGTTGTTCTCTTACTAGTCTGTCTCCCATTATCCCATATTCATTCTCTAGCATCTCTAACGACAACTTTAATACTACTTTTTACATCAGCAGCCATACTATTTAAGATGGCTTATCAGCTATCATTTACCGATAGATGGATTGTAAATTGTACTGATATGGGAAATGTAACAATTAATAATGATACTAACGTGTACTTGGGATTCGAAAAGACTACTCATTTGGCTAATTATTTAAAGAGATACGTAGCTATTGTCGTCCTAATTTCATTGCAAGGAGTAATAAAAACTAGACAAATACAACGCTACAAAACTCCAAATATTAATAGACCCGATTATGGTACAATATTTCATAATATAGGTAGGCAAGATGCCGATTTAGGTCTTTTGAACTGTTTCAAATTCTTAATGAATTATGGATTTTATAAATTTGGAGAAGAAATATGCTTCAGTATGTCAATATTAACTATTTGGCTAAGAATGGATGTCTATTCGGTCATATATACAATACTCTTAATAATTATGGTGGCTATTGGACACAAGGGGAGACACTATATGTGGCCCATATACATGGTGTTATTGACAATATTTTTGGCAATACAATATCTAGCTGTGTTAGGGGTCCCGCCTGTCATTTGTCAAACTTATACATGGGATGGCAGGAATGGTTTTACGAATAATTTGAAAATTTGGCTATTTCTTCCAACTTTTACGACTACTCCACCAAACAGTCACAAGTTACTCTCAGACTTTTTTCAGCTTCTTTGTGTGTCTAGAATGTGGGAGGTATTCTCGTTGGAATCAAATACAGAATATAAAGGTGGTTCTAATGAAGATGTTACTGCTGTTTTTGATGACAAAACAGCACCTAATCCGACGAAAGACTTTATAACTTACAAAGAATCTTATCTAGATTACCTAAAATCATTTGTATTCCAGTATCTCTTTTGGTTATCACTTATTTTCCTATTCGTTACTGGAACACATAGAGTTACCTTGTTCGGTTTAGGCTACTTATTCGGTTGCTTCTATTTCCTCTGGATGGGGATGGAGATGTTTGTTAAACCCATCAAGACTTTACTTAGAAATTGGAGATTAATGCTTGGATTTAACTTGTTTGTCATATTCACGAAATCATGTTTACAACTACTGGCATGCGTTTATGCTGACAAGCAATTATGCTGGGTTCAGCAATTATTTAACATTGTCTGCTTTAAAAGATGGTATAATCCTTACGATGAGAATGGTTCAAGTAATAAATGTCTGACGAAGACCGACGAAGCAAACATGACCTGGGATTCTCTTTCTTTCGTAATACTTATCTTTCTTCTTCGAACTTTTCAATCGCATTACTTTAGACATGTACGAGAGGAAATAGTGGCTCAAAATAAACAAGCCGCAGCCGGAGCAGAGATTATTAACAAACATTTAGTTTTGGTAGTGGAAAAACGGAAGAAGAGGGAAGAGCATCACTTGAATATTATAAAAAAGAAAATGAAACGAATCAAAATGCGACAAATGAAGTTGCAACAAAGAGCACTATTAGAATCAAATGATCATTATATTATTATAAGAAGTGGGGATTATTACATGTTCGATGATGATACAGATGAATTAGATGCATCGGATACACTATCTGATAGTAGTCACCTAGATTTTGACGATGACATGTCGGAAAGTCCTCTTGTTAAATTAATGAATCTTACAAAGATACATAAAACGGTAACAAAAAAGAAAGTAGGTATTTTTCTCACTTAAACTAATTCATTTTTTACGTGTAGCGTTCAACTGTATATCCGTCATCTGATTTACCATTTAGGATATCTGATAGATCTTCATTAACGCATAATTTACATTCTATTTATGTAGTAAGGATTCTTAGTGATAAATTTAGAATACTTAACAATGATTACGTTTTGAACTATGAGCATTTTTCTATTTTATGTCATCAGTATCCAATACTAGAGCAAAGTTTAAGCGATATTCTACCAAACACTTACAAGAAGAGGTTCTTTCGTAATAAACCTCCCTCCATTCACTTCTTTTTTCCAGCTGCCGTTAAAGCGTTGACAGATATTTTTATTAACTTTCTACAGGTTTATTTAGAATGAGTTTTCTTCATTTATAGCGTTATTTATTGTTTGTTTGTCTCTTTTCTCATTTTTTATAAATATTTTAATGTATTATAGAATTCTGTTTTATCACATCTGTATTTTTTATTTAGGGAAAGCAAAGTGATGAATCGAGTAAAGTGACTGCTAACGTTGGTTCATCGACCAAACTAGATCCTGATGAAGATGGAATAGAAAACAATCTATCCGAGTCAAATGTAGAAAAAGAACAAAGTATAAAATCATCTTTCTTCTTTTGTATTTTAACAAAATGTCAATAATATTTTCTCCTTTCTCTTAATAGATAAAAGTGGATTTACGAATTTGATTAAAAATATATGGAGACTTTTCCTAACTTTACTTGACTATTTAATAATTAAGATAGAAGCTCAATCGGCCGAGTATAATGCCGTTGCTAACAAGATTAATGAATTGAAGATTGCTGAGAAACATCAGGCTCCATTGAGTAATATATTTTATGTTATGACTATTGAATAAGTAACATGCACGTTTTTCATTTATAGATATGGTAAGAGCCCATTCGCTGAGGGAATCTGATAGAGATGATGATGACTTATTAACGGATCCTAGTAACTTTCAAGAGCCTGATAATCCTGATGAGGCAGACCTAGCTGGACTCGAAGGTCACAAGGATGCAACTCAAAAAGAAAAGGATTTTCAAGAACATTCCTATCGACTTTTTCGTCTTATTGTTGCTATTGTACAAGCCTTAAATGCTCGATCAGAGATTGTTTGCTACTTTGCCATGATTCTCAATGTCCTCCTCTCCGCCTCAGTACTCTCTATGGCTTTCCCAGTATCAGTGTTCCTTTGGGCCATGTTAACTGTTCCAAGACCAACTAAGCGCTATTGGTTAATTCTTTTGTTATATACTGAAGTAATAGTTGTTGTCAAGTACCTCTTCCAGTTCAGTTTCTTTTCTTGGAACTCATCAAAATCAGAGGCTGTGTGGCCCTCAATAATCGGAGTTGACAAGAAGGACAACTATGCTCTATTAGACTTATTTTTATTGGTGTGCTTATTTATACATCGATCAAACCTACGTCGTTTTGGACTATGGAAAGACGCTCAAGATATGGATACGGACTTAGCCGAGGCTGGTGGACAATTGCAAGGAGAAACGAACCAGGAAGTATTCGATCAAATGCCAGAAGAGACATCACCATCTGCTTTACAGTCAAAGCCCTCAGAATTAAATTTAGAAAGGAGATCCTCAGTAGGATCTCTTAGTGCCCAAATAGGATCGGAAAAAGCTGAAACCGTAACGGATCAAATGAATATTCCTCAAAAGAAAATTCCCAAATGTTTTTTGCCTTTTTATCTATTTTATAAAAGAATGAGGGATCCAAAGTATAGCACAACCGTTGACGTCTATAAGTTTATGTTCCTCTGCGATTTTATCAATTTCTTTATTGCTATCTTCTTCTATTCCTATTTTGGTCCGACAGCCAACGATGAAGCTGTAACAGCTGCAATACAAAAGAACCAAGTTCCAACGCCATTTCTGGCTATGCTCATAGTGCAATTTCTACTTATTATTATAGATAGAGCATTATATTTAAGAAAAGAAGTTTTTGGAAAATTCATCTTCCAGATTATGCTCGTTTTCGTTGTTCATGTTGGATTATTTTTTGTGCTGCCACAAATCACAGAGAGAAAATTCACCGAAAATATTCCCGTCCAGGTTTGGTATGTCATAAAGTGTGTTTATTTTGGACTATCAGCCTATCAAATACGTTCTGGTTATCCAACTCAAATTTTGGGCAATTTTTTGACTAGACAATACAATTACGTAAATCTATTTCTCTTTAAAGGATACTTGGCTGTTCCTTTCCTATTAGAAATGAGATGTTTGATGGACTGGATGTGGACGGACACAACTTTAAGTTTAAGTTCATGGCTGCAAGTAGAGGATATCTTCAATAATATATTCATTTCAAAATGTTGGAGGAGATCTGAAAAAGAATGGCCTACTCCTCGAGCAACCGTCAGAAGTAAATGTGTCAAATATGGTTTTGGAGGCTTAATTTTGGGATTATTAGTGTTCATCATATGGTGTCCCTTACTCTTATTTTCCTTCATTTCAAATGTCTACGTCAGTAATCCTCCAACTGACGTTACCGTTTCAATTTCTTTGGGAGGATTTCAGCCACTATTTACAGTTAGCGCTCAACAACAGTTTATTAAAAACTATTCGGATAGTGCTTTTAAAGAATTCAAGGATAGTTTTGTAGATAAGGTTTGTCATTGTATCCTTTTATTTTAACTTTTACTTAGATATCTATTACGATATAGGATGCAAGAAGATATCTGGCCCCCATTAGAGCCGAAGACGTTAAACAAATACAAATCAATGGAAAATCGACAGCAGTTTGGGGAATAAGTCCGCCTATCCAAAGATCTTTATTTGAAGATTTACTCAATCCCAGAACAGACATCAATCTAGTCTTCTCTATATCCGTGAAGCGGAGACCTAAAGAGGGAATTCAAACTGAATCAGTGAGTGCTCAAATTATCCATCCGCTGCCAAGGGGTGGAAAAATACGTCATGAACTTGCTGGAATGATAAATGGTTCATCAACAACACCGATGTAAATATATTTTGTCTGAATTGACAACTTTTCTTCAGTTTAACTTAATTGTTATTTTCAGACGTTTCGATTTCTTATTTCCTCAATACTTTCGTGTTCCTGCTAAAGAACCACCAAACAAGATAGACGTGCTCGATCGTGCATCTGAGCCATGTTGTAATGTTACTCTCAATCTAAAAACATTAGAGAAGAATTCATCCGATATTTTTGACTCAATTAACAAGTGGTGGGAACTATCAGAATTAACAGACAGTAATTCTGGAAGCATAAAGAAATTTATATCGTTCATAACAATTAATGATAGAGTAGCACCAGCTCCTCTTCTCTTCCTCCTTCCTGCTAGTTCGATCATAACCATGTATGTGTCTATCGTATTTGTCATCGGAAAGTTTATGAGATCAACATTCATCGACGGACTTTCAAGACGAATGATATATGAAGAAATGCCACAAGTAGAAAGAATTTATAACTTGTGTATCGAATTATACTTGGTCAGAGAGTGCCAAGATTTCCGATTGGAAGAAGAATTGTTCGCGCAATTACATTTCTTGTATAGAACACCAGAGACTATGCTTAAGGTCACAAAGCATAAAGTTGACTAGTCCTCTCGAGTAAAAATGCTTTTTTTTTGTATGCTAATTTCATAAGAATAAAACAAATCTGCTTTATTGTACACTATATTATTAGTCACTTTTATCAAACAAAAAAACGATAAAGGTACATAAAATATGTATCCCAACAGAAAATAAAAGATTGAGAAATGTTACCTAAAACATAGGTTTTATTCACTATCACTAGATCCTAATTCATCAACCTGACCCATTATTTCTTGTGCATCAATATCGTCATCATCATCATCATCCTCGCTATCATCATCCTCATCAGCTTCATCGTCAATTAAGGATTCATCGTCATCGTCGTCCTCGTCATCATCCTCGTCATCATCCTCGTCATCTTCCTCGTCATCTTCCTCGTCATCCTCATCGTCATCCTCATCGTCATCGTCATCATCATCATCTTCAATATCTTCCTCTTCAACTACTTTCTTTGAGAGTTTCTTCTTTTTCTCTTTCGTTGGTGAATCTTTTTGAACAATAGCGTTATAGATAATTGCAAATGACCCCTTTTTTTCAGAAAATCTTACCAGGTTGGGTTTCAGCTTTTCTCTTAGTGGCTCTAGCATATAGTACAATTAATTGTCTTTCCTTGTAAGTTTTTCCTTGTGCTGAATCATGCTGTTGTTTGGCATCAGCTTCAGTTTTGAAATGTATAAAGGCCATTCTATGAAAACACAAAATTTTAGCTATACAAGTCGAAAAGTTGATAATAAATGATATCTTACCCCAATATCTTTCCTTGTTTGTTCTTAGGTATATCAATTCTATGAGATTTTGGGAAAAGAGACTTTAAGTCTTGCTCAGATGTACTTTTGTCGAATCCCGTTACATACAACTTTAAAGGATCTACAGCTGCAAGATCAATTCAATATTTAGACATTACAAAATTTTAAAATATTATACACTTTACCCATATTTTGCTTATTTGTTTTTCCTGGTTTTTGACTCTTATTATTGCAATAATCAACATATAAAGTTTTTCCATCAAGTACTTTCGTTTTTAAACTTTTAAATGCCTCTTCAACATTTGCTTTGTTTTTAAATTCTAAGAAAGCATAGCATGACTTCTTTTTCATTTGTAATCTTAGACGGACATTAACGATGCCAGGGTGAAGACTTTTAAGAACACTGTCTGTGACCTTCCTTGGAAGATTCTTTACAAATAAAGTTCTGTCATTTTGGTCCTCTGTAGGTTTGTATGTAAAGATAGATATTTGTAGCCTATTAATTACAATTAAAAATGTTACCTGCAGCTTTTTTATCAGCATTTTTTAGAGACTTTGCAGCATCTGCATATAAAGAAATTAGTAGGCTATCAATATTTAAAAACTTCGACATTACTTTTTACTTGCTCCTTTACTGTTTCAACTGCTTCAGTAGATTTCTTTCCTTTACCTTTACCTTGCTCATTACTATTTTTTTTCTCCTGAACTTTAGATTTCACTTCATTGGCATTCTTTTTATCTTGGACCTTAACTTTCGCTTCTTTGACATTCTTACTCACTTGAGCTTTAGTTTTAAGTTCTTTTCCATTCTTTTTTTGTTCTTGCTTTACATCCTTCTTCCCTTTATTATTCTGTTTAAAAAATATGTATGTTGAAATCAATGTTCAACTAATGAAAACATATTACAATACCTCAAGTTTCTTCTTTTCAGCTTGTTTAGCTCCCTTTATGTCATTTTTATTTGCCTTCTTCTAGAAAAAATTAATTAATAATTAATTGATTGAAATTTTATATGGTTTTCTAAATCTAATTTTTACCTTTGGAGGTGGTGATGTTTCTTCATCTTCGTCATCGTCGTCAACACTATCATCATCATCACTTAACTCATCGTCACTGTCTTCATCAAAGTCTTCGTCCATTAAATCATCACTATCTAAATCATCTGATCCAATCTCAGGATTATCACTATCATCTACATCTAATCCCTCTTCATCTGATTCTTCAGATTCCGACTATTGAATAGGAATGTAATACTGGAATACTTAAAATTTGCTTGGCTGACTTACCACTTTCTCCCCTTTCTTTTTTTTTGCAGCTCTTTTAGCTTCGTTTTGTCGCAATTGTTGGATTAAAAGCTTTAACGAATTAATCAATAAATTTCCAAATAATTTTTTATTCAAGGTTAGCTTACTTCGAAATCATTATCACTCAACTCTTCATCAATTTCTTGCATTAACTTTTTCCTTTTTGGTTGGGGCTCTGATTTGGGTGTTTTATTTTGCTTAACAAGCCCTTTTGCGTTTTTCTTGGCCTGAGGAGTCTAATAAATAAAAATACTTTCAGTTGACATCGAATATTAAAATTTTATAAATGAAATGTAATATTTAACATTCTCTTAATTTCAATTCACGTGGATAGCGATAATTGATGAATTTAATTTCAGTTACTCTAATCTCAGATCTTATTAGAATATATAGTTAATGAATGAAATACTTACAGATGCCTGTTGTACAAGCGAGTTATTCTTTCCTTTCTTCTTATTACCTTTCATTTTGCTTAAAAGTACTTAAAATAGACTTAAATGTTCGATAAACTGTTTCGGCAGGAGCACGTCTTTTCTAAGTCTACAAAGAGACCATGTGCTTGCGATAATGAATTTTAGTCAGAATCAAAATTTGCAATATGTACAGTGTCCCTATTTGCACATGCGCCAAGGCGCCAAAAACAGGAAGTACAAGTGTATCAGCAAACTTTCGATGTCGATTTAGCGTCGATACCATATCGTTTGAAATATTGTTCTCCGTTTCTGGGATTGTTGAAATTTTGTAATTTCACAATATCATACATTGATTAAAAGCCAAGAATGGTTTGTAATCAACTTATGTCACCTTATGATGAATAAAATACTTTATTAGAGTTTCCCCGCGAATGCGCTAATTATTCAGGTGTGATACCTAACTTTATCCATTTTTCAGCTGCAATTTATGCTGCTATTCAGCCGACAAGGCAAATTACGATTACAAAAATGGTTTGTCGCCCACCAAGAGAAACTGAAGAAGAAAATTACTAGGGAATTAATAACGAATGTTTTGTCAAGAAAGCCAAAAATGTGTAGTTTTATTGAATGGAAGGATAAGAAAGTTGTTTACAAACGGTAAGAGTAATTTTTTTCACATTTAGTTTTACTATAAATTAAAATATGATGATTTTATAACATACAAACTGGCAGGTACGCAAGCCTTTATTTTTGTTGTTGTGTTGACAAAAATGACAACGAATTAATGACTTTAGAATTAATTCATCGATACGTCGAATTGCTAGATAAATATTTCGGAAACGTAAGTGAGAAAAGTATACACAAATAATTTCAAATTTGAAATTAAAGCTTAAATAACGTACTGCCCCTTTGATTTTCTGTAATTTCAACTTACGTGCACAAATTCGCACCTGATTTTTTTAATATTGTGTTTCTGCTCGTATTTCAAGCTTAAATCTTTTCTCATTTCGTAGACATACTCGCATATATCTCCTAAACTTAAGCCAAAATATTAACCTAAAAAAAAAAGCTTTATGTCTTACACTACATACTTTTTCAGAAAGGAATGACAATTAGTATTACTCGTAACGGTCAATTATTTTTGACCAAACGCCGTAGATTTATATATATTTTTTTTATTCAAAATTGGACAGATATGCCAGTTTATACTTTTGCTGCTGTGTCGATGCTAAAGATAATGAATTGCTGACTTTAGAGATTATTCATCGTTATGTGGAATTACTCGACAAATACTTTGGCAGTGTGAGTGTGTAAATGACTTGGGAACAAAAATACTAATTAAAATATAAGATCGTTGTAACTTCTTTTTTTTTTAAAGAATTTCCCTTATTATTCAAGGATATGGGTAGTTTAGTTTTAGCATGAAATTTATTTATATTTGTCTTGTTTTTTGTCACTCCTATCAATCCTTTCTTATTTATTTCATTTTTTAAATGGAAGCTCCGCTTTTTTCTAATCACTTCAATCATTGAGAGGAATGAATTTGAAAAATAATTATTCATCTAGAAGTTAAACAATCCCTATTTTAAACGTAATAGTATTGAAGTTATCAAATTCATTTAAAATCATTGAATGCTCATTGATTATTACTTAAATTTTCTAAATACGTCTTTTTAAAAGTGCTTGTTGGTGCTTACAGGTTTGTGAATTAGATATTATATTCAACTTTGAAAAAGCCTATTTTGTTCTTGACGAATTCGTTCTGGGAGGAGAAGTACAAGAGACTTCGAAGAAAAATGTGCTTAAAGCCATAACAGCTGCCGATCTACTGCAAGAGGTACGATTATCATTATCAATCTTTAAAATTTCTTTTGTTGTATCTGTTGGTATGCAACCTAAAAATCTGCTTACCACAAATATGAATACGTGTTTTAGATATAAAACTCTTAAAAATCCTATACTAAAAAAGTACACCTGCATATTTGAACAAAAGAAAATTCTATCTCTCAAAATTGGTTTAAAGCAGATTTTTAGACTTTTCAATTATTATGAGAGACTGGTTGATTATGGCGTATATAATTTTTTTCATCCCTCTTTTCTTATGGGCTTAGTAGGTCCGTTTTTATTTTGTTACATCGAAAATTCTCTTACTATATTGGTTGTTTTGTGAAGAAGCATTATCCAATTGCACTCTTTATTCATTTGCATCAAGCTTCTTGATTTGTATCAAGTTTCTTTCTTGCATAAAACAGGACGAAATGCCGCAAGGATTTTTTGAAGATAACGGATTAGGTTGAGTCTATAAAAAAATTGCCTGACTTCTTTAAACAGACCTTGTAATCATTGCATGCAAGTTTTAAGTGATTTGTAACAATGCTTGAGCATATAACGACGCATGAACATGCAATTATAAATATTTATTATCAATTTGTCATGCATTAGTTAGGGTAATAGGGAGAGACAAAATAACCTGTCATATTTTGTACAATCTCGATAGATGTAATAATTTCTAGAACCAAGAAAAAAAAAGAAAGTGTCTGTTTTTCTTCTCTTTCAAAAAATATCAAAATTCTGATTTCCTTTCCTCTATTGTATAGACGCTAAATTATTTTGATTTTGTTCTATTTTTTGTGGAATGGTTCTTTTGATTTCTCTATTTAAAAACAAAAATCAAACAGCTCATCATTAGATAGAAAATTGTTTCTTTTGTAAAATAAAATTAAAAAGGAAATGAAGTTAAATCGATTGTTTTCATTTATGAAGAAAATGATGTGAAGTTCTCTACGTGTAAATGCATTGCATATAGGAAATTATAGCAGACAATGAGACCTCAGCGTTATTTTTCATTTATCCCATTAGTAGGCTTGCAGCTATTATACTAATATATTGGCATTGAAAACAAGTATACAATGTATTATTATATTTGTTTCATTTATGTAAACCCTATTATCTCGAAAGTGAATTGTTGCGTCTCTTCAAAATACTAACAATGTAAGTATCTACATATTTGATTAATTATCAGTCAACAATGCTAAACTCTCATTAAAATTACTAAATTAGTATATTTGTTCCTTTTTATACACCAATAAACTAACCATCTTTTTTTACGTATTAAATGCTTCGTTAATGATTCTTTTACATTACAGGAAAGTGACGAACCCCAAAGCATCCTTGAAGAAATAGGCCTGTACTAGCGAAAAGTTCAATTTGCCAACCTGTAAAAATGAATACCTTTGATATACATATTGATTTCTACATCAGATCTGACAAATTAAAGCTTACAGAAGAGATTACTTAATGTACAGAAAATTATTAATGAGTTTCTATCGTAGTCAAAAATTTCTCAAATGTTTCAATTTGAATACTATACTTTTAGTATTTTAAGCTTACGTACAATGATCTACTAATATAGAAAAGATGATATTACAATTGTTATTATGCATTCTTTTTAATGCTATATTTATTATTTCGTTATTAATAAACCTTATAACAATTGCAGTTAACGATCTTACATATAACATGCAAAAAACATGACTCTTCGTTGCTAGATTTAAAAAGGTTTTTTTTCGTTCATTAGTAAACAATGACAAATATTTTTTTAATTAATTATCTGTTATACTTACAAAAAAGATAAGTATAATCGTTTCGATAGTATCATTTTTAAACTAATTAGAGACCCTAAGAACTTTATTTGACATGAAACGAGTCATTAAGACCAAAAATTACAAAAATAGCACTTCTTTAAACTTTTTCTAGTTCCACGTCTGAAATCCTTTTATCATCGTCTTTGATATCAGAACAGACTGTAGAATCACTTCCTCCAATTGCTTCCACTTTTTGATAATCACTTTCAGCAGATTTCTTACGATAATTTTCAATTAGATTCTTTGTAGCATAAATAACGTATGCTAAGGCAGGTAATACCGAACCAAACAAAGAATATGTTATCGGTATTAGACTAGCCAGGTCTGATTCTGGGTGATGCAGAGAGATGTTTAAAAGAAAAAGGCTCATAGTAACATTCTGAAATCCAGTTTCTATAGATATAGTTATATTCTTATCCCTTCCTTGCCTACAGACCCATGCAATGATACCGCCTAATAGATAACCACTGGCTGATAGGGCTAAGCAAGACGATATTATTTTGAAATTCACCAAAGGTATCAAATACCAATTAGTGTAAACTAAAACTGTGAAAAATATACAACCAGAGAAAAGCATGAAAATTTTCAAGTATTTGCTTGCAACTTTTGAGACTTTGGGAGCAAATCTCGTTATCAGCATACCAAATATAACTGGTATAGTAATTGTAGCCAGAGATATAAATACGTTTTTAACAGGAATGTGAGCTTTTGCTCTTGACAAAATACGCGTGCCTAATACATGAAGCCAGAGTGGAGTCATTCCTGTAAATAAAAGAAAACAAACTTATTATACTTCAAACGGAAAATTTCTATTTAGTTTTACCCAAGGCAGCGAAGGTGCTAATAGTACTCATCGTAATACTTAATTCCAAATCAGCATCAAGTAATATGGCAAAAATATTACTTCCACCTCCCCCTGGAGCAGCACCAATAGTTAACAAGCCAATACCATACAAAGGATCCAAATTCCAGAGGTGAGTGATACCGAAAGACAGCTTGAAATAGCAAACGTAAAAATTAAATTATATTAACTAGCAAAAAGATTTAACATACAGGAGCCATCAAGCCAAATTGACAGACGAAGCCAATAGCGGGAGGTAGAGGTTTTTTAAGAGTCTTCCAAAGTAAAGCTGCCTCTAATTTGCAGCCAAATCCAGTATTATTTACCAAAATTAAAATTGCTAAAATGATTACAAAAGCCTTATTTAGAGATTTTTTCCCTAAGAGCACTTCTATTCTATTATTTTCCATATTTATTGTTGTATTTGACTTATTAACACTGAATAGCAAATCACATAGTCCAACATGATAGCTCGTTACTTTAACAGTTGTATTTTCTCCAATTTGAATAGTTGATTCATTAAGGATGGCAACATCCTTATTAGAAGTTTTAACTTCCAAAAAATTTGTACTATGAAAATCTTCCGGTTCACACATAGACACATTTGTGAAGAAATGAACGTCAAGGGTGGAGGAATGCTTAAGGCTTATTTTATCCGGCACTGTCTCTATATTTATGACACAAGACGATGCCAAAATTACGGGCAAAAAAACTAACAACAACAGTTCTCGACTCATTTCAGTACTATTTTACGATTGTCGTCAGCGTTATCAGTACAAATGTGCTGGCTTATCAAAAATATTGCTGCGTAACTGAAAATCCGTGTCAATTATATCAAATGATTAATAATTTTATATTTGCATAATGCAAGATAATACTACTTTTAATATTTCTTCTTGAAAATCTCTTTGAGATTTACTAATTATCAAAGTAACATTGATTTTTGCGACAGGATCATCAAGTAAACAGCAATGGCCTCCATGATTCTGGAGCAGCAGTAAAATTGATTCTGTATGTTTCCAGAAAATATCCTAGAACAAAGTATAAAATAATTTTCTTCTTTTAATAATATTGCAGATCACTAGAGAGCGTTTATATCGTTTTACAGCGAAAAGTTCATACTATATACTTCAAACGATTTTGACATGCGCATGCGCGGTTGCCTGTTTTTACAGACAAAGCAAAATAGACATTTGTTAAGCTTTGCCGGTGTGGGAAATGTCCCTGTATCTTTATATAAATTGCTAATCAAAAGTAAATGAGTGCTATTAGATTTAGATAATCCAGTTTGAAATATTAATTTCTTATATTTACCACATATCAGTGAAAAAGCAAGGTTTTTGGAAGTAGAACAATATTAAAACCAATCTAAAAGGTTTCAATCTCTCGGCAGCATTTTATATTTCAACAGAGAAAATCAGCTATTCACACAAAAGCAGTAAAAAAGTGTTCAGCAGTTCTTGAATGAAGTTTCTATATTTGTCTACCAGAATCCACGCTTCAGTCAAGTCAAGATCGTTTAGAGTATCTTAGAATATAGCATATATCACTTCCCTCAGTCCTTTAATTACGATAATCTTTGAAATAGACGAGTAGTTACATTAAGCCAGCTGGTCAAATGCTTACAGCTATTATAAAATTATCTAAAATGATGCCAAATTCTGTAAAATTGATAGAACGAACAGTGAATAAAAAGTTATTTTAAGTTTAAAATAGACCTATATCCAATTATGTCAATATATTAATTTTTATTTATCTTACTTACTTGTTGGCCTTTTTGAAGAAATTTAACGGTTAACATTTTTCCTTTGAAGCAGAAAAAAGTTCGAAATTTTAGACACCTAACTTTCCCATTAGAGCGTTATTGTAAAATAAAGTCCACTTAGTTAATCTTATTAAGAGGTTAATTTTACAAATCAAGTCTTATATTTAGTAAATTTGAACTTAACTTGTATAATGAGGTGATCAATTGTTTCAAGTATGTCAAGCTAAATTACAATATGACATGATGAGAACCAGAATAATACATTTTTGTTAGTCATTCGTCAGTGGTAATATTACTAACAGGAAATTGTAATTATTTTATAATTCCCCCTCTTTATATTGAATTTATGAGTTTCTTCGTACTAAATGTCTAAATTATGCTAAAGGATTACATGTTTTTTAGCTTCCCATATAGAAAAAAGAATTTTCTTCATAGTTATATTTCAATATTATTTGCTCTGAATATATAATAATTTCGTATAAATAATCGTATCGAAAAAATACGATATGATATAAATCGATTACCGAGGAATCGCTTACATTCATTTCATTTCCGTTTGGCCCAGTGACGAATCACATGGTTGTTGCTTGAATCTACAAATATCTTCTGATTAATTTGGCGTAATTATTAAATTGTTGGGCAAAATGAAACCTAAACCTACTAAAAGCAAACAGGTAAAGAATGGGTGCTTAACTCGAACGACAGAAGAGAACATTACAGGTGTAGTCATCAATTCGGCTGACTGGCAAATGTACCTCGTTTTGGTCGGAATAAGGGGAAAATGGCGTTGAAACTTTTTCTTATATGCCCGGCGTGCATATACATAAATTTTTAGAGCGCCCGGTGAGCGCTATAAGATAATGAAGGGAAAGCATGTGAACTTGTAATAGAGTCAATTCCTTTGCCCGGCGTGCAAAGAGTGCGGCAAGCGCTGATACGCGCTACAGCTAATTTAATGGCTGAGAGAGCAATGCCCGGCGAGTGTTGCTGTGTGGTACGGGTATATTGTGATGCGATGAAAGCATTAGATATTCAAGAGATCCCGTTAGAATATTTAATGGTAAGTGGTTTGTCAGGGACGATATGTAACTATCTAGCTCTTCATAAATTTTTCGATGAAAAAAGTATCTGACACCACTACAAAGAAATAAATTTCTCACGAATAGATGCCTTTAGATTGTTACTTTCACTTAATCTCACAAAATCTAACGTGTTTTCTCATGTAGAATCAACCACCAAAGAAAAAAGCAGCTCCTCCACCAAAGGAAGTATCTAGCGAAGATGAAGTTATGGACAGTGAAGAAGAAGACGAAGAAAGTAACGATGAAGAGGGTATAAAACCGACAGCTTACTTTCAGACTTGAAATTCATTCATCCCTTTTCAAACAGAAGGTGTAAGTGCTAAGGTACCGAAAATTTCGGCAAAAAATGGTGGCGGTGATGATGAAGATGACGACGACGACGACGACGATGATGATGATGATGATTACGAGGAAGGAGATGATGATGATGATGATGAAGAAGAATCTCCCGCAAAAAAACGTAAAGCAAACTCTGGAAAATCATCTATTCCGGCAAAAAAAGCAAAGAAAACAACTGAAGATGATGATGATGATGACGACGATGATGATAATGAAGACATTGACATTGATGATGATGATGATGATGATGATGATGAAGAAGAAGTAGTTGATGATGATGATGATGATGAAGAAGTAGATGATGATGATGATGAAAATGTCTCTAAGAAGCGTAAAGCAACTACTGCAAAATCCTCTATTCCTAAGAAAAAAGCCAAAAAGTCATCGGATGAGGAAGATGATGATGATGATGATGACGATAATGATGATGATGAGGAGGAGGAAGAAGACGACGACGGTAAGATTTTGTAAAATTACTTTTTCTTGCACTTTTTTGCCATTCTCATAGATTTAGATCTCTGGGAATCTTCCCTTGATAAGTGCCAAATTATGACTATTATATATAATTGATGCAATATTATTGTGTCACAAAATATAACCGTAACAATTATGCATTACTTTCTACAGACGATGAAAGCGCTAAACCTAAAAAATCCAACAAAAACAATGAAGGAGGAAACAGGAAATTGTTTCTCAAAGGCGTACAGGATTTGACAGAAACTCAAATAAAGAAATTTTTTCAAAAAGAGAAAATAGCCGTCAAAGAAATTGATAAATTTCATGGAAAAGATTTCGCTGTTGTTACTCTTGAGAAATCGAGTGACCTTCAAAAAGGAATTTCTTTAAGTGGAAACGAATGGAAGGGGGCTGAAATATCTATCAGAGAAGACAATAAAGGAAAAAATGATAAACCCAAAACCAACACATTTGAAAGTAAGTTATTGGTAAAATTTTAACAGTATTTTGTTTAAATGATGAACAGATGACGAGTCTGAACACGTTATGTACATGTAGTTCTAGGCATTTGGCCTGATACTTTCATCTTAGATATGTTTATCAAAATAAGTTCTTCCCAGCTTTAAAAACATATTTTTTCCGCAGAAAAAGATCAGAATACGCTATTTATAAAGAATATCGCAGAAAAAGTAACAGAGAAGGATATAAAGGACATATTTGATGATGCTGTAGAGATAAGACTGGCTAAAAATAAACAAGGAATGGGTCATAGAGGGTGAGTAAAAGTTAGCAAATGACTTAGCTCAAATGAAATGAAAGTTAATGATGAACGAGAAAGCTACCATATTTATTGATAGACGTTGTGTCTATGATCTTAATATCTCGAGGCATTTGTCTGATATTTAGCTAACCAGCAGTATATCCAATTTTCAATGTAGAATGAAAAGTAACTTTACTGTTTTTCACAGATTTGCTTTCGCCGAATATGCTTCTGAAGGGGATGTAGAAAAAGCATTAGAAAAACATCAGGGAAAAGAATTGAAAGGACAAGCTCTCTTTTTAGACTTCTGTGGTACTAAAAGCAAAAACACGAAAGGAGATAGAAAGGGTACATCGGATGGTGTTCCTTCAAAAACCTTATTTGTAAAGAACTTGAGTTATGATACCACTGAAGAAACACTAAAAGAACTTATGGGTGGTGTTGTTGCTCGCATTGTCACACATCAAGATACAGGCAAATCCAAGGGATTTGGATATGTAGAATTTGCTTCTGAAGAGGATGCTAAGAAAAGTCTTGCTGAAAAGCAAGGTTTGGACATAGATGGTAGAAATGTATTTGTGGATTTTTCAACTCCCCGTGGTAGCGGTGGAGGTCGTGGTGGACGAGGCGGAGGTGGTCGTGGAGGAAGAGGTGGATTTGGAGGTAGAGGAGGGCGTGGTGGATTTGGTGGTCGAGGAGGCGGCCGTGGAGGTCCTAGAGGAGGAGGTGGCTTCAGAGGTGGTTCAAGAGGAGGATCAAGAGGCTTTCAAAAATTTCAAGGCACCAAAAGAACCTTTGATGATTAAGTGATCATTCTTCTATTCAAGTTGTTAAAGAATAAATAATAAATTTACGAGTTTTGTTTGTTTAATGGAAAAAGAATTATCTGTAAATAAAGTTTGTGTGGTAAATGAAGATTTTAATCATTGTATTTAACTTTTAAGCAAATCATATTACATTTCAAATGTAACTTTTATTTCACAAAATATCAACAGGATCCCAACAAAAGTGACAATCTTTATCAAGTTTAGCTATCTGGTTCAAATCTTCGGTGGTCAGTGCAAAATCATACAGACAAATATTGTTCTTAATATGTTCGGGATTAGTTGATTTTGGTATAACACCTGTTAGGATCGCAAATTAATTTATCATGAATGTTTTTTTGTATAAACTCACTACTTTCATTCTCAATTCCCCATCTTAAAGCAATATTTGCTGGCGATTTATTATACTTTTTTGCCAAATTCAAGATGACATCGTTAGCCAGGACCTGAAAAAGGTTAATTAAAAATAGAAATTTTAACGGGGAGCTTACCTCAGAAGTGTTTTTCATACTACCTAAAGATGAATAAGCTTGAAAGTGAATGGAATGCTCTTTGCAGAATTTTCGTAGGTCATGTTGTTGTAACAAAGGGTGAAGCTCGCTCTAAATTTCGTTTTTTTTTTGAATTTCTATTCTGAATAATAGATCTTGCCTACTTGTAAAACAGCTGGTTTAATTGAGCAGAACTTTAACATCTCCTCTAAATGGTTTATTGTATAATTGGATACACCAATTGCTCTTGCTTTTCCTTCTTTCAGTAATTCTTCCATTTGAAGCCAGCTTTGTCTTCTAGCTTCTTTATGTTCCGAATCGTTAGGTTTCTTACCATGAGCTCCTGGCCAGTGAATTAAATACAGGTCGACATAATCCATGGATAATCTTTTTAAAGATGAACACAAAGATTCTCTTGCTTTGCCATGCTCTCTCGGTTCTGAATAAGAATTATGTAAACGTACAAATTTATTTGCAAATAGACAGCCAACTAAGTTTTGTTGTAATGAATACATCTGTCCGATTTAGGTTATATTTCAACAACAATTCTTTCAAGCAGCTACCAATTGCCTCCTCATTCTGGTACGCTGAAGCGGTGTCTATTATAGTTTGAAAATAGTGATCACTGTTTAATATAGGCGTTAATATTATGAAAATTTACTGACCGAAAAGACGATAACCAGCATTTAAAGCTGCATCTAATAAGTCATACATCTGCTCTCCAGTAACTTTATACGTACCCACTGTTGCAAAAAAAATATTGTAAAGGTATAAATACTTTTTACACCTAAACATACATCCACAAGAAGGCATGGAAATGAGTTCATTGTTTGAATTTAGTTGAAATTGAATCATTCTCTCCTATTATTGTCAATTAAAATATTTTGAAAATACACGCTAAAAGAACTTTACCACCCAGTAGCAAAATGGGTCCGGACACTGTATGTCTTAAAAGATAGGATCTCTATTCGATTGCGATATTATTGGCGGAAAACCTTTTCGTATAATTAAAAAAAAACAATATACAAAACCTTGTATTGTTACATCAGTTAATATAATAAATCTAACCAATCTTCCTGTACAAAATATTTTAATCGATTTTGATTTATTAAAATTTGGGGTACTCGATTTTACACAAGTTACTATCAATAGTAATAGGAAAAAATCTTCTGGTTCACAGATTCGTTTATATCATAAAGTCAGCTTTATACAAGAAAACTGAAGACTGATTTATAGTTTTGTTAAAGAAAAACTATTTAGAGAGTAAACTTTTAGTTATTATTACTTTCATCTGTAGTTTCTAAAATTTTAAGTAGCTGTGTAAATATTTGAAACAGTTGATTTTTAAACATTACTGTACTGTGAGAATTATAAAGTATGACAATTTCGAAGAATTTTTACTCATTTCTACCCATTACATAATTTTCAAATCGATATAATAAATCGAATTGTAATCGAAATATCGCGATCACAGATTTTGTTCAGACCAAATATGAACGCAAAACCTCAAGTTAATGGGTCGCTTTTACCAGCTTTTAAAGGAAAAACAGTGGTTCTTTTGGGAATAGCTGAAGGAGTAAATATTAATATAATCGATTGTTGGCAAATGAACATGTGAAACTGTTTTTTACAGCCGATTCGAAACGGAACGTTTGAAGTGAAAGCAAGCGATGGAAAGATGGTTCACATAGATGTTCCCGAAGATGTAAGAGCGTGCTAAATACAACATACTTAGCAAAAAATCTATTAAATGTAAAATGCTTTAGGTTGAAGAAGAGATGAACAGCCTTGTTCAGGTAATTGGCACTGTCCAGCCAAACTGTCATATTTCGTGTACTGAGTATAGCATTCTGCCAGAAATGAACAAGGAAAACTTTGGTTCGATATTTGAACACATAAATGTAGAAAGATGAATTTAATATATATTTCAAACACAGATATGGAGGCGTATGACAAAGCTATAAAGTTTATGCACGCTCATGAGAAGTACTTTCCTTTGATCTGAGTTTGGAAACTTAACGAAATTGATATCTAACAAACATTGAAGTAATTTTAGAGCCTAAATTTGTCTGCTTCAGGAAAATGTACATAATTGCAGCAGAGCATAAAACCACCAGAAATAAATAAAAGATTCCTTTCCGATTTTCATTTGAAACATGAGTATTTTGTCTTTTCTGGCGAGATCTTCTTACCACAAGGTCTGTTAAAATTGCCATCTGATTTTGAGACATAGTCGATGAAGGTAGTGGATACATCATAATCGAATCATTCTTCTCGCAACGCTTTCTTTCGTTATATTGAAAAGGAAATCTTTTTTTGATATATTCGATGAGATCTGAAGAAGGTTTTTAAATGATTTGTAGCATTAAACTACTAGTTATTCTTACCATAGTCTTTGACACAATAATCTATCGGCTTTCTGCAAACAGAACACAAACAGCTTTTTTTGCCTGCATTAATACTTATTTTCGCCAATCTTCTTAGGCATATTTCACATAATTTATGACCACAAGGCTGGCAATCGAAAACACTGTACAGAATTTCTTCACAAATTGGACAAGTATATTGTTTGTCTATTAATGCTTCTTTCACGTTTCTTCGCCTACAAAGTGACTGCTCCATATTTTAACTAGGTAGACAGATGCTTTGTGTTTAACTATATTATCGCTCAAAAGAATAATTTTAAGAATCCTTAATCGCCTCTATCACATGATTTGGAACTTTTTATATGATTGTGTATTTTCAAATCATTTTTAGAAACTTCAATTTTAGCAGTTCATGATACGAAAATATTTTGAGCGCTCTTTTGCATATCAATTAGCGGGAAAATTATAAATAGCAAATATTGTCAAGCAAGGTAATCAATTAAATTCAGTACTTTGCCGAGTTGTAAATTTCATTAAGAGCGTAAAATAATGGATTCATATTATTATAAAATAGTCAAAATATATCTATACAAATATTCGATTACTTTAAGGAAACAGAAACAGACAGGAATATGTGATGATTTCATTGTTGTCGTAGTCTTGCTAGTCTGCTGGTCAGATCATCCTGAAAAAATTGTTAGAGAATTATTTACCAGCTATATCTTGATCAATTGCATATTTATTAACGTACTTGTTCAGCTGATGCAGCTGTAGACTGTCCTACTGTATTTGACGCAGCCGAAGGTAGATCCATGTTCAGTTCCAATCTGAAAAGGGTAAAGATAATAATTAGTTTTTAATATGTAAGAGTAGCTAATTTTTAGAGAAACTTCGTGATAAAGTATGAATATGAAACTTACCCAGCTTCATCTGCCACTTCTTGCATTAAGCTATCTACTTGATTTTGGGGAGTTGTTAAAGTTGAAGTGGCTGCCATAGTGTTTTCCATAACTCCAGCCTGGACATCTAAATTTTCAAATTGTGTTTCAAATCTGTCCATAATCTCTGATATTTTTTGGAGGTTCATAGATTTCATTGCGGCCTCCATTCCTTTTACTACTCCGGCCATCGATTTGGTGACCTGTTGAGTTGTAACGGCTGTTTGGACTCTTTGAGAAACAGCATCCACCCTTGCGCTCATTCGGCGGAACAGTAAACTTTGATTTTTCTGCCTGATAGCATTTTCCGCATATATTTTAGCTCCTTCCATGTTTCCTTTCTGAATCGCCTTCTTTAATTTGTTCTTTTCTTCTTTTTCGCTTTTCTCGCATTTTTTGGCTTCTCGCTCTAGTTGTTTCGCAGAGAACTTAAGATTAAATAGATGTTCTTATATGTTAAGGAAAATGAAAGTATATTAAACTGAAAATGTTAAAAGACTGTTAATCGTTTAGACGCTTTAAAAAGGATACTCTCCATCACGTTCGACTGATTTGCACCTATTTTGACTGCTGTAGAGATACAAACTCTGTTTAATAAATGTGATTCTTTTTATCAAAATATGAGTTGTTTCCTCGTGATTCCGCTATTTTCTTGTGACGTCATTGGCTGTGAGTCACACCCACGATATAGGGTTTAGTGTTCTAATTTGAAGCTATGAAATGTAAATTACATATACGCCAGCAAAGGGCATGTATCCAGACTATTTTTCTTACTTTCGTTCAGTTTTTTAAAATCGTCCCTTCTTTTTAGTCTATTGTTGGCACTTACGAAACATTCAAACACGGACGCCATAAAAGTTACCGCTAAGAACAAGATGGATAAGTTAAAGAGAGTTTTGGGAGGACGAGACGAAGAAGAAGAGGGTATAATGACACAGGTAAATAATACTTTACCTGATTTGATGAATCGAATAGAAATATCGATTTAAGAACAAGTGTGTCAAGCAAAAGTGATTTAGAATGCTGTTATTGTTTAAAATTATCAAAACCTATAATGTAATGAGTATTATTTGTATAATTTGTTTTTTGTTAACAGATATCTGACTCGACATCATTAAGTTTTTCGACAAGAGTGAAATGCTTTGCCGTATGTTTTGTAGTAGGAATAGTTTTATCCATATTGGTATGTAAAATAGAGTTGATTTAGTAAATACTAATTGAAAACTTCCATTTATAGGGCACTGTTATGCTCTTCTTTCAAAAATGGGCAGTTTTTGCTGTCCTTTATACCTTGGGAAATATTACAGCTTTAGCCAGTACTTGCTTTTTAATGGGTCCATGCAGTCAATTGAAAAAAATGTTTGCAGAGACAAGAATTTTTGCAACAATTATTGTTTTCGTGAGTGAAATTAATATTCATTAATGCGATTACAAAAACTAATTAGTATTTTTATTTAGATTATGATGGCTCTAACTTTGTGTGCTGGTTTATGGGTAAAAAACAATTTACTTTATAAAAGGATTAAATATTACTTTGATATGCAGTATTTACATCTGTTTTTCTTTTTAGTGGAAAATTGCTGCTCTCGCTTTGGTATTTTGTGCCCTACAATTTGTGGCCATGGCTTGGTACTCTTTGTCCTACATACCATTCGCAAGGTCTGTAATATAAAATGAATTTATAAAAACAAGTTTTCTACGTAAAATCGAACTAATCGGTTTTTATTTTAACAGAGATGCGGTTAAAAAATGTGCTGGCAGCTGTATGGGGGAATAGCTCATCGTGATGGAAGCTTATTTATTTTTCAAAGATGGCTTTTGTGCGTAATGTTTGTACATTTATACAACGATAAAACGCTTGAATGTTCTCGTGGCCTTCAAATGTTGTACTCACTGTATGTGAACTTTATTAGCAATGAGCAGATCATTTATTTAAATGAAATATTATATTTTATATACGAAACACATCTAAATTCTATTTGTTTTTATTTAAATTTAAGTATGGCATTAAAAAAAGCTTTACGTTTATTTAAATTAAGTTTACGCCTTCCTTTCTGCGGACTTTTTATATGTAATGCCTCACCCCGCCGGTTGGTGACCGAATGGTTTGAACCGGTAATCACGCTACAGTTCCAATCCAAGATGGCATCCGTATCGAAAACTAAAAAACTAAATAAGCAAGAAATCCTTATTCATTTTGAACAGCTGCGTATGCAGCAAAAGACTTACGCTCAAAAGATAAGTGAGCTTAAAATGGAAATAAGAGAACATGAGCTGGTATTAAAAACTCTCCAAGAAGTCGATCCTGAGAGGCGGTGTTATCGAATGGTATGCGGCTTGTTTATTTTTAAATATTTCTATGAATATGATACCACTGTCTAAAACTTCCATTGTATAAGTTTAGTCAAGATTCTACTTTAGGAAATTTTCCTATTTGATAGAAAAATAGCTTTTATTTATACATTAATAAAGCTTGTCGGCTAAACACATGCGAAAACACGTGAGTTTATATAGCAATGTAAAGGTAACATCCAGGTACACAGTAAATGGCAAACACTGTTTTAATTCCATATAAAAATACAGGATGTTTAGATTCTACCTGACGTATTTATTTAGCATTCATTTAACCATCACTGAATGACTTACTCTATTAACATTATTCCGATAATCACTTTCAGGTTGGAACAGTAACTGTTGAAAGAACCGTCAAAGATGTCATCCCAGCTTTAGCACACAATTGTGTAAAATTGAATGAGCTTATCAAATCTTTGGAAAAGCAGTTAGAACAAAAAGGCAAAGAAATTAACGAATATAGAGAAAAGTACGATATTCAATTTAGAAATGAGAGAGATGAAGGAAAAGAAGAGAAGACAGCAGAAAAACCTAAAAGTACTGGAGTATTAGTTGGAGGAAGTAATTAAATATTTAATGTACTGACTAGAATTTGGTACATTTAATAGTTATTTCTTTTGTATGATGATATAAACAAATTCTTTAAAAATCTCGATAAAATAAATTAAATTACCAGATTTGAGAAATTATTTTAAAATGGTTTATTGAAAAGTAAGATTTAAACAAATTACAATTTTTTCCTTGTTTTTTTTTTATTAAAAATACTGAACAAAAACATGTTTTTTCCTTTGTCATTTCTGAAGTCTTGATATGATTTTGCGGTTTTTTTTAAATGACCAAATCTAACGCTGTTTCTTTTTTCTTTAACTTTAACATTTAAAAAGAACAAATTTTATAAAATGATAAAAAAACAACAGGCAAATAGGAAAAAGTTCTTTTTTCTTTTACAAACAACACTGTTGGTACTTTTCTTTTACATTTTGTTTTATGTTAAAAAGTGTTTTCTATTCAATAGAAAGTAAACGGGTATACTCATTATTTTCATCTTCTGCATCTGGAAACAAGCGTCTTACGACTCGGCTGTTTTTGTTAATTCTATTTAGTCTCGAACGGCTTTTTAGAGGACGACCAAGTTCTGGTTCGCAGCAGTTAAATAGATTATCCTTGTTTAATTCCTTTTTTCTGGCAAAATGTTCGTCATCCGTTTTCGGTGAATAGCATGGCGAGTTAAAATTTTTCATTGCAGACAAATCTCTTATGGCTAGTCGACGTCGGTGAATTTTTGCGGCTGCAGGTGTTACAAATGACTTTTCAGGTGTAGAATAGGTTGTATTACAACTCTCCGTTTCCTCAGGAGAACTAAAGGCGTAACGATTCAAGTTACGTTTAGCAAATTCAATGCTAACTTCGGATTTTGTTTCGTATAGTCTCTCCGATGCCATTTCTGCGACTGTTGCGCTGAGAAGTAATGTTCCCCCTTTTAAGGAGTCTTAATTATATAATTGACACGATACGGTTACCGATAAACAATTACGCTATCAGACTATTGTTGATTAAGACCGACGTCTGTTATGTAATCTAAGAATCGATCTAAGGTCTTTCTTTACCCGCATTTTATTATCTTAAGTTTACTGTTATCTGTAATAGCTTTCAATAGCGTAGTGTGAACGGCCACGTTGCATAATAGATTACGTAAATTCCGGCGACTTCACTAAATTTCCACCAAATTCTCATGCTGCGAAAAAGGTACCGAATAATTGCGTAAATACATTAAATTATTCGCAATTAACAAGCCACAAGATACTTTTTATTCATCTAATAAATTAGTCATTAATTAGCCATTACTAGCTAAAAAGAAATGGTTAAGCAAGGAGAAAAATACGGCTACTTGCATAATTAATCCCAATAATGCTTCTCTTTTCACTCTTCATTTTTCTTGGCGATTGTGTAATCGTAAAAGAAAGTATGGAAATATTTTGTTAAAATCTGAATCATTTTCCTGTTTAAGATTAATAGTTTTTAGTTTTAGTTTCATTACTCAACGAAACGATATATTAATTAACTAACGTCTATGGGTTTACAGCCGAACGGCGGGTCAAATACCTTGACGTTATCAATTTTTGTTTGAACATTCATGTAATTTATATTGCCGACAAATCGTACTAGGAGAAGATAAGGAATGTGATAAAAGATATTATCAAGGGAATTAAAATATTCTACCGTCTTTAGTAGTTAGTTCGCTACCATACATTGTTACCGATACAGGTACGCAATTAGAACCGTCTTTGGCCGTTATTATTGTCACTCTTTCCTCAGATGTATAAGTTGAGACGGTTGATTTCCAAATTTGCCCTTTTAAAAGGTTTTTACCCAGTCCAATTTTTGTCGATTTTATAAGTTTGGTAGTTGCTATTTAAACGAATAAATTTGATACTATTCAATCGTTTAATTAGATTGTATTACGTGGTAGACAATTTCCAGGCCATGTTTCAGTTATCTGTAATTTAAAGCATTTTCCATTCAATACAGAAAAACCAACGCCATTCTTATAATCCAACAGTAAAAAATGTATTTCTCCATCTTTATCTCCGTTTAATGTTATCGAAGCGTTAACAGCGAACTTTTGTTGAGTAGAGTTCATGTAAACGATACCGTTTGCCTACAAAGAAACAGTTATAAGATATATTGTGTTAAAATTTATTTTCACCTGAGAAGAGGATGTTCTTCCATAATCTATAGCCAAGCCTTCAGTTTGAATAAAATCTGCTTGCCAAATAAGAGGTGTACAACATTTATTAGGATCGGGTTTATTCTTTTCAAGTTTGTTGTTTGTAAATCTCCAAATACTATTGAAAACGTTATTCGAATCGGCGAATCTAATGCCAGAACAATAGATTATAAATAAAAAGAGTAAACCTCTTCTTAGAAACATAGTGTCAATTTTTTTTTGTCTTGAATGTACTAACAACTTTATTGTTTACGTTTCTCATAATAGAAAAACACTATTCTTTTATAGTGTTAAAAAAATATAGGTGAGCGGATCTATTTGATCTTGTATTTGTGTATCTTTTAACTTTAAGCGGTAGCGGGCATCATCTAACAGCTTAATTCAAAAGCTTCAATTGTTGTTTGCATCAGTGTTTTAAGTTGTATTTAGTAGATAAGGAAATTTAATGAAAAAACTAATTCAAATTGTCAAAAACCCATTGAATTTATTCATTGAAAGCGCTTAATGTTTAAATAATTATAAACAATTAACTAATTTGCAATTAAGTAGGCCTTTCAACACGTGATATTGAATCAGCTGGTTAATTATATATGAATTTATTTTAAAATAGTGAATAAAATATCTCTAAAGTTAAAGTATTTTTAAATATTATATTAGAATACATTTGGATATTGAATGAAATAGAACTTTTTCAAAAGCTAATTTGCATATTGAGAAAGGAAATTGTCGAAGTCTGTTAATAGAATTTCCATGTCTTTTCTGGCAAAACCGAAACGGACGTACTTGTCTTCGTACTGATAAGTTTTAGCTGGTAGAAGAACAATATTGAATTTATCGACAAGCTCTGCGCAAACATCGGTGGCTGTTCTGCCTTTTAGCAGTTTTTCTCTTAATTTCATAAAGCCTGTGGTTCCTGCTTTAGGCTCGTGCCATTCGATTAGCTCTTGATACTTTACCGCCAAAGCAGATACCAATGATAAATTCTTCTTAATTATCAATTGAATAGTAGTTGTTAGAGCATCCCTATTCTTCAGGGCTATCACACCTAAAGCTTCGGTTGGAGAAGAAGAGCATATGGTTAAATAATCTTTTAGGCCTTTAAACTTTCCAAGTATTTCATCATTTTGACAACATAGCCACCCAACTCTTAAACCTGGTAATCCAAAAGATTTAGATAAACCGGATAGGCTTATCGCTTTATCATAAACGCTACAAGCCGACGATAAATGGGGTATAGATCTTTCAGTCATCCTATACATTTCGTCGCTAAACAAATAAATGTCGTTTTCTTTGCACAGTTTTATTAGCTCGTTAAATTCGTCAGTTGACGGTAAAAAGGATGTAGGATTATGTGGAAAATTGACAACAACTAGGCCCACATTGTCCTTTATCAGACCTCTTAATTCATTCATGTCAAAATACCACCCCTTTTCCGATGAATATCTAGCAAGCCACTTGTCAGTTGTAACACCATTGGATTCTAATACCTCGATTAAACTTTGATAACAAGGCCAACAAACAATTGCTTTTTTGCCTTTTAATTCTTTTGCTAAACATGTCAAAGCAATAAAAATACCTTCTGCAGGAACGCAAACTAGTATATTTTCTGGGTTAATATCTTGCAATTTTGAAATTTCGGTACGTAATTCCAGCGATCCTTGACTATCGGTGTAGCATAGCTTTAAATTGTTCCATTTTTCAACATCTTCGGACGAGCCTAGCGATAATAATGTTTTCAAATCGAATGATTCGGCATCGGAACAGCATAGAAGTTTCTTTGTGTTGTCGAATTCGTATTGAGCGAAATATCTCTCTAATTTAAAGGTTTTTGGCAAATCCATACCAAATTTTATAGAATGTGCTAATATCTACAGGAAAGAAGAGAACGATAAATTTTATATCTTATCTTTAGAACAAAATCATGAGAAATGAAAGCTGTTGGTGAAATACTGTATACGTCTACCAATTGTTAGGTTTAAGTGATTCGATAAAGATGGCCAAAGTATTGGTAATTCTATGCTTAGTAGTTTTAATTCAAATAATAACTGGCGAAAGTGAAAAATGTAATAAAAACTGCTGTTTTCCTGAAGTATTTACAGCTTATATTGGATCTTATAGCGGACAACCTTCAGAACCTATTCCAGGAATATCCGATACTGAGCAGGTTTTATCATTTGATTATCCGAATAGAAGGTGGGCTTTCAGATTTAGAAGAATCCAGGAAACAGGTGAATATGAAGAATTGTTGTGGGTCGAAAATTTTAAGAATAGGAAGAGATACGTCGTAAGAAATCATAAATGCCACTTTCAAGCTCTATCTTCCGCAATGCGATTGCCTTGTATACCAAATGATGCTGACATCCTTTATAAAGACTATATTGGAAGTCCTCTTATGGGAATACAAACTGAAACCTACAATTACACCTACAAAGATTGGAATTTCATAACGACAGTTGATCCAACGACTTGTGTACCATTAAGCGAATTCTCAACTTATAGATATAATCAATATAGTATATAATCTTTAATTGTCTTTATTTGTTCTATTCATTATATTTCTACTTTCTTAAAGGTTGGAGTAGAGCAACGTTGGACTATCTAGATCAAGAGGCAGATCAAGTACTAGAAGAATTATTCGATATCGATAGATTCTCTTGCTATCCCAAAGAAGCTTTACCATCTAACAACGTAATTAATTATACCAGAATTCCCATAGTAAAACATAATTAATTATTTCTCTTATCATTCTAAACAGGAAGAATTCTGGTTTCTTGGCGGTCCAGAAACGAAGCATTTCTCCTTTATGTTTTCCAAGTAATACTATAGTTCTTATATCGTACTATCGTAATTGTCATAATTTAAACGAAATAACTAGTCTATGTAAAATATTACTTATTAGACTATGCTAAATTTTCCCTTACTTGTTCCACGTGTATCAAATCAATAATAAGGCCTATCGAGATCTTTTATCTCTGAATATGCAAATTTTAATATCTCGTCAATTTTCAAATATAAATACACACTCCTTTTATTTTCAGAGTTTTTCTATTTATACTAATATACTTTATATATATATATATATATATATATATATATATCTTCTCCATTTTATAGAGATAGGATTGCCGAAATTAGGTATATATTAATAGATTTTATGTAGAATGGTGATATTGGTAGATATTTACCAATGATATATATATGTTTAGTAAGAAAAAAATAAAAGATTAAGATAAATGAAAGACAGTACCGCCAACTGTTAATCCTTGTTAGTATTAGCGAATTTTTAATTAAAATAGACAATATACCTTCTTTTTAATACTATCAATTTAAGCCTATCTCATGAGTCGTACTCCCATAGCGAGTAGGAAAGAATTAGTATAGTTATTATCAATATAAATGCGTTTATTCGGTACAATTCTCGTTTAAATAGGCAACACTGATTTTGCAGATTAGTCGTAATATAACAATAATAATAATAATAATAATAATAATAATTTAAAGCCATATATCATATTCTGTAGAAGCATATATATAATTATTTATATCCATATTATTTGAAAGGAAAGATAAAATACAATGCAAAAATGGGACTAGCTCGATATTTGGACGAATGATATCTTCTGTTAAGTAACAACAACATGATTAAGGTTAAAGATTTAGGCAACCTGCTGTTTATTAATCCAGATTACTCGTTACAAAGAAGATTAACACTTTGGATAAGAAGATTCTTTTTATTTGCACCTTTTTGTGTATAATACCAATTAATAGCGATTTAAAGGTGATTTTACGGCCAATAATAGAAATAGGCCAAAATTAGTTACGAATAATACTGATAGAGGCGATATTCTGTTTCCTGATGCCAGATAAACTGGTCTAAAACTGGGTAGTGGTTCCAAAGTAAAATTGGCCAAAACCACTCTTGTTGTAGTTTCTGCGCAATTTGGTACAGCAGTCGTAGCATCAGTTCCATTATTAAAAGGATTACAAGGTTGGTCCTTTCCGAGAACGAAATAGGGTCTACTTGGTCTTCTGGTAACCGGATATACATAAACACCATCAACATAATATCCTCCGGGATAACGGTTTGCAGGATCATTTCTTTCAGCCTTATCCTTAGCAGCTAAATTATTATAAAATGATTACAAATTAGCTATAAAATAAAAACATTTCAATTAGATGTTTTATTACATTTAATTCCGAAATATAATCCAAGAGCCAAACCAGCCAGAGCCAACAGAAAGAGGAGGGTTAGAAGAACTGCGCAACACTGGCGTCTTCCACATGAACTATCGGGTGCACCACCTCTGCTATGGTAGGATTTGGACGTAGTTCTTTCTCCCTGTTTTTAATAATGAAAAGTAGTTAAAAACTGAAAGATGAACAACATATTGTGTTCACTTATTGTTCATTTACAACTTACACGATAGTGGTGTTCAGTTGTTCGTGAATAGTTTGGATCTACTTTGCCGTTTCGATGATGATAAACATGTTCAACATCTCCATTTCTTCCGCTTCTTCCATGTTTGTGAACAACGGTTCTTCCCCTTGATTTTGAACTACTACCCCCGCAACATCCAGGCTCAGGAGATTCGTCTCTATGCCTAATTGTTTTTGAGTACCTGTGTTTGAAAAATCCCTGATGAAAACAGTGTCATTTCATTAAAAACGGATAAAACCTTGGAGGTGGGGAAGATGATCGAGTGATTACTGTTGAGCTAGGTTTTGAAATAACAGTAGATCCAGATCTAGGTCTTTCGTGAATGTGAGTTTCTCTTACAACTGAAGGTCTTGATCTTGCACTTATATCGCTTGCATTATCGGTAGCTCTGTGCACAATTGTTCTCAATCTGGGAGATGGACTTCTATCTCGATGGACATAAGTAACATCAGGTCTCTGTTGATGAGGTGGACGATCATTGTAGAAAGTTGTCTCTCGGGGTAGTGATTTAGACCGAGGTTCTTTGTGTACAATTGTGACATCTCGAGGAGCTGATCTTGGTCTCGATTCTCTATTCACATAAATCACATCTGGCTTCGGTGGTGGCTCTCGACGAGGAGACCCGTCTCTAACGTAACGTACTGAAGGCGTTGGAGAAGAGTTAGGTGACGTATTTGGTCTCATTCCATTGACGTAAATTACTTTCCGAGCCTAAAATCACCTTTTCATTATAAGAAACGAACAAAACTTCTTATTATACATACTTGATTCCATTTTGAAGGCGGGGAAGAATGATGGGGATGCATCGCTCCACCTTTATCACAAACGACACATCGTCCAGTTAACGGATCTCTTACGTGCCTCATCTCGTTGCTTATTCCCAACTGAATGAAATTTGCAGTTGTATATTCAATTATAATTTAAATTATAAACTTCATATATACGTACGTGACAAAATGAGAAAGACTCGAAGAGTTATTGCGAAGTTCGTGTGAAATCAAAGGAATTTATCTTTCCGACGTCACTAGCGTAAGACAAATATTTATTTTGTTCAAAATATATTATTTATTAACTTTCCAACCATATTAACCATGTAATAATTTAAATAAAAGAAAAAATATACGTTTACAGGCAAAATTTTATTCAAGAGAAGAGGAGAAATAGCGTCAACTATAAATATTTATCATTAATGACATTTATCAGAAAGGAATTTATTGAGTAATTGCGATTATATTTCATAATATTATAATATTTCATAGTTGAAGGACAATAGGTCAAATAAATATATATGAAGTCGTTTGGAGTATGATTAAGCAAATGATGGTTAATATATGAATTCCATTTCGTATTGCCAAACTATTTAGAATGTCCGATTCCCTTTTAATATCCTTACAAATTCGTTTTACTAAAGTCCTTATAATACCATTGAGTTGATTAAAATCATTTACATAGAAATATGAATATTCATAAATATTTTTGGATGATTGACAATAGAAGTGTTTTGGATAGAGATTACAATCCGGATCCCTAACGTATTCTCTGAGTAGGTTACCTTTGATAGAGTCTTTAATTCCAATTCCTATTAGTTGAACAGTTGTGTTATATATCTTTTTCAGAATGTTAGGAATCATCTGAGTGTTAGGAATAAAATTTCCATTAGTTATTATCATGTAAACATCTTTAACTTGCTCTCTATTGCCGTTTTTTGCGGTAAATTGTTGATTAAACATAATGTTTAAACTATCAAATACTGTTAAATTTTCATTACTATTCGTAAAATTTAAATGATTAATTGCTAGATTATATTCGTTTATTGTTTTATAAGAATTCAACTGAAAGGTCGCCTGATTATTTGTAGTTGCTATTCCATTGGCTGCAAAGCGAGTTCCTCTATCTCCTGTTACGTAGAAATTGCTTATTAACTCGATCAAGAATTCTTTCATTTTTTGTTCCTCCACTTCATTAATAGATGGAAAATTATCTATAATAAGGCCTATATCTGCTAGGCATAACTCACTTTTAAAAGGCCAATGGTGGGGCTCTCTCGTTGCAGTAGTCATAGTGTCAAGATTGGTGGAGGATAGTTCAAAAAATATCGAAGGTGTAAAAGTGGCTCTTGGAAAGCAAGCACTAGCTATTAATTCATTAATAATTGTTGACAATTTATTAAATTCGTTTACTTTGAAATAAGAATTCCTATAAGGATTTTTCCAAGAAGGACAATATTTACTATGTTTTGTAATGCTACAATCAGGATCTTTAACGTATTCTCTAAGTTGAGTTTCATTAACATTCTTTGAAATACCAATAGCAATTAATCGTATGTTAGCTTTGTGTATCATTTCCACTACGTGAGGTATTTTTCTAACATCTATATTAGGTTTTCCATCAGTTATAAGAATGAATACATCATCAGCGTTTCGTCTATTTCCTAGATCTTCTTTAAACTGCTCTGTTAACATTTTTGACAGACCTCCCGCAATATTAGTAAAACCTCCAATAAATTCTATATTATCAATTGCATTTGCATAGTCCTGTTTTGTTTGATAGGAATTTAACTGAAAGATGGTCTGACTGCTATTTCCAAATTTGTTGGCCGCAAAGCGTACACTGTCTTTGTCTTTGTTAGATACATGAAATTTATATATTAAATCCTTTAAAAAGCTCTTAATTATCTTCCAATTGTCTATTAATAATGTATTGGCATGTTTAATAGAATTTGAATTATCAATTATTAGTCCAATATCCATAGGGCACACGAAACCATTAATTCTTTCTGTAGTCATTTGAGGTTCTGTTAATAAGGTTGATCGTTTATCAAGCATTGTTTCTGTTGTCTCAATTAATGGAGTTGTAGCTATTTGGGGTTCTGTTGATAAGGTTGATTGTTTGTCAAGCATTGCTGCTGTTGTCTCGCCTGATGGAATTGTAGTTATTTGAGGTTCTGTAGATAAAGTTTCAAGTATTGTTTCTGTCGTCTCAATGAAAGGACTTATAGTAGTTTTTTCAACGTTTTTACAAGAAGAGTTAAGTATTCTATCAATAACACCTGTTAATTGATTAAATTCTTTAACATAAATAAAGAAATTTTTATATGGATTTTCAGGTAATAAACAATATTCGTTTTTCGGATGTAATTTGCAGTCGGGATCCCTAACTATTCTCCTTAATAATTCTTCATCTATTTCTTCAGTGACGCCAACTGCTACGAAGTGTATACCGGCTTTATGAATTTTTTCAACTACATCTTGTAAAAGAGTTTCATTTTCTGTTGGCTTACCATCCGTAATCAGAATGAATACATCATCAACATGCGGCCTATTTCCGTTTTTAATTGTAAATTGTTCATTTAACATTAACTTCAGACCTCCTGTAGTATTTGTCCTTGTTTTATGATATTTCATTCCATCTATACTCTTTATATATTCAGATTCGTGTTGAAAAGAATTCAAATTAAAAATTTGATGTGCCTTGGTAGCAAAAGTAGCAGCAGCAAATTTGGTTCCGTCTTTTCCTTCAACGTGAAATCTCCTAATTAGATTCTTAGCAAAATTCTTAATTATTATCCAATTAGGTAGTTTAATTGAACCTGAACTATCAATTATTAAACCAATATCGGCTGTACAAGTAGTTCTAACTTCCGGATATGTTTGAAAAAAAAGTAGAGAGAATAGTAGATATTTAATTGAAACCATTTTTAATAGACGAAAGAGAAATTTTATCCTTTTTCTTTTCTTCAGTCAGGTAAGTTCTTTATTGATATAAATCCTTAAAATCGGTATATTGTATATATAAACTTGAGGGTAACTTGGCTAAGTTTTCGTTTAAGGAAGACCAAATATTTACTTTCCTAAAGACACAATTTCTGTTAAACTGATCTTTTAACCAAAATAATGAAAGAAAAAGTTTTTAACATGTATAAATAAATTTAAAGATCAATTTTTCAAAGTTTACAAGTTTTATTATAGGAAAATAGGAAGAAGAAAGATGAACAGATTTTACCTTCTTTTGAATACTTTCGTATTAGCAAATAGATATTTGCGCAGGTCCTTATTCTCTTTGTGGTGGGATTTAAATATAGATTTAGAAAAGAGTAAATGTTAAAAGAGAACGGAACACAATTGGTGAATTCGAAAGTATAAGTACAAGTTTTTGGTTGCAAAAGTACAAGTATATCTATGTTAAGCAGTGGTTGTCCTACGCCATCTAGTGAATTAGAATTTTTATAATATGCTTTTTTTCGGCGCAGGCTTGGCTGCCGATCCCTCTTAGAAATGAATGAAAAAGCATTCTTCTAAAGACATATTCAATCTATCTGAAGTAGTATTATTAAATATTAACAGAAACATTCAATATGCTTAAATAGGCAATTACATAATAAAAATAAAACCATGACGCTATGAAATATCCTATTTAAGTACACTATATATATTTGGCTATAATCATAATGAACCACGGTGTTCAATAAGGTCTTTGAGAGCAGGCGTTAGATTTTAGAATAAGAATATAAACTATTCATTACAAATCAGTTGTTTACCTTTAAGATTACAAACAATTTTATAGTAAATTCTATAATATTAAACATTTAAGTTAATGTAATTTCTAATCATTTCGATCAATTGCAAGATGTAAATATAATTCAATTCCCAAACCAACTTTGAATAACTTTCCAATTCTCTTCTATCCCTCTCTTTCTTCAGCTTTAGTAAAGTCTCCTGTATTTTATAGAACTTCCCCCTCAGCTATTAGATGGAAAATAGAATGTTAAATGTGTAGACATTTAAATCTGATTTTCTTATAAATAGTTTAGCTACAAACTACTTAATCTCTTTTTAATAATTAGGAGAAGAAAGAGGGAAGAAATGTATTCCAAGTATTAGTTTTTTGTGTATATTATAATATTTATATTATTTGTATATGGAATCTTCAAATATTAAACATTTTTAAAGTATTTAACGATAGGTATGTAAATTTAGATAAGTGGCACTGATAGAGTAAAATGTACATAAAATTTTTAACAAGGTCTGATAAAGCCGAAGAAAAAGGAAAGAGAGAGAGAGAGAGAGAGAGATCGAAGGAAACTGATAAAAATAGAAAAAACATCTCTTTTGGATGGATGATTAATTATTATTTTTGTTACTTTTCTATCTCTTCAAAATAAGAAATATCGATTTAGTTCAAAGAGAAAATCACGTATAGAAACGGCTTCTATTGATAATTTTATTTTTCTTTATTATTATTTATATTAAATCGGTTACTTGGCAATGGGATAGTTGTTTATATCTTGTTTTCTAGAGCTTTTACCAATCATTCGGTACAGTATTAGTACGATATTTCACAAAAAACACGCACATACACTCATACACACATACAGACATAGTGAGAGAAAAGGTGAGAGAGAGAGAGAGAGAATGAGAAAGAAGAGATCGTTATTTTTGATATATTTCAACAAAATATTAAAGTTTGTTATTTAATAGGTTATTTATTTATTTATTGAATTATTAATGAATAAAACAGTAATTTAATGAACAATATGAATTTTTATGTATTTTTCACACTCTTTTGAAAGTCTGTCTAATTTCTTCTCACTTTATATTTTCTTCTTTTAAATATTTATTGAGTATAAAAGATTATCGACTAGAATCTGAGATTTCTTTGTGGTTTGTAGGCTTATAACTTTAGTGGAGAGTTCTACGCTTGTATATAATATCTTAGCAACGCTTAACAATAGTGCAACAAACTTAACAATTTGCGCCAGTTTTGTTTAAGGAATGGCGCAAGAAACTCTTTGTATTGGAGACCATGTTTGCCTTTTCTCTGAAGAGTCTTCTGGTTACGTCTTTTCTTATTTATCGAGTTCGATCCACACCGATGTTGGCGTAAGATCCCACGACTCGAGGCAGAAACCCAAGGTCGCCGACCCTAATAGCATCGCTTTCGAGTTATGTATAGTTAATCGTTATAAGTTCAACAAAAAGTATAGAACGGCGCAAGCGAATGATCGTCTCTCTGATGTCGATTCCAAAGCAAAATTGGCTCAACTTCAATTGGCAGCCGAGGCTGAAAATGAGGACAACACAAATGAAGAAAAAAGGCAGTTTGGTAGAAAAGTTCTGTATGGTCAAATGATTCAATTGAAGCACGTGTTCACTCAAAAATATCTTCATGTGAGCACAAAGACAACGTCAACAACGGAATCAGGGAGCATGCAAGTTTTCCTCTCACCATTTAATGCAAAGAATGCTCACTTCAGAATAATGCCCAGATATAAGGTGAAAGCTGAAGGCGATATAGTTCAAGTTGAAGATCAAATAGTCCTTGAATCAATCAAGTCACCTGGTCAATTCCTTCACGTTAGCAAATCTAAATTACCATCGAAATCGGTTTACAAGGAATGTTTGGAATTAAATCTATCAGTTCGACAATCAGGATTTAGGATATTGAGAAGGTATAAGCCTGGTAAGAAAGATACGGATTTAGCGTATCTAAAAGCTGGAGAACCAGTTAGATTATTTCACAAGGAAATAGAGGCTTACCTGTGTGCTGAAGGACTTTTCAATGATGAAATAAGCGAAGATGGTAAAATATTGAATTATTCTTAAGTATATAACTTAGCAATTGTCTGGCCTATTTTTCAGTTCATCTTCGAATAAGACCGGTTGATCAGAATAATCCAAAAACCCTATTTCCTTCATCATCGGCAATAAACTATTGGCAAATAGAATTGATATCCGGTTGTATTGATGGTTCAATAATTAAATGGGAGCAACAATGTCGAATAAAGCATATGTGTACAAGATCTTATTTAAAAGTCGATCAAAAGAAAGTATCTCTAACAAATAATTCCGAAGATCCAAAAACAGTATTTAGACTACACGCAGTTATGTTGGTTAGTTTTTTTAAAAATGTCATTAATTTTAAATTATTCAAAGATATCATTCTGATAAAAATATGTAAATATATACAGTATATACATATATATATATATATACATATATGTATTGTGACTATAACAAACTGAAATTAAGAGATATCTCTATATAATCTTACCAATAGACTATTTTTTATGCACGGATAATAGCTATAGAATATCTACATTTTCATTATTCATATATAGCTATTATAGATTTTTTTTTTAAATATTCACATTAATAATTTCTTAATATTTCTCTTAAATATTATTCTTTTTTTTTTTTTTTTTCTTTTATTGGACGACTTTTACACCAACAGGAGAAAACTGATGACGGAGTTCTGGTAATTGATGTGATCTTCTAATCCTTGATGCTTTTTTTTTCTGTAATTATTCGTGTTAATTGAAAGGTTTTATAGCAAAATAGAAATTGTATCATTTAGTTTGTTTTGTTGGTTAAAAAAAAACTGACTTAATTTAATTTAAGCATTATACGTTTCCTATCCTCCCTTTTATACAAATCTTTGTGTAGTTAAACTGCATGTTAAAGATATAAGTTTAATTTTATCTTAACTAATAATAGCTTATATTTTAATTTCTTCCCTTATTGTTCAGTTATTACTAAATATTAATTAATTAAAAGATATATTATTCAAAACGTTAACTAAAAATGATAGTTGTATCTATACTATTTGTTTCATTGTTATGTTTCAGCTTAAGCTTTATTACTAAATATTTAATTTTATATACAAACTTTTCACAAGTATTTTATATTTTCAAAACAGGAACAAGACAATATTCAATACGAAACTTATTGCAGAATAGAACACGTAGTAAGCGGTCATTGGCTACACGCAGGCCAAGGTAAAGTTAACAAGTTTGTCTAAAATACTTAAAAAGAAAGTAAAAGAATTTTTTTTTGCTTTAGATGAATATAAGAGAAAAAAGAATGTTGGTAGCGATGCTGATGGAACGTCAATGGCTAGCTTAAAATGGACAACTGCAAAATTAAATCATATTGAAGCGATTAACGAAATGCAGTACGATGATGCATTTACACTACAAAAGGTTGAAGATGAGCACTGTCATAACTTTTACTTTGTGGCTGGAATGGTGCCTTGTATACAGAAATTGATTGAAAATGTAAGCATCTTTTATTAGTAACCAATTGAAAAGTTTAATTTTTTAACTAGTTAACAAAATTCAAACGCATAATATAAAATATCATACCAAAACAAGGGTAATCCCTAAAACGACACGTTTTTAGTTCACCCGCTATTCATGACTATAATTCTCTAGGCAATGAGATTAAACAAATAATGAAATAGTAATAATATATCGGTCTTATTGTAATAAATTGAATGTAAAGATTTCTATGTTCGGTTTTATTAGCATATAGACATATATATATATATATATTTAAATATAGAAAAAGGCGGGAGTGAATATAACTTTGAAAGATAGTCAAGAAATGGTTGCAACTTTGGATGAGCTTAAAAAGTTTATGATTGTTAATTCCGAACCTGATAAGAATAGGCAAAAGCTAATGCGAAATTTAAGAATTGTTGAACTACTCGTCAACTTGTTACAACTTCCATGTAGAGGATCAAGCGATCAGAGATTTTTGATTAAGGTGTTTGTTGAATGTTACGATCTTTTGTATACCTATTTAATGGGAAATAGTAGAAAAAATGAGCTATATATAGCTAAACATATATCTTTCTTCGAAAGTCAAATTTCGTTTGAAGGACCTGTTGGTAAGTCAATTGATTTCTTTATAATTACTTCTCTCATTGATTATTTCTTTATCATTTTCATTAGGATTAAATGCCGCTCACATGGTTATGGAATTGATTAAGGATAACAGAAAGATTGTTGATCGTATTACTATTACTCATATTGATCAATTTGTTTCCTTATTAAAGAAGAATAAGAATTATCGTTATTTGGATTTGCTAAGTGTCTTATGCGTATGTGACGGCGTTTCTATTCCCGACAATCAAAATCATATAACTAAAAGATGGTTGATGGAAGGCGATAAAAATTGTGTATTTTACACAGATTTAGGACAAAAGATTGGAAAGGATTCGAATGTTGTTTACGTATCGGCAAATAAACAGAGAACTTGGACTCCTTTGGTAGAATTTGTTGAAATTCATAAAAACGATGAAGATATACTATTCCTCGAACATCAGTTAGATCTTTTCGGAAAATTATGTTACGGTAGGAATGAATTTCCGATGAAAATTATTACTGAAGAGTTAAACTATTTAACGTGGGAAGAAGCCTATCTTTGCCTTAGTAACGAAGAATTACCTGATCAATTAAGAGCCAAATATTGCCATTTAATTATAGCCTTATTTATCGATGTTGGTAAAAATGTTTCTCTACTAGATAGAATTAATTTAACGTACGTTTATGACGATTTGGATGATGATGACGTATTGAGTGAAGAAGACCTGCCTACAAGTGGAACTGAACATTTTGAACAGCTACACAATTGGTTGTCAAAGTTTTTTGATAGGAACCAAGATATGACCGCTTCCTTGATAGGACATAATATCTTAATTGAACAAGTTATGAGATTGGTACACTATCTCGTTAGATTTGGATATTATAAGAAAAGAGAGGACGTCAAAGCTCTATTGACTCCCTTCCTAAACCTATTGGATGGACGAAATGATAAACCATATGAAATTCCCGCCGGAGGAAGTATTCCAAATGAAGTGATGAAACGTTACCGTAATGATTTAAGATATAAGCAGAGTCCTGAATCTAAAGCAATTGCCGATGCTAAAGTACAAGCAATAAAAGTACTCGATCTCTTCTTTAATTATCAATTCAATTTGAGACTTAAAGTTAGTTAATCATGTACTTGAATCAATAATATTTAACTAATTGTTATAAACTGTTTCACAGAGATTTGTTAGAGAATTCAAAATAGTTTATACTGAAGCGAATAAGCCTGATTCTAATCCAGAACTTGGACAACTTTTGTACGAAAATTATGACTTTTTAGAGAATTCAGGGTACGTTAATTGATTTAGTACAGCAGTAATTAATTTTCAATTAATAACATTTCCTCTCTTTTTGTAGAACGAATCATTCGGCACTGAGACGACTTAAAGATCTTTTCAACGAATCTTCCTTTTTTAAAGGACTCGGGATTGATGTAATTGAACTGTTTAAAGATTTATCCTTATACAATTACGACCCTATGGTTGTTGGTTCCATGTCTTTAATTAATCGATATTTCTCAGGCCATGATAATTTATTCAAAAGAGCAGTTCAAGCTCAAATTCTCATCAATGAACATTCTTGCCAAATTTTAAAAAATGTCAACCAGTTATTGCCAGTAATGAGAAGACTTACAGCTTCTAAAATGACAGTTGAACAGACTACAGAAATGAATATTATTCTAAATAAGCTGATAGAATTTTGCTCTTTAGATAACGAACCGGAAGAACCTCATCCGATGAATCAAACAATATTATATAATCATGGAATTCTATCGGACGTATTTTCAATTTTTGCACAGCAAATTGATGCAAAATTAATGGAGCAATATTCTGGAATTAAGCAGATTTTTGAGAATAGTTTTGTTCTCCTAAAATCCTTAGCTAGGGGAAATGCAACAGTACAACAAAGACTATTCGATCGTCTTGACAAACTCTTGGAAATTGAAGGTGCAGAACCGCAATTGGCCGACGCATTAGTTGAAGTTTTTACAGGAAACAAGACTAATTGTATGAAAATCTTATCTTATCAAATTCAAAAGATCATGTCTATTGTCGCTAAACATAAGGCGAACTCTCCTCAATTTTTGGATCTATTAAACGCTGTTGTAAAAGTAGAAGAATTGAATTTGCCTTTGAAACGTAATCAATCTTATGTAATGAAATATTTCATGCAATATCGATCCGAGGTTGCCTATATTGTTGATCAACCAGCCGAGAATAGAAAAAAGTTACTCACCAGTTCAGGGAAGGAGGTTGAATATCTTGCATCCATGGTCGATCTTTTAGCTACATGTGCCGAAGGCGAAAATCAGTCAATTGAATCGCAATGCCAGACGATTTTTACTATTTCAGAATTAATGGATATTTTGAATAGTTCGGATATAGATAATATAAAGAAAAGACCATATTTAAGATTTTTCTTATGGGTTTATTTGAATACAGCAGGAGGAGTTGTGGTTGACGGTCAATCTGGAGAAGTTGGTCACCTCGAGTAAGAATGATTGGTCAAATATCTATTATTAAATAATATTAATAATCTTATTAACATTTTAGATCAATGTGGAAATTCATTAAAACTCTAACCCTGAATTTTATATCTCTAGCTGAGATAGCAGAGAGTAATCCTGATCTTACTAAATCGTTGTTAAAGAAAGCACCCAGTAAAACGTTAGTTTTTTTTTTTATATAGTCTCTATCTATTTATTATACATTGAAATCACATTTGATTTTCTTATTAGTACCCAAAAATCGAATATTATATCATTGGGCAACGCCGAAGAATTAAACGATGCTATGAGTAGTGGTATGGACTCAAAAAAGATGACATCGTTTCATGGAAATTTACATTTTGCTTTTGATGCCGTCCTACCATTTTTACAGGTGTTCTTTCGAACACATTATCAACCTGATGCTGAAAACTACGCTAGCGAAGCAGATATGTTGGACGAATTGGCGAATTCATTGACAAAATTTACGAATGCTGTTGGAGAGTCGATATCAAATGCTACGCATATGAACAATCTCACCTCTTGTATGACATCTGTTCTTAGTCAATCAACTTTACCAGTAAAGGTGATGGAAGAATTTCAAGAGAAATTCAATCGAGCAGGACTCGTTCAAGATCTTAAATCGGATAGTAGGAAGAAGTACGACGAAGATTACGAGAAGGAAGAGGAAATAAACGTCCTGTTAAACATATTTGCTAATAATTTTGCTGTAATATACGGAGGAGAAAACTCGGTAAGGGCTCAAACTGGCTATGCCATCGACGAAGAATACTTCGATCCAATGGGTGATGAAAAATTACCACTCGGTCAAGAATTTCAAGATCATTTGCGAATATTTATTGACGAAAGAGAGAAGGATGCTGTAAAGCGCTATGATTTAGCCAAAAAGCTCGTTCAGCAGCTAGAGTGAGTTAAATAATTAATTATTTATTTATAAACCAGAAAAGACTACTATGCTCTTTTTAATTAGAAAGTGAACTATAAAGGAAAATTTAGCACTCTTTTTCTTTATTAGTATTAGGAAAAGGGTTGACATATATGATAGATCAGAGAGAAACAATATTAGAGGCTATTTATCCCTAATAGCAAAAAATTCTCTCTAAAATGTATTTCTTTCAAAATTTTATGGCCTTTGTCCATTAGAAGATTTATATATTATAACATATCAAATATTTATATGGTATATCTTATACAGTATATAAATATATATAGATTATCGGATTTATCTCCAAGGTACGAATAGTTAAAGCTTTAGCAAACAATGTATCACATTCACATTAACAAATTTATCACTTTTGAATGAACGATATATTACAATATGCGTGTATGTACAGTAGATATTAGTACCTTTATTTTATATAGAATTTCCGCGTCGAGTCTTCCAACATCGGAATTAGAAAGAATCGAACAAGAGAGTTTGGATATCAAATGTCTTCAATTATTGAGAGCTTTAATTCATAATGAAATTGTAAAATTACCGGGTGATTGGTTAACTGATCCAAAATCTTTTTCAAAAATATTAAAGAAGATTGAAGGAGTTCAAAATGCTTTAAATTCTTATGATGCAGTATTACAAGTTCTATCTCATTTGGCTAAGAATAATTCTGATATAGTACGAGAAGTTTTAGCTTTTCAGGCGGTTATGCTGTTTGGTGGTAATGAAAAGGTTCAGGATAGTCTTATATTATATTTCTTAGGGACTAGAGAGGAGAAATTCTTCTTGGCTGTTAAGACCCGTATGCAGTTGTCTAGCCTATCAATTAAAGAAAGACGATCTTTAGTTGCACAACATCAGGAAAAGATTAAACTCGAAATCGATCAGGCGAAAGCCTTAAGAAAAGCAATGAAAGATGGTAAAATGGCTGAAATGGAGGTTATGGCGGCAAATAATTTCGGATCATTGGCTGTTGGTTCGAGATTAAATATGGGTGTGTCATCCATGAATCTTAATTCCCATAAACTACCCGGCAATCGAATGGGAAGCAGAATGATGTTGGGTAGTAGGATAATGGGAAGTAGAGCGATGGGAAGTAGAATGTTGGGTAGCAGAATGATGGGTAGTAGAACGATGGGTAGTAGAACGATGGGCAGCAGAACATTTGGTAAATCTAAGCGTAGAGTGTCCTCGATAGCTAGTAAAAGAAATCAAATAGCCCCGACGAACAATGGAGAGGAGTTAACAGATGAAGCGATTGAACAAATGATTCGAGAGACAATGGGAAATCTTGACGAGTTCGATTGCGAAGATGACGGCTACATCGAACTAGTTCTCAAGTTGTTAGGTCTAATGTGTGACGGTCAGAATAAAACGCTACAAGATTATCTCAGAGAACAACCTGATAATATCAAATCAGTGAATTTAATATCGGAAACTGCTGGATTCCTTAGTTTACTCTATTCATCAATTGATGAAAATACAATAGGACTAGTAACCGAATTATTAAACACTTTGGTAGAATTCACATCCGGAAATACATCTAATCAGCTGGTTGTTTATGACAATAAAATAATTGATTATATTAATTTTATGCTAAGAGGAGCCCAATTTCAAGCTTGCGATCCAGAGATCGTTATGGAATTAAAGAAGGCTATTGTTAATCTACTAACGGCTTTAGTGGAAGAGAGTTTACCTGATGGACAAGGAATTGCTGACGATGTTGCTGAAGCAATAGACAATGAAAGTATATTTACAGTCTGTGTTGACTGTTTTAATCGATCAATGACTGTCCTAAGAATCGAGGAAGTTATCCCAAAAGATGATCTGATTGCCTTAGGTTTCAAATATTTTCATTTCCTAAGGAAAGTATTGGACTTAAGTGGTGCCACCTATCCTTTAAAGGGAGAGAAAAGCTTAATCTGGAAATTTTACGATAGGTCAACTCTAAGTATTGAGATAGTAAAAGGTATGTAAAAGAAAATAGAATTCTCTTTTTACTTTAGATCAATGAATTAATATAAAAACTAATCTATTGATGTTTAATGTCTATCTTAAGGTGACGAACTTCAAAAAGTCTACTTCCGCGTTAAGGATAAAAGCGTTCTTAGGGAAGATGTTAAAGAAAAATTTAAATACGAAGTTGATCGTTCATCACCGAGTAATAAACTGAGAGATTTTATGGATTGGAGTAAAGATATTATAAAAGATATTAAATATACAAGAAAAGTTCTCGGCAATCCCTTTTCACGTTTCTTTGTAAAATTTTGGTATCAATTCAATATGATAATGATTTTCTTGTCTTTTGTATTATTTTTATTAACTATGATAACTTGGGAGGCGAATGAAAAGACTTCAGTTATAAAGCCAGATTATCGATATAGTTCAACACCTATTGTTACGTATGTACTCGGAGGATTGCATAATCTTGTTGCTCTTTGTGTGATATTATCATTTTTTATAACGAATGCTCCGGCTTTACCAAAATTTGACAGCGTAGTCAATTTTTTTAAGAAATCAGACGAGACGGAGAAAGAGGAAGACGATGAAGATAAAGACGAAAGTAATCTACAAGTGAACCTTGTCTCTTTCGCTACAGTTTGGTATCTTTTATTGTTTACGTTTTCCATACTTGGCACAGTGTTTTGGGGTTATTTCTTTGCATTCCATCTACTCCATATTGCCCAGTTTAATCAATTGTTGAGGAGAGCTATTCAGGCTGTAACTCAGAACGGTTATTCTTTATTATGGGTCTTCTTGTTTGGTCTTGTCTTCATTTATATATACGCTCTGATATCATTCGCTGCGTTTAGAGATTTATATCCGGGAAAGAATGGATTATTCTGTCGAACTCTATATGAGTGTGCGGTTACTGTTCTTCATCATGGTTTTATCACTGGGATATATGACTTTTTATCAATTCCCGAGGAGAAGACATTTACGTATTATTTATATAAAGTCATACTAGATCTGACATTTTGGATGATTATCACTACAATCGGCTTGAACATTATCTTTGGTATCATCGTCGACACATTCTCAGAATTGCGAGATAACAAATGGCAAGTTGATAACGATATGAGATCTGCATGCTTTATTTGTTCTAAGGCTAGCTATGATTTTGAACATCACGGAGGGGTTAGTTTGTTTTTTTTCTTATCTATTATCTCTGTTTTATCCTATCTAAATTTCTTCCTCAAATATTCTTAGGGCTTCGAAGAACATATAAAAAAGGAACACAATCAATGGGCCTATCTGTTTTTCTTTATACATCTCGACGAAACTAGGTCAAATGACTATACGGCTTTGGAGCTCCACGTATTTAGATGTGTAAGTTTTATTTGTAATTTATACGACTTGTATAGATTTTTTTAAACGGATTTTTAAACTTTGCCTTAGCTGGAAAAGGAGAAGTATAATTTCTTTCCTCTAAATCGATCGCTATCGCTCAGACATGAGGAAGATTCGAACGAAATGCGTCTGGAAAGTCTAGCTGAACAGGTGACTTATTTGGTTAATAAAATGAGAGAAGAAGAAGCTGAAAAAGAGAAACAAATCGAAAAGAAGAAGCAATTAGAATGGGAAAAACAACATAGACACAAACAAGACAAACAAGCTTCTTCCGATTGAAATGTTAAATTATACTATTGACTTATTAATTTATTATTTTACTTTTTCCATCTTGTTTGTTGGCACTTCATTTTTGTTTTAGGCTTTTTTTCTTTACTTTATAAGACACTGCATTTTTTTATTGATATTTTTCTTTCTTTTTGTTTGTTTGTTTCAAAAACAACAATTTAATGGAATAATATAAATCAGTTTCTTTCCTTCTATTCTAAGCTTAAAATGACAAACAAAACACTGTTCGTTGTAAACAGAGAAAATATTTAAGTATTTCGAAATAGTTTCCTTTCATCTCAGTATCAAAAGAAGTAGATATAAGGAAAATAAGTTGAATTTCAAAGAAAGCCTTTGGAAGGAATGAATGACAAACATGTAATTTAAGATTGTAAGTTGTTTATAGAAAGAAAGGAAAAAAAAGGAAAGGTTAAGCGAGAGAAAAAGAAAAAAAAGTTACAAAAAGATGAAATTGAAAACTTGAATGATAAGAGAAATAGCGTTAAAGTTTTTTTTTAATTATTATATGATAAGGGAAAGATATAAAAAGTTAAAGAATTTTATATAACTTGAGAAAATCTTATTGATTTGAAAACGTGTAAGCAAACACTAAAGCAATTAACTCGTTGACAAATAATTTTAACTCATACTATATATCAATTGTACTATTGTTTGGAAATACTGGTTTAACTTAGATATATTGAGTTAATCCTAAATTGAGGTGTCATGTATTTATATATAGATTTTATTTCATTAAGGTTTATTAATCAGATTAGCATTAAATACTTAATACTAATTGACAAACTATTTTTTCTATTTGGGTAATAACGGCCTATAAGAAATTGAAGTGTAATCTTTTCCTTTATATATCGCTATTTATAAATAAACTATAACCAATTTTTATATTAATTTTTATTCGCATATTTACACTAAGCTCTGGTAGGAGGAGTTATAATATATGTAACCTATAGGAAGAGTTGACTTTTTAATAATCAATTACTGATTGGTCAACTATATTTAGCTCTTTGAGAATGTTATAAATAAGCAATAGTATACTCAAATAAATTTAGTTTTGGATGAAAAATTGACAAGGAAACAACGATCGTTCAACGTTTGAAATTGAGAGAAAAAGTAATGCTTTTTTTTTTAAAAAAAACAAAGAAATTTGTTTTCTTCCTCTTTTTCTTCTTCTTCTTTCAAATAGAATTGTTTATTTTCAATGTCTAGTAAAATGTGATAATTATAAACTTAGAATTAGAATTTAGATTAGCATACTAATTTTAATTCTTAGAAATGTTCCTACACGAAATTAATTAGAAATTATTAATAATTAATTTTAATTTAGATTAAATTAATATAGATCAGTTTTATAGTCAAGTTTAATCAATTTTTCATATATTTCATTCAATTTTATCCTTATTTCTATCTTTGTAGCTAATTGGTTGTAGAAAAATATAGGAAAGAAAGATAGATAATTTAGAAACAAGGAACAAACTTTGAAAAGATACATATATATACAGTATATACAGTATATAACTCTTTAGAATTTCAAATGTGCCAAATATATTAATATATATATATATATCTATATAGGGAAAGAGGGTGAGAGAGAGAAAACTGAATTATTAATTTTATATTATATATCAACGTCATAAATACATAAAATACAAAAAATTTCTTGTTGATATAAAGAGAAAATGATTTTTTTTTCAAAAAGAAAAAAAAGAGGAGCAGACAACTTTTTAGCAAAAAAAGAAATAGTTTAATTTTGAAAAAAGTTCAAAATTTTTGAATATATTATTATATTATATATATATATATGCAATATTTAGACCTATTGTCTTTTCCCTTTTGATTGTTTGTGTTTCATAGTATGTGTTAGTATTATTGGTAGAATTAGTAATAGTAAGTTGTAATAGTATCATAGTACTAATTAGAAATTAGTTTGGTGTTGTAAATTTTTGATTGGTGTTGTGTTTTAGACAAAGAAAAGAATATTCTATACACCAATAAATATATGAAAATGATATATATGCATGAAAATATCCATTTGTTGTGGTTAGTTTTGGAAGAAGAAGAATATAGGGATTTAATAGTAATATAACAATATTTCTTCTCAATTTCATTCGTTTTACGGTCGTCTTTCTTTGTCAATTTATCATCTAGCTCATTAAAAGTCTTAGCCTACTTTTTAAGCATATTATTCATTTTTCCCTCAAGTTTTTCTCGTTAGAGAAGAAAGCAAACAGATTTAATAAATATTTTGGTCATGGTAAACTGGTAAAGAAGAAATCTAAATAGTTTGGCCTCCGTTTCTTTATGGATAATGTATAAATTCAATGCATAATTGGTAAATAATCGGATATAACAATAAGAACTATATACAATATACCTCACATCTTTTCTCTCTTCAGAACGAAAGAGATCTTCATATTTTACCGTAGTAATAACTCTCCTTTAAATAGAGATGGATCAAATGTTTCTTTTTATGGAAATGGTTAACTTTTAAGATGACTTTTCATTTGATTTTTTCTTTTCAACAATTGGATTTATGCATAAAAAATTGAAAAATTTTGGACAGTTTTTATGAATATTTATCTCTTTGAAAGATTCAACGACATTTATCTGAAAGAACAATAGTATTTTAAAGAAGTAAGGGGAAAATTTAATAGTCTACCATACCTGTTTTTTATTGCTTGTTTTAAAAATGCTCTGACCGTGAATTCGTTTTGTTTTGTTTTCTATTATTTAACTTGTAAGTTTCCCCTGCATTTTTGATATTTAAACTTAAGATTTTTATATAAATTCTTTAAATAACTATAGCCTCATATATGGTTCAACTGTAGAGAAAGATTGAGATAATAAATGACAAAGTCGAATGAAAAGATAAATTTTCCCTCTAAAATCTTAAAACTGCAAGCCGTTATCTAATCTTCGTCATTAAATTTCAATAAAATTATATTGTATATATATATATATATATATAGGATACTTGTAAACCTTCGATATCTTGTCTTGTATCAGTAGCTAATATCTAAAGTATAATAATAGACAAAAACCAAGTTTAATTTATAAACTTATAAGGTTTTCACAAGTACTCTGATGATTACTATTGCAATACAGTAATGTATTATATAATAATAAATGTTCTTTTTATCTTATTTAACACTAAAAGTTTTATTTACAATATATTAACAGAATCTATGAAAAAAACAATAGGATCTATTTGTATGAATTAACTTTTAATACAACGACAACATATACATATATTAGTATATATATATAAAAGTATACATAAATTTATATATATACAGTATATTTACAAAAATATTTAATAGATCTTCTGCTTTTATTCTTGTTAAAGTGTTTTCATTCAATTCATCTCTTCCTTGAGAAGTATAAGGATTCAATTGATTTGCTTCTTACTCAAGATTAGGGGCATCTTCTTCAAAAATTTCTCAAGAATTAGTATAATTTATATAATCAAAAATTATTGTTTTTATTTTGTTTTTGGCTAAACTAACTTTGATCGTTTTCTTGATAATTTCGACTATATTTTAATAGGTTTGTTCCATCAGATTTAAAATGATTTTCAACGAATTCAAAGTACCATTTAGGAATAAAACAGTATTGAGACATTTCTTCTTCTGAGCATTTCCGATAATGAGTTCTACCAGTATGAGGTACAAATTCAAAGACATATGGCATGCTAAAAAGAAAAAATGAATTTATCTTACAATTCCTATATAATTTATCTAGAACCTTATAATTTCGTCTGCGTCGTGAGTAACAATACTTTTAACCCAATCTAAAAACTCTTTTAGATAATTAAAACAAACGCAAGCGTCCCAAAAGTTTTTTCCGTGAATAGTTGGAATTTTTGAAGTCTCAAAACTCTCAAGATTATCAACTATACCATTGTCATCACGAAAACCCACAACAATCTTTGGAATATTCAGCAGGAATGATTGTAGCCAATTTTTTAACTGTTTAACTCTATTATAAATGTAATTAATAAATTTTTGAGGAATACGAATTACAGTACAAACCTTTTAAATCCTTTTTCAACGTGAATATTTTTTAAGGCTAAATTCGTTTTCAGTTCAATGTATTGACAAGAACCATCCGGTTTTTTCTCATAACCATCCACTTCCCCTCCGTATACTAGATAATAATTTTTAAAGACTTTATTAAAGAATTGTTAAATATTCAATAAATTTGTACCTAACGAATGATTTTCCAATCTTGATCTGACAACTGAAACAAATGATAAATTATTGTTTACGGGCTCTTCCGCATTAGGTACTCCATCTTCTGTGTCACTCAACACACAGTTTTCAAACTTCCATCCCCAATAACTCATCGCTTTATGCTTTTCAGTCATATTCTCTGCTTCTCGCTTTCTTTCTTCAGTATCGTATTCACACATATAATACGAGTTTCTATATTTAATAACAGCAAGCTTCCAAGAATTTTGCTGACGATCCAAATAAGGAGTTCCTAATATTTTAGTTAATAGTCCTCTCCAACATACAAAATCCGTACATATATCACTATATGAATAATAAATAAAAGAAAATATTAATATCCTGCATAAATCACAGCTACTTCTTTACATACGTTTCTTTTTGGCTTTTATCATTCAAAGGATTGACAGCTTTAAATTTTTCCACATTCAAAGTAATAAATTGCAATAAGCTATCTAAATATTCTTTATAATTTTCATCTTTCGATATAAAAGTATCGTAGCCCTCTTTCAAGTCATAACAAGTACCTGACTTTGCCTGTGCTTCGTTGTAGTATCGTAATTGACTTCTATTGTTTAAGTATTCTCTATTCTCATCCATTGAAAAAGATCCAATTTCACGAGGATGACGAAAATATGGAAAAGCACTCGATGTGTATAAACTGCAATTTGTTTCCAAAGTGTTCGCAGTAGGATGTTTCAATTGATCTTTTTCATATTTAGTCTTATGTTCAAATGACTTCCTTTGATAAGGTTGGTGTGATTTATCTTGTCTATTCCAATGTCGATTTGGTGGAACTTTCCCACCGAATTTATTTTGGTGTGTTGGATGTGGATAGTCACCGTAATTCATATTTTATCCAATTAGCCTTTATTACCACACAAATAAGATTTGTAATTAGATAAGATTAAAAGAAATTTGTAAAAATCAAATAAAAATTCATTTTAGAGAACTAACCAAATTGAATTTTTTTCTACTTTTAATAAGGAATATTAAACTATACTCTAAACTATTTTCTCTATAAAACATGTATAAGAAATCTAGAGTTTGCATTTTAAAGAACCGCTCTTATACATTAACTGTTACTTTTGAGATTAAATAGTATACAGATGTAGCAACCTCTAAAAAAAATTTTAAATCATAAGTTATTAACGAATTGTTCCAGAATGACTAGTGGACTAACTGTCAGCGGAAATTTTCATAAAACCTATATAACGAATGTAGATACCTTAACTATATTGGGAAAGCAATATATTTCTTAATAATCCAAGATATCGATAAATAAACTGTTATGTTTCCTTTCAAGGGACATCACAATTATTGTTAGAACGATATTCAATTTAGTTTGTTTCAATATAAAAAAAACTGGTAGAAAAAGGAAATATCTTGACAAAAAGTTGTATTATTTAAGTAATTCCTTTTTTTCACCTAAATATTTGCAGATTTCATCAAAAGTAAAAGTTTTATTGTGCATTATTCTCTGTCAAAGAAAATAGTTGGTTTCACTTTTTACTGGGGCTTACTCTAAATACTTTTTTCTTATTTGCAATAAAAACATTTATAATATAATATATTGAATCTCTTAGTCAATAAAGTAGCTTTAATATATACTAATATATACATAGCATTTAAAATAAATAGATGCTGAGAGAATTTTGAATTTACCATGAATTTAAATGTTAAAATATAAATTAGTTAGAAATATGTTAACTGATCGTTCATTGGACAAAAAATAATATTTTACAAGAAATCTTCTCGAATAGTTGCGCCACTTGCGGTGCATTTTCTCTAACTTTCGATTGGGTAAAAGAGTCCAGCCTTGGACACATGATGAAGTTTTGTAAACAAATGAGAGCTTCTGCAGTTTTATATCAAATCTAATCTTGTTTCGATTATTTAGTCTATCCGTAATGTTTTATTTTTTTTAAATAATTGTTTACTTGTATTAAAGCTGTTGAAAGAATTCTTTACGTTGACTTTTAAAGTTGAAATGGCAAACTTTTAAACTGTTCTTTTTTTCGAGTGCAATATAAAAAATTAGAGAAACAAAAGAAAATATAAAAATGACTGAGAGAGGAAATTCAACAAATTATAAAATAGATTATAAAGCTCCGGAACATCCTTTGCCTGATGAAATTCAAGATATGGAAAGAGATGAGACTGTTTGTAAATTTTGCGGTGTAAGTTATTTAATACACAATGAAATAAAAGCTCTAGAGGACAAACTGAAACTTACGGAAGAAAGGTTGTTAATCTGAATAAAAGAGTTCTATTATTATTTAATAAACTTCAATACAATAGGCTAAAGCACCTGGAAGGGTGTGAAGACCGTGAGAAAGAAGCCTGGGAAAGAGCAAGAGAAGCTGAGAATAACTTAGTGGCTGTTAAATCAAAATTAAAAGAAGGAGATTTCAAGTTGGTTATACAAAACTATATTAAGTGCATTGTAAAGTACTTTTATTCTTGATTAATATCATGTAGAATAGAAACTCTTCAAAATCAATTAATGACTCTGAAGCCTATAAAAGAAGAACTAGAGAATTTAAAGATCGATAGAGAAAATCAACATGCTACTATTCAAACTTACAAGTTTGTATTATTCGTTTATCGTTACTTTTAAGATTATAGTCAAATGCAAACATTGATAGAGAAATAATTCAACAATTCCATGGTATTCAGAACAATCTGTCTAGTTTGAAAAATGATTTATATAATTTTAAAACTGACTGCCAAAGGTCGAATGACTCTTTTTATAATAATTTTGACAAAGTTCAAGCCTATATTTCGAAAATAAACGAAGGTATGGTATTAATAGAATAATAGTAAAACTTTAATAAAAGATATTATCTTATTGGGGGCTTAAATACGTAAATCATTGGCAGCTGATCGATCGAATCAGGAAATAGTCGAATCAATTCAATTAAGAAATACTACGTTAGAAAAAGAAATAGAAAAATGCCGATTTAACGAAAAGCTCAGCGAAGATTTGGATAAATGGAAGAATTCAGCTCAGAATTCTGAAATACGTATTGGAGGTAGAAAAAGAGCGGAAAAACATCATTTCATATAGAAATAAACTTTAACTCTATTCTTTTATAGCTTTAAATGAAACAGTTGAAAATCTTAATAACCAAATTAGACTGCTACAATTGGAAAAAAATCAGGGAGATCATCAATCTAGAACTAGAATATCTGATTTAGAAAATATTATTAGTCAAAGAAGAGCTAAGGAAGCTTCAGTTGAAGAAAGATGCAATTTGTTAGTATATTGTTCTACTTTTCTTTGTCTAAAGAAAGTGGATAGTTTTAAATGCATTTATCAATATTGAACAAATATTTACACTCTTTATTTTGTAGCTTAGAAAATCAAGTTTCTGAAACTGAAAAAATTTTAGAAGAAAGAATAAAAGAGTGCTCAGAATTGAGAAGAATTCAACAAGAAAGAAAGAATGAAGAAGAATCTGCTAGGCGACAAGCATCTCTAACCAATGGTACATTTGGGAAATAACTAATTAATTTTAAAATGAGAACTCATTAATTTCTTAATAATATTTAAAATTTTTAGACAAGGTTAATGAATTATTGAGCGAAATGCAAATTTGTAAGAATGACAATGAGGCTTTAAAGCAAGAAAGGTTTGATAATTCTTTTATCTTTATTATAAATTTTATTAAATTATTTATTATATAATATAGAGAAGTGTTGATTACCGCTCATCATAATCGAATGGAAGAGCTTCGAGAGAGTTATAGAAAGAAAATAGCAGAAGCTGAAAAGTCTCCAAAACAAGTAAATATCTATTGATAAGATTTTTTATATTGATATTAGTAATAAAACTGTTTTATTAAAACATTTATAGCTTGAAAAACTATTAGAAACTGAAAAGAGTAGACACGCAATATCACTAAGTAAATTAGAAAATGAACTAAAAGAACAATACGATTTGGTTTGTTTTAATGTTTTTTTTAATGCCGTTAATGTTTTATTAAGATCGTCTAACTAATTCCAGCAATTACAAATTCAACGTCAAAAGCACGATAAACTACTGGAAAGTTACAAAAATGAGAATAGACAACAAGAATACCTAGTAAAGATATTGCTTTTATTACTTTTCTAACAGATTGATAGTAATGTCAAATCTAATTCTTTAGATTCTTAAAAATGCTCAGGGAAAGTTTGAGGATGAGATTAATCATCTACATAAGAAATTAGCTGAAGCTAAAGCGAAAAATTGCGAAAATGAGGCTGGTTTTCGTAGAGAGATAGAGCAGCTAAAAGCTATTATACGTACTTTGGAAAGTAAACAAAGTATCTGTTGTTGTTACTTATGTCTAATAATCAATTTAAAGTATATTCTTTCCAGATCAAGCGAATGCGTCTAATGATAAAGTTTTGAGAGATTTTAAAGAGAAGAACGAAAAATTAGAAAGAGAAATCAAGATGATCAGCGAGGATTTAGAAAATAAAACTAATCAGCTTTCGAAGAGTCGTACAGAAATTCAATTTCTACAAGAAACTGTTAGAAAAGAATGCGAGGAACGATTTGAACTAACTGAAGCTTTAAATGAGGCTAAAGAAGAACTATTGAAACTTAAAAGACCTGCTGGAGGTTATTCGACTAGTCGAAGTAAAGTAACAACACCAAGAATGTCAGCACCTTCAACAAAAGAAGAATTAGTCGTCTTCAAAAAATCAAAAGAAGTATGGACTGGCAATGGCCGTAGGCACTCAACACAATCGGAACCACCAAGAGTGAATGGTGAAGATATAAATACAGTAAATGTATCCTTTAAGGCAGACAATGATAAAGCCTCAAAGAATACTCCTTTAGGTAAAATCTTGAAGCCTCTTAACAGTTCTGGTAAGTGAATAAAATAATCCTTATATCGTTTTCTTTAGCAAGTTATTTAAGTCTCTATTTAAGTTTTTATATTATATATAAATATATATTTATTATGTTTAGAGTATTTAACTATATTAAGTATTTCTAATTCAGCTGTGCTAGTTTTGTTTTTTATATTTTGTTTAGTAATTTAATATATACTTTATGGCCAAGTTTTCTTTGTATCTCTTTACAAAAAGGAGACTTAAATGTAAATATTCATACATGTTGCATATTTAACAAATAGACTACAACTTAACCTATTGATTGTTATTGTTTTTATATTTTTTTTTTGAAAAAAAAAAACATTTCTACAAATGCGTTAAATTTTTTTTCCTTTGTATTTTTTAGGCAAGATTTTAAAAAATATTCTTTTAATAAGTTTACTATAAAAAAAGATGTTTTAAAGACGTCTTTATAAAAAAATAGGCAATACTTTATGTAATTTTTGAAGCAAACTATTCTAGTCGGCTGATGATGGAGAAAAAGGAGCTGTAGGGTCTTCATCAACACTTGTTTCTTGAAAGTTTTTTCCACCTATATAAAAGTGTTATAACAAGTAAGAGGTAGTGTATCTAAGAATGATAAAAGCCAAGCAAAAAAAGCAATGAAGATTAAAAAAAGCACCAAAACCCCCCGGGTTCATTAATCTTGAAGATGAATTTGTAAAAAAAAGCGGGAAAGTGTTAATAATGAAGTGTTTTTTAAATTTCTAAGACAGATTTTCACCTTTACTAATCTGAAGAAGAAATAAAGATAATATATTTTTGTCTTATAAGTTGACTCATCGAATACTTACTCTTGCTTCAATATATTCGACCCGCCTTTCTAAAGTTGTCAATCTTTCATTAAGTGTGGACAGCTTTGCCCGACAAGAAGAATCTACAATTTTATTTACAATACGAATAAATGGTTTGCACGAAATTTGGCATCAAGTCCCAAGTAATGCTTTACTCACCAAACGCGTTCAGAAAATCCGAAATTCTCTTAATATTACAAGTCATCACCTCAATGTACTCTCTATTAGCCCAATCTTGTTGGATTTGTCGCTGGATTTGAGACATTTTGGCTTGAGATTGTACTTTAGATGCCATATTGAGGAAGTTGATTATAATAACATATAAACCGGTAAATGAAACCGGTTAGGAATCTATGAGTGTACATCGTATACAGTTTATTTTAATACGATTCATAAACAAAGTTAAATAAAAACCAAATATATTGATATCCGTTTGACGAATGAATACATGGCATATTTCAAAGAAAAATATGATGACCTATCATATAGTTTCGCTGACTTTTGACAAAGTCGAAAAGTCATACAAAGCAAAAAAAACCATGACAATGTTTTAACAATGCCTAAATGAAGGTTTTTGTATAATTTAAATAGTGACCATTTCAATTCTCCTCTCTAAATTTGATGTATCAGCTTGTAGATTATTATTATTATTCTGTTCCAATTTAGCCTTAGCAGCAGCGCGTTTATTATCCTCAGCCCTTTTTTTTCTTTCTCTCTTTTTTATTTCCTTTTTTTGACGACTTGACAGCTAGAGTTATTAAGAAATACACGTTATACGACTTTTAGTGTGATAGTTAATACTAACGTTTTTAGTTGAAACAGGCTTTGAATCAGAAGAAACATCTGAACTATTTGATGATAAACTTTCTGGAGATTCATTACGTGCAGTTGTGTAATCGGTTTGATCATATACATGTTTCTTTTTATTATTCATTTTTGAATGTACTGCCAATACTGTTAAGTTCACATCGTAGTTATATTCATGTAATAAGTCGTGAATGAAATCAGTATCAGTGCAGGCAGTTATCCTAACAACTTCTTGAACTATGCTGTTAGGATCCCTCACTACTCTAGCAACACCTTCTTTTGCAGCTGGGACATACGTAGTTCTTTCTTTCGTAAGCAGTTCAATTTGCTCTACAGGTCTGCCGGTATTCCAATTGTAGTTAGATGATACTTCAGACGACGCTGAGCTTGCACCGTGTGAAGATGAATAAGAGGCAGCATTGAAAACAGAGGCTTGTGGCTCTGGATAATTTCTCTGAGGAGTTGCCCGATTCTGAAAATAAATCAATTCTGACATGATCTGTTGATTATTCTGAAAAAATTCTCTGTTCATCATCATTTAATAAGCTTAGTAGAGTTGATTTTAGGTAATAACGAAAACAGTGAATATATTTGTTTATATATAGTCTTATAATTATAAATGTAGAAAAAGACTAATTTTACTAAAGTAAATTATTATTAATAATAATTAATAAAACAAAACTTACATTCACCCAAACATTAGCTGGTTGTCTACCATTATCTCCAATGTATCTAACACTGGAATAATGATCTCCATTGTGATATGAAATATGAAGTTGTCGAGCATTCGGATGATCTGAACCAATAATCTAATCATAAATGAAACAAATCGTATTATTTACAGTTAAAATTTGAATTAGAAGAATTATAGAAAAGCTTACATTTATGCAAGGTTGTAGATATTGATGTATGATAACGTTTACTTGATGAAGACGAGAGAAAGCGACAATAGCGTCATTACCAGCAAAAGTACCGCAATGTTTAAGATTTGAGACTGCAAGAAAATTGAATGAAAATGTTTTATATCAATACAAGAATAGTTTATTTTTTTATACCATGTCTATCAAACGAGATGTCGTCTTCAACAAAAGGTTCAAAATCCTCTCTATGCTGTTTCATATAATTGACTACATCTATCCGATGTCTGTAATGATGATCGATAGATCCAGTTAATTGGTCTCCTAATGCACGGAAGAGACAGTTGCTGCAAGAACGAATTTTTAAAATTTTTATCATTAATAGTGCATTTTTTGTTGAATACAGGAAATTTTCACCGAAAATGAAAGTGAAAGTGCAAATCAAGTTTGAGCAATATTTCTTAATGCCTTACCCGTCTGCAGGAATATCTCTTAAATCCAACCCTAACTTTCTTAGCTGAGCTTTAAATGAGTCAACATTTTCATCGTCAGCTAAATATGATTGATATGTAGGATATTCATTTCTTCTCTGCTCTTTTTGATAAGAGTGACGGAGTGCTCGCTCCTCTTTTTTTCTTTCTATTTCTTCTTGTCTTGTATTCTGTTAATATACAAACAATGCTTAAGAAACAGTAGGAAACGAAAATAAAATCCTCAATATGTCTATATTAATTTTCAGCATATAGTACACAGATATGTTTTATTAAAGGAATTCAACACTCAAGCTTTAAAGTCAAGGCTTAGAAAATCGAAACTTATGATATGAAATGTATCCCATATCTTAAATATTAACAACAGATCTAGTTACTAAATATAGCAACGTGTTTGATACTTACTGTATGTCTACCTTTGCTGGACATTATAGGTATAATATGCAGGTGCTGAAAGGGCGGGGTAGAATTAATTGGACTTGCTATGCCACGAGAGTTGAGTCAGATAAATAATTTATAAAAATGCTTATTATCTTTGGTGAAAAAAGAAGCGATTCCGTTATTACAAACGATAATGAAATATTCTGATTATATAATCAGGCTCTGCTAAACCACTTTTGTTGAACAAGTGAAATGCGAATAAAAACTGATAGAGTATTTTCGAATATTTTTAAAATATTAAATTTATATATTTTTGTATAAAACAAGTGAATTGATAAATAATCCTTATTCTAACTTTGATATGAAATTAAAAAAATGGTTTTTGTACGAAAATAACTAGTGAAAAAGACATGTGCGATTTTTGAAGATGGAGGACAACACCGAAGTAAGTAGATTGCAATTAATTCTTTTCATAGAAATATTATGCTAATTTTTTTTGCGATATATTTATTATAAAATTTTGGTTGATGTGCTTAAACCTTTTCGAAAGAAATAATTGATTAACTAACAAAGCTATTTTTATACAATTTTTAGAAAACGGCAAATGCCACCACAAATAATGAAATGACATCAAAAGATTATTACTTTGACTCTTATGCCCATTTCGGCATTCATGAGGTAAAGTGCTCTTTTAAAACCAGTTTTAATGAAAATAAATTACTGATCAAAGAAATATTTATTAGGAAATGTTGAAGGATCACGTTCGCACAAATACATATAGACTGTCCATGGTGCATAACAGACATTTATTTAAAGATAAGGTTGTCTTGGATATTGGATGTGGTACAGGCATTCTGAGTATATTTGCTGTTCAGGCTGGAGCTAAAAAAGTAATAGGGATTGATTCTTCCAAAGTCATTGAATCTGCTAGGGAAATTATTCGCACGAATAAATATGATGATAAGATTATTCTGATAAAAGGGAAAGTAGAGGAGGTTGAGCTCCCTGAGGAGTTTCCAGCTGTTGACATTATTGTTAGTGAATGGATGGGCTATTCCCTCTTTTACGAATCCATGATTAACACTGTTATTTTTGCTCGAGACAAGTGGCTGGTAAGTCCTTCTTTTCTTTACATTATTCTCTAAGCAAATGAATTCAAACAGAAACCCGACGGCTTAATGTTTCCCGATAAAGCCAATTTGTACATTACTGCTATTGAAGATCATGACTATAAGAATGAGAAAATTAATTGGTGGGGTGACGTCTATGGATTGGACATGTCATGTGTTAGGAAATTAGCCATAGGGGAACCACTGGTTGATAACGTTGATACAAAACAAGTAAATGATTAAATCAAAATGTTGAACTATCACTTAAGTTTCTTTGGTCTATTTTAGGTTGTGTCTAATTCTTGCCTTGTGAAAGAGGTTAACATGCACACCATCACAACAAAAGATTTGGATTTTACCTCCCATTTTATGGTAACTGCTAGAAGAAATGATCATATCCATGCTCTTGTCACATTTTTTGTGATCGATTTCTCTCATTGTCACAAGAAAATCAGATTTACAACATCTCCCGAATCCAAACATTCGACTCATTGGAAGCAAACCATTTTCTACTTAGACGATACCATCACAATAAACGAAGGAGAAGAGCTTTATGGTACACTCCATGTTAAACCTAACCAGACTAACTATGTAAGATAATTTTTAATATAATTGCTTATTCAACTACAGTGAAATAATATTTTATCTTTTTACAGCGAGATCTCGATTTTCGCCTTACTGTGGATTTTGAAGGAAAATTGTCGTCACTGAAAACAACTCAGGAGTATAGAATGCGTTAATTGGTCCACTATATTATGAATTATTTTTTGTTAAAATTATGCTTTATGATATTTGAGTTTCATACATATATGTTGCATATTTAGATATGCATTCTGAGTGGAACAATCACTAATTTTTGTTCATTTAGATTTGGACATTGACACATTCGGAAGACATTAACATTTTCAAACAACACGCAAAACAAAAGCAGTTAGATATCTCAAGTGGAAGATAACAAACAGTATTTAAGTCTTTATAACACTGCTTTTCTGTACATTTTCCATTATTTTAACAAAATCATGCAAATCTTATAATTCATCACGGTTATCTGAGCTAGTCCTATCATCAAATTTTTCTATAGCTTCTTCTTGCATAGTCTCATCGTTTTGAGCAGTGTTATCGTTTGGCATCTCTTCAGAAACAATACTATCGTCTTCCTTTTGGCTTATTTCTTCTACGATATCAATTTGTTCGACTTCATCTGTACTTTCAATTACTTGCGGATTGCTTGGTGGATCAGGAAGGGACTCTCCTCGGTTATTATTTCTTTCGTCTCTAGCCTCAATATATACATCTAGCATTTTTTTTAACTCTCTAATAACTACTGATTCATACGCATTCAACTCCATAGCACTTCCAGAACAAACAGCTTTAACTAATGTTCTTAGTATGTTTGCAGTTCCAGGGCTAATATGAATTTTGCTACTTATTATTTCTATCAATCTGTCTGATGCTGCATTGGATATAGCATCTCTATTATATTCTGGAACTTTTTGCTGATGTCCATTAATAATGTCTATCGTGAATCGAACGGCAAAATCGTCGCTGTGTAGCTCTGTATCTTTGATATCACTTATTAAATATCGAAGTTCTGCTTTAACTTCCTCTATTGAGAGATGATGTTTCACTTCAGTACTGGCGTCTGTTGGTTTACCATCAACTGATTTTACACCACTATCTTGGCTCGAATCCGCTGTTGCTCTTTCTAAAATACTGTCAGTTGATTTTGGAGTGAAAGCAATCATAACTTTCAGTTCTGAGTGTTTAGACAAAATATCTGTCAGTTCTTCGCCTTCTTTATGGTAGAGAAAAATTAAGGGTATTGTAACATCATCTTTTCCATCACCAGACATGGCAAATAAAGTTGAGGTTTCTCTACTACTGCCAGGAGTATCATCAATAACAATTCCTCCACTTGCACCAGCTGCTTGTAAATTTCTAGCCTTATCAATAAACATACACGCTCCTCTTTCAACAATAACGATTTTGTTATACACTTCTTTTGTATTTGTAAGAGATGAGCAGCCTTTGTACGGCTCCGCTTTCGCCAGTTCACCCTCTATACCATTTTGTCCTAACTCCTTCAAATCTTTACCGAATTGAGCAGGGCCGCCATTTAGAACCTTGTGTCCTAAAAATGGACTTGATAAAAATTGAACAATACGGGGCTCTTGTAAATTTCCTTGATCTTGTGAATTCTTTGTCATCTCTATCATTTCCTGCATAAATAAAAGACCATCCTGAGCTTGTTTAGGTGAATCGGCATCTACCATTGAGTGAACTAGTTGGACTCTACCATCTTTCATTGTAACTAATTTGACACCCATTTTCCTTAATTCCTCTAAATGATTAGAATTATCTGCGGAAAATTGCCTGGCTTCTAACCTTCTTCTTCCATCGCCCCCTGACCTCGGACAAGACTCTTGAACAATATCTCTTAAAGGAGACCTGAGCTTTTCAACATTAAAAGCACTATTTGGACAAGTCCTTTGGGAATAATTCAAGTTAAATGTAGCATTTGTTGGTGATTTTTGCATGACTGTGGAAAGTGGTAGTAAATGAGCTTCAGTAGTTAGCAAGAATTTATGCGGATCAACAATTAAATCCTCTGGCTCAGAGAAAAGTAAATATAAATATTTGAATGTTTCAGCTAAAACAAATGAATCCATTTGATCATCAAGCACTCTTGTATTGACATTTTTTATTGCAGCAAATCCGCAATCTACTCTTGTATGCTCATCTATTTTTCTTATCATGTCAGCTCCTACTCGAAGATAATGGGGATCATTTGTTGCTTCGTACAACAAATAAGTTGATTCTATAAATTCGGGTCGTAAAGGGTGATGAGCCCAATGAACCCGAAAATCGGTTGTGAAAGCCTCCGGTAAAAAACCATGACGTTCAGTTACTTGATGAAGTAGTTCATGTAATTCTATAGCTGATGAAACATCTCCGGCTAGCACTTGTAAACCTGGCCAAAATGCTAATAGGGCATCAACGTGAGCTTTTGCATTACTTTCTGGTTTATGCATATGAACATCCACTGGTAAAGATTTACCAGATTGGTGAACATGCTTCTTTAAAGCTGCGTAATGGACAGAAAACCTATGTAAATACTTATCTTCTCCCAACAAAATATAAGCCTTTAATAAATATTCATAATAGGAGTCAATACCAGCTCCTAAACCGCTATCGCGTCTAATCCATTCACCGCTATGAACGTTAAGGATAGTACCCATTAAATCTGTTCCTCTGTGTCGTAAAGACCACAAAGCGTCCAGCGCTCTGACAGCTTTTTCTTCAAAGATCCTTTGACCAGTTAATCTACTTAGGGCTGCCATTTCTAAGATCATTGTTCCTGCGCAAGCTGTACAAGTTTCCTTAAAATTTGACAAATATTTTGTTCCATGCTTTAGGTTAATTCGTGGAAGAGGAATTCCTGTTGTTGTATTAAATGCAGGTAGTAAACGTTCAGCCGCATCTGTTGCTAATGTTAGAAGTTCATTTTTATACCAAGACATACTGATTCCGTTTTCTTTGAAGTTATCCGCGAGAATATGAGCTCCTAAGAGGCCACCGATCACTCTAATATTCATCTCAAAAACTGAGACAACAACGTTAGTGTCAAAACGAACATTTTCAATGACTCTTTTGACGCCTGATTCAAATTCATTAACTTCTCCTAGAACTGCTAGTGTATCCAACGTGTCAATTAAAGTCAAAGAATAGCTACGTAGAAAGAGGTAATTTGTAAATTAAATCGCCTTAAGAATATTTAAAGCTACATACTTTCCTAATGATTCATCTATATCTCCCCGAGATGGTTCTGATCCCCTATATCTCCCCTTACAACTTAGAGGCATTAACTCATCAGCTGGATATGCATATGTCTACAAGCAGGCAGAATTGAAAAAAGTTTTTTTAAATTAATTAATAACGTACCATGTAACTTGAGTATCCGTGTCGAAACATTTCTATAATCTTATCCCTATAGTTTTTTCGTTTAAAATATATAATAGACGATCATAGAATAAAATTAAATGAGATTTGACAAACCTCCAATGACGTTTTTCATTTTTGCTCATAGCCTCTGTTAATTCCCGACATATCATACAAAATAAAATGGTGACAATGCACCATCGTAAGATTCTCATACTACTAAAGAAAGCTGATGAGGTAGCCGAATTAATGTAAAAATCAATTTAGAAATGTTACTAGAGGTTTATTTATCATGTAGCCATTTTAGGTCTCGAGAGATAATACGAGAATCAACGTGGCATTATAACCGGAAACAGTATAAAGCTGACTTCCTCCGCCAGCCATTAGAGGACTAGTATCATTTGTCAATAAAGAACCGAGCGATTTATGGCGTACCAATACGGACAGGGACAGGGTTATCAACAGCCCCAAGGATATAACAATCCTCCTGCAAGACCCCCACCTCCAAATCCAAACCAACCAAACTTGAGTCAAATTTTTCAAGCGTAAGAAAGATATTAATCATCACAATGTAATAAAACCTAAATTTTTAAATTTTAGAGTTGACAAGGACCGTAGTGGATTTATCAATGCACAGGAATTACAAAGCGCCTTATCAAATGGAACTCATATCCCTTTTAATGAGGAAACTATAAAACTTATGATTTCGATGTTCGATAGCAGTAGATCTGGCCAAATTAACTTTGAAAATTTTCAACGTCTATGGGCGTATATAAATCAATGGCAGCAAACTTTTAGAGGTTTTGATCGGGATAATTCTGGGTTTGTCGATCAAAATGAACTAGCCCAAGCATTTCAACAATTCGGTAAGACTGAATAATTTAAAATTAGTCATTGTGATGAATAATAATTTTATTTCTTTTTTTACAAAATTTATTTCACGCCTTTATCATTCAGGCTATCGATTTAGTCAAGATTTTATAGGACTATTAATGAGAAAATTCAATCGTCACAATGGTAAAATGGCATTCGACGATTTTATACAATGCTGTGTGGCTGTTCAAGTGAGTATAATAATCTTGTAAATATTTGCATTGATTATATTATTTATATAAATAAAATTTTTTCATTCAGTCGTTAACTTCTACATTTGCATCGAAAGATTCGCAAAGAAAAGGCCAAATCACTGTTGGCTTTGAAGAATTCCTATCAATGATATTTAGCGTTCGTACGTAGGCATTACTTGTGTTTCATTTTTTATGGCTTAGCATGTTCCTTGAATACTTTTTGCATATTAAAGTTGTAATAAAAGAATAAAGTATTAATATTCAGTCAAATAAAAATTTTAACGTTGCAGTTGACATCTGGAAAAGAGTACAGTTTTAGTTGACATCCATCAAACATAACTGGCGGGAGTGTTTCTCATATCATTAACATGGAAGGCAGCTTCTGTAAGTTCGCTGTTAGTTTCATGACATTCATGGAGAACTGCTGATAGATCAGGTCGTCCCATTTCGGATAGAGCTGCACATAGCAGGTCTACTTGGCGCGACTGAAAAACAAACAGCAGTTGCATTTTAATGAAATATGTTTTTTTTTCATAAAGAAAGTATTTATATATAAAATAGACTATTTTCTCGTCTGAGAACAAATCTTACTTTCATTTTAGTTGAAGTTGCTCTTTTCCACATTAGTAAAATTCGATAAGTAATGTCGCTTAATGTTGCTCCCGTTGCAATCGCGTCAAAACCCATTCCAGTTATTGATGAATCGCTTAAGTCCAAATAGATTGCTAAAGTCAATCCATTTTGGATTTCTCTTGCTAAAATTCTCAGAGATTTTCCTGATAATACTTTGGCCTCTCGAACTATCGGTTCAACTCTTCGTTTGGGAGTCGTCAAACGAACGAACGAGGATGAAATTTTCCTATCCTCCTTCGGTTGGGGCTTTGGTGGTGGAGGAGGGGGGGGAGTCTCTGGTTTTGGAGGCTCAACTTCCTCCTCCTCAACCTCTGGTTCTGGCTCAGGTGCAAGATAATCTTCGACAGCTTGTGAATTTATTTCAAATTTGAACGTACGAACAATGGCCTTGGAAGAGTTGCAGACGCAGGCAACCGTGAATGCTGCAGGTTTACCAGCTTCAATTTGAGAATCCGGTTCTATACTTATTTTCCTATAACTTCTGTCTAGATTTGGATATGTATAGACATTCAAGTCATCAGAGTCATTTGACGCTGTACCAATACTGTTAACAGTTATAGCTGTATTTGTCGAAGGCTGTTCCTTCCGAACACGAACATCACCGGAGATTTTTAGAGAATATGACACACCATCTTGTAAAGTAAGGTTCTCTAGTTCAGTGTCCTCTTCTTCTTGTTGAAATTTTCTTCTACGACCAAGTGACCGATAACTAGTTGCCTTTACAGGAGCTTGCTCCGCTATGTCCGAATCTTCTTTTTCAATAGCGTTTAAGAAGCCAACAGACAGTCTGGACTGTCTGACGGCTTCTAAGTTTGATTGATGAGCAATATCCACCCACAATGACCAAGATTTAGTCCGAAGTTGAACAGTAACAACAATGTCGCCCCTATAAGTAGCATTAAGCGAAGGTGTTATATATCGAACGGCTTCCTTTAGCCTTTGTAATCGTCCAGGCTTTGACTTTGCTATGCAAAACATTCCCAATCGTTTCGTATCAAATTGGACAGTGTTTCTTGAAAAACGATAGTTTGTCTTATGCCATTTCCAATGCCAGCAGCCCTGTTCAACGCCATCTTCTGACCATTGTAGGATACACAAGTCATCTTTATCATTTTCATCAATATCTCCGGGGAGCGGTAACTTGACTGTTAGAGCACGTTTAAATTGAACGTCGCTTGGTTCAATGTTAAAGAAGTTCGACGCACTAAGTAAATCAGCAGTTTCTTTGGGATGTTCAAGACGAACAGCTTCTAGATTTTCCACATTTAAAGGGATAACATATAAGAAAGCTTCAATGTCGGTTGGTGTAGCACCTTTTGGTGCTCTTATTGATATCTGATGGCATAGCTTTGCATTGTGTAAATAACCTTGAGACGGTATCGGAAAATGTTCGCTTTTAGGAGTCGATAAAGCGACATAAATCCCGCCGTTGGCTGTTTCGAAATCGACTCTTCCGTCACCTTCATCGTCAGCCTAGAAACGTTAAAGAGCCTGATAAAGTCGTTTATTGAACAACTTATTGATTACTACGTTCAATTAGACACTCCAGCTCATAACTTACCTCTATCACGCAATCGACTTTGTTCCATACGGCCGAATTCATCGGCCTCATCATCAGCTTAACACATAGAAAGTCACTCTTCGGTAAGACTACAGGTAATTTAAAATTCAAGGGCTGTTTTATTTTCTTTGCAGTGGTTGCAATAAGAAAAACCTGTTACGCATTATTACATAATTTAATTCCGCTTTTAAAAGATAATACTGGCAATAAAAAAATTAAAAAAAAACTTGCTTCGCTTATAATTGATTCACCCAATTGAATAATAGGTGCGAATTTATGACGATCAGTGGGTGAAACAGCACAAATTGTAACTACTTCTTTCTTCGAAAATAGTCCAGACGGTACGATCAACTTTCCACCAAAGGGGAGTTCAAAGGATCCACCTCTTTTTCCCAATGTATGCTCTGATATGAGCCTTATATCGTATGGAATGAAAGAAAGAAAAAAAAACAATATTTAGGATTATTTAATTGAATAGAAGCGTTTGTTGCAGTCTTTGCATAGGTTTAAAAAAAATCCAAGAAAAGAAGAGAAAAGTTTTGTCTTCTGACGTCATATATATTACATTCTAGTCGATAGGTAAAAATAGGCAATTTCAAGGTTAATAATAATATAAAGTAGTCGTCAAACTCATTTCTCCTGGGCAAACACAACTTATAAGACAAACAAGCTAATTTCCGTCTACTGTAATATTGCAGTAGCCGGTCGAAAACTGGGAAAGTTTTACTATTGAAATATTATTGAAAGACTGCAAAGTGTTCTTTTGAATTTGTTCACTAATCACTAAGTAATGAATGAAGCTTTATGTAAGTGTTCATAAATCTATCGAATATTGTTAAAGATTTTCCGAGAACAAAAGAAATAAAACAATATAAAATCAAATGTTAAACTTTTACTTTGGTAGATAAATGGATAATTACCTTGTGGGATCTTCACCGGCGATAGACGAATCGGGACGAATTTCACCTTTACTTTTCCTCTTCATCTCTTCCTCTTCTACTATATCTCTGCGTTGTAGAAAAGGCAGTGTCGCTTTAGTTATTAACGAAAGTAGAGAAAATTCTATGATTACATATTCACATATTTTTTAAATCACAAATACGTGTCAACCAATCAGCATGCTATATGATCGTAAATCAAAAGTTTTCACAGCAGGTGTCAAGTAATAAAACAATGTTTTAGGTTAACTTACCTGTGGACACTAATCTGCTTTTTCCCTATCTAATCCTGTATATGGTATATAGGTATATGTATACTTAATAGCCGAAATTATTAAACGATTGTTATATAATACTTGTTAAACAGCTTTTTTTTTATTCCAAAATTCATATTAAATATCTTAATTACTTCATAATTGAATTGCACTAAAAATATTCTCGAACGATTTATATCTTTGTTTTCTAATAGGCCTTATTATTCACCGTTTTTTTAAGGTGGTTGAAAAAGTTCGATTCCCGGACAAGCCTAAACAACAACTCATTGTCCGTGTCGCCATAGTTTTGGCAATTAGCACTTATAATCCTTTTTTCTGTTAAAGGGAGGAATTATATATGTATACAATATCATATATACATATAAGTAGGTAATTAGCTACGTGCTCGAACTAGTAGGTTGATTCAATGTGCAGTTTTTTTAACGGCACCAACGGGGAAGTTACTTTTCATACTGTATCGTTTATTTCTTATATTGACTCATAATATTCTACTGTTCCCAATTACTTTTTTCTCCTATTTATTTTAACATATAGAGAGAGAAAAAGAGGGAAAGATAGAGAATCTGGAAGGATATCTTACCGGTTTTCTTCTAAATGTAACTTCATGATCCTCCCTTTATCTTTAATGCTAATGGTTTAAACAAGGGAAGATATAGTCGTCTATCCAGACTGCAAAGCTATTCGATTTTAACTGCAAAGAACGGTAGAGAGTAAATAGTACGGTTCCAGTCCAATTGCCTTATTTAACTATCTGAGATTGAAAACAGACCGCGTCATTGGGTCCCATTCTATTATTTAGTCAAATTCAATAACAATCCCAGAACATAAAAAGTATATTTTGATAAGAAATGAGCGATAAGGATAAGGGATTTGACACTCTCTTTGATATGATAACAAATTAAAATGATATTGAAGTATTAGAATGTTTAACACCCTTGGGCAGTTAAATAGTGCAATAAAAAACGAAAAGAATAATCCACAATGTATGGAATCACGTAATCGATAGATTAAGAACACGTGCTATTAACGAATTTACTACTTCTTTTACAAGGTTTCTTTGTTTATACAACAATATTGTATTTGGTAATAAATGAAGAAAAATGTGAATATATTACCAACGTGAAAAAGAGTAAAAGCTCTCATTTAACTTTTTTAAAAGTGTAAATAAGAGTCGGATTACTTAAAAAAAAAACAAATAGTCAAGATATTGTAGGCCTTAATTGATTATATGTATTTACGTTTGTTTAGCCAGGGTTAGAAAAAGTTTAATGGGGTTGGGGGCCCCCGATTATAAAAGCATGAAAAAGGCAAAAATATGAATATAATAGATAAAATACACAAATGGTAAAAAGGATATATAAATTATTCTTTTTTATCCTTGTTGCTATTATTATTACCGATTGTTTATGTTACTTTTAACTGTACTTAATTCAATTTTTATGTCATTTCCTTTATCTCTACTTTTATTAATATAAACGTTTAATATGATTTGTCTCGAAGCCTTGTAGATTATTACTGATTTTATTAGTTTCTTTCTCCTCTCTCTTTCTCAAGATATCTATGATAATCTGTAATTAGCGGCGTCTCTTTATATCATACAGTATTTTCTTTCCCTTTCTGCTCTCTTTCTCTCTACCGCTCTTAATATGAACGTGTGGAATAATTCATAAGGCAAGCCTATTATTCAGAGTTCAACTTTATTTTTTTAAACTAATTCTGTATGATATAAGTAAAGTGGATTATCTATTAATTATTTACTGTATGGATTTTACGTGCTCTATTTTGTTTATTTTATGAATCGACGAAGCTTGAGAAAATTAGTTCTGATATAAAACTATAGATGGCATACTTTTAGATTCATTTTTAAAAAGAAAAGAAGAGACATCACAAAAGTAAAACACATCTAGTTTAAAAGTCTTCATCTGTTATTCCTTTTAATTTCAATTCTTGTAGTAGTTTCGCTAAATATCCTTTATCGGGGTAACCGTAATTCTCTGGTCCCCCCCTCATGCTCGTTTTATGGGGAATATCATTCCAAGTGATGGTATTGCTTTTGCCGGTGGTTGAAGAATTTCCGATCGTAAATATTAATTTTTGCTGGAATGCTTGTTCTAGAAGCTTATACAGTTTCTGACCCTCTGGTGAATTCGGAAGATATGCATATCTAATCGTACCTTTATAAGGGTGTTTTGGATTTGGATGTTCATCCTTGAAGAAAAAAAAATATATAATGAAATGTAGAATGTTATCTAGATAATTACCGTTTGTGTTCCTGATTCAAATTCATATACAATACATATCGTATCATAACTTTCATAACCAGATAAACTAGTTTTTAGTATTTTGTGGAACATTTTCCCAGGAGGTTGATTTCCTTCTAGTCCTTGAAAAGTTTGTCTACATGTTGGACAATTTGTTATTTTTCTGTTAAAAAAAAAGTTTTTATTATTAAATATATAATAAATAACAGTAATGAACCGTAATTTTAATTTTTTTACGCAAGATTTACAAAACATGTGGCCACATGGTAATTTATAAGGCTCGTCTGAATATTCAAAGCAAACTATGCATTCAAAACCCGGTAATTTCCGATCAGAACTACTGAAAAATAATATTTTTAAGTAAAAAAATAAAGAAATATCTTGAATATGAATGTTTTTTTAGTATGTTTATTATTGAGGCAGAGGTTAGCTAACCTGGTAGCTCCTTCAGAACAATCCATTTCCTCGTCAAATAAAGATGGTTCCTTTCTGTATGTAGCATAATCGGTACCTTTTTCTGAGAAGTCTTTTACACTAGCTCTGTGAGCATTTAGAGAGGAGAGTTGAGTATACGATTCGGACGGAAATGCACAAACAGAACGTGTTTTTCTAATAGTATTGGGGTCGAAAAATTCTTTCGAAATTTTCTGTTTCTCGAAAGTCAGTGGAACACCTTGAAAGCTCTTTAATAAAGTAGGCCTTTCGCTTAAAAAATCGGTGAATATATCAACAACGAAAATTTTCTGAGTGCTTAACAATTGTGAGACTGCACTTAATAGCAATTCTAGGCATTTTGTGCTATCACGGTACTTAACTGTGTTAAAAAGCTATATGAGAAGAATTATTTTTCATGATATTTATATTACCTGCTCCTAACATTGGAGTTGCAATTGTTTTAATACCTGTCTCGCTACTAATAGCCTTGATCATTTTGTTGAAAGTAGTTTTAAGCTGCTTCTGTTCAGGGGGTAAGGGCACTAGCATGAGTTTTTTAAAGTGGCAATTGACCTTCAGTATCTCAATTCTTGATAGAGGAGTTTGTATTTGTCTTCCTACATCTGGTACAATTTTACAAATCTCTCTTAATAAGCCAAAATTAGAAGACAGTGATGTTCCGCAAATAAGAATATCAACTTTCATCTTACATATGTCGCCTTTGAGAAAATTTACTTCTGGTCCTTTTATTCCTTTTAGACAGAAATATTCCGGAAGCTTATCTCTAATTAGTGAAGGAATTTCAATTATTTCTTTTTTTGTTTTTCTTGAATCTTTTTCAGCGCTTCTTGTAGTCGTGAACGTCGCTGCTGCTGTTGCTGTAGCACTAGCAGTTTCTGCAGATGTCGGAAAACTATAATCACAGAAAATTAAATCTGTTTTCTTGAAAGCATGATCTATTTTTGATTGAAATTTTTTTGAAGAAATCATTTTCTCTGCATTTTTCGAATCGCCAAATACAACTATTTCTGTTTTACTTATTGGTTCATAATCTCTCCAATCATATTCTTTCAATAGCAAATCTATAAACTTTGAATATTCACTTGGCACTATCTTGCAATCATAAACTGCAAATTTGGAAGTAAATTTTTCGAGTCTAGTATAAAGAGTATGCAAGTTATCATGTCGAGAGGATGAGACCACGAAATGATGTAAATCCTCCTCTTCCACCTTACAATTACTGAACTTAGAATCTTCCTTAAGAATACAATGAAGTTGTAAGGAAACCAGCTTAGATATGTAAGGGTCTATACGTATTCGTATTTTTGAGACGTCCATATTTCTTATAGATATGAAACGAAAATAAAAATATAGACTTTACTTTCGATTTGATAATGCATCCTTCTCACATTTTTTGAATGTTCTAAATGAATATAATAACTTATTATAAAATAAAATGTTAATTAAAATAACGGAATTTATTGGATACGAAAATCATATTTGTTTTTAAAAAGATCAAATGTCTGAAGAGACATATCATACGTACTTTCGATATCGTTTTGAATCAGAATATAGCAAATTGAAGATTTTCAAAATGGCGGGGAAAACTTTATTTTTTTTAATAGTTAATTAATCGTTATATTTCGAATAAGAAAAGAAGAACATATAAAGAAATTAATTTACAAGTTTTTCATAAGACAATGAGAAAAAATATTTTTCCACGGGTACACTGTAATAGAATACTATTCACTAAATATTTATCAATAATTAAGCCTAGTAGAGCGGTAACCATATAGACATGAAATCGATAAACAAGCCATTAAAAAACAACGTATTTAATTTCAAAAGTTTGTTCACAATCATTTATTTATAGTAAAAAAAAAAAAGATTGAATTCTTTCTATTTAGAACAAACACAAGTTTTTTTTTTCATTTAAATTTAATATTAACCAAACTATCGTAACAGCGTAATCGTCCACCCTTCTCTTTCTATTCTATTCTATTCTCTTTTTTACTCTTAATCCCTTACACCTCCTACTCCTCCCACAACTTCCCCTTCATCTATCTTTTCTACTCTTTTCACTTTCTTTCAGTTAGCAAATAACCAATAAGGTTAATGAATAATAAACTATGAAAATTTACACTTGCTACCTGAAAAAAAATTCAAAAGTAAAGAATGTAAAGTTTGATAGAGAGGGTTTACATTAAAAGAAAGAGAGAAAGAGAGAGAAAGAGAGAGAGAGAGAGAGAGAAAAGAAAGAAAGGCACGGGGAGAGATTAAATATTTATCTTTTACTTCTTGAATAATGTTAAACACTTAGAAAGTTTTACTTAATAATTTTAATATTCAAAAATTCTTTTTTTCTATTAATCCTTTAGATAAGAAAAGAAGAAAAAATGTACATACTTTATCTTTTATATTCAGATATTTCCCTTTCTTTTGTCTAAAAATAGACTTTTATTCAGAAATTTTATTTTTCATTTAATAATATCATAACCTTAACCTTTTCTTTTGACTTTTTGTGTGAAAATATTGTAGTTCTATTTATTCTTCTTAATTTTTACGTTCCTAGATTTTATTTCTCAGAATAAGTTGTTCGTATAACAAAATACACCACGCCCATCTTTACCGTTCTTGAGTGTTGTTCTTACATTTTTGCATAAATTTGCAATCTCCTCATTAATAATGAATAAAAAGAGTAGATATAGGATCAAGAATAGTAGAAGAAAAAACCATAGAAGATTAATAAACATGCATTAAAATATTGCTAGGAAGATAGAAGAAACAATAATTAACTTGAAGGCCATCCTTTCTAAACATATTTTGCTTATTTGTATGTAAATAATATATAAAAAAGGTTATCTTTAATATCTTCACGGGGTGAAATGTTTGTTTATTTTATCGTACTAGGATACATCTTTTGTTGAGTAGGTGTACAATATTTAAAAGATTTAATCACTCACATTCCCTCCCCTTCCTTCAGGGAGTCATACGAATTAATACGCCTACTTCATTAAATTATCGTAGTTAGTTTGGCTAATAGGAAATTTTCAACAAGTTTTTTTTAAAATCGCGCCCACGACTTTTAAGTAAAGAAAAAGTATATAAAGAATTTCTTTAAAGACGAAGGCCCATTCAGAAGCTGTTTGAACACGATATTTCGTCCGGGCTTAGGTTTACAATTGAAATTTTAACAAGAGGTAAGAAAGTTTTATAATAAAGCATTCAATGAAGATTAGTCAAAAGTGAAGAATGACTTTTTAATGAAATGAAGAATTTAATTTATTAAACATTTTAATAGAAAAAAGTAATAAATAACTTCAACATCAACTGGAAAACTGTAATTTTTAATTTATGTTATTCTTTTCAAAAGTAAAATAAGACTTTAAATAAAAAGAAACAAAAAGAAGAAACAGGCTATAAGGGTCAGTTTTTCATTTAAAGTTTTAATATTCTCGTATCTATACATTGAATATATATACAGTAAGAGTATTATTAATAATCTTAAAAAAAAAAACATGATAACCCATGGTTTTTTATTGTAGATTAACAGAAAGCAGCTTATATTGTTTTTTATCCAAACAGAAAAAATGCTTGCTTCAAGGGTTATTACCCTCTATATTCTTATTACAATAGCTTGGGTCGTCAATGGACAATCAAAATGTCGGGGAGATATAGGATTAATTATTGATGATTCGGGTTCAATAACGGATACTGATCCGCCAAGCATGCAAAATTGGATAGACGTAAAAAACTTTATTTTCAAAATAATTGATAAGTTTGAGGTAACCGGAGACAGAGGAACTCATTTTGCAGCTAACAGATTCAGTAACAGAGCAAATGTTGTTTTTCAACTTAATCAATATACGAGTAAGAGTGATTACAAAAATGCTATTGAAAGAATGAGATATAGTGGTGGTAATACAAATACTTCTGGAGGTTTGTTAACTATGCTCGATGAACAATTTACTGAAGCAAATGGTAACCGACCGGACGCCCGTGATATTTTTATCTTGATAACTGATGGTAAACCAACAAGAGATATTGAAAAAACACCTCAAGTAATCAAAAGAATTCACGATATGAACATCCGTTTAATCGGAGTTGGTGTAACAGCTTTTGTTAATGAAACACAAATGAGAGAATTTGTAAGAGATCCGGACTGTACCGTCAACCCAAATCATCGATATTGTCCTAAAGAGACAAATGAATATGCCAATTCTTATCTTGAAGTTGAACGATTTGATCAACTTGATGGTATTTTAGATGATTTGATTGAAGGCTCTTGCGCTACTTTGAAACCAACCACACCAGCGACCGCACAACCACGCTTTTCAACTCTTCCCGCACCAGGATTCTGCTTAAAAACAGCAGATATTCTTTTCATGCTTGATGCTTCCGGTTCCATGGGCTACGATAACTTTATGAGACAAAAGGAATTCGTTAAATCTATAATAACCGATTTTACAATAGGTACACGATCTACAAGAGTCGCTGTTGTAACATTTACAGGAGACGCAACAGTCAACTTTAGGCTTAACGCTTTTAACAGTAGAGAAGATATTATCAAAGCTATTGACGCTATTCAATTCAAAAGAAACGGCCAAACGAGAACTGATAGAGCTATTGCTAGAGCTTACAATGATATATTCCAACGAGGTAATGGTGCTAGAGATGATCAGCCAGATATCGTTGTTCTCCTCACTGATGGTGGTTCCAACTCAAAAAGAGAAACTATGCGCGAGATTCATATAGCAAAAACTCGTGGTTTACACTTTATTGTTCTCGGAATTGGAAAATGGCTCGATATATACGAACTCCAGAGTTTAGCTAGTTATTCCCACGAAGAAAATTTGATACGTATCGATAGTTACAGAAACTTACCTAGTGTCAGAACAAGACTTAGGAATCTTGTTTGCCGCAGTATGTAAACAGTAAACTTGTTATGTAAAATTTCTTTAAATTAAATATTGCCCTTTCAACAGATATTGACCCTTGTCAAGGACAATCTTGTAGTGGGCGAGGTCAATGTGTTAGCGGTGCAGGATCGTTTACTTGTAAATGTAATACTGGTTTCGGTGGTAGAACGTGTAATAGAAGTAAGTACCCTAAACTTTATGTTCAATAACATTTTATCAATAATTTGTTTGTTATCTTTGATAGAATGTCAAAAGGACACAATGGATTTGGCAATTGCTCTAGACTCTTCTGGCTCAATGCAAAAGATGCACTTTAGAAAAACGCAAGACTTTGTAAACGATATAATGTATATATATTAAACTTTTACTTTTTAAAGATGGCATATTTCCTATATCTCCTCCAAATCAATTCTTTTCTTTCACTATTTTTCGTACAGATTGGGTGTAAATGTTCCAAACTCGAGGATCTCTGTTCAAAAATTTAGTACGGATACAAACACGAAATTCTATTTAGATCAATTTAGTGATCGACAAGAATATTTAAATGCAATGAACTTTTACTTTGACGGAGGAAAGACGGAGACAAATTTAGCTCTGGAAGAAATGAGAAGTAATCAGTTAAAAAGAGGTCAAAGATCAAATGTTAGAAAAGTCGGTGTATTATTAACCGATGGAAAAAGTAATAAACCAGACAAGACTTTTGAACAAGCAGTCAAACTGCGAAATGAAATCGATGGAGCTACCATACTAGGAGTTGCAATTGGTAATGCAAATGAAGATGAAATGAAGGCAATTGTTAATTCACCAACTGATAGAAATCTGTTCAAAGTTCCAAATTTCGATAGTTTTAATCAAATTAGCAACCAACTTTTGGATGCAGTTTGCGATAGTAAGCATCTCTTTACATGTCCTTGCCTTTCTTCAATACGTTCTTGCTTAATAAAATACTTTACCTTGTAGATACGAATGAATGCCAAAACAATCCTTGTGCAAATAGTGGAACTTGTATAGATAAGGTTGGTGGTTTTGAGTGCAAATGCCCTCCAGCATTCCGTGGTTCGAGATGTCAAACCAACATTGGAAACTGGTTTGATTTAGTTATTGTACTAGACGTTTCAGGATCTATTAGAAGGGAAAGGTTACGTCTAGTCAAAGAATGGATAATTAGCTTTTTGGATGATTTACCAATTGATCAAGAAAGAATTAGAGTTGGTCTACTCAGATATAGTAACAATGCTGCAGTTGAATTCCATTTGAACACATATAAATCGAAACATGATGTTCTTGAACACATTAGAAGAGTAGAGTTTGTTGGTGGAAGAACACATACCGCCGAAGCTTTGAGAGTGATGCACCAAACAATGTTTACAAGTGGTAATGGCGATAGATCGGGAAGTCAATTTCCAAATTATGCTTTAGTATTTACCGATGGAAGCTCAAACATCAATGCCGCTCAAACTATACCTGAAGCTATCAATTCAAAAATAAAGGGTATCCATATAATTGCTATATCAATTGGAACTATGGTTAACTGGAATGAAGTCAGAGGAATCGCTAGTGAACCATACGATCGCAACGTTATTCAAATTCGTAGTCAAAGGGAGCTTTCAAACTATCGTTCAACTGTTCTATCATCTCTCAGTAATGCTCAGAATGAATGTAATGGTGCTTGCCGAAACAATGCTCAATGTGACGACTTGTTGTACGGTTTTAACTGCAGATGTCAAGGAAGTTGGGGAGGAGAAAGATGTGATCGTCAATGCTCAAGATCAAAAGACGTAACCTTCATTGTTGATGTGTCAGGATCTTTAGATAATTTGTTTAACGTTACAAGAAATATTATTAAAAGAGTTATCCATGGACTTCCAATGCAAAACGGTAGATTCCGATTCGCAATGGTTTCGTATTCGGATAGAGCAGAAGTCAACTTTTATCTAAATACTTATAATAATAAACTTGGTCCCTTATACTCATTGGCCTGGAGTAAGATTGGAGGAAGAACGAATGCGGCTGAATCCATTCGTTTAGCTTATAACAATGTATTTAACGGAGGAAGAGGCGATAGAGGTGGCTCGGATAATGTAGCAATAATTTTTACCGATGCCAAATCCAACGTCAACGTGAGTAGGGTTGAATATGGAAATGTTTGAATATATTCTATGTATATATAACCAAATTAATATTTAACTCTATTTAGGCTGGAAGTACAAGAAATGAAGCAAGAAATATGAGGCAAAGAAATATAGAAGTGTTTGTCGTTGCGCTCGATGATCCTCGAAAGCAATCAACAGCAAATATGAATGAAGCAAACGAAATGGCATCAGATCCAGATAGTTCTCACGTATTCAGAGTAAGAAGGGACAGCGATGTTAATTCGGCAGCCGATAATCTCATAGATCGGATGTGCCAGTAGTGTTTTCAGACAAGAAAAGGAAATTAAATATTTTATCGGAAAATTGAAAACTTTTTAAAGTTTTCCACTTATTATTTTGTTTATGACAGATTTTATTTTGGCCTATATTATCTTTTCAAACTATTTACAATTTCAACAACTTAGAAGGCAAATTTCTAATGTTTTTTTTTATTTCTTCTTTAACTTTTGTACTCAATAAAAATTAAATTCACCAAAAAAAAACAACAGATTAATTTCTCTCTAAAATGAGGAAAAATTTCGCATCTACAATTTTCTTTCTCTTCTTCTTCTTCTTCTTCTATTACCTCTCTCTACTATTAATATTGTTATTCATCCTTTTGTACATTTTCTTCTTGTTTATTGTTTGAGCGTTCCCTTTTCTTCACTTAACATTTTATTTAGGTAATTTGAACATTTTGTTTGAATGAAAAAAGGGAATAAAAAAGAAATTGACAAATTAATAAAATGAATTGAAAAATTTTAAATTGTTTGTTTTTTAATGTTAATACTTTGCTGTTTTTGTTGTTATTTTTATTATTTTGATATTAATCATTAAATCCATTAAACAGATATATTATACATAAATCCTGTATACAGTAAATATTCTAATAGTTGTCTATTTTTAGTATCATTTTACTCCCACAACATTCTTCTTATTATTTTTTTTACATAAAAGATAGTTTTTTTCGTCTCTTTTTTTGCTTTCATTCAACATAAAAGAAATGATATTTTTAAATTATTAGAGTATTGACTGTTGATAAAAAAAGAAATGGCATATTTTTTAAAACATCAAAGTTGTTGACTATCGCTTTCATTTTTCGAAATACTCATAATTTTATGATTTTTCTCTATTGTTTTGTTTCTATGTGAGGTAGTTTCATTTTGGGAATTAGGGTTCAAAAAAACTAAAAAAAGAAAACAGCCTATAGATGGCATAACGCATGTTCAATTGTAGAAAATAACCTTAGGACATAGCCTTTTCGATAGTAATTATAATTGAAAGGAAGAAGAGCTAGAGCTTAGAAAAATATCTAGGTGTGTATTTCAAAGAAAATTATCTTTTGAACTCGGAAGATGAAAGCTGTATATTTCATCAAAGAATCTATTTTAATATTTGTAAATTTATGTATACTCAAATAGGTATTAAAAGGGTTGAGAGCGTCTTTTGAGACTTGATCTCTCCACTTATTATTAATACTAAATGTACTAGTAAGGTCAATCTATTCACGAAAAAAACCACGAAGTTCGTGTCCGGATTAGTTGACAATAAAAAAAGTGGTATTTCGTGTATAAGTAATTCGTTTTATTCAAGTTGGTGGAATGATAAAAAATGTTAAAACCCATACTAATATTAGTATTTTATGACTTTCCATTAACTTCTCTCTCTCTCTTTCTCTCTCTCACTCTGTCTCTTCTCACTTCTACATTTACCTGTACAACTATTATCAAAAGTTTACTAGTAAACAAAGACTATTATTTATTACCTTTTTTTTCCTCCTCGTCACTTTTATTTATTAAAAGAAGTCGTAAAATAACAACGACAGATAAAATCCTTTGAAAATGGTTAAAATGTGGCATATAAAAGAGGCGCATGAAAGAGAGAGAGAGAGAGATAGGGAGGGGGAGGGGAGGAGGTGCAGGAGGAATCTAAAAGAAAGAACAAGAAAAAGAAAAGTTTTGATTCAAAATAAAATGAAATATAATTCTATAAAAGATACTTTTTCTTTTGGTTAAAACATGCGCCCTTTATATCAAAGTAATTAGATTTTTAGTATAAAACTTGTCGACAGTTCTTATGAGAAATTTCTAAAAGTCTTAAAATAGACAAATAAATGAACTAGTTTTAGGGATATAGCCTTTCTAAATTTTCATAATAATAAAAAGTACTTAGATATCGATATTTTCATAATTAGTTAGATATTTACTTGAAAAAGGGTGGGGGGTGGAGTGGGAGAAATGAGTGTTAGAGCCGTTTTGTAGGCCGGAGGTGGGGGGAGGTTAATATTTTTCAATCGTATTTAAAGAGTATTCAAGTTTCATTGTTGGCTTTGTATGAAATATCAAAATATAGAAGTTTTAAGATAAAAGTTCAAGTTAAATATTACATAAGTTGAACTTTATTCATTCTCCTCTTTACTATTCCTAAATATGTATATATATATATATATATATATATATAGATCACTAAACATTAGTTTATATATAATAATTGTGATCAGACTAGGGCGGTGCAATGGATATATGTTTAATCGATCTATTATTATAACAATATATCGCTACGACTAGAATTAATATGCAACTAGTAAATCTTGTGAATTTATATTCTTTTCTCTTATTTTCTTAATCTTAGTAAATTGTTTTTATTCTGCATTGGTCTTTGCCAATTAATAATCATGAAACTAATAGATTCGCAACTAGATCAAAAGAAAATATGACAGTGCGACAGATATTGAAAAGTAGAGAAATATGTAAAGATAGTGAACCATTGTAAAGAAGAGAGAAAATAATTCCAGTATAGATCAAGGTTATTGAGAAAATTAAATATACAGTTTACGTACTTAAATCTTTACTTTGGGTGGAATTATAAAAATTTTAAAGAAAATATGCTTGAAATCATAAAAACTATAGAGGGAAATAAAGATCCGAGGAAGGGAATATAAATGAAATGTAAAGAATACATATTATCATAAAAAGAGTTGGGTTCATCCTAAGACCTTCTTCTAAGAGTTAAATAAGAAATAATTCATTTCTGTATCGAATTAAAAAAAACTTTGTTAGCCTACAAAACTTAATATGCTTATATCCATTATATTATAGTCTTTTAATATAATGCCCCTTTTGTACTACTTATTTGAACAAATTGTATTTATTCAAGGCCTATTATTTATAATATTTTACCACTTTTTATTTAACAAATCGTGTAATTACGGTTTATCGTAGATAGTAGAGGAATTTTCTACTTAATTAATCTTTAATAATTAATCTAGAGAATAACAAGTAAAATCAATATTTCTTTAAAGATTGAATAATAAACGTTATATAAATATTGAGTAGGTGGATTATAAAAGATTGTAGGAGATTGTCATTTGACAGAAAAAAAATTATTAGTTTTATCGGACGAAGAGAAGAGTTTATTTTTTTTCAAAGGAGGGATTTCGACCAGTTTCAATAGATTCATTAAAAAAGGGACTGAAAGAAATTCTATTATATACCTATATATAATTATAGCCTATAAGATGTAGAAGAACAGATACAGTAGCTTTACTATATGCAGGAAAATACCTGGCAAAAAGTTCATTTATAAAAAGAAGACTTTTTTAAAAGAAAGAGTTTTTTATGTTAAGAAAGAGGCGATTTTGCTTTAGTTTAATGTAATTTATTGAATGAAAAGAATAAGAAGACGTATACAATTAAATACTCTAACGATAGATAAGCCTTTGCAAGCTCTATACAGCAGATTAATTTCTGTTCGATATTTTCGTCAAAGGCCAAATATTGAACAGACAATCTGTCATATCCAATATTAAAGAATACCCTGGCAAGGCTTCTCATTTAATACTACAATAAGCGAGAAAATATTTCAAGTGGTATACTGTACGGACAGAAAAAAAAGTAAAGGTCAAATATAAGGGGCAAAATGAAAAACTAGAGTCAATGTAACCGAAGAGCACAAGAGAAAAATATGAATTTTATATGAATTATATCTAACAAGCCTACTATGTCTATGCTATTGATTCTTAAAATCTACGTAAAAAATGTTTTACTTTAACAAAACAGCCTATTAGTCGGGAAAATATGCCGTTAGTCTACAAACAATAAGGGAGAAGCTTCTAAATGTACTTTCTAGCAAAGACATAACGTTCTGATACAAACGAAATTACTTCATGAATATTCATTTATTCAAAAGTATCCGAAAATTACTTTTGTTATCTTAACTTTTATTACTTATGCAAAAAGAATGTTTGTCAAAATATTTCTACAGTGAGTTCCGCCTTTAATACTTTATATAAATATGAATATAATAAATGAATAGTATCTGTATGCGTTTGTAACTGTATATGTATGTGTGTGTGGGTGTGGATGTGTATAAATATGGAGGCGTCTATTTGTTTACTCTTTTAATTTTGACCAATTGATCATTTACGCTTGAATTGTCCACCTTGACTAATCATCCAAACTGGTTTGTTAGGCATTTGGAATTTCGATATTTTTTTGACAAAGATTCGCCCATGAATTCGAATAAAGAAAATGTATATAAAGGAATTTCTATTTGGGGCAATGGCGTATTCAGGGAGCTATTTGAATACGATCAGTCGTCTAGGCTCGGCCAACGACAGAACAACCCAAAAAATCTGCCGAAAGAGAAAAATTTTTTGATTCTTATTCCTATAAAAAAGCTAACTAACTATTAAATCGGTTAGTATCAACTGTTATAAATTAACTAAACCATATTTATATTAAGTTAATTATTAATATTCATTTATTTAAATGAAGTATTTAATTAATTACTTTAATTAGCAAAAAAAAATTCTGCTCCTTTGTATTGTTTTTCATACGTTTCTTTCTGTAGAAATGAAGCATCTTTGCATTCTCTCATTGCTCTTTATTACTTTTGTTGGATTGTCGTATGAACAAGAAGTATGCCGAGCAGATATAGGATTGATAATAGACGATTCAGGTTCTATAACTGATCCCAGTCGAAGCAATTGGAACAATTGGCTAGCTGTAAAAGACTTTTTAAAAAGTATAATCCGAAAATTCAACGAAATTGGAGAATCTGGAACTCATTTTGCTGCAAATAGATTTAGTAACAGAGCAAATGTGGTTTTTCAACTTAACTCATATGACAGAGAAAGTGACTATTTGCAGGCAATCGAAGATATGAATTATAGCGGTGGTAATACAAATACTTCTGGAGGTTTGTTAACTATGCTCGATGAACAATTCACTGAAGCAAATGGTAACCGACCGGACGCCCGTGATATTTTTATCTTGATAACCGATGGTAAACCAACAAGAGATGTTGAAAAAACGCCTATAGTAATCAAAAGAATTCACGATATGAACATCCGTTTAATCGGCGTTGGTGTAACCGCTTCCGTGAATGAAACACAAATGAGAGAGTTTGTAAGAGATCCGGATTGCAGTGTTACACCAGGGAATTTTTACTGCACACTACCAGAAAATCCCTATGCTGACTCCTATTTATTCGTACAAGAGTTTAGTCAGTTGGAGTCTATTCTAGAAGCTCTGATTCGGGAGTCTTGCACAACCATTAAACCTTCAAATCCTCCAACAACTCCAACCCCACTGCCTAGAGCTTCAACACTTCCACCTCCCGGAACTTGTACCCGTTCAGGCGACATTCTCTTCATTTTAGATGCTTCTGGCTCTATGGGATACGATAACTTTATGAGACAAAAGGAATTCGTCAAATCTATAATAATCGATTTTACAATCGGTACACTATCTACAAGAGTCGCTGTTGTAACATTTACAGGAGAAGCAACAGTCAACTTTAGGCTCAATGCGTATAATAATAGAGAAGATATTGTCAAGGCCATCGATGCAATTCAATTTCAACAAGAAGGAAAAACTAGAACTGATAAAGCAATCGCTAGAGCCTACAACGAAATCTTCCAGTCAAGCAATGGAGCTCGAGATGATCAAGCTGATATAGCAGTTCTTCTTACTGATGGTGGTTCTAACGAAAAGAAAGAAACAATGCGTGAAATCCACATTGCTAAGACTCGTGGTTTACACTTTATCGTTTTAGGAATTGGAACATGGCTCGATTTATACGAACTTCAGAGCTTAGCCAGCTATTCACATGAAGAAAATCTTATTTTAGTAGACAGCTATAGAAATCTGCCAAATGTTAAACAGCGACTAACAAATCTCATTTGTCAAAGCAAGTACCCTTAATTAATAATTATACAAATCTTCTAATAACAACACAGATATACATAAATGTTTATATAATAATATATCTATATCAACATTCTTTTCTGTAGATAATGATCCCTGCAATGGACAATCTTGCAGTGGGCGTGGCACATGCCTTCCTGGAACAGGATCATTCACTTGCAATTGTAATACTGGTTTTGGTGGTAAAACATGTGAAAGAAGTAAGTCGAAAATACCTAAAATACACATTTATATATGTAAAAAAATTTCTAATCTTATAAAGGATGCCAAAAGGACACAATGGATCTTGCAATTGCCCTAGATTCATCCGGTTCCATGCAAAAGATGCATTTTAGGAAAGCAATTGATTTTGCAAATGATATAATGTAATTATATAATTCAATAAAAACGCATTTATTTACTTATTTATTATAAATAATGAATATAATCCATTTTTTAAACAGAATGGGTGTAAATGTTCCAAACTCCAGAATATCTGTACAGAAGTTCAGTAACGAAACTGTTACAAAATTCTATTTAGATCAATTCACTCTTCTACCTGAATATTTAAATGCAATGAACTTTTATTTCGATGGTGCAAGTACTGAAACTCATTTAGCTCTTCAAGAAATGAGAAGCAACCAATTACAAAGAGGTCAAAGATCGAATGTTAGAAAAGTTGGCATACTCTTTACAGACGGAAAAAGCAACAACCCTACTCAGACTTTTAGGGAAGCCGTAAGACTCAGAAATGATAATCAAGGGGCAACTGTTTTAGGCGTTGCTATTGGTAACGCAAATGAAGCTGAACTAAGAGCTATTGTTAGTGCTCCAGCCGATAGAAATCTGTTCAAAGTTTCAAATTTCGATAATTTTAATCAAATTAAAAACCAACTTTTGGATGCAGTTTGCGATAGTAAGCATCTCTTTACATGTCCTTGCCTTTCTTCAATACGTTCTTGTTTAATAAAACACCTTACCTTGTAGATACGAATGAATGCCAAAACAATCCTTGTGCAAATAGTGGAACTTGTGTAGATAAGGTTGGTGGTTTTGAGTGCCTATGTCCTCCAGCATTCCGTGGTTCGAGATGTCAAACCAACATTGGAAACTGGTTTGATTTAGTTATTGTACTAGACGTTTCAGGATCTATTAGAAGGGAAAGGTTACGTCTAGTTAAGGATTGGGTTATTAGCTTTTTGGATGATTTACCAATTGATCAAGAAAGAATTAGAGTTGGTCTACTCAAATATAGTGACAGTGCTGCAATTGAATTCCAATTGAACACATATAAATCGAAACAAGATGTTCTTGAACACATTAGAAGAGTAGAGTTTGTTGGTGGAAGAACACATACCGCCGAAGCTTTGAGAGTGATGCACCAAACAATGTTTACAAGTGGTAATGGCGATAGATCGGGAAGTCAATTTCCAAATTACGCTTTAGTATTTACCGATGGAAGCTCAAACATCAATGCCGCTCAAACTATACCTGAAGCTATCAATTCAAAAATAAAGGGTATCCACATAACTGTTGTATCAATCGGAAATATGGTTAACTGGGTAGAAGTCAGAGGAATCGCTAGTGAACCATGGGATCGCAACATTATCCAAATTCGTAGTCAATCTGAACTTTCCAACTATCGTTCAACTGTTCTTACTGCATTCAGTAACAACCAAAATGAATGTAATGGTGCTTGCCGAAACAATGCTCAATGTGACGATATGTTGTACGGTTTTAACTGCAGATGTCAAGGAAGTTGGGGAGGAGAAAGATGTGATCGTCAATGCTCAAGATCAAAAGACGTAACCTTCATTGTTGATGTGTCGGGATCCGTAGATAATTTGTTTAACGTTACAAGAAATATTATTAAAAGAGTTATCCATGGACTTCCAATGCAAAACGGTAGATTCCGATTCGCAATGGTTTCGTATTCGGATAGAGCAGAAGTCAACTTTTATCTAAATACTTATGATAATAAACTTGGTCCCTTATACTCATTGGCTTGGAGTACAACTGGAGGAAGAACGAATGCGGCTGAATCCATTCGTTTAGCTTATAACAATGTATTTAACGGAGGAAGAGGCGATAGAGGTGGCTCGGATAATGTAGCAATAATTTTTACCGATGCCAAATCCAACGTCAACGTGAGTAGGGTTGAATATGGCAATTTTTAAAATATACTATATATAACTAAATTAATAATTATCACTCTCCAGGCTGGAAATACAAGAAATGAAGCAAGAAATATGAGGCAAAGAAATATAGAAGTGTTTGTCGTTGCGCTTGATGATCCTCAAAAACAATCTGTAGCAAATATGAATGAAGCAAACGAAATGGCATCAGATCCAGATAGTTCTCATGTATACAGAGTGAGGAGGGAAAATGAAGTTAATCAAGCCGCTGATCAGCTTATATCATGGATTTGCCAGTGAGCAATAAAAGTAGTTTTAATTATTGTATTTGGAAGTTGGAATAGTTTTTTCTCGTGTTTTATAACCTAAGAAAAATTGTTTGCTAACGAAATTAAGTTCATAGTGAATTTTTTAAATAAACCTTAAGATATAAACTATTTCGCTTCTTCCTATACTATTATCTACAATTTGCTTCAATCATAACGAGATTGTTAATCACAATCATTTATAGCTTTTAATAAAGAAAGAATGGGTTACATTCGAGTATAAAAGGTAATATAAGGGAATTCGTAAGATGAGAGTTTGATAAATGTTACATAAAGAGGGTCAAATGAATATCTTTTGTATGTTTCAAATGTTAAAAGCTTTTACACAATAGTTTATATATTATACGTTATCTTTTTCTCAACCAAGATATATATATATATATACAGTATATAACACTTGCGAAAAGAGAAAAAGCTATCTCTTTTAGTTGTTATCTAATGAATAATCATTCTTTACTCATTATCTTTGAGAAAGAAAAGAAAATTAAAAGGTTTTTGCTTTTGTTCTTCTCTCCTCTTTGCTTTTTCCATTTCTAAAATCTTTTCTTTATTATACTGTAAAGTTTTTATATAGAATAGTTTGAACATTTTTAAGAAAATGAAATTGATGATCGTTTTAATCGATGAAAGAAATAAGAAAAATTGACAGAACTATAGAATAAATGATTGACATGAAAATGCATGAATATTCTAAAACTATCGTATTTCTATTGATAAAGTATATTCTTTAAGCTGTCAATTAAATAATTAGAAATGATACACCTATAAAAAGCCTTGTACTAAACACCACCTTTTGGCCAGAAAATTAATTTTTTTAACCGTTTCTCTATAAATATATTTAACTATCTATAAACTTTGAACTCTTAAACATAACTTAATAACTTAGAATCTGGCTAAATTAATTATTATTCTTTAAATATGACTTTAGAGCATTCTTGCTACGCAAAGCAAAAAACTATTAAATAAAACTATTTACACAATGTTTAATATTACACAATAATGTCATTTTAATATCAATTAGTAATAATTTTTTACGTTTAAGGATTTTTTCTTATTTTTATCGTGACTCTTCTACAATTCTATTTGAAGGAGTCATTTGGAGGGCTTTAACGTGTAATCGTGTTCAAATAGCTAGTGAATACACTATTGCCCCAAATAGAAATTCCTTTATATACATATTCTTTATTCGAATTCATGGGCGAATCTGTAAGAAAAAAATATTGAAATTCTAAATACTTAACTAACCAGTTTTAATAATTATTTAATTCAAAGGTTAAATAAAAAAAAGCGTAAATTACTAATTAGTTAATTAAAACTGTCTCCTCTATACAATAAACATATGTGGGAAAGCAATTATTTCAATTCAATAGTAATAATAAGAAAGAAAAAAGTCTTGCAACTATTTCTAAACTGAAGAAATATTTTCCTTTATCAGTTTTTTTTTTCAAATTCCTTCTCTTATTTGCTTTTTTAGTGTATTCAATTAAAATAAATAGAGAAAGATTGATTTTATACAAAGATAATAGGTTAAATATCATTTAATACATATAAATACAGTATATATATGTATATATAGTTTATGAACAATATTAAAGATTGCATTGTTTTGTTTAGAAAAGAGGTTTTTAGTAAATATATTGAGAAATTATTAGCTGTTCTTTATTGATAAAAGGACTATTTTTTTCTTATTTTTTTTTTACTTAGAATTCTTTAAATAGTAATGCAATGGTTCTCTTTTTTGACTATATATCGCTGTATACGTAGGAATGTTTCTTTATAGAAATGCATATTTTCTCTATTTAATCCACCAAGTAAGGGAAAGGGAGAAGGATAGTGAATGATTATCATAGAATGTACTAATTAACCTATAGAACTAGCGTGATACCCTAAAAGTGTTCATTTTTAAAGAAAATTAACCAAGAGTTTGTTTCGTATAGTACTTTTCTTTGTAATATTATTACTTTTCAAAGTTTGTTTGTAATGATAATAAGAAGAGTCTCGTTCTATATATTTTTATTGTGTCTGCTGCCATCTATAAGCCTTAAATTAAAAATAAAGCACTTGAACATTTTGCAACGAAAGCGATATAATATATATATATATATATTTATTTGTAAGTATTTGTTTATTACATCATTTTCAGACTTTAATCTTTCAATTAGGACCATTCTAATCCAAATATACTTTACATTCATAACTTTCAACTATTCCGCATAGTTCTCCATTTTTCACATAGCTGTTAAGATAGAAATATTAAAAATTTAGTTACACTGTATGAATTATTATATTAAGAAAAATATTAATATGCTTACAAATAGCTTATTTTACCATTTTTAACCATATTTGAATTGAAATTATGTATATCCATACCTCTTAAATTCCTATATATGAATAAATTATCAATAGATTTAATTAATTAATTTATTTATTAATATTCTTACAGTTTGTATAAGTTACAATTTATGAAATTGTTCTCTTTCAATTCCGTTATTTTATTATATGAAAGATCTCTATAAATTATGAAATTAGTTGAAATTCTTGATAGAATTCATTAAAATACAAACAAGTCCGTATAGCCAGAAGCTGTTTTTCGGCAGAGATTAGGTGAAAATTCCGTCAATTCATTTCTAGATACATTCCTTTATAGAATATAAACAATATAAATAAAGAGAAGATTATCTCAATATTCACTACTTGCATATAACTTATGTCATTCATTGAAAAATTAGGTGAGATTTCCTTAATTTCGTTATTATAAAGATTTCTATTGGTTGATAAATAATAATAAAAAATACATATTATAATAAAATGATAGCAAAATTAAGCCTATTTCATTATCTTACAATGAAATAATTCGATGATCATTAGGTAGAAATTTTGAGCCGATACCTGAAATTTTATTATTCAAAAGTTTTCTGTTTGGAATAATAAAATAATCATAATTAAGATTACAGTTTATATATATTATAACATTAATATCTTACAAAGTTCTCAAACTTCTTCGAATAAGAAGCTGATAAGTTGAATCCCACTTAATTTGGCAATCTTCCAAGTTTCTATACAATTTTTAAGCGCATAAATTATTTGTTTAGTAGTTATTTTCTTACTTACAAAAAGAATAACGTTTCTAGTTGAAATGTCTTTTCCGCTATGGTTGATAGCGGATTATTCTTTACAGTACTGCAATAAAATAGTACAGTCTATGTATAGGTAAAATATAATTAAAGAATAAAGGGACAACTAATTACTCACAGTTTTTGTAGATTAGTTAGTTCTTTAAAAGCATCTTCGTGTATATATTTTATAAGATTCTCTTCCAAGTTTCTACAAAGAAACTATACAACATAAAGCAAATCTTTAATATTAATATTTTTCTTACAGATGTTTCAGCTTCTTTAAACCAGAAAAAGTATACTTTTCAATTTTCTTTAATTCATTCATATTTAAAACTCTGAAAAGGGAAAAACAAAATTACAGACTATATACAAATAGACTGAATTGTTAATTTTCTTTTAACATATTTAAAAACTCCTCTTACAAATACACTAATGAATACAATCCAGATAAACCATAGGGTTCTATCGACATTATTCCATTATTTGATAGGCTAACATAACTCTAGTATAAAGGGAAATATTTCAATTAGTTTACTATATTGAATTGTAAGAAATTCTATATACCAATGAACCAGATACGAGAGAATAGGGTCTAATAATCCCGATATTATTCCCTCCAAGAATAAGTGATGTTGATCTCCATGGTAATTGTTTAGGAAATGAATTTAATCCTTTATTAAAACACATAACGGTCGAAGAAGTTGGACAGCCACAGAATTTTTTATAGTTTGTATCTACATCTATTAATAAGAAATAAGTATGTTTAAAGCAAATGAATAACTATTTTATACTGCATGATGATTTCGTCGAGTCATCCTTGATTGTGAAACTATTAATAACTGCTATCCTTCCAATAGTTGCTACAAATACTAAAATAAAAGACAGAAATATATTAGTATATACAGTACTACTATATAATTTATGACATAAATATATATATATATATATATATTATAAATAACCGGAAGTTATGTAAATATATTTCAATAGAGTATTCATTCTATTTCAACTGAACACCATCCAACTAAAACAGAACGAGAAAGAAATTTTTACATAATTATTCATTCTCTTTTCTCTCCTTCCTTTCTTTCTCTTTCTGTCTCTCTCTCTCTCTCTTTTGTTTTTATAAATAGAATAGGATAAAAACATGTTGAAATGTTCTTTTTAATAAATTTAAAGCATATGTTTAAAATTCTCTCTTTTTTTCTATAAACACCGTATTTGTGAAAAATGTCGTGACTATCAAAGATATATTAAAAGTGAGTAAGTTTCTTTTTAACGCTTTCTCTTTTTCCCTTTTCTTTCCCTCTTTTAAAAAAATATAAAAATGAGAAACGTTTTGTTTGCAGGTGTGTTTCTATTTATAGTATTGTATTCATAAAATATAACATACTCTTTTTTCTCTCTTTCTATCTCTCTCTCCTCTTCTCCTCCTCCTCCTTCTTCTTCTTCTGGCTCTAATTATTACTTCAGTTACGTATATATAATTTGTCATTTGTGGTAAAAAGTAGAAAATTTCAATTACTATTATTTCTTTTTAAAAAAAAATCTCTTACAAAATAGAATAAATAGGGAAACCTTATTTTATTAACATAATAATTTTTTATACCATGCGGGTTTAGATATGTATATATAGATATATTTCAATAAATCAAAAAGTATAGAGAAATATTTTATCTTTAATATTTTACACGATAGATGGCGTAATCTACCCATTTTACTGCCTGGATATAATAAAGTAGATCGTGTTACTGTTTTACTCTTTTCCAAGTGAAAATTTTGTCAAGTGCGAAAAATATCAAGTTTTCTTTTCTTTGAAATAAATCTATACTTAATTTAACGGTTTTTTTGAATTTTTTTTCTTAAAAGATAACTTTTAGCACGTTTTGCTTTTCACAAAAATGCCTGAGAGTTTATTTTCTTTCTCTTTTGTTTTATGAAATTTTAATGACAAGTTAGAGATAAAGATAAAAATTTATTATTTGATAACGATCACCCTTTTGATATAAGAAGACATAAAAGATATTTAATGATTCTTCTTGGTAACAAGTAGCAACTCCATGGAAACGAGGCCAATTTCCGTTGAGTTCTTATTCACCCGATTTAATTGAGGAAAAGAACAATTATGAATTGTCTGTTAAAGATAATCCTTTAATATAAAAATATAGATACATCAATTATCTCTACTATACATTTATATATATAGATATTATATATACATATATAAATGAATTGAAATCATAATGTGTGCTGAAAGATATCAAACTACAAACAAGTATGATTGCCTTGAAAGAATAATAAATAAAACAGCTTTAACAACCAAAAGAGTAACTCACGAAAATATAATTGGTTCGTATAATTTATAATAAATAATGAATTATTAATGAAAATCAAATAAGTACTAAATAACTATTTTAGGACTAATTGAAAAGAATACTTCTGAAAGTTCTCCCAGGTCTGATCAAAAGAAATTATCAAATAATGAATGTGTAAAAGAGAATGTTGACAAAAAGTTTGCTAGAGAATTATCAAAAGCTCTTCATGATCAGGAGGTTGAGCTTTTACAGGAGAAAAATCATGCTGTTGAAAGGCAGAGAATTCTTCTTAAAGAACATTACGAAAGAATAATGACCGAACGAAGCATTCTAGAAGAAGAACGAAAAAAAGATATTGAAAGGTTTAGAGAGATTCCTTTCTTCTTTTTAAGTTTATATATACTATTTACATATATAAATAAATATATATTTTAGGCGTTGCAATATTCAAAAAGAAGAGGCATTAAAACTCCAACAAGAGGAATTTGAAAGGATCACAAAAGAGAATATGGAAAGAACAAGAAGAGAACTTGAAAATCAGCTAAAGTAGTATTTCTTATCATAATATTTACAAATCAATATACAGTATATACAAATATAAATATATATATATATATCTTTTAATATAATAACAAAAAGGAAAGAATTTATCTTAGAGAAAGAATTGGCTGTAGCTGAGGCCCTAACTAAAGCTAGAGTAAGTCCAATAAAAAACGTACTTGTGCAAAATCAATCATTTTAAAAAACATAAAATTTACTCAGGAAATGAATAAAAAAAGAATAAAAGAGGCAATAGATAAGACAAAAGAGGAATGCGAAAGAGAAACTGAAGAGAAATTGAATAAATTAACACTTGTACACAAGGAAAAACTTGAAATTGAAAAGGAAAAGTAATTATTTAATTATCTTGTAATTACTTAAAAAAAACAATGTACAGTTTTAAACGAACGTGTATAAATTATGTTAAAAGCTTTCAAACCTTTGACACACTCTCTGTAGGAGTTCAGTATCTGGTTAATTTTTCAAGTACTATACGACATACATCAAATTGTTTTACATTTAATCTACATAGTGCATAGTACACCAAATATGTAAATTATATATAGTTTATCTTGTTCTAAATCATTCATTTCAACAGGTTTAAAAGGTTAGAGAAGAGGTTCGAAGATTTGAAAGATAAGAAGTATTTAGTGGAATCGGATTTTAAGGTATATATAATAAAGTTATATAAATGTATTTATGCTAATATTTTTAATTAGTAATTAAAGAGACTACACTTAAATATTTAGACTTTCTCTTATATTTGTATTATTATACAGGAGCTGCAGGATGATTATAGAAAGTTTATGGATTATACTGATGGATATTTCCATTCGGATTATCTCATGAAACTACGATCTCATGGTATGAAACTACTCGATGAAGAAGAGAACGATTTACAATCACTTTTACAAAATAAATAAATAAATAAAAGAAAATAAACTTTTGTAGCTAAAAGAGAAAATTTAAAAATAAAATACTCAGCGGCTTGATCATTCATGAGTGTGCCATCTAGTGAGAATCACTTTCGACGTGCGTTTCGCCGCTGATATATTAGAATGATTGATAGGCTCCGATAAGGCAACGACGCCTGATAAGGAATCCGCGGGGATACGTACGATGCAGGTGGGTGCCATCATTCTTTTCGTCGGTCGTCACGTGTACGCACTTTGCGTTTCCTCTTCACGACCGATAAGGGGAGAATTAATTTGCCCCTTTTTCATTCCTCGTCTTTCTTCCTCTCGTCCAAAAACAAATAGTCAATACGTTTATTAAACAAAGATTATCGTAATCCGAGAAATGTATTTAAAGAATAACAAAAAAGGAGCCGATATCTAGAAATATTGTAATGATAACACCGGGAAGGGTTTTTTGTTTGTTCGAGGTTATCAGCCTCCTTGCGCGACAAACGAGACTACAAAGCCGGAACGCTGATAAGAGTAAATCGCTACAAAAACTAGCTTTAGACGAGTCCGGCATCAAAGGACCCGCTGATAGTGCGTGGAAGAAAACAGAGAGAATGATAAGATCGAAAAGCCGACGACGATATCGATAACGGAAGTCTAGCCGCACCTCAGAGCTTCTCATTGGCCGCTTACCAACCAATCAACAACGTTTAGAACCAACCTAACGATATACAGATGCGTATAAGTCATAGTTCATTTCGGTTGGTGTCAGGATTTAGAAATAATAAAAAATACCTACAATGACCGGGAATTATAAAGAGAATATGACTATGATCCCTGAAAGCTCTTCCTTAGAAAGCTCTCCTGAATTTGATTCATCTCACCTATTGGAACAAAAACCATCGAGAAAACGACAACGCCGTGCAACATCCGAAGTTTCTTTAAAAAGGCGGAAGGAGGAATGCTACGACGATATGACACAGCAACGTTCCCTAGCCAACGTAAGGGAACGACAGAGGACGCAATCGCTAAACGACGCCTTCTCGCAATTAAGAAAAATTATTCCGACATTACCTAGTGATAAATTATCGAAAATTCAAACACTAAAATTGGCGACTCGTTACATAGACTTTTTATATCAAGTTTTAAGAAGCGACGAATCCGACCATTCAGTAAAAATGCCTGCTAGTTGTTCCTATGTAGCCCACGAACGTTTGAGTTATGCCTTTTCCGTATGGCGGATGGAAGGCGCTTGGGGAATGAATGGTAATCACTGAAAAAACTTTCTCAGGATTCTCTGTTTCCTGTCATATTGTTTGTCTTTGTCGCGCCTGTTGTTTGTAAGTCCGTTTTCGTATAATTTCGGTGTAGAGGTCTGCATAATATTGTACAGAGAAGAGAGATAGACAGAAGAGTACATATATATATATATCTAAATATATATACATATATGTATATTATAAATCAGCATACATGTATATATATTCTGTATATCTATATCTTTATCTATATATACATACATATACATATATATAGTATATATATATATATATATTAAGATATATGTGGTCAATTTACCGTATATATAAATATATGTATTCAAAGACTTTTTATGCGTTGAAATGTATTTATATGTGCTCAAAAAATTTACGTCTTATATATCTATACATATATAAGAACGGAGATAATTATGCAATAAATTATTTTTTCAGCCTATTATATAATTTTTTATGTATTAATGTAAAATATCTTTAAAACTCATCAGCTGCAATTCGCATTAAAGGAAACGAGTGTAAAATCGATTTAAACATAGATTGGGAACTCAGCTTTCGACTTTAACAAACATTTAGCGGACCATGACGATTTTCGCGTCAACGCGTTTGAATGATTAACGACGTCCGAGGCGTCCGATTACGGAGAAAAGAAAACCATTTAGGTCCAAAACCGTTTGAAGCTTCCCCAACATAGGTCAAACTTATCGTCGACCTTGTTAGTTTATTATTTCCCTTATATAGCCGTATATATTTCGTGAGAAAAGCGAAAATCAAACAATCTAATCGCCACCTACTTCAGCTTGCAGGTGCGATAGACGAGATATAACACGGCGATTTGAAACAATAAAACACCAATTTTTGTTTGCCTATAGTTTTTTTCCTTTTTTAACTTCATTTATATTTTCTACACATCTTCGCCGACTTATTATATTTATGGTTAGACAAGGTAGGGGTCGATGCGCTTATCGACGATAAGGGATCGGTTCGTATCTCTGGGCTACAGGTCCTAGGGTCTATCAGGCTTTTGATGCAAAGATATCAAAGAAACGATTTTTCTTCCACCCAGTGAGTCTAACCTCATAAAACAGTGTTTTCCGCGAATAGGAGGAGAGTTTAAAAAAGAGGGGTGGGGTAAAGGAATAAATCTATTAAATATGTCAGCAAGACAGCGCTAAATTGAGCCAAACAATGGTCGTCGCTGTAACGAAGATAAGAAATATAACATTTTCTCAAGTTAACTTTTTCTTTCATTCCCTCTTTCTCTCCCCCACTCGCAAACACACATATGCGCTAACGCATACATACATGCATATAAAGATACCTCTATCTCTCTTATACTCTATTGCTCTTTCTTTTTCCCTTTCTTTCTCTATTTTCTGTCTATTTTTCTCTTCTGTCTCGTTAGGCCTATACGCTAAACCCTCTTAACGAATGCGCGCAAGTGTTGAACGTATATATTATTTTGTTGTTCTTAAGCCGAAATGCTATAACCCTTAGGTCCTGTGCTTATACGCCTAGATAGACAATTGTTTAAAAGAAAATTGTTTATTTTTTACTAAATACTAAACGACATATCTGTTGTCCTATTTACTCCTTCTGTTTTGTAAATTATTTATGGTAGGCTACATTTCGCATTGCCTTAGGTGTATATAGGGTGATGAAGGTGAATTAGGTCAAAATTCATGGGTATGGTTTTATCGGAAATAAATATGAAAAGAAATGAAATCTATATATTCTACACATTTTCAGTCTGAGAAGTAAAGTCTCAAGAGGTTCGCAGCGGTCGCGAAATTCTATCCAGACCTGGTTGTTACAGGTGGCACAAACGTCCGGCCGCCTTGTTTTTACAAACTTCGTAGCTAAACTTGCCAAAACGAGACGAAGCTCTTTCATCTTAGTTTTCTACACCTTTTAACTATTGAATTTTTACTTCGTTTACCCTGTAAAAACTGTACGCATTCAAAGATGAGTGTTAATGGCGCATCGCCACTTAACGCCTTGACAGAAACCAGGTGGCGGTCACTAATTAAGATCTTGTTTGCATTCAGCTAATTAGGCACGTGGTCGCCGCAAAAGGCCTACGAAAGATAAGAATTTCTTCCCACAGTCTATAAATGAATGACGGATGAGTAAAATTAAGAGAAATAAAAGTTTGCGAAGGAGTTTATTTGCTTATATAAACGGGATTTGTTTAGAGTTTTAACGCGAGCGATTTGTCCTCTCCGTAGATAATAGTGCTGTCAGATATTTAGCCAAATAAATAAATAGGGCCACACCTGCGGTTATCGTTTGTATATACATAATGTAGATTAGTGTTAATTAATCCGTTTTTTCCCCTTTGGCCCAAAATCTTGAGAAGGCGCTTCGAAACGGGAAACTCTTTGGTTTCTCTCATTTTTTGGTTACTTGTAAAACTTATTTGGTTTTCTATCGGCTGCTAAAGAATCTTACGAGTGTTTGCCAACAATGACAAACATATTTAGTTGATTAGAGCTCAGCTCCCATCAGATAAAGTCCAACATCTGAAATAGATCAGCGAGTTTACTCACTCTCATTCGTTTTTCTATATACACTGCGCGGACTGCTTAGTTGAGTAGTTAGGCGAAAAAGAAATCTGCAAAACTTATTTAACCGTTTCAGTGTCAAACATTCTCTAAATTTTTTAGACGCGTGCAAGGTTTTTTTTTAAATAAAATAATTCGCTTCTAATACTGGAATCAGTCATAAGATTGCTTATCAAATAGTTGAATTAAAATAGCCCCCCCTCCCCCAATTTACGTAAACAAACTGTAGGTTAAAACTGTAAAGTTAGCCGTATGAGAAATTATTATATATTTACAACGTATATTTCATTTTCTTTCTCTGTATTAAATGATAAAAGAGTTTATATATTTGTTTATAAACATACTAATTTATTAAATACAAAAAGTTTCAGTTTGTCAGGAATTCCAATGCTTCTTTACTACTATTGCGCTTTACCGACACGCTAATTAATATTCGCAAAGGCGCGCGTCGCTTCAAAATAAACAATCCACCCCGCCGACAAGAAATGCACGCGCGGCATACGAATAGGCAGGGGGGAGGGGGGTTTGTAGGGTTGTCTAGGCCTAGTGCGCACCTGTTTGCAATATGCGCGCTTCAAAAGGTTGCCGAGTTGCTGAAATGCGGCCATCTCGAAGCTGTAATGAACTACTATTTTCAACTCTGAAGGCGGTTTGATGAAAGGCGAAAATATTCGGGTTACTTTGATGCGCTTGTTTGTAGTCTATTTTCGACCGGGTTTAAGTTCAAAGGCGTTTTTTTCAGTTTGCCAGTAGTAAATCGCTTTTTTGGGTGGGTATTTGTTGTTTTTGCAAGCGGTAATAGAAAGATAATAAAAGAAGTGCATTAGTTTTGTCGCTGATTGAAATACTAATTGGATAACAGATAAGATAAAAAAGAAAAGGGATTTGAGACGTTCTTATAAAAATGTGTTTTTACAATAAAGTAAATAAAAGATAAAATTATAGAGTTAATAGATGGCACTACTGTATGACAAATAATGGAAACATTCTCCCTTCGCTATTGTACTCTCTTTAAAAATATAAAAAAAAAACATTTTTAAAAAAAACAGATTTAATAATTTCATTAGTCAAGTTCATTCCTTTTCCTCTTTCTTTGTTGTATAATCATTTTTGATGCTTTCAACTTGGCTGATTCTCGAGTTTGCCAATTCTGTTAAAATTTAAACAAAATGTCAGTTTTCACTAATTCCTAAATATATAAATATACAGTAAATAACTTGTTTACCTGAAAATCTTTCAAGCTATCCTGTCCTAATGCAAATATCACTTTTTCACATTCATCTAACTTTGACTTGACTTTACTTAAATCTTCATTTAAACAATTTTGGGATATATCCATAATGTGTTTGAATCTGCCTTGAAAAGTCTGTAACATATTATAATTAGACTTGGCTTATATACTGAATAATTATATATATATCTACCTCTAATAAACATCGTGAAATATTAAGAGATTCTGGTATTTGAAATGATAAAAATAGTGAACCAAATTTATAAAAGTGCGGACCAAGTTTGTGAAGATCAACAACAACGGGATCGGCATTTAAAATTTCTCTTTGACCCGCTCTGTATTGTTTAGGCGTTTCCACCTCCACTATTTGACGTCTCTTATTACATAAAAAAGCTGCTAGCCAATAAGGTAGTTCCATTTTAACACCTACTTCCAAGTCTCTTGCGTCCGAACCAATATCTAAGAAACCTATTTGGGCGATATAAGGGTTCTATAAACAGTCAGAAAAGAACATAATGTATTTTCACCAACCTAAATTCCTTATTTTGGTTCGAAATGTACTTGTCACTCGTTCTTGAGAGGCCATAATTGAATCGATGCTGAGATAATCATCATTCAGTCTTGAATTTTTATAATATTGAGACATTCTAATATAGTGTATATGAAGATGGCGCGCAAAATATTCGTGCGGTTCCTATTAACTGTTTTTCTTTAAAAAAAAATAAAGTAAAAAAGAAGAAAACACTTAAAACAATCCTAATAGATTAAAAAGAGAAAAAAAATGTTTTGTCTATTAAAAACTTCTTCAATGTTTTTGTTTATATCAGTATGTTTAAATGTTAGAGGACCTAAAGGGTCATAGTTTAAATTGTTTTCTCACTTTTATGGTTCTATTGTTTGTTGTATTTGTTTCATTTTATAACATTTGCAAAGTGTTTTGCAAGCATAATAGACGAATAAAATTTGGAAAATTTTCACAAGAAAATCTGACCTGCCGAAATAGTAAATCATTACAGATATTACACATTTTAATACTATATATAGAAATGAATCAGAGTAATTCAATACTTATATATATAACAACCAACAGATGGCGATACGATAAAAATGAAAAGATGATAATAATGGTATGTTGTAATTGGGAGTATAGGCACTACGTAAAGGAAAACAATGCACTATCATATGCTATATTTAACCATAATGTTAAAAATAGACCCTATCATATTTTGCATTTGAATTTCATCCTTCTTTTTTTAATATATTGCTTATGTACTAAAATGAAGACAGGTTATTGTTTCTCTGTCATTTTGCTATTTATAACTTTTCATCCTATTTTAGGAATTAAATTATTTGGTTATGCTATGAATGAAAGCGAAGGGCAAGAAAAGATAAGAAAGATAATGGCATTAAAGGTTTACTGGAGGCAGTTCCGTAGATAGATGACTTTTAACTTAAGTACCGCATTTTCGCTTTCTTCGCTATAAAAAGATTCCTGGTAGAGATTCCCTTTACAGCAATTATCCCCTTTCTAAAAAGGTCGTATGTTAGGTCATGCGAGCTAAAAAGTAATTACAATTCTTCGTAATGATCTATTTCTAGGTGTCTTATCAGTTGCCGCAAAATACGTATTCTACTATAGAATTCCAACAATGAGGTCAATATTTATGAGATTAAAATTTTCTTCATGTAAACAGAAAAGACAAAATGGATAAAATAAGATTTAAGAAGCGAGAATTTGATGGATTAAATAAAATCAACAGTGAACTATATATGTGTGTTCTTTACAATTCTTTGTTAACAAACCTTTATAAAAATCTATTGGAAATATGGATTATATCTTTGCGCTATTTGGTCGACTGACGTCCTTTAGCAATGCTATTCCGTTCTCTGCAACATTTCCTGCAATATTGAGACATTATTATATCCTCTGAATACGTTTTTTAACAACACAAATTACAAATTAGCAAAATTTTCATTATAAATGATATTCGCTGTCATATTTTCAGTTTAAAGTAAGCTGTCTCTACTTTACCTTGACAAAGTGAAAATAGAAGGCCCTTTTAGGGAATTTCTGTATATATAAAACCAAGTTAGCATAGTCGTTTTCCCGGCTAATAGTCCTGCAAGCGTCTACAGCGCTAAGTTTAACAAGTATAAGTAAAGTTAATTTAACGCATACATTTAAAATTAATATAAAAAAATCAGATTATGTCATATAGATGATTTACATAGTCCATTCGACGTCTTCTTTCTCTTTGGATACATTCGATAACCTCAAAGCCATAAAACAAATAGTTTTATAGCTTAGTTCTGAGAAGGACTTTTTACTTCCCATAGGAAGGTCTCCGGAAGAGCTTTTTACTTTACAGCAAGGAAAAGAGAAAACATTTTAGGTATTTTTTTACTGGGAATTGAGCCGGAAGTAGATCATTCTAAATGTGGTAATGGAAAATTGGATGTTAGAGAGAAGCGCGATTCGAAAACAAATTGGTGTATGGATGATTGCCGATTAGCTCCCTTTGCAGCTTGCGATTCAGTACGTTCTCGTTGCAAAATTAGCTGGGATGTTAAGGATATATAGATCTTTTATATGGGTAGCTATATAATAATTTATCCTCAGCACGTCTATTGTAGTGGGAAGACCAACATTTGCAATCATTCAGTCGACATCCGAGATCATCGACGCGATTCAGGCCAAGCGCGATAGTTTATTCTTTTATTAATACTGACGATATACGACACAAAAGTGGTCTGCTTTCTTTTCAATTAGCAAGTAGTGTTGTTTGTTCTAAATTGCTTTCCCGTTTTTCTTTATTTTGCTTTCAAAAAAGATTCGTTTAGGAAGTTATTCCCATTATTCACACTGTTTTAAAAAAGCTTGTCATTTATTTGCGACGACATTAAGATAAAGCACTATAGACCCAAGGGTTATTTTCATTTCAGCTTTTATAATGATACCATCGAATGTATTTACATGAGGGACGTCGATATAGTTCGGCTTAAATTAAAAATGAAGGACTACGGCATAGATTGAATAAAGTACTTCAGGGTGCCAGAATATATGCCTTACGGGTGATGCTATATTGAAGAACCACACGAAAGACGATGAAAAAAACGATGAAGTAGGAGAAGGGTAAGATGAAGAGTTAGAAGATGATCCAGAAGAAAAGAGTAATAGAAAATAGAAGAAAAAGGAAGAAGATTTAGAGTGAAGTGAGCAAGGAGCAAAGCAGTGATGGAGAAACACTAATGAAACATTTTACAGTTAACTAGAACGATCGTTAAAACTTTGTGCACTGTTAATTATTCCAGGTGGAAAAAATTACTCCATCTTTATTGGAATATAAGAAGAAACAACAAGAAGTTACAGAATAAGAAAGAGAAGGGTTTGACTTCCGGGAGTAATGAAAAAAACTGCAATTTACTCTGATATAAGCGATAAGCTGGTAGCTTATCATATTGTTGGCATTGAAAATGAGGTTAACCTAATCTATGTTACTATAACTTTGCTATATTTAACAATCGTTTAATAAGCTTTCGCAACTAGAGACATATAGATAGGAAAATTTTTTTTGCTTTTACGTTCTTTAGTAGAAAAAAAAATCAATTAGTATATTACTACTACATATTAATAGTCTACCTAGTTATTGAACTTTCATCCTTTTGTTACACTGTTAATATTTCTATATAGTTTCGAGAATAATTGTTCAAAATTGGTGTATTTGCTATTTATTTTGGACAAAGATTATCTCTTGGCTATCCTTAAATCAAAATTGTGTCTGTTGAGGTAAACTTCACTCAAAATGCATATAATTGAAAAAGAAATAGTAGCAATACTTAATGAAAAAATCAACTGTACAAATGGTATAAAAGTTTTAGTAAATGTGGCAATAGTTCATTTGTTGTTTAATTGTTTGTTCGTTTGTTTATGTGTTTATAGACTTCTTAATTCATTCTTTCATAACGTCTAAACTGTCGCAAGAACGAAATAACTTTCCACTTTTGCCAACCAACTTGCTCAAAACAGTTCGTGCTGCCCTAGTAACATGGCCCTTTGAACTGTGACGTCTGGGCCTTGTTCCAGAGGTTAGCCCCGATCTTTCACTTTCCGCCGATCGAATTTGTTTTATGAGTCCGACAAGTAGTTCATCAACATTGAATTTAAGGGTTGCGCTAGTTTCTATGTATTTACAATCATTTTCCATTGCTGCTTTTCTTCCCTCTGTGAAATGATGAATTTAATTATTATTATTGATCGCGAAATCGTAAAATAACCTAATATAAGATAATTACTTTGTTGGGCAATGACACGCTTCCTCACTACATCCATTTTATTAGCTACAAGAATTAGTGGAATAGGTGGAGTAAAACGATTTAACTGCATCTCTTTCATAGTCTTTAGGGCGTAGGAGAACGATTTAGCATCCGTTACGGAATAGACAAGGATTATTGCGTCGCTACTCTCAACACCTTCAATTACCCCTCCGGAAGGGCTGTCGTGAAAATTTATCAGGCATTCTTCGCCATCGATCGTAACAGAGAGAGTCTTCTCGTCTTCCAACTCTGTATTATAAAAGAGATTAAGAATTTTGCTCATATGATAGGAAACTGCTATAATTATCCTCTAAAACTTTCAGTAAATAGATCAATATGCCAGATATTATATATAGGCTAATTAAAGCTCGATAGACGCCTATTTTTAGATTTGTATAGGCTGAATTGGCGTGACGGCGCTTGACGGACTTTTGTCGAGATCTATAAATAGCTTCATTTCATATACAAAATAATCAATATTTAAAAGGAAAAAATGAAATTTGCCTATATAACATCTGCTCAAAATTGACGTATGCAAGCCTACAAGACAATATTAGATTTATTTTATTAAGTATAAATACCAACCCGCTTCGTCTAGTTCGTCTTCTGAAATGTCTTCAGATGTCATAAATTGACCGACCAAAGTCGTTTTTCCCACGTCGTGAAAGCCCAAAACAATAACTCTAAAGCTAGGTACCAATTGACTCGTTGCCGTGCTGCTTAACGTCCTCGATACACTAGAGCGTCTAGAAGACTTAGAATTGATCTCTGTAAAGGCGCTATCCAGGGAATTTTGAGACGCTAAACGCACAGAATCGCCACAATTCTTAATAACACCTTTTGTGGTAGTACTAAAACTTCTCGCTCTGGTATAAAAGAACTCTTCCGTCCACCCAACAACATGCTCCTGGAGGCGGCATGCAGGCATAGAGGAAGTCCTTGAGCGACGTCTAAATGCTTCCGCTGGTGGAGGAGACGAGCTTCTACGTCTAGCTTGATGACAATTAAACTTAATAACACCCGCGCTCATAGAACGCTCTCGGAATGTTTCGAACTCGTCCATCTTTCTTGTAAACGTTTTGCAGTAACGTTCTGCTCTTTATAGAGCGTGCTTCATGACGTCATCAACTCTTCGGTTGCCCGGTTTAGCATATATTGACAAGGCTTAATCTACGTTGTAATCGTTCAGCGGCAAACAGCATAACGGATCTGATCTTATTTATAATAAATAAGTTATGCTTATAATTACAGTTATAGGACTAGTCTAGGGAAATAAAAGCTTTATCATGCAAGCAGTAAAATGTCGGATGATATAATAACGGTGTAATACACGTTAATTAACGGAAGAAAGTTGGAATAAAAAGTTTTCCTTATTTTCATTTACGATGCAATATTTTCTTTCTTTTTTTATGCATTCAAAAAGAATCCCACCTGATTTAGAATCTTTGTTAAAATCTTAAATAAATGTTAAAATTTTGCAGATTCTTATCGAAATGAAAGCTTCTTATAGTTCAATTTTCTTGTCTCCATTAAAACTGTATAACGGAGAAAAGGGTATAAAATATATGTACTAATATATATTTTATACAATATATAGATATTATATACTTTATGTTCTATAACATTTGTATAGATATTACTGTTAAACAGTCAACAATAAATCTTTATAAACTTCAAAGGGGAAGTTAATTCAAAAAAAGAAATTATTTGAGCGTTTCTTTTCTCCGCCTTCCGTTTTCAGTTTACTATGGATAGTCGACTTTATGCATCCATAACGCCTACACATACGCTTTTACCTGCAGTCTATTAAAAACATACGTAAAAAATATTTTTTCATTAGCAAACTCGGGAAATTTTCTTTTATAAATAAAAGAACCCAAGCAAACGGTATCCTTAGGCCATAACCCATATACTTTTGCATGTAGATATCCTCTTGTTACTTTTCTTTGCCCCATTTTTTAACGATTTATTATCTAAATATTTTATTAACAGATTTATTTACCGTAAATCACTTGTAAAATATCCCCGTCAATAATTGATAGATGATATGGGGGCCAGAATATCTTACAAATGATATGTTTGAGTTCTCTGAAAGGTTATTAACCGTCTGTAAATAAGGCTGAATAAGGCTGTTAAGCTCAAAATACGTTAAAAAAAACTTTCTTTATTTCGATACATAAAAAGAAACGGTGATTCGTGCATAGGAATACGTTATACATTGCTTAAATTAACAGTTAGAAAATTGATCGGATACTTTAAAAGTCTCTTCTCTTGCTTTCTATCTATTTATCTGTCTATCTCATTTCTTTCATTCTGCCTTTAAGCCTGTCTGTCTACGTCTCTCCTTCCCCCTTTTTCTCTCTCTTCTTCCCTTTGTTTCATTCATTCTGTCGTGTTCCTCATCTTTTCTCCATGTCTATAGAGTTCTGTTATAAATAGATCTGGATATAAAAAGCATCACCTTTAATATTTCAAATGTTAAATGAATCGTTCAATCGAACGCTTAATCGTGTTTCTAAATTCGCTTACGCACTGGTTCTTAAAAAGAAAAAAATATAAATGTTAATTGACGAATTGCCTAGTTTAAAAATAATGTTATATTTACATCATATAGAGATTGTAAGCTTCTAAATAAAGTTTTTTCATTAAATGGTACAGGACGTTGACCGATACCATATAAAAAGTTGTAATGTATATGTTTTCCGTTCGAAATTTAACAAATTTGTAAATAAACAGGTCACTATTTACCCCCAAAAAAATAAGGATCAGTAAACTTTTAATCATGTTGTATACCTAAGAATCTTGAGAGTTTAGAAAATAAAATTTTGCAGAGTGACTAATATATTATTATTTGCAATATGAAAGCATAAAAAGTGACAGTAAATATGGATTTATGCGGGATATTCTACAAAAGTAAATATATAGTTATATATGTACAGTATGCGAATTAAATTCAGTTGAAAAGCTACAGTGTTATTGTAGGAAAGATGATAAAAAATGGTAGCCCTCTACCTTCTAAAACTATATATCAAATGGACTATTGTCTATTATTCTATTTCTATTTGATTTAATCTTTCTCAATCCTTTTTTTGAGATGAAAGCTAATACATCTCGACCATTTTCTAATTATACTAGTTTATTAACAAAGTAATAATAGTAACGAATTCGTTTAACTTGGTAAATAGTGTATGAAATAAAGGACAGCTACATTCGTCACGATAAGTTTAATTTTGTAATTTATGCACAATATACACGAATCTATATATATCTACACGCATGTATATATATAAATATATATATATACTGTATATATAGCTCTAAGGACATGTGTATAGAATGTATTCAGTATATTCTACAGTATATACATATTTAGTACATTTACTTATCTACCCCATCCATTTATAAGATGTAGAAAAATCTATTTATATCCTAGAAAACCAAGATAATAATTAATCAGTAGTTTTAAAATAATTCCATTACATCTTCTTCTCTTCTTCTTATGTTTTATTCAACTATAAATATTTCAAAAACTTTCACCAAGATAAACTTACAAGTATACGTCGTGAAAGGAAATCAGGCTATAAACTATGTTGTTGTTTTCTTTACTACTTTCTTTTTTTTTTGCTTTCTATATATTGCCTCCTTGTATTATTTTTACCTCGGTTTCGTTAGATGGCGTTTTGATAAAATAAAGAATGTGGGAGATTTAGGAGAGAAATAACATCTCTTTGCTACTTATAGATCATTAATAAGTTTTCTTTTTCATTTTTTTTTTATTTTTTGTAATCTTTAATATATAATTAATATGAAAGGAAGTATAAATACATTATAAGTAAGATATGTAGTAAGAAGTCAATTTACCACAGGCATACTTATAGACTAGTATATATAGTATTATAGAATATATATATAGTATATAACGAAAGATTGAAAATGACACATACATACACTTTATATAGAACAAGCCTAAATTACATTAAATTTACATTGACTGACATAGAATCGTGATTACAGTTGTAAAAATCAACATATCTTTACGAGAATCACATTTCTACGTGAAATGAGGACGATTTCGTTTCCGATACGTACTCGTTTTTTTTATCAATTGATATCGTTGATGAATACCACAAATATTTATTTATCGGATACTTTCCTTGCGAAGTAGTTCCTGGTGCTATAAGGTGCTTTAATGTCATATACGTGCTTTACCTAATTAAAACCATCAATCATGCGTTAAAATGTCAAGTCCCTTTAAATAAAGGATAATCTCGAACATCTTTGTCTTCTTTATAATATTATTCATGTATTTAAAAAAAAACAAAGGTTATTACGTAAATGTAAGTGATCCAATCAAAGAAAACTCTTTTTTAAAAACTAATTCAAGGACTTTTCTACAATAAAAGTATCTATAAATAATCTCTTAAGTATTCTCTGTATTGTGAAATTTGAAAAAGTAATAAAGAGAATAGATTTGAATTTAATAATTTTTACAGTTTTTAAACTGATATTTCGTTTGTCAACCCATATTTTGCACTCTTTTTTAACATTTTATATCGTTCTCCAAATAGATACAAATAGATAACAATAGATTTAGCTTAAGAATAAAAAAATGCTACTTCAATTAAATACATCAATCTTACTTTTTTTTCCGAAAAACAAGTCAAAAATTTAAGATTAGATTCTAGAATTTAAGTTACAGTTAACGGTGACTTTACAAAATATTTGAATTATGTATTATCTTATAAAATATCATTTTGTCAGAAATAACCTTGACTATATTGTTACGAAATAATCTCTATATCTTATAGATTTACTTTTTTTGTTCTAAAAATGAATGTTTTCCCTTTCTTTTATCTACAAATAAGACTAATCGCCTTTTCTATTTAGAGTTGGAAAATACTTATAAAACTATACTGCAATATTTTATTATAGGGGAGAGAAAGTTTTCTTTTTTCTATTATAACAATGTTTAGCTATAGCTATACTACTCATTTATTTTGATATTTTATTATAAATACTAATCCTTGTCAATTATATAAATATATAATGTAAAAATAGCATTATTAACACTAAAAAACGTTATTTTTTCTAAGATTCTTATTTACTAGAGGAAATTGTTTTTGAGAATTTCTAGAAATCTTCTGTGCAGAAGGAAGGAAATAACAGGGATTTCCCAATTTTTGAAGCCAGTGAATATATATTGCAATTATTCGTTAACTTGTTGAGAACGTGATAAATGTACCAAGAAGTTAGTATTTAAAGCATTATTACGTAATGGTTTTTTTGGAAATTTTTCACACTTGTAAACAATAATGATTTAAAAATAGAATTTTGTAGAAATTTTCATATTTCGTTGGGCGATAACTGAGAATATCGTGGGATTTTAGCTAAATTTTCTTAAAAAATATCATAATTCTCTATTCTTATCAAGACGAATTTTTATTAAAATTGTAAACAAGGCCACCGTTTTAAGAACTTTCAACTTTGTTTCAAAACAAGTGATTTATTCTTCTTATATAACTTAACATTAAAATTTCAAAAAAATAGCATAATTGAAACTATTATCTAAGTTTCGAGGAGATTAAATATTACGTAACTAACCAAAAAACGGTTCAAATTAATTAGTAAACAATACCATAGTGCACGAAAAAATACATCTTTCTGGACATTTGCCATTTTTTGAAAGAAAGAAGAGAGTAATTTTCAGTGAACACAAAACAAATAACATGTTTTATGCTAAAGTACACTAAAGCATGCTATGCACTCGTGCTAAACATTATCTGTAGATGAATAATTTTGAAGATAAAAACTGATTTTTTATCTAAAAATTCTTGTTTCTACTACATTAACTTACAAATTTTACAATAAATTAAAAATTTCATTTCATATTCGCCTAGTTCCCTATTTTTGTATAAGTTTTAATTTACTCATCTGGTCAAAATTTTAGGACACTTGAGAGATGACATATTTTCTTCTAGTATATATATATATATATGTCTTATTGCATAACGTATTAGGATGTTAAAATTAGGTTCTACTTTTTTACATCAGTCTGTGTTTTTTGTAACAATCTTTAAGTTTTTTTCTCTTTTGCACTAAAAGTTCTAACTTGAAAAACTTTAAAAGAAATATTACAATACTTTTTAAAGAAAAATTGTAATTTTAGTCGGTGACCGAAAAACAAATATCTTATGTATATTTGTTCTTAAAATCAGGCTAAAAACAAAATACTTAAGGTAATAACTAAACTTAAGCACAAATTGAATAACTTAAAAGGGTAGTCACGAATATTAAAACTGAAAAAAAAAATCAATTCGATTTGCAAAAATAAATAAATAAAAATATTTATTGTTAATATAATTTAAGATATAGATCTGACGAACACGTTGTTTAAGAATGCTTTTTAGCCATCTTAAACAGATACGGTGAAAGGTAAGCAAAAATTCTAAATCTAATTATTTGCTCTATCGATAATATGTTTACACCATTTAAGGTGTTTTATGGGACAAAGTCTCTTCATAAAGCAGCTATCAATACAATATGTAAGAAGAATATTAAAGCTTTTTTCGGTTAGTTTCATTTCAACGGTCTCAATTGGAGCTGTTTCCGCTGTTAGATAATTCATTATTCACAAATTAATCTTAAATACACTTTCAAGACATTCAAAAACTTACAAATTATTAAAATTCCTGCCAGTAAAAAAATTATCAGAGTTCGACCGAAAGCCATGTTACCGCTTGCTTGTCAGAGAAGCGAATAGCTTCTTAGGCAGACGACGCACATTTATAAAACTTAGCAGAAGTTCGACCTTTGCTTTAAATCGTACATTATCTTTTGGACATTTTTAGTGATGTTATAATTACTAATAGTTGCCAATTACCTATTAAATATACTACGCTATTACTTGTTTTCTATTTCATGAATAAATTAAGACTTGGGTTATTTTTATCTAGGATACATAATTTTTGTATAGATCTTATGCTTTTTAATCTTGAAGTAATTTTTATATATAGTATATCGTCGTTTTTATTTATTTTTTAGACGTGTTTCAATGAAAATAGAGTATAAGATGAGCAAGAGACACAAAGAGACAGCTAAGTCGAAAGAAATTAAGGAAGAGTCTTCCGGAAAAATTAAAAAAGCATCCTCAAAGAGCGTTAAGTTAGTTTGGAAGGACAATAAACCTATCATTGAAACGAACTCAAAAAATTCAGATGGGAAAAAACATACACTTGAAAAGAAAAAAAGAAAAAAAATAAAAGAAGTGACAGATAAATTGGTAAAAAAAGACTCATCTTCCACCAAGAAGGATTATGACGATTCTTATCGGGAAGAAGAACCAATGGAAACTGATGATATTATTATGAAAGAGCTACAACTACTTAGAGAAGAAAATCATGCAAAAGTTCAATCCAAATATACAGATCACAATTATAGGAATTTAAAACAATATTCGCCAAAATCCAAAGGAAAAAAGATTGTTGTTGATACAAATGTGTATATCAACGATTTGGAATTAATAAAGATGATTAATCGCAACAATTATATACTTGTTGTACCATATATAGTGATTCAAGAATTGGATGATTTAAAGGATAGAAGGAGTTTAGGAGACGATAAACGATTAAAAGCTAGAGAGGCTATAAATTTTCTTTTGTCGGCGTTAGAAAATCCGAAAGCAAACGTATTATTCAAGGGGCAAGACCCTGTAAGTATTACTGATATTATTCAATAGTTAGACTCTTTATACATGTTTGATTTGTGTTAATTTTTTTGTAGCTTAATGATGATCTTAAAAAGTTGAAGAATGACGATAAGATACTTTTTTGCTGTAAATCGGAAGCAATCGGTGCATATCTATTTCTTAATTTGATTCTAAGTTACAATAAAACAATAAAGGCTAAAATAAATTTAAATTTTCATTGCCAAAAAAATAATCTTTAATTGTCTTTTTTCTCCGTTTTTTACCTCAAGAACTTTTTTTGACGGATGATAAACCTCTATGTATTAAAGCGTCTATACAAGGCTTGAAAGTATATAGAACAAAGGTTTCGTATATTTTTTTTTATTTTTCTTTTACACTTTCTTTATCTTGTCAATTAGCATTCTTCAAAATGATTTACTAGTTAATTTAGATTTTCTTATCATATTAAAAATTTCATTAACTTATTTTTTCTTTGTGTTTTTTTTTTTTTTTTTTTTGATAAAGGAATTTCGTAAGGAGCTGTTGAAGAAATGTAAATTTGTTAGTGTAGAGGAAAAAATTAACTTTGACATTAACGATGATGCTCAGATGGAAGAGGAAGAAGTTAACAAACAAAAGGTAAAGTCTGAATAATTTAAAAGTATTTTGGACTAATTATAAAACTACGAATAGTTTAGTTATTTGCAAAATGAGTAAACTATATATTGCAGTAGTATCTTTTCTCTTTCCTGTTTACTAAGAATTTTATTTTATTTCATGCACTTATATATATATATATATATAAATTTATATATAGATAAATCGCATTTATACACTTTGTACTCGGAGTATATACTTGTACGTGCATCTATCTATATATATTATGTGTACTGGTATATTGTATGGAAAATTTGATACTTTTATTGTATACAAACAACTAAAAGAAATCCAATCCATTATATTTTCGATAAATAGTTTATGAGAAAAACTCAGGAAGTAGTTAAAAGTGTGTAAGGGATATTCTAACCATGTTTAAAACAAGTATTATTAAGAAGGATTTATGGTACAAATATAAAAATTATATTTTCTAAAGATTGATGAAAGAGAAGTACAATTAGAGAGAGCGGCCTTTGCATTTTTTCGTACATTCATTGAAATTGCAATGAAAGATGCCTATGATGAAATATGGAGGGATGTTTTAACAAAGAATCCAACAAGTTTAAAGAGATGCTTTCAACTCATGCACAAGTTATTGTTATTTTATCTTGTTAAATGTCTAATAAATATTGCAAAAAGTGATTTGTTTATTAAAGTAAACTTTTTTACTTGATTTAGGCATTGGATTGCCGTATTTGGCTCTCTTTTTGTCAGTCGTCATGACGCAAAAGATATCCTAAATGACCTGAGAATGGATGGGGATACTGTAAAGCTTCTTGATTATTTACGTCTTATCAATCCAGTCGAAAGGTAGTGACAATATTATACTTATATAAAATTTACCACATTTGTTTAATTATTATATTTATACTTTTTATAATTAGCAAACGCTTGAAGATTGATTCGTTGCTTGAAGACTTTATGGATAAATGGAAAACTATAATGTCAAACAACAATTTAACAGTAGAACAAGTAATGGGCATTTTCTTCGAAATACTAATTGGATTTAGAGATCGTGTTTTAAACGATCTGCATTGTAAACCAAACGAAGTTAAACAAATTATACAAATTGCCGCCAATAAAAAAATTTGGCAAAAAATTCGATGGTGCTACGTGTTGTACGAAAGGTTTTTATATTTGTCCTTTCTTTATCCTCTATGTTGTCGTTTAACATTTCTCTTTTAACTATTATAATTTTTGTCTAGATTCTTAGACACAAGATCTCCAGAAAGTTATAAAAATTTAACAAAAATCATAAACGATGTTCTCAATTCTACAAGGAAACCTCAGAGATTATTGGAACATTCCCTTCGTGAGTTTGATAATGCTAGTAGGTAAGTTCATATAGTGCAAGTACAAATTCCATTATTCATCTTAAAATTTGAATCTTCCGCTTAGAGATAGAATGCTTATCGGATTCGGACAACTGAAGGATACGATGACCCCAATGGAACATATGATATCGCAATTGCCTTTAGAATTGAGGAAGCTATTCGACATATCCGTTTGAATATACAAAAAGTATTTCCTGTATAAATGAACATGTAAATTTCTCAGGTTATTTGATTATGGATACTGGTTTAAATTGCTCTCTGCAGTGACATACGAGATTGAATTTAAGAAAAAATAAAACTCAGGTTTTTAGTACTGGATCACTTAAAGTGCTACTATTTTTGTCATTTTTCTTTTTTGTTAAAATAAACAACATTTTTGGTTATATATAAAGAAAAAGATGAATTTGCTCTAATATCTAGTAAATATAGTATTTGAATTCATAATTAAGATATGTAACACACTGTCGAACAACGAACGAATTTATAAAGGTTGTAATCTAGATTAATAATCTACATTTTCTATCAAATAACAATTAAAGAAATCTTTTTTCAGATATGCCTTTATTTGTTTCAATAAACAGGACTTATATTCCGTTAATACTTTTTACAGAATTTGGCCTTCATGATCATCAAATATAAAAGATAAACGAGCTGTTTGTTCATTTATTTTCTCCAATTTTCTTTCGCTAATTTCTAAAGTAGCAAACTACAATGAAATTATATAAATTCTTTATTATTAATAATTATTATTCTAAATAAAATAACATGATAATAACAAAATTTGTCTTAATAAACATACATAATTAAAATATCTTTATCATGTTTTTTTTTCTCTTTTTATACACTATAATTTCTTGTTATAACATAGTTCCTATACAGTTTTATACTGCATATATAACATAAGCATATTATCAGCGTATTATCGTATTGTAACTTTTTCATTAGCAGCTAGTTTATATTCTAAAAAAAATAGTAGCAATTTCGTTTTTCTCTATGATTATAGGTCATTCAAGATAATTGAATAGTCCTATAATTGTTAAATTTCTTAATTCTTTTATGCTATTGTGTAATCATCTTATTAAAAGATAAATCAGTATAATTTATTTTAAATTGGATATTATCATGTAGTTATTAACTTATATATAAAATTTTATATATGTGCATTGCAAACAAGATATATTAAGTTAACTGAATTCCAAATCTTATCCCTCTTACTCCGTCGCGAAATAAAAAGTCTTTGTCAGTTCTAGATCTATTTATCGCTGTAAATTTGCATTGGACTACAACGAAATCTTTATGAATGAGTTTACTTTCGTTAAAGTTTAATCTAACAAAGAAGTATGGATCGTTATATCTTTGATTTTCAACTTTATTATTGGAACAGTAAGGATAGCAATCCTTGGAGATTTCGTTTATAGATATTTTACGATCGAGGCCTATTAATTCATTAGTTTCTTCTCCAGATTTAGCGTTTACTGACTGACAATTCAGTATCGGATTTTCTTCTGGCTCCCAACCATGGACCTGAAAATTTCAAGTTAGTTTAACCAAATAAATTAACTTATTTATTGATTAAATAGACTGAGAAGAGAGAAGATAGTATACTCTATTTAACCGAAACATAAAGTAAGGCTTATATGATAATCCACTTGTCCATTGCCAAGAATTTCTTAATTCTTCTTCAGAAGGGATAAAATTGCTATTTAAAACTCTACATTCCGTAATTATTTCATCGGAACATTTCTTACGAACTCGAAGAGTCTTATTCAATGATCTTAATCTCTTTATCATTTTATCTGCCGCTTGCTTTGATTTGTCTTTAATAAGTTATTGTTAAGTAAAATTATTAATAATATTTGCTAATTATAGATAAACATACTATAAAAGTTTCTTGATAAGAGACGTATAAATGCGGTTTCTGATGAACCTATTATATCCATTTCTGGTAAAATCATTAATCCAGGGGTAGTTAACATATTATTATTACCATTAATGGCATTTAGGTTAGGCTGCTCTTTAGCAAAAAACTTGTCGATTACATTCATACCACCTATGAAAAAACCGGCTAAACAAGACCAAAATATTGCGTAGAATAGGATAATTTGTAACCAACTAAAAGGGGTTCTCTTTAGGAAAGTACCATCATCTTTATCGTAAAAGAATTGCTTCCAATTTTTTTTATTTCGAGATATTACATTCGAAAATTGAAATTCAAAACTTTGATAAGCGTTTGGTAGTGGATTTAATACTTTTAAGTCATCGTTAATCTTTCTATTATCTTTAGATAATGAACAAGTATAAGTGGTATTATCAACCGTAGTACAACTTTCTGTTTGAACATCGGCAGATGATTCTTTTGTATTTAAGCCGATTGTCTCATTTTCAGTAGATTCGATAAGATCATCAACTTGACTTATTCTTGTCTAAACATAGTAAAAATTTTCTTTATATTATAAAAAAGTAGTATATTTAAGTTAATTATTGAAAATTCTATAAATAACTTTATTTTCCATATTTAAAAAACAAGAAAAAAAGATTATCTTCTTTCTTTCTTTCTTTTTCTTTCTTTCTTTCTTTCTTTCTTCTTTTGTTTTCTTTTTATTAAAAACTAAATGTTATTACTATATTTGAAATTTAAAAATAATATAGAGAGGACTGTTCCGGTTTTTTCTTTTAAGATGCTTTCTAAAGGTGTTTTCTTCGCTCAAAGGGATAATAAATCTTACAGTGGAAGAGAAAAATGTACATTGGTCAGCACTTTTATTAAAAGAACGTGAGAGCCTAAGTGTTTTATATTAAACTTTAATGGAATAATCCATTTAGGGATAATAAAGAAAAAGTAAGTAGGGCAATGTATACAGTATTTTATAGGATAAATGTATAAATATATAGAGCTTTCTCTTTTCTAGCTAAACGATTAAATCCTTTAGTTAAGGAGAAGGGATTTTTTATGGAATAAAAGGGTTAATAACGAACTTTTTTTTCTTACTTTACAAGTAATCTCTAGAATGAAAGTAAGAGTTAAAATAAGATTTAATCATAAGACAAGTTATTGGTTATTAAAAAAAAAATCTTATCTTACTGAAGTGCAAGTATTTTCCATACTATATTTAGATTTCTATTAAGAAAAAACTAATTGAAATGCTAAACATGAACTCTTCTTGATTTATACAACAGTTTATAGAAGAGAGAGAGAGAGAGAGAGAAGTAACTATTCATCTAGTAGGCAAATGGCTCATATGTATACATATACATACTTCTGATAAAGCTTTATGCGGTAGAACTATAGATCTTATACTTTTTATAAAAAATTAAATCTCTACACTTCGAAATCAAAATTAAATTTTACTAATGTGGCGCGAAAGTTAGCGTAATTTTAAACTCTTCCATTCTCCCTCCCACTCTCATTTATGCTATTTTCATCATCATCAATTCGTTTCTTCTTATTCTTATACTTATACTTTCAATATATATGTATATAAGTATATTTCTCTTTTGTAAATGTTTCAACGTCTTCCTACGCGAAAGATTCAAATTGAAAAATGACTTTTCTGACCTTGAAATCAAATATCTTAATAGCAAATTGGAAAGACGGCAAAAAAAAGAAAAATAATAGACAACACAAATAAAAATAATTGAACTCTAAAAATAGAAAAAAGTTGAAAGAAAAGATGACATGAAAGTAACAGAATGGCAATAAACGCTATTAAAATATTATATATATTGCATGCATTAATATATATGTATATTATATAACTATTACGTCACGTTTAACATATTATTTAACGTCTATTTTCTATTTGCTATATGCTGTTAGTTTCTCAGATGTCCAACGTTTCTTTCTGTTTTGCAATTTAATTAGTATAAATATATATGTTTTATCTGATAGCTAGACTAGATTTAGGACAGATTTATTATAGATATGAAATTTACAGTTTTCAGCAAAGAATTTTAATTATAATTCTGTTCTATTGTTGTCATTATTTTTTTGGTCTTGTTATTTTTCCCAATACATAATAGTTCCCTTTATATAATAAAGTGTTTTTCCTTGTCATAGAGGAAGTAGACCTTCTCTATGGTCATTAATTTTATTCCATAGTTTTATTACTATTAAGATTATAATAAATCCAGGATATCCTGCTATCTAGAGCACTCCGGAAGAATTCTATTTGATACCCCTTCGCAAATACTTCTCGCTATATCGCTTTGTTCCTTTGTTTTTTTACTTCACGTTTTATCAATATTGTTTATTAAAGTCAACAGATGGCAGCATCGCAGTAAGTTTCCATTGACCTAGAAAAACCAAGAATTTCCTAGAAAAAGCTCCAAGCCTAGGCATGCTGTATTCTATGTTACCAAAATATATCATTTGACTAGAGTTTTGCTTGTTTCATATTTAATTGTTTTTATATTCATGTTGAGATATGATACGACCAATAAAAAGCAGTAAGCCATACAATTGATACAAAAATGTACATGTTAAAGACAAAAATTTCTCATAAAATAATCAATACGGCAAATACAGTGTACAATGTACCGATACTTGAAGTGGTAGTACCCTAGATTTTGACGTTTAATACTCAATACTTTTGACATTGTTCAAAAAAAAAACCAAGTAGAACAAAAAATTTGTTTCGTCACCTTCGGTACAATTTTTTTTTATTTTAAAGTTGCTTATTGTCTCTTGTCTTATTATTTTGACGGGTATATAAAAGAATATGTTCTCTCGTTTTCTCACAAATCAGATAAAAACAGCACTTGTGCCACGAGTAAAATACTTTCGTCTCTCCAAAAAGTGGTCGAGATACGAAATAAGAAGAGCTTAGGAGTGAGAAAGAAAACGATTAGGCCTCCAAATCACAAAAATATTAAGCATGCACTCTATGGACGACTAGAGGAGCTAAAGAGACTAAGTCATGAATCTCGTAATAGCATTAAGAGCATACAACAATTCACCTTGCAAACGTGCTTCTAGTAACATGAGATTAACATGAACTTTTTCACTTTGCTTAAAATCTTTCATGAATACTTTAAAATCATTTCTAGTTACTTTTTCGGGATAGCACGTTATCGTTTTAATATACTGCTTCAATGATCTTTCTAAAAGAACATTAACCTCCCTATAATCGTAATCATCGTGCCTAATACCGAACATGCAGTGTATATAATTCCAGATCGCTCGGCGAAATGCAGTTGTGTCTACATCCAAATTATTGCCCATTGTATAATACGTTAAGGTTGTGGCTATTTTAAATTTTTCGTCCAAGTATTGTCCAAGATCAGGATATAAACGATTGGTTAAACTAAAGCCTTGTTCATCCCAAGAAAAATCCTGGGCTCGGAAGGTTGTGGGATTATTTGATCTGTCTCTCTGTGAGAAATCTTCGTAAGCAAAACCTGGATTGTCTATAAACTTTTTCATAAATTCAGCATTCTGCTCTTTACGCTGCCTCTCCTCGTGAGCTCCAGACTGAGGTGGGGATGGCGACTTGTCGAATGCCGGATCAATTGATTCAAATGCTTTGACTTTTTCTTCTACGGACGCTTCCGGATTATCGTGCAGCTGTCGCATACTCTCCATTAAGACTTTTATCGGCTTTTCTTCATTACTATTCTCAACGCCATTAACTTCCGGATCTGACGAAGAGCTAGGATCGAACAATGTTGAACCATCCTCCTTGGAACGGTAAAAAGTATAGCCACCATCCGAATCATCGAGCTCAGGAGAAACGCCGCACCCATATACAAATGACGACAACGAATGGAAGTGGGCAAGAAGCACAACAGCATGCATTACTTCAGAAAGCGTCCACTTTCGCTGACCACTAGTTAGATCCTTAATATGGGAATCTTTAATCTTCCAAGGTTGGTGAGCCATTAACATATTTAATTCGTTCAAGTCTTGTAGCTTCTTTGGACATTTATCTATACCCTCGAGCCATTCTGGATCTCCTCCTTGCATGATAAATTCGCAGGTATGCAACTTTACGATATAATTACAGTAGTGCCGCGCGCTTGCCTATAAAACAAAATTAAAGATTGTAATTTTTTTCGAGCAAACAAATACGATGTGTTATTATTATCAGTTAGAAAACAATGTAGGTGCCAAGGTTCGTCAGCCGATGCGTATAGAATAAATCTTTTTAAACGATCGGCGTAAACTTTAAATCAAAGTTTCCACTCACCATAATAGCTATATAGTGTCTATATTCGTGTGGCAAGGGACCATCTCCCCTAAGCAGGAATTGTTGAGTTTTCTGAAAAGCATCTAAATACTGGGGATGATAGCCCATCACTTGAACCACATTCTCCAAACGATTATTGTGCAGAAAGGCTTCGACAAATTGTCTTGCAGTCTAGAGGAATTCAATAGTTTTACTAAATTTTATACCCTTTTGCGGATATTTTAACTAATAAATAGATCTTGTTTAAACATTCTATTTTTAACAAAATTATACTGTCCATGCATGAAACTATGATTTATGCTAAGACAATAGACAATGTAAGCAACATATTGTATTAAAAGACATTTATAGATGTACATCCACGCACGCTTAAAATATGCTAATCAAAAAAAAAGGAGGAAGAAAGAGGAAGATAGAAAATGCATAATAAAAAAAGTGTCTGCTTAAAAATAAAAGAGACAACCAAAAATAGTATTTAAATGGTTTTTATACTTTTATAAATACAAAAAAAACGACAAAACTTAATAGAGCGTATAAAGAAGCTTAATTTTTATAAGATAATAAAAATGTCAAATAATAAATTGACGTTTTAAAAATAATAAAACGTCTTTATTATTTATGAAAAACAATTTACACCATCAGCAGGATTTAGGCTTTGAAATGTTTAGTGAAAAAAAATTTGAAATTCTAACCATACTAAAATCCTTATCTTAATTCTAATTAAAAGTTATCTCATGTTGTGAACGGTAAACAAATTAAATACCATAAAGCCACTTTCTAAGAAATGTTTACATATTTAAAAACTATTGCCATTAAAGTTAACTGAACATCTGGTGAAAGTATCAATCTCTAACAAACATTATCTACATATGGCAGGTCTACCTGAATAGAATAAACTTTAACATCTATATTTGTAAGTTTACATGTGCATATACGTTATTTATAGATAATTTATATACAAGCATATATGTTTCATATTTGTTGTCAATAGGCATTTTCTATTTAAAGGATGTCCTAATACTACATGCGGGTATTGTATAATGAGCATATGTATTGCGTTTCACCAGCTTCGGATGGTAAAAAAATATTTAACTACGTTTTACAAGGTCGATCAAAGTTCGCTTAAAATAGAAAAATAAAGGATAACATGGGACTGTATCATGCTTTATCTAGTAGAGGGTAATAATACGGAAAAGAAACATACACGTTCTTGACATTAACGTATGTTCTTACCTCCTCATTATCCGTGTCTATCCCTACCACCTATAATAAAGAATAAAAGTCATATAAAGCAGGGAAAAACAATAAACAAATTAAAAGAATTTTGTAATTATATGTATATATATACAAATATATATATATATACTAATATATGTATATATATATATATATATATATATATATATATATATATATATATATATTATTTAATATACATTTAAATTTACATTAAGTCTATATAGATATGAGTATCTGCGTGCTTGTACTTTAGAAATTAAAAAATTCATTATAATTCATTGAAAATATTATTAAACTCAATATATATATATATATATATATATACATTGTATATAAATTTATTAATTACATAATTATAATGAATGAAATTTGTTCACATCCTAATAAACGCTTTTAATATGAAAATCTGGCAGATGTTTTTCAGTAAACTAACAGTTGAAAGGATCAGTTACACTTTTAACCTACTTAAATCGGGTTTAATTACAAAATTTCAATTGTAAGCCTCTGAAAACTGCAATTGTTACAATAAATCATTCGCTTATTTTTTCCGATATTAAAGTGGTAAAAAGAGCCAAAAGAAAGAAATCGGATTATTGATATTGTCGGCAAACAAATTCCCTTGCTAATGCTTACCAAACATTTTTAGTCGATAGCGTTGCATAAGATTGATTACGCAATAACTTTTGTAAGTTATAAAGTGGATTATTCAGAATTTATGTTTTTTAAATACTCTCACTTTTGTTGATAGAACGCACTTGTTCAGATAATAGTAATATTGATAAGAAAAAAAATTGCGAAAATAATTACCTCAGACGCATCTAGAAAATAACTAGGTCCTTCAGAGACGGCATCAGGAACGCGTACGCCCTGTTTCTGTCCAAAGGAAATGAATTATTCATGAGATGTAATTATTTTCAAAGGCTAATAATAATATTCATCATAACTCATGCAATATATATATTAATTCAAATTTAAACCTCTAAAAGACGACACAGTTGCGAGCACTTGCCGCTCGGCCGGCGTCTGGGATTATAATTCTCCTTCTCTTTTAAATCTTTCCACATGACTCGTTTTTTTGTCAAAACTGGAGATCTTGCTCGCTTCATACCGATCAGCTGATTACTGAACAGTTCGACTCTTGCTTTTGGCCTTCGCATTTGTCAAACAGGCCTCTCATTTTTTCTCGGTTGGTTTTCTATCTACCTACCTATCTCTCTTTCTCTCACATTGCTCGTTTTCTGTCTCTCTCTCTCTCTCTCTCTCTCTCTCATTGAATCTATCTATTTTGCTATCTAAATTATCAACCTATCTATTACCGGTTATTCTATTTTCCCTTTGCTGTTAAACGTTCCTTTAAATCTTTCATCTCCATCTTATTCTGAGTTTTTGTTTAGCTATTAGTTGCTGATCTCCTCTTAAGCTGCATAACGTAATTTGCATAGCATAATGTGAATCGCATGTATAGGCTTATTAATCAATCGATTTCTAAGTAAATCGACAAAATATCTTTACATTTGCTCTTCCAGCTGTTTGCATTCATTATACGAATCGAGTCAAGATCACACACACACACACACGTGTTACTTAAGAAAACATTGAAACATAATTACCAACCTGAAACTCGTCTAATAATTGACAGCATCGATTTCTTACGTCCTCAAAGGGGCAGGTTTTAGACAATCTCAAGAGGATTGGAAGTCTTTCGTTGAGCAGATTTTCATGATCACCGTCTGACTGTTCAGAATTTATCGAATTTGTTGGAGATGTTCCAAGCTCTGTGTGATTATTAGTAAAGCACCAGCCACGTAACTTTCGTTCAATATCATCAAAGACTAGTCTTCTTGTTTGAGGGTCACGCGAGAATAAGGAAGCGAAGAACTTTTGAGCCGACGCTTTGGCGATCGTATTGGCCATTCACTTTTTTCGATATTGTCCGCACAAATATCTATAAATCGATTACATCATTAATTCCTTTAAGTTTCATAGAAATAATTATGAAACGTGCCGGTTAGATACATCACATTTAAACCACATAAACTATCACCACCGCCACCTTAATTTCTATATTAATTAAAGAAAGCGTTAACGTTTAGGAAATTTCCACGAGCTCTGCATTACCATTATGTGGGAATCATCTAGGCCAATGGTGAGCTACAGGAAAATTTCTACTAGCACTACGATTTATAAAGCTATTTATATAGATTTCCTTGAAGAAATCATAATCAACTTATAGATAATTCATAGCATACAAATTAAAAATTATTATCGCGTTTTATTCACCATAAAATTCCGAATTTTCATGCACTAGTCGCGGATGATTTCAATCAGCTGCGCCGGAAGTCGATCTCGTTCCTGTTTTTCTCGTCACTCCTAAAATTTGCTCGATTTTTTTAAAAGTCAATGGTTAAATAAATTAACTAAGTAGTTAATTTTCTGCAATGTCTAACCGGTCAATCGTATGATGTAATTATTTAACCGGTGTTCAGGTTAGTTCGGTTGTGCTTGGTTTTAGCAATGTCTTCCGGAAAAAAAAATAGCAGACGACGTTGCGGACGAGAGTTCGTATTGCGAAAACAAAATATGCTAAATATCAAAAACGTAACAAACAGAATGCGTGCGTGCCATTTTTCAATAATTAAACGGTTCGTTACTTCAAGGACTTTTAGCTATATACAAGGTCAATACTTTGAGGGAAGAATACGAGAATACTTTTATTATATTGATCACCAAGGCCAGGTTAATATTTATTAGGATATGCCGAAAAATTCTAAGAAAAATAATTCTTTAAAATACTATTTATAAATTTCACGCAGCTATTCCTTGATGATGCAAAAATGAAAAATTTTACATCTTGCTTTAAAGGTTGTTTAGAATTTAGAGTAGCATTGGATTTATTAATCTATCGAAACTATTAAAACAGATGCAAAGTTTTTGAAATTTTTTTTCGAACGTCTAAAACCGAATGACACCGGTAGATTCGAACAAGAATTTCCTTTTATCTCGCCTTGTGGACGTGAAAGGAATTACATTAGGTGTGATGACTGTCCAATTGTATTTACTCACGTAATAAAAGGAGAAAATTCTGATCTTCTATCGTACGGTTCTACCCTTCACGATTCACTTAGTATTAACTTTGAACCAGAAAAAGTATGCATGTTGCCATCTACTGGCAGAATATATCACCCTGCCCCAAAGAATGGAGGAGGAGTAGGGCTACTTCGTTCAGCGCTGGCAATAGAATGGAGTAAATATTTTACATTTGGAGAGGATGATTCACAGCCGCCGACACATTTTAAATGGAATGGTCAAATATATAACTTAACGAATGAACTTGTTGAAACTGTGAATAAAGATTTAAAAAATTAGAACAATCGTCTGTTTTGCAGCTGTTAACTTTGACCCATAGACAAAGAAGCCTAAAATTGTACAAATTTCTCTTTATTGACATTATTCTTTACCCACGCAACGTGAATAGAGGCCGTCTCATAAATTTCTTGAACGGCCAATCTCCAGATAGGCCATGATTGGCACTATGAAAGTTTAACTAAAATATACACCCACCAGAAATTAGCATGGCGATTTTAATACCTGCTCGTTATTTTATATTAATTTTTATTTGCTCTGTAAAAGGTTAGATTAATTGTTTTTTTTTTGTTAAAAGTTTCTTTATTAAACCTTATCCACAGGAGACTATAAGGAATTTGTGATTCCTGAAGAAGTTGTGAAAGGTGAACAACTTGATGTAGATATTCCTATGAGAGGTATAAGGAATACGTTACACCTTACAAAATCTAAAAATATTCACGCTAATCCTGTTGTTACATTTTTGGATGATTATAAATTAAAGATTCCTCAAAATAAAGTAACTATTTTTAATTTAAAGATTTTAACAATAAACATAAATCTTATATCGGTCTTTCATTTTCTTTCCCTATTCTCTTCTTCTTTAATTTCCTTTAGGATATTTTCTTTTATCGAGATGTCTCAACAAGCTCAAGTATATCCATGAAGTTAAAAAAGTATGGATCATTAACTGCCCGAGAATTCAAAGGTTCATTTGTATATAAAAACGAACGTTATAATATGAGACCAATTCAACCTTCTGATACTCCCCCGCAAAATCTAACGTCACTTCTTGAGAGGTTAAACTCAGGTAAAATTGTTCGAAGACGTCGGAGGAAAAGAAGTGCAATTCTAGCTGTTATGCATGTCATTTCAAAGCCCATTCACCTTCCTCGCACACCTGGCAGCAGTGTTCCAAATCCATTTAGTAAGCAAGTCACACAGTTTCGCATTTCCAATTTTCACATAATGTCAATATTTGTAGTTCCGGATAGTGTTAGTACTTCGGATTTAACTGGACATATTATCGGAGAGTATTCTTTTAGCTACAGATCTAAATCTAGTGGAACAGAAAAACCAGCTACATATCCCGATTACAATATAGAATTAATGCTCCTACTCGATCATACTGTCTGGGATGCGTAAGTAACCTCATTAATGTTTTATATACCATTTAAAATAGTTACACGTATAAATTAATAATACTAGAGTTATTTAAAAGTATTTATTTAATATAATATTCTTTATAGAGCCGTCCAATTTGCTGATAGAGATGAACAGAGAGCTGTCGCTAATCTGAAATATGACTACGCCCACATTGTAAACACTGTGGATACTGTTTACAACTCTATATCACCAAACAATGATTCTTTCGCTATAAGCGTTTGGTTAGCGGAAATACGAATAGCTCGACGCTTGACCGATTTAAGAGATACTGTTTACTCAGATGACAGCTTTATTAAATTTGACTTTATTGATAGAAAAACACAAGTTAATGCTCAAAAAGTTTTAAGGGGACTTCAGTATTATAGACGCGATAACGGTTTAACTCACGCGTATCCTGATCATTTACAATTTATAACTAGATATGATTTAGTTGGTGCTAAAGATGGCACTTTTAAGCCTAGTCTTATTGGAATAGCTATAAACCGAGGAGTTTGTACGAGTTTCCTTTCGAATTCTGCAGTTGAAGAATTAGGAGTATATACTTGGTTCGTCTCTGCTCATGAAATGGGACATAGTCTTGGGGCTTTTCACGATGGATTGGATAACTCGTGTTCGTCTAATGACAAATATCTCATGACACCACTTGTCGGAGAAAGACTTGAGGTTTCTCAACTTGCTAACGCTTTCTCTCTTAGTTCTTGCTCGAAAGAGGAAATCCATCGTTTAGCCACTGGAACAACAGATGGCTATCCTCGCACTTGTCTTTACAATCGACCTTGCCAACATGGTCAAGAAATTCCAGACATCAACGGGAAGCCACCTCTTGGAATAAAATATGATTTAAATCTTCAGTGTCGAATCACAGTTGACGTTGATTCTCGATTCTGTGAGTCAGGGCAAGGAGATAAAAACATTTGTCATGTTCTCAGATGCTACAAAGATAATCTCAAAAGCTGCGTACCTTACAGTCCAGGTGCTTTCCCTGGCACCACCTGCGGATTAAATCATTGGTGTTCTGGAGGAAAATGCGTGGAGAGGACAGTATCTACACCAAAACCGAAGGATTGTGTTAGGGTTGAGGTTCCAACTAATTTACCTGACGGCTGTGAAGATGATCCTACTTTTAAAAAATCCGTTGAAATTGAAAAAGGACACATCCTGGGACCATTCGGTTGTAAAGATATGATAAAAAATTTTCCACATTTTTGCTTTACAGTATCCTTAGTTATTGGAAAATGTTGTGCAACCTGTCGAAGGAATGGGTTATTTAACTCAAATTACCACCGTAAATACGACACTGAAATTCTTAACAAAATTTTATCACTCATTATTTTCAGAACTACCTTTCAAAACCGAGGAATCAACAACACAATCAGAAACCACAACTGTGTCACCCTCTCTTTCACCCTTCAGTACAACAGTCGATGTAACAACTGCGAAAAAAACAACTTCAAAGGTTGGGACTACTACAAAAATTGAAACTACTACAAAAGAAACTGAATCAACAACAATTGAATCTACGACAAAAGAAATTACTTCTACAGATCAAAAGTCGACCACTGCACAAACAAGTTCAATAACTACGACGGAAACGAAAATCGCTAGTACAATGACATTTCCTTCTACAACAGAAAGCAAAAGAACTACAGAGAAAACCACCCAAAATGAAATTACCAAAACAACGCAAGGGCAATCAACTGCAACAACCAAAAAAAGTACAACTACTAAATTAGATTTGACATCTAAAAAAGAAATGACCACTTTAATAATGACAACCCAAGGAGCTACGAAACTTACAGACAATCCAAATTGTAAAGACAATCGTAACGACTGTATTTATTATGCGAGAGGCGGTTACTGCCAATTACGACCAAATGTAATGAAATTGGAATGCCCTAAAACATGTAATCTGTGCGACAGTACACCTAGAACAACCCCATCAACGACATGTGTTGATTTCAGAGAGGATTGTCGCTATTTCGAAAATCGCGGATATTGTCAGACTCATGTCGACATTATGGCAACAACTTGTCCGTCTACATGCAACTTATGTGATACTGGTCCTGACGCTTGTCGCAACGATCCTTGCAAAAATGGCGGTGATTGTATAAGGAGTGGTGATGGATTTTCCTGCGTTTGTAAACAAGGTTATAAAGGATATCTTTGCGAAGAAGTCGATGTTTGTCATATCAATCCGTGCCTAAATGGAGGAACTTGCGAACAAATCGGAAACATTTTTAACTGTATCTGCCTACCGTCTTTTACCGGCATTAATTGCTTAACAAATATATGCTTAGATACATGCGTTAATGGACAGTGCACAGAAGTCAGTGAAGGAACTTATGACTGTGAATGTTTATCGGGATATACAGGACCAACTTGTTCCGAGAAAGTTCAAGATTCATGTAATCCTAACCCGTGTAAAATAGGAGCGAAATGTTTAAACAAGGGAGAAGATTTCGAGTGTGTTTGTCCACATGGATACACTGGCAAAATTTGCAATGAAACTGTCGATCCGTGTTTGTTATTTGAAGGCTGTAAAAATTCTGGTGTTTGCAAAAAAATCGATGATCAAACTGTTACGTGTATTTGCCCTGCAGGTTATACAGGTCCGTATTGTGAGTTAGGAAATGGTACAGGTGTTTGCTCTCCTAATCCTTGTGCAAATAACGGTGACTGTCAGTTTGATTCCGTATCAAAAAGTTATAAATGTACCTGCAAAAGTGGATTTGAAGGAGAAAAGTGTGAAAATAGAAACCTATGTTTCTATTTTAACCCTTGCAAGAATGATGCACTTTGCCTACCAGTCACACAATCGTCAATTCGTTGTGTTTGCCAAGCAGGATATGCCGGCTCAATTTGTGATCTTATGTTAAATCCTTGTTCGGGTACTAGTTGCATGAATGGTGGAACATGCCAGGCTCTTAACGGCACGTCTTATTCCTGCCAGTGCCCAAAGGGCTACACCGGCAGCCGTTGTGAAGGTAACATTTCATATTTTTATAGCCTTTTTGTCTCGTTCTTTTGAAGTATATTATAATGTCACGTTTGCTTTTCAATATTTTATTCATATTTCTCTTTAATATTCTATTAAAAGTGTCACCACTCACTGAAACCGCTACTAAATCTATCACCCAATCGATTACTTCACCAACTACGGAAAGTAATTCTACAACACAAGTGGTGTTAAACACAAAAATTAGCACACAAGATGTCACAACACGAGAGACCACTGCTCAAAAGGTTACAACTCAAGAAATCACAACACCAGAGGTTACAACAGATAACAAAGTGCAAACTAAACAAGAAGACACAACTTTCTTTGAATTAACAACCTTAAAACCAACTAATAATTTCGATATCACGAGCACACCCTCAATAACATGTTTGTAAATTAAATTTCAATTGGTTTTTTTGAGTGCCTTCAATTAATTATCAAATGTTTGTTCTATATTAAGCTCCTAAAACGGTTATCTCGAACTGCAAAGATGTAAGACGTGATTGTGATTGGTTTAAAGGTGCAGGTTTTTGCACACCACCTAATTTTAGGGAATTTATGAAGAGGCTATGCTCAAAAACGTGCCTCTTGTGTGAAGGTTTATCCTTTTTGCGCCTAATGAAAAGAATGTGTTTTGTAATATATATGTATATTTTTTACAGAACTGAATCCCTGTAGCATAAATCCCTGTATTAATGACGGACAATGTCAAGTAGACGGAAGCGATTTTAATTGCACCTGCACGGAAAATTACTATGGAGATCGGTGCGAACTAATTAAGGCTTGCAGAACTAATCCTTGTTTGAATGGAGGATATTGCGGTCTAGATGAGAATAATAGTAAATATGTTATAAATTGATGTCTTTGATTATTTTTAATAATAATTTATTTGCTTGCAGAGGTTAAATGTAATTGTAAGAAAGGTTACTCAGGAAAAAATTGCGAAAACTATGCCTGCTCGTCTAATCCTTGCCATCATTCCGGTTCGTGTAGCGTAGACGATAATGGAAATGCCATCTGCTCCTGCAATTCGGATTACATTGGAGCATTATGCGAGATTGGTCCATGTCCTAAATGTAGAAACGGTGGACTTTGCGTCGTAAATGAGCAAAAACAAGCTAGTTGCAGTTGCCGTTATCCTTTTACAGGCAAACTATGCCAATTAGATTTATCCGCTTGTTTTAATAGTCCTTGTGGTCCTAATGGTATATGCGAGCTGATTCCTGAAGGAAGCTTCCGTTGCTCATGTAAAAACTTTTGGACAGGACCTCGATGTGAAACTAGATTGGATGTAGTCACCAGCTCATGCATGGATTTATATCCTGAGGAAACCTGTATCTTCTATAGAGACACACCAGGTTATCATTTATGCAATTTCGATGATCCAAGGATAAAGAATCGCCCGGACATTATTAAAACAATGAAAGATAATTGTGCTAAAACATGCGATCTATGCTAAATTTGTAACCCTCAATGATATTAGTTTGATATATATGCAAATGTAGAAAAAGTCTTTTTTAAAATTTGCTATTCGGTTTCATCCTCTATTTTATTTACGCAGCACAATTGGTACACTGATTTATTTTTCTTCATGCATTTATATATTCATTCACCCTTTGTTACAAGTACGTTAAGGAATAAAGAATGAAAAAATTCCGATTGATGCTTAAATACACAGAAAATTTATATATAGTATTTAATATCTTTTTATGTGATAAAGAAACTGCAAAATGAATTACTAAACTTTTTATTAAAAAAAATCATTAATTATACAATATTCGCAGTTAATGTGAAAATAATAAGTTTATAATATTGTAAACCCCCACATAGAAATTAATAAAGTTAATGAAATGTTGCTTTTTACAGTATATATTGGAATATTTAATATAAGCTTTTGACAACTGGATTCATTCATCTAAAAGCATATATATTTAATGGATTTGGTTGTCTTTATTGAGATAACAAGTATCAATATATTGGCGATTGATAATCTTGATGAAAAGTGAAAGAAAAAAGAGTAAATCTATATAGAAAAATCGATTCAAAGCAGACGCTAGCGCCATTATTCACCACTGAGTATAATTTTCAAATGTAATAGGTAAATGAACAATGATACAATCTCGGCAAGAAGCCCTACTTCTTCAAGTTTCGATAGCAGATTGCTTTTAATACCATATTGTTTATTAGGATTGACTTTAATCTGTTTAACTGCTGGCTCTTTTATAAGATATCATATAAAATTGAAGAAGACCCAAGCTCACTGCACTTCCAGAAAATTTCCATCAAGCAGAAAAAGAGTCACTCTCAACGCAAATCCCGCCGATTTTCCAAAACCTGTATCGGCGTCTAATGGAGTAACTTTTACAAATTTGGCTTACATTAAAGATGATTACGAAGTATCAGCTATTTCATATGAAGCAGCTTCTTATGAAAGTAATTTCTCCCAAAGCTACTTGGAGGGTCCTTTCTTTATTGCAACCGTATGAATGTAGAATAACTTCTCAAAGATGCAAGAATAAGGATTTCCAAAGGAAAATACTCTTGTTTTCCTGTATCTTTTTTTTGAAATTACTTAATTAATATTTCACAAAGGTAAATGTTTGATATATGTAGACTACAGAAACAAACTGAAAATATGATTTTTTTTCTACACAGTTTTGTAAATCGTTTAAAATGGCAAACTTATTATTCACTTCATGTTGCATATCGAATTATGAAATAGAAGTATCGATCGGCCCAAACGTGCTTAACTTTTGTCAAGAATTCATGCCGAGTTTTAAAAAAGTAGAAAAAAATATACATTATTCATCGCACGCATTTTTTATTGGCCCTATATAAATGCTCTTTGTAAAATATGAATGGAGAAACAATTGGTGAATGAAATCATTCTTTTTTTGAAATTCGCGCGCTTTTCCCTTTGGCGCTAATATCTAACACCGAGGAACGCTTTTCGATTAACTTCTTTTTATAAGATGTCTTTAATCACATGATTATAATTGGATTGTTATTCTAATTTTGCTGGCTTATAACTAAAAATAAAGTACTTTTTCTAATTAAGAAAAATTTTCCATAAAGAGACATTTCTAAAGATAAAAGGCAATTATTCCAAATCTAGGCTTCCGAAAAAATGTTCTTTAGATAAAGAGAATAAAAAATGTTCTATTCTTTTTTGTTTTAAATAAATCTATTTCGAGAAAAGAATGATTTATTCGAATATAGTATATGATAATTATCTTTTTCTTTTCGCTGAAAATGAGAATTTATCTAGCAATTCTGGAAAAGTTACAGTATTTATTTTTACATTTCTTGTATCATCATTGACTTCACAATTGTATCGAACGACCTGGAAAAGAAAAAATATATTAAATAAAGTAAAACAATTTAATTAAGGAACATACTTTGAATTAATTGTTTGCCCTGGTTCGTAGAAAGGATTACAAACCATGTCTACATAAGCAGAATGTAATTTCCTAAACATCTAGGATGAAAAGTGATGCTATAGAATAAATACAGAATAAAATTTGTTATAAACTTACAGATCTAATTTCGTTGTCTCTTAAAGTTGTATTTGAAGATTCGACAACAATTACAAATTTTATTTTAGTATTTGTGACATAGCCATACCTGTTTTAATTAAAGCTATGAATTTCATATGCTAAATGAGTATTAGTTAATTTCATTTGCATTAACTTACACTCGATAATCTTCTGTAGGATATAATAAACCAAGATATAACTCTCTTGTATCATTATTTTTATTAGCACCTGCTCCAGGGGATATTTTTTCTTCAACAACGTCTAATGATGTATGAACTGTGAAATGAAAATTTAACTCATTTTCATTCGAGTTTGTTTTTATAAACAATGGCGAGTTCTGAAAGTATGGAAACCAGATATTACTGTATGTAAAATCTTTAACAAAGCAATCATTTAAAGCACTTATTTAAAGAAGTGCTATCGTACACTGATTGAAAATTACAGATTTTTCACCTCTTTTGATATTACAGCAACACAAACCGCCATTTTTAAAATTCTAGACGAAAGTAGCTCTCTGGATTTACTAGTACTGTATACAATTTCCGGAAACCATACTTGTGTTTTTTTCCAATCAGTTGTAAATATCATTGAACACTTTTTGAGATGAATGAAATCTATTTTCTGGCAAAAGAAACGCCAAATGGATTCAACATTTACAAATATAACTTACCCATCACATTATTTGAGTGAGTTTTGTTCTTTTAAACTTTAGCTGAACACAAAAAGTTGTTCTTTACACTTTTTTTTGTATAGCGATATACTGCAACCAATTAAAAATTAAAGGTAGTCATTCAAAATTACTATTACTTCTAGAACTTGACTACTAATTCCATGCAGACCTTGTAAAAATTTTAGAGTCTATGGATTGAATTTACACCTAAGAATCCCTACGATGTTCTTCATTCGTGTTTGTGAACTAATTGGAAAATTTATTACTCATCTTTGCTGCTTTTTAGATTTAGTAATAAGTTAAGGAGACTGTTTGGCTCAATATTAGAAGTTTATGAGGTGCTTCATGTGATAAACGAGTAAAAGAATACTTCATGAAAACAGTTGTTTTGGTGAAAAAATGCTCAATCCCATTAGACTACTATATGTGTTACTATTCAAACATCGACCAAGAGTTCACATAATGAGATGACAGGTTATGGAGGTGTTACTCTTCCATAAACTTACTTATATGTTTATTATTAGCAATGCTGAAGAATACAGATAAGGCTTTTCGTTATGACTTTCCTGCTTTTTTAAAAATATAATAGAATTGATAATCGTTAGGTCTTTATTCCTCTTCAACTTAAAGTTATACTTTGGTATTTTATGTTCATTCTATTTGATCATATTCGCACTTGTATTCAATTTTACAGACATATTTCAACTTTGAGAGCGGACTATTAGGCTTCCTAGAATATGCTCTAATTTGAAGAGTCTAATCAAACTCTCTACTTTTCATAATAAAACTCGTAGTAGTCCTAAATAATACTTTTTATAATTTTGAACTTTCCAACCAAATACCAATATATAATGGAGAGTTTAAGATTTTAACAAATGTTTTTAAAAAATCCTGAAAATAGTACACTATATATGTGGATACTTGTTACTTATCAACAGCTTGGGAATATAGTGATCAACTTTCCGAAAGCATTAGGCCTAAGGAAAGAGAGACTACTTTCCTATACACCGCCATTTTGAAATTTCTAACTAAAAGCAGCTCACTATATTTAATAGTACTGTGTGTAACTTCCGGTAGCCATATTCGTGTTCCCGCTCTATGAGTGCAGAACAGTAGGTTTTTTATGGCTAACCCAAAAGTGGATAGAGATGCTTTTCAGCGTCGTATGAGATTAATCTACAACAAATGGAGTGTAAGTTTGTCATATCTGCTATTACGAACTCTTGATTTCACCTTAACTCTGTATATAAACCAGTTTTGTATCAAGCGTTCTTATTCTTGAGCGATGATACAATAGGTTTCTCTTTTACATTTTTTATCTTTTCAGAGCGCTGATAGTAATGATGATTTGCATGGAATCGAATCCATCGTCTGTGCAGTTGGGGCAGACGAAGCCATTGTGTACAGCAAATCTATGTCTTTACAGGTGAATTGTTGTTATATCTATTATTAGCTTCTGAAAGTTAGTATTTATTTCACTTTCAGATATGGCTTTTTGGATACGATCTAGGAGATACTATTATGATCTTGACCAAAACTGGCATTCATTTCTTGGCAAGTAAAAAGAAAATTGATTTTATCAAGCAAGTGGATACAAACAAGGAAAATAACCTTGGCTTTCCTCCAATTCATACTATCAACAGAGACAAAGTACGCACACAAAAAATATAGTACATTTATCTTCATAATTGTAATTTTCTAAATCTAGGTAGACAAGGATAAAAAGAATATGGAAACTTTAATGACTGTCCTAAATGAAAGCGGAGGGAAAGTGGGGTATTTCAAAGAAAAATATACTAATGAATTCTATCAATCTTTCAAGAATATGATGGACAAGCAAAAGTTTAGTCAAGTTGAAATTAGCCAAAGAATAGCTAAAATTTTATCTGTTAAAGATGAAACTGAGTTATCAATTATTAAAAAATCGTGCTCTGCCACTATTGAACTTCACAAATACCTCCGTTCTCAGATTCTTGATATTATTGATGGAGATAAAGTAAGTCAAACAAACTAAGAAAATTTTAACTCTTATAACTGATGTAACTTTTTAAAAGAAAATGAAGCATATAAAATTATCCCAAATGGTTGATGAAGCTGTTCATAATAAGAAATATGTTACTTCTGTGGATCTTAATAGCGTTGACGTAACTTTTCCCACAATAATACAAAGTGGAGGCCGTTATCAATTGAAATTCTCCATGCAAAGCGATAAGCAATTTTTACACTTTGGATCTATAGTTTGTTGTCTTGGCGTCAGGTGATCAATTACATAAATTTTTTTAAGTATAGAAAAAACTCGATGTATAATGTTGCAGATACAAAAACTACTGCTCAAGCATTTGTCGTACTTATCTAGTTAACCCATCCCCTGAAACTTCTTCAAACTACGAGTTCCTTCTAGAAGTTATCAACTTTCTTTTGGAAAAACTTGTAGATGGAGCTATTATTAGAGAAGTATGTTTTGAGAACATCCCAAGAAAGATTCTTCATTCGAATTTTTGATTTAGATATATACTGGAGTCATTCAGTTTATAAAACGAAGAAAGCCGAACTTAGAATCAAAATTAACAAAAAATTTAGGGTAATGAGATAATTAGATATTTTTCTTTTTATTTATAAAGCAAACTGCTTAACAGATTTCTGACTGGTATCGACTTCCGAGAAAGTTCCATGGTGATTAACGATAAATGTAGTGCTGTTGTAAAAAAAGGTATGGTTTTCAACCTTGCAGTCGGATTTACTGATTTAGAAAACAAGTCCGCCAAGGACGAAGAGAGCAAGAAAGTTGCCATATTTCTCGGTGACATTGTTGTAGTAAATCAAGTAAGAACAGTTCAAGTTGATTGAAAATCTTTAACTGAAAGTTTTTTATACCCAGTCGGAACCAGCGACGTGTTTAACAGCCGGAGCCAAGAAAAAAATATCATCAATTAGTGTCAAAATAAAAGAGGAAGATGAGGAATCAAGTGAGAGTGACGAAGGTGAAGTGGAAGGAATCTTAGGTCGTGGCATGCGTAGAACGATCCTGGATAGCAGAACAAGAACAGAAACAACAAATGAAGATAAAAGATTATCTCATCAGAAACGTCTAGCTCAACGTTTAAATGATGAAGCTAAGGAGAGAATAAAAGGAATGAAGACTGGAAACGTTCAAAAGAAACTTCGTAAAGCATACGTATCGTATGGAACTGACTCACTATTTCCAAATGAAAGTGAAACCAAACATTTGCAAATCTTTATAGACAGAAAATATGATACGATTGTCTTACCTATTTTAGGACTACCGACTCCGTATCACATTTCTAATGTTAAAAACGTATCCCAAAGTGTTGAGGGACATCACACTTACTTGCGTATCAATTTTTATTGCCCAGGTGCATCCTTAGGAAGAGTTGATGGATCTATATTCCATAATCCAGAAGCCACTTTTATTAAAGAATTAACCTATCGAGCATCAAATTTGAAGTCGTCTATTGACTCCAGTATACCGAGTACAAATTTATCAACAGCTTATCGATTGGTCAAAGAAATGCAACGGGAGTTTAAAGCACGAGAACAGCTACAAAAAGAAAAAGAGCAAACAGTTAAACAAGAGGCACTGAAATTATCAGAAACTCGAGCTGCACCTAGATTAAAAGATTTATATATTCGACCAAGTGTTACTTCGAAACGTTTATCAGGGACATTAGAAGCTCATCTAAACGGATTCCGCTATACATCTGTCAGAGGAGATAAAGTTGACATATTATATTCAAACATTGCCCATGCATTTTTTCAGCCGTGTGACAATGAAGTTACGATTATTGTTCATTTTAATCTGAAGGATCCAATTTTTTTCGCAAGTAAAAGGCATCAAGATATTCAGTTTTATGCAGAAGTAGGAGAATTGACAACAGATTTGGGGAAAAATCAGCACATGCACGATAGGGATGATTTAAGAGCTGAACAAGCTGAAAGAGAATTGAGACATAAGCTCAAATCGGCTTTTAAAAATTTTTGTGAGAAAGCTGAAGCTCAATCAAAGGGAGAGGTAACATTTGAAAGTCCATTCCGCAAACTGGGTTTCCATGGGGCACCTCACAGATCTAATGTTCTCCTCATGCCAACCTCTACTTGCCTTGTAAGTTTGGTTGAATGGCCCCCTTTTGTTGTAGCTCTTGAGGAGGTAGAATTGGTACATTTTGAAAGAGTACAATTTCACTTGAAGAATTTCGATATGGTTTTTGTTTTCAAGGAATACACAAGAAAAGTAGCTTATATAAACTCAGTGCCAATGAATCAATTGGATCATGTTAAAGAATGGTTAAATAGTTGCGATATTCATTATACTGAAGGTATACAGTCATTACATTGGCAAAAAATTATGAAGACCATAGTGGATGATCCTGAGGGATTTATGGAAAATGGAGGTTGGACATTCTTAGAACCGGAATCGGAAGAAGAGGGTGGCGGCAACGACGAAGACTCTGAAGATGATGCCTACAACCCAACAGATAGTGAAGAAGTTGAAGAAAGTGAAACTGGTTCGGAAGAAAGCGAGGTCAGTTGCTCAAAAAATTATTTTCTATAAAAATGGTACATTGTTTTCTTTGCAGGAGGATTGGTCTAATGAAGATGACAGTGCCTCTCAAGAGGAAGGTGATAGTGAAGAGGAATCAGGGAAAGATTGGGATGAGTTAGAAGAAGAGGCAAGAAATGGTAAAAAAATATTTAGGCTGTAGAGACTTTTCTTAACTCTATTTCATTTTCAGCCGATAAGCAACGTGATCTGGATGAAGTTGCGCCGCCTCTTCCGAAAAAACATCACAAGTCTCACAAGAAATCCCCTGAAAAGAGAAAACGTGAACATTCTCATTCGGATAAGCATCATAAGAAGAGAAAGTTATAGACCAAGTAGAATGACTTGTATATTTTTACCATAGTTTTCAAAACGTAAAATTGACAGGTTTGAAGCGTTGTACTTAACAAATAAAAAGGACACCTGTAACCTATAAATTCTCTTTAGATTTGATAACGATCTATATCACTTGAAAGAAATTACCTAAAGAAAACACAATATGCTTAATAGTTCAAAATAAATATTTTTAGACATATTTACAAATCACAAGATTAAGTTTTTAACGTAAAAGTTAAATCTTAAGATTTTCAAGTTCTTTATTGAGTTCGCTAATTAAATTAGTCCAATCGTTTACATTAGCATAGGGTTTAAATTGGTTGATGATGTGATTTCGTTTATGATAGAAATGAGTCAGCATTGCCGATTTAAAAATTTCATTCGGATTTTTTAAGTTGTTAAGAATTCCCCATTTCAAGTTGTTAAAAAGAACTTTCCTGTTATATATATCAGACTCTTGTTTACCTTCACTGGTTCCCATTTTAAACTGATAACCAGGTTCATTAAAATATGGTTCCTCAACAAAAATAAGCGACTGAATAGAGAGTAGCACTTGTAAGAGAGTTGAAGTTCTTTTATCCCATTGTTCACCTGACCAAGTTCCGAGAAGTGATAAACAAACTTTCCCAGTAACATATAGGTTAGGATTGAATCTGACTGTACCATTTCCCGTTGTCAAAAAATTCACATAAGGTGGATTAGATGGATAATCGTTTGGAAAAATTATATCGAACATGTAACAACCATTTTCATACGGTGTATTAGCTGGTCCTGTTATTAGTGCGCGCAAAGTTCCAAATTGTTCATCATCTACCCTCACAAATATAGAAGTAGAAAAGTGCAATGGAAGACTTTCTTCAAGAGAAGATAATTCATGGCAGATTCGTTTGGTCCCTGCAACTGAATAGGACGATAACTTTTTGTGAGAATCATTTGATCCCATAGTGTTATTACTAGGTATATGACAGGAGCAAAAGACCTCTTGTCTAAGAGCAGCAATATAAGCTTCTTCTGTAGTCTTAAGTGTCGTCTCAGATGTTGAAGTTAATGTTTGAGCTTCTTGTTCAATTTCAGAATTTAATTTTGAATAAAGTAAAGCAAATTCGGACAAAAGTCCACCATCAAACATAGCGAATGATTTTGATTTTTGATATAAATTATGTAAAATTTGTAATCTGTTCAAAATAGAAGATTGACCATCGCTAATGATGAGAAGTTTTCGCCATATATCATTACTGCCAATATGCTGAACAAGCATGAGCACGTTTTTCATTATTTTTTCGTTTTGGTCCATTTCAGTAGGCGATGTGGCATTATGGAGATAGAAATCAAGAAATGGAATAAGAGCAGATTTTTCAAGATTATCTTTTACAATAAAGATTTCATTTGGACCTGACGTATTTCCTTTATATCTCTCCATTTCGTTTATAAGTTTCTTCAAAACATCATTAGCTTCTTTTATTCTCTTTTCCTTAGCAATGAAATAGGCATCTATGTTCCAGGATCTATCTGTGCAGGAGCTAAAACCAGTCCCATTTGGAAAATTCGGCTTTCCACAATTATCAGCTCTTGATGGATTATTTGATGCAAAAGGGTTAATGTACAATTGATAGGGAGGCAGTTTCGCCTTCAATTCATTTTTGACTCTAGGATCTATTTCTGATATAGAGGATAAGTTAGTTAATAGTCTTTCAATTTGTAAATATGCTCCATCAGGATATTCATTCGAGTCGTTTCTTTTATCCTCTAAATCAATTCGCCCTACAGCATTTAATAGGGAATGTATGTAAAGTATAACATCTCTCATAGGTTTAGCTGGATTCCAATGTTTCAATTGTAAAATTTCTAAATTGCTAATTAACTGATAGACCGCATTTTTTAGCTTTGGTCTCTTGATATTTATAATAGGGGGATAGAATGGAGACAAACCAAAAGCAAACTTTAATTCCATTTCAATGTAATCGTATCTCCATTTTGAATTTAAATTTTTAATATCTTCCTGTATTAAACCGGAGAAATTACTTAGCTTTACTTGCCAAAAATAAACGTTATAATCAACAGCTTCCACTTGAATTTTACCATCGGAATCATCTTGAACAATACTTAACAACTCTGACGACAAAACATGAAAACTCAGATCAAGAGAGAAAATTGTATTTTCTTTGTCCTCGTTTTTATTATGATTCTTTTCATAATCCTCTCTATCAGTTTGATGTTTTATCTTCCATTTATTCCACATAACTGTATGAGCAATCTCAGTTTCAAATTCTGTCTCTGTATTTTCATAATAATCCATATCATCTGAATCCGATTCATTTGAGCTCATGCTGAATTCGTAGATTTAGACTAGACACTAATAAAAGAGATAATTCAAATGTTAACCAGCTCAAAACAAACAAAGTTCATAGGTCTAACAAAATTATCTACTCAATACTTATAATAAAACTACAAAACTACCTAAAACATAAAAAGCATGCCATCTAGTGTGATTCAAGGCACTCTTGAAGTGAAAAGTACTCAACTCAATTAGCTATTTTATCCTACACACCAATTATAACTTCTTAGGCTAAGTCTTTTTACAACCTAAAAAATATTGCACAAGTAATAATCTATTATAAACATCAATTTTCGTATTCTATGAATTTTTTTTACAACTTATTAAGGGGAATGACGCAATAACTACAAATAGTTTTCTCATGAATAATTTGAAAAACATTTTCATTATTACCTGTCGATATAAAAGCAATATACCTCTAAAGTTCTTAATATTAATATCTCGAATAAAGTATTTATAGATTAATTTTTAAGATTTTTCAATTTCCTTTCATAAATATATAGAATTCGGTTTTCTAAACGAAAATATGTCCTGCTACCTTCGCACTTAAAATAAGGAAAAAACAATATGTCTAACGTTGATTTCGCAATAACAAATATTGTATTAACGACCAATTAACAACCAGATGACGTTACGAATTCCATATCCGCTCGTCTTCAGAGTATTCTAGAAAAATGGAGTCGTTTTCAACTGTCTTACGGAATATTAGTCAGGTTTCAGATGAAGATGAACAGGAAATTCGTACTTGTAAGTTTATTATTCATTAGTTAGTTAAATGTGTAAAGTTTAAAACTTTAGTGGGAGAAGCTGTTCAAAAGGCAAAGCATATTATTCAAGACTTTCAAAAGCGAGGTGAGGCTCTTCAGGAAGAAGTTAATAAAGCTGAACAAAAGCTAAAAGATGTTGATAAGAGCTGCGGCAAGAAGGAAATTTATTTGAGAATCAATGAAGCTTTATTGCAAAAATTCAAAGATAAGTACTCCATATTACAAATGGGAATAATGGAAGCTCAGGCGGACTATGATGAGGAACTGTGTAATTCGTTGAAAAAATCTTTAGCTATACCTGCAATAGATATAAATTTATCAGATTGCTGGTCAGAAATAGATACTTTACGACGAGAGAATAGAGAGCTAGAAAACCATGAAATAATAATTAAATCATTAAAATGTCGTATAAACGTTGCAAGGCAGAAAAGAGAGACACTTGGAGAAGAGTTTAAAGGTAACTAATTACAATGGTTTTATTTTTCAGAATAACTTTAATTTCCATATTTCTAATAGGTATTCAAACTGAGATTTTTGGATGTAGAAAAAGATTATCAACCCTTTGTAAAGATTACCTCGCTATACAGGATATTAAGAGAGCAAGAATTAATCAGTAAGTAAAAACTTATCGTGTCGACATATCTAACTTCTGTTATTCACTTTTTTTTAGTATAAAAAAGCAGAATTATAGGAAACGAATAACTATTCAGTGAAAACTGAAAGCAACAAAGTCTTTATTAACTTCAGCCTATCATGGAAAACAAAGTAGTTTGTAAATAGTAATAAACTTATTTTCTTAATATATCTGCTTAAGTCATATTTTCTGTATAATAAAACTTGGATGAGAGTCTAGTGTCTTGAAAAATGATCAATAGTTGTAATATAGGTCATAATATAGAAAGGACTATAACGCGATGATAGTGCTCAGGATCAACCAATTGAGTAAATAAATTTATAAGCAGAAAAAAAATATAGGATACTCATCTTTCTTCTAAAATGCTGATAAAATTCTAATTAATAATTTGAAATTGACTAAGAGTGATTTTGTTAGGATGAATAACTTTTTCATCAAGTCAATTTCTTCCGTAAAATATTTCTTCCTGGTCTTTATCATTTCTCATATGCGGTATCTCGTAATCTTATACAAATTCCCACAATGGGCCTACCACTTTTCTGAATTTATTACCGTAATTTAAGATATTTCTTTATCTGTTGAAACTAAATTTGAAAAAGGTTTCTTTGGGATCAAAACTTACGAGCTCATTTCCAAGATCGAAGAAAAATCTGTAGCATTGCCTAATTTATCTCTAACTTATCTGATTTTACATTCCATTGAATTTGAACGTGACTTTAATAGTTTTCAATACAATCTGAAAGGAGCTTACAGCTGTTCAACGAAACATTTAACCTCTAAAATTGTAGATGAAATATCGATACTAAAACTTTCTCCGGGAATGAAAATTATGAAGAGTAATAATAGTATTTCATTTAGTAATGATTATTATGGTATTTATGTTTATACTGCAAATGTTTCTTCAAAAATTCTAGCAGTAAGGTGAGAAAAATAGTGTTCAATATGCATGTATGTTACTGTAGCTTTATGTCTTTGCAAAAAATATTAAGACTCAGTTTTTTAACACACTGTTCCAAATAACAGAAATGTTGATTATTCAAGATAAAGATCAAAAAGAAGGAATTATTGCTATTCAGTATATTTATCTTATTCCTACTTGATAAATTACTATATAAATTCAGAATGCCAAAATTCAACATACATAAAACATACTGTTTTGTTGTTTTTAAATATAACTATACATTTAGACCAATCCAATCCTTTGGAAAAAAGTCCTCAGGTACAGTAATATTATAAAACAGTAAATTTTCTACTGCATAATTTTTTATATATATTGTATAACCATTGGACAAGAAAGCACCCCACCAGCCAAAAGTCCCGTGCGTTATGATTGTATGATCACATGATGATAGTATTTCGAGTTCGACGCATCGATCAGATAAATGTTCAGGAGTAAGAGTAGCCTCTTCACTATCTATCATTTCTTTAAATTGCTCCTGAACTTTTAGGCGATCGTTGGTAAGTAACACAAATAGTGGTCTCCTATTTCCCAGTAGCTTTTTCATCAAGGTAGTTGCTGTGGTAAAATATTCTTTAGTTCCTTTCCTTAGTCGTTTATCATTTGCAGTATCTCTAAGTCTTACATGAATTCCAACAATAGGCCTTTTACTCTTTTTCAACTGGTTAACATAATTTAAACCAGCTTTCTTTGTTTTGAATTTTTGTTTGAAAAAGTTCCTTATTTCATGTTCAACATTTTCAAAGTATTTCCAAGACTGAAGAAAACCATAAGCATAGCATTGTTTATTAATCCCCTGACTGATTTGTTTTACCATTGAAGATGAAAATTTTCTTGGAAGTTCTTCTCTTAACACAACAGATTTTTGAAGCTTTTTATTAAACCTATTTCTCATTATAAATTCAGGTGGAATGTTGAAACACCGACCTCTATCCCAAAAATATGGTGAAACACGAAGTGTTTTACTTGTTTTTGCTGCCAACCCTAAGCCGGCAGCGAATATGAACATTAAATTTCCAAGTCGTCCACGACCATAAACAAATAATGTCTCATTCAAGGGAGCTGGTTTTAACATGGCCTGTATTGTTGGATATGAGTCCTCTGTAACTCTTGAGTTGAAGAAATTCCACATATTATTTTCATATACAATTATCAGAACCGGTACAGACAATAATACAAACAAGTATTTCGAAAAGATATATTTAAACATGTTTTATGATAATCTACCACGTATTTCTACTTGGGCCGGAAGTCTATATTGTTTCTATTTTTCTGGTCACTCATAAATTTTACTTAGTTGTTTTGAAAGCCATTGGTCAAATACATTAATTTTCTGCAGTGCCTAACCGGTCAATCGTATGATATAATTGTTTAACCGGTGCGTAGGTTAGTTCGGTTATATTTGGTCCTATGAACCTTTTTCTGTAGGAAAACAACAGCTGACACCGAGGGGGAGATGTCTTACTAAAATATGCATAATATAAAGAAAGTAACCTGCAGAATGCCTACACTTTTTTCAATAATTAAACGATTATTTTAAACAAAAAAAATATGCATGTTGTCATTTACTAGGGGAATATATCATGTTTCTTCAAAGAAGAACAGGGTAAAGCTACCTCTGCAGTTTGAAATGAAGAAAAGAAAAAGAGTTCCTTTGTTATTTAATATAATGGAGAATGTTTTCTTTTTATAAATTTCTAATTCTCCTCAGCAAATTTTTTTGGCAGGATTTCTTCTTATCCCTCTTTACTTCTATTTTTCCTATCTATCTCTTTCTAGTCTGCTCCATATTCAAATCTACGCAATAATGCAATATATTAATTTAATGAGGAAAGGATAAAAGCTTTACTGACCAATTTTTCTTTCTTTATATCCTAATCATAATAAATTTTATGATAATCATCAAATATATAAGTGCGTGCATATTATATCTGTATTCTCTATCTTTCTATCTATAATATATATATATATATATATATATATATATATATATATATATATAATTGCATATATTAATTTGCAATGCTATTTATATAAATATAATAGAATATTCATTTTCTTCTCGAATTCCAATTTTTAAGTCTGACAAAATCAATATAATTAACTACGATTACTCTATAGCTTTGAAATTTTAATTGGACAAATGTCACGTGATATATTCTAAAAATAAAAAAAAGCAATCTGCAATAATATAGGAAAGGAGAAAGAGCGAGCGAGCGAGCGAGTGAGTAAGAGAGAGACAGAGAGAGAGAGAGAGAGAGAGAGAGTAAGAAAGAGAGGAACAAACAAAGAGAGACGGATGGAGAGAAGGACGCAAAAAGGAAGAAAATTTATCAATAAATATAATAATGGAAATAATAAAAGAAATTGATAAATTAAATATATTCTTTAATAAAATTCTCGTGAAAAAGAACAAAATTTAATTAATTTATAAATATAGAAAACGTTAGATTAACAGATCATAGATAAAAGTAACTGTATAAATGCATTTTACAGTATATATCTGAATTACAATACAGGCATATTTACATATCTATATTTTGCACATATAGTACTGTCCTCTATATCATTTATACAGATATATATATATATATATAAACATAAAAATATAGACTATATTAACATAAAATAGATATAGCTTAAAATTACAAGACAAAGAACATCTTTGTTATAAATCAATCGTCACGTAGGGAAATAAAACAGCTGATAAATATATTAACTATTGAATAATTGCTTTTACAGTTTCAAAAGACAACTGTTTATATGTTGTAATAAGTATATTATATTTACATATATTTAAAATATACAATATTATATAGTAGGTGTAGTGCAATTATATTAAAATCTTTTTTTAACTCTTTCTCTCTCTCTCTCTCTCTCTCTGTTTCTTTTTTGTCTAATCAGTAAAATAAATCATCTTTTCAAGTGCTCACAATCTATTTAAAAATTAAAATTAATTCTATTGATTAGACAATATAGGTATAGAATATATTATAATGTATAATAGATATACTTACAATATATCATATTATGTTATATATCTAATATATGTTTTATATTATATATAGATGATATTTATTTAAATAATTTTATTTTTGGATCTTTGTTTTTCTAATGAAAAAATTCTAATACTATTTTTAGATTTATAAAGATTTTGTTTACTCCACCCATAAAATATTCCTTTTTTTCTCCTTTCCTCTCTCTCTCTCTCTCTCTTTATTTTCTTTCTTTCCTTTTTTTTCCTTCTTTCTATCACTCTCTATCTCTATCTCTCTTTATTCCTTTCTTTCCCTCACTGTTTTCTTCTTTCTATCCCGCTCTATATCTCTCTTTCCCCTTCCCTTGTCCTTTCTTCTCCTTCTCTTTTCTTTTTTTACAATACAAAGAAAACTTATTTTTTGTTATTAAAAAAGAGTTCAATAAAATATATTCCTTTCATTTTATCGTCATTATTTATTTTTATTATTATTTTACAACGTATACATCGTACAGTATATCTTTGTTTTTTTTTATATTGTATATAGAATATATACAGTTTATATTTATACTGTATACAGTATGCAGAATACAGTATATGCGTATGTATTACAAACAAACCTCTCTTATATATATATATATATATATGTACGTATCTATGTATGTATGTAATTTATCAACTAAATTTATGCGAGTGTGAAATCGATCATTTGATTATAATAGGATTATTGCTTTTTTTAAGGATAAATTATGTTTTTCATTAAATTCTTGACTGTAATAAAGCTATCGTATAGAATTTCCATATTAAAGACAAAATAGAATGCGAGCGTATATATTATGCGCAGTGTGTGTGTGTGTGTATGTATGTATGTGTGTGCAAGAGAGAAAGAGAGAGAGAGAGAATGGAGAGGGGAAGATTTATATATATATATATATATATAGACATAAAGAAAGAGAAGGATAGACAGAAAGAGAATGAAAAATGAAGAGAGAGAGAGAGAAGAGAAAGAAAAAGAGAAAGAAAGAGAAATATATAAAAGAAGAAAGAAAGATAAATACAGTTGATAGATTATTTATCTCAAAAATTTGTATATCTAAATAATTAATATTTAAATGTATTCTTTCTGTTTATGAATATTTAAGTAAGAAAATTTCCTACAGCTAAATAATTTATTCAGTATTTATTGACAAAAATCTATGTTATTAGAACAAGTAGGCCTGTATTCTCTCTTCCCCCTCCCCCCATTAATGCTGGTATTTACTATATATATTTATGAAGAATTTAGAGTTGAATAATAATATTTTGACAAGAATAATATATATATATATATTAGTATATAGATTTTGAATAATATTTAAGCTATAAATAGAATATTTGGCATAAGATATATAATTTTATATGCAATATATATATATATATATATATATATATATAATACATGTATATTGTACACAACCCTTTACCTTGGGGCGTTATTTTTCCCATCGGCTAAAATTAACATTTATATTATAAATTGTATATTTGAATGAATGTATAGAAAAAAAAATGCATATGCATTATAATGGAATACAATACTAAGTGGATTTTTTTTTAAACTTTTAAACCTATATTATTAAATTGGATAGATATTTTATACTGCAATAAATAATTCTAATAATATTAGCTATTAATAACAACTATATCAAAGCGAAATTACAATTGTCGCATTCTTTTCATTTTATAGTATTGCTATATTTAAAGTTTAAGTAAATAATACTGGTAAAAGGATTTATTAAGTTATTATTAATATTTAGATAAAATTCCACAAGTTAAGTAAATTATACGAAAAGAATAAAGGTAAACAGACGTTGGTGAAGCCTCTTATAAATAATATTATGTTCAAAGGCCAATGTTTTATATGCCGAAATTTAAAATCTATCCCTAAATATTTTTACGGTGTCCGAAACATCTATAATAGTTTTTCATTCGTCCTACAGTTATTTAATACAATCAAATTAAGGAGAGAAGCGTTATTATTCGTTTCTATTATAGACATTGTCTTATAAATAAATAATAGAAAATTACTTTGTAATTATAGGTAAGATAAATAAATATTTCGGTTAATTTTCTTATAATTATTAAATATCGCTCACTCTCATGCTGTTTGTCTATTATTCCCTCAGATTTGAAGAATTATAGGAATCATGCAAAATTTATCAAATATCTTCCGTAATTTCTTTTCAATAATTAATCGGGGATCATCTCTTGTACAGAATATTTCAACTTCCGGTAAAAATAATAAACGAATATTTTAATATTTTTTAGATGTATAGTTAAATTTTTAAAAGGCAACATTTTCTCTTTTATAATTTAAACGTAGCTACTCTCTTCGACGCCGTCTCCGCAAAAGCAGGCCAAAATCAGATGGCAATGATATATAAAATGTATAAAGATGGTCCTCCTAAAAGGCATATTGTTAAGAATAAAGCCATGGATGGTCGACCTTTCATGAAGGGCGTTGTTCTAAAGACATTAATAAAAAAACCTAAGAAACCAAATTCTGCGAATAGAAAATGCGTTAGAGTGCGAGTATCATCAGGAAGAGAAGTTACCGCATACGTGCCAGGAGAAGGTCACAACCTGCAAGAGCATAGTATAGTTTTGGTTCGAGGCGGAAAGGTACAAGATCTTCCCGGTGTAAAACATAAATGTATTAGAGGAAAATATGATTTAGGTCATGTAAAAAAATAAATAACATACTAATTATAATAATAAGAAAAAAAAACTGTTTCCTTTTTCTGCTTGTAGCTCTATTATATACGTTATTGTTATTGAAAACAACATAGGTAAATTTAAGATGAATTATCCTTTTGAACTTGAAAATACTTAATTAATCTAAGCCTAACATGTGCAACTTCAATAATTATTTATTGATTTTTATTTCTATATGCAGATTATTGCATTGATCATTTTCCCCTTATATTAATACTATTTATTATTATTTATTAGGTATGTTTGACTCTTCTAAATCTGTCAAATTACTTATCAAAATATTCTTATTTTTCCTTTTACCCGAATTAGAGTGGAAGAGCAACAGAATTTTTGCTTATTTTACACCATCTGTTATCCCTAGAGGATTTTCAAATTTACTTATCTGTTACTGAAGCGTTTATAAATCAATATAAGCCTTTCGTATTCTTTGAGCTCGGAGTAGTCTATATTATCTATTATTATCATTTATTTTCTAAATGTAATACCAGAATTAAAATTATTGGCATTTTAGACAAGTAATACTGGAATTATTTACATTAATTCAATACGTCAATACTCGCGAGTATAGTGAAGTAATTAATTACGCAAATTGCTTATAATGAAAAATATTTGACATTTTGATTAACTTACTCCTTACGCCGTACATTTGTTTATATATACATATATATATATATGTATATATTTTATCGATTTCTTCTGTAAATAGTTACATACTAATCATAGAAATCTTCCTACTTTCAATTATGAAAAAAATTCGTAACATTAAGATAATTTTCCCCATAATCGATAAAACAATGTACATATTTATAGTAACATAAATGAATATGTTTACATAACATTCGATTCTATATACCAAAGAATATTTTATTAGAGAGTAATTTATTTATAACAAAATGCGTAGTATAACAATATTTACTTTTTTTTTTGTTAGGTTTCTTTAATAAAAGATAATTTGATCGTGCAGCTTTTTTTTTTCTTTATTTATTTCTCCTTCTCCTCCTCCTCCTTCTTCTTCTTCTTCTTCTGTTTTTTATTTTTTTTGTGTTTTTTTTTTTAAATGAAAATGTACTTTCTTCTTAATCTTGACCCAAAACTCTTTGAATCATTTTATATACAGCCAACATTTGCTCACCGTCTTTCACCGCTGTATATATATGTATAGAAATATATAAATATGCATATATTAATATAAATATAAGTCACTTATATATATATATATGTATATCTTTTGGTAATTAAATCATATTTGTAAGAATTATCTTATGTTATTACCGTAATTCTCATCCTCGTAGCCCCACCAGTCATAGCAACCGTTCATGTTTCCAAGCATGACATTTGATACAACTTCTGGATAGAGAACAACAATGTTGTTAACATCTGCAATTTCGTTATATCCGGCATTTCGAACAAATTCTTCGCCAACCATTTCATTTCCTTGAAGACAGCCGTGAAAGACCATATGAACTTTACATTTTCCTCCAGGAGTAGGACCTCCGCTCTTAGGTCTAAAACAATAATAAGGCTGCTCCTCTTTCCAACAGCAATTCCTATCGTTCTCGCAGATAGTCTGATTGATTCCAGAAAATCCACATTCCTCTCTATCATTAGCGCTTACAGCACATTTATCAGCAGTTGCTTTTTCAAAACAATTAAATGGACCATCAGGACGCCAGCAGCAACCTCTATTGACAATACATTGCTCTTCGGTAATACTATCGAAACCGCATTTTTTACGATCACCAACAGGAATTTCACATTCATTTTGAGCAAACAGATCGTTCATTTCTAATTCACAAGCAGCTGGTACATACACGAAACCATCGTCATCAAAGCTATGATCGTTTGGATCTTTTTGAAATTCTTCTTGATCATAACGAAGTAGTTTTCCAGTGAGTTGATGGTTAGTTGATGGTTTAATAATATCGGGATAAATATGCTTCAAAAGAGAGAAAGCACCGCTACAATATAAAAAAAAGACAATATTATCTTTTCTTCATTTTCCTCAAAGAGCGACTAAACGTACTCATAATTACACTTATTAAGGTAGGGTGATGAAGTATCTGGGCAAGATATACCATAATTTGTGGTTGGAACACCGTGTCCAAGAGAAAGACTAAGTTCTTCGGCAATTGTAGCTCCGTAATGTTCATAATACTGACGTACTTTAGCAGCAGCATCTTAGGATAACAAAAAGTTTTTTTTAGTTCAAGGACAGATATAAAAAAAAAGTCTTTACCAATTCCCACGGTAGGATCTTCCTTTCCGTGAAGGATGAAAACTTTATCATTTCTCAAATTAGAGGTGGGGTCAATTCTACCCTCTCTTGCGAAATTTTCAGTTTCAGTTATACAATCCTCGACATAGATTCCATTGGGGAATCCCATGCAAGTGTTTAAAGCGGTGAATAAGTTGCCTTCAGCGCAATAGTAAGGACCGGCTGAAACAGTTGGAAAAGCATTTATTAAACACTTTTCTAGACGCGCTTTTTGTTTTCATTTTAATTAAAACTTACGAGTCGCCATTAAACCAACACCAACAGTCTCGGACGAATAGGCAACATGCATTTGGGTGGCCATAGCAGCACCCGCAGAAATACCGGAATAACTAACTTGATTCGGATCGGTATTGTACCTCTCTAAATTTTAAAGGAAATGTTCATCGTATTTTTTGACAGACACATAAACGACACTTACTCAGTGGAGTTTGACTGAAAGATAAATTGACCAAAGTAAAAAGTACCAACGTTGCCCGAAACATCATTGCTAGTATCATTTAACTTTCGAAGAAACTTATCCATTAATATACTATAAAGAATAACAACATCTGCGAATTCTCGTTCTTATCAATCATGTATTTTAGTTTTCATCATCTATACTGTATAGTACCGTAAATAAAAAAATATGTATATGTATGTTTCGGCAGTGAAAAACCGCTGCATTCCCAGATTAACTACTAATATTGTTAACACCGTGTCAGAGTTCATTGCACACATAAATATATATACATATCTATATATATATATACATATATATATATATATAGTGGACTGGTTTTAGCTATATTAGATAGCTATACACATTTATGTTAAAGAGCGCATTCACTAAAAAATTGTGCTAGAGTTCATTTTCGAAGAATCTCCGGTGGTGTCAAAGTTCCAACGACATTCGCTAAAGGTGGAAAAGGTATTCCACTTAATCCATTTAAGGCCGTCGGAACGTAGAAAGACGGTTTCGGAAAGCTTGGCAGCGTCGATACGCCGTTCAAGTTTGGTAAGTTCAATGCCGGTATAGCGGCTGGTAGCAAATCTAACTGTTAGAAAAAGTAATTTTCAATATTGTTTATAGGATTAATTTCTATTTATTCTTATTATTACTTACATTGAATTTTCCATTTAACATAGGAACATTGAAAGGCAGAGTAAGTGCAGTAATCCCATTCATAGAGCAATTATTGTTTGCGACATCAGCGGCTTGCTCAGGTTTATTTGAAGTAGGATTCTCCACTGTAGGTACAGCTAATTCTACAAACCCATTCGTTGGATTGGAAGACTGTGAAAATGATTGTGTAATCGACTGAGAAACAGTTTGTGGTAAGGACTGAGGTAAACTAAGGCCATTGTTTAACGAAGCAATTTTTCTAGCTTCTAATTCGTCTTTTATTGTCCGTCGACCAGTTGACAATTTATTTGATGTTGATGTTTGAATTTCTATTTGTCGAGCTTCGAGCTCGTCTTTAACAGTTCGTCGAGCTACTTGGCGTTTAGCTAATTGATTAGATGCCTTTAAAAAAGAAAAAAAAATCTTATTATATTTATCTTTAAATAGAAGAGAAAGAGAAAAAAAATTAAATGCCTACTTCTGATGATTGATGTTTAGCTTTTATTTCTGACCATTGATTTTCTAAAATTGAAAAATCATGGCCTGTTTCTTTCGTTCTGTAAGAGTTTTTTCTAGTTAAATAGCGCTCAAATGGTAAAATTAAACGCTCGTAGTGACGTCTGGTACATGTAGCAGCCGAAGTATTAGTAGGATTTCCCCCTAAAGTGTCATAAATGTTCTTCCAGAGTCGCCTGGAACAGACTGCTTCATAGCCTCCGTAATCCTTAACGAGTTTATAAATACGGAACAAGTCCAATTGTTTAAATCCTAGGAAAGGAGCTCGTTCAACGGGCGTATTATTCCTTCTCATGAATTCTTTAAGGTCTAGTAGGAAGTCCTCGCGTTCCTGATTAGGTGGTTCCCCCCGAGGTCCGAGCTTAACCCTCACTACAGCACGTTCATCATCCGACCATTTACGGTCAGAATCTTCGTTTGTGGAAGGTATTGAATCGTTGGAAGAATCGTCTTGTTTTGAGTCAACGCTCGTTCTTATAGCTTTTGTAGGCACAAAGTCGCTATCGGAATCCCCATCGTAGTTGAGTTTTCGTTTACGGGGTCTCCCTTTTAATGTTGGCGTAACGCCATATAATCTAAAAGGATGCTGGTCGAGATTTGTGTGCGAAGTAACCTCCCTTACAAATAGTACCCGTTTAATGCCAGTTGGGAGGGAAAAACCGCCTAAGGCACTAATGATAGTATGCCTTAACCATTGGTTAGTGACGCCTTCTAAACGCTTCAAGGCCGCACGATATCGGCAGTATTGAGCATAAGTTACGATGACTAAATCGTCGCCGCCATCTGTCGAAAAAAGGGTAACTTAACGACATCTATCGGAAAGTAAGTCTGTAATTAACTAGCAAATGCCAGTTGTTTCCATTAATCTTTTCAAGCATAGATTAATCGACCTTTCTTATGTATTTATGCTTCGAAAGTTTGCTTTACAGTAACACAAGCTTTCATAAATTAACACACGACATCCGATTTTCTCAAATTTCACAACAGTACATTGCTATACATTATGTGCAAATAGACACTACTTCTCCTATCTCTTAATATATATATACTAATATATATATATATATATATAATTAAACGAACGTTCAGTATATTTAATGTTAAGCAGCACTGTATTTATGAGAAGTTATTTTTTTTTCTTCTTTTGTTCTATAAAAATAATACGTAAATAATCAAAGACTAAAGGAGATAGAGAAGGGATGCGGTATAAGAAAATTATGCGCATTCGAATTACGGAATAAATTTTCTTCAAAGAAACTGTGTCATCTATAAAGCGCAAATAAGAGAATATAAAATCCACTTTTTATGCTTCTCATTAATTCCTGAATAAGAACGGTATCCCGCTGCTTGTTCTAAGATGCTTAGTATCAGCGAGGGACGGTGAAGCCAGTCTACGCTCAAGATATAACTCATTCTGCTTCTAAAATTACGATAGCGCGCACCAAATCAACCTAACCACTCTCAAATATTATTTTTTTAAACGCGAGTAATAAATGATTGAAGTAGGCCTATATATTTTATAAACGTACCGGCTTTCCTGGATCGCTTCCGTTGTACGGACACAGCTGGTGGAAGAAAACTGCTAGTGTTTATATCATCCGTTTGTTGGCATTCTCCCTTCGCTGGACCTCTATGACCAACGGTCATCCAATGCCTGAAGGCGTCGTCCGTCAACCATTTGGCTAAGTTGTCGACGCTCACTACTACTTTGTCGGCTTCAGCAATTACTTCGTCCTGTCCAGTAGGATAATTATAATTAATCCGACATTTTCGAAATGCTATTTACGAGTCGGCCATATTATAGAGAAAAACAAACAAAGCATTTCCGTAAATTTTTCACAATGTATAATATATTATTGTAGTGAGGTCGAAATTTCCCAATAACACGCTCCACCTAATTTCTTTCTTTTATAAATTACGTAAAATAACGTTGCACGCGAAAGAAAGCGATAAAAAGGCAGCAATCACCGTCGTACCCCCTCCTAATGACGTAATACGTATAATTACGTAAGCTTGCCTAATTCCAAGCAAGCTGTACTTTTTAATTTGCTGATAAATTAATTCGTATTTGATAAAGGGGAAATCTATTTATAAATCATTCCAAGAACAGCCTATATACGTAAATAGGTTCTGAAATTAGACGGCGTGACGTTATTTTATTTCTAGATGGCGCAGAACTCTAAGTTAATTGTGCACATGGCATAAATGAATATCTTTTTAGTCTAAAATCAAAACCACGCACGAAATTTTCATATGTATATCGACAAAGTAGGAAAATAAGATTTCGGGCAAAAGCGGACTAAGCATCACCCGTATATACGCGTATATTGTTTTTCTTGTTTTGACTAAAATTTTCAAGCAATAAACAATCTCCTTTCACTTCGTCAACTTTGAAATACGATAAGTTATTACTAGATTTATCGAATGCATTACTTTTGAATTTTACACCACTCTTATCTTCCACTGATAATTTCGACATTCGTCTAGGCCTACGGCTGTCTTAGAAAATATTTATAGACGAAAAACGTAGCAATTAGCAAATGAAATAGCATCAATCATGATGTGTTTGCTTATCGAAGAGCGTAGCGTAGAGAAAAAGAGACGGAAGGGTATCTTGAAATTCATGAATATTTATATTGACCGTCTAAAAATCGTTAATTATTTTGCTAAAATAAAAATAACAAGGCGTGTCCGTTGCCCTTTGATAGTGTGCTTATTTCAACATTTACACAAACATTATAGCCTTTAAAAAGCGTTTCCGTAGTCCGCTTAGAAGAAAGAAACCAAATGTAATATACATAATACATTATACATTATAATTTCGACTAGGCAAACAGAAAAGAATGGGTGATTCCGACAGCTGCGGTTATCGGAGGGGCGGACCGACGGGGGGTCCAGAAATTTTGAAACCCTATCGGCGTTTTCGAACGTATTTAATTACCGGCTTTCATTCACTGCGTTCTATACGTTTAATTAGCGGTCGAAATAGACTTTTAAGCAGACAGAAATAATTAATTCAACTATTTTCTAAATTTATGTCAATTATTAATTAGAATATAAATTTATGTCAATTATTAATTAAAATATAAAATATCTAATATTCTAAGCTAAATAAAACGTCGAATGTATATAATAAACATTTAGGTTAATATTATGCGAACAACGAACAATCGCTTTCACACTCGGCGATTTTTAATTAAAAATATGCAAATTAATTTTTTTAATATTCTCTTTATAAAAGTCATTAAAAATTGACACAAATGGATAGATATATTCGAAAATAAGATTGTTTTGACATATCAAAGATTCATTTTCATCCACCTTGGGGCCGTACACAATTTTATGATAAACACTCTAACAACCGCGCGCATTTCAAGATTTTTTTTTTTTTTTTTTTTTTTTTTTTTAGATTTTAACGCTCTAACCGCCGCCGAACCGGAAGAGGTTAGTTCGTTCTTGCGCCACACTGCCGATATGAACTGTGCAATGAAATAAGCCCTTGCCTTTGTGTATTATTCGTTCTATTTTCATTAATGTATGCATAATTTGCTTATCGTTCAATTATCGATTAACTACGTTTATAAACTAACAAATTCCTTTCGAATGAAATTTTGGTCAGAGTGTTTGGAATATTTTTATGCCTTATTTAATTGACAAAAAGCTCTTAAATCAATAACGCTAAGTGTAAACAGAATTATTCTTTTTTAACGTTCTATACGCCTTTCGCTATGGCGGCGAATTTTCCATGCAAATATATTCGACAAAGATAATTCGATTAATTAAATATATATCGATTAATAATTAATTACCTGGCCGTGATGTTCTTGTTTACTGTCAGAGACGTAGGCCGGTAAATAGTAGATTTTTAAACTAACGAATGCTTCCGTAGAATTCTTATCGGTCCACACTAATTGTATTTCGCCTATCGCTGGAAGGTCATTATCAATTTCCATAAAAAAGAAATCTCCAGTCGATATAATTCTTTGCTTTGTTCCTCGTAAATATTTAAACGATTTATAGAAAGAATAAATGCCATGCTGACCACAAGCTGGACCGTACGGCTGTTAAAAGATGAAAAAAATTAATTAATTCTACTTATACTGCATTTTCGTTGTACAGCGCTCGTATTTTCAATCAAACAGCCTACAGTCGAATATAATACATTCTCTTATTTTCTAACTAATATACATGTAAAATATTATTAAATTATACTACACCATGCATATTTGTCTTAATAAACAAATAGAATAATTTACCTGAACTTTTGTTGCAGGCATTCTCGGAGATTTGAAGTATTTATCGGCTTGTTAAGTTCTTTGCATCTATTTTGGGTTAGTCGTTAATATTCATGAGAAGATGGTCACGTGATTCGTCGCATATTCTGCCGAATTTTACTCAATTGCAATTTATATACTTATATTTCATTAACAACCTCTTTAATAATAATATCTCTTTCGCCAATGTCTTCAGTTTCTACGACAACACTTTTTTAACACTTCTTTGTAATAATTATGTTTAATTCTTAAAAAATATACAATACTGATATGGTATCCGATTCGTCATCGTAGCGTTTTTACTATTGTAGTAGTAATCTGACTGGTAACCAAGTTCGTTTGTAACTTTTATAAAAATACCGATGGTAGCGACATCTACACCGTAACCTTTACACCAAAGTTCAAGTAAAGATGTCACTACCGTAGAAACAAACTGTGCCAATATTACTTCGTCAATATAATTTATCATGATTTCACGTAATTTATCATCTAATACTATTGAAATATTGCACCGAAATGAAATATATTATTATTCTTCTATTACACACTTAAACAAATAGCCAATTTAGCGATTTTTTTTAGACTTATTACTCTTAAAGCTCTTCATTTGATTCAGTTTAATAGGGCATATTAAGTTGGCTGTTATAGATTCGTTTACTGAAGACTTCTTTATCGTACACCCTAAGAACTTTGCTAGTTTTATAATGTCATTTGCCGGTTTGAACAATGAGTTAGCCACTTGTTGGGTATCTATACAGAAATTATCCAAATGCAATCGTAAGAGAATGACGTGAACTTGTAGTAGAAGATTCTGATATCTGGACTTCACACGAATAACTTTACGTGCTTCATTCTTATCCTTTGTACTATAAAAATTTAAAATTCCTTCCATAACAGTTCTAGGTATATAATTAACTTTCAAGGATTTCAGTCCCATTCCATGACTATTGTGAATCCTTAATAAAACATCTAAATAGAGGAGAATTCGCAGTGATTTGTCTTTGGTTTTATATTTTTGCACCAGTTCTGCTATGAAGATGGAATATTTATGGGCTAATAGTTTAAAATCAGAATCTGCATCTTTAGCAAGCTCTTGACTTTTGTCTTCTAGGCACTGCCAAACTTCTGGGGGAAAGACCATGTCCATGTTATAAACTTTCTTCGGCTCCTTTGCCTCACTATTGAATGGCGGTCGTAAGTCATCCATCGTGTCCTCTTCTTCAGCGGGTTCTTCGCCTTCTAACTTTTCAATTACTTTTTGCGAAGATTCTTTTACAGTTTTTTCTGCTGCTTTTTCGTCAATGACATCACGGTTTTTTAACTTAAGCCTTTGACCACGTTTTCTCTTGGCATCACCAAATAATTCTATAAGATTTTGCTTCTTATCTCTTGTGCTTTCTTTCGATTGATCTCTGTCCTCTTCGTCGAAGTTTGATTTTTCCCCTTCGACATTAGCTGTTAACTCGCAAGTTGCAGTTGTTAAGTAAATCTTTAGTACTTTTTCTTCATCATTTCTTTCGCAGATTAGTAGTGATTTCTCAGCCAAGCATGAATCTTCACCATCATTACCTACATAGCAATTATTATTCTCAATAGAGTTGTTAACAGTCATTTATTAAAAATTATACCTTTAACGAACTTTTGTCGTTTTACTTCTCCATGAAAACTTAAACCTTCAGGAATTTGCGATTCGCTTGATCTCTCAGCACACAGGAATCTTTTCTTTCCTTTTTCTGCTTGTTTCAGCTGGAAATTTTTTTGTAAATTATTTCCACTGATAGTGCCATTGCTAAAATTTGCGAGAACGTATTGACGTGATAGACTTGAGCAAAGCTGTACACGATAGTTACAAGAATCGTTTTTATCCATGCCGTTGAAATTAGCAGACGATATTTCTGCGAGGCTATTCAAAGAAAGCGTGCTTAATAAACTTTGATATAATAACCTAATCTTAAATTTATTTTGTAAATTTGGTTATTTTGTTAAATCTTACGACAAAATGCTTCATTTAATTTACTTGAGAGCATATAGTTTTAAAATTTAACGATAAAAATTTTTAATGCTCTATTAAAAAACACGTGACCTATCACATGATTGGCAAAGTGAAAACAAATACTCTTTAATTTATTGAAAATCAGCTCTGATAAGCAAATGCTAGTAAGTAAAACGCCCACTCGACTTTAAGAATATAAAAATTAAATTCTTTGCACATTCTTATTTTTTCAGTGCAGGTAGACGATCAAGAAGAATGCATAAATGTACCTAACTTTACAATCAACATTCATTGTTCCTTGGAAGATCTACAAGGCCGTAGCGAAATTGACTGTGCAGACATTGATACAATTAATGATCTAATAAAAAGCTATTGCGCTCTTCATAATGTACCCAATCCTTCAAATTTTGTTTTACAAACTGCTGATGGTAAAACATTGAGAAAAACTTTAAGAATAAAAAAGTGCGGTGTGCACGAAGGTCAAGTTCTTTATCTGTTAATGAGCAGCCAAGATTCTTTTCGACGAAATGGGAGACATTATTGTTCACTGGCTATTATAAGCTTTATTATTGCTGTTTGTTTGCTTGCAGCAGTTATTGTAGTTTCAGTTTATCCGAAACAATCAGTATTCCAGTACGGTGTTGTTTTTGATGCCGGATCATCTCATACAAAAAGTTTTGTTTACAAATGGCCAGGACAAAAGCAGAACGGTACTGGTGCTATAGAGGAAATTTGGCGTTCTAACGCCACTGAAAAGGGTATTTCTGCATACAGCGTTAATCCCACGAGTGTAAAAGAGTCTTTGGAACCTATAATAAAAAAGACTAAAAAGGTTTTAAAAAAACCTTCAGAGACGCCTATTTATTTAGGTGCAACAGCAGGGATGAGACTGCTCAAGCAACGTAATCCTAAAGCCGCGGACTCAATATTAGATGCTGTCCGTGAAGCATTCTCATCAACATCTTTCCATCTGAAGAATGAAACACAAAATGTTCGAATTTTATCCGGTGAAGAAGAAGGCACCGATTCTTGGGTTGCCGTCAACTATATATTGAATAAATTTGGTACAATGTCTGTATTTAATCTTGTTAAAGAAAATCCAAAAACAGTAGGGGCTTTGGATATGGGAGGAGCATCAACACAAATAACTTTTGACTCTTACAAACAAACTATACCTAAAGCATACTCTCAAAACTTGACTCTATTTGGTTGGAAATTTAAAGTATATACTCATAGCTATTCTTGTTATGGTTTAGACGAGATTAAAAATCGGTATTTCGCACATTTGATAAATAAAAATAAGACTGGAACGGGACCAATAAAATCATTTTGTTTACCATCCGGATATAATCAGACACTTAATTCAACAGATATTTTTCAACTTCCATGTACAAACAGGACGACAAATAATAAAGAAGAAATATATACATTTATAGGCCAGAGTAACGATGAGGGATGCAAAAATGAGCTAGATCAATTATTTAATTGGAAGAATTGTCCATATGGAAAGGGTAATTGCTCTTTCAATGGTGTCTATATGCCAAACTTGAAAAATGTTGATGAGTTTTTAGCATTTTCAGGATTTTGTTATCCTGTTTCATTCTTGAATTTAACAACTTGTAAAAAAGCAGAAAAATTCAGTTATAAGAGCTTTCAAAACGCCAGAGCAAATTTCTGTAATAAAACTTGGACCGAAATCTCTAATATACCTAAAAAGGATAAATTTAAATGGATCTATTGCATGCAAATGCACTATATTGAAAAATTATTGGTTAAAGGTTATGGATTTAATGGTTCAAACTGGAAAAAATTAACTTTTAGACAAGACATAAATGGCACTGTAATAGGTTGGGCTCCTGGATTTATGCTGAGAGTAACAAATAGTTTACCTACGGTTCTACCATCTCCACTAATTGGATTAGCAATTTTCATAGTTATTGTCTGTCTCCTTGTAGTGTTCTGTGTATTTGGAGTTGCTTACTCAATGATATGGAGAAGATTCCTGAAAGCTAAACGCTATCAGAGACTAGAGCATAGAATAGCGCCATCTATCTGATGTTATTTGTTCCTTGAAGTAAAATTATATATTTTTGTTCACTTTTAAAAAGACTAAGAGCATGCCAAAGCACACACGTAGGCGGCTGAAGTTTTTATAATTAGAATGCAAATGAACCTGGTGTAATAAAATGCGCAGTCGCGTTTTTTTTTTGTTTTTGCCAACGTTTGATGTAGCCTAATCTGCATACTGTCAACAATCGTCGATTGTTTCGATCTATACAACAGGCACATTGGCACAACGTCGAAATCTATATTAATTTACGTCGTCTGACTTGTTTACCTCCAACAAACATTTGAAACGCGCCTAATCGTTTTATTATTCATACTGTCTTAACATTCGACGCTCGTACACGCTTTTTCACTATCACGTGACGGGAAAAGGTTTTCTAAATTGTTTTATATGGTGTCTGTATGATGGATGGAAATACGCTATACGTCTGACAACTCATTTTTCCCCCTCCCTCTTCCCTTCTCTTCTTTCATCCCCCTAAAGCGACGATTAATATTTCGTCTACGCCTTATAGAAAATAAATTTGACCGAATAGAATGCATAATATATATTGTCCAAAGTACTAGAGAAAATATTCGGTTTCCGGTCAGTTCTCGACAGGCTCCGCCTACAGTGTTTGCGCAGAACAAACATAGGCCTATGCTCAGTCGGTCTGGGCTCCGGCGGCAGTAAGCCGGAGAACGGCGTAACGTGCGCAGCGAAACTATGCGAGAGCACAAAACCGACGCGGTGTATGGAACATGTGATTCTAGTGCACTAAACGACATCAGAATATGACGATAACGTCGTCAAGGCAACGGAAAGCTGGAAGCTAATAAAAGAATTTTGGTTTGCTGCTTTTCTCTCTCTCTCTGACTCTCTCGCTTTCTCTCTCGACCTCTCCTCCCAATCTGTCTGGCTTTCTCACTCTCACTCGTTCTCTGCTGTCTGTCTGTCTGTCTCTCTCTTTCTCTCTCATGCTATCTTCTGTTTATAGGTATATTATTCATATACAAATATCAGGATATTTATATTTTTAATCTACACATTTTGCAGATTATGTATTTAAATAAATATATATCGAATTCTGCAAAATGTGTGTAGATATACTAAAGAAAAACGATATGGTCAGACGTAGGCACAGTCTGGAATTCATTTTCATGTCAGTCTCTACTATTTTGAGTCTTTGTTTTACGAGACAGTCTTCGTGGGTGGTCGCTTACCTATCTTTTATTACCGCATATCTTTTGTTTGGAGAGATAAAGAAACAGGAAAGAAAGGAAATAAGGCACAATTTTCTATTTCGTCCATTCGGCGCCTGACACTTTGGCTCAACCTGCGATTTGTAAAAGAGGTGAGCAAAGTTTCAGGTTCTTCGAATGAGACGATAAAAACCTCCATTATTTGCCTGCCTGGGCCGCCTATACCAATCGATAATTATATATGCATACTTGATATATTTATATACATACGTACATATACATATAAATATATATATTTATATATTTATATATATTTATACGTTGAAATACACTTTTGAAACATATATAGCGTATATTTGTACCTTCTCTTTATTTCATACGTTAATATATTTAATACTATTGCCAACGCAATACATGGGAAACTGTGCTGACTATATCTATATATCTTTATGGCGGTTAAAGTATAAACATAATAGTTTTCGATATAGGCTATGAACGAGTCTAACTAATCAGACTAATTAAAAGGAGCGTCTAATGGAATCTACCCGACGTCTGCCAAGAGTCGACCTTGTCACTTATGTTTATTGCACTTTTACGCTTAAATTGCGGTTCTGACCGTCTGTATATATGTCTTGAGAGAAAAGAGATTTATTTATTAGATCGTGATTTCGGTGAAACAAAGAAATTCCTTTCTAAAATTTCGCTTGTAAACCGATCGGACAATGGAAATTTGTATCCTGTAAACACATATCGACACATTTTCACTGGATTCGTCATCATTCGGCCCTCTACCGGTTATTTTGCTCAATCGACGACCTGCCAAAGTTGGCGTAATGTAAAACCGTCGGCTAACTTTTCGATGGCTAGGCCTAATTCATCAGAATAAACGGGATCTCTATCCGTTTGTTTGTTGCCATCGGCAAAGTATGCCTAAAGAGAGGAAAAACTTTAAGATTTTGTCGGAAAAAATTAGGATAGGAAGAATACAAAAAACGTAAGGAAAAGTAATTTATCGGGCCTATAGTCTGTACAAGATGTACAGTATATACATACAGCAAATGCATCACTTTGATCCTCGCCGCTTTCTATTAGCACATCGTCCTGTACTGGCTCTACTGTTAGTTCATCAACGCTTTGAGGCTGTATGTGTATGTTAGGGTAATCTTTTAGTTTCTTGCTTGTATACAGCTAATAAAACTTACGCCTGTATCCAATTCATATTGGACCCCAAACATCGGGCACGCAGCATATACTTTATGCAAAGATTGTATCTCTTTACAAACTTCATGTAAACGTTCACTTGGATCAATTCTAAAGCCCAGAACGTATGCACCCGATGCCTGTGAACTTTCGATAACAAAAGCTAAACCAAACTTGGAGTCTCGAATTCTTGCTGATTTCTTTGTGCAATAATAAAGTAAATATGAAAACAAATTTTATAACAATAAAGGCTGAAAATAAAATGATAATTACCATTTGTAAATACGGAATGCTAACATTAAAAGATTCGTTCATGTTGGCGTGCCAAACTAGTCGTACGTTCGTTATATAAAAGGTACCCAGACTACCCTGTGGTTAACACTGTCACGTGCAGCGGACGTAAATTAATTAAGACGTCGACTTACTTGATCGGATGACAAATTCCATACACCGTTTATTTTGCTATACACCTGTTCCTGCGGCAATAAACGTAACGTTTTATTGTCGATTAGCGGTCCGCGTAATTTTAGATCTCTATAAAGTTTAGAAGTTTCATAGGCTCTGTGGGTTGGTTGATGTTTTTAGTTATGATAAACGAATAGGGGTAATTGTGTAAACATTTGTATACCTGTGTACAGCAATTACTGAGGTAAACAATCGAGACGAACCGGGGACTAGATTCGTGAATATGAATTCGAAGCGAGTGTTTTTACATTTAGTAAGAACATAGAGAGCTTCAGTGGCACCTCGAATTTTCTATCAAGAAGGAAAGTATATAGAGTAAAATATTAAATTTCCTTTCTAAACCTCTAAAAACGTTACGTTAGTTGATATTTGTAAAATATTCTAGTATTACCTCTAATAATAAATATAAGAATACTTACAGATTGGGCGGTTTTGGACGACATACTTATAATACAATTATAACCAATAGCTAAATTATAAAGAAAAAGAGGGAAAAAAAGGAAATTAATTAAAAATCTATTTTAAGGCGTTTTTGAAAAATAGAAAAAATAACTACATAAATTTACTCTTGGCAAAGATTTGCTATGCCAGATAACTCGTAGATTTGTGACAATTAGACGTCCTGATGAACAAAAAAATATTTATTAAACATAGGATCAAGTTTACTGTAAAGTAATTGTTAGTAAACTATGCCTTTATCGCCATTATTTCCTTTCGTGTCTTCTATCGACTCCAGCTGGTCAATTATCTTTTCTCCTGGTCGCATTTTCATTTGCCTGAAATATGCGGTATAGTTTGGTTGTGATCTATATATCGCTCAAATTTGAACAAACTGCGGTGCAACGTCGAATCTAACGTCACGGTCTTGCCACAAATCTTCCATGGGAATTGTTTATATAATTTACGAAAAACGCTGAAATGTCAGTCCAAAATAGTGATGAAAATCGAATAACAATTGGATTATGGTATGTCGTGATTTGTTGTCAAGAGAATTCCATAAGAACCGGTCAAAGATCGGTTATTACCGTTCAAAGTAAATGGCGAGTAACATTTGAAGATACATAACTTGAATACTGCTCAGTGTAAGTAAAATTTTATTGAAGTTTCTTTTGGTAGCTTGGTTTTTATAATAGCTTTTGAGATTTATTTCAAATAAATCGATCTAGTAGGAATTCTATAAGAGTATATGTAAAATATCTAGAATTTCGTTCTATTCTTTTTTTCGTGCAATCGAAATTGGAAATGCACAATTTATAACGGATATTATAATTCAATGCACGTTTTATGCTATCACAATCAATTGAAAAATCGGTGCATATGTCGATAAAACTCAAAATTATTCTGAATGAAAAAATGTTGTTATTATTTCCAATGCAGTTGCTTCTTCCGTTACATTTCAATGTTACATAATCAATAAATTTGAAACTAAAAAGGGATAAATGCTATTCATAAAGCTTTTCCTGTTTTTGTGCATTAGTGCATAATTTAATACATTTTCATTTAAATTCAAATCCTATTTCAGTCAAAATTGAATTAATCAAAGTCATTCATTAGGCTGAATTATTGTGATTTTGCACTTTCGCTAAACTATTTTTCTAAAACAGATTTAAATATAGAACCGTTAGAAATGGCTTCATCAGATAATAAAGAGCCAAAAAAGAGTATACTTAAAACACCGAGATCATCTGAAGAAAAAGTTCATATGGAAAGAAAGGATATGAAATGGGATGAGGGAAATATATTGGAAACGTATCACCCACCTAACAAAGATTATGGTTTTCAAAAGATTGACGAGCCAAAAACACCTTTCGAAAGATCGAAAGGTTTCGATAGCGATGAAGAGTATAATATTCAGCCTCAGTCATCAGCAATAGATCCCAACCAACTAACCGAAGCTCTAGACACAAATAAGGATGCACCTCTGAAATCTGCAAAAGAAAATCCATTTGAAACTCCTGAAGAAATGAAAAAACGCAAAGCTTTCGAGCAAAAAAGGAAGATGCATTACAACGAAGCGCAGTCTATAGCTCTGGCAAAGAAACTGATGAAAGAGGAAGCCGACGAAGATGATGAGGATAATTGAAAAGTGGCTATTCCAAAGACTTACTTTCGGTGGTTATAGCTAATATTTGAAAAATCTATGCGAAGAAAGTATAGTATAAATTATAGGACATAATACATTAAGCATAGATGTAATCTTTTAAATATCACTTTTGGCCTAACTGCATAGTAAACTTCGATGAGTAATTAAATAAACTCTACTTTCGTTAACGCTAGCTAAAATTGATCTATAAAATTCATATCTTGGAAAATAAGAGGTGAAGGTCAAAAGAATTTTTTATCTTATTTATAGTTGACAGTAAATAGCAATTGGTAAAGTATAGTTTTCAAATTTGGCTAATTAATTTTATACGAAGTGTAAAAAAAACACACCAGATCATGTGACCGTACGCCATGTTTGTCTACTCCCCGCAAAAATCTTTAGTCAGCTCTTGAATACTGATTAATTGTTAATTACAGTTAACACAATTGACACTCCAATTCGCAATTAACAAGGGAGAATGAATCAGGGAAAAATTATTGATGTTAAAGTAGTACTTTTAGGGGTAAGTTATCACGTGGATTATTTTACTCAATAAATAAAGTAATAGAGAATATATAAGTAAAGAGTTTTTTTTATACATAAAGATAAAAATAAGAAGGTCAATTATGGTTATTGTTCTAGAAAGATATACTTTGCACTAAATATATAAAAACATATACTATATATATTTGGTTGATTCTGTATATTTGTTTTTACCTTAAATAATAATAGAAATCTCTGTTGTATGGTAATTACTTCCTTCATTTTTCTTATCTCTGAGGGAGTCATTAGCAAAACCCTATCAATCATGGCATTTGGTTAGTCATATACCAACAAGAAAATATCAATATTTTAAAATGCAACTCGTTGTTTTCTTTTACCTTTCTTCTATTTTCATTATTATGAAATATAAGCGATTTTCTCGTGAAAGAAAAGTCAGAGAAAGTTGAAATGATAGAATGGATGTACTCTTCATTTTTCATTATCTTCATGAACAATCATAACTTTTATAAAAGTAAATACCCTTTAATATAGGTAGGCTCTTTTTCAATATCAATAGCGATTGATCAAAAAAAGGCCGAAATTTGTTTTTAAACCTTGTATGATTTGTAATCAATGAAGCGTTGTGAGGGACGTGGATAGATATTTTGTTATATTTGCTCCGTATTCAGTTGCTTTCGTCTTATATCGAATCTAATCAGTTTCTAATGGAACATATTAGGATGTTATATCTCTCGTCGTTGGTAGTGCTATTGTTTTGTCGGTGTAATGGTAAAATTGGTGGAATGGCAAAGGGTGGGCCAGCAGGTTACCCACGTTTGCATTTTGGTGCTAATGAAGTAGGAAATATGAGAGAGTTACGAACAGTATCTATTCAAGTTCACCAAATGCTTGCAATGGAAATGGAAAATCCTTTACTGTGGAGGGAGTCTATTCTTCCACCAACCGACTATGAAACGTATGTTAATTCTTGGAGAAGAAGGTACAGTGATAATTTACCAACTATGGCTTTCTTCTCACTTTTAAAGAATGATCAGAGATCATTAAATCAGGTAGTTCAGTATTTCAATAGATTATCTGGTCTTGATCGTTGGTCTTTAGATAAAAATAATGAATCAGATGAATACAGCGGAACAGTTCTGTTGTCTTTTGCAACTGCCGCAGATTTTATTCTAGGAAATGCAAACCTTCCGAAAAAAGAAAAATCTATCTATTTGAACAAGATACAAGTTGAAGCCGATAATTTATATCGCGAAATCTTAAAGCCTAATTGTCCTTGGTCTAAAAAACTGTTGAATGCGAGAACCTTACGTAGTTATTTATCTCTACTAGTAAGCTCAATAATCATACCGAACGCTCCCAATTCATATAAATGGCAATTGGCTGCAAATTCTCATCTTGAAAGTTGTTTACATGTACTTAAAAACGTTAAAGACGGTTCCATACCAGGTGCAGCAAATATGAGAGAATTCCTTGATATTTCGGGTACATTATTAAAGTTTTTGACTTTGGTTAATCGTCATTTCCAATCAAAATATCTGTTCATCTATTGGTCAAGAATGCATAGTCTACTTTACAAGTATGTAGTTGTTCCAATTTTAAAAGAATCTCCAGAAACGTATAGAGAATCTTGGACGCTAGGTCCTGGATATCAACTTGCTCTCATGAGTTCCCGAATTTTAAAAGACTCATCAATGAATGATCTTGTCGATTCAATTAGGGACAATAGGGCAATCATTTCTGCGCGACTGAGACATACAGACTTTGGTTCTCTCTGGATGGAATATATTTATTATAAACAGCCTCTTCCGGCTCCTAAACCAGCAAAAAATTCGTTCTATTTCTTTTCGGATAGAGGTGTCTTTAGTTCAGTTACAGACGATTTGTTTGTATATACTTTTGCTGGGAATCCTATGGGACAACAAATTACTGACTTAATAGCAAAAGGAAAGTATTCCATTGATCAATTTTCTAAACCGAGGCTTCGAAAACGCCAACAAGGATCAATAATATTATCTTTTCAGCACAATGTTTTTATAACTGGAACTGATCTAACGATGGCCTTCTCACCTTCTTTGAAGCCCAACTGCTACGGGACTATAGCTGGTCAATTGGGCTCCTGCCCCCAGTTCTCAAAATTACCCAAAGGGGAATTATTAATTGGGTTAGAGCGTAAAGGTTACGTTTATTCTAGAGCAGAGTTAGTTGAAACTTACGATTTAGCTTTAGGCTTAAAATCTGTTCAAAGATCTTTATTAGCTAGTAAAAACATGGCTATTATCTATGATAGAATAGTTTTGCGAGAGACTTCAAAACTTGAGCATGTGCAAGTATATTTTGAAAATTTAGAGAGTGGTTGGAAGGAAAAAGATTGGAAGGATTATAAAGGATTAACTGCCGGAAATTCCGAAATGTTTTATACAATTGTCCATGGACAATCCCCAAAATCTTCTATATACCGAAATAATCAATTAGCTAATATAACTTTTCCAATCTCTTCTTCAGAATTAGATGTTATTTATATTATTAACAACAAAGCTCAACCAGTAAGATCATTTCAAGCTGACTTTGTAGAAAGGGAAATTCTTCAGATTTCACTTAAATTTGATCAAATATCTTATGACATAAAAATATCTTTGGATCCTGTGTTCGTCAGAGATCTTTGTAGTGTATCCTCAACTGATGGTCAATTCGTTCAATTTCAAAAGACTGATTTATTAGTTTCGCTTATTGGGAGGCAACCAATTAAAAAGTATAAAAGGCAATTGGAGAGCATAGCGAAAGCGCCGAAGAAAGGTCTTGATCGAAAAATTAGAGACTTATCTTTAGCGAACCCCAATAGAAAACCTATAGGCAAAGAACGAAAGAAGCAGTGGGGGCAATATAATATGATGAGAAAAGGACAGGTTGATGGAAAAAGTGCTGATATTCCACCCAATGCATCTAAACTCAAACCGAAAGGGAGAGAAGGAAAATTCATTAATCGACGTCAAAATAATACAATAAATTATAAGCGGATAAGGAATAATACGAAATCTCAAAATAAATCATATAAAAAGGGTAAATTAACTAATCATAGACTTGGAAAGACTCCGTACCACAATTTAAAAACGATGCCTGTTGCTAGGAATAAATTATCGGAAGGGAGGAAACTAGGGAAAAGTTTTGAGACAAATTCAATTTTAATGTCTGAGAGAGAGAGTCTACGAAATTCTAATAATCTGATTCATTCTAGAAATAATAATATATCAAACTATCCGTTAGAAGGCGGAAAATTCAAAAGTGAAACTGTTAAAAATGAATTTAACCCAGCGAAAATGATTGAGGGTGAAATTTTTAAGGAAGGGAACTCATCTGACATACATTTAAAACGTATAAACGATTTGAAATTAAAGAAATTTACAGTGGAAGCGAAGAAGAAAAAATTTGGATTCACACCATCGAAATATGACGATTTTAACGATGATAACCTGGCCGCCATTCTAAATAAGCCTGTACCGGTTAGGGAAGTATATGAAGAGGATATAGGATTCAATTACATATATGATGAAGTAAAACACAAAAAACAGTGCGAGTTACCGCTCGGTCTTTACTATACAGTCCTTAGCGTTATATCAATTTATGTATTTTGGGGTTCGTATCTTGTTCAGAAGACCTTATTTATGATCTTTCTCTTTCTAAGGAGGGTGTATTTCTTTCGTTTGATTTTCTTTAGGAGAAAAACAAAGAAATATAACACCGATACAACAAATATATAATTTTACTAACTATACCAATTTTATAAACAATCGTAATTGACGTTTTTATTTTTTTAATTATTTTTCTTTTTTTTTAAAAAAAAGAATATTGAAATAAACTGTTTTTGATAAAAAAAAAATATATTAAGAATATTATTGATAATATTCTTATTGTTATATTGTTATTATTGTTATTTATATTACTATTTATATAGGATTCTGGAGTAGGTAAATCCTGTTTAGCTCATAGATTCGTTCAGGATTCCTTTAATTCAAGAGCAGAGTCAACTATTGGGTTAGTTTTATGCTTATTTTATATGTTATAGAAAATGTTATAGACAGTATATAAAGTATAATATCGTATGTAAATAGATATAAAATATACCATGTATATTGTATGATATACTATGCATACAGCATGAATTTATACATTCATATAATTGATTATAAACAGGGCGGCTTTCCTGACAAGGGTAATTGTGGTGGATGATACTCAATTCAAATTGCAAATATGGGATACAGCGGGTCAGGAGAAGGTAAAAAAAAAAAACAGATAATATACCCGAGAAAAAAATCCCTTGGGATAAGCTAAAACTCTAAACAGTTTTTCCGCTATTTTTTCCAGTACAGATCGTTGGCGCCTATGTATTATAGAGGGGCTCAAGCTGCCATAATTGCTTATGACATTACACAAGCCGTAAGTTTTCCCTTCTAAATAATTAATGGCTGCTAATATCCTTTTCGACAGTCGTCCTTTCAAACTCTGAGATATTGGATCGATGAATTGCATAAACAAGGTCCAGCTGATATTGTTCTAGCAATAAGCGGTAATAAATCGGATATGAAAGACCAACGAAAAATTGCAACCCACAGTCAGTATAAATATTTTTTTTCTCTTATTTGCATATAATTTTTTTATTATGTCACGTGGCTTAAAAAATGTTATATTTGCATCGTAAATATAATTTTTTCTTTTTATTTACTGACACCTTCAAAATTGCAATAAGATACCGAATTAAATACATATTTATATATATATATATATATATATATAAATATATACATTTATGCAAAATATTATATTCCTTATAATGTTCCCTTCTTCTCTCCTAGTCGGTAAAGCCGAAGCGGATGCAGTTAATGGAATATTTATGGAAACTAGTGCAAAAAATGACGAGAACATAAAGGAATTATTTGATGAAATATGTAAGAAATGTTTTTGGGTTAAATCTGTAATAACAATAAATCATAAACCTCTTCTCTCCTTCCTTATCCCACGACCTTTATTTCTATTTTCCCTGATGTCTCTCTCTGTCTCTGTATGTACGTATTTCTCTCTCTCTCTCTCTCTCTCTCTCTAGCTCATTCTCTCTATTCTCTTATTCGTTTCTTATCCTCTTTTTTGTTTGCTATTTAATGAAGCGAAAACATGTGTTTCCATTTAAGATTAACTTTCAAAAATTTGTACTGCTGTTATCTTTTCAGGTCGACGGATGCCTAAAACTAAAAGAGTGGTTGCCGGTCAAAGTGCTGTGCAATTAAAGAAACCTGCAGGAAAGAAGAAGTGCTGTCCAACTTAGGAAACGTGTAATAGGATAAGCGATAACCCGCATGGAGAGTAGTTGAAAGCTTGTATAGTCAATTTATTAAATTTTTAAAATTAAATGCTATTTTTGACAAAATATTAATATATATTTAAAAAAAAGGAATAAAGGAATAAAAATAGTGTAATGGAACTGTGACAGAGTGTTTTTTTTCGTTTCATTAGTCAGTAGATGGAGCCAGTTTATCGAATATTTTTGCGAGATCGTTTAGGCGTTAGACAGACGTCCAAGTATCTATTGCGAAAATCCTATGTTAAAGGTAAAATTTTCGAGAGCGATTCACACTATTGCTTAACTAACAATAGGGAAATTAGGTAGACAGCAAATACTTTATACGAAAAGTCTATTTGCATAAGGGGGCATATTCAATCGTTCGTAGTCAATTAGTTCGAACGTTCCAATCGATTAATGCATTTAAAAGAGGAATAAATTCGATTAAATTCTAATAACATACTGCCGAAATTTTGTTGCCGATGATCAATTACTTAGGTGGTATTCGATGGCGAGAAAGATTAATAATAATTTGGCGGAGGATGACCTCTCGTATGATATTTCTGACGAATCAATGAAAAGGCCGAAGCTTTTGCCTCTTGTTCTACCTAAAATTTTAAGAGATGAAGATAAGATTAATGGAAATCTACCCAAAGAAATCCGAGGAAGGAAGTTCTCAAAGAAGAAGATAAACAGTAATCATAATAATTCTATATTATTGGGTTATCCCAAACATGGATATTCCTTGGAGAAGGACAAGGAAAATTGGTCATTAGTCAGGCAAGTATTACGCCGACCGCCCAGATATGAGTCGTCTTTTTCGGTCAGTCCTCTAGGGAAGCCTATTCCTTGTCCGGTCGATACCTTTTCAACCTTTCAAGGTCAGCGATCGAATAAGTTAATTCTACCGCAGATTTTCGCCGAACCGAAAAGAGATGGTAAAGAAGCATTTGAAGGTTTCTACCTAGATTCCACAGAGCGTTCATCGCAAAAGGATGTTGACGATTTACTAGTTATAAGAGCTAGACAACGAGCCGAATTTGAAAAGAGGATGAAAAAGAAGAAAAAACTGAAAGAAACGCATAAACTGCGAACAGAAGATATTGAAAGATCACTGATTTGTGCGAGATTAAATAGTCAACATATAAGAACACCTGAGACAGTTGATCAAAGATATAGATTACAATTAAATAATTATTCCACTGAAGCAGTTCTGTCTAAGCAAATGTATAAGCATTGTTATAGTCGGCGGCTATCTTCTCTTCGAGCTCCACCTACCACCCCGAACTACGACGAACAAGAGCCGGAAATATGTTTCTCTACTCCAATGGAAGTACCGCAAGTTAATCAATTTGATTATAGTATCTCTATGGCTGATATTCCTAATACTTCTCCGTGATTTGATTTTCCCGACACTTAGGTGAAAAAGAGCTATTTACCGATTAAGAATCATCTATTCATAAGAGAAAAGCACTACCAAAACCTATCATTTACTTTCTTTAGGGATAATCTATTATGGATTTACAGTAAACTATATTCATTTAATAAAGGGAAGCGTGACATGAAATTTAAGCACTACAGTGTTTCAATATACATGGAACATCATCTAAAGAGCAGCCTTCAGTTAGTGCGCAATATTCTAGTCCAACTCCTCTCTTTACTGATTTTCTACGAATCGGTCTGGTATAGCAAACATCAACACCAAAAATCATACAAGCTATTTCTCTCCACCTATCACTGCATATACTACAATCTTTAATAGACAGTGACCTGAAAAAAAGAAATAAATACTTGTAAATATAAAATTAAATTATTCAAAAATATGAAATGAGATGTTTTAACCTTTGATCCTCCGAATTTAGAATACTATCTAGACGATAACCTAAAATAGGGTTAGTTAAAAGAAAAAAATGAAAGTAAACGTTATCAATTGAAATTTATCAAAGAAGAAATTAATAATCCTTACATTTTCCAAGATTAAAGCTTAAGAGAAAAATGAATAAATATTTGTATGAATAATTCATAATTTTTGTAAATATTTTCCCAAAAACCTCTTCGTGAATAAGTTAATAAAGAGAAAACTAGTAATATAATTATTCTACTTGTACAATTTATAAAGTCTTTAGTATACTTTGATAAAGTTGCATTGTTCATTAGATATATGTATACAGTATATATATAGAGATATATATAAATATAAATATATATACATAAATCAATAGAGCGTAAAAAACTTGAAATTAATAACCCAAAAATATGAGGAAAAAGTAATTGATAAATCACTTGAACATATGTAAAAGTTACAAAACAATATACATATATTAATTATTGATTCATATAAAAAAACAGTAAGAGAGAGAGAGAGAGAGGGGGGAGGGAAGAGAAAGAATATATATATATATATACAGTATGTACATTCGTGATTTTAAAAAAATATATAATTAGACACTGACGTTTTTTTTCTGTTATTTATGTAAATTATGAGAAGTGTTTTTTTTCTCTTTCTGTCTCTCTCTCTCAATCATTTTTTATTATTTCTTCTTCATACACTATTATTATTATTATTATTATTATTATTATTATTGTTATAATGTATAGGCCTTAATTGACTTTATTCTACCAAAAAAAAAAGTTTTCGTGCTACAGTAAGGGTTAATTTTTTTCTTGTTTGACTGAAGAATTTCTCTTTACTTTGTTTAATCAAGTGCCTATTCTGACCTTTTAAAATATAATTTTAGTTCGTTTATGATAAAGGAGAATGTTGTATATTACCTTTGTGAAATTTTTGTGTGCCTTATTTGTCAATTATTGCGGAAGGTATAGTTCATTATTGGACATGAGTCTTGATTTCAGAATTAAATAGAGAAATGCTAAAAATAAACCGAGAAAAAAACGAACGAAAGATGGAGCCTTATGATTTATCAGATGGCGTGCCATTCGTAGGGTTTAAGGGCGAATGAGGAAAATGAAACTGGAATAAGGCCTAGCTCTGGGTACACTAAAACTCGCTTTATGAGAATTGTATTTGAAATAAATAAAGTGCTTTTCTATAACTTAAAATTTCATTTGTGAACTAGAGAAGAAATCGGATGACGTGGCAAACTTTTTACCGGAAGTGGTTGAAGAATATTTGGAATAGAAGTGGAGCGAATAAGAGAAGTAGAAAACAAATAAATAGAAGAAGAGATAACAATTCTTTTAATCTACTCGCCACCAATCAACCTGGCATCGATCGAGTAGCAGAAATTCTAAGATCATCGACCGGAAATTGAACGTAAATCGAGCTCCTCCGTCACGTCGCAACTGACGTTCTCTTTTATAAGGCCTATTCCTCAAACGTTCTCGTTTTTGTATTCACCCAGCGTAAGAGTACTTAAGCCTTGTTGCAGTACTGCAGTATGCATCTCAACGGAACCACGTTGACCGTCGAAAGTTGGTTTACAGCGTGTATAGCGGGAGTAGGAATTCTCACCAACATTCTCCTACTACTAACCTTCTGCTGTTTGAAGAATTTACGGAGGCCAATGAACGCTTTTTTATTACACCAGTGTCTTTTGGATGGAATTAGATCCGCCTATTGCATTCCATTCTCTGTCGTTAGCGTCTACAGACCAACAATTTGCAGCGCTTTGGCCGGTACTTATATCGTATTAGTCACTTGCGCATCGTTTAATCTCTTAGCCATCGTTATGAACGAAGCCTATTCGTTTTCGGATATAACTTTGGGTGTAAATGCTTCACAGAATTGCTGTTGCGTCTGGTTTGCACTAGTTGTTATCTGGTTTGCCGCAATTATTACTAATTTGGGAGTAGCGTTCATGCCAGGAGGACGATCTATTGAACAGTGCCGCTTTACTATGGGCGTCACAAATAACTATGTATTACACGTGGTTTGGCTACTTTTAGAGGCTATGGCCATACTTATGACGATCGCTTTCCTTTGTCAATTAGCAAAGGATATATCTAAATGCAACTACTACAGACTATCGACTCTGGTAAGGGCCACAGTTTCTATTGATCCGTCGGTTCGAACCAACTCACAACGCCGTCAATCCGTCATGGTAGACAAGAGGAATGTAAGGGACACTGTAAAGATGATGACCTACAAACTAAGAGTTCTATCAGCTTATACGGTACTTTTTGTCATAGCTTGTCTACCCTTGTTGACTCTGTACGCCATTGAACCGTTAGTGAATGCTCCTCAGTTAGTCTACAAATTCTTATCTATACTGGCCTGGTCACAGCCGCTGATAACACCTTTCGCCGTCTATTCGCTGATAAAGGGTGCCGGAGGATTTTTCGCCGACCCTAACGAATTTAGTGGACCTTTGCTCCTAGGTCAAAGACCTTCGTCAGACGGCGGACTTCCGCAGGTTCGAATTGAAACGAGTAGTAGTCAGTATTTGTCCGCCGAGCTACCGTCAGGTTCGAGATATGATTTCTTCCCAAGTATTAGCGCAGCTGCCAGTGCTACATCGTCTCGAGGGCGTCGGGCAAGCGCTTTTATTGTTTAAAGAAAGAAAAAAATCTGCAATCTTTCTCACGATCGTAAACAGTTTATAGCCTGTATAAAGAGACGGTAAGGAGTGGAAAAATGTGAGAAAAAGAGAGAAGTAAAGAAGGCGAGAGAAAGAGATAGAGGCAGTTGCAAAGAAAGAGACGTCTATTATAACTTGGCAAACATGTTTAGTTTTGGACAAAGGATCGCTTACTCTCTCTCTTTTAGCCTTCTAGCCCTAATTGGATTTGTCACCAATTCAGCTATAATCTCAGTTATTCTACTTACCCGTTCTATGAGGAAGACGTGCAACTTTTATCTGGTATCAGTCGCCATTTCGGATTTGCTATTGTGTGGGATAACCTGTCCATTTAATGCCTATTCTGTGACCACTACAAAAGCTGTTTCTGGATGTGAATTTATAGCCTTATTTAATTGTTGCCTAACGTTTGTAAGCTTTATTAGTTTGACCGCTATTGCAGTGAACCGAGCTTTAATGATGAACATCTCGAACCTTCTTTACGATAAACTCTTTTCGAATACGAGAACTATCGTCTCCCTAATTGTGACTTGGACATCTAGTCTAGTACTTGGCCTGTATCCAATGGCTTATACGAACGGATACTTTCCGTCCAACGAAAAACCTTATAGATTATGCATAGTGGAGGCGATAATCGAAGAGAATTATGTCTCAGACACTGTCTTTCTTCTATCAATGGTCATCATAGGCACAGCTATAACCTTAATTAGTTACTACATCGTCTTTCGACGAGCGATCATCTTGAAGAGGAAGCATCAGCAATTTCGCGTGACCCGTAATTTGTTCGTCATCACTATAGTCTACGTCGTCTGTTGGCTACCCTATTTATTACTTGTGATAGCCGATCGTGATCAGAAAGTCGCCGACTTGATACGTCAAATTTTTCTTCTGATTTTCTTTTCCCATGCCGTAATCAATCCGATTTTATACTTGGCTTTGCATAATCCCCTCCGTCGGGCTATTGGGCAAACTTTGCAAATTTGGAATAAGAAAACAACCAATCGGATATCTGTTATACCAACTACAATCTATTGATTCGTTTACGAGGTTTTTAAGTATCGTACATATTCTAATGGTAATCTAAACCGAATCCACAAATTTATTCTTTCACGTATAAAGTATATAGTCGGAGAACACTAGACGCTGTAGACCCCTATTATGATACATATCTGTCTATTATACTCCTACATTATCTACTCAAAACGTTATGAAGCCCAAGTTTTTAGCTAACGATCGCCGGCGCCATCTATCGATGTACATATATATATATATATATATATATATATATGTTATTGGGGGAATCGAATGATACTTGACGAAATTCCCACTTCTCGCCTTGCAAGTAGATTGAAAGTGATCCTATGAAAAATATCGAGAAAAGCCATTATGTATTATATACTTTTGGAATATTTGAATGAGGAAAGGAATCGAGAATATTCTGTCCTTTTCTTTAAACTTATCTCTCATCCCTCCTTACCTCACCCCATCTACTTCCGTCTATTCACTGTTTTATTGTATATTGTACTCTTTCTAAACATATCAATCAATTATCTATATATATATATACTGTATACTATATAAACTATATATGTATATTTATATATATGTAGATTATATATATTCAAAGTGATTGTTGATTCATGCTTAGATTGTTTTTCCCCAATAAATATTTGTTAAATATATAGTTAACTGTCAAAACTTTGAATTTCTTAATATAAAGATGGAGTACTATTGGTAATATTAATTCTAGGTATATTATTATGTCATTAAGAAACGAGTAAGAAGCTTAAATCTTAATAAATATTGATAATAATTAATAATTACGAGTTTAATTAATCTATTTTACTATATTGAAGATTTTAAAAACTTTTAATAATTATTTTAATTAGTTTAAGAAGAGGAAAAGAAGACAGTAAAGAGAAAATTCCAACTATTGCCTTCTTCTTCCTTTTTCTCTTACTTTTATTTTTGTTGAGTAGAAATAGAGATAAATGTTTATTGTAGGTAATAAAATCTTGATTAAAGAAATGTGTATATAGTTTATATATATATATATATATTAAATCTAAACAGAGAAAAGAGAAGAAATGATTCTTTTCTACTACTTTTTTCATTTCTATTCTTGTTTAATAATTAAAAAGTGCCAAATACGAAATTAAGCCTATTGCGCACGACTTTATTTCAGGGGCAAACAGAGATTTTGTTTTTTCTCGGCTACTTACTATCTTAATAAGTAATAATCTAACTGTACCGAAGGGAATAAATAAATAAATGATGGTGTCTAAAAGTTTGTATATTTATAGGTTAAATTTAAGGAAAAGGAGGTTAATTTGATTTATGATTGAAATATAAAGGACGTTATAACAATCCGACGCATTAATCTTGCATTCTAAACGGTCAATTATATACTCTAATATATACTGCATATACTATATAGACTGTATATACAGTATATATATCTTTATATAGTTTAAAAGTATCTGATGGTGATTTTCTTCCTTGTCTTCAACATTTGCTCAATAATCCTTCTTATCTTATTTCCGATAAAAACGATAACTAAGTAAAATAATGCAAGTCTAGTGAATAGAGAGAGAAGATGAAAGAAAGGAAGAAAAGAAGATAGGTGCAAAGAAGGTGGCGTTAAGAGAGAGAAGGGTTGTTGAGATAAGGAGTATTTAAGAGATCTAGAGAGATAAATATAGAGATAAATTAGAAGAGACAAGATTCTCTTCTCAACATAAATAATTGGCAGATACGTTTATTACTCTTTTAGTCTAATAATTGGGTATGTTTAAAATTATTTTTACATATATTGTATATTATAATAGACCTGTAATTCAATTCGCTAGATATAATTATCATAGTTTCGTTTAATTTCAGGTAAAGAACTAGTTGAAAAAGGTTTTCTGTTGGGAAATATCGTTCCTTTGATAAATTACCTTTTTTCTTTCTCATGGTCTTAAGTATGCTCAGCGATAGGAAGCAGTTCTTGTGATTTCTTTAAGTAATATTCTAAAAGGAAGAGGATATTATGAGGAACTAGGAACGAAAACTTCATTTTCAAGTAATCGTAAGCTGTAAGAGGCCAGATATAAAAAAAATTGATCTCAAAGGATAAGCCAACCATCAACTGAATCGTATTTTTCAGCTTCCTTTGGTTGATATGATTTTCTTTTAAATATTTTATTAATTAAAATTCTTATAGCATAAAATATTTAAGGAAAGACTATGTAGGCATTAATTTATATATATAAATATATATATATATATATTTTATATATATATTTAATATATATATGGTATCCATTTCCTGTTAACATCCCAAATATTTATTTATAGGCGTCTAAAATGATATTCCTTTATTTTATAGTTTATGAGTGGAAAATAGCACAGTTAATATACAATTTTTCTTTATTATCTAATTATGTTAATTTCTATAGAAGCAATTAAGTTATGAAATGATAAGAGAGCAAAGTTTTATTGAAAAAAAAGGACTTTTATATTAGATAATATATTGCTCGAGTAGATTATTATACAAAAAATAGCCTCATTCAGCTTTAGGGTTTTTTCCCGATTCCCTCACCTAGACCGTCTTTATTAGCAAGTCTGAAAGACTGCTTAGGGAAGGTTGACTTGTGCACTTCAAAACTTGCGTCTAGTTGCTTTCATATCAAGTTTTCGTGGTGTAAAAATTTGATATAGCCAGAAAAATTTTAGACGAGCGTCTATTATAAATTCATAGGCCAATTTCCTGTTAAATATGAATAAGTTTTATCAGTTTCTTAGTAGACAATGTTCCGGATAAGTCAAATTTCTCCCCTACTGAGAAATTAAAAGGACAACAGACATCCTTTTAACTTGGCGCAATCTAATTACCTGTATGTTCTTACCGAGAGGTCTGCTATGTAACGAATAAGTTCCAACTCCTACACGAGCCCCGTTAGGTTTAGGCCTATATTCTTTTGATTGTATTTACTTAGGAATGATCAATATGAAATTGAAGAGAGGGAATGAGTTTGGTTGTTTCAAGTAATAAATATAGGAAGGTATAAGTACTAAAATTAAATTATTAGGTTCGATAAATGCATATATTAATTTAATGAATGGTTCACATGTGTTGTGCACTTGCTCTTATTTTAAATACATATGTACTATATATATATATATATGTATATAATACATGTATATCTGTATATACATCTGTAAATAAACAAGATTTATAAGCATATATAATTTATATACATATATATTTATTTCCTGTTCGTACACTTTCGAAAGGGCTGACTGCACAACATCAATACTTATGTACAGAAATTTCTTTCTTCGTTCTCCAGTGAAACCTTTTCCAACTTTCGTCGTCATTTATCGACATTAGTCGTCTGTAATAAACTAAACGCTGTTGTACTATTTGTTGTTGGACGAATTTGCGTTCGACATTTCATTTGCAATGTTTCGTGGTTTCTATAAGCACTAGAGTTACAACAGCAAAACAGATAACGGTTGTAATAGGACCTAAATTGTTTGGATAAAAGATATAACGATATTGGATTGACGCATGAATTTATAAATGCTAGACAGAAACTAGAGATCTTGAAGAAAAACCAAAACACAGACATTGTCTCTTCGTCGAACTGATACCAAAATACATAGATGTGTCTTGGTAGCCAACAAACAGCAAAGACAAGAACAAAAGCCAAAACTAGTTTGGCTACTTTCTTCCTCGAATCCATTTGTTTATTTACCCTGTCGGACGAACCTTGCCCTTCTCGTAATCCCCTGGCACTTGTTGTCAGCATCCTAGCCATCAGGACATAGAACACGAACACGACTAGGAGAGGAACGCTGAAGTAGAGTGTAAAATCTGTTATCACCCTCACTTTCGGATACCAGTTAGGCTGGGTCGAAGTATATTTTTTACATATACAGATACCACCCATATCCTCAACTGATGATAAGATAGCATCTGGAAGGGCAAGAAGGGCAGAGGCGATCCAAATTAAAGAAGCAATGATTAAAGCGAATTTTACGGGCGACACTTTCTTGACATGCTTAATCGGATTGACGATAGCGTTGTAACGATCAGCGCTTAACGCCGTCAGAGTGAACACGGAGACGCCGACAGACAAAGTTTGCAGATATTCGCTTAGCTTGCAGACTACTACTCCATATGGCCAGCTTTCAAAAGTGAAGATAGTTGCCGTAAATGGTATCGTGATAACAATTAAAAGTAAATCGCCAATTGCCAAAGATACAATATGTATGTTTGGAGCATTATGAAGAACCTTATTGTGGAAGACAGTAAAAACCAAAGTCCCATTTCCTATTACTCCAACAATAAAGATGTTTAGAAAAACAAAAGGTACAGCGAATCTGGCGATTTCGGAAGCCAAGTGTGCCTCATTTGATGAGTTGTTCATATTAGCATGGAGCTCTTGAAGCTCCGTATCAGAATAATAAAAATGTTTTCTCGCCTCGATTCCGTAGTTTATCCGGCGCATGCGCAAATTTAACTATATATACAAATTATATATATGGCGCTTGGAACCGTACTTGAAATAAGGGCATTTATATTAGATATGCCTTTTTACGAATTGGTTTAAGAATGTTTTATATATCAAATAGTTATTTATACTTAAAAAGGCCAGAAACACTAGAATAATAAGAGAAATAAAGATAGGAGTCCGAGACTGTAGATGAAGATTGGTGCGTGTATACTATATATATATATATGTGTGTGAGAGAGAGAGAGAGAGCGAGAGAAAGAAGGAAGAAGAGACTAACTTTAGTAAAGTATACGGGAAATATGAAAATTAATAACTACTTTCAACTTAAAAGAATACAAAAACTGAAGAAAAACGGATAAGTTTAGTATAGAATGAAAAAGATGTAAAAACAACATTCTCTACTTTATTGTATATTTTGGGAATTGGCCTAATTTACGCATTTCTAATTGAAAAAAAAGGGAATGAAAAGAAATAAAGTACAAGTACTTTTTTCCTTTTTCATTATTGTTAAGATTATCATAATCTATTTTCTAAAGTTTTCCTCAAATAGAATATACACCGTAATACATGTAAATGAATATTTAATATATAACAATGATTTCATCATAAAAAAACAAATTGGTATTAAGATCCTTATTCTAAAAATCCAACAGTAGTACATTATTGTCATTCTGATTGGTTTATTTCAGTAATAAATGTCTTTAACTTTTCATAAGTGCAAAAAAAAAAATAGCAACTCTATTTCTCATAGTTTCTACTCCTGCCAAGCAAAAATCTACTCAACCACCCGTCGAATTATTTCTCATAAATTTTGTATAAGCCTAAGTAGCAACTTTTATAAGGGATAAACGGGCATTGCGTAATATTTATAAACATCTGGAAGAATTCTTGTTAAAAAGGGTGAAGGGCGATACGGCAAAGAAAAATGAGTTAAAGCTGAAGAGTGGGCGAAAGGATATATTAAGCATAGTTGAGGATGCGATTTTATCGACAAACATGTATTTGATTGAGCTAAAAAGAGAGGGAGATTGGGGCTGCAAATAGTAAATTGCGCATCTGTAATAAAATTGCGTCCACTTCCCTTAGCATTACTAACACTTTCAATTGACCATCATACTATATTGCTGTTGAAGTATTACAAATCATTTTTTCCTTGGATACAAACCCCTCTAGTAATTACTCGATAAACAAGTACTTAAGTGATTAGATGATTCCCAATTGCGTATAATTTAACAATCGACGTCAAAGAAGTTGAATAAAAATAAAAGTGAAATAGAAAAATAGGGAAGGAAATCCACAAAATTCAGTATTAATGATTGGGAAATGCTTCCCTTTCCAAACACGAACCTTTGCAAATTGATAATAGAAAACAAGGCTATTAACCTAAAGAAGATTTGGAGAAATTTACATAAAATATAATATATACTAGTTTACAGTTTATACTGTATAGATAGAACCTACAACGTCATCTAGATAGTGCTCTATAATCCATTATATGCTGTATAATTATTAAAATTATTGTATACAACCTATTTGTATCATACAGTAAGAACATCCTTACTGGAGGAAAAGTAACAGGAGGATGGGAATGAAACCAGTAGTCTCCCGCTTCCGGTTCATATGTTTTATGATTAAATTTATAAAAATGTATATACTTCATTTAATTAATGTAGTTATTCAACGAAGATACGAAATAAATTGCTTCTTCATTTTTCAAATTAATATAATCATCTATAATTAATTCATTAACATTGACGCTTTAAAATGCAAGGCTGATAAATCATTATCAGCTGACAAATCAAAAAGATAGTCTATTTGCTGTTCCAGAAATATAAGTGTGTTAGTATCAGCAAAAATATAAACTTAATAGGTTTTTCCTTTATTTGAAATAGGATGAAAAAATAAATAGAAAAAGGATAGGAGAAAAGAATAAGAAAGACAGAGAGAGAGAGAGAGAGAGAGAAAGGGAGGGGAGGGACGGAGGGAGGAGAAAGATAGAGAGTGTGAGTGGAATAGATACATAGAGAGAAAGGAAGAAAGATAAAAAAGAGAGGAAAGAAGGAAAACCTTATCATGGTTAAGGTTTTAGTACTTCTTTTTTATTAATATTATATAACTTGTCTTAGTCAAACCATATAAGGGCAATTTGTACTTTTAAGTATTTTTGTGGTGTAAACATGCATCTGAAGATTTACACACACATATATATATATACAGTATATATATATATTCTGTATGCGTTGGCTGAATTGGTACTTTCTCTTCAACTAATACCTTCAGAAGCGTATTTTTCCCACCAAATAACAACTTCTTTAAATAAAGTGGCATCTCTTAAGTGAAAAACGTTCCTAACCTAACTCTTAATCCTTAACCTGCCCTATACAAAGAAGAATCAACAATAATAACTAATCCTTTACTTGGCTATAGAAAGAAAAATAAGTTGCGCAAATTACATAAGTGATGTTTTTTGGTGTAAATATAAAACTATACATTTGGAGTAGGGTCTAGATTATACTAGTAGAAGAAATTTTACTTAACTGATTGTGTACTTTGATAGTATTCTACTTGGTTATTTTTACTACCTCCTCTTGCTTTTATTGTACTGTTTATGAACAACTTAGACAATAAACTGAGATATAATTTTATATTTAGCCTATATATAAAATATTAGGGCAATAAACAGAACAAAAAAATGTGTATATTGGTTTTTTCTAAGAAATCACTTAGTAGTATGGTTAATTGACAAGCATTTTGATTAGATTTCAAAACACGTCTAAAAGATACATCATTATGCTTTAACAAACTTTACGTAGAAGGTTAAGATGCGAATAATTTTACTTTATTAGATAGATTAATTATACATAATTTTTACCTTTAGCCTTAGGCCGTTTTTTTCTCTAATTTCTCCCAGTGTTCACGAGATAATTAGAGAAATTCTAATCTATAATCATATTTACCATCATATCAAATATCAATTTTAATTAAATATAATTTTAAATGTTTTTATCAGTTTTTCGGCTGTATTTTCCTTTAGTGACAAAGTCAATTTTGGTTTAAATATTACAGGGGCGAGGATCATAGCTTGAGCTTGTTACGGTAATATTTATTGCTTTTGACATTCTCTCTCTCCCTCTGTCTTTCTCTCTCTCGTTTACTTCCTCCTCCCCGGCTTCTTTGTTAAAATTTATTCTAAATAAGTAAATGAAAACAGTTGATTACTTTTATTACAATAATATTGGGCGTTCTGTTTGATTATACAAACCTTGATTGTCTAACCTAATAAATGACGATGCTATTCCTCCAAACTATAAAACAGTACAATAAAAATAAAATAAAAATTCTATTTATTTGGAATTTTCTCCTCTGTCTTCTCTCTCTCTCTCCCTCTCTCCCTCTCTCCCTCTCTCTCTCTCTTTCCCTTTATTTCAATACTAAGATAACATGTATAGTATATATAATGTATATTTAACATTTTGCCTCTTAAAAATGGTCTATTATTTTTAAAAACAACTCTTATTTCTATTTGAAAGGAATTAATGAAAAATTAAGAAGGGCAAAGAAAAAAAAACCAATTTCAGACACAATAAAAAGGTATCGAATTTAGGTTTTATATAAAAAACACATTGTTTACTTCTTAATTTAATAAAATCTCAAGAGATTAAATCCTTATTTGTGAGGGAATAATTTCTTTTTCTTAGTTTAGCAAGATAAGAATAGAGAGAATAAGAGATATATACATTCATTCCAAAATAATTAAAAGGAGTGAGAAAATTAGTAAAAGAAAAAAGAGAGGAAAAGAAAAGATTACACCAAAAAAAGAAAAATTCCATAAGAAATCAATTCTAATTTGTTTTTTATTTGTTTTCTTTCTATTCCAATTCAACAAAATAGAAAATAGAAATAGAAGAATTGTTACTATTTCATTTAAATTAATTCAGTAGAATATCTCAGAATTTTAACATAAAAGTTAAATAGTTAATTGCTCTTTAAAGATAAATTTACATAATAATTCCTTGTTATTTTCTCAAAAGAGTAAATTAGAAAATGATGAAAAGCCGAGAATTAATTAGTTTCTCTCATCTTTCTTTTATTTAATTAGATTATTAAAAGATATTTTAAAGTATTATTATATTCATAGCTCTTAAACAAACTATACAAGATGTCTCCTTAATTAATACATTTAAATATTATAGTATTTAACTAACAAAATAAATGTTTTTTAGTTAGCCATTGTAAATTGAAAATGAACCACTAATATATGTAATCCTCCAGATGGCACTTTCAAAAAATATTACCTAGTTTATGAAAATTCGTACTTAAAACAATAGTAACTCGTAAACAAGTATTATAAATTAGATTGCAATAAGAATAATAAGAACTCTAAACTCTAGTCTTGTTAAAGAGTGACATTTTGTAGGTTTAATAACGATTCAACTCAATAGGAATGACTATCAATGATATTATTAGAGTAATCATATCCCTCAAATGTAACTTATAAACATAATTTTCAACTAAGTTAAAAGGAAACTATACTTTATCTACCCCCATGATAACAATTTAAATGCATTCGCTGGATTGTTGACATCTACTATGACTGTAAGTTTATTTTTCTCCTTATTTTTGTTTTTACTCTCTAAAATAAAATATCCCTAAAATAAAAGTAAGAAAAACTGTTAGAAAAGGGGAGATGGAGATGGAGACGAGGATGAAAATGAAGAATATATGAAATTTAGCACATTAAATAGAACATATATAGGTGCTAAAAGCAGTTTTCGTTAAGATAATTGGACAAAATATCTATTCATTGGTATATCGAATCTTGTGTGAATAATTGGTATTTATTCCCAATATCGTTGTTAGTGCCTGCCTGATGATGAAAGTAGAGCTAGGATAATTATAAATGTCTTCTTGTAAGTCATTTACTGTAACATTATACTATCTTTAGAATAGAAATCGCACTATTATTAAGTATTCTAAGGACTATTACGCTTTTATGAATGAAATCGCATATAATTTAGCATTAATATTAATGGCATAACGATAAATATATTATTAGATAGATATAAAATATAATTTATACATTTCCCCTACTTCAATATATTAGCAGACATATGGTAATAATAGATACTGTCACATCTTCCCAAAATAATATTTCTATGTAATCTATTCAAATTTTGTTGCATTCATTCTCTTCATCGCTACTTTTCATCTATCTTGAAGATAGAGGTGATGTTTTTGTCACTATCTTAAGAATCTATACACCAAATAATTTCTATAATACCCTTTAGCGGTTTGTCAATAGAAAAATAAGGAAAGTTGATTTTCCTTTGAAGTATAGATGGCGTTCAGACAAAATAGACTATTAATTAATATACAAAACGTTTTAATGCTTTTATATTTCTATAACAAAACAGTGAAATTCATTAAAAGTCTATAAGAGTATACTTTCTTCGACAAGAATGGCTCAATATTTCATCGTCACAAAAATAATCTATACAGTCCCAGCAGAAATATTTGCCGCAAGATTTACAACTAACTGAACGACAACCGCTAATTCTTTCTGCTGCAAAAAGACAATTTGGACAGTATCTAAAAGGTCTTCCACTCTTTTTCAAGCTCCAAGCTTTATATTCAGACTCTAAGATTGTTTTAGCACGATGGCACTGTTCGCCTGGATGAGATACATTTCTGCATAGATTACATGCTGAGCTTGCACATTTATAACAAGTCAATGTCTTTTCATTTATAATGCCTAAATGACATTCTTTGTTTTTGCAGATGGAGATGTTCTTTTTTCTTCTCTCTTCGAAAATTAGATTGTTACTTGACTTTTCCACTAATAAATCCCAATGAATTTTTGAAATTCTCTCCTTTACCTTAATAACTCTATACAACTCTGGACAGCGTGGACACTTTACCGCTCCTATTCCATACATAGACCTTTCTAACAAAGTCATAATATACTTTTCGAAGCACTCTTGGCAACAGTAGTGCTTGCAAGGTAATATATCATCTTTTGATACTGTATAGTTTTCCCAGCATATTGAACACCTCGCAGGCATACTATTTTCATTTACTTCGTCTTCTTTCTTTATATCCTCTGTATCAGTAGTTTCACCCATTGAATCGTTATCGGACCCCTCTTCAATTTTGATTGCCGTTTGAAGATACTTTTCGACATTTGATCTCGACTCGTAATCTCCTAAAGCGACAACATTTTGATTTTTCCAATCAATATAGACATCTTTTAATTCGTTTAACAAATTGTTGGACCATTTTATAGCCATTTCCAAGGCATTAATATCTTTGAATGAGTAAATTATTTGATAAGATGGTATTTTACCCGTAGAATAATTTATCAAGTATGTTTTAACCCGATTCTTTGTTTCCCTTGATCCGTAAATAAACCAAGAATTTCCATCAGCTACTACGTACGTCTCAAATATTCTTTGTAAATTTTCGATGAACTTTAGCTTCATGAGCTCATTCTCAAATAAGATCTGGCTTGTCTCCAAATGATCAGGTTGTAAAAATTGAAAAACTCTTAGAAAAACACTCTTAAACGAATGCGCTGATTCTTTAGTTCTTCCAATAGTAATTTCACCAGATTTAGAAATAGAAAGAATTTCTTCACCATTAAAAGTGAATCTATTCAGATTATAGACAAATTTCTCTAAAGAATTCTTAATTGAGTAGAAAAATCTTGATTGAAGTTTGAATGTTTTATCTTCAAATGAAAATAAAACATCGTGTTTCTTCTTACTATTCTTTATTACAAATTCCGTAAGTATTGTATCATTGTCCGGTTTCAAAGTAACTCCTTTCCAATGAAAATTGTTCAAGTGCTGAATACTCTTTTTATGACAAAAAGTAACAAAACCTAAAGTCATGTTTTCCGAAGTGTTCTTAACAAGATCTGAATGATTTATAGGACAGTAGTAAAAGCATCTCATTGGTCCAACTTGATTTTTAATCTCCGTTTCTAAGTCTTTTATTTTAAAAGTATAAAAAAAGTAATTAGCTTTGCTAATTGTTATAGAAGCAGACATTACTTCGTCAGGATCAACAAAATCTACTGCTTTTACACCAGATTCTAGAGCAACGCTGATAGGAAAATGAGGATGTTGATAGCTTCTAATTTCCGAAGTGGAAAAATTCTTTACCTTTAACAATTCTCTGGAGAGGAATCTCTTTACCTGATATCTATATTTCGGTGGACAAAGAACAGTCGAATTAGACACTTGAACTATTGTTTTCAATTTTCTTCTCAAATATCTTTCTAACGATTCATTAGTCCAGAATGTTTTCAGAGAACTTTGAAATGAATTTATGGAGGAGGGAATAAATTCGTCTCTAGCATCATTAAGTTTTTTGACTATAGATCCTTGATACGTTTTTTTGGTCAGCCAATCATCATTAGAAGAGTCCAAGTATTTTTTTTCAAGTGAGTCTTCGCTAATTTTAAATGGCGTACTACATTTCGCAATATAGGCAATAAGCTCTGGATATATTTTTTCATCATACAGTTTAAATATTTTACTTTCTGTAATATTCACGTATGAATTATCCTCTAAATGTAGATAGGCTGTAATAATAAACATCTTTGAGATTAAATTTTCCAAATGATATTCAAATTTCTCTTTTTTCAATGGTCTAATTTCATTAAAATGTTTTGTATCATCAGAGTATTTTTCATATAATTCGAAACTGTTTCTTTTGATTTTGTTAACAATTTTAACATTTAGGACATCTTTAAATTTCTCTCCAAAATAATACTCTCTAACTGCATAAACCAACGCCGTAATTCCAAAATATTTTCTACTAACCATTTCCCTGAGAATACTAGATTTTCTATCACGATTATATAACTGTCTAGGTTTTATATCCAACTGAATAATTGAAACTGCTATAAGAGTTTCCAAAACAATCTGCTCTTCTTTAGCAGTTTTAAATAAACTGCAAAGTAAATGATTACTGATATTTTTTGCCATATTTTCTCTTGTATATTTCCACGTTAGTTAACAATTTGGAAGGTATTTCATTTATCTTTTAAATTCACCTTATTGCTGATAATTTCATATTGGATAATCATACGTCGCCTTTCTGCTTTTATGCCATTCTTTTCTTGCATGGAGTTTCGAAATGAAATTATGAGTCATCACTTCTAGAACAATCTGAATACTGCAGCTCTTGTGAAATAAACCAGCTAACATTATTGATTATTTTATATTTAATCCTTTAATTTTAAAAGAGTTTATACAAGTTTGTTTTATAGATCGTTTCGATTGTTATCATCACAACGTTCCTTATTAAAATGCTAGACATATGACAAACCTATCCGAAAGGAATAAAGAAAACGTTTAAAAGTGTCTTTTTCGTTTGATAAATAAAAGAAAATTTATTTTTAATAAATAAAATAGCATATACAAACATTTATCTGATATATTTTAATACTATAATGGCAAATTCAAGTAAAATATAATATTATTTAAATAATTAGGCATAGCCCCCATGCATGGTAGAAAGATGACTGTAGCACAAATGTTTATTTTCAAAAAAATCTAGGCAGTACCAGCAAATTGATTTTGAACATGATCTACACCAAACAAGATTACATCCTCCTTCTTTTTCAATTCCATAGGAACAACTCGGGCATATTTTCCTATTTACTATATCTCCTAGACACCATAGTTTATATTCTCTTTGAAACATTTGCCTTTGTGAAAAGCAATCTTCACCTTCCAGATGTAACTCTTTACAGTTTGAGCATACCTCACATTTACAGGAAATGCATTGCATGGGAGTTTTACCTTTTGAATAAACTAAACCATTTGAACATTTGAGGCCTGGGCAAAAGGTAAATTCTTTGAATTTTTGAACTAGTATTTTGTAAATTTCTCCCTGAACTCTAAATTGCTGTTTCTTTTCTGAATAGACAATTTCCAAATTATTTATTGATTCATCGCAACCGGCACAGGTTATGGGCAACTTTAAGCTTTGAGTAATATTAACATTTAATTGCTGTTTAAAACAACCTGTACAATATGAGTGTCCACAATTTATTAACCTTGTGCTCTGATTGGGAACTTGGAAACAAACAACGCATTCATCGCATTTTGACTCATCATTCCAATCCAGGCGATCTGTATGACTATCTACACTTTCAATATCGATAATGTCTACTAAATGGGAAAAACAATTCAATCCTTCTCCAATTACAGTCCTTTCGGAATATAGTACTATATCTTGAATTTGACATACTAAATCTAAATTACATAGCACCACTAAATGAGATTCTTCAAAATATCCATCGTCAATTTCCTGTGTTACTTTTTGTATTTTCCTCAGATTCTCTCTATTATTCGTATCTAACAATTCCAAATTAATTCTATGATATTGTTTGACTTCTTCAGCTTCATATCTATATAAATACTTGATTACTTTTTTCTTTACTGATCTTGATCCATAAACATACCATAAATTATCATGATAAGTTGTATATGTATTGAACATCTTCTTTAGCCAATTATTTAGTTTAATTTTCATTGATTCAAGTGGAAAGAGTGAATTATATATCTTGCAGGTATCTGGTTTAATTAATGGGATAAGTTTTGTAAATACATCTCTCATAGAAACAAATTTAGGATTATTTATAATAATTTCAATTTCGGCATTGTCCCTAACTAAAAAGTTTCCTTCGTTGAAGAAATCTTCATTCTGAACTTTAAATAGAGCATCCTTCAGAAATGTTTTAATGAAAGAAAACAATTCTTTATTAATTGATAAGATGTTATCTTTATAGGAGTAAAGTTTTTCCTTAATTGAAATATGATTCCTTTCCGACAAATACTTAATTGGGTCTATGTATTTCTCCTTGATTACTCTCATACCCATGATTTCAGATTGATTGTTGATAGGAGAGCATTTTGATTCAAATTGGGCAAAGCCCCATTCAAGCTCCTCTTGATCATTTTCCAGAATATCGTCAATAGAATATTCGTTGGAGTGAATAAAAGTGACATTTCCGAATATTTTATTAAGCTTTTCTTTCACTTTTTCAGTTGTTGGATTATATAAGCAAGCTGTTGCTTTATCTACTAATAAACGAATAGAGTAAAAATCTCCTTCTACCACAGCTTCCAATGGTTCGAATCCATGTTTCTGACAAACATCAATATCTGGACTTAATGTCATAAATGTTAGGCCGAAGGATGAAATTTTGCCAATTTCTCTAAGTTTTCCTTCAAGAAACTCTTTTAAAATTGAATGATAATTTTTCGGACATTTAAACTTAGCCTGACCAAACCAAATAACCTGACGACTTCCACAGACCTGTGAGCATTCCTTTTCCAATTTTTCTTTTGAATAGAAACTATTCAGCAGAGAACAAAGTTTACCTCCAACAGCTTTCTCACCAAAATCCTTCAATTGCAGAGGTTCAAATTCGTCCTTAATCATATCTATATCATCTTGTCTAATAATATCATTTGAGATGAGTTCATCTTGAATCCATTTACTTTCAACTCTAATAGGAGTTTTACAAGTTAGGGGAAAACTAATAAATTCCGGTGTTAATACTTCGTCTCTGATTTCTACTGTATCACTAGTTTTAGCATTCATATAGTAGTTTTTTCCGATATGAACGTAAACATCTTTGCAACAATGATGAAAGATCAACGAACCCAATTTTTCAGTTGAAAGCTTACCTTCAACGTCCTTTATTGGATGCAAATCTCTTCCTGTATTTGTAGATATTCTTTCAATACCTGAGTTAATCTTTTCGACAGTTTGTATATTAATAGTTTTATCATATAGATAATAGGAAGAATCTTTTAGTTCAATAAACATTTTCACAGCAGTCAATATACCATAGTCATCTTGATTAATTAAAGTTTTTAATACATTCCAATCCTTCAAAAAGAAATCATTTACTCCGATATTGTTGTATATAATTGATGCTGCAATAGCTGCTTCATAAGCTAAACCTTTATCTATTCCCTCTTCGATAAAGGTTTTTAAATTTGGACGCCATTTTGACATTTCTTTAGTCTTTTCTTTTGTCCTCTCCATTTTTGCATATTTGATATTGGAATATTTTTTATTAAATAATAGCAAACACAATGTTAAATGAGAGAAATCGTCTACTGCGAATTCTTATATATGAATAGCTCCTATTGCGACATATTGAATCATTTTCTGAGGTCATTACTGACTGTGGTGTAATTTGTGAGTAATTTTTAGCATAAAATCTATACCAGACAGTTTATAGATCATTTACAATTAACAATATCTCTACATTTGAGAAATGTGATACTCCCTTAATGTAATAAAATGTTTCAAATATAAATAGCATATAATAATTATTCAGTCAAATGTAGATGACACTAGTATCGCTACACAATAAATATCTTCCATATATGGCTATTGCTTTAGTTTAATCATCTAGTTTGTTTACATTGACATTAGTACAACATTCGTAAGTATGGAAAAGACTGGCGTCTATATAAACAAGAGAGGGAGAAATTATTGAAAGTTGTATTCATCATAACTAAAAATACAATTATGTAAGAGAATAAATTCAATATGAATATAATATCTAAGAATATGCCTAACAACGATAATTTTCGTATTAAAACGTTTTAATTATGTAGTCTTTGGCCTAAAGTTCCTTCCTTTCACACGAAATCGGTGAGAAATATTTTATTTTAAAGTAAGACTTTAATTGACTTTAGCACAACAGTACGAAAATTTTTTATCATCTCAAATTGAACATTCTCCACCTGGATAATATATTTGCCATTAGATTCTTTTCATTTATGCATTTATTCATTCATTCATTCTAGCAAATAGTCCTGAGAAGGATAAATCTTCTTTAATTATACAATTAATTCGCAATTAAGTACGAATTCATTCCAAAGTCCCTTTTCTCTAGAAGAGGTTTAACAGCATAAAAGCTTGTATACTTTTATAGAATTGCAAATATTTAAAGGTATTTCTAGAATCTGTAAACATAATTATAGGTTTATTTTTTTAAAGATATTCTTATAGATAACATAAAGGGAATGGGAAAAGTACTTGATTTTCATTTATTATATTTTTCTCGACGTAGCTCTGTTGATAAATGATATTTGATATATTTTCAAAAAAAAACACAATAATCCTTTAAATATCCTTATTATTTCTTTTTTGAAGGTCAACAGCAAGAATGTTTCCTTTCAATTTAATAGATTATTTCCCCATAAAAGTAAACATTTAGGCCTCCATCCATTCTCAGACTTAACGACGCCATTTTCGTCTGATATCAGTTCATTATGAATATTTTATTGGTGTATTGCAATTATCCAGATATGTAATACATTTAGTTTTCTCCTTTACCCTCTTCATATAAAATCAACGAAACGTTTACACTTCTAAGACTGAATTGTTTAACCTTGATAAGAGTTATTTATTTAAATATACAGTATATATATATATATATACATAAAACTAATATAAAAATCTATCTGTTCACGTTGTTTCATTCCCTAAATGTAGAAATTCAAGTATGGTGTAGCATTTCATTAAAATGAGTCATAATCCTTTTTATTTAATTCTTTATGATACATAATCTAAGGATATAAAAATCTCTTCTCTTTCTTTCTCTTTCAATCTACAAACTGGTATATTTTTTATAAAGGAAGAAAGAAAAATCAGGGAGGATTTGCTTAACAGCTTCAAATATTCGTATAGTTTTAAGTATATATTTACATTCTGTCTGCTTATCAAAATATATACTTGATGCAAAGAAGAAAAGTTTAATCAACTGCCCTGTTTTTCTTTATTGTTACATTTCGTTCGATAAATCGTTTACACTTATTTTTAACTCTTTTTAATTTCTCTGTCAAAAATAATCTACATCTAATATTTCCTCAAGATGGCGTGTTACAATATGCTGTATTTGGAGAGAGAGAGAGAGAGAGAGAGAGAGAGAAAAGAAAGGAAGGATAGAAACACTTTTTTAAAAGTGTTAATAGATTTTCTTTTCTTCAATTTCTCTCCTTCACTCTCACTTCGACTTCTTAAAGTATAACATTATGAATTTTCCCCTTCAAAAAAAAAAAAGAAAATTAATTAACATACTATTCTATACTAAAGTTTTTTAAGTACCAATCCTTTTACAATAGATATCAGTTTAGCTGCCTTATCAACATTTCTATATTTAACTATAAAAGAAGGAAATGAAAGAGACTTATTCTTTCTTTTTTTTATTTTTTAGGTTAGTAAAATAAAATATAAAGTTTACTTTTATGAAGTATTCTGTTAGTTTATAAAGACATTCCTCTTTCTCAATAATTCCAAAATATTCAAGAATGTACCTTCTTTATCGCCCTTAAAACAAATTACGATAATTATATATGAATGAGCAACAAAAAAAAGCCTCAAGGTCAAAAATTCAAACACGTTTAAATTGAGAATTAATTAATCTATTTTTAAAGCTGTCAATCAAAAATTAAATAAGATTTTGATTGATTTTCAAAGAAATTCTAAATATTCTAATTAAAAGAATAGATATAGACTTTTTATATTTACAAGTACATGTACTATATATATAAAATATGTATGGAATTTCTTTGTCAATGCTCTTTTATGTATATTATAGTGCAAAATGTTTTCCATTTATTTTGCTTAGAGACAAATAGATTATTGATAATTTTTAATATACTTATCATTCTATATGAACTATAATTTTCATGAATTTTTCACTGTATACTCTCTTTCTCTCTCTCTCTTTATTCAATCAATTGGCTACATATTAATATATTCTAGGTTAATTTCAAGATATTTTCTACCTCCTCCAAACACAATTTACATAAAGTATATAGAGTATAACAATATATAAAAAAAAAATATTAGACTATTCTTTCTTGTATTATACGCTTTTATGTATTGTGTTAGTATATTAGACAAACAAAGAGTTATTAGTACATATGAACACAATATTTTATTGGATTGTACTAAAAAATCTAGGCATTTTGAAGTAACTATGAATAAATCTCAGCCACTAGATGGCCTTATTTTATTTTTCCAACCTAGTGTATACATACAAAAAAGCGAACCTTTCAACAAATGTAAAGTATATCATTGAAGTGTTATGAAAATGTTCTGTTTATAATACTTTTCATATCTGGAATATTTGAGTGTTATTTAGTAATAAATAACGGTTTTCTTGTTTTATTTAAGGTTGTTATAGTGTCAAGTATGAAAATTTCAATATATTGTATATAGTAGGGTATATCGTATAAATGCAGGAATTAAGAGGGAAATTAAGAAAACAAATTAGAATAGTCTTCTAATTAAATTTTTTTTAACCTAAATTAATTAAAACTAGTACTATAAGGGCTAGAAAAAGTTCTATTAGAAATTAGTGACCCTTATTTGTAGTAATGCGATTTGCATCCTCTAAGAGGAAATTGTTTCGATTAATAATAAAGTCTTTTAATTTTAATTAAATGGGGAGGTGGATGGAGCTGAAGTAATTGGACATTTTACTTTTTAGGGATTACGTCTAGGGCTTGAAAGTTAATGGGAAATATATTGGAAAAAAATTGAAAAAAGGAATGAATTTTGGATTTTATTTCAGTATCTTATTGTTAGGTAATAATGAACAAAAATCTCAGGTTTCGTTTACCAATTACTAAGATTTTTGGCTTCCTTTTCTTGCTAGTTCAACGTGAAAGTTCTATTATGTATTATAATTGAGAGGTAAGCTAACGAAAAAGTAAACTTTAACGGTTTACCAGACGTCGTTCCGTAGTAGCGGTTGCTAAGTAATTAAGTATAAACAAAACAAACACTCCTATAAAAGAATCGGTTGTCCAATAGCCAACATCACTTCAGGTATCTCAACTTGCCGATTCACGATCAGCGATCGAGAGCCGTATTATTCTAAAATATTCCCTTCTTTTCTTTATCAAAGAATACCGAAATAATTAAAATAATCAATCATGGTAGCGTATCTTTGTAAATAGCTATACCACAATATTTTCTCATACAATTCGTACTATTCTATTCTGAACAGAGAGAATGCATTTCTATCCACGTAGGACAAGCCGGAGTCCAAATCGGTAATGCTTGCTGGGAATTGTACTGTTTGGAACATGGTATTCAACCAGACGGTCAAATGCCAAGTGACAAAACTATTGGCGGAGGCGACGATTCCTTTAACACTTTTTTTTCTGAGACTGGCGCTGGTAAGCACGTACCAAGAGCCGTTTTTGTCGACTTGGAACCAACTGTTGTTGACGAAGTTCGTACTGGAACTTACAGACAACTTTTCCATCCTGAACAACTTATCACTGGCAAAGAGGACGCTGCAAATAACTATGCTAGAGGTCACTACACCATTGGTAAAGAAATTGTTGATCTGGTCTTGGACAGAATCAGAAAATTAGCCGATCAATGCACTGGTCTACAAGGTTTTCTCATCTTTCATTCATTCGGAGGAGGTACTGGATCCGGCTTTACTTCTCTTCTTATGGAACGTCTTTCAGTCGACTACGGCAAAAAATCGAAATTGGAGTTTGCTGTTTATCCCGCTCCTCAAGTTTCGACTGCTGTTGTTGAACCTTACAATTCTATCCTCACTACACATACAACTTTAGAGCACTCAGACTGTGCATTTATGGTTGATAACGAAGCTATCTATGACATCTGCCGTCGAAACCTTGACATTGAGCGACCAACCTACACAAACCTAAACAGATTGATCGGACAAATTGTGTCATCTATCACAGCTTCGCTGAGATTCGATGGTGCTCTCAATGTCGATCTAACGGAATTCCAAACCAACTTGGTACCTTATCCCCGTATCCACTTCCCATTGGCCACCTATGCACCAGTAATTTCAGCCGAAAAGGCCTATCACGAGCAATTATCCGTTGCTGAAATTACAAACGCTTGTTTCGAACCAGCAAATCAGATGGTAAAGTGCGACCCCCGTCATGGTAAATACATGGCTTGTTGCATGCTCTACAGAGGAGACGTCGTTCCAAAAGACGTCAATGCTGCTATTGCAACCATCAAGACAAAGAGAACAATCCAATTTGTAGATTGGTGTCCAACTGGCTTCAAGGTTGGAATCAATTATCAACCACCCACTGTTGTACCCGGAGGTGATTTGGCCAAAGTACAAAGAGCAGTATGCATGTTGTCGAACACAACTGCAATCGCTGAAGCATGGGCTAGATTGGATCATAAATTTGATTTAATGTATGCCAAGAGAGCCTTTGTTCACTGGTACGTCGGAGAAGGTATGGAAGAGGGTGAATTCTCAGAGGCCAGAGAAGATTTGGCAGCTTTGGAGAAAGATTACGAAGAAGTTGGCGTCGACTCTGTCGAAGGCGAAGGAGAAGAAGAAAATGAAGAATATTAAATAGTTTTTCAATGTCTCTCTCTCTCTCTTTCTCTTCTTTTTAATTGTAGTTTCTAAAAAATAATTTCAATTTCTTTACTTTTTATGGCCAAATAAAAAAAATTGATATTATTTACAAAAATATAAAGTTTTTAAGTGATTTATAAATTAAAAATAGACAAAAAAATGCACTAAATTGTATTAATAATAAATTAATTGTGTGTTGTTTACCCCTGTATAATCGGTTTGAGACAAGAAAGGACGAGAATGCAATTCTTTTTTTCTTTCAAATTAAATTCCGTAACACAAAGAAAAAAAAATGAACAAACAAAAAAAAAAACAAAAGAAAAAAAGAAACAAACAACAGTACAGTTTTGGTCTTTTTCCATCACTAAGTTTTATATAATTTTTGCACTCTAGTATTCCTCAGAAAGATTGAATTGAACGGCGTTCCCTGTCACGTGATTAAAGATATCCGGACAAGAAGGATTGCACTGAGGGACGTTGCAGACATCTATCAAGTAATGACCACACTTAGATCCATGAACGGCCATATTATGAACTTCGTGTGATGAGGAACTTAGCGCCCTTCGACCTCTCTCTCTCTGACTTGTACCTGTTGGTCAATACGTAATAAGTAACTGTTATATTAACAATTGTTCTAATGAGTGTTAATCGTAAATAAAACATTAGATTAAGGCGTCAAAAGAGCTTAGAGTAGATAGCAACAATGGCGGTCGACTACTTGAGGAACATTTAGGAACGACCGTAAAGTAAATAGCCAAAGGCCGAAAAAAAACTTAGTATGCTTAGATAGTGGAGTTAATTGTCGAAAGGTGCTAATAGACATCAAAGGATAGTTGCTCTTTGATATGCCGCCTTCCAAGTATGCTCTTGTGACTCAATATACAAAGCTTCGGGCCAACTAAATTATTCTTGTTTGTACCATCAACTTACAGATTATTCGTTTCCGTTTCGATTTCGGTTTCCTCCTGTTCTTTCTCTTAAGCCTACGGCACCTTTTCAGATCAAAAATCCTCAATATCTTACGCTTGTTCGAGGGTGCGCTAGCCCTGATAGCCCTTGGATCGTCCTTCATTAACTTTTCCCTATTCGTCGAGGAAGAATGTTATTATTATAGGCTATAGTAATTACTAGTTAATGATCAACGCATACCCTGTGAGAAAAAAATCCCTTTTGCCGAGTGTCGATCTAAAATTCTTTTTCATTCTAGTTCCATAGCGATTTTGTTCGGCATCTCCCTCAGTCCAACATTTTAAAGCTTGTAGGAGACTTGTTCTACGAACTGTCAATTTGAACCAATCCGGTTTCTGGAGAACTTGATGAGAAACGCAAGAAGGAGCGAAGACGGCACTGTAAGAAAAAGAAGTAGAATAAATAACGACATTTTAATAATAAAATACTTTATAATTGATGAGAATGTGATAGTTGCTCTACAAGGGGTGCACCTGGTCTTCAACAAGACCGAACTAAAATTAATTATTCATTGTATATCTTATACTCCTTTCTAGTTCATAACCCTTATAAGACGGCTTGTTTGATCCTTAAACGTAGCGATTTTTAATTTAAACGATTTTTTTAAGTAGAGGCGTAAAGGGAAAAATAAAAATTCTTCTTCAATTGGCAATAATAATCAAAACTTATTAAGATTCTTATTATAGCTATTATTACTTGTTGTTATTGAAATATAACATTGTAAATATACTTACGATACGTTTGATAAAGTTCTGATAAAGTCTTGGCCTATGTCCAGCATGAAACGTCTTTGCCGATCGTTTGCAGGCGGATAAACCCTGTTAGCCATTAATTGAGCTTCGTCGAACAGATTTTGTATGATGAATATCGGCGCTGCCCAGGGGGTAATTGTATAAGATTATATAATATGTAATAAAAAAAAAGAAAGAGAAAGAATAGAAAAAAGAAGACCAAAGGATTGAAAGAAAAATAAAATAAAGAGAATATTTGAATTGTTACTTTTTAGAGTTGGGTAGACTCTATGACCAAAGTAGCATTTCCAAGCCTCTTCTGAACCAAATTGTTTAGCACAGTTGTATGGTACGACACCTTTCCAATATTTAAAACCAATCGAAATAGCTTTTGACGGTGAACAGTGCAAAGGATTATCCCTACAATCGGATTCTCTCTTAAATGGCATATTGTCCAGATACCATCCGCTATCGATTATACCTCGTACTTTGGCTTTTGGTGCCAAGTTAATTAATCTTTGGCTGATTCTGTCGATGTTCATTAAGACTCCAGTGGCTCCAGCGCTTGAACCACTTAGATAGATTCTTGTTGCCGATTTTAAGTTGTGTAATTCAGACAAGTCTCTAAATAATTTCGCTAGAATAACTGAACCCATGAAGCTGAATGATTTGGTTGAAAATTTTCTACCCGACCACGAATCGCTTGAACAATACGGGACGTATCTGTTAAGATAAAAGAAGAAGAGAGGATTACTTTTAATTCTTATTTATGCTTGTACACAACAAAACAAGAGGAAAAAAGAAAATATATTTCTTTTCCGTTTTTATCTTCTCCTGCCTCTTTCCCCCTACACTTTTCCTACCCTTCCCATTATTATTTTATATTATAGAATTATCTTTTGATAACAACTGAATGGGACCTATTATCAATACGATTACTGCCAATTTATATTAGGAAAAAACGAACACTATGTTTGCGTCAAAGAACAGTGGGTTTTCATCCGGATTCGTCGACAAAATTCCCGTACCTGAAGAATGAAAATCGATAAGGATTGACGTGACATCTACAACTCCATTCGCCCCGTGACAAGTTCCTTTATGCCGTCAACAAATTACCCCCCCTGTTCAATAGGCCTATACTTACCGGTTTTTAGAGGAGGCCAACTGGCTGAACCGCTAAATTGAGGGCTAGCTTCCTGCCTTTTTTCGCAACTTTCTTCGTCTATGCAAAACCAGCCTCCTTTTAAGAAAAACAAAAAAATCAAAAAGCTGTTTATTAATTATTCTATTATTATTATTATAAAGTATTTATGTTATTTTAATAAATCCTCTAATCTTGGCTTATCTGACGCTAATCAGATAATCGTTTTTTGGAGGCGCCATTTCCCACATCTTACCTTGTAAAAACACGATCCATTTTTTTGGGTCGGAGTTCTTCAGAAGATAATATCTGTTATAATAGAAATTAATTAAAAACGTACTGGCCTGGTCGTATATGGACTTATCGAAAAATAAATGTTAAGATTAACCGGGCGGCGAAGATGAAAGAACTAGATTATAAAGCTTTGAGATTGTGCGTAAAATGTTGGCAAAACTGTGTATTTACCCGGCTTTTGATCCGTCATTACAAACCGCTTTCGTATGTCGAATTTTAAAGAGACGCATTTTGTAGTCGGTAGGTCGCAACTCAGGGCAACTGGCGTCTCCATCAGATAAACGCTTAATATTCACCAATAGGTTATTGGCATCTATTCCAATTTTCTTTAGCTCCGTAAGATTAAGTGTCACGACATCATTATGAACGTGGACGGGGATGGCATAGGAAAAATGTACTATCAAACTAAGAGATAGAATAACGAAGGAGAACATTGCGAAGAAGATGGCGGCTCGTAAGCCGCGTTTCGTTCGGCTGCTTTCATCCACTCCGATTTCTTGTCGACGTTCTGCCACTAGGCAGCAACTCTGCAACAGAATATGAACTGAACCACAGGCGCTAAAAGTCGAACCAATCGCTGACGATTGGAGACGATCACGTGATCTACAAGTGTCTAATCAACGGAGAGCTAGGCTAAAAAAAAAGCGAATTGTTAAGTGTCAGCCCGCCAATTTGATGATGGGAATAGGGAGAGTTTAATATAAACAATAAATCCAACAACGGGTGAATGTTTATAAAGAGTTATCTCGTAAATACATATACAAGAGCTGACGATAAGGCGCAGTTCTTAAAAACTGCAAAGAAAACAAAAAAAGGAGGTGGGTGGAGGCGGGAGAGGAAAGAAGGCGTAGTATGGCAACGATTGCCGGCCGTGTTGCAGGTGTTTAAATGCCGAGTTTCGAACACGTCCTACATCAACGTGTCAAACGGTCAGCGATTTCCGAACGAAGATGAATGAAAGGCCTCACCAAGCTTTAGTAAGAGATAAGGGCTAGTGGGCTGCCTACTTTCTACCCAGGATATAGATTTAAAGCAGAAATGAGAGAGATCTCATGTAGATAAATCTGAAAGAAAAAAAAAAGAAAAGAGAATAACTTTTTTCGGGTTCCTCTCTTCCTCCTTCTTTACGGATTTTTCTTTATTTGGCGCCATCTACTCAAAGAATAATCCGATTCGGTAGCGTCATCTTCCTTCGTAGCAAAAGTTTCCACCCTCGTAATCCTTTTATAAATACGCAATTCGGTGATTTGGAGAAACAAGGGAAAACTCTCTGTCCGATTAACGATTTTCCAATCTCTTCACGTATCGGATTCCCTACCGAAACGTTATATAATATACCGTAAAGGTTACACAATAGGAGAGTTCTTCTTGAAGTTTTTCTTTCTCTCTATACCATCGATAGTTCTCTTCTAAAATGCTTCTCTTCAAACTTTTCACTCTTTCTCTTTACCCTTTTAGAATGTTCAAATTGAAACAGTAGTTTACGCCAATCAAACGCTAAATTAATCCATAATGAACATTCTTTCACTCTCTTTCTCTCTATCCCTCACACTAGGAATTATTCACATAGTTTTTAATGAATCAATTTAACGCTGTTCCTTTCTATTCGAAACTGCGAAAACAATTCGCAACTACTCTGTCAAGATTTACAAACTGAGAAAACCTAGGATAGGGGCGCTGTTGCAAACTGTTTGTTTGGTGAATGTTTTAAAACTTTTGTGGGGGGAGGGTAACTATTATATCTGACCATATAAACCTTCTTGTTTAAATTCTTCCACTATCAATTGTTTATATAAACTTATAAAGGAAGAAGAGACAACAAACATTTCAACCTCTTTATTCTTGTAATTAAAAGAGAGAGGTAAATTGGTGTCGTCCTTAAAATGTTAATTAACTTTGCAAATTATACGTTACGTTATACCATTATTTCGTTTTTTGTACAAAATTGTAAGGTTATATTGAGTTCTAATTGTAGAATGTGGTATGTAACTTGTAACAACCCATCACAAAATTATGGTAACGTTTATGTTAAGCCTATTTAACAGACGTAAAACGTCTCTTACAAAAAGGTGTAAACTAGTAACCAATGTAAACCGGCTGTCGGAAATATAACAGAAGTTAGTTTACAGTAGAGAAAAATTTCGAGGGCCCCTCAGGAAAGAAATACAGTAGGGGTATGCCATAGGGTTAGATAAGTTTTCTTTTACTTTTTCTTTTACTTTCAAATCCCTAGCGCCATCTCCTGTCCAAATAGTAAAGTAAAGTAAATCCACTGATGATAGAAATATTCTGTATAAGCCTATCCGTTACACTAATATCTATTTAATATATACGTTTGAAAGCTGAGAAGTTTTTTGAAAGGAAACTTCGTTAAAGCCTATATATGAAATTCTATACATATACAGTATATATATATATAAATTTATATATATAAATTTATATATATATATATATATTCACTTTTATCAATGTTATTAGTTAGTATTCCAGTCATTTCTAGGTTTCCCTTTGGATATAAAAAAAATCCAAAATATCGTTCTTTCCTTTTTATTATCATATATAAATTTAAGAGAAAAATTATTGACAATTTGACGGTCTCTTTCAAATGTACAATATAAAAAGGAAATAAAAAAATTGACTAAGGGGAAATTCATATTTGGCCGATTACGAATACTGCAGGCTGGAGTTTATTAGGATCATTTACTCAAGCAATAGATGGCGTTAACATCAGCAGATTGATAAACATACTAGCAAATAAAAACCACAAGGCGCTTGTAATCTTTAGACTAGCAGCAGAATTCGTCGGTTCCGTGGTATGATCTGGCGATGAAAGAATTTTATTAGAAACAGTATAAGCAAACAATAAAAACGTCTCACCTGGTTCGTTGGGGAGATTCGTTTCGCGAGCTTGAAATTTTTCCTTTTCCATATCTTTCATTTTCCGTCTAAAGTAGTTAGTCCTCGATTCTTCTAAATCTTCATCTTCCCATTCCAATTCTTCTTTAATCTTCATATCAAATATTTCTCTACTGGTTAAACCGTTTTCGCTGTCTAACTCTTCCTTCTTTATCTTTATAAATAATATAGTAAAACCCGATTACTAGCTGTATATTACATTTCGAATAGTTTATTACCTCTTCTTCCAATTCTATACTTTTCCTAATACTATCTTCTATTTCCATCGATTCGTCCCTTTTATTAGCCGGAACGCAGTTCGTGATAATCAGATTAATTAGAATCGTAATGAATAAATTCCTACTCATTTCCTATTCACTGTAGTCAACCTCTCCTTACTTTCTATCGTATTTTACACCCTTTAAATACACTTGTTTATACAAATATGTAATCACGTGATCTTCTTCCGTTTCGTGTGTTGAAATCCCCGCCTACTAACCCGGGCAGTCATACTAAAAAAAAACTATATATTTATATATAGTCAAAGTTCTATTTGCATAAAAGAACACGCTACACCACCGCCATCTATGGGGAGACGGAGTACAGACGCTAAGCATTTACACACTGGAACTGCAAATCAAACAGCTCTACTCGTTCCAGTTCAAAGATAAGAAATGGAAGAGTACGAGTTTTTACGGATAGGCCTGCTTATGCGTTTCCTGCCTCTTTCCGTCTTTCTCATCACAAACCAACCAGCTGGTAAGTTAATAAAAAATTATGAGAGAGAAAAATAAGAGAAAAATTGTCAGTATATATTTCCAATTTTTCATAGCAGAAATATTGCATTAGAGGGGGAAAGATCGAGAAAGAGAGAGAGAGAAAGAGAGAGAGAGAGAGAGAGAGAGAGAGAGACGTGTACGAACGCAACATGTTGCCATTTCTTTCTTTCTTTTTTTCATGATTTATCGGTTTTTTTAAACATTGTAAGCAATCGAATTATACTAAAAAAAACAAATAGTAATAAAGCATAATTTTAATTGTAAAAATTCAAAAGAAAAAGGAGTGATAAAGAGAAAGAGAGAGCAAGGTGGAGGGGAGGGGAAGGGGGAGAGAGAGAGAAAGAAATCTAGTAAATATCGCACGTGTGTTGTTGTTTTTTCCTTTAAATCCTTTTCTTCCCTCTTTCTATCTATCAACCTTTCTTGTCTTTTTTTTTCTTCTATTTTCTTCTCTGTCTCTTTCATTTTCTCCCCGCTTTTTACTTTACTATCATTTTTTCCTTTTATCGCAGTGACAAACGATATATAATTATAATATAGCTTTTTTCTAGATCCCAAAGCATATGATAGGAGTTTGTCTAGCTTTATTTACTTTTAAATGAGCGGTCTGAAAAACAAGGCCTCGTTAACCGAATCAATTATAAAACGGCTCTATGGGGAATATCTTTGAGAATCGTTGTTGCAGTTTCTATTCCCATTTCTTTACTTAGTTCATGCTTTTCTAGTTTATTATATTACTGGATATAGTTAGATAAGATGAAAGATAAGGTAATTAAAACCGGTTGTCTGTGACGTCTAGGGTTACTAATTGGAATATCTAAAACATACAGAAAATGTACTCTACCTCATTTTTATATAGTCGATGTATTATTATTAAGAATATTTATATATATACTTAACATATAATACAATATATACCTATATATTCAGTAAATATATATAAATAACTATAAAAGTAGTGTACAAGAGAGGTTTTCGAATAAGGCCTAAGTAAATAATATTCTAATGAGGAACCGCTTCTCAAGGAAAAAAAAATTCATAAACTCTTCTTTCATTGAGACAAGGGTATAAAGAACACTAAGTCGCATATATAGATAGATATATGAATGCGGTGTACACTATATATATAGAGTATATATATATATATATTCATAAATATTAAAGACCGGAATAATGGTATAATTCCTTTCCATTCGAACAAAAAGCACTAAAAAGAGGGTGTAAGTCTTGGCGGGTTCTAACGAATATTAACGAGGATCTTATTAAATCCGGCTCCGATCCGTCAGTAATAGAAAATGGTGGTAAGACGTATACGTATATACTTTTAGGCCTAAATAGGCTCTTCCACTTTGATGCGCTCTTTTATCTATACAACCCGTACGGTAATCTCGTGCAGGCGCCAATACTAGCGCCGGTCGGCTGCAATACCGCAATCGTTTGCAGATGGTCGTCGGTGGTTTTTTGCGTTATCTTGCTCTTTCTTCATGTAGTATTTTTTAAAGCATACCGCTCAATACTTGTTCGCTTAGTATTACCCTTTGAGAGGAGGGAATCGTTTAAAAACATTCGAAAGATTGTTACCAGATTAAACAATATGGCGGCCTTTAACAACTGGTAATAAGCTTCTTTAGATATACGTATAAATTACATTAAAGTACTTACACTTATGTTCTCGAAATGTAGGAGAGTAATTTAAATGGAATAGTCTACTTTTCCACATCGTTTAGCGAAAATTTGCGTCGATCCCTTGCGTGATAATTAAAACGGTAAGAGGACACAAATGCAATTAGCTTAATTAATATCACTATATGTATAAAATAAAATGAAATTCTAAGAAGAAAATTAATTCAAATGTGGAAAAATATACGAAATAAGAACTCTTTATTCACACCTTTCATTTACTGTAATTGCATACATGTCAAAAATTCTTTTACCTGTATTCCATATTAGATTATTAGAGTATTACCGATTACTGTTTAAAGAGTTGCTTTGCTGTTGAGATTAGCAATTGAAGTTATTGTTAATTTTCTACACGCGTTTTGACGCGTTTAAGCAAGTTTTGCTTGTTTGGTTAGCTGTATCACCTCCATATTTTATACTATAATTTATCTTAGTTGTACAAATTTTGAATGAAAATAACAGATATAGTATGATATCCTTTCTTCTTTTCTATCTATCTATCTCTCTCTCTTTCTCTGTCTATCATAAAAGAATTAATGTTATTATTCACGACTGTATAGTATGTAATAGTTAATTTATTATTGAGATCCAACACGGAAACTTATGAATAATACACGAACTATATGATTCGCTTAGACGTCTTATCCTAAAACGAAATAAATAGATTTAAGTAGCCATAAAGATCAATGGTATGAGAAGCCATAAACTACTCTCTTTTTTCTCTATACATGTGATGCTTTAGATATACATAATAATCACGTGACCGGTAAACCCCCGGGCGTGTGCCACAAAACTGACATGAAGGAAAAAAAAGCAAAGGGTATATAAAACTGTAAATGAGACTTTGGTAATAGGCCTAAAATAATAAAAATGATTTATTTTCAAAAGAGGACAAAAGAATGGAAAGTATTAAAAAAGAGAGGGAAGGTGCGAAAGTTGTATGTGGAAGCCGAAAGGTTTTATTGTCTGACAAACAATAGTTTACCAACTTCTTTTCAAAGCTTCTAAGCACTTTCTTATCGAGCGTTTTCATTATAGTGATTAGTATTCGAAAATGCTCGTTATAGTTGTTCGATAACGAACTCCTTCTCATCTATGACTCTGTCCCGACCTTCGACCGTTTTCTACGTTTCATTCGTTATTTGCCCCTTGTGCAAACTATCGAATGAAACTAGTCTAGAGAAAATAAATTTTTCGACCCCGTTCTTTCTGTATACATAACGTGGGTGCTATTGTAAACAAAGTCGACTTTTTCCAGTAGTTGGTTTATTTATTTGCCTATAAATCGGCGTTTTAACGAGTTCCATTCATTTTCATATACAGCAACGACCGCAAAGGCCAAAGTAATTTTTATGTGGGAAATTTTTTCTCTCTCAGCACGCTTTTGTTCCGTCTAGCTTGCCGACAAAGTAGCTGGCTTGCTTATTACAAACTCATAGTTGCCTTACTGAATAGAACCGCGCTTCCTTTTCTTCCTCCGGGCTTCTTTACAGGGTTTTTCCGTTCTAAGAACGAATACGTAAATCCATTCTAAGGTGGAGAGGGAGATATTGAAGATAGGCAAGAGAATTATAAACTTTAGCATGTTTGTATATAAATATACCTAAGTAAGAGGGAGAAAGGAAAAGAAGAAAATACATATACTACTACATATACTGTATATATATATATATAAAGAGACAGACAGATAAATAAAATAGACTAAAAGCTTATATATAAAACTTATCACGTGCTTAGCAAACTTATTTTTGCAGAGCTCTGTGTAAATCAAACAGTAAATCAATTCCGTATTGGCTATTGATTGAGCAGAATCAATTACGTATTTACAAAGACTTGTAATATAAATTTTAATTTTAAACATCCTGGAGTCGATAAGTAATTTTTGTGAAGAAATGAATAATTCATGGAAACAACTAACGAGCGAATATGATCATTCTCAACTGTTTTATGCACCTGCTATTTATCAGAGGAGAGGAAAAAAAATTGGCGTGAGATGGATCAATTTTCGTTCTAGAAAACGTTTCCAATAGCGTCAGAGCGCTCTGATTAAGTAAGAATTAGTGTAAATTAGCCTTGCTCACGAATTCGTCTACATACGTGACTTGAATTATATCAACGCATGCGGGGCACGTGCGAATAATAAAACCTTTTTTCGCTTATCGATGTTTGCCTTGCTTATCAACGAGAAATTAATAAAAGCGACAACGTTTGATCGTCGCTTCAACGCCCATAGCTCATTAGACGCCAGAGCGTCGGTCAATAAAGCGATGCTCGTCTTCTTCCCTCCTCCCAACGTAGACACGCTTTTGCAATAACCGATCATCGAGGTTAATAGGCCTATACAACTGCAATTTTTCCGTCATTCTTGTTCGTGTAGTGAATTTCTGTCTCTTTTTTATGCTAGTTCTTCATTTCTGTACTATATTTTCTACTATTATCCTTTTCCTTTTTATCTTAAAACAGATTGCATTGTTGCCAGACCAGGAAAGTTTGATATATTCTGCAGTAAAGATGAAGTAAAAGTAACATTCTCTTGCGGTGTTGGCTCCGTAATAGAAATTAAGAGAGCTGAATATGCTTTCAACATGGATATAATACGAAAGTGCGTGAATGATAATGACTTTTCGAAGTCGGAGGACTGTGGGAGTGACGTCGGAGCGACTTTAGGCGCCATCTGTAATGGAAATCGAACTTGCCAGATATTTGGAAGTGATTTTTTAAGACTATTCTCAACACAAAGATCTTTAATGGATAAGAAACATTGTTCAGGAGTTTACTTAAAACATTTACAGGCGGAATACGCTTGTAGAAAATTGTCATCTATTAAAGATATATGTAAATTAAAGAATTATCGACTCAATCATGATGTTCTACTATCATCCGAGCAATTCAGATTAAATAAGAGAAAAGGCCCCAGTTGTCGTCTGTCTTTGAAGGTTAAAGAGGGCCGTAGGATTCGTATGGAATTGATTGATTCTCCGAAAAGAAAGCTCAGTGGCCAATATAGCAGGAATAATTGTAAAAGCTCTTACGGAGCATTAAAAATAGAACAAAAAGATTTAAGATCGAAGATGATTTGTGGTGGACAGGAAGAAGTGCAAATATTTGAAACGGACACTAGCTCAACAGAGATATCCGTCACAGAGAGGATACTTACAAATTCCTCAATGAACTTTTTACTAAACATATCTGGTAAACATATCACGTAACACTTTAACAAATGATGATACAAGTTTTCGTAACCTAGAATCATTATTTTTTCCCATCAGTTATCGGCTGCCCCAACCTCTACTCTTCCGCTCAAAATCCTGGAACAACTTACGTTAGGAAATCTAACCACCTAACAATTAGATGCAAAGATGGGAGGAGGTGGAGACTGGAGTGCTCCGGTAATGAATGGACGGGGGGTAGGCTGAATTGTACAGAACGTTCGTATAAGATAAAGTAAACTTTGAAATATCAAGAGACCTGTATCTTTTTCCTTTAATTATACAGCAGCCGAAACTGGAAGTAGTTCGTTGATTCGCCTGGGATCTATCTCCATCCCACCCGGCATCCTTATCGCCATCATTCTCGGGCTCGCTTTGATTATAAGCGTATGCATTCTGACAATCGGATTACTAATGCTTCAAAGGTATATGCGCAACCGGTTTTTAGACCTAATCAATAATTCACTTTCTTCTCTGTAAAGGCAACGAAGGAAAGCGGCTTATGCTGCTATCTACTCCATGTCTGAGATGGCGCCTGTCGAGTATCGCCGGTCCAAGACGCCATCTGGTGTTTATCAAAGAACACTACCAAAAAGCGCTATGAACGGCGGACTTTCGAATGGTCAATTATTGCAGCCTGAGAACGAGTACGCAAGCGTTCAAGAAATAAGCGATATGAGAGGAGCACCCTATGGGTGTGTTGAATGTGCAAGAGCAAAAAATGGTGGCGGTTCTCTTAGACCTCTATCAACTTAATATTTAAGATGTATATAGTTAAAAAAATACTATGAACGTAATTTCTTAGAATTCTCCATTTTGTATATATTTTTGTTGAACTGCCATATTTATTTACCTAACTTTTACTTTTTTGTCTATTTTCTTTTTTCTACTAAAACGAAAGATATACATATGAACTTTAAAAAATTTGTTCAGAAATTAATCTACCGTTAGATGGCACACTTGTAGAAAGAAATCGGGCGTCTATACCGTTGAAAGATGTTAAACAAATCAAAGCAGCTTACAAGGCTCTTGAAAATTGCGTCGGAATGCAGAAAGAGGAAGAAGTGGTATAGAAAGACAGCAGGTGCAGGGAGAAATCTAAACGAAAGGGATGAAGGTCTACTCGAGTCAAGTGGGTGACCGTAGACGTATAACTAAGTAGGGCGGCGTTGTAGAAGAAGTTATAGATGTAAAAGGAACGCCGAGTGCCATTTTTAACACTCGTCATGTGACAAATTAGACGCCGTAACAAAGCGAAAGAGACGATAACCTTCGGCCGGTCGATTTTCGAAGTGTGCAGCTGGCGGCCATTGTCCGCCTAATGCGCGACCTTATCGTCGGCAATAATAACTTTTTTTCCTATATTTACGTATAAAACGAGATCACGTATCGATGGCGAATTAATCGTGAGAGGCGGGCAGCTGCCGGGTTAGTGACGTCATTACGCCGTCAAGTGGACGCTGATAAAGGCGTAAATAAATAGGAGGATTAAATTCTTTTTATTTAGCCACGCCCACATGTATCGACAGACAGAGTCCCTTGTTAGGGGATTTTGACAGAAGCGGTAAAAACAACCGCTATACGTCATCGTACATCTTTATTATGACCGCTTTTTATTGGCGGCAGATTGAAAAGTAATTGCAGCTGTTGCTCAAACAACAACTTCGATTTCTTCCTCATCATCAGCAACACCTCCGTCACTCAACTCTCCTTCAATAGCTTCTAATTCTTCCATTTCCTCTTCTTCCTCTTCTTCTGGTGGGAGGCTATCTGAGTGATTTTTTGTTGAATCTACTGGATGCCTTGACCTTATATGCCTATCTAAATCTCTTCTTCGGACTAGAACCTTTCCACATAAATGACAACGGTAGGGCGTATCGCCCTCAGCGTGTAGCCTTATGTGTTTATTGAGATTGCTCGGATCTCCGAACGGTCGAAGGCAAATCTTACATTTAAGCGGCTTGTATCCGGTGTGCGTGCGCAAGTGGATCTTGAGTCCGTACTTGCGCGAGTACAACTTTCCGCAGTATATACACAGGTGACCCTTATTCGACTTGTTCATGTAAAGGGAACGCGGTAGAAGGTCGATAGGTTCGCCATCCTTCTCGCTTGGTAAGGGGAAGGTGGGTGGCAGGTGCGTTTCGGTATTTGGCTCATTTTTTACTTGAGGAGCAGGCGGAGACGGTCCAGAAGTAAGAAATTGAGGATAGAATGGAGTTGACGTAGGATACAATGTCGGGTAGAGCAGTGCGGCTGGTAAAGCAAAGGCGGGTGCATGAATATGATTAAATATTTGAATAGGTTGATGTTGCTGCTGCTGAATAGAGGTTCTCTTTGATAAATTCAAAGGTTCGTCTGAACCCCCAAGTAAGCTTCCCAGATTGCTGGAACACTTAAATCGAATGTGAGCCTTCAGGACATTTGGGTGTTGAAAAGAGGCTGAGCAAGATGAACATCGATAGTCATTTGAGCCTAATTAAACAAAGTAGAGTAAATGTTTTTTTTTAAATAATAATAAAAAAAATCTTAAAACGGAATAGACTTTGTCTAAATTCTCTATGAAACAATTAGAAAGAAATATCTTACCTTTGATATTAGCTGGGGATAAAATAGGAATATTCATTTCTCTTCCTAGCTCTTCACCATACCAAACGAAGATTTCCTGTCCGCAATGAATTGACCTGATGGTTCGTAATACTAGCTTTCTCTTTTCCCCTCTCACTGCTTCAACATTCTGTTCGTGCCTATTTCTGGCAGGTCGAATTTCTTCCAGCCATCCATCTTCCGAACAAGTTAGCTGACCATCGTACGAAGCCTTTAGCTATTATGATAAAGGGAAAATGATAGTTTAGCGAAATTATCTTTATTTGAATTTAATATGAAAGATGAGATGGGGGCGTAGACGGCAGATTATAAACATACACGTACGTCCTTGGTACGTCTATAAAAATTTGTTTGCGTGTAAAAATTGTATGAACACCCACAACGAATAGCCGGGTAAACATGTAGGAAAATCGCTTTAGAATTAGGCAATGAATAAAACCAATAAATACGAACGGCGTTTTGTTGACTCGAGACACACCAGCTATAACGCACGTGGCCGACGGCGTTCTTCTACGGAAATTAACTATACATACACACACTTATAATGTATACGTATTGTTTAAATGCGTCTTTAGGATATTTGTATAAAAAGAGAAAGAAAATTTCCATACAATTAACAATAGCCTGGATTATCATGGGATATATACCTTTTCACTTTCCTTTCTCATTAACAAAAGCTCTTCTAAATTTAATTGAAATAGCCCGTATTAAAAAAGTAGCAGGAGCGTTACGGATATTAGGCAATACACAAATTAATCTACCTGTACAATGGATGATCGGGATGTAGGCGATGCTGGTCATCAACTTGTCAAATGTAGCAGATGTTAAATGTTGTTGAAAAAGACTTTCGGAAAAGTTTAGGAAAGAAACAAAACGCAAAAATCATCGTATTGTTTTTTTTAGAGATACTTTTTTTTTGCTTTCTATTGTTGTAGTTCAATGATGTCAATAATATAAAGTTATAATTGTTAAAAAAAGCGACACTTATTGTCTGCAAAACAGTTTTTCGTCTCTACGAGTCGTGCGGGTTGTCACATTTTGTAATTGCATTAGAAAGAGAAAACACGCAAGGCGTAACTTTAATTTATAATATACACAATAAAAATATTGCGTGCCAAGATTCTTAGGTTACTTTATATATAAATAACAAAAAAAACGAGTTTAAGTATTTTAAAGTTTACCTTAAGTTTTGGTTCAACCAATTTTGCGTCTGTGAGGTTTTGACCTATTTCTATATCTTCAGTTATCAGTCCAAGAACACAGCCGATTGGAATTGGTACCAAAGTTCTCACTCCTTTTTTCCTTTCTGCATGGAAACTCTGACTAGCTTCTCTCGCCTTCATATCTTCGACTACGTTGACCAGGTGCAAATCATTAAAATTTTAATGCAAAACTAAACGGCACTTCGCTCCCCCCACTTCGTCCGCTGATTGGACAAAAAAAGTCACGTGATGCATGGGGGCGGAGTTTCAAGTTTTAAGGATTTCGTAAAAAAAGTATTGTACACGGGGAGAATGGCTAAATAAACGTTGACCGCTCGAGTGTATTTGAGAGAAACGTGAGCACAATATGTCGATTAGCGTTCGTAATCATCTTCTCGTGTCGGTCTGTTTACTTATACGATTTAACGTAGCAAGAGGCAGGAAGATGTTGAATAATATTGTTGTTTTTAAATTCTAGACCGGTGTAAAAGTAATAACCTGATTTCGAAGTCAGTATATATATTTTGGCAGCATGACGGTAACAAAGCTTTGACGATCCCTGCCGCGTTTGATGTGTTGCTGTAGACACAGGTACAGGTGTGTTTTAACCAAGCCCCGCTGATTATAATTGCTGACACCTTGAGCTTATATTATTTCTTTTCCCTAAAAATAAAAACCGCCCATGATGAAAAAAAAATTGAAGTTTACATTTTCACTGCCGACGTTCGTCATCTGCCCAAATCGATATTGTTTGTGCAGTTGAAAGAACCGCACACAGCAAATTTTCCAGTTTCGACGTGACTTTGCATTAGTTTGCGCACCTGTAACGCAGCTTTTTAGCAGAACGTTTCCTCTTTGATGTGACATCACCTGTGTACGCTTTCACGACCCGTAGTTCCCTTTTAAATTAAGTATTATCGTATGCGGTATCGAAGAATATAATTTTTTTCCCTGCTGGCTGACGTCAGCTGGAAGGAGGAACACAAGTTACAAGTACTAGATTCATCTACTATGATATTTAGACTTTTTTCATTTGTTTTTTTTTTTGTCTACGTTTATGCATGTATAATTTAATTGCGCACGTGCATGTTTACACGGATCGACAGTAGCAGGAAATGGACTAAATCGAAGGAAATAATAGAGAAGCCGAAAAAGGAAAGTCTACCATCCTTCCATTTGTTCGCTAACACCTCCGCCCTTTTGATCTACTTCATTTAACAATTCGATCAATTTTAGATAGTCAAATTTTGCGTAAAAAAGAAGGGTCGTCGTTAACGAGAGAGGACGGTTGGACACAATTAATGTAACGTCGTTTTTATTGTTGTTATTGTTGTCGTCGACTGTGTGACTGTACATATGTTCATGCGTGCCATTAAATGGTCGTGTTTGACCATTCACACCTGCATCGTAGCGCTTGGAGCGATCTCTTTCTGCTTCTTTGAACAAGAAATGCTTGAACGGCCGATTTGGGCATTTGAGCGAACGAATACGCTCTAATCAGCGCCCGACGTTATTATCTATTCTTGGTTGATTTTGGTTGAGTTTTTTAAGACAGACCCATGCGGTGATTTTCTTCCTTTTAACGGCTTTTTTATCGCCTTCGGCCCATTCTTCCGACTATATTTATACGCAATGAGTACGCTTTGCTATTCATATGAGAACTTGTTCAAAAAGTCGTTAGATTATTAGAAAGGAAAATAATTAAATTGAGCCATATTTATTTTTCATATCAGGCTATTTGTATTTTTCTTCACCTTATCATTATTGCGATATTTTCTTTAACTTTCTTTCCTTTATTCTCTAACTTGAGGAGTACAAGAAAGAAAACACTTTCTAATTGAAAATTGGAAGCCGTTCCGGTATTATAAAATTTAACGATGCCCTCAACACCATAAAAAACACAAGTTTTATTACCATAATTAATATCGTATTGGTAATTTACTTTTATTTCAACTTTTACTAAACAAAATAAAATAGGAAAGAGAGAAAACAGAACGCTTTAAAGAGAAAGAGAAAGAGAAAGAGAGAAATAGAGGGAAAGAAACACATTATAAAAACAGAACGATGAGAGAGAAAAAATTCAATATTTATAGAAATAGTTTTATAAATACAAATAAAAAAAAAGTAGGTAAAGAATAATCAATAAAATTCCCAGTAAAACTACACTTACTTACTTGCATTCTTTTTAAACTTTTAAATAGAAAGAGTAAAAGAGAGAGAGAGAGAGAGAAAGAGAGATATTCAATTTGTTGAATATAATTTCCTTTAAAGGCGGTCTTCTTTTATCGATGAGCAACTTTTGTCCACTTGAGTGGATGTTAAAACCGTTTAATATACCAGTTTAGCACCTACAGTTAATTGTATAGATAACAGTATTTTTCTTTTGTATAGAAATAATAATAAAATATATGTTTAAATACTTTATATAAAAAAAAAACACTTTTACAAACTTTAGCAAGCTGTTCTTTGTACTGCAAAGTAATATATTATATTTATATTATTTCAGAGGGGGCGTTTATGTATACATGATTGCTTATTATGTACAATATGTTGCTGGGGATGATAATAAATTTAGATTTTAATAAAAAAAGAACTTTTGTTCTTGATAAAAGGTTATTAATATTGTGGTGTGAAAGATATCAGAGATTATTACGCAACTTTTCATATTCCATTAATTTTTATATTTTAGATTAATAATATAAAATAAAATGCTCCTGGTACGCTATTTACATATTAATATCATTATTTACAACACCATAGTAACATTTTATTTAGAAATTTTCATCATTTCGCTGCTTTATTTTTTTCTTTCGGTTTTGGTTATTTTTCCGTCTTCTTTCTCCTATTTACTAAGGGATTAAAAGGTATTTATATCTCTATTTTCCGTTCAAGTATTTATGTATGAACCTGACCCTTTTCCTGATGAATATCTGAATAAATTTAATACGTCTTTAATTTAGATATAATTTGTCCTACAATGACTATTTATTCGTAAGTATATCTTGAGTATAATATCGCAAACTTCTATATATATGCAATATTTTCAATTCGCTCAACAGCTTTCTCAGTCATGCGTACAAACTCTTTTCTTCGGCATAAAAATGAGAGTTAACACCTTTCTCTAAACAGCGCCATCTTTAGGTTTTCAAACTAATTAATACTTTAACCCTTTAAATACAATTATGCTTAAACAATGTAAAAGTTATTATTATTGTTATTATTTTTTTTTAAAAAAAAACAACCAAACGGAATGTTTATTTAACTATCTTTTATTGAATGGAACTCTAAACATAAAACTAATGTAAACAATTGAAAAAACTGAGAAAAAAATTGATGTTTCTCTTTGGTCCAGTTTTTTGAATATCAGATATCAATCTGGAAAATATTCTTTATTTGCTATACAGCCTATATATATTATTGATGTATTTAAGTAACCTAGATAATAAAATATATAACTTTATTTACAGGTAAAGTGTAAAAGTGTTTCAAGGTTGTTTCTTAAAAGAGAACATGAAAATAGAGTTTAAGATATACAGGAAAAAAGACAGACAAATAGAAAATAGACTTGTAAATAAACTAAATCTTTTATGTAAGTTAATTTTCGATTTTTTCAATTAACGTTATAAATAAAATATTGTCTTAATTCATCATTTCGAGTCTGTTTATATGACATTCCAGTTGTTTTATCATCTTAAAATAGAAGAGTATTTGGTACAAATTACTGTATTCTTTCCACTATTTTCTTCATATTAAACTGTAATCGTTTACAACTCTGCAAATAGTTGAATGGTTATAAAATGTCATTGTATAATAATACTATTACGAGAATAGATGTGAATGAATACAAAAAAACAAAAAAAACATTTTACTAGATATTGCTATATTTGGTAATGGAGATTTTCTTTCATCTTTTAAATATGGAAAGGATATTCTACAAATAATAGATTGGGAAAAAAAAAGCGCGTTGGATTTTTTCTCTGATTCTCAATTTCGATGTTAAGTTGTACGAGGAGTTATTGATTCTTTAGCATAGTTTGTCTCTGCTATTCGTGACTGCCAAAAACCATCTGGAGCAATATTTATTTTAAAAAAAATGGGAAACTAGTGCGGAAAATCTATATTCAATGCTTTTGAATTATTGTCACGAATTTAGAATCATGTATAAGATCAAGTTCTTGCTATTGAATTAGGCGAGATAGATGAGTAAATTTTAAGAAATATTAATAGAATACATAGGAGAAATACTTGATTAAAGTAGCTATTAGTAAATACCAGAGTTATGTAAGATAGCGAATTTCTAATACAGCAAGAGATTTTATTCTGAATCTCTACAGAAAACTATTATCCAACTATTATCTAAGGTATACTGTAAAGTGTTGAGAATATTGCATATTAGACTATATGAACCTATATAAAAGTGCATAGACTGCTATTGTACGGGATTTTTTTCACTAATGAAAGTATTATGTTGAAATAGCAGCCATTCAGGTGGCACCATCTTTATTTTATTGCAGCGCTATTCCTTTCTGGTGTATGATTAATACATATCGGATTCCTGTCAGGTAATCTTCTTCCCTCAAAGCAGACATAGATATAAATATTAACATCTCGCTTATAAGAAATTAAAAGTTTGACATTATCTTTCAGTCCTAATGAAATGAAATTTTCATATTTGTCTTTTAAAACAGAGTGAACGAGTTTATATTCGATAGATGGCGAAAGAGCATCTAACAGATATGAAGATGAATTTCTAAGTTGATTCAATCTCTATGGTAATAATTATTTTGAAATTGTCATTAATAGCGTTTTAGTAGTTCTATTAATATTGCAATGGAATATTTAGTTAATAATTAAAGTTTTTAAGAATAAAAGCTAATGTTTAATAGTCAAATTATATATCTTAAACTATCCCTATTATCAATAAGAGTACAGTAAATACTCAAACTAAAGAGCAAACTATTGAACAACTGGAATTGTGAAAAATATAATGAATGTTAAAAGAGAAATCTAGACGCAGATTATTATTAATTATAATAATGATTATTAATTAATATTATTTGCTTACGAAAGGTCAAGATTGTAGATATTAAAGATAAGAATAATTAATAAAATTATTAAAGCTTAAAATATTACATATTTAACGGATATAACGTAGTTGGAAACATCAAAGGAAAGATCAAGATTGTTTCCAATTTTACCTTAATTATCTAGTAACAATAGATGCAACTTGTACAGGTAGTAAGTATCTTATAAAATTTCAATACTACATTTCTAAATACAATGTAATTAGGGAAAATTCTCTTTTTCTCCTTGTTTTAATTATTAAAGATACAGAGAGAAAAGTCTGTTAATTTTTAAAAGCTTACTATAATAATTAACTTATATCTCAATTGAAATAAATTAAATACAAGACTTGCATTCTATTTTTAGAACATATTTCATTATAGCTGATATTTAGAATTGAACCTCGAGCTAAATGAACTAAAATCGAGTTGGGATTTTGTTCCTGAGATGAATCATCATCACTTTGAGTGCTATCTAAAAAAAGAAAATTCTTCCTAGAAATGATTTATCGAAGAATAATTTCTCCAATTTTGTCTTCATTCGTATATACGTTTTGAAGTCTAAAACAGCGTAAAACAATTTATTAGACAGTATATACCAATTGTTCATAAACTCTACCTAGATTTTTAATTTATACGAATCAAAAAGGAAAAAAAGTCAACTCTTTATTCATTTCATTATTTCATTATAATACAATATATATCCACCGGAAATGGTGACTCGATATCAAAATTAGCGAGCTTATTGAGTTCTTTTTCTTTTTTATTTGCTCACTAGCATACATACGCTACTCTGTGGTGCCATCTATACGACAGATTCGTAACTATATTTTCAATTTATCTAAAATAAATAAATATTAAGATATGTAACAAAAGGCCGAACTAACAAATAAACTTTCAGGTAGGATTTTTAATTACAATGGGAACTGAACCCTTTTATTTAATGATCATTTCGTAAATTTTTCCATTAGTTTATTTTACAAATAAAGAAGGGAAACAACCGAAAAGCAGATTGGTTTAATAAAGGGAAACAAACATTAATAGAATTACAATCTTTTGTTGTAAAAACTAGATAGACTTAATAGTTCTCAAAGATGTCTTTTACGACCTTTAAATTCATTAAATATTTTATATTCTTTAATTGCAATTAATTAAATGGATTGAGCGTACAGAAAGAGCAAAAACACTGAGTGAGAGAGAGGGAAAGAGCTAAAGGATAAAGAGAAAGTTAAAAAAAAAACGAAAGAGTGCGTGTGTGCAATCCATCTTTCAATGCTAAGTCGGCAGGGGTTTCTTCCTTCGAATCAATTTACTTAGATATACCGATTAGATAGATAGCGATATAGAAAATGGTATTGTCTTAATTAAAGAAAAAAGAGTTTTAATTAAAGTATAGCGATGAGTAATTTATAAATGTAGCACATTAAATTCTCTTGGTGCATTCTTGTTCGCTTAGTAAGTGTATTGAAGAGAAGATGCGAATATTTCTATAAGCGAAATTTTGAATAAAAACGAAGAAAAGTTGGTAAAGGCGCCTCCGGAAGCGTCTCTGTCAAATACCCTTCCTCTCCTTCGTATAGTCAATCAATTTCGAAAGAGAATCTCGTTGTCCTTACAATTCTGAAATAAAATTTTGTCTAGTACAGAAATTGGATAAAATAGAGTCATTCCGTGGAGAGGAAAGGATGAGGAGAATGTTGAATTAGAAATAAAAAAGTGGGTTACAGACTACTCGAAGCAAGACAATAAAGAGATTATTAGACTTAATATATTTATACCCCGGACAAAACTGGTTTTGTATTACTTTTGAAAGATTCCTTCTACAAAATGCATGTTCGAACGTGGGAATGGCCAAATGTATCGTACGTGTATTTCTTGCCTCTTTGTCTCTACCAGCGTTATCCAGATTCCCTATAATGGAAACCGTCGACTGGAAATAATTCGAAAACAATAGACGGAGATATTCACAAGGGAATACTAAGGAAGGGGCGGTCGCGGCGTTTCGTCCTGAACGGATGTTGAAACGGTAGTTCGTTACATATATTCCTACAGCCCAAGAATATTTCTTGGTCCCATGAGATTTCTCCATCTGAACTTTCCTAAAGATTACATTGGGGATAATGAAGGAAACGGTAAGGAATGCATGGAATTTTTACACTGCAATACCGATATGAAAAAAAAGATGCAGCCAAGAGAAAGGGATGCACTTTTTAGCCTTATAGTCAAAGTCATTAGTACTGGAAACGAATGTCCATTCTCAAAAAAGAAACTATTGTAAAGACAGGAAAAAGAAAAGAGGGTTTGTACACCGTCGCTCTTAGCATAATGAGCCATTTGGTAGACGAAAGAAAATATTATTAATGCACCTACTGCAATACGCCATATTGAACTGAAAAAAATCCGTAAATATTTACACAAATTAGAACCAAAAATACAAGATTTTCTATTTTTACCATGATAATTTTATTATTTTTATATTTTTTTGTATTTTTTACAAGTGTATTATTGAAACAGGTAAAATAATATTTCGTCAACATATTTTTCAAAAAAAAGAAAGAGTAAAACATACAATATAATGTAAAATTTCTTTTAAGCATGCCTTAATTTTTTTCCATCATATAAGAAAGTATTTTTTAAAATAGATTAAGAGATTTAAACTGTATATGCATTTAGTCAATACTTTTTCTTACAAAAAAAAAGAACTTAGAATAGAAACAATTGGACAAATTTTTGACTAAAAAAAAGCGGTGCACCAATATAAATCCGACTTTCTTCTTTTTTTTTTTTTGTTATATGAAAGCTACGCACAATTTCTTTTAGACTTATTAATATTATAAATATATACCTTATATATATATATATATACTGCATATACACACACACACATATATATATATATATATATATATATATATACACTACTATTTACAAACGCCAAAAAAAAATTGTTTTCAATTCCATATGTACATACAACGTTCATATACAGCCGTGTTTTTTTTTTAAAAAACAAACCAGAAAAAAAGAGATTACGAAGTTATTAAGAAAAGAAAAAAAAAAAGTTTTTTCCTTCTGTTTCTTTCCTTCATTTCTTTTTTTTAAATACATAATTTTTTTATATATATATATATTTATAGATTCCGTAAAAACGCGCGACTAATTTTTTCCCAGCGTGATATTTTTTTTCTTTTCTTGGCGAAATAAACAGAAAAAATGAGTATACCAATACAGATTAAAAAATATGAGATTTTGTTTTTTTGTTGCTTAAATAGAGAGAAACCGCCTGTTGTATATTTTTTTCCGATTACTAATTATCCGTTTTTTTATTATTATTTTTACAACTTTTACAACTAGTCCTACTTCGGTTGAATGATTATTTAGTTTTTCTCTCTTTCTTCTTCTATTACCTATTTTTCAAACATGATCTGTACCAATTCCGTTCTGAGGTCGCCTTGGACGTTTAGGCCGTCTTTGTCGAGGAGCATCTGGTGTCATAACTACGGAAGCATCGTCAGTACTGTCTCCTCTCGGGGGACTGTGTGCCCTCAATCTGGGTCTTTGATTAGGTTTTGGTGCGGGAGACGGTATACCTTCGTGATAGCATGGTTTAGGAGCAGGAGGTGGAGGTGTTGGTACGATTACAGGTCCATTTTGAAGGGCCTGTGTGATTTCAGTTGCTCGAGCAACTGCTTGTGCGAAATCAGCCTCAGCATCGTGTGTTAAATAACTAGCATCTGTTTAAAAGAAAATATAACGTTATATTATTATTATTATAGTAGTTAGAATCAACTTGGCAGTCGTGCTAAGGTTATATTATGAGCAATTGACCTGATATTTGTCCGGAACTGGAACTTGATATTGACAGTCTGCTGGGAGAGCATTCGGCAACAGAAGAAGCTGCTACATCCAAATCAGAATCATCTCCGCAAGCTGGCTCTTCCTCCAGCCTCTCTGGTTTGTAAATCTCTTTTACCGGACTCGGCGGTGACTGAATAGCTGTATTACGAATAGGAGGCGAAGGTGGTGTTTCCGGCTCGCTATAGTATCTAGGTGTTCTATGACGGCTCGTTGGCCCTTCAGGCTCTGACACACAACGGGGTGAATATAAAGTTCTTGTAAGCGCCATCTGAACTTGTGGATGTTGGCTCATCTGACCAATCCATGGAGGAGTTGAATACTGGACGCTAATGGGTGTACCTCTCCCTTCAGGTGGAGTTCCCATCTCTGAAGGAGGTGGTTCCTGAGGCGGGGGTATGATATTTTGAATGTTCATGATCGGTCCAATTGGTATTGGTGCTGGTATACCGTGATCCCCACCACCTGGTTGAGCTAGCAATGACGTCATCTCATCCCCAGTAGAATGGTCTGACATTTGCCCTGGAAGAGGGCGGAAAGCCGATATATGATCCGTTCTTGGCGTGCCATGCAGCATTGAAGTAGCGTACGGCACAACAGATTCCCCTCTGGGGGGCGCTGGTGGCTTATAGAAGCTTTTCATACTTGGAGTATTGTGTTGAGATGAGGGCATAGGCATGGGTGGAGGAGCATAGGCCTCCGCTGGGCAACTGTAAATATTCTCTTGTTCCGCTTCCTTCGCTTCGTTTAGAGTATTATTCGTGATATCCGGAGGCATTTGGTTAACTGCAACAAAATGCAAGATAGATTATACAAACGCTCTACAAACCGTGAAATTTAAGTAAACAAAATTCGTGCCTGCACATAAAGGACTTTTTGAAAAGATTGTAAAAAAAATCAAACAAAAAGTCTAATAAATTAAAAACAATATTGGGAAAAAGAAATAATTAATTTAATAGAATATTTCCATGTTCTAATTAAGTGCCAAGATAAACAAACGTACAGTGATTAAACGGAATCGAACAATCACAATGAAAGTCGTGGCCGCAAGGCTTGTCAAAATGACCATTCATGCGAGGACCAAGTTTCGGCGTCATCGGATGCTTTCGGAAACTATTCGGCGATGCAGGTGCCCTCTGGTTCGTGTATCTGTCACAACAATGAAAAAAAGAACGACATCAGCACAAACTCACCGCCGTTTTGTTTGAGATTATAACTCGGCGTATCGAAGTACGAACCGATTCTGATAAGAATATTTAATGTTTAAATATATATAAAAAAAAGAAGAGAAACAAAGGAGAAAGAAATGTTAAATTCTTTCATTTATCCTCAATTTTCCCACTGTTTCTTTTATAAAGTACAAATACTAATATAATTTAAAAAATATCTATTAGATCGCTGTTTGTTTTAAAAAAAATCAATTGTTTAAATTTTATTATTATTCTATCTTATTTCCATTTTAAAAGACTGTTTCTGATTTTATTTTAATATGTATCTTACCTGCAGTTGACATCGTCCACCTTATGAACCGGAACTATTGTGCAAAAAAAAAAAATTGGTGTTAAAGTGATATTATCGCCTTAAGGGAGTTATGATTTGCAAATTTAAATGCTTACTCGTCATTACGCCGCTTTTACCCATTTTCTTTCTCTCTCTCCTCTTTCTATACAACCAAATACTAAATATGCATAAGGTCAACCACAAAACACCTCCCAAAGTTCCAATTAGTGTTGCTATAAACCATGGTTCCTTTAATAGGCTTTTATAAACGTTGGGTACAATGCCTGGGAGAAAAAATAGATTGTAAGTTAATATATAATGGGAATATCGATAGTAGATATCAAGATCGTTTTACCAACAATAAATAGAAACAAAGCTGTACACAAAAAACGAATTTTTTTTATTATTAAGCAATAGTTGAAAGCGAGAAATTGTCGGTAAAAATCGTTAAAACAGTGGGGAAGAAGAGAAAACGGCCGGCTGTAAAGAGAATGAGGTAGGGGAAGAGGGGCAGTATTCGAGAGGTAGGGGTACAGAGAAAGAAGTGAGATGGGTGTGGTACACGAATGGAAAAACACAAATTAGAATTAATAATAATAGGAAACGTGGAGTCGGTAAAAACATTCATTCTCTCAACTTTTTCTTATACTCCAATAAAAAATGTGAGAGGAAATAAATGAGGCAATAAACTAGCTATATATTGTTTGGTAGCCAGCCGTTACACATTTACGACTTTCGTATTTTTTCATGATATGACATATTTTGACTTAGCTTTAACAATTATGTCAATAGTAGGCCCTAGTTTTTATGATTTGGGATTGCTCGTATTTATCCAATGCGAATGTTATTTTTATAATCTCTGTCTACTTAATCTTCAAGCTCAAAAAAATCTCTTTTCAATCATAATACAGTTGTATACAGCAGAATATACAGCAAATATTCAGTTCGAATATACCTTTAACACTACCATTATTTTGTAATAAGTACCACTCGTTATCTGTTTTTTTTGCGTATAGAATAAATAAAACTAATAACAATAAATTGTGGAAAAAAGGGCGTAGAAATAATAGAAAAAACCATATTCAGGCCTATTGAAAGAACTCAATAGGGGTCTCTTTTATACGTCGTTTTTAACTCACCGACTTCAATTGCTTTCGTTTTTTCTCCCTCCCCTGCTTCGTTTTCGGCAGACATTTGCAATTTGTAAATTCTATCGGATTGGACTCGAGCAACTATTGTTCTATCTTGATCTCCAGGCACCAAAACGGATTGCGTATCGTCAGACCCATTCCCAAATATATAGATTTTATACCCCGTTATATCTCCATTTCTATGCAGGGGAGGTGGTGGCTGCCAATATACATTCATGGTATTATTGCTATTCATTCTTGCACGAACGTTGGTTGGTCCAGATGAGGGTCTACGAGAATGAGTTTTAGCGCTAACGGAATCGGAATATTGGCTGTGGATTTGTCCATGAAAAGCTTGCACTGAAACTTTATACAGTGTACCCTCCTCAAGATTCTTTAGAACTGTAGAGGTCTTTCCGTTTCTCACCATTACTTCTCCATCTAATTCATTACTTGTATGAGTGTGGTCATGTTGTGATATGTCGTAATTATAGTTCTGAGAATAGACTTTAAAGCGAACATGATAACCATCTATATAGCGCTTTGCTTTACCCTTAACGGTCCATTCAACTCGAATTGTATTCGAACCAGTGGCCTTTGCTCGGACTTTGTTAATTATCTTCTTCGCCAGTAATTTTGTAACTACTCTGTCCATTTCCTGCTTATTTTTTTCATTCATTAAATCTCGTCCTCGAGTCTTTATTGGATCGCTAACTTCCGAAGGCTTACTCACTCCATGAGCATTTTTAGAACGAACAATAAAGTAATACATTTTACCAGGCTTTAAATCAGTTATCACATAACTACTCTTTTTTCCTGGTACATCTATAGCTATCCAACCATCTGTGGCAGTTGGTGAAAAGTAGTCAATAATTGAGCCATTTATAGGACTGGCTCCAAAACTCGAATTTACCCTCCAATTTAACGTTACGGACGTTTCTGTAATATGTGTAGGTATAGGCTTATGGGGAGTGCCTGGAAAAGTTGATGGTTCAGGTGTCTTATTAAAAACAACATTTGTTCTTGACGAGAATCTTTTGTGAACTTTGATAGTAGCGTTCCAAGTAGATGCACCATTCTCATTAGAAACAACACAAGTATACTTAGCAGAGTCAATCAAACGAATATCGTTGATCTGAAGCGTGCCGGAAGAAAGGATTTTTATTCTCTTATTACCTTTTAGAAGTTTATTTTTCTTAAGCCATTTGATCTGTGGAGCTGGAGTGCTTTCGGTCCTGCAAATCAACTCTGCAGTTTGACCGACGGGTACAACCTGATTCTGAGGACCCTGAGTAATTGTAGGCGGTAACCTATGTCCATTACGGTTTCTAACAACAGTTAATTTTGCTTTTGCTATAGCTGATCCGGCTGATGAGTAAGCCTGGCACGAGTGTATTCCTGCGTCTTCCGGCTTAACATTGCGAATTATAAGAGAGCCCCTAACGTCTACGAAATATCTCCCGTATCTCTTTGTGGGAAACATAAGACGACTTTGATCGTTGTCTCTACTCCAGAACACAGTTGGCTTTGGATAACCGTCCACTTCGCATTGAAATGTAACTTCGTCATTCTCACGCACTGTCTTTGCCATAGGTGTAGTGAGGAAGGAAGGTTTGGATTCAACTTCTAAAGTTGCATAATGAAACTTCGAACCGACACTGTTCTTAATCTGACATGCGTAACGTCCACTATCCTCCCTCTGAGCCCTTATTATCCTCAAGCTATTATCACTGAGTAATTCCCTCCTTGATTCAGGCGGCATCTTACTACCTTTTTTTGACCAGAATATTGTTGGCTTTGGCTCACCGACAGCGCTACATTTAAATTCTACAGTGCCTTCTTCTTCTACTTTCTTATTTTTAGGAGTCATTACAAATTTAGGAGGTTCCAGAACATCGAGAATTGCTGGTGACGAGCTTCGTTTAATGCCAGCTGACTCAGCTTCACAATGGTAAGTTCCGGTATCTTTTCTTTCTGTCCTTCGAATTTCTAAAGTTCCACCTGGATGTTGTAATATCCTCTCGGACAGCTCTAATTTGTTGCCATTCTGCAGAAAAAAATCATAGTATTAGGAAATGAATCGCTAAATAGAAAGGTAGAAAGGTAGATGGTTAAGAAAAATCAATACACGTACTTTTCTCCATGAAACTGATGGCTTTGGCTTTCCTTTAGGCGGTTCACATTCAAGAAGGGCAGGACGACCAACTGCAACTTCAATTTTTGCACTCGGATTTTTGATAAACTCAGAATCCAGAACTGTAAAATTAAAGACAAGGAATGAAAATTTATGTTTAGTGATATATGTTACTAAAATATAAACACTAAAATATATTTATAAAAGCTTTTTATACTTTTGTAAAAGAGAAAGAAAACTAAAATGTAAGTACAAAAAAAAAATGAAAGACAAGAAAAAAAACAACAAAGGAACACGATCAAGCAAAAACTTCTGTAAAATGCATTAGCCTAAGTACGAAAATCTGGAACGCTTTACAAGGGTGTCAACGAATTGGAATATACATTCGCGTCACGGCATTACTCTCTCAATCATACTCTATTCACGAGCGCATTGCGTAGCTTTCTTTGTAGAAAGTTACAATAAGTGGGAAGAGAGCTCTTTCTCACGTAGTCACAGACCATATAATTATCTTAGGAAAAGACCAACATTCACTGTTCTGTAATGAGATACGTTGCGGTAGAATGCAGTACGAAGTCGATCGAATCGGGGCACATAAACAAATTTAGGTTCTTGGCCTATTCGTTTGGGGGGATGAATGGTGGTTAGAGTGAAAGAGTAATAAAATTACTAGTGTAAAACTAGAGCCTTTAGTTCAGAGGGGATGAAATATATTAGTGAAAATAGTAGAGTGGAAACTAGTGCTAAGTGATCTACAGGCCAGTATTTTCCAATAACGAGGCGCCACTGCCGCAAATACTGCTTGTTGCCATCTCTGCAATACAGTAGCAGCCAGCGATTTTAGTCTATTGAATTATGCCTGGGCTCGTATTGCGACATACATCCTTCTTATTGGATTGGCGGCTGGACGAGGAATATTTTATTAATCGAACACGTTTTTGTACTGCACTAGCGCCTTTCGCCGCTCAGTTTAATCGCATGAACGAACGTAAACTGGTTTCTAACAGAGCTATCCATTTTTATTTGGGTTTTGGTAAATAAACGAAAATTTTTGATCAGACTGCAATTTCCTGCCTAGCGTCCAGTTAGGCGTCTTCCAACTAACAACACCCAAATACGATTCTTTTTTTCGCACAAACAAGTAATCGATTTTTTTTTCTATCTTAGTACTCTTTTTTCCTAGGCCTAATATTCCGAAGTCGGTAAGACGTTAGTTATGCGGCGTTAAAATGTGTACATAAATATTTATGCGTAATTCTTGCCTAGGGCGTTAATCGATATAGAACAATCCGCCATCATTATCAGACTTATGTTGCATATGATTAATGAATCGCAAAGAAAGCCGCTCGAAAGGCGTGCTTATAATGAAGCCGTCCAATTCACGTCCTTTTCCAATGACGCCCACTACTAATTTACTTTTTAGTCTATTATTACCTTTTCTAGTTAACGACTATAAAACTAAATCTTTAGATCTCCAAGGAAGGGGAAGGAAATAAGCCAAAAAAAACTATTATTGGCAAAACGTCTAACGCGGAGGCAATCAATGAAAAAGACAAACAGACAAGCAAAACACATCATATAGACGGCTTCTAGATCTGTTTACGCTCTTCTTTGTTAGCTATCGCTTTCCAATTTTTTTCGACGAACCGCCGGATTAAAGCAAACGAGCAACGGACGGTTGGCGGCCGCCTTTAATTTACTTGATTAGCATGTAGATGAGTGACTTGCATGTTAGCAAAAAAAAAAATGAGATGTAGCTCAAACAGGAAAATTGCCAACTGTACTGAATATAAAAACAAAAGTAGCAGTCGTTAACTTTTCACTGCCAATCGATTGGCAGAGCAATAAGCTACTCGTCCACGCCGGAAACGCCTCACACTTTTCTCTAGGAACTTCCCATAGTAAGTAGAAATACGCCTATGCTTAGCCCCTTTTTTCAATCGATTCCGCCGGAATAGCAAATCGTAATTCGACTAAAAGCCCGATTTCTACTTTAATACTCTGAGCCGAAAATGTAACGGGTTAGACTAATTGCAAAATGCTAAGGAACAGTCACGCGAAGCTCAACGGCGTCTGTGATCGACCCTTTCTCTGTACAATAACAAATACAGCGTCCAGGTGACAAACGGGTGTGTTGTGTAAAGCAAACACTCGACGCTCCTAGTTACTTTTAATGTCAACACTTGAAATTACGTTTGCGTAGTATTTCGGTATAGAGACGGCAGAATCTGTTTTTCTTCAACCAACAAATCTAAACAAACTTTACAAAACCTCTATTCATCTAGAAAAGATTCAAATCACCGATTCCTAACGTAAACATCCTATACCTTACTTCTTTTTCCCTCTCACCCCGTCGACATCATTAGCGCCGCTTCAACCTTCGACTGACCCTTAACTGCTTGGGCCTAGGCGTGAGATCTTCAATTCTGTCTATTCGAGCGTACAGCTTTGAAAAGCTTCTCAAATAGCAATTAATAGACGCCCGTGGAGAGACGAACATAACCATGGTACTTGGAGACTAAGCTAAGGTTCACTGCATACTGGTTCCTTTCCCCGTATTGCTTACTCTTTTTTTACTTTCTGATGTTAAAAATACATACAGTAAAGCCCAAGGCAAGCGTTTTTTCGTGGATGCCTTATAATACTGGCAGTAGTAAGTTATCCCTAGCTTACATACACATATATACACGTTTCTTCTACACTCTGTTTTAATACACTTTTCTCTTTCCCTTTGTATCGTAAACTCTCTTTCTTTAATTATCAGATTTTATTGGCTTCCCACATATAGCTTCAAGTAATTAACAAATAACGAAAACAGAAAAAGGACAAAAAGGAGATTTTTTCAACAAATTGATAACTTCGTATAAAATAGAAAGATATATATATAATGTACCCTTTCATTTAAATAATTATATTTATACATCTGCAAATATCTATATAAGATTACATACATGCAGACACGCTTTAGCGTATATCTACACTTGTGCGTAAGCTTCATCCTCTATCAGACGCCAGACAGTCTGGTTGTTCATTTTTAACAAATATGCGTAAAAAAGAATTTCGAAACAGGAAACTTCTGTCCGATAATAAGCACTAACGAGCTCGGCCTATATTGCAACCGTTTCCCTGATTTTCTTGACATTTTGTCATTAGCACCTGCAGAGTTTTCGAACGTTATATCGATCGAAAATACGCACCCTCTCGTACATAGTAAGATAATTTATATTATATTAAAAAAAGTGCGAATGAAGCGATAGAAAAAGAGAGAAAAAAAAAAGCTTAGACGGTTATTTCTTCCAATTCCGTCTTTTTAGCTTCTTTTTTTATCTCTTGCCGTCTGATTTACATAAGATGGAATGAAGAGAGAATGTGCAGGATGCACGTAATTAAATAGACACACTAGCATCCACTCTAACTGACGCTTCACTCCTTTTAACAAAGACTGTCTCTGTAACGAGCGTTTATCGCGGGGGCGTTTTCCCTATTATAAGAGGAGCATGGATGCATAGATCTATATAAAACCCGATAGCCAAACGGTAAAATATAGTATAGCCGTTACACCTGTTTGCTAAAATTAGTGTAATCATCAATAATGACGGTCGTTGGGAGAATGTCAGTGTATACTATGAGCCTTCAATTATAGGCCGAGCGTATATGCTCGCGCATAAACGAGACCGACGTTCCGATTAATCGGACGGCGTCTCTTTGAAGTTTGTGCCCTTAATGAATACGCGGATTCACTCGTTTGACGGATGCGTTTTTGCATGAGACAGTCGATGAACAATGAGCATTTGCTGTGACTCATACGTCGCCGAAGAAGACGATGATGGACTAACACTCATAATTAGAGGCGGCTAATCAACTTGCCCGCGTGCCAGCTCTCAGCGCGAATCGGCTGTCGTATGGACGTATTTCCGCCCGAAACATTTGTTGGCATGGCTACGGCTTTGGATTGGACGTTGTGATTTACGGTGTGTTTGTATGAATGGAAAAAATGTGAAGGAATCGACTATGACGTAATACGTGATGACGAATTTTTCTCAGCCTAATATTCGTTTTTATCGAATTCTCTCGGCGCCACGATTTCAGTAATCCGGTCACGTAAATTTCGATGTGCACGGTTTTTCCCTATATGTACACCGAATATAAATATAGACAACACCATCGTCGTTTCTATGACGACGTTTGACGCGTTTACCATAGTGGAAAAGCTTGACTGTAAAGCGCATTCCAAATTTTTCACAATTATTTATACAAGCATTCGTCAAATTGAAACCGTTAATCATGAGTAATTCGGAGAATAGGGGAATAGGAAATAAGAGCAATTGTGATGGATGGGGATAACATATAGGATGCTAGGAAATTTCATATGACAGCTCGTTAGAATAGAACAGGTGTTAAGGGCTGACGGCGGATCTTATTTGTTTTTGAGCCGTGGTGGATGGACGGAATTGCGTTAGCCGTGAAACCGACGAAATTCAATAATAACGAAGAGATTTTTCGTACCCATCTGAAGGGGTGTTGCGTGCACAATAAGCAGCTGTAATACATCTCAAGGCAAACACAAATAAACGCGTGTTAAATGAAATATCGACGAGCAACGTTTGCAGGTTATTCTTCTCAACACTCATTTCTACTATCTTCCAATCACCCTGTCGAACTGTATTCACCTTAGCCCTTGGCTTGCATCCCCATTTGTCTTTTTAAGAGCTAGCCAGGACCTTCATAAATCTTTGGAATCCCAAAATCAATAAAAACGATTTAGCAAAGAACGTCGGATCTTAACAACAGCTAAAATCCACCTTCTAAAAAAAGGGACTAGTGTACATTCTTCAGTATCCTCCAAACACTCCCTTACGCTCTTTGCAGAACTCTAACAACTTCGCGCATCACTTTGCCAACACAAACAGTCGTATATCGATCGCAGTATCGTTAAAGCGCGTGAGAACTACGAAAGAGATGTAGTGGCGGAGAGGCAAAAGAAAATGGTAAAGACATTGCAATAAATAATGTTTTGTTGATAGAAAGGATATTGGGAGAAACGGTATTATCTCAGCTCAATCCGTTATTAGAATAGGATAAATGATAAGATCATGTCTTTTCGGCAATCGCTCAACGATCAAATGTATAAAGAATGCATCATATGTAACAGTTGTGGGGTGAGGTATCTATTATTCAGAGCTTAACGACACCATGAGAGAAAACGAATAAGTACTGTGATGACAAGTACGACAAGCGTCCGCCACCTACGAGGCGGAAGGTCAAAGGTTGCGAGCTTCTGAATAAAAACAAACCATGTACAGATATCGTATATTCCCTGGCTTCGTTATGCTAGGGTTTAGGTCATCAGGTACGAATTATTCCATGGAGGGTTATTAAGCACAAAAAAAGGGAACGAAAGTCCGTTTCTGAATCATTCCAACCGTGACTCAACTAATTCGCTAAAATTAATTCGGTTATCATCATCCAACCATTGCGAATAGAGGGCCACCAACCGCTCTAGTATTCCACTCAGCAATTTACCACAAAGCGTCTCGAAAACTCAACATCTTACACTTTAAGAGCATCTAAGGTCTTACATAAAAAAAATTGAAATAGGCCTATAATGACTGTTGGCAGACGACTGGTTACGTGAGAAAATAAAAACAACGGTTTATATGGGACGCATCGAATAAATTATTTATCAGATATAACATTAATGACGAATGGAAATTGCCCGCTATGCGGCTAATTGTGGAAGAGGCAATTTGACAGAGTTTGTCAGAACTCTTCTAAGTCGATACGTCTTACAAACAATATAGACTGCCAGAACTACTAATCAATATTCTCAGCAAATGATCTATTTAATGATTCAATAACCAGCTTCTTTGCGAAGTGGAAGAATAACTCATAATGTAAAATCCCAAAGCAATGGTAAAACAAGTGTCACCGGAGTGTCGGCAGATGGAACGATAGTGAAACGAAGCCTTATATTTGTATATATTAACGTATATGATATATACATATTAAAGATTATGTATACCTTATATGTTTGTTATAGATGATTAAATCAATATGTTAATATATATAAATATGTATACTAAAAAATCAATGTGAGAACAAAGCAGACGACGTTTATTAACGCTCAACGGCTTCCGACAAAAATTATTTACGGGAAACTTGGTTTGCTGCGCAAAACATTATTGAAAAACACCGTTTAATGCCGCCGACATGACTCGACTGAGATTGAAGTAATCAATGATAAAATTCTTTCATCATATTCCATCTACCCTCGCTTGCCAAGACAGCCCCCAGCACCGATTCCGTCTCTAGTTGACATTATCGGTAGTTGGGAAAATAGACAATGTTTACTAACTGAACGACACCACCTCCGTCTCACTTTTTTTAAAGGGCAACGGGAAAGAGAAAATCTTATAGCAAATAGTTTGGTAAAGAGAAGGTGATTTTAAGGTCAATTCGACAGTCGTGTTGTTACCAGGGTAGCAGCAGACCAGCCAACACAAGCAGCTGGCACGGAATGACCATTAGGTGCTCGGCACAGGCGCCAGCTAGTCGCCGTATTTTGATATATCGATATAAGAGAGAGCTATGAGGCCTCGCTTCCCAAAAACGGTTGCATCATTAACATGAAGAGACGCCTTCGTTACACGCCTCAACGCGCAGGCGTCGCAGTTGTACCGGACAAAGAAACGCTACAAAACGTCAGATTTATTATCGGCGCGTCCATAACAAAGGGTTTTCCTTTTCTTTCAGTCTCCTCAAGCGAAGAAAGTTGACCCTGTTTTCTCTTGTTGCGACTTACAAAGAGAAAAAGTAATAAGCATCACTGGGGAGTAGATGTCCGGGTTTATATAGGCGTCGAAATCGATCGTCGCGACCCGTAATAAAATCTGCAATGCACGCGCGCGTACAGATATCCCGAGAGTAAACTGGGCGGCCATTCCACCACCACCCGTCTGCCTCAATATATATGTGTATATTGTATACAAGCTACAGATTCAAAATTGTCAGAAAAACAAAAATTAGCGACTTTTACTTAAACGAGGTGGGTGGGAGAGAAAGAGAAAACCGACTGAGGATATAGAATAGGAAAAGTTATGTTTGTTCAGGCTGTAGTTTTCTAGATGCCAGATGTGCTTCTTTCTTACCGTGTCCCGGCAACAGAATCTACCAAGCATTTGCCCCCTAAACGCTTTTTTTTTTTTCACTTATTTTTTTAAGCCCTCTAAAGTCTTATCTGAGACGGCCAGTGGGCTCTAATCGTTACAATCTATCTGAGTCATGTCATCAATAATCGACGGCAATAACGAAAATCACTTGGCTGTCTTGCTGTCGTTCTCTCTAAAAGCGTTTCGAATTTAATTAAGCGGCTTATCTTTTAGTTCAATCTAATGGAGTCGAGTTTGATGAGTGCGATATAATAAAAGAGCCGTATTGAAATCGCCGCTCTTTTATAAACGTAGATCGCGACCATTCGCAAACAAGATCGCTCTTCCTAATGGCTTTTTAATCATTGACTAACGCCTAGACGTGTTCCAACTAGCCGATGGTCAGTAATGTCTAACCGAAGTGTGAATTACAGATTTAAATGGATAATAGCCAACTTCCAAATGAAATTTCCTGTTTTTATGGGTGTATGGTTGATTTTTATACATTTGATTTCGTGTTTTCACTTTAATAATATTTAGTGTTTTATTCGCTCACTTCCCGATTACTAATCAATGCCGTCAGTCTTTCTGTATGTTGACGATGACGATAACGTTATCTCGTCTGATAATAACAAGCGTTTGATGAGCACGTAGAAATGCTTTAGAGGAGGAATTTTCAGAGAGAAAAACGTGGCGCAAATTAAATAGGACGCCCACCGAGTATGCTCGTAACTTGAAAGAGCAGAACAAACAAAGCCAACCGCGACAAACTAGGCCCTTTTTTGCACATACTTTCCCTTTTTTACTTTCAATCGTTCTCGTATTGCTCACACATAAAGTTTATATACAAAAGCCGGCCTTCCCACGCGTAATCGGTCATAAAAAGGAAAACCGCAAATCTGGCGGTCGTCTTACGTTCAAACAAATTCTTTTTCGAACACCGATAAAACATAGACGATAACAACAGTAAGAAATACCATTGCTAAACCGCAAGAAACGAGTACTCTTACCTGCAAATCCTAGTGTTATTTCCTTAGACACAGTCCACTTCTTTGACTTTGGATCCGTTACGTTGCAATAGTATTTGCCTATTTTAAGAGCAAGAAGTTAATGTTATTATCATAGGTTTTAGTTTATTTCCGGTTGTCCTTTACCTAAATCGTCTCGTTTTACGACAATGAAGAATAGGCCACCTTTTGGCAACGGAAAAGGTCCTTCTTTCTCCTTGTTTGGTCCGAATATCACCTGCAGAAAGGGAAAAAGCCGTGTTGTTTACATTAGGATAATCTACATCAAATATGAAGTGTTTGATTTCTCTTTTTTTATCTCTATTAGCTATGACAAACCTTCTTGCCGTTGTGATACCAAGTTATGTTATACTTGGTTTGTGTGGATTCCTGCTCCCCTTCCACAACACAGGGTAGGTTAGCCGCCTTATCGTTTCCTACATAAGTATCGAAGGGGGGTTCGCTAATTGTCGGACCGTTGTCAGCTTCTGCACCTACTATATTGAATGGAGTGGGTTGATGAATAGATCATTTTATGAAAAGAAGATCTTGCTGATTAATAGGTCTAATAATCGTAAAATAAGACTTACGTATATTCGAATAAAACGCTAGAGCAATTAGCAATTGGTAAAACATGCTTTCATCATTAATTATCCGAAATAGGCGAAAGGAGAGAAGACTAGCGTAGTAAAAAACACAAAAGCTAATCGATAATCCCTGAGTTCATACGTTCATATTTTCCTAACAGAGCAAATAGAACGAAAAAAATCGACGTAAAACTAGCGCAACTTTCAATACTAGGCGCCAATAATTCTTCTTAAAACATTCCCAAACACCTCTACTTTTCTAGGTCAGGCTAGAAACAGAATTCGTTTTCTTTTATCCTAAATAAAGAATCCTTAAGCATTCTTCAGCGGCAATCGTTGTTGTATTTTGATTCTTTTTCAATCTGAAATTCGATTCTTTTCTTCCAAATTGCTGGAAAACGCATCAAATGTATCAAATTCTCCTGTCAAATTTGCTCCAGAGAGTTAACTACTCTGCCTGCTTTGCTTCTAAATAGTGAATGGCGCTCCACCGTTAGATGGCGTTGAAAAAATCAACTCGCCCAATACTACTTATAATACCAATTATATCCCTTAAAGGGGCATGAATCAGACCACCTGATAATGGCGTTTTGTTAAATTGTATTTGAAATTATTATCCCAGTGTGAATTTTTGGGCGCAAAATAAAGGGAAACAGTATGTAACATGAAGTGTGTTTGGGTTGAGGGATAGGGAAAGTTTATCATACCCTCTCATTGGGGGTATCGCCATTAATTTTACATGATAATTATTTTCTGCGGAATCCTAGCCTATTTCGGTTCGGTTGACGAATTGCATTATCATGTTTCTATCAAAAAATCCCCCCCTAGTTGGCTAAGCAGATTCAGCAACTAGCAGGGTGAAATTAATTTAATTGTCAGCGCCATCTATAATACATTCAATCGATGTATATGGGCACAAAGAAATTTACCCTGAGGGCATATTGCTGCACATGATGCATGATGCATACGGTAACACATTCCCAATTTGATGCTTAATAATGATACAACATTTTTAGGGCAACGTAATCGCTAGTTTTTCAAAGAAACCATTATCTGAAGATAGCAAAAGTGTCTTTTATATTGATAATTAACACTATAACTTTTCTATTTCCAAATGTCAAGAACGGCCCTTTGCTCAATTTGTTCCATCAAAACCGTCTTTCTATTTCCGGCTTTCCCCATCTTACAGACGAAATTTCCTCTAATTTCTAATCTAATTTCGTTCGCTTAATAATAACATAACTTTGGCACGTAGAACTCACAGAGAAAATATATAACTCCTTTTTCTTACCTTCCAATCTTTCTTATTTATTTATTTTCTTCTTTTCCCTCTTTATTCCTCCTCCCTCCTCCTCGTCACTGCCTCTCCCCTGCCTCCTCCTGCCCCTTTACAGGCGTATAATAATTGTTAATTTTCTATTATACATTTGACGATTCCTCTCTTTTCTCTTTTCTATCTAGTAAAAACTATTCATTACAAATTGTGTAATAAGAGTAATAAGGGTGTATAAATAATCCAGATAGTCGATCTTTTCACACTTTACGCATCGAGTATTTGATGATCATAGGGGGTAAAAAGCATAGTGAGTAATTACTATTTTACACTCGAAATGGTCTAAAATGTAGTACTTGCAGATGTATTATTTTTACAGGCAACATCACTTTAAGCCTATATGACGTTGAAGGGAGCTTACATATCTGTTAAAAATATAATAGGCTTTACTACCTTATTGTAAATGTGTCATAATAATAAATGTTTGTATTACATTTCGTGTTGACGTCACGTAGGGATAAAAACATGCCTTATATAGTACATTTTTCATCTAATATATAGTAATTTTTCACTTAGACGACCTTTAACTACGCACTTAAAATCATTAGACCTTCAAAATGAGGCGTTTATATATTTTATATGTACTAAGGTCCATCTATTATTTTCAATTTATTAAAAAGAAAAAAAAACTGAGAGTCAGATTGCGTAATTAATCATTCCTTTCGCATAGGCTATTTTTACTATTTTCTCAATACATAATACATCTTTTTCGACTATAACTAGATCCTTCATCTGCTTAATGGTGCAGAAACATATTTTAGCGATTTATAACGAATTTAACGAATTGTGGATGACTTTCATTGAAAATAAATGAATATATATATCGTATAGTATACTGTATAGAGCAATGTTTATATAAAATAGGTTTATGTATATTTTGTATATACAGCAAATAGTAAATATTGATTGTATTACTTAAATAGACTGTTAATTTTTAATTAAAAAAATCTCTTAATTTTTATTATATTGATTAAAAACTGTAGCTTTTCTTTCCTTATCTTCTAGAGACATATGGCCTTGATGAATGTTTTTTTAAATTAACTTCATTAGCAGACGCTTAGTGACGGTCGATTATGCTCGATTATCTTTCGCTATTTCCCTAAACTCGATCATCTGTTCGTTCCACCCCCTTGCATCTAATTTCGCTAGGAAACACGTACTGATATGAACTTTTTTGACCTCGTCTCTATTTATTACTCCAGAGGGAGGTTGTAAACTGCTCTACTTGTGGCTCCATCTATTGTTACACCGCAATAGTAAAAAGGTTTTGTGACACTTGTTCGTCTTTAGTCAGCATAGTCGGCATGTCTTTCATTATCTCTCTTTTTTCTAGTTTTCTCTTTTCTATTGAAACCCTACTAAGTCTTTTATCCAAGCAAATCCTTTGCGATTATAAAGTTGTACGTAAGATTTGTAATATTGTTTTTAAAAGGCTATTCATTGCCTAAAAATAAAACCTATGCTGAAAGATGCATACATAAAAGCCTTAACAATAACAATGATTATTATAGCTAGCATTGCAGGGGCTGGTAGTCAGATATAGCGAAATCAGGATAAATGAAAACTGTATGACTTGCTAATAATCCAGCCATATTTCAAAAAAATAACTTTCATTTGTATTATTTTTTGACGGGGGTTTAGGAGAAAAGGACCCGGATGGAATAAGGATTTCAGCTCGTATTTATTTTGGAACAGTTGTTGATTTTTTGGATTTATCTGCAATTTGCCGTATTACCTATCTTTTTCTGTTTTAAGCCATAGAAACTCCCTTTTACAATTTCTATTAACGACTACGAAAACCAGAATATTGTAAAGATAAGATTTTTTCGTAATCAATCAATGATTACTGTAAGAAAAGTGAAAAGGGAATGATAGAGATATGCTCTAAGCGTGACTTGAAACTTAAAGGGTTTGGCATAAGACATGATATCTCTATAACCTGTTCTTTTCATCTTATACAATATACTCTGTATCATCAAGATATTAATATTAATATATGTTATTACGTAGTAGAATTATCATCGATTGCCATCTATATTAAGTAATATAAGATACCAATTTCCCTTTTGTTACCAGATTTCAATCAGAATCTAAATTCACTTGAAAATAACAAGGTCTTAGCTTCTTAGTTGTCGAGATTACTGTATTGAATATACATTAGGGATATTCATATTCCCTTAAAGGCTCGCACATCTAGGAAAAACCCATTATGATATTATGATTCGTTTTTTTACAACAATTAATTAATCTATATTCCTAGCAATAAATATCGCCTAAAGCCAACATATGCCTTAAGTGGTCAAAGCTCCTAATTATCAATAGACACTATCGTTGCCTATATACAGAGCCATCTAGACCACTTTTTTACTGAGAACAGTAATAAATCTAATGTAAAAAAAATCTTGCCATTTAGTATGATATATTTAAAGAATAGGAATAGGAAATCATAGTCAATTTCTATAAGCCTATCGTTAATTTGATACCTTCGCTCATTTTCTTAGTATAAATTCGGTGTCTTACACTCCAGATGGGGGTATAGCTAATCACTATATCAGTTTCATCTTTGACGTCATTTAGAGATCTCAAGCGTCGATTTATCCTAATTGTTGCCCTTATCAACTACAAAAATGTGTATTTATTTTTATAAGCAAGAAATAAATCGGGTGTAATATCTGTTTTTAGATATGAAATATTTGGAACGAGCCTTTTATTAAGGTATATATTAGTATATAGATATATATAAATATATATATATATATATATATATTCAGTATAAATTAATCCCTGAAAGTGAAAAAGTCTAAAAGGCAAAAGACTGGAAATTATAAAAGGAAACAATAAAGCATTATTTCTCTCCATATGCACAATTATTTTGCAAGCAGGGTGTAAGGGACTGTTTAGTTTAGCAAATAGACAAAATAAAGTCGAAGAGTGTGTGAGAGCCATAGAAAGGGGTAAGGGTGAAAGAGTGAGTGAAAAGAGTGAGAGAAAGGGAAAGAAAAAGAGAAAAAGACGAAACAGTGTATGAGAGGAAGAGCCAGAGAATATGTATATGTATACATATACATATATAGAGAGAGAGAGATAGAGAGAAAACAGAAAGATAGAAGGAAAGATAGAGAGGAAATGGAATGAGAAACTCCCCCTCCCACAGCCTTTACATTTTAGGCCTATTAATTACCCCGGAATTTTTTGCATGTCTAGGAAACTTGGAAACAAATTTTTTCTTAAAAATAAACATAAGAGGAAAGCAATTGATGTCTTAAAAAATATGATAAAAAGAGGACAAAGTCAATTAAATTCTGTTGAAAAATTATAGCAGAGAGATGTTATGGGGACAGACAGGTTATTTCTTACTTGGTCCATTCTTCCCCTTTTTTTCAGACAAGGTAAGAGAAACCTTTCAATTTTTTTGGTCTGTTTTCACTTAATTATCTTAAAAAAACCTGCTAAATTTTTTTAATGTTCTCATTTTCCTCTCTGCCAGTATCTGTTTCTGCTTTTTCTTTTAATTTCTTTATCAAATGAAAAATTAGTGTTTTTTAATGGAAGAAGATAGAGATGGAAGAAAGATAGTATAGAGAGATGTACTGAGAGAGAAGAGAGAGATACACGGAGAGAGAGATACAGAGAAAGAGAGAGAAAGAGAGAGAGAGAGAGATACACAGAGAGAGATACACAGAGAAAGAGAGAGAGTGGAAACGAGGGAGGGGAGAGGAAGCGAAAGGGGAAGGAGAGGGACAGAAACAGAGAGAGAAATGTGGGCGAAAAAAATGGAAAGGAAGAGGGAAATGGACAAAATCGTAGAAGAAAAAGGCGAAATATCTTTTAAAACGTTGAGCAATTAAGTAGATGACTTTGACAATTTTTAGCACGCCAACTCAACTTCAAATATTGCCGGAGGTTAAGGAAGTGAAATAAATTGAAGTAATTTTTTATACATTTCCAAAAATTCTATTTCAATCTATACAAAATGTCACTAAAAAAAAAGTTCTAATCGGACCAATTTAGTTAAAATATTCATTAAATTTGAAAAAAGTGAAACCATTTTATTGCTATAGTCACTTAATTAATCTGTAGAAAAAATAAATATAAAAAGAATGGTATAGATCTGGGAAATTGTTATTTATTCTAAGCAAATAGATGTATTTATAGATCTTTGTATATAAGGAATAGGTTTTTTTTGTAGCTTAATTATCTTTTCTTGTGAGGACTCTTAAGAGATTCTTTAATACAATTTCATATAATCAGTTTATAATTGATGATTTATGTAATTTATTAATTTTTTTTAAAGAAAAAGTAGTAAGATTATAATTGATTTGACAAAAAGAAATTGTACATAAATATTTGATTAAATAACTTAATATTGTCCTTAGAACCTGTTACACATACTTTATTATATTTATCTATGGACTTAATTCGTAAGTTAATGGTTTGGTGGAGTAAAATATGGGCGGAACCCATATTTCACGGAAGACGTCACGACTGAGCCGGTGGAAGCGTCGAATTAAAAATATGTTATTGATGAGTTTATGGTAGCACTATAAAACTGAACTGGATGAAAATGAAATATATGAAAAAACTATAATGTTTAATAACATTTTACTAATTGCATTTATATTATTTTTATTAAAAGAATGCCAAACTAATCGAATATTTAGGAATAAAAAAGGACATAACTTAGAAAGATGAACGCCCATCAAGTTTTATTTATACGACACTCAACTAAAGAAAAGAAATAATGAATAATATATTAAAACTAAAAACTCAACGCATCTCAACAGCAACCCTGCTGTACTGAGTTGGACTCGCAAATTTATTACCGTTATAGTCGCTTTTCCCGCAAGAAGGTAAGCTTCGAAATGCCCTTCGGAACTTGGCTGACATGGCGTTATAGAGGATCGGATTTATGGCGCTGTTGGCGTAGATGAGAACTCGGCAGAACAAGCGGAACCAGATGTTTGAATAGCGATTTTTTGCGAACGAATTATAAACGACCCATATCCTATAAGGCATCCAGAGTAGAGCGAACAGGGCGACGACTACAGCAAGCATTTTGATAACCTGTAATACGTTTAGTTGTTCTTACAAAATGAATTATGAAATGCATATACAAGGTTAGATTAGGGTAGCGTCCTTCTATACATTCACTAGATGCAAGTACAAAAAACGATACGTATATTTTGGTTGCAGATTGGAAACTAGTCGTTTACTTTAGTCTAGAAAGATAATTTTACATATTCGATGACCCTTTAGATAGGAGGCAAAAAATAAATTAGACGCTTTATCATCAACATCACTGAGTCGACGAACGATTTCCGTATTCCTACATTCGTTATATCACCTGATTAGCTTTCAACCTTTCAAACTGCCATCCTTGCCATATAGACTTTGGCCGAATACTTCCCACATATCCGGTTAGTAAGAACGTGATAGGAGGCGGAAGAAAACGGCTATTAACTCTTTTTTGATAGATCCTACAAAGTTTACTTTACCTCTTTCAGAAACCTATTAAAGGTTTTGTCTGCCTTTTTATTAATATCTTAAATTATCAATAGACATTTTCGAAGTTTCGTGTTCTTTTATAGCGAAACAATTGAAACACAATACATTGAATTATGAGACTATGAAGTTTTAAGAGATTATCGTGAGATAGTTTTCAATTCGACTTTGGTTAATTAGTTCTCTTTTACGCTGACAAATTACTAAATTCAATTGGGAGTTTGATGGGGTGAATTTCCAGAAATCTAGTCTATAGAAAAATCAATCATGGCTACTCTCACTGCCTTTTTTAAAAAATTTCTATTGTTCCCAACCATCTTTTACCTCTGTCGCGAACTAAACCTTTTCCTTTAATACGATATAAGATCTTTTGTCTTTTTGCATTCTTATTAGGCAATTTTAGTTTTTCCCCTTCATCTTTCATCTTATTTTTTTTATATTATTTAATTAGTTTAGAGAGAAATTAGAAATCGATTAGGGAAACTTGAAATGAGGAAGATATAGATGGAAACGAAATTTTTCATGTTTTAGAAATGACTTTATCATGTAAGTAATCGGATTTTTTCGCAGTCTTGGTTCAATTTAATATATATATATATATATAGGTATGATTATCTATTTACGCACAGTAATTACATATAAATTCAGCTTTATGCCTACAAAGACCTATACACCTAACATACAATAATTTGAATAATAGATATGCTTTTCCATCAAAGACAATATTATACATTATAATTATATATCAATATAAAATTCGAACTCTAGTTATCAAAGATTTATACAATTTTTATCAATTTCTCTGACAGACGGCCGAAAGAAGGTTACCAAATGATTTTTTTAGGCGATGCTTCAAGTTTTATGCGCAGTATAAAGTCTAAAACTTTATATTACATACCGCAAGAGATATCAACGTTAATCTTTAGTACAACCAGTTATATTAAAGAAAACGTATGCTAGCACCTAATCTATGGAATGAACGATTGATCTATAGAATATCCGGTTTTATACGCTAACCCTAAAATATACAGCAAAAAAAAAATAATATTTATGAGTAATAGACCTACATTCCAGGCAGATGAAGCGATGAAACAAAGCTAATTTTCTAGGTTTTAGAGTCGAATTTACGATCGATAATCGCACGATTCAATGCCTCACAAAGAAATCTGAAGATTTATTCGGCTCTCAATCACGTGATTCATTTTTCTCTCTCAATTTTAATTTGTTTAATTGGTTTATGGAGTGGCAAAGCTAAATTGTCGTGCTTGATTGAGAAATCGTTTCTCATTGATCCTATCGACGTTTTGGCCTTCAATTGGGTTCTTTATTTCATTACTTAATAATAAAAGACAATGGGAAATTCTTTGTTAAAGATAAATAAGACGCTAAGTAGAAACAACTACACAAATTTATATTGAATAGATATGTAAGAACGGTTTCAAAGAGGAGAGAAACAACTGAAGAGTCACTAAATTAGAGCTGGAAATATCATTTCCAATTCTAAACGCCTTACGCACTGATTGATACCGCCTTAAGGGAAAAACCACTAGGTTTATTTCTATAGAAACTATTATTAATTTGGATAAGCTAGATTTTAATATAGTAAGAGAGGTCAGTGGAACTTACTACCTTGGACGTAAATGCACTCTTTAAATTATATTAGCTTAATATTTTTATATTATAGTATATCTTACATGGGAATATAAACGTATCATGTATCGATATCGAATTCTTAAAACTAATATTAACTTGCCTTATTTCTTATTTCTATCAAGAAGCATTTTTCATACATTTCCTTATATTATCTATCATTTTTAGAAATTCTATACTTAAATTTAGAGTATATATCCATCACAAAATATATCTATATATGTATACTCTATTTGGAAAAGAGATGTCTTTCGTTGTTTAAATAGAAAAGAAAGTACCGTACCAATTTAATATTCTTTATGCACTTTTCCAATCTCTTATTACTTTTATTTTCATATATCATAATCGTTCGTTTAATAACATTAAATACTTTTCGTTTTTCAATCATTGCTTTTCTGCTTATAAATTACAACCTAAAATTTCTGTGTAGCAAAAAAAGCCAAACAGTTTTCTCCCTTCAAATAGAAAAGCCAAGCTGTTTTGAAACATTGATTAAGTTAAATTCCATTAGAAAACACATTTTACCATGTTAATTGAAAAAAAAAACAAATTAAAAAAATTTTCTCATAATGTAATATTAAATCATCTTGTTAATTGCCTTTAAGAAAGTCTCCCTTTCAAAACCAGCATTGATATATAATATATATATATATATAACTTTTCAAATCTACTTAGAATGGAATGATGATTGTAGGAGAGAAAGCATTGGAAAAAGGGGAGGAAGAGAGAGAAAATGTAGGACAAGAGATAGAAATAAAGTAGGAAACAGAAGTGAGAAAGAGAGAGAGATTATATACATTAGCTAATTAGTTTAGAAATAGGAAAAGTATTCATTTTTCGAGGTATATAAATATAAACCATTCATGTAGCTATGGGTATAGGATTACGATAGTAAAAGCGAAAATTTTTTAAGGAAAGCTTTATAGATTCTATCTCTACATTCCGTCACGAAAGCCATTACCTGTACTCTAGAGCTAGATCGCTTGGCCGAGTCATTGTGTCCTCCTGGTGTCAGATTTCTAAATAACATCCGTCCGATTAGGCCATAGAGGACGCAAGTCAGCAGTAGAGGACTTACATATAGTAGCATTAAATCGCACATATAGATAACAATATAATGCTTTCTGTCCAAGGAAAAGTCGCATATTGGTATTTTTGAATTGTTCGTAGTAATTTTCACGAAAAACAACCAAGGGGAGTTATATACAAGAGAAAATCCCCAGGTACCTCCTATTATCCTTTTGGCTCTACTCACAGTGCAGACAGTCTGGGCCTTCATAGGATGGCAAATTGCAATATAACGCTCTATAGTAAAGGCAGTTATTGATAATACAGAAGCAGTAGTTGTTGTATATTGACAAAATATGATAATCCGACAGCCTACTTCTCCAAAAACCCATCTTCCTGTCTGGATGTGAAAGTCTACTTGAATAGGTATAGTTGTGCTTAATAGCGCCAAGCAATCCGCTACAGCCAGAGAAAGAAGGTAACAATTGGTTGGTGTTCTCATACTTTTCGTTCTTGCTACAACTAATATAACCATTATGTTTCCTATTATACCAACGATAAATATGACTCCTACTACGCTTTGACCAATAATTTGGTATAGGAGAGCTTGCTGGCTCGAGGTATTACCAGACGAATTGTTCAGCATGACGTCGGAGTTGTTTAGAAGAAAGTCTGCAACGAATTTCGGCTGATAGGAGATAGGCAAATTCTCGTTTTATAGGCTAATTAAACTCTGCCATACTTTCTTCTTTCTTCCTTATCGCTTACAGGCAAAAGCAGAAACAAAGTCAATGTCTATCTTCAAATTAAAAGCCTGAAAACAAAAAAAGTTGCTAAGGTTTTATCCAACAAACTGAAGCTGGTGACGCTTTGTCGACAAACTGGTGAGCGCTCTTTTCCAGCGCCATCTACCTATAATTTTCTTTATTTTTTACAGGTGGTACAGATTTCATTATTTTAATATTGATAGAAAAAAGTGTGCAATTATCAGGAATAATGACCTCACAGCACAAAAGGGGGAAAATTACAGATTTCATTATATTCTTGTCAAAAGGAGAAATACAGATTTTGTTAAAGTTAATACTACCAATTTGCAAATATCAATAATTATAAATAATACGAATATCTTTGGAATCATATAGGAGTATTACTTTCTTCCATTGATATATATATATATATATTGATAAAGATAAACGAAAACTTGAGTATATATACTATCTATATATATATATGTGTGTACAACATATACATTTATCCATATATAAATATAAAAACAAATACATCTATACTATATATATATATATATGCACACATACACACATATATATACTTCATATATTCAGAAAATATTAGTGCTTATGAAAGACATTTCTAACTGTTTGTCCTCACCCTTCACGTCTTCCTCCGGATTAGAGCTACTCTGAACTGTTGGCTTATCTCTTCTTTATATTATTATAATTAATAACATTTAACATTCCGCTTAGCTAAATAAGGTGTTTATGCTTAAAGTGAAACAAACGGAAAACAGTCAATTCGAAAAGAGACGATAAAAAAGAGCTGCATTGATCCTTTTCCAGTAGTCTACTCATGAATATATTATGTTTGCATTCGCATGAATGCGAAGTCAAATACATAAATATATTTATAGGAAATGTAATTAAATAGCTTACCTTAATGCCTATTGGATAAGCTTTGCGAAAAAATTCATGCAATTTCTTTACACTTCTATTTGTTTTCTTCTAATTGGTATATGTGCGAATTTACCTAAAGAAAACGGGTGGAAAAAATCTCATTCTATCTTTAATTATTTGCTGCTTGGTTGGAAAGTAGGCCTGTAAGGTTCGAACGTGTAACCGAATAACTAAACGCCGCTAGCTGTCTCTTTTTCGTTTAGTTACTATGCTAAGATGGAGAAAAGGAAGAGTATTTTTTGGTTCGGAAGAGCTCGTACAGAGAGGCTAACGGACGATAGTAGAGCATAGATTTCTTTGGAATTGTATGAAAGGGGGGATAGATTGTATAAACTGATAGTAGAGAGATGTCATTTTGATCCATTTCAACTAACGATCGAAATTTTTTCCTCTTTTTTAGCAATCTACATATGGGTCCTCTTGTTGTAAAATTTATTGTATTATATTATATATACATATTGCTATAGATATATGAGTTTTGTATTATATCTATATATAGATATATAGATATGGAGTACATAAATTAATAACGAACTTGAAATACAACTTAAATGTTGATATATATGGTGTATATCTATAAATACATAAATATAAATAAGCATATACGATATTTAGTTGTATATTTTATATATTTAGAATGTACAGCTGTATTTAAGCTTATTGTACCATCGTGAGATATTCTAGATAAATAAAAGAGAAGGAATACTGGAAATAAACTTCCAATTTACATCATATTTATATATGTATTCAGTATACGGCTTTATTAATGCAAATGTCACTAATTTAATTAACCATTTCGTTAGTATCTTCAGAAATATGAGATGCCAAGTAATTATATCATAATATTTAACTACATCATTTTTCTTACGATTTTTTCCCACATGTCAAGTTCAGAATTCATTGAAGAGTAGAATTTCTATTTTTTAAGGTGTCCACTTAAAAGTCGTGCCTTTTATTTAGGAAAACTGTATATAAAATTAGTGCAAACATAGCTTAGCCTTACCCTTAGCCTTTATTGGGGCGTAGAAAGATAAAAGAGAAATTGGATAATCCATAGGTGGGTAAACACACTTTGATTATACTTTGTAAATTTTTTAATTAAACGAATAAATAGATTAGTTGACAATTAGCTCAAAATATGGTTTAAAAACAAACTTAAAAAGTGTTAAGAGTGCACTAAACCAACAAGTTTACCTATAAACATTCCTATCTAGTATTTAGCAACTAATTGGAAGGGGTAAAATTTTTTGTGTATGTTATCTTTTAAAAGCAATACAAAATTTTCCCTTAACAGCAATAATGAACAAGAGCGGATTGTTATAATAAAGTATTACTATAATATGTACATATATAACAAATCAGGCATTTGTCGATGAAAACAAATTCATGCATAGCAAATACAAAGTAGCCAAAATTCAATTTCCCAAGGCAGTTATTCGTGTATGATTTCTCAGCTTCTAGGACTTAACTGTTCGGCTTATTTAAGCTTAATAAATTAGATCTTTTAGGTTTTTACAAAACACTTCTGAGAAATATGCGTGTGAAAAGAAATTTCAACCAGCTTATTTATTGAAATAAAAGCAACTAATAATATAAGCGGAAAATTCCCTTTTTACACTTAAGGCATAGTTCATTTGATAGTACATTTTATGAATAAACATTACTTTCAATTTATAAATTACTTATACTTTAGCTTATATACTTCTTAACAACTATGTACTATTATTGACAAATGTAAATTATATTCAATACCTTTAATATATGTACATGCAATAAAAGAATCGCTCTTTTAGACTATATTTATTACCTTTCATTAACAAACAAAGCTTCAAATGATTTAAATTAGCTTAATTTTAATTTAACTCTGTCACAATATAAGGAATGATTTATTGTTATATACATTTTTCGTACATTTACAGATCAGCGACTGCACTGGTTATGAATTAATGATTGTTTTTGCCCAGTATACTTTCTCTTTCCTCTCTTCCTATTAAGACGATTTCAAAATTGATGAACTTTGGCTTCCAAACCACAAATATAGATTGATGGATCCTTTTAAGCTCACATAGAATCTTAAATAGTTTTGCCTACTTGTGAGCGAGAATGTTTCTTTTATAGCAGGAAATGTAAAGCGTGTTTTCCGAGACATTTTATTGCCAACATATATTTACACGCTCGATAAAAGCGTCAACTTTTCTTCGCTCTAACTTCCCACGGAAATCCTGTATCAAAACCGCTAGATGGCATTCGTTACCTGGACAGATTTCACTAACTGCCACCTATCGAAAGATTTGTTTTTCCTCCGTAATATATCTCGTTTACTTTCAACAATAATCGGTTATTTTTTCTTCTAAAGAAAATAAGCCAATCAGCAAATGGCGTCTATATATCAAGTAAATACTTTATAAATACTAAAAACGAGAAAGGATTTATCTTTTTTTTTCTTCTTTTTGGAAAGAAATTTAATTTAAAAAAAAAATCTTTAGTCAACACTCTCTCGCCCCACTTCGTAAAGACGTCAATGTTTTTCGAGCGTTTTAACGGTCGACGTCACATCTGCTTACTCGAGTAACAACTAAGGGGAATCGATCTTTACCGCTTTTTCCTTTTCAACCAAACAAATGACGAAAAGGACGAAAGTGTAAAACGTTTTCAGACTACTGGACCGATTACAGTACGAGAACAATAATCCAACTGTGCAAAATGCTCTCTAATTCAATATATTGGGCTGGGTTCCTTCCTCTCTTTACTTTTTTTAGCTAAGAATCGGAGTCGAGGTGGCACTTCCGGTAGAAAGATTAGTAGGAAAAAAGAGGAAGAAGGAAAAAAGGATGGTAGAGAGAAAATTCTGCATAAAAAAATAATCTAAAACTACAAATACTGTATATAACCGTTGATATTTCTTCGTGAAATTCATAAAAGTATAAGAGTAATTGACCAAAAGGAACATTTATCAGTCAACTAATAATATACTGGACTAAAAAGCGGCTAATACATCACAGTTTGTTCAGAAGAAAATTTTTATCGAGGGACGAGATTTTAACGGCATAAAATCGAAGACGAACAGATGCCAACCCGCTTTATTTTTCGCCAACCTTATTCGATTTACGTAATTCTTTTTCCCTTCTGTAGATATTGAGGAATAATATGACAGTATTTCAACGGTACTATCAAGAAAATTAATCAGGGTTAAGGAAAAAAGCCTCGATTGTAAATCGAACAGGGCGTGTTTAGAATATTTACGATCTTATATAGGGGGAATTGATACATTTATATATATATTGTATATCTAGGAAAATTACAGAAAACTGCCATTTTACCTTAATATATATATTATATACTTGTTGTAACTAAGGTATTTTAATTATTTCTTTTCTATTTAAAAGTAGAATAACATACTAAATAGATAATCATAATCGTTAACGTAGCAGAACGTTTCGACGGTGAGCAGAGAAAGAGAGAAAAGGAATATCAAAAGTAGATGGCGCTAGAGAAGAGAGAGAGCGAGAAAGAAAGAAATACAATTTATGAGAAAAAGGGAAAAAAGTAACACTTGTAGAAGCTACTAAAGACGTTAATAGAGAAATAAAAACACATAAAATAGAAAAAATATGAGCAATTGTTTTATTATAAAAATATTATATTTAAAATTTAGATATTTCTCTTATTTCAACAGTTGAATTAACTCTTAAATCAAATTTGACTGATAAAGTTAATGAGACGAATCACAGGCTCGTTTACTGTGCATTTTAGCTTATCTAAACAGATCGTTAAGCTCAAAATTGCATAAGCAAACACGAGTTGAATACATTTTTTTATTTTTCAATAGTATACTTATTAAAATACTTAACATAATCATTTCGGTCTATAAAACCTTAACACTTAAAAAATAAAGAAAATTGTAAAATATTTAAGAAATAGGAAAACCAGAATAAAAAATGAGTAGGAGAACTAAGCTGTTCTAATCGGCCGCCTAAAACTTGTTTACACTTTATACCTAGCATACAGAAATCCGACAGATGTTCTTCCCCCCCCCTCACCCCACCCTCTCTCTCTCTCTCTCCCTCGCTCTCTTTCCTTCATAAAACTCTTTTCTCGATCTCATTTTTTATATCTTTTCTTTATAAAACCACATTCCTATAATATGTAAATACTTAACTAGTTTAATTCACAATATTGGCAATAAATTGAAAGAAAAAATATTCTATTCATGCTTTATATTAAAGCTTTCTTTTTGTTTGAAAATAATTTTCAGATATTCGATTTATACTTTTAAGATATTGACCTATGTATCCTCTTCTCCATTTTTGTCTAGTGTCCTATCATTTTCTTACAATTGGCCACATTTTATACAGAGATTACTTAAATTGTTGAATTTGTCAAAAGAGAGAAGAGAGCTAGATGAACATTTCCTCCTTTCTTATTAGACAAGGGGTATGAGGGAGGAACTGAGAGCAAATGGAAAAGTGGAAAGAGGCGGGAGAAGTTTAGCCTCTGTTCCATTTTATTATTGATTTATTTTCTTATATTTGTTTTTATATGCTTCTTAGCATTTAAGATTATTTGTATTAAGTGGTAAAGAAGAGCAGAAAAAATTAGATGGAAAAATGCTTTTTTTAAGTTTTATAAAGGTCAAATAAGATTTGTATGTATCATTAACCAATCAAGACAGGTGGTACTAGAGGCTTATTCCTTTTATTTAAAAATTATTATAAAAGCATTTACTAATTAAAGGGAAAGATAATTAAAAAATAATAATATTAATCGTTTTAATTACGAAAATATAGGTCTTAAATACGAAAATAATAAAAAAAAGACCAAAATATACACTAAATCCTTCGTAGATCGTAGAAAAAATGACTAATGTTTTTTACGAGCGTTCAGTCAAATACAAGAACCAACTTTTGACACGAGTATAAAAGGACGATAGCAACATAAGAAGAAACAATTAACTAACTAGATGCGGTGCTGAAAAGAATATAGCCGCTGTCGTAATACCCATATATAGGGCCGATACCCACAGGCACAACCTGTCGATAACCATAGCGGCAAATTTCCAATCGTTAATCTCTTCGGAAGCTTCCGAATCCTCTTTAATCTTGTGAGTAATGTATCTCAATTCGTTGAGTATAGCCAACAATTCGTTTCGAACTGATGTAAAACCTCCGTCATCTACTCGAATGGAACGAAGTGGAGGGAAGTCGTTCAATGGTATAGCGTTATCGACATCTTTTACATTCGATAATAAGCTTAAACTGGGAGGATGTCTGCTCTCCAGTTCTCTCATTCTTGCTTTTCGAAGAAGAAATTCCCTAGATATATCTTTTCCTGGTCTTGACATGCGTAAAATCCATGCCAACCACTCGCAAATAACTTTTCGAATCTGTACAGGTAGAGTGTTCTTTCAAGTGTTATCAAAAATAATTCGTGATCAAATGATAGTTACTTCTTCTTTAGGCCTCTTGTCTTCGTATACTTACATGTCCCCTTTCGTATGAGAACTTTTTGCCCAAATAAATTGAGCCAATTGGCAAAAGAAAGAAAAGAGAAAATCAACTTACCCAATTGGGCATATCGTACATGTCCGGATTTCGATGGTGGAAATTCAATACTAACACGGTCATGATTACCGATAGGCTACACATAAACATGATGGCGGCAAAATAGATTCCTGTTGAAAGACAGCTGTTTTATGCTTTATCATAAGCTTTATAGGAAAAGAAATTAAAAAAGAAAAAGTAGGTCACAACTAAGCCATTTATCATCTTTTCACGTACTCTAAACTATATCGTTAATATAGTTTAAAGACGTTGATATTATAGCTATGAATTCCCTTGTAACTAACATCACTTTTGATTTTTAGAGTAATAAAAGGTTCGCATTAACAAAAATAATTATCATATTTATCTTTATTCGTGTCAGAAATGATGGAAACCGTAGCTATAACGTAAATTACTGTATATATATATATAAATATTTTTTTTTTAAAAAAACAAAAAAGCATTTTCTGTTTTTTTTTTTTTTTTCTACATTCGTGCTTTTCGATGCATAAACAAACATTAAAGTAAAAAAAGAAAAAAAAAAGAAAAAATATGGAAAGAAGAAAGAAGGAAAGAAGACAAGCATGCTCAAAAAAAAACAATTTTAGGTGACTGTGTAAAAGTAGAAGAGAAGGGGATGGAAGGGGCGGTGGAGGGAGGATAAAAAAACACAGTTGATACATATATATCATTTCATTCATGAAGAAAACATGTATATTGTATTGATTTTAGTTTAAAGTGTTACAGAGTATTCTACATATATATATATATATATATATATATATTTTCATGTATGAAAAGATGTAGGTTGTTATTTTTTTATAAGAAGAAAAAGGTATGGAAAAATATTAGATACATTAAAGATAAAATAAAAAGAATTAACAACGTATCGGGCGCCAGCCTGACCGGTAAAGTGATATGTATATACTTTTATTCATATATACGAATGAAAAAGGTGTATATATATATAAAATATATGTATATACATATTTCTAAAAATTTGGCCTTGAATAGAGATTTATTGAAGTTTGATATATATATTCATATATATATATATATATATATAGTTCTCAAAATGGGGTTAATAATTTTCACTATTAAAGATAAAACTTGATTTTTATTTTTATTTTCAAATTCTATACTTCAATGAAGTTTTTCTCAAAAAAAGTATTAATAATACAGGATACTTGCAAGGTGTAACATGTATTATTATTATTAATATTATTATTAATATTATTATTATTATTTGTTGTTATTATTATTATTATTGTAAAATACGAACCAATTCTCGGCACGCCAAGTGACGTACTGGGAACAATTTTGGCGACAGTTAGCATCAACATACTGAGCGATAAGAGGATGGTAATACCTGTCAGGCAAATTTGGCGCCATTATATGAGCACATTAGTACACGAGACGACCTCACCTACTGACCTAAAACCGGCACTGCCAGGGAGGTGGTTGGAACTGATTCAGACACGATCAGTGAGAGGACGCTCAATGACATGAGTATTGTTATTCCTGAGTTCGTTGTTAGTAAAGGAAAAAAAAGAAAGAAGGTTGTGTATATTTTTTTAAGCTTTTTCTTTTTATCTTTACATAATTCTATTATTAATTAATTACATTTTTCTTCTTTTTTTTAAGAATTGATTAATTCAAATATATTATTCAAACAATTACAAAACCTTAGCTTTAAATACAATTCGTTTTCATCTTTCGTTACACAATCACGCAACTTTTATATTTTCTTTTTTGTTTCAGTTAGATATTTCCCCTCTCTTTCTTTTCCCCTTTCTCTCTCCCTCTCTCTCTCTCTCCCTCTCTCTCTCGGTCTCTCTTTCTCTATCTCCCTTTCGCTCTTTCTCTCTTTCGGTCTTTCTCTCTGTCTCACAATCTTTGGTAATCATTCATTCTCTAAACCATTATCATACTCTCTTGGATAGATAAGATAACGTAAAAGAGATTGAGCGGAAATAAAAAAAAAACAATATAGTGGAAAAAGAAATCAAAGCCAAACCACTGCATAAAAATTGTTTTCGGTAGTTCAGAGAAAAAAGCAACTCGTAATAGTTAAAATAATTATATTATGCGTTTAGTGTCTGCATGTATGCAAAAGGTCGTTGTTGCTGTTGTTTTTATTTTTTAGAAGGGGGTGGTCAGCCAGCGTTTCTTACCTATCAATGGCACAGCCATAGATGTCTGAGGTGTCGATTCAGCGACGATTAGCATGAAAACACTGAGCGACAGGAGAATTGTAATGCCTGTTAGTATTTGCAGTTAGTATCTTTTTTTGTCCAGCTCGACTGGCCTCCCCCTGGCAATGCTTCCCCGGCATAACTTATTATATTTATAAATACTTTTTCTAGAATATAATTATAATTTTTATAAACAAATTCAATTTATATATAAAAATAAATCATAGCTTAAATCCTATGTTCTATCTTGACCTATTCCTAATAATAAATAAACGTGTTGTTTCTTAAGATGCGGCGATGCCTCGTCTTTAGCGACCTTCCCCCAATCCTATAGTTGATTTATTTTTACTCCATGAGGATATCACTTGTACGCCATAAATTCTCAGCTATGTATATATAATTACTTTAGGATCAAAGATGGAGTAAGATGGGATTCATAAAGTTAGCGCAAAAAAGTAAGAAAGGAAGGGGAGAGAACCCTAACCTTTTCCGCCGAAGAGAATTTTATCAGACCATTAAAAGTTCAACTCGTTGATTTGTTTCTTATTTCGCTTCGAAGAAAATTGGGGGGAGAAGACAGAGTAAATGGTAAGAGATGAATCAAGTGGGGAGAGAGGGGGAGAGGGGGCAACGTGGGAGCTAAACAAATGATATAATGGGGCTCTCCTTAAGAATGCAACGAAAAGCTCTCTAAACTAAAATTGACATTGCGTTCGTCCATTATCATCAGTCGATCTTAGGACAAAGTCAATTTGATTGTTCATCTTTACTTGATTGTTTATAGAATAGGTTCGCCACGAACTAAAGGAGTTAGGCAAAAGGAGAATAGTTTAGGAAAACTCTTGACATTATTTACGCAGGTTCTCGCCTCACTTGCTCTTTAAAGCTCTTTCTAAAAGATTTTTCGAGAAAGAGAAGAAGAAAAGTGATACATGAAAGTCAAATTTCAACAGTCTCCTCCTCTCTTAGTTTCTTTCCAGCCGATTAGTTTAACCGCTACTCTTATCTGCTCGGATAAGGGAGTAAGGAATGGTCGAGGGAGAAATAAACTTCTTGTCCTTTATATAAACGAAACTATTCAGACGTATATTTAGGTTATCTCGTTTCACTTCTCCATTCTTTGTAAAATCTATAGTAATTCCTGACCCGATTTATATAAATTTCAAGTGCATGCTTTCATAGTGTTTATCTATTAAGGTATTTCTTGCCATCACGTGACTCTTAGGTCAATATACACTTTGAGTGTCTGACGGCATTTCGCATTACCCTTCTCCTCTTTTACCATGTTTCTTTATATTTTTCCATCCCCTTTTCCTCTTTCCTTTTTTCCCCTTTGCTTGAGCACAAACCTTTTTATTTTTAGAATAAATAAGGCAAGTGGGGCGTTTTCTCCCTTTTCCACTTTATTAAATATATTCCCTCCCTTTTTCCTCTATATATTTCTATTTATATATTTTCATATATACTGTATATATATATATAAGGTGTATACAGTATATGAAGCAGGGTATATATTCTCTGACAGGATATCTAACTAAAAGACGACTAATGGGCAATAAACGCTTCCGACATTATTAATACGATAATAATTAACTATATCAATGTGGATTGGTATAATAAAAGAAATCCTTAATTTAATAGTAAATGGTATAGTTATTGAAAAAAATATCAAAGGCTACAATCTTTTGTAGTAAATAAGGACAGATTTTTTTAAGTAATAAATCGATTATTGATATGAGTATTAAATAAGTATAATAGACTTTTTTATATACCGGTATAACATACTAAATAACCTAACGTAATATATTTTAAATACAGTATATAAGTATTAATTTCTTTCTTCCCTTATCAGATTATAAATACAACTTCTTACTCAAGTGCCTACTTCATACGTTCTACAATAAGAAAAAAGTAACCGAGGCATCGCATTACTGGAAATGGACTAGCCAGTAATTCTTATAATTGGTGTAAAAAAAATAATAAGCTAAACGAAGACAAAAATGAAAAATGACTTACCTAGCGAAATTTTTTCACCCGCATCGGGCGGAAGAAGGAACGTCAGTAGAGTTAGGGAGGAAATGAGGGCGCAGGGAATGATAAGATTAAATCCATAGTAGAGCGTTCTTCGTCGTATATGAATTGTGAATGTAATGTCAATGTATTCTTCTGGACAGCACTCGTATTTAATAATGTTCCTTTTGGCAGGAACACCCAATAATATCCACTCTCCACTCTTTTGATAGGTTTCAATATCTATTGTATCGCTTTTGGATGTAAGATTGATTTTGGATCCATCGTATGTCCAACTTCCGAATTTCATTTTGCTGCCAAAGGGACATTGATTGTTATTAGGGAAGAGACTGTATTGAGTGGAAGATGCTAATTCATGACACAAACTACTCACCAGTATTGATCATCGAACGGAAACCATTTAATGTCTATGGCACAAGAACTGATGTATATTCCCAATGGAATCCAATTACATGCCCCAGAACTATAAACGACTACGTTGACCGGATATTTACTATCTATATCTTCGTCAGCTGTATTATATAAGAGTATATCAGGAGTCCATATCTTATTAGACGGCAGCCGTATACTCTCGACGCCTCCATAGTCTGATTTGTTCCAGGACAGATTGTAGTCTTTCCAGTCGTATTTTAACCACATATTTGTATGTAGCATCTCATTCTTTTCATCGACATCGACAATTTGCTGCAATGACAAGCCAAACTCAACCTCCAAGGGATCGCTTTCATTTTCTACAGGTCTTGCTAAGCCACTATACCTTCTCTTTTCGAAAATATCACGAATGAGACGCTCCTCGTGATGACCGCCTAGTATTTGACCTGTGAAAATAAAAAAACAAATGGTAAATAGCTTACTTTATAGGCATAAATTTGCTGTATGATGTTTGTACTGCAGTAGACCAAAATAGCTTGTAACAGGATATATATGTTAGAAGGAATAAGGGTAACCGGCGATTAAGTGTTATTCCCAAGGAATTACGAACACCTCTGGGGGATAATATTCAATGGCAAGCAAGTTTGAATTCAAACGATTTCTTAACCTCATAAAACGATCAATAGTTGAATTTAGTTGAAACACTAAGATATGCACAGAATAAACATGTATAACTTGAACGAGCAACTGTCGCAATCTTCGTATAAATTCTTCAAGTAAGATAAAGAATTCGTAGATATTGCATTAATTACAGGGAGAACAAACCCATCATGTGCTAAGAAGGACCAAAATAGGTTTAAAATTGCTCTTAGGTTGGATATTGAAGAAAATGTTGCTACCAATTTAATAGTGAGTTCTGGCCAATGTGACAGCGATTAAAAAACTGAGATTATTAAGTATTTTATTTAAATAACAGAACCAGTTTGTTTAGGTTTAAATAAGCAATTAAGCATGTAAAAATGTGCTGGTACTCCTACAAAATTATACACTAGGATGCAATGTTCGTTCGTTTTAGACAATTTTTAATTTAAGTACTCTGAACAGAATGCCTATAAAGTATAAAGAAATCAATTTGATCTTATTGCGGTCTTATTCACAGTGTAAATTTTTCCATTATTCATAAAAAGAAACTTTATTTAAAAAAAAAAGAATGGATAAAACTAATTTTCTGCAGAAATTGATCCCATTTTAATTTTACAATTCGCTTATTTCCTTCTATTCAATATCAAAAAGAGTATATAAACCCAATAAATTGTTCTTTTTTCTCAAATAGATACAAAAAGAAAGAGGACTTGGTCGAAAATCGAAAATATCGCTCCAAACAGGTGTTTGAATCATAAAAGGCGACTGCTGCTCTCTGCTTCGGGGGGTTATGTAAACTAACAAATTCTCGGCTGAGCAGTTATAAACACGTTATTATTATTATTATTATAACAATTAATTTGAGCAACCGAAAAAATTTATAATAATAATAAAAAAGCAAAAGAAATAGTAAAGCGGAACGCCCCAAGAGTGAAAGGAAACTGAACCGAAACGCTCCGATTCTCATTTGTTGTCCCTTTTTTTCTATTTGCCTTGTTCTCCTTCTCTTTTATTGCCTTTCTCTGATCATCTATTTCTTACAGTCAGTTAAAAGGAAACTTTAAGAAGAAATGAAAGAGATAAATATGGAAAGAGTCTAAGTTACTTTTGTTGTAATATTATCACAGGCGTTTTCGACGCCAGCTGGGGTCTATTCAGAAATCGAAAGCGAGGGAGTATTCAGCTCATTTAATGGGCGAAAAAGAAATAGACGTAAAAACGCAAACACCTTACCTAACGCAGTCGCGATTAACGCCAGCAGCAACATTAGAAATCGTAACGATGTTCTTCCAGCAAACTTTTCCTCTTCTATTCTCTTTCTAACACTTTTTCATTGATACCATTCTTCGTCGCCCATCTCTCAGTTAACGAAGAAGTCGAATGGCAGAAGTTAAAGGAAATTATCCGACACCAGGGGGCGTTTTGTAGGCAAGAAAGAGTAGTCTATAATTCTCCGCCTATTATTCGGTCGTAAAAAAATCCCAACCGCCCCGTACCCTATTCAGACTGAATAATAATCGAGTATACTTAGATCGGAGGCACATAATCCGCTCGAGGCGGATTAGGAAACTTTGGTATATACTATAAGCAATTTGGTTAATCCTTTGAAAGAATTAATACGATAGTTAACTATTTCCCTTGATTCTTGATATGCCTTTTATAAATTTTATACAATTATTTATTATTTATATATAAATACATTTCGGGTTGTAAGTTATCCACATTCATATAACCCCTAACCTTTTGCATAAAGGATAAAAATTACACTGTGGATGCGAATTGATCGTTTAAAAATGCCAGTTTAGAGGGGTCGAGGAAAAAATCTACTATCTTTAAAAATCTGTGACTCTATTGATTTTGATAGTATTTAGGCTTGAATACATGATTGATATGTGTATTTTTAAGCCCAGAGATATCTGGATTATATTACGTAATGAAAAATGTGTTCATATATCTCGATGTGCAGCTTTACCATCTTTAATCCCCTAGCGTTTACTGTTCTGTATTAAATATATGAGTATTAATAACAGATTAGACGCTCAAAAGCAGTATCTATGACCTCTAACGGTCTCGAGAGACATAAGGTGTTAGAACTTGTCGATAGATGGCGCTCTGTACTTAAAAAGTTTTTTATTTATTTCGAGAGATCAGAACAAGTGGATAAGAAGAGGAGGAAAATAACCTGAATATATTAGATAATTTAAAGTTTGTAATCAACAAGCCTTCCACGGAGGTAAATGACTAAGAAAATTTTTCACATATTTATTACTGATCAATCAATATATCTTGAAGATTACGATCAATACGACCGACAGTTTTGTAAAGGAATATAGTTTCAAAATGGAGATTTCACTACTTCAGAACAGAAACTCATTGGAAAAGTAAAAAAGGTGGAGAATGTGCTGTACTAATGCTCGATGTTTTAGAATCAACTGCCACTGTGTTTGTTCCCGGTGCCGGGATTGCGATAAATGTGAACGAGTATTTGGTTCGGGTGGTCTTGGTGATATGTTAGCTGGAGCAGCGTTAGGTTAATGTCCTCTTTTCTTTAACTTTCACATTTAACTTGTGGCTTTTTCTTTCAATTAGATCGTCTAACGGCTTCTATAATAAAAAGTGGACATACATCTTCAAGAATGAAAAAACCGGATAGCTTCTTCAAAAGTATCCATCGACCTCTAAAAGCGGAAAAATCAAAAAAAGGATCCGCAATGGTGGCCACTTTAAATGACGCCTGCTCAATACAGTAGTGTGACTGACCAACGTTACACTTATCAATAATTTCTATTCACTTTTGTTTCTTGCTTAATTAACATTTGTTATTTATATAATAATAATTAAAAAGAGAGAGAAAATAGCACAACTGAATCTATCCAATTGAATTCGCGTTTCTTCACACTAATTCCTTTTGCGCTGTTCAAATAACAAGGGAATACGGCCTTGAGAAGAAAAGAATTGAACATATTTTAAGTACTCTCCAATTAACTTAGACTTAATACTTTGTTATTTGACCTCATTTCCAAATTCGAAGTAATTATAGATTAAGATAAGCGGATTTCTAGTTACAAATTTAACCAATAGTTTTAAAGCTTAAATTAAAAAAATAGAAGATAAAAGTCCATCGGTTAGAGATGTGTTTTTTCTTCGTATTGAATTATTACATCAACTGAATGAAATATTTCACATATTTCTATTTTTTTTTACTGCATTTTTTTTTGCTAAAACCTTTCAAACATGAATTTCTTTATAGTAATAATTAATTGATAAAATGATATTTTGATTTATATACTATTTATGCATAAAACTTCATTGATTAATACTACATTCATTAATACTGTAATGTATAATGAACCATTGATTTTGAAAATCTGATTACAGTTTTTTGTGCGTAGTTTTAGTCAGATTTGATTTGACGAGTCGTAACTAAACAGTTTATACGTTTCAATGGTTTAGAGATAGGCGACATCAAAATTAATGAAAAACCCAACAAATTTAACCACATGGCTAACTGTTTCGACTACTTTTTCTAATTTAAATAAATGTATGCGTGTAATGTCGCCATCTGTTGGTTGATATAGGAAGCAAATGATAGAAAATATTGTCGGATCATAGTCGTCTACCACTGCGTCCTAGTGCACGATATTTTGCCTAGGATGTAATTTTAAACTGTAGGGTGCGTTAGTAGTTAGTAAACATATGTATTTCGCAGTTGTTTATGTCTAGGCTTTTTCAATTTTTCAGCCTAATTCGTTGAACGTAAACAGAATTAGTCATCATCCATTTATAAAATAAAAAAACTCCTTCCTTCAATCAGTATAAGCAGCCCGTCACGTTATTTGCGTATTTGTGTGGATAAACCATTAGCTGAAAAGCAAATCTTACTCTTACCAAAAGATGGCAGTCCAAGTGAGTACTTAGTATATATATAGTATATTACTACATTTTAAAAAATATGATTCAATTTTAGCCATTAAACATCCTTGACCCTTCTGATAAATTCAGACCAGAGAAAGACGAGAGTCTATTCCGAGACTACACAAATGACAACAGTTACTTCGATAGAGTCAAAAGGGTTTATTATTCAATGCATACAACCCAAACGCTCCAATTCGCCACTGAAAAATTGCAATTTTGGAGTAAACTAAATAAAGCTCAATTGCCAATACTCCAGGCTCTAGATTTGCTAAATAATCTTGTTGACGATAGTGACCCAGACGTTGACATTCCGAATTCTGTTCATGCCTTTCAAACAGCGGAAAGAATCAGAGAAGTTCATCCGGACAAACCTTGGTTTCAGCTAATAGGCCTGATACACGATGTAGGAAAAGTACTAGCCCTCTGGGGAGAACCTCAAGTGAACCATTAATTATATATCTAATTAGCATTTTCAAAAAATATATACGTTAATTCAGTATTCTGTGGTCGGAGATACATTTCCTCTAGGGTGTGCCTTCTCCGATAAAATTGTCTTCGGGACCGATAGCTTCAAAGATAATCCGGATTTAAATCATTCAGTTTACAGGTAACGATTAATAGGTGTACTTTTTTTAATAGGTGTACTTTTAAAGCAATACTTTTTACTTTCAGGGAAAAACTAGGAATCTATAAAGAGAACTGTGGCTTATCAAATGTAATTATGTCTTGGGGGCATGATGGTACACGTTTTTACTTTGTATTTATATGATTTTTGTAATTTTCTCTTTTTTTTTGCATTTGCACTAATAAGAATATCTGTATCGAGTACTACTACAAAATGGATCAAAACTACCGAATGAAGCACTGCAAATTATAAGATTTCACTCATTTTATCCGTGGCATACGGAGGGTGAATATATGCATTTGTGCGATGAGTCTGACAAACATAGCCTAGAATGGGTTAAAGAATTCAAGTACACCCCAAATTATTATTTTAATTTACTCTAAATATAGTCATAACTAATTCAATGCTATTTTTAATAGTAAATTTGACCTCTACTCAAAGTCCGACGAAGTTCCTAAAGTTGAAGAAATAAAACCATATTACGAAAGTTTGATAAAAGAGTATCTACCTCCAATATTGCGTTGGTAAAAGGATCAAATATATAGCTAGAATAATATTCAGAAACATTTTAATATGTAGTACAGCTATATTATTAAATATCATATATAAATACATAGCTAACTCATTAATAAGCTATTCCTTTAATTATTGCAACACATTGGTCCCTTTTGAATAAAAATCAACTGAAAGACTTATCAATTTTTGTAGCTAAATATAGTAATAAAGAGTAGATAAATATTTTATTCATACAATAAATAAAGAAAATGTACAATATGATTATAAATTCATACAATGCTCACTAAATATAATAAATATACTGCTATTTTATACATTTTATTAAAAGTAACAATAGCTATTACATAAACTATTTACAGTGTACAATCGAAAGATAAGAAAGATTTATGAAATAGATAAGAAATAAACTATTATATATATATATATATATATATATATATATATACTGTATATGACAGTAAAAATAAAGAAGATAAAGAAGAAATATTTATCTTAATTCATTTTTTTTTGCTTTTTAAGTATTTCCTTATGAAAATATTTTCATTTTCTCTTCTTTATCAAAACGTCTATTTTCAATATTAGACAAATTGTATTTCCTCATTTTTTTTTTAACTTCTTAAGATTGCCAATATATTATTTATTTTTTGGCTATATTTAGCAGATAGACGATATTGAATTTTCCTTCATGATTTTTCCTTTATTATTTCTATCAATTCATATTCATAATAGCTATTTATCTCTCCGTTATTGATATTCAATTATAATTGATTAGAGATTTTTATAACCAAATTTAAGGAATGTGTTGTATATATAAATTTCTCTGAATGATTTGTAATAATCAAAAGAGTATAAAATAAAACTTGTATTAATAAAAAGAATTAAGACGGTATCTATAAAACTTTGACACATTTCTATTAGATTACGCTGCCTCCTTCGATAAAGTTTTTCAAGTACAAAAACTTTGTTACTAAATTAGTAAAGTACTCGTTCCAAGGTCGTGTAGACAGTTGAAACAATCTGGTGAGAGATTGTGTTTATTCTTCATTTTGCTTAGTCCTATTTTTTTGACCAATTGTAACTAACGCCATCTTAAGTATAATCTAATAGTTTATTGATTAATAAGCCACCGTTACTATCGATATTATTGTCGACAACGTTCGAAACATGCTAGAGAATGGAGAAAAGCTACGTATTTCCTTTCCCCACGCCAAAATCTGTTTGGACCGGCGGCCCAGAATTCGTGTCACCGCTTCTTAAACCAAGGACGTCATATTCTACTAATCAACTTTTAAATAACGCCTCTTCCCGTAGAATAGACCTAAAAACTTCCAATAATATGCGTTTATTGCACCAATTTCCACTGTCTGCGAGTCCCAGGAGCCCCTCAGAGAAGAGAATCCCAACGGGAATGCAAAGTTCATTAGCCGCACCTAAATATATTAAAGATATGATTGTGCCAGTAAGTTTACCAAAACATAGAAAGGAGAAAATTATGAACATTATTTTAATTGAATTGATTCAAGACTATTCAGTGAATTCAACGAGAAATTAATATTACAGATAACCATTGATCATCCGGAAGAACATTCGGACAGAGTACGACCATTTACAGCACCACGTTTAACGGACCCAAGGTATTTAATTGCTATTAATCATCCAATTCGAGCTTTGATCGAACGCCAATCAACCTGAACTAATCCATCAACCGACCAACTTAATCATTTAACGCAAACAACTTTTAAGAATTTGTTTTTATTTCACTATTATTTTCATTATTATTAAAAAGAAAATTCACTTACCCAGTAGCAGCAGAGTCTCTTCCTCAAGGCGTTTTTCATCGAGAACTGCCTCAGCAAAATCTTCATCAACGTTCACTTCTGGACAATTAATGTTAAAAGAAAGTCCAGTCTGCAATCAGTCAGCCCAAGCTCACAGGTTCGAAACGGAACAAAAACAGAGAGCTGTTACCAGGGCCTTAATGAGATCAGCCCAGGTAGATACTAACTACAAACTACTTCCGTCTGATGTACGCAAGTTTTCATATGTACGATTTCTATTTATTATTTAACGTATTAAGATATATTGAGATTTAGCTACATTTTCATATTCCCGCCCCTTTTCTAGTAACTACAAATCACTCATTAAACAGTAACATTAATAATTATGAATGAATACTGTTCTAGATACAGTCTCATCGCGTGGATAATAGATACGTCATGTGCGGGATGAAATTGGGAATGAAAACGAAATTTTCTGTTGATGAAAGCGAATTGGAAAAGCTTCGAGCCATTTGTGCAAGTAAACAGTTTAGGTATAGATATTCTCTTTATATTTTAGTATATATATATATAATCATTACTACAACGACTAAGGCGCTCTTTTACTTATTCAAGCCAAGTATTGTAAATATCGCTGATCATTGCGCCATCTACCGTTAAATCTGAAGCTATCGAATGGAGATAAAGCAGTATTCCTAAATGTAGCGCTTTAACCGTATTAGCAAATAGCACGCACAGCTTATTATATAGTTTTCTGCACATCATCACGTGATTTAGAAAGTAGATACATCACGTGATATTTAGGTTTATATTCTTGATATTTGTCTAGAGTATGTCCTAGTAGATTTAGAATTTTGGCGTACGTGCCAATGTACACACAAGTCACTTTGTCTATTTCATTCTCACAGTCAAAGAATCCCATCTGCAAGGCGCGTCAAAGTAAGTTCAATTCAATATCATTAAAATAAATGCATAATTCTTTTTACACTTTTGAACTCTATTTAAGTAAACAAGATGATTTGCACATAGATTCCAAGGCAACCAACACCCAGTAATATTGCACCTTCAACCCGCCAAAGTAGTGCCAAAGCGAGAACTGTAGTTGAACCGGAAGAGGAAACAGAAGAAGAGACTAAACAAGAGGAAGCAACTTCGGATGAAAAAGGAAATGAAGACGTGAAAGAAAATCCTGGTCCGTTAAATAGAAATTTCATTATTTATTATTTTTTCTATATTTATTATTATAAGTATTAATAGCAACATACGGATTACTCTCGCGCGTGTATTAATCGTATCAATATACATATTGTATTTTGTGTGTTGAGCAAATACGATAAAAATAGAACATTATTAATTGGAATTAATTGTTTTTATCAGTGGCAGAAAAAGACGATAATACAGAGCTAATCAGGCAACAGAACGATGAAGCAGAAGGTGAACAAAGGGACGAAGCAATCGAAGTACGAATAGTTCAAAAGAATGGTGAATAAAGCGGATATGGATCAAAATGTCAACTTGAACTTTTGTATTGTTTGATTGAGATGGCAGCACCGTGCTGTTTATAGTCCCTGTTTCCGGACGAATCCGGTCAGTGGTCTAGAATTCTCAGAATAAAAAACGTCGTCAGCACGTAGTTGTATCACGTCCGCGTATTAGTAATTAAAAAATGAGTCCGCTTTTTACAGAACAAAATAGTAATAAAATAAACCGATTCTAAAAATTCATTTACAACAATTAACTGTCTGAACGCCGCGTATCGATAAAAAACCGAAAGATTAAAAATTTATCCTATATCTGGAACTCCATGTTGCAGAGAAATAGACCTTGACCTAATTCGACCTATGTATAATCGATATGTTTGTATACATTAGCCGAGTATCTGTAGCCAATCAGCGTGCGCGTTACAAAAGTGCTGTTGTAAGCTTGGTCGTGAATGGTGCGCGATTTTGGTAAACAACGTCTAGGCACCGCCGTGTTCATTCGAACGGCACTACTATGAAAGAAATCAGCTGAGAAAACTGTGAAAATGCCTAATAAACAACACAACGGCCACCAAACTCATTTTAAGTGTTGTCTCCCATCGGGATGTGCACAAGTTGACAGAGAGATCGACGAATTTCAACCAAAAAATGCCGTCCGAATTGTCTGCAGTAATGAACAATGTCAGTATGGACGATGGATGCATGCTGACTGTTTTGACGGATTCGAACAACGCGCATTAACGATTCTTAGGAGCTGTTCAAGGGCAAGGAATTGGTCAGAGAAACAAAAACAACAAAATGTTTGGACTAAAAAAGGTTATGATCTTGTGTACAAGGCGTGTCAGTGCTTGTGCGGACGCGGCCATATTCGAAAGGATCTAGACGCTCCTAAAGTCGAAGCTGCTTCCGGAAAACGTCGACATAAATCAGCCTCTTCGGTTATTAGACCAAGAACAGAAAGTCTGTCCAGCGGTGGGTCAGCTAGTACTTCTCCCCCTTCCCCTGTCAATGGAAAATTTGACTTTTTCTTGGATAAGGAGCACGCCGCTGCTGGAAATATCTTCCGACGGCGTACAAGCTTAGACGCGTTTGAAAGCTTGCCTACGGATCAACAGAATTCATACCACATAAAACTAGAAGACGAAGGTCCTCACGGAAACGATGGCATTCGTAAATTGGTTCTCTGCGCTCTAACCAAATTGAACGTAACAACTCTACGCTGCGTTTTGTGTTCGAAATCGCTACCGGTTTTCGATCAGTACCCTCTGATCGATGGAACACTTTTTCTTACTCCATACCGCTATGGAACTTGCGCCAACGAAGTCACTTGGAAAAATGGCAAGTCGCATCTCTGCGCTGTCTGTTTGGAATGCCTTCAAGGTGACATAAGATGCCAAAATTGCCGAAAAATATGGAATGGCCGCTCCCTTCAATTGGGCACCATGTACACATTCGACGTTTTCGCAGCTGATCAGTGCTGCGAACAGAGATCATCTTGTAATCGTTGTATGCAACCAGTTCTGGATAAAGGAAATAGTCTCCACTTTTTCTCCGATTATTCCCGCGCGACCAAGTGTCCTCATTGTTTTATCGAAGATTACCACTTTATTAAGCCGCTGTCTCGCATCTACTACTTCTAAATAGTTGAAACTTGAAGAAAAGAACGGAGGAAATACAATAAAGTCTGCATCTCCCTTTAGCTTACCCTCAGATTTTCACGTTTCACCTCCACTTGACAAACCCGGTTTTCAACTTTAGAGTTTTACTCGGTCTACTTGAATATGAATTAAGTGAATGCAGAGCGAAGCGGCTCAGCTTAGGCAATGAATGTATGTGTATAGAAACATTTCAGGTACATAAGAATTGTTTTGCGTGGTATAGGGTCAATTTTTTGCTTACATTCTCTTTTGTCATTCTCTCTGCTTTTTTTAGCTTTAGGAAACAATTGTCGTGATTATTCGTGATGTGTATACACTATACACGTAAACAGAAAAAGGAACAAAATGTTCATAATATCGTTCAGGTGTAGTTGTTTAATTTTCCAGAATAAAGCATTCTATTTTTTGTCTGGAAAGTAAAAAAAGTTCTTTATTTTTTTATTCTTACTAAAAAGCTGAAAAAAATTCATTGAAAGGAGCAGTAATATTCTTTTTTCTGGAACGTGTTAGTGAATAACTTAGTAAATCACAAGATTTTATCCGGACTTTGAAAACGATTAACCGACATAATTCTTGATATATGTTTATTCTTAATAGGATACTATGCATATAGAGCACCTAGTACACAGTCTTAACATATTCTTATAAATAAATGTATATATTCTGCTATAGTTAAAACAAGAGACAGGTATTCGATTATCGACTTCATAAGTCGATCAAGTGTTCGCCCTGGAAGAACACGAGATTCAAGCACAAATCTGGTTTAACAAACAATTTCTTTTCAAGCACAACTCGAAACTAAAAGGTCTTACAAAAAAAAATCTAAATCTTAACATAAATACTAAAGTCTCAATTTACGTAATAAATATTAAATTAGGCCTAAAATAGCTAACAAACTAAGCGGCACAAAAAATGAGACAACAAAGGCAAGAATTCAATAATAAAGAAACAAATAATAGAAATAGGATAAAGGAAAAAGTCATACGAAATAAAAAGTTCTGACCAGAACGAAAGAGAAGGGAGGGAGTTTGCTTTACATTCAGCAGATGGCGCTGTCAGGCAAATCTTCATAGCTAGATTCGGCTTTGAGACCAATAAGTGTTTTATGGAGATCGGATTGTTCATGAATTTCGAATGTAATGCGATCGGCAGAGTCTAGAGGAAGACCGGTACCTGAAAGATCATCTTCAACATTTTGCTCTTCAGCATTCTTACAGAATCGACAATGAAGGATAGATCCAGGAGATAATTGCAACCAATTAAATTCCATAAACCAATCCACTCTAGGAAGAGATTCTGACGACTGACACGCTGATTTCAGTGCTAGTAAATCGTCAAGAATGGAATTTTTCTTTTTCAAGGAGATTTTTTGGTTACGATGAACTTCTTCCTCATCGTGTCTGACTATGTTTTCACGTTCAATTCTGAAAGCTTCGATACCTTTAGCCCATTCCCCTTCCTTACATACAGAGCACGTGTACAGATCCTTCTCAGCGTTATGTCTCAGCCACGAGTATGCTTTTAACCATTTAGAAATTGTTTTACGACTATGAGCTCTTTGTCTATGCCCTTCAAAATCATTACTCTGAACTGAATCTGTATCAGAACCACAGTCTGAAATAAGAGTGCTATTGAATTGACGTTTGAAAAAACTTGGATAGCTCGCGGTTTGAACGGCTTGTTGATGTTCCTCAGAGTTTTCGTGCGAATATAAACTGTCTTTTGAAGAAGGCACAGTTACGAATTTGCACCAAGCCGAAGTGGAAGTTGCTGGAGCGAATTGCTTACAGATTATGCAAACTACAGCGTTTCTTCCAGCAACCGGCTGAAGCCATGAAAATTCTTTCTTCCAAGAAATAAGAAGTTCCTCAGAACTTGGACGAACATTAGTCAAATCGAGTGGAACTTGCGTGGGAGGAGGAGATGGCGTAGGCGTATTAAGCACGCTGGGTTTCTGATGAATTAACGAAGTAAAGGACTTGTCCGTGTTTCTTTTCTTGACAATATTCTTAATGTTATCCGGTGGTAGCCCTAAAGCAGCAACTGCTCCCTGGTGATCGGCGGTCATTTGATGTTGAACGAAATGATGCTTTTTAGGATTCTTGACTATTTTCTTCCCTTCGGCAAATGAATTGTTCCTACCCGTATCACGGCAGTACTTACAGAAGAATAGTTGAGTACCAGGATCTAATTTCAACCATGGGAATTGGTCAAACCAATATTCTTGGAATCGTCGCTTTCCATCTTTGTTTGACGAACCTCTCATTCTAGTTTTTTCCTCCTTTTTTACTGCCATTGGAGACGGTAAAGAAAGCCCTGATTGTAGTCCATAGAGAGCGGCCACATACTGTTGCATAAGGAAAGCAGGGTCAGTTTGCATTGCGAATAATTGAGCGGCCAACTGATTTTGTTGCAACTTGGCTGGGGATGTCTGACTTGTTTCTTGTCGGCGCCTTTTTGGTGCGGGACTACTGTTAAAACGAAAAATAATTTTATTAGTAATACTAATTAAAAGACTTAATTAACAATTGTACTTACTCTGTCTGACTTTCTGATCCAGAGTCATTTGTATTTGGTGTCAACGGGAGGGAATCGACAGCTGATTTAGCATGAGCATAGTCAATTTCCGCCTTTAAATGCTCGCCGCACGATTGATGTTTGACAAAGTGGTCTTTTTTAGGGTTTTCCAATGGCTTACCCTTGGTAAATACATTTTCCTTTCCCGTCGATACGCAGAAGCGGCAAAAAAATAAATTCTGTTCCCGGTCTAATTCCAGCCAAGGGAATTGTTCAAACCAATGATCTTGGAGCAGACGCCTCTGCGGGGTTCTGGAACCACCAGAGGAATCGGAATCTGCGCCCTTATCATCGATAGGGGAAGCTCTTCTTAATAAGGCTGCTTCAATTTGACGGTCTACAAAAGACCCGAGATGGGGCGGTACCGTAGCAGAACTTTGAATAGTCGTCATCCTCCTTTCTGCTGAAAATAAAATTGAAAGGATTAAGTGGAGAGTTAAATAGATACCCTTAGGTGATAGTCCACCAGTGAAAAAAAAGAAGTGAGAAGTAAATAATAAACAACAAAAAAGAGGCGTCCCGGGAACAAAGCCCTTTATACTGGGGCCGGCTAACAAAGACGAGTCGGTTGATTCACCTCGTTCAAGCCGGGGCGGCGTTACCAGGGAAACGTTACCGGGAGGCGTTCAATTGCTGTTTGGCTTAAAAAACGCGTGGGCAGACTGGACGTACAGACAAAGACTGAACACGCGTGTGCGCAGCATACTTTTGCCTTGTAGGGCCTCTCTTTGTCTGCCCTGCATACGCTACATCTGTCGCCCTACTCTAGCCCTATAGGCAACCGTTACTCTCGCCAGCGTCGACTCTCTTTTCCTACACCATTAAAATGGGGGGCAGATGATAAAGAGATTTCTTCCTATTTCCATTTTACATAATACTTAATTATATTTATATTTTAGGAATTTCCTCACCTGTACTGTCTATCTATTTCTGACTCTACTGTAGTTTACGTGAATAAGCGGCTGCAACTAGGCCTATACTGGATTTGACAAACAAAGAAGGCGCTCGTTTATTGGATAAACGAAGTGAATTTCCTTCCGTTTTCTTAATTGTGAGATGCGATAATTAAAGAATATCTAGAGTAACAAAAAAAGATACCCTGCCCGGTTAAAGAAGGTTAAGGGCCAGACTGAGGAGAACATAAATCAAACAGAATCGAACTTTTTTTTTACAAACAACTCTGGCAAAATGTGCATATTATCGCTCTAGCGAATAACATCAAGACTAATCTGGAAAGCCTTGGCTTTGACTTAGTCAAATGATTTTTTTTTAAAAAAAGTAAATATATTATATAGTAAAAAAAAAAAGGTGAACGAACCTGTTGTATTTCCTGCTTCGATCTTTTCAATAGAAATGTAAGGCGATTACGAAGGTAATAGATTTAGGGATGAAAATATAAAATTTCTTCGCTCCTAAATTGTTCTTAAATAGTAAATTTTCTTTCTCCTCTTTCTCTACTAACAAAGCAGAGCAGCGCGAAGCGAACGTTACGGCGTCGAATGCGCGAATGCGGCCTGGCGCAAGCTGGCAGGTGCTGGCGCACAAAGAAACATGCACCGCACGCGCCTTAGCCACCTGCCCTGCGCATACACTCTCTTTGTCTAAGGCCCAAAAGCAGATATGCGCGGATAACCGTTAGGCGCGAGAGTTTTTTTCGAAAAAGCCGTTTGGGGGGAGCAGATGGTCCTTGGCCAGAAGAAAGACGGCGAAAAAATTGGGGCTTATAAAAAGTTTTCAAAAGTTCCGAGGGCCACGCGCCAGTTCCTATTTCGGGCCTACTTTTACCGCGTGACTTCGATAGGCTTACGTATGGCGAAGGACGACAGCTGGCTTTTGAGCGTCCTTTTATTGAGCCTTTTCTTCTAATTCCTTTTTCTCCCTTATGCCCCCCTTCCGCCTAACCTCCTTCCTAACGAGACAAAGGCTTTTGTCCCACAATTGGGGACTTTATTTCTTTTTTCGTCGTCAGTTGGGAGGGGGTCGAAAATCTTGGTACTCCCTACCTCTTGCTTCCCTTCGCTCTATTATCGATATAATACGGATACAATCAAATGATTATAATCGTTTCATTTGGTATTTTATTAGCGGTTTTCCGACGCTTTACGTGATTAAACATTGAAGGAAAGAAAATTAGCTGTATACTCTTTCGACACTTTTCGACATCGTTTAACACCTAATTTAGCCTATACTTTTCACAACTTTTTTGTTCATTTACGACGTCTAATTACCAAACGGTGAAACTTTAGCCTCTAATAAACTTTCGCGCTTTATGTAAGGGAGAAGGGCTGAACTAGAAGCGGCAATAAAAAAGAGACCCGATATAAACCCGATCGGTTACTCAGCACCAGATAAGCAAACTAAATGATTCTTTCTTCAAATGTGGCAACAAGGAAAAAACTATGAATCGCGTCTGACTCAGTTCATAATCATCACGCCCCTATAATTCCCCACAATCACTCTTGGTAAAGACGGCCAGCGCCAGAGGGCGCTCACAGTAATTAAGATGATGTCGATTATGTAACCAGTACGCAACATTACAAGGGCCTGTTGAGCAGGTGCACTCTGCCGTTCTTTTCTTTTTTAACAATGCATCTGTTTAAACGTAGAGCTGAACAAAAAAGACCGTATGTAAAATAGGAAATAAACTTTTCGCTCGCTCCTTAATTTACAGTTGTACACCTACTAAAACTTGCTCTTCAATATGTAAAAGAGGTTATACCTTTTTCTGTATTCTACTGTTCGCTCTTCTCAATATATTGTATCAGATTATCAAACCACACGGCAAGTAAAAAATGTAAAAAAAAATTATTAATCTTGGTAATCTTTATAATGATTATTATAATTTTAATAGTAAAAATATTGCAAAACTTGTTGTTTAAAAAGAAAATTAGTTAGTAATAACGTGGTTCAGTTAACAAAAAGGACGAAAATTAGCTTTGGCACCAAACTTCAAAGAATACTAAAAAAGAAATTATGCAAAAAAAATGGACGGTGTTGATTTGCTTGTTCAAACAGTTAGTTCATTTATGAAAGTTCGCTTTGACCATTTGTAGACGAAATATCCTTATTCCGTAACTCTTTCAGTAATCTATCGTTGGTTTCCATGAGCGACCTATAAATCAAAAGACAGATGTTTCGTAAGGAGATATTTTTTCAAAAGAAAATGATAATAGATGGCGAAATGTATCATACTTATGACTTTGTTGCAACATGCCGCTCAACTGAGCGGAACTTTCCAATTCCCGATTACGTTCGATTAGGCGTTTAGCCTCCTCTTTCAACCGTCTGTTCTCTTCCCTTATTTTATCTATGTTGAAATAATTTTATGCTATTAAAAGAAATTACAAAATGTTACGGTTGACCTAACCCATTTCGCAATTAGGCAGCGCTTTTTCTTTCTCCAAGGCCACAATCTGTTCATGTAAACCTTTGCTATCAAGAATCGATTGTTGCAGTCGTTCACGTAGAATTTTCTACAGATGGACAAAAACTATAAATCAATGTGTTGAAAACTATATAACTTTCTTCCGTCGAAATTCTACAATAGCGCCACCTACCGCATTACACTAATAATGCATTAGTCACTGAACTTTAAACAAAATGAATAAAGAATTACTTACGACGTCTCTTTGAGATCGTACTAACGCACTTTTCATTTTACTTTCGTCTTCTACTTCAGAGCCAACGACTGAACGATCTGGTGCGGTCATTGAAATTTGTTGTAATAACGAAGTTAAAGCTTTTAAAGCCTTTGGATTTTTCTCTAAAGAATTAACACCATTCCAATACTTATCAGCAATTGAGCAGATAACTCTGACAGCTTCTCCTTGATCGACGGTTAAATTTTGTTCAAAACTAGGCGCGTTCTCGCCTAATCTTTTCAATCTATCCATTGAGCAATCGTATGGTATTGTGGACGGAATAGTAATATCCTCCCTTGTGTCTCGTTTAAGATTCGTCGTGTGTATGTGGGGTACAGCAGGTTGATTCCTATCATTATTTGTAGGGGCGGGTGTGAAAAATCCATGCGGAGCTATTGTTTCTCTATTATGAATTTCAATATTCTCTTCTGTTAATTTTCTATTTCTTTTGTCTTTGGTTGTCTGCTGAAGTGAATTGGCAAGAGAGGCAAGATGAGGATATTTCGATTCGATAGTCTCCAAATATTCATCGGATTCTTTGTCCTCCTAGAAAGAAGAAAAATGGATTACACGTCTTAACAATATTATAGTTAAATAACAAAGTAGACATAGAACAAAAGCGAATCTGGTTTACACTAAGGCTTAAAAACAAATAGCTAGAACGTTCAAACACATACATGAGTTGTTCGGTAATCTTCGTAATTATTTACTCTTTGTCTGTCCATTTGTCGAACCGCTAGTAAAAAATCCACAAGATCAAAATAAATATTTTTATTCAACTTAATGTTTAACAGTGGAATCCTACCCGACGGAGCATAATCCTCGTAGGACGGATAGTTTTCATTCGAGCCGGTAATGGGTCGAGGTTTCGTAAGGTCACCATTAGTCCTTTCAACCTCTCCGATTAAAGCTTCAAGATCTTGAGCAGGCCCTCTTCCAACTGATTGTACCAAATTAGATCGGCTTAATGGTTTATTTATCGTTTGGGTTGCAGCCACTTCATCTTCAAGATATTTAGGTGACAACTCAGTTGCTACCTCAGTGCTAAATTGCATTAAGGCCGCACGCCGTTCATTATCACGCACTGGTCGGTCGTCTATGAAAGAATCAAGCTTTTAGATCAATATCAATGTAACATAATACGGGGTGGGGCTAGAAAATCCGCATTCTTTATTGCTATTGATAAAAGTGTCTATATTTTTGAATAATGTTAAGCCTTTACCTAGTTTCCTTAACCTAGGCAGCATATGAATAAGAAAAAGGCGATAATTTGCATCGCTTCCCGCTACAGGATTTAATCGTAAATCTAGTTCTTGCAGGCGTTGGTTGAATCTGAGTTTGAACAGTTCTTGAAGGCTACTTATACTGTTGTAGTACAAATTTAATTTCTCCAACATTTTCAAGTGCTGGAGTCCCTGCAGTCCAATAAAAATAGTTTAATTACATAGATTTGCGGTTGAGGGAAATAAAAAAGAAATAAAAAGAATTTTCGTACATCCAAATTTTCCAAGTCGTTCCTACTTAAATCAAGGCACTTTAACCTCGCAAATCTCTTTAATGAGTTGCCCAATTGAGTTATCTTCTCCTCCACAGAACCGGGTAAGCATAACGATCTGACATCGTCTGAAAGTAGAAAGAGTGGGGTAAAATGGAAGATTTGTTTTTTAGGTTGAGAGTATTATAAAGGGATTAACGTAAGACAACCAACTTAAAACAAACCGGCGACACCTACACTAATCTTTAAAAAAAAAACTTGTAATAAAATCCTAAATAAATCTGGAAAGTAAATAGCCCGTCAAACGGACCACTTGTTCATACATTCAATTTAATACGGGTCGCACAAATTATCGACTTTATTGAATATCTATACGCAAGACCATAGGCATAAAAAAAATTCTTCTTCATTTTCCATAAAACAAAAGCGTCCATTGAGAAAGCAGTCGGCAAAACAAAAAAGGAATTTCAACAATACAAAGTATCGGATCAATTACGAATAGAGCATATTTAAGACGGTTTTTACGAGAGCTCTCTGTTTGAGTACAGCAAATATTATTAAGTCGTTTACAGATTTCTGTCGACTTCTAACTTATTATAAACAATCGTAAATACTTTTTTTATTAGATAAATGAACAAAAGTTAGTTAAAAAAACAGAAAAATGTGCCGAAAATCGAATGAAATACTTGAGGTGCTTCCGTCTCGTTGATAAAAGAATATGATTTATAATCGTAACTAGATATATTTTAAGTGTAGATAAGTTTGATACGATTTATACTTAACAGACTTTCGATAGAGTCTTTATCTGTACATATTTTATGGTGTTTTTTGAAAATTCTGCATTAAGCGGGAATTACTAATTGAACGTACAGGAAATTACTCTTCATTTAACATTCGATATGACAATAGCAACGCTAAAGATCGGAAATGTATACATTTAGCATAGGATCTCGAAAAAAACAGATTTGCAAAAGCTAATCTTAACTAACGAAAAATAGATAATCCGCTAAATCCCTATTTGAAAAGATAAGCCGGGTGAAAAAATACAAAGGTGCTTTTTTTATCAAAATATTTCATGAACAAAGATCCCTCGTTAAAAAATAAGCAACATATTGAAAAATGAATCATTTACAATAAAAATATAGAAATTATACCCAAATTTTTGTGCTCCAATTGAACTTTTTCGCGAATCCATTCCTCGTCAATCTCCAGCGCCATTTTGATGGAACGTCTGCTAGCGCATGCGTATATGAAGTGATCTCATACAACACCACTTGATTGGTTAAACGGTTTCTTTGCCTGGACACGTTGTAAACAAACTCTGATTTGCCTTCAAAAAGAAAAAGAAGTAAAACTGTATTAGCTAATGCGATAAAGGTTATCAGTGTTAAAACAATAACTTACCATATGACCACGTTGTTAAAATAAGATATTTAGTATTAAAAATGCTCGAAAAGTTAAACGACAGATGGCGACACAAGTTCAAAATTCAAGTCAATTCTACCATTATAACTTGTCCAAACATAAACTTACGAATAAACATATGATAATTGATTGAATAGTTATATTTACCTAAGAATTTAAAGTTACTCTCAGTTGAATAATTGAAATAAACAAGAAAGAGATAGTAATGCCTTCCTATATTTTTTTAACTTCTATTACTCGCTCTGCCAATGATTTTAGAGTACTTCATTAAATTGTTTTTTAGGCCTAAAATTACAAGAAGCCCCAAAAACACTCTAGTAGGGGGAAAATCGACTAAAAAGGAGCCGCTTTAATCACTTATAATTCATTAAGTGCTGGAATGGATTAATGAAAGAGCGTAAACTTGAAAAAAAAAGAGAAAAAAATATACATAAAAGAGGATAAAGTCGTTCTAATACAATAGTTTTCCATCATACTTTTGTATTTCAAAATCGTTTTAGAGTATTATTAAAACAATATTGATTGACTAAAAACACCACAATTAATTAGAAATGGGGGCAAAAAAAAGCGTTGTACATTAGCACTTAACTAAGGTAAAAGAAGTATATATTTATATATATATATATTGTATATATATACTGTATATATATATATATATATATAGAAAAAACTAACTTCTCACCGACAGACTAAACATAAAATAGAAATAAAATGTTATAAATAAAGCAAGGTTTAATGTGAAAAGAGAGCAATGTCAGGCTTTATATAGAAAGTTTACAAACTCCAAATGTTTGACATATATTTGCCTTGGATTATAATAAAAACTTACATATAATAAAGAAAAAAAAGAGTTGTATACGAAATATTAATGATAATCTATAGACAAATGATTAATATAATCCTATACATATATCTTAAATATACATTGGATGTGAGATGTATAAATACGCTCATTAATTATTCATGGTTGATTAAGGTCATATCGAATTCATCATACTTTATAATTGACCGTGTCAATTTGCAAGTTCCTTTTACCTTTAGTTCATACCCTGAAAAAATATATAATATGCATGTTAAGGAATTATAGGTATTCCTTCTCTTCATTGTTATCACAATTGATTAATACCAATTAGAGAGTTGTGTCTCTTTTTCAATGAAAATATCACTCTTGCCTCTCAATCTTTCTCACCACACCTTATGCTTTCGTACCTTCCCTCATCTTCTCTAGTCATTAGTCATTTTCACTGAATTGTTGTGACAAATCGTTCAAATCAAACTTATCCGTCTAAATCTACAATTTTAGTGTTTGGTTAAACAATTACGTAATCAGGCTGATTGGATTTTATCAAGCTTTAGTTCTGTGGTTCAAGGGAAAATTGTTGTTTTTTTAAAACCTTTTCAATTTAAAAATATCTAAAATTTCTTAGAAATTTACTACAACAATTCGCTTTTTTTAGCAATTGTTTGCTAATTACAAAACCGATTTAGTATTATCGAAAAGATCCATTTACTCAGTCAGTTTAACATGTCGACGGGGTGGCTAAAGCTCAAGGTTAATACCAAAATCGATTAACCTCGGCTATCCAGAACCCCTGCTGATTTTAGAAGAAATAGGAGAGATCTACAATCCTTTTTGAGGCCATCTTATAACCTCTTTACTTTTGGAATTCGTTTAAGTTTCCAAATTCAGTTGAAAATGTATAAAAAACAATGCGTCATAATACAATCGACCGACTTGAGAAAAGAGCGCAGTAAATTGTTTTCCCACGGTTACATAACCAGAATTCGTCCCATTGTATTGGGAATTGAAGAAATCAAGCGCTAAATTTTATTGGGCCTACTGGCCATTTTCAAGTTCTATGACAGGACTTAAGGGAGTATAATAAATGGGCTTATCGCCTGAATTACAACATTATTGATAAATTAGCTACGGTCTATTAGTGACATGCGATAGATGGCGTCGGTCATTTGAAAACGTCACCCCGCAAGTCGAAAGGAAAAACGAAAGGTTAATCACTAATGAGACGACCCGGCGTTTATCGCACCAAACCGGAAACACGTTTTCAATTAATTCCAGTCGTCCAACCTCGACTTTCTCTTTCATTGGAACGAAATGTAGGAAAATGAACAAGGATTATTTTATTAAGACCGTGAAGAAAAACAAGCAATTTTTTTCCCGCCTTTTCGGTCATGTCTATCTTTTTCCTCTTAAGGGGACTTTTACAGCAGCGTGTAATTGAGACAACCAGCCGGACCGATTAAGCGACGTCCGTCCTCTTCCTTATGTCCCACACGCGTCTTTTTCCGCCACCTGCTCGCAAATTTACATATCGTTTCCAACATTCCAACATAACTCTCCCTCTGTCTATTCTCTTCATACCGAATAGATGAAAATTTTTCCTTTCTCGTCGTTGCTACCTTTCTGAAACACTTCTTTGTTTTGTGAAGAATTATGTTGTTCTTTTCTATTTTCTTTCCATGTGTGTAATAAAGCAAATTAAACTGCTTCGTAGTTCACTCCCCTCCCAATAGGCCTGCGAAATTGCTAAACAAACTGTCAAAATTAGCGATCGGGAAAGGGTCGACGGGAGGGAAACAGCGGTCATTTAAATCGCACAGCTGGCGATTGAAATGAGTTCATTTCGTTCGCGAAGAAGACGTAAAGAATAAGAAAAGGGCAGGGCGTGCGGCGTTCTTTTCGTCTTTGTAAGCCGGGACTTGGTGCTAGGGATGCACGCGGCGAAGGTAATGTGTCCCGACTTTCTCCCTTTCTTCCAACGAACACCGACTCTCCCTAGTCTCCCTCTGCTCCTCTCTACCCAATTTCTCACGCTATCCGAAAAACACACCACCCACAAACCTCCATCTAGTCTATCTTGCATTTCTTTTCTATGTTATTTTAAACCAAGCTTCGATCATTCCTAACTTTTATTTCAAAAACGTGCTCCCTACGTTTCACACGCCGACGCTTTGTAGGCCTATGTTGCCCAGTTTGGTTCGCTATCGTCTTATCGGGGCGTGTGTGTACGTGTCGTGTGTCTTAACAGATAACGGCCGGTGCATTTGTTGACTTTTCCCATGCACTTTCCACTATAATTGTTTATAGGCAACGTTCTGAACCTTCCTCCTGGGCTTAGGTCCGATGTTGAGGAATTCCTCACCTATTTTTCTAAACATAAATTCATAAAATCTGCTTTTTTAGCGCGACTTCGACTCATTTCCACCCCCTCCAGTCACAAGCCTAAGGGCTTGAAGGATGGGCGTAGGCGGGAGAACGCGGTAGGGTTGTAATATGACGTCATCCGGAACGATGTCGTGTTCGAATCGTCGTTTCCAGCAGAGTTACCAGGGCAACGCCCCGTCCCTGACCAATCGGAGACGGCACGTGTACGAATAATTGCCGGCAGGTGTCTCTCGGAGCTATAAATAGGGGTCCAGGCGCGTGACAAGCGTCAGATTGTTTAATTCGACGTTCCAGAAACGAGCATGACGTCCGCTGAATTAAGAAAGGTATGTTTTAGATTAAGTTTGAGTTGTTTGGAAGGGTTTTTGATTTGTTTTGTAAACTTTTGAAACTTTTGCTTCATCATATTTGGATATACTTTGTTGCTGAGAACTTTTTATCTTTGAAAACCATATAGAAAGTTCTATCCATCACCTGCCTTATTCTGTTCAGGATGGTAATTTGTAAAATATTTAATGAATGTACTTATTACAAAGGACATTTTATGGCCCTTGTTTTAGTCTACCCTTTTCTAACCCTTGACAATCTAATGCATACTACTGATTACGTAACTTGGACTTATGTACATAACATTTCGGCTTGTTGTTGACTGTAACGATTTTCCTTCTTTAATAGATACACAAGCCGCTTATCGAAAAGAAAAGACGGGAGAGGATCAACTCGTCCTTAGAACAGTTAAAGATGATAGTGCTGGAATCATTGCAAAAAGATGTAAGTTAAATCATTACATTGCTTTTTTTAAGTTAGAACACATGCTATGGAATAGCACGCATTCCTAGCACCATCCGGATTGAGTGAGAGTATAATGATAGTCAGGATCGTCCAGGGGAAAGTGGCGAACGCACCTGCTTCAAATAGGATCAAACGCGGGGCGCCTATAGTTTCCTGGCACATGGCGTCCCACATTCCTGGCACATGAAATGAGCAGGTGTCGTGGTCAGCCAACATTCCGATAGCGATAAACTTTCTTAACTCTCCATACCCTTAACGCCCTTTATCGGTGCCCACGCGTTACGTAGCTGTGAGGGCTATCGGAAAGTGACGCCTTAAGCGTTCCGACGCTTAATGACTATTAAAGGGAGAGTCCGACCGGTATCACGTTTCTGGCGGGAATCAATTACAAACGGCTCTGTTTCAAAGATTTCTTTTTTCCCCATTTTAGCCCTCTCAGTATTCGAAATTGGAAAAGGCCGATATCTTAGAAATGACAGTCAAGTATTTAAGGAGCGTTCATACTCAAAGAAATTTAACCGGAACGCCGACATCAGCAACAAGTTGGAGGGACGGCGATGCAGTTAGTAAATATAGGGCAGGATTTGCTGAATGCCTACAAGAGGTCAACCACTGCCTCACATCCATAAAGGGTTTGACGTCCGAATCGCACGCGCAGCTAATGGCCCATCTGGCCAACTGCCTTCGCCAGACGGAACGGCTCACCCCCTGCTATTCGGGCGTTATCACCCCGCCCGTTGAGTCTCCCCGACCAGCACCTTACTTCGTCCCTATACAACCAGCAAATCGTACCTCGGAATCCGAAGTTATACCCAAAAGGCCCACAGTCACAAAGAGACGAAGATCCAGACCTGCCTCACTTCCGGAAATCCCAAATGAATCCTCCCCCCAGGCACTAAGAAGGCAATCGGCCAGTGTTCAACCATCCTGCTGGAGGCCTTGGTAGTATTACAGACTTTTATGCATAGAGAAGAAAAGAAAATACCCCTACCTGTAAATTGGTGACGTAAGACCAGGTGCGGCAGGTAGTATGCAATAAGACCGAGGGACCGTTTCTTACGTAAGACTGCATGTGTACTGTATATATACTGTCTGTTGAGGCGGGATATTTTTGTATGTATAAGTGTGTTGTATATATGTACGTTTATACTCCAAACACACTCTTACCAATGCTTAATTAACTCTTTGTTTTGTTTTTATTAAATTGAAAAGAGTAATTAGCGAACGTTTTCGCGCGACTTTTTTTTATATTTGTTTACTCGTTAGACGCTGCAATTGACTTGCCAGCGAAGGTAAAATGCCAGCCAGACGTGTTCACCAAACGATAAATGTTTTTATGAGCGTCATCTATCGGATATATTTTTTGAAAGAAAATGTTTAAATATAAAGAAATGTTTAAATACGAAAATGAGAAAACACATTTTAAATATCTGTATATAGTACACTACATATTAAGACTAAGTTTATTCTAGGATTTTTAGCAGAAAGGCTTATATCGAATTTTTGACCAAACGCAAATGTTCAGTGATCGAACGTGATCTTTCGCACGTTTTTACGATTACTTTATCGCTTGAATTTCGTCTGTAAGAGTAAAGATTGAGTAGAATTAGCTATATGACTTAATATGGTAGAGTTTATTAATTTTTTTTACCTGCAACTAGACGAAATCTACATCTCTTTAATTGGTTAGCTAAGTAGGAGATAGTCGCCTCTTCACTTCCCTTTTTTTCATGCCAAGCATTTAGGGCTTGCAAACACTTTTCCCTGTTACCTTCCGATGAGGTATCGATATTCGATATCTCACTGTCTGATAGGCCCAAATGCTTTGCCAATTTCTTCCAAGATTTGGCCACTTCACCATTTTTGGCGACCTTCAGGAAAGCTTTGTGCCGAATAGAAGTGCGAGCACTTTTAGCTCTCTCTATTCTAAAATCGCTATCTCGATCTTTGAGTTCTTCAACTAGATCAGCTCGACCAATTCTTAATAAAGACGTACAAAGAACGTCTACTTTGTTGACTGAACGAGGTACTTTTTTGGCCCAGGTCACGAGCATATCATAAACAGCATTTTCTGACTCCGAGTTTATATTGTTACGCATTATGGCTTGAATTCTTACTTTTTTAACATTTAGGTAACTTGCTAATTTCTTCCACTCTTCGCCTAATTCTTCTGACAGATGCTTCAAATATTCGAGATCAATGACATCTGTTGAATAGGTAGGTAATTTAAAAAAATACATGTAAATGGTAGAAAGTAAGGAACCCTAACCATGTCCTTCCGCTTTCAAACCAACAGGGGCTTTATTCAAGGGTTTTGGCGGTCCAGGATCTGGCTTAGGTAGTTTAACAAGCAACTCAGCCAATAAAACCTCTTCTTCAACTTCTTCGTATTTGACAATATTCTTTGGCCTTCCACTAGAATCTTTTGATTCCTGGTTTAATGCTTTTTTCACCAATTTTTTACTGTAAAATTGGACAAAACCTCTATAGCAGTCGATACTCTTTTGAGCAAATTTGTCGATTTCGGTAACAAGAAAATTTAACTTAGCCCTTATTTGACTATTGTAAACCAGATAGTTGTCGAAACTTTCTTCTGGTTCTATGTTACCTCTGAAACCTAAACGTATTACATCTCCTTCTTTCATTATTAAATCATTACTGGGGTCGGGACCTGTCTCATACCCTTCGTCGATCAACTTGTTTAATATTCTCTTTGAGCTCACGCTGTTTATGCATTGCACAATTAATTCATTTAGGTTTTCATTACTCTGTCTGATAATTAATTGGGCTGATTTTTGACCCAATGTCTTTTCCAAAGTATGTGCTATGCGTTCCACGTCAGTGTGACCTCGTTTTGTTCTTAGTATGAGAAATTTAAAAACTGTCTCTTTAATCTCAAAGGTTACAATGTCTTTATTTTTCGGTTGACTCAACGCAACATGTTCGCTTTGCCAACAACCATTTGAAAACGATAATAAATGTAAGAGATCTTCATTTTCTTCTTCGGTAGAAAGTAAAACAGCTGCAGAGGAGGGTCTAGCTTTGGTATTTCTCTCTTTTTCATTGGTAACAGCGGTTTGTGGTCTTTTTGGCTTTGAATGATTTGGGTGAACAGGTACGCCAACCAATATCGGCTTAGACAATTTTTTACTTAACAGAGAGAAGTTAACTATTGGACTACTGGCCAAAAGGTTAGAGCAACTTTCATATTTGAATCGAAGTTCGCTGATTAGGCCTAAATCAACTGGTTGTACCTGTAAGTCATTAATGATTAAGTATAAAATAATATTAAACCGAAAGAAAGCGAAAAAAATTGTGTCAATAGACCGTTCAATAAACGTTAGATCGTCACCGCATTAATGGAATTCTACTAACCTCCAGTTCGATATTTGTATTGACTTTAAACAAACCGGCGCCAATTGACAAACTGATTCTGGGATCGACAGTCGAATATAATTTCCCCCCCTTTTTAGTCGTTATGAAACGTTCTCTTTTCAACTTCGTCACAACAACTAAATTCGTCAAATTTTTCAATCTTGCCTCGACAAATCTGTATTCTTTAATATCTTCAAATTGAACGTCATTAGTTGGTAGCTCGACCCATTTATTAGTCGTTTCGTCTAATGACTTTATAACAACTTCCCTTGTTGGGTTTTTTGGCGCAACGTGAGCCAAAGCTATTGCATATGGTTCTTCTGGAGGTGGGACATCGTCTTTAGTAAACCTGAGTTGTATAATGTGGCCCACAAGTTCTTCATTTTCATTTAATTTTAGGGTGTCATCTTTTTGATTAAGTTTTTCAATTTCAATATCTTCCCTTGAAAGTGAATCTTGCATGGCCCGGAAGACACAACCGATCGGTATATCTAGATCGCCTGGATCAATAGAATATCTGTGAAAAAAAAGGGAATGATCGATAAACGCTTATCCTTAATCGGTTGTTAGTAATACAATTATAATATAAGGTTAGTTATAATCTTTAATATCTCTTTCTGTTAGTTTTACGCACATAAACATAGGCCAATTAGCGGGATTTCTTCTCGCCTCTTCTTCAGGTGATAGATTCTCCGTTTGCTCTTCTCTTTTCCTTTTCATTTCCTCTTCTTTTCGCTTTTTCTCGGCTTCTTCTAATTCTTTCTTCCTTTGCTCCTCTTCAGCTTTCTTTCTTGCCTCTTCTTCCGCCTTTCTCTTTTCTTCAGCAGCTATCCGTGCTTGTTCAGCTTGCTCGGCAGCTTTTTCTGCTTCTTTGATAGCTTCCTGAGCGGCTTCTTCAGCCTCGGTTAACTCTGTTTGAAATTTGGATACGGTTGCACCAGCAGCTGCTAATTGTGCATTGTCCTCTGCAAGTTGTAATCTAGCTTGAGCAGCTTCGGATAGTTCTTTCTTTTCTTGTGCAATCTCTTCTAAATCTGTAATGTAAAGTCATTTTAAGCATAAAAGATTGGACACTCCTTTCACTTGTCCTTTCTTCTTTTTGACAGTTATGCGCCATCTTACGGGTTTTAAAGAAAGGGAAGAGAAATACAGGGGAGGAACTTTAATTAATAACTATAATTAATTTTAATTATACCGCTTGTTTTTGTATAGTCATTACGTAACCAAGAGTATAGTCCTTCGTTGGTAATTTTGTCATTGATCGTTTTGTTGATGTTCATCAAACATTCCCTTGAATCCTTAAGCAGAGGAAAAATATCCGAAATGGAACATACAAAATCGGAACACAAATTTTCCAGGCGTTTTACATCGTCGATTAGGGTGAAATCAGCCGGTAAGTCTTTGAAGTGTTCAATTTGTAAGATGCCCATTTTGTTCCGAAGCGTAGACACAGCCTCTTCTAAATTATGTCTCAGATTACCGTATTTTTCCTGTATCGATGATAAATTGTTTTCATTTTCTTCTTTAGTATTTTTCCCGCGTTTATCGGTTTCCGTTTGGACAATATCGTCATTTCTTTCTTCTGTTGACTCAAAATCTGCTTCTTCCTTCTCCTCATTTATATCATCGTTTTGTTCATACTCGTTTCCCGCTATTTCTTCTGGGCTGTCGGTAGGCTCGCAATCTTGTTCCATTACCGCGAAATAAGTTTTCCCGCTGCCTTTACCGTTTTTGTGTCAATAGCAACGGCGATCTAAGGATCGATATGAGCAATTGTGAATATGAGTATCATTTCATAGGCCTATGCGTCGAGCAGAAAAATACAGAAGTAAAAAATCTCTATTGGACATTAGCTGGCGCCATCTGTGGTTGCACTGAGCTTTTTTAGACTTAAAAAATATGAATGGAGGAAGCATAGGAGAAGGGCATATGAATATTAATGATTTATCAGCCAATGAGCTGATGTTTACGAAAAATCGGCAAATGAATGAACAGTTTAAAAAGGCGAGTTGTGCGCTGCGTGTTACTACAGACAACAAGCTTGTACAGCATAGTAGAGAATGATGCAACTCTTGAACGCTATTACAACTTCTTCTCTAGCTGTTCTCTTCTTATACGTGCTCACGGTAAATAGAGTTTATTTTTCATTTTTATTCGGTAACTTTATAATTTCTTTTAATAATTTTCCATCGTATGACATTTTAACAATGATAAATCTTTTTCAAGGTCGATTCGAAAAAAGCTACGTATATGGTCAACACTGACAGATCTCCTCCTTGCCCGGCATTTGAATGCCTTTACCTCCCGTGGTGCAGGAACCACTTGGAGCAGTTGGTTATGAAATTCGACGGGGTGGAATGTGTCTCTTGCCATTACTGTTTAAAAGATTTTGGCAACAGACCAAACAATCACATAAATAGGAGACGGAGGCGTCATTCTCGAAGGCAAAGACCTTGGAGTAGCCTACAGCTTCCACATCATATTCGTAGGGACTTGGAACCGATCTATAGTATGAGGAAGTTTGAGTTACGCGTACCGAAGGTAAATAGAACTATCAGTTTCTCTTAGTCTAAGAATATTCAAAGAAATTTTTAGAAAAGTTTGACACAAAACACATTACCCTTTTTTCTTCAAAAACAACAACAAAAAAAGAGAACTTATAACAACTTAAAGTCGTTTTGAAACGAGTTCATGATTACGTAACCGTCATAAAATGTTAAAAATAACTGTGAACAAAAAAAAGGGAATCTATATTTAAAAAAAATGTTTGGAATAGTTTTTTACTATAAGTGTAATTTAATACTGAAATAGACACACGTGATCATGAGAATTGGTTCAATTACGACTATAGGAATTGTTTTCCGATCTATTTCTTGTCCTTCGTTTCCTTTATCCGAAAATTCTACCTTATAATCCTTTTAAGCCTTTGGCCTTTATTTCTAGTGTTTTTTTTTTCCTTAAAAAAAACAACAAATTTTAAACATTTCCTTTTTTTACAATGTGGCCATTTTTCTTTCTTCTTTTAGTCTGGTGATGACTGTGTAGAGTGTCCTCCAATTCGCCACGATTGCAAGAGAGAAAAAGAATACGTATATTACCAGAACGGTGTCCGATGTAATAAAACGTGTCGTTTCTGTGAACCGGAAGCTGAAAGAATGTCCCACATGATCTACAAATTATGGAACAACTTCTAAATTTGGACATTAAGAAGAAGAAAAGTGTTCTCCCCGCTCTTCCGGCGGCAGCTAACTGTAGTTTATTAAGTGTAGTGTAAAAACAAACAAAAAAAACTTTTTAAAGGCAGCTGTGTTCTTTTTCTTTAAAAAAATAAGAATTTTTGTCGTCTCGTCAAACTTGTTTTTATTATTCGCGTTATAGAAACCAGACGGTACGTTAGCTGGTCTGTCGAACGTACGGAAAATACCCAGATTAATAGTTGATGAATATTGATGAGTTTGTGGTAAAAAAGGTAGTGGCTTTTTGAAAAATTTTGCAAACGTTAGCTAGACGCCCAGACAGATTCATTATCGAAAATTGGCGTTTTTTTTTCATTCCGAGAATAAAGTTGAAATATTGCCAATTCAAGTCTTTTATTTGTCAGAACGATTTTTTTAAAAACATTAAAAGCATCGATGAAATTAAATTTATAGAAAAGAATTAACATTTGCACGAATGGGTCAAACAACGTAAAGGAAATATGTTTTCAGTATCTACGCAATTTTTCTATTACTAAGGAACAGTAAGAGGCGCCTTTGCGTACTTAGTATTATGTTAATTTATGGCTCATTAATATTCAACGAAGAAGTGTTTACAAACACAAATATCTGGCCGTTGGCCAAAATGGGGGAGTTAAGGTTTTCTCATACTAGTATTTTCCTTTTTTCTGCCTAACTTTACCGTTTTCGGACCCCCTTAGCGCTTATTGGCCGAGGCTACCGCTACCACCGCCGCCGTAGAGACTAGACACTTTTAACCGGCAGATGGCATTATATGCAAAGGGGCATGCGCCCTTGCAGAAATCGATGCGGTCGAGTTGCAGAGGCGTTGGACGCAGAATTTTAACGGAATCGGCAGGATTATGAGCGGGAAAATAAGTAAAGAGGAATATGAGATGGAACGAAGGAGTCAGGGAGAAGGTTCAGAGAATCCTATGTTAGATAAATCGTTTGACAGCCGATATATAGGAGGCCGACACAAAGTTCCAATAAAGACGAGCATCCAGGGAAAGGTGTATAATTTTCTCGAACGACCGACAGGATGGAAATGTTTTATTTATCACTTTACGGTGTATGTATTGATTTTTTTGCGGGTTATGGCCGCGGAAAAAATGTAGTAATAATGTATCAACGTGAAAACAAAACAAATTTCCTAAAATTGCCTCACTTTCTTCCTTTCATCTTTATCTTTAGGTTCATGATGGTGCTAGTCTGCCTCATCTTCTCCGTTCTTTCGACAATCGACCAATACACGAATTTTGCGAATGAGACGTTATTCTGGATGGAAATCGTGCTGATCGTCTTCTTTGGTCTAGAATATTTCATAAGACTATGGTCGGCGGGTTGTCGGAGCAAGTACCTCGGTTTCCGGGGCCGTTTCCGTTTTGCTAGGAAACCCATTTCAATAATCGACTTGATAGTCGTTATCGCTTCCATAGTCGTCTTATCCGTTGGTTCAAACGGTCAAGTATTCGCCACATCGGCCATTAGAGGAGTTCGATTCCTCCAGATTCTTCGTATGCTACATGTAGATAGGCAAGGAGGAACTTGGCGACTACTGGGTTCCGTCGTTTACATCCACCGTCAAGAATTAATTACTACGCTCTATATAGGCTTCTTGGGATTAATATTTTCTTCCTACTTCGTCTATTTAGCAGAGAAGGATGCTAAAAATGAAGATGGTAGAGCTGACTTTACTAGCTATGCTGATGCCCTTTGGTGGGGAGTTATAACAGTGACGACAATCGGTTACGGTGATACAGTACCACAGACTTGGATGGGGAAAATTGTTGCCTCCTGCTTCTCTGTTTTCGCTATCTCTTTTTTTGCTTTACCAGCCGGCATACTTGGATCTGGTTTTGCCCTTAAAGTTCAGCAGAAGCAACGCCAAAAGCATTTCAACCGTCAGATTCCGGCCGCGGCAACTTTAATTCAGTGCCTTTGGCGTTGCTATGCGGCCGAACCTCGTTCCAATTTTTTCGCCACTTGGCACATTCATTTGTCGGATAGATCACATCATTTTAATGCATTCTCAAAAGTCGCAAGGCGAGCTTCAACAATGAGAAAAAGACGTTTTTCAAGAAGCGTTCCCAATCACATTGAAAATAGGAAGGAGAGTGATGCATCATCCTCTCTCTACATAGAAGCACCTTCATCAACTCCAGGTGGGTTTTTAATTATTTCTGATTTCGTTTCATCCGTCTATCTCTCTCTCTCATCTTTTGCCATTTTTTTAAAAAAAACAAGAAATTCTATAATTTTCTTTATTTTAATTTCTTATTATTGTTGTTAAGAAGAGTTTCTTCAAATCATTCATTTTCTCTTATTTATACATTTCATATGAAACGTAAAAAAAATAAGAGATAGTAGTGAAAGAAGAAAAACATACTGCTTTTTTTTCTATATCTATCAACTTTTTCTGTTCCTCTTTCTTTTTTCCCCCTACCCATGAGATCACTTGATTAAGACGGGAAAAAGAAAAGAAACAGACTTATAAGGAATATATCGAATAGTCTCTAAACTGGACGAAAAATTTACAGTTACCAGAAAGCTTCGTACGGCGCAGCAACCTGTTGCTGGTTGCACTCAGTTTAATTCTATTCTATTCCCTTCGGCCTTTGGTTTTGTTAGCGACGCCGAAGTAGACGCTGAAACAGATAATGAAGAGGAGGGTTATCTAGAGTAAGGGACCACCAGATGGCGCACAGAAAAAAAGATAATGCAATAAAACACTTAATGTTTCATACTCCTTCTTTTTTTCTTTCATTAACTGTAAGCATGCAAGCACACGTAATTCTTGTAGCTATTATTGCATGGTTAATCTTAATATTCCAACGATATTAAATATCAATATTCTAAACATAAATGAGCTTTTAGTACATTGTTAGTTTAATATTCTATTAATAAGGATACTAATTGATATAAGATAAACGTTTTATATTTTTTCACTGGTCTGCACTTTTAAATGTTGCACAGAAGCGTCGAAGCCAGTAACGGACGCCTCGGATGAAATGGACTTCGATATTGACGAACATAGCAGCAAACCTTCACTGTACGCACTCAAACAGCAAAAACATAATAGATATAAAATATCATATTTCTCGTACTTGTAAATGATTAATATTTTGTTATTTTAAATTTATTTGATAGTTTAACGGAAGCTCATAAATCTGCAATTCGAGTAATTCGAAGAATTCGTTACTTTGTTGCGAGGCGGAAATTTCAACAAGCTAGAAAACCTTACGACGTCAGAGACGTTATAGAACAGTATTCACAGGGGCATTTGAACATGATGGTTCGTATCAAGGAACTGCAAAGGCGGCTAGATCAAACTCTTGGTAAACCTGGCACATGGTTTGTTAGTACTGAAAAAGATAAGCAAAAGATGACTGTAGCAGCTAGATTAACAAGAGTAGAAAACCAGGTAATATATGAGATTGTAATTAACGATCGTCTTTTTCCAATAGAACCTGTTAGTTTACTTTACCGCCCCTTTTTATTTCGATCGAATATTTCGATCATAAAAAAGAAGGGTTGTCATTCACTTTTATTAACAGACAAGTTTTTATTAGATTTAAAAAAGAAACAATAATTCCATCTTGTTTAGCTATAAAATAAGTTAGAATCGAAAGAATACAACAAAAAGAAAGACGAAGAAATAGCAGAGCTTGCTAAGTGCTCAGAACGATAATAGGGTCAATGGCACTTCAAATCTATTTTTACTACTTATAAATCATTGGTTAACGCCGTTCGAACGCTAAATCTAAAACCGTCTAATATAAATAGAGACACTCGATTTGACAGTTAGCAGAAGTCTGGACGATTTTTTTTTCTTACTTTCTCTATATGGAAACTATATAAAAAATAGTTTCAAGTTGTCGTTCTTATATAACAATAGTCTTTATCTGTCTTATTTTGGAATTTTTCTTCTATATAGGTTAATAAAATGGATCAGAAATTGGACCAGATACTCGTCCTTCTCAATATAATATCGAGGGGTCAAAGAAGAGTTTTAGAAGGTGAAAATTTGTTAAAGGATTGAACCTTTTAAAAAAATGATATATAAAGACACAAACAAAAAATTGCTTTTTATAAAAAAAAACTACAAAAGAGAATTTCTTAAGGAGTAATCAGCGTGCAGATATCTTAAAAAATTCAAAAAAATACTTAAGAGGAAGCCGTTAAATGTAAGAAACAGCTACGAAGAAAAAGAAAGTACATAGAAGAAAGAGGAGAGGAAATACGAGGAGAGAGAAAGAGAGATAGATTGAAGGAATGAAGGATGAATGAATGGAAAAAAGTTAGCGAGTTGGAGAGAGATTTAGGGAATTGAGATGCAAGAATTAAGAGGCAAAAGATAAAAAGATAGCAAGAAAGAAGAAGTAAGAAAGAGAGAAAGAGTGAGTGTAAATGTGAGAAAGAGAGAGAGAGAGAGAGAGAGAGAGAAGATATAAGCAGAATAGGACATATGTTTCCGGATACTGCAGAGAATTTAAATAAAAAAGAGAATATGTTAGAGAAGAGACAAAGAAGGACAGCACGGAGAAGGAAGTTGATGAAGATTGTTCTTTTTATTTGTTTGTTTGTTTTTTCTTTTCTACGCACAGTGCCAACGAAAAAAAACAAAATTCAGTCAATCTCTACAGATATGACAAAAAAAATATTAAAAAAGTTTTATTGTTTAGGAATAACTCTGGAAACCGAGGAAAAATATTTAAAATGACATAAAAAAAAATACAGTTCGTTGACGTTGCTAGTTCTGAGACAATCCACAATCCACCTTAGCTGCTAATTTTTACTCCCTTATATATATTTCTTTCATTCTAAATCATAGGCTTATAGTTTTCTTTTTTTTCTTATTTAATTGACAAGTTCAGTAAAGATATCTCTTCATTATAGAGCCTTCTTTCAAATTTAACCAATATCTTCTAATAACAGTATATAACGTAGACGAGGCGGAGCTCTTAATATTCTTAATCCATAGTAAACGTTCGGTTGCAGGTAATTTCTTACCACAAATCTACAAAGGCTTTTCAAGCTTCTAGGCCTAAATCTTTTAGATTTATATAATTTATATATATCCGAATGGTGACGGTAAAGGAAGGTTGAGAGTATTAAATGTAAACGGCAATCACATTCAATGAGTAATTGTAAAAGAAGCTTGTTCTCTTTCCAATAACGTTCTAGACGTGCTATATCCGTATTCAAACGGTTTTCAATCGATTTAAGAATTAAGCGGTCATTAGTCGATCGAATGATTGTAATTAAGTTGTCGGTCGGTAGGATCAGAGAGTTCATAAACGTTCCTATTGAGTTCTCAGGTTTTGCACCATACTCCAATAGAAGCTGCAGGGGTCGGCGCTTTAGTAATTTTTGCTTGATTACGCAAGATAGTATACTGTCTCGAATTTCCTGGCAGCCGTCCTGGCATGCTGCTTTTACTAACTTTTGTAATTTTTCACCTCTAGCAATTAGGCCTAAGGGATAGAGTAAACTTTCTAGTTGAGTCTCATTTAAACGATTCGTTCCAGCTTTCAATAAGCACCTGATAGAGGAAACGCAAGGGAAATCAGTAAGATTTTTGGGGAAATTATACTATTCGCAATACAGGTGCATAATAATTCGATTTATTTACTTTATAATACGAAATCTTCTAGAATTTGTACACTCCGATCCTCCTGCCAGCCAGCCGGCTATTGATTCATCCAAAATAGACTGATTCGACGCTGATCTCTTCTTTAAATCAACTTCATTTGTCTCTAGTAATATTTCAACTATTTCTAAATGAGCTCTCCTAACAGAATATTGTAAGGGCGTTTCCTGTTATAAAAAAAACAATCATTTTGTTTTTAATAGGATTCTACCATAGAAATTCTTAATTAAATTTGCTTTTCACGCAAAATAACCGATTATATAAAATATATTTTTGGATTATCAACGTCACGTGATGTTTTTCTATTTATTTTATTCCAAGAGCTGTAAAATTTTTAGGTTAAACTTTTCAGGTTACGAGGAAGAAAGTACGAAAAGAAAATCTATACGCGCATGCACAGGATAAAAGTGCAGTAGGTAATGATACTATAAAAATATCTTTTTAGGCCTACTAATTTTCCTGAAATATTTAAGTGTATTTGAAAACAAAAAAGGGTTGAACGTTTAAAATGATCATAAAACAGTGTTTATTTTATTAGATGTTTCAATTATTTAGTCCATTGCCATTCTGAAGGACGGATCAATATAAATCTTTATTTTCACAATGCTTATGACTAATTAGAGCTTATTGGTTAATGAAAAGACAAGTTTTATATTAAAACGTTTTAGTGCATATATACCTGACAGGTATTCGGCAAAGATGCATTGATATCTAATCCATATCGTATTACAGATTTCACTAGGCTAGCATCTCGATTATGCAAACCATGTATAAAAGCTGATAACCGTATATTTTCATCGACAAACACCCTCATTGAGAGACGAGAGCTTCTTATTAGTCTCCTTCGTCTGGCTTTAAAATAAAAAACGTAAATATAAAAGCAAAAAAAAAATGTATAAATATAGACATGGCACATAAAACTATATATATTCTTATATACTGTATATATATATATATATACTGTATATAGTATAAATGTATGTATAACACACATATATATATACAGCGCATATATTGATATAAATACAATAGCATATGCTTACTTATTGTATTTATACGATATAAAGAGTATACATGTACATATTCTATAAAGTCTATATATATATATATATATATATATATATAATATAGTATATATATATATACTGTTATATTATTAGATGTCTTTTATTAAACGGATACAAAATGAAAAGTGGCGGACGAAAACCACCTGCCTGTTTTTTCAAAGCTCTTTCAAAGATAATGAGCAGACGTCTTCTTTTCTTCGTACCTTTTCACCGCTCTTAGTGAATCCAAGAGAAATACATTGGGCTAAATCGGGTCTGTATCCTCTTGCAGTTGGCGGCGCTAGTCGGCGTATTTTTATTCCCTCGAGGCAGCATTACGGCTCTAGACAGTTCCCTTTTTACAAAAAATTATATCAAGATACAAAATACAAGTTTATATTCCAATTCTCGATTCTTTTTATCCTTTTTCTCTTTTAGGCTGCAAGTTATATATCTTTTTTTTACATTTTCCTACAACTGCAAAAACTGAAAAATAGCACGTTTTAATGATGATCAATTAGATTAAGATTCTTATTGATTATGATATTTTTAATTGTTTATTTTTGCATCACAGAAAAATCGGGGAAAAAAGTTATATATATACTTTGTTGTGACTGCAATAAATTCAATTGCTTAATTTTTTTTGTCATTAAAATTTCCTATATACTGTATACACCTTTTTCATAGATATATACAGAATACGTAATAGTAATAATAATCGTAATACAAGAACAACAAATAAATCCTGGTAGAACAACGTTTAAGCAAAGTTCTTGAGGGAAAAGGTCAGAAAATTTTTTCATACAGGTCAGCCCACAAATAAAAATTTTTTATATAATATCAGTTAAAGTTACATAGATATATAAATACTGTTTAAACAGTATATGTGTTAATTAAATATATGTATGTATCTATACAGTTGATATAGATATATTCGTTCTTATATAGATATATGCATACAATTACATATGTTAAGATATATTGTGAGACAACAAACACTTTTTTGTCGTTTAATGTGATAGATTTTCTCTTTAATACACATATTTCTTTAATCGTAGTCATCGAAATTTTCTCGTTTTACCACTTCTGATTGATGATATCGTCCTCTTTCTGCAAAATCTTCGTTATCTTCAGTCAATTGAGCCGGCTTTGTGCACAAATTAGGTCCGGTGGATTGAATTATCATTTGCTCTTGGGGGGCATCACCCCTTCGACAACAATTTTTCACTCCGTCTCTTATCCATATAAATAGACTAAACTCTGCTATTCCAGGGAAGACACCCGGATTTGTTTGACCAATATAGAGGAAAACAACGGAAACAACAGCTATATTACATAGAGCATAGATCCATTGAATACTAAACATAATAAGCAGGGAGGCAGCGCACTAAATGAATGAAAATAGGCATTATTAATTCTTGTATACAAAATACAAACAAATATATGGTATGAATCTTACCCCAATGAGGGAAAACCAACGGTTGCAAAAGAATGAGTAGAAGGATCGAGGTTGTCTGGTAATTTCTGCATTGGCAGATCTTGGAGCTATCATTACATTAGTTTAAAAGTTTTTAACCAATAGTAATTTAATTTTTAAATAATTTTATCTCATTTAATACAAACCATTGGAATCCAACAGTCCTGTGGTATCGTCAGTGTTAGTAGGATTTTTCTCCGTTTCGTAAAAGGTTGGAGAATTTAGATCATTGGTTGGTTTAACTTCCTATAAAAATAAATAGTTTGAATTGGATTATCAATAAGATGAAGATGTAATAGAGAATTATCATTACAGCACCTGTTGTCCTGGTTCGTGCTGCCTTCTTTCCGGAAATAGATTATCTAAATCATCTTTTTTCTTGATTGAACCATACCCAGATGCTGATTTATGCTCAGGTGAAGCTTCAGAATCTAAGAGACCTTCGGCATATCTCTTTTCTCGTTTCGATCTCTTATCAAAACTCATCGCAAGAGCAAAATAAGTATAATCGACGGCTGCGTAAGTCAACATAAATGGCATGGTTACTATCGGTCCAAGAGTGTTAACATTTCCAATAAAGATGAAAAGGAGAGTGACGAGTGTGACGACTACTAAAGCATATACTGGAACCTTATTCGCTCCTCTCTGTGGTAAAGTTAATTTTATAAAATTAGCAATAATCATCTTATGATTAGAGATGATATAAAGAAGACGATAAAGAACAAAGCCGAAGGAAGAGGATGAAAGAAAGTAAACGTTAGGTTAATCGTATCTGCTTAAGGCAAGCACTCACTTTTACTGTATGCTGCAGGAACGCGATTGGTTTAATTACGCCTGAATCAGCAATAGCATGCAGAACACGGGGAGAACACGCTCCCGACGCTCCGGAAAGCGATGCCACATAGAGACCGAACAGCCAAATAACGCCCAAAACAGATACCTTTAATCAATTGAGAGGGAAAAACAACAGAGAAAAATCATCTGAGAAAAGTCTATTTCACTTTTTTTTGTTTGTTTTTGTTTTTACTTTGTAAAAATGAAGCTAAAAATTTGAAAATCATACGAAAAACAATAAAAAAATTGTTAAGAATTAAGCGTCTAATAAAAAGTGAAATTAGGAGAAAATTGTGCACAGAAGTGGGAGCGGTAAAGAAGGTGTAAAGCAATAAATAATTGTTAAATGTACATGATCGCATATAAATAGAGTAAATCCGATTTATTTTGTGATTTTCAACTTTATAATTGCTGTACTATACAGAAAATGTATCGGATTTTCATTTCTTTCTCTAGTACAAGAAAGAAAGTTTATTTACTTTTGCGATACATATTCACGTACCCCGTGACCAAGAAATTTGAGATGGGGTATAACGTTCTCGGTGGCTATGCATTGAAGAATCCGTGGAGCTCCGTACAAACCGCCCATACAGGACGAAATGGAGGAGATGTAAAGTCCACAGAGGAAGAGAACACCAACTACGGAAACCTGTTGATTATTTGAAAAAAAAGAGCCCAAAATAAAAGCCATCATGCACTCTTTCCACCTATAAAAGCTTGTTTATTATGCAGTTTCTTTTTTAAATAATAACTTTGGAATGATTAGACAGTTGTGTTTGTATTTATTTTTATTTCTAATAACCAACCTTTTCGGCAATCATATAATCCGTTTGTAAAACGTCTCTTAGGCAAGTTGCGCCCAAAACGACGGAAAAAGCCAGATAAAGGAAGGAGCTGCGTTATATTGGTTAGTTAAGCATTGTGGAATGGTTAAATGAAAGCAATAAAACATAGATATTGTCGTTAAGAAGATTAAGTTGTTGATTAGATAAAAGCCTTGATTAATTCGAGAAAAAAAACAAATAAAATAAGTTATCTCTAGAGTGTTTACCTCACTCCAACCGCAGACAAAGTGCCTATCGGTATATTTCTTGCTGGATTCTTAAGATCTCCAGACATGTTAATACCAGCAAAAACTCCAGTAGCCGTTGGGAAGAAGACACCGAACACGGTGAAAAAGGTTTCACCCGGTAGATAACCTGGATGGGTATTGTTAGCTAGCGTTGAAGAATCATATCCAATAAATCCATGATCTGGATCAGTATGGACAAAACTACCAACAAGAAAATCCAATACGGCAACGAATAGGATTGTAAGCAATAGGAGTTGAAGACGTATAACCCATTTTACTCCTGCTACATTTATACCTGCATGGAAAGTGTTATATGTAAATTTTATGTAACTAGGTTAGAAAAAATTATTAAACAAACCCAGTAATAGGAAAACTACTCCAATGGCTATACCTCTTGAAACCCATTCGTTGTGGTTATTGAATAGAGCGGCAATAGATTCTCCAAAACCTACAACGTATAAAGAGCAAGCGACAGCCTGAAGAAAGCAAAATGAAATAAATAAAATGTTTTACAGATAAAAAAAAAATTCGACAGAAAAATGGTGAACGTTTAAACGATTAATCATAATGAAAATTAGTGTCGATCCCGTAGTTTGTTCTTGCAACAGCTGTCTTTACATTTCACACATAAGCCAGCATATTTGATCGATTAGAAAGAGCAAAACATATTTTGACATTTAAAGTCTAACCTGTCCAAAACAATAGACGATTCCGACGGAAGCACCTATCCGAGAACCAAGTACATGACTTATTAGAAAGTATACGCCGCCACTTTCCATTCTACAACGTTCACATACTCCTATAGCACTCATAACGGCTATTAAAGCTACAGCAATGGTCATGAGAATAATCAGCATAGAAAAGCCTATTCCAGCATTGCCCTGAAATGTAAATAATGATAATAAAAGGTGAAAGATTCTAAAACATCTTCATTAATCTAGATTATTGGAATTGCTTTTATTTATACTTACGACCATCCAGCCTGTTCGTAAAAAGATAACCACACCAAATATATTTATCATACATGATGTAAATACACCATCCCACGTTCCAAATAAAACAGGTTCTGTTATGAAAAATGTGGACATCCACCATGGTTTACTCCTAGCTGACTGATCTTCGCTAAAAAGTTCATTTCTTTGCGAATCATCTTGATAAATTCCTTCTACTTCTTGTCCTTTTTCTGTCTCTTTACGTTGTTCATTACTGAGACCGAATCTCTCCCAATCTGGTGCCTTTTTTCTCTTATCTTCTGTATCCTCTACTAGACTAGACTGTTCCATATTGTCTTTTAGATTCTAATTGTCCCACATAATCCTACACAACTAAAGATCACTTGACTACTTCTGCACTAATTATCTTAAAACAGCTGTTTCTTCACAACGACCTGAACGCCGCCCAATTTTCTGCCAATTTCTTTCAAATTCCTTTCCTACGATAATATAAATCCAGATCGATAATGCACTGCAACAAAATATTCCGGTTTATGGACTTACTTTTGGAGTTCGAAAAACCCAGCAGGCGCTTTGCAGCTGTGACTGTGCTCATTAATATTAATCTACAGAAAACGACGTTGGCGTATTCGCAATCGATTATTTTGCTCTTTATTTTGCTTTTTGTATGCGATAGGTGGCGCTCTTAGGGTTGTAAACAATTAAGAAGTTTATAGAAATCATAAATGACGATTGACAAAAACTATCTAAAAAGAATATGTAAGAAAATCATATTTATTTACCGTTTGAAGCTTATTATATGAGCGATAACGGCAAGTAAAGGCAAAATTGCCAAACGCTTAACAGTTGTCCCTTGGCGCGCAGTTTTCGAATCATCTATTTTCCAGAGTAATTTTCTCATTAACTAGAACCTCACTCGTCTTTCTAATTCCCTAAAAACTATTTTAAAAGCTTAGACCTTTAATCTAAATTCTAATTTCTCACAGTCTAGTTTATATTAAGAAGAAAAATAAACAAAGAGACTATATAAAGTTTTAAATGTACATAACTACTAATATAAAGCACATAAAATGACACCAATAGTACATTTGATATTTTATTTGTATTCTTATGAGACTTATTACAAATAAATGGAAGTAGTTTGTAACAAAATGTACGAAAATAAAAGAAAATCATCTGCGTTGGTGGGCTGACCACCTGATATCCTTCAGGCCTAGAAGCCCTGAGGAGGTTTGCCTATATCAACTAAAAAATGAGTATATGAATCGTGTAGTTTAGTAGAGAGGAGCTTATACTGGACACTATTTAGGCCGTCGTATTGTAGACGTCTAGTTCCGGTATAAAGGAGCCTAATTCTCTTTCTCCAATCGGAAGGTTTTCTTTTCGTGTGTTTAACCATCTTGTAGCGTGCTATCCTCGTTGGCGGTCGACTGATAACCAAACCGGAATACAATATCCTAAAAAATATAGAAAATTCGGTGAATAGGTCTAATTAGAGCAAACGTAATGAAAAAGGAAAAATGAGAGGGGAGAGGGAAAGTTTTGTTGAACTCTATGGAATGCTATTCGGTAATTTCCATACCTGTAGGCGATATCGTCGTCCTCTGCTCCCCAGCCCCAATATAAATTCGAGTAGCCGTTGACTAGTTCAAAGTGCTCGTTTCGCATTGCCAACACGCCTCCTACTAATTCCTCGTAGGCCAATCTGTCGTCCATAAATATACGTATTAAGCATAAAAATTAAAGGAGTAAAATACTGTTTGGGTGAGAGCGTTTTGCGATTGCGTGATGAGGGATTTAATGATTATTGATCAATAGATGGCGCAATTCTATTCGCTCTTTCTCTTCTCTTTTCGTTGTATTGGGTGTATATTTTATTTTAGAATTATGCTGTAGGCTTTATTTTTAACGCTGCCTTTCAACTATGGAGAACGCTCTTTCATCTACGGTAATTATCTTACTTGTATCCCATTTCGTCGATAGCCACTGACATATGCCGAGGTTGTTCCGGGCAGCTGTACATGTTGCGGTCATCCTCAGGAATCAAGTCAACGTCATGGAAGACCACGCACGAAGACGAATATACCTTAGCAGCTTCTATAAAAGCGACATTCATTATCCTTGCCTTATTAAAGGTTTGAATGCCGAATTGCTCTACAACAAATAAACGATAATCCAATTGCTGCCTTTGCAATATGGGATGTAAATATGATAAGAGGATAGTCAAATGTTCCTTTCGATCGCGATAAGGTATTATTACGGCTACTTTGTGTCTTGCTATGCAGTCCTTAGGACGCCAACTCCCACCAAATTCTAGCTCCTCAGAAGCTCTATCAGATGATTGTGTAGTGGTATTGACCCTTATGGGACCAACTGTCGAGAGAGGAAAGTGTTAAAGGTCGTACGAAATGGGTAAAAAGGTGAAAAGTCTATGAATATTACATTAATCCGCAGCGAAAATTGAGAGAAAAAGGGTATTGATCGAAACTTACACAAATTCGGCGGTATAAGCGGACATCGTTGGTTGGAAGCTGTTCGATTAGATATTTGTATCGTTCCCTCTGAAGCTCTGTGTAAAATATTACGAATTCTCGCCTCGTTTCTTTCGTTTTGCAAAAGTTTTCGATGGGTATCAATTGACGGAACGTTTTGATGTAGAAGTTGTTGGAGATTTATATCAAGTCGTCTTAATTCGGTCCTTCCACGGCCTCTTCCCCGAACTGTGGCTCTAAATCGACCGTGATGAACGACGAGAATTTGAGAGAGAGTTAACAATATGAGAATAATGAGTAGAAGAAGTAAGAGAACAGGAGGAACATCGCGCCTTCCGAGCATCCCTCCATGGTAAATTCGATCGATTAAGCCTAGAATGTGGCCGGTGCGCCGCACGCCTACTGCAAAAAAATCTGCAAATCTCTTCGAACGTCGTCAATAGACGGCGCTGTCCTCACGACGCTCCTTTTTATTCATTGCCAAAGGATGCGAATTGAATCATATATTTATTTTGTTGATATATACAACGGATTTTGCCATGTTAAAGTAGGAGATTAGGCCTAATCAGATTTTTGTAAAAATACTCTAATTTGTTTTAATATGCTTAATCTATTATGTGAGCTTACATTTTATGCATTGTGCACATAATATGCAACTTATACTGTTTATATTAGATCTAATTTATATTTACAGTTTATAGATATTTTATCATCCGCGTTGATTAATAATCAATCATGTAAGAGGGTGAATGCAAACTATAGCTCGCAATCATTCGTACGTTATGTATAGGCCTAGGCGAGAAAAGAAAATAAGTGCAGTGTATCAGTTTTGATAGATGGTATATATGTATATTAGTATATATATTTACTATATATATACTTGTAGATAAAATACGTACGACTAATATGCTTGTTATATTTAGAAAGAGATAAAGAGAAAAAGGAAGAAAAAGACAAGAACAACGCAGAGAGGAAAAGGTAAGAAGCATTTCTAGAAACTAATTTAGTGCAGCCGGAAAACTTTCGATTTTCCTCTAATTAAACGTTCTTTACAGAGAACGCCGATCTGCTAATCATCAGAGTACTCATTCCTAAAGCTGCGACTTTGGCCGCCTTTACAACATTTTCCAGCGATCTGTTTAAGAAGAAAAATATTTGCTAATTAAGCGGTAAAAAGAAAACTTTACATATACGCCTATATCAACTATCTACCGGTAAAATAAATATATTGGAGAACTGATTCGGTTCACAGGGTATTTTTCATAGGGGAATTTTATAAATAATTTAATAAAAGAAAAAGTATATAGGCCTACATTGATTCCATTCCGGCGGTCTTCCAAGCAGAAAACGCGTCCCAGTAGGGTTTGACGGGCTTAAATGGAAATAAATATGAAAATTTAAAATCATAGGAGTTGAAGAGTTCATATATTTGTAAAATGTTGAAATATGTATATATTAGTATATATATATATATATATTAATAGCTATTTGTTAATATAAATAAATAACTATAAATTATAATCAAATAATTTATGAATAAATAGGAGATTTATAAACTTACAACGATACTCGGTAATCTCTGCTTGCGTGCCAAATTATCCACCCTTCTGACCCGATCTCCATCCGTTCGTCTCCTTTCGACCCTTTCCGTTCTACCTCGTCTAGTCAGATCAGTCTCCCTTCTTCGATCTTCGACCCTCCTTGTTGCTCTTCTGTCCCCTACGGTAACCGATCTTCTCGTCTCTCCCTCAGATGTGGACCTCCTTCTGATAGTTTCAACACGGACTCTATCATTCTTTGGAATAGAATCTGTGGAACGACGCCGAACTTCACTGGAGCGCCTCCTAACTTCATTCATACGGGAGGAATCAGATCGTCTTCTTCTCAATTCCTCTCCGGTTACCAATGCTGATGCGAGTACAGTCAAAGCAAGTACGACTATGAAAACTTTCATCTTCCCGGATACGACTGACGCACGTCGTGGTGTCGTCCGTCTTTTAAATAGACGCCCACTGTACAATCTTCGGAGATTAGTGAATGAAGGTGGACGCGATGAACGGAGCGGAAAATGGGAAGGTGGCCGCCACAAGATGAAAATGTCTCTATGAATCTGGAAAGTTGAATAGAGAAGCTAATTGGATCGAAATGGGTGAATGGGCGAATGAAGATTAGTCAATTTATCAAATTTATTTTTATACCATTTCCGATAAAATCAGATCGGGTCGTCTCTTTCTTTCCCTTTCTGCTATTCTTATCTTTTTTATTTAAGATAATTACAGCCAATCCTTAAACTTTAACCAGAAATTCTTCGTTAATAAAAGTTCCCTTATCTTCAATACTCCGCAGAGAACTCCGATTAAGCTTATTAAAATTAATAGAATAATAAACAATTCCCAAGAAACATAAAATTTTCGAAAGTCCGGATCAAACATATTTAACTGTTAGGTATAATTTATCTAAGCTTAAAATTAAGCACCAAAAATTTGTCAAGTAACTTACCAGCGCTAATGAGAATGACGCCCCGAGGGAAAGTAGAGATATAAGTGCACATATTTTAACATAATAGGACAAATGATCATTATGAGAGCATTATTATGAGATGGATCACCTTTTTAGAATAGGGGTAGGAGGGGAGAGGGGGAAAACAGTGAGAAACTATACAAGTTACCAAGCATCAACTGCTTTCCTACAAATCAACGAAATAACAAAGTAATCTATTTATGTTTATTAAGTTTGGTTAATCCGATTCAAATTAGGCTTGAATAATATATAAGAGGCATTAAAGATGCCCACATTTGTCTGAGTAGTTAATACGAAGGATTTTATAAAAAGTATAGAGTTTATATTTGGCAAAACATTAGTCTGAGTTATTGAATGTCATTAATTGACTGTGATGATTGTAATAAGAGTGAAAATTGAACGCCTCACACTCTTTTTGAAGTGAGGAACGAATGAAACGCACGATAAATTTTCGACGCCCCCATCCTCTTTTTGTGGCGGAAATAGAGAAAAGAATAGTGGGAAAGGTAAAGACGGCGTACGATTCTTCTTCCTTTTTATATTCACCCTTTTTTTATTATTTAAATTGGAGCCAGTCACGAAGACGCGTGTGGTTTTTCCCTTTAACCAACCCCCTAATGATAAAATCACTTTGATTATACCTATACGTTTAAAGAAATGGACATGAGGCGAATGTAGGGGGGGCGAAGAAATCAACACCTGTGTTAATTACATAAGAAAAGAAAGATCTAATGTGTAATGTATACAACCTGAACCCTAATAGTCCACGAAACAGGTTGTAACAAAGAAGGTGGCAACCCGCCGAGAGAGCGAGCTGACGAAGCTAGTTAGGTAGGAGTAGGGGGTGGAAGGCGAATGCAAATAAGAAAGGAGGTTGGAAACAATAAAAAGAAAACTTGCCGCCTCCTAATTATTTCGTAATCCTCCTCATAGGCGAACGCGTTTTCGAGGAGCCGATGCCCTAGAAAAGTAATAAGACGGCATGGGGTTTCCTATATCAACGAAAAGATTGATTGGTCGGAAACAACATTCTTAACGTTATTTCAATTTATTATAGTTTGTATGAATGTTTTTTGTCCTTTCTATTTTCTCTCACCTAACCCTTGCTCTTCTTTTGGTATATTTGTAAACTAGATATTAGGGTCCCTTGTTACTGTAGAGGACATCAAAAGCGCCACACGCCGCTAAACGGCGTTAGAATTCACGCCATCCAATGTGCTTGATCAACGAAGCGCGTGCAAGGTGCGAAAAAGGAATTCTTTCGTGAGTCCATAAAAAAGCCCTGAGGATAGCTGAATGGAGAAAAAAAATTGAGAAGTAAATAGTAGCAAGGAGAGAAGGGTTTGGAAACGCGATGAAGGAGGAAAGTACGAGGGTGGTCCTAATAAAACCAGTCGAAGTTTCAATGTAAGACCTACCATTAAGCTGTCAGAGGTGAGCGGTGACAAGGCCGGAAGTAGGCAGATAATGACCTTCTTTGTTTTCCTCCACGCAGGGCGATGCCGTCCTCGGACGAATTTTCTCGCCCAATTAGTCGGCATTAATGAGTAGCGCCCTCTTATTGCAGGCGTCCGCGGGGATTTCAATGACTGCCTTCTGCCGATGCGACGTCGAATGTAGCCGCAGGGGCTTTCGACTGATGGAAATTAATCGAACAAACAATGTATGCTATATATGTACATTGAAAGTAAAGATAAAAATATAATAAGTGTTTTCTTTTTTTATTCTGCTGTATAAACAAAAGATAAACAAAAATAAATAAATATATACGTCCATATGCATATTCATAATGCACATATATATTTACATAAACATATGTACAATGTATTTTTATGTCTTATATTTCTACAGATTGATATATTTACATAGACAGTTCATCATCGCTCATTTTTTGGACTGTTAGATCTATTTTGTTCGTCTGATACTTTGTCGTCAATCATATCTTCATCATCTTCTGTCTCGTCTTCATCTTCCACGTGCCCGCCGCCGGTCTTTTTTAATAATTTTTGTAAATGTCGAATATAATCAATTGCTCCTCTAAGAGTGTCGACCTTGCTCAATTTCCTCTTTTTTCCGCTGGAGGATGGTAGTTTTTGCCTAAGGACAGCAAACGATGAATTGATGTGTTTTACACGATTTCTTTCGCGTTCGTTTCTTCTGGCGGAGGCTACTATGCGGGTGTGTTCAAAAAAAACTGGTCGGAATGATGATGTCCAATTTGTTGCCCAATCGTCTACTCCATACGGGCAAGAATATCTGCATTGAGTTGGCTCCTGAATACCCTCCATAAAAGAGAGAAACTGAATAGATGAAGAAAAATGAATTGATCCGGAGACAGATAAGCAATCCCAACTGCGTCAATATGCTGGAAAATATGTTCTTTTAATGCATTGTGGACGCCACGCGATTTACACGCGTTTCGTCTAAAACGCCGTCAACCAATTATCGACGTTGAAATCTCCTTCGCGTTTTTTATAGCTCCGCCCTCCTCCTAACTTTTTATCTTATTTGCCAGCATTTCTTACTTCCTTTCTTTCTTTCTTTTCCCCACCTACGGCGTCTTTATTACCCGTTGGCTGTTAACTCATCTGTTTTCTTCTTTAAACAATTACGTAATTTCACTCCTTAACGAGAGATTACATAACAGTAGCGGGCGTGAACATTTAGTCATATTAAAATAAACAATATCAATCTATTCAATCCCTTGAGAAAGAAACTCATAAACTAACAATATCTTCTTTAAAAATATATTTATTACAAAAGACCTTACCAGATGGCGATAAAGTCGGGGTAGAGAATTCAATGCAACAATATGATTCGCATTATTGATCAAATTTGATCAGGACAACACGCCTATATTATATATATATTTATATATGCAGTATAAATGAATATAAGGATATCTTATTTTCTAAATGTAGTTATAACGGAATATCGAGATTTTTTGTCTTAATTTTTATAAATATAAAGGATTTGCGTTGAGATCGTGCACTTTCTGTCAAGGATTTTTTTTCAATATAAGATATGTCGACATGCAGCAGCGGCATTCTATCTCATTTTTCGGCCGATTTAAACGGAGCAGCCACCCTGACTAGGGAACCTAAGCTAAGTTACAGAAATAAGACTCAGGCTTGGTGGTTGACAAATCCAAGTCGAAAAGGTTCTAATCGTGTTTTTGATGGTGTAGATGGGTATGACAATCTTGGAGGAAACGATGATGAAGAAACATGGGATTTGACACCATCTTTAATTGAATTGGCTGAAGTTGGTCGGTCTAATGTGGCACTTCGGCAGCCTAACGTACGAATCAAAGAATGGCTTAGTTCAGATTCGTCTCATGGCTTTATAAGAGTTTACTCCACCTCTTCGACGTCAGTCATAGTGCCATGTGCTCTGAGTACATCCGTTCCAAAAGTGGCGGCCACACTTGGAGTATCCCCAAATTCCCTTTTCGTACAGTGTCATGGAGATGTTACTCGACGACTGCTTAGCGATGAAAATCCATTGTGCATTCAGAATGAATATCTTATGAATATAGGATACTCTGACGGAGAGAGAATACAGGAAGAAGGAACCTCCGAAGATCTACAATATTTAATTCGATTTTCAACTAATAAGCCATACGTTGATGGAACATATACTTCCGATAAGTTAAAATCACTTGCAGAAATAAGGAAAGGTCGTTTTTCGTCTTGGCAGAAAAGATTATGCACGTTATGCGGAACAAGAATGACTGTTTATAAATCATCATCGCCAAATCAGGAATCAGCCACTGTAATTGAACTCGTAAAGGGCAAAGTAGAGGAAGTAAATACTAAGGGAAGAGAGAATGTCCTAAAAGTAAGCTCTTGTATTGGAGGTGATAGAACATATTATCTTTCATTTTCCCTAACTTCCGAATATTTAAAATGGTTAAGAAAATTGAAAAAAGCTACTATCAAATTACCGACGAAAGCCGATCTGTCCAATTGTAACTTAGAAGTTTTACCTCATACAATTTTTAATAACGAACATTTAGTTATTTTAAACTTAAGAAAGAACCTACTATCGGAAAAGGCTATCGCCGAGATGGAATCTGAAACAAATTTAACCCTACCCCAAATAGGTTATATTGATGATCTAGCCAAGTTTACCAGATTAAGAAGTCTCAATTTAGCTGATAATCGGTTAACATACTTCCCTTTAAGCTTGTGTGAGATAATAACCTTGGTGGAATTAAATTTATCTTCAAATAAGATTGAGAAAATCCCGGAAGAAACTAACAGATTGCGCAATTTACAAGCTTTACATTTACATAACAATCTCTTGCGCCATCTACCAGACAACTTGACAACTATGAATAGACTTTTTATACTCGTTCTGGCGTTCAACAAATTTAATCAACTACCACCTGCCGTCGCAGCTTTAACTGATATAAGAATCTCTGACGTAGAGAAGGTAATTATGTCTGGCAACCAAATTTCCAAGTTATCAAATGAATTAATACTATCAAAGTTGAAATTTGCCAAAGTTATTGACTTAAGACTGAATAGATTGCAGTTGCACGCATCCGAAACATTTAAGTTTCATGTTCTAGAACAACTAACTCATTTGGATATAAGAGATAATTATGTGACTGATCTCGATTTACGATGCGTAAAGGGTTTACAATCTCTGCATTGCGAAAGGAATCGAATGAGTAATTTGCAGTTGTGTGGCAATTGCCTCAAAGAAGTATTTGCTTCGAACAATAGTAAACTATTTTTTTCTTTTTTTTATTTTTCTTTATTCTTCAAATATCATCTTCCTCCTAGTCTTTTCTTGAAAAATCTTCAACAAAAGGGAGAGAATAATAATCTTTTTTCCCTTTACTTCCACAGGTTTAGAACAGTTTGCCATTTCACCCAAACCGGAACTGTTACATACTCTTGATGTATCTCAAAATCAATTACGCGCCCTACCGGATTACTTGTCCGAATGCTTCTTCTTAGAAAGATTCTACGTCAACAATAATAATCTATCGAATCTTCCGCTCAGGATTTTTTCTGGCGCAAAAAAATTACGCATACTGAGAGCGGACCATAACAGGCTTACTGATTTGCCGGAGGTAGAAGAAGGCCGTTCGTTCCTCATCGAAGAAGTCTATCTACAGGCGAACGGAATAAAACAACTACCATGCTATTTCTTTCAATGTGCTAACAAATTAAAGATTTTGAATTTGTCCTCAAATCGACTCAATTTCCTTCCAAACTTGAATGAGACGTACGACCTAAACAAAGTTCAAGAGTTGTACTTAACTGGAAATTTGTTAAATGATCGGGCTTGTTCGACCATCTGTGGCTTTCATCGTCTCAAGGTGACCTCCTTCCCTTCGCTAACCAATAATTAATTAACTATAGCCTTAAATGCATTTTTCTAGGTATTGCACCTGGCTTATAATGATTTGACAAAATTACCCGAAGAAATAGCCAATTTGCAGTTCTTGCAAGAAATTAACGTGTCTGGTAATCAATTAAGATTTCTTCCTTCGTGCTTGGGAAATCTTCAAAAGTTAGTCGTGTTAAGGGCCCATTCAAATGCTCTAAATTCTCTACCAGATCTAAAAAAGGCATCTAACCTACGTGTTCTGGATGTAGGACACAATCGACTGTTAAATGTTAACGTAACAAGTTTGATGGCATCTCAAATTAGTTTGTTAGACATGAGCCTAAACGCACAGTTAAAGGTTGACCCTAAGGCATTCAAGAATATTCGACATAAAAAAAGGGTTTGCCTAGTGGATTTAACAGGTCAAAATAGGGGTTTACCAGGATTAACTGGTCGAAATTTCCCCGATCCTTTGGATGACCCAGCGGATCATGATCCAACTTTACCTTGGAAAGTTGGATTTTCAATTAGTCCCGGTTGGCGTAATAAATTGTGCATAAGTTTAGTTAGGGAGTTATCTTTTGGTGGAAAAGATTCTGCTGTTGTTGGTTTAATAGATGGCGGTAGGAATGATCAGGTAGCAAAGAGACTCCTTACCTTGTTACCTGAAATACTTGATGAGGAAGTAAAGAGAAGTGGTAACAGAAGCAAATTTCTCAAGTACACTTTCATAAGAGCTCATGCGAAATTGGCTTCCATTGGTCAAAAGATCGGTGCGTCAGTGGCCCTTATGTATATTCGAAGAACATACTCTGGTATGATAAACCAATATACTCTCCAACTAGCAAACGTCGGCGATGTTGAAGCAGTATTGTGTAGACGAGGAGACGCTCAATTAATTACTAAATTACACTCGATTTCCGATAGTGAGGAGAGGCAAAGAATTTACGAAACAAGTGCTATCGTTACGGAAGAGGGGAAAATTAACGGCACCACAAAGTGTACCAGACAATTGGGAGTCAGCTATCTCTACCCTCATGTTATTCCTGATCCGCACGTAACAAGAATAGCACTTCGGCCAGATGATGAATTTGTAATTATCGGTAATAAAGGGCTATGGAGATTCGTAAGCTATGACGAAGCTGTAGAAAAGATTTACGATATTGGTAGTCCTGTTGCTGCAGCTAAACAATTGCAAGATCTGGCTCAAAGCTACGGTTGCCGCGAGAATATTGGCGTTATGGTGATTAGATTGAACACAGATAGGGGTCCTTCCCTTGCACGACTGAAAAGAAATCAAAGTATGAGTATTGATGATTTAGACGCTGCCAAAGAACTGGAAGAGAGGAAAAATAAACAAACAAAAAGTTCACCGGCTTATATTGAATTACCTTTCCCTCCTGCAAGGATTATCCCAGGTCCGTCATCCATACCTGAGCAGAAAAAACCGCTTCAGAGTTCAAAGGGATTAAGAGTTCGATCGGCCTCAACTTCAAAAGAAATTGATAATGATAGTAGCAGTATCGCTATCAGTGAGTACAGCACAGACAACGGAAGTTCGCAAAAGGTAGTTACGCTAAAACCGTTACCAAAGCAACGCTTTCGAAAGAAAAATGTGGCTGAAGGTTGGGAGGATGTTCTACGGAAGCGCCTTCAAAACGATGTCAAAAGTAAAGAACTAGAACATTCTGCAATGCAATTAAACACATCTTCTTTGGTGTCTAGTGGGGGAGTCTGGCTGAATGGAGAATCAAACTGGTTTAAGCAATCAACTTCCTCAAGCAGAACGATAACTCCCCCGGCATGGACGTCAGCGGCTCCCAGCCAAGGTGCTAACCCAGCGTATAGTGCCTTCGAGGGCGATGAGGATTTGAATGACGATCCTAAACCGGTCAGTATCCGGGTCAGTCGTCAACACAGTCGGGAAGACGACGCCCAGCCAGCATCGGTCAGAGTTACGAGACCCGCATTGCAGATGTTCGATATTGCACAATTATAATAACTTATATACAATATTTTTTCGATACTTATTGATATATATATACAGTATATAGTATATATATTATTATATATACTATATATATATATATTTAATATATACTCATATATATATATATTGATCCAAATTTAATAAGTTAAACATCCGGATATATATATATATATATATATGAATCAATGACACCCGTAAGTTAATATATAAAATTATGTATACCATTGATATATAACTTAAATGCCATGTAAACAGTATAAGTGTTTAATGTATACACAGCAGTATTTAAATAAAAATTGTATCGTAAACAGTTGATTCGTTTAATTAAATAAAGAACGCTCATAAAATACTTAGGTATATACAGAGTTATAGGCCATAACTGACTATTGTAATGTGTACATCAACGAACATACACACCTAATTTGCACTACTGCAAGCGTTAAATTGTCTCCAAGTATAATACATTGAAAAAGAAAGTGATATATATGACTACAAAGGCTAATATCAAAGAGATTTGTAAAATCCTAAGATATTCGGGGTACGTCGATCTTTATCACATTTATAGAATCTCTAGACTCTTCGCTCTTTCCTTCTAGTTTTTAAATTTCATATTGTAAACTATATGATAGATACTAGACTTAATGTGCACTTTGTGATATATCCTAGATATACATACGAGATTTCCGTTAAATTATATACTGTATGAGAATATTATATATATTCATGTATTCCGTGTATACAAGATGCATGTAATGTATATTAATTTTTACAGTACTCATATATACTGTAATATATAATCATTAGTTTTCTAAATTCTTTCCACGCAGTCTTATGCTGCCTCGTTTCCCTTCCAGGGTTGAAACGTGCGTTTTCCCCAGTTATTATAGGACGAACGCCCGACTTGTTTATTACGTATAAAAAAAGAGACAGATGGATATAAGAGAAAAATTTTAAACTATCCGTAAACGGATGTTGCCTCTAATATAATCCAGAGATTTGATTGTTAAAAAAAGGAAAAAAAATGAAAAAATAAGGGTTTGAGGGGAAGGAGGGTCTTATATTGCAGCCGGAATACTGTCATTCGAAGGCAATTTAGCGTAAACGACGCCTACATCGTTCTTGGCGTCCATCATCGAATTGGCGACGTTCTCAAACTCGTCTTCGTAAATGTAGGCCCTTGTGTCCTTCTTCGATAATTTCCTAACACTACGAAGTGGCTGCATTCTAAGCACCTCCGGTAAATCGGAGCCATCGGATGTTACAAGCAAGACCCCCGGGTCTAGCGCTATCCTCCGGTAAATTTCGTCAGTTTCTCTCTCATTACCAATACCATGATCAGCTGGATGGAGAAGAGAGTCTGCTTCGGCATCAAACACTAAATCAGGCCTTGTTGATGCTGTAACATTTCCTTTTACGGACCCTGAATTTGGCCAGGAATAGACAGCTCTGCTGTAGTCTTCCTGCTTTCTTCGCTCCAACTCCTTAAGGCGTCTTTGCCTGAAAGGTACAAGTCGGTTAATTGACCTACTTGACTCGTGTCCAACGAGGGCCTTATACCTCTTCAAGAAAACAAAGCCAATTACTAGTATAATTGCACTCACCACCAACGCCATCCCGATTATGACGGCCACCCAAACGCCTGCGGAACAATAGCGATTGATCGACTAGTCGTATGAGGCCTATAGGCGTTTAAATTAGCGTAAAACGGACGGTTAGGCGAATACTAACGAGCTAATACGTTCGCCGACAAAGGCTCCGGTCTAGTCGCACGCTACGAGTCATGCAAATGGTCGTAAATGACTAAATAACATGCTTGCGGCAAAGGCGTCAAGAAAAAAAAATATGACGCCCTCACACAAAACGTACAAAAACAGTGAACAAGATTGTAAAAGGATTATTTAGAAGGTCACTGATGAAAAAAGATTTATTTAGAAAAAATGAGGTCGGGTAGGGAGGGGAAAGGGGAGGAAACGAACGGCGGGTGGGCGGCACCGGGTGGAAGAAGATAGTAGACAGGATTGGGAAGAAGCTGGCAAAAATCATTTTGGGTTTGCAGAAGTTATTCTTGTCACGAAGAACGCTAGGCGGCGTACGAATAGACGGCTAATCTGGCTGGACTATACGAACTGTTTAATTTTTTTTTTTTTGCATAGCTCCTTAAAGCAGTAAAATAAGGACGTCAAAGAAAAATAGTTGGTCACATGTAATCCTAGTTCGCCTTTGAAATTTAAATAAATAATAATTTTGTGTTTTCTTACCTATCGGGAGCTTTTCATCGGAAGACGCTTCGACGCCGCCTGAAAAAAAAAACATCTTATACATTATATGATTAACATTCGACATGCTTTGCAGCCGTCTCACTTATTTATCAGTATACACTCCAAGGCTGACATTCCGCTCGTACCACACAGCCTTGGGGAATTGTCGCATATAAATAAATATATATAAATATGTGGCACATATATAAATATGTATATATATATATATATATATATATATATATATATATATATATATATACTTGTATATAGATTTGGAGTCTACACATAAACAACTTGTAAGTAAATCCATATATTTTTGATAAGCACAAAAGAACATTATATAATTGGGCGAACATAAATTAAATACACTATCAAAGGAAGCAGTATTCCGTGGACAATGTATACATGCACTATGTGTAAAGAAATGTACTTTCATATTCCACAACAGCTTATATATATATACTGTATATTAGGATATATTCTATTCTGTATATATAAATTGCAGAGCGTATCCTTATAAATATATATTTTTAGACGCTACGTCATTTATAGATATATCTTCTGAAACCCACTACGCTGCAATGACCACTCAGATATAAAGACGCTAATGATTTTTGATTTTTTTCCTCTACTGCAAAACTCAACCTATTCGTTAATTATGTATTGCATATATATTAAAAAAAAAACACACAGCAAAGCATGCATTCTTCTCTGTATCTCCTCCCTCATTTTTTTTTAAATTTTCGCGTTATTTCACTGGGAAAATCTTTGGAAAATTGACACAGAATTGATGAAAAAAAACACGTCGCCATTGACTCCATTGGGGCTATAGCTTTTAGCCTGCAGTTGACTCTCTTACTGGTTAAACAAGAAAATCACGTGATCATAAAACTATACGAGTAACTATTAATTAAAAAAGATATACGTATAATTAGAAAAGCACAAATTAAAAGTAAGAGAGAAATCGTACTTTTTTTTCATGTTAAGTTATCGCTTTATATGCAATTTAAGACGAAGCTAGCGATGTCATTATTACATGTAGAAAAATTATATTTCACTACATAAATGTTAACCTAGTATAAAATAGACTAAAGGGAGAAGTATGTATTTCGACTTTCAACGCTTTATAAAGAACAGGAAGAACGCTTTTTCCAATCCGTTCGTTCGTTTCTTTGTTTATGGAAATCCACAATAGAACGAATCCGAGTCGATAAATCGACTAACGTCGTAGGCGTTTACGACCTAAAACCTCCCTCCTTCCAGAGTATCCTACCTAATTAGACTCGAAAGCGGGCGTCGAATAAAATTGTCAACATTGACGTAAGTTACGGCTTCTAAACAGCTTTCTGCCTTCACCTATTTACAATATATGCCTGCGGTCTAATTTGCATAACCACGCCTGCGTTATTAACAAGCTATTATTTCTCTCAACGGTTCTATTTCCATTCTTTTTACCCAAACTATTTAAGATAATAACGTTAAACAAAGGGAAAATCTTACATTGCCGTTGAGCGTTTATTTCGGGTGACCACCTTCCTCCTTCACAACGCATTTCGAATGTAGACGCTTCATACATTTTGCACGTTACTTCGAAAGTATAGGCGTTTTTTCTATGTAATAAAATGGATGAATCGGTTGAAAATTGCGGTTGAGCGCAGCCGTGCTCTGTAAAAAAAACGACGATAGGATTTTATGCTAAGGGAAGATTAAAGGAAAAACGCCGCATACCTTTATAGATTAATTTAAAATTAGCGCCCTGCTGTCGTATCACTTGCGTAAAGAATTCAACTTTTGCTATACTGTTTGTTGTACTCCATTCTATTGCGTTTGACGTGCCCCGTAGATTTCTAGGATATAAACAAATACTCATGGCGTCGTTGCCTGACTTAATTCGGCCAAGTTTAATTTTGCAGTGATCGTCTCCAGAAGGGACAAACATTAGACTGTAGTTATTGTTGTAGTGAAGCAATTCGAAATTGATAACATAGCCAGAATTCGATTGCAGAGTCCAGCTAGGGTTATTGTCACAATCTTCAACGATTGCTGAGTAGATCTCTCTTTCCTCCTTAGATACGGTCGGTCTTCGTGCAGATCGACTGCATCCCGGATTCGGGCCGACTTGGTAAAGAGATAAGGGCTAAGTAATTAATTGAATTATATGGATAAAACGGCTAACGTCGTACGCCACTATTATTCTTATATTCGATTAGTTGCCGTCTAATCTCTATTAGTCTTTCGATTTTTGATAATAAAAATATAATAAGACAAAATATGAATAATACTTACTTAGTTTGCACGTATAATGTACGATCAAATAATATTGCCTGTCTGAACGACATTGAGCGCTAAGTCTACCATTTTTATCGAATATCGAAGATGGATTGGGTAGGTAATATTCTCTTTTTCCGAAAACTCTTGAATATAATTTTTCTGTAAGATCGGTTTCGCAGGGTCGGTCTCCCTCCGTGTTGCAGTATCGTTTGTTTTCTACACGACCGTAGGTAGCATAACTTACATTAATAATTCTATGAAGAGGGCACTCTAGGTTGAGATCTTCTCCTTTGCAGATGACCTCCTGCTTCAAGTCTGTATTAAAAGTCAAAAGGCGTCTTTAGGGGCGTCGCTGTATATGTAAATTTCATAGACGGCCATGCTTTTCTAATTAAACCAATTGCGTACGATGAATATAGATGAAGCACTTTAATACACGTGCGAGAGTACATGTTTATTTTCAGAAAAGTAATTAAATTTCGCTTGAAGAAAAAAAAAGGCATTTTAGTTTGTATTTCTCTTTGCTTACTCTTAACGATTAAACAATTGGCTCGCTAATTTACATAATGAATATGGATGAGAGGTGGTGAACCTGGTGCGTGAGTTGGTCTTATCGAATCATACTGCGCCGACAAACTTTCTAACGAAGTTCTATTCAAAGGCAATCGAACTTGATTTCTCGCCGACTACGCACGAAAATTTCGCTGACCGCCGGTCATTTTTATGCCAGGCGGCGTCGATGGGCGTCTATTGGAGAGCCAGCTAACTGTAGTCAATAGACTAAAATTTTCTCTACATTTCTGCTGATATTTTCCCCAACACGATGCATCTTGTCTTTATTTCTCACAAAAAGAATATTTGCATAATATATACAACGTTGAGTAAATGACTAGTCGACTTTGTATACTTCAGTTTATTCTCCTTACTGCACATTGCATGGAGACATTATATATTAAACACTATATGCCTAGTCTAAGATATACGTATATGTATATATAAATGTATAAACTATACTATACATATATGTATATACATATAAAATGTGAGTGTGTGTTTATGTATATTGTACTTACTATATGTAAATGTATATATACACTACATATATATATATATATATAAATTTATATATAAGTAGTTTTAAGTATATATAGATACGTATAGAGTTTAAATTTATATATCTACATAAATATATATATAAACATCTGAGCGTTTTCTTTTCCCCTATCGATTCGTTTTCGCAGGCGCCAAGTAGCGTGCTACTTTTTGCTCAAGTCAATAAGACTTTTGCAGTATTGCAGTAGCAAAAGGTGTGAGAGTAAACAAGTTGAAAAGCAAAACGACGTGCACGGGGAAATGCCAGTAAAGTTGACGGTATATATTGCAAAAGAGACGCTGTCGTATCGCTTCATTAAAAACTACTTTGAAGTACATCCGTCTAAGAAGCAAGAAAAAAAGGCAGAGGGAGAAAAAACGAGAGACGCTGAGCGATTTGTTCCGTCGTATACTTTCTAAGGCAATTGCGGCACGAATTCCATGCAGACGGTAACGGTCGCCTATCTCATCGTTTTAAGCATTCTCATCTCTCTACTTTGTCATATTGCGGCGTTTGTATAACATAAACAAATAGACGTACGCGACGAAATTATTTATCAGACGGACGTTAATTAGCGAGAGTTTTGACAAGGTGAATTATGATGCGTCGACGCCTACAGCGAAAGCAATAATTTTCTTTTAAACGCGAATGTCAGCTGTTTCAATTAAGCGTCTCCTCTGACGTCTAATCCATATATTATAAGAATTTCCCCCCGCCGGTCGCTTTATTAAAAAGAAAAAGAAACGTTTCCAATATAAATAGAAGGCCAAGTGAAAGTCAAAGAGGGAGTGAGAGAGAAAGGAAAGAGAACGTAAGAGGGAGAGAGGGAAAAAACGCTGAGCGTCTTATATAAAAACATATATCGTAATATTTACGGTGGATAAACACAAAGAAGGTAGTAGGGATGTAGAGATATACAAAGACATATTCTTAAGACACCTGTAATCTAATATCGTAAGTCAGGCGCCGCAATTGATCGAACATATCCGGCTCGAAGATTACATGATATAATGTGTGAGGCGAATGAGTCGTAGAGTTAATTAATTATTGAACAGATTTTTTTTCCTCTGCCCTTCTCTTTTCCTTCATAAATTCTGTACGAATTCGTTTGCGTTGCGATACAATATCAAAGAGTTTTTGAAAAATGTACAAAATCATCAGAGGTTAATAAGTTCGGAATGAATTAGATGAAACAGGTTCCTTTTCTTCTTCAAAATTTTCTACTAAACGATGTCATGCACAGAGTATACATGTAGTGTTTTTTTTTGTGCGAGTGTATATCCATATTTTTAGACGTCTTTTAACAGATGATGTAAAAATAGAATAATCTATGCCTAATGTATAGTATATGCATGCATGAAGTGTAGATACTTTCTACTTTTTGGGGTACATATCATTTTAAGGCTAAAAACAAAGCACATCAATTCAGATTTTACACTTCTCTCAAACGTTATCATTAACTTAGCTCTAAGTATACTAGTGTGCATTTATGATTCACTTTAATGTGAAATAATAAGGTAATATAAGTTTTATATTTCCTTATTCATAAATGTTGACTATATGCAGAGCGTATAGGCGAGAACTATTTATATACTGTACACACGGACGTAGTGTATCTCGATATAGACAAGTATCCTTTTTAATATACATATATGGGAGAATATACCCATTGATCTGATCTAGTTAAACTTAAAAGTGCTTTTCACTAATCAGTTCCCTAAGTCGCCGTAATGGAATCCTTGATCAGAGGATATTAAGTCCATGGTGGTCTTCCGGCGATGTACAAAACTAGACGAGTGATATTTTTACGCTTATTAATATCGTCTAATTTATTTCATTTTTCTTTCTAGACTACCTCTTTTATAAAGTTAATATAAAGAAATAGACCGAAAATAACAATAACATTAAGATGGTCGCTCACCTTTCGCCCATATCATTACAAAGCAGACGATGAAAGCGAGACGGCCGATCATTCCAGCGGCGCTAGTAAAAGTGACGGTTCGCAACGCCGCTAGACGCCGTTCGAAATGAGCGCCGTGCTGTGGCACCTGTGGGATTCGAAGCGCCACAATGCTCCAGCGAACTGTAATCTTGTTCGAATGGAAATTGCGACGTCTCTTCTCGCCTGTTCGATACTTTTCTACTTAAATAAGAATATGTATATTCCATGTATAAAAAACGAGTAAAGCATATGATTAAATGCAGCCTATCATACCAATAAACAAAATAGACCTGTGCACACGATCTATATGGATCTGCATATATTTATGAAATTGCTTGATTTTAACATATTAAGTGATAAAGTATTTATATATTTGTGAATATATTTATCAAACGAGTGAGATGAGAAACGACGCTTTAAATAGACGCTTGCCTTCTTATAAACCATTTTTTTGTAGTAAAAATAGAATGATGCATTCGTGGAAAATGTCTCTACATTTGAGAAACTGTAAAAACTAAACTAAATACGTGTAGCGAGAAACTAATCGGTACGTAAATAAGGGGTAAAGGATAAAGACTAAAGTGAAGGAAGATTCTAATGCGTTTTCAATTCGGTGTCTCTTTTTCGCCCCGACGCTCCGGTTTGTGTGTAAAAAAGTAGTTTGGCAAGTAATTGCCATCCATAATTTATCAAACGCATAGTGTGCGTGCGTTAATTACCTCTATTCAAACGCCGCCCTTTCCTGTGAAAAAAAAGTAAGTTGTCAGCCTATGTTTCACGCAGGAAACCTATGTTCGAAACGAAGGGGAGTTTCTTCATTTTGTAGTAAATGTTTACAAGGAAATAATCGGAAAATTGATTGAAAAGAGAAACTATGGGCTATTGATAGATAAAATCTTTAGCTAATATAATTTTCACATATACACTACGCGCATAGATGAAGTACACAAAGAACATTGTTTACAGTTTGCATACGGATCGTTTATACGCTAATAGTAACATCATATTAAGGCAAGGTCGGCATCGAATTGTATACGATACAGAAGTGTTTGTTTACGAAAAAAAAATGATATCTGATAGATGGCGCAATTGCGTGACGTAAGTATATTCTTTTTACCCGCCTATATTATTTAATAAGTCTGTATCACAACGAAATCTCATTAATCGTTTCGTGCTAATCTAGGCAACAAGAGAAATTTTCTAGCTGTCATACTATATGGCTGGAAAAATTGAGTTTGCATAGTTCGAACCCTGCTCTATAATTAATTAGCCAAGCGTCTTTTTTTCTCTGATTCCCATTTTAACGAGATTTAAGTAGAAGAATCAAATTCATTGTTCTTTTCCTTTTTCTATATTCAACTTTTCTTTCTCTTCTAACGGAATATTTGATCGATTGATTTGTTGTTAGACGTTCGACACTTTTTCTGTGTGCTCTAATAGTTCTCGCCTTCCATCTCTTAAACGGTCATTGTTTGTTGTCCTGGTAACGTATTTAACTTCCAACTGTTTGCATCGGTTCTTGCCCGATCTGTGATTGCCATTCCTTCTTTTTCTATGCACGATGCAGACGATGAGTATAACAAATACTACGAGAGCAATTATAATCCCTAATATCATAGTCAAAAGGGAATCCTGGCCGTATTTCGGGCATTCTGACGTCTCATCGCTGTCGTCATCCAGTCCGCAATGAGGAATTTTATCGCACCTTAGTGAATTGTCTATACAATAGCCTGATTTACGACATATGAACTGTTCGCACCTGCCTTGTTTTCTTACAGCAGCCCAGCTTAATTTGAAACCCTTTCCGCCTATTGCCTTATCAACAGTCACGAAACGAATCTTCATGTAGCCTTCATCAGATAAAAAAGTTCTATTTGGTAATTGAGGACCACAGAATTCATATGTTGGGAGGGCAGTTCTACGGGTATAAATTTTTAGTACAGCATTGGCACAGCCCTGCTTCTCGAGATGGCCCTCCAAATTGAATTCGGAAAAGTGAATAAGCACTCTAGCCCAAGCCTTAACAGAAATAATCCAGTCACAGGTCCTATTTGTCTTATACTTATGACCGAAATTTGAGGAAATTATAACTCCTCCTCTATATTCCCTGCCCAAGTTGTTAGCTCCACAAATTTCCGAATCACTCGTGGGTCTAACGCGACGGAAGAATTCGTACTTTATCTTAAATCCAGAGCCAGCAGATTCTGACCCAGATTGAAAGACAAACTTCACCTTACTCGTATCGGATTGTAAGGGCCCTGGAGGTAATTTCCCGCAATAACGTCCTATTAGAGCCTCTTTACCGTTGTCGTATTCTTTTGCGTAGAGAACATCTCCAGTACAATCCGGTTTTGTATCCAAATCAAATTTCTTGAAAGATAATCTAATCCATTCGTCGCTTCTTCCTAGTAATTCGTAAGTACATTTAGTATTAGGAGGGTAGCGGGACGGAAATCTTGGTGAATTGAACCTTCCTACTCGAGCTGAACGTGAAGAGTAACGAAAATGGCATACAGATTTTGAAAGAGGTTTTCCAGGTATAGCATAGTCAGTAACAAATCGATAAGATGCTTCAAAGCCGTATCGTCGATTTGTATATTCTTTGTCGTTATGAGCATGAAATACAAGAACCATGCGGGGACCTGCTGATGTAAAAGCTTTCACACCTTGTCCACAAAGTGTTGAATCAGGAGGCTTTGAAAGACTATCCTCAACTTTCTCTGGTACGCTAAGATAGACTTTGACAAATCCACTAGTGCACTTTTCTCCGTACTTGGGAATAGTCATATTTGTAATATTTAACTTAACTTTTTCTAAATTATGAAGATCTTGTAAACCGTCTATAGTATAGACACAAGTAATATTGGTAGGAACAGGTCCTGGCCAATGGGGTGATTTTATGACACCTGCAGATTCTTTTTCAGATTTGATGCGTTCATCACATTCAGTTCCCCTGACATGTGTCAAGGTATTCGAATCTAAGGACACAATTTTATTGGAAATGCGATAAATTGCTCGGAAGCCTGCCATAGTAATATCATTGTTTTTCGTAAATTGGATGTTTGTATCCGATTGTCTGCCAGATTTCGTTGTAAAGGAGATAATTAGACTATTTGTAGTAGACCATATCTCTAAACCAGAGTCTTTTCCGCAAAAAGTACCTATTGTCGGTGAATTAATAGAATTGCCATCATAGATAACAACCGAATCATAGGGGCAGCTAATGGGTTGATAAAGAAAATAAGTATCACGTATTATCACTCTGTTAAAATAATGATTCAATAATAGAACTTACTGCTTTCCACCATCGAAAACGTCTAAATCTTCGAATCTCCAATATATTCTTGTCCTTTTCGGGCCTTCAATTTTCCACTCACAATTCATGTTATCTGAATACTGACCAGGATATGTTGGGGAGACAACTGTACCATTCGGTTTCGTTAAAAGATAACGACAGTCGGATTTCCTATTTCCTATCTTGCCAATCTGTATTATGGAAATGATTTTGGGATTTAGTTTTCTAGGGCAAGTTCATATCGCAGTGAAGACTTACGTTGTAAATACTGTCAGAGATAAACTCGTAAGTACCGGCGAAGCCCTTGTAGCCCGTCCTCCTATCATATGGAGCATCTTGGGGACTCCTCTTTACGGTGAATAAACCTATTATAATAATTCGATAATAGGAGACAAGAACTTTCGGAACTTCTTTCACCGAGTTTCCACAATATTTATTATGAAGATCCCATTTGTTATAGTCCGAGATGTTTTCGACTCTTATGTAGATTTCCATATAATCGCGTTGGCACCTGTAAAGTAACGCCATCTGATGAACGATGCTTCTAACGGAATTTATACGCTCGGCTGCTTGATAGAATCGAATTGAAGAAGAGAAATATCTCAAATAGCGAATTGGCAAGTCGTAAAGAAGCCAGATGCGACGCGGTGCAATTGCAGCAAAACTCAATTCGAAACGTCTAGTAGGCGTCAGCGAGCAATTTGGACGTTCTCTTCAGAGTTTTTTTTTATACATACAGTATATCGATATTCAGTATACTACGAGTAAAATTTGACGCATTATAAATTACAGATCATTCGATAAACAGTCTTATATTTAATATTATATTGAATATAGAGCATGTATAATAGATGTTTATCGAATCAATCGATTGGATAGATATCGAACTATTAACAGTTCTTTTTGTCAATATTTTTTGTAAAAATTATTCTATAGGAGAGATAATTAGGAGGTTAGAGAGTGATATATACCAAATGCCTCCCCCACCTACAAATGATCGGCTTACTTTCATCGCTTTATGTCAAGGTTTATCCAAAAATCCTCTAATATTTATATCGAAAACCTTTTTTCCCTCCTTTCTACACCTTTTTCCGCCCCTCCCTTCTCTCCATTTTTTACGCATCACTCCGTCGTATTCTTGATGAAGGGATGGGGGAACTGAGACTCTTTGATCAGCGTTCTTTTTCAATTTTGTCAGATCAATAAAAGCACTGTATTAAGACTTCCTCTAGAATTTTCGTCATACGTAAATAGTTATATAGTATTTACATTCTACGTTGGCAGTAACCAATTACAGAGTGACAGTGTTGCCGGTTTCAACAGATGTTTTTGGAATCTCAGCATCAAGGTTTTCTTTAAAAGAAACAAACGAAGCCATCTCGAAGCCACTTCATCAATATTCATAACGAGTTGATGACGAGAGCTAACGCTGCTCTCGAATTGCTATAAATCCCTTGTCGTATATAGAGAAGTTCGAAAGAGATAATGAGGCGTTAAATAACAGGTGTGTATTATAAATATATCGTTGTATCACCTAAGTTGTAATCTTAGGACGATATCTATACGTCTGAACGTTTGGTAAACCCCAAGGAATACAGGTTCTGGATAAATTAGCTAGGGAATATTCTTTATAACCTTCTACTTCGACCTTATCCTTGATTTCGTTATTATTTTTCTCCCCTATCCTCTCGCCTCTTCAATAAAAGGGAACAGACTACTTTTTCATCCGTGACCCGAATACTTTTATACAACTCTAGCAGTCTAAACCATAAAGCCCTGTCTGACTGATTGCTCACTCCAACAATTTTCGAGCGGGCGGTCCAAGAATAAGTGAAAGGAGAAAACACTAATACTGCCTGTCCTTGACCTTTTGACTGGCGATCCCGTCACGAGCAGATCAATCGGGACGACGAAAAAAGAACGCCTCTACGAAACGTCACCATGGAAACGCGTCAATCGGGCCTCGCTATCTGCGCATTGTCTTTATGTGAGTCCTATTTTTCTTTGGTAAAGTTAAGCTATTACACACGAGATAAATGCGGGATTTTTTTCAGCATGTTGCAGGTGATTTATTACAGAATTCTTTCAAAATGACGTTATCGGATTTTCGTTTTCATCAATTATTTAGCGAAACGTTTTTCGGTGAATAACTTTAAGATAAATTAATCGATAAGAATTATGAATGAAAAAGTCAAACGAAATTACTGTGGTAATAGAGAAGAGATGGGAAAAATAAATATATTCTCTCTTTTTTTTTTTTACGTTATAAAGTAATACAGTATGGCTAATTTTCTTGCTTTTTCTCCAAACAAGACTGCAAAGCATAAACTAATAGGCTTAAAAAGTCGGTGATTGATAAACAATTGCTCTGTGTCATTTTCACTCTTGTCAACGTTTTTCGTCATTTACTCATTCTTGTTACTTACAAAATATTAGATTTTAGATAGAAATGCCTTAGCTTTTTACTGTATAGTTAAAAGGGAATATGAGAATAACTGCAAAGAGAAGAAAGAAAGTCTAAATGGGTAAAAAAGAATTTAAATGCTTCATCTTGCAAAGATATGATCTGTAGAGAGATTTTTCCCGATTATTTTCTCTTTGAAGAGGAAGGAATAAACCATTGTAGTAGCTTGTATCGAGAATCAAGGATACACCGACAATTGGGCTCTTGATTGAATTACTTGTGATATTTAAATAGGACTGACTATTCTGCCTGATAAGAGACGACTAAATTAAATTTACATTAAAATCTATTCAACCATTATAAAACCAATATCTCTTAATTATCTTTACCTTTCAAATGATACTAATTCTCATTATTAAAATATAAAACTAGGCTTAAATTATTTCTAACCTTTCAACGAACAGGGTTAAAAAGGAGAAATCGGCTTATCTCACGTGACTATATACCAAAGAAGCTGGTTTAGAACGCTTACAATATTCGTTGTTTACGGTATAAACGATATATAGTATATGGTGTTGGCGGCCCAATTATCATTGAGGGACAATCGTAATAGATATATGAAAGAGCAGTCAATTGTTCTCAAAAGAGAGTATTCCCTGTAATGTATACGCCTCGCTGAAAGCTCTAAAAGGTGGGTAACGGGAATAAATTCTCTCATTTGATTTTAGATGCATATATGATACTGAGACTAGTCAGTTTGATCAAAGAGTTGCGGATATAAATATATTTATAGTACATCTATATACATTTATTATAATAAATCTATATAGAATATCTATAAATATATATACTGTATGTATATATATATATATATATTTGAGAAAGGCCTACAAACGTTCTCATTGAACGAAATCAAGCAGAAAATCAGTACAGTTATACTTACTCAGGCCATAGGCCGTGAACGTCAAAATCTACAAACTTGATCTTGACTCGTTCGTTTTCTTGGGCTTTGAATCTGAGGAAAATTCGCTGACCTCCAGGATATTTATTTGGATAGTTTGGTGAAGAGAAGAAGCCCGACTTGTTTGTAGGTGTTGATTTAAATTCTTTTGTCGTCCATGAGTCGTCAACTTTGTCAACTAGAAAATAAAGAAAGTAGATAGAATACGGAGTTCTCTTTCCCACATCTCGTTAACAGCTAAGACTTTTTCCCATAGAATGCCTTTTCCCTCTGCCCTTACCCAACCTATTCTCTATTTCTCCCATAAGCCCAGGAAAAAAGTCAAAGTCAACCTGGAAGAACTAATTGCTTTTTCACTAGCCAATCCGCCTATAGGGTAGCATATTAGACTCTTCCCACCCCGATTTAATGTTTTCTGGAAATTAAAATGAACATCGAAACAGATGGCGTTCTTTAAAATTCGACGTCAATTCGCTTAATTAACGACGACTTAAACGAATCCTGCCAATTTGCTTAGCGGAAGCGAATTTTTCGCAGTTGAGCGAACATTCAGGATAACGGTACAAATTTTAAAAAAAAACCTTGAGAGTGAAAAATGCTATGTGATCGATTTTGCTCACTTTTCTTGTCTTTTTTGAGAGAAAAAAAAGCAGCATGGGGGTGGGGAGTTGGCATACGGAAAGAGGTAGAAAAAGAAAAGAAAGAAAGAGAAAAGGGTGATTAAAGAGGGCTGTAAAAAGCGTCAAACTAAAAGTCTCGCATTTCTCTTGGCGTCTCTGAGGAACGCCTTGGAGAAAAGAAAAAGGAAAAATTCGTGCACATTTTACGCGAGAGCAGAGATTATCCCGAGAGCCGCGTTATGTATGCAATCTATGTTTCCAATATATACAGTTTCTATTCGGAACGCGTGTGCAATTTAACGACTGGCGGATCGAGTTTACCCCGACGCCGAAAGCATAGTTTGCAAGATAAACATTCGGCAGATGTTCAAGCCCCCCTCCCCTCTCCCCGAAAAAACACTATATGAATAATATTTTTGAGTACAGCATATAAAATAAATAAATATACATTTAGAGTACGATATGATTTGGTTTAGTGACGCCGCCGGTCAGAGTAATCTTATTAGAGAAGGACGGCTCAAGTACGCCAGTCGACGCTAACGATATTAGTAGACCGACGTTCACAATACAAAATATCGCCGCTCAGGCGTTCATCTTTTCCCACTAAAGACTGCTCCCTTCCGATTACAAATAAATACTGACCTGATTCGAGTAGAACTCCAGTTATAACAAGGACGACAATTAATTCGAATCGTGAGCATACCAGTCGATCGTACATTCTCTGCAAGAAGGAGATTAACGTCTTTAATCTACACGATTATCTATTGATTAAAATTAGGCCTATACATTCTACCACGTTTAAAATTATATGAGCGAGTATTTATATACTGCATATATATAGAATATGTTTATATTTGTATCCGGAGAGATCATGTCTGTAGTATATATACAGTACTTTTTGAGTTGTATATACTTTATATTAGGCTACAAAAGCTATTAAAATCATTTAATGACTACTAAAATCTGTTAACAAACAGACAAAATTATACAGTTGGAAGCTAAATACTTCCTTCACTATTACTTGACTGCAAATCCTAATATTATCGGATATTTCTTAAATATGATGATTTATATATAAAATTTCAAACTTTTAATAATATTACTTTAGAGCATAGATCCTACCTTATCAGATGATCTGAGTCTAAATGATAGTCCCATAAGGATGACTTTAGTCTTTCTTTACACAATATACTTATTTAAGCCTTTAGGCTACAGAGAGACGATTAAATGTAAGTGAAATGAGTAAATTTACAAAATGAGACCGTAACAAGGTACTTTTATGGAACTAATTCCCTGAACAATACCACTGATCCATGGCAGAGGGAATATCACCAAACGTAGACGAGTCTATATGGCTGCTTAGAACTCTTTGACTAAAGCAGTTGGTAGCCTGTAAGTTAGGAAATAGAAGGCATAATTTCGATTATAGATCGCTAGATTATTTCTTTGCAAAGGCTGTAGAATCTTGTTTCTCGAGCTCTCGTTCTTTAAACACAGTATCTCGTTCTCGCTGCTGCATTATTCCAGTTTTTATGTACAGTACGTGAAATATTTGTTGTGACAGTGTTGACCATCATTAACTTATAATGATTTCATTTCCTCTGCAAATTATATTTTATAAAGAGCCTTGAAAGCCCATAGTTACAGAAATTCCCTTTTCTCCCTAACTTTCAGCTTCATACTGACATAATTTAAATGATATTTCATTATAAATGTACAATTTTATAATAAGCATAGCATCAAAATATGCAAGAAGTGCATTATCAATTATATATAATTAATAATAAATTACATATTTGTCTTAAACAATTTTAGTACTTTCTAAGATGTTACTTCTATACATAAATGTATATATATATATATATATATAGTTTCTCTTGCATATACTGCATAGTATATCCTGTTTTCTAGGCAATATATTGTATATATGTATATATATATATTGTATATTTTTACTGCTTATTGCAAAAGAGTATGGAGTTTACAGTTGAAAACAGATTAATATATCCATAAATAAATGCCAAGTTTTAATGTGTGTATAGCATATGTATGATATATATCACTAGATATAATCCAGAATAATCCAAGATGATACCTATATTTTTATATTATATAATATATTTATATATATGTATAATATAAACATATATATATATATAATATATATATATATATACATATATATACTATATATTTTATATAAATAGATAGATATATTATATAAATTTTATATACAGCAACTGGGAAAAAAATATATTATAATAGGCTGTCATCACGGGAGCAAAGTAGGGACGCGTCAATACGATTGAGCCATCAGTCGCCAATTTCTATGTCTGCTTGGAGTCGTCTTTTGCGGTATATTTCAGAATTTTTATTTGAAAATTTTTAAAGCATCTCTTATTTTCGACAAACCGATCGTTACCCAATTCTCTTCAATTCTTTATTTCTCGCAGGTGAGATCGATGTGGTATGTTAAGTGCTCCTTGTTTACACGATTTACGCATTTTACACTTTATACATTTGCTCTAGCCAGCTAGTCTATAAATATCTATATACATTGTAAACTAATGCTTCCATTTTAAACCGACTAAATTCCTACTGCAAAGAAATAAAAAGGAAATACCGACCGAAACAGCTCGTTTTCCTCAGCTGCCATTGTCCATCAGATCGTCAGAATTCGCTCTCTGAAAGTTAGCACATGCCTGAGATGCTGCAGGCAGTCTACTATAGATTGCAGTCCAATATACGCTATAGGTGGCGTTGAAAAAAAAACACTATATTTCAATCTTTTCCGTCTCTCTCGCTCTCTTGCTTTCTCACTCTCTCCCTCTTTTGCTTACTCCCTTTCTTAACAGTATGCTGATAATTTGTGAAGAGATTGGTGGCGCTGTTATTTCAAGGCGGCATCTGGTGTTTCCTACTGTCATATCAATTTTTCCAAACGGATTCTTCAGTTTGGCTACCAGAGCGCTATCTGTTGCTCTTTCGAGACATAACCAACAGGTTGTTTCGTGCATATTTACTTTAACGTATTGTTCTCAGAGGATTAAGGAATAGAAAAATATCTAAATAAAAGTAGTCGTTTTCTCCATCCATGTCCGCCCCTTTACCGGTTGAAGGAAGGTTAACGTATCACGTACAGAAAAGAATGAGCGTGCTTATCCCTATTTCTATTTATTTTCACCCTCTCTTAGTACCGACGGCAGCCGTGGCTATAATAGTCATCAACTCAACGACTAGACCGCACGCACCCTTTAAAACCACTTCGAGTTAGGCCTAAGAAGAAAATTAATTACGTCCGACATCTCGTTAAATCGAACAGGAATCGGAAATTGTTCGAATAAGGTAAAAGGAGAATAACAAAGAAGAGAAGAGGGAAAGAATATTAAAAGAAAATAAATAAAAAATAACAAAGAAGAATTATATGAAAGTAAATATATATAAATATATACAGTAACAACTATTTATATATCTTTATATAAATATATACGAAGGCTCGAGATTTCATTATAGGAAGTATTGTTTATCAATCATTGTTCGTACTGTCGTTAAGATCCCAAACTGTTTCTTCCACCTGGTAGACGACGTTAAGTTCGATGCTCTTCAATCATTATACCCTTTGTTTTAAATGCCCATTCACAATGGCTTGCTAAGCACAGTCGCGTGAACACATTGATTATTCAGCAAAGTTCGTTCGTTATTCTCCAACGTTGCAGTCTCGTATATGGGGTGACCTCGAATTAACAACGTTCCCGTCCGACTTTCATATAAGCCGCTGTTGGGCCCAGTACTCCTGTTTAGGACGACGTCCTTCATAGAGTCTTCTGCTGATTCGTCCCTAGAGCGGATCTGCCTGTTTCGTTTTCGATTTAATTGAATTGTAAAAGAAAGAAAATAACAAATATAATAAAATAATAAAGATAAAGTGAAATAAAACAGAAACGTTTCAAACCTTCGAAGGAATATTAAGCCCGTTGTTAGAATTAGAAGACTAACGATAAGGGCACTCCCGATAATGATAACGATCCAAACCCCTAGAAAATATATTTCATCAGTTAAGATAGATTGCGAGGAGAGAGAGAATAATTTACTGTTTTAGACTTGTGGATATAAAATTGTTTGCGATTGTATATCAAAATATACGGAAGAACTCTCCCCATTTATTATTGTTAAATATATACCTAAATGAAAAGAAAATTACCATAAGGTAGACTGACTCCTCCCCATTTGACGTCCTTCCAAGAAGCATCTGACGGTGAAGGGCGTCCACAATCTGGCCATTCCCCTACCCAATGCGTTCCATTGCAGGTGAGCATTGTGGTAGTTCCTGTCCGGTTGCAGATGGCTTGCAGCTTGTTGTCGAATCGCCGGTAATGCGTTTGCCTGGTATGCTTAGGATGCGGACAGCCGATGACTGACGGGGTTTTAAACAAGTAAAGTAATAGAATAAAATGTATTACGTTGCGGACAAACAAGTATTGGGACTAAACACACACAAATAATATGGATATTGGTTATATACTATCTGTTTTTCGTGTTTAATTTCGATTGTGAATTTTTCATTCTTTTCCATCGAAGAAAGTTTCATTCTTTCTATTTTTTAAGCACGCGTAAGAAGCTTTGTGAACAAACAATGGCAAACAATCAATAAGAATTATGTTCGCAGCCACAAACGTATGCGTGTGTGTATCTGTGAGCTTGTGTCTCTCTTTCCTCTGAACTAGTTCACATTGATGTACAAGGTTTAAAGAGAAACAAAAAAAATTAGCGAGAGTGTTAGAAACGAATTGGAACAAAAACAAAATCTAGTGTCTTTCAGTACGGCACTACTTATCATTATCTTGTAAAAATATACACTGAGCTTGAAACTGGTGATATGTCTTTGAAGTTGTTCTCTTCAATTTACGAATTAGAGACAACTCATCACCTTTACAGCTGCGCATGCGTTCTTGTACTCTTTAATCCTTTCTCGTAGACAAAGCCAATGCTATTTCACTACAAATATTACCATTGCTATTATTATTTATTTTGTTTTCGGAAGCTACGGGTTAATTAGATTTCGGCCTAAGGCAGACGCGATGATTGGTTTGTCACGACGACAAAACAATGGTTATGAATAATTGAAATTTTTTCGTGGCCTCCGGTCTATAACGACTATCTTCCTCGCTTAAATATTTTATCAAGCCGTATTGGAGTTTGTCGGCGAAAGTTTGCGGTTAATTAAGCGAGTAAGCGGCATATATAAGCGGGGAAATTCGACGCTCGCCTAATCGATCAATCGCGACTCGAGACCAGAACCAAGACAAACGTTCGATTAGTAGACTTACTCTGATATTCAATCAGCATAGCACCGCCCGACGGTTCATCGAGCATGGTGACGCCTAGTCGACGCCCTCGGCTAACATACAAGGCCAATCGACGTTGCCTCGGATCACGTACGCATTCTACAGTCTGCATCCGTCCTCCGTCCTCCCTTACTTGAACAACGCATTTCCCAGTTTCAGAATTCCGACCAAAATCATAATAGAATAACTCAACCTGTTGGCCGGATTTACCGGAAATAATCCAAGGTTCGGAACAAGCCCTTGTAGACGAGAGGAAACCATTCTTTTTCTTAATAGTACGACCGCATTCCGTTTCAACTACACAAAAAAATAAACCAAATAAAAAATCATTTAGGTAACAAGATCAAGCAAAAGATTCAGGGAAAAGCACAATTGACTTGATAGAGATCTGAAGAAAGGATGAGCGAAGGAAAAAACTGAAAGGGTATTGGCGTGTGTACGTGTGTAAGCGTGAGTATAAACGTTGTGTGAGCGTTTGTGTAAGCGTTTACGTGAGCGTTTGAGTGAGCGTGAGGTTGGGAGTATGCCTGCATGTAAGATATCTACCAATGTATAAAAATGTATATACAGAATATACAGTATATATACATACATATATATACATACATATATATATATATATATATATATATAGTATACAATCTATATTTCTCTATACGTATGTGTGTTTAAGTAGGTGTTTTACTTTCTGTGTGAGTCAAGGATAAAAAGAAAGCAGTTGTATATTCCAACATCATACAATATTCATACCTCTAATACATTCGCTGAACGTTTCCAAATAAGGCATAACATCTTTATTTTTAACTTTACACTCGCTTTGGAATCGCACGTACGGTAGATTACTGGCGACATGGAACGAGCAACGATTTTTTCCTGAACACAACGTATCAAGATTCTTCAAAGAGTCTAAGGAACAACCCGTATCATAGGGTAACGTTGAACAATTACTCCTCCTTTTCCACCTCCCAAATCGAGCTGTTTGCATTAATATTACTTCGCCCCATTCGCATGTTTTTTCATAGTTAAAAGGCCAACAAGTATCTGAAAAGAAATACAAATAAAGGAGTGAACAAGTGTAAATGGACAAATGCCTTAAAATAAGATAATTTGATTACAAGATTTTGACTATAAAAAAAAAAGAAAAGCTAATTAACAAAAAAAAAAGTGATTAATTATTCTTAAATTTTTTTGCTTGCATAAAGTAAAAACAATGGCAGGTAGGGAGGAGGTGAGGTGAATAAAATCTAAACGGCGTATGCACTTACATGCAGCACATAAATACTATGGAAGTCTCCTGTTCCACACTTTTTAACGTTTATAATTATGCAACAATAATTATTCACATAACGATACTCTTTTTTCGCCTGTTTTTAATAGCGTAGATTATTGATTAAAAAAAACGAGACTGAAAAGTGTCGGTTGAACAATAGGTGTGAGCGTTGTGCATTTTTTATGATATTTTTGCAGTTTTACGCCGCATAGCGTGCATTTATTCAATGTTATACAAAACGTATTATATATACATATACAGTATATACTGTATATGTAACCGTACGATATGTACCTCTTATATGTCTTATTCATTTATTCTTCTTATATTAATGTCTAGCTAGATGTACATTTCTCAATATATTAAAATAAATATATTGTATAGGCCTCTTATACACACAATAGATATGTTAAACTGTATAGTAAATACATATATGTGTATGTATGTATAAGGACGTATGCAATATATTTACAACAATTGCCTGAAGACGCGGCAGTGTATAGGTCGGAAACGCGGCGCACATTTATAAATGAAGCGTTGATTGCAAAAGAGGCTACTTTGCTCACTCGACCTGAAACATTCTCTCTTTTTCTCCTCATAAAATGACTAAAGAAACACGTTCTTTTTCAATCAAAAAAGGAAGGGTAGGAAGGGAAGGAACAGGCGGATGTGGTAGAAACAAAGGGAAGTTCTCTCTTTTATAGTTAAAAAAAAATATTCTCTTTTTACTTTTTCTTTTTACCTTTAGCGTCTGTAAGTAGGAAGACAATTGAAAGATGAGAAATTGTAGACAAAAGAACAGCAAAGTTGCGTCTGCTGACGACTGAATTAGAGTCCATTGCGTTTGCGGAAGAATTGCGGTAGCGACTAAAAAGCTGACTCGTTTTCCTTGTATGTAGACGTCGCTACAATCGTCGTAAATTTTCTTAGCTATATGAAATGTTATCCTTCATTAGGCAGTTTGCCTATCCTCACGAGTGGCTGGCCTTAGTGTTTTTCGGTATTCGAAATACTCGGATAATCGAGATAATCGATATATAATGTATATTTGATCATATGGCGCCTAATATGCCCTAAAAAATTGTATATTTCCAATATTGTCGGTTGATTTTATATATTACAATTAGATTTTTTATTTATTCTTTCTGTTTGCTCACAATAAGAAATAGTAAAGAATAAGAGTAAGGAAAGCGGTCAAACGTGATTAGATATCTGCTTCTAGTTTGTCCAATCACGCGTAAAGTAATTCTTTAATAAAGTCTCGTCGCTCGACTTTTTCTTCCCTTTGAGCGTTCGCGAAAAAAGGACTATACGTGACGGTCGGACGCCTCAAGATTTCTATCGCCGTTCTCGCGAGAGCTGTCGAAAAACGCTCTGGCTACTGTAGAATTCGACGGTCCCTGAGCTTGTTTGTTCAACTGGCGCGTTGCTCTGGGAACGTCGAACGTCAACTGCAAAGAAAAAAAAGTGAGAGACAGGGAAAAAGAGTGAGAGCAGAAGGCGACGTTGGGGGAGAGGGGGAGATGGAATGAATAAGAGTTGGGAAAACCGAGCAATACCAATTTTCCTTTTTTGCCGACAAATTTTTACGCATAAATTGCATAACGAAGCTGTTTATACAACGCCTCTTCTTTCCCCTGAGGAGTCGCAATTGACCAGCTTGATGAGTTGGCTACCGCGGGAACGTTAATGTCGTCATTCTTTTCGCTTCGAATTGATCCGTCCTTTATCCTTTATAGGCGTTTTAACGATAACGTTATCCTTCTCATTTTTCCTTTTCTTTTAGCCACTAGCGCCCCCTATAATGTATGGATCTTCTCCCTAACCAAACGGAACATTTTAATAGGATGAACCTCACGTGAATGAGAAGAATGTTTCACATTGAAACTAAAACCTATAGCCCCCTAGTAAGTCGTGATTTTTGGCACGCTCACTTTTTACGCAAATTGTCACGGGTCGGAATTTTCTAACCCCTATTTCCCTTCAACCTTTTTTTTTTTCATCTCCAACAACTAAGTTTTTGCAAGTTTCTCACACAGATGGCGCAATTGACGTTTAGAGGATTTTTTTAGTCCATTTTTTGTCCTTGTTACAATTCTCTGACGTAACCTTCCATTGGCATTTTCTCCTTATTTGGCTGGTAAAATTTGTATAGGATACTCTTAATAGGAGCACGTTCGCCACACTAATTCAATCGAGAAGATAGAAAATTGTTTATCGGAATGATTATTTTTGAAAGGGAACGATTTCTATAAACAACGCTCGGAACGCAATGCCTAGTCACGATTCCTAGTCGTCTGAAGTCGTACCGACAAAGATTGATACTTCGTTTATGACATTCGTTGAGGAATTTTACAATTCCCATAGACGTCGAGATTCGTAACATAAGCGGGGCATTTATGCTATTTATAGCATTTTTAAGATATAGTAATAAATATATGTAACAATAGATGGCGTATATACTACATTCATAGAGTTCCTAAAAAAAGTCAAAGTGTTCCAAAGAAATCAAATTCCATGGTTAAGTACGTACTGTATATAACTGCTACCTTTTACGTACGCAAAAAAAACAAATTTCAAGGCACTTACATCAGCTCATCTATACAGGCCTTTGATTTGTAAATATTTTCTACAAGAATAGGCTAGGCCTAGTCAACTAAACAGGGAAGGCCTTAATGTCATATTTTGAAAACGCGTCATTTCGCCCCCACACTGCCGTCTAGCGTCTGCTATTTCAAATTTTCAAAAATAACGATCGCAATTCAAAAACGGCGAAAGTGATAACGGTGTCCAAAGTTGAAAATATGCTACAATACATAGATTAGAAATTCGTTACATACACTAGGTACAAATAATTCATAGATTGTAAATCGAGAAGCCGCTGTCCGATTAGGGACGAAACCAACAGCTAAAGAATAAAAAAAAAACGGGCGTATTTCACCAAAAAAGGCAAGCGAAACGGACCGCGAGCTATTTACGTCAGCAGCCGCCAAAGCTGAGCTCGCGAAGCATTTTCCCGCCAAATCATGTGGACCAATCAACATTCGTCGATGCACCGCCATTTTGAATCCCTCTGTATTCATTTAAGTGACGGACGCGATCGGCCTTCAGTTCTTCGTAGGAAGCCGGACGATAAGTTATCGTCGTAAAACTTTACTTGTTCTATTTATAAATTTTTAGAAGAAAACATATATCAAGATAACAATACGATATAACTGTATTACAAGAATATCGAAGAGGAATTAGTACTTGACGATAAGGAATTTATGCTATGATGGACGTTGTAAGCGTAGAATCGTTCGTAAAGAAGTCGAACGAGAAGAGACGAGCCAAGCGTCGCCTCTTCGACGATGGAGAAGAATCGGATAATCAAGGAGGGCAAGAAACAACAAGACTCTTCCTCGATCAACAATGGAAGGTTATATTATCCAACGCCTGTGACAAATGGTCCTTCGATTTTATCCACGATCGGCCTTTAGCGGGCGGTAACTTCGTCTGGACAAAGTTGTACGACAGATCGTCAGCAGATACATCTTCAATAAATTCCGAAGATGAATACCTTATAGATGGGAAGAGGAAAAGGCAAACAGAAATAACCGGTAAGAAAATTTTTCTTTATTCGTCTTAAGACCATTTTAAAAATCTAGGCGTCTTGTATTTTTTGCATTAAACATTTCCTTCTGTTTTTCTAATCAGATTACTTCGTCACCAAAAAGCGTATAAAAGTGAGCAGGAGTAATAAAAAATTGTAAATAAATCACGTCCAAGGTGAGGAATTTTATTCATATACATGTATTTAAGTATGTAAACCCCTGCGTATTTATTATGTATACCTCTGCGTGCCTGGAGTAGTGCTGTTTACAAGTAGTAGTAGCTAGTAAAGGCTAAATAAGGACAATTGTTAGGCCATTGGCACGTTGCCAATATCTTCTCTTCAGGTGTATAATGTGCATTTTTTTCCCTTACAGCTTCGGGTCTGGTGCAATCCGCGCAGAACTATCGAAAAAATATTAATATTTTTGCTATTTAGAAGTAAAAGACTTAAAAAATGATTATATAAAAAACAAAATGCTGCCACACCTTTTCTCTCTTCCTCCTGATCTCGTGTTTCATTTTGTTTGTCATGTCTTAAACTGGCCGATCCGGCGCCAGTCTAATAGAATGCCGGTGCTGAATTGTTATGCTTATTATTGTTCTACAAATAAATAACTTTAAAAAATGAAATAAGACATTCTAGTTAAATTGGTAATTTGTAAGAGGAGACAATGGTTGTAACGGAAAGAATCCGGAAAGAACGAAATCTGAATAGGGAGTACAAGGGGTATCGCGTCCGAAAGCAGAGATGACATTGTTCTATTGTTTTACGGGCCCGCTTTACTAGGTCATTCATTTTCTATTTAAACAAAGCGGGCTATAGCGGTGAATTACAGTTTACTCGTATACATCTGCGCCACCAGATGCCCATGGATCAAACGTTCCGACGATAGTGTTGTCAAGTTTCTTTCCCGGCAATCGAATCATTCGCCTTTAATCAGGCGCGTTACTGACGTAACCGAGATGGGCGGAAGTAGTCGGCGTACTCTTTCAAATTACGTCCCAATTTAATTTCGCGGGATTTTTATCAGTTAGAAAAATTTGTGAACATGTTCAAGAGTGGAATTTTTGAATGAAATCATAACTGCAAAAATAGGAACGTGTTTAAACGAGTACAGGCGTGTGTGACTCAGCGTCTCTCTAAACCTGACAAGTCCGGGCCTGTCCAAAAAAAGAACTCCTTTTCTCGTTATCTCTTTTACGCCTACCAAATTTTTTTTACTATTGTTAAAATTCGACTTTTATGATTAACTCGTAAAAGTCAGGGTTTCTAAAACCGGGATATTATGTAATCTGGTAAGCAGCTGTAAGCGTCAACTAATAGAAACAATGGATCCTGCCAGGTGCTGCCCAGGAAATGTCAACGCCGTCAGCTTGCCGAGAATTTCGCGGCTTTTGTTCGGGTGGGAAAAAGGAATGAAGGGGGATTGTGCGAAATTGTTTCGGGAACGAATACAATAAGAGAGAAAAAAACGTTCCAAACAATCGTACACGTGACCTTTGCTCGCATTCCACGCGTTCGTGCGGCGTCTAGACACGCCGCCGCCCTCTATCGGTAGCGTGCCGTAATACCGGCCGGCCCGAATAAGGGAGAGAGAGTACAAAAAAAGAAAAAAACCCCCATAGCCGGTCGATCTTTATACAAACATTCGGCGTAAATGGGCAATTTGGCGATAAAGAAGGGTCTTTTGTATCCGTTCGAATATCACAAAGATCACTGTCACTAGTACTGAAGGCCGCGAGTCGTTCCACTCGACAGAGAGCCCGGATAGATTCTCGTGGGAAAATATATCGGCGGCCTATTGTTACGGCGATTTTTTTCAACCCTAACAATGGCGTCCGACCGTCACGCGCCGGCACGTTCTTATCCCAAAAATAGAAACTCACGACCATTTCCAACCTTTACCCGAATTACGTCACTTTACATACTGAGTGTAAATGTTATGACTTGACGCGATAATTATGTGTGTTCTTAAAGCACGAACCCCCGCCTACCTATCCTGGTTATTCCTTATATCCGTACGGTAGCAGTCTGTGACGTCAGACCGCTACTATGACGTCACTATCACAACGGGAACCAACTTGCTGCCCTTAATGAGCGAGAAATGACGCGCCTCACCAGGGTATCGAAGGGCGTGCCAAAGCGCTTCATCTATACGACGCCGTGTATCAAGTCTTTTGACAGGGTCGAAAATAGGACGCCTTGGCACTCGCCTGAGCAAATAGATCAACGCTTTAATATGTTTCAATTTCCACCACTCCTAGAAATAACACAACCACCTGGAATAGAGAAGTGGTACGGCAGGTGCTGAATTTCGATCGGATGCTAGGTACTCTAAGCGACCATTACGTAACCATTGCCCGTATGGCACTAATCTTTCCCTATTCAGAATTAGTAAGCGCGTAAAATTTCATTACGAAATTTATATTCCCAAAGTTTACTTGGTCATTAATTTAGCGAACGAGGCGGGCGACACCTGACGATCGGTCGCTTAATGTTACGATTTTATCAAAACTTCTCCTTCCCTTATCGTGTCGCCGTGTAAACGTGCCAATTGTTTATTCCGGTGAAAGTTTTTCTCTAAGTTTTTTTATTCTTTTCCTTTTATTCCCTTTTTAGCCTTTTTCTCTCCTATTTCGGCGGGCCTTTATCGCTGGGGCGCCAATCGAACTTTCGGTATTTGTCGACATTTTTTCGACGGCCCGCCCCTTTCAAACAAGAAATTCCTTCATTCGAACATTCGGCATGCATTTTATGTTCAGCTTCAATGATTCTCTAAGTACTGTTTTCTAAGCTAGTTTTTTCTATTAGCTTTTTTTCATCTAGAAATAATCAAGACCCATTTAAAGTTCTTTTTTCTTTTTTTTCACCTCTTATTTTCTAGTAGATTTAGGCCTTTGTCCTTTCACCGGCAATTTCTGTATTAGTTATTAGCTATATGCAGATGGCGCTTAATAGAGCACTTTTTTAAAAACATCAAATTAGGCAAAAGAGCAGTCTATATAATTATGGAATAAACGACACTTTAATATAAACTGCTGAAATCTTTGTATTTTCTTAACGTTTGCACTTCAAACGGCGACAGTTGACAGATAAATTATACTACAAAGGCAGCGTGTCGTCATTAACGGCGTCGTTAAGCAGCCAAATTGTTTTCTTAGATTGCTCGCCAAAACGTCAACGACTTTTCACCGTTGATTGAAAAACGCCGGTAAACGAATGTAAAAAAACAATAAAACAAAAAGAAAAAAAAACTAAAAGAACAAATGATGCCATAAAATGGAAACAAAGAAAGAAAGAGAAAAGGAAAATAAAGAAAGAAAGGTTGACCGTCTTTTATATATAGTAATTGTATACATAATAGAATAAAGTCGGCAAAGTTATATAAGACGAAAGCAGTTGAGGCTAAAGTAAATAGGTGATCGGGGTAGTACAAAGTCGAGAATTGCCTATTTTCGAATGCCCATTTCAGCTATTTGGCTCCCAAAGTAGATTGTTGGCGTATAAGAACCAAGAATAGGAGGTTACATAGAAAGGCAAAGAGAAGAGAGGGATTTACCACGGGGCTTAACGATCGATTACGATATAATACTCTCATTAAAACCTTTAAAGAGTACGAATATTTTAACAAGGCGGTCAGAAATTAGAGACCATTAAACGACTAATGGATTTCTTCGGAACCTCTTCTACAACGTAACTTACATAATCGTCGTCACTTAACTCGCTTACGCGGAAAATTCCCGACCCTAAATTTAAATCTACACACACGATCGAAGTAAAACGCTTCATTATGACGTAATCAAACCGATTGTATCTAGTCCAGTTAAGGAACGTCACTTTATCTTCTACCTATACTTTACCATACTTATCTCGCGCAGATGTTTTTCGAATGTACAAACATGTCAGAATGGTCCCAACTTGACCGGCGCGTGTACCGCATTTTCTTACTTTTCCTTATATAAACAACCACCTGTTCCAGCTTAAATATAGAATATTATGTGTTATATAAACATGCATGTATATAGTAGAAACTCTAGGTTTATATTTAGTTAATTATACAACGTCTGTGTTATACAATAGCCTACATTAGGTATTTAGAGGGAAAATTGGTGTAAATTGATTCATTAACATCCGTATCACGATATACTTGTACTTATTAGTGATAGTTATATCATCAAAACATATTTTGGTGCTACAATTACTGCAAGCTTATTAATGACTGACTCTTTGTTCTTGCAAAACATCGCAGTTTAGGAAATATTGAGTACGAAACTTGCAATTTATATACCTAAAATATACAATGTACGTAGCCCCGTTAGTTTAATCTCTCTGATCTTTTGTTTACGTTCTTGTTTAAACTTTTTTCTCCTTTTTATTCGTTTTATTTTTTGAAAGGACTAGTGAAAGATTTTATATCCTGTTTTCATAAGGAATAAAGTTGAAGCTAATGAGTTGACGTTGGAAATGTACCGACTGGGAAAATACTCTAGATTGGTTTTCAAGCAGGAAAGGATCTATATTCAATTTCTCACTCGAATGTTATACCAATACATACTCTATATATACACATAGATGTCGGAAACAGCAAATATATAAGGGTAAGGACAACTAGCAGATGTTTAACGAATGTAAAAACATATGCCGAAGGGTGCACAGCTTGATTCGAAGTGTGTCAGGGTATCTCCAACATGATACACGATTAATTAACCTTTTCCTTTCACGCTGAGTTCTCACCTCCCCCTATTCTCAAGAGGTGATGAAAGTTTCATACTCCTCGACCACGCATATGTTGATGAAACAATAATAATAGACTGAGAGATGTCTTAAATACTAAATTACTGATATTTGAAATCGGGATAAAATTACTTGTCTATTAATCTTAGAAGAGATATGTAAATGAGCGACATGCCTTGCAAATGTTATCGCAGGTTGTGCACTTGCCAGTAAACAGCGTCAGCTTAATTTGACAAACCTGTTTAATAACCTATGATAATGTTTTCTGAGACTAATAGGGGCTTTTACGAAGTATCTTCAATGGAACACTTACAACTTGATGTTTTAATTAACAGCGGTATTTTTCGAGAAACTGATGAAAAGGTGGCGATACTGATATAATGGGGTAGCTGAACAAACGCGTGCTTTGTTTCTTATCTTTTCATTAATTTAAACCTTTGAATGTATCGTTTTTGTTACAGTTTTGAACTTGGATCGATTTGGTTTTGTTTCGACGGTAGCCTATTTAATATGATGCTGTATAGATGACTTCTAAAGCTTGTTGAAGTCATGATGTATAACAAAAAGTTTATACTATAATTGGTTTGTTCCATTGTTTGGCTTATTTCTCTTATTATAATAATAGGCTTCCTTGTAGATGCGTACAAATTCTCTCCGTTTAAGAAAGTTATTAGATGAGCCAAAGATATTGGAATAACCAAGAAAGTAAATGTAAACGAAATAATTAGAAGACTGACTGTTGCTTTAATTTCCTTTTGATCTTTCTTGTCTTTTATTCGTTTACGATTAGCAAACAACTTGTATATTGTTAATATATTGAAGGTTAATTGAAGAATTGCTGGAATAATAGCATATATACTAATACCAGTAATAAGAAATGCTTCTCCAATCTTTAGTTTATCGATGTCAGGTTTGTTCGGTATGCACATACCTTTCCAGATATTATCAGAATAGTTTACCCATACTGCATTGTAAACGCTCAAAACAACGCATATTATAAGCATGGTAATTACAATGCTCTTTTTGGAAATAAATTCTTTTGCTCTTAAAGGAAAGTAGATATTTATAAATCTTTCCACAGCTATTAGAGTTATAAACCAAGCGTCACAAAACTTTGAAAATCTCCAAAGCCAAAAGAAGAACCGACACGAACGTAAACTCAGCGCTTTGATATCTCTTTCAATCCAGTTAATAACGATTGTTTTGTTGAAAGGTAACAAAAGAGTTACGAAGAGATCACAAATTGATATTCCCATTATAGCATTGGAGACAGGCATGTGTTTAAACGATTTCATTCTCATGATCATGATCGTGACTAAGTTGAAAATAATACCTGTCAGAAACAGTATAACAAAAGTGATATTTGACGCAGTTTTCCAAATTTCATTCATTTGAAAAACCTCTCGAAACGATTGGTTTGTAGAATTTGACATCTTCCTCTCGAATGCGTGCGAGTCTTTCTTTTTATAGACAATGTAAATTAAGAATGCACATTTATTATTTCTAGCAAATGAGAAGTCAGATTAGCATTTTATTTTATAAAAACTCTATAAATGTAGTTGTTATTCTTTCCATGAATATTATTTTATTTTACAGGAATTCACTAAACATAAAAGACTAGGTGTCATTTTTATTATATCTAAATGTTCTATTTGCAAGGTTTTGATAGCTACCTTCCAACATTATAAAGATCAAACAAATTGTTTCTATATCTAATCATAATTTTTTGAGTCTCCACTTTTCTTTTGTCATTTCCGTACAGAATCCCATTTTAATTTCCGAGTTTCCATCAACTTTAAGACATTTACCTGTCTTTTCTTCCCGAATTTCCCCCAAAGGTGAAAACTCCCACTTGCTTGTTAGAGTTCCGCATTCAATAGCTTTTAAAGTCTTGTGATAATTTAAGCAAGAAGAGCCAATTTTTAGTTGTTTCCTTTCGTTCAATGAAACTATAGCGTACGATCTATAAACGCTCGATGTGCAAAGAGTTAAAGACGGTGGGGAATTACGCGCAGCGAAGATACATAAGGATGTCGATTGGGATTCTAGCATACCCAGAGCTGTCGTGTCTTTGTCAGGATATACTACACCGTGTCTACCTAGGAGTGTTGACTCGTTAGCACAGATGCCTTGACGTTCCCTGAAGAATTCCTTTCTTATCTCAATAGATCGAGCTTCTGCCTCATCTGTTGACGGGTTTATATCAGCTAGACGGTAGATGGCGCTTCGTAGCGTAGGAAACCAAAGTAAAGTTAAACGGCGAAAGTTTTTCAAGCTATACACCTTACGTGGAATATATGCGTCTTGTATGCCGATTCTTGAACATTCCGAGTAAATAATTGAAACTTTGCATAACATTGCTCTGATTGACAGATCTAAATTAGCACCGCCGCCGGCTTCAAATTCCGGGTCATATTCGCCTAGTGCTTCATACACTGTTCGACTGATGGCTATTACTCGACCGTCTAGAACATTCAGTCCATCTTCAATGGTCCACATCGTGCTAAATGACCATGTAAAGGCAGATTTATACTCGGGCATCTCACGAACAGTTCGCATCTTTTCAATAGAATCTATTCTCGGCGAGACGATAGATGGACCCCCTTCATGCAATGTATGAAGTAGTGGCGCCATCCAATGAGGCGTCACTAATACACCAGACTCTATAAAGACTAGTACATCCCCTTTAGCGACCTGCGTCATCTTATGTCTTGCCGACGCCTCCCCCAGCTTCGTCTCAGATCTTAAGAGCTTACATATTGATTTACAGGCGTTCACTAACTTTCCAACAACTTCCCCCCCAAACGATGAAATTCTGTCATCGTAGACTATGATTTCCCTAATTAATTTCTCATCTGTATAGCGTTGAATAGAAAAGAGCGTTCCCTCTAGGAGTCTCCAATTATTTTCATCAACATTGATTAATATAGAAGAACTTTTTAGTCCACCGGTTCTATAAACATTTGATTGGCAATGCGATGGAATAAACGCTTCTAAATCTTTTATAATCTTATTAGCATCCTCTTCAGACCAAGTTAGAAAATTAGCTCTGACGTTGTTCAATTCGTTCTTCAAAGAATACGTCAGGATTAGAGATAAACAAATCAAGACAAATAGAAGACAAAACAGCTGCCTGACGGTCAATTTTTCCACTCTCCGCCATAGTTTTAAGAAAACTGTTGGATTTCCTGCGGAATGAATTGGAATTTATCGTCCTAACTAAAGTCACATTAATACAAAGTTATTTTACGTACTTCTCCTATGGGAATTCCTGGGAGTCATGGGATCGGAATTCTTGATTAGTTCTCTACGTCCTAAATGTACATTCGCCAAATTCCTGATTTATTTTTATTTTTGTATTTATCCTTTTACACGTCGATCTAAATAAGTAATATTGCAGACGAACGCACGGCCGATCTGTCGCTAGTCAGGCGTGTCGAGGAACGTGTATTGAATAGATAGGTAGGAAGAAAATAATGAAAAAGCGCGCTCAGATTTAAAATGTGAAAGACATTTCGATCGATTATAAAGTGTATAGAGGTGGAAGAGAGTAGATGTGTTTTTTGTTGAGTACCTAAACCGAATATTCTGCTGGGGGAAATAGACCGATTGAGTGAATAAATTTACTACTATGTTAAGTTATTGAGCTTGTGCAACTCGATGTTAGAACGATGGTAAAGGAGCTAAAAGGGTTCCAGTAGAGTAGGCTCTTTAATAAGTCGGTTTAGCAGAGCGAGGAGGCCCCAGTAGTGGCGCCATCGTTCGCGATTGGAGCGTCATTTTAACGCCCGCCATGTATCTGGTAGCTAAATACCAACAATTTCGACGAGCGCAAATAGAGAATAATCTGAAAAAGAAAGCAGAAAAGGAATTGCAAAAGCTAAATGAGAAGATCGTAAGTCATTAACAGTATTGTAAATCTGACTGGCAATTAAGTTGCATAGAAAAATCGGTTTTAAAGCATGTTTTACTATTAGAGAATAAATCAGTTAGAACTCACATTAAAAATAGAGACAACACATTCGGAATAAGATCGGAAAGAGATGGCGACGCCCATTTCTCTCTCCTTCGCTTTTTTATTTTTAAACGGAAGCACGTCGACAAACTGATTAGTCGCTTGAGACCAAGCGAGAAAAGTGACGCCGTCAAGATTAATTTGACGTTCGGTGTTATAAGAAAAATATAAGGGAAAAATAGAGGGAGAAGTCGCCTAATCAGCAGTATATGTACGCCGAAAGAAGAAATCAATGCGTAGAAAATGTTCGATCAGCAGCGTTACCATAGCGACTGCAAACACGTGGCAGTACGACGATTAGGCGTCGAGAGTTTGTCGTCATTAATGTTGCATTAGAACGCTAAGCGCTTGATACACTTATCGGAAATGAACTACCGATAAGGATGACCAGCGAGAGCTAATTAATAAGCTCGAACTAGTCTCTAGAGAAATTTCAATGACATAGATTCGATTATCGAAATCCTCGATATGTTTGTAGGACAAACTTCTGGTCAAACTAGATGCTAAACAAGCAACCGATGACGAAGAAGGGACGCCCGTATCCGGAACAGAGGTGAGTTTTATAAAGAGACCGTACAAAGAACGCCTGGAATTATGACGTCACGACTTTTCTACTTTTCTTATCTTTTCGTTCTGCCCCTGTAGTGCGTCGTCTGCTTCTCCTCAACAGCCTGCATGCAGACACTACCATGCAATCATAGAGTTGTCTGCCGAAAATGCTTCGTCAAGACTATACAATCGGCCGTTAATCAGCGATGCCTACCGCTACGCTGTGTAATTTGTCGTGAGAAAGTACTTAAACTTCAGCAAAATCAACCCAACCAGAGGAGGCCACCCCCATCACTAGCTCCTCAATTAAGACGCTATCAAGTGCACGCTTCTTCCAAAACTCCACCACCAGTTAGGCAATCATTTGTTGAACCTGTTAAACCAGGCTCAGCGGAGCCGAAACCAATACTGAGAAGAGCTGGAAGAAAAACAGGGGTGTCTAGCAACAGGGTAAACGCCGTCACCTTTAACGAGCGCTGACGACTCCGACGATTCCGTTGAGTAGATTAGTTAAATGTCACGAAGAAAATCAATGGGCGACGAATTAAATTTTTCTAGTCATAAAAAATAAAGTCAGAATGGAGGTGCAAAACTGTTTGTTAGGTCTGTTTGTAATACCCCATTACGTAGAGTGCTTGTTTACGTGTTGTTGGGAGAAGAAAAAGAGACTCTAACGATAATCCCTTTTTTGTGATACAAACAACGACAGATGTCGCTTACAGTCACTTTTTGCGCATCTTTAATAAATGAAACAATTCACAAATATACTTAATAAAATTCAATATACTGTATATATCATGATTTATATATACAGTATATAGCATATACAAATACATATATAAATATACATAAATCATATGTACTGTATATATACAGCAAAATAAAATTCTTTACATGTTTCGTATTCAGTTTTAAATTATACACAAATAAATGCACTTAAAGGTACACAGAAGAAACGCTACATCAGCCAGCAAATAGATATTAAAAAACAATATACTCTCTTCGTAGTATAGCATAGAAACTATGTCTATAAATATACAATATATAGATGTAGGCCTTCTTCTCTTCTGACAACCTAATCAATTAAAATCTACATACTGTAATAGCAATATTTTTTTTGTTTATAAGTAGCTCTTTATTTCATTTAATAACTTATTGAAAAAAAAAGAGACTAAAGGAATGAAGAAGTAAAAAATGAATTTATTAATAAAGGCACTAAGTGTAAGGAGTCGTTCTTCTAAACGGCAGTGGAAAGATAATGATTGCAGCTTAAGAGAGGAAAAGATATTTTTATATATCAATAAACCGTAGATTACTAGCGTTTTATTATTTCCGGAAGCAATGACTATTCTATTCCAATAATAGAATATAATGACTAAGAATAAATTAGCTTGTAAAAGCTTTCTATTTTTTGTTCGAAACAGTAACGTTTATGCATTCAAAAGTTGGATTCTGACTAATTCTAGGAATGACGAATATCACGTAATCGAACAATATATTACTCACAATGGCCCTTAAGAAGTCTATAACAAATAAGATATAAATAAACAATATCATCTACAAATGAGCAACTACTAAATTTTATTATTTATTTATTGTTTTGTAATTAATTTATATCTTTATCAGTTTTTAATTAATTAATTTAATATGCCAATATCTAGCTATCTATAGTTATACATTTATATATTAATATTTTTCGTTTTTCATCTTAACGTATCTAAAACTACTTTAAACAATCGAGGTTTTACTTTGTAACAAACCTTCACCTGTTACTCTTCGATCAATATTAATAACTTTACGGACGGCAGGGACTGACTTTTGTCGATATTTATAGTATAAAATTGCAAGAGAAATATAGAAAAATATATAATACAGTTGAGTTGAGAATGGAAAATAGAAACACGAGGATAAAGTTAAGGGTTGAAAATGATCTAATTAAACTAACATTTACATATTTATGTACATACTATACATTAGTAAGATACGAGTATAAGTACAGTTCTTATATTTACGCTTTACATAATTTATGAATATTAAACATCATGAATATTAATAAAGTAGATAAATTTTTATAAATAGAAAGTAAATAAGAAAAATAAAAGCAACAAATTAAAATTGTAGATAAATCCATATTTTTGTTACAAAGAATAAAGATAACGTTATGACAGAACCTATAGAAAGACAAAATATAAAGAGTTTTGCGCCATCTCTTGTTAGGTTTCATCATTGCTTCATCTCACTTTATTTCACTTACTATACTGTATATTGTTTACTCTTTCAATCTCGCTTAGACGTTCTGTTTATGTAAGAGTGTCAGTTTTTTGTCATTCCGTTTTTCATATTTATAAAAAATTAACTGAATATTTTTCGTTACGTTTTACAGCATATTTATGGTATCTGAGAGGGTAGGATTGTTTCTGTTCAGGCATAAAGGGAATTTGAGAAGATATTAGCAAAATATATTGGAATGATATCCCGATCAAGTATACATGGCCTAAAACGAGTTATTTGCAAGTTTTCTCTTTAGCATTTGATACTTATATGTCAGAGAGAGAGAGAGAGAGAGAGAGAAAAGAGCGAAGGAGAGAGAGAGAGAGAAAGCAAAGAAAAAAAGTGCGTGTTTGTATATGGGATTCTATGATGTTAATATTTTAGTTCAAAAGCTTGACAAAACAGTTTAATCCCTAGTTATTTATATTTACATAAATGTAATAATACAATGTATATGTATTGTTATCATGTGTTCCTTGCGTATTGTCACCTGTGAAATTGTATTATGAAATACAACAATATATTCTGTCTTTCATAGAGCTATATCTGTGCACACATATACAATATGAATAAAAACTATAGATAAAGACATCCAGACCGGAGTTTCCGTTTATGCAGATATTAAGAATAGTACAAAATTCTATTTTGTATGTATACATAAATTTATATAAATAAATAAATATATATATATATATATATATATATTACAACCTAATATATATATATATATTGCATATACATGTTTACAGTTAATTTGAAATAGGGTAAGGAATCCGTCAGTCATGATTTAGGATGGCACGGAAAGTTGCGTTTCCTACTAGTTTCTTTTCTTTCTCTCCCCACAGCTGATACGGGAAATGGTCGCACTGTTAAAGAGATTCTTTTAACGCGGTCAATTAAATCAATTCTGAGTAACCAAGAATTTTATAGTGGATACATGTATGAAGCTATTTTGTTTCTCTTTTTTTTTCTCATTTTCTATTATAGTAGTTTACATCTGTCAACACGGAAGCGTGCCCTCAACAGGTGGCGCGTATATCACTTTTTCCGCTTTTATGTCTTTTTTGGAATCAAGCAAAGACGCTCTTTTCTCTTTCTCCTCCACTTCTATTTTGGAGGATGGATAAAAATTCGACAAGTAATGAATCTTTTCAAGATTCACGGAGTCCTCTTTATTATGATCCTGCATATCGAATAGTTGGAACTGTTAGCGTTGCATTTTTTTTTGCTGTTGGGTTCGTAGGGAATTCAATGGTAGTTCTTGTTGTTTCTAGAACATCTAATATGAAAACTCCAACAAATTGTTATCTGGTAAGTCTGGCTGTGGCCGATTGCCTGGCTCTTCTCTCAACGGCAGTACCCTACTTATTTGAATTTCATTTAATACGGTATAAATGGCTTTTCGGAGAGGCCGGCTGTCGTCTCTTTGTCTATGTTCAGTACCTGAGCACGACCGCTTCCATATTATCAATTACAGCGTTTACCGTTGAAAGATATCTTGCTGTTTGTCAACCGATTAAGTCGCAGAAATTGTGCACTATGAGCAGAGCAAAGAAGATTATATTAGGAGTGTGGATAGTTGCTATTGCTTATAATTCACCTTGGTTGGCGTTTGTAAGTGTGAGGCTAGAAGAAATTCGAACGGGTTTAAAAGTGGAACACTGTAATTTTTCTTTATCCAATAGGAAAACTTATTTAATAATATTTATGTGCGATTTGGTATTATTTTACGCTGTTCCTCTTCTTCTCACTTGTCTTCTGTACACCCTTATCGCTAAGGCTTTGCTCGGAGAATCCTCAAAGATAGGTAGACGAACTAACTTCTGGAGAAGACAAATGGGCTCGTCGTATAGAAGATCTCATAATTCTAGGGTACAAGTAAGTTGAATTTGCATAATTAGCATCTCATTTTTTCTATTTAAGACCATCTTGGACACTTTCGTGTCCGATATCGTTTTCCCCCACCGGTGTTATTAGCGTACATATTTTACTAAATAGCCAACTCGCACGAGACTAATCGAGGGAGTTGGTAGCTACTACGGAAATCACTAGTTATTTTTTATAACCTCTCTTCCTATCCCTGTCTTTTGATTCTCGTTCCTAACCACTAATCGAGAAAGTGGGCCGGGCTGTAATAGAATAGTGATAAACTATTATAACGAAAGCAGGGTTTAGAGAGACGCATCATCTAATAATCTTGTACCAATCTATTGATAATCCCAGGAGGTTATCAACAATAGTGGATAGCGTAGAAGTAATATGGATGTTCTACAATTGAGCTGTAATAATTATCCAGTACTAAAACTTATTTAAAAGTTACTTGTATATACGAAGATATAAGTTATACATGATTGTTCGTAACAGGTTATAAAAATGCTTGCTCTTGTCGTCGTACTTTTTGCCCTACTTTGGATGCCTTATAGGATTTGGGTAGTCTACAATTCCTTTGCCCCCCGTCCTTACCAAAATCTATGGTTCCGCCTCTTCTGCCGATGCCTAGTCTACGCAAATTGTGCCATAAATCCGATTCTTTACAACGCGATGTCGGTGAAATTCCGTAGAGCTTACAGACAATTGTTGTTCTGCAACCGACAACAAGGTCATTCAACTGAAGCTTGCCGATACTCGCAAATAACCTGCCAGTTGTATGAACTTAAGTGATAATGACTTCGATGTTAAAGAAGGATAAAGAAGGGAGGGTGATGGTGTAATAAAGAAGTATATGTAACCCTTATTTATTTCATACATTAAGTTGTCAATTTAGTTCTAATTTTTGGATCTATGCATTCCGTCCATAAAGTTTTCTTTTCTCCTCTTTGAGAAATCCTGCCATCAACTGCTCCCTAACTCTTTATATTTAATTCTTTTGTCCCGTTTTGTCCATTAATGGCTATTTATTCTTACAAGGTAATTTGATGATGATTTTCTGGCAGAATGCTCTTAGCCCTTTCCGATTTCACGTTTTCCGGCAAATACATCCCTCAGGCGTTACAGTTTTTTCCTACTTTGCTTGTTTTACATGAAAATGTTAAAACTTCCGTTCTAGGCGGTCAAGTTGTTGTCGGAAATTGTAGAATTAGGCCTCTCTTTGAATTATTTGCAGTAAGATTTTTGTATATAAAATACGAAATATGAAATAATATATTATTTAAATAACAAAACTGCAATTGTTGAAAGTTTATTAATCTTCTAATGATAATCATAATCATAAAGACAGTATATATAACTTATTAAGTAAACAAATGTATCGTTATTTATGTACAATCTATATACAAATATGGAAATATTTTGTTTTCTTATGAATAGATTACTATTTAATATTAAAATTATGAAATGATATACAGCATTCAATTTATAATATGGTAGATTATACATTTTTTTTAAACGAAACTTAGTCAGTTGACAATTTCCTATCATTGTGTCTCGCCTAATAAGCTGTGTCTACGTGATGACATTATTGAGGAATAAGGGATTTATACTCTATACATTTATACCGCTGTGTCAAGGGTAAAAGATATCTTCCCTACAATTAAAACTATCGACCAGGAGAAGAAAGGAGAGCTTACAACACTTTTACGATGGTAAAAAGAGTCTGATACTCCGTTTTAGAAGAATAATTTGACTGTTTAATGAAGTAACTAGACTGCAATATAGAAAGTGGATAAACAGGATTGTTATGTAATCTTCTTGTGTAATATTTTTCATTTCCAATCCTTTTTTTTTTATTTTTTCCGGCAGTCTTTTTGGTTGAAGTTCTTTTTTTGTATCTTATTTCTTAAAACTCTTACAAACATTTTCTTCTTTTTTTTGTTTTTTGTTTTTTTTATTACATAAAACAGAATCAGAAAGAAGTTGCAGTTTAAAAGGATTGTTAAGAACTTCAAAGATTTCATTTAAAAAAGCTATCGAGAACTAGAGTTACATGGCACGGAGTGATATCTCACATTCACTCTATTTTTTCCTTAATAAATCTGTGATCAAGTTCTCACTATATAGATTTCTTATTTAAATTATATGCTATACTAAGAAAAATTTTAAGCAAAAGGGCTAAATCGTACTTGGTCGGAAAATGGTTTAACATTAAATTCAAAGAAATATTAGATTACGGGATTTTTTCGTTTTATTCGACTGGAAAATAACAGCATTAAAGATAAAGACGTAAACGTTTGTAAATTAAGATTCCCTTTGTATAGCATACCATTTACAGATAATAGTATATGCAATATATGTGAAAATCAGCAAAAGACAGAAATTTTTTATCATTTTGTTCTGGCAGAAAAGAGATTTTATTGACTTTTTAACGAGACGAGAGAGAAGGAAAAATGCGGCGTAAAAGAAAATTATAGATTCAAAGGACTTCATTTTCGCTTGTTTCCTTTCATTCATCGATTATATACGTTTATCGAAGAAACTTTAAGAGATATGTCTAATTTACATGAATTTGGTAAAAGTGATACTGCAAACTACTAATAATGTTAACCTATGTAACACCGCTCTCTAAAAATAAACAATAGATAGAAAGGGTATCCATGACATTTCTCATCTTCTTAAGTGAGCCATTCATTGCAAAGACTTTTAATAGTGCCAACTTAGCAGACTTTACCATGGATATAGCCATTTATGAGACAGATGCATGGAAATTCCCAGAAAGTAGCCAACGCGGCGAAAATACTACCGGCTTCAGTCGATTGTCCGCTCGATAAATCCAAAATCCAATAGGAGGGCCTTGACGACTCCGTCCCATTGGAGCTTTTGACTCTATGTCTTGGAAAACGACAACGATGACATAGATAGCTGACCTTTGGCGGTTTTTCCGCTTTTATGTTCTACAGTTTACACACTTTCGGTCATGACATATTCCTCAACGTGTTCTAACCCACTCTGTTAAATTGTTTATCAATGAAATTCCAGAGCTCTTCCATAGAATTCTTAATCTTTAAGTGATAGACTTTGACCGTCCCTTGAGCTTGGGTATAAGGTTACCATCATGTGGAAATAGAAATAATTTCCTCTCCATCCTCATAAAAAGACTGATTGTTTGATATGAGTATGAAAAATGTGATGACTTTTTGTCGTTTTTCGATTTTGGATTGATGTTTTATTTATGAATGACCTTGAAATTCTGTTCTAAAACTATTTAGTTAAAAACTTTTCCTCTAAGAACATCCAATTACATGGAAATAATTATAAGACAAGGTAAATGATAAAAGCTTGGTAGAGAGTCACCGAATTGTTGACAAGTTTGTCTTCTGGGAATAATCAGTCACGATAGCTTCTTCACAAATTTCTCCAAGTTTTATAGTTCAATTTCACTGATTTTAAGTATTAAAGAACTTAATCCACCGATTGGTTAGTTATTCTCATTTTTAATGAACTATCCTATTTATAAGGATAAGACGTAACCATTTCGACAATCCGATTATCCGTGGCTTTATATCTCATTCTTTAAACTATTTAGTTGAAGGATCTGGTTTCTGGTTCTCATGTGATTTAACCTCGTAATGATGAGTTGTCGCTGAACTTTGGTTGCTTCCACGACCTCTCCTCCGAGATTTTACAGGCATCATAGCTCGACCTCTCGAGTGACTGTCTACTTAATGGACAATTCATTCAACTATTAGAATTCCCAATACCCATCTTTATGAATCCCCTTACTAAAAGTACAACGTCAAACTAAAGGCTTAGAAGCGTAACAGATGTCCAGGGACATTTAAGGTGAAAATACTAATAAAATGGATTCGTCAAAGATATTTCATCTTGAAAACAGAATAATGGAGATTCATACTGACAGAAACAAAAAGAAATTCTGAAACCGCTTTCTTTGTAATAAAAACAAAAAGCAAAAGCGATGTTGGGTGAAATTAAACAGACAGGACGGCTTCTATCTTTTTATACTTCAGAACATTTACGTTGTCATCGAAACAGGAAGGACTATACAAATGGTACTCCATTAATTATATCATCAAACGTGCGTATTATTACATAATACCGTTTTAAATGCAATATATTCGGACTTCACCCATATATCTCCGACTCAAATACGCTTAGATGACAAAGCTATCTGCTTTTCTTTAACACTTACAGTCTATTCTCCGCTCCTCTTACTCGGCTATTTGTTACATCTATCCCATCCAACTCCTCAATGATTAAGGTCAGCTATTTCATACAGAAACTTTTAAAACATTAATCAGTAATGTCTTATTCCATAATAGAAAATTTATCTATCAGGGGAATATTTATAGCAAGTAAAAAAAAGTGAGTATAAAGGGATGGATGAAAAAGAAGGAAGTTTTATTGATATAGTTCCGCTTTTTATATATGTATTTGGGTACTGTAACGTCAAAAAATCTACTTTTGTTATTTGTATATAAAACATGAAGAAAAAGTTACAGCCTTTTTGAAAGACAAATAAATATCTGGCATTTAATAAATAGTTGTATATAATAAATTATTAAATTATATAACGTTCATCCCTTTAGTGTAAAATATTTGAAGTGATGGTTCCATTCGTTTTATATCGTTAAGATAATTGTTAAATATATGTATTGGTTCTTTTTTTAGGAATAGACAATCTTATCCTACTCTTCCTCCCTTAAAATCCAATATAGCCAAAATACTTATATAATGCGCCTGAAGCCATTAAGCGAAGAGCAGGTTTTACTGTCTAATTCGTTTAATTCTAGGATTCTTTATTTTATAGCATAGGGAAAAGTGGCACGTCGAATAAAAACTTGGATCAGCCGTTATATGGGTAACGTATAATTAATTTCTTGTTTCTATTAAGTTCTTATATATAAAAAAAGTCTTACTCGTTAATGCCGTTAGAATTTTACATTAAGAATACAATGCTAATTCAATTTGACTCAAATAAGACCTCTAAACGAATATTCAAATCATATTCCATAGAACATATGAATTTTTCCCTAATACGCCGCCTATATAAGGCACCTATATGCATATAATAATGTGTATGAGCATAATTACTTATATTAATATATCTGTCTGTGTAACCTTTGCTAAACACCCTAATTATTATAAATGATTCAAATTAGACGTTTGCGTCCAATGTATTTTGTATTTTTTTTATTTATATAAATGTATGTGTGGATATATATAGTATGTTTATGTTGAATATATATACATATATATATATATATATATATGTATATATTCACATAGAATTATTATATAAAGTTAATAACATTGAAGAAGGAAATAAGGACAAAGAGAAACATTTCATATTATTAAATTAAGTGCCAATTTAAATATATAATTATTTAACGCTTATTAATTGGATTAATCTAATAATAGAGATATTCAAAGAAGAAATCTAATTTTTGTCTTTGCCATAAATAATGGCAAATTCTCAGCAATTTATTTTCAAAATTACATTGTAGATTTCATTTTCTGTTGAGAAAAATCACAGTTAATGAACAAATAGAAATATTCTTTTTTTTCCTCTTCTTCTTCTTTCCGGATCGGTTTACTTTCTAATTCGGCCAATTAGTGAGAAAACACGAAATTCTTTTGCAGTTTGACTACAGGTGGCACTTTTAACTTTTCATTTCTGTTTTATCCGTTTTAATATACTCTTTCGCCATCTACAGGCTATATTTACAAGGTAGGCATTTTTATATTCCAGTATTTAGCCATTGTGTATTTTTTTTCTTTTTAAATAGTTCTAATTATTGTTATTGTAAAAGTCCATTACAGAATTTAGGTTAAATAGATGACAATAAGGAAAAATGAATGCAATTTTTAGTATATACTAATTACTCGGGCGTAGAAAATAGGGATCAATAAGAAAAATAGAAAGAAAGAAATCTATCAACTTATGATAAAGCATATTGTGACATTTTGACGAATTTTTATACCAAAAAACGTCAATTAACCGACTTTTGTTTTAAATGGTTATTGACGGATTAGATTACTGTCAAAGGAAACTTTCTTAAATGGAAATTTTTTCCTACCCTCTCCTTATTTCCTGTTTGGAGACGATCATAATGAATGTCTTTAAAACACTTCATTTCTTTTCCTTTGTAACTTTCTATCCTTATCATTATCATTTACGTATTCAGCGACAACATCGGGAGAAAAAATGCACAACGAAGAGATTATTGATTTATCTTACACTACTTTTGTGGTATGTTTGGTTTTCTGTTTTTCTTCCAGCAATTAATTAAAGCATTTCAGATCCAGTTGTTCGAATCTCAGCGGTAACTGGGTGATAATTAGGTTGTATGTTCTTTTTTAACGGGACGAAAGTATTCAAACTTCTTGTATTTATTTCAGAGTTAACAGGGGGTCTGTCTACAGGAGTAAAACAATGTCTCATTATCTTCCTATAGCCAACACGGACCTCTCTGAGGCGTATTGCATATATAATAGGATCTGCCAGAGAATTAAGCAACAACAAATCGTAAAAGTAATAGTCCAGGTGCATCGCCCATTGTATGTAATGCAAGTGACGACTTCCATCCAATTTAAGACCAATTATGGTATATATCTCAAAAATGCAATAAGGAAGAAAACAGAAGCAAAACGTAGCCAATATAATTAGGGTTGTAATCAACCCCTTCCTGTTTCTTTCCATTTGAACTGTTCGCCTTCCATGAGTAAACCCAGGCATATCTCGTATTTTCACAAAAATGACAGCGTAGAGGACAGACATAACTATGAGGCTAATTGGAGTCAGGACAAAAATGAAATATTCACTGTCGTAACCTTTACAAGATAAACGCAGGCAATATGTAGTGTTTTCGCAACGTGGGTCATTGCCTTTGGAGGTTGGAAGGAATAGAGAATAACCGGCTAAAAGACTTATTAGCCATATTTGGCATATTGCCAATTTTATCCTTTCGGTGGATACCACAGCGGCATGGTGTAAAGGCCAAACAATAGCACAATAATGGTCAGCTGCCAAACAACAGAGATTTAAGAGAGACACGACATGAGAGCTTGTTCTGAACGATCTGTGTGCAATATGGAGACAATCATTTCGCTTAACACTGGCCCCCATTCCTATTTGCCAGAAAACGGAAACTGAAACGCACATATCGGCTACGGCTAAACTCACAAGGAGACGAGCATTGGCTGACATTTTTCTCCCTTTACCCTTGTACATAGCAAATAATGAAGAGGCATTTAATAACAGAGCCAAAATAGATAATATGAATGCCAAAGCAACTTCGGGTTTTTTAAAATTGGTTTCTTGATGTTGCCTGAGGAACTTTTCCAAATCGTCAAGAGAAAAGTTTTTTGCAAAGTAGTCAGTTGAATTTATTTCCTTCTCCCAATTTATCATTCTTGCTCTCTTATCTTACTCTTTCTTACTCTAAGACTTTCCGACTCTATCTCTTCTTTCTCGCTCTCTCTTCTATTCCTATTCTCCCACCTTTCTATCCCAAAAAAAAAGTATTTTATATAAAGTAGATAATCGAACTGAAAAAAGGAACTGGGAAATAAAACAAGATTCACTAATCTGTATTTTAGAACTATTACTTTTGAAGCTATCTAGAAAAATTGAAAGAAATGTAATGGAGTTTCCTACATGAGAGACATCTTAAAAGAAATCTTAAAACTATGGCAATCGATATATGCTCCATCACGATTATGCGTTATTACATTGTCGGCAATTCGTGTAGGATGTGTGAATTTTTATACCCGTCCTAATGGAGTTAATATCGATTATAATTACACATTCCTTTCTGAAATTCACTTTACTCTTAATAGCTTAAGAAAGGATATTTCAAGTTGAAGCCAGGGAAGATTTAGAAGAAAGATTGAATTGCAGATTGTGTGAACTATAATACTTATAAGCCTAAGTTTTCCTTATTACGAATCTTTATATCCGTTTTACTTACAGTAATACCGTATCTTAAATTAATCCTAGGATTGTGTTTTGAAGTGATATTTTAAATCTTACAATATAAAGGATATAAGGGAAAGGGATTAAATAATAAAAGAGTAATAATTCTGTTACATGTATCAGTATGTTTTTCGAATAAAAAAATAACACTTCTCTCAACTGCTATCACCACTAAGTGAAGAAAGATTTGCTTATAAATTCTTATATGTATTATTGAAGAATCATAAATAATGTAGATTACTCAAAGCTTCAGCTGATTAAGCTACGACTATTCCCTTTCAAACAGTCTAGAAGTTTTTAACTTTGAATAAGGTATACTTTACACTAGTTTTATTATTCTAGACTCTTTTCTGCCCTCACGTTCTAAAATTCTTTAAGACAACAAATTTCATTACTCCGTACTCCCTAAGTTTTTTTTATTATCTTCCTCGGTCTAGTAAACTCTTAAATAATTTAAATAAAAGAGAGAAGATAGCTTTAATTTCTTCTAAAGTAATAAAATCCGACATTAAATGAATATTGTTTTGTTAATTTTTATATTAAGTATAAATAGGCGTATTCTTCGTCTATTAGTTCCTTTTTTTCTTAATCTTGGCGGTTATAATTATGGTAATAATACAAAAAGCAAATAAAAACACAATTCCAAATCATAAATAAAACATTAAATAGAATTAAATTAAATTAAATGAAGTTTACATGGTGAAAATTAGCTTGTTAACTTACCGGTTGACAGACCTTCCTCCAATAAATTCCAACCAAAGAGTAATCACTACAAAATTTTTACTGCAAACTAAGTAAACCTAGGAGCATGCGCAGTAGTAAAGTCTGAGGGAAAAAACTGCAAAAACACATTTTTAACGAGGAGGATGTAGACTGTGTCTTTAAAAAAATATGATAAAATCAATTCTGATTTTGGACAAGTATTTAAGGTTCTTGTCAAGTCGTGTAGTTAAGTAAATTGTGTTACTATTTAATTATTGATAAATATATGAAGAGATGTAGGGGGTTTATGCAGAAATTGGATAGTTAAGTCAATACAAATACGTTCAGTATTTCTTCTTATTTTTCCCTTTATTTTTTATATTTTCCTTTAGTAAATTCACGAAAATTATTGTCGATTAGCTATGGAAAAATGTGGAAAGTGATTCGGTGGTCGATATAAGCGTTTCGAATACATATATATTAATAATGAAAGAGTTAGTTTACCAATATAAGCATACTAGAACTTCATATGCGAAAGAAAGGATATTTTAGCTTTGTAATTGAAATATAGTTAGTTATCTTTAGCTTCTGAACATGCAATATTATTTCATTAACATAAAAGATACTTGGGATTTTATATCTAAGTCTACATCATTTACTTATCGAGTCTTCGTCACATGGTGAACTAATAGGCTAATAAGCCAAATAAAAGAGATATTTCTTTGACTATAATCTCAAAGTATTAATCATGAAGTTTAAAAAGAAAAAATAGAAAAGGAAACCGGAAGAAGTTTTTTAACGGTAAAAAATCGAAACTGGAGATGGGGGAAACAGCTTTTTCCAGAATCTCTAAGAGGGAAAACAACCGGTTGGTCATAACAAAGGTTTCTAAGAGGAGTTAAATTTGCTTAATCTATGCCCCCCTTCCTCTCCAATAGTAACCTGGGAACGAAACGATTATCAATACTGACACCAATATGACACTTTCTTTCTTTTAATCCTTACTTCAAGTTCTTTTTGCCAATCTTTTATGCCATGTATACGTATAAGAAACCCACTAACTAGATCACCTAAGACTAGAGTGCTACTTATATAAAGACTACGTTGCCCTAAGGCTTCATGATTTAATACAAATATGGCAAATTATAATTGTCAACCCATAAATTATCTATTCGATTGTCAATAAATTTTTAAAAACAATATTTCGTTTACGAAATTTGATTCCACAATGTTGAGATTCATTTTCAATAAATTAATATGAAAAAATTATAAGAGGAAAATATAAAAGCTTGCGATAATTTTAAAATGAAAGCTTAATTATTATAAGAACAATAATTAAAGATGCGACTACTTAATGAGTGCTCTTTCTAAATGAGATGCTATAAAGAGTAACTCACGATATGGGTTTAAGTTTGATGTTATTTTTGGTAATCTTATACTTAAACTTGATCTTAAATTAAAAATCGTTTCCGGCTATGTTTTCTTAAGATTTCATTTATTTTTTAAGCCTAAACTTTTTTAACCGGAAAGATAGCTAATTTATGCTTGGAAATAGCCAACTCAAATCACGTACACTTAAGGTTTATTTGAGAGATAATGATACGAGAGGGCGCTTCTATACGTTTAGTTTTCTAAATACACTTTTAGATGACAACACTATCGACACACTGTCGCCATCTACGATTTTTTGTCTAATTAAGATACTAATCAAGCAGATTGGCTATAGAACGATAGTTGGCATAGGAATTGAGCCTTTGGGACCAATCGCTTATTTTTATCAATATATAACGAATTTTTCTCCCGCCGTATATTATCTATTTATAAAGTAGAATATAATACAAAAAAGAAATATTAAATAACTTTTACAATTCACATTATTCAATGTGTTTTACATACATTTTACCATAAATTTACAATACTGTGTATTCAATTAATATATAGAATGTATAGATTGCATTTAAAAATCGTATTTGTTGCAAATACCTTTAATTATCTAAAGAAATCATTAAATATCAACATGTCAAGGGACGGTGATAAATTTTCATTACAAATCTTTACAAATTAATATTTTCTATTTTCTTTTTATTCGTATTCAAAAGTTTACAATACAAATTTTCATATGTTACAACTTAATAGATTGTCTATTGTTCTAGTATCTTAAATGTGGAATGAAATGTCAACTGTAGTTTACTGGAGATTTAAATTATATCGTTACAGGGAGGAGAAAGGTAACTGTCTGATACTGTATTTTGAAATGGAATGGAAAGTATATGCAGAGTAATCTCTTTCATCTATTCAATTATCGTTTTTGTGATTGCGTAATGAATTAATTAATATAGTAAAGTTAATAGTAAAATTAATAATATTAATTAACCAAGTTCTGTTGTAAAAACATGTGTTTTTGATATTGATAATTTATCTAGTGAATTTTATAAAAGAAACTACTAAAAGAAGCCTAAAAAGTAGAAAAAAAAACAATGGAAGAGCATATGAACTTAAATATTCTCCGGAAGTTTTGAGACGATGTAATCTAATTGAAACATTTATAGCCTTTAAGACATATTTCTATATTAAGAAGACAAACTGCTGCAATATGAATTGTTCGGTGATTGATAAATATATATATATATATATTTAAATAACGTTCTTAGACTTCTATAATTATATATAGGCCAAATGTGACGTTGCCAAAAGCTTGATACATTTACTAGTTTTCACTTTGCGAAATTGGATTCCTTTTTTTTTAATGACAGTTTGTGTAAATGATTTTTTATTTTCTTTTTTTATCATAGAAGTAAACTTTATTTTTACTTTGTTATATAAAGCATTTTTTAAAGATAATTTAAAATTTTACTCATTAGAAAAACCACACGTTTACTTCCACGATGATGGTTTTTCACCAATACAAATAGAAAAACTTAGTGGTTACCGCTTTAACGATCGTAATTAATTTCTATTGAAAAAGAATTATTAATAATTCCCCCTGCTTAAACGGATATGGTATGTTGTCTTGAAAAAGAGGACATATTTTTATTTACAATTCGGAGAATTGAGAAAGATAAGAAATGATAGAGGCAAAGAATAGGTGAGCGAAAAAGGAAGAACACTAAAAAGGATAGAAACCGACAAATCAAATTTTTTAATTTATTATTATATATTAAGAGATTTCTTAATAAATTAATATTAAATAAGTTAAATGTACATTTATTATTTTATAATATGCTTTATAATTTTATATTAATATTAATCATTGTGTTTCTCTTTTATTGGATATAATAATTTATGATGATAGGCGGGCCATTGGTTAATGAGCTTCTAACCGTCTTTGCGTAAACAAAAATATATATGATTTTGCTTGGGTAATTGTCAACGAGAAGCGGTATTGGAAGTAGGGTTTGAAACTATGAAGAGGATCATAACTTTCTTTAGTCTTCTCATCTTATTTTTAGTTGTTCGGAAAGGGTTTACTTTAGCTGGTGAGATACTGTTACTTAATTTATCCTTTCTTTTACATTTATATATCTGAATAAGTTACTTATATTTTACTTAAAATATTCGATTTTATTTCATTCGATTCCTTTTAATGTTCTCCCTTTTTTTTGACTATTCTGCCTTCTGTCCTCTCTTTATTCTTATCCCTCTTCTTTTACATACAAATATGATGTCATTGAAGATGACGAATTTAGTCGCTTTGATGTCAAGATGGTTAAAAGACAAAGGGATGCCGGTCAAGTCTGTATTCAAACATTCTGTTCAAAGAAGAATGTTGACGAGTATTCCGCATGTGTAATAAGAAATTGCCGTGACTACTTTTGGAAGGGAAGGAAAAGGTCTTGGAACGATGTAACTCAAAGTTGTGTTGTGGAGGCCTGTAGTGGATTTACACCAAGAACAATTCAACATGCTTACTGTTCAATGATGAAATGCGGAAAATAGTTGACAAAAAAAAAAGAAAGAAAGAGAGAAATATTTTAATGTATGAAATATTCTGCATTTATTAATTATTTTTGGTTATGTAAATCCCTTGCAGCTATATGCAATTACACGTGCCTCCTATATTCTAGTGTAAATTAGTTTTTTTTATCGAAGTTACCGATAAATAAGAAAAAATAAAAAAATAATGTGGGAATTTAGTTAAAAAGTGTAAAACAGTATGTAATAGACACAGATACTCTATAAAGGCTATTTATGAACATCTATCTTATATTAAATATGTATTTTTCCTTTTTTTTGCATATATAACGCTAAATAGACGTATGCTGTACACATACATTGTATATTTCCGCTCTTTTATCATTAATTTTCATTTTATCAAACGACATAACTAATTTAGTCAAGAAACAAAAAACTCGTTTATTTTGATTAGGGTTTACCTTTCCATTTTTGAATAAATGAGAAGGTAAGTGTAGGCCGAAGTAACGACTTTTATTTTGGTCTTTTCAGAGCTTCAGCTTACCTGCAGGATAACATTGTGATTTTTATTTTTTTCATCGAAAGATGTCTGTATGTAAATCTTTTAATTTTCTAATTTGCTGTAACTCTCTTCCACTTTCTTTTTCTTCTTTTCCCACTTCACTAGTTCGCTCATTCACTTTCTCTATATTGCTTTAAAAATAAACTTTTTTTTAATTTAATTCAATGGCTGATCGAAGATTGTAGCAGAGAGTTGTCGGGTAGTGAGGGGGTAAGGATTGAAAGTGAATAGAAAAGCTATCAATAATGTTACTTGAAGTTAGACTAACTATCTATAGTATTGATTAAATAATAAATGGTTATACAATTTACTGTTTGAATAGATGCAAGTATTTAATTAAAACAGTTGCCGTTTTAAATTATTGATGGAAAAAATTGTTTTTACCTATTGTTTTTCATTCTACAGAATCTACAGAGTTCTATTTCCAATGTTTTACATTGCTTAGATTCAATCTATGAACTTTTATTAAAATTGAAAAAAAAAAAAGTCATAACATTTTGAACTTAATGGGGTTGTGTATAAGTTTATTTTTATTATATTTTATACTGCAAATTGACATGTTATACACAATAAGTGACTGTATCTACTATACATAATATAAAAAGTATATTTGGCATTTACAAATGCAAAACAATTTATAAATAGAGGCTTCTTTTTTCTCATTAAAAACAAAAGAAACAATGAGATTCTCTGAACCGAAAAAGGCTTTTGGTATATTTTATTTGATTTTTATTTTTAAAACATTCTTGTACACAGATGGCTACACAGTCGGCCTACGTTCTAGTACTTATATACTACTCTATATTTGACTGTAGTATATAATATATATCCTATAGAAATTAAACACTATAGGGTTGATATCAATAGGGTATTTTTCATAGAAATTATTTCTGCTCGCCATTTCGTTCGCTGTTATAGGATAAAAGTGAAAATAAAAAAGTGCTAAATGATGCTCTCTAAACGTTTGATGTTATAGACAAAAATTGCATCTTTCTAAAGCTTAAAGTTTTTCTTGTAACTTATATATATATGTATACTAATTTATATAATTTAGCTATGCCATTTTTTTACACCTTTTTTCATCTTCAACCTTCCAAGGGCGTCAGATTTAGCTATATTGATAAAAGGACGTTTAGAACTTGAAACACTGATTAATTATATACTTCGTCAATTTATTGATCTGATACGTACGTAATATATAAATATACACCCTTAAACAAGTACAACATCATTTTAGAAAAAGAACGCGTACGTCTGCTGTATTAAGTGCATTATCTTTTAATAAATAACTTTGATTCCCATTCTACCCTTTTCCTTATCCATAGTTCGCCCCTCCCTATTTAATTACAATATGCACTAGTAAGGCAGATAGGGAGGCAGTACAGCTTTCGGTATTAAAAAAGCACAGGAATCTTTAAAGAGGCTAAGGCCCGATAACAAAATGGAACACTGTTTGCACACATAGTAAAATACGTGAAAAAGAACATTATTTTCCAGCATATTGAGGAAAGAAATAAATAAAACGAAATACGCCCGATTAAACTCGGTTTATTGATTTGACGGAGAAACATCTGCTTTTCATTTTTTATTCGACAATAAAAATCGAAGTTCATCCTTCGAAAGCTTACCGTCGTTGTCTGTATCGTAAAGTTGGAAAAAGACTCTTGTCTGTTCTTCTAGTTCTCTTTCAGTTGGAACCTATCAATGGGGCGAAAAGAATGAGGGCAAATTACTTTTTTTTGTGTGACTTTTTCAAAGTGATTAATTAAGAAAAGTTGACAAAACATAATTTTAGAGGACCATCCCCTGTGTAAGGATAATTGTAAAATTTACTTGGCCTATTTTTAGCATGATGTCCCTTAAGAATGTTTGCATTTCCCTACATTCCAGCTGTTGACTGCCATCCTAGAATGAGAAAATAACAATGTAGTGAAGAGAGGCATCTTGAATATAAGTCTATACATTTTAAATATACTAATTATCGTTATTGGTTCAGTTATTGGTAACAAAAACTATATAATTAACATATATTCCTAATTATTACCTTGTCGTAGTATGCAAATATCTCATCAAAATCTTTCTTCTTCAATTTATCTCTCACGTCAAACGGTGTCCATTGGTTGTCCGTGAAAATAATCCTTTAAGCAAGTAGATAGGTTATATTTATCATTCTATATCTAAACCATATTTGAATTCCCTCTCCATTTCTTTATATATACAGTATTTTACTCACTGGACAAACTCCCTTAATTCAATCTTCTTGTCGCGATTCGTATCGAACATCTTGAGAAAGAGACGAGTAGCTGCTTGTACTGCTTCCGGAGTGTCTTCTTTAACGCCCTGTTTCTTTACAAGATCCGAAACGAAGAGCTCAAGCTCTTCACCTTCAATGTATCCACTTCGATCCTATTACAAATATAGGAGAATGTTTACATATTCGAAGATGCTCGCTAAACGAAAAATATTCTACGTTTTGCTATTTACAAGTAATAATAATAATAACAAAGCAAAGAATGAAAGATATCGACTCCCTCCCTCCCTCCCCCCCTTCCTTACCTTGTCGTAATGGAACCACAGGCGTAGAAAGTCAACAACATGAATAGTCTTGCCCTGAAAATAAATAATTGTCGTGCGTGAGTATTGTCTTCCGTGGCTTCACCCAAGTTTGTTTGCTTTATTAACACACGTTATGCGTTCTCATTTATACTAAATGGAAAAAGAGTACTACCCCGTCTAAATGAAAAAAAAAAAAGATAAAAGAAAAAAATTAAAAATTAATGAAAAAAGAAAGCAAGGAATAAAAAGAATTTTTAGGAATAAAAAAGCCTTTATTTTTTCAATTTATATGAAAAATTTTATACTTATATTAATAAATATGATGAGTAGTTGTAATAAGTAATACGACATGCGAAAAAGACAGGGAAAGGAGCAGAGAACCGCATTAGTTAAGGTGTCACTTCTGACCTTTGTTCTATCCAGCAGTGCATTCGATTGTTTCCGTGACGCTTCTTTTCCGCATATACAACCCATATTACTTATAAAATCAAGAAAAAATATAAAAAGAATTTAAAGAAAAATGTAGGTAATATACTGCGTATATGCTACAAGTGATGTAAAAACAAAAAGAGTCAAAATTATGATATTGAAAGTGAGACCTCACTCAAATGTACTTTATTTTTTTTCTGCAAAATGAAATTTATATTTGCAGTATATATACCGCAATACATCTATAAATATACATATATATAAATATATATATATATATATATATAAAGTATACGCAGCTTGTACTGCTTAGATCTCTTCGTACATAGAATAGATGTAAAATTCATTAGCATATTTTCTCTAATGTGTTCAAAAAGGACATGCTAAATATAAAATTAATTACATTAAAACGATAGTAATTAAAAGAAAAAATATATAGAAATAGGGGTAGAGGAAAATATTCGTGCTAAAATATATAAACAATCGACGCTACCTTATCAAAGAGTGTGTTGAGCGCGTGACACGATGTCGGATATTCCTGGTATTATTGCGATGTTTTCAAAGAGAAAAAAAAGGTACAATCAAGTTAAAAATAAAGGTATTTTCTGTTTTTGAAGTAAAATTTCCTTAAATATAAGCCTATTATTTTGGTACTTAATTTCTTTTCCTCTTTTCAGTATTAATTGGAACATTAATAGTAAAAAATGATAATACTGATAACCTTAACACTGGCAGCTATTATCTCTGTAATAATGATGGAATAAGTAATATCAATGATCATAATTATTACACAAATAATAAAAATGATGCATATACACATAAATATATTATCCTACATCGATCATATTTTATTTAAACGTTTGCAATCAGTTGCTAAGCGTTCTTTCTTACTTCTTACCTGGTAAGCACTCATTCTTTGCTAATTCTTCGTTTCTTCGATATTTTCCCTCTTACTTTTCTTTATCGCGTTCGGTACGATGAGAGCCGATGGTTTGAAAGAGTAGAAAAAATAGAGGTATTAATTGTTAGTGGTTACGTATAGGTGGCGCTTCTGTATACTATGCCTTGTCCATTATAATAAAAGATTAAAAAAAAGCAAGCAAACTAAAAAAAGCATATACATTCATCTCTTTTACGTCTTAGTATCCAACATCGGAAATTAGGACGACCGATAGCGCAATTTGATGCAGATACTATCTTGTTTTCTTAAAACGATTTAGGTCTTTCTATCTCTTTTCTTTATCTCACTGTGTTTTCTTTTTCCTCTATCGTTACGAATAATAATTCGATCGTCACTTCATTCATCACTCTTCTTCCCGTACGCTGTCGCGTTAATGATGGAAATCCGATTGGGTTTGTGAAGAATGGCTCTTTTTTCCACCCTTCCAATGCCCAGTTCCCTTATTTTTATTTTACTTTATTTTCTCTACCTAATTTTCTTTTTCAATAATGCCATCCTCTACTTTTTTTTTCTTTATTATATTTTTTCTCTTTCCGGCTTATTGGTTTGGGAATAACTAATTTTCAAAGGAAAGTCAATAATGCAGTTCATTGAAATTATAAGGCATTTTACCTGCTGGAATTTTTTAACGCTTATAATGCAGAGTATTTATTTATGTATATTGAGTTTTATATATATGAGTTAATGGTTTTATGCCATTATATAAGCTGAATGTGAAAGACCTAGAAATTGAGGGAGCGAATAAAAAGAGATATGATAGCTGGGGAGTGCTAAAGAGGTGAAAAGTGAGAAAGATTGAGTGAGATAGAGAATGATGAGCAGTTAACTTTTTGTTTTAGTCGATATTCAATTTCATGTTAGTCCTTTTTTAATTCTGTTGAAAGTTTCACCTTTGAATTATTTACAAGTTTGTATTCTATTTATATTTAATCGTAAATTTTTCTTAAGTTTGTTTAAACTTTTCTTTACCTTCTCTATTTTCAGTTTTTATTATTCTACAATCAAGTACGAGAGAAACTTTTTTTCCTGTTTTCTCTTTTTTCGCACAACGTATTTTGTATTTATATTTCTTTACTTCCTCGATTACATACGAATAATATATGCACTGTTTAATATATGTATACATATATATATATATATATATATATTGACTTTTTTATATATATAATATTCAAGCTTATAAGTACATACAGAAATAATTATGTATATATATGTGCTGTTCTTTTTTCCAGCAGATATATGTATAATTACATATGCATGTAGATACAGCTGAGGGTACGCATACTGACATAAACGATAAATCATTCACAGGCGTATAGGTGATAGGAAGACGGTAGAGAAAGAGAAATTTATTCACCTCTTCCGCTCCTACTACTCCTATACACAACATGGATTGATTTCAACAACATTAAAAGTCAAAAACGACAATAGGCGTCGGTATATACTATTGGAAATAGTCCAACGTCTATTGATCATATATTGATTACAATTTTTTTTTTGACAATTGACTAGATGTAAGTTTTATACACACCGAACACTGTGCTGGTATATAGTAGAGTTATACTGGACACACATGTATATATATATATATATATATATATATATATATATATATGTATATTTTGTTGTACTGGAATACATATTATGTCGTATAGACTAAACATATGACTGGGTAAATATATCTAAATTGTAATCCATATTTGTTAGTTTGAATAGGGATGGGATAGAATTCGGTGTTAAAAGGTTTTTATTTAATTTTTTTTTCGTAAAAGGAGGAAATTGGATGTAAATTGAACTGGAAAGAACAAAGCTCTTTTGACATTCAGCAGACACGCACAAATTTCTAAGCAATTTCTTAAAAGGCATTATAATCAAGCTTAACCATTATAATTTTGATATACAGGACAGAGAATATTCACTCACTAAAATTAAATTAAACTTTAATTCTTTAATTTTTGTTTTGTTTAAATATCTGCAGAAGAAATGAAAGAATTTAATTTTTGATGCAGTTTATCTCTCTTATTTTGTTTTTACAGAAGAAAATAAAGCTATAATAATAGATAAATTATTTAAGAAATATTTTCGAAAAGCAGTAAAATTCTCTCATTTTCAATCATTCAAAAGTTTCCTTTAAAACAAATGCAGTGTCAAAATAAAATAGTATTTTTTTTTATTAAATCTACCTCTTTTTTTATCTATTTTGTTCTAAACTTAATAATTATTTCTTTAAATTTGTTTTCTAAAATTACTTATTTAATGTTAAACTTTCAACCTATATCTTAATATAAATTCTGAAAATTTAACAGTTCTTTAGGAATTGGAAGTGTCAAATAAAGTTTGGGAGATAGGTGGAGAAAAAAGGAGGAGGAGGAGGAGGAGGAGGAGGAGGAGGAGGAGGAGAAGTATATATTGTAATATTTGCAGAAAGGTTTGGAATTTCAGGGAAGCGAAGAGGAAAATAAAACTTGTTCCTTCTTTTTGGGTCATTAAATTCTTTCCCTACTGTGGAAGTGCTTTTAGAATAGCATGGACCTCTTCAGCAACTGACGCCAAAATAAAAGTGAACTGTTCCTTTGTCTTCACCATACTCAATCTCTGGTCACGAATATGTTCTAAGCTAGCTGCTATATCGATCTCTTTTGCTCCTGAAAAGAAAAAGTAAGCAATGAAAGAAGATATAAGGATAGGAGAGAAGCATAATAGACTATCAATTAACCTTTAGCAAGTCTATTCAGTACTAAATCCAGCAAACAATAGCCCCCAGTCCTTCCTGCGCCATCGCTGCAATGAACGACGATAGGGCAGGAACGGGCTTTATAAGATTTGTTGACTTTCCTGTAAGGGTAGAATAAACGAGACATTAGTGAAAAACCTGCAGTTCTATTTTTGTTTTACTTCATCTATAAAGAATATTAACTTTTTTTTTACATCTCTTTAGGGAATATTGAGAAAAGCAGTGATAGAATTTGGGACTATAAGCGTTTAGGAAGGGTAAAGATTTGTAAAAAACAACAGCGAAAATATATATCTCTACATCTTTTTTATGTATAATATATACTTGCACTATACGCTACATTATATATATATACTGTATATATATATATATATATATATATATATATATATATATATATATACTGCATATATATATCTAATATATTCATAAATGTATACATATATAGTTATTTATAATATATAAACTGTATGCATATTTATATTATATATATGCCAATATACACTTATAGATGAATACCCCGGGAAAAAACCTAATAGAGCGGAAGAAATTCTCGCCCGATATCCGCCAGGTGTCGGTACGAGCAGCGACAAGGAAACGATCACTTTTGTGACTATGCAACTGGCTTCAAATCACAATTGCAAATATCACAAAAGCTGGCCGCCTCTTTGCCAACGATGCGCATGTCATGTCTTAAGCAAACCTGTTTGTATTTGCAGAACTCATAGGAAAATTATGACTACGCGACATGGAGAAAATGGAACTTTTTTTTCGTTATGTAAAGTATTTCATTTAAGAAAATATAAATAAAGAAATATTACAAATGAAATAGCAAATCAATAGTTATTGTGACAACGATTAAGTGGTGGATAAATGCAATCATACTGCAATAAATTTGCAGTATGTATATAAAGGTTCTCAACAATAAACTGTATCTACTATTAATAATATTATATATATAAATAAATAATTTATATATATATATATATACAGTATATATTATATGTTTATATATTTAATTTTACTGTATAGTATATACAGTGTTTATATGAGAGACATATCTTTAAAATTGTTTCTCTCAATCTTGCTTATAATGTGTTTAACAACATCAGGTTTGCTCGATATGACAAACACATAGTGCGCAAAGAAACGAAAATAAAGCATGCCGTATACAATAGAAAGAATAATGTTAAAAGAGAAATCATGCAATCGATTTGTTTTCTTTTTTTCTTCTTTTTTTTTTGTTAAGTAGATAAAAAAGAAACTTCTATTTTTATTTCCTAAACATATATATAGTATATAAATTTATATATATATATATATATATATACTTTTATATATGAGGGAGTTTTCTTTACGAAAGACCTTTTAATATACTATACCAAATATAAATATAGTATACCGAGTTATATATATATGTTAATATACATATAGCTTTTTCTATATTAAAAGACAAAAATACTTTTTGACTACAAACCTTCGGAAATCTAAAATAGATTTGACTGAATGTGGAACACCTAATTCGGGCCATGTAAGGTAGTGGAATTGGGACACTGTTCTTGTTTCATTTGTTTGTATATTCTTTAAGTAGAAGCTTCTGACGACGTAATCATCGCTCCACATATGTTCAGAAACCAGATGAACCTCATAAGTATTATATAAATCGGATCCCTCTTCTGGCCAATAACGATGACATAAATTTTCTCCCAACTCAGTTAGATTAACGATAGTAACCTGTGAAAATATAATCCATTAAATCAGAATTTTTAGTAATGCTTGTAATTATAAACACTTACTGCTCCTTGCTCCCACACCATCTGCCAAAAATCAGCTACGGTATGAGCCAGGGGTCCTTGAGTGGCGATATAAGCTGGATTACGTGGGTCGTGATCTGTAATGCAACTAGCATTGATGTAATCTATGCCTGATACGTTACTGGAGGCATTTAGAACCACACGAGAGTGATTATAAGGAAGAATATCGGCGAATCGGTTGTTCCTACTGTGTTCCATGCCAACAGAACAAGAGTTGGGCTCGGCTTCGTAGGAGCATAAGGCTTCCCACTCTTCGTCAACTTTTTCCTTATTCTTCAAGTGATCTTCCATATATGAGAGAACTATATGGCCAGTAGTAATATCCATATTCGAGTGAACAGGTTCTTCGCTCCTATTTGAAAAATGAATAAATTCAGTTGATTTATTAGAATTGCGTCTATTTCCGATCCAACATTCATCATTACTAGTAACAAATTGTTTAATTTTTTCAATAATCGATTCCTCTCCCTCTGTGTTATCTGCTTCCAAATTGAATAGGTTTAGTATCGAACTCAAAGCTGAGTCTTGCCTACGCAGGCCTGCTGACATCTCTCCTCTGTGATTTATATATTCAGTCCTATTTAGATCACCAGTATAAACTATAAATATGTTCGTCGCTATAGAATATTTCGGCCTAAGGCCAACGATTAAATATCTATAGATAAAATTCTGTGTTAATCTCTTTCACTTCACCGCCAAAGTAGTATTATAGATAATATTACAGAAATTAAAAATCTGCAAATATCTTTGCTGTCACGTTTACAAGTTATAGTTCCGCAGGCCACAGATGTTTTAATCGATAGAGGAAGAGGGATTGAGAGAAATGGAAAAATAAAAATGACGTCACCGATGGGAATTCCATTCAATGACAGATGTTACCACAAATTGAAATAAATATAAGCTCTATAGTGTAAAGTGTTATATTTGGACTAATGGTGTTTGTTGAATTTTTTTTTACCAGCGGATGACTGTACTACTACGGTAATTGAATTTTTTTTATCACTCCTTATTTGGTAATATAGTATTAATTATGTAACGCTCATCTTGGGAGATAAATTTTAAAACAGAAGTAAGGCATAAATTGCTTACCAGCTTGAGGTGCTAGAGCGTGACTCTGTCTTGGCTGGGGAATTTTGTGGTTGGTCTGTTGACATTGTTCTTACAGTGGCGTTTAATGGCTCTGGTTTCTCTGTAGCTTTACACTGCATTCTATGACGGCATAATTCCTCGTAATCTTTACCAGTGGCATCAGTTTTAGTCAAATCTTTCAATTTTTCCTTCGATCTTGAATGTTGTCTTATGGCATAAAAAATGACGACAAAGACAACTAAACCGGCTATAATTCCAACGGTAACGAAAGTTAAAACAAAATACTTTGGACCATTCTTCTCTGCAACAGGAATACCCACTTCACTGTGCTCCCCGAATCTTACTTCGACAAGTTCAATTCCGGTTAAATTCTTAAATTTCCATTTACCTTCTGTTAATAGTTTTCCCAAAGTATGGGCTTTTAGATTTGAATCCAGTAAAAAGTTGATTGTTCCATCTTTTTCAACCGTTACATTTCTCAAATCTCCCGCATTTAACCCTATTACACTCATAATACCCCACATAACCTTATCAACAGCTTCCCGGCTGGTAGGTGCTGGCTTAACAACTATATGGGTATAGTGTAGGTCGACAGCGGCATATTTCGGTCCTTCGGTATGCGTATTTACCATGGAGTTTTCAAAACCATGGTCATGAGGATCCTTAGGTATATCAATTTCGGCATTGCTGTTAACTCTCTTTTTAACTTCATTTTCAATTTCGTCTTCTGTTGCTTTAAGAGTTTTATACCCTTCTCCATTACTAATTACTGGATTTTGCTCTAATTTTGAGTCAAATTCATTAGCTGGAGCCATTTCAGGTTTGTCCTCATCCAGCCATTCAGGAAGCACTTCACTTTCTCCCTTCTCCTTCTGCTTATCCGCTGTAATACTCTCAATAATTTTATCGACATCAACGGACAGTCTATCGACTTCATCATTACTTAATTGGGAAACGTCGATATCTCCTTGTAAAAGAGAGTTAAGCAAATAGGCATCTCTGATAGAATTTGAATCATCTAGAAAATAAAAGCAACAAAGAAATAAACATTATGATTTCCTATAATTAATTAAGGAAAACTGGTGAGAAAAAAAGACAAAGACAACTCATTTCCGTCCCGAAGGAAAGAGATGACAATCTATTTAATAATTCGGCGATTTTTCACTCAAAGCTTTAAATGAGGTAAGTTATTATTTCTTAAAGAAGGAATACTATAGAAAGAAGCCTTTTTTTTCAATTTGATATTGATATCTTTTACCGGAAGTAATAAAACTAAATTCAATAAGGTATTTTATAGTGTTGCTTGGTTAGTAAAATAAGTGCGTCCTTATACTTCTTCGACTAATAACTCAAGCGTAATAAGCTTTAAATATTGATATATATCCATCATGATCCATAAATTTCTTGTGGGAAATTACTAATCAACTTTTTAAAGTGATATCGCTTATTATATTTAAAGAATAGATGACTAAAAGCAATTCTAAAGGTAAAGTACTTGTGAATAAAGAAGAAAATAACTCTTACCTGCAATTAGCGAGTCGTCGTTTAATTGTTCTCGATTGACTGATTCTGTGAGAAATTACGAAACATGTACATACATATATAAAGGAAACGCTTGTTTGTATTGTCTGTTTGTTTTTTATCCCAAAGGAATGGGTTTATAAAGAAAAATATAAAAAAGCTAATTATAAAAAAGCATCACCATAAAAACCTCTTAAAACCGTAAAACGTAATTTTTTTTACCTACCGCAAAGCTTATTAATAACAAATATCTGTAATAGCATAAAGAAGTGTGATGTACCATAAGTTTTATTTTTCGTCTCGTTTAGAAGAATTACAAAGATGAAAAAGATATTAGAATAATAATCTTCTTACCTATTCCTGAAGGCTTCGACGACCAACTGGAATCTGATATAGGAGTGTCGAGATCTGGTAGGAGCGTTTCCTCTTTCTCAATATCATAGCTGTCAACTTTACTTCCTACATTTTTTTCTCTTTCTAAAGACTTTATGATATAGTAAGCGAGTTCTTCTTCCTCAAGTTTTTCTTTGCGTTTTCTATCGCAAAAATCCTCATCATATTCAGAGTTAGTTCGAAAAGCCAACAGGAAATTTAGGATAGTACACTGGGTGTATATGCTCTTCCATGTGTACTTCTCCTCGATAAGACGCTGCAGCTGTCTTTGGAGTACGTCAACCGCCGATGGCGTCAAGTCATACTTGTAAATGTCTACTGCACCGTACCGAGATTGGCACGTGCCGAACAAGGCATCTGGTGGAAAATTTCGTAATTAGTCAGTAACGAGTTCACTTGATTCGATTATATAAGAATTCCCTGGCGGAAGGATAACAAATTCTAATTTCTGAGATTCTCCTTTCTAACCTAAGGTTCAGTGACGTCACTTAATTGACAATTGTTTTTTAAAAAATTCAATAGCAGCGTCTATTTATAACATCTATATCGTTTATAGATAAATATACGCCTTCATTACGAAGCGTTAAAGCCCGGTAAAAAATCGATAGAGAAAAAATGACGTAAATATTGATCCGAGAGAAGCATAACATCGGATTTTTGTAATCATCTTTTCTTTCTATATTAATAATTTCCCTCAAAAAATACTTAAGGTAACTAGAAAACGGTTGAATATTTAAAATTACGGACGTTAGACAAAAACATCTTGTATGTTTCCTTACCGTCAAAGCAGCGCTCATCTTCTTTACAAAGAGAATCGCTAAATTTGCAGCCTAAATGAAATAATAGTAATGGTTTATTAGATAGTTGGTGCTTTTGAATATTATATTGTTTCTAATATAGTATTCTAATCACGTATTTTGGTACACTTACCGATAAAGTTCCCTTGGCCGTAAACAACGGTCAAAACCAGTATAAATACGCAAGTTGCGAAAGACAAATCGCGCATTATCCCTCAAGAATCCATTGCCGAGTCTTTTGCCGGTGATTATTCGATTAATATCGAACTAAATCAATCGAGAAACAGGCCTTTTTTTCAAAGGCCACAGGTGTTGTTGGAAGGCCAACAATATGTTTCTTTCAAAATGGCTGTCTTAGTCAATATTCATATATTCATTTATTCTCTGACGTCAGTTGGCCAATCAGCAAGACTTGGCCAACAATTGTCAATAGAAAATTACGATAAAAGCTTTAAACATGTTAATAATAAAATAATTTGTAATTTTAAAATATATTTAAAAAATTTTACCTGAAGAATTTCTGAATTTAATTCATTTTTCTATAGTATATGGTTACACAAGGGGGCGTCTATATAGTCCTTAGAAAATCGATGTGGCTAGTCGTGGGTGGAGGATTTAATGCAAAGCAAGTGTTATTACACTGCACAAATTTACAGTATTAATTTAAATTCAATTTATTCATTTACTTTACTTTACCCCAATTCTTTAAATAGTTCATTTTTAACCGGTTCATAATTCAAGAGCCCAATATTATTTCTTTCAGTTTTTTTTACTATTTTATTACTATATCAGTATTAAATAAATCATATAAACGTAACTTTAAATATACAGATATCTATCTAGATATATATGTCAATGTATTTTAACAATTTGAAAACGAATTCAAACAATAAACTCATTCATTTTCTGTCGTATCTTATCTTGTGTGTAGCAGTGTATTGACTCATCCAAGTCTTTTTTTTGTAGTATTTTATCAGTCAATGGTTAATGATATAAAAATTGATCAGATGTCAGTCGGTGTTTATCGTCAGAAGATTGAAGAGGCGCATGCGCATTTTCTTTCCTTCTGGCCTTAAACATCCAAATTCGTCATGAGTTTGTAAAAAAAAAAAGAAGAAAGAGAAACAATAAATTGAATGTTTGAAAAATCCAATAGATGGCGCGGTTGTACTATCTCTCCTTTCCTGTTTTCCTTTATAAAATTTTGTATGATTGATAAGATGAACTTATGAAAACAGAGAGGAACTTAATCATCTTTATATAAATAAATAAAATCTATACTATGTGCGTATGAAATGTAAACATATGTTCTCTTTTTTATTTCATAATAGTCATATTGAAGAGATTTTATATGTAAAGAGATGTATCCAAAAGAAAAAATATGCTATATTCGTTATATAAATAAATGTATATATTTATAATTTTGTACAATTCCTATAGTACGATGAACTAGAGATGTCGTTTATACGTTTTTCAGCTGAACTAACGACTAAAAGCGGTTCTGGTAGGCGGAAGAGGAGCGGGTAATTTTTTCGAAGCGCAGTGACAGGAGGATAAAGTTTGTACATTGACTGACTTTTCTGGAGAAAAACTGCCAAAAGAAGCTCCAGTAATGTCCGAAAAGTAATCGGATCCATCACCAGTCGAATGAGGAACAACGGCCGAGCATGCACAGTAAGAAGCAGCCGCACTATTGAGCCTAGAGTAACTAAGCTGATCGGGGCTAGATTTACCAACTTGTGATACATACTTGTTTGAATCAGCTGGTTTTATCTCAACTGTTAAAGGTCTCTCGATTTCCCTCTCTCTGTGGGCTTCACCATACTCCTCCTCCTTGTCTTGAAGTACATAGTCGGTTGAGAACCGTTGGTGGTTGTAACTTTCTCCGGGCCTTCTATTTTGCCTAGTGAGAAATCGGAACCATAATATTTATCTGGTTAGGAGCACCTGCCTTTCGTTTTTTTATATATATTTCCCTATTTATTCAGGTGCTGGGTGGAAGAATTACAAAACATAGACATTTTTCTACACTTACCTTCGTAAGAACGTTATTCCAAGAATTAAAACGACGGCAGAGACGGCCAAAGAGACGCCAATTATTATTACTATCCAGACAACTGCATTTTAAAATACAGAAACGTCCATTTAATAAATAAGGAAAATAAATAAAACGCAATTCCTGCCTATTGTCATTATTTGCTGTACATAGTATGTATAATTTACATAATTCATATGTTGAAAAAACTTACCGTATGGCAACGACACATCCCCCCACTTGATGACGGTCATGAGATTCGAAGCAGTCAAGGCTACTGTACAGTTACGTAATTTGCCTTTCCACTGTTTCCCAACACAATTAAGGGTGTATGATTCTCTTGTATAATTACAATGAATCGTTACTGTATCACCGAGCCGCTCAGCCCAAGTGTTAGCCGGGGGCCTTACATCTGGGCAACCTCTAGCCTGATATTCTATTAAGAAATAAACGTTAGTACTAAGTACTTCAATATCGATAGTGGGAGATGTTGATTGATAAACTAGACTCCGTCTTCTATTTTGCTTAACAATGGATTCGGTTTTTCCCCTTTCTCTTATCAGCAAGTAATCAATGGGTTGAGAATAAGGATCGGCCACATCAAAATTCCATAAATATACATGAATAGTCTGTCCCTCTTTTAAGCGGACTCTCCACGTGCAAGTCCCGGACGAGTTTGGTACGTAACTACTCAAAAAGGCATCCTGTTTCTTTCCAACAATAATAGGCTTTATACTGCAAGTTGGAGGAAAGATGAAGGCCTCTCGACACTTGTAATCCGCTTCCAGGTAAGTATATTCCCCCTCACCGCAGCGGCCTACTTTCTTGGCTAAGTGTGAATTAGGAACTTCAACTTTACACTCTGATCTACCAGAACACTTTGAATCTAATTCGGCAAGGACGTTTATAAAGCAGTTTTCCTGAATTTTAAGTAAAATGTCAATAAGATAATAAGGGAGTGTATAAATAATAAACGACAGTGGATAACAGAAGCAGATCTCCGTTTAGCATATATATTTATACTTACTTTAGGGTCATTCTTAAGGCATTCTCCCTTTTTCATCTGACCGTATCTAGCTGAATTGATGACTATTACTTGACCTTGGTCGCATCGAGGTTCAAAGTTTGTGAAGTGGCAGTATTCCTTCGCTAGCAAACGGAAGGAAAAGGAACAGAAATATATTAGGCCTTAATCGAGGAAAACTATGTTGCTGTCGATGTACACGTACCGGATGAACCCCGTTCGAAAAAAAATTACATGGTAGAGGCATTTCTGCTTTATAAGGCTTTAGCCGACTATTGCCGCCCCTCTTTTTTGTATAACAAAAGGTGAAATGACAAAGGAGAAAATTTTACGGCGTCTAATAGACGGATAGCTAGTAAAGGAAAGGAGAAGGGGGTAAGCGAAGAAAGAAAAAAAACTACGGAGTCTATACCCCCCGACGACAATAACAACAAAGGATGAGGCCTCGACGCCCTCTTCCGCAGTTTTTCTTTGAAAGAGAGAAAGAGACAGAGGGAGTGAGAGCGAATGACATGGAGAGAGAGAGAGAGAGAGAGAAAACTCGCGGCGTCGATCGTCCTTAGAAAGCACCCTATGCTCCACTATTTATATATTCCCTCAATATCTAAACGATTGATGTTCGGCACGCTATCTTCAACGATACCATCCACTTTACTGAACAATTGATACAATAGAATCTGTAATAACACAATAATGGATAATCCAAAAAATTTCCTTCGTTCGTTAAACAATCAAGACTATTTCTTTTTGATATTTTTTTTGTTAATTTTATAATTTTCACGTTCGATTAGCGACAATTCCCTCAATAGTTTATATATTTTTGAATTAATTACCCCCGAAGATTGTTTATCGATCATCCACCCTATACTTCGCTATGCTTCGTCGGACGCATTTTTTCAAAGGCGAATTATCGACTAGAACTGTTGACATAAGAGCCTAAACGTAGTAAACGTCAATGAGGCTGCCGAGAATTGCCCGTGGATATACACATCACAGACGCCGACGGTCGTAGACTCTATATTTACTCTTAGGCCTAAAAAAATTATTCCTCTTTTCTCTATTTCTTTAACCCTTTAGACAAAATCTATTGTCCCGATCATTCTACTGTCGAGAAATCGTCAGTAGAGTTTATCAGTTGATGAATATCTCTCTTGTCTCAGTTGGTTACGATTTGAGCAATAAATATACGTGTACTTAATCCCTTAGCATGCACTGGTACGTTCTATTTATTCAAGGAATTACCCTCTTTTTTCTCTCTCTCTTTCCTCTCACTTTTACTGATTTATTCCTTTTTAATAATAAGTCTAAATTGTAGTCGATAAGGCCGTTACAGAGGGGGCGTCAAGGAGTTGACCCGTTTAGCATTGCGGTTGACCGAATCGTAAAAAGACGTCTAAAAGAGATATATTATGGGTACTAAATATATTTATATCTACCTTCATTCTTTAATTGAGATTTACTTCTGTTAAATACCAGTAGTAGAATGTAGGCGAACCTGTTTATATATTAATTGATATTAATTTTGAGAAATAATCAAAAGAGACTGCATAAAGGAAAATTAATAGAAATAAAATGCTAAATCCCTATAGGAAAGAGGAATAGCTGTTGAAGAGAAAGAGGAAAAAAGAATTGTCGACTGGGTCAGATGTCGAGGTTTTTTCCCTCTCTCTTTTTGTGCCGAACAAACTGCACGCTTTGACCCAGACGGATCGCTTGTCCGATTTTGAATAGGCTTGTATTGTCGGCGGTTGATTGGCCGTCTTTTATGACGGCAACGAAAATGCCTAGAAAAAAAGGATTGAGAATAAAGAACTATTCGACCAGTTGAACTATGTCATCCAACTTGTAATTTTGGAACTTAGGCAAAAAGAATTTTCAATAGATAGTGAAGAGGATGAATTCCCTTTTACTCCTCTTATCACTCTACTATTCATTTGACGCACTTGATTATATCTGCATATATTTCGCTATTTTTTTTCGCTTCAGCGCTTTCGATGAGTACGTGTATAAGTTTTCTATGCATGTATCATCCATATATAGTATATAGATTGAATATTTAGTTAGAGTACTCGATAGATGTTACAATAGCTCATAAAGCCTAACTAATTTTTGATGTAGAGGAATTCCTCACGTATAGTGAATAGTTATATCTTCATTGTTTTTTTTCCATTGTTGCTGTATTCCAGTATTACATTACAGTTTTTTTCCTTTTCTTTTTTCTTTTTTTTATATATTCTTTTATTTTGCTCTATATTCAATTTATTCAAGTAATATTATAACTAATTATTTAAAATTTTCTACACACATTTACGCAAACACATAAACGCACAATTATCCACCGCAAAAGCGTGTATAAACCTATCATTGATTTTTCTTTCTTTCTCTTTTTTTTATACTTAAAATGTACTTTTTCGCACTTGTTACTGTAGAAATTTTATACAGAAAAAAATTTAATGCACAATCGATTTAGAATGTTAGGAAAAACTGTATGATTAGTCTAAAGATACTAATAAAGAAAGAAGAGAAAAAATATATATATACATATATTGAGAGTGAGGGGGAGGGGGGAAGAGGAGAGAGGAAAGAAGGGAGAGATGAAAAAAAATAAAACGCAAGAGAAGAGGTACATTTGTAGGAGGTTGAAGGGGGAAGAGTGGCAGTAAGATATATAAGGAAAGGAGAAAAAGAAAGAAAGCAAAATAAAAAGTATAGGGAAAAGGGTTGATGAAAGCCAGTATTTCGTTAAATTAGTTAAAGCGTATTTGACTTTACATCTAGGAAAGAGAAAAATCGGGTGGAAAAAAGAAGAAATTGAAAAATTGCGTCGATTCGAAAAAGTCTTTTGATCTACTAAGAGAAATCAGTTAGCGAGTTTATATTTTGATTGTCAAAACAGTATAAAATTGATTGTAAACTGAATAATTTTCTATATATTTTTTCTAGGTAGTTAAAAATAATCAGAAAATGTGAAAAGTATAAAAATAATTAACAAAGACAATATAACTATAAAGGAATAATGATGAATTTAGTGTTAGAATGAAAGCAATATACAACTTACCGCAAATAATACATTTGTTAGGCGAGAAAGATGAGCCGCTTCTTGCAAACAATTGCAAACTCTAAACGCTTAATGAACCGTCGACTGCCATTGTAGATGGCGCACCAGGTTTTTTTGAATAAGGAATCCCTAGGTGTCGCTAAATATAGAACTATGAAAGAAAAGAGAAAAATAATAATTAAACAAAAAGGAAAGGAATACAACCTTTGAACCTGGTTATTTCACCATTTTTGTAAAAGAATCTTTATTCAGATCTTACTTTTTCTCTACTTTATTACTTTTATAGGGGTACAAAATATGTTGACATACGTTTCTATTTGTACGCCCTTATTCTTTATTCTCTCATAGTCCTTATGAAGCTGTTCTCTTATTTCTTTTTATGTTTACATGAATTTTACTCTTTTTAAATTGCGAAGGATAAGAAAATATACAATTTTAAATTAGGCCAATGAATCGAGCTTCTCCTCCACCTGGAAGAAAATTAAATTGCTATTATACGAACCCTTTTCCCTAATATAAATTGAAATCAAATATGCCTCAAAGTCTTCGTCACATTAATTAATTTTTTTGTCAAGATATAAAGACGAGTCTATATCGTATATACTGTAAACATATCTATATATATATATATATATATATTTATAAAACGTATGCGCCGCTCTCTGTAGAGCATAATATACTAAGTTACTTTATCATCCTTTTATACCATCATAAATCGTTTCCATCTTTTTTTATTTATATGCACAGTATCACTTCTCAATTATACTTTTTTATCCAACAGAAAAAAACTTTGTTTAAGCTTGGTTAAGTAAAAGAGATAAAGGTCTGTAAATGAAAGTTTAGTCGATTATGTCTATTTGTTTATGTGGATATATAAACACGTAATTATATAAATTAACATACATAGACACAGTTATATATCATTATACGTTATCTATATATGAAGATTTAATATATAAAATATCCATTTTAATAAGATATTCATCTCCTATAATAAATATACAGTATATACATTTTTATAGTATTTTAACTCTTCTTCTCATAATATTGATCAATTGTTTTATAGAATATGTCTGCTTCTTCTCAATTGTTTATTTTTACTCCCTAGATACGATAACCTTTATTATATTAATTAATACATTTTATTGTTAAAGGAATTGCATAAGACTAAATTGAATTATTGTTTAAGGAAAGTAAAAATTCTAAAAGCACCATCTGTCGTTTAAATTGGTAGAAAGAATTTTATAAAGTTTTATAAAAATCACTAAGGAATACAAAAATATAGAAAAGAGAAAAGGATGAGAATAGAAGGAAAGAAATTATTCAAATTTTTAGTCTTGTTTTTCGCTATATATCAATATATTCAAGAAAGAAAGTTGTTAAAACTTCTCACTTTTATTGTTAACTGAATAAAAACAAAATCAAATATCATTGTTTATCAACATACAGAAGTAAAATAGAAGGGAATAATTAGTTTCTATTTTTTATATAATTCTTGTGTGTATATGGATTTAGAATGAAATGCAATATATACATTAGATTAGTCTTTTATTTTTATATTCAATCTTAATTTTCTTCCCACTTGTTATACTTTCAAATAATTGAAGCTATACAGATAATAGAAAAATAGGATTTCGAGTAAGTTCTCAATCGAATTCCAACTATTTCTCTATAAAATCAATATTTCATTTTAATTCAGATGGGAATTGCCCTTTCTTATTACGTTTATTTCACTTTAAACTAGCGTTGTAAAAACTATATATATATTTATATCACTACTGGCAAAATGGTTAAATACAATCTAGTGGATCGATTAGAGCATTTACACCCAAAAGAAAGAATAAACAGCAACGTTGCCCTTGGAGATACTGTTTTGACAACACTGAAAACTTTGAAACATTGTATATATAAATGACTACTGATCACTTTAGAAGCAGCGATTTCGTAGAAAGGATTAATCATCAAGTATGGGTAAAGGAGCTGGGGGAGGACTTTGTCCAGGTCTGTGTTGGGCCGTTTGCTGGTTCCTGATATTATGGTTTCTTGCATGGCCATTCGCATTCTTCATCGCTTGGTGGTACATATTATTTCTACCCTTTTCGGCATGTATTGGAGCATGCAAAGGAATATGTGAATTTCTTCTGAAACTCGTTACACTTCCTTTAACTTGTGCAGAAAATATGATTGGAATGAAACCAGTTTGTGGTTAAAAGAACGAATTTTAAATTTGTCATCTGTAATCTATTTAGAAGATAATTAGGTGTCTAAAGCATTTTTCATTATGTCAAAATAAAGAGAAAAAATTAAGTGAAATAGATAAAAAAAACTTTATAAAAATGTCTAGATTTATTCATAATAATCTCTACTTGATCTACTTTTGCCTTTTGAAATAATGTCAAAAAATAATAAGAATAATCATTATTTTTATACTATTATTTATAGACTTTCAATTATTATTCAGAACTTTTAATACCTTCGTTTTTGTTGAATAAAACTGAAACTATTGATTAATAATCCGTTAGTTATATGCATATTCATATTTTACGTTAATCTTTTTTTCAAGTATAATTTTCATATAAAATGTAAATAATTCAGTTAATAAATTATTATGTTGAAAATTGAGCACAGATGAATTTTTGTACAAAAAAAACAGACATCATTGGCTTTTAATATTTAGCAAAGAAATAGAATAATGACAAAATCGTATTGTACATTGGCCTCTACGAACATCACACAAGTACTTTATTTATATTTAGTAGAAGGCCTGTCATACATCTATATGAATATATATATATATATGGAGTGCGACTATTAAATGTCTAACAGGCATCAGCTACAATAAATAACTCTTCCATACCACTCCCTAACAAACTCTACTTCTCATAAAGAAGATGGGTTTAGGAAAGGCAGACTTGTGCCCTGGTTTAATTTGGGCTTTTCTATGGCTAATAATACTCCTAATCATAGCTTGGCCTATAGCCTTTCTTCTTGGTTGGATTTACGTCCTTTTAGTTCCTTTTGGCGCATGTATAGACGCTTTCAAGAGTCTAGGAGATTCTTTGCTAAAGCTTGTTCAACTTCCGTTGACTTGTGCTCAGAATATGGTAAATATGAAGCCATTGTGCAAATAAAGTACACAATGAAAATATGGGCGGGTCTTCCAATTACTTAGAAGAAGTATGTATTAACTAGTTAATTATTTAGATTAAACGTTCGAATATAGTTAAAGTTGAAAATAATTCATTATGCTAACTAGAATATGCTTAGATTATGCATTAAACATTGTTTGATGGTCTGAATGTATGGAATATATATACTGTAGACTGTATTATATAATTCAAATGTTCAAATGGTCTATTTCCAATACAAGTACTTCTCTCTTAGCTGAGATAATAAACTATAATTTTAATGACAGCTATATATATATAGTATTTACTAATCTTTATTACAAAAGTCCAGCACCTATTATATACACACATGAAAAAGGATAAAAGGATTTAACCTACATAAACGATTAATACTGATTTCAATCTGCCCAATACAACTTTACTGATTACCATACATAAGCCTTAACTGGGTTCTATTTCAATATACAAGTATTAGAAGGAAAAGTATTACGTTACTATTTTGGTAAATCTGGCGTAAGAAGTTTTATGCTACATCGACAATTTGAAAGCCATCTAATGAAGAAATGAAGAATAAGGTAAAATTTACCTTAGAATCAAAGTCATCCTTTCCTCGAAATCTCACTACGAAAAAGATTTTCTAAGGAATAACTGATGAAAAGAATAGATGAAAAACATGAAAAAAGCAAATTAAATGTGTAATATACAAATTTTAAAGTATAAAATATAAATAATAGGAAAATTAAACATAGCTAATTTCTCTTCTTTTTATTCTTATTCTGCAAATCGACTACTGTAAAGTCAACAACATTACAAACATTAAGAATTTTTCTATTTTTTCTCTCTTTTTGTTTGACTGTACAAAAATTAATTTAAACAAGACAATCATTTGTTAATAGCTCTTTTACGAAATACTACAATTATCTCTAATACAAGCAATTCGTCTGGCTAATGAGAGAGTATTACATTTTGAAATGATAATACATCCATTCAATCCCATGTTCAATTTCTTTCTTCTCACGCTTATTTGTTCATCACTTGGTTCAAAAAATTTCAATGATTTTAGCAAAATGTTGTTCGACTGGCGACTAAAAGGAATAATTAAACATAAACAATATTTTTTATTAAACTCATTTGAAAAATACTTATTTAAAGTATAATAAAGTTAAAATATGTTTAAAACATAATTACAATGATCGAAGAAATTCATTAGCTTTGTCTGGAGATTCAATTAATCTTGGATTCTCAACTGAAAAAGTTTTGTATTCTTATACAGAAGTTAATGTCAATACGAATAAATATATGATAAAAACCCGTTAAGATTACTCCAAAAGAGCAAAAGAGTAGAATAAATTGAAAAATGCCACAAGACATCTTCACAACAGTAGTGCTTTGTTCCCTGTGCAAGACTTTTTTAATTTATAGTTTACATATAGACTATTTATATTTTATGTAAAAACATATACTTCGAAAATGATAATCATCTGAAAAGTATCATGTATCTTTTCTTATTTTAATCAACATTATACATTATTCACATCCCAGTAGTCTAAACTTCTTAGTCTAGATTGTCAAAAAGAATTCTTTCCATCTTTAATGTAACCTGTACCAAATATATTTACTCTATTTCGGACAGATAATAAGAGTGTTGTAATTAATTTTATTTACGAAGACACCTTTTTATTATTTGTCTAAAAATTCAAATTAAGTCAGTTTAATACATCTTTTCAAGTATAGATGACGACACTATGATAGACTTATATACATATTATATATATATACAGTGTATCTATAACATCTTCTTTTGATTAAACCTTCCTCAGTTCTATTAATGAATCTCGTTAGACAAACTATTTAAACGTTACTAAGATTCCCCAAGTCAGTCAGAGTCATTGACAGAATATATCCTGAAGCCAATGATCCTATAACCTTGAATATTAAATAGAAGCTTTATTGGTTTTTAAGGTACACCAATGTCAAAACTGATAGATAAAAATAGAATACATTGGATATAAAAATATCTTTGTACTCGAGTAAAAATTAGAGAAGTATCACTCAGTTCAAATCATTAAAGCTTTAAGAGACTGGCTGAAGGTAGTGATTGTACAATGAGAAAAGGTGTTAAATTCCAAAAGAAGCTTTTTGACATATCTTTGTTAGACTAATATTAAAAAAAATAGTAAATTATTCTATAAATCATAATTCTAATATGAAATTTTAACAAAAAGCCAATCAACTCTATTAGATAGTCTAAAGTTAACGTTATTGAAACTTAGTGGTTAATGGTTTCCATACCATTTATTATTTATTCCCGTCTAACGTCATATCATGCTGTTACTATTGAAAGATGTATATGTTATATTACTTTATATGTATATATAAATTAACAATAATAAAGATTAATAAAATGAAAAATTATGTACTATACGGAAATTTTTAAATGGAAGTATAAACGTATAAAACTACTTTATTTGAACCAAATGGCTATTTTTAAGAGCAAAACTAATAAATTCTGATTAATTTATTTTCTTATACTGTATATGATTAAAAAAATACATGCGATATATACAAATATATATATACATATATATATATATATATATATATATGTATATATATCCATAAATAGATTTTATAATTATGATCATCTTATTTAATTATTCTAACAGTATCGTATCACGTTTTATCATTCATGATTTATATAATAAAGCATATTTAATTATGATGGAGAATTATTTTCTCTTAATTTCTTATAAAATTTAATTAGAATTTTTATATTAATATTAAGAAAATATTAGTATAGTACTAATATTTCACTTTGTTCTTCTTTTAAAAAAATAACATTTACCGTTTCTTTTTTTATATTTCATTATCTATAGTTTATTTAAAGTTAATTAGATCTAGAAATGTGATTTTGTGTCGATAAGTGTTAAGATTTAGAATATGTTAATTTATAACTTTTTGTAATTATCCTTTTTTGACATCTTTCGATTACATTTTTTTTAGAATCATTATTTATGATAATACTAAATTACACAGTATGATTAATTAAATAAATAATTGATCTTTGCGATAACTGATGATTTTTTCTCTTCTGAAGTTTATGCTAAAGACTGGTACCAATGTATAATAAATATGTTATGTATATGCTTTTTTATTTTATTACAAGATATGGCGCCACCTTGTGTATTAGTTGCATTCGAAAGTTTATTCCATTTTTATATTTTGAATTATTATTCCAATTTTGTTTCAAAGTCTTTGTAGTAAGTAAGTTCCAATTTCCCAAGTATTTGAAGCGTGAATTCAAGTCAATATTGAATAGCATGGCTCGATAATATCTACTTACAAATAGGGGTGACTTTATTCCGAAATCTATTTTGAGATGAAATAACATGCAACAAAATATAATCTTATCGATTATTGATAAGAAAAATAAATTTTTATCGCCTCTTTATATTTGTAAGCTATTATGCACTATCATAAAGATCGTTAGACGACAACAATTTGGTTGCTATGCAAACATGGTTGGGAACTATGTAATGGAGTCTGCCTGATACGCGGCGTGATGTGCGCGGATTACTGTACCACATTATCAGCCTAATTTTATACAACAACAGTGTCTAAAAATTCAGGTTAAGCTCCGATATTTCTTAATCAAGTATTCCAAGATTGTAAGACTCTAATTTGAAAAATCGAATGCTTGAATATTCATACAAGGTATGTTTCGTATTTTTCTTCAGTTTTTGTTTAGGATTAGCCTGATGGAAAAAATGAATCAGCTAGATCTATTTATAGACTTGAAATTTTGACTAAAGGCACACTTCAAGAATTTTTTGGGAGAATAGATCACGGGAGAGTGAAAGAATAGTAAAAACGAAGATAAACTATATAAACTTAATGAAAACTCTTAGTGTTCAAGGATGCTGCAAGATCGAAAAAAAAGGTCAACAGAATTGGCCAAACCACCGTTCAAAATTAGCTTGTTGTATTAGAGGTTTTAAAGTGTATTTATGCGGTGGAGATGGTTTTGATTCAACTGATTTTTGGATTTATCATACAAATACTGACGAATGGACAAAATTAGAGAGTCACGGAGACGCTCCAAAACGCCTTCAAAGTCACAGTTTACATCCAGATTGGGACAACAATCTTATATATATATTCGGCGGTTTGTACGGATTAGATACTCCACTTTGGTCATTTGATATCGACAATAGACTATGGACAAAAATTGAATCACTCAATGGACCATCCAGCCGTACAGGCCACGAAGCAATCTTAGAAAAGGATAATAGATATTTACACGTATTTGGGGGTTATGTTAGTGTTCAAGGTTCAACAAATGAGCACTGGACATTCGATACATTAAATAAAACTTGGATATTAAAAAAAGAGGAAGAAATCTTTCCATGCGCTCGTCATGACTTTGGTGCAATATCGGATAATGCTGATTGGTGGATATTCGGTGGATCTTGTCAATTAGAACCTTTGAATGATCTGTGGACATATACATTTTGTAAGTAAAGATAACTGAAAGTAGATTAACTTATAGTTGTATTATTATATTTTCAAAATAAAGGTAAACAGCAGTGGACTCGAATAAAAACTAGGAAAGTACCTGAGCCAATATATGGACACAAATTAATATATGTAAGGATAAATATTCATAGTTTCAAACAGAATATGATGCGAAAATAATACTACAACCTTTTAAAACACCAACAGATAAGAGATACTATATTAATTGTAGGAGGAAATATTTCATCAAATTCCACTTGGGGATTTAACTTGAAGAAATTAAAGTGGTTAGAAGTTTCATTACCTGATAATATGCCTACTTTACTCCATCACAGAGTTATCCTCATTAATGATAATGGGGAAACAAAAAGTAAGAAGCCAAGAGATAGTTATTGTTATTGGAGAAAAGCAAAAATTTCACCCAACAATGAGCTAGACCCTCCAGAATATGATACAAAAATCTTTATCAATCGGGCGTTTAGTATTGAAAGTAAAAACTATGGAAATAACTTTTTTCAATCTTATAAATTTAACGCTCAGACGGCAAAATCGTCATCGGATAACCTATTACTGTCAGATCTCGATTATAGAGATGAAGATTATGAAATTGACAGCATTTCCAACGCGAAACTTGATTTCCTATCCGAAAACACTGATACTATAGGAGATGACACAGAGACTGAAACTGAATTTTCGAAACTTCCAGCAACTAACGAATTAAATCAAATTCTAATACTCGGGTGCCACAAATCTTTTAAATTCAGCCCTTTAACAATGTGGAAATTAACGTTGTCCTGCAACTAATAATATAACTGTATTAAGACAATGCTGCATGTGCAATACTACTAAAAAACAAATTGCTTGAAAGTGAAAAAAGCTGTTCATTAGTTTTTAGCTGTTAAATAAATTACTAAAAATCTTTCTTAAAACATTTCAAACACTTTCATAAGTTGAATTATGGATAAATATATTGCTTATACAATATATATTAATATTTACTCTTCTTTTTAGATATCATTTAGAATGTTAAACATGCTTTTATATATAATATAATCTATAGTTTATATATTTACTGTAAATTTATGAATAAAATATCAGTTTACCAATATATACAGTAGATAGTATTACATTAATATTTAAAATATTCACCCCCTCCAGCCGCCCAAAAAGAGAACGTTGTTTAGGAAAGAGATGGCAGCACTAGTTACCTTAGAGAAAGTATTCCCAAAGACCTATAAAGTATAATGAATAAAGTATGGAAGTGGCTTTCGTTAATAATTGATAGCGACTAGTAGGAAATAAAAATATTTATCACCAATTAGATATAAAAGACGAAACAAAACTTCACTTGTGAAAAGAATTACGTAGTTTTTAATTATTTGTCTATTACGTAATGGTAAAATGTTACAGTGGTAATTAAAATGAATTGACAACACATTGTGTTACATATTAAACCTTACCAACTGAATTCAATTTGAGAAATGACTTCGAACGGAGAAGCACCAAAGAAATCTAAGATGATTGAAGCTGAAATAAAAACCAGCTTGTCAGTTGAAGAAAAGGTATTAGAATTGAAAATAAGATTTATTGAAGAAAGAAAGAAAAGACAAAAGTATGAAAGTAACTTACAAAGAGAAATAATGAAGAGACTGAAAGCCGAAGAACAATACGCAAAGCTCGAGAAATCTTACAGAATTCAGTCAATGGAAATGAAAGAACTTAAGAAAAAGATAGAGAATTCATCATCGGTAAAAAATCATTCCTACTAGTTAATTATATAATATTCTACTCATTTAATTAACTTCTATAAAGGCGAAAACGGTTGAAAATAATTTGAATAAACATGTAAATAAATAAAAACCCTTTCAAGGCTATCCCTTTTTGTGTGTATGTGTGTAATATACTGTATATTTAGAGGACTTTATGAATAATTAGTAATCGTTTCTGTCTGGGGAGGAAAGGAGGGAAAAAAAGAGGAGTGATGCATAAGATAATGGTATACAGTATATAAATATTTAAGAAAGTTCATTGCATATCATTGACATTTTAAAAGGCTACTGTATTTCAATTTATTGAATAAAAATTAGATTACATAATTTCAAATAAATTTGATTACATAATATAAAAAAAGAGATATATGTGATTTCAAATATTTAAAAATAAAATATTAATAAATTAGTTAAAAATAATAATCAAGCCATAGAAAAGAATATAAAAAAATATAAACAACTGCAAATGACATTTTATCTGGATCATAATTTAAAATAACTAAAAGTATATTATTGTTTACTTTTATAATAATATTTTTATATAAGCTTTAGAAGGAATATAGATTAATTTATTTCATTTATGTACATGTAAATATATATATATATATGTATACATTATAGATATATATCCTATTAAAATTACTAGAAAAATACAATTAGTTAAGAGAGAAAAGAGAATGGTTGAAAATGATGAATCATCTTCGGAGGAGGATCTTTTGCAACCATCTCAAATTGTTAAAGATAGATGGCGTATTTTAAAAAAGGTTGGTGGTGGAGGGTTCGGTGAAATTTACGAAGCTATTGACTTAAATACTAAAGAAAAAGTTGCACTCAAATTGGAATCTGCACTGCAACAAAAACAAGTTTTGAAAATGGAAGTTGCAGTTCTCAAAAAGCTACAGGGAAAAAATCATATATGTAAATTCATCGGTTGCGGAAGAAATGAGAGGTTTAATTACGTTGTTATGACTTTACAAGGTAAGAATTTAGCAGAATTACGAAGGTCTATGGCTAAAGGTCATTTTACCATGTCAACCACTGTTAGATTAGCATTTCAGGTAGTTTATTAAATTTATACGATTACTTGGTAGAGAGTGTATTAAAAAAGAATATTTTTCGTATATTTTAATAAAGATTATTCAAGCTATTCAAGCTATTCATGAAATAGGATTTTTACATCGTGATATTAAACCATCAAATTTTGCAATGGGAGCGAGTCCAGAGTCGAGGAGAAAAGTCTTTATGCTTGATTTTGGTTTGGCAAGACAATATACAAATGCTCAAGGGGAAGTTCGAACTCCCAGACCTTCGGCAGGTTTTAGAGGGACTGTAAGATACGCGTCGTTAAATGCTCATAAAGCAAAAGAAATGGGACGTCACGATGATCTATGGAGTTGGTTTTATATGATTGTTGAATTCGTACAAGGAGGATTGCCATGGAGACGGCTAAGAGATAAAGAACAAGTTGGGCAGATGAAAGAAGGATATAATCATAATTTATTTCTTCGCTATCTTCCGTCAGAGTTCGGTGATATCCTAAGACATATTCAACAGCTTGATTACTACTCTGAACCGGAATATGAGCACTTAATAGAAAGATTACACGCCATAATGATAAGGAAAACCATTACTCTCCAGGAATGCTACGATTGGGAACAGATGGCTGATACTCCAGGGCCACCTAGTATAGTTGCAAATATTAGAAATGAACTTCCTGCTCAGCAGGTTTGTACTAACATATCTTTTATATAACCTTTTACTAATACATAATTTATTTATTTAAACATCTAATTATTATTAATAGGCTCATGGACGGCTCACATCAACTCAGGCAATTGTAACAAATCAAGGCGGAGCAGGAAGTGTTGATGATCTAGAATTAAAAACTGGTACAGTACAAAAAGCTTCAGTCCAATCAACTCCTCAACAAGGCAGATACGCCTTAATAAAGAAAGGAAGGAGCGGATTTGCGTCAACTACTAAAAATAATATAAACTGCAAACCTTTATTAAAACAATCAAGAAATAAAAATATGTCAGCGGTAACTCGACACGGTAGATCCTTTACTAGGCACGAAGAAGGAGAAGAGGATGATGATAAGATTTACTGCATTAATTATCCCAGATCTTCTCGGTCTCTTCACGGCAAATCTAGAAAAGTTTTAAAGAGATGTGAGGATAAAAATATAAATAATAATGCCATGCCCAATACCCTATATAATAGATCACGAACATCAGAAGAATTAGCTTTTGTATTCAAATATCAGCTAGATTTCTGCTTTTTACCGTGTCACTCCCATTTAGTTTTAATTTGGACATGAGAAAGAAAAACACTTAAGGGAAGCACTTTCTTTGTTCTAAACGCTTGAAAATGATAATAATACAATGTTGACCAATAGATAAAAATCAAATAATATTTAAATGATATGAATATTTTATTAATAATAGTTAATCGGACCTTGTGATGTTTTCAACAGCTTTGATTAAGTATTAGCTCTTCTCTTTTTATCTACATCAGATACTTAAAATATAATTTGATTATAATTCAATTACATTAATAAAATTTAAAGATGGGATTGCATAAAATGACTTTTAAGACTATATATTAATTTAATTATAGTATTCTATAAAGTTACTTCAATTTGCCTAAATGAATTGAGGTGCCGCCATCTTCAGTTTGTTAAATTAACATCTATAATTTATGATGATATGATGAGGAAGCTGCTTTTAGTAATAAAGAATGTCTGTTTTTTTTTTTGGTGGAATCTCTTCGTTAAATATCTTAAATTATCCATGAAATCATCCTGAAGTAAAAAAAAATTGCTATTTTCCATGAAAAGTAGAACTTTCAAAGACGAAAAATTCTTAAAATAGATAAAAAAAACCCCGACTTTGTAGAATTCTTCTTTGTCTCTTAATCTGTTAAGAAACGGAAACAGTATGTCTTTCAATCTTTTATAATTTAATTTCATTGATATTTCTTACGTTTATTTCTAATGTTAATTCGTTTTACTATACTAAATTGATTTGTTATGTGCCACCTATACGTTACAACATCTATAATTCGTAATTAATTATCTTTCGTTTTCTTTGATTGGATACAAAATTTTCTGACAAACACAATATCCAGTTCTATTTACTTTAAAGTTAATTAATTTTCGTTTGATTAGTTACGTATGATGACGATTTACTATTTTCCGTTTCTGAATCATCTCTGGTCAAAGCCTTTGGACAGAAGAGCTTCTTTAATTCCTTCTGAAATTCTTCATACTGTACCGTATATAAGATCGGATTGATAACAGCATTTATAAAGTAGGTCATCGTGAAGAAACGATACAACGCTCCCAACTTTAATTTTACTCCGCCATTGAGAAGAAGAAAATAAATTTGACTTGGCGAATTGCAAATAACGAAAGCTATTGCAACTATTAAAAGGGTCTTGAATAAGTTTCTTCCAGCTCTTTGCATTCGTCTTTCCCTTTCCTCCGACGATTTATTTCCACTTCCCTCACCTTTAACACCTTTAGTTGCAGAATCTGTTTGTCTGATTATCCTGAGCATCATATGAGCGTAACAATAAATCATAAAGATCAAAGGATTTAGATATTCGATAAATATGATGAAGATGCCAACAAATTGTTGAACTTCTAAAGATGGCCAATTTACCCAACCTCGACAAATATCAACGTTTTCGTCAACTTCATGAACAGGAATAATCGAGGACAATTTTATTGTAAAACCTAATAACCAAGTGAATATTATACACATTTTAATTCGACCCTTTGTGACGAGACGCCCATGTTTAAACGGCCATACTATGGCTAGGTAACGCTCGAATGATATAACACACAAATTGAAAGTTGATCCTGTCATAGAACTCCATAGTATACCCTGACTTTTCCACAATCGACAATAAGTTTCCTTTAACACTATTCCAGTTACTTCATCAGTTTTATCTCCATTCACGCCTAATTTATCGATCACAATAAAGATAGAAGTTACGATATCGAGAAACGACTGATTGATGATAAGCATATTGGGAATTCTCACACGTCTAACCGGACTCCTAAGCATAAGGAATATGACGAAGAAATTGCCAATTATTCCAAAAATTGCAATAGCACTGGAACCCAAGCGAAAAACTTCCCAACTCCAGTCAGTCTTACTTCCTCCTGTTCCTCCACCAACAACCGTAAAATTTGTATTCGTTGAATTATTCATTCTTCAAACATCCAACTGCAATTAGCACAGAGATGAAAGAAATAGAAGAGGAGCAAGTTTATGAGAAAGAAAGTGAGAAAGAGAGATAAGGAAAGATATTTGAGAGAAAACTATGAAGAAGAGACGCTCGACGAGCTAACTCAAAAAACAATATGTAAAAACAAACTTAAATTAGCTATCTATATAGAAAAGAATCAGTGGCGTGCAGGTATTCTGTATTACTCTATAATTTAAAGAAAAAAAAACATAAAACTTTCTCAAACGTAATCACAAAGGTTCAACAAATTTTTTAAGACTGTCCATCATTTTTTTGAGTTGTATGAACTTAAAATCAACTTTTTGGCACTTGTTTTTCACTGTAGTTCTTTCATTTTTTTGCCTGTAATAAAAAGAAAATGACTAAAAATGTCTATTTAATGAAATATCTAAGCAAGGTAACAATTTTCATAATCAAAATGCAAAAAAATAGACTGGTAAAAAGAGGAAAACAGACTAGTCTAATCCCTTATGTAATTATGCTGACATCATTACTGTCCTAGTTTACCTAGGTAGAAACTATAATTTTTAGAAATTATAGTTTGTATATTTTTATATTTTATTCTTTTATTCCTCTTAAATCATTCGGGCGATAAAATAATTGTCGGAAAGCGGGGGCGGATGGGGCGAGTAACTCTTGCTCTCTTCGACTGTTTTTTCTAAGTGTCTCCTGTTAACCCAGGTCACGTGACTCGACTTTCAAGAGAGAAAACTTCTTTCTCTATTGATTTTTTTATTTCCATGAGAATTCACGAATTAGCAAGCATCTCGGTCAGTTTTAGAGCATGCATTTTCTACTACTTTCAAGGTAAATAGGGTCTGATTGTGTGAATAATCTTGAAGAAACGAAAAGGTTATTTGTAATAATCAGCTGATAGCGCAGCAGAAAATTAAAAACTATCCTATTTAGTCTCCTACTTTCAACTTTTAGGCTAGTATGCAATTAGTCTATAAATAGAATAAACCCAAAGTCGAGTTAGAGTTTAAAGTTTTTTTTCGGAGATAAATCTTTCCTGTTAAGATTTTCACTAAATAAAGAAAAAATGAGTAAAAATAAATCCAAAAGTAATCCCAAATTAATGTTAAAGCTTTTCCTTTAAACTATTGCTTATTATTAAACTCTCCCTAAACTAAACTAATAATGTACTTTAAGAATTGATCAAAGTCTAATTAGGTATGACCGATTTCTTTTCATGTTATCTTCTGTGAAATGTCAAGACTCTCCCAAACATTTGTGCGGACCTGCAGTATGTTAACTCAATCGCTAATCTAATGTTTTATGTAGATGGCATGAAATTGTAGGCTTTATTTACCATCTCTAACGATAGATGGAGAAATGTAGCAGCATAGAGAGATTCTATTTATTGTCTCTATCAAAAGAGTATACCATATTTAATGTACTGTATATCTACTGTATATATATATTTATACTTTGTTTGTAATATTGAGATATTCGTTGATAAAAGAGTTCTATATCCAAAAACCAAAAGAAAGCTTCAGATTGGTTCTGATTTACCACAAAAACTATCTGTTACACTTTGTCCTTCACTTATTAACAATGGCCATAGCATTTCTTTTTCTCCCAACCGTTGTTTTTATAATTTATATAGAATTTCTTACATGTCAGGTTAATGGATTTTATATTTTGTATAAATTTTCAATATTTTACAAGTTCTACATACGAAATTGTCAAAAGAAGGAATGTTGAAATAAAGCTTGCTTTTCTTCTCATTTCTCTGTCTATTTCGTAATTTATAAACATATACAGAATATATATTTTATTTTGGATCTCTTTCTCTTTTTCAGCATGTATTCTTTACTTGATGTATTGTTAATTTTACTTTATGTCTTATAGAATATTCCATCTGGTGATGTTGATTGTTACAAGAAATTGGGTGTAGCAATCAATAATAATTGGGTAGTAGCTTCAGACGGCAACGGTTTCGACGCCCGAGTAGATTCAAATGTATCTTGGACAAGTAAATTACCTCTATGTAAAGGAGAGAATATTGCAGAAGAAAGCTGTTCCTGGATAATTGTTGACTTTCAAAGGTCTACAGTTGTTACTGCAGTACAAACAGCGGGCAACGGTAATGGGTCATTTATTACTGCTTACAAAGTGGGCTTTAGCAGTGATTGTGAGGATTTTCAGTTTGCTGGTGATGATGAAGGAAACACAATAGTTTTCCCTGGTAATGCCAAAAGCGACGAGATGTTGACAAATGTCCTTGAGGAGGTTGTTGTTGCTAGATGCATACAAATAGTACCTACAGGTTATATAGGAAGTCCCTCTTTAAGATTTGAACTACTCGGATGCGGTAAAAAAACACAAATAGAAAATTAGAATTTACATTTGTCTATTTGTTTAATCTCCTTTCTAATTAGATTATTATTTAATAAAACAGACACCAATCTATGCTCTGAATCGCCTATCAATCATGTGAAAGAAGCTGGAAAAATGCAGCATTCTCCAACTGATTTTCGGTCTGGTTATGCCCAATTTGATTTTGAAGCGGAACAAATACTCTTTGCTGTTGTTTTCCATGTTCAACCTAATGACGAGAATAAAAGGTTTAAAGATGACAGAAAGTATGTTTTGGCATATAGCCGTAATTGTCGTAATTGGGAGCCTGTTAGGGAGCAAAGGAGATATGGAGATGCTCTAGAGATGTCTACTTCGTCTAAATCGTTTTATACAATATGGAAAAGATTTCCATATCCGTTTAGAGCCCAATGTGCCCGTTTTATACCTGTGGATCACCATTTAAAAGATCATGGAGTTCCGGAAGGTGCAAGATTTATTGGTTGTGGCACCGGAAAGGGTACTTAAGAGTTTTTAGAACAAAAACTTGTAATTAATAAAATCATTCGAATTTTATTAATCTTTAGCGAGTTGACTTTTGGTAAATTTATAACTTGAAGGCTTTTTAATAACTTTCGCTATAATGTGTACTATAATGTGTTTTCGTTAAAAGCCTTAATACGCGCCCAATTTTCGTTTGATTTTAGAGTTTTTTTGTTCAATCACTTTATTCCTTCTACATCACTACTCTCTTCCATTTTAGCTATTCGAGGACTCTGTGGGAGGCGGAAAAGTATTACGTCTGATTTCTGGCCGTGGTTAATTCGTATTAGCAATAAAGCAGAAACTTATCATTGTACAGGTTTCCTTATCAGTTCAAATTCACTCGTTTCTACATCGGATTGTTTGCGCAAGTGAGTAAGAAATAATAATTTTTTGCTTTCATTGCTTATTAATTAACAATTTACTAAACATCTATTACTCTTGCCTCTTTCTTTTTTTATATATGATAGTCTGTTCCAAATAATTCAAAATTCGAACGATAGTTCAGTACCAAATGAACAAGTTATATTGAGGATTGGAACGAATGATAAAACTTGTGTAAGAGCTTTAATAAGTGATTATAAAATGAAAGATGGAATTGTAATTATCCGACTTAAAAATAACGTTCCGTTTACTGACCATGTGAACAAAATATGCCTTTGGAACGCAACAAATTTGAATTTGGAAGAGTGTGAATCCTTAATAATGTTGGGTATTAATTCCGACGGTTAGAAAATTTGATACTATAAATGATACAATGGATGGCAATGTAAAATTCCATCAATATGTTATATTTCTAGATATATTTATATATAGAAAGTATAATGGATATACATAATTGTATCATTTGAGTATCTATTGTTGTTTATTTCTATAGATATTGATATAAGCATATGATATTTTATTAACAGGAAGAACTGAAAATCATAAAATAGACCCAAAACAATTATTACTGAATTCGACATATTGTGAGGAACCCTTTGCGAATGTTACTAATTCTACAAAAGATTCGGCTTGCCTTAGTCTCCTAACGAATCTCGACAGAAACGGCAAGAACTGTAGCATTCTAAGTGCAAACGGAGCTGGTTTATTGTGCGCGAAGAAAGACATTTCATTTTTAGCAGGTATTTATAAAGAAAGAAGTCTATATTTACGAAAAATCTATGTATATATACTGTATGGTATATATATAAATTCTATATATCCGCCTTGTGAAATATATCTATATACGAATATTTTTCATATTGAAAGTATATACTGCATTTATAAGGAAAATATATAATATAAAGATTGATATTTTTACATTTTTGTTTTTCAAAGGATACAAAGATATTATTTTTAATGATTTATTCTAATCGACCTGTTATTTATTCTTGTACACTTTGAAAAAGTAACGAGTAATTGTTCTTAATTCGCAATGAATTGTTAAATTTGTTTTCTTTTTTTTCAGGGTTTGCTTTACGATCATTTAATTGCCTTGATTTCACAAACAACTATCTAATTAAGGAATTAGGTTTGAATTACGACTGGATCTTGGAACTTCTAGGGAAAGATAGACTTTAGAAGGAAAAATATAGTCTCTGTTAAGTTCGATAGATTCTTTTTTTTGTATGTATAAGGGATACATGATACGATATATTACATGTTGACCTACAGAGCATAAATAGATAAGATTATCCTATATATATTTTAGAAATATAGATCCTCTTTGATCTGACAGATTATGTAAAAAGTTTTACATACAGATATACATATATATATATACTGTATATATATATATATATATATATATGTATAGGGATATAAATATAAATATCCTTGTTAAAAATATATATATCTGTATATAAATAAATATATTAAATCCTAATAAAATTATCTATAAATTTATATACACCTTATGTATAGAGTCTATACATAGGGTATATTTATATAATTATTAAATACTTATTAAGTAATATTGCACGTGTTCACATTACTGGAGGAAACGTTCAAAAACATCGTTATTCTTACTTTTATACCTTTGGCATAAAGTTTTACTTTTTCTTATATCTATACATTTACATACAAGTGTACTTGTACGCAAATACATAAGTATTGTTTATAATTACTAATAGAAACTTTGATACTTTTATACTTATATAAAATTTGTCATAAATTTATAATAAGTCCTTTCCAAACTTTTCGCGCCAAATTCGCATCTGGTGGCAGAGAGAAACCGAGTTTGGTCAACGCAAGATAATTCCAAAATCGACGTAAATCATGCAATCGTTTGTCGTTCCTCTTTTCCATTGTTCGGTCATCCAACTTGCTACCAACGCTGAAAGTCGAAACTTGAGGAGCGAATACGAGAAGAAGATAGACGAAGGAGATAAGCAATATTATCTTCATGTTTGCTTTGCCCGTTTTTGCGGCGGTAGATGCCTCTTATACGCTCTCACCTACGCACACTGACGCGACTATAACTTAAGCTAATAACGTCGTCTAAGACGTTCTAGCCGCAATAAAGAAGTGGGGGAGGGGGAGAGGGGAGGTTAGGTCAAGGAAATGTTGAAAGGGGTTGATAGTAGATATAACAAGAAAGAATACAAACGCGACTTAATAATGTTATTTAAATATATGTTTGATGTGTTGAAAGTTTATAAAATACAGATCAATTAGAATTTTTAGATTTCTTTATTACCTATTATTATTGGAATTGTACATATATGGGGGTGTTTTTCAATTAATTTATCTTAAAGAAAACGTGCCCCTGCTAATCATTTAAGTATTATGCTAAATTGTTAATTTTCAATTAAAGCTGTTATTCACTTTCATCTTTTCTCGGTACCATTTCTTACTTAGTGTATCTTCAATACGATCCATTAGTGCCGAATGAGCGGTCCGTCGTCTACGATATCTCTGTTCATAAATTTGTAAAATTAAATCTGGTATTTAATAGGAATCTCTAAATGTGTACCGTATATTCAGCTGATTTTTCGGGCCAAGGATCTTTATCAAGAATCAACCTGGCTTCCCATTTCTCTTGAGGAGACATTGGTGGAGCCATCTGTATACCCACGTTTCTGGAACCCATAGGGGGCGCTGATACCAAACCATGAACTGAAACGTTAGAACGTCAGTAATTTTTTAATGTATACAGAGCAAACAGATCAGTATATATGACTAAGGGAACTTACTTGTATTCAGGCGTTCACTTTGAAAGTTGATATTGAAGGGATCGCGTTCATAGGATGTGGTAAATTCGTCTAAGCCTAATTTTTTTAACGAAGGATAATTCCTAAAGTCATGGGGTTCTGGTTGCTGATATGGTTCAACAGAACCTTTAACTTCCCTAAATTTTTTAACCAAGTCCAACTTGGCATCGTACGAATCATTGATACGAAACGTCCGTATAAATCTTGGTTTCTCTTTCGTTAAATTTTCACCTGGTTTTACAGGAGCAAAAATTTCTGGTAGTTTAGGAGGAATATTTTTAGAACGCGGAGGTTCGTCATCAAATCTCGCATGATACTTCCAAGGTTTCACAGCATCTCTAGAATTTCTTTTAGGCGGTTTGGGAGCATAGACTTGCGGTCTGAAATCGGGCGGCGGCCTCCTAGAAATTACATTAAAAGAGAAAAAAACAATTAGAATTTTATCCATTTAAGACTTTCATTTAATAGAAATAAATGCTCATTTAAAGAGAGAAGCCCTACTTCCATATGTCGTTATCCTCTTCCTTTTGACGAATGCTAAAATTTGCGCTCCTTACATTTAAAAGACTTTCAGTAGCTGCGAATGAAGTTTTTACGTCAAAACCAAAAGGTAGAATATATAATGAATGAGCTGTCGGTGCTGAAGTCCTTCTGTACATAGACGGACCACGACTAATCCATTCGTCTTCTTCATCGTCAAAGTTTTCATCGTCCATATTTATATTTTTAAAAGCTTTGTCGCCTTGTCACAGCGTTACTAAGTTATATGCAGTTGAATATCTCTGTAAGACCCCTACTCTATTATCGTCCAGTACTATAGAAGGTTTTCAAACACTTGATAAATTAGTAAAATATAACAAATAGGTAAAAGTGTTAATTAATTACAGTATTGTCGAATTAATGAAAATATTTCAAACTAAAGATAATCTTTGTTTTTCTCTTTAATAAATTATCGTTGGGAAGGGGGGAGAATTGCAAGAATGAATAGGGAAAAAAAGGCTACGGCAATTGTTAATAGAGAAAGAAGGCGCACTTGCTGTTCATGCTAGCTTAACAATACAATTTATTGAACATAAGCGATTCAGTCATTGAAGAGAAGCGATTGATTTGTGACAATTTCTATTAGGCTTAAAATATGTTTTTATCCTACGTATTTTCTAATTGCTCGATGCTCTTATTGTTTATTATTTATAAAATACCATTAGTGTCAAATTGAAAAATGTCTTCAGGCTAGTTTTATTTTAAAAAAGTACACGCTTAAGAAACATTTCACGGCATAAAACAATTTATGCAGAAGCCAGTAGATAATATTCTCTGAATGTTAAACTAAGTCCATCGATTCTGCAAATTTTTTACTGTTTTCTCTTTTCAAAGTCTCTTAAGTCTTATAGATAGACCTTCTATATAAAATACTAATATATACAGTATATAGGTATATATTTCTCTTTTTCAATATACGCTTTTCTTCTTCACCGCGTTAAGTTATTGTTCATTTATATCTCAATGTATATATAATATAATTAAATATACAATATAGATGTGTATATATATATATATATATATATATATATACATATATGTATACAATATATATAGTATTTACTGGGCATGTACCTTTACTCCTCACTGCTTTCAATTTACTGTTATATTTTCTATTATAAATATATAAATTATGAGAAGAGTAGAGTAATTAGAGTGTCATCTAGCGGCAATTCACAATTCGCAAAGCTAACTATCTCTTAAGAGCCGTTTAGCAATATCGCATGAATCTAGATCTATCTCCGGTTCTACTGAAGTTTTCAATTTTTTGTTCTTAACCAGTGGATAACAGAAGCTCATTATAGTATGAAATGAAGTGGTACATCACTTTTCAATTATTTTTAATATCTGAAAATGCGTGTCAATACGCTTTAAGTAAAACGGTAAGATTTTATTTACTATAGTTCTAACCTCTATCTTTCTGTAACGTTCATTAGCTTTCCCTCTATCATTCCTCTCTTTAAAGTGACCCTGGTCATCTAAATTGGACATCTGCCCCCTTGTAGTGCTTGTCCTTTCTACCAATTTTCTTTCTTTCAAATAGATATTGCTATTTATTTTTTGGATTAAATGTATATTTTTATAATAAATGAAATTACATTTCAAAGAAGAGTAGACTTTTTTTTAAAAAGAGAAATTCAAAGTAATTCCGCACGTCTTTAAAATTCCAATAATATTTCATATATTCCACGTCTTTGTTAATTTTCAAGAAATGAATACTTACATATGTGTGATTTTATATAAAAATTATATATATATATATATATATATATATATGTATATTAAATTTTTCATTTTAATAAGAATTCATTTTAAGTAGTATTATACTTTTCCATTAGGATCTCCTACCTATTACCTATTCTCAAAATTGCTGTCTTTTTCTCCAACAAAGATATTAAAATATGGCTATAAATATAAATATATTAGGAATATTACGTTTACATATCTACATACATAAATACATATATATATTATTAATATCATTTTAATTATAGACAAGGCAATGAGAGACAATAATGTTATTTATTGCATAAACTCTCATTTCTAATACTACTGATTAAAGATTTGCCTAGAGCATGTATTATACTAATATTTCTGATGTATAAACAAAGCTATTAGTCAGTTTTTAAGTAAAGAATACACAGTGTAGATAGTTAATTTCATATGTAGATACACGATATAAAATTATATGCATAAAGGATGATGGTAATTGCCCTCATTTTTCTAGATCTCTTCAAAGTCCTGCCTAACACGAAACGGTTACTTGAAGGGAAGCTATTACGAAAGTCATACGTGTGTTGATTGTTTCATATTTCTCTTTCAGAACAAATTTGAAGCCAGGAAACAAAAGTAATTGGAATGTTCTTACTCTTTATATGTATTATACTGTATATACATATACATATATGCAGTATACTGTATATATTTATATGTTAATACGGATATTAGCAATAATTATGAATACTTCACATAAACAATAGCACTCTAATTTATATTCATATATCTGTTTATAGATAAATATATATATATATATGATACTGTATATAATAAAATCTACAACCATAAAAGCACAGTCGAAGCTTTATATGTTTGTAATTAATTACTCTATTGTATACAGTATTAATAAATAAATAAATAAATAAATAAATAAAAACCGACATATAATAGAGAAGAATAATTTTCTTCCCTTATCTCTTAGAATAATTATAATAAAAGCTGTTCTTTTCTTCTATTTTTTAAAAATAGGAATAAATTATTACTGAATTTCACGACAAATTCCCTGATTGTAAATTTGAGAGGAAAATCAGATTTCTCAAAAGTTTGCTCTATAATTGGTAATAGAGACTGTTCCAGACTTAAAAGTTGTTGCGAATCAGCCATAAAATGCTGCAAAACTCAAACTGAAAACCGACCGGAAGATAAAAAGGTGAAGAGTAATATACTAAATAAACCGAAAAATGGAAGAATCCTTTTCCATTTAAGAATATATATAACTCTTTTCCGTTTTCTTTTCTCTTTTGATGCATTCAGGGTTATTGTCCATCTACTTGGGACGGGTATGGTTGCTGGAGCGCAACCCCACCTAATTCGGTGGCAACAATGCCGTGCCCAACATTTATAGATAATTCGATACCATCACGTAAGTCTAAAAGTGAAAAAATAACAATAATAGAAATAATAATAATAATAATCAAGATATTTATTCTCTCCTTTCATCTTTCTCATATAGTTTTTCGATTTTTAACTGACAGTATTTGCTGAAAAGAAATGTGAGGCGAACGGAAGCTGGTATATAGATCCAAAGAATAAAAGGGAATGGACAAACTATACCACTTGCCTAAATTTATCTGTAATTTTTTTAATAACGTCTACAGCTTAGCAAATCTAGTTTTGTGCTGTATATATATATATAGGTATATATATTGTATGTACTGTACATCTATATATATATATATATCCTTTCCATCTTACAATCTCACGAGAGTAATCATACAATACTCTAGCATTAATCGTATGGTGAATATAAGCATCTAAATTTACGTTTTATACTATTTGAAAATAGGATAAGAAGACAGCCATCTACATTAGCGTTGCGTGGAACGTAGCCAGCTTAGTTTTACTGGTACCATCTGTATGCCTATTCACACGTTATAGGTAAGAATACCTCATATTGTATATTACGCAAAAATTAATTCTCTTGTTTATGCCTTGAAATCATATTACAGACAACTGCGAAAACAATATAGGATTCGTCTTCATATTAATCTATTTCTTTCATTTATTATTACTTCTACTGTCTACCTAATTTGGGATCTCGGAATAGTATACAGAAACTTGACATCTTCAACAAGTAATAGTATAATAAGAGCAAATTCGGTAAATATCTTCATTTTTTACACGTGATTTGTTAAAAAAATGAAACTTACAATAAGTTCACAAATTTATTAATTTCCTTCCTATATAGCTGGCCTGCAGATGTTTAAACATGCTAACAAGGTATAGTACAAGTGCAAATTATATGTGGATGCTGGCCGAAGGTACATATCTTCATCAACTGATTGTTCGTACCTTCGAGCCCCCCGAATCATTGGGTCGATACTACTTAATTGCTTGGGGTAAATACTAATCCCAATACATGTTTAACCGCATATTTTAAAAAGAAAAACACACAGGATTTCCTTGGTTACCGATAACGGCTTATAGTTTAATAAGGTTCCTGAACGCTAATTCAAGGTATAGTCATCCTAATCCTTTACTGTCAAGCAAGCTTAGTTATAATTTACTCTGACCCAATCAGTTGTTGGATTCAAAATCTTGGGTGGTTAGAATGGATAATTTACGGTCCCAATCTGAGTGCCTTATTGGTAAGGAAAATCTCTCTCAACACGCAAATTTTCTTAAAATAATTTACTTTTCATGTATTTATAGCTAAATACTGTATTTTTGGTCAACATTTTAAGAATACTTCTTACAAAACTTCAATCTCACCCAAATGAACCCAATAATTTCAGGTATCAAGATTAAATGTTTCACACATCATCCCGTATTAAAATATTCTCTTTTATAGACGAGCCTTGAAAGCAACTTTGATCCTAATTCCCCTGTTTGGACTCCAACTTATGTCGGTAATATACCGTCCAAGGTCTTCGTCTATAGTTTTCAAATATTATGAATGGTTTTCCGAATTTATAACAAACTCTCAGGGATTTCTGGTATCTCTGATATTCTGTATTTGTAACGGTGAAGTGATAGGTCATGTTAGAAAGAGCTTACCAACGAAGAATAAGAAATCAAAAAGAGATGAGCCTAGATCATCTACCCAATTTGTTACATGTACAGCAGATGACGATAGGAGAAAGAGCAGTGCTACAAGCGATCGAAAGTACATTCAGTTGAGAATATTAAGAGACAATAGGGAAAATTAATTGTCGAACATAATTTATAATGTTCTCATAAATAGCAAATATATATAATGTATATCCCGATTATACTAATATAAACTCATAGATGGCGTTACAGCTTATCCTGACCATCCCACTATAAACAGGATATTTAAGTTGAAAAGTACAGATTTTGTTTTGTATACTCTAACCACAGCATGTATACTGCAAATAGTGTTCCTTTACGTTTTTATGCATATCTATACATGCAGTATACACAGTGTACTCAGTTTATGTGTACAGTTAACAATATTATATTAGAATATATATCTACATATATAAATGAATATATGCTATATTTACTTAATTGTAATAATTTTATATCTATATATAAGTATTGTATGGAAAGTACTTTATCTGAACTGGATAAAAATATCAAAAAAGACGTACCTAGATGTTCAGACGTCTAAAAAAAGATATCGAATACAAATATTGTCTTTATTAATACCTAATTTAGCATGAAATGCATGCCAAAAAGCCTTAAAAATATTAGAAGAGTGTGCACTGGTGTAAAATAATTACACACATGCATTTTGCTATCTTAGATGTATTGATATATTGTGTCTCTTAGATAAAATATAATATATATATACGTGTGTGTGTGTGTATCTGTATTTGATTATAAGTTGCATATACCTTCATATCCTCGCTTGTCATTATAAGTGCTCGTATATGTAGTGTAAAGCATGTAAAGAGTGTACTCACTATTGTATCTACATATATTTACTACAAAAATACTCTAGTTTTTAGGTTAAATTTCTGTGTTTGTAGAAAAGAGTATTACACTGTAAATCAGTTGCATTTAGTGTATATTGCAATCTCACCTAAATAAAATGTATATGCATATTTATTTGATGGGCTGATACATTTGAATGGATTTATTAATAGACTTCTTTAAAATTTCATTAACACTCAGTATACAATTTATGACTTTAAGGCATATGGGAATTTTTATATCTACTTCTGTCAAATTAACTGAGAATATTCGTTTTTAGCGATAAAAATAATATAAAATATATTCTATATATATATTAATGTGTGGAACCGAATTCCTAACTAAAATATTCGCAAACAAACTACATTGGCCAATGAGCGTCGATGGCGGCGTCACCGAGACAAACGAGCACAAGCGAATCGATAAGCGTTAAACGCATACGTTATTTTCGCGCGCCCCACTCGTTCCTCCCCTTCTAGAAAGCAATTGGCCAGTACACGCTCTGCATCGGGGGGCAAAGGTATCTTTTGGATTTTCCCTTTTTCTCTTTCGATTTTTCTCTTTTTCTCATCGACGATTGCTGAGAAAACGATTGGATAAACTAGGGCTAGGAAGAAGGGTGAGTAGCAATTCTAATGTTCTTCGAAACAATGGATTGTTACAGGTCTCTATGGTAACCGTTTACGACGCCTACTGTTGAAGGCGTCGACTAAGGGAGAAAGATGTTAATCGATGAACGAGTCGAGATAGACGGTTGCAACGATACATATGTAATATCTGTCGCATACGTTCTGTATATACTGTATACATCAATACGTGTGTGTAGAGACACTTAAAAATATACTTTTACAGTATATACACATGTAGGAGTTATATAATCGTATTATCTGAGGAATTCATATAGTATTTATATGCCCACATGTGTTAGCTAATTCATTTTTAAATTCCACTTTATATACGCTATATTTAACCTTAAAAAATCATAATTATAGGTACATACATGTATGCTTCTTCCTTTAAACATGTATATGCTTTATATATTATACATATCTAAGTATTATTATACATACAGTATACATATATATATATATATATGTATATATATGTAGTTGAATATTTTATTCTTCATGTCTTCAAAGTACCTAACCTTCTAAGAGTTAAATAGCATAAAGATTTATTAATAAATTCTATAAATTTTATGAATATTAAGGTTATTTATTGAATTTAACTATAGGATGGTGAAACTTGGGGTGTATATTTAAAGGTAAAAAAGCGAATTTCCTCACCGAAAATGTAATGAAATAAATTGAAAGAAAGTGTATTTGCCAATTTACTGAGACGAGTTGTTTCCAATTGTTTTCAACCGTCGATAGAACATCTTTCATGCACTGGTTACCCTTCTTCCTCGCCCCACCTGCGATTAACAACGGCAGTATATTCTCTGTGTGTATTTGCAGGAGACTTTTGCTGGAGGGACAGCAATTTCGCGCTCATTTCCTACGACCTTTTCTCACGACTCGTCGCCATGCACGATAACCAAACGCAAGTTTTCACCTCCTTCAAGCTCGTTTCATCCACAAAGGATTCTCTCCTTGTTTGCTGGGGAATACGAGATAACGTCCAAACCTTTGTTAACGCTTATCGATTAATCTACACAGCCTTTAAATCAACGATAATTCAAAAATCTTCTAGGCTACATTCAAGGGAAAGAGAGTTCGATATTCAGCAACTACATGAAAATACGTATTATAATATCTGTGTAGAAGCTTTCTCTTCTAACGAAACATACACATCGTGCCTGCAGGCGTCGACAGGTACCGATTCTTTGGCAGTAGCATTGGGTAGTAGTTTTGGTGCCTTTATGGCGTTAGGAATTATTGTTATGTTCGTCTTCCTCGCCAAATGGCAAAACACGAGGAAATTAAAGAAATTGGCCAAAATAAACGCGGCTTATGGTTCGGCTGATCAGGAAGAATTGGATGAGCCAGCTAGTGATATATCTTTGCAGGCTCTACCGGACGTCGTTTCTTCCTATCACGATCACCCGCCCTCTAATTCCGGTTCTAATGAGATACGCGTCCAGGCCGACGTTTCTGTCGTCAAGCAAAAGTCGATTGATCGAGATAGTCTAACAAAATTCGTTCAACAACAATCAGTCGATAGCGGCGGCAGCAGCTCGAAACGCCTGGCACAGATCAAGTGCCGTCAATGTTCCATTGATTCTGAACCGTCGCAAACGTCAAAGCAAATGTCGTTCGATGCTGCTGACGACGAGATACCATTGGATAGACTGCTGCGCGCTGAACGTACTGGAGAACTTGGTACAGTACTAGGACCTTCTCCCCTGAGAGCGGTGCCAAGCTGTAATTGGTGACCCAAATATTTGTGAGTGAAACACAGGGAAGAATGGGAAATTTTGTTGTTTTCAACACAGGAAGATAATTTAACTAATTATTGTTAGAGTTTATATAACTTTTTGTAAAGAATCTCCTTTTTAATCTCTCAACTTCCTCTTAAAAACGCAAAAATATGAACGATATTTTATTTTACTAAGAAAAACGAAAGAAAAATCAAAGAAAGGAAAAGAGAAAAAAAAACTACACGCAAAGATGTATCCTTTATAGCACACTATTTTTGCACGTTCATTCTGGTGCTCTGGAAGATTAGATGCTTACCTCTTTTGTTTCTTCTTTTCTACATTTTCTATCGAAAAAAAAGGCATTTTGGTGACGACAAACTGTAGAGAAATAATGAAAGGAAAACACCGCTGTTGGAAGGTAGATGGAATATTAAATTTAACTGTGTTTGAGAGAGAAGTAATGATTGGAGCGGACGAGGTGAAGGAGAATAAAAAGAATGATAATTGAAAAGAACTGTGTGTTGAAGAAGAGTCACCGCGAGTCTGTCTGAGACGGTCTCGTATAAAATAACACTAAAAGGAATTTGGTGTGCCCTACACTGCAAAACGAAAGATTATTTTTCTTATATTTTCCAAGTCTTTTCTCTACTTGTCTCCTCAGCCACATAGACAAATTCTCTCTCTCTCTCTCTCTCTCTCTCTCTCTCTTGCTCTCACCTACTCTGTTTTTCTCTATATCTCACTCCCGTAATGAAACACAAAACCTGTTTTTTATCATATACTCAAAACGAAATCGATAGCATTTAAGTAATAAAGAGGGCTAATAGATAAAAATGAAAAATCAATCAATAGTTCGTTCATGATCGGTTGGTTTGCGCAAGAATTTCCGGTTTATTCACTTTCTAGTCATTCGAAATCGCATAAGATTAATGAAGAGAAAAATCGATATTAAACTGCCCTTGAATTAAAGCGCCAGAACGGTAACACTGACTTCACCAATTAATTATTTTTATTTACTTTCCTTAATCTACCATATTTGTAATCGGAGCTTTGACAGGTTGTGTCTGTAGATGAGAAGAAAAGCTCCTGATCATTTAACAAAGTCGTAATAAAATCTTTCTAATCACTGTATTAATAGAATATTCGGCTTGTTTGGGATAGTCATTACATGATATTATCATTAATCTAAAAAAGAAATATAACATACAGCACTAGGAACCCGGTTGATTTTACAAGTAAATACAGAAAATTTTCAATTATTCCTTTCATCTGGGCTTATTATTAAATTCTCTGTGTCTTCTTTATTAAAAAAACAGGAATTTATAGAGAAATCCAAATAAAAGCATTCTCCTGATAGAAAATTATTCATTACGAAAACCTTCAGTAATAAGTAAGATGATTGGAATGAATTACAAAGAACTAAACAAGCTACCCAATGTGTTTTTAATAATATAAGATCTATAATCCAAATCTATAGGCCTATATTATAATTGAGAGAATTTTTACAATTATACAGAAAGTTTCAACTATATGTAGACTTTAATTAGCAAGAAAAAAATCGCATTTAAACAAAATGCAGAAAGATAATTTAAAGGTTCTATTTTTTTTTACCAGCTTACATCGTTTGGAGTAGACGCTAGCTGTAGGCAGGAATCAATTTCAACAGATATTATGACGTCATCCAGGCGTGTCCACCTAGGCAGTAAATTCTGCAAGTTTGCTAAATAAAGGTTTTTTTTTCTTTATATACTGTATTTTTATTTTTCCTTAAAATACAACAAAAATCTGTGCCAGCTTCCTCTCTGTTCGTTTTTTATTTATTATCTCTTCTCTATTTTTTAACTGCTCTACTTAGGCCTATGGCTAATACTGGCACAACACCTCGTCTTTGAGACAAACTAATGAGACGACTAATTTACCCCCGGATGCGTAAGCCTATGTGGCAGCTATAAGTTAGACGACTACATTTGCTTCATTTGAGAAAACATTCACCTTTTCCGGTGGAGAGAAAAAAGATGCTACTTTGCTTTGCCGCTCTCGTTCTGTTTTCCTTTTCATTTGTTTGTCTCTTTCTTCTGCCTAAGTCTCTAACTATCTATCTCTTTCTTTTATACAGGCTTTCTTCTTCCTGTTCCACTAAGACTATGTTTTTAAAAGGTAAAACAGAAGCAGAGAAAAGACAGCCTCATTGCTTTCCATTCCATGCTTTAAAAGAGCAGAATAAAGAGCTGGTCGATTTCCTTTCCTAGTTTATTCACGGATAGAGCTGGACAAACAAAAGGCTATAATAGATCAGCCATTTTGTGTTGGTTTTAATATAGGACAAATTTCCAAGGCTTTACCCTTGAAAAGAAACCTGAAGAGCAGAAGATAGGTGGGAAAGTGAAAGATAAGAGCGCAAGAAGCAAATCAGTAGGAAAATAGTGGACTACCAGGATGAAAAGAGACGTTAACGGGTGTCGTCAGGCCAGTCATCAAAAGAAGAAAAAAACCTAATGATTTACTATATTATTCTCCTGCTTCCATATTTTAGTTTGCCAACAATAAGACGTAATTATTCATAGAGGAAGGGTATTACGTCGTCCCTTGACAAAAGATGTTTTTTCTATATTAAATTACTATAAACTCGGCTTAGCGCCTTAAATATATAAAAAAAAACTCATTACATATCAGTGAACGAAAAAGGCTAATCTCCACCTAGCGGATAATTTTTCTAATAATCATAACGTTCTTCAGAAGATAATAAATATATATAAATATATAAAATACACATTGTATTTACTTATGGAATTAACAGAATTTATAAAATTAGGAATGAAAACGTTACGATTTGCTACTTATTAAAGACTTTCTCAATATAAATCAATAAGACTTTTATACAGACTCAAAAGAAATAAATAAATACGGGCTATTTTCTTGCAGGCTAACGCGTTTGAAAACGTCAGTCGCCATGACGACCAGAATATTGTTTACAAATGGCGTTGATCTATATGGCTCCTGGCCTGATTTAATTAACGGTCTACTATAAGGTTTATTCAACCCTAAGAGGTCGTTTATGTTCTCTGAACTGCTAATGTAGTTTGTTTATTTGGTTTTTGGAATTGGACAAAGAACAATATAACGGATAGAGGTGCCGAGAAGATTAGTCACACGGATAATCTCACACTTCCAGATCTTCTTTAGATTCTTGTTTTTCTTAGTTTATTTCATTACCCTTACTATTTTCTGGTTTTCCTCTAATCGGATAACAAGTCTAAAAGTATGGATGAAGAACGAATTCCTTCATGCGAACAAAACAGAGCAGTAGAGGGTGAAGCCATCGATTTCCTAGCTTCTCTGCATTGGGATGAAGCGAATGAAATCAGTATTCTACAAAATCCTTTCACGTTCTTTTCTCCTTGGAGAACTAATTTGGAAACGAAAGTGAAGAAAACCACTAAGCGAAAGATAAAGATGGCAACCACCGAGACTTGCAAAGGCGAAGATATCCAATTCGATATAAGGAAGAGTTTTGAGCATCATTTGACTTTACCTAAATCAAACTTGAACGCTCTGAAAAAGAGAAATTCTCCAACATTGTACAAGACTGCCGATGTTGATCAATGCAAGAAACTAACAAAAATACATAAAGAGACCCATTTAATTAAACCACCCAATTTGGAAGAATTTCACTTAAGTAAAAGTAAAAAGAATAAACTCAATAATTATAATCCTCTTCCAGCTTTATCGGTACCACTTGTTGATTGCCGGAGTGACCACCTAGTAGAAGCTATAAAACAAAGAATGGAAGAAATCGAAAAAGATGAAAAGAGACGAACCATGTCCGAACCTCCAGTTGCTCAACGTGGAAATAACCAGGGTGGTGGTTTTCATGGTTTGAGTATTGGACAAACAAGGTTTACCCGGGTACCACCACCCCCTCATTCCCATACTCATACTCATACAACTGCAGTTGACCTATTACCGGTCATCTCGGGGAAGAAAGTAGCCATTTCTGGTCAAAGGCTTAAAACTGGATTATGCAAATGAGATTGTTTATACGTTTTTCTATTTGAAGTATTATTATATTAAATACTGTCGGACTCTATTTAAACTAAAGTTAAATACTTCACTTATAAAATTTATTTCCAAAATCTTTACAATATAAATAAAACGAAGACTAAATAACTGCCTAAAGTACTTTTGAATCTGCGTCTTCGTAGGTAATCTAGCAAAGAAAAATATCAAAATAAAAAGGAATTGGTAATTTCATTTTACAGGTAATAGAGAAAATATTTTAAACTTATATCTTTGATTTTTCACACAGCTACTTTAAATGATAAACTAATTATTGAAAAAACTCTCTTCTTTCACTTTCTACATCTTTCCTTCTCTCTCCCTCTCTTTTACTTTCTACCTGTCTGTTGTCCCCAGATTTTTTCTTCCCACAGCTATGACTAAGATATGAGAAATCGTGAAGAAAATATATATATATACATTATATTAAAAAAAAAAAACACTCTATTCATATAACCTTAAACCACTCGAATTGAATGATTTCTACCTTAAGTATGTTTAAACTTGGACTTAGTTTTCTTTATTATTAGAACATTATTTTCAAGTTTATTTTAAATTTGATTAAAAGAGAAATTTCAAACATTTTGTTTACTTTTAATTAAGCTAAGTAATGTATTAGTTACAGTTGAATGATATATTATTATTTATAATAGGAATTAACTAAATCCATTCAGTATTATATATATATATATATATATATATATATATATATATTGTATATTATAATATATATATAATAAAGATCAACAACGTTTTATTTTTACAGTGACGCCATCTATGGCTCAAATATGAAATGTAAAACAATTATGATATAGCTTACGCAACAGAGTTTTTATGAGAGTGAAAGATGAAAACAGAATAAAAAATATAGATTATTGAATAATAGCTCGAGATGACAAAATATTATCATAAATAATAATTTACAAAGAAGTAATTTACAAATTAGGGAGAGGAACAAGTAATGCAGCTGATTCAAATAACACTACAATTTTCCTATAAGTAGCTTCCTAAGATCTAACTTTATATTTACTACCTTTCAATTTTGTTTCATTCTAAAGACTACTATGGAATAAAGATGAAAGATGGAAGAAATATCCCAGCGTTCCAAATGATCGGATTTCCATAGCAGTACGCCGGGCGTGTCGTTTTCCGTCAGGTTTTTCTTGCAGTTTGTTCGCCGTCACTCACTTAGTTGACATCATGGCGATCAGCGTTTGGTCTATCTCCGCTCTTCTTCTGATATTTCAAGTAAGTCAGACAAATTATTAATTAGCTTAAGAAAAAAGTTTTCAAACAAGGTCACGAATTACAAATAATATATAAAGTATTTGAACTATATTTAAAATATAATAAAAAGTCAAGTTTCTAAGAGTTATACGATCATATAAAATCGGCACTTAATAAACACTAACAGGGAAATAAAAAGCTCTCACTTTCACACCCTACCATTTCACTTCACTTCAGCTTTAAATATTGACTAAATATTTACCGCCCACTCCTCGTCATATGATCCAGACGCTAACAGAATAGATAAGATCATTTTGTATGGTAGTAAGCGTCGTTCTTTAAGTAAACCACTTAAAAGATTATAGTCAATAATTCGATTTATTAGATGTCGATTAGTTCACCTCATAAAATACTTTTATAATATGTTTAAATTTGCGGTAAAAGTATGGGAAAACTATAGGCTTAAAAGAAATATAAGATTAAACTTCTCAAGCAATTAATCTACGCCACTTTGATTTTAATTTAGAAAAATGATACCAATAATAAAGTAGAAATTTCCTTGCCTGATAATTTTGCAGACGATGGACCAAATGGAAAATCTCCACTTTTACTTGGTCTTTTTTTTTATTTCACAACCTCGTGATTTTTTTTGGCTAAAATAAGTACGGGCTAATTAACTTACATATGTAAGGGGCTTCTGCTGTTTCTTTCTCTCTCTCTCTCTCTCTCTCTCTCTCTTTCTCTTTCTCTCTATTTCTTTATACAAAACTCTGAATAGTACAAAAAGAAAAAGAATTTAAAACTGTTTTCTTTTTGAAAAAACTCTTAAGTCACTTTTTTAGACTTTGTTCATTTCCGAACTTACAAGTTAGTAAAATTGCTATAATGTAATTTATCTAAAAAGGAAAGATGAAGAGAAAAGAAAACAAAATAGAGACATCACGGAGACAAGGGATAGATTTACTGTAGCCGAGATATAGGAATGTTGATAATTAAAGTGATAAAATAAAAACATTAACTGTCTTAATAAAAGATTTTAGATGGGTTAATTAGATATCATTCGTATACAAACACCTTAAATATGATCGTGTTGAATAGCTTCCTACTGATAAAAAGAATACTAAAAACTAGTAATTAATCTTTCAAAGATTTTTCTAAGCATTTGGTTAGCATTCGGTGCAAACTCGTTTAATGCATTTATCATCCATTCATCATCGACGATGGTTGTTTATTTGAACGCTAGAGTAAAAATGTTTTGCAGATAAATTACAACTAATGTCCAAAACAATTTATACCATTTCCCTTCTTTTTAATTCTACTACGTGTCTTTTTATATATGTATTTAATCAGTAAAGCTTTGTTTGTTATTGATATCAACGTCTATTTGGCTTAATCTATTTCTTCTTTTTAGGTTTCTGACGCTTTCGAAAAGCGTCATATAGGAGCGGCTTTTGGTGCTGGCTTCAAGCCCAGTGGTAAACGTCAGGCACCAATGGATCTTGGTAATTGGCGATATGCCGATGAAACTGAGCTACCGGGAAAACGGCATCTAGGCGCTACTCTTAACTCTTGGATCTCAGATAAAAGGCATATTGGAGCGAGCTTGAATCACTTTAGTCCCCTTTTGAACAATAAAAGGCTTTACGGATTAAGATTGAACGGCTTTGGAAAGTCAAATGGAAAAAAGTAACACTTTTTGAACTAATTATATGCTTTTAGCCTTCTCATATTCTATTTATTTAAGAGTCTCTTTTCCCAAATGTTTACTGTAGAAAAAATTAATTTGTTTTCTGTAAAATAATATAGATGGCGTAACCAACGATAGACTTAGGAGATAATCTATCAAACATATAACAAGCATTAAAAGCGCATCAATATACTTAATTTTATTAAATCTCACAACACCGAAAAACTACACAATCTCTCTAAATCTAAAGAACATACAAAATAAATTGTAAAACAGTATACAATCACATTTTTTTCGAATAATATACAAAGGACAAACATTGCAGTTATAGGCTTAGTAAACTCGAAAAAAAAACAAATTTTAGAGGTAAGTCGATTGGTGACTGAATTATATGTTACTTTAGATTGTTATGAATGTATTTATATATTCATGTAATTTATTAATTTTATGTAAGGTAATGGAAAAAGCGCGGCAACCAAAAAAAAAAAAATAAAATCTCACACAGCATCTTGAAAGAATACTGACGACGAACGATCCTCCTCCCGTTTTATATCCTTCCTCTTATTACACGTTTTGTTATTATGAACACTTTTTACAAGCGCATTTCCTGATTACTGGCATGCGGTGAATATACCTCCTGCCGTTTCTACACCGCATATGAACCCTTCTTGTCTTTATCTTTCTCGGTTTACAGCAAAGGGAACCCCCGCATCTTCCTTCGCATCTTCTGTGTTTAACTTTTCTTTTGGTCCTGCAGCCTGTTCTTGGATCCTTATAAACCGCTCGATATTCGACTGCATTACAAGTTGGTGGACGTTCGCAAGTTGGACCTAAATAGCCTTTTATACATTGACATTTGTAAGCCATGCCTGAGCCAACTGGCACGCATCGACCCTTTTGACACTTGTGTGATTTACATGGGTTGGAAGCTCTCTCACTTTCCCCTATAACCTCCGATCTGCTACATCCTGGAGCTACCCCGCTTCTACCCAATATGTCATTCATATTTAACGAATCGCCATTTAGTAATATCCTCTCAAAACAACCGGAAAAGGAACGAGCGTTCTTTATTTGCCATCTTGTTACGTTGCCATTTAGCCAGTCACTTAGCCCGCCTAGATATAGTGGTGATGAAAACGATGTTGACGATATAGAATCACCAACACTCTTTGTTAGACCTTTATTAACCGACATTGCTAGTCTACCTTTTTCGGCTTTTATTTCTAAAGAGTGCGGCCGCCCATCATCCACTTTATCGTAACTATACATGTTCAGATCAAACTCATGAACGTTAAACGAAGCTCTAATTCGACCTCTATAAATTTCCACAGCAATGTGATGTTTGCCACCTTTACCGCTGTATAAAATAACTCCCGTTGATTGACGAGTTCGCAAAATTAAGGACAAATTGAATGGCAGAGGTTGATTAGGAGAGATTTTTAAGTACGAATCCTTTTCTACAAATGAGACTGAAGTAAGTTTCTCGCACTTCTTACCACCGAAACCGGAAGGGCAGCGACACTCATAGTCAGAGAAGGACTTCTTTCTACATACACCTCCGTTTCTACAATCATGATAAGAACAGGCGTCTATTGATGAATCAACATACAAAGGCGCCCTCTCACAGAATCCTCCCGTAAAACCAGCCGCACACAAGCACTTATAACCGTCTAATAGGTCTTGACAGGTGGCGCCGTTTCTACACAAATTCCTTTCACAATCGTCTACGTTCACAGAACAATTCCTTCCCGTCCAACCCCTCGGGCACGGGTAGCACGAATATCCCCATTTAACACCAGAGTCCCTCTTGCATTTGGCATTGTTTTTACAAGGATTATAGTCGGCACATAATTCGCGTTCCTCAGAGCAAAACCTTCCGGACCAACCTTCTGGGCATGAGCACATATACGTATTGATCCCGTCTATACATTTACTTCCATTCTCACATTTGTTTTCCTCGCAATCATCAATATTAGTTTCACACCTATCACCTTTGAAACCCTTGGGGCAAATACATTGAAATCTACCTTTGTCCAAAGCCTTACAGGTCGCCGAATTCATGCATGGCTGACCGAAACATGAATCTATCCGTTTCTCACACTTATCTCCGTGGTAACCGGCCGCGCAGATGCATTTGTACTTGTCGTAGGTCAATAATTCGCATTTGGCGCCGTTCGAGCACGGTTTTCTGTAGCAGGCGTTACATTTCGACAGGATCGATTCGTCGAGCGTCTTCGAATCGCATATAAATTGCTTACTAGCTGTGGATGTCAACAGCTTTTTTTCCATTCCTTTAGGACCAGCACAAGTAGTAATACCCGGATCTTTATCACCCGCCTTCAGCCAGTCAGCGAGCCATTTTAAATTGCAATCACAATAAAACGGGTTCGCTCCCAGGCCGACATTTCTAATTCTGGGAAGATGAGAGAAAGTACCGTAAGGTACAGTTGATAATTGATTTCCATGCAAAGATAGTACTAAAAGTTCATCTAATCCATCGAATGAGTCAGCTTGAATACATTGAAGTTTGTTAAAGGTTAGGAAGAGTCCTGTCAATTTCGTGAGATTAGCGAAGGCTTTACTCGGGAGGGAAACAATTTGATTATCAGATAAATCTAAACGTTGGAGATGCTTAGGTAAAGAAGAGATTACGTCGGGTCGAATCTCTTGGATATTGTTATGATCCACGTACAATTCAGTTGTATCAGAAGGTATATCAGATGGAATTTGTTTTAGTCCTGCGCTGGAACACCTGACAACTGATCTTGTGCATGTACACTTTTTCGGGCAGGATGCTTTCTTATCGCAGACTATTCTTTCTGCCAGACGCCCATCGGGAGCGCAGCAGGGGGGTATCCCACCGTGACAACCCACCTCGTTAGAATCTTTGGGACATTTCAAATCAAATTCTTTTAGCACATCCAATCTCCGATTAGCTAAATTTTGCGGAGAAGAGCAGACAGCTCCACCTATTCCAGTATCTTTCAAGAACAATCTCAAACCTATCAGATGACAATTACACTGAAATGGATTGCCATTTAATTCAACGTTTGTTAGTTCTGGTAGTTGATCAAACGTAGACGGTTCTATACAGCCTATAGCATTTTTATCCAGCCTAAGGCTGTATAATCGGGTTAAGCCGGAGAATGTACGATTGTTGACGCATCGGATCTTGTTAGAAGAAAGGTCTCTGATAAAGGAAACAAAAGGAATAGAAATGTATACAGCAAATATCTGAGCTTATTGAAGATAAAAGAACGTACAACAACTGCAATTTCTTCATTTTCTCTAAAATCTTATGATTAACGAATGTCAGTTTATTTCCGCTCAATTTCAGTTCCTGTAAATTCTGGAGAGCGCTAAACGCACCGTCGACAATCTTTTCGATAAAATTATTATTCAAGTCGACCGACTGCAAATTTATCAGCTCATCAAATCGTTCCACACTCCTAATTCGATTTCCCGACAGCTTAAGGTGCGTGCTACCGGCGTCCAAACCGACCGGAACGGTTTCCAAATCCCTGTTGGAGCAATCTACGATCGTGCCAGAACAACTGCAGGCTGACGGGCATTTTTGGACGGTAGGAGTTTTGCAAAGACCAGTTGGTTTAGGATCGTTTGCTGTGCAAATAAAAGAATGAGAAAAATGAAGATAGAAAAAGAGGGTAGGAAGGAAAGCTATAAAGAGGCGGTTAGATAGATAGATAGGTTGATAGAAAAGGAAAGAATTTTCCCTTTCCCTTTTATTTGTTTGTTTATTGTTCCGCCCTCTCTCTCCTCTTCTTCAGAGGAATTGAGGGTGCGGGCGGACGCCTGACGAACTCGTAAAGTATTTTGAGAAGAAATTTACTCTCGAAGAAATTTGGCGAGGCTCGTTAGACCGATAAAGTTCGGATGCCGTCTGTTTCGTATAACGGTCCGAAATAATAAAAACCTGTTTTTACGATTAGTAACAGTCGAAACCGCCCTTTAGAAAAACCTCTCCTATTACGATAATTGCGGGCACAATAGACCGGCGCGCACAATTAAGCGGTGCGAGTACAGATTTGCTTTTCAGATAACAGACAGGCTGCCGCCCTCGATTCGTTATATTTACAATGCGTATACAATCGCCATATCCCCGTAATGAATTAAATATGAGAACCCTAATTATATTTTTAAACAATTTTCCTCACGTAATGATTTCTATCTTGTAAATTATTTTTCCTTTTTAATTGAAATATTCGCTTTTCTCTAAACTAATTACAAAATAATTTGTGGATTTTGCAAATATCTCGCCCTTTCAACCTTCTTTTATTTAAAAGTGGTCCGGGATCGTGACTCATGCAGTTCCGCGTGATTCATTTTCCTCCATACATTCTCCAATAACAGCCGCTAATAAACTATTATATAGTAGACGCTTCCTTCGCTAATCTTTTCTGGTATAACGTTTAGCCTTCAATTGACGCTTCTTGCCACGTTAAATAAGAATAATCACGTGACTCGATACTTATAAAGCTATCTTGATTAGAACGAAAGCGATAATCCATATTAAACATTTGTTAACATACAATATAACACAATACAAGAGTGTATATAAACATTACAGTATGTAGTATTCCTTATACCGTATAAAGAAACTATGAATTTATTATAATGTTACCAACCTTTGCATTTGAACTTGCTTGATTTTAATACACTCAGCTTTTTCCTGTGCATCCGAGCAGGAGAATGGCATCTAGCTCCACTCGTCTCAATCGGATGCTCGTGAATATACTCGCTAAGCCAACGCAAATTGCAGTCGCAGATAAATGGATTGCGCGCCAAATGTAAAGTCTGGATATTGTTCAGAGACGAAAAGGTACCATTGCCTAAAGTTTTTATGTCGTTATCGTAAAGCGATAGCAGATTTAGGCTAGTGAGTGGTTTGAAAACGTTCGTGTCGACGCATTTAAGTTTGTTGGCGTTAAGCAGCCTGTTTTGAATAAGAAAAACAAGATTAGATAACGAAAAGAGGTATAAAAAGTTCGACTCGACCCTTAGGCTGAAAGATTTTGTGTATATTGTGTATAATAAACTTGTAGGCAGTTTCTCTACAAAATCGGCTCTAGATACTATAACAACCGACCTCGGTTAAATTAGCCAAATCACTCTGTGAGAAACGCCTTGCCGAATCACGTTTCTCCTCTTCTATACTTTTTTTTTCCCACAAAAATTTTCTTTGGCTTTTTTTTTGGTTTTCAGACGTTTTATAGAATCATCTTTCTTTTTTTATTCAAGTACGAATATATTGCAAAGTGATACTTACAGTAGCTGTAATGATCGAAGGCCCTTGAAAACGTTTGTTGGTAGCTCTGTCAACTTATTAGCATAGAGTACAAGGGAAGTGAGTAGAGATAATCCTGCGAAAGCCTCTTCTTCTATCTTTTCTATCTTATTATTACTCAAATCCAACCTTCTTACATTCCTTAAAGAAACGAACGACCTATCCTTAACCCTAGTTATCTGATTCCTTTCCAAAATTATCTCGTGCGTATCCGCCGGCATCCTTTCAGGTACCTTATTCAAGGATTTGGAACGGCATTCGACGACCCTTTTCGAGCATTTACAACCAGACGGACAATCGTCGGACTGTTGAGGACAATAGCGGGATTGAGGGGGGCCGCGAGGCGGGCACTCGAGTTGAGAGGGCCGTAGTTCGGCGATCTGCCTGTTCTTTACTGCCTTCGGGGAGGAACAGCGCGTATAGAGCGCCAGAGTCGGATTAGCTCTCAGCCACTCCGCCAACCAGGAAAGACGGCAATCGCATATCAGTTGGTTATCGCCCACCCTAGCCACCCGCAATTTTTTCATACCGGAAAGCATGCGGTTGGGTAGAGTTTGCAGTTGGTTCTTGTTGACGGTTAGTATCTCTAGGTGGATTAACTGACGAAGGCCGGAAATGCATTTTAGTTGGTTATTATCCAATTGCCTGAAAGTAGAAAAGAAAAAGAGGGTCTTTGGGTAATGAAGGCAATTAGCGACCGAATACGATCGGGTCGTATATAAATAATAGAAAATTCGAAAATCGTGCCCGATTTGAATGCGTCGGATAGGGCAGAATAAACAGAGCTTGTACAAGATCTGTTTACATTCGAGCAGAGTAAACAACGGCCCTTACAATGAAACAGAACGCTCAGAAAATTGATAGTTCACTTCTGATTAGTTTTATGCACTTACAAATTCCTTAATAACGGTACTCCTCTAAACGTATTCCTTCCTACCGATTCGATACGATTATAGCTCAAATCCCTGTAAAAAGAATGATTGATTAATGGGTGATAAGGTTGGTAGATATTGATGGCGCACTGCTGCGAAATATTTTAATTTGGTGCTGATAAGTAGGCTTTCTATTGTACAGGTAAGACGTTGGAGAGTTAATATCAACGCTACTTACAGTCTATATAGCTTCGGTGTATACGTAAACAATCCGTCCGGTAGACGTTTCAGCTTATTCCTGTTCAAACGCAATCTAAGTAAAGAGACCAAATCGTCAAAACTTCCAGATTCAATTTCTTCTATTTGATTGTCGAGTAGTTGGAGTATTTTTAAATGTTTAAGACCAGAGAAATCCAATTTACGGATAATCGTAAGATTATTTCCCTGCAGATCCACCCGCTCCACTGTCTTGACAAGCGCGGGTATGAATTTTAAGGATCTGTAACTGCAGTCCACGGAATGACCTTGGCACTTGCAAGGAACTGGACAAAAAGTGGCAGAAGATTGCCCAACAACGAAAAGTAAGAACGAGAAGAGAAATATCATCGTTAAAATCACGCCATGTCCGACGGTGATATGAAGAAAAGAAGTTGCTAGGTGGCGCTCTAGATCGTTTTTCAACCCCTGCAAGTAATTTGTGAACAAAAACACGAAACGCCGCGGACATCAATCGAGGGCTAGGAAAGAAACTCATGCATACGATTATCCCTAATCTTATAGGCGGGTTGGATTATCATTCTTCTCTTCTTCTTCCAACCTGCCTTAGAATCGATTTTGATCGTCCGGATGCCCCCTTCTTATTCATCCCTTTTCAACTTAAGCATTTGCTATCTAGTTCAAAAGAAACCGCTTAACCCCGGGTAACTAACTAATTCGGACACCACCTGCAGCGTCCACAGTCATATTCCTTGCAAACTAACCGCAAAGAAGCAATGAAGATACTGTAAATACTAGATTGATAGATAGAAAGAGAGAGAGAGAGAGAGAGAGAGACAGAGAGAGACAGAGGGTGAATGAGTGAGAAAGCACGCGAGAGAAAGAAAGAAAAAAGTAGTTGCTACGAAAAAATCCAGGTCGATAGCACTCGAAGAAAAAACGGTCGTAAATAACAACGTTTATTGAACGGGACCTGTCAAAGCATCCACATCAACTTTTACCTCAGCTTTTTTTTCACATAAACCAGACCTTTCTTAACCGCTCATTTTTACTTCCATCTGTCGCTATTCTTTCCTACTTGTCCCCCCTCTCTCAATTCTCTGCCAGTTTCTTAGTCTTTCTCTCTTTTCATAGCCCCTTCGCTTCCTTACAACTACCCCCCTCTTCTCTTTACACTCTTTTCCCCCTTTTTTTCTCACGCTCCGTTAATAAAAGACATGTAAAAGGGGCTCAATTTAGATGAAATTTTCAGTGGAAAAGGAAAAGAAAACCGAAAAAATAAAAAATTCGACTAAAATTCTTCTCTATAAATAAACTAATAGGCGTTTTATGACGTTTTAAGTGTATTCTAATTGAGAAAGTAGCTTAAACAAGTAAATAAATGTATCGTACGATATGAAAGAAGTAAACCCAGTGATAAAAAAAAAATAACAATAAGAAATCACTTTAGTTAATACAAGGCACGGCGACATCTCGTGGATATTTACTAATTCTCGTCAATTAAGAACCACATAATTTAATTCAGTGTATTTCATTTCTAAGCAAACAGTAATATTAATATTTTGATAATATTAGTTCTAGGCCTTATTATTTAGAAATACTTTTGAGGTGAATAGCTTCGTATCTCTTGGTAAGATCGTTCTCCCCTTTTGTTATTCTATCTTGGATTTTTTGTATCAAATTTCCATCTTTTATCAGTTTAAGATTTAATTCTGACTACAATAAATAATAAAATTAAATATAAAGAAAAAGAGAATACGCTCTGTATAAAATAGAAAAAGTAAAAACAGGTAGTAGTTGTTTTATTCTATTTTTGTTTTTTACTTTTATCTCCAACCAACAAGATCAAACTATTTAACCTTTAAAGATTACGTCATAGGTCAGGAACTATAACATTTTTTATTCAAATCTATTTTGAATTTACAGAATATTAATATTAATAAATTAATTTTAATAGGATAATAAAAAAATTAATTGAAAAAGAGTTTTTAATTCACAAATTTTTTTTTCTAGGTCAAATAAACACTTTTTCCAAAAGGTTTTAATAAATTTCTACTATACTTAGATCTTATTCAAATATTTGATATTACTCTAAAAATGTTACCCACCTTTAATACAAAAATATTATCTTTTATTAAAAGGGAAAGGGAGAATGAAAAAAAATATTAATAAAAATGCTAAAATTTTTCGAGGGTCCTTCTTCCAATTTTCAAGAAATTGAGCAGAAAATTCCCATTTAACTTTTTGACCCTTTACCGATCTCTTTACTGGTTAATCTAACGAAAGCTTTTTTCAATTTTCTATGTAACAAACTTCCTTATATAGATTAATTTCCTTTGGAATAGTCATTTCCCTATAAATTTTTATTACTTACTGTATAAATATATATATCAGCAGTGTTTTTTTCAGCTTTATACCATAGAAAAGACATTTACAAGGCAATATACAACCTATTAACGAATGAGTAAACTATATAATTCATTGTATTTAATTAAGAAACCTATCTTAATTAAGTACTATGCTTATTGATCTCTATCAACTTATTATTCTTCCTTCTTTATTTATTATTCGCTTTATATGCGTCCTTACAAAGCGTATATAAAAAAAGTCAAACTATTCTCAGAAATATTGGAATATAATAATCTTGTTTATCAATTTAATCTATTGACTAAGCTCTAATTCTTGCGAAAGAGAATCTTGCAAATGTATATAAAATTTACAAATTAGAATTAAGAGGAAATTACGGATTATTATTTGATAACCCTGCTAAATACGATATGAGCGGAGGGGGGAAATCAAGAATAAATGAATAAATGTAATATGTTTATTCTAGTTTTTAATCCTCACCGAAGTGATTGCCGTTTCTAGAACAATACGATAAAAATATTATCATCCCAGTAACTCGTTAAAAAATACCTAACTGTGACGCCATCTATCGGGTATCTAGTGTACACTTTAACCAGAGACTATTACTTACCTCTTCGCTATCAGTTTTCTATTACTTATTAAAGCCAATCGAGGAAAGCAACTAAGCTGGTTTTTATCGAGAATTCTATTTTATTATTCGCTTCCCGTCATGATCAGAAGATTATGTTGAATAAAGATTCTACCACATGCTATTCTCATTCACTAATACTAACTTCCTCTTCTCTAGCTATCAGGAAAGAGTGAAAAGAAAAGTAGAAACAAAAAGATTATCAATGTATTTAATGAATAATAAATCTAATCTATATGGATATAGGGAGGACAAATTAAAATTTGTATAATTGTTTTTTGTCACATATATAGTAATTTAAGCCTACATCTCAGAAAAGTTTGGCCATGGATTAAGGCCTATAATTCAACATCTAATTGTCCATTTAAGCATAGGAAGAGCAAAAAAAGAAAAAAGCTAAACGAATTGGTTTTCGATAAATAATCTTTGATATATTTCAATAAAATGATTGCAAAAGAAATGTCGTCACCGTTCACGGAATTCACTTCAAGTTCAACTGCCTCTGTTGAACCTACTGCCGAGGAGGAAATTTGGCTGAGATTATCGTATGCACTCCCAATAATGATTATTTTATTTTTTGTTGTTGTAATGCTTTCTTCATTTGCTGGTTATGTTTTATATACAAGACGAAAGACAAGGATCGCTTTACGGAGTGTTGTAAATTATAATATTGAAGAATCAGCACGATTTAGTAGTGATATGGATTTTACAAATTATGATAACTATACTATTAATATTAAAGCTTCTAGTGCTTAACTATTTCTCTATTTTATCTATAAAAAGAAAAGTGCGTCACAAAAGATCAACTTTAGAAGGGAAGACTTTTGACCATAAGCCTATAAACTTCCGTTACTAATCGCGCATGCGTCAACGCGCGCGCGCCATATTTTCCTTTGTGTGCCACGTGGGTCCTTGACCTCCATATGCACAATGTCGTGTCGCAATTTCGAACGTCTGCCACTTTAGCCTATATGGTATGGCCGTTATTTCGCAGGCAGGATCGATGACCTTAGTAGCGTCTAACTGAGAAAATATGGAAATAAATTTGTGTAAAACTATTAAAAATGAGTCAAAAACCATTTTTTAATATAAAAGAAAAAGATACTAGTCATCCTTGTAATCTCTTCGAGGTCCGGTTTTTATAACCTACAAATTCTAGACCGCATTTTAAAAGAGCACGCCTTACGTTAGTAGCACCTGCGATACTAGGCTAAAAGGGGATTGACCGTCCCCGGAAGGTCACGCCGTTAAAGAGAAAAAAGTCCGTGCGACTTAACTAGAAAACATACCTAAATAATGAGTCATTAAATTTGGGTGGTTGCTAACAAAACAATAGGCCTATATCGAACTTACATGAGTCAGACCAAAGAATCCTGTCTTTTTATTCTTAGCCTTCCTTTTCTTTCGAAATAGATTCGATTAACTTTGTAAAGTATTGTATTATTAAAATCATCCAAATAATTGTAAAAATAGTACAGAACAAATTAACATATCATGAATTTACATTATTAATTAATCCTCCTCATCAACAGTAATAAGAGGAAAGTTTCAGAGAAAATAGTCCAACAGCATAAGAACACGTCATTCTGATATTCATTATGCTTGAATAAGAGAATTTGAATCGAATGAATCATTAAACTCTAGATACGTGTATACTTACCTTGAAATAGCGTAAGTCGAACAATAGGAACAACAGATTGAAAGAAAATTGAGAAACGACCGGCGTTCGAGTGAAAGACATGGGTAGTGAGATTATTTCAATTACAAAATTTCAACTACCCCATCTTTCGTTCAAACGTACGGCAGAATGAGGTGACAGTCTTCGATCACGTTTTGAGATGGTAAGTAACTTGACAGGCGGTTGATGTGTTTCACTTGTCCTCGGTGTTCTTCTGCCAATTCCCAAAGCTAAACTGAAAGGCTTGTGGGCTTGCAGCGCATTGAGGGAGTACAATCACATTGCACTGAATGACCTCATTAGCATATATCTGAATAACAGCTTAGCCAATCAAACGCCGTAAACAACCTTTTGGCGGGAATTCCCCCTCCACGCCATCTAGTTGTCCACGGTTACGGCGGTTACATATTTTGTAAATCGACTTCCTATGAAAATTTGAATTTCCTTTTTTTATGTTGATAAACTATATCAATATTGTGCTTGATAGGTGGGTCGATTGGTGCGCTTTTCTCGTTTTTGCGGTCTAACATCTATTTCTTTTCTTTTTTTATGAGCCCACTCCCACTTCCTAAAAAAGCCTATGATCAATCAGTCATTCTTCTGTGGAAATATATTTCTACATAACTATATACTACATACATATATGAACAAATTATAGATATATACAGGTAATGACGGCTTTGACCTGCTCTGGTATATATGGTAACCGCCAACGATTAACGAACAATATTGTTTGTTATGACGTCATCGTAATATTCCATATTCAACGCCATCTGTTGCGGTTAGATGAATCATAAAATCAGTTTGTCAGCACTTTTACGCTCGTCACCGGTGTTTACTCACCTCCCATATAGATTTACTGTATTACTTTTTATTTAACAATTAGCTGGATTTATGATTCAGTTCAAAAATCGTTAACACGACACTGTTAGACATTTGTTAATAAGAAAAATACGAAAAGAGTTTTTTTCGCGCCTTTTTTTAAAATGAATTTCGAACATGCATCAAGGCCAGAGATGCGGCGTGTTCTCTTGCTTTCAGCTGCAAACTGGTACGAGTGGTACCTTCCAAATCGTCGTTAATAGACGGCGCCAACAGTTCAAATGCTTGAAGGGGTAGTAGGGCGGAAGGCGGAGATACAAATGGAGCTCTAAACAATTGCTGATAAGCTTGTAGGCCGCTATGCTGTTGGGAAGTCCACTGTTGGCCAGCCATAGCACTGCAAAATTGGGGTCCATTGAACAGGTGCTTTTCCTTCTTTCGCCACTTCGCTCGCCTATTCTGAAACCAAACTTGAACACGGGATTCAGGTAAGCGGAGGCGAGCGGCGAGTTTTTCTCTCATGAACACATCCGGGTAGTGAGTCTTTCGAAAAGCTCGCTCCAGGTCTTGCAATTGGCCCGTTGAAAAAGTTGTTCTCTGTCTTTTCGTCTTATCCGTCTGCTGAACTTCACTTTTCTCTTCATCGTAACTCGTCGTACCGTCTTCATCATTCAAATCCAATATAGAGTTTATGGAGAATTTGAGCAGCGACGTTCCTTCCATGACGACGTCGAAGCTGTAAATGACAGAAACCCCGCATCGGCAGCCATTAACAATCAGAATATGCTTGACATAAACGTTTGAAATTCGCTGTGAGAAGTTGATTAGCATCGGTTGTTCGGCTTCTCTACACACGGACTCGTGCTCCCTAAATAAAACAATCAGGAAAATGCAACTAGCTTTCATCGGCTATTCGATTTGCGAACAGTCGGCTACTTCCGTTCTCCGCTTTTATTCCAGAGTTCAGTTGTACTGATGCAGTTTATTATTTCCGTTACGTATATGTGATATATTATAATACGTATACTCACGTATACATATGTCTTATAGGCCTAACAGATTATAATTTGGGTAAATCTTAATAAATTACATAATGTACCGTCTACTTCAGTTTTCCTGTCAATAATATTATTAATGTGAATATTTTATTACTATAATTGATCATTTGTTTAAATTTAATTAGTCTATTTAAGTAGATAAATTGTTTACGAATGAAGTGATTGCACTTGGTAATTTACTAACTAAAGAGGAAATTAAGACAAGAAAGAAAAAAAGTTGCTAAAATAGTTTTGCTTTACTTGGTTATATGGATAAAACTTTCTATAAAGCGTCACCATTTTAGATTATGCATCTCATTGATATTATCTCTAGTCTACGGATGAAAAATCCAGAAATCGTTCAAGCGGTTATAACAAACTGCATGCTAGATTGCATGATCACAAAATCTTTGTTATGTTATGGAAAATTTGTTGTGATTCACTTGCGGATGTAATACGTTTCTTTGTCGTTGGAAAAACATAGTTAATAAGAAATATATCAATGTTTTCAACTATCATTTTTTCTATCATTCTTAACTCTTCCTATATCCTTTTCTCTATTCTTCTTTCTTTTTTCATTTCTCTTTTAAAAAAAACTAACTCACTTTTCCTTAATCCGCATATCTTATCCTTTGTATTCATCTTTAGTTAGTTTTCATTAATTGCTTCTCAATTCTATAAGAGAAACATTTAAAGTGCTAATGAGGAGTATAAAAAGTGAAATATAATCAAATGTATAAAGGTATGGATGTAAAGTGTTTTTTTAAGCGTTCGCAGGCGTTTTTAGTTTATTACAAAGATTAAATTCTCTCCTGCTTACGCATAGTGCTTCCTTCTTATGACTTATTCACTACTAGTTCTTATAATAACTACATAAGAATAATAGTAAAATTTTTACTTATTTTATATACAAATACATAGTAATAATACTAATACAAGCAATGATAATAAAATAATAATAACCTCTTTGCAAACTTATTACGAAAATATTATTGAATATAATTGACTAAATAGAAAAAAATTACCTCCATTCTAATCTGTTATATTGCATTGAATAATAGAATAAATAAATCCTTAATCCGTTTTCTAAAATCGACGACAGATGGCGACTTAATTCATATCTCTTAAATAGAAAAACGCCACCTTTTGCTCAAGTCAAACATTTATTTAAGGGAACCAATTAATAAGATTTTTGTCGAGAGAAATGCTATTAACTGTTGGAAAAACTACACGATAGATGTTAATTTAGCTTTAGGCAAACTTTAGTGCTTTTTCGTGATATACACAACACGTCTTAGATCTAGCCCTATAAATTGGAAAATATCGTGTTGCAAAATTTCGTGTTTCTATTTTACTGGTACTTGTAAAAGAGTTGATAGAATTTTATGAGCCGAATAATAAGTGAATACTTTGCTTAATACAGATGGCGCTGACAAATGAAGTTTATAAAGAAAGCGATCAACAATCGAGAAGCTCCTAATTAAATACTGTACTAACGAACTTATACGCGAATAAATGTCATTACAAAGCGTCGAAATCAACGCAACATTTGCATGACAGATGCGACGCTATAAAGAAGTTCAAACAGGAGGACGCCGCCCATCTACTCACACTCAATTCATTAGCTGAAATTTCGCGGGCGTCAAAATTATTATATTTGCCACCGTCGGCGTTCCCCCTCGAAGCGCCTCTGATACGAGCAGGTGCCTCATTCTCGCCGGTCAAGGCGTCTAATTACGAACATGCTTCTTGCATTTGCCAATGCTCGGCGTCTATTCGTTCGATAATATTCGACGTTTTACTGCACATGCAGTGTTGGCGTAAAGGCTTTACCCCTTGTCTTAATAGAAAATAGTAATAGAAAAGAGCGCAAAAAATGGACGATACAATTAATCATGGCAATAATCGGTCGATAATGATGACGGTGACGCGCGTGTATGCGTCCGATAAGATTTTTCTTCTTCCTTCCCCTGTCTGTACACTTCCTCATGATTCTTTCCTCATGTGAAAATGCGACAAAATTCATTTTCCCACCAATTTGTCTAACCTCACAACTCCTTTATTCTTAGTTTTCTGTTCTCTTTACATATCGACCCAATTGGCGTTTTTTGTGTGTATATACCGGTCAGGTGCATGCGTACGTTCCGTAGGGCAAACAGAGAATTTTCACGCTAGCTTTGTCTCGCTCACGTCCTTACAAACGTTGAACAATTTTGGGTTTGGATAGAAGGAGAAAATGTTTACTTCATTGAACGCTTCTGTATATTACGTCATTCGGAAAGGGAAATGGCCGAAGCGGGGATTAGGCTAATCGGCGTCCGAGTCACGAGTTCAATTATACCGCATGAGAGAGGGTAGAGAATTATAAAAGGCTGAATGGATATTTGTTAATAGGAGGGGGTAAAAGGCGGATGGAAGCCGTTAGAAAGGAAATAGTTAGTACAAACTCTTCAGGCTACCAAACCCATCTTACCTCCCCGCCTCTCATCGCCTACTCGATATCCGCCGGTGCAGGCTACCTTATCAGACAATCATGAGGTCTGTAATAACTCGTAAGCCGAATTCTTAGGCAAACAAGTAGAAAGTTGTAAAGAAAACACTCGCCTAACTGCAATCATTCCATACTGCCCGTTAAATTAGCAGCTCCGTAATCCGACGTTTATGTTTGCCCTACGTGCGTGCACGTCGACGGCGTGAGTCGTAATTGCGCTAATTCGGACAATTGCTGTCGCTTTCTCGGAGGCAAGCTTTATTTTTTCTTTTAATTTGTCCATAGAACTCCTACACACCCCCTTAATGCTGCCCTTCGCCCTTTCTTTTCTCTCCTTCCATGTTATTCATCGGAACTCCAGATTCGTACTTCATGTCTCCTTTCTTTTCATTTTCTTTCGACGACCATCTGTCCACTCTAGTCCAAGGTTTAATATGCCTCTTCTGGGGAGAGATGAAGAGAGAAGAGTGAATATATCCCTGCTGGGAGTGGAGGAGAGGGAGGTCAAGTTTTCCCCCGTAACGAAAAGAATAGTGTCATTATTCGATCCTTTTACTGTTCTCGGTCACGTTTAATGAAGCGAAAGCCGGCTTTATTTATACGTGCACAATGCTTAACGAGTCATGAATATGCAAATTTTATACGAGTGTGCCTTATAATCGGACTTATATGTTGGACGTATAGGGTTTCTAAATCTGCAAGTACCTTTTAATTAACTCCTTTGAAAGCGTCCGGGGATTAGCATTCCATCCCGGACACATAATCCCGAATGAAAAGTGCAGATTTAAGCCTACCAAATATATAATCTCAGAAGACTGAAAATCGAAAAAAGGATAAGTACGGTTTGTACATATGCGCTTGTAAGTGTTTTATATGTATACGTGTCGGTGCTGTGATTATCGACCCAACACTCGCCGAATGTCTCTGATTACCTATTCCTTAAAGTTTTTTGGGTCATTTCTTATTTGATTTTAACGACTTTTGCTATCGGCAGCTGTAGTAGTTGTGCATTCAGTGAACGTTCTGAGTGTGTCTCAATAGAAAGGCCATAGATAACCGTTAATACTACGTTAGGGCGTCGCTGTATATCAATCTCAATGTCTTCAGCTTCTATACTGTTATCGAAATGACGGCTACTATATTTTTTTCCTATCTTATATTTGGTTAAGCACATATTTATTCAGTTGGGCAACGAAAAAAAAATATTCGACCAAGATAAAAATCCTTGTACGTCGTTTTCATCACGTTTTCGGCAAACTCCGGCAAACATGAGAAAATCTAGGCAAGGAAATTGCAGTATTTTCCCTCCTAAGTCCTTTCTATATAGTTGTGTAAATTTATTTGCGACGAGTTTATTACGTAATCGACGGACCGTGTACCGGTTCTGCAAAATTGTTTACGTAAGGCAGTTTGGGTGTGGGTGGTGGGATGTTGAGAAAACGAAGGGGGATTAGGGACTGTAGATTGTGTGTTACGATGGACAGTTGTCGGCTGTTGTATTGGGTCTAACAATAACAAGAAAACAAAAACAACAACAGAGAAATCTTTAATACCAATGGCAGATGAAATCAGCGGTCCAGAGAAGAATAAGAAAGGAACATCTGCGTTAGAAAAATTGCTCCGATGCTTTGTATAGGTAATCTAGGGTAATAAGGGTTCTTAACGTGCATCTATCATTATATCGAAAAGATGTCGGATAGACGTCCCTCTGCGACCGAACAATACTGGCCTATAATGGTGAGAAAGCGTGCGCACGTCTACTTATGTATGCGGCAGAGGGTCGTGACTCTCCTTCAAACCCGATGGCCTGTCTTGAGTGTGATAAATTGTAGCATTATTGCTTCTCTAGCGAGCTAGCTAGTTTTTCTTTTCTCTCACGCGTTTCCCTTATTATTCCATCGATTTTTCCTTTTTCTCTTCCAACAGGAAACTGTTACACACGCGCACATCGCCTGGTCCTGGCTCTAATTAGTGCACCCACGCTGATTCCCTTTTCCTTTGGTTAATTGCCGCCGGTCAACCGGAAGTCTGGGCCTCTTCTCGCCCGACCCCTCAACTGCGAAATAACTAGGTTCAAAAAGGTTTCCATTTTATTATACGCTAATAAGTTGCGGAAACTTTTCCGGTCTAAAATCCATACTCTTTTCATTTGAAAACGAGTCACGTGATTAACACTAACTATTTACACGAATTTTTCAGGAAGCTAAAATAAGGAACTTTTGTTAGGAAGAACGAATTCTCGAAATTACTCGTAATGCTCGCTGAGTATTAGATAATTACGTGCGAAATTTTTGCTGTTTACGACGCCTTCTTGGGCGTTTAGAGAGAAATTCGCAAACGTTTTAATGTGATGCTGTTAACTTTCCTTTAGGGCGTAATTAGAATCGAAAGTGAACGGGGTTTCCAACTAACGCTTGACATTCAAATTGCTCCTACGCGTCTGTGTATACAAAACCAAAGAAAAAATATATATATATATCTATATATATAGAAATTTTTAAAGTATAAATATTTTGTATTAGTCTAAATTTATATACAATTTAAATAAAAAAAGACTATTTGTATTATGCATACATAGTAGTTTGTATATAAATGGAATTGGATGAAACGAAAACAAAGGTCAGATAACGTTCTTGGCATATCTCAATCAACGCGTGCATATAGAGGCTATCAATGTATTGCGCAATAATCTAATTGCGTAAGACTGAACAGAGACGTCTGCTGTAAAAAATTATCAGTTTTTAGAGATAAAGCATGAGCGAAGAGAGGGGAAATGATTCGCTTTCCATAAATAGTTTAGAGATAAGGGTTATTGTATTTGATTAGTATATATTCAATAATATTCGAAATATAATATTTAATATGTACCTTTAGTTTTATTATACATGTCAAATGTATACATACTGTGTCTGTGTGTGTGTGTTTTATACAATATTGGTTATGCATATATATGTAAGCAAAGAAAGTAAATAAACAATTTTCCTTAGTTGCCCTCAGTTTCAGTATGCATGGTTGGTTGCACGCACATACCTTTTCCGCCGGGCAGGAAGTACTTGGATCCAAAAAAGGGAAATCCACTGGAGGTAAGGGTTGGCTCTGACAAATAACTCTCCTATTCATTCATTTACATACAATTTATCCTTTTTATACACTTTACATATTGAATTATCATTTCAATACAATCAATAGAATTTGTGGACAATATTTTAAGATCTTCTATACTATATATATATATATATATATGCAGTTTATATCGATAAAGGCACATATATATATATATATATATATATTTCATATTGATTGCCGACAATCTTTTTCTCTTTAAAGTGACAATTTGTCATGCGACAAAATAGATAGCTATTTATAAAACGTAATTGATAGAATATTCGCTATTTTAAAGCTTAATGAGGTTACTCGTAAAAAAAAG